TCCGCCGACTCGAGGCCTCGCAACGAGCCCGCATGCGTCGTTATTGGCAGCACTTTGCGCCGATCATGCACAATCGTTGTAACGATGCTTCCAACAGCGCTGCCAATGGCCCAGTTGGTGTAGCCTTTCAGCTTAATGACCTCGTAAGCCGCGGCTACAACTTGCTGATGGACACCTTTCACCAGATCATAGAATGCTGTGGACGCGCTCGCAGCGTCGGTCATGCGCTCGAAGCATGTTCGCAACGGCACGCCACCAACCGTAATACCACTCCGGTACACAAACGAGGAGTCTCCGTGCTCGCCCAGTACCATGGCCTGGACAGAAGCGGTATCGATGCCCAGCCGCTGCGCCAGAAGTGTGCGGAAACGCGAAGAGTCCAAATATGTCCCTGAGCCAATCACACGTTCGCGAGGCAAGCCACTCATCTGCCACGCTAGATGTGTCAATAGATCAACGGGGTTACTCACAACCAACAGGATTGTGTTCGGCGAATACTGCACCAGGGGCGGAATAATGCCTTTGAACAATGCGGCATTGCGATCCATGAGCTCGAGACGACTTTCTCCGGGCCGCTGACGCGCACCTGCCGTTATAATACATACTGCCGAATGTGCTGTACCCTCGTGGGACTCGGCAGCCGGATGCGGGTGCTGTAGAACGCACCTCCATGCTACAAGTCCATAACTTGACCCTTGAGTTTGTCCTTGAGAACGTCCACCAGTACCAGCTCACTACAAATATCTCGGGTCAAAATATTATAGGCGCAAGCAACGCCAACGTCACCAGCTCCGACAACGGTGATGCGGACGGGGTACGAACGTGCAAGCGCCGCACCCGGCGTGTCGATCGCAGGCGAGACCTCCCCAAAGAGACTTCCCTGAAGCTCAGCTGCTGCCTCGTCGATCCCTGACGTCATTCCAAAGAGCACATTTCCACGATTTGCTTCCTTGCCAGACAGATCTTCGAAAAAGTCCGACTACGGGTTTTAGATCGCCCGAGCTCCAGTGCAGGGTTGTTTCCAGCACTGGTGCCGAGATCGCTACAAACCCGTGATCGTTTTGTTCTCCAGCACTATAGGCCTCGCCAAAACTAGGTACAGTGCTCTTTGATAACACAGCTGTCGGATCCACGAAGGTATTGCTTTAAGTCAGAGGGAACGCTCGAGACTGAGCGCCCCGAATAAATCATGCTATCCGTTGAGAATACAAAGATGCACTTGAGGGCTTTCGCGATCGCCCAGAAGCGCCTTCCGGAGATTCGATCCAGAGCGATGCGCGTCTCGATGACGAGTCCGCCTCCGGAGCGTTTTTTTCTTTTTGATGAAAGAACGTTTGCATTGACCATGCATCCCAGAATTCGGAACGCACGATGGCTTCCGGGGATATCTCGATCATAGTGCACCTGTCCTCAAGTCCCATTATCCATACTACCTCTCTGATATATTGGTCGTTTCGTATGTTCTATCGAGCGCCGAGCCTGTTGTGAGCACCCGCTGTAGCGCTTATACCGCTCAAGCAGGTGCTGTACAGAGACAGAACGGCTTTGCCATACCACTAAGGGCGTCCGCTCGAGGAATGATTCACTTGAAACGGAATCAGGGCTATTTGTCATTCTGGGAACATGCAAAGTGCGCAGAAAGACCTACTACCTGCGCCAGCGCGAAGTGCTGTACTAGGGTTCCACTGCGACCAGGGCGAGGCCCAACGCAGCATCCTGTGCATAGTCTCAGGATAAAATGCGTTGCGAACGAGCTACGCAGGTCTTGCAGCAGCAGCGGCAGCGGCCACTTTAGAGGCATACCGAGCTTTAGCCCGGTAGACTCGACCGGGTCGCGGGACCTTCCGCCTCGAACATAAGCTTCCGATAATACGGCGATCTGTTTCCCCTTAAACGCTTATCGTAGAGCGGGAAAAAATTTTACATCGTTTCTTGTAAATCGTAAGTCACTGTCCTTTTTCCTGTATGGCGCGCTCGATACGTGCATCTCCAAGTATGGCACTTACGAGACACGACGCATATGTCGCCTTTGAAGAGAAACGCGACCGTGACGACACGTTTTCTTGCTGTTCTAACAGGCAAGCTGTATTTGTGTGGAAGTCGTAACAAATCATAGCTTCCAGTCCGATGCCGTTTCAACCCTCGACTAAAAATATTCGAGCGTTTTGTCGTGGCATATAACAGGAGGGTTCAAAGAGCGTTCTTTTTCACAAAAAAGATGAAAAAAAAAGCTATGAAAAAGCGAGTTGACGATCCTGGAGGTCCAGGGTCGCCGGCTGCCAGAAAAAAAAAAGCAAAAGACAATGCGGAATCCAGAAGAAAAAAGAGAGAAGAAGGACCGAAAGGGGAAGGCCCTAGGTCGAAGGCGGCAAGAAAGACGACTGTGCAACGAGATGGTGGTGAAAGCCTGTCTTCTTGTACATATCATGGATCCGTTCAAGTAGCAAGAAGCTATCAGAAACCGTGTCGACTGGTACTCCAAGAGTATCGTCAAGGCGTCGTCAGGACTGATGCATTTGGCGAGCGAGATGTATCGCGACGTGATGCACATGGAAACGGTCGAGATTCCGGACGAGTTTTTCGATAAGAGCTTTATTCGTCACCTGATGGCTGACACAAGAAAAGCATCGATGAGGAAGGAGCGAGTGCATGACCTCCACAAAAAATGTCCCTTCCACAGCTTCAACAGTACTCCATACAGAGGTGATTCGAATGTTTACGTATAAGGGGCGACGAAGTACATCACGAACCTGAAGAATCACGTAATCGTGAAACTCGAACGTCTCATAATACGTGCCGTGTTTGCGCTGTACCCGGGCATCTCTCGCAAAGGAATATGGGCGATTATCAATGGAAAAGCGAAAGATCGCCAGCATGAAGATGAAGTCGAATTCGTCGATAAGAAGCCGTCAAGCAGGAGCACAAATGAGAATTCCCTCATCCGTTCGGTTATACATGAGCACGGTGCAGTCTTGGGGCTGGCGAATCCAGCAGACAGATATCAGAGTTGAAAAAAGACAAAGAAAAATACTATCGCCTCGTCCTGCGCTATTTCGTGTTTCTGGACCAGAGCTCGAACGCAAGGCAGAGATGAAGCAGAGTGAGGAAAAAATGAAGAGTGGGAGAGACGGAAAGCTTTCCTAATGAGAAAGCACCTCAACGCGGTTCCAATGTGCAACATCAAGTCACATTTTGTGAGTACCGACTCCAGAATCCTTCACGGCATCATGAAGGAGATCAGTCCCCAGTTCGATGCTAGTAGGGAGGACTTCGCCGGCGAATACCGGCAGACGTACTGGAAGAACATCTTCAATTTCAAACGTCTGAGAGCGAGCAAGCAAAGTTGTCCACTGGGATGATCGAAACCGATGGTGTAGCCTTGGGTGTACACTAACGGCTATTGAAGAAAGATCGTCGAGTCCCGCCCTTGGTGAGCCATGAAGATGAGAGAAAGGCGGGTCCTGCGACGCAGGAGGTGGAGGCTAACAACTTTATGGTTGGCGCGGACGCTGGGAATACGAATATCATAACCATCGCAGCATCGAAGCGTGGGTAAGATGGCACAGACGGCAACTAAAGCCAGAAAGACAAGCGTCTTTTGAGGTGCTCGAGATCGAGATACAATCGAGAATCGAGACATGGAATGGAGGGATGAAGGATCACCTGGAAGCTTTGAGCGAGGTGTCGAGCCAAAGAGCGGACTTTGAAGCTTTTCGGAAATTCATGGAAGTTCGTGTTGCTCATTGGGATGCACTGTGGGAGGAATATACCAAGCCCCGGTGGTCTCGTTTGCGTATGAATCTATATGGTGGGAGGCAGCGGGCGTTTGCCGACATTTTCAATCAGTTGAGTGCCTTCAAAAAGGACGAGAATCAGAGTCTCGTAGTAGCGTATGGGGCAGGGCTATGGAAGACCCAAAAAGGGACTACTCGAGCTCCAACGACGAGAACGTACAACGAGTGTGCACGGCGTTTCATTACGATACCTGTATATGAGTTTCGAACATCGTATACACTCCATGAGCTGGGGAGTATACTTCAGAGAGTTGAGATGGAAAAGTGCCAGAGGAGTCCTGAGGAAATAGCAAAGTACGGACCGCAGACGGAAAAGCAAATGCAAAGGATGGCAAAAGTGCGAGGGCTACTTGCACTAGTAAGTACAACTAGTAATGACAAGAAACGGATGGAGTTTGTGAATCGAGATTTTAATGCCGCTATCAATATCCGGAGATGTGCGGTGCTGGGGAACAGACCTCCAGAGTGAACAAGAAGGAACTTTTTTGGACAACCTCTCAAGGTCAAACAATATGAGAAAAAGTTGGAGACAGTAGTGGGTGGCCGGTCCAAAAAGACGGGGAGGCGTCTACACGTCTGATGGAGACGTCGTCTAGGGCGCACCGTCCGCCACTGCTGTACACGGTCGGCATCGTTCGACTTTTGGAAAGTGTTCGGTGTCGGCATGTGAAAGCTCGCGATACCGCTGCAAACATTCCCACAGTTCCATTTCGGTAATTTTCCAGTCCCGTTGACCATCAGGCATGGATACAACGCTCGATTCTGAGACGACAAGCCATCAAGGGGCTTCTCTGGCGCTGCAGCAACTCGTTACGTCGATAGCGCCCCAAAATGAATCATCAGTGATGCTTTCAAATGATTGCTGATGTTTCGATCATCCCCAGTTAGTCATCAGTACGCATCACGATCTCTATTCGCGCATCGCCCATGAATCGAGAGTTTGATCCTACACTTCATGCTTACATTTCGATCCTACTTTGCCATAGTCCAACGAGCCTTGGACTCGCGGTACGATACATGGCGACGAGCATCGAGGACGCCAGGAGGCAGGCTCACGTGGCACCCAAACAACAACGCTCTGCATCGACGAGGGATCCATGAGTAGCAACGCGCTCGGAATACAGCCATTTCTCATAGTGCGTTTTTATTGCATCGTGTCGAGCATCCCATCCAGTATCGTGCAGGAATAACAAACAACCGATACCTCTAGGGCTTTGTGATGCGCCTGTTGCGAAGCGCCTCTAGCCGAATGCTCGTGGAATTGTTTCCTCGGGCTGATAGCTTCGCGCTCGCCTCAATGTGCTGCAGGAGGTCATTCACTTGCTCGGCAAGCTCGTCGCGCTCCCTCTTGAGACGCTCGACTTGCTCGCGCCAAGCAGCAGCGTCACGAAGCAAGCGCTCGTTCAGCTCCCGTAAAAGCTTGGCATCAAACTCATTACCTGCTCCATCACCCGTGGCTGCGTCTCGCGAGCACTTCGGTTTGCTGAGTCGCTCAAGGCGTTGCTCGAGTTCCTGAACGCGTTTGCTCCAAGCTCGCTCCAACTCTGTCGCCTTTGCCTCGTACCACAGCCGCTGCGACTCCAGCTGCGAAAGCAGAAGCATTTCATACTCCTGTGAAAGTGAGTCAACTTTGCTAGCAATCGTCGCAGCAAAAAGCTGCGTGCGTTCCTCGTCTATCTCCGGAGCGCTTCGCTGGGATGAGCTTGCCGGTGCATTCGCACCTCCATCGCTGTGATAAGGAACACCGCTCGCTGCGACAGCGCGGCTGCCGGTCGACGCACGCATCTCGAGCACTGCATGCTTCCCATCGACTTCGTTCAGCAGCACGCGGTGAACGTACGAGTCGCTACCATAGTCCCAGACGCGCCCACTTTGCAGTTCCATGGCGAAGACATGGTTCGTGTCTCGAAAATGCGCAAGCGCATGGTGTTGCACATAGCGCCCGCATCCCACATGCCCACAAACGAGACAGATCCAGAGCTGCGTCTGAGCGTTACAGACCTGACAAGAGGTTTTTTGTGGGTTCAGCGTCTCCGACACGAAGCGGCACACGGGGCACGATGGATCGCCCCAACGTGCCAGACAGGCCGTGTGCAGGGCGTGATTGCAGAGGCCCACCAGTATAGACTCGAGATCGAGCCGATCAAGACACACTGGGCAGGTAGGCCACTCTTCCAGATGTCCGATATCCGCGTCACTCGACGTTGACTCGTCATATTCCACGATTTCGTCCCCGTCCTGCTCGCTAGGAAGCGCCAACGAGGCGACCAAACGGGAACTCTGTTTTGATGTGCAGCGATAGACCACGCGCTCCACAGGGAGCACCCGACATCGCTCGGGAGCGAGAGCCTCTGAAAACGCTCGCCCATCGTACTCCATTCGAAAGAGGACAGCATCGTCTGGGCTCAGGAAGCGCAGCAAAACCGCGTACGAATTCGAGTAGGACAAGTCCCAAACAATTCGCATTCGGCGAATTCTACTCCTGAATGGTGCTACAAACTGGGCCAGATCGGCAGTGCTCAAATAACCGGGAACTCCAAGCATACAGAGCAATGTCGTTTGATCGAAAATCATGGAAGCTTTTGCATGCCGTCGGGCAAAGTCCGAGCAAGTTAGCGAGCTAGGAGACGATTTCCAGTGAGCAGCCGGCACCTCTCCAGTGGCATGTGAACCCTTCACCGAGTCGCTGGATGCCTCCGCCAGCGTCTTGGGTGTACCCACTTCGACTTCGGCTCTCTTCGTTTGGTCCTCGTCTTCGTTCAAAGTGGATTGTTTATGCTCCAGTATGGAGCGCGCAATGTGGTCCCCCAGGCTCGATTCCGTGGGTTTACGCACAGCCGCTGTGGTGCTCGCCGCGGGAGCACTGCTCTCCAGCTGGGGCTCTTGAACACGACGAGCGCTCTGCCGGTCTGCAAGCAAATGAATGCGTCCAGTAACGGTGTCCAGTGGAATCTCTGGGTTTCCCGCCCTGAAATCGAGCCATTTCGGGCAGTCCTCCGGTTCCCGGCGCGCATACCCTTTTGGCTTGCGAAAGTCATTCGCTCGGGCCGGCGGGTCAACTGACTCCGTACCTGTTGCAGGCTGCTTTCGCCAGGCCTCACACACTTCTCCGCGTTCACTAGCAGCGCCAACCGCTGGGAGCGCGGTCGATGATTCAGGGCTAAGGTCGCTTACCGGTGCTTCAGGCGCCGCTTCGCTGGGGCCCTTTGTCAAACGAGTATTCGCCCAGCGCGGTGCAGACTCGTTTTGTACGCCTGTTGAGGACTCGTCCGCTTCGCTGCTCTGGTGCGGGTGCATGCACTGTGCCTGTTGAAGTAGGGAGCGCCCCTTTCCATACACAACCTCTACAACAAGCAGCAGCATAGAGCATCAGGTCCACAGCCGCCCATTCGTGATCGAGTTGGCAGCAGAGCCCCGGTACTCATACTACCAGTGTACATTTCTCTCGGCACACGGGATGCGCGCTTCACGTCACAAGCCGAAGAAAGGCGCTCTCAAAGCGAGCTCGGGTGCCATTCCACAAGATGTTTCCTCAGTTTCCTATTGTCTGGAGGTTGGCTATCAATGCTTGGCATATTTATGGCTTGCTGGCGAGCATCTCGCTGACGTGCCTGATTGTCTCTTATTTTGGCCCGTTGCTGTTCATGAGCTGGGCCCCACGGTGCAACCTGTGCCGACGCTACTTCGCGGACCTCGAGTCAGCGCGTGCTTCTGGATCAGAGTCGGTAGCCGAGGCAGTCGATCGTACGATCGGACGACGTTCCTCGCAACCTGCGAGCACCCAGGAGTCCAGGAGGAAGCGAGCGAACTCAGTAAAGAGGGGTGGCGCGGGCACCGCTGCAGCCGAAGAGCCGCGGAACCCCGTCGACGTAGCAAAAGAGCCCTGGGCGCTTGTGACAGGGGCTTCTTCTGGAATAGGGTTATGCATTGTTCGAGAGTTGGCTAGGCAGGGCATCAACGTGGTTCTGGTTGCTCGAAACGATGCGCTTTTACCAAAAGCCGTGGAGCAGCTGCACACTGAGTTTCCGGAGCGAAGTTTCCGCGTAGTGGCGACGGATCTCTCGGACGCTACCCCAGCGAACAACACACTGGAGAAAGAAGTAGGTGTGATACCCGGCTACCTCTCGGATGTGAAGGAAGCTACAGCTGATCTCTTTGCTGCAGACACATTGCGTTTGGTGTTTTCCAATGCTGGTTACCTTCTAATGTCGTTCTATTGGCAGCGAGGCCTCGCGGAGCAGATGCGCAACTGGGAGTGCAACGTCACGGCGGCGTTGCGGCTGACGCATTATGTGCTGGAACGTTGGGCCCAAAACCAGCATCGTTTCGGTGACTTGGAACGTACCGGTGCGACGTCGCGAACCTCTCGAAGACGACTGCTTGTTTTCACGAGCTCTTCGAGTTTCTTTCTGCCAACGCCATTCGCGACCTTGTATGGCGCCGAGAAAGCGGCGTTGACCTCGTTTGCACAGTCGCTGGCGGTGGAGGTGCGTGACCTTGGTGTCGATGTGTTAGTCGTCCATCCAAGCTATACGCGGACAAATCTCTATGCAGGCCAGCCAAAGCTGGCCATTCTGCGTTTCCTGGATCGGTTTACAGGTGCCAGCCCTGAGGGTGTTGCTGAAAGCATCATGCGCTCCATAGGTCGTGGCTTCCTCATCCGCGATATCGGTTTATATTCTAGCCTTACGCGGTGGCTGAATCACATCATTGACATTGGCCTGCTGAGCAGTATCCTGGTGCAACTGCGGCATCTCGTACCAGAATACCGGGCATTCAAGGCGGCATCGGAAGCACCAAGACAGCGCGCCTGTTAGGCTGTATTCGAAACGCTACGGTGTGCTCCATGCTCGGCGAAGACGGGTCGTCTGTGGACGGGTATACAACGATGCTCTCAGTGAACGAGATCGTTTCGCCCCTCAAAAGTCGCCGTCGGGGGATGCTGTTCATCACGAGCCCCACACTGTCGCATAGTCGACCTGTGCGATCTCATTCGTGGATTGTTCTGAGTTAAACCCCGTTCTATTTACGATCGATCCTTACCTGCAAGAAACTGGAGACACCCAAATCGAGTCGTGGCGCACTCGGTGCCTGCAGCATTTTTTCACAAATGACACGAACATTCCTACCAGGTTCGACTTCTAGAGAACTTGGATTCATCGCTAAATCTAGTCACCGTGAGCGAGCGCCCTGGACTCTTCAACGCATCGAGCACATTCACGCTGTCGGCTGACGCAAATTCTCGAGTCCCTGCACAACCTTGGCTGATTCCACGATGTCGCCGACTTTGACATCCCGCAAGAAAAAGGCGCCTTCGGTCGTGTACCCAAAGACAGCGAAACGCCCGTCGAGCAGGTTTCGCCCCGCGGGAGTAAGATCTGGCTCGAACAGGAACCAGAAAAACTGGCTCGAGCCACTATTCGGCTCGAATTCGTTACGTGCAAAGCACAGGCTTCCAAAGGCCGTTAGTGGAAGCACCGTGGCCTGACCGCCTCTTCCGTCGTCCTCGAGCGTTGTGCCGTAAAGAGGCATCGGATCTCCTTTCGCGAAAATTTCTAAAGGAATCGTTCGCTCCTGGTTTGTTTTGGAGTCGATAAAGCCGTGGATCTTGCCTTCTGGTTCGGGATCTCCGGTCTGAATTACGAAACCGTCGGATCGAATGATACGTAGACCATTGTAGAAGCCTCGGGAGACGAGATCCACAAAGTTACCACCAGTCACCGGAGCGGAATACCCATCAACAACCATTACGAGCCGTGCCCTGTCATAGAGATTGCCATCGATATCAAACTGCTTGGGCGAGCCCTCCTCGCCGCTCTTGCGTAGGACAAACTCGACGGTTGCCCGCCCCAGAAGCTGTGGGAGATGGCTGTATTCCTCCGGGACCTGGAAAGGAAAGCCTTTAACAGAGAGCTCTTCTAGCGTTCCAACCTGGCGCAGAGCGTCCTTCGCCATACTTTCGAAATTTTCAGCGTCTTTTGCATCCGCAGAAGCCTGCAAACTTCCGAGCATTGACTGCAGCGTACTGAGAGCCCGCTGCGCCTCTGCGGTTTTCGCTTCACTCACGTCCGCAAGCAAGTCATTTGCGTTCCTACTAGTCATTTGTGAGGCCTTGCGGACATGACTAGAAATTTGGGACCACTTTTTCTGCCGAAGCTCCCGCAGCGTCGCCTCGAGCTCCGTCTGGAGCTGCCGCAAGTGCTCGTTGTCAATGGGAAGCGCCCAACGCAACAGCGACTCCGGGTCTTTGTTGACCACTCCTGAAGCGCCGGACAAGGTCCTATTTGCCGCAGCGGCCTCATCTACTACATGCCGCTCAGTCAAGGCAGCTACCCCAAGCTGCGACAGAGCTGCTGCAGTGAGGGCTGCGGCGGAGTGCTTCAGCAACTCCCGGCGGGAGACGGAGAACTCCCCGTCTCCAGAACCGTGGTGCAGACGCAGCAGCGGCTTTCGCGAACGGCACCGCGCACGAAACTTGCGCTCTAGCCGTTGCAGAGAGTGAACAGGTGCCAACTGAGACCACATAGCTCGACAGCCTAAAAGAAAAACCGACTCCTCGTTCCGGTGCTCAAAAGCGTAGCGCCTCAATGCCGTGATCATCGTTACAGCCCCTGGCAGGCGTCGTCGATGCAGCGTCCTGGTGTGGGCCTGCCTGTGTTCTCCCTGAACGGCGAAGTCGGATCCTTCAGATTCGCATTTCTACCAGGGAAAATGATCACTCCATGCCTGAGAGATTCTCATAGTCCTTAGAGGTGAGCCTCGGATACGAGAAGATCATACTCTAGGCGCAATGGAATCAAGCAGGACAATTTTTCGATGTATACGGTCTAGAGCTCTGCCGACTATCCGAAATGCACAGCCGTCGACTCGAGCGCGATGCGTCGCTGCTCCAGCGATTTCTCAGTTCTCGAAAGCCGACAGAGCGTGTGCTGCAATTCGTAGCACACCTAGAAGCTTTCCTTGGCACGGCCGGATGCGCTATAGACGTTTCTTTCCACGGATACGACCCGTCACGTCGCCATGTTCAATAAAAACTGGGGGGTCAGGCATGCGCCCGCGAAACTCAGCTCAGCTGGGGCTGGATCCAATAAGCTCCGCGCATGTCGTCCTCAGCACTGCATATCGTCTGATATAGATGGCAGCGTTGAAGTCTCGGTCCACGCACTCTTTGTGCGCATTGCCTTGGTTGAATAAACCACCGCGAAGATTGCAAGAACTCGTGCACTCTGTGCCACTAAAGTCTTGTCACCGCCCAGTAGGGTAAATATGTTTTCCCGTCTATCTTCTCTCGTCTGTGCTACTTGCCTCCCTTCGCTCGATGGTCGGCGTGAAGAGTAGTTTTTCGTTTTCTTCGAACCCGGCGACACCGGTCCTCCAGGATCCTCGACTTTCATGTTCATAACTTGCCTTTGGAATTTTCATTTTTTTGAACATGAACGCACTTCTTTATGCCCCTAGGTAGGGACCTCCCCTGAGGCAGATGGACATACGCAAGAAGACGCAATGTGCACCGATGTGTCACCGCGTGCTGAATTCTTCTGTGATTCACACACTGGAGACGTCATTACCTTTCATCGAAGAAACCAGTCCTTCGGTGGGGATGAATCAGAGACAGTATCGCGAAATGAAAAGCAGCACTACTCCACCATACCATTGGCAAAAGCTAGAACACAAGGGGAAAGATGAAATACTGCGTTGTCCACTAGCTCCAAGTTGCAAGAAGTTAGGAAAAAGACTGGAATGATCCGATGAAGTGGATACTTCTGTTGTATGAGCCTTCTCTACGATAGAAACTGCGGCTGTGAAATCAGTCCACTACGGCTAACACAGACGGTATCCTCGTTCTCCTAGAGCTCGATCGTAAGCATAACGGGATCCCTGCTCTGCGAATTCCCCTTTTCGATAGGACTGTCTCGCCAGAGGCAAGTCTCATGAACTAAAAAAACAGACCGACGTCCCTGTGCTACATACCGATAGGAGCGTTCTAGGAACGCTGTCGTTGCAATTTCGATGGAAGCTGGCCGTGCGTGAACTAGTACTCTTTTTCGGGACTGGATCCTGGTGTTTCCAGGACCACACGAACAAGCTTTTGAGAGACAGGGACGCCCGCGATTGCTGCGATCGTCGCTTTAGCTTGCCGTAATGTGATCAATGAGTCGTTCTGTACTGTTGCCCGCAAACGCGCTTTAAGAATCTCGGTTTTCGATACGGAGAACATCCACTTGTTTTTCTTAGTATCACTCAACAATCTGAGTACTGTGTTCTGAGTGACCTGAAGAAGGAATGTCGTCCTCGTTCCACTTTTCAGTACAGCATATATCCTACACGAAATTTATCTTCGATACGTAGACTACATTGCACCTTAGTTTCGATCTTCTGCTGTACACGGCAGTGTGGATGAAGCGTAATTGCATTGTTACAGTTTCAGTAGCGTATCGCAACGCATAAATCGCCATGTAGGCTCCCAGAATCATAGTGAGTCCCGACAGATTGCTGAAAGAGCAGAAACTAACGGCTAACTAGCAACTCGATAACAGTTTCGCATGACCTTGATAGTAAGCGTTGAAATGGGGAAAGTTTCCGTATGTTCGAAAGTTTACTTTCGAGGCGGAAGGTCCCGCGAGCCGGACGAGTGTCTGGGGCTAGCTAGTGCTTCATGCTTCCTCCAGTGGCAGGTGCTGTGGCGAGACCTGTGCAACTCGTTCGCAACGCAATTCATTCTGGAACGAGGAGTGCGTACGCTGCGTCTGAGCGTCGCCCTGGTCGCAGTGGACTCCTAGTATATCGCTTCGCGCTGTCGCAGGCTCCCAGAATGATTATGTGCTCCGACCCCGTATCGGATGAATCACGCCTCGAGCCGACGCCCTCAGTGGTATGCCAAAGCCGTTCTGTCTCCGTGCAGGATCTGCTTCAGTGGTATAAGCGCGTTACGGCGTGTCTTCACGGCAGGCACTTGGTACACGATAGAATATACGAAACGACCAGCATATCCGAGAGGAAGTATAAGTAATGACACATGAAGGTAGGTGCTTCATAGTAGACGCTTTCCCGAAGGCGAATATCCATTCCGAATTCTGGGATCCTTGGTCAATCTAAACGGTTTGTCATCTGAAAAGAAAATCTGAAAAAAAAATCGATCGCCCCGTGAGGCAATCCGCACGCCGGGCCCGCCATGAACAGGTGCAATCGTTCAACGCTTTGACTAAAATTTTTTGTTCACCCTGGCGTTTGGAGGCACCAAACAGGATGAAGGCCGCTTTCCTCAGTTCCTTCACGTTGGAGCCACTACTGCACACTGGTTGTGACCGAAAGGAACTGCATAGTACCCAGAATAGATTGGCGTTACCTGCTTTGTACGGTAAGCGGAGTCCGGGACGCCTCGCGCGTAGGACTCTGCACAGCGTGCTCGATGCGGACGTGAAAGCGCAGCGCTCTGGCCCGAGAAAGCCCAATAATGGAGACACTTCTGACTTGGAGCAACCACAGTCTGCTTCTGCATTGTTTGTTTCCGAGATTGTGAAGATCGCTGGTCCAGACAGAGGCATTTTTGCGCTTAACGAGTTCGAACGCGACGCCATCGCATCGCAGCTGGCCCGGCTCGAGAAGAAGAATCCCACCAAGGCCCCGCTGTGCGAATTGGAGTCGAAGCTCTTGGGCACATGGCGCCTTGTGTATACTGACCGAATGATTCTGGGTCGGAGAAGGGCGCTTCTGTACCTAACGTCGAGCGCGAAGCCAGGCCTGGTGCACCTCGGAGAGGTGACGCAGCAAATACACGCTCCGGAAAAAGTACCTGCGCAGTTCCATGGAGCGCACGTAAGTGAAACTGGTAGAGCAGAGAACCGTGTAGAATTTCGGGTATTCGGGGGTATTGACGGTGTCTACACCGTACAGGCTTTCTACGGGGCAGACGTGTCGAACTCGGCGCGGGTTTGGATCCAGGGCATCTCGTCTTCGTTGCAGCCAGCAAATTTCGTGTCCATAATGAATGAGCAGCGCCAGCAGGTGCTGAAAGAGCTCTTCGATCCCACCGGATATTTAGATGTTACTTTTCTGGACGACGTCTACCGAGTTACTCGCGATGAGAAGGGTTTCGTGTATTTGTGGGAACGAATATCGACAGCCTAGTCCCTTTTCTTGATTTCGCGTGTCACTGCAGAGGCGTGGGCAGAACGATTTCGTTCCTACTGGGATAACTCGGAGACACAAACACAGCGCGAAAGTGATCCGCAGCTCCGGTTGCCGAACGGGACTTGCCTGCTCAACGCGCCATTCAGGCAAGAAGACCCCTGAGCCATGCGCTGCTGCTTGCTCATCCAGAGACTTTTGCCGTTTGCACCCGGCCCGCACAGGCACAGACGGAAGCTCAGGGAGCCGCGATATGGCAACGATACGTTGACGGAGGTTTGGGAGAGAATCGTGTTGTCGTTTCGCACACCAACGCCGAACGTTGCGGAAACGCGGTTCCGCATTGATGCATGAAGCTGCCTCGACGAGAACCCCGCTGCTGGTAAACTACCCTGGATTCGTTTAGCTGGATAGTGGTCGCACTTGCAGTGTTCATGGTGCATGTCTTCTAGTTTAATGCCGCTTGAGCCCACCAGTGGCGAGAGGGACGAGCAACCGTACTCGATCACTGGTTGAGACCTATATTCCGTATGCTCACTGTCAGAGAATGTGGATGGAAAAGAAGAGAATGGTACCAGTTGGCCAGAGAAACATTGTCCCGTCAATAGTGCGAAAGTGAAGAGCTAGTCTGGGCCCAGTGCACGTTCTCCTCAAGCTACCCCGTTTACAGTAAAAGCGCACCTTCTTCGGGTACTCTGGAAGAGCCGCAGACGCACTCCCGGTCATGGCAATGCGTCCGAGAGGGCTATGTACAATCATGTAATTGTCTGTTCGATCCAGCGAGAATGCTCTGAGAAACAGACTTTCTTAGGATGTGTCCGCCTCTAATGATCCACTGTTCACTTTACAACGTTTGCGCTTGGAGTAGCTTTGTATCGATCTAACAGAGATGTGTCGGGAGCGCCCGCAACGCAATCATTTGTTTCTTTGCATCCGATGGATGCCGAATTGTCTGAGACACGGCTCTGTTCCAGCTCTCATCTCGACACGGCTGTAAATTAGAGGTTTCCGTTAAACTCAGTCCAATGAATTCTGCAACACGTGTACCATTGCGGCTTTTTTGATCATCTTGGTTCTAGGTATTCAAGAGATGGAGTGTATCTTGGAGATTTGAGCAAAGCCGCAGAAAGGCTTTATGCTCTAACTGCTGGCCCCCCCAAAAACCGCCTCACTTTCAGATGTCTGTCACTCTCGGGTCAGCAGATATTTGAACCATCCTTATCGATGTCCTTATCGCAAACGAAGTTAACCCACCACAGAAATTATGAAACTCTATCAACACGAGAGTATCCGCGCCAATCCATTCGACTCCATACGTTTTCTCAGAAATGATGCGAAAGATGCCGCAGGATACGACGTCTCTGTACCTGTAATATGGCTGGTGACGGAAAGACACGGATGGAGCGACGAAAAAGTGCACTTTGTATCCCAGACCGTCACGCACTCAGCAGTACGTTGTATAATTTGTGCTCAAACCTAATTGTATAGTGCAAGAGGGACGGATGCTCATCGCACTCAGTTCGGCTCGACTTGGGAGGAATCGTAGACGTCTATTTGAGAACCCAAGGGGGCCATATATATGTTTGTAAAGAAATGACACGCGTGCATTCCAAGAAAACGTTACCGCTACAGGCGATTCAGTTGTGTAGTCACCTAGAAACGATCAAACATACGGTATCGTTCTTCACCTCGTCCTTCATCGAACACCCGAAGTGTCCTCTCCTTTCTGAATCCCTCTGTCCTGACCTTACACAAGATTGCTTGCCTTGAATCGGGAGCTGAGAATGGGCGCACAGATTCACCTCGGCATTGAGCGGCTCTTCGTACCAGTCTCTGCTCCCCGATTTGATCGAGTTGAGGTCGTCTTCTCGGTTGTCAAACGCGAAATGTTCATCTTCGCGGATCAGTAAACCTGTCCTTTGCACCCGTGGCACCGTTCCTTCACAAAATCTTCTTCCAAAAATCGCTCCTTCCCTTCATAATACCTGAGCCGCTCGGTTGCTTCTCCGCTCGTGCGTGAGAGGGCGAGCGGGCAATCTCGTTTCTGTCCATGAGCATGCTCGGGATGGATAAGTAGACCAGAAGGTCCTCTAGAAAGAATCGATTCGTACATGTATAGAAACGGCGAGCTTCAGATTCATTTTCCACCCAGTGTGTCTGAATCCCGAGGATTTGGACCTATATCGCGTACAACGTATATTTCTGTGCTGCTTACCATGTGGAGCAGAAGGTAAAGCTCTTCTTGAAACAGGTGACGAGCACGGGTGTGGGAAAACGTATCGGAGTGGAAAGATCAGTCTGAGACTCTGCCAAGGCCTATCTGCTCGAGCACATTGTGGGGGAGAATCCTGCAAAATATTAGATCCAGAACGCAATAGGGGATGATTCGCATTTCACGAGAAGAAGACCCGCTTATGCTCCTTTGCCTGAACGTATCCCTTCAAGCAATTATTCATACGAGTTCCTGACGCACCAAGGCTAGCTCTCCTCATCTGTCGAGAATTCTTCAATGAAACCTTCGTGCGATACCACAACTTGTACACGGGATCCTGGATGGAACACGGCCTGATCGTAGGATCCTCGACTTGCGGACACTTGCTTCCCAGAATACTTGGGCACGTCTCCATCGTACGTCGGATATAGCAAGATCTGCAACGCGCTTGCCAAAATGTATCAAACGACCCTAGAACACCATAATTATAACGGTTCAATGTCGAGCTCTTCATGAAGCGAACGCTGTGGACGTTGCATCCCTCGTAGCCTCACCTCATATGCCGAGGAGGTGCATCCTGATGGAATGAATTCTGGGGTGTGCCGACGGAGACAAATGACGTACTCCTTTTGGAAGATCTCGAGATTGCGTCGAGTTCGAAAGAGGTGCCAAAATGAGAGCGCTAGACGCTTCAGATCGTCTAAGCGCATTGCACTGCCCTCGGCCTCAGACCGACGGACGTTTAACGCAAAAGTTATATGAACCATGATCCCTACCCAGATTGCATGCTGCGCCATTTCGCTTTTTCCCAGAGCGCCGTTCAGAAGAAAAGCAAAACCGACGCCTTATCCGAATCTGAGTGCCCGAAGTCCCTCAAGCGCTTATTGAATATGGTCTCCAGTTGTAAGATCAAGGCATATGTTATCCAAGAGAAAATTTTTCTGCACAGTATTCTTTGGCCTCCTCAATGCGCTTCAAGTGATCCCTAAGAGAAATTTGTCGCATTCACAGAATTTCAAGAAGAGCATTAGCGGCACATGTTCATGATTCCTCGTCGACGAGGAGCAAAATGCATAGAAGCCCACACGGACGATAGAGACGCACAACATATGAAACATTGTTCACTTTGTGAACGCTAGGCCTGTGTCGAGGAAAAAGACCAATATCCAGTTGTTCAGGGTAGGCGCAGAGAAAGACTTCCAGGTGAGCGCTGATCGCTTGCTGAAAGCCACCGCCGCAGCCCAAGCAACTCTAGATCCAGAGGCTGGTGCGAAAGACTCAAACGGAAAGCAAATAAAGCTGCTGACCTCGTGCACGGGGCGGTACCGTCTTGAGCCAGACATGATGGGCAACAGGAGAGACCCCCCAAATGTGAAATTACGGCGTTCGTACACATCTCGATGCCTGAGCACCAAATCGAACAAATTTCGACGCTTGGTATGCTTCATTCAAATCGTATATGACTCGTCGAAAGGCTCGAGCGAATGATGCCTCCCAGGAGTACCTGAAACCATGCCAGAATTGCCAACGGCTTGGGTTGTAAGGATGCCAAAGGGACTCATTCGTCTACTTGTTCCATGAGTCAGAACGAGAGACGGTCGATACGTAGCGTCTTGTGGTGCTGGTAGCAGATGGGAATGGACGTGCTGGTGGGCGCAAGGGCTGCACTGCTGTTCTGTCGACGAGGGCTTTTCTCGAGAGCATGAATCGGCTCTCGTTGACCACAACCGATGAGCTCAGGACGTCATCACCGCGTGATGAGCTCGGGCGCATGACTGAACAGGCCAAGTAGAAGAGAGTTAGACAGAGCCGGACGCGCGATATAATGCACGATAAACTCACCGAACGTCGGATGGTGCCGCAGTCGATGGTGAGGTTCTTCCGACAGTGCGATTCCTCTGGCTTCCATGCATGCAACCGATTTCTGAACCGAGTCTTTAATTTTTTGATACGCATCCAGAAAAGTCTCGCATTCCCGTAGCATACAGCCGCTTTGTTTCGAGCGAACTTTCCAGGGAATCCTTTATGAGTCAGCGTTGGCATTGCGCCGAAACACTGAAGAATTCCAAGGAAGAAAATTGATCGACGATTAAGAGAATTGTATTCTCGCTGTCAGCACTGCACGGGATTAGCATGAACCGTATTCGATAAGAGCGGAAGCGCCTGATTATACATTGGAAACAGTTGTTCAGGAAAATTGGGAGACGATGATGGTGTTTCGGTGCTCGATATTGTTCATGATATTTATATATTACGCGACACGTGACAGCAGCGGGAAACATGAGGTCCGCATGGTGCCGTACAGCGCAGTCTCCGACAGGTGAACAAGGCTGCCGGCCGTCTTTGTGGTTCTCTTCTAACTATACGGGACCGCTGGTACAGTGGAATACGCTACCCCAAAAACCCGATGCACCGGTTGGAATGCGCTTCATCCCGTCGCTAGATTGGACGCTATCTTTAAATGATCTGAATTTAATGATCGTGAGACTATTTTACACGTCAATGACACCGGTTCAAAATAATCTGTACATGGGAATGTTCGCTCTCTTTGAAAGCTCCGCGGTTGACATGCAGGAGACTCGTTCTGCCGCCAGCGAGAAGCGATGACGACAAGCAGTATGCAAGCGCATTTCTTGCTCACCGATGCTGAAAACTTGCACTCCACGCTCGAAGCGATTTCTCTGCGCAGCTTGCAGAACTGCTGGCATCAAGTACCAAGTTTAAATGTTTCGCTTGGTCATGATTGCCTTTATTCGCGGGACGACGCATCATGTGGACTCGTTCGCCGACAGCTCCATCAAGGCACAGGACATGTTTTTCATCGTACAGCGATGCAAATTGGAACTCCATCACAGGCAGAATGCAGCACACATGGGCACAAACGTGACATTCGGAGTGAAGCTGCTCCATGTGGCCCACATTCTTTCTATCGATATGCTGGTGCTTGTGCTGGTGGTGACGCTGGACCCCCTTTTCGCAACCACACCACGTCTGCCTATAGCAAACGCGCCTTGACCATGAAGCCGCCAGTGCCAATTACCCGCTCACGTACAGTGTCTTGTTATCTGCGTTCGGCGAGTCCAGCGAGCATCCATCGGCTCCTTTGCGACAGCGCAGTCAACAGGCCGTAGTACATTTGGTGACCTCGGTTCTCACTTGCATTTGATACCAAAGACACCTTAACATACAGACACGGAAGATAGTAGGGGCACTTGTGCACAGAGGAATGTGGACCCTAAACGTGCATTCCTGCCAACTTCGACTCCTACTCTATCAAAATACAGTAGCTGCGTAAATCTTACAGGGAGCACTTGAGACACCAAGGGCAGTGTACCAAGGTATGCGAAGATCCTCTGTACATTTGGAGTAATAAGGGTGCAAAGGGCACTCATGTGTTCCACAAACCCAAGCTACTCGTGAAACCTAAGCAATCAAAATAAAAGAAGCAGCTACGATCTGCGAATACGTTCCATGGAATGAAACGATACGCAACCACAGAGTCCATATATTTGCACATTTACAGACGCCCCCCAGCCATTTTTGAGCAGTTCCTGCTCCGGCTTCAAGTTCTCCTTGTACATTTTGAGCCTGAGATTCTGTCCCATAAAGTTCGATCGCGTCAGCTCCTCGGGTCTCGTCTTCAGCATCGCACATTTCTCACAATGAAGGCAGCTTTGAAGTCTTGGTTCACGAACTCCTTGCATGCTTTGCCTTGGTTGAACGCACCACTGCACGGCTTCCTCGAACTCGCGCCCTCTCTTTCATTGCAGTCTCGTCATCATTCCGTCGGGCAAACGCCTTCTGTCGCCAATCGCCTCCCTGCGTCCTCTTCTTCGTCATATGCTCCTCTCCGCTTGATACTCAGCAAGAAGAGGATTTTTTCGTTTTTCCCGGCAACTGGCGACACCAGACTTCCAGGATCCCCACTTGCATACCCATGCCTATCCCTTGGATTATTCATTTCTTCAAATGAACGCACTTCGAACGCATCTCTAATAAATCGCGAACAAGCTTTTGATGACACGCTCCTGCGGTGGAACACAACTGAGGTGACAGGCCGCAAACAAACCAATCAGACGACGTTTTTGCGCGCGCCGCACCAATCACCTTGATCCCTCAAGTCAGCTGTTCACACTAAAGCGCACTATTTCATAACCCTTTACAGTCTGTGGTTACGCGGACGCAGTCCGCAGGGAAGGCATGCTTGAGGGGCAGGATCCCTACAAGCTGCTTGGCATATCAAGAAACGCGGAACAGGCGGAGTTACGCGCCGCATACCTTCGCCTCGCGTTGCGCTGGCACCCCGACAAGCACCCACCGGAAACGCAAGCGCTGGCGGAGCGAGAGTTCAAGAAGGTGACTGAAGCGTACAAGCGCTGTGAAGAGTTGCGCAAGCATTCGAGTACACGGGAACCGCACGAGGCAGCATCAAGTAGGTTTGGTTCGCGGTTTACCTGCTCACCGAACAGCAGCTATGCGGATGCCGCCACAGAGGCCTATTGGCGGGCCTTTCGTCGCGCGTCAGCGGTCCGCGACGCTGCAGGCTTTGCTGCGTTTACGGCGCCCCGGAGTGAAGCTGCAGACTCTCGCGCTGATCCATGGCGCTGGATACGCTGGCGTGCAGGACTCGAGTGGCGACGAATGCGTCGCGGTGCGCATGCTGCCACGCTGACCGGAGTGCTCGCGCTCGGTACGAGTCTTGTGCTGACAACCCGTGGGGTATCGTTGCTCTGGGAAAAGCGGAACGCTGCCCACTCATTCGATCACGCCGTGAAACGACGGGCCTCGGCGTCCCGAGACAAGCGATAGTGTCGCGGTTGCGGCTCCGTCGTGGATGGAGAGACCTCAGCGCGCGCCCGTGCACCGTCACCTCGACAAGTGGCCGCTGTATAGGCCAGTAGAATGGGCGCTCTGATCGATGTCATCTCGTACGGGATAGATCTGGCACGACCCAGGCGGTGCCGTCATCTCTGATCAGGGCGCTTGCCGGATCCTAGCCACCTGTACTGGTAGACGTTCGCAACGTCGTAACCAGAACGGGAACGAGAATCACCACGAGTAAAATAATCAAGCAATAAAACCCACAAAACATTAGACGATAATAAGTCCGCTGCCGTTTCCGAGCCGTCTGCAGCTTGCGTGTACCTCGTTTAGTCGAAACTTTGGCGGCGGCGATGTTCTTCTCGATCTCATCTAGAGTTTCGCCCTGCGATTCGACCAAGACGCTCATGTCGAGGAAAATGTTCCGCAACTCCTCCATGCCAGACTCGAGCTCACGCAGCGCTGCTGCGCGCTCTTCCATATCTCGTGCTACAATACGAATCTGCTCATAGTCGCGGTCGGTGGCCTGTAACATCTGCTGGCGCATGAGTTCGCCCGCATTACCAGACGAGCCGGCAGCTTCAAGAATTGCAGTCGCCTGTTCGTGTGTGATATCGGGATTCATGATCCGGAGCTCGCGTTCGGCCTGCTCCCGGAGCTCGCTATCGCATTCACCTTGGAGCTGCTGGAAGTCCTTCAAGGCACTGAGAAAACGGCGCGAGAGCGCGGCATGTGTTCCACCGATTATCCGAGCTTGAGCCGAGCTCGAAGCCTGTCCTCGAGTTTGCGATGCTTTTTTTTGCTCTTCGAGCTTCATCTCGTCAAGCTGGCGCTTAATATCGATGGCAAGCATTCGCGCTCGACGCATATCCGGGGGTGGCTGCATCCGAGTAGGATCCTCAAGCCGCGCCCTGTGTGCAGCACGTATCTGTTCTGTTTCCGCAACCAAGTCAGCGATTTGAGCTTTCACCATATCCACTTTTTCGTAAAAGGTGCTCAGCTGCGTGCTGCTTTCGCTAGCCTCGCCTGCCTCGGAGCTCTCAGCAGCACCAGAGGCATCGCCAGTGCGCTGCGCGCCTCTGCGACTCGAACCCGGGATGCCGCGCAAAAAGCGATGCTGGAGTCTGGCAAGACCGTTCTCCATACGATCGAACACGGTGTCGCTCTTGCTTGCGTCGCCAACAGCTCCAGGCTCCCCTAGCGAGCGGCCTGTTCCAGTGCGCACGGCGGTGCGAGTCGCACCGGACGTGCTAGGCCCTGCCTCCAGGTCGCTTCGCATGTCACCAGCGCTTTCTTGGACCCCGGAACCATTGTCAGGACTGGACTGCCCCTTGCGCAGCTCATCAAGTCTATCCATGCTTCAGTTTCCACGCCGTGGGAGACAGCCAAGTATAGGTATGATGAAGGAGCGTAACTACTTGTAGGAGGAAAAATCAAATTTAAGTCACGTGACATACGGGCGTTCAGGCCGCCCGAGCCCGCGATCAGGCATGGCCTGTCATCGGGGGCGCGCGCCATCATCCACAGCCCCCGAACTGACGATCCTCGGGTGAGGCAGTAGCGGGGACAAGGTGCTAACACGGCTATCATTCTTGATGCCTTTTCGTGTTTCAGGAAACGGTTACCGAAGGTTAGCGTTCTGCTCTGTATAGCGAAATGTGGTGTACCTGGACAGGCGCATCCTATTTTGTTTTTTGTACGATTTTCTTGCAGGGATTCCTCGAAAGGAAGATATTCTATTGCGAATGGAAATAGTGCGGAGAGAGCGTATGCAGTTGCGGATAGCCGGTGACAAAACGATCTTCATCGTCCAAAATAGGTCAATCTAGGGTAACAGGATGCATGAGACACCTTTCTTCGAGTGTTTATACGAAAAGACTTGCGCCGGGAAAGAGCTCCTCGACTTTTATGTATGTACACGAGTGTCTCCCCATACATCCCCTGCGGTCCGCACGTGCCCTAGGGCATACTACGAATAAATCCGGAGAGTGGAACGTTTCTATAATAACAGAGCGTCGCGCTTTGAACGACAATTAATATTGATTTCATATTGACGCGTCAACGCTTATCACGAGCGGCACGAGTTTTCGTCTCAGTTGATGAGACTGTATTCGGGAGAAATTGTAGACATGTACATGGGTACTCAACGAAGATCAGACGAGCGTTCGTAGAGAAGAGACAAGCGAGCATTCCGAAAACTTCAGCAGAAGCGGGCGAATCAGTTGCCTGTGCTCCTACGAATCATGAAACAGACGGGATCGCTCAACACCGTCTCCGTCGTAGAGGGTCTCCTTGTGTCTCGCTCCTTCCCAAATTTTTTGTCGATGCCCTGACATACCTATGGACGGTCGTTCATGTCCGTGGCACCAATCTTAGTCGAGAAAATGTTCTTGTACAAGTTTTTCCTGCGTTCAATATCCAAAAACAGATGTGCTGCTTCCTTGCTAATGCGAGGGAGCGAACGAAAACGTGTTCGTCGGTACATGGGTATCCTCGAAAAGGGATCGTAACGGAAATATAATTCAGGAACAGTGAACACGTGCATAGAGGAGATGAGCCTCCAACGCGCCCTCGACACACTGTCTCCGGCTCCGAGACGGAAAACGGATACAGAGGGTAGCAGCCATATTTATGCCAGCCCGCCAGGTGAACGGGACGGAGAGGAAACGACTTGAAAAAGAAGAGAAAATCGTTCCGATTTACGGACGATGAAGTACACCCAGGGAAAAGTAACGGAGCCGAAACATCAGTCCAATGCTGTTGTCAGGCATTCCGTAGTAAAACACGTCAGGGTGATAATCTTCGAACTTTGAGCTGTACGACGCCATGAGGGACGGTATATCTTCCTACTCGAGAGATTCTCGCCGGGCATCCCTTGCCTTGACGCACCTTTTCAAGCAACCAGTCGCAATAATTTCTGGTCAATGATCTACCAGCTGTCTGCATTTCTATTCGATTTTGGACCAAAACTTCACGTGACATCTTATGCTCGGTACACACTATGCAACGCGACCTGATTATTTCAGGGTTCGATATCCTTAGGTGTCGGACATGATCAGCACTAGGAAGCGTACCAGTAAGCGAAACTGTGTTGTCTGGAACCATCTCGACGCTCTGAGCATCTCATCGAGCAGAGGCTGATGCGTTGTACGCTTCATTCAGAGAGTCCGTGTGCGTCCAAACAGCTCATGCGGATGATCTCTGATAGGCTGCCATGACACTGGGCGAGAGATGTCAACGGTCTCGTTCCTACATAGGCAAGAAGCGAGCACTCATAACCTTCGATGCGTCGGAATGGAAGTAACCGACAAATGACGTCATTTAATGGGACCCAGTGGATGCAGACTTGCTGCAGCGAGCATGGGCTCCACTTCAGCTCGTTCGACGAGGGCACCCAACGAGTCTAGACATCAATGGTGTACGATTCCCATCGATGGATTCAATGCGACATTCATGTATCTCCAGCCTGGTTATATGATGAAACCGGTTGAGATGACGTCCGTGAAACGGAGACGGTTTGGCGAAAAAGATTATCGTCAGCAGAGCGAAGGTCTGATGGTGACGCGATCGAAAGTGAAAGGCGTGGTGTTTTGTGCATCGATCAGCAACAGTGAATGCAAACATGTTCTGCGTCCAGAGTTCAACGTCTCGATCAACAGCCGAAAATATTCGTGCTTCTGGAGCTTCCAGCGGCTTTGTGTGTGGAGCGAGGATTCGAGGAAATCCTTGAATACTCAGTGAGAACGGTGTGCTAAACCCGTAAAAACTTACGGCGAAAAAAGCAGTTGTCAGGAGAGAGAGAACTTGATTCTTGCTCGGAGCAGGGCATTCGCTATGGTGCAGATCAGCGATCTCGCAATGCACAAGTGCTGTCTTTCTCAAGACTGGGATCGATTTCCCTGGACGATTGGTAAATGAGATTCCTGCTCCATTTTTCGATGTTACTGGATATATCAAGGGTGCGCCATAAGATAAGCGGTGACATGGAGTAGTCATACGACTGGGATACAAAACTGCTCCAGTTTGGTTGTTCTCGGTACGTTTCCATGTAATGCCTTCACTGGGTGCGCTGGCTCAGGGATTGCAGGCGGGATTTGAAACGTCAAGCTGGACGTTCTCCAGGGCAGCGAGCTTTCAGCGGTTACCAGCTCCCTTTACAAGTCGTTCCGCACTTCCAGGAGCTTCCTTATGGCTTGCTGACACAAGCTCGATTATTGGAAGCAAGCAACCGCTGCCGTTCCAGATTGTGTTCGTGCGTTAGTCACGATGGTATTCAATGGCAGAAGCATCCGAAGCAACGCGTGGCTCGGAGAGAGCGCTTCACCAGAGCCAAAGTCGTTAGCCGCTCTGCGCTGCTGCCAAGCAAGGGGCTTCGTGGCTGGAAGCCCATTCTAGGCACGTACGCCTTGGCCTGCTATGCGAACTGGTTCGCGAACGGTCTGGAATGCCTCCGAAATGGGCCTGCTAAACTGAAATGGGGAAGCACTGCATTGCGCGACGAGGCTAAAGAATTCGATGTGACGTAAGTACTAATCATTATGCGTATTTCCAGCCATGCGAGTCGCGGTTCATTGACTCGAACCACGAAATGCACCGGGCGCAAACCGCAGTGCCGGAGCTGGCGCTGGCAACTCGTTTCTGGACACTGTGCGCGTCGCGAGATGTCGATATGACTCTGATGTAAACATTATTACCCCGAATCCGCGGATATAAGCATCTCCACGAGTTGCCTATGTCGTACGCACGGCAAATATAAGCTCGACGCAGCATCGAGTTCCTCGTTGCTCGATATTTCGCCACATTGCGTCCCGAGTTTCACGCCCTGTGCTGAAGCGTGTCTCAAAATCGACAATTCGCGAGCTTCTGAGCTGGACACCTTCTTTGGGTGCTCTCCCGCATCCGCAAGCTACCTGCAATGGAGCAGTCTCGAGCTGCGGACACGGATACGAATGCACGAAGCGCATACGATGATGCTTCTCATCTTTACAGCGACGAAATAGCTCTTCTGCAGAAAACGTGACAGCAATCGCTACCTCTTGACGCCAGCTCCTTCTGCCTACAGCGCATACAGCCTTGCTATGCTGCAATTGCCCTACGCTGTTAGGCAGACCATTCCTGTAATGGATGTATGAAACGAAACATGGTACATATCATCACAGCTGGGATACGTACCTAAATGTTCCGCTATTGAAAGCGCTTCTGGGACGCGTAATGGACCGAAGCATCCGATGCTGTGGAGGGGCCATCGTCCAGGTTTCGCTGACTTCTCTGCAGGTGTCGAAGATCTCGCCTCAAACTTGACGATAGGCTCGATTCATTGCCTAAGAAACCTCTAAAGATGCTCGAGTTCTCCGTAGAATTCGACGATCGCGATGCGCTGTGTTGTTCCTCAGTGGGCGCTGGACGTCGCGGATTGCCGATGCCTTCCAGGCCACTGCCTTTTGGTAGGTGTCGAATGCCCGCCAGCAGACTTTGCTGTTCATCGTCGTTGTCGTCGCGGACGGCACCAGTGTACGAGCCGTTATCGGTGCGTCTCGTCATCTGAATGGATTCCGTATGCGAGGTCAGCTCTTGATGACCTGTATTCGGACCCTCCAGTAGATTGGCTGCCCGTGAGATCCATGCGCTCAACTTCATCGTCGCTGTGCGCGCAAGTTCCGTACCCTGCTCCGTCAGCTCGCTTAGCGTAGAGCCGGCAGTCTTTAGAGCTTGCTCCACGCTCAAAGCATCATGGTCGACGCTACCATGGGGAACGGAACGCATTGAGCGACCACCAGAGAGGCTCACTGGGCGGCTGGAGACGCTCTCGATCCGGCCCGATTGTGCAAGGAGTGGTGTTTGTCGTGGAAACCCCCCCGGAAAAGCACCGCTTGATACACTTGCAGGTGCGGCTGGCCCGCCACTATCGGAGCACCCACTGAGCGCTGGCATACGAGGTACGCGCCCAGGTTCAGGGTCTTGCCAGGGCTCGCCTCGTGCTAGTGCTCGAATACGTTGCGCGTAAATTGCTGCAGCTGGAGTCGCATACTTGGCGGGAATGTCAGCAGAGACGCTGGGCGTGATGCCGGCGAAGCGCCGCATGAAGTCTATGAACGCAGCGTTCCCGCCGACTTGCATTTGACGCAGCTCCAGAGGTTTCCAGCGATCCATACTCACAGAGCGTACAAACGAAACATGCACGCCGAGACCGCGATGTCGACCTGAACATTCAAGACAAATGAACGTGCCGTACGTTACTGTAGCCCACTGCGGATGATACGCGCCGCAGTCTGCACAGCGTTTATTGTCTGGAAGACGCTGCAGCTCCGCGAGGACTTTTGCCGCGTCGAGCTCCTCGGGCTGATCATCAGGAGCCATTCCTCAGATTGAGCAGTACGCGAGCTCCCCAAGCAGGTCCACTGCTCTGGTAAGCAGCTTTGGCCCGTGCTTAAACGCGAAACGCGCGGGGCACGCTATCCCAACGGAGACCGTGAACCTCCAGCGCGGGGATCCTGCTAGCCGAGCACCAACCAGCTTCAGGTGGTTGACTCAGCGCTCCTGACGGCTCCCGTGCGTACCACCGGAAGCTACCTGCCGCAGACGGATCAAAACTGCACACTAGATACCCCGGACGTACCGTTTATCGCGGTTTGCGGGTCTGGCACTTCGACCTGGCAACGGAACGGGACGTAACGGCGCGCTGCGAGGCATGGCACTCGGGCGGCGCCTCTGGTGAATGTTCCGATCATACGGGGATGCAGGATCATTTACTCCAGCCAGGTAACCCCAATTGTACATCGAATATTGGCATCAGAAAAAGCATCTATCATGCCACACCAGATCTCCAGTCTCTGTCTGCCACGAAGCAGACGTCGTTTTGAAAATAATGCCATGTTCATCCGATCCTCTGGCTACTGAGCCTGTCGTGAGCGCCGAGGCCCGCGCCTGCATAGCACCGCTGCGAACGCTGCACGGATACGGATGGGTCCTGTTGTAATCACCACCAAGGCGTCGAGCTGAGCGAAAATCTCGATGATCTAGGTTCGATAAACTGGATATCGAGGCTCTCTGAGTTCACGACTGCGATCGGTGTTCAAGTTGCGTAACTACCACCCCATTTCAAACGATGTCGCAGTTCCTCAACCGACAGCAGAGCACCTGTTTCGGGAGCATGGATCGTTCGAAAACAGTTTTCCCAGGTGCCGAGCGTACCCTGTGCAACTCCTCCGCCGATGGAAGCGCTATGCCGGATGCCGTACAGAAAACAGAGGGGTTCTGGGGCGCGCTCCCAGTGCTGGCTCCAGGGAATGTTGTGGAGGGCGACGTCGGCGCCCACGACACTGTGGTCGTACTTGTTCCTGCGTGGGTGCGGGTTTCGCGCATGCCACAGGTACAGCGAAGCCATCGACGTATCCTGGTGGCGCTCTTTGTAAGCGTGTCGCCGCAAGCGACTTGGTGCTCTCAATGCTTGGACACCGGGCAGTGCTCAGGGCTGTTGACAAGCGGTTGTCGTATTGAGACGTGTCGCTTTCAGAGGAAGAAACTGCGGGCTCCACTGGCCACTGAAGGGCGGCGCGCAGTGACCGTCCGTGCAACCAGCTCTCGAGCGCAAACTTATTGGAGACACCTGCCTGGAACTGCGTACCTGTTTGGACTGCGGAACGTTCTGCGGAACTGGTTTCAACTGACGCAAGCCCGAAAGCGGCGTTGGCAACCGCTTGTGGGCCCAGGCGGTCGCACTTCATCTGGCCAGAGCAAACCACGAACTCTATTGATGGCTTCGGATGAACATCGCACGACTTTCGGGCACACTGAGGCCCTATCCGGGCTGCCCACCGAGGTATTCGCTATCGAGGTTGGCTTCGGCGTGGACTTGCACGGACAAGACGCTCAGGTAGCGGCTGAACGGGCCTGCAACGATGCCTTGCACCGCAATTCGTACCCCGGACTACGGAAGTTTCTGCCGCCACCGGGGGACCTCCAACAAATGCGAGTACATGTTCTACTAGGCTTGCCGCCAGAGTTCCACAATCGCGTCGACAAGCACGCTCTCCGGCGACTCTTTCCATATGGGCAAGTTGAGGTGGAAATCGTACCTGGCGGCTTGGCGGCGAGCTCCGGCATTTATCTCGGGGAGCACGGTGATAGGCCGGGCGATGATCGGCTTGTTATCGCAAATGCTGTGATAACGGTCGGATACAATCCGTGATGAACGCAGCAGCCGCCTGCTCACTGGAATCCATCAGAACGAGAAGCACAGCCACACGTACACGGATACAGTCAGGAAACAAATAGTTGAATGCTGTAGTGTGCTCTGCTTAGTGCCTCGTCACGAGGGGAAAGCGGTTCCTGTTCGCATCGGAAACCAAGTCCAGCGCACGTACTATCGCAATATGGAGGTCGCTGTATGCCCGCTCCGAAGGCGGTTTGCTCGTGTGATCGACGAGAGCTCCATCACTCTTGGTTTGTGTGTTCATATGATGGACGGGAGCGTCGACGGTGACCGCTTGATCCAGAACATGCAGTATCGGGGACTTGAAGATAATCCGCTTGCATATGGTTGCACGACAGGCATACCGGCTCAATGGAGACTGCCGCAAACGCACAGCACATGGTTCACATGCCCGTGCGGAACAATGCTGGCAGAGCGATTAGCCTGTGAACTGCGGCACGAGAGCGGAACACATGAGTCCTATGGAGACTGTATGCTCGGAAAAGACACGCGTTCCCCAGGGAACTGCTGGGAAGATACTACTTACGCCCAGCGATTACCAGATGCTGCGGTGATGCAGCGATCGCGCCTTGTCACAGTGCTCGCGCTCCTGGCTCGACAACGCGAATGTAGCACAGCTGGCTGGATGCTTTGAGCACCGCCAGTCATCAGCGGATCTCGCTTCAGTTCGCAGACCAGTGCCGGCTGCTACTGACCATGCAATAACAAACAAGCATCAAAAAGCAGATCTTTCATCCTCGGGGCATTTGCGCATTTGCGATATTTGCGAAAAGCACCTAGCTCGTTTTGCTCATGCATGCCACTGGTTCCCGGCAGCGGCCGTGTGCGATACGCACTCCACAATGTGAACCGAAACGCGGCAGTGCACAAACCAGTGACTAGTCCGGGTCTTGTGCCAGATATCTCCATGCCTTGAGCTGACTCTCATCAACGCAGCCCAAAGCTGTTCCACCTCTGCAGGACGTCCATGGCTGCGACGGCGCATCCAGCGCCGTGTCAACCAAATGACGCGTGCGCGGCACCCGCAAGGGCGCTGCCTCGGTCTAGCATCACATGCACTATGGATCATCGCTCTGGATGTTGCACTACGCCGTAACGTATCTGGAAGGACCAGAAACTCACTAGCTTGTTCACCGGTATCATTGAATGATCTGGGAGATTCCGGTTCAAGGCATCGACCTTACATCATACATCCATCATCCTGCGGATGCTCGCCTGATTTGCAACGTACTCCTGATCGTATCGCATCGGTGATGCTGCGGGCGCCAGCGTCATTTCACCGTATCCAGGATCCGCGAGGGGAAGTATGGACGATGGTACGTGGAGGTAGGGCGTGGAACGATGGGTGCTTCACCGCACGCTGCTATCAAGCGTGCACTCGGGGATCCCTTGTCTGCGTCGACCCTCTGTCAAGCAGCAGAGAGATCTCGCTGTATTGCCGCCCAGCACGAGCGCGAATGCCACAGCAGGCGCTGATGCAGTGCCTAGCGGCGGATGCGGCATGTGCCCTGCATGCTGCGCCACAAACAACGCACAGCGATGGACGCATGCGTGCGCGGCAACTGACTGCATGCGTGCGCGGACACGTCGGCAAGGTGTCCGTGCGAAGGCGTCAAAAGTCGAGTGTTTGGTATTTGTGCCACAGCGCACCAGCCGGTGACTCTGAAACGAGGCGGATGGTCGTTTCAAAACGCAACGTCTTTTGCGAACTCGTGATCGGAGCTTGAGCGCGAACGACTACTGGTCTAACGTTCGCCCACAAGAGCTGCGTGTTCGATACTTGTAGTTGAGCTGTTGTGTTGGAGCGCACGCGCACTTCGGCTACCAGGCGGTCGTCGTGAGCAACTTTCGTGACAGCGTTGGGAAAGCCCCGTATGTATACGGTACGGTCACTTGAGTTCAGTTGGTAAGCGGTTCCGAGAAAGTTCCAAACAGGTCCTATCGACGCATAACCTCTCTGGAGGAGCGCGTCGCCGCACTCGACGGTGTCACGGACCAGGAGGGTCCGCTCTGCAATCGCCGAGAGAAAGAGCTCGCGGGTCCAGATAGTATCCGCTGTGCCGTACCCGCGTATGCGATACCGAGCGGCTGCCTGCCACGGGCTTGATCCTGCTTCGCCTAGCGATGTCATAGGCGCCGCCTCAACGTCTCGGGGTCGAGGCATCGGGTCCGTAAGCACGTTGATATCGAATAGCGACGAGGGCGATGCCCGAAAGATCAACAATGTGTAAGAAGGTGCGGTAATACTGCCGGCACCAGCTGGCGGTGGCTTTCCCGGCTCGCAAGCAGTGTTCGGAAAAACCTCGAACTTCCAATCAAAAGCAACATACGGGTATTCGGTGACGCTGAAGGTGACGCTGCCGTTGCGCAGGGCATATGTGTTGAAGGCAACCGCATCACCGCCGCAGTTCTCGAAGGCGACCTCTGCACCGTTATCGCTCGCACCGCGCATGCCCGTGGAGGCCAGCAGTGGTGCAGCGCGCTCCTCTCCGGCACCTGATACGAGCCTCAGGTTGCGCACTGTAAGCTTGCCGGTTCCGGGTCCTCGGTACTGCACTCGAAACGTCACAGTCCGGTTGAAGTTGCGCAACAAACTCGCGGTTTGCTGCAGGGACAGAAGACCTGTTGCAAGTGTCTCAAACGACATTCCGGCGACATATGGCTCCAGATTCTCGGTCGGGAGCATCGCGCTCTGCCAGATGCCATTCATGACACTGGGCATGGATAGTTGTTGACGCGGAACGAGCACCATTGTATTTGACTGATTTTGGAGGCGATTATTGTAGCCGAGGCCGTACAGAAGTACGGCATCGTTCATCGAGAGCATGGCCATTGTTCCCAGTTGCTGTGCATGGGCATGGTACGCGAAAGGCGATGAATACACACTCGCACAGGCGAAAAGGGACTGATTCCCGGCATCGGAGCCATCCGTCGCGGTAACGATGACTTTGTCGGGCGTTTGAGGCACGCGCGCTGTCACAATTGCACGGGTTGCGGCGCTGTTTGCGCCCACAGCAGCAGTAGCGCCTGCTCGCAAGTCGGCCCATGTTGGGTGTGCTAGCAGCGCCATGTGAAACAACGGCTGTGTTGAGCGGACAGGATGGAGGAAAACGCCAACCGAATTGCCAGCTTTGGTTGTGAGCGGCCCGCTAGTTTGAAACTGCCAGACGCGATACGCCGCGGCCTCGAGGAGCGACACTGCAGTCATGTCGCCACTCCCGGTTACGTGGCCGGCGTAGAGCTTCGCAGCGAGCGCCAGCACGCTGGCCCAGTCGCCAGCGAAAACGAGCGGCGTCCCGAGTCCGTCGTCGCCGTAACTCGGCAGTATACCGAGGGGCGACACCTGGTTCGCGAAATCCATGAACATGTTGAAGGCATTCGCAGACTTTTGTAGCCAATCGCACCTCGTTTGGTTCAGGTTGACCAGGACCCACAAACCGCTGAGAAATATCACGTTATACTGCGGAGCATTCTCGGTGGTATCGCCTTGGGCGCGTACCGCAAAGTCATCCCATACTGCCTCGATATACGCAGCATACGTGGTTGTGGCTGATCCGCCTAAAATCTGGGAAGGGATCGACGCGAGACAGAGCGCAGTGCCGGCTGCCTTGATCATCGCTTGATTCTGCGCACCGCGCAGGGTCCAGTCCGGCTTACAGACCGCACGGATCACTGCTGGGTCGAGACCAGGGTCAGACACAGTTATCCAAGAATTTTCGAGACCGTAATGGATAGCGGCCGCCAGTGGTAATGCAGCGAAGAAATCACTGGCGAGAGCTTTGGGGTTTCGAGCGAAGGCCGTACCGTATTCACGTAGCAGCTCGCGAAAGAAGGGACAGTCGGAAGCGTTGCCCCTCATCGCTAACATGGCCGCATACTCAAGGACATTATGGGCATATCCACGGCGCACTAGGCTCGCTGCAGCCTCTGATGATGCGAAACTGGTATAGAGCAATTCTAGTGCTGTTTGAAAGACAAACTGTTGTGCGGCACTGTCGTTGAAGCCAGCCGTTGCCATCAGGGATGAGTTGCACCGGTCGTATGCGTGTGCAGAAACCTCTCCGCCAAGCGCGACCGTAGCAGCATAGCAGATAAATATGTTGAAGAGAGAGAGAAACACCCAAAGGATTCGACTGTGTGGGTGCGCTCGACGAGGCCGCCAGTGGCGCATGAGCTGCGCACCGCGGTGTGCAAATGCCTCGCCCCAGCCCGCACTTGCAACTCGTGCTGATGCGAATGCCTTCTCGAATCACGAACAAAATTTATTCGGGAAAAAGTGCCACAAGAGCTGGGCCAGAGAGGCACATGCGATAGCCAGCATCGGGGCCAGCTGACCCGCACGCCATGACGCTGGACCCGTTCCAGGGCGACGTTTCGGCACACAGTGCCAACACAGCGTCGCCTGGTGCGCCCCGGTGGTACTGATGCGGAAACGCTGGCGTCGCCATAGGACAGGGGCTTTGGACTCAGAATCGGACCCGGGCTCGGGTCGATGCAAACCCCGCCCTGTCGACCGGGATCAGAGCTGGTGGGCAGGTCGCCCTGGATCGAAGGGCATTCGGAACAGATTCTGTATAAAAATGGATCTTGCGGACAGGGTGTCGGTTACGCGGCATCGGTATGCAGATCGTTCAACGATCCATCCGTTTGACGGATCGGGTGTCGCGGGAATGCCCGTAGCCAGAGAGCGGACACGAGCATCTATGCTCAGAACGTCTGCTGCTCCGTCCGTTTGTCTGGTCGCGTGTCGCTAGCATGTTAGCAGTCGGGAGGAGGATGCCTGTAACGCTGGTGAGTGCTTGATATGCCACGACTCACCGCCGATAGAAGCGAAACAAGGAATGTGCGGGTGCGTTCGTTTGACGTGCTGTATGAAAGGTGACTGGAGTTCGCATTCAGTGATATTGTTCCTCTGAAGCGCTTCGGGGGCTGACAGTCTGAAAACCCGCAAAGTGTCGTCGCCAAAGCAGAAAATAAACGCAGATCCTGAAGAAAGCTTTTCGACGTGGCCGGCGCTGCGTTTCCAGATATTCGTTGCACGCGACAAACCTGCCGACTGCGAAAAGCAGTGTCTAGGCACGGACGAGGACATGAGTTCACCGGATGCGCGTGCTGATAGCCACTGGAGCAGCAGCGTGCTCGTGCAACTGGGGGTATCGCTGCTTCGCAAACGCATCGAGCTGTCTGCTAGTACTTGCGTTGCACCCATGTCAGAACAGAATAGAATAGAACGAGTCCAGTCAGGGAACGCGGGAGAGCATATTCAAGTGGGAATCCCTTCCAATTGCTCTCAACGCGAGCCTTTGCGGGCGTTTTCGTCAACTGCTTACGTTTCCTCTCTATGATCGCTGACTTTAACGACGTCGGCTTCCGCTTTCCGTCCGACTCTGTTGTCCGCATCCGAAGGACGTTCATGGCAGTGTTCAAGTGCCCGATTTCGACGCTGCCGGCTGTTGTCTACGCATTTCGTGCACAGGCAAACGTTGCGATCTACGCGTCGCTTGCCATGCTGTTCGTTTTGGTGTACAGTCTGGGTGCGGCCTCCGCGGCGGCGAAAAGTGGATATGGTCAGGTATGCCCGAAGGTCCACCACGCCTCCGTATCCGAAGGCCGCTCTGTGGCGCGACAAACGCTTGCTTTATGACTTGGTACGAGCCCTTACGGGGTAACGGGGGCTTCCGCGTCTGCCATTCTCTGATTCCGCACCTGGTGTTGTACGCTACGTTTGCGAGCCTCTTCTGGGTCGCGATCCGAGGCGACTAGTCGGTCCGCTGCACGCGCGGGCGCGCGCTGCTGCATTTGTTGTAGGTTTAGAGATGGCGATGTTGTCCATGAGGAATCATATACCGTCAGGAAAATCTGGGCTAGAGAATCGGTCGAGAAGTCTGGATCCGCGTACGCTCACTTCATACAGAGCCGAGAAGTACGCTACAATGGAATCCATCACTGTGATGATCGAAGACTGAACTGAAGACTCGTTACGATAGAAACGGTATAGACGGGAGCCTTTGGGAGCATATTCCCTGAGAGGTATGCTGCTGGTGGTGCTGGTGCTGGTGCTGGTGGTGCTGGTGCTGGTGGTTCCGAGATCGTATTCGTCGTTGACCACACAAAAAATAAGACAGCTGGTCATTCGTGTCTGATCGATTATTGTTCGTGACAAGTCCAGTAAACTTGCGGAATGAGCTTTTGCGCAAGTCAGCGAGAGACATCGTCGAGTTCGTGCTCCTCGCGAGTCCAGCAGCGCGTATTGGTGCGCTCACGAGTTGCCCCGAAACAAAAGTATCTGTATTTTGAAGCACTCATGATTTGAGCGTGCTCCAGGTAAGAAAAGGGGCAGAGTGGAATCTTGTGTGAACAAATTGATCCGCAGCATCGTAGATATGGCGAGCCCGTGTCCAACATAGTCACGAATCGTATTGATTCCGGTGGTAACGGGTCGCAGGAACCAGGCTTCCAAATCCGATCAGGAGTTCTGGAACTGCTTATGAGTCCGTGAGCACTTAGAACTGCGCATCGAACGCTGAGGGTGTAGATCTGAATGTGAGTTGGGGAGAAAAGCGGATAGCTTGGACAAAGCGCGTAGTTTCCTGTTCTTTTTTAATTTGACTCTGGCGTTGCGCAAGTGCGTTGTGCCACAGGATGCAAGCAGCAGGCGCCTGCTTTATCGTGCAATCGATAAAGCCTGATTGGAGTAAACAATCCTGTACTCCAACAGAAGAGTCGGCACTCTCCCTCACGCAACTAGCAACGACGCAGTCGCGGATGCGTTGGTGCTGTAAACGATCCTGTAGCAGAAAAAACGATTCCACGTGCACTTGCCCAGCACTATGCGCTCCTTAACCTTTCGATTCGAAAGATGGTGAGCAGCATTGTAAACGCGGACGTCAAAAACCCATCGTGCGTCGTACGTGGAGTACGGTACGGGCCCGCGCTGTTCGAGCCTACCTTGCGGAGCACGTCGTATTCCCGGTGACTTGGATAGCTGGCCATTGACGCAAAAATCCGCATGAGGCGCGTATCCGGTGAGCTGGGTAGTTCATAGCGCGGCGTCTGCGAGCTCCAACGCATGGCGCCTGGTGCACCCGCGCGAGAATGGTCTCCCATTGCTGCATCAGGCGTTTGTCCCAAACATATGCCAACAGCAACTCAGGGCTGCCTCTTATCAATTCATGGAATGCCATGCGTAATTTGAATATACTGTACGACTAATACAGCGCGCTGGTTGCGTGATGAAAATGGAAAATGAGCATCTGAACGGTAAAGTCTAGAACCGTTCGTGAACGGACCCGAGAGGCACCACAGCAGACTTCTCTTGCTGTAGTCGTCCAGGAGCAGGCAAACTCGCCACAAGAAACGATTTAGCGCCTCTGTGTGCTTAGTGTCAATTCGCATATTTGGAAATAGTCACGTCTCCAAACTGATCAATGTAGTATGCGACCTCCGACAAACATTCCTCCTAGATACTCGTGACCGGTTCGTGCAACGAGCAGCGTCAAGCAACCCAGAGCACGAGTGTTCCGGATCTGGAAGCCGAAGACGACGCGCAACCCTCCCAGTTGGGTACGTTTGCTTCGAAAGCATAAAAGATTGGGTCGTCGTGTGACTCTGCAGCAGAGGTCATCAGGCGGTTTTTTGTCGGCAGTGTGTACGTCGAGAGGCATCAGCAGCGTCACCGGATTCGTCGCGTAACTTGCTATAATCCGACAAACGCGCTCTTCTCGAAAACCATTGTTGTACCTGCACCTTGACTCGACAACCATTAAATCGACCGAGAGCCAATCTGTCTTTGTTGGCCGAACACAGCGACGCCGAATCCCGCTTTACTGTAAGCGACCACGATACGCTCCGTTTCGGATCGTCGCTGTATGGGTCGAACCTCTACTCCCGACGGAGAGCATGACCCGGGAATCTGTGAAAAGCGTGTGCATCTCCTGAGCCGCTGAAAACCTTCGTCTGGTTACTGGTGGCACTCACGCACCCGGGGACGTTTCAGATAGACTATCGGATCCTGCGTCCGCGAAAAATTTGCTGCATTCAAAGAGGAGCGTGCCGTGCGCAGAACAGTACCTCGTTCTCGGAATCGGGACCCGCATGGCGAACGCTGCACCAGAATTGTAGCAGTGTCACCGATTCCTGCGTATCCTCTAACGCTGACGCAGCTTCGAAGTCACAACGTAGCGTTCGTGCTGTGGGCAAGCAAAGCTTAAACAGGATCGCTACGAAATCGATTTCGCGGTGCACAGCACCGATTCGCGTCCCGGCTCATAGTCGTGTTCATCCTGGTCGACTTGCCGGTTTCCGAGTCGCCGCCTCACTGCCCTATATCTGGCCACCGTCTTCGGTCTCTATAGGGTCAAGTTCATCGAGATTTTCCGGCCAACGAACCAGCCGCATCGCACGGATACCGTTTGGCTCGGCCACGAAACCGCACTCTTTTTCGTAGAATATTACGAGATCTTCCGGAGCAATCATGGCCACTGAGCATAATGGAATATCCCTACTGAGGTCGTCCAGCATCCTTCGAATGATATTCCGACGCATGACGGCCGGGTTGGGCAGATTCGGGTCCACCAGCACGTCCCAAAGAGTCGCGTTCATAACACCATCGGAAATACTGCGCACAAATGCAACAAGGCGCTGATCTTTCCCAAGCAGACGAGCGGAAACTACCGAGAAAGAGTATTTCAAGCAACGTAAAATTTTACGTTCATCGCGTGGCGGCTCGTTGCATCGTACGAATAAGTCGTTGAGCTCCGCCGGCGTGAACGCTTTCTTATCGTTCGAGAAAATAGCCCGCTGTGATGGGTACGGTGTCACTCGTGGTCGCCCAGTCGAACTGGGTTCTGAGTTTGCACACAGAAGTCGAATTCGAATGCAGCCGGATTGCCTACGCAGTTGCCAAAGCGGCAACCGCAGAGAACGAGTACGCCTCCGCACCAGAGCTGGTGAACGCCGCCACCTGTCCAGCGAAGCGTGCGGTTCCGCGTTCGCACCGTTTTCAATTTCGAAGCGAACACTTTGCCTAAGCTTGCATGATTCCAGCCCGGTTACGAAAGCGTTGCTCATTGGACCTAGTCCGGGCACCGCCCAGCTCGAAGTCGCACAGCCGCAACAGACGGCACGCTTTAGAAGCAAACGTTGCGCAATGATCTATGTGCGCGTGTGTTTGTGTGCGTTCAAGGCGCTTTTGCGACACGGGTGTCGATGCCGTTCGCCGGGACCTTTCCGGATACAGAGTGCACTGGCCGGCGATACCACACGGATACGAGGCGCGTAATAGGAGCAGAGGGATGCTTTGGAGGCTTTCCAACGAGACCAGACTGGTGAGGTGTGGCGGTCCTGGCCATTCGCTGCGGCCAGAGTTTCAATTCGTGAACGCAGACTGATGTGAGCGAGTCAACGGAAATGCTACACACCAACCGACCGTAACGATGAAAAGGAGTTTTCTGTGTTGCGGATGTGGGCCCCTGCAGTGTACCGGAAGGCGATATCTCGTGCCTGAGTGTTGCATGGATCGCGGGTTGTGGGCGGAGATTTAGAGACAGAGCCGGCCTTCAGTCATTTTCAATGCGTCCAGACAAGCAGCGGTTGCGAGCAACAAGCAGCGCTCGCGAAGCTCTTATCTTTTTCCCGCTTCTGGCCCTCGGTGTATCCCATTCGGTATTGATTGAGTATGTGAGGTATTTCAGTGAGAACGCCTGGGTAGTAAGCTGCCGACGCTTCCGAATGCATGATCACCGATGCTGCTTTCTGATTGGTTGATGCATTCCTAGTTCGATGAGTAACCTAAGTGGCTTCCAGGGTCCGCATTATTCGAGAGCGCGGCTCTCGGGTCTGGCGCCCGGTGCAACACCAGAGTTAAATTAAAAAAGAACAGGAAACTACGCGCTTTGTCCAAGCTATCCGCTTTTCTCCCCAACTCACATTCAGATCTACACCCTCAGCGTTCGATGCGCAGTTCTAAGTGCTCACGGACTCATAAGCAGTTCCAGAACTCCTGATCGGATTTGGAAGCCTGGTTCCTGCGACCCGTTACCACCGGAATCAATACGATTCGTGACTATGTTGGACACGGGCTCGCCATATCTACGATGCTGCGGATCAATTTGTTCACACAAGATTCCACTCTGCTCCTTTTCTTACCTGGAGCACGCTCAAATCATGAGTGCTTCAAAATACAGATATTTTTGTTTCGGGGCAACTCGTGAGCGCACCAATACGCGCTGCTGGACTCGCGAGGAGCACGAACTCGACGATGTCTCTCGCTGACTTGCGCAAAAGCTCATTCCGCAAGTTTACTGGACTTGTCACGAACAATAATCGATCAGACACGAATGACCAGCTGTCTTATTTTTTGTGTGGTCAACGACGAATACGACCTCGGAACCACCAGCACCAGCACCACCAGCACCAGCACCAGCACCAGCACCACCAGCAGCATACCTCTCAGGGAATATGCTCCCAAAGGCTCCCGTCTATACCGTTTCCATCGTAACGAGTCTTCAGTTCAGTCTTCGATCATCACAGTGATGGATTCCATTGTAGCGTACTTCTCGGCTCTACATGAAGTGAGCGTACGCGGATCCAGACTTCTCGACCGATTCTCTAGCCCAGATTTTCCTGACGGTATATGATTCCTCATGGACAACATCGCCATCTCTAAACCTACAACAAATGCAGCAGCGCGCGCCCGCGCGTGCAGCGGACCGACTAGTCGCCTCGGATCGCGACCCAGAAGAGGCTCGCAAACGTAGCGTACAACACCAGGTGCGGAATCAGAGAATGGCAGACGCGGAAGCCCCCGTTACCCCGTAAGGGCTCGTACCAAGTCATAAAGCAAGCGTTTGTCGCGCCACAGAGCGGCCTTCGGATACGGAGGCGTGGTGGACCTTCGGGCATACCTGACCATATCCACTTTTCGCCGCCGCGGAGGCCGCACCCAGACTGTACACCAAAACGAACAGTATGGCAAGCGACGCGTAGATCGCAACGTTTGCCTGTGCACGAAATGCGTAGACAACAGCCGGCAGCGTCGAAATCGGGCACTTGAACGCTGCCATGAACGTCCTTCGGATGCGGACAACAGAGTCGGACGGAAAGCGGAAGCCGACGTCGTTAAAGTCAGCGATCATAGAGAGGAAACGTAAGCAGTTGACGAAAACGCCCCCAAAGGCTCGCGTTGAGAGCAATTGGAAGGGATTCCCACTTGAATATGCTCTCCCGCGTTCCCTGACTGGACTCGTTCTATTCTATTCTGTTCTGACATGGGTGCAAATGGCATCAATGCTCCAAAACATATCGGCAATGTGGCATCGATTCGAACGTGCCTTGTAAACATGTCGTGCACACGTCCGAAACAGCATTTCTTCATCTGGTCTGTACGCGGCAAATTATAGGTTTGACGGTACCTGGGGTGAGCCTCTACAGCTGCCGCTGGGCTCTGGTTCCAGCGCTGCGACGAGTCTGAACGCGGCAACCTGGAGGCTTGACCATACTTGCAGTACTTCTTCTTCTTCGGTTGCTGCTGCTGCTGCTGCTGCCGCTGCACTCCTGCAAGACTACCTGTCCTAGTGCTGCCAGCGTGCCGTTCACAAACTCGCGAGCACAGCTGTTACTGACTGCTCTAGGTGTTAACCCCGAACACGTCGCTCACTCTCTTCATAAATACGAGCCTCAGGTGAGCTGAACAAGAGCGTAGCAGCCTCGAGTTCGACGCTTTGGTGAACGCGTGACAGAGCGCCGCTGTGCGGGAGCGTCCAGCTCGCACCTGCCCACGAGGGAACGCGCCAAGAATAACACTGTCGACCCGCAAGTTTACTTTCAGTTCGGCGGCATACGACGTTCATAATCGCACATAGGTTGTCATAGGCAACTAGCTCATGGAACCTGTGTCAGAGTCTTTCATTATGGGTATTGATGAGGCCGGTCGCGGGCCTGTGCTAGGTCCCCTTGTCTATGCATGCTGTGCGTGTCAAGCGGGCCGCCTGCAGGAACTGGAAGCTACTGGAGTACGCGATAGCAAAAAGCTTTCGGCACAGTGCCGGGAACGAATCTTTCAAACCCTTGGAGAAAATGCGGACTGGATCTACAGTAGGACCCGTATACTGAGTCCAGAAATGCTCTCCGCAACGATGCTCGGGCGGAAACGAGTGAACCTCAACGAGACCAGCTATGCTGCCACCATCTCGCTCGTGAAGGATGCGCTTTCCTCCGGAATGTTTATCGAAGGGCTTTTTGTGGACACCGTTGGTGAGCCGGATGCGTACCAGATGCGGCTTAAACGCATCTTCCCCAAGATACCTCGTATCGTTGTCCAAAGCGAGGCTGAGTCACGATTCGCAGTGGTAGCTGCGGCTAGCATCATTGCGAAGGTCACCCGAGACAAGGCCCTTCGAACATGGACCTTCCCTGAGGAGGCGAATGACCCACAGCTGCGTTTCTCGCGCGAGTACGGCTCTGGCTATCCCGCAGACCCGCTGACGCAGCGGTGGCTCCGCAAGCACCTGGACCCGATTTTCGGTTTTCCTAGTATTGTTCGGTTCAGTTGGTCAACCTGTTCCCGGATTCTGGAGAAGGAATGCGTGCAAGTAGACTGGCCGGAGGAGGATTCTACCTCAGGAGCCCTGCTTCCTTTTATCATGAGAAGGAAAAATCATTCGCCGGGGCCATGCGGCTGCGCTTTCCTCGAAGCGGCGCATGTCCGGCGACTAGTGGTGGACGAGCCGCCACCATTGCCGGTGCCAACACCAAAGTTGGTACCCGCGAAGCGACCCACCCGACGACGTCCTGACTGCGCGAAGCGCTCCCGGGTCGAGCGCAAGTCAGTTTCCAAGCCGTCTTCCAGACGCGATCAAAAGCGAGCGTAGCTGCGAGCTTGCGGACGTGACGGACGTTCAGCCACGACAGAGACGAGTGCTGCGCAGGGCATATACGCACACGATCGTCCTATTCGGCAAACAAATATTATAAAACTGCTTGCCGAGAACGCCCGAACAAAAAAAACTGAGTTTGGACAATAGACTCTGAAAGAAAAACAAACTTTACCGCTTTCCACAACTGTGCCGCGAGCGCAACGCGGGAAACTACTTTCCACTCGAAGCGCTCAAAGTCTCTCCTTCACAATCACAAAGCCAGCAGTTTCGCTGTAAATCACATACCACCGAAAACCTCAGCTCCCATTGATAGAGGCGTAGGCTGCACATCGTGGGCAACTTGACTTGCTCAGCTCTGACGTCGAGACCGCTTCCGCCGTCTCAGCAGACGACCCCATTGTCGTCGTTGTCGGATACGAAGCGTACCCAGTGGACACTGCACCCTCTCCGTCTTCTACGACCACCCTGATGTAACCACCGCGGAGGCGGAGAACAAGGTGGAGTGTGCTCTCCTTCTGAATGTTGTAGTCGCTCAGCGTGCGACCGTCCTCCAGCTGCTTGCCGGCGAAGATAAGACGCTGCTGGTCTGGTGGGATACCCTCCTTGTCCTGAATCTTGCTCTTCACGTTCTCTATCGTGTCCGAGGGTTCTACCTCCAGTGTGATGGTTTTTCCGGTCAGCGTCTTGACGAAGATCTGCATGGTTTTCTATTTGTAGGTGGTCGCACAGCGCACGTTCACGAGAAACGTCGGTTACGATGAAGAACGCCAACGGACGCATAATGGACGCGCGCGCGTCGCGAAGCTGGTGCCCCGATCACACGCAGCGCATGCGCGTGGCCGTGACATCCTGCGATGCGTGCTCCCAGCGGGCGCGTTGCCTGTCCGAAAATCACGGCAACTGGGTACTGCCTCGTGGGGAGAAGATGCGATCTGTACATTTAGGTATATATCTGTACAAACAGTACGCCGTCTCTAGGATATGACTGCGATCCCATTTCGCGTCCGTGGCGCAGACATAGATAGCTGGGCGTAATATCCACAGGCGTCGCGCGTTGCATAGACTCTGGTCGAGCATCGCTTCGGGGTGCATCCCACGGCATTGCAGCGAGGGACGTCCGTGTAACCCGTCTCTGGCGGTGCAACGCATCCCTGATACGAGGTTTCGAGGATCCGATGTTTTTGGTTCCCGCTGCGCTAGCATACGGCCAGGTGGCGCGTCTCACTGCAGCGCTGGTACTGGACGCTTGAGGAACGAAAACCCGCGTTGAACGAAGAGAGAAGACCCACTTATTCAGTGTTTCCCGAAAATATGCGCCGTATATCCTTGGGCTTTTTTGATGCTCGCACGTTCTGAGCGCGTGCTGTGACACTCGGTACGATTCCGAGGAAATCTCTGGTTCACGTCCCGAGATAGCGCCTCATCCTGGATCGTCCGCACAGCAAACACCTGACATGGTCCTGGTCTATCGTAGGAGGCTCGATGACGCCAAAGGAACGCTGCCTCCCACTTTGCAAGGTTTCCCAAGATTACCCTGTCCCAATGCAATGCAGATTGCCACGGGCAGCTCTGAGGCGCCCTCGTCGCTGTGAGACAGACCTCTGCTCTCGCGTACGAACGACACGCCCTGCTCGATGAGAGTCGTTGGTCCATGGACCATGCTGCGACATTCGAGACGCGGACGCTAATAGCAGGAGCCGTCGCTCCGTAACGCACCCCGCGTATCGCCTACCGCAAATGCTGAACGCTGGCGCAAGGGCAATTGATGAAGATCGCCGGTTCTAGTGAGTCTTGCTGAATGCGCCGACGATAGCCAATAAAATCCCGGACAAAATGCTGGCTAATTTCGTCAGCAGCTCGACACTACCTCATGGGGAAACGTCAACACCTCGCTGGATTTTTCGTTCGGCGCAGTCTCGGTGACACGAACCACGGGATCTCCAATGGTGCACGATGGTTGTGCGCATCCCCGCGAGCGTGCATCATTGGACACCAGGTCCCTCAAGGTTCAGAAGCCATCACCCAGACTTTCCTTTGGGAAGCATGGTTCCTAAATACGATCCTCCAGGTGCCGAGTGCCCGCCGTCAGCGCACCTGCCTGAATCCGGTGCGTTCGCGGCCTCGCCCTAAATCGAAGGCTCGCCACCCCGCGCACCGATATCGCTTTAGTTCAGCGGACGCTTGACAGCGCACAGAACTGTTCAGAGACGTCTGTTGCGTAGACGATGTCGACCGGGGAGGATCCTCGCAGACAGGCCGCTCTTCAGGAGTACCGACGGGTGTTCCAGCAGCATGAACAACTGTCCGAGAAAATTCGCGGGCACCGAGAAACGCTGCGGCAGGTCAGAGCGAAATTCGAGAAAACCGAAGAAGACCTGCGAGCACTTCAGTCCGTCGGCCAGATCGTGGGCGAAGTACTACGGCCTCTCACCGAGGAGAAGTTTATCGTAAAAGCGTCTTCAGGGCCGCGCTACGTGGTCGGCTGCAAAGCACGTTTACCGCGACGGCGACTGAAGAAAGGCACGCGGGTGGCGCTCGATATGACGACGCTCACGATTATGCGCATTCTTCCACGGGAAGTGGATCCTCTGGTCCATAAAATGCTTGCTGATGCAGAAACACGGCAGCGAATAGACTATTCGGAAATCGGCGGACTCAGTGAACAGATTCGGGAGCTGCGTGAGGCGGTGGAGTTACCGCTGACGAACCCAGAACTCTTCATCAGGGTCGGGATCAAACCGCCCAAAGGCGTCCTTTTGTACGGCCCGCCTGGTACCGGTAAGACGCTCTTAGCTCGAGCGATCGCCTCGAACATGGATGCCTACTTTCTGAAGGTTGTCGCGTCAGCCATCGTCGATAAGTACATCGGGGAATCCGCGCGAGTCATTCGGGAGATGTTCGCATTCGCACGGGATCATCAACCGTGCATCATTTTCATGGACGAGATCGATGCGATTGGCGGGAAACGTTTCAGTGAAGGCACTTCTGCGGACCGGGAAATCCAGCGTACACTGATGGAGCTGCTTGCGCAAATGGACGGTTTTGATGAACTCGCGGCAGTGAAGCTGGTGATGGCCACCAACCGTCCAGATGTGCTCGACGAGGCGCTGCTCCGGCCTGGACGACTCGACCGTAAGATAGAGGTACCACTGCCGAACGAACAGGGACGCCTTGAGATCTTGCGTATTCACGCGCGCTCGCTAAACATTCGTGGCGACGTCGATTACGAGGCTGTTTGCCGTCTGGCAGATGGATTCAATGGTGCAGATCTCCGGAATATCTGCACTGAGGCTGGCATGTTTGCGATACGGGAAGAGCGTGACTATGTTGTGATGGACGACTTTATGAAAGCCGTGCGCAAACTATCGGAGAACAAGAAACTCGAACCCAAGATGGACTATGGCCAGGCATTCAAGAAATCTTGAAAGGGTGCTTCGACAGGTCGCTCGTAGGAGACCGGTCGACGCAACGTGTCCCCCAGGGCTGGTATGCAAATCCCTTATGAACGATACGAGTCCTCCATCGACGCGCATCCAGACGAGCCACCGTATCCACGGAGCGCCTCGGCACAATTGAGAGCCATCGAAAACCGCATCGATCACGCCTGCTTGTCAAGGGGATATCGTATTCGCGTCCATAGGGTACAGGGTACCTTCTCCACCGAATTGTCTAGGTCTTGGAGGGCGCCGCTTCCGGAAACGGGCCGTATAGATCGTGTTCATTCAATAAGAATGCGATGCGATCTGCTTTGCATCTCTTGGTCCTGAAAAGAACCGGAATTCATCAGTTCTGCATTCCTGTCATGAACCCGATGCTGCACACAAAATTCTGGTTGCCAAGCCAGTAAGCACGTCATGCGCGCATCGGCGAACGATTCCTGCACGCTTGCTGGTTCAGGAGTGGAGCACCATGCGCCGCACCGTGCCAGACGTTCGTGGCTGGAACACGTCACAAACCTTGCCCGTACAGGTGAACCATAAAGTTCGATTCACTCTCGAAAGCAGTCGATGACGCGAAGCATTGTCGCTGTGCCTGCGGACCATGAGGTGCTTGGCGCGCTCTACACCCGCTTCAGTTTAAAATCGAATGCTGAATTGCTGGCTCTATTCTTGCCTTTCCAAATTTTTTTAGAAGCTCATCTTCGACATTCAAAGTAGACCAGCAATGAAACTGCGAATTCGTACGTTGTTCTAGCGTTCTCGGTTGTGTTTTTGGAGTGGCTCCATCACCGCTTTGCTTCTGAAATTGGTAAGGTCACCGGAATCAGGATGATTGGCGACGCCTTCGAACCAGGGCTCGTAAAAAACCTGGGTCATCAACCGATTCATATGTACAAGCCTCCACGCTTCTCCCTGTCATAAGTGTAACATGTTGAAAACACGTATTCTGCAAGTTTTCAATCGTTCTGCTTCAAAAGAAACTCGTTGGCGCGGCGTTTCGCGTAGCGAGATTCCGCATGAAAAGCTCGACGTCGACCAGTGACGACTTGGTTACAAGCTCATGCCGAAAGCTCAGTCAAATTCTCACGCATCGCACTGGATTCGGTTTGCCAGACAAATCGTCCTTATCTATGGCTACGGACAAAACTGCATTCGACAGCAGTGTGAATCCACCTACGGCATATGCTCCCAGAGGCTCCCATCTCTTCCGTTTGCGAGGAAGAAAGGGTCGTAGACTTTGACTTCAGCCACCGCAGCTATCGCTTCCCGAGAAGCGTGTGTCACCGCTTCGTACCAAGGAAGGCGGACAGATCCAAAATTCCACGCCTGGCTCTCCGTCCGAGATTTTCCTTGCGGTGTTCTGTCATGGGAAATATTGCGTGACACAAAAAAACCTCTATGGAATGGAAAAGCTCGTGCTTGCGCGTGTTCAACGGATAAAGTAGTCGCCGAGGGCGTCGTCTGAAGGAAGCCCGCGCGTGGTACGGAAGCCATCGAGCGTGCCAACGGAGACGGACACTTCAGGAAGTCTTTTCTCTCCGTCAGGGGGCGTTGATCGGGCGACGAAGCAAGTGTTCACGTGCGACGGGGCGGCGCTCGGAGGAGGAGGCGTTGCGGATGCGTACGCCAATACCTCATCACAGCCGAGTGGCATCGCTGGAAAGGGCGAACCGAGGCTGTGTACGATGAAGATGAGTGTGCCAGGCGAAGCGTAGATCGCAGCTTTCGCCGACTCATCAAATGCATAGACCATAGTCTGGAGCAGCGACACCGGGACTTAAAAACGGTCATCAGCATCCATCGACTGCTGAAAACGGAGCTGGAGAAGCAGATTAGATCGGAGTATGTACAGCCTGAGGTATGTAAAATGTGATTAATGGAACGAAAAATAACCCACGACCATATAGGGTACATTGATACCCAGGTGCACAGGCCTCCCAGTCTTTTTTTGGCCTTCCGCATACAACCAGTTTCAGTTTGTCCGGACGCACTTCGAGTCTGAGACACTGCCCTACAAAGTTAGACCGCCTCTTCTCCTCGGGCCTCGTCTTCAACGCCATACACTGTCTGAAATTGATGGTGGAGTTGTAGAATCGGTTCACGAACTTCATGCGTTTGTCGCCTCTGGTGGAACTGACTATTTTATGTATTATTAGAACTCGCGCCCTCTGCGCAATTTGCTGCTCTGTCAGTCCTCCGTGCTTTTCTATTGCTGGAGCGCTTTGCTGGCTTTTCTCCATCTCGACCTTCTAAAGTTTACACCCTAGCTCAAATATTAGATTTCTTATTTTTGAAAATGAATGCACCGCTTCAAGCCCATAGGTGATGGCGTTCCCCGAGCGAGAAGGTCTTGCGGAAGAAAGACAAAGCGAAGGGCATCGTGAAATGTCACGTTGTCTAATAGAAGGGCGTCGCCGGACGTCAGGGAAAAAGTTGTCAATGGTTCAACAAAGTGGTTGCTGCTGTTGTATGAGCCTTGTCTACGAGCGAAACTGACGTCGCCAAGTGCATGCACTTTAGGTAGAACGTATGATCATGTCCCCGTTCTCTACGAGCTCGATCGTACACACAACGGGTTCTGTCTGCACGAATACCTGTATACGCTTCGACCATTTTACCTGAAGCAAGTCTCATCCACTGGGAAAACAAACCAAGGTTCCCCTGCTTCATGCCGATCACTGAGTCGCAGGAAACCTGTAGTAGTTTCGATTCCCATGGAAGCTGGCTGTGTATGAACCAGGACCCTTTTTTGCGACTGTATCCCAGTGTTTTCAGGACCACACGAACAAGCTGTTGAGAAACAGGCACGCCCCTGGTGGCTGTTATCTTCACTTTTGCTTTCCGTGTGGTGATCAGCGGATCGTTATCCACCATTGAACAACAGCAGTCATTCACAATATCGGTTTTTGGCGCAGAACGCATGTACTTCGTTCATCCAGTGTTCCTCAACTATCTTAGCACCGTGGCATGGCAGAGCTAAAGGATGATGATTGCGGTTCTCCTTTCACTGTTCACTAGAGAATATATATCCTACAGACAATCCGTCTACGATCTATACGGAATATTGCATCGTGATTTCGATCTCCTGCTTTACTCTCCAACGTGGATGAAACCAAACCGAGCTGAAAGGCTACACTAGAGAAGAGCGTGAATCAGTCGCAAAAAGAGCCTGCCGAGTCTGGTGATGATGAGAATACAAAGCGACCCCTGAACATGGACGCCCACAACCGAGCTGCTGGACCTGTTCCATTTTATCCCCCGATGAATGAAGGCGTGAGCGCTGGACTCGTTCCTGCACTTCCTACTGCTCGACGTATTGAAGGTGTCGGGAAGGTTTCCCGCTTCGGTGCTGTAGTCGCCAAAATGACAATAAGGCTCGTTCTTGTGCCTAGCGTTGTTTTTATAATGGCATGACATTCTACTGGTGACTGCTATTTGTCACGAGTACGCTGTGGAGCACACACCATTAGGAGCAGTTGGCACTGGCATAACCAGGACAAGCGTTCTACTCCTGGGGCGGTGCGGCTCCAGCGACGCCGGTACAAGGCCGCCAAGAGTACACGTGTTGGCAGCTGGTTGACGATTTACGACGTGCTTAAGGTACCAAGTTGGTTCGATCAGCGTAAGCGCACGGTGTAAGAGAGCCAAACACCTCAAGCTGGCAGACGCTTCACCGAAGTGTTTGGAATGACAAGCTGCAACGGGAGAACCACGAGTTCCGGGAAAGCATTTTTATCGCTTAGCGAGTGGCCAAAAGATGTCACCGTAGGCTCAGTCGTCACGCTCTACGGGTCTGCGCTTTGTACGCTCTGGCCAAGCAGTGCTCGGGAGGTGGTGGACGCTCCGCTCGTGTGCGATGAGAACCCGCCGCACCTGGTGCGTTCAGAGCTGCACGACGTCAACGCAGTGCGTATTGCAGCACCAGCTGCTGCGTTTGACGCAGTTGCAGACAAAGGAGCCCCTCCAGAGCAGAACCGAGCATGCGTGCAGGTCATTGGTCCCCGGGCTCCTGCATCTGAGCTCTGGCTCGAGGAGTTGTTGTTCCCCGAGGCAGATGCATCGCTTGGTCCACCACAGTGCGAAGATTCCGCCTCACTGCGAGCGCTTCTGCTCTATTTGCCTGTCGTTGCCGGTGCAGTGATTCACCAACGTTGGCGAGTCCTTCGAGTCCACGGAGGAAATTGGATTACGCTCGCAACCCAAATCCACCGAACGCCCAAACGAGTTGAACATACGCTCGTGCGCGCTATCGGGGACGCGACCCCCGATACTCAAGTTTACTTCCGTTTTGCGAAGAAGCTCATTGATTACATCAAGACGCTCTGGTGCCTGCCTCGAGCATATGGCGGCGGCGTCATTCATGGGTGTATTTTGGCAGGCCCTGCCGGGGTCGGCAAGACGTACGCCGTCAGGCAAGCATCGCAGGACTTGGAAGCGGAGCACATTACTTTCAGGCTCCGAGAAAAGGGGCGCGACCTGGGGACGCTTCGCTCAAATCTAGAGGCGCTAACCGCTGAGATATTTTGGCGACTGAGTAGAGCGTCCTGCGAAGAACGCCCTTGCAAAAACACCATCATTCTCTTCGAAGATATTGATCGAGTGTGTGGTGAGCGAGCGCCTTTCGCCGCGAGAAACGCTTCTGAAGCAACGGACGCGCTTCCGCTTCTACTTGTGAACTGGTTTGATACGATCGAGCATCGACTGTCGGCTGGGCGTTCGCGAGTCGTTTGTGTGGCGACTGTGAGAAGGCTCGGCGACATGCCGGTCTCTTTGCGACGAGGGGGTCGCTTCGAAGGACTCATTCACGCCACGGTACCTACATTCGAGGAGCGGATCGCGCTGATGCGAGCGCTTGGAGCACCGGACCCGGCGTCTCTGGCGGCACAAACGCCCGGCTACGTGGCCAGTGATTACGTTCGCCTCGCCAGTTGTGGATTTTCTTTTCAGAGAGCCGGTGGCGTTGCCGCGCGAGCGCACCAGACGTATCGAATTGAGCACCCAAAATGCCTGGATGTTCTCGTGGACGGAACTAATGCGTCAAGTTTGCGACATCAGTTTCGTGGATTCGATGCCCTCGGTGGACACCACGCCACAAAAGAAGCGCTGTTCCGCGCGTTGGCCTGGCCTCTCCTGTACCGCAGTACCTGTGTGCGACTGGGAGTGCGACCTGCTCGTGCAGTGCTGCTCTACGGCCCACCAGGATGCGGGAAAACGCGTCTCGTTCGGGCTGCAGTGGAGACGCTCTGGCGACAAGGAGCTCCGTTCACCTTCATTCATGTTAGCAGCGCCGATCTTTATTCCGCGTATCTGGGAGAATCCGAGCGAACGCTACGTGAAATTTTCTCGATCGCACGCAGCTCGAGTCCCGCGCTCGTTTTTCTCGACGAAATCGACAACCTTATAGGAATCCGAAATGCAGACACGTCGGCAGGGGCATCTGATGTCGCCAATCGTCTCTTGGGGACGCTCCTCACCGAAATAGATGCTATGAACGAAACAGATGCGCATGTAGTGTTGACTGGAGCTACCAATCGTATCGATCGCGTCGATGCGGCGCTACTGCGCCCGGGACGCTTTGACCTGCAGCTCGAGGTACCGTTGCCCAGCGCAGTCGATCGGCGAGCGATCCTTGAACTCTACCTCACCCGGGCGCCAACTGAGACGCCCATGCGAACCACGTTTGACCAACAAGCATCAGAGACGGCTTTGCTTCCTGGTTCCGTTGCTTTGGATGAACTAGTTGCCCAGACAGACGGCTGGAGCTGCGCTGCGATCGAGCAGCTATGTTTCGACCTTGTCTCGCGACAAGCTGAGCTCACTGGATGCGAGCAAGCACCGTGAGGCTCACTAAGCCCCTGGTACATGCACGACTGCATGCATGCGTGCATGCGCGTCTCACAGGGCATTGCTGAATCGCACGAGCCATCATCCAAGACGTGGCACGTACGACGCAGAAGACGCATTCATGCACTGGGGGTATTATCGCGCGTATGGCCTCGAAGAGGAGCGTAGAATACCGCGCACGACACTGCAGCCCAGATACATGAAGACGTGTGTGCATCGTTCTTTCCTGGTCATATCGATCCTCGATCAGTTCCGGAGAGCGGCATTTAAAAACGTGGTACGCGCTTATTCACTGTATCTCGAGGCGCATCCCTGGGCTCGTTCATACGCTTTGAGGGTCACCAGTTGTCCGCCTGTTTTTGTTCCTCGGACAACAGGGGAATCGGCACTGGCGGTCTAGAGGTTATTGCAAGGTTTGCTGGCAACTCTGTTGGCCAGAATCTTGCGTTGCCCATACGACGCGCAGCGGAAGCGCAACAAAACATTCTCTCACATATAAAGCGCTGCTGTACGCAAATATATCGGATGATGATGGCCCACGTCTAATTACAACGTTCGATGGAGCATGATGCGGGTGACATCCACCAGAAAAGCCGCCGAATCATCGAGAGAATCCAGGGTGTTTTCGTCAGGTATCTGTTTCGCGACCTGCTCGAAATGGCGAAGCGCTCGCTGATGCAACTGAGAATCGGTGCGATGCTGCCAGAAGAGACCACGATAGAACTGGAAGCGAATCTGGTCGCTCAATGTCGCTATTTCGCTTTCGTGCTGGCAGAGCGCTTCCTCAACCGCAACGTCATTCGTCCTGTACAAGTCGATCAGAGACAGAGGTATATCACTTGTTGGAACGGCCGCGAGCTCGCTCTGTGATAGTATTGGCGTTTGTCCCTTGAGCCGACGGTACGATGCTATCCGCCACAAAACGTGCTCCCAGGTCAGGGGATCTCCAGTGTCTTCGTTGCCAGCGTAGATGTAGTCCCGACCGAGCGCAACAACTTTATCCAGGGCCTGGAACGCGTCCTCAAACCTGCGGGCGCAATAGAAACACACTGCCTGCTGAAAGAGCTTTCCCGGTGGTTTCCACAGCGGAATATAGGGACCTATGAGCTTTCGCAGCTCATTCGGCTCGGCCAATGGGTTCCCTACACTCCCGATCTCATTTCGCATGACTTCTAGATAGTATGTAACGGCGTCTGAAACCTTGCCGGCACGGAATAGCGCGGCCGCTGCGAAAATACGCACCTCGGAACCCCGAAAACCCATGAGAAGCGCTCGCTCAAGATCAGCTACCGCTAGCGCCGCGCGATTATGCTGCAAGTGGACGACGCCGCGTATGAACCATGGCCACGGTACGTCCGCATTGTACAGATTGAAGAGCTCATTCGCTTGAGCTAACGCTTGGGCGTACTCAGCAGTTACCTGTATGCTGCTATTCACGAGCCGAGAGGCACCAGCTCTGCGCGGCAACGCGCCCAAGCGAGCACGACGCTGTGTGTCGCAGCAGACGCTACAGCGACGACAGGAAAATCCTCGTTTCCGAAGCAGCAGCCCCTGGTCTATGAAACAAATGTTCGTCATCCTGAACGAAGATTGAATCTGCAAACGAATAGAACCCTAGTTTGGGAACCCGCAAACCATGTCGCTTCCCAAGGTCGTCCCAGTAACAACGAGAGTCGCTGCAGACGCACGAGCTGCGACGCTCCGCTCTAACAAGCCACCAGTCGACAACGACGGCTTTCTTCGGGCACTTGCACACGGTGCCTAGCGTCGAGGAATGCAAGCAACGCGCGCCGCTCCCGCACACCGACGCATCGATGACGCAGCGGGCGTGCGCGCGTCGTCCGAGCGGTTCACCGAACAGGCCGCATCTAATATCATACCTTTCTGTATCTGATGGGAGGATATCGACAGCACGCCCCAGCATCATCGAGCGCACCACATCGCGCTGCGATTGCCCTTCGCACGCGGCAGAGATCCCGCTGCTGCCCGCCTAGAATGCTACCGCGTGCGCAAGCCGCAGCGTACGCATTCGTTCGAGCGTCGTGTCGCGGTACGGCGTGATGATCCGCCGGAGCGCGCGCGCGCTCATCTCGTCGTGCTTTCTGCGGCGATGCGGCGCCCTGAGCGGCCGCGGCATCCTCGCCACGGATCCGGTCGATCGATCGATACGTTCAGCCGTCGAGCGCGCTCTTCGCCCTAGAAGCTTTTCGTATTTTCACACTGTAAAGTTGGAGTTGTTTGGAAACACAGCGGCGCCATCTATGAATACAAGCATATATGAAAGTCGAATCAGAGGCGAAAAGTCGAATGATACTGTAAAACAAGGTACACCAGAGGCAAAACGGTGTTTTTCCGTTGGATGCTCAGGGCGGACTGGCGGTGTGGCTGACGCTTGCCCGCACGCCAGCACTGCGTGCGGTACGATGTGCGCGTCGGACCAGGCCCGTTCTGACGCCCAGGCTTGTGACAAGGTGCTGACGGACGTATCTGTTCTTGGAGGGACTGGTCATCAGGCGATGATTACGAATCGGGAGTTTCCTTCGGTCAAGGCGCTGCTGGCCGCCATTCCGGACGAGTGCTACGAACGCTCCTTCGTGCGCTCGTCGGCATACGCGGCCATGTCTGTGTTGCTGACGCTTGCCTGTGGCTGGTTTGGATACACGTATCTATGGAACCTCCAGGTCGGCGTAGTGTCGCGTATGGCGGGCTGGGCGTCGCTGGCCAAAGTTGGCATGCTCGTGCTCTGGGCGCTATACGCTGCGGTAACCGGAACGATCGCCACCGGCGTCTGGGTCATCGCACACGAGTGTGGGCACGGTGCATTCTGCTCGGCGGCATGGCTGCAGGATCTGATCGGATTTGTGCTCCATTCAAGCTTGTTGGTGCCTTACTTCAGTTGGCAACGCTCTCATGCAGTGCATCATGCCCGTACAAACCATTTGGATGAGGGCGAGACGCACGTTCCGCATACCGCAAATAGTGTTTCAGGGAAGACAAATCTACGCATCATGCACTGGATTGGAGATGATGCTTTTGGAGCCCTCAACGTTTTCATGCATTTGGTCCTGGGTTGGCCAGCATATCTTTTGTACGGTGCCACGGGCGGGCCAGTTCGTGGCCTGACCAATCACTTTATACCGTTCTCGTTTGGACAAGGTGAGCTGCAATCTGTGAACGAGACCTTGCCGAGACCAGTATCGCTGTATCCCGGTTGGCGATGGAAGCTCAGAGTGCTAGCCTCAGATCTGGGGGTACTGGCGACGCTAGGGCTACTCTATAGCTGGGCCCAATACGACGGGCCGGTGCGCGTTTGCGTTGTGTACGGCTTGCCATATTTGGTCACAAACATGTGGCTTGTACTATATACATGGCTTCAGCACACGGACGTGGATATTCCGCACTATGACTCGCAGCACTGGAGCTGGAACAAGGGCGCGCTGCTGACTGTCGACCGGCCGTATCCAAAGCTCATCGACTTTTTGCACCATCACATCGGGACTACGCACGTGGTGCATCACGTATGCTCGAGAATACCCCATTACCATGGTAAGAAAGCCACAGAGGCTCTCAAGAAGGCTTTTCCCGAACATTATCTGTATGATCCTACACCAATTCTCCAGGCGATCTGGCGCATAGGATGCAACTGCGTCGCAGTTCGGCAAGTCGGAGATCTCTGGGTGTACACTGTATCCTGCGGCGAAGAGGAAATGAATGAGCGCGCCGTTGATAACGCCGTTCGCAAAGCACAGAAAACGGCCTAAACCGATTACACGACCAGCATCCGTTGTGTGGCAGGCCGGCGGAGCAGAGCAGCTGACGCAGCTCCTCCAGTCCTAAACGTGAAGCGTAATTTTGCGTCGATCTTGCACCTAACTGTTTCCCGCTTTAGTAGTGGAGCGCAACCGTTTTACCGGTGCGTGCGCAGCGGGCTCTCACAATCTCATTCACTGGGGTAGTTCAAGCGACAAGCCGTGCCCGTACCTCGGACAACGCTACCGCGACCTGCTCCTGCCACAGCTGCGTTCCGGTGTCGTGCAACTTGACACTGCGCTGGAACCATTTACTTGCAGAAGCGTTTCAGGTGTGCGCTTTGCGTCCCCCGAGGCTACGCCTCCCCACCACGAATAGCAAAGTCAACGCTCGAGGCGCTCTGCTTCGCGCGCCTTGCGTCGGCGTCGACGGTGCTGGACTAGAGGTGTGAGCAGCACCGTGGATGCAAGTGTTCCAGCGCTCACCGTATAAAAAACAAGTCTGGCAAGACGATCACTCGGATGCATCGTGCCCTTCGCAAGCCCACTGCCGAGGTGGACCCGCTCACCATCCATCCATCCATCCATCCATCTAATGCGCTATTCGGCGAATGCGCTCGGATCGCGCTGAGGGCGCCTAAATTCCTGGCCTCGGTCGGAGGCGATCGCAAAACGGCGACAGTCGCCTGTGCCTGCAGCGCAGAGGTCTCTGTTCGCGTGCAATGCACAGATGGCAGTAAGATACCATTTAGGAATAATTTATACTGATTCGTTCCTATCGCATCCAGGGCATCCTCAGACGGAAATCATGACCCAATGATGCATATTTGGGACGGGTTGAAACAGAGCGACCCGAAAAGCTCCAGCTGAATCTACGCATCCGTGCAGCGTCCTGCAAACGCACACATCCGCGTTAGGAGTGCGCCTCAGCGCAGTTCTTGACCCGTTTCTCTTTGCCTGCTAAACATGCTTCTCGAGCAGGACTTCCAGGGATTTAGTTTTGACTTGTTTCTGCGCAACCAGCAGCTTTTAAGACGCTGGTCTAACGAATCCAAGGAGAGGATCGAAAACGTCCTGGCAAAGCCGCCACGCAAAACCGGGACGACCATTGCTGGCGTACTCTTCGCTGGCGGTGTCGTGCTCGGAGCAGACACGCGCGCGACGGAAGGAAACGTTGTGGCTGATAAAAACTGCAGCAAGATTCACTACATAGCATCAAATATTTACTGCTGTGGAGCTGGAACGGCTGCGGACACGGAAGCCACGACGCAGTTGATCGCGAGCCAAATGGAGCTGCACCGGCAGGCCGTCGATCGCGACTTGGTTCCGGTGGCCGCTGCAATGACGAGATTAAAACACTACTTATTTCGCTACCAAGGATACATATCCGCGGCGCTTGTTCTAGGTGGAGTTGACGAGCTGAATGGCCCTTCGCTGTACACGGTATACCCGCACGGAAGCGTTGACCAGTTGCCCTATGTATCAATGGGTAGTGGCTCGCTAGCGGCAATGGCTGTGTTTGAAGCGCGTTGGCATGAAGCGCTCACTGAAGAAGAGGCAAAATGTCTTGTATACGAAGCGATCTCGGCGGGAATCGAGAACGACCTGGGCTCCGGTTCTAATGTTGACCTGTGTGTCGTGAAGAACGGTGGCAGGGCAGTCGATTACCTGCGGGGCTATGCGAAGGAAAACGTTCGTGTTTACCGAAAACCTACAGGGCACGTGTTCGCGCGTGGCACGACAGCTGTCCTTGCACAAGAGCTGCGCAAATACGTTCAAGTAACGCGCGTCGTCTCCGATTTGTGAGCGCAGCGGCAACTTTCACACATCTGTGCCGGAGTGTGAGCGTCACGAACAGCTTGCACGGCATACCGGCAGGATTTCTATTGAACAGCGCGTGTCTGGTAGACGTCGCATCCCTGGAAAGTATGAGGAACTCGCGCACACGACCTGAGTCGAGTAGCGCGCCTCTGGCAGATCGGGTGCATCGCTTGATGCTCCCCGTGCATTGGTAGAGGCAGTGTGCTCTCCAGAAGTTCAAGACTATTTCGCGTTGCGATATTAGGTTAGAAAAGACAGAGATCAAGAGCCGACCGTTTGCGTCGTTTTCAAAAACGATCCATGCCCCGAGACCCTGAAGCACGATCTCTCTGACCTCGATCAGTAGGCTATACGCAAATGATCATGTGAGCTCATCTCGTGAGCATCGGAAACAAGTGCGTATTCAATCTCGATACGGTATGGTAATGTTCTGCGTTTCGCAAATCAGCAAAGTCTATGCGCTTGGCTGCCTCACGGGCACGCCTGTCGCTCTGTCTGAGGACTCCGCTCCGACTCCGCCGCGGCCCTGCGGGCGACACGTTCGGTTCCCATTCTGGAGCAGTCGTGCGCCCAAGTTCGCCGTTCGCACGCCGACTGTACCGCACTGTTGCATATATTCCGCACGACATCTGCTCCGTCACCAGCGGGAACATGCGTGCGGTGCTATTCTGGCTGCTTACTCGATCGCGTAGCAGTACAAGTTAGCGAGTCCTTACGCGATGTGACGGCTTTTGCACATCGCAATGAGTTCGGCACTGGCACAGCGTATACTCCAGACTGCCTTGGCGGTGGCGCGAGTCCGCTGCCACATCGCCTAGGAGCGTTGCATCAGCGACTGTGCCGAGCTTCCTCTGCGGTTTGAGCTTCTCGTGAACTCGGATCCGTTACGGTTCCATTAGATGTCCCGTTGTGGTCCAGAGTCGGCGATTCGGGAGCAGCAGTTGGCCAGCTCGCGATGGCCGCCTCAGCAGAACGGCGGCTCAGTGCGGCGTTGTGCCAGATTTCCCATTGCTGAAACTCCTCCCGAAGCTGCTCGTTGCGTCGTATCTCAGTGACAATGGCTTCGACTTCAGCCTCGCGACGAGTGAACGATTTGAGCACTTCGCGGCCGAGAAAGAGGCTCGTCTCGAAACTCTCCGGAAAGGATGCGTGCACCCCAATGCTTTCGAGGTAGCGTCGCTCTTCGAGATTGCGTGCCCGGGCAAAAATCGGAATCTCACGAAAAGCATTTCGAATCGTTTCAATTGTTTCACGAAAATCCTTGGTGTCCATAAAGTGACTCCCATGGAAGGTGATCACGAAAGCGGCAGGCGCTACAATCCCCATTGCCCGCAGCGCATCTACATTTCGAACGTCTGCACAGACACAGGGAACGCTGAGCTCTACGGCGCGCCTCACGACGAGTGCATCACGATCAAAGGCGATGTAGGGTATAATTTTCTTTGCCAGCATACAGCTGACAATCCGTCCGGCCAAGCCATAGCCACAAATGACAACCATATCGTTGAGGGCATGATCACCAGGGATGATCGCCTTCAGTTCCTCGGGTCCTGGTATAGTATTTGCGTCGACCACATCTCCCGGCAGCGTCTGTGTGGACTCAGACGGTACCGCACTTGCAGCAACGACGGCGGTGTCGCTGTCGGAGGGCACAGGCGCCATGGCGGCCTGCTCCTCCGTCTCCGGAGCGTGGTCGCCTTTTGCGGTAGCTGAAATGTCTGCTTCCATGGCAGGCTTTTCTGGCGCGTTTGCAGCCGAACCCGAAGGACGGAAGAGGCGGGCGCCAACCTCTGCCAGAGCCGGTGTCAAGGCCATCGATGCTACGACCGCATCAATCAGAAGTGCGTTCACGGGTTCCGGCAGATATCCCAAACGTTTCGCCAATGCAAACGCGACAAAGGCGAACTCACCTCCCTGTCCGAGAAGCAGACCAACTCGTGCCGCCTCCGACCAGGTCGGGAGAAAAGGACGCCCCACGAGCGTCGCGATCGACGACTTTGCCACGAGCAGTGTTGCAATTAGCGCAGTTAGAAGCAGCGGCTCCTGCCAGAAAAGATTCAGATCAGCAGACATGCCGGTCGTGATAAAGAATAAGCCTAGGAGCATTCCGCGGAACGGCTCTACATCCACAGAAATCTCGTTTCGATAGTCGCTCTCCGAGAGGAGCACACCTGACATGAATGCTCCCAGCGTCATCGACAAGCCCATGTGGTCTGTCACCCAAGCCGTCCCCAGTACCGTGAGCAAGACCATCGCTGTGAAAGTTTCCGGAGACTTGGACTCCTTCACGAGATCGAAAATGAAGCGCAACGCCGCCCCGCCCACAAGAACGAGCGCTGCGAGACCGCCAATCGCCTTGATTACAGTCAAACCGAGTTGCTCCGATATCTGCTGCAACTCGTGCCAGAATCCACTCGGAGTGCCCATGCTTTCAGCGACTTCGCCTAGATCAGACAACAACGGCAGCAGCACGAGGAGCGGAATCACCGCAAGATCCTGAAAAAGGAGCACCCCGAACGTAGCCAAACCAATTCGGGAGTTCTGCTCTCCACGCTCCTGTAGAAGCCGCAGGACGAAGGCGGAAGACGACAGCGAGAGCGCCCCGCCAATAACGGTCGCCTCTTGCCAACTGACACCGTCGCCACCAACCAAGTATGCACCGAGCCCGAGTATTGCCGTTGTCATCGCCATTTGCAGGGTTCCGAATCCGAAGACGTACTTGCGCAGCACGCGCAGTCGTTTCAAGGACAGTTCAAGGCCCATTTCAAACAATAAGAATAGGACACCAAAGTCAGCAAGCGCCGTGATATCCTCCACATCACGGACGAGGCGCAGTCCGTGCGGCCCCAAGATAACACCAGCAAGCAGGAAACCTAGTATGGGCGACAAACGGAGTTTCTTGAACACGGGAATCGTCAACACCGTCGCCGCAAGCAGTTCAAGTGCGTCCCGCAGCGCAAACGCAGTGCCACCACTCTCGCTCACCAGGTTCCGCAAGGTAAACGCCGTGCAACGACCAGTGTTCACTCGCGAGGTCCCAGGTAGCGCCAAGCGCCGCCGAGGAGCAAACTGCCCGGAAAAGATGTGCCTTGCTGAGCAAGGTTTCGTGCCACTTCGCGACACATTGCAGCGGTCAACGTTCGCTGCACAGCAGTTTGGGCGTTCGCCTCGTGAATGCGTTAGCGCTGGTGCCTTCGCGGAAACAACCCACGCTGAAAGCCTCGCTGGGTACGCCTGGGTTGTAACTCGGACTCTGGCGCTGCAGGAAACGCACTGCATTGACCAAGAGACGAATAGTACCGTCTGCAGCGTGCTTTTGCGTCCCCACGCAGCCTGACACCAGCACGAACACTGTGTCCAGAAGCAGTAGTAGCAGTAGCAGGATTCCGCACTTCACCGGCAATGGGCGTTCAGCCGACGACGTTCTAGTCAGGGCGCGTCGCGATTTTTTCAGCGCATTTTCGTAGAAAGAGCAGGTATCCGCGCATAGGCACTTGATATCAACGGTCGGGAGAGCGTCCAACATCCCATATCCCGACTCCAGAATCCGTTGCTAGTCCGTCTCGTCGGACGCACTGGCCACTGTATAGGTACCTGAGTACGCAGAGCTTGTCTTGAGCGTCCGCAACTGCGTCTCTAGCGGTGCCGCTGCGGACGCAGCACGGAAGCAGAGCGGCTCTGGTATACTACTGCGGGCGTCGAATCGAGGTATGGGTCAACCGAGTCGGGTTCGGGACGCATCGTCTTTGATTTGAGTATAGAGAGTCTGCTTGCCGAGGTCTGTGTTCGCGTTACGACGCGTTGGAGAAGCTTGGTCGTTGGCGAGCACCCCAGGGACCGAGTCTCGCCTTTGCTACCATATGTGAAACTCGTCCCCGTTTCGTGACGCTAGCACCTGCTCCGCAACGTCTCGTGAAGAGGCGTACGAAAAAGTGGGTCGGATTTTTCATGCGGATCGCGGAACTTTCCACCTGGAAGGTAGAAGGTGCCGGGCGATGGACGCATGCAGCTGGCGCGAGGCAGTGCATGCCTGGCCGGTTGCCTAGGTTTGGCATGGCGCTGCACTTGTGCATTCGAAGTGCTAACCATGAGGTTCGGGCATCGCATACAGAGCTCGGCAGGGAATGCTGCAGAGCACGGAACTTGCCGGTGAAATGATGGGGCGTTCTTCGATTGCAAAAACGAAAAAGGAGGAAACTGCGGTTCTACGCCGTGCACTGCATTCCGGAACACGGATACCACCATGCCTTTTTTTGCTTCATAGTCGTGCATGCATTTAAGAACGGAACTGTATCCTATAGATATAAGATAGGTCTCGAAAAGACTTTATGCTGTAAATAATCGCCAGAGATGCACGAGCTACCTTGTCCTAGTCGGTCACTCCATGGGTCGCAAGCACGTGAATCACGCTTCTCGTCGTCCGTACCCTGAACGCCATGTATTCAAAGGAGAACACATCAGACTCTATCTGTACGAAAGCGTCGTCGTCAATGTGCTCCATCCGGTGGGATATCCCAGAAATACTACCCCAGACGCTCGACGATATGAAATTTCCGATTCTTTGGTACGCACGTTGATAAATACACACAGAATAGACGATGAAACAAGCGTGCCTCAATTTTAGTCAGTCGCATGCTGGGCAACATGGAGCATCGAGTTCGCACTGAAACGTGAACGCGTACGACAAATGGTACAGAGGCATTTGTCTCACTTGACGAGCGATGATTCGGGAGATACAGTAAACCTGTGTATGGGTACTCGAAGAGCGGCAAACCGGCGTCCGCTCAGGAGAGACAACCGAGCATGCCAATGGTATGCGCTCTAGCGACGATGCTATCGTGCGGTCGCCTTCGAGCCGCCAAAGGCACAGGATCCTGCACCACTCCATTCTTCGTCGAAGCACACTCGGCGGCTTCTCCTTCGCAGTTAGACAACGTTGATTTGGATCATCCGAAATCGGTGAAAGAGCACGCAGTTGAGATCGGCGTTGAGGTGCTCTTCGTGCAAGTGTATTTGTCCAGTGTCAATCGAGTCGAAGGCGTTTTATCTCTCGCCCAACTTCATTGCAACGCTCACGAATCCACGTCCAAGTCGCATGCATCCGTGATACCGCTATCCGACGAGTCGTTTCCAGCCTCCATCAGCCCTGAGCTTTCGTATTGCTCCTCTGCTCGTGCACGATATATAGAAGGCAGGAGCGCTCGCGACGGAAAAGCTGAAGAAAATTTACTTCAGAAATGGCAGCTGCATGCATGCATACATCCATCCAAAAGCGATCTTCGGGCTCAGCGGTCATTCAGCACGTCTGAGCCCAGAAAAAAAAAGCGCGTGTGGAGTCAATCGACCACGTCTATGCCACGCCGCCTAGTAGAATAGAAGGCGAGCAAGGAGAGGGAGAAGAAACCACCAGACAAAACAGAGCAAGAGAATCCAGAGAAGAGGACAACGAATGACAGGAAGGGAAATTTGCCTGACATGAGCATCACTCCGGAACACGAACACGTCACCGGGGAGAAGCTTCCAAAACGAGCGACTTCGAACACCATGAAGGAACACGTAGCTTGGTACTCGAAGAAGGTTCGTCTAGATTGCCTCGACGTGATGCACCTCGTCGAACAATTGTTCACTGGAGTTTCAGACGCTGCGCTGCCAGTTGTCCAGATTCCTCTGAAATTTTGTTTTGATCAAACCTTCGTGCGGCGAAATAACTGATAATCGGGACAGGAGGCGAATACGGTCGAAAAGTAGGATCAGAGATTCGCACATGTGCTTCCTGGGCTACCTTGATACGCCGCTGCACAACGTAAGCTTCGAAAAAATCGACAGCGCATCTGCTAAAATGCATCCAAACATACTCCAAACCTATGTGCGGGTCAATATCGAGCGCTACATGACAAGCTCCCTGGGTGCGTTATACGCGTTGTACCCTCATGTATCTAGCCCGAAAAATGGAGACTGATGGAGGGGATTCTACGCTTCACGCACAGCGCCCATGAACGTGGAGATCGCTCACGCGCACGACCTCGGGCAGGACCGTAAGAGACCACATGGGGGTCGGCAAAGGTTTCGGGCGTCCAGAGGCCAGAGGCCTGCATCCACCAACCTGAGCACGGAGTCGGAAGGCGACATAAGCGAAACGTCCCGTTGTTAGGTGCAGGCCCACAGCACCGGACGTGCTGGAGCGCGAAAGGACTGCACTCCTGTCTCTTCGGCGACAGCGTTGAGTGCGCGCAGGAATCGATTGCTTGCAAGCCTATCAATGCGTCTCGCACGACATACACACATGATGAGCACGAATGCGCGCGTAATCCGTTAGAGAGGAGAAGCGCGTAAACCAGAGTCGGGCTACAAGAGATTCTTGTACTTGAAGCTGATCGAATGTCAGTTATATTGCGATTCCATCAGCGAGCACGCGAGTAAGCGGTTTCTGCACTGCTACCTGAGCACAATCAATCAATATCTGGAGGTGTGGCGTGCGCCCGGAGTATCCATCGGCTTTGTGTCGAGCAAACAATCCTGCAACTCGTTGGGAGCACCGTATGGAGATTGTGCTCAAACGCTGAAGATAGTCGACGAAGAACATCATCCGTGGCCAGGAGAGAGCAGGCATTGCTTCCCGAGCTGGAGCGAGGCACAAGATTGGTCCAGGCGGGAATCCAGCAAGGCTGCATCGCCGCATGTATAGACCGGAAACGATTCTCCTGCTCTATACGAGGGTGAAAATCGTGTTCCCTGATTCGATACCATTGCATATCAGTGACCCGATCCACAGTGTGGCCTATGAATCCGCTACCTCATGCACAGGATGTGTTTGACTCCGCTTAAAAAGGCCTCGACGCCCCGTAACTCGAAAGCTCAGGTCAAGACACCTTGCGATTTCCATCCTGACTGTAAAATCAGCCGTTCCGGTACGGCGTCTCGGTCACTGGTCAGCCCGAATCAGGTCGCTCAATGCGAATCACGACGCAAGGCCTGGCATCCACGGTCGAACGTTTCCGCGATGTAGCGCCGAATGAACAAGCCAAGAGTGCAAGCGACCGGACCACATACACCACTAAGCGACTCACGTTGCCTACATATGCAGGTTACTGTCCACCTGTGCGAAGTATCCACGGTGTCCGATCAGAGCCCCGAGGCAGAGGCACCCGGCCCGCCCACGCCGCGCCTACGTACCCGGTAATCGCCACTGGCAGCTGGCTAAGCGTGTTCACCGTAGACTCGGCAGCCGTCGGATGCCCCGAACAGAGCCAGTCACGGTTCCAAGTCATCGCACCTGTCTTGAACGTGAGCAGCACCAACCCACACAGAAAATAACGTCGACAATCTCCGTGTCTGCTGACACGTCTTCGCAGGTGCAACCGTCTGTCTCGAGGTGTTCGATTTTGCTCCATTGAAAAAACGTTTACCTGTGTCAGCGTTCTCCGATTGTGCGCTTTATTCTTTTCTTACTTTTTTGCGTTATTTTTTCAGTGCACAGTAAAGTATCCATCAAACATCCTACCTCCAAGTTACATTACCTATACTTCATCTCGGATATTCTGGTCGTTTCATACGTCCTATCGAGTGTGCCTAGTACCTGCAGTTCCGTATTCGCCTTTGCACCTTACATGCTAGAGCAGATAGTTCATCGAGCTAGAACGGCGTTGCAGTGCCACACAGAGGGCGTCGGCTTGAGGTGTGCTTCATCCGACGTAGAATTGGGTCTCGTCGTCGGTATGTGCTCAGCGAGTCTGCGGATGCAGGCTTGTCTTCGCTGCACGACACGCTGGAGAAACGTGGCTGTTAGGATATATCCTGGGAGCCGCCTCTCTCCTTCGTGATCATGCATGGAATGCGTTGTTTTCGGCTGGCAATGCGGGTTTGTGCTTGACACCCACCATAGTGGGTAACTGCAGAAAGCGCACTGTGCCCGTGTGCGTATCCGTTTCGCTGGACCTCATACCTGGAAGGTGTCGAGGTGTTCGATACCATCGTCCTCGGCGACTTGCTAGCCACGCGATGCCGTCGCCGCGCGCGCGCGCGGACGTCAGACGCTGCAGTCGTGCAGGTCGAGGTTTTCGTGCTCGCAGGGCCTCTACGAACCCCCGCCGCCTACGAAGACACCGTGTTCGTTGCTGGGGTTAGGCCATGACGCGCGCTGCTTCATCAGGCGCGGATACCTGGAAAACATCCAAAGTTAATGCAAAGCAAGCGCTCGTAGACAGAGCGGTCAATGACGCCCTGGCTTCAACGCTTGTCGTCGAAAACGTTCCCGTGATCCCGGAAAGCAAACACGCGAAACTCGTGAACGTGATTCAAAAGATCTTTTCCCCGTTGGGTGTGATCAAGTATCTTGAAATTCCGCCGACCGGGGGTTATGGGATCGTGGAATATGCTACTGCAGAAGAGGCAGAGCGGGCTCGGAAGCAGACGGACGGTTTTCAGCTCGATAAAGCGCACCGCTTTCAAGTGAGTCTTCTTAGCGATGTGGAGCGGTTGCGTCAGCTGCCTCCGGATGCTTCTTTTGAGCCACCAGCAGAGCTGCTTGCGGAGCTGAGTGACGAGACCGCGCGACACATGGAAACTCGGCCGAACTTGCTATCACACTTGGCGGATCCACGCGGGCGCGATCAGTTCGTCGTCTGCACGGGCGTCGACACTGCCGTGTACTGGGTTGACCCACTGTTGCCTCCGGAACTTGAGCACGAGCGAGCAAACTGGACAGAGTCTGACGTAGCCTGGTCTCCGCAGGGCCTCTATTTGGCGACTTTTCATCGGCAGGGCATTGCCCTCTGGGGCGGCAGCGAGTTCCAGAAGATCGTACGCTTCGAGCATCCACAACCCCGTCTGATACATTTCTCTGGAAACGAGCGGTATCTAGTTACGTTTAATGCCCCGGACTCGCCAGAGCCCTTGGTCGTGTGGGAAACCGGCACTGGTCGCCGCCTAAAGGTTTTCGAGTCGCCCCTGCGTCTGCCGCCGCGCCTCTTGGAGCGTCTCTGGAGCGATGTTCTTGAGGAACGGGCACGAGCGGATGCAGCGAACCCAATGCTCGCGTCCATGCAGTCCGCGGAGTGGAAGCGTATGGAAACAGAACGGGAACGTGGGATGCCGCCTCCAGATATTGGGCGCTTCCCGTGGCCCCTCGTGCAGTTCTCCGCTGACGAGACAATGATGGCGCGACTCGGAGAGGACTGCATTCACGTGTTTGAGATGTTGCCTGATCGGATTGAGCTACTCGATCATCGTCCGGTGAGCGTTCCGGCTGCGCTCGGGTTTGCGTGGTCACCCACCACGCCGAACCTCCTGGCCATCTGGACGCCCGAGGAGGGCCAGTCGCCCGCACGCGTCTTGCTGCTGGAGATGCCAAGCCGCCGCGAACTGCGACAGAAAGCCCTGTACTCGGTCGCGAATATCGAACTCATCTGGCACCCGCAGGGCAAGTACCTCGCCTGCAGAGTCGAGCGGTATACACGCAGCAGAAAAGGTCGATTCACAAACTTTGAAATATTCCGTGTGAATGAAAAAGACGTACCAGTGGAGACGCTTGAGTTCTCCGAACGCGATAAGGTACTAGCGTTTGCGTGGGAACCCAAAAGCGACCGATTCGCGATTCTGCATCAGCAACATTTGCCACCGAATACAGCAGCAGCAGCAGCAGCAGCAGCAACGACGACGACGCCATTGGGCGGGCTCGGAACCGCTGCTGGAGGCGTTGCCGGTGCCATGGGCCTGGCAAGCGGCTCGACGCGCCCCATGGTGACTTTCTACGAGGTCCAGAAGGATACCGTACGGACCCTGTTCAGGCTCGAACGGAAGCAGTGCAATCGAATCTGCTGGTCACCGACAGGTATGGGGCATGTTCTGCTGGCAGGCCTCGGCAGCATGGGAGGCGTCCTCGAGTGGTGGAATGTTGCCGACCATGAGCTCATGGGCGTTGATGAACACTTTGCCTGCTCCGACATCTGCTGGGATCCGAGTGGCCGCTTCGTGTGCACCTGGGTGAATGCGAGCGCTTCCCGTATTGAGCATGGATATCAACTCTGGACGTTTTACGGGCGGAAACTTGGTGCGCCCCATTTTATGGAGAACCTTTTTGAGTTTTCCTGGCGCCCGCGCCCCGCCAAGTGGTTCCTATCTGAGCAGGAGGAGCGGGAAGTACGCAAGAATCTGAAACAGTACCGTGCCAAGTACGAAGCCGAGGATACAGCGATGCGCGCCCATCGACGTCGTGACATTCGAGTTGCCCGCCGGGACGCGCTCGCGGAATGGCAGAAACTTGTGGAACGCAACCGTGCGCGGTATCGAGCGGAGACAGAAAAACGTGCAGCGCTATGGAAGCATATCCCCGGGGGCGAGCGCCATATCACCGATGCGCTCGCAGCGGATGCGGAAGGCGCTGCTCCCGGTGACGACGAAGTCCTCGAAGAATGGGTCGAACAAGTCCTTGAGGTCGAAGAAAAGGTGCTCGAAAAATATTTGGACGAGAACGACGAGCGGGACTGAACGTGAGCATCGTTGGCCTGGGATTCAGCGACCTACATTGGCGCGTGCTCAGCTATATAGTGGACCGCGACGCGAACAAGCCGTCTGAGGATGCCGTTGCAGCTGAGGCGGTGTCTCTAGGACTGCATATGCCGGACACACGAGCTGATGAGAACGCGAGTGCCACCTGCTGTCCGCGCGGTTTGGTTGGATGCGCTCCGATGGGGTCCCGATTTCCCGAGAGCGTCTGGACGAGTCATACAGGGACCGTGCTGCCTGCTGGCGCGGCAACACGCTTTAGACGCGACGTGTTGCGGCTGAGCGCGTAGCAAGACTTGCGCTCGAATGCAATGGAAACGAGTACTGGCGATAACCCGCTCGCGATTTCGTGTTCGTACCGACCACTCGGTCGGGAGCAGGGATCAATGCGTACTTGAAACGAGCGCCGGCAATCATGCGCCCGCGATATCGTATCCTAATGAGCAACGCCGTCGAGAGCAGTGCTCTGTGGTGTCCCCGGCTCCATGTGTCTAGCCAGACGCATTTGCGCAAAGTATTCATTCGGATGCTCGACAAGTCGCAGAGAGGCTATCGATAGTCGCTGCGAATCGCCGTAAACCCGTGTCAGTGTCTCCGATGGAGCAGCAGTGCCGGCCTCATGCTGCTGCTGCTGCTGCTGCTCCTCCTCCTCCTCAAACCGGTTACCGCGATGCTGCAGCCCGGATCGTAAGCAGCCCGCGCACGCACGCTGTGGCTGTCCAGCTGCAGCATACCGAGTTATTTCCTCAATGTCCATGGGATCTGTGATCCGTAAGTGCGTTCGCACGGCTTGTTCAAGCGCTGGCTGGGCGAGCTCTTGAAAAGGACATCCGTGGTGCTCACCTGCCCCCGGGCGCATGTCTAGTATGCGCGCACAACTAAAGGCTGGACAATTTTTCCGTTTGCCCTCGAGGCCGTAATTATAGCGAATGCCGTACGCGTACTCGCGTTCAAATTCATGATTCGCGATAGGTCGTCCATTACTGTTGACGCGAAGAGCGTCTCGCCAGAACTGGAGCGAGTCGGATAGCGTGAATCCAGCCTCTTTGAGAAAGAGACCGAGCTGGAGGCGCCCTCCGTGCCGCAGATGTCCGCATTGTCGTAAGCGCTCCAGCAGCAGTCGCATACACAGCGGCATATCCGGAATGGCGGTATCGAGCTCCGTCAAATGCAACTCGGTACCCAGTGGTCGATCGATGCCGTGCAAGCGTCCAGTGCCGCGTATTCGGGTTCGCTTCCAAGCACTGTGTTGTTCTCGCAGGTAGAGCAGAATCGGGGTCAGGCGCTCACGGAGACGGGTTGCTTTGGGCGCCACCGCGAAGTGCTGCTCCGCGGTTGCGGTACCTCGGCGCAGGAATATTTCATACCACCCGAGGACGAGTTCATTTACGGCTAATGCCGGTACCCAGGCGTAGCCGGCTTGTAGCCAGAGTTGTCGGTGACGTACCCATTGCAAGACGAGCTCGAACGGCACGCGAAACATGGGCAGACCCATGTTCTCCAGGTTACCAGTCCCAGTGTGTCCCAGGTTTTTGAGCTGTTCGTGGATCAACGGATAGCCATCGCCTCGCAACGTATCGTAGACTTCTTTCGGGGCCTTTTCGCCAGGTACCGCCTCCAAGAGCGGCCGCGGGGCAGCACGCAGCTCGGGTGGTGCCACCTGCTCGGCTAGCGCAACGAGGCTGTCGATGCTGCGCAAACTCAGGGCACGTCGTCGCAGTCGAAAGCGCAAAAGTTGCCGTTCCGCTTGGATCCACCAGTCTCGCGCGAACTCAAATGAACCGAGCGCCAGTCGCAGAATAAAGTGCGACCAAGCGTCGGCCTTTCCAGGGTACTCCTGCAGAAACCGGTAGGCAGGCGAGCGTAACATACGCTCGATTTGCGCCTCAGCCTCAGCCGGCTCCAACTCCGAGTCGCTCAGCTCTTGGAGAAGCGCGAGTCGCTGCAAACCCCAACCGAGAAGCTCACGCAAGGTGCAAGAACCCGCTGAACACGTGAGGTAAAGCGCGTGTTCGGTAGCGTTCGCAGCGCCTGCATCACCTGTACTTTGCAAGAAGACGAGGCCGCCAGAGGCTCTTCTGCTATGTAGCGCCATGCCTATTACAGGAACCCCCAGGCTTGCGGATCGACGCTAAGATTAAACTTGTCTTTGGTCAATCAAGTCTGGAAGAGCCGCTGCGAGCACCCTGTCCCCGTTTCTGTGTATGTATCTAGGTGGCTGTGCCCGAGAGAGACAGGAACCCAGGAGGCCGCGCTGGATCGCCCGATCGCCGATGGCGCCAGCTGTGCAGCCAGCATCGCGCCATCTGGTGTGTTTCGCGCCAAATCGACGCTCTCTGGGTTGTATCGATCGACGGGTGCGCGCACCACACGCGAATTCGATTGCATCCTGGATACGCAGGCAGTCGGGGAACGCGTCCATTGCTCCATGATCGATCTCAGACGAAATGGTCATTTCGTGTGTTCTGCCGTATTCACGCGCGTTTGCGCTGCGGGGTGTCGCGGGGGCTCGCTACTAGCCGGCGGACACGTACACCATGGACGAGGGGTGGTAGGGATCGCTCCCCTGGTGGTGCCTGCGTATCACAAGACTGGAAACGGGGGAACGTTTGTGGTGCAAACTCCGAGGGCGCGAAGGAATCGACTGCTGCACTGGGGCTATGTGCGCTGCGTCGTGGCAAGCGCTGCAGTGCGACTCGCGCGACTTCACCGCAACGCAGTTCTTGTTGGCTGAGGAAAAGCAGGACAAGACAGAGAGGCGCCCAATACCCGAAATTTGCCTCAGTTGCAGCGTTCCAACACCGTGTCGTTGCACGCAGTGGCCAACGGCTTTGCCGATTTATTGCTCAGCGGAGCTGCGACCGAGAGAGACCCAGCCTCGCGCCAGGTCAGCCATGCCTCCACGCAACGCCTATGAGTGTTTCACAAAGCTATCCGGTTTCCATGTCTCTTCCAGTGCGTCAACGGAACGACCAAAATTCAGTTCACAAGGAGGAATCGTGACTCGGGCTAACGGAAACGTGAAGACGCACCTCAAAGCACGGCGGTATGCTTCGGGTCGCTGGCTGGACGCGCGCCATCAGGCGATGCTGTATGTCGATCGATCAATCGATCGATCGATCGATACAACGCCATCCATATCGTACGACGCGTTCGCGTGGCAGTCCATCATTCGACCAACAACAGCTATCATCCATCATGACGTGCTGAGGCACGTACCGCAGTCGACCGGACCAGCTGGCGGCGGAACTGAGGTTTCGCTTCACTAACGCGAAATCGACCCAGTGTATTCACCCGGAACCGTGCGTCAAATCAGTGCTGCCGGGCATCTTCAGCTCGAGGACCCTGCTAATGACTGGTCACCTCGAATATGCCTCGCGATCGCCCTGGATCTCGATTGCATCGTGAATGGGAGTGCGTTGCGGATAGTGTGCGCCCGAGCTTTGTCTTGTTGCAGGGCGGGTTGCGTTTGCGCTTACGTCGACCACGCTCCACTGGCAGATGCTGGCAGAATGGTGCACAGGTAACGGCTTGCTTGGTTACGTCTCATGCTACGGGAGCTACTCAGCGCAGTAGCGTCCGCGCCTGCAAACCCACGAAATAGAGGTACGTGGTTTATGGCGACAATGGTATCCGTCGAAAGGTACCGATGCAGACACCCCGGGACAATGGGAATCCTGGGGAGAACCTCAGACCGAATGCCGCCCCCGGATTTGTAAGCAACGACGTTGCTTGTGCAGCACGTGACACGTCGTTTATCATTATCATCATCATCATCGTCGTCGTCGTCGTCGTCATCTCCGTCGGGATTCGTAGAGAGGCTTTCCAGACTGGGCCTCAGCCACAGCGCTGGGCGCACGGGCTGCTGCAAAGGCGCCGATGCAGCCATCCAGTGTCTGGTGCTGAACTCGTGCCCGTTATTGATTTTTGGCGAAAGCACACGACTGCAGATAGCTCTGAACCCCGATCCCAGTTCCATTAGCCGAAAGGGCAATCGGTTTTTGTTCGCCTCGTGGCGCTCTGCCTCGCCTGCGACGAATGTAATCGACGCGCCATACGGGCAGTTTACCACTACCGCCGTCAACGCCGAGCTACCAACGACGCTGTAACACCGCAGATGCGGTTTCACGCTAGAAGGGCGACTCAGTCGCACTTGGGGAGCAGCTCCTTTCGCACTGCACAAAAAACGCAACGCAGCCAGGCTGCACGGCCGGTTTTGGCGCTTTTGCGGCGGCATTCGCCCAAGGGCACGCACCTACGCATATGTTCTGCGGACGCTTGCTCTATCGATGTACCGCGCACGCACGTACACGCTTCCCGTAAGGCACTAGGTGAAACCGCGCATTGCTTTCTAAAGTTTGATCTGCGAAAGCCAACCCGAGGAAGCTCGCCATCGCGCAGGACACTACAGAAGCAGCACACAAACACCCTTGAGCGTGGTCTTTGAGTCCTATGAGCGGGCTCGCCTCATTGGGCATAAAGTAAGCGCAGCAAGGCCGTATACGGCGAAAGGCTGTACACCCATCCGCCCCGAGTGCACCGGCGAAGAGCCTGATCGCGCGCTGCAGCGCACCAATGCGTTACTTTTAGAAACGGGACATATCGGACAGGGATCGAGTCTGATTCATTTTCAAATTTCAAGGAGAAATTCGTTCAGCTGTCTGGGTCATGAGGCGCAGCGCTGTGCTCGGCGAGTGCTCGCCTCAAGTGACTCGTGCAAAGCGATTCGCTGTCCTTGAGTGGAGAAGCTGGGTATGGCTCGGACGAGGAACCAGGCACAAAGCGAGTTCTCTTCTGAACAGCGGACCTGTCTACCTTCGGACGACCGCGTGCTCGGCGGCCCGCCGACCGTCGACTCCGCAACGCCTACCTCTTCAGCGATGCGTGCAGCGTCCAGCAGGCAAGCAGGCAGCGTGTTCAACGCTGACTCGGAACGTCCGAGCAAGTCGGCGAACCGCTCACCGACGGTAACGAGTGCCGCGCTCGACACCGGTCAATACGGACAGACGAGCTGTCGTCGGGCGACGCGACCTACGGCGTCAACACAACTGGACTACGTGGACGAGTCCAAACTACCGCAAATACCACCCAGTGTGAATGGACGCGGACCGTGGCAACCATGTGAAGATGAGAGGCTCAAGGCCCTGGTGAATATGCTTGGCGTCGGTGCTTGGCCACGAATTGCGCAGTACATGGTCAATCGCTCCGGGAAACAATGTCGCGAACGGTATATCAACAACTTGGCTCCGGGAATCGTCAAAACCGAGTGGACGCGCAACGAGGAAATGCGTCTCGTGCAATTACAAGCGATCTATGGAAACCGCTGGTCGGTCATTGCGAAAGAGTTTCCCGGTCGAACAGATAATGCTGTCAAAAATAGGTTCAATAGTTACCTGAGGAGGCTGGAGTACCAAAAGCGCCAGCAAACAGAAGCCCTGAAGAAAGAACGACTTCGGCAAGAACGCGCGCGTATCACTGAGGAAATCAGTAAGCAAAATCCGTCGAAACGACGAGAAAAGCTCCCAGACGTACGCCCTGCCGCTTTGGCGATTCCGGTACCCGATGAGGACGCAGCCGCAGTGACCTCACCCCGCGGGATCGAATCCTTACCGCGGTCGTTTTCGGGAAATTTGCACATCCATGATGTTCGAACGACCTGTTCCAGGCCAGAACTCAAGCGCAGACGAAGCGGTGAGCGCTCCTCCACGAGCACATCGTTTAGTGCGCTGGGATCAGAGGCGCTCGCGCAGCCGCTGCTTGCATCCGGTGCTGAGACGACAGCTCGACTCCATCAAGACGTCGAATTGCCGCCCTATGAAACCGATATTGAACACCGTATTGAGGTGGCCTTTCTACGATCCTCACCTGACTCGTTTTTGTCGCATGAAAATGCGATCGGTGCCGAGCTCACATCTCCAGTCCTGAGCGATATCAAATCGGTGCTCTTTCCAGAGCAGACGGCATCTCCAGCCAGGTTTGACGCATTGCGCAATGTGCTTAGCGAGGAGGAGTGCTCTCTTCTCGATAAGTATGCAAACCTGAAATTTGCCGAGCAGCAGACGGGTACCTCGCGGGACGCTGTCCGCGAAGTAGGTTCTTCACGAGCTCCGAGTCTACTGCTCACGAAAGCGGAGAGCGCCAACACCGAAAGCCAGCCCGGTGACACGACAGCGACCTCGCCAGCGTACTACGACGCACTCATAACACCGGTGACCCTGCGACCCAACGTCCAAGTCTCGGAAAAGTTGCCCATTGGTTCTCATACATCCCGTAGCGAGTTGCTTGACGACCAGTTACGGTACTTGCTCAACGAATGAGCGCTCATGACCTGGTTCAACTCGGGTGTTTACAACGCGATCGTCTCACGACGGAGTGCAGCAGCCAGGTTCAGCGCAAAACCCGTGGGTCATCGCAGCCGGTGTTTGCGCTGACCTCGTCTTTGGAACAGTGGTCGGGCTTGCTAGAGGCGGTTGGTCGACGATTTCCGTATACTGCACTGCTTGCGGGAAATAATCTTCTACTCGAGGAAAACAGGCCCAGACAAACGTTGAAGACTCTCCCGCAACCGGTGGTTGCAGGACCCCAAGAGAGCGATTGCCTTATGGCTCGGTTCAAGTCCCCTGTCGAGTAAACTTGGGTTCTTCGGGTCACGAGGAAATCGCTCGAGCGCGACAACGCCAGCGATTGCAACTAGTCATTGCCAGTGCTGTGCTTTGCCAGCGAGCGGGCTATTCGCAGTTGAGCGAACGCCGCGCTGTTTTCTACGGCGTGTTCCCTGGAGGCGTTTTCCGGCGAAATCGTGTCTATATGAACAGCTGGAGCATTCCTTTCAGGTTACACAAGTCCGGAAAAACACCAGGAAGTTGATGTATTCTGGACGCTCTGGAGTGCAGCTCAGCTAGACAAGGATGGATACACAGATAGAGATGGATGCCATCATGCTGGGCGACTTTGCGAGTCTCAGCGCACACAACTTCTCTGGTGCTGTGAGTGCGATGGGCGCATGGCATTTCCTGACATGTGAGTGTGCGTCACTAAATGTATGGTTTGCATACGCAGCAATCAAAGATTGCAAAGCGCACCAGCTATTAGCACTGACCGTTTCAGAACACCATGGATGGGTCGAGGTGTCTTGCTCGGGCGTACGCGCTCGAGCATCGCAAATTCTTCCCAGAACAACGAAAACCAGCCTTTGCGGACTTTTTCTGGGACTGCTTCCGCCGCTTCCCTCTTATCTCCAGCTTGACACACACCTGGCTCTCCTTTCGCTCGAGCTCTATTGTTAGCAGTCAATGGATGTTGATGGCAGCGTTCAATTCCAGACAGCTGCGACCAGCTGTTCACGACGCAGTTCATGTACAGGTGCGCGTAGCGATGTACAGCTCGCTTGCTATTTTCATGTTGCTCGTATGTAGCCTCGGTGCGCCGGTCGCAATGGTAACACGTGCCTGTCGTTGGGCGTACCCGTCGGTCGAACTCGCCTGCTCCTGCTCCTGTTCCGAGAACCGTTCTAGGGCGCGTGAACGCTTGCAGGGTCGCTCGCTTCATGCCATGAACGGATACCGAAGGCTCGCCTCGATAACCGCTTCCTTTACGGCGCCCGGTGCCGTGTCCTCCGATCACGGGCTTCTTGTGGCACGCCGCTCCGCGAGTACGCTGTCCGCTCCACGCGCAAGCGCACGCTGCTCGGTTCGATAGAATATTTGTGGAACGCTGTGTTGTCGGTGATGAAACAAGTACCGAGAGGAAAACCCAGGTCGGCCATCAAGTCTGGAAACTTCGAACCGTTTACAGTTGCTTCGTGCGAGGCGTTAACGTACGCTCCGCTGCCAGCGATCGCTGCGATGACCCAAGAGCAGGTCCAAGGCACTTTGCCATGCGAAAAGAAGAAGCGGGAGGCTCTCGGAGCGTACGCCGCCAGAGATGTAATGATACTGTGGAATGCTCTGTCGTCGATGGCCGAGAAAAGCATGCAGGTTCGTCTCTTGAGCGGCATCGAGCATTTGACGTGACAAGCTCAATAACCGTGCTGCATGTGCATATGAAAATGTTCTTATGATACGACAGAGAGCTCTTGTCCCTGGACGATCCAGCGACGCCGATTGCCGCGCCCACGAGCTGCCATGCACCGGAAAATTGGAAAACTGGAAAAATGTATTCTTTGAGCATGCTGCTCGTAAAGAACAGTGACAAGTAGAAGCTTTTACCTATGAATGGGATCGCGGTACCGGTAATGTTACAAACTCCTGTTCGATGACCTTGTGAATCATCGTGATTCCATTAGCGTGATGAACTCCAGCGGCGGAGCGTCGAACCAGACACCCCGGAAACACGAGCGCCGACCCTAAAACCTCACATGCATCCGTATGCGCTTCTCACTGCACTTGGAATGCCGACGCCGTACGTCCATCAAAAATTCGGAACCAAATTGAAAGCCCAGAACCGCACAAGCAGTTCAGGGTTCCGTATGCATCTGACACGGGTCTAGCGGGCGCGCCACGGAAACCCCCGCTGGAATCGACGGATGGCCAGTCTGTGTCCACGATTCCGACAGAAATATACCAGCAATGGCTGTCCAATTCAAAGCCAAAGCACCGCCATCATCGACTGGTATACGAAGCACATACGTTAAAAAAATCCCGCGCACAGCGTACATTTGGAAGCGGTCGCCAGCAGCAGGTGCCGCACCGACACCGACACCGCACCATTGCAGTCATCTGGCAGCGTTCACGAAATCATGCGGGTACGATATGCGCTCGGATCGAGCGATTCTCGACCATAAAGTACCATTCCGCAGATGCAACGTGACTCCACCACGAGTCAAGCTGAATTGCTCATTCTGCACAGAAGGCTCGGTACCCACGCACGCTGTACCATCAGGGAGACGAGGCGCTTCACACTGCAGCGATCTACGGATAGCGGGCAGCCGACTGTTCGCTGCTTTTCATAACCTCCGTTCCCGAGGACAACTTTGCTCTGGATGAATCACGACACAGACATACCTGTCGAGGAACGAGCACCCCTTCCCCGATACCAAGCCACGCACGTGTATCCGAGCGTGGCCTGTGTGCAACGCCCCGAGCAGCATCCGTGCGGGGGGCGTGCCGGCCGACACGTCACAGGCGGCCGCCGCTGCAGCTGCCGAATCGGGCGCTGTGCCGCCGGCATTTCTCCCGCGACACGAGATCTTGTTTGCTGTCCCGAGTCGTGTTTGATTCTGGGGAGATAAGGCCAGCGCCTGGGTGAGTCGACAACTCTATTGTTTTTGTTTTGCGTTGGTGAGCTTCATGGATAGTGTCATACGTGCATCGACACCTGGTAACGCAACACCGACGGACGCAAGTCTGGTGTCCTTTTTTCACGAGTACCCACGCATCATCGGTGCGAGTAACGACTTTCAGGTAACCGTAGGATACTTTGCTGGGATTGGGTATACTGCGATACCTTATTTGGCTGTTGCGCTATTTTTCCTTATTGTTGGTGTAGTCTTCGTTTGTGTCCCTTGGCGTGTGTTGCTCTGCTTACCTCGACGACGGCCTCGTCCGCTGGTCTCCGCTCCCGAGCCCGCAACCTTCTTCTACGCGAAAAAGGTAGCGTCCGATGAGAAAAGTCCCGATCTTTTTTCTGAGGAAGACACGAGTACAGAACCATCAGCACCTGTACTAGACGAGGAAATATCAACGGTGGCAGCGGAGACAGCTCCTCCAGCTTCTAACGGTTGTCGGTTTCTCCCTCCGCCGCTGTGCGCCGTGTACCCGGTGAGCGCAACGATCGGACTCGTGCTCATGGCAGGTGCAGCTGCCGTTGCTCTTGCAGGTGTGATCGTCTCTCACCAGACCCTGGACGATACGCTCGGTGTGGTGCGCGGGGGATCCCACGCGGTACGCCTCGAGGGCCGTGCCGTTGTCTCCCTCTACACGAACGCTTCGGGGGAGCTTCAGAGCCTGGTGACGAGTTTGGAGTCGGTGGTGAGCTCGAGTTCGCTTTCGGGGCTGAACTTTAGCGATATACCAGCTCAGGCGAGGAGCATCTACCGCGACGTGGCGAACGTTCTGAACAGTCTCGACAGTGGCTTGGGATCGGTGAATCTCGCAGAATCGATCCACTTCGGTTTGATGTTGGCCTGTGCGATTGTGCTTTTGGTGTTGGCTTTCTTGACTGCTGCGGCATTCTACTTGTCAAACCGTTTTGCGATCCGGAGCGCTTCCGTGGAAACCGCACGAGTCCATTCGGATGACCCGGTTACACTGAATCAGAGAAGGTCTCGGTGGACGAAATGGTTCCTGCGAATCACGCTCCTGGCTCCAGTCTTGTTTGCAGCGCTTTCTTGGGTAGGTCTGGGCGCCTCTGTTGTCTACGGTGTGCTCAATGGGGACCTCTGCTCGGCCGCGAGTGCACGCCAGGTACAGTTGCTTCGCGGTGAGAACATTCATGGGGAAACTGGTGGTCCCGATCACATATCGTCTCACTCGCTAGACCATTTGATCTACTGTCCTGCTGTAACCAGCCTCACGCATGTCTTGGATGAACAACAGAGAGATCTGGACAAAGTCTCAACTGCGCTGGAGCCGCTGCTGCATCACAACATCACACTGCAGAATTACAAACAAGTTATTCAGGACTTTGAATCCACCGGAGGGTTCCGCGCGACGCTCCTCCACGGCGTTCTGACTGAGGGCGAACACATTCTTGACATGTTGAGCAACGGAACGCAAATTCTGGAGCAGTGGCGAGCCTGTGGACCCGTCCTGAACATTTTAGCGGATGCGCTGCAGGAGCAGTGTAACAGCGGAATTCAAGCGGCCCTGTTGGCTTTTATTGGTTTCATTCTTTGTGTTGTCTTTGGGTCGATTCTTCTGTTTTACATTGTCGGCTGCAGCAAAGCACAGAATCAGGCGCTTGGTCTCTGAGTAGGCAGACGCCTTTGCCCAGCAGCGTTTTGCACAGCTTCGGGTCGTTACGAAGACGCCACCGCTAAAAATGAAGTACGAGATGATGCTCCTTGGCTATCGCTTCTGTTCTTGCATCGATATGCCGGCAGCCAGTCGTGGTAGAGAACACCGTGCGGCGACGCGTCCCACAGATGTCAACGATCGTGACCAGGATCTTCCGATGACGACTTCGCCTCGCATGGAAGAGGAATGGCGTACACTTAGGTACGCTTGCGCCTGGCCGACGAGCATGTCAGCGCCCACTGCAACCAGTGCGTACCTGTCGGAGCCTCTGCACCCGCTTCAGATTGAAACGGAATCCATAAGTGCGCACTCTGTTCCAGCCTCTCGAGTTTTCGTCGACCGTCTCTTAAGATGTGGATCCTTTACATTCTAGTTACAGCAAAAAGGCATAACGGATGTATGTGTCGTTCTATGATTCAAGGTCGCTTTTTCGGGTGGCACCTTCAACGCATTGCTGCTCGAAACTCTTCTCGTCACCGGAATCAAGAGGATTCGTGACGTCCCTGAAGAGAGGCTTTGTAAAATAAACTATGCGACTATCCAAATCATATGTACATTTCTCCGGTTTTGTTAGTTCCTTTCATGTAACACACTCACTTCACTCATTCTCTTTTATCTGTCTTTCTGTTTGAAGGCAAATCGCGGGCAACACCAGTGGCGCCGTTGAATGACGATAAAGGTACTCTACGTCGTCGCATGATGATTGTTCATAAGCTGATGCCGAACCGTACCGGGACTTGGCATACCAAATAAGCGACTCCGTTCGAACCACAAATCCTCATACGATTGTCACCATGGACGAGACGGAATCCAACAGAAGCATCATATCCCACAAAACTTATGCATACCGAGGCTCATACGGCTTCCGCTTGTGTGAAAAACGGGTCGTGGGCTCGGACTTGATTCATCGAAGTGATCGCGTCGAGTAGAGCGTGGGTCACCGATTTGCCCGAAGACTACATAGAGGAATCGAGTCATCTCGACTTGTTCTCAAGCCGGGATGGTGCTTTTCCGGTACTTATTTCATCACGGGCAACATCTCGTGCCACAAATTCTTTATCGAATCGAACAGCGTACATGTATTTGTGCAGCAGACAGCGTCTGCACCGACGAGATCGCCCAGTAGATGCCCGCGACCGCAGAGCGTGCATGGGCGCTGCAACGGAAGAGGGCATCCAGTTGACCCATCTGCGCTGTTTAAGTACATGTACCGAGCCATTAAGCAAGTCTTCAAGCGCCACTGGGTGAAGCCTCGATGGGGAGCACGAGCAGGCCCGATCGACATTTACTCGTTCCTGAGCATGTCCAAGTGTCACCGCTGCAATGGGCGCACCGAGCCGGTGTTCACTCAAGATGAGAATGGCGGGCGAACCGCGGATCGCAGGTTTTGTATGTACAGGAAATACGTCAACGACAGCTCAAGGTTGTGAAATCGGAACTAGAACGCTGTCATCAATATCCTTCGAATGCTGAAAACGAAGCGAGAGAGACAGGAGACGCCAGTGCATTCCAATTCGGAGAGCAGCGAGTGTTCAAGGAACGAACTCCCAGAAAAAGTCCGCAGAGGCTGATGCTTCTGATCATTGGAAGAGACCAAAAACTGACCTTATTCGCCGGTGTCCGACACCCCAGTACCGTCTTATTCCGACAAGGGTATTCAATGTGCCTCGCTTTTCTGTAAATCATCCAGAAACTGAATCGTCCAGATTCCTGCATATGCCAAGCGCATCTGCTGGAGACTGTGCGATAACCTGGAGGCTGCAGAGCACTCGTACTCGCAAAGTGAAGCCTTCAGCCCGCGCAAGCGTGCAGGTACATACCGATACCATCGGTCAAATCGTCTGTTCATTGGGGTTTTTTCACGTGTCCGTTCATGGTGGCTGTCCGCGTGTATTGTCGCGGCATCCATGGTCGCCGACGACGCCAGTAAAGCAGGCTACCTGTTAGAGCGACCGCAAATACAGCCCAGAACTGCCAACGCGTCATCAGTGAGGAGAGCCCCGCTGCCGCCTGATACGGCGCCAAAACACCCGCAGAGGCCAGCCGTAGGATGGCGCCAAACGGATGACGCCACCCATCCAGACGCACCGCGTCTGGTATAGCGTCAATGGGCACCTGTTTGGCTACTCTATCCACAAAAGCCACGAGTGCATCCTGATCATGTGAGCCATTGTAGAACAGAACGACTGGTCGATTCGGATTATCCGGATTCGCCCTGAGCCCGTAAAACGAGGGAAATCCCCAGACCCCCAGGCGCAGCGCAAGGACCATTTCGCGATCTCCGTCGATTCTGGCGACCGGGATACACGGGTGTGTGGGCGGGTCCCGGCAACCCCCTGCTAACTGCTGTGAAATTCTGCGCAAAGTAGGTTCAAAGCGACGACAGTGCCCACACCATGGCGCGTACACCTGTAACAACATTGCAGGGTGGTCTGAAAGCAACTCTTTCACTTTTCGATCAAAGCTGTATCTGGTGAGCTCCAGAAGCGTGTCGTTCCTGGACAGCTCATGATCGGTGCCGAGGACGAGCGCTAGGTTTGAGCATTCGCTAAACAGGCTCAGTGCAAGAAAAATGCCCGCAAACTTGATCCACAATGCGCACGACTTGCGGTACACTGGCCGTAACGAACTCGACAAGCCCTGACCTCGAAACACCTTCGGATCGCTCACGGAAACTCGCATCGTTGTCGAACACCACGCTCCAGGATTGATTTTGTCTGGCTCGGATGCAACTTTTCCTGAAACCAGAGCGCGCCGAATCTATCAGGTAAAACACCTGAGCGCTGTCGACTACTCAGGACGGCGATGCTGCTCGTGGCTAGAGCCCGTACCAGTGTTTCGCGACCAGGCTGCCTCACACTCACACACACACGCAAAACAGTGCTAACAGAAGTTGTTCGCACAACAGAGATCTCTACCAACAGGCGACACCAGACGCGTTGTCCGCCCAAACCGCTGACACACTACAGCTGCTTGCCGAATGGTAAACGACAGGGCCGCCAACGCAAGAACACTGGCGCTATCCAATGCCGGCCGTCGTCTTGCGGGGCGAGCGCCCATCCCCGCATACGCCGTTTCGGCGTTGAGGCGCAAACGATCAGATAGATCCCTTTTTGTTCTAAGATGATTCATTCATACGCGCATGGACGTTGGATGCGCGTGCCTCCGCCTGCGCAAGCGACGCATCGCAACGCTTCGCTTCGCTTACGTGGCGCGTGCGCCGCTGCGGTGCCACAGGCGCAGCCCGGATGCGCGCGCTCCGCACGGCAGCGATAAAAGCACCGAAGAGGCGTACGCGCAGGTCTCCGTTGTATACCGGAGACAGCGTGCGAACCATGGACAAGTCCAGGAACAGTGAGAATGTTCGTATGGTGGGGTTGAGAGGCATCACTTCTGACGGGGCCGACGCTACGTCCGAACCTGGCTCCGGGGATCGAATAGCGACCCGAGAGGTGTGGCGGCCTGGGCTGGGTGCGCGCATCCACGACTATGTGAACATGGCACAAATCCCCATGCTTTTCCTGTTATCTGTTGCGAGCATGATTACGGACCGTGTGTGGGTGCATGCAACGCTCGTGGTCTACGCTGACTTGTACTTTTTGAGCGACACAATGTGGATTCTGTTTGCGCCCTACATCGTGAAACAACCGTGGGCCATTCTGGTGCATCACCTTGTGGCGATGGTGTTGCTCATGCAGCCGACAACGGCTCTTCTGCGACTGGCCAACCTTGTTGGAGAGTGTCGACGCGTGACCACGCGCTGCTTCGAGATCGGGGATCTGGCGTCCTTGGCGCTAGCTTTTACCGCCATAACCGCGGATATCCTTATTGTTGAATTGAATACGCTGTTTCTCCTACTGCGCCGAAACATTCGAGGCGGTTGGGTGTTTGAGGTTCTTTTTTATGCCAGCTGGCTCGGCATACGCATCGTTTGGTACCCCTATATCCTATTTTATAAGGTGCTCCCGCATCCAGCTGCCGCCTGGTCCACCAAGGTCTCCTTTGTCGTAGTGGTGGCCTTGCAGTTCTGGTGGACGCTCGCGTTTTTGAGCCCTTCGTATTGGAAACGTCAGCGTGGGAAATTTCGAGAGACCTCGCTCTCGAGACCAGCACCTGGGGGAGTCTACTCACCGACGGCACGGGACAAGTTTCTGTGAGCGTACTGATGCGTTTATTCGCCCGCGCCTAGGTTGCCGTAGAAACGTGCGTGCGGGACCTATAGGTGCGGCGGCCTGTACACCACCATGAGCAGCGGTGCCGACGCTCACGGCAGCTAAGCACGCCTACTGGGTTTTTGGTGGGAAGCCCTACGCCTTCGAGGCACGTGTATGCGCACTCGACTCGCACGCTGCAGCCGCAGCGTGTTTAGAGGTGCGACCCAGTGCATTCGGAATCCGCATGTCGAAGCGTGTGTGCGCGCTTGCTGCAGGTTTCGTGAAAAGGTATACGACCCGTGGTTTGGAATTCTATCTTTGATTGTATTTGTGGCTTCTCGGGTATCGCTATAGAGCTGTGCGACTTGCAAATTTTGGCGCGAGGACTCTGCAGCGTCATCTGATCAGCTTGTGCCGTGGTCAGCGCCAGAAGCCGCACCTTGCGCCCGGAAGATAGAATCCAGTAGCGCCCTGAACAAGTTTGCATTGACGCCGCCCTGCGGTTCTAGCTCGACGATACAGGGCGTTAGCTTCCGCAGAGGTGGTGCCAGCGACCATGGCAACGGATGCCATGGATGGTAGATGCAAGAATCTCCAAAAGTTTCGCCGCTTTTCGCGTTGCGAGTTTTCTGTAGACTCTTGTCGCAATTGAATGTTTCCAATTTTACAACTTCTTTGCATGGGTGCATTGTGAGACCTGTACCATCCATATAAACGCCCATCCCCGGGAAATGAAATGCGATTCGATTCGTATTCTTAGAAGAACGAGTCGAGCGATTCCAAGACCCGCACCAAAGCTACCGCGGCTTTTGGTCTAACACACTCTGTGATGGCGTGCGTCTGTTTACGCAAGCCGCAGGCACCATCATCGGGAGCGAGACACGAATACGTAAAGGCGCGTGGTGCGTCCAACGCCAGCGTCCATGAATACAGCGACGCTCGCTATCCAGCGAATGGGAGACGGACGCGCCGGCCACGTTCCACAAACCCCGAAAGCGTCGGACAGAACACCCCATCAAATTGGTGCTCGCTACCCGCGGTCCGTTGAAATTCATCGTGTATCTACTGCGTTGCCCTCCATATTCCTGACAGAGTGAGGATCCCAGATCCTATAGCGCAACTTTACACGCAATCAAGGCACGTCATCCATTGCAGAATGTCAGCCACGTGCTGGGGGTGCCGCGGATCGGCGCATACGCGCGTAGTGCAGTGGGAGTTTGCCACGAGTCGGACACTTGATGTAGTTTAAGTCTTTGGACGGGAGCTCAAGCGGTGCCGCATGCTTGAGGATCCGCCGTCTGCACACGCGCATACCCGCAAACCTGTGAACGACTTGAAATACATAGCACACGAGTCGCCAACGGTACGTCACGCGGACAAGCAGTGAGCGGTGTCAGAGGTGCACCGCGTCCGCTTTGACTCGCAGAAGCATCGGAGCCCGCGACATTCCGGTACACCCAGGCGTTCCTGCGAGCCTGATGTATCGTCAACAGCACCTCGTGATCGACCTAGAAACGATTTGAAAGCGTTCATGATCCTCATCTTCAAGTTGGTCTTTGCGAGTATTGATGCAGTCCGTGAGCGTGTTGCAGGGAACTCCGCTATTGATTGCATCGGGCTCACGCCCACAATGAATACGAAAAGCCGCTACGTCTCCGCATGGCAACTATAGAGGCGCAACGAGCGCGGTACCCTGACAGCTGCTGTGTTCATGAATCACGTCTCTGAGGCTCAGGAGCCAACAGTCAGAGTCTGGTGCAACCATAGAGCTGCATCCAGATAACTGGGGGGGGGGGGGGCGGCGCCGCTATTCACCAGCAGCCGTCGCGTTTCCGGGGAAATCCGTTTCGGTTCATGAAAACTAATTCGTAGAAAGAAACGAAGGCAGCAAGTCCATGCTATTGAGGAGCGCTCGTGCCGTGGCCCCCGCCAGCAAACCATTGGACAGGCGTCAAGCGAAGGCTTTTCTTATGCCGGCATTGAAGAACACTGATCAAACTTTTCCGCTTAGAGTGATGGTGACGAGCAAAACTGCCTCCTGGGCGGAAGCTTATTGATGCGAATAGCCCGCTCTTAAAGTACTGAGGCGCCGTACCCGACGCGAACGACGCTGGACTGCCAGCGATAGCCAGGAAGCCTGCTCCCGGGCACGGTTCCACACTGCGGCTTCTCCAGCGCGATGCTCTCTAGGCCTTCTACTACATTTGAACAGCTGCGCAGGCCAGGTGACCGTCGGAAACGTGTGCGTCAAACGCGAAGCACTCGGACACCTTCAGAGGTGTCTGCTTCGCCCAGTCGCGATGAGCAGCTTGTACCCTAGTCTAGCGGACAAGTTTCTTGGACTAGTGCTCAGGACGCTTAACTTGGAAGGAGACAGAACTGAGGCCTTGTCAAGTCGCGCGCAGGTTTAGAAGCAGCGCACGTCCGACTTCGAGTCCGTGTGCCGGGAGCGGTCGACTCTTCCGAGAAGCCATCGTTGCGAATAGCAACTGCCACCGCACCCGGGACTTTGACTGTGGCTAACCGTGAAACCCGTCACCCCGGACGAAAACGAAAACCCGAGGAAACCGCAGCGGACACCGGGTTTGCGATCTGTAGGCGATTTCGCGAACAGTGCTGGACTGGCACCCTGTAACAACGACGCTCGCGTGGACAACAGTGAGACTCGAGGTCGAGGGAAAAGAGAACGAAAAATTAGTTAAGAGATGCAGGCTCCCTGGAATATAAAATATCCCATGAGCTGCTTCTACCTGTTACGGTAGAAAGAACAGAAACTACCAAAATATCGAAGCTTGAAGCTCTCGATACACCATGAGAAACGCAAACGCAAGAGCGACTTCAGCGCGCACGTTTGCGGCAACCGGGGGCTACGTCGCGGAAAGCTTGTAGAATTAGAATCTTTTTAGTCCATTTATGGCCAGCTTCTCGGAATCGCGCGCTGCTGGCAGCGCGGCATGCGCTTTCGTTTCCCAGAAGGCTTGCTATTCGTTTCTGTGCTCAGAGACACGCGGATTCCTTCAGCGACGATGCAGCTTCCATGGTACCAGCATCCAGACGCTCCGAACAGATGTCTTGTATCACCGTTTCTATGCACATGGTTCCCATGTTCGTTTTATCGACATTGTACCCTGAATTCCGTCAGCATCCGGAAGCTTTGAGGAGATCGCTTCTGCCCACGACTGTTCGGAGTGGCGTTCATCCCATGCAACCACTGGAGCGCGCTCGCCGGAGCGAGGCGCATTGCTTTCAGGTGCTGTCGCTGCAGAGAACTGTGTGGATCACAGCATAACGCCCGAAGCGTGCGCTTGCAGAGGCGCGGTTCTCGTGAGAAGCCCCGTTCCTCCGCAGGCGTCGCATTCGATCCATGCACATTCCAAGTTGCGAGTGATGCAGAGCTTCGGAAACGGCGTGCGTCGTCATGGCGAAGAACACCACGATCAGCAGTGTCTAATCGGCAAGCTGGTACTACGATAAATTCTCCGGTGTAGATGCAGGAGCCCGTGGAGCGGCTGCCGAAAACCCTCAGGAGCACCTCTAGGAAGCCCGTCTTGCAGCGTGTGTCGACGCAGTCCCGAAAACGAATTCCAGAGCCTGCGTTCTGCATACGGGAGAACCAGCCAGGCCGTGCGATTCGAGGCTGTCGTGGACTACGCTATGCGATGCGGAGGCATTTGCGTCCCGAGGCATGCAACATTTATGGACGCAGGACTTTCTATCGGGTATCCACGCAAATGTTGCCCAAACACCAGCGAATACCCCTTTGATCGGCAGATTCAAGTCGACGAACATGCGGTCAGGTTACAATCTAGCTACCTCTTCGACCTCTTTTCGAAATGTAGGCTCGCGGATTGTAAGCTGCTGTTCGCGCATCCAGATCCACAGGGTGATGCGGACATAAAACACGATTGTTCCAGTTGGATCTGCGCCAGCTCATCCACAGGTTCCCCCGTGATCGTTGTCCTGCTCGGAGACCTCTGGCCGAAGATTGACTCGAGCGGAGGCACCGAGCGGTTACTGCTGCTTCCATGCTACATCGACAACGATAGCGCCGGCTCCGATGCTTCATGGTATGAAAAGATGAACCGGGTCCGAGTTTTCTTTCGATGCCTTCATTCTCGGCAACAAGCGAAGACAAGGCTGTCGTCGTCTGGAAGCACCTGCGGTTCAAGAGCTCCAGCATAGATCCCGCACCAGAAATATGGGTGCGCTATCGATCCTGGCACAAGCAGCGTGCGGCGGCGACTGCGAGCGCTTGTTGCGAAGCTACATGCGCCCCTGCGATCACAACGCGGAGACAAGACGACATTTCTTTGCTAGTGGGGCAGTCAGCTCTAGGTCGCACACATGCGTGCGTCACTTGTGTGTCGACTTGCTGACGCCGTGTGCCGCGGCCTGCGAATAGCACCCGCAAGCGTCTCAGATTAGAGTGAAGCTCTGGAATGCTCGCTGTGATTCTGGCTTCAAATCTTACCAGCCGTTTTCTCGGATGCTCAGTCTCGACACTCGAGGAGAAATCATATGCAATGCCGGATGCATACCTCGTTTCAGGATTCTGGGTCTTGGTTCAGGACCGGGACCTGCGATGCTTTGTCGCAAGTATTCGGTACGACACTGGAATCACGATGAGTTACAACGCCCGCCACCAAGCGTGATCCTGGAATACCCGATACCACTGCCCGGTGCTTACGTTGCAGCCTCCAATGCTTCTCAGTTCCTGACGTGTTGCAAATGAGCATCACACATTATCGTTCATGGATGTATCTGTTTCAATACCAGTCGCGCCGCTGGACTGACCATGAAGACCTGTATCGACGACGTCGTTTGGTAACCTGGCCGCAAGCGCCTGCCCCAAAGTGTACCGGACTTGTCACGAACAATCATCGGTCCCGTTTGAAAGACGAATCCTCTGTGCTTCGTGACGGTTAACGAGACGGCATTCCGCAACAGCGAGATACATCGATCGGTATACGCACCGGGAGACTCCAGTCTCTGCGGTTTGCATCGACGAGGGACCCGGACTCGAACGAGCGTCGTTGGAGCAATCGCTTCGAGTGGAGCGTACGTCACCGCGTTGCACTGCGGGAGCCTCGATGCATCGATACTTCTCAACTTGCTGCATTGTTTTCGCTGCTGTGATCGTTTCGTCATCAGGGACGGCATCGGAGTCCGCAAACCCCCGATCGATTACCAGAGTATGCGCTTGCGTATGCAGCGGATCGCGTACTCGCTGAGAGAATCGCCTGGAAGAAGCGCGTGCTCCTAGGACACTGCACTGGGTGCGAAAATCGAACGCGGGTATCGAGTGGAGCGCTCTGTAGCCAGGCTTGGAGCACCGCAGGGTAGGCCTCGGCGGAGAATGAGACATGTACTAGACGCATGAAAATCCCTGCAAGCAGTCAAGTGCCGGCACTGCGAACGGTACGTCAAGGCTTGATGCATAGGACATGGGGAACGGCAAGTGCAGCACGGGTCGCATCTTTTGCCGGTCCATTGAATGCGTCGTCGATAAGCACCGGAAGCAGAGCAATCGGCACTTGGGTATCGCTGCCATCGTTCGTACCTGTCCACTGCTGACAAGGGACCTGAAGGCACCCCAGATACCGTCGTATTTGAAGACGAGGATACCGGAGAAGCAACGTCCTGCATAAGCTTCTGTCTATGACAGAGCAAAGAGAGCCCAAACTGGAGTCTGTACACCCGAGTTACCCAAGTGCACCCGTTCCATTCTTGTCTGAGACGTGTACAACCTTATCGATCGATGGATATGGGTTGCCACCAGCATCAGCGACGCTACTGGTCCCTAAAAAGCATACGATAGCATCGATTCGCTGCGCGAGAAAAAAAAGCCCAGAAACAAACCATTTACTAGCTGCAACGGTGCGGAAAACGAACATAAACTATCCAGTAACTAGCAACAAGATAACAGTTCCTCCGAAACGAACTACGGTCCATGGAACCTGGAAGTAGAGTGCAACATGGTGATGAACGCTTCCACGAATACCAGTATCCGTCCAGCAGGATGGAATCCATGGCGCATCGAAACGTCGTGTCGAAAACCGAAAAGAACGCAACGGCACTGCGTAGACGCTGCAACTGCACTGCTAACGCGTTTTGGAAGCGGACGACACTGTCGATTGCTTGGATCCTGCACACGTTTACATCGGCTTCACACGCCCGAGCGCAACTAAGGCGCCTGGAGTGACGTGTACTTGTTGTACGAGTCTACGGATGCAGCGCGCTAAGGGCGCACACCGGTCAAACGCACCATCACCACCGTCGACGGCCGGGAGCTCTGAGGGAAACGTTTCGGGTTCTGAGGACTCCAGTTCAAGAGCGTCGTCGTGTCTAGTGACGGATGCGAGGACACTGAACCGTTTGAACCTCGGTCAGTCCCATGATCCCGTAGCTTACGAGTCACGACACGGAAACGTGGCCTGGAACGCTGGCGGCTGCGAGCACTCTCCCGAGAGCTGGGTGAAGCGCTCGCGGCACATTGGCGTCGGAGTCGGCGTCGGGTTTTCTTCACAAACAGTGGGAACGTTGGACGCACCAGACCGAACTGAAAAAAGCGCAGCCGGGTGCACACACACGACGGAGTGCCCGGAGGAACCGACGTTTGCGGCACCGGGACGCGTACAGCCGCGTGCGGTACCGCTGGCGTCAGTAGACGCGGACGTCCAGCGATCCGCTTCTGTCGGTGATCACACAGACGCCGCTGGCAGCCAGCCGCAGCACCGACAGGTGGTCGAGCGCGCGGCGGCAGCGCCCCAGCAAGGACCTGCGGGCACCGCAGTTGACCGAACCTGTGAAGGAAACACGTTCGGCGCCGAAAACGGGAAGGACTCGATGGATTCCAGTGGCTCCGGAAGCAGATACGCAACCCGAATGCGCTTCCAGTCGATTCCGGTGTCTGGGAACCTTCGTTATCTTAGTGCGGGCCGGGCTGGCCACGCTATGGCTTCGGTTGACAACCGCGTGTACATCTTTGGCGGGCATCGGAGCGCGACTGGAACACCAGACCCAGACACCTTGCCTCCACCAGGACTCTATCGGGTTACAACAGATGGACAAAAAAGATATACGGTGCATTTTTGCGATCTAATAGAACTTGATGGCGAAACTCGTCTTTGGCGCTTGATGAGCAATGCTGCTGACGAGCAGCCGGCACCACGACGCCATGCGACCATGGTGAGCTTCGATGGATCCCTGTACGTTTACGGAGGCTTTGATGCGGAGAATCATGTGCTGGGAGATCTTTGGCGCTTCGATTTGCATTCAGAGCGACGATGGGTGCTGGTATCGTGCCAGGGCAGGGCGCGAGCACCCGGCGCACTGTTGGAGAATGTCGGGCATGCCGAGCACCGTGCGACCGAGACCGCCTCTGACGCAGCACTAGGCGCGGCGACATCCATCTCATTAGCTCGCGTTCCAACAGCAGCAGCTGCTGCAACAACAACAACAGGTACGTCCAATGTCAGGGGATCTGAAGTACGATTCAGGGCGGTCGAACGCGGCCAATCCAGGTCAGGGCGGCGCGAAAGCTTCCGAGCTCCACATCCGTCGATAGGTGCTGGGCTCAGCGCAACCCCCGAGCACGCCACTTCTGTACAGATGATCCCATTGCCCGAAGGTGGCCCGACCTCGGGGCGTGCTGAGCACTCGGCAGTGACCTATGGCCATTTGATGATCGTTTTTGGTGGTTACGATGGACGTCGCAAGGTCAACACCACTGCTGTCTGCGATCTGCGTTCCGGCAAATGGTTTTGTCCACGTGCGCTACAGGAGACGATGGCAACTGGTCGCCCTGGGATCGATTACCCACATCGGCGCTGCAAGCATTCCGCAGTTGTCTACGACGATACGATGTATGTTTTCGGGGGCTTTCAGTATCGCAACAAGCTCAACTATGGATGTTCTGATCTTTTTGTGCTGAATTTATGCACCTGGTCCTGGCATTGTCCGGTGCTGATGCACGGCGGTGGACCGCAGGCGGTTCACGGCCACTGCGCGGTCGCCGGTGCCGGTGCCATGTACGTTTTCGGCGGCAAGGTGCGCCTCGATGCCACGCAGCGCGCCGCACAGCCGGTGCTTGCGGAGCGGCCCGAACATTCGCTACCGCCTCATGCATTGACGAGCGCTGTATCAGCAGACACGTCACCTACCCCGTCAGAGCTGCGTTCCTCAGACCTGAGTCGAGATATTTGGAAATACCACTTTCACCTGAACATGTGGCAGCGAATCGCACTCGATGAGCTCACGGAGGCGTCTCTGGGTCAGGCCTCGGCAGAGCGCGTGCGCGTCGAGCTGCATCCGAGGCAACTGGCGAGCGCCGCTGTGGTGGCACCCCGCGATCCGCTACGCTGTTCCATGTATCTGTTTGGCGGGACAAACAGAGCCAAAGATCGCTTCTTCGGAGATATGTACGTATTTTATGGTCTTGGTACCGACCGTGGTGACGTCCTGCAACCGTGTCGATTTTGCACTGAGCTCGGAAAAGCACTCCACGAGCCGACCCTTGCTGATGTGATCTTCGAGGTTCCCGAATCCCTGGACGCGCTCCCCGAAGAGGATCAACCCGCAGGGCCCGCTGTGGCAACAGCGCACACAGCGTCGCCCGTAGACGCTCGATGCGATCGCATCGACGCCAGCAATGCATGCGTGCAAGGCGCGACGAGCGCACGCACCCGCCACGTGTCCGCCGCCATGAACGCTGGGCAATGCGCCGCTGGGTTCCCGCGTGAGGCGACGCAGCAGCGGCAGCGGCAGCAGCGCGCCTCACGATGCCGCCTTTTCTACGCGCACCGGGTGATCCTGGCTGCTCGATCCGAGTATTTTGCAGATATGTTTCACTCGGGTCTACGAGAGTCGCTTCACGGGGAATGGCCTCGCGTGATCCATTTACCGGATGTATCGGCACCGGTATTTGAGGCAGTGCTGCGCTACTTGTATACGGGCGAGTTGCCGGTACACGATGCGCGCATCGCTGCCAGGGCTAGTGGGCGCGCTTGTCACGATAACGCGATGGACGCTAGTGCGATGCTTTCCGTGGCATCGACGAGTGAGCGTGATGGTCGGTTCCTGCTTGAATGTTTGCGAACGGCAGATATGCTGCGTCTGGATGAGCTGCGGAATTTTTGTGTTGCGCTGGTTGAACGAGCCATACGTCCTGAAAATGTTGCGTTTGTCTTGGAAATCGCCGCGCAACGTGAGGACGGCATGGGCGGCCTCAAAGCGTATTGCCTGGCGTACATCACGCACCATTTCGCGGAGGTGATTGAAACCGCTGCCTTTCAAGACCTGTTACGACGCGATCCCGCTGGACTTGGCAAGCACGTGTTGCAGGCGTACCACGAGTCGATGACGGGTCCGGATGCGCAGCGGCGCCCGCACAGCCGCTGAGCGCGCGGACATGTTGCGGCACGCGATAGCGTCGTAGATGACCAGCGGTTCGCGGGTCTCGCTGCGGAACGGACAGCGGGTGTTCATTGACCGGTGCAGAGCTTTGGCGAGAACCAGCGCTGGAATAACAGTCTGTAGAGCATTGTCTCTGCAAGTGGCGTGCAAGGTGACGACTGCAGGTCGCGTACGCAGACGTGCATTGTGCCGCATGTCCAGCTCGGCATCGCTGATCGAGGAATGGAAGACATCGTTGCATCCCTGGAATCGGGTACTGCGTAGCGCCCATGTGGATCACGCGGGCGAATCTGGGTGCCGTATCCTGACAACTTGTAGTTTGGCATGGAGCTGTAGCATCATGTGCGTCAATGTTCGGCTTCGGGCAGGCCGCGCATGAGATGATCCTGACATTTTGGACGCCTCCTGGTCTGCAGTGTTGGTATGTTTGCAACGAACTCGCAGATGCCGTCACGGGGTACCAGGCGATGCCGCGCGGACACCGTTCCTCGATAGACGAGCTCTCCACTCGAGCGCCAGTTGCAGCCGGCGCTCTTGCTGCCGTTTCCAGGGTTGACCCCCTGGAAACGCATCACAAACCTTCGATAGACGCATAACCAAAGGTAGATACACGTGGACGGAGTCCTTCGTTGGGAAAGGCGTTTCCGCGGCTCGTAGCGACGATCCACGCGTTGGTATAAAAAGCGGCACAGGGTCTGGCGTGCATCGAGAAGAGTCCATAAACATATAGAAAATTCAATATTTGTCCCATTGGAAACCCAGACCATGAGGCGCACTGTCGAGGTGCTGACGCCCCCTGACGCTTGTGCCTCTTTACCGGTATCGAGCCTAGTCGTCAGGGCAGAGCAGTTCTGGGACTAGGACTGACTGGCAGACGATCGGGCAGTACGGTGTCCACGAGCATAGCGCAATCCTTTGCCTCAAGGCACTGCAGCCGGTGGGTGTGCATCTTTACTTGCCCGCGTGTGTAGATCTGGCGACGGGCGCTCGAGCTCTTCGCGTTGCGTGTACCCGTTCGGGTTCATCGCACACGTGTGCGGCGCATTGAAGACGAGCACTTGTGTAGAACGGTTTCGCAGAGGCACCACTCTAGGCCAGCAGCGTGACCCGCCATGCGTCTGGCACCTCGGCTGGCTGCTGCGTTAGGCGCACTGCACGGTGCGCGCACCGGGACTGCAGGCCACCACCGCAGTGGCATTCTAGGGTCCGCTTCGGCGCTTGGAGGCCTCAAATGGAGCAGCCTGCACGGCAGCGACAGAGGTCATATTCCTAGAGCGGACGGGTTGCATTCTCTCCTTTCTGTCCTCGTTCGCGGTTTTCGTGCTTTCCCGTGGGGAGCGAGCAGGTCCGCTGGCGCCAACCCCATCGCTATCACCCGAATGCGGGGCTGTCAGGAAGCCTTCCGAAAGCAAATTACGGTTGCTTGTGAACCGCGTCAGTTCTTGAAACGAGGTCTCGTCACGGAGACCTGGTCCTGCGTTGCCAAGTTGGATACAGCCGGTTTACGTTCCGAGCATGAGCAGGAGGTCCAACGTTTGAGCATTTTTCTACAGGAAGTGATGAGCGCCTACCCACAGGAGTCGAAGGCGCTCGTAGGTATCATGCGCGAACGAGTTTCCGCCACGCTCTACGATGCCAAGAAGCTGGTCGAGACGCTGAAAGCGCATCTGCAAACCTCTGGTGATGCGTTACTCTCTTTCGAACAGCTCGCACAAGTGTATCGCACCCGCGAGGCCCTTCTGGACTTGAGTTTTGGTCTGCGTGTTGCGGTGCCAATCGAAGCTTACCCACCGGGAATGGTGCCGCAGCCAGAACTCGAGGAGAAACGCCGCCTGACCAAGCGAGATAAGATCCTTGCGGAGCAGGAGGCGGAGTCCGCGCTCCAGGAACGCAGGTACCGCGAGCTCTACGGACCGGTGGCAGATGCGCGTGATAACGTCCAATACGAGAACAGCGACGAGTGTCCCAGCGGTGGCTACGCCCAGTGGTACGAGGACTCGTCTGATCCACGCACGCTGCTGCGGGGCTTTCATACCGTGCTTTTGGATATGAAACGAGTCGCAAAGGTGACCGAAGGCTCCACCAGGCTCAGTTACCGAGCTGCAGTCTGTATCGGAAACGGGAAAGGCGTTGGCGGCTACGGGGATGGCAAGGCGCGTACGGTGCAGGGCGCTATTAGGCGAGCAACTCGTGAGGCGCGGCGGAACCTCATCTACGTGCCGCTCTATGAACAACGAACGATACCGCATGAATCAACTGCACGATTTGGGCGATGTCTCGTGTACTTGTGGCCGCTCAAGTCGAACACCGGGCTGCGCATGAATTACTTTTACCAGTGCGCATTGGATGTGATCGGAGTGAAGGACGCAGGCGCCAAGCTGCATGGATCTCGCAACCGAATCAATGCCCTCAAGGCGCTTTTTGAGGCGCTCAAGCAGATACATGACCCCGTGGATGTCGCAAAGTCTCGAGGCTATCGCGTCGTGGACCTCAGCTCCTATATAGAGGGCAAGCTACAGACAGCGCTGCTGCGCCCTTGATCCGTTCGTGGCCGGCTAGACGTTCGCGGCATGGAACGGGAATAGCAGTCACGGACGCCGTTCGTGGTTAGAAACCGAATGCCAAATGCCTCAATTCAGACCACAGGATGATACCTGGCGTTTCGGAGTATTTTACGAGTTCGGGTTCTGAATCGACGATGACCAGCGCACGACCGTGGTGTGTCGCATTTGCAACTGGTGATGCTCTCGTTCGCGACCGACGCACGGGTTTACGACTACGCTCTACCAGGTTCGTTGTTCGCGAGTCTAGACAGTAGCGGGAGTTCGCCGCCTGATGCTCCGTCGCATTCGCCTTTATTCGCTCGATCTGAGCGGTCTAAATATGGCGGTTGCCGACGCACAATCAAGAAGGATCGCTGGCCTCTCATTTAACGACGTACCAGCTTGTAGACGGTCTTTCGACGCAGCGCAGATACGGTAAATGACAGACACCCCCGGAGAGAGTGCCCAGATCCCGGTGGTAGTATCGCTCGCGAATAATACGTACAGTGTAGCGGCAGAGGGCATCAAGCTCGGTTTTGCCGACGCTCCGCAAATCCGGTCTGAGAAACCTCTGAAACGACAGGCGGCAGCACTCGAAACCAGCAACTGCGAATTATCTGTTCCGGGAAACGATGGCATGTATGCGCTCTTCGCGCTGAAAGCATCCATGTTGGGGTTGTATGCTCCACAGGGCTCTCTCTGTGCTGCAACATCATCCACTGTGACGGAATGCTCCGTTCCGGGTTCGCAGCGAACACACCTGATCCGCGACCCATATGACTCTGCTGCAGAATGTGATGCCAGTATCCAGGCGCCCGAGGGAGCACGTTGCTACGATGAACAGCGATTTCGAGGATCACCTGGCACCGCAGTGCTTACTGCGTCTGCTGAACGCTTCGCCGCCGCTTCCGCCGCCGAGTGCGTCCTGCAATGCATGAAAATGCTGTTTCCGCTGTGCACTTCACCGACGGTTTTCCCTTTGGTGCCAAGCGAAACCAGGTACCTTTAGATTATTCCGATCTTATTCGCAACATCAAGTGCGTCGTAGTTGGCAGCCAATCGAACGAACGCCTTCTTCTTCCCGTCGGGACGAATGAGCGTGTTCACTTTGCTCGCTTGAACACCGTAGAGCTTCGCGACCGCTTGACGAATTTTCCGCTTGTCAGACCTAACGTCTACAATAAACACCAGCGTATTGTGATCTTCCATTAGTTTCATTGCGCTCTCCGTCGTCAGTGGGTGTTTAATAACGCCGAACTCATCGATCCACGGCGTCGCAGGCGCAGACTTGCGAGGGTACTTGGGCGCTCGTGCGAGTTTTCGCGTCTTCGGCTTTCTGAAACGCACTTTCTCGTGGGCCTTGGCCAGGATTTTTGGAGTGGATCCCGATCGAACTACCTTGGCCACTGCCTTTGTCTTGGCTAAGCCTTTCCTGATACGGGGCATGGGCGCAGCGATAGGCTGAAAGCAGAGAAGCAGGCTGGATGGCGAAGTAGTAGGATTGGCAGGGGCGGCGCCAGCGCAGGACGCGATCGCCGAGCATCGCCGCGCGAATGGCTAGTTTTTCCAGTAAAATACCTACAAGTCCTTTTGGTTCGCTAAGACGCTAAATAGGTATATTCGGGACAGATGATTCGGGTACGCTGAACTGGGCGATCTGTTCCTCTACGTCCTGTTTACGCAGCACGTTTCCTTTGATGCACCGCCTGCGGATCCAGACTGCGCTAACATGGGCTTACAGATGCATTGATATTGGTCGGGTTCTCGGTCGTCTATCCGGAGCGGGTCCTTCCACTCTTTGATACTGAAGCTCGTTGCGTCACCAGAATCAAGATAATTCCTGACGTTGTTTAACAAAAGGCTGGGTCATGGAAGCGATATGATGATCCAACTCGTTCGTGAAAACCCGGATGCTTCTCCTTGCCATACGTGTATCATGCCCGTGTTATGCAATGTTCTGGTTGTCGATCATTCGGTTTCTAGGCAACTCGTTGGCATCGCTTGTCGATTTGTTCACTGGCCCACGCTGAATGTTCACAAATCTTATCCCATCAAATAATTCACTCTGTTTCAAAGACAAATTCGCTTCTCTCTCCGGTCATCGACGAAACAGCATTCCGAACACACATGATACCTCTCCTGGGATTTGCGCGCAGATGCTCCCGTCTCTGCTGCTCGCGTGGAAACGAGACCTGGATTCGGACTTGAGGCATCACCGAAATCGATTCGAGAGAAGCGTGCGTCACCGTTTCGCAAGAACGGAGCGTCGACCGTTCGAAATTCTGAAATTGCGTTCCTCAGCGCAGATTTTCATTCCGATGCTTATTTTCTTCTAGACAACATATCGTTCCGAAACCTGCTATTGAATGGGGCAGCGTACTCGCCAAGGGAATACACCCGGAAGAAGCCCGTGATCCTAAGGTATCGTGCTAGGCGCGGGAAACGGAGGAGGGCATCGACGACCGCCAGCGGTACTCGTCAAGGCCACGTACCGCGCCATGTAGCAATCGTTCATGCACCACTGGGCAGCTCTCGGCGGCGAAGACGGAGTAATGAGCATACGATAACACCTGACCAAACTCCGGAGTCACTGCTACGAAGCGCGCACCGAGCATGGAAATGTAGAGAATGAAAATGTAAAGGACAGCGTCGATCACAGCAACCGTCTATGCAGTGCGCGCGTTGATAATAGCCGGACGCAGCACAGTTGGAACTTGAACGCTGCCGTAATCACCGTCATCCTCATCACCCATCCATGCACTGCTGATAACAGAACTGCGGGAAAACGGAGAGACCCGCGTCACTGAAACCGGAGATAACGAGGAAAAAAGCAAGCAGTCATAGAAAAATTTCGCAGAGGCTTCTCTTGATCGTCGTGGAAAGCAAACCCCGATATCTGGTTTTTACGTCCGAGTTAGGAACGTATACCCGTTCCATTTTCTTCACACATGGATGTATGGTCTCCAATCGATGCATATGAACACAGCTCCCTGCTAATTCTTTGGAGATCGCATTTCTTACGGTCAACAGGCGACGAATACGGGCCAGAATTCCAATCAATGATTCGAAGATCGATCGCTCTGTGGTGTACGGTCGATGACGATGAGCCCGGGTAGTAGCCCGGGCGTGCCAGTCGCGCGCGTCATCAACTGCCTCCCCGCTGGACGCTGTCGATACGCCTCGAGCTGACTTGCAGACGTCGCCGAGATTCGCGTTCTACTTGCCTGTCCGAACCAGCCACGCAAACCAGTGCTGGAATACGAAAGCGCCCGGCGCTGCCCTGTAGTGGATGCTGCGGTAAATCGGTGGAGTGCGAGCGCTCCAACGACTCCCGAAAGATGCATCTCAGCGAAAGCCACGAAAAGGTGCCCAGAACAACTCGTGTCCGAGTGATCCAACCTGTGGCACGCGTTTTGTCGATGTACGTGCCGGCTCGCCGCCGGGGCCCATTCAGACACGGCGAGTGCAGTCGACTTCCACTTGCAAACGATTCCGTTCCATAACAGGATATGGACGATTCTTGAATGGACCTGGATTTCGAGTCCAGCTCGAAAGCCGCCACTTGTCAGGTAGCTGTTGCTTCACCACGGTGTCTGCGGTGCATGTTCTGGCCGAGGTCCCGAATGCGCAGTGAGACGTGCGGATTCAGCGGATGATCATTTTCGATTTGGAAAAGATCGGGATACCGTTCAAGGAAACGCTTCAAGCCCCCGTGGCGTGTTTTGAAGAGCGTCTGCCATGCGCTCTTGTTCATACGGCTTCGCAGCAGCTGACCAAGTTCTCCAACGAGTAGCGAGCGCTTGCGTCGGAGCGTTTGCAGCAGGAACGCCAAAATACCAGCCTCGGAAGTATCGAATAGAATGAGAAATCGCACGTAGGCTAGGATTTGCTTCAGCTCGCCGATATCGGGCAAAGCGCCAAGCTCTTCGCGCGTAGCACTGGATGCGTATGTGTGCACCTGCCGTAATCCAGTGCGTTTGTCGGAACATGGCGACGTGGATACGGCTTCTGGGGCGAGCGCAAGGCCACAGAGATGCCGCAGCTCCCAAAAGCGCAGTACCGTTGTGGACGGCATTGCGGGAACGACTCCGCTGCTCAGTTGGTCGAGCCCGTCCGCAGCGCGTTCACCCGATGCGTACTCAGCAGGCGTATCATCGAATGCTCTTTGCAGCAACAAGACCGCATCCGATCCACAGTGCTCATGGATTAGGGACCAGATGGGCTTTAGCGCACCGTCGATGCCCCAGATGAAGTCCAAGTGCATACGGCTGGGGCGATCCCGGAACTCGCCCAGCTTTTGTGCCGTCGCGCGAAATGCCCCCACAAGTGCGAATGCTAGAGATGGGCTCGGTGCCATCTGGAGCCCAATATTCCAGCCTGGGTCCAGAGCATCCAATACGTTGAGGGGAAAATGACCCAAGTGCGCTCGCTGGCGACCAGTTCGGGCGCGTAGCTCTCCAGCACCCTCGTTGTCGTCGTTTTCGTCGCAGTAGCCAGTGCGCGTTCCGGCATCAGTGTCGCCTAGGTCGCGAGCACTGCCTTCGCCACTGCCCCGATACCGCAGACGACAGGTAGCGTACTCGAGCTGATGCGCGCGAAGCATCGCGTCTGGGATAAGCGGTTGGCGCGTCGTCAAATGCGTCATCAGCGCGCCACTTTGGATGTCAAACGGCCCATAGATGCTCATACCGCAACGAGACCAGTCCATATCGAATCCGTAGAAAGAGAAGAGCCCTTGTAAAACATGTGCTGGTTCATCACCAGGAAGGCCTCTGCAATTCAAATAGCTCAGTAACAACAATGCTAGGAACGGCGAGACAAGCGACCCGGAGAGCGGCGACAACAAAGCTCGTGCCTGCGCAGTGGCCAGGCTGTGGCGCCACCAAACCTTCAGCAAAATTAGACAGCGAATGAGCAAGTGCCTCCGCCCGATCAATTCATCACATTCGACTAGAAAACATGACCTGCAAAGCGCTACGGCCGGGTTCAGTAGGAACTGTGTCGTCAGCCCATTCGTGCGACATCGCACAACAACGGCACCGTCGCCTGCGTTGTCGTCGTCGGTAAGCGTCCGCTCAACACATATAGAGTCCAGTTGCTCCATACAGGGCGAATGCAAGCTCGTGGCGCACTGGGCATTGCCAGCTGAGACTCCCTGAAATGTACCATCGTTTCCCTGCGTACGCCATGTAGTAGCGCGCTCGCCGCCCGAGCATGACGACGACGATGCATCGCTGTCCACAGTCGCAGGACCCGAGCGCGCCTCAACAGTGCCCAGATCACCCGTCGTTACCGCCCCAGATATCGCCGCTGCAACAACATGTTCCTGTTCCTGCTGCTGCTGCTGCTGCTGCTGCTGCCGTCGCCGTCGCCGTCGTCGCCGTGAACGTTGCCGCGCAGCAGCATGCCACGCCGCCTGCGAATGCGTGTCCGCATCGCGCATCCATGCGTGTACTGGAGACTCCATCGACTGCGACGATGACAGCAGTTGAGGGTGCGCGTTCGCCGGCATGCACGATTCGCTGCTGTGATCAGCGATCGACGCTGGTACCGCCGTCGATCGCCGAAACGCAAGCAGCGTGGCGCGCGCACACAACGCTGCGGCAAGGCGCGTTGGCCACGCATCGCTGATGCACGATGCATCATCATGAACATCATCATTGGGGTTGGGGGTGGCGGCGCGCCGCGGCGAGCCCGTGACACCGGACACGTGTCCCTGCGTATGCGTGCACTTGTTGTTGTTGTTGGTGGCGCCTGCAATGAAAACGCCAACGTCGAGGCCGCTCTCCCATAGATACGTTTTCTCTGCATAAGATCCGACTGCAAACGAGTGTGCACCTAATGCTCGTTGTGCGATGCTACTTGCCGCCATGAGTGTTCGCTCGTAGAGCATCTCGGTTAGGCGGTTCGGCGCGAGCAGACTCACAAGTCGGCTAATCCATTCATCAGCCAGCGCATGCCCTACGGTGCTGGACGGCGTCAGTGACGCAGCTTTGCTCTGCTGATGCAACGTAGGCGTTGGCGCTGCTACTGCTGCTGCGCTCACCGTCGTTCTTATGGTAGGCGTTTCGGAAAGAAACGCATTCGCTGGTGGAGATGCCTCGGCATGCTGGCCCTGGTGGAGTGTCGAACGCGCCTGGTGTCGCTGATCCCAGTCACGAGCTTCGGCGGGAACACGATCAGCATCCGCCTGGGATTCTGGGCTCGTGATCCGCTTGCTGTCGCTGGCGGATACAAACCCGCCGACCCTCGAGCGCCAAGACGCAGCCGACGTCACCGGAAACGTCAGCTTGCCCTGTATTACGTCTGGCCCGGAGCCAGTGCTGCCCGTGTACATCGCAGCATTCGCATCGCTTCCCGGCTCGCGTAAGCGGATTGCGTCGTCTCCATAGCCGGAGCTGATGCAACCGCGGAATCGATCCATGATCGCAGACCAGCCGTGACGCTCAAGTAAGTACGCCAAAACTGCGCCCACATGAAAGGCACGAAGCGCCGCTCCTCTTGTGTTTCCAGACACGTTTTGCGGAGGCATATCGAAATCCGCTAGTGCATCATCCGGCAATTCTTGGTCTTCAAGCGCGGCAATGAGCTCACATGCGTCCGCTTCATTGAGAGGCGTGCAATCGGCAAGAGCATCAGCCGGTACGCCAGGCGCCGGCCAAGAGCCTGCGGCAGTGCCGTCGCTGCTGCTTTGTCCATAGCGTTCGAGCGCATTCGTTTGCGCTCTCGCCAGCGGCACCAAAAGCATGCTCGCATACTCGCCAGCATTCGCAGGCTCGCTATTCTCCGTGAGCATTTGCTCTAGGTCCCAGGTGGCAAGCCCTGCTGCTCCCGAATCGGCGCTCTCGTTCGGAGGCTGCTGCCCGTCCAGGATGATGCCCACTTGCTTGCCAGCGTTGTCCAGGGATGCATCCGACCCGGTGCCATCGCGTTGGCGTGCTGATGTGTTGTTATGCTGTTGCGCGAAAGCTTGCGCCTGTCGACGTAATGCTTGCGCGTGAGGATGGTTGACGAAGCACCTCCCACCACGAATAGACTCCAGCAGATGGCGATGCTTCACGCTTGCACTTTGAAGGGCGACGCGTACCATCAGCGCCAGCAACGCCTCACCCGGACGGAGGTCGTTCGCGTTCGCTCGACAAGGTGCTCGCGTCTTTCTGCTGCCGTGCAAGTTCATGAGTGCAGTCATACAGCGAACGTCGACAACTCGCGGAGTCACGATGCCAAGCGTGGCAATAAATGCATCAAGGTCTGGCGGAAGCGGGGCATAAAAAGCCTCATACATGGACATAATCTCGAAGAGGCCATCAAAGAATACGAGCGGGACGCCCGACTCTGCTAACATCCGAAAAAGTTGCGCACCTTCGCCCTTGGCCGTCGACGGCGGCAGCGACGCCCACTCCCTGGACCGAGCCCCTAATCCTGCAGTTTTCAGCGATGCTGCGTGAGCTGTTGAGGTCGCCAAGCCCTGCAGCGTACCTCCGGCTACATCGACGCTGTTCAACGAAGGGCACTCTCGCTGAGCATTCGTCTCGAAGGACGCAGCGGAACACAAGGGCACCGCCGGTTGTGGTAGGGAGTTCGGCGTCGTCTCCATCGTTACCTGGCTTCGCGGCGGCAGATACCGAATACCTTGTCGCAGCGCCAGGCCGAGCACGTTCTCTGCCGTTCGATCCCAGCCCAGAGACTCTGTAGAAGCCGCTATCTCTGGAACGCGTTGCTGAGTTGCGGACTCGTACGGTTCACTCTTGCTCAGTGCCGCAGTGACTGTTGTACACGCATGCGCGACGTCGTCGTCAACATCAACATCGTCAAAATCGTCTTCATCATTGTCGTCGTCGTCAGAGGTGTCGCTGTACAGCGGGCTCCCGACGACCGCCCCAGCATCAACCTCAAGTTGGCCACTGTACTCCTTATATTGCCGTCCACTGAGCTGTCTCAGCGCTGTCGGTGTCACCAGGAAACATGGAATGACGGATCCGGTACCCTTGTTGTCGAGGAGGAAAATAAAACGAAAAGTCTGTACATCAAAAGCTGCTGTTTCGGATGATTTCGTGCTTTGCTCGGCCCCTGGACCTGAAGCTACCGAAGGCTCTCGCTCCCCGCTCAATTTTCCACGCGCTTTTGAAACCCAGGGGCGATCCATCGGCCTCCGCCTGAACGTCGTCATACCCAGCTCTATCACGGACTGACGCGTGATCCACTCACGATAGACTGCGTACCGACGCTGTAGCGACTGGTGATGTCCCGCGCCACTAGCGGCAATGTGACACTCGTCGGCAGGAGAAAATGATTCCCCGGCATGCTTAGGTTCGGAGGAATCTGGAACAGCGTCCAAAGTCAACGTATCCGTTGCAAGAGACCCTAGCTGGCGTTCGCAGTCTTGCACCGACACCGTCGTTCTAAGCGAAAACGCAATGAAGGTTGCGGAGCGTATTGCCGCTGATACTATTGGCCACGCAAGGTCGGCTAGTGTGGTGTCTGCTGTTACAAGAACGTCCGTGCTCATATAACTGTAGAAAGTGCTGCATGAGAACGTACGAAAGGCGAAAGCGGTTTGAAAACGCGTCGGCGATAGCTGCACAGCGAATAGCGTTCCATGGACAGTTGCAGCATCCGAATTCAGGGTCACCGAAGAAGGTTGCCGTCTCCTCGAGTGCTGCAGCGTGTTGACAGACTCCACGAGCGCAAGTCCAGGTTAGTCTGCCGTTGTGGAAGGGCTAGTGGGTGCTGGCACGTTCGTTAGAGCTCAAGGAGAGAATATCGCGGTTATAGAAGGGCGAGCGAGTACCGTTTTATTCCACGGAGATCTAAGGGAGCTTCTTCCCGAAGCTCGCTTTTCCAACGGCTCCAGGTCTCGAAGTTGTTACCTCAAACTCTGCTATCACTGAAGCGGGAATAGCTCACCAGGAGCATCAGTTGCCAGTGATCGCAGAGCTATCGTTTACGTTGAGCTTCCGCGGAGCACCCAGGGTCTCTCTGGTCCCCAAACCGGCCTGTCTGCAGAACTAGTGGACGAGCATAGACCCGTTCTCGAATCCGGAGCCACTCAGAGAATCCTGGAGTTGTTCGCGGCTGTCGACGATTCTGGAGCAGCAGGCAGCCAACCTGCAAGGTGCTGCACCTAACGGTACCACATGCTGGCCCCTGACGCTACTGGCATATGGGAAACGCGTTAAACACCCAAGCGGAGGCACTCGCAGACGGTAACGAGTTTCCGGAGTCGAAGCAAGTGCCCCCAAACCTCCTCCTGAGCCCGTCATGGCGCTCAAAAGACCAAGACGCTGCGAGCGCTATTGCGGCTTCAGCAGCGGACGCAAACGTGTCGGGCACTGGTGCAGCGAGCGGCAGCGTGCACCCAGAGAGCGTTGCGCAAAGTCTACGGCTCCTGGGAGCCCACTACTGGCACAGACAAGTCGCGCACGCCACTGCGCACTGGTCATCCGACAGCCGAGCGCAGAGCACAGTTCCAACAAGCGCAGCTGGCGGTGCTGGTGTCACCCCAACGAATCAACAGGGGATTTCGGTGCCGCCCATTGGGGATCGCCTCTGGCTTCGAGCGCTGATCTTCCTCGAGCGTGAAGTCGTGAACCCCGGTACTGTACACACCAGAGCTGCGAATGCACTCCCGCGTGATCCAGGAACACCATCTGCAGCTAGAGCAGCACTGGACGACCAGCAGGAATCTCTGCTCGGGCTTGTCATGCAACGGCTAGTGACATCACTGCATGCGTTTGAATCACTAGCACCTGTTGTTCTACTGGCGACGCTGGGTGCCCTGGATCAGCTGAAAGCAGTCTATGCTTTGCAGGATCCTGGTGATCAGCAACCACGTATCGCCAATACCGGTGATTGGCACGCCGCTGTGCATGGGGCCTTCTGGTTCTTGTGCAACTTTTTGCGGCCAGCGGTGAGGCGAAGCTGGGCTCAGCGCGGGGAATCTCTTCTCCCCGACCAGACAGCACTTGAGCATTGCCAGTATATCATGCTGATCCTGAGCGTCGAGTACCTCATGCTGTCTGCTGACCGCGATCAGGAGACTTTTTTCTGGAGCAGCTGCCTGTTGCTCCATTTGCTTGACTGGATGGATACAACGAAAACCTATGCGCTCATTCGACGCCTAGACGCAAGAATCCATCGATGCATCGAGCTCTTGCTGGGGTGCCTAGTTCGCGACACGCTATCGAGAATTCGGAAGATGGCAGGCTTGGGTAGCGGAACAATTCACGACGCAACGACCTTGGAGAGCGTGCTCCTACAAATGGCAACGAGAGGGCAGGGCCTCAACTTTCTCGAACTAGACGGAAAACATTTCGCAGAAAGGTCCACCGAGGAAGCGTTGGCAACGCAAAGCGCACGTCCAGCTGCGCTGCATGCCGCCGTAGCGAAGAGATCGAACTGGTCTTGGTTCCAGTTTTGGCCATTCGTCAGCGAGCATGCCAACGCTGAACGGGTACTCGCAGACGCGGCTGAGGCCGACCAGCTCGCAGAACCCTCACAGGAACCAGTAGTTTCGATGCAGCAGCAGCAGCAGCAGCAGCAGCAGCAGAGCCCCTCGAGGATGCATTCTCGAGCAGCCGAAGCCATTGCACCAGCTGGAACGCTGCATATGCATCGATCGAGTGCACTACCGGAGGATCCAATCGCTCGGAAAACTGTGGTATGCATGGGGCTCTTGCTAACCCTGTTATCGCTCGTGACTGACGATCCAGACGAGCTAGCGCAGCCGCTGTTTCCAAATCAGAGAGCCGGTCAACCATTTCGCCAGGCACTCGCTGGTGTGCTTGCGCGTACCTCCTGCGAAACGCTCCCAGCCGTTGTTGATGCGAACAGCGAGCATCAACGAACAACAATAACAACAACAGCTGCTGCTGGCGCTGCTGCGGACTTTGGCAACGATGCGGTGCAGACTGGGCTGCATTCAGTGCAGCCGCTGACGCTATCCAACCTGCATGATGTATGCGTTTGGTGGCTCCATTATCCAGAAGGCTCGTACTTGTTCTATTTTTTAACGTATGATTCCGCGGAGCATTGGCGGCGCTACTTGGCCGTCCGAACGGATCCCGAGATCTTTCTGCTAACGCTGCTGCGCTTGCTCTACGTAGAGAGTTCGGTAGACGTCACGGAGTTGCGACTCGCAACGCTTCTTCTGCTCACTGAGGATGAGGGCTGGTCTCGAGCGCTTGCGAGCCACGTCCTTGAGCAGCCCGTTACATGGTACCGCGAGACCAGCCTCGATGCAGACCGTTGCACACTTGTCGATATCGTGATTGGTGTGCTCGTGCGATGTATTCGACGCCAGCCGCTGAAGAGTCCCTGTATCCGCATGGCGTTGGCAATGCTCGTTGGTATCGCGCCTGGAGCGGTGACGGCAGCAGCCGTGGCGGCGCGCGAAGGTCCGCTTCCTTCTCACCTCGCTAGTCGCCTGTGGCAGTTGTTTGCACACTTCTGGCGGCGTTTGAAACGGAGTTCTGAGCAGAATCCCCAGACAGATGACGAATATCTCCTCTCGTATCTGGGAACGACAATCGAGCTCTTGTTCGCTGTCTGGGTCGCCGCCGACTTTGAGCCACGCCGCTGCGGGACGCTCGGTGATACGCTCATTAACGCAGCTGCTGAGCTGCGGCACGCCATCTTGCGAACAGGTCGAGCGCATACCCCCGTTGATCGATTCTTTGCGGGCCTCATGCGCCTACTTCATATCCAAGAAGCCGAATATATCACTGTGGATGGAGTCCAGCATCCATACCCGGGTCGTCATACGGCAACGGACGGTCTGGCTGATGATCGCGACGCTTTACGAATACCAGCAGCGGGGTCTTTGCCACAGCGGCCAACTGTCGGTCAACAGGGAGTATTTCGAGATCCACCTGATGCGTCATCAGTTCGAGAGGTATTCAGCGAATGGGCGCGACAATGGCGTTATCAGCAGTCGTTCAAAATCAAGCGTCTGGTCTACCGTTTTGTTGAGCGTCCCGATGGATGTAGCGCTCGCATTCGAACACGAGTCTGGAACCTGGTTGCGCAGCGTACCGGGTGGCCGCTCGGCGAAAGCGCCGCTCGCGCTAGCGTCGACGAGAAAGCGAATGTATGTCCCCGGGGACAAGACTAGCCATTGCAACGCGCTCGCAGAGGAAACGTTTTGCGATTTCAGAAGCCGGTACCCAGTGGGCGTTGGATCCACCGCTGCCACGCTGTCGCAAAAGGCAGATTATTCGAGCTGGGCGCTCTGGGCGCCACCCAGACTCGCTAAAATGTTCTTGTAGGGGGGCTAACGCAAACGCTCATGTTGTCTAGTTAACGAGAAGCGTTCAGGGACACCCGCCACGTCCTACATACGATGATGTCTCTCGGGGATGCGGGCACTGCGGGTACTGAACCAGTTGCGGTGCCTGGAACACAGGATTTGGACTCGGACGTTCAGATCAACGATCTATCGCCAGACTGAAGAGATACGGGCATTCCAGAGTCAGCAGCTTGTTCACGAACAGCCTCAGGTCCTCTGTACACAGCGTCATGTCAAGGTCATGGACTCGCTTCTGAGCATCGCCGCGTTCTCATAGGTGCTGTAGAGGCGCCCCACGCATGCAGACAGCATACAGCGATCCGTAGGCTAACCAGAACCCTCTCGTATCGATATATTATTTACTCATTGGAAGCGATGCTTGGCGATTTCTTTCACGATTGGTTTCAGACACGCCACAACGAGTTCGAGGTTTTCGTGTCCTTGTTCCTCTCTACGAAGCAGCGCACGCTGCAACCGACGATCTTGAACTCGTCATCAACTCGCCAAACGGCTTTGAACACTAAAAGCATCTGCTCATCGCAGTCACATATGCATGTCGATTCTGCTTTCCCTCTGCAAGCTCGAAGCAGAAACTCGTACGACCGCTCAACGCCGACGCCCTTGACAACCGTCCAGAAAAGTCCAACTCGTCCCGCTTGTGCGGAACGCCCCTTGTTTGGCCCTGGAAACGCGCTCCAAACCCGCAGTATCGATCATAGTCCTCACCTGATATGATCGGGACAGCGGAACAGTAGCCCTTGAAAGCGTCAACGCTTTCGATAGCCAGAAACTGTCCGTCGAACAACACCCGCAGCATTCAGCATTCGTACCGCTGCTGATCCCACATTGGGATACGAGGCGGGACAGCGGAACAGTAGCCCTTGAAAGCGTCAACGCTTTCGATAGCCAGAAACTGTCCGTCGAACAACACCCGCAGCATTCGGCATTCGTACCGCTGCTGATCCCACATTGGGATACGAGGCGGGACAGCGGAACAGTAGCCCTTGAAAGCGTCAACGCTTTCGATAGCCAGAAACTGTCCGTCGAACAACACCCGCAGCATTCAGCATTCGTACCGCTGCTGATCCCACATTGGGATACGAGGCGGGACAGCGGAACAGTAGCCCTTGAAAGCGTCAACGCTTTCGATAGCCAGAAACTGTCCGTCGAACAACACCCGCAGCATTCGGCATTCGTACCGCTGCTGATCCCACATTGGGATACGAGGCGGGACAGCGGAACAGTAGCCCTTGAAAGCGTCAACGCTTTCGATAGCCAGAAACTGTCCGTCGAACAACACCCGCAGCATTCAGCATTCGTACCGCTGCTGATCCCACATTGGGATACGAGGCGGGACAGCGGAACAGTAGCCCTTGAAAGCGTCAACGCTTTCGATAGCCAGAAACTGTCCGTCGAACAACACCCGCAGCATTCAGCATTCGTACCGCTGCTGATCCCACATTGGGATACGAGGCGGGACAGCGGAACAGTAGCCCTTGAAAGCGTCAACGCTTTCGATAGCCAGAAACTGTCCGTCGAACAACACCCGCAGCATTCGGCATTCGTACCGCTGCTGATCCCACATTGGGATACGAGGCGGGACAGCGGAACAGTAGCCCTTGAAAGCGTCAACGCTTTCGATAGCCAGAAACTGTCCGTCGAACAACACCCGCAGCATTCGGCATTCGTACCGCTGCTGATCCCACATTGGGATACGAGGCGGGACAGCGGAACAGTAGCCCTTGAAAGCGTCAACGCTTTCGATAGCCAGAAACTGTCCGTCGAACAACACCCGCAGCATTCGGCATTCGTACCGCTGCTGATCCCACATTGGGATACGAGGCGGGACAGCGGAACAGTAGCCCTTGAAAGCGTCAACGCTTTCGATAGCCAGAAACTGTCCGTCGAACAACACCCGCAGCATTCGGCATTCGTACCGCTGCTGATCCCACATTGGGATACGAGGCGGGACAGCGGAACAGTAGCCCTTGAAAGCGTCAACGCTTTCGATAGCCAGAAACTGTCCGTCGAACAACACCCGCAGCATTCGGCATTCGTACCGCTGCTGATCCCACATTGGGATACGAGGCGGGACAGCGGAACAGTAGCCCTTAAAAGCGTCAACGCTTTCGATAGCCAGAAACTGTCCGTCGAACAACACCCGCAGCATTCAGCATTCGTACCGCTGCTGATCCCACATTGGGATACGAGGCGGGACAGCGGAACAGTAGCCCTTGAAAGCGTCAACGCTTTCGATAGCCAGAAACTGTCCGTCGAACAACACCCGCAGCATTCAGCATTCGTACCGCTGCTGATCCCACATTGGGATACGAGGCGGGACAGCGGAACAGTAGCCCTTGAAAGCGTCAACGCTTTCGATAGCCAGAAACTGTCCGTCGAACAACACCCGCAGCATTCAGCATTCGTACCGCTGCTGATCCCACATTGGGATACGAGGCGGGACAGCGGAACAGTAGCCCTTAAAAGCGTCAACGCTTTCGATAGCCAGAAACTGTCCGTCGAACAACACCCGCAGCATTCAGCATTCGTACCGCTGCTGATCCCACATTGGGATACGAGGCGGGCCAGCAGCGCCTACGCTGAGCACACGCCAGGTGTGCCTCTCTCGCGACATCTGCGAGTTCCAGAACACCTTGGTGTGTTCACCGGTATAACGACGCTTAATGCCTGTTTCAGGTGCAGGAATTCGCTGTCTAATATGTACATCTATAACAGCGAACTCTGCAGAAGAAGCGATAGCCGACATGTACGAGGCACGAAGGGCCGGCGCTGACCTCGTCGAGTTCCGTGCCGACTACCTCGCCGAGGGGGAGTCCTGGGAGCGGGTAGTAGATCAACGGCCTCTGCCTATGGTTTTCACATATCGTCCTGTTTGTGAGGGAGGTTTATCCGATATGAACGATCACGAGCGAGTGAGGCTGTTGCAGCGCGCTGTTCAACACGGCGTTGAGTACGTGGACGTCGAACTCGCGAACATGGACCTGTTTCGGATGCCGGAGAGCGTCCAGCTCCAAGATGCATCCACTCGTCCACGACTCATCGTCTCCTATCATAGCTTCACGCGACCATTAACTGAAGCGGAGCTCGCTGAAATCTACACGGCAATCGTGGCAACCGGAGCTGATATTTGCAAGATCGCCATGATGTGCCACGACTTGTGCGACAACGCGCGACTATTTGCCTTACTGAAGCGCACTGCTGGCAGCAAACCTACGATTGCTATAGGAATGGGAGAGTATGGGCAGATCAGCCGAGTTCTTGCCGCCAAGTTTGGACCTGCAATGCTGACGTTCACAACGCTGAGCGAGGCACGGGCGTCTGCACCGGGTCAATTCCGGATCGAAGAACTCATCGATCATTATCGTTTCCATAGCCTGAACCCTGATACCACAGTCTATGGGGTTATCGGGGCACCCGTCAGGCATTCAATGAGCCCGCGGATCCATAACCACGCCTTTGGACTCTGCCGTCTGAACCACGTCTACCTTCCCTTTCTCGTTCAGGACGGCTCTAAGTTGCAAAAGTTTCTCGATACCATGACGCAGTTTGGCTTGCGCGGGGCCAGTGTGACCATTCCCCATAAGCAGCGCATCATGGAGTGCCTGGACGAATTGGATGATGTGGCGAAGCAGATCGGGGCAGTGAATACGATCGTGGTGGATCCGCTCACGGGCCGACGCAAGGGCTATAACACCGATTGGCAGGCAGCGGTAGATGCAGTATCCGAGACCTTGATGCCCGGAATCGAACAGGGGCAGGCTCGCTTGACGGCACTCCAGCGACGCCATGTCGTCCTCCTGGGAGCCGGTGGTGCGGCACGGGCGATCGCCTTCGGGGTCGTACACTGCGGCTGCGGCAAACTCACTATCGTGAATCGTACCCTGGAAAGAGCAAGATCGCTCGCAAATGATTTGAGTCCTTTCGGGAAGACAGAGCTAGTTGCGCTCTCACTAGAGGACTTTTGTCAACAGCAGAGGAACCCTGCTACCCGAGAGCGAATCGATATTCTGATGAATTCCACCTCCATTGGCATGCATCCAGATGTGAATGTCGTTCCGGTTCCAGAGGAGATTCTGGAGCCGCACTGCCTCGTGTTCGACGCCGTCTATAATCCAATAGAAACGCGGCTTCTGAGTCTGGCAAAGCGACGAGGTTGTCTCACAGTGGACGGGGTCGAGATGTTCGTCCGACAGGCCGCAGCCCAGTTTACCATCTGGACGGGCTTGAGGGCCCCGGCACAGGAGATGCGCAACATTGTACTCCAGGAACTTGGGCAGCTGGCCCGACGCTGACTGTACGCGTGTTCCACACAGAGAGCGGTCGGTTCGGATGTAAAGCGGAAACAACTTCGTTGACGCGCATCAGAAGATGCCCTCGACGAGGTCGTGCAGATCTGCTTCTAGATTCATAATGGATAGCGCATTTTGGATGCTTTCCTGGTTCCGCAGTGCTTGACCGGGGCGCCGTTGGACAGTGTCCGAGAGAGCACGTCCAGCGCTTGCAGGTATGCGCTGCAGCTTGTATGCGTCTCTGCGACATGATGCCCTGCAATAGCGCATCTGTATGCTCGGATGCAGGTAACGTCGTCATGCGGGATGCATGGTGCTTGGCTTGTGATCCGTGGACCCCGGAGCGCCTACCTCGCTCGCTTTTTGACGCAGCCTCCGTTTCTAATCAGTACGTGATGAAGAAGTACGGCGTAAAGCGAATGCTTTCGAGAAAGTCCTCGCAGATTGGGCGCATGCCACTGAGCCAGAAAGGATGTGCTCAGGATCTAGATGCGTCTCAGATTAGAGTGAAGCTCTGGAATGCTCGCTGTGATTCTGGCTTCAAATCTTACCAGCCGTTTTCTCGGATGCTCAGTCTCGATACTCGAGGAGAAATCATACGCAATGCCGGATGCATACCTCGTTTCAGGATTCTGGGTCTTGGTTCAGGACCGGGACCTGCGATGCTTTGTCGCAAGTATTCGGTACGACACTGGAATCAGGATGAGTTACAACGCCCGCCACCAAGCGTGATCCTGGAATACCCGATACCACTGCCCGGTGCTTACGTTGCAGCCTCCAATGCTTCTCAGTTCCTGACGTGTTGCAAATGAGCATCACACATTATCGTTCATGGATGTATCTGTTTCAATACCAGTCGCGCCGCTGGACTGACCATGAAGACCTGTATCGACGACGTCGTTTGGTAACCTGGCCGCAAGCGCCTGCCCCAAAGTGGTCCGGACTTGTCACGAACAATCATAAGTCCCGTTTGAAAGACGAATCCTCTGTGCTTCGTGGCGGTTAACGAGACGGCATTCCGCAACAGCGAGATATATCGATCGGTATACGCACCGGGAGACTCCAGTCTCTGCGGTTTGCATCGACGAGGGACCCGGACTCGAACGAGCGTCGTTGGAGCAATCGCCTCGAGTGGAGCGTACGTCACCGCGTTGCACTGCGGGAGCCTCGATGCATCGATACTTCTCAACTTGCTGCATTGTTTTCGTTGCTGTGATCGTTTCGTCATCAGGGACGGCATCGGAGTCCGCAAACCCCCGATCGATTACCAGAGTATGCGCTTGCGTATGCAGCGGATCGCGTACTCGCTGAGAGAATCGCCTGGAAGAAGCGCGTGCTCCTAGGACACTGCACTGGGTGCGAAAATCGAACGCGGGTATCGAGTGGAGCGCTCTGTAGCCAGGCTTGGAGCACCGCAGGGTAGGCCTCGGCGGAGAATGAGACATGTACTAGACGCATGAAAATCCCTGCAAGCAGTCAAGTGCCGGCACTGCGAACGGTACGTCAAGGCTTGATGCATAGGACATGGGGAACGGCAAGTGCAGCACGGGTCGCATCTTTTGCCGGTCCATTGAATGCGTCGTCGATAAGCACCGGAAGCAGAGCAATCGGCACTTGGGTATCGCTGCCATCGTTCGTACCTGTCCACTGCTGACAAGGGACCTGAAGGCACCCCAGATACCGTCGTATTTGAAGACGAGGATACCGGAGAAGCAACGTCCTGCATAAGCTTCTGTCTATGACAGAGCAAAGAGAGCCCAAACTGGAGTCTGTACACCCGAGTTACCCAAGTGCACCCGTTTTATCCTGCGCTAATATCGCATGAGTTTATCAAAGAGTCTGCGAGACAGCGACCAGTACGGTGCAAGGATGCTGGACTCTCCCGTCGCTCGAGTTGGGCTTCCTTCAATCTACTCTACAGATCCTCAAGTCCATCGTCCCCGTTGACCCGAACGAATACCAGAAGCTCCGCAATCGTATCCAGTCCACGTTCCCATGACACCGCTGCGTCATGCAGTCGACGGTCTTTGGCAGTTTTCCGACAAGCTCAGCGTTGCGGGCGGTAGGGCTGGTAGCGGGCGGGTACGAGCCTCTGTCGGCTCTCTTGGACTGGGTGCGTTTCTCGAACAAGCTTTCCGAGCGCCCGTAGCGTCCCATGAGTCCACACCGGACACTCGAAGGCCACCGAAGAGGTGCTTCGCTCGGGACGGGCTGGCTAGTGCCCGTCCAGCGCCAGTCGAGGCGGGTGGTGTCGGTCAAGCCGCTGGAACATGCCCCTCGACGGTTCGTAAACTTGACGTACCCGCCACAGAAACGGGTTGCAAAGCGACGAGCCCGACCTGCTGCTGGAAACCTGCTGCGAGCCCAGACAGGTGCCCATGTCGACGGGAAAGCGGTCGCTCCTGAAGGCACGGTGGCGCTGTGTTTGAGTAACGGACACGGAGAGGACCTCGTTGCTGCCCAGGTACTTCGCGCTCTCTACCACCATACCTCGTCTTGGTTGCACGTGGATGTGCTGCCGCTGGTCGGCATTGGCAGTGCCTATATGCGGCTCGCTCAAGAGCTGGCGCTCGAGCTGCATCAAGAGCCCGCGACAAGCAACGCCTCAGCGATGCCGAACAGGGTCCCCAGTCTGTGTCTCCTGCAACCTCGCGCAACGTTGCCGAGTGGAGGCTTCATCTACGCTCGACCATGGGCATTGCTCCGCGATATCGCCGCAGGTCTTTTTCGTATCGTCATTGGACAATGGAGGCGCAGTCGATATTGGCTGCATGAGAAGAGCACCCAGGTGCCGGCTTACATGTTGCGGTCGGTGCGCTTCGTCGTCTTGGCGGTCGGCGATGTATGGCCGCTCTTCCTGGCAGTCCAGAGCGGCGTCCAACACGGCGTCTTCATTGGGACGGCAAAATCAGACCTCTATCTTCAGAGTCCCGCCGGCGAATGGTTATTTATGCAACCGTATCCTCATCGGTGGACCAGCGATCGCTGGGTGTACGGCCTGAACACAAGCGAAGCGTCTCGCTTTTGCCTGGGTGCAGCGGCTAGGGCGCCCGGCTGGCACGCGAGACTCCAAGGTTGCTGGCGCTTTCTGCGCCTGCTGCTTCTGGATGTCCAATATGCAGTCTTCATGTATCGTCGGTATAGGATTTGGCGCGCTCCGTTCTTCTGGCGACTTGCGAGGCTTTTCGAAGCGCTCCTAACAGGATCCAGCGTCTATTTGCCGTGGGAGCGTTGGCTCATGCGGCGTCTCGGTACTGCGGGTGTTTACGTTCGGGATCAGCTGACGGCTCGCAACCTATCGCGCTTAGATGTTCCACGAGTGGCGCCCTATGCACTCAATCCCATGCTCGATGATCTAACGGAAACCGCGGATATCGAGTCGCATCGGGTGCACGACGCAGAGCCTTTCCTAGTGGTTGCGGTGCTGCCGGGCTCGCGAGCCCCCGAGGCGTATCGAAACTGGGAACGGATGCTGAGCGAGCTGGAGCAGGCGCTCACGAACGCTGACGATATCCGGCTCTCGCTGGAGGTTCCCGTTGCCTCTACACTGGACTGTGCTTGTCTAGGCGGGCTCGCTCAAAAGCTCGGCTGGCATCCGACAAACCACTCGACGGAAGATGCATCCAGAGATAGCGCTGATGTTACCCAAGAATCTACTGGTGAAATGCTGTACGCAAGTGGCGGCCATCGTCTCCGATTCTGGAGTTCGCAATCGTCTAGCGAATCTTCTCTGGTGACAGGAAATCCGCTGAAACTTTGTCTTCAGCGAGCCGACCTGGTGTTCGCATGTGCCGGTACTGCGACAGAGCAGGCGGTAGGTTTGGGTAAACCAGTGATCACGTCACCGGGGAGAGGACCTCAGTTCACAAGAGGTTTCTGGGAGGCCCAAGGACGTCTCCTTGGCCCGAGTGTTATCCTCGCGGATCCGCAGCGAGAGCATGGCGACGCAGTCTCCAAGGCGGTGCTCCGAGTTTGCAGCGCGCTACGTGATACCGCCCAGCGAGCGTCGATATGTGCGTTTTTGCGGGAACAAGCCGCGCTCGTGATGGGTCAAGCTGGTGCAGCGGACTACATTGCACAAAGCATCCTACAACAACTGGACAAGAATCAGGAAGATTATGTTGTTGGCTTGGCATAGAAACAGGTTATCATCTGTGTGAGTGACGGGAGCAGATGCTGGCGGTATCCCCGGAGGCATCGATACCGAGACGAGCGCGCAAGCCTGGGAAGCGTCGGATGCAGTCGCTCCGCGTATGAGCACACTCCACAACGGTTCGGTTGATCTGTGGATGGTGAGCTCGCCCGAACGTGCCTGCTTGCTCGCGCAGTGATGGTGAAGGGAAGAGGGCCTCTTTACGATCTGCAGTGCAGCGAACGGGCGAGCACCAGTTCGCTTCATGATATCATGGTGTCGTTCGGAATGCTGCCGAGTGCGGGAGCTGCTCCAGAGATTGGTACCGGAGTTAGGGCATCTAGAACGCATACGAATGCGTTCTATAAGCGTCTCAGATTAGAGTGAAGCTCTGGAATGCTCGCTGTGATTCTGGCTTCAAATCTTACCAGCCGTTTTCTCGGATGCTCAGTCTCGATACTCGAGGAGAAATCATATGCAATGCCGGATGCATACCTCGTTTCAGGATTCTGGGTCTTGGTTCAGGACCGGGACCTGCGATGCTTTGTCGCAAGTATTCGGTACGACACTGGAATCACGATGAGTTACAACGCCCGCCACCAAGCGTGATCCTGGAATACCCGATACCACTGCCCAGTGCTTACGTTGCAGCCTCCAATGCTTCTCAGTTCCTGACGTGTTGCAAATGAGCATCACACATTATCGTTCATGGATGTATCTGTTTCAATACCAGTCGCGCCGCTGGACTGACCATGAAGACCAGTATCGACGACGTCGTTTGGTAACCTGGCCGCAAGCGCCTGCCCCAAAGTGGTCCGGACTTGTCACGAACAATCATAAGTCCCGTTTGAAAGACGAATCCTCTGTGCTTCGTGACGGTTAACGAGACGGCATTCCGCAACAGCGAGATATATCGATCGGTATACGCACCGGGAGACTCCAGTCTCTGCGGTTTGCATCGACGAGGGACCCGGACTCGAACGAGCGTCGTTGGAGCAATCGCCTCGAGTGGAGCGTACGTCACCGCGTTGCACTGCGGGAGCCTCGATGCATCGATACTTCTCAACTTGCTGCATTGTTTTCGTTGCTGTGATCGTTTCGTCATCAGGGACGGCATCGGAGTCCGCAAACCCCCGATCGATTACCAGAGTATGCGCTTGCGTATGCAGCGGATCGCGTACTCGCTGAGAGCATCGCCTGGAAGAAGCGCGTGCTCCTAGGACACTGCACTGGGTGCGAAAATCGAACGCGGGTATCGAGTGGAGCGCTCTGTAGCCAGGCTTGGAGCACCGCAGGGTAGGCCTCGGCGGAGAATGAGACATGTACTAGACGCATGAAAATCCCTGCAAGCAGTCAAGTGCCGGCACTGCGAACGGTACGTCAAGGCTTGATGCATAGGACATGGGGAACGGCAAGTGCAGCACGGGTCGCATCTTTTGCCGGTCCATTGAATGCGTCGTCGATAAGCACCGGAAGCAGAGCAATCGGCACTTGGGTATCGCTGCCATCGTTCGTACCTGTCCACTGCTGGCATCAGAACAAGGGACTACGGAGATAGCGGCGTATTGAAAACCGTCGATAAAAAAGCAACAACTCGTAGAACTACCCGCAAAGCCCGCCGTTCACCACAATCACCAACAATCCAAACATACCGACACAGCTTCTATCCAGTGCACTCGACTCTGTCCGCCGACACAGGTGTATCCAGGACGCGTGGTGGAAAGCGCACCAGAAGCCGCGCTTCGCCAACGCCGGTACGTTTGCGTTCCACCCGGTCCCGGTTTGTCGTCCTCATGGGCGGTACCTGGCGTACGCTCTTGCCAAGTGCCTGGTCACTCGGACGGGCAGGTTCACCTCTGCTCTCGCTGCAGCTGCTGCAACAGCAAACCTGTAGAAAAGGGGTTCCAGGCACTTTACCAACAGCCGCAGGCCTGCTGCCTCTTGTTGTTGCGGGGCGCTTACGAGCGCCCGTGGACGTGCGGAGGTTCCGCGCTTGCGGCGAGCAGCGCGCTCCAGCTGGACAACGGATCGCTTTCGATACCTTGAAGCTTGTCAGAGTATTTGAAGCATCAGAGTTTACACCTAAACAAGCAGAAGCGCTATCGAGTGCGCTCTCACAGATCATCGCAGATGCGCTGGCCTATAACACCGAGGTGGTTGCCACCAAGGCCGAGTTCTCAGCTCTCAAGAGCGAGATGCAAATCCTTGAAAAAGCAGACTTTGCTGTATTGAGAAGTGATCTCCAGCTCGTGGAAAAGAAAGTCGAAACGTTCATGGCTCAGATCTACACCGAGTTGGAGCGAATCGAGAACCGCGTGATCAAGTGGGTCATTGGCGCTGCCGGCACAGCGGTGATGCTCATTCTGGGCATCATGCGGGCCTTGGGTGGTGGTGGTGGTGGTGGTGGTGGTGGTGGTTTAAATGGTAGCACCAAAAGCTCTCTCAGCCTATCCACGGAACGAGGACTCCTTGTCCATCAAGCGGGCCCCGTTGTTCCTGGATCCGCATCTGCAGCGATTCCAGCGGAGCGACCTCCGAGTTCGCAAGCCACCTCTGTTCTGAACAGCAAGTCCGAATGACTGCATGTATTTGGGATGCATGGTTACCTGTCCGGGGACAGGATACGAACACAGCGTCTAGTATAGGCGGCATTCCGAAGCAGGACGTCACGAGAATCCTGCAGTGCGATAATCGATCGATACCCAATACCGTGGTGACGCTGAGGTGTGTATGTTTTCCGTGAAGCGGCCAACGCCTGCGGGCGTCCCGCTCTTTGCACGAGTCTGGCTGCACGTTCCAGTTGCTGGATCTGTGTGTGTGTGTGTGTGTTTTGTGGCGCTGGCACCGAAGAAGCGCGTCTTTGCGCGCTCGTTGGGTGCTTGTTCCAGCACTTTCGTGCCAGGGCACCGTCCTATGTTGAGGAGACGCACTCACCTACGGACAAGGCGTCGCGTATATGCGCGTTTACAGCGCACAGCGCTCTAGGGAATCCAGTATGGACACTCTGGTTTATACAGCGTCCAGTGCATGGACAAGTTGTCAAGCACACGCGAGTCTACATAGCGCGCAGTGCAGCACGAGTTGAGCGCGATCGGCTCGGCCGCTCTTCGTTCTTTTTCAGTCGAAATGACCATGTACAAAAGCCACTGGAATCTGTTGCTCAAGAAAAGTACGCAGCAGGGTCTCCACGAGCTGCTGAACAGAACGCACCCGTCGGTTTCCTTCGTGGATATGCAGCACTTGAAGCACCGCACGCTCAAACAAGGGCAAGTACGGCAGCGGCACAAAAGCGGTAATCGAGCTCGGACAGACTGCGCGTATCTCACGAAGCACCCGACCTGGATACGCCAACTCGTGGAACGGGAACACCCCGAGTGCAGCGATTAGGTCACTGGCGGTGCTCCGGTTCGATCCATGAGGCAGCGAACTTGACATTGTTGTCGTGGTTGCCATCGGGGTTCCAAAACTGCTCGAGCGTGGTGCGGTATCACCGCTGCAAGTCAGTGGTGTTCCTGGGCGTGCCCGCTCATCTCCGAAAGGCGCATCGGATGCACCGGTCGTTTGCTGCAGCAGGCGATGTTTCCCGGTGGTACCAGCTGTCGGTGCTGCTGACAAGCATGCTGGAGACTGGCCGGAGAACTGCGGCAACATGGAAGCACTTGGCGTCACGTGCGGTAGCTGTTGTTGCGTACCAGTCACCAAACACGAGCTTGTTTCGGGCGCTGGTGGCGCGCAGGTCGCTGCAGCATTGCCGGCTGCAAGCACAGACGTCAGCTGGTCAAGATGTGCTTCTTGGCTAGCACCAGCACTAGATCGTGCTTGAATACCGAGACCTGGACGTTCGTGATCATCCGTTCGTAACGCCGCCTCACGAGCCGTCAGCGGGAGCACTTGGACCAGAGGCTCCAGAGCAACGCCCCGATTCGCAGCAGCAGCAGCAGCAGCAGCAGCAGTAGTAGTAGTAGTAGTAGCACGAGCATCGTGTATTGAGGAACGGCTGGTAACCGACGCCAGCGAAACACCATCGATGCACAGGAGCGGCTCTGGATGCTCTGCACCGTCGCTGAGCTGGTATGGCAACCATGTTGGATCTTTTGCATCCAGTGCTGGTGTTGCTGGTGCTGCGCAGATGAGGTTTCCGCTTCCCGTCGTTTCCCAATTCGTATCCGCGGACCAACACCACCCCGAGCAGATGCCACGGTTAGGCCCTGAACACTTGTGATCGCTCGTGGACGCAACGTCTCGCTCAGGACGCATCTCGGTATCCCCGGTAAGGGCCGCTTGATGTGCAGCTACAACGCTGCGAGCGCGGAGACTGCACGTGGATGCAGTTGCTGTCGCCGAAATGCGAGGCGTTTCCAGCGTCTTGTCATCGACATCGACATCATCCGGTGCGAATACCAGACGATCACCAACTGCTTCTTCGGTGCGGTGCGTCGCGAGCATCGGACCTGGAAGCGGCGACTGAAACACCACGAGCTGGGCAATGTCAGCTGCATCGTGATCGAGACAAGTGCATCGATCGCAGTGATCCCGCAGAGAAAACGCGCGCATCAAAGGTGTTTCGAGCAGGAGCTCCCACGGCACCAGCGAAAGTGTCAGATCACAGACCAGCAGACCGAGACCGCTTGACGGCGTCGAGGTATTGGACAAGTCTTGCGCTGATGCGCTTCGAAGCCAGTGCTCCCGTCGAATACCCAATAACGAAGCAACCGTTGCTGAATGCTCACGACGCTGATGATCAGCAGTGGAGCAGGGTATCGGCTGTGGATTTTTCGGGCAAACTACCCAAGGAGACGCCTCCATGGTCGTGATAGGCACGAAGAGTGCGCTCGCGGCATGCAGCGTCTGCAAGGGACATAGCGCATCTACAGGTGGCGAAGGCGGAAGCGCATGTCCCGCGGAAAGCTCATCCCTTGCTGCGCTGTGCGGGAGCAGGAACCAGCCGTTGAGGCAGGTGTCGCTGGCGGCGTCCCGAAACTGACAAGGTTCCCATGTAAACAGGTACCGGAAACCGTTCTGTAGGTTGTAGACACAGACGAGGCCTCCTACATTGCATATGAAGAGCAGATCCGGTGCTGTACTGGTCAGCGCCGGTAGCGACGACGGTGAAGGTGCGGCAGCGCTGGTGGCAGCAGCAGCAGCAGCAGCGGAAAACGCTGCCGTGCCGTGCGTACTCGCAAGGTGCACGTTCGCGCCTGCCGACCGCTCGCCATCGTGCTGATCATGAGGCATAGCAGAAGCAGAAGCAGAAGCAGTACAAGAAGTACGCGCACTTGTCGTATTCGTTGTAGCAACCGGTGCGTTTGCTGCATTCACGTGGCGATGCGCCTTGTCGACCTGCCGAGCAACGACATTGTCGAGTGCAGTGGGGCTTATCGACTGCGCTGCTGCCGCAGGATGCACCTCCGAGAGCTTTCCCATTTCATGCAACCAGATCTCCAGGGATTCCTCGTTAGCGAGAGCGAGTTCCGCTGTGGAGACCTCACCTCGTCGATAGCGCTCGGTTTGCATCTCGAAGCGCTGCTGCATGGCCCATGCGACCTGTACCGGATCATCCGAGCCAAAAAGCGCGTTCAACATCGTCGGAGAATGCGCTTCATACCAGTCGAGCTGCTGCAACAGCGCGTATAACTGTGCTGTCTCGCTTCGTTTGGTATCGTCGAGGACGTCGCGGACGATCTGGTTGCAAGCTTGAGAGAAGAGCGGTCCGAGTTCAGTTGCTTCGGATACAGCGGCGTGCTGGATACCCGGCACGCTACCTGCGTGGCTACTCGATGCCGTGGCCAGCAAAAGACGCCCTGCTGTGGACGTGCCAGCGCGTTGAGCGCCTGCCAGCGTGCTCCTGGTACTAGTGCTGGTGCAATGCTGGCGTGCTTGTGCAGCGGTAGTTTGGTGGACCAGTCGCGCAGGTGTCGACGACGACGACGACGACGACGACAACATATCACGCGTTTCCGATGAAGCAGCACGGGTGCCGGCAGCTTTGTTTCCACTCGACAACGAGCGACTCGAAAGCATGGCATCGTCACGCTTACCCTGGGGTATATCGCGTTGCTGGCGAAGGATCTGGTGCCAGGGCGACTTGCGCTTTGCCGATGCACCCATGACCTCGGTGGCTACTGCTACCTGCGCTGGTGTTGTTGGCGTCTTCACGCGTGAGCGCTGTTGCAGTGGTGGTGCTCTGTCGTCGGACACTTGCACCCGAGGCGCTCTCTGGGACGCTGTGCGTTGCAGCGCACTGGATGCAAGTGATACTGGTGTACTGGGTGCCGCTTCTCCGCGAGCGCCCGGCGCTGCAGCCGTCTGTTTCGACTTCGACGCTCTAATCGATCTTGAGAATGGAGTTTGTTGTCCATGGTCAGTGGGTCTTTGAGGATGCAGCGCCTGCTGACGCTGCAGCACTGGCGAGTAGGTCGACGGCTGCCGTGATACCGCGTCGTTTGTGCCCAGTGCGACTGCGGGTTCGGGTTGGCGCTCAGGGCGACTAGAGCGCGGCATGCCCCGCCCCAATACCCTCTTTGTTTGACGCCATAAAGCACCAATACGTTTCCATGGATGCTTGGAGCTGGCTACGTCCGGCAGTTCAGACGCGGTCCAGTTAGGAGCGCTGCTTCCGAGACCATTTGCAATACGAGCTCTTGGTGGCGCTGTACGCCTTGGGCGCGTTGCAGTCACACTAGAAGAAGAAGATGATGATGAAGCAGGTGTCGTCTTGGGAGCTTCGGAGCAGTGGCGTGAAGCGGATGCTTTCGCAGCGCTCTCGCCTGGACCGTTGGTTGCATTGGTGCTGCGCTCTACGCTCGCGTCCGTAGAGCTGCGGTATCGTGCCAGGGCGGATGACTGCCCCAACACTGGCGGCATACTACGTAACCCGGTGCGAGTCGCGGAACGTGCCTCTGCCAGTACCGTTTCCAAACTCAGCTGGTTATGGATATCGAGCATCGCGTGCAACTCCAGCACGACCGCTGAGGGCAAACAATACAGCACCAGCACCATCCGACTGAGCAGCTGACGCAGCTCCCGCAGCAACAGCGGTGAAGCCAGTCGCGTAAATGCAAACCGCCCGTTCCGCGCGTCAACATAGAGCGAAGAGAAGGTCGCCCAGGCTTCTCGTAGGAATGCAACGCCAGCCTCGGGCTGCTGGCGAAGGATCATCAGTTGCGCCATTGTTATGCTGACTTCCATGGAAGCCTGCACCATGTTCGTCTCCATGAAGATACTCGCAGCTTCAAGCAGCCGTTCTTCGCATTGTTCCGCATCGTCGTTGTCGTTGTCGTTGGCGGGAGCCTTGGTGAGCGCTCCACCTTCCTGGTATGTAGCTGCAGGCGCCGTGCTATCGGGTTCAGCTCGCACAAAGCGGCGAAGCGCCCACTCTATGCCCATTCGAAGAGCGGCGACCGTGGATAGTGCCGCGTAGATTTCATCCGCCATAACGCTATAGAGATAGGCAGCAGCAGCAAACGAGAGACGGGCTGCTTTGATCACGTCGACTGGAGATGGCGGCTCTGGGGAAGCCCACCGGATGGATTCCGCCAACCATCGTTTCCACGTGCGCTGCATTGCATCGGGTAGTTGCTGCACAAGTTTGAGTGGAGGTACCAAACGCAATCGACTGAGACGTAGCTGCGGAAGCACCTCAATGGTCACACTCGCGGGTAGTGCTGCCTGTAGAACGCTCCCACTGTCCAGGTGGTACGCCATCTCGCGAAGAACTTGTCCACGAAGGTGCATCAGACGAGCCAAGTTACGGAGCCGTCGAAAGCTCGTCATTTCCATCGCACAGTCGATTTCGGCGAGCGCATCGAGGAACTGTTCCTCGTACAGCAACGCAAGAATCGTTGCCTCTGGCGGGGCGCGACCTCGTACCAACTGGAACATTCGCGCTCTATCGAGGTTGTCGATGCAGGCAGCTGTCGAAGCAGCAGCAGCAGCAGCAGCGGGAAATGTATCATGTCCAGGCAGACGCTCTACCTCAATGGACTGCATGTGCAGTGAGTCTCGCGCGTTTGCACGGCTTTCCGTAGCGGATGCAACGTCCTTCGGTGTGTAGTTGCTGGTCTCCTGCGGCGCTTGCGCAGTCGACATCAGAACCTGACAAGGCGCAGGAGCACCTGCAGACGCTGCGCTTGTCGCCACAGCAGCGCCTTTGCTGGTGCTGGTGCTGGTGCCCGCACAGCTCATGGCCAAATAGCGCAGATATGCTTGTCGACAGGCGACCGGATTCCCCAGACGCAACCAGATATCAGCCAGTTTGCGGTGAATGATTGCTTGTCGAGCTGGAGGCAGTAACTGCTGGAGCTGCATGAGCGGTTGAAATGCTGACGCTAAGCGACCAGCTCGAATTCGAACATCCGCTAAAAGCAGCAGGATATCCGAGAGATGCGACTCTATCGTGCGTCTCTCGGTACGAGCACTCGGAGATGGTACCCGTCTCTCCGCAGGGTCCCAGGGTAACCAGTCACTGCGCTCTGAATTGGTGCGAGAGGGCGTTTCCGTTGTTGACCTACTGAGGTTCATGCGTGTTTCCTCGCGTGTCAACGAGGTGAGCAATGGCTCAGAGCTGGTGCCCTGTGTCGCTGATGCTATAGAGGCTGCGGCATCTTCGAGCGCATGCCATACAGCGGTTAGGAGTTGTTCAGCACGAATGAACCAACCGGCTTCTACGAGCACATACCCCAGACGGAGCGTGACGTGAATCGCCTGCAGGAGTTGTCCTTCTAAGGAGACTGCTCGGAGCAGCGCGATGTTCGCCTGAATCGCTCGAACGTAGTCCTGCTCGGAGAGTGCCAGTTCACTGATTCGTTGGAGGAGCAGGTTCGGACTCTGCCCCGTGCGCTCAAGAAAAGCGTCTGCTGCCGCGGTTAGCGCTGCAACAGCGTATCGGTACTTGGCTCCCTGTCGTAGACACTCGGCGTAACGCTCGAGTACGCTCTGTGCAAACTCCGAAACGCAGGGCGAAGCGTCCACCAACGGCGGACACCCGTGCATCACCACGAGTGCTTCAAAGAAATGCGACTCAGCCTCACCATAGTGTCCAGTGAGGCTCGCACGGTGTCCGAGCACTGTCGAGCAGCGGTAGCGAGACTCACAGTGTCGCGGAAGCAGCGGACAACATTTCTGGATGAGAAACTCGCAGAGAGCATCCGGGCTGTGGAGATAGGGCCGGAGCTCCTGGGGAAGCTGCCAAAAGGTCGTCGCCCATGCATCATACAACGCAGCGGTGTCATAATCCAACGGCTCTAAGTTGAACGGAGATACGCCCTGGAGTAGCCAGTACAGTAAACACGCTGCCCTGGCAATTACTTGAATGGATCCGAAGCTTGCTGCCTGAACACCGTGTCCATCGGGCGCTACCAAATCCATGGACTGCTGCTGCGCTGACAAACTCGACGCGTCCTCTGCTTCCGGTGCCAGGTCTGCTGTCGTGCTCTCGAGTTCAGCGGTAAGCACGTCAGCATAGTGCCCGAGGCAATGCAACGCGTCCCGACAAACGCGCTCCCAGAAGGTCTTCTTCAGCGGGGCATCCAAGTCGGGGCCAAACTGTAGCAGGAGCTCGGCAATGATCAGACGCGCCTGCCACCGAACCGAGGCACTAGCCTGGGAGCTCAGACTTGACAGCGTTCGGTCCAGAAGCGTCACCAGATGCGGTATTCCACCTCGGTCGATACGGGCCTGTGTATATACACGGAATAGGAGCGTGCCGAGCGTCGGAAACAGATACGACGCCAGCCACGGTTCGAGTACCGGGAGCCAGTCCGGCTGCATGCCAAGTGCGTCTACCAGCAGCAGGCAGCGCTGCAGGTTCGCAAAGGCGAGTTTGGCTCGCCGCCGTGCTCGGCAGCTGCGAACACATTCGCTGACTTGTGTGATACTGAGCGCCACCAGAGGTACCCAGGGCATGTAACTGTGCAGGTCACTGCATGCTCGAAGCAGCTTTCCGTTCGAGTGCTCCCCGAGTCCGGACAGTTTCTGTAGATTGGCGGGACTCTGGACCCACTGACGCACTGGTGGCGGGATTAGGGGATGCTCAAAGGGTGAGCCAAGGCTCGACGTTACGAGTCCGATCAGCCACAATTCGAGCTCCTTCTCGGCAAGCTGCGAAGCTCGCGTCTCGGGGAGACGTAAAAACACCAACGATGATGGACGTGGATACCGCATGATGACTCGTCCGCGATATAGCGCACGAGCACGATCAACAATGCGAAAAAACGCCGGTATCACACCGTCCTCGAAAGTGCTGGGGGCACCAGCGCTCCCGTCAAACGTATACGTCGCGGGTATGAAGTCGCTGAGAGCGCCAGCCTCGCCAGCTGTCGATGTTTGATACTGGTGACCGAGTTCGGCGTCCCAGTCGGAGTCAGAGGCGGACTCTGAGTCCTCCGTAGAGGTGCTCTGGGTCGACGCCAGAGATGGGGTCGGACTTGGTTGTTTTGCAGGCCCACTAGGCAGCGGAGAAAGCGGCACAGTACCACGCAGCGCTGGCGGTGCTGAGGCGGGTTCCACGCGGAAGCCGGCGCCTGACGCGGGGCTTTTGCGCTCAGGCGACCGGCTCCGGTGCGCTGGAGGAAACGCTGACTGCCTTCCTTGGCGTTGCCCATCAAAAACTGCAGACAGTTCACGGGCAACTTTGGGAGCAGGAGCACGGGCGCCGAGCCACAGATTGTCGGCGAGGCGACCAGTACGCATGATCATTCGGGTTCGCGGGGAAAGCGACGCAGCGACTAGTGTCTCGGGAGTGTTCATATTGGACCGGTTGCGGCCTGTAGCGGGGGAGCGCTCACCGCCCGCTGCGCTTCCCGCAACACCGACTGTCGGTGAAGGCTGCACCTGACCGGCGGCGTGCGCTCGCATGGCCAAAGGCACTGACCCTGAGACGAGCTTTTCATTTGATGCGGGTGCTTCAGATCCGTTGACAGTGACATCAGGCTTCCTCTGGTTGCGAAATGTGGATCGAAGGCTCGCACTGGGGCTCGACTGGTGTACACCCGATCCGCGCGTTATACCGCCGCTGGCGCTCGAAGTGAGTGTCGGTGCCGAGGGCACTCGAAACAGCGGGTGCAGCCCCATGGTTGCATGATCTGGCAACTGGGGCCTCTGATCCATAACCTGTTCTTGAGGAATGCGATCAGGAAAGCAGAAATCATCAGTCCAGTCGGCCGCAACGGTGGTCGCTACTCGCCCAATAATCGCTGTATTGAGAACATCCGGTGTGGGCTGTTGACGTTGCTCCAGCTCTCCGGAACTGGTCGTCGCCGCAAAACTCCGCAGATACCCGCGACGCCGCGGCGTTGCTACTGCTGGCTGCTGTATGCGCGGTGAAGCGTTGAAGCCAGCGTTTTGTTGGGCGGATACCGATGTGATCTCCTCGATGGCGTACTGGCGACCCAGGTCCGTGAGCGTCGATGTAGAGCGCGTTAGAGGTAAGTGGCCACGTGAGCCGCACGAGCCGATGAATCGCATCCTCCGCGAGCGATGTGCCCTGCCGTCTCGAACGAAGCGCACATGTGCATCGTTCTCGAACAATGGCTCGGTAGCGAGACGTTGGCTATGACCGTGATCGGTTGAGCGCTCGCTGCGGGGATCCAGCGACGCGTGCTGACTCGGGGAACGCTCGCGTAGCTGTCCATCTGGCCAATCCGCGGGTCTTCGTAGCGAGCTGCCGCCTTGGTCGTCCTCGCACGGCGGTGTTGACGAGCGCAGGCGCGCAAGTCGATCCAACTCGTCCAGGAGCGCGAGCTCCTCAACAGACGTTTGCCTCGGGATTCTCTCTCTATCTGCACCAGACTCTAAGGTCTCATGAAAAGCTTCCAAGACGCTCTGCTGCATGGATATGCGTTGGTCAGGGCTAGAGCTGCTGTCGCTGTAGTGGCAGCAACGGGTGCTCCCCGGCGGTGCGCTGCTTATGACCCGTCGTGAGCAGTCTTCGGCGTTGGCGACGAGGCAGCGCACTCCGGGGACTGACACCACTCTGAGAGCCTCTGTCAGTACCTTCTAGTGATAAAGTTGAGACAAGCGCTCAGTCACAACGTTTTTGAAGCACACGTTTGCAAAACGAACCCCAAAGGTTTTGCTGGTACCCGGACGCGCTGGATTCTGGGACTCGAGTGCTCGTGTGCCGGCTGCGTACGTCGTCGCTGGGCGATCTGGACAGCAACGTTGTCCATATTGTTCAGTAATTTCTAGTGATCGAAAAAACCCAAAAATGCACCACAGCGGTATCGTGTATCAATAGACACCCGGCCACAGACGCCTTCCGGACTTTTGTCGTCGGCTAAGCACCGTTTCTCATCTATCACCGCGCTGCTGCTGCTGCTGCTTCTTCTTCGTCATCGTCGTCGTCGTCGTTTCTTGATGTTCTTCGCTCGATGGTCGGCAAAAAGAGCATTCTCTTCTTTTTTGGTCGATCCCGCCGACACCGACCCTCCAGGATTATTGACTTTTATACCTGTACCTTTCTCTTAGGTTCTATTTCTTCAAATGAACGCACCCTCAACACATTTGCTATTAACTGGGGAAAAGCAGTTGACGACACGCACCTGGACGCGGAATCCAATTGCGTTGGAAGACCATACGTGAAACGCGCTGTCGGTTGCAGGTCATCTCGATAATTGTCGTGATCGTGGTGGTGGTCTCGTAGCGTTGCGTGCTGCACCAGATTTCGTGGTTTCACCAGTCACGATCATCCATGCTTCTTCTCTCAAAATCATGTGTCGTTTATACGAGCCTTCAAGGGCCAATTCCCTGGCGTGCTGCGTATGGACTTGCGTAGTCGACGACGCGGCAGGCGCAACTCATACGCTCGATACCCGGGGAGTCTAAGCGGTAGGAGCGACTCCAGCTCTGTGATCGAAGAGAAGAATCGTTTAGCGCTGTAGGCAAGAAGGCGCATGCGCCGGGTTACCATGGCTGGCGCTCTGGTCTATGGCGACAATCGAGTACTCGCAGGATAGCTAGCCCGATGCAGCGCTCCGGCACCGTTCACGATTCGATGTCATGGTGCATACTGTGGACAGCTGGGTGCATGCAGCGCCTCAAGTTGCTTACTACGCGCATTCATGCTGCTGATACCTGACGAGGATGCGGCTGCGCTCCATGCGGGAGGTTTTCCGCCCGAGCATCGAGCGACATGCCGGTTTGATGCGCACGAATCGTGGTGCGCTGTTTGTTGGTATGCGATGGCAGCTGAGAACGCAAAGAGGCACGAATCTAACTCAAGTCGTTGCTGTCCAGTGCAAACCGATATGTCATGTCCAGGAAGGAGCAGAAGTTGACTCTGCAGGCCATTCGGTTGTGACCCGGTTCCCGTTCGGGTGGTTTCGATGGAGAACTGAAACCCGCTATTTGCGCAGCAAATCGCCTCTACCGTCCTGGTTGACGCGATATGAGAGCAACGAGAACAGCGTGCCAATTTGCCGGAGGAGCGCAACTGTGCTGCGAGAGCGACTTTATGCAGTCACTAGCGTACGCGTTGCGCTCGTCGTTATCTACTGGCCGTGGCGACCCGCCGAGCGAACAATGGCGTCCAGCGTTTTATCATCGGCAGCGCCCTTTGAGGCGAGCCTCTGATGCTGTTCGTGAGAACGCCAGCAAATCAATACCTCGAGCGGTAGCGGCACACTCGCCGCTACTGATGCTCGCCCACGCATCCAAATCCTCGGGCACGATTCCCGTCACGAATTCAACAGAAACCACGATCCATCTTTTGCAATGCAATCCAACAACCTTGGACGTTATGTTTTACGAAGCAGCTTGCTTTACTCGTGACCGATTCACCAGTCCATGGCAGCCGGTGGCAGCGGCACCTCGTCGCTCCACGACTTTCGCACCACAAAATCGAACGGCCCTGCCACCGCCCCCCAGAGCTGTTCATGCGTTTGTGGGCAACGGCCGATATCCAGTGCCGTGCAGCGCGACTCCGAGAGCGTCATTTGTGCATCGAGATAGCTGTCGCGATCACCACGTCGTACCATGCACTTGCATCCAGGTCGAGTTTTGCATCGGTACAGCTGTTCGGCTTCGACCCATTCGAAGACGGCATTGCATGCTTCCGGCAATTTCACGCATCGATTGGTGTGCCGGGGATGCGCCTGTCGAACGAGCTCTGCGAGCTTGCTGCGATCGAAAGCAGCCGTGTAGAACTGTTCAACGCCTTCGACTTTGTAGGACTCCGTTTCCAACGCACCGTCGCTATTTCGCGTGATTTTGATAATAGTCGCCCGATACGGAAGCTTCGGTGCATAGGTGTAAATCGATTCCACGTAAAAGGCGTGGCCTTCCAAAAATTCCCAGGGTAGGGGCCGGTAACTCACCCTGATGTGCGCCCAAAACGGCGGATTTGCCAAGTGCTGGTCGTAGTTGTCCCACTCTTTGGCCAACCAACGCGCCAGGTGGTATGACGTATACGGTTTCAGAGCAACCAGTGACGCCTCGCACTGTGCACGACGTGTACTGGCACGACTCCACGCACGGCGCTGCGGAAACGCGTGCGACCAACTGCGGTGCCTGTACCCCAGCGAATCAAGTCTGTTGATGCGCGTGTTTGCAACGTTCACAAATGCCATGGAAATTCAGGTCGAGGCCGAGTCCCTCAAGGTTAATACGATAGAACCACTCCGTTTGAGAGAGTAACCGCCTTGCACGCTGCCCGCTTTCGTGCAGTGCAGTCCAATGAGCTTCAGATACCGAGCTTGGCTGTGCACCAGAGCTGACACACGCTCGCAGCGCCACTCGACCCGGCACGCTCCGTGTGTTGCGGGCGGGGCGTTCGCACGCTCCAGGTGCAACCGACGCCTGTGCGCGAGGCGGCATCGCTGGCGAGGGCGCGCCTCAGCGGGGCGTGCCCCCGAGGTGCCGAAAACGCGTGCAGAACGCCACTGGGGATCGCGCGGGGCATTCCCAGTAGATTCATAGATCGTACGCTTGAAAAAACTCTGCAACAGATGATAACGATTCCAGTAGATTCACCAATCCAATATCCTTGAAAAAATGAGCAAATGCTGGTAGCATGCCCAATTGATCCATGAATTCTGTATCCGTGAAACGAATTCGCAACAGATGTTACCCTTTCCAGTAGATTCATCGATCCTGTACCCTTAAGACAAATCAGCAAATGCTGCGAACAGTCCCAATAGATTCATCGGCCTCGATGTCGATGTTCGTGCATGCATCGAGCGCGCACGCAAAGCAGAAGCTGCGATTTGCTCGGACACTCGCGAGGCAATGCGCTGTCGTTCGTGTAGACGACGCACCGGGCACCCGTTGGTCCTTCTGTTCGAGTGTCAGCTGTGCACGGTGTCTGCAGGCTCAAGTCCATACCAGCAAAGCGTGCACCGCAATTCGCACGGAGCAACGAACACCGTGAGGTGCGCTGCAGGCCATGGCCTTCGCGGAGGCGCTGCGCGTGGATCCGCGAGCGCGCGAGGGCGATGCGCACGCCGTCGCGAGATCCACTTGTACCCTTGGGGACTCGCGTGGGACACGGGCCTGGAACCTGCACGTTTTTTATCTGCGAGAACGTAACATCATGTTTGTAAGTCATGGAGCTATTGTGAAGAGTGCACCTAAACACTGGAATGGCTCAAAGTGTCCTATTCGTATGCAAGTTAGGGTACCGGATCCAGACCGCCGTTCGCTACTCCGTGCAGGGGCGCACATCATTTTGGGAGGCCTGCTCGCGACGGTCATTCCAGGCACGTCCCCAAGCATCGCAAAGATACGTGAGAAGCCTACGGACAAAGGAGAAGAAGCTCCGAAAATTGATGACGAGAAGGAGCTCGACAAGTACGTCAGCGGCCTGAAGTACGAGGAGGAGCTCTACGAAAACCCGGACCCTGCTGAGAAGGAAGTGTACCGGACCCCTCGTGTGGAACGTGAGCCAGAGTATAAAAAGAAGGAGGACGAAATATTAGAGAAGGAGTCGAAAGTGCTGAAGGAAGAGGCGCGCGAGGCGGCTCGGGAGAGCGAAGTCTTACGACAGGAGTTCGAGAAGCGCTAGAGGGCGCGTCCTGGCCGACGGAGAATGTGCAGCAGCGAGCGACTCCGCGGTGGCATGCCGCGAGACCTGGGCCTCTCACGTGGCATTTGAGGATGAGGTACTTGCATTCGGGGAAAAACCTCCCAAACGGATAGGGAAAGCAGGCAGCTTTACGGGTAAAGAAAGCACCCTTTCAGGGGATAATCGAATGATCGATTCGAGGTCTGAAGCCGCCCGGTCATGCTCCCCAGCGGCCGACGGGTGCATTTTCGTGTTGAATGCCTCAGTTGCAGAGATGCGGCCCATTCCAGAGCCCCGCTCACGTACACTACTGCGCAGAGCGAGGCAGCTGACCAGCTATTGAGCGTAACGCCAAGGTGTGTGCGCTTTTAACGCGGACTCGTCGAGAATACAGCGCGTATGCGGCCCTCGACGTATGTGGGCTGTAGCATCGATTTCTTGAGGCTGCAGCGTCAAAAAGCTACTCAGTAGTGCAAGCCCGTCAAGTGCAGCTTCTCGACGGATTCGGCGCCGGCTCCGATTGCACCTCTGGCATGCGTCTGTACCGACAAACACGAAACGCTGATGGACCTCCGAATGCACTCGAAAAAGCAGGAATTCAGGCACACCGCCTTGAGTACGCATGATCGAGGACAATTTGAGCATTGCCGGTGCCGCGCTCACATTTGCATCGAAGAAGAAAGACTCTTCATAGACGGAAACGAATCGAGCTTGCATACTATGCGCAATTTATCCGGAAAAGAAAACTTCCAGCATGGCTGATGCGAGTGCGCATCGACCAGTGCTCTGACAAGTCGCCGCGTGCCTGCCCTCGAAGAGCGTCCTTCACGCTTCTCTCCTGGGCGCGATCAGAGCTCGCAGTGTCTCCTCAGCAGCACCTTTCCGACATATCGCACAAGTGAACTCGGCAGGACCGATGACATGATCTGACCTCGGGCAAGCTGTTTCGTGTGCGGCTTTTACGAAGAGGCCGCTCCTGTATGGAACTTGAGCTGCTGTTCCAAGATACAAAAAAAAATACTGGAAAAGGGATCCTATCAAGTACTCTATGTAAGTGTGTGCCACCGTGGGCATTTGCAACGTTATTGGGTGAGATTCTCCACTCATGCCAGGTCTTCGTATTCTGCTAGTTCGCGAGACAAGCGCTGAAGCGTCCGTCGCACCCCTCTACGATATATGAGCGACGAATCGATCTAGACTCCGCCCGAAACACGAGTACTGCTAGGAAAACTGTGAGAAGACTTGGTTTAGATCCTACCCACATACAAATGCAGGCTATGAGATCCAACTGCGTCCCGAATGTTAAAGCGTTCACTCCACACACCCACACACACACACACCCATGGCATGTGAGCGACGACTCGGTACAGAGTTCGCCCGACACACGAGTGCTGCCAATAACCGTCGGGGTAGACCTCAGCTCCTACCCGCACTCTCAATCTCGGATAGAGTCATAGACATACAGGTAGACGATCGGATACTGCAGCGTCCCGGGTTCTCCGGGAGTCGTTAACGCCCGAGTAATATGATTCGAAGTAAGACGGAAAAAGTTCGGCGACCATAGAGTTTCTAGATACACACACAGTCACAGATGCCTGCCAGCCTTTTTGACCCGGCCGGCTGGTATCGGTTTCAGCTCATCCAGGTACAATTCGAGTAGCAGAAGCTGCCCCTGCATAGTTAGAACGGTTCAGCTCCGCGCATATCGTCTCCAGCACACCATATCGTCTCATACTGAGCGCAGCGTTCAAGTATCGCTTCACGAACGCCATGCTTTTATTGCCTCTGGTGGAACTCGCCTCTGTAGGGGTTCATCGAACTCGTGCCCGACGGGCCACTGCGGTCTCGTCATTGTCCCGTCGGGCGCGTACACGTTTTCTCACCTATCTCGCATCTGCTTCTTCTCTTTCGTCGTCACGTGCTCGTATCTGTTAGAAAGTAAGCGACAACAAGATTTTATTCGTTTTTTTGTCCAGCAGCCGTGACTCTATGCCTCCAAAAGCCTCGACTTATGTACCCGTCCCATTCCCTTGGACTTTTTATTTCTTCCAATGAACGCACTTTGAACGCATCTGCTATAACCCGGGTAAAAGCAGCTAATGATACACACCTGGACGTGGAACGTAATTGTGTTGAAAGACTAAAAGAAAGAGACCCTGTGATGTGCTCACCATTCCAGTAGCCGATGACGCCGCTGAGGCGCCCTTCGATGCCGCCGCACTGGGCGATACACCGCGCTTGAGCAGCCGCGTTCGTAGCGCGTTACAGAAGCGGCGCGTTCGAAAAGCAAGTACCCCTCGAGTGCTGAACGAGGGTGCGTGTAGTAACCTTTGCGCTTGGTTATGTTAAGCTTTGCATCTCGCGGGATCGCAGAAGCGGCCTGGCCGTCGGGTCGGTTGCGCAACTCCATTGCTGCAAGTCTGCGCGGGGCCCGCTTCTCCACGCTCAAAGCGACCTCCCCGAGTAGCGAAAGCGGGGCAGAGAGCGGGCGCCCGCCATGGGTTTGGCGCAAGTTGCAAGGCTGGTTTGGGTTTGAGGTACCTTTGTCGAGCCCTCTGGCCGGTGTGCCGGCACCCGAGGCCGCCACAGCAACTCCACGACCCAGCGGATGTCGCGTGTCGTTCCTGGACAATGGCGTGCGGGTGGTGACGCCTGTGAACGCCTCGCCCAAGGCGCACTCGGCAAACGATCTGGTGACGTCGTTCGGCGTTTATTTTAATGCTGGATCTCGGTACGAGGATCTTTTCACCGCTGGGAGTACGCACGCACTAGAGACACTGGCGTTCCGTTCGGCAACGCTCGAGCGCTCCCGTTTTCGACTTGCGCAGGATATTGAACGCACCGGAGGTTCTGTTGGCTGTGCAGCGGCACGCGAGTCTATTGCTTTTACTGGGGAGTGCTTACGAGACGCCGCTCCTGAGCTCATAAACCTTGTCTGTGAGGCGGCAGTGCGTCCGCAGCTCATGGCGTACGGGGAGGTTTCCGCCGCCCTCGATGATGGCATCCGAGCGGAGTTGCAGGACGCGCTCAAAGTGATCGAATACGAACAGGAACACGCGATGGGCAAGGACACGCAATTACAATTGGTGGAAGCGCTCCACGCGACTGCCTATCAGGGCAACACACTAGGTAAGTTGTGAAATTTATTTTCGCTGGTGGCAACCGAAGCAACTTCGGCATAGAGAGTGCGGTGGGGTGTGCGTTTCTTTCACGCATTTGCCACCTGCACCGCTGGTACCGCTTCGGAGAATAAGATGTTGCTTCTCGCTCGGATGAGAAGCGTGAGTCGGCTGCCACCGGCCGGCACGTGCTGTGTCGCCTCGTGGTCGCTCGATGATATCGAGCCGGCCAGCTCACGGAGAATCCATCGGATGCGCGCTAGAGCAGGCAGAGTGGAACCCTTTTCGAAGGTCGCGAGGCTCTGACTGTGTCGGAGCGCACCCACATTTCGTTACGTGAAACAAGAACGTGATACTAACCAATCTTTTGACATTATCTAGGCCTACCGCTTTTCATGAACGAAAAAAGGCGAAAGAAATTGACTCCAGAAGTTGTCAAACGTTTTCTCAGCGAGCGATTACAGAATCCAGGCAATATTGTGGTTGCAGCGGTCGGTATTGGCCACGAGCAGCTGCTGCGCGTTGCCGAGAGAGCCCTGGGCTGGTTGCCACGTCCACCCGCGGACAAGGCCGTGGTGGATATGGCGTCGCATTACACTGGGGGTGAAGCGCGCCTTGACGGCGACGGACTTGCCCAGATCGCCGTTGCCTGTGAGGCGGTCTCGTGGTCGGATCCCGACCTCATTCCGGTGGCGGTGCTGAACACCCTCTTGGGAGGCGGCGGGTCCTTTTCAGCTGGCGGACCTGGTAAGGGCATGTACTCGCGACTTTATACGGGTATCCTGAATCGGCATCCCTGGGTGCAGTCATGCACTGGTTTCAATCACTGCTATACCGATTCGGGTCTGTTTGGGATCCACGCGAGTGCGGAGTCTGGCCGCCTGCCGGAGTTGGCGGAAATCATCTGTGAAGAGATTGCCAAGATGGGGCAGGTCACGCGTGCGGAACTGGTGCGAGCCAAGAATCAAACCAAAGCTTCAGTTTTTATGAATCTCGAGAGTAACACCGTGGTGTGCGAGGACCTCGGACGGCAAATTCTCACCGCGGGCCAGTACATAGAACCAGCTACTTTGTACGCTGCGATCGAAAAAGTCACAGAGAAGGACATTTTCCGCGTAGCAACGAGGATGTTGCGCTCACGCCCGACCGTGGTTCTGTACGGAGAGATGTATGGTGTACCGACGTACGAGCAGATATCCGAGGCTGCTGGCATGAAAGCGCTCCAGAGTGGGGCTGCGTAAAGTTTATCACCCTGTGTGTGCATGATGATCCCGAAACCTCAACGTTGCCGCCCCGATGCTGGCGCTATCAATCCTAACATGAAAAAGACAAACAGGCAGATGGACGGACAGTCACGCGTTCAGCCATTCAGCGGGACGGACGGACAATCGGTCGGTCACTTTGCCTGTCTGCCCGTCATCTGGCGCCCGCGGGTACGCAGGAGCATTCGCACCCCTTGCATAGGAGCGCTACGTGGCGGCATCGCGGACGAACTGACCCGCTGGAACCCACTCATCATCGAAAGGGTGCATCGATAGCGCAACCCACTGCACCAGTATGCTTTGTAATATCGAATGGTGGAACACCATTTTTGTTCTCCAATTACCGGGCAAAATCGTTCACGTCATTTTTGCGTGCAGCGTTCCAGGCTTGCTGAAATCCTGGAATGTGCCGTACCGGTGGCGTGCTCGAAACGAGAACCCAGTGCTCTTTCTCGCATGGCACTGATTTTTGAATCGAAAGTCAGTAGCGTCTCCGCACAATACGTGCATAGAGAGATAAAATTGATTACCTTGGAGTGCAGTTCAGCACAAACCCGTTCACATTACAGACGAGCAAGACACGTCCTGGTGTTGATCGAGGTGTTCAATGCCCGGTGCGGAAAGTGCTCGGGTGGACACTTGCTCGTCCAAGCATACTGTAGCGAGCGGCTTGCCGTCTACCGCCTCGCCAGCTGAGACTCGATCAGCTTATCGGATGCCATTTGAAGCATCCAGATCTGTTTGCGCTCTCCTATGCTGCTTCATTTTGCAGCTGTGCCCGTGTTGCGTATACATCCCAATGAATCGAACGATGGGAGTCGAGCAGCATCAATTCCTGCACTTGTTCTGCGCTCTCGTCAAGGGATCGGGTGTGGAATCCCTGCACATTCCAGCAAGTCCAGCGCTGGAAGCTTCTATCAACCGACGCGAGTTATGGGGCATTTCCTTTTTCCAATGCATTGGACAAGTTAGAGATTGCAGGCTGCTTGCATTCATGCGACAGAAACAGGCGACGATCCCCGCGCGTTTCATGTGCTCCTGCCAGAGAGCGTCCGTGTGAGCCTCTGGGACGATCATCGACGCTCCGAAGAAAGCGCACATAACATCTGCTTCCGATCGGTACGGGGCGCAGAACATCGAGACGGTTCCCGACACCGTCATTCCACTTGAACGTATGCAAATTGGCGTCTGTCACGCCCGATGTGGGATGATACCGAGCCCTGGAAAAGTTGAGGGGGTTCATCTGTTTTCTGTTCAGGTCTTTGGCGCCGTGCCTGTGATGTCGGGCCTGGGGCAACGCGTACGACCACCCGAAACCCCCGGATCTATACCTACCACGAATTCTTTCTCTTCCTCTCCCCGGATCGGTTGAAAGCGAGTTCTGTTGCTGGGGTCAGGCTCGAGTTTCAGAAAAGTGAATGAAAATGGCTAGTGCGCAGCGCTTCATCTTGTCCGGAAACCTTTTTCCGCATCGTGCCTGGAAACGAGAAACACTGAAATCGTATCGCTTATGCTCCATGCGAACTTTTTGTGAGTGCTTCCTAGTTTCATGCTTAGATCAGCCGCAGCTCACAATAAAGATCGTACAGTATTCCACAAAAGTGTCTGCAGTGATGTGATGCCTCATGATGTAGGGCATGCGCATCACGTCGTATAGGTGTCTGAGGAGTCCAGAGCGCCCGACTTGGGGTAGGGAATTCGCTTCGGGTTCGCGGGCTCCGTCCAGAAAAGAGTTGTAGCGAGAGATGCACGGAAGAGAGGCATCACGTTTCATTCGTTATTTAGAGGCAACCTTCGCCGACTCGCAGTCAGAGGTGACACCATGAGCTTGGACGATCTCAAGCGACTTTCCCTACCATATCGATCGCTTCCGCCATCACCAGTCTGCTATTTGCTTCTATCACACCGCTGGACAGCGCCTTCGGTTTGTCCCGACTTTTCTGGGTGAATGTAATGAGGGTACGACGGAAACCATCGCTGCATTGTGCGTTTCATGAAGCGCACTACATTGACTCGCATGTCGTTTTGATCCTTGAGATTGGGTTGATACTTCTGGGCACCTGAACTGTGTACCATATTTCAGTTGCTGAGATGACACGGCGAAACGTCGAGGTATTCTGGTAAGTGAATCTATACGAATCCCTGATCCTACGATCTGGTCGTTTTGCATCCTCTGTGCCCAGTATCAGTTTTCGTATGAAGATTTGAACGAGAAATTCCAGAGGAATGTTGACACCTGGCATCCCTGCGACCGGAGCTCGTCCAAACAGTTGCATGACGAGATACGTCAAGACTGGAGAAGCTGTGCGAGCGTTCCTGGAGCAACAGGCTACACGATGCGTGATGGCGTCCTGAACCACACTTTGTGGAAGATTCTCCATGTTGATGTGTTCTTATAAAGTGGCCTGGATAAATGTATGAGATTGTTGCTTCCGCTCCGAATGTTTTCCCTTGCCGTCCTTTCTCATCCCATTTTCGGGAGGATCGCCTCAACTTCGTCCGGTGCTGTTTCAGCTCACATTCACATGGCGGGATGACGTGGATGCGAGCGCTGTACTCTGTATCCATTTGCTGCCTCGCGACTCAGACGCACTGGATAATCAGTAGGAAAAAAGTCCGCCTTCGTAGAGTACGTACGTGTCGACTAAGCCACGAGTTCCTCTTCGTTCACCTTTTGTGTCGCGAGCACGCCCATAGAAAGGAGCGCGGTCTTTCGCCTCGCTCCGACGCAAACGCCGGACTGCAGCACAGTATTTCGCTGCTGGTGAAGCTGGAGAACCATTGGTTGACGGACGTTTTCACGTATGCGCACGAGTCATCTATTGCGTACGCAAGCGTAGCCGTGGCATCTAACAATAGCGAAGACACCTCCGACGGGATTAAACTGGACGGAATATGCTGGGGCAACGAGCAAAGTGACGCCTCTCGAGGCTGCCTACTCTTTGACCGCTAATGAGCGAAGAAAAGCGATTCCGACGAAGAGAAGGCAAGAGGAACGGAAACAGAAGTCACGACCTGCGTCGATGAAGGATGAGCTTTTGAGCGATCCTGTTCGTTTCGGGATTTCTAAGTGACGACACGATTGCATCGCGGCTGATACTGGTGTGGTCGGAATGCACACTGTGCTCTTCTCTGAGGACAGCGTTTTGCTCTTGTTTGGGAGCGCGTATCCATCCCTACCATATTTCCTGAAGAAAGTCTCATCGGGTGCGACGAGCATCCATACCCACTGGAATCAGCGTTGCTGTTTCAGTACGACATCAATTATCCGTTATTCAACGAGCGACATGTTCCTATAGAATCGCATTTGTTTCTTTGGCTAGTTGTGTCGCTTCATCACAGCTCAGATGAAAGGTACGGAAACTTCATATCCTATGGCTGCTTTCTTCGAATTTCTCAGAGACCGTATCGAGCAGAATGGATTGACGATGAGACAGTCAAGTACATAGAGAATTTACAAGTTCCACTGACAGTGCACCACGTTCAGGATAAGGACGAAACACAGGGTCATGTATCCTCCTGCTGACCGTACAACAAGTCCAGCTGCATGCTCGCATGCCAGCATTGTCGTCAAAAACGCATCGCGCGGCCGGTCTCTCCCAGGTACGCAACCCATAACTGTTATTGAGTACCTGCGAGAACAACGAAGGAGAACCAAAAGACTGTGCTGGTACACAGGGGTTCAGTGTTCACTGCTCTGGGTAAGCGAGTCCTTCGAGTCTTGCAGCAGCGTCGAGCCGCGGCGACGCTGTCGAACGCTCGACAACAGCGTCTATTGCAAACGTGCTGGGTAGCGCTCGACGCAAGCAGCTACTGGATCTGACACTCGTGCGATGCAATCGAATGAGGGGTTTCCGCGGATTCGACACTTATTCGCTCGGGTAGCAACACCGCGAAGGCCGCGACGTGCGCTCGTCCTGGTCCGTGGCCCCGACACAACCCCGTTTCTGCACGGTCTCTGCACCGCGCACTTGACACGCTATGCGAACGAGCAGGGACCGGTTTGTACGAGCACTTGCTTTCTTGATAGACGTGGCAGAATGCTTTTTGAAGCCCTGGTATGGATTCACGGCCCGGAGCGCGTGTACTTGGACATCGACGGGCGAGTCGTGGGGCTCGCACTCCGCCACTTGACGTTGCACCGAATGCGAGCGCGCGTTGCATGGGAACACCTGCCTGCGACGCTGTATGTGGAAGCTTTCGCACACCAGGGGAGCGGTTCAAACACGGATACTCGTTCTGGGACAGTGAAACAGGTTGAAACTCGTGTTTCCGCTGCCGGTCACGAGGAGATGCATGCGATCGACCCGCGCTCCCCCGTGCTGGGTATGCGCCGCTGGCAGTGCTTAACGTCGTCGACACCAGCTTGCACAACGATGCCTGGAACTGGCCAACACAAGCGTTGTTATCATTCATACTGGCTTGCCGAGGCACATCGCGTGCTCCATGCGATTCCGCAGGGCATTCAGGACGTGGTCCCGGGCCAGTCGTTACCGCTCGAATGTAACTTTGAACAGCTTGGAGCGATCGCTTTCGACAAGGGCTGCTATCTCGGACAAGAGTTAACCGCTCGCACCCATTACACGGGTGTGATTCGCAAACGCACCGTTGCAGGCATTCTGTCTCCGGATGCAACCGACGCCCTACAGCGTGCCGAGGCGGCTGCCGCTTTTTTGCAGCGACCTCCAGACGCGACGTTGCCACCCGAACTGGCGCTCCTGTTCCCAAGCGAGGTGCTCGCATGGCCAGGTCCCGCTCTGAAACAGCAGCTGCTCAGGGTCGAAAGCGATACCGTCGAGCGGCCGCAACTTGAACCGGTTGCATCAGCAGCAACCCAGAAGCGGAGCGTGGCCACTCTCGGGACGATTATCGCAAACCTGGCAACAGCACTGGTGCCGTTAGCGGACACCGACCTCCATGCAGCCGTTCCGGGAACACAGCGCTTGCTGCGGGTCTCTGGTCGAAGTCCAGCCAGCATCGCGAACTGGTACTTTGCCTGGTGGATACCACCGTACCTCCAGGCGATCGCGTCATCGACCAGCGTCTCGCCGGTTTCGTCTGCTACCCAGGAGAGCTGACTGAGCGGCACGCCTGCTTTGCGAGACGCTAGCTGCCAGTCAGCTACAAGGCGCAGAATGCGCATGCTGCCTGGTGCGGCGCTTGCAAAGCGCGCTCCATCACCATCATCACCACCACCTCCACCACCCGCTGGAGCACTGGGCATTGCGCCTGCACGGGGCAAGGCGACCATGCAACAGAGACGCCCAGTATACAGGTCACAAAACAGTGCGTCGTTTACAAAGCTTTTCTCAGATGCGCGGTCTCTTTAACGTGCATTCGATTCCGCGTCGACGCTCAGCTGACTCAGGACGTCGACGAGATCTCGGGTCGCTCGCTCATCCTGCGACTGGCTGCCTCCGTGAATACCGGTTTCGATGCCTCTGGCATACGTGGAAGCAATTAGGTTCAGTGCGTTCTGCAGCAGCACGAGCGCCCGATCGCGTCGCCCGGCAGCGATGTAGATCTGGGCGAGCAGTTTGTAAATCATGGTCTCGAGTGTGAGCACGGTGCGCGGACTACAGCAGATAAAGTTACTGCTATGTCGAGCATCAAGCACTTCTAGGGCCACGTTCAACAACTCAATGGCTTTGCGCTCATCGCCGGCCACAAAGTGCAGGAGCGCGAGGTAGTAGAGCGCTTCGGCTCTGGAGGAAAGCTCAAAACGCTCTGCATATCGGTGTACGAAGCGATCGAAGATAGAGAGCGCCTCTTCGAAGACTGTACGCGCTGTTTCGAGTTGGTGTTCACGGATCAAGGAGTCGCCGAACGAGATCAGCGTCAACGCATAGGGGATGGATTGCTCTTGGCCCAGTTGCCGACGCAGTGCCAGCGTCTGCGCCAGGCAGCGACAAGCGGCTTTCGTTCGACCCCGCAGCGCATGCGAACGACCCAGGTTTTCCAGAATTGCCACATGAATCGTTGGATGCATCAACAGGTGGACTTCTTGATGTGGAAAGAAACTGCGCGGGCCCAGCGGCGCCACTGCCGTACTGCTCGGGGCGCTGCTGCTGGCGCTTTGACTCTTCGGGATAATGATCGGAGAATGCCGCGTGCATACCTCCAGTAACTGTTCCAGGATTCGCTCGGCTTCTTCGTAATCGAGTGAGTCGATGCAAGCTCGAGACAGACACAGACCGGATAGGATAGCGTGCTCGATTTCGTCGGGAAAGCTCAAGGTCAGCGAGTCACAGGGTGCATCTTCCGCCAGCGGGGAAGGCATCGCCGCCGACGTTACTGTACCGCCCAGGAGCAACGCTGAGCTAAGCGCATCGTCGCTTGCATGCTCATTCCCTAGACAGGTCGGGTAGAGACGATGCCAGTCGGCCACGCTCGGGCCGTGCTCGACCTGGCGCTGCAGCGCGACGACGTCGCCAGCGGACGTGCCGACATCTCTTGTCCATAGTGACAAGTTATGTCCCAATCTGTTCAGTGATGTCAAGTAGCTGCGCAGCGCTGGCTCAAATCGCTCGTAAATGTCCCTGAAGATGCCGGTACGAGCTTCGGCTTTCAGTAAGTACCGAATCGGGTATGAGAAGCTGGCGACAAAGTCGGAAACGCCAACGATGCCGTAATGGTTGCGCGCAACCTCTATGGCGTAGAAAAAGTCATCCTTGAGCTCGTCGAAGTAGATCCGAATCCGATCCCAGACATCCGGTTGATCCGAGCGAGACTCCAACTGCAAGCGACTGAGACGTTCTCTTAGTTCTTGCACAAAATTATGTTCTACGCGGTAGAGGATCTGTTTGGCCTCGATCATCATGGATTCCGAAGCAACCGAATGCGAATCCAGGTCAACTAGGGTTACCATCTTGTGCGTTGGGCGTTCTGTCGCCAGTTGCAGGATAACGTGAGGCGGGATGCGACGTACGTGCTCCGGCACCAGATAGGCGTATTCGTTACTCAGCTGCGCTGTCCGCGGGATCGCCAACAGCAAACCATTGTTGTGCAGGCGTTCGAGCGCGTTGCGCGCGACAGTCGCCGATATCCCCAGAACCCTGGCTGCTCGCTCGCTCGTGAAGAGCCCCTGGAACACCTGTATGCCGACAAGAAGCCGACCCATGCTCGGGCTCTGAACCATGATCGTGTTCATGCCCGAAGTTTTCAACAAGCTCAGATCCCAGGCCGACACCAGTGGGCCGTTTGCATCCATTTCTGCGAGTAATTCCGAGACAATCTGATTCGCTTCTCGCAGCTGCTGGCCAGTATCATCATCACCAATGAGCTGCTGGTTCAGCATCAGGTTTCCATCAAGCTCTGCGATCGCCATATTCGCAGCATCGCTCCGGGGCCGACTACCGAATAGCATATCCTCGAGAGCATCCTTCCGATATTCTGCAATAAAACTTGACATATCTTGAAGCGCCTCCGCCGTGGATCGGCTACCTGCCTGCAGTCGTGTTTTCTGACGGACATGGTTCGCGTTCGAGCGCATTGCGTCCGCGATGGCATACTCCGAGAATGGCCGCTCTTGGGTACTTGCTATGGAGAGATCGCCGCGATGCACACCGTATGCGGAGTCGGCACTTCGCCCGTGCTCGCCAGTTTCGGTAGGCATCTCGTCGTTGTCGTTGTCGTTGTCGTCGTCCAGTTCACCCAACTCCATTTTGAATGCACTGATGAACCTGCGGAGCAAACTAGCCCGCTCCTCTCGATATCGTTGGATCCTTTGCTTGCTTTCCCGCTTTTGTGCATTGCGGCGTTCTCGAATCTCGGCTGGTGATAGTCCCTGCAGGCGCTGCCCAGTCGAGGCACGTCGCTGGTAGCGCTTTGCCAGTTCGGCGAGCGCTATGGATTCGGGGAGCATACTTGCAGCGCCCCTTTCGGATCGAGAAAAGCCGCGGGCACTCAGGATCCGCTCACAGTATCTATTGAACTGCTCTTCGAGAAGGTTCATTTCCATGGCCTCTCGGCGCCACGCCAGGCGCTTCCACTCGCGTCGACGGCGGAGCGCACGCTCCCGAGCCGCTCCACTTGGCTCCGAGAATTCCGCAGAACTCTTACCCGCAGACGAAGGCGGCCTTGATAGATGCAGCCACCTCGGCGTCGACGCCTCCGTTGAGCTCCGTGACGACGAAACGGAGGCCACAGCGCCGCCCGCTGTAACGCTCATGCCAGATGCGTCTCCGGATTGCGTATCTCTGGATGCTCTCTCCGTTGTTTCATCGTTTCTATTCCAGCCAGAGTCAGAAGCAGGTTTTTGCTCCCCGTTCTTCTGCTGTCGGTAACTTTCTACGGTTAGAAACTCTCGCTGCTCCGCAGAGCAGCTACCTTCGGAAGCAGTGCTGGAAGCCATAACGTCGGCGTGTACTTCGTGCTCTGAAACTTGTTCAACACTGGGTTCCTGGCTCTGGCTCGTGTCGCGATCAGGCGCGTGACCGGGTGCGGTCCAGTCACCGCCGCCGTAGTCCAGCGTGGTGCGGTACCCTCGGGCCGACGTTCGGCGCGACCGCTCAGCTGGTTCCCCGTTGAAGTTTGAACGCGAGTTACTTCCCGCACGACCAGCCATGTCCTGCGGACGCGGAGCGCTTGCTATTCTCGAAATACGCTGCAAGTTTCCTTTCGTACCCGGGAAGTTACGGACCAGCGCTTCTGCGTTTCGATCAGGCTACCTAAAATACCTTCGAGTTTGCTTGCGGAGCTTTTGTGCTCCCCTCTGCAGCCCAGTATAACGCGTAATACCTCAGTCGTCTACACGGAAAAGTTGAAAACGACTAAGCAAATACCCCAGCTCCGGGAACGGCAACGTTTTAGTGCTTTTGTTCCGGAACACGAAAAGTTCATCACCTCCGAAACCGAACGCCCTTGAAAAGAAAAACGATGCCGCCGGCAGTGCACAGTAGTGGCGAGTAAACCGCCCTAGACAAGACGTCTACAGCTGACGTGCAGGTGCCTTCCAGGTGTTCTCGAGCGGCCATCTAATACTTCCAACTTTTTCCAATATAAATCCACTTTGCGTGGTTGTCCAAGAAAATTCACTCTTGTCTACTCTGTAGACCTCGTCTCCATCAACGCATATCTCCGCACACTGATCGCGGCATTCAAGTCCCGGTTCACAAACTCCATACGTTTCTTGCCATCATTCGTTGTACTTACTCATGCAAGCAATCCTCGAAATTTCGCTTTCCTTTCCATTTGCTCTTCCGTCAGTGCTCCGTACTTTTTTATATCCTCAGAGCTCCGCTGGCGCTTTTTCATCTCAACCCGCTGGAGCGTACACCCCAGATTATGGTGTGTCTAGGACGTTCGGAACTCTTCTACAGGTATCGTAACAAAACGACGTGCACACTCCGTGTACGTTCTCATCGTTGGAGCTGGCGTAATCCCTTATTGGGTCTTCCAGCGCCCTGCTCCATACGCAATTACGAGCCTCTGATTTTCATTCTCCTTCAAGGCGCTCAACGAACTAAAAAAGTTGTCAAATGCACGCCGCTTCCCACAATATAGATTCATACGCAGACGAGCCCACCGGGGCTTTGTATATTCATTCCACAGCGCCTCCCAATGAACAACGCTAACTTCCATGAAACTTCCGAAAAGCTTGAAGGTCCGCTCCTAGGCTCGTCACCTCGCTCCTAGCTTCCAGGGGTGATCCTTCATTCCTGCATTCCATATCTCGATTTTTGTCCTCGCATTCATTATTCCCGATTCTCGATAGTATCTTGCTCTCCAGGACCTCAACAGACGCATGTCCTTCTGACGTAAGTTACAGTCGTTACCATCTTCCGCACGCTTGGGTATTGCGATTTTGTTTTCATTGACAAAACGTTTACTTAGGCCATCGTTCTCCGATTATGCGCATTTTTCTTTTCTTTTTTGTTAGTGTGCGGTGAAGTATCCATCAAACCGCCCACCTCCAAGTTACATTACCCATACTTCTTCTCGGATATTCTGGTCGTTTCATACGTAAAATCGTGCACCGAGCGCCTGCCCTGATCGCCCGCAATAGCGCCGGTAGCGCTGCCTTCGCTTCCTTGTCTCCGGCGTTGGCACGTATGGCGGTGCGGTTGACGATCTTGTTGAGTCGGTAGCATCCATCAATCCGAGTTTTGGTACGTCGTTTCAGGTTCTGCGCTTTGCAACTGTTGCGTTCTGGTGCCAGCCGTCCCAGTTCTCTGGCGATCTTCTGATTCCCAGCTACAAACTCGCGTGCCAATTGGTCTAAAGATTTGTATGCACGGCTTTTCGGATCTACAGCGCTGTGAGTAGGTGACTGGGTTTGGTGGCAGCTTTCTTGAGTTCCCACTTGGGTGCTCTTTCTGGGGATCACTTGTGATGGGCCCGTTTGGGAGTTCTTCTCTCTATTCTTCTGTTTTCTCTTGTTGGTCTTCTTCTTCTTCGGGCTCTTTCCTGAGCTACTTTCTCTGGTTACTCTTCTGGCATGTGGATCATGATGCCATTGTGTCTTTTCTTCTGTATCCCGTTGGGCCTCTTTCGCTATTGTAGAGTCCTCTATTGGTGTCCCTTCTTCGTTAATGTACTGATAATTCGTTATCTTTTCTCGAAAGGCTGCAAGTGACTTGTAGGTTAGTACCCGTCAATGGCGCCCGATGGAGCGCGCTTGTATCGCCATTCGGCTCCCAGGATCGCAATGCTATGCAGAGCAGAAGGGAACCGGACGTTCCTGTCATTGCCGCATCTGGCATGCGGTTGGATTCGTCGCTCGGGTTGGCGGGTACATTTTTCTCTGAAAAGATCTCAATCTCGGCGCGCGGGATCTTATACCGCTCAAGTGAACTTCCGAATAGACGTGAATGATGCCCCGTTTTATCTCGTGCTGCGGGCGATGGACAGCATCGATGAACAAGTCACCAACTAGCGGTCCGTTCTGTTGTTCTTCCCCATCCTCGCTGTTTAGTGGTAAGTTTACGCACCGGAAGCACTTTCCACATGTTCGTTTCAAGGACAATCTGAGTTGTCCAAATATTGGTTTTGCTTCCCTGAGCCTGTTCTTCACGGTCGAGAAGACGGTCTTAGACGGAATGAACGATGAAGCGTTTCTTCAAATGCATAACTTGATCCGCCTTCTGTTCCCTGCTGTTTTTACGAATAGACAAGAATATGTGAAACCCGATGTCACCCATGACGAAACATGTACCAGAGGCTAAAATCCATGAAGGGGACCAAGTCGAGAGAATTTGATATGTCTAGGCTCACGTAGTACAGACTAGTCATATATGCTCCACTGAAAGTGATCGCTGTGATCATTCAAGTCCAAGTCCAGGACAAGTTTCCGTGAAAACAGAAAACAAGGCAGCCTCTGCGTGCACGTGCCTCGAGAGGTATCATGCTCCTGCTATCGAATGTCCTTGGTGGATGGTCAGAAATAGTGGAGACCTCGTCTTTCGAACGAAATCGATGTTTATTTCGTGACGAATTCAGTGAAGCTACTGCATCGATTTTGTGGACAAGCCGCCAGGAAACGAAGTCAAGTTTCTTTCGTTAACAATCTAGCGGTGCACGTTGCTGCATCAACGAGATGCTTCGAAAAAGAAAGATCAAACAGCGTACGCATGCGTCATTTGGGCATGCCAGACGTGAAAAGAGCAGAAATGTAGAGAATTCCACATAGAGAAATGAATATCGGTATTGATTATTTACGAACGTTCTTTCGAATGCGCCGCGAATCCCTTTTATTTCGGTGACGTAACGCATTTCAGCCCCAACGAGTCGAAGAAGCCGCTCGGACAAAAAAGACTCAAATTCCCAAACCTACGTATCGTTCCATAAGCCCTTGTTGCTGTATCACGGAATACCGACGGTGCATTTCGACAATCGTTCGTATAATGAATCGCAAGGCGGGAACAGCGCATGCATTTCGGTGTTCCATGCATCCCTGACACGGGCGCAGCGCGCAAGGCCGACTCGGTACACTGGCGATTGCTCGACACATAGCCTCTATTCCCAGGGAAAATTCGTGACTGAAGCGTCTCCAACGTCGAAGCGTCTGTCAGAATGCGCTGGTCTGTTCGTCCTGCAGACAGCAGCCAGCGGTCGCTTTTCCAAGGCATCATGCCAAGACTGCGACGGTCGGATGCCATCGTGAGGCCGGCGGCTGCGGCGACGCTCACCGATACAATCTACGCCCCCAGCGGTCAATAGCCGGGGGCGAGGCGTTGTCCTGAAAAGGCCCAGCTTCTATTGGCACTGAGAAAACCATGGATGAGTGCCTATTTAGGTTCTGATGTACTCTCCGTATCCGTTTCTGAGGACGGATCGTCCGGCAGGGCACTCCTCTGGAACACGCGAGAGCGAGTCGTGCGACGCGAGCTGCAGCTCACTCGGCCAACAGGCGCTCAGCGACTAGGTATAGGACGCGCTGCGGCCCCTGAGGTGTCGGGCTCGTTACGTGCTCAAACATTTTGCCCTGTGCTTGCGTCGCCTGCTACCTGGGATCGATATGTGTTTGGAGTGAACACCGGTCTCCATAAGAGCTGCATTAAATTTTTCACGCTAGAGCGCGACTCGGAAGTCGCCCAGGTGACGCTGGGCGAGAACCTAACGGCCCTGGCGTGTTCCCACGGAGGCCACTTTCTAGCTGCGGGCACAGCGCAGGGTCTCGGGTACCTGTGGGACCTGCACACTGGAGTCCTGCTTGCGCCCAGTGCGGGATCGGGACCAAGCAGTGCCGCCGCAAACACTGAAACCGGGCATCAGTCGGCTGCCGCTTGGGAGCTGCAGCTTCTCGCGGTGACAACGCTGGTGTTCACTCTAGATGATGCGTTCCTTGTAACTGGAGGCGAAGACGGGAGTATCACGGTTTGGGCGACATCGGAGCTGTTTGCGGGGCAGACGCACCAACCATGGCGCCGTTTCCCTGCGGTACATGCTGGTGCAGTAGTTGCGCTCCATCTGGGCGCTGCCTGGCAACTGCATACCGCCCGAATATATAGCCTCGGGCGAGACAGGACATTGCGGATTCTCGACTTTCCCACCGGCATGCAGCTGGCGAACATCCATCTGAGTATGCAAGGAACTAGCCTGGTGGTGGATGACGTTTTCGAGAGGGCCGCGTACGTGGGTCACATTACCGGCGATGTGCTCCGCATTTGTTTGCCGTCTTTGAGTCTTGATTCAACGCGCACGCTGCTGATCAAGAAACCGCTAGTCAATCTCGAGAGCGACGGGCATAGTGCCACCACATCGACCTCGTGGCTTCGTGGCTTCACCGAGCGGGATGTGCCAGAAAAGCGGGCTATTCGCACACTGGCTCTCGTCGAGGATGGCTCCATACTTGCCTACGGTAACGAAAATGGTAGCGTCGGGTTGATTCATCTGAACAGTAACGCCGTTGTTGCCGAGTTTCGGGGCCAGAAAGCGCACCGCAGCGAAACCGTCTACTTGGTGACTCGTATCCCGCCATCCGACGGTGCCGTGCCCCGGTGGCTCTGGCAGCGAGATGTCTACGTGAACGAAAAGAAACGCCAGTGGTCTACCGGTGGTACGCGTCATGCACCGCGGGTTGCGCCACGCTTTTCCTTGGAGTCGAAACCCTATGGGGAATCCTTCGAGCTGGTCGATTCGCTGGCAACTCGTTCGACTGCTGTGGCAGCGGCAGCCGCTGGTGCTGCGAACGCCACAAACTCGGGCGAGACGGCGGATGCGGCGATCGTTCCCGCCCGTAAGCATGAACGAGACCGTTTCGTTGCCTGGACTAGCGTCTGCATGGATAGGCTGCTTGCGCAACTAGACCAACGCGAGGATACCTGATCCCAGGGCAGTGCAGTGTACGCTGCGAGACAGTAGCAGGTCTGTATTGTGCATGGAGTAGTGGCGAGCGCCCGCGCACTCGACGACTGGAATGGTGTTTGGGAAGTCAAGCTACAGAAAGCTGAGGCGTTGAACGATTCAGAGATTGCGACGCATTTGCAAGAAAACAGTTCTACATCGGCCGTAGCGTAAATACACATATTATTGCCTTTGGGGTGCAGAGGTGTGAATGCGCCACAAATGTTGCCTGCTGCTTCGGTGGATTCCCGGCTTTCCCACAGCAGACATTCTCAAGTAGCATCCAGCCAAGTTTCCTGCGTTCTGGATATTCAAACTTCGAAAAGAGCGCGCATTCTCACCAGCGCGTAAGCAAAGCCCAGCATCGTCGAGCACGCAGGGACTATAACCAGGTCAGCGTCAAATGGAATTCGTCCAGAAACGCAGGCAGATAGAATGAGGTTTGAGGCGCCTCCCGCTGGTGTCAACATCTGCCTTGGCGGACTTGTGATGCGACTGTTGCCTCTTCTCTCTCTAATCTCCGGTTTTACCCACGCCCGTTTCTGTTTTTCGTCTTGCGCTGATGTCAGAGATCGAAGCTTCTTGACGGGAGCGTGCAAGTCCCTATTTCGCTGCTTCCGGCTGCTGTTGATACATTTCATGCGTTTGGGGAAGTTGCGATCTCCTGTTCGGTTGCCATGTTCGTCCTCTTTGTTTACGGCCGCGGTGAGCATTTTGCAGCGGTCCAGCTGACTGCGTCCAAAACTTTTTCGTCGGTCTACCGCACCTACGCCTCCTCCTCCGAGACTGACCCTGTGGTGTGTGAGCGCTTTCATTGTCGCCAGGTACATGCCATTGACGGCCACAGACGACTCCCATGAAAAACCTCCTGCGGTTCCGCGGTCGGCGTCGTGCATCATGACAACGAGTCTCTTCTGCGCGATCCCTACACCGAGTATGTTGTCCGCTATTCACCTAAGCGCGCGCGGTCGCATTCGATAGAGGATTTGTTGAGCACGAGCTGGTCCTTGATGATAAAAAATACTGGAAGGATAATCCAGGCTGGAGAACAAGTTGAGAATTTGTCGTCCGTCTTAGTTCCTTTCATGCATAGCGGTGATGGGCGCTCCACTACTGGCCGGTCGGTGTAACGACTCAATTCCGTATCCGATACGCTTCTCCATGCACACAGGAGAGACGGGAGCCTCTCCAAATATGTTTCGTAAGCGTTATCCTGTGGCTGTTGAATGACGTTTCATGGATGAACACAAAGCGAGAGTGGTTTGTGTATCAACCTATATAGATTCTTAGGATTTAAAGTTCAGCGAACTTTTGGCATAAGCCTTAGCAGATGTCGTCCAGGGAATTCGTCGAGTTTTTTCCTCGTCAATGCTGCAGGGCATACTGCTGCGCCCTTGAGTTGCCTTGGAAGCGAAAGATCGAAAACTTGAAACAAACGGGATTCGAGCATGGTAAACGGAACAAATGGAGAAGACTGGGTGCCTGTTCATGTAAACGGGATAATGGTATCGGTTATTTCAGGAACCGCAGCTCGAATGCTTCGCGAATCATCCTGATGCCGGTGGTCTAACGCACTCCATCCGCAAAGAGTAGACGGAGCCACCCCAACAACACGACCGCCAGTTCAAAACCTGCATATTGATTCGTAAACCCCTAGTGCTGAATTGGAATATCGAGGCCGTGTATCTACGAAAAAAAGTTCGGAAAGAAATCGGATGGCAGGAACCGGGCAACCAGCTCAATATCACGTTTCCATCTGGCCCGGTTGCAGGGCGGCAACAAAAACGATCGATTTTACGAGTTCCGGTCTGCTCTGGTTCAGGGTTCGCCGAGTTCTTTAAAGTCATCAGTCGAGACGCTCTTTAACTTGGAGGGGTCTCGGGTTCAGGTTAGATAAATGCGAAATCAGCGGGGTGGCGCTGAAGACACCGCCGTTCTGTGGTGGCAGTTCAAACGCGGTTTGCCCCGTCGTGGCGTGAAAGATGAAGCTCAGGCTCCCATTAATACCGCTGAGCTGAGCTCTAGTCAGCGAAAGCGACTTAACCGTCGACGTTATGAGATTTTCCGTTTTGCAGGAGCACCCAAAACGGTTTCGACGAAACATCTGGCGGTGCTGGAGTGGAGCCCTGCTCACCATATGGCCCTCGTTCGCCAGCCGCGAGGTAAGATCTTCCAGTCACTGGGTATTGTGCGGGGTCCTGAACACTGGCTCTACCCCGAGGAGGCTGTGTTTCTGGTGGATCGCAGTTCTGCGGATCTACTGGTTGACGGCATCGCGACTTCCGTGGAGCGATGTTTTGCGCTCTTGCTCTATGAACGCATCCCGCTGGAGCACTACTACGCGTATGCGTACCTGCGCCGTCTGGGATATCATGTGCGACGAAGTCTATCAGATACACGCGCTGCCGCCATTGTTGGGGCTCCATTCGCATCAGCTTTTCAAGGGGATCGCGTCCCCTTCCACTACGATGTGTGGCCACCGGGCAACTTCAAGCGCAGCATGCCTGGTGTGCCGCTCTTTCGGGCAGTTGTTCTGCCTTTTAGCGCACCCGTGTGGACGGCTGCGCAGATGCGACACCTAGCAGAGGCAGCGGAGCCGAGCTCCGCGCGCATCATTGTCGTCGAGCGGAGCATCGTCGCATTTTTCGAAGTGCGAGCTCAAGGGCCGCTGGCGAAGCCAGCGAATCCCGCTGACTTGTGGATGGCTGAACGGGCGCTTGCGCTTCAAAGCCTTACCAATGGCCCTGAGGCAGACGCATCAGTCGCGTTGGGTGCTTTTGCAGCTGAGGACGACGACGACGACGACGACGACGATGCTGATGCCATGTCAGCTCAAAGCTCCGACTGGAATGCGTCCATATCCGGATCGGATGCTGAGGAATGCTCTGGAGTCAGTAGTCATTCGGCGAGCAGCAGTTCATCGAACGACGAGCAGGGACTGTGAGTGTGCACTCTTGAAGGCGTCGCTCGAGCATGCTGGCGCTTTTAGCAGGCCCAGCGCTGGCCTGGGAACGTGCTGACTCCATCGGAATGCAAGGGTTCCTTGTTCGAGAGCCAAGCAGCTGGGTAACTTCGATCACGGCTCCAAGCAAATTTACAGCATCAATCGTATCTGCAGTTTACATGCTTTGCATACGACTGGACAAATACACCTCGGTAACTTTGTTATGCCCTCGCGTACCCGACGACGGGGACAGAAGGGTAACATCGCCTCTTGCGCTGGCGCAAGTTGCTATGGGTGACGCCTGCCAAAGCGTGGAACTTGTTGCGCTTGTGCTTAGATAGCGCGCGTGGACAACGATTTCGACGTCGACATTCATCGCTTTCCTCCCAGCAAGGGTCTAGCGTACTGCCCTGTCTACGGACCAGCAGGAACCACACCATGTTCTCGCGAGGACGTCGCTTTCCTGTTGCGAATGCGGATCTGCGCATGCTTTTCGCGGTTTCCTCATTTCGCTTTTTCGATCCAAAGACAGCGCAAATGAACTCGTCTAGATTGGTCGGGCTCCTTGCGGCACATTCACTCGCGCAAACCGCTTTCGCTTGCACGTGCAAGTGCAGGCGTGACGGCGGCGCTCAAGTCAACCACGACTCTTCCACGCACTGCAGGACGCGTTTATTATACTCTCGCCGGTCTTCTAGGTATAGCCTGGCGGCCTCCGCATTCGCCGGCGAGTTCGGGTTGGGGTCACACAGCAACGACTGAATAGAGGTCAAGACGGCCGCAACGTCATAGATGGGGCTCCAGCTGTTCTGGAGCAAGTCCAAACAGACTCCTCCGTCTCCATAGTAAAAGTTAGGATGAAAGACTTTGGTTATAAACTTGACGACAGGAGGCTTATTTGGGTACTCCTCGCTGAACGTTAGGGTCAACTTGAAGACCCCGCCTTCAAACACGGAGTCCTCCGGGCCGAAAATTACTCCTGTCCACTTCAAGACGTCTGCTTCACTTGGTGCTGCTGAGATACCAGCAGGAGGATCCTGTTGCAGTTTCTTGAAGTCCCGTATGAGTCTTCTCCGAGCCGGTGTCGACATGACTACGGCCTCTGCACCCGCTCCAAAACGAAAAACCCCGTTTCTAACGGAACGTGCGCTCTCAAGCGCGAGGTCGCGGCGGCTCTGGAATATCCGGCGACGCTGCGCGGCTGGCGCGTCGCAGCGTAACGAATGCTTTCCAGCATGGGGCAGGTGGCGGGAAGCTGCACCAGTCTGCAGCACGGACGGAAACTGCACATGTCCGTGAAACATTAAATGTACTACGACCTTGGAGGGTAAATGAATACCCATACGCAGACGCCTCCCAGCGTTTTTGGACCGGCCGCCCGCCATCGGCTTCAGCTTCTCTTTGTCAACTTCGAGAGTCGAAGAGGCTGCATCACAAAGTTAGACAGCTTCAGCTCCTGGGGCCTCTTCTTCAGCCTTGCGCAACTCCTGATACTGATGGCGGCGTTAAAGTCTCGGTTCATGAATGCCATGCGTTCTGTGCCTCTGTTTGAGCTGAAAGTGCGAGGATTCCTCGAACTCGTGCCCTCTCTGCTATTTATCGCTCTGTCTGCGATATGCATTTTTTATCTACCGGGCCCTTCTTCGCCTTCTCCGTATCTCGACTTTCTGAAGCGTATAATCGAGCTCATGCCTTAATTTTTCTAATCGCAACGCACTTCTTTATACCCTTAGGTGAGGGCCTTTCTGGAGGAAGAGGGATTTGCGGAAGAAAGACGACATGCGTCCCGGTATAACCGTGTGCTGAGCGCTTGAACGATTCGCCTCCTGGGGCAATCGTTACGGTTCTCGAGAGAATACACCCCTTCAGATACGGTTCAAGCTCGAAAAGTACGCCGGGATGAAAAGTAGCTCTTTTCCAAGATAGAATCGGCAAAAGCTCGAACGCAACAGGGATCGTGAAATACCATGTTGGCCACTAGAAGGACGTCGCCAGACATCATGGGAAAAGTATTCCATGATTCGACGAAGTGCTTGGTGTTGTTCTATAGGCTTTTTCCGTGAGCGTAATTGCGGCCGCCAAATGAATCCAATGCAGCGGGAACACATGATTTCCCCGTTCTCTACGAGTTCGATAGTACGTAGCATGGGGGCCCTGCTCCGCGAATATCGATATACGCAAGGACTGTTTCATCCGAGGCAAGTCACATCGACTAAAAAACAAACTGACGTTCCTGTATTTTATAATCATCGCGGCATTCCAGGAACGCTTTCGTTGCGATTTCGGTGGAAAAGAGCCGTTCGTGAACAATGACTCTTTCCTTGGCGAATGGATCCCAGAGTTTCTAGGAAAATACGAACAAGCTGACTAGAAGGAGAGACGCCCGTGGCGACTACAAGCATCGCTTTTGCCTTCCGTAAGCTGATCAACGTGTTGATTTCTACCGTTGATCGCAAGCAGTCTTCAAGAGTGTTCGTGTGCGGCGCGGAGCGCCAGTACTTGCTTCTTTTAGTGTTCACCAAACATCTGCGCACTGAGTTATGACTGACCTGAGGTAGAAATACAGTCCTGCTTGCGCCATTCAGTAAACAATATATTCCAAAGGCAATTCGTCTACGATCTGCACGGTACACTGCGTCCTGGTCTCTATCTCCATATCTATACGCTGCGAGAAGGCATTCGAATAAATTCAGCGGGGGTGTCACAGGACCAAGTCCAAAAAAGTTAAGCGTTTACGTTCCAGCACGGAATCGAGCGTGTGTTGATCAACGCATGACTGCCTCACCGAGAAGCGTGCTTTTTTCTCTACCCATCCGTGTCTATCCGTCACAGTTTGAATGAACAGCAAAACATTCATCATGTCCTGTGGCTTTTTTGGGAGTCTTTTTCACACAACTTATGGAGTGGAATGGGTGCACGAGCAGACAGTCTTGTACATTGAAATTGAATGGTCTTGTTTTGAATACAGGACGTTCAGGATAACGTGTACGAGAAAGGTGGTTCATTTACCAGCTGAGCGGAAAATCATTGAATAGCAGATGCAAGTCCGTTTTTTTCTAGCTAGCCGAAACATCATAAAATCATTCCGTCACCGTTCTCCAATCTACAGGAAACAATCCTTTTCATGAACACTCACGAGAAAAACGAAGCGATCACAAAAACGACGTCCTGGCACATGTGCACCAGAGTTCACTGCTCTGCATACAACAAGACATTCACAGCACCTGGTCGCTTGCGATCCTGCAGTGCGCCGTTCTGCAAGCCTAGTGCAGGGGATGGCCTTTTGGAATTCATGTACATGAATGGAGATGCGTCTAGATCTGGTGGGGCATTGGATGTCAAATTGCCGCCTGTACAAAACTTGAAAAGCTGGAGCGGTTGTAGCACATCGCAGCACTGAGCACCCTGGGCGGAGCAAACAGGGCCTCGGATTCCCATTGATCTGCGATACGCGAATCAGGGCGCTTTCGATTCTCGTTAGATATCGGGCGAGTACTCGTCTACTGCCCGTTTTCGCTCCGCATATCGTTCTCGCTTTGATTTGCTTGTGGAGCAGAGGAATGATTTGTGAAGTTCTCCGCGTGACGCAGCGGCACAATTGATGTAAAAATGACGAATACAAGACCCAGGCAGGTTAGGTGTTGAGATACTGCGCCCGAGTTCATCACTGCTGTCCCGCTGCATTCGTGTAACTCATATCAGTTACGGACCATGCACGTCGTTACGTGGCCGCGCGCACCGGGCACTTGTGCAACACACAGCAACTCGGGGTCTTGGACCACTGGATGACCCGCCTCAAACACGGAAATTACGCGTTTCACCAAAGCTGGGGACTATGCACCTCCTAGTGTCTCTGTTTTTGCCCCAAATCTACAAGTTTCTAGTCAGACGGATCGCGGATATCTTGCCAGAGACGAGCTCGTATCCGCCGACTCACCGCGGCGTGTGTTCTCCGTAACGCCGCTACGAATTCAGTTAGTCGCAGCTGATCTTCTGGAGGCCAGTGCTCCTCTAGTCTTCTCTGACGCAAGAATTCCAGCGCCGAATCAAGGCCTCCTTCGCCAGTAAAAGCTTCCAATGCTGCATACGAGCAAACAACCGCAAGCGAATTGGAATATCTGTTCAACAAGACTCGGTAAGCGCTCCGAAGAGCGTCCTGTTGCTGCTGCGGATCTGAGCATTCCGCAAGGCGCGAATCGATCAGTGATCTCCAAAGCGCCAGAATCTGCAGCATTTGACGCTGCCGACACATCGCATCACCGGATGGATGCAGCTCAAATGCCTCATGAAACAAATCCACGGCGACCTGCAGTACCAGAACAGCGTTGGCCGGCACCTTCGCCACCTCGCGTTCGAGCTGCGCCCAGGATGCCCAAACCGAGGCTAAATGCGGAGCCTCCGCGAGCCAACGACGAAACAGCTCCCTACATCGCTCCAGACAGACTGCTTTGTAGCGCTCAAATCGCAAAGATTCCCGAAAAATAGCATCTCGAGCGGCTCGATCGCTTGCACAGGCAAGGGCGCTCTCCTGAAAAGCGCGCACTCGAGCAAGGCTCCTCGTACGGGACCAAGATTGATCCAGCAAGGTAGCAATGAAGCGGGCGACCGAGTCACCAGGTGCTTGAGAAAAGCCGTACTGCAAGAAAGTCAACAAAATCGCTTCCGCTTGGGTTTCATCAGCGTACACAGATCGATAGTGTTCGGCAAACATGAGCCACGCTTCCGGATCTGTAGGGAAACGCTCGACGTGGCTCGCAAGCGTCCTTGTATCGCGTTCAAGAGCCCAGCGCTCACGGCGCGCTCGAAGAACATCGCAGAACCATGAATCATTGCGTAGAGGCGGGACGCTGCACATGGCCTCCTCGAGCAGGGCCAGGTCGTCGTTCCCGCTTAGTGATACGGCGCTTTCCAGGAAGTATTTCCATAAACGAGCTGAACGAAGACAACGCGCTCCACGTAGAAGCACAGCATGAGCGATCGTTTCCCCGGACGACGCCCGTGCGACAGCATCTATGTTTTTTTCGGGAAAATCACGCGCTGCAGTTTCCAGGTTCTCAGCACGGCTGCAGGAGGATGCTTGCGTGTTCTGTAGCCGCCGCAAGGTTGCGGCCCAGATGAGATACACATGCTCCTTTTCTTCTAGACTTGCGTGTGTTTCTTGCAAAGCGGTGAGCCATTCTTGTTCGAAATGAACAAAGAGTGGCACTTGTGTACGATCGTCAGCGTCGCTGCATTCATCCAGCGGGCAGCGAACCAGCACCTCCGATGGAAAATAACGAAGCTCTGTGTACAGTTCCCAGAGCGACGCACTTCTTGGCAGGAGCTGAATAGCTTGTCGTATCTTCTTTAGAGCCGCTTCATAACAGGTCTGATATTTCGTGGCCAAGGCACGCCACAATGCCTCCTGTCGGTAGAGATCCCGGCTCTGGAGGGCTTGCTCCAGGACTTCTCGACCGGCTTCGGGACCACGTTTCTGGGTTTCGGATGCGGCGTATTTTAGCCAGAGGGCAACTGAACCCGGACGAGACTTGACAAGTGACGCCCATGAGCCCGGTTCAGCGGTTCCGAACTCATCGGTTGGAGATTCCGGTTTCCGCAGCTTGGTTCGGGAGGTATACGTTGTTGACCGCTTTCGTCGACCACGCTCGAAAGCGGAACCCGACGGAGGGCGCTTCTCTTGCTTCGAAGCGTTTCCGGTTGCGAGCATGTACGGTCGCTTGTAGACGGATAGCGACCGAGGACGCTGCCGCCGCACGGAAACCGGCGCAGCGTATGTTCGCAGTGTGCCAGCGCAGAGCGATATCGTTGCAAATAAACCCTGGACTAGACGCCCAGTTCCATCAGTTTCTTCAGCAAGTCTAGATTTTGCAGTAAATTAGTCATTGGCATACCGCCTGAATCTTTGCGATACAGTCTCTCCGCTATCGCTAAGCACAGAGCGCACCAGAAGGTTTCCGTTCGCAGTGCGTTGCGCGGGGCTCTAGGCTTTTCCGAGAATGCTGGGCATCCGGTGCTCCAGCAATGCACGACGTCCTGGGTAGCAGGAGAGACTTTGTATCGAATAGGCCTGTATCTTATTGTGTGTTGGTACGTTTCTGGTCGATTCATGCTGAGCGTTTCACGCAAAACCGCATAAAAGTCTCGTCTCCGCTTGCAGTGCTCATTCGCATACCGAGCGTGAAGGGCATCAGTGTGAGTGCGCCTGCCAACGGTGGCCGTGAGACAAGCTTACGCTTCCAGAAATATGGTTGAGAACTTCACTGGACGACCAAGGAGATGAAGGATACGACGCCGCCAAACGAAGAACAGAAAGATTTTGCTGGAAACGGGCGGGAACTGACTGAGAGCGAACACTGTCAGAGCGGAATGGTCATTGTGATTCGGTTCCCAAACCCTGCCTACTACAGAACATCAACGGGGAGAATATTCGAAAACAAGAGATGCAGGACACGATCAGGGATGGTGCAGCCTCTGAGCTGCGGAAAGTCCGGGTTGCTTTGCTCGCCTTGACGCATCTCATCGAGCAACGGTTTGTCATCGTTCGGACGCAGGGCTGCAAGCTGTTCACATTTCGTTTGTACTTATCGACATTGCCTTTGTGCAACGGCACGGGTGATCGTCGGAACCGAAGACCCAGTGCGGAATAAGCATAGGATCAGGGAATTTACGAACCGTGTCCATGAAGAGCCTGGCGATTCGCCACGCCACGTCCACGATGGATCAAGTTCGATTGCGTAAGTGCGGATATATCGCATCATCACCTCAAAACACATATGCGGGTCAATATCGAGCGCTTCATGAAGAGCTCTCTGTGAGAATTTATGTATTTATCTGCCCTATGGTTACTAGATCCGACAAGTTTGGACTGATAGAAAGGGTTGCTCGCGAGTCGATGGAGTCAAATGACGAGCTGGACTCGGAAAAGCTCGACGTGGTCGCGTGTTCGGAAGCGATGCAGCAACGCGTGCGAACGTCACAACAGAACGAGCAAGCTCAGGGTGGAACTCACGACATCGGACCGACGAACTTTGTATAAAAAGGATGGATCCAACTTGATGCCTGCTCTCCTTGCGCCTTGGGTTACCAGGTGCTCCTGAACGGATCCCCCCAGGGCACGGCAGCATTGAAACGAAATGCGAGAACCGTCGCCCTCCCTGACCCTCGGTTCGATGTGCTCCGTTTATTTCACATAGACATTCATTGTATCACTGTAGATAGTGATGCTCTGGACTGCGCTGTACTGTACGTCTGCTCAGTGCGCGGTGATTTTTTTTCAACGACTCCTGGTGGATGCAGTGAACGATTTCGTAGTGGGGTGCGGATTTCGGGTTGCGGGGCATCTGGCCGTCGCCAGGCCGCTGAGTCAAGAGGACGGCGCCAAGGACCTGAACAGAATGCAGATGAATCCGCTCAGCTTTGTCAGGGCTCGGTAGTACCAACAGAGTCGGACATGATCGGCGCAACGCGGGTATACCAACAAAGGCGATGACGGCGTCATGATTCATCTCGATGCGTTTTGCAACCTATCGAGAAAATGTGGATGTTTTTGTGATTCATGCAGAAATTAGATGAGCGTCCAAATCGTCCATGCGGACGACACCTGACAGGAGCACATGAGATAGCGTAAAAGTCGCCGCTGTTTTTCTTGCACAGAGGCAAGGGGCATACATTCGCAAACGTATTCAAAGAGTCAGAAAAGGAAGTGACCGACAAGTCGCATCGATTCTTGATAGCCTATGGCCGTGAATGTGCATTGACGTGCGAATACCGCAATCCCAGGGCGTCGCCTTGAGCAGACAGGGAGTGCAGGAATCGATTCTACACGATTCCCATCGATGCGTTCAAGAGGGTATACGCGCATCACGAGCAAGTGTTCTTGGGAGGACAGCTTGAGACCAAGAGCGTGTATCAGAGCCACATGCACTGAAGCGCGCACATGGAGCCGATCGAATATCAGACGGCAAGTCAGTCGAAGTTGAGAGGCTTGTTCTCGCGTGATTCCACCTGCAGCAACGCCCGCAAACACTTTTTGCAACGGCACTTGACCGTCTCGGTCAATACCCTGATATGCGGCATGCTTTCTGAGCGTCCAACGGCTTTCTATCGAGCGGAATTCCATGGGAATCGTTTCGTACTCGGCGAAGGCATTGTGCGGAAACATTGCAACTTTTCGGAAGGAACGAAAGCAGCGACCAGGAGAAACGTGACTGGATTCCCGCCTCGACGAAGCAACTGGTGTGGAACGGTCAGCATTTCTGACACACTGGAGCGCCGCATACACACATATACATGTTTACACAATGGAAGTAGTTTTCTTCGGCATTTGGTAGCTGCCCGTGCTGCTCCCAGACACGATATCCATGAGTATGCAATGACCGCAGCCGGGATATTTGCGACGCGCGTACTGCACATATAGAAACGGCACGTAAACTCAGCCACGAGGATGCGTGCACGGAGCCGCGGTTGTAAACGCACCCGCGGACACCGCCACCTCACAATCAGTACCATCTACTAAGCAACTCAAGATCCTAAACGCCTGCTGTATTGACGTTTTGGGGTGCTGAGCGCTGCAGACGACCGCTGTCGATACCGAATAGCGCAAACGCAGTCTCCTGGCGCCCAGCGCACGTGACAGCGTCGGCAACGTTCACCAGCGTCGCCAGCGTCTGGTACGCCCTTCGATGCCTTGCGACGTGCGACTCTGGTTCCATCTCAGTGCAGAGCGTCTGGATGCGTTTTCATGATGCGTACAATGCATCGGGACCCGCACCCACACCCCGAAGCAGCTCGATCAATCAGTGCTGCTCCGTGGGTGCTATCTCTTCGGGAATGCCGAATTGCAGCACCTGGGAAATAGTACGGCATCGAATGACTTGGAGGCCCGTCTCCCGAGCAGCAGTCTCCTGTCTTGAACTCAAACGATCGCTGCAAACACAGAAGCGGAATCCGAGTCGCGCGATATCCCGTAGACGCAGGTCGAGACGGGGTACCGGGCGAACTTCACCCTGCAGGCCGAGCTCTCCAATGAATGCTGTATCCGGCCGAGGCGCCCTCGCGAGTAATGAGGATGCAAGTGCCACCGCTGCCGCCATATCTGCAGCGGGGTCTTGGATGCGGGCTCCACCTACCACGTTCATATAGACATCGTGTGTCTCGAGTCGCAGTCGAGCTCGTTTTGATAAAACCGCCAGAATAACGTAAAGACGAGAAAGATCGAAACCGTTGCTCGTCCGACGGGGCTGGGTGAGCGAGGTCTTTGCAACCAAGGCCTGGATTTCGACGAGGAAAGCGCGGGTTCCATCGACGACCATGGAGAATGCGGTGCCGTCAGTGGATTCACGGGCGTAGGTGTGGAATGGGTTGTTCGGCGCTTTCGCGGCTCCATCACTGTCATGCATCAGACTCGACTCGGCAGCCTGGAAGTACAGCAGGCTTGGATTCGGAACATCTACGAGACCCCGTGAGGTGAGATCAAAGATGCCGATATCCGTCGGTCCGAAGCGGTTTTTTGTACAGCGCAGAATGCGATGCTGGAAGAGACCCTGCTCAGATTCGAGGTAGAGGACCACGTCGACCATGTGCTCGAGCAGTTTGGGTCCAGCCAAGTCACCTGATTTGGTGACGTGACCAATCAGCATAATCGCAGTGCGCTGCCACGGCTCTCTTAGCCGTTGTTGTTGCCGCTTTGCGAGTCCAAGCAGACGGTTCGTGCAGTGCCGCACCTGCACGATACTGCCCGGGGCTGCTGATTCTTGCTCATTCTCCTGCGTATACACAGTCTGAATGGAATCGATAATGAGCAACCCCAGCGGCGACTGGGCATCAGTGTTGTCCACCGTGGAGGCGTCTTTGCGTCCAGCGCCGACTGCTTTCGACGGAGCACCTGTGCTGGGCACAGTCGCCGTAGGTGTTGTCGATGCGCTCGCCGTTGTCGCTCTTGGAGCGCTGTTTGGTGGAGCGTTTTCTCGCCCCGCCTGGATCTCTTCAACAATGTCGAGAATATCCTCCAAGCAGGCCTCGTGCATGATGAGAAGATTTCTCTCGAGGCTTTGACGCCTTTCCGTCGATTCCTCTTGACGGGGTTCCATGAGTCCAAACAAACGGGCGGCACGCGAACTTACCTGTTCTACAGATTCCTCCGCAGAAACATAGAGGACGCGGCAGCCGCTGCTGGCCACATCACCTGCAATCTGCAACAGAAGAGTGCTCTTTCCGTTGCCGGGCTCCCCGCCGATCAGGAGCAGTGAACCAGGAACAATGCCTCCGCCAGTCACTCGATTAAACTCGGCCGAGCAGGTCAGTAACCTGTGAACCTCAACTGGTTGCGCTCTGTTAGATTCCATGGATGCAGCGTGCGGAAGCTTCCCCGATGCATTACCGCTCGAACTGCCGTCCAATGCGGACGCCTTCGCAACCTTGTGTTCAGTTCCTGGACCTAGCCCGCGCCGTAGGATACCAAGTGGCAACGGCGCGGTGCCCGCGCCCTGCAACCAGTCATTGAGCTGGTCGCTGTCACCAGACCAAAGATTTGCATCACCGCTCCAGAGCTTGTGTCTTCTTTGGTTGGCGAAATCGTCGCGTGGGCGTTGTAAACCGCCAGCTTCACGCCGCCTGCGAGGCTGTTCCACCATGCTGTCCCAGCTCTGGCAGCACGGACAACGCCCGTAGCGCCGGGCCTCCGTGTGGCCACACTCACGACAAACGTGTTCAACGGAGCGCTTTGCTGCACATTGCCACTTTGGCACAGAGATTCTCTGTCTTTTGCGGACTTTGACGGCGGCTTGCCCAGCGTGCGACGTTCCCCCGCCGGGCCACCGCGAACACTCCGTAAAAGGCGTTGCAGAAGCGCGCTGCCACCAGCGGGACCCGCTCTGCCAAGCCTGCAGTGCGAACAGCGCTTGATCGTATGCAAGCTCTTCGCGCACTTTCCTCAACATTCCTTGATAAACCTTTGTGGACTTCGGGCTTCTAAAGCCTGCACAGATACCGCAGCAGCTGCAGCTACCTAAAATGGAATAAGATTCGTTCGAGTGCAACGCGCGCGCTCAACTGAAAGTGCCTGACGGCTAACGTTTAGTCTTTCAACGCAATGGTGTTCCACCTCTAGAATACAGTAACCAACTGCTTTTTCACGGTTTATAGTAGATGGGTTCGATGTACGTTCATTTGAAGAAATATAAAGTCTAAGGGAAAGCGATGGGCATAGAAGTGGAAGATCCTAGATGCCCGTCATCGCCGGGTTCGACAAAAACGGAAAAATCCTCTTCTCACCGATGATCGAGCGAAGGAGACGAAGAAAAAGAGAGAGGAGATAGGCGAGAAACGGTGCCAGCACGGCAGGATAATGATGAGCTTGTAGTGGCGCAGAGTGCACGAGGTCAAACAATCCTTGCAAAGGCGAGTTCCACTCCAGGCAATAAACGCAAGGAGTACGTGAACCGGGACATCAACGCCGCCATCCATATCATGTAAAGTGTACTGCTCGAGGCGAGAACCGGGAAGCTGTCGCTATGCGACTTGGTGTGGCAGCCTCTCAGGGTCGTTCTCTGCCTGGATAAAACAAAATCTATAGCAGTCAGCGGGTCAAAGAAGGACTGGAGGCGTCTGTAAGTGTATGTATCATTACGCTCTAGTGTCGCAGAGCGTTTTCTGCATCACTGACCACATACATACTCAGACACCGACGCGGTAGGTGGCGGTTGGAAGCCCCAGCATGTCATCGACACACTGCATTTTTGCAAAAGAATCAGGCATTGCCTCGATGTACGCAAAGAGCCTTGATCGCGACTGGCTCTCGACCGCATGAAGAAAGGCAGCGGCTCACGGGAGACTGGCGGCGGCTCGTTGAGTCGGAAACGCCGTTCACATCAGAGGCGAAACCGCGACAGTACGGCACGATGTTTGATCCCTTGTCGCCACAGCACTGCGCTTGTGATCGGCACTGCGAGCGGTACACATATACGATGGGAAGCTTTTCGGCACGAAAGCATAGCACATGAGTGTATCCTGGCTACGCATCCTGTTGGATTCCAGGAATACGGCACATGCTGGCCTCGCACAGAAGCATACTGCAGTTCGTGTCAGCGCCCGCACACGGCATTACGCAAGCACCAGGTATTCATCGGTGGTCGCGTAAGGTGCCGCAACTGAATCCTCACAGGATACATCTCAGCTCGAATTCCGAGGAGAGCACCAGTATGGAGTGCGAGACACGTTGAAACGCTCATGGTGAACCCGAGGTCTCTTGTGTGGCCACCAGCAGCATTTGGGTACACCGGGGAAAGCTCGATGAATGCATGGAGTTCGCACCGTATGAGACGAGTGTGCGTGACCTGGCAAGCGCACAACCAGCGTCTGGCGAAGCGCTTCAGTCGCTGCCCTGTGCCTGCATTAGAAGCATATGCGTGAGCCCGACAGAGGTGCAGCACCTGGATTATCGCGAGATCGGTCGAGCATCCATTCCTGACGGGTATTCTGCTCTAGAAATGAGCGGAGCGTCGTCGCACTTAGAGAGAGAAGATGGCGGCTTCTCTGGTATCAGACTATTTGCATGCACGCATACATGCAAGTCATAATACCATTGACGGAATCCTCTGACTCGTTCATACACGACAAAGGTTTGGTCTGTTCCCACAGTAGGCAGCATAGGACGTGGCTGGCTCTATCTCCGAGTGCTTCCTTCGCCTCTCGCTTATCTCCAGGTTCAAATACGCCGGTCGCTCATTTCCCACCATGCCTCTCTTCAGCAGTCGAAGGATGCTGATGGCAGTGCGTGCGAGTCCCGATTTCGATGCCTCCGGCTGCTATCGGAGCAGACCATGAGCGAGCGAATGCTGTGATTCGCGCTTCGCTCGCAGTTTCCATTGCTTCCTGGAGACAGCCCCGGTGCGCTCAATGCAACTCTGATTTGGGGCTGCTGTCAGAGGTGCAGCTATGTCCGTCGAGGCCCCCGTCTTGTCCGACGGGCGACGCTCTGGTTCACGAGCGCTTGCCCCATTGCTCAGCGCATGCCATGGACCGATACAGGAAGGCTCCCGTCGATGCGCTCCTCTGCTACCGGGGCTGGTGGTGTACCCAGCGATCACAGGCTCCGTGCGGGTGATCCACTCGGCGAGTACTCACTCTGCCCGCTGCTGTCGCACGCGTTTGCTCACAGGTTCGATAGGGAGCTTGCGAGAGGCGTTGCTCGCTTCGATGGAGCAAGAGCCAGAGGGAAGTCCCCGGGCTGGAGATCAAGCCGAGAACTCTCGGACGGAATGCGCTTTCGTCTCGCAAAGCGGTGACGCGCGCTGCACTCGAAGCGATCGCTGCGACGACTCGAGTGTGCGTCCAATACGCGTTCTCCGCTGCAGTCAGAAGTCAAGGGAGCCTCTGGGGATCGTTTCCCGCAACCGTTATCAAGCGGTTGCTGCACGCCATGCCGTCGATGACCACAAACCGAGGCGGCGATGAATTTTGGACGGCCTCGATAACTTGACGTGACAGGTTGAGCGGGCTTTTGGCATGCGCTCACGAGCACGCCAATAAGGGACGACGTCAAGGCTCCCTCGCCGTGGAGCTCTGCGCACGAGACGCTGCACCCGCGAGGTGCCTCGAAGCCCAGCAATCGAACACCTGCGCAATACGTCACGGAGGATAGCGCAGGCTCGCCTGTATGCATTGGATACTGATATCGATTATTTTAGGGTGCGTTTCTCGAGCCCATTTCGAATCATCACGATTTTCGTATGGTAACGAATGCTGGCGGCGACGCGTCGAATGAACCAATCCGAAACAACCACCGCGAGCATCCGATACGTAGTACGTACAAATCGGTTATCCTTCATAGTGGCACGTCGGACGTCGGTGCTGTACAGCGTAGGAACTCTGGAAAAGATTTAAAAAGCAGCATTGGAGGAAGCAGTGTCGTCTTCCATACATCCAACCTTTGTCCAGCGTATTCGAGTCGGGTGCTGCCTCGAATCCATCGATCCTTGAATCCCGCACCAGGCAGCAAGCATGCGCTCCAAAGAGCGCAGGTGCGCTCGTTGCTTGCACACGACCCGAAAGCGTCACGCATTGACCGACTGCTTCCGAACCGATGTCCTCTGTGTGGTACGGCAACGCCGTGTTCTGCCTCGGCGCAGAGACCGCACCGGCGCTATAGGCGGCATTGCGGGCCAACAAAGCAGGCGCTCGGCACACAATAGAACGAACCAAACGACCAGAATATCCGAGAAGAAGTATGGATAATGTAACTTGGAAGCAGGCGGTTTGATGGATACTTCACCGCACGCTGACAAAAAAGAAAAGAAAGGAAAAAGCGCACAATCGGAGACCGCTGGCCCATGGACACGTTTTGTCCATGAAAAAGAATTTGCCGACTGTGCTGGACGCTCCGCATGTGCGCTATGCGTCGGTTTTGCTGTGGAGACGTATACGTCCTGCATTCTTCGTAGCACAAAGCAGTTGCTCTTAAGCGAGGTTGATACAGCAGCAGGGCGGGAAGCTGTTTCAAAATTTGCTCTGCAACGGGAAGACGCTCTCCAGTAGCGCGTAAACGTTGGAGGCCTATTGGACTGTTGCACTCCGCGGCGCCGTACAGGGAGCGAGAGCGGCAGGGCGTCGCCCCGACAGCCACTGTAGCTTTGGGTGGCGCTTGCAGGCAGTTTATGCAAGGCGGTGCAGGCACACTTTGAGTGTGCAACCTGGTTTGGTTTTAGAGGTGCTCGCACAACGTCCGCATCTATCGCGAGCGGTTTCCGTTTGCGCGCACGCTGCTTAGGATTGCGTGTACGCATGGGCGACTAGTGATGACGACGCCTCCACGACGTGAGCAAGCTGTACAGCTGCTGAAAGCAGTGGTGCTTGCTTACTCGTTTTCAACTTCTCTAGTGATCTACAACAAGTGGTTGTTTACAAACTGTGCCGCCGAGGAGCGGCAGACCTCACGGACGGCTGGCCGATGCCTCGGCTGGGGCTTCCCGTACCCTCTCGTGGTCACCTGTTTCCATATGCTCTTTCTTTCCCTCGCGACTCAATTCTATATGTGGTGCGTACCAAGCTCGCGACCGACGATCGACAAGCCGTACCGCAAACCTCGCTTGCTGCTTGTCGGTCTTTTTGTCGCGCTTGATATCGTGTTCACCAATGCCGGCTACCTTTTCCTGGAAGCCTCGTTCGTGGAAATGATTAAGAGCAGCATGCCGGCATCGGTTTTGCTCTTCGGACTCGCCGCTGGACTAGAGCAGCGTTCTGGTGTCTTGTTGGCTATCGTCGTCATCATTAGTGTCGGTTTAGCGGTCGCGACGGTTGGTGAAATGAACTTTCATCCAGTTGGTTTCGCGCTAGAATTACTGGCCGTATTATGCGGCTCCGCGCGTTTGATTGAACAGCAGCTGCTTCTTCGGTATGGTGCCGAGGGCAAACTGCATAGTGCCGTGGGCCTTAGTCCAATACAAATTCTCTATTATCAAGCGCCGATCTCTTTTGTAACGCTTCTGCCAGCAGCGTTAGCCATCGGGACGACCCGAATGCGTCACGATGCGCTGCTCAAAGATGCGCTGTACGTGATCGAAACGATTTTGATTCTTATTGCCGGTGGCCTGCTCGCTGTTGGGCTGAATTTTGGGGATATCTTGCTCATAGATCGCAGTAGTGCCCTAACCTCCACCGTGCTTGGAACGGTAAAGACGGCCGTGGTGATCGGCGTCTCTTGGATAACGTTTCGGAACCGCATTTCGTGGCTGAACCTCAGCGGTTACGCCGTATGCGTCGTAGGTGTATTTCTATATCAGCGGTACAGGCAACAGCAACCAAGTACCAGCACCAAATTTGATACTGCATCGGCGGAAGCCGATGCCCAAAGCGAACACACACCTGCCACCGGGCCTGGCGTACCTGAGAGCACGGGGCTCGCGAAGGAAGTGAACATGCGACTGGATGTTTCCGCTATGCAGGAGGACACTGCGGTGTAGGAGCGTCTCCCGCATACCAGCGATTGTACAGATGAAAGCATGACGAAACCAGATGTATCCTGGACAATAATTCGTCCTCGTTGAGTGAAGGCACTGGGCTAGCACGCCTTGGCGATACGTTCTTGTAGATGAAATATGCCTGGAATCGCTGCAGATGTTTCGGAATCGGAACCGTCAGCGGTTGGCGATCCCGTCCTGGGGCTGTCTAGCGCATGCCGGTGGTCGACAACGCTAGCCGAGAGTGCCACTGGAACTTGCGACGCCTGCCGGGGCGCGTACTCGCCACAGAAAAATGCATCGCGGAGCACTGTGGCAATGATCTCAGGCATTATTGTGACTGCAGGCACTGTAACGTGACGCAAAGAATGAACTTGCTGGGGGTTTTGGTTCATGGGAATGTAGTCGCGTATCACGAAAAGTACTTTCGAAGCAGCCAAATGCATGCTGCCGCCCGGAATGATCCCAGACACTTGATGAAAGCCCGTCGATACGATTCTGGTAAACAGTCGCAACGCGGGCACTTTTTTCCAAGAAAAAGCGTGCTGGCTTGAGCATTAGGCACGAGGTGGCTTTCACGAGTCCGCGTGCACTGCGCAGCTTTCCGCTGCAGTTCCCGCAAAATCCGCAGCGCTATTTAGACCACTTTTGGGCTCGTTACCTGCATATCCAATGCGAGCATCATCGAAAAATCGAAGGCCTGCATGTAAGTTCGCGCCCGACGACCGTCAATGCTCAGTGCTGCGGTGCTCAGACCGATATCCTAAAGCAGTTCTTTTGTCGGATTGACCGCGACCGAAATTTCAACGCAAACAACACGGTTCCAGTGCCACCTCGATGGAACCGCACAGATCCACGCCTAGGAGCGCTCGCGAGAAGAGAACCGTGCAGAGATGCTTTTCATAAAAATGACCTCACCGTCAGAGAATTCCCTTGATGGGGGCCCAGTTCACATAGCATCGCGCTGACTGCAGTGCTTATCGAGGAATCCAAAGTGCCCAGACGCAATACCACTTGAATTTATCTCATCACGCTTACAAGCGCTTGCGCTCTCGCCACGATCCAGCCTCGCAACCGTAGTCTATGATCTGACGTCCATCAAGTCCCGCCTCGTAACCGCTCCATGGAAGGCATGCGCAGTTGCAATGATGCATGTATCCATGCGCATGGCAATGTCGAAAAACTTGTCGCGAACAATACGGGAAGCGCTCCCGATGCACGCATCGCGCGCACGCAAGCCACGGATACGTGGACACGTGTCCGGCAGCGATCACCGCCGGGTCGCGCAGTGCCGAATTCGCGCATCGCCGTGGACGTCTTTCCCGGAAACGCTGTTGTCGCTCGACCTGCTCACGTCAAGGATGCTGATCTGTGCATTTAGATAAGCTTCTCCACAAGGCGTGTCAAGATCGCGTACTTGGTCGAGGTTCCGCTGTCGGCGATGTTCACATCTGCTGCTTGACGCTTTCTCAATTTCCGTTCCGCGCGCGTCACCATACGGCCCATCACCATACTCCATATCCATTCTCGGACGAGGGGCGGGGCGGCATTCAGCCATTCACCGAGCACACCGAATGGCCATGCAGGGTATTCGATGACGCCCACATCACGCTCTATTTGATTCGCAAGCGATGTAGCCGCTTCTTCAGCGCTTTTGGCGAAGGGCAAACGGCCATGTCTATTCTTCAACGGCTCCGTCATCCGCGACTCAACGAATCCCAGCAGGATCGTATTCACTCGGATGCCCAATGGTGCCATCGCGGTGCGCAATGACTCTCCGTAGAATCGAACTGCGGCTTTGCTCGCAGAGTATGACATATTCAGCGGACCCGCAATGTACGACGCAATGCTTGCGTTAATCGCGATTTGGCCTCCGCGCTGACGTGCGATCATGCAGTCCAGCGCCGGCCAGATCGTGTACAGGGCACCGTATATGTTCACGTCAAGTAGCTTCTTGGACCTCTCATAGCCAGTAGCGCCTGACTTGCTTTCCTCCATGAGTCCTGTATTCGTCACGGATACACCGGCGTTTGCGATGACGAGATCAAGTGGGCGTTCTTGGTCGGCTTTGGTGATCGCCTCACGCATCGCTGCCTCGTCGGCAACGTCCACGACTAGGGCATGCACTTTACTCGCCCCGAGTTCCCGACACCGTTCACACACCTGGTCGAGCCGTGTCGCATTTCGACCAGTCAGATAAAGCACAAGGTCCTGAACCTGTTGCTTGCGCGCTCGCTTGCAATACTCGTAGGCGAGCGCCTCGCCAACACCGGATGACGCGCCGGTGATGAAAACGCACCGCGGAACCCGTGGTAGTGGCATCTGCCGCTTCAGACGGTTCCCAACGCCCCCGTATTTTACGTACAGCACAATCACCGGGGACAGAATGAGAAAGAAGAGGTTAAGCAGGATGGATCCTAGGGTCACACCCACAAGCAAGAAAAAGTCACCGAAACCGCCGAGCATGGTTTGCGGGCAAGCTGTTGCAGCGCTGAACTCGCCGTGATCTGGGCACCACCGATCGACTTTGTTGGACGCCTAGTTCGTTCTGCTCCGGCGTCGAAAGTCTCAAGCTGTTCGTATTTGCAGCAAAACGCTGAGATACTGCCAGGACAAGGGTCGCAACGGCGTTTACGAGTGGCGCGGACCGACACCCTCAGTGAATATATCTAGAACGCTCGCGCTGGCCACAGGATTGCGCTCTGGACGGCATGGTCGAATGACGCGCCTAGTAGGCGGCGTTGAGCGCGGGACGGAATCGAGGCATGTCGCGTCGAGTTTGCGGAACGTTTGCATGCGTACCAGATTGAATTGGGACGAATCCTCTGACTCGTTCATGCACGACAAAGGTTTGGTCTGTTCCCACAGTAGGCAGCATAGGACGTGGCTGGCTCTATCTCCGAGTGCTTCCTTCGCCTCTCGCTTATCTCCAGGTTCAAATACGCCGGTCGCTCATTTCCCACCATGCCTCTCTTCAGCAGTCGAAGGATGCTGATGGCAGTGCGTGCGAGTCCCGATTTCGATGCCTCCGGCTGCTATCGGAGCAGACCATGAGCGAGCGAATGCTGTGATTCGCGCTTCGCTCGCAGTTTCCATTGCTTCCTGGAGACAGCCCCGGTGCGCTCAATGCAACTCTGATTTGGGGCTGCTGTCAGAGGTGCAGCTATGTCCGTCGAGGCCCCCGTCTTGTCCGACGGGCGACGCTCTGGTTCACGAGCGCTTGCCCCATTGCTCAGCGCATGCCATGGACCGATACAGGAAGGCTCCCGTCGATGCGCTCCTCTGCTACCGGGGCTGGTGGTGTACCCAGCGATCACAGGCTCCGTGCGGGTGATCCACTCGGCGAGTACTCACTCTGCCCGCTGCTGTCGCACGCGTTTGCTCACAGGTTCGATAGGGAGCTTGCGAGAGGCGTTGCTCGCTTCGATGGAGCAAGAGCCAGAGGGAAGTCCCCGGGCTGGAGATCAAGCCGAGAACTCTCGGACGGAATGCGCTTTCGTCTCGCAAAGCGGTGACGCGCGCTGCACTCGAAGCGAGCGCTGCGGCGACTCGAGTGTGCGTCCAATACGCGTTCTCCGCTGCAGTCAGAAGTCAAGGGAGCCTCTGGGGATCGTTTCCCGCAACCGTTATCAAGCGGTTGCTGCACGCCATGCCGTCGATGACCACAAACCGAGGCGGCGATGAATTTTGGACGGCCTCGATAACTTGACGTGACAGGTTGAGCGGGCTTTTGGCATGCGCTCACGAGCACGCCAATAAGGGACGACGTCAAGGCTCCCTCGCCGTGGAGCTCTCCGCACGAGACGCTGCGCCCGCGAGGTGCCTCGAAGCCCAGCATTCGAACACCTGCGCAATACGTCACGGAGGATAGCGCAGGCTCGCCTGTATGCACTAGATACTGATATCGGTTATTTTAGGGTGCGTTTCTCGAGCCCATTTCGAATCATCACGATTTTCGTATGGTAACGAATGCTGGCGGCGACGCGTCGAATGAACCAATCCGAAACAACCACCGCGAGCATCCGATACGTAGTACGTACAAATCGGTTATCCTTCATAGCGGCACGTCGGACGTCGGTGCTGTACAGCGTAGGAACTCTGGAAAAGATTTAAAAATCAGCATTGGAGGAAGCAGTGTCGTCTCCTTATTTGACGCTGCACAGGTGATGTCGGAGCCCTTGCTGCCTTTGAAAGCGGTCTGCTATTCGCGAAGCGACTGCACCAGCGAATAGCCGGCCGAAGCGAATGCGATGCGCGCCCAGCGCTGCCGGTCCCGGGCCGCGTGTACATTGGAGACGAACGAGCGCCCCCGCTTCGCTCATAGGACTAGTCATCAACCTGTGCTTGTTGATCCGCAGCCTCCTTGGTCGATTAAGTTCGTAAAGGAGTGTGATGGCGTTTGTTGTGCAGTGCTCACGCTCGAGCATCAAGGAGCGGCAACGGATAAGCACCATTGTCACGAGTGTTAGGCTCCGTGGCGGTAGCTGCGAAACGCGTCGCTGCCTGCGAGTGCGGCGAGCGCAGGGCGTTCGTGAGCTTCGCAGTTGCAAGGTCGCTGCAAGTGCTAACCTAGGCAATGAAACTACGAGCTTGAGTGCGGATGCGGAGGCTCGTGACTCGATTCGACTCGCGATTCCCTCGAAAGGCGAGATCCACCAAGCTGCGGTTGAGCTGCTGAATAGCTGCGGCCTCGAAGTGGACCTGCGCAACCCGCGCCAATACGTGGGTAGCATCAAGCACTTTCCCGAGGTTGAGCTCTGGCTTCAACGCCCAGCGGATATTGTTCGTAAAGTTAAGGATGGTACCTTGGATATTGGGGTTGCTGGTTATGATCTCGTTGCGGAATATAACGTAAGTTTGTGCAAGGCGTAGGCTGGAGCAAGTTCCGAGACCTACGTTCTCCATGATCGGTTGCTCGGCACCTGCGTGTGCTACGGGGATTCATTGAGGCACCTGTGCACTCGATCATGCCTGCAAATGGGCATGCTCGGCTCTGAGGCGCTGGTGCTCAAGCTGTATCCCCAGAGAAACTCGAAGCGACAGGCGCGTAGCATGCCAATCAGTCGTTTTGCTTTGGATACTACACCAGGCGAGATAGCGGTAGCTGATCGTGGTACGAGTACCAGCCTGTCGACATCGCTCTAGAATGATCCTGTAGTGAGGTAACGGTGACGTGCATTTTGGCTGCAGTACCCGAGTCGGATATCAAGAGTGGAAGCGCTCGGATGGGCGCAAATGCTTTTGTAGACGGGGCGTGCTGTCCGGCTCTGCGTCTGTCAGCAACGCTGCTCTATATTGAATCACTTGCATGCGAGAACAGGTGCTCAAAGCATCACTCCGTATGCAGTGCGAGATGCTCCCGCAGATAGGACACATGATAGCTTCGAAGCTTTGATCCATGGCGTCAGAGCGAAAAGCATCAAGCAGTGTTATGGAATACAATGCCTTCTTACGCAGTGAGTCTTGTGCGGTGGAGCGTGTTTGCTGGTGGCGGTGACTCGGCGCACGCACACGCGCTCGACATGGTGCATACCTTGAACTGGAGCGCGCGTTGGTTACTGGTGCAGATGCTCCTGTCGATGAACTGGTCTAGAATGCGGATCAACGGAGATGATTCGTCGCTGCCCGAGTACACGCCATGCGGCGAGTGATCGCTACGAGTGTCGCGCGTTGTACGGTTCATGGTATCTCGATTCCCACTCACATGCGACTTGGTAACGCAGAGCCTAGATTGATGTCTCTAGGGACCTGAACGGATAGCAGTGGACCAAAGGCGCTGCTGCTGCTGCTGCTGCTGCTGCTGCGAACATCAGATGCAGTTGCGTCGCTTCCGGATCCATACGCCGGTGGTACGTCTCCGCGGCCATGGACGGTCCGGATTGGACTAGAGATGCCGTGGCTCCGAACATCTGATGCAGATGCATCGACTCCGTATCCAGACCCTGGAGATATGCATCAATTTACCCGGGCAGTCTGTACTGGACTTGAGATACCATTTCCATGAGCGTGACCGGTCCTCTTGATGCCCTTGGGATCGCATGCGATGCCGCTGTTACCGTTGCCTCAACCTAGAGCAACTGTTCGCTCCATATGGATATTCAACGCTGTGGATGCGCAAGAAAGAACACGAACTAACCTGCTCATGATTCGAACTATTCAGGGAACTTCTACGGATGTCGTCATTGTCCACGACAGTCTCGGCTTCGGTATCTGTCGTTTGGGTCTGGGAGTGCCAATTCTCTGGACCGATATCCACAACATTGAAGATTTTCGCCGCTTTACAGAATCTCGCTCACAACCCTTGCGCATCGTGACCAAGTTCCCGAACCAGTCGGAAATTTTCCTGGCAGCTCACGCCATCCGGAACTATCGACTCCTGTACCAGGATGGTGCGTTAGAGGCCGCTACCCAGCTTGGCACCGCCGATTGCATCATTGATCTCATCAGCAGCGGCGTGACGCTCCGAGAAAATAATCTCAAAGAAATACCAGGCGGCACGATACTTCAATCGGAAATGCAACTTATCGGCAATCGTTCCCGCCTAGCAGCGGATCAAACTCGATATCCATTTGCCGAGCGTCTTCGAGATTTCGTGCGAGAGCTGATCGAACGGATGGATGCCCATTTCACTGCGCAGCAACACTACAATGTCATTGCGAACATACGCGGTGAAAGCGCTGGTGACGTTGCTCGACGTCTTGGCGAGTTCACGGATCTACGAGGCCTCGACGGACCGACCATATCGACCGTGATTCCACCTCGAGGAGTCGCCCACGGCATGTACGCCATCGGACTGGTAGTGAAGAAGACGCAGATATACTCAGCTATGAAGCAGCTGCGTCGAGTCGGAGGTAGTGGGGTTTGCGTCCTTCCGGTAACGTTTGTTTTTGAGGGTACAACGGATCGATGGAAGCGGCTGTGCGAGGAGCTGCAGATTCCCTTTGAGAACGATGAATGGAAAACCATGCCGCGACCATTTTCTAGCGATAAACTCTGAAGTTTTGCTTCTGGAAGGTGATAATGCTAGCGCTCGAAGCGCTGAGCGCCGGCATCGACGCTTGGCAAGGGCGCCTGCTTCTGCAGTGCCCACGGAAAGCGTAACGCTCGGATATGCAGCTGCTCCAGCGGCTACAGCTTGCACGTCTTCGCTCTCAAAGCTCTTCTCTCCCGCTTAAAATTCAAACCGAGTGTAATGTTTGTAGAAAAGGAGCAGTCGCTTGCCTGTGAGAGCAAGCTGCACGCGTGCGCTCGACCCGTCAGTGGCCGTGCTTGCCGCAGTGACGCTCTGGCAGTGGTTCAGCTTGTGAGCTCCTCCGGGTGCAAATTCGAGCGCTACTGAAAACGCTCGGTAGGCCAGCAGACTACCAATCTAAACACTGAGATCCATAGTGGTATTCGATGCCCTCACTTGCGGGTGACGACCAGGTACTCGTTGGCGATGCACTCGGTCCGACGCCAGGCCTCGATCTCAGAAGGCGTCTGTTCGGACGTCAGAGGCTGTTCGCGTCGGGAGCCTTGACACTACCCGTCCGGTGTTCCGTTTCTCGCAGGCTGCTCTCCGATGGCGATATCCATAGTAACGTCGCGTAGCAAAATCCCGTTATCTTCTGAAAAAATGCTTACGAGGATCGTTCCCTGTCTGTACATCCCAGCGCGTAAGCCGTTCGGGATTCGTGAATCGTACCAAACAAGTGCCTTTGTCCAGGGTCATTCAAATCCACTTTCTCCTGGCGTGCGGTTTCTTTCCATCACGAGTCTGCAGCATTTCAGCACCATGGAGGCACACAGCATAATAAATGAGTTGTGAGAGACTTCGTGCGAGATACGAAACCGCTGGACACTCCGGAGGCAACAGAAATTTGCGGATGTTGATCAAGACGTTCATCTCTTGGTGCAGAAAGTGCTCGTGTTTCTTTTTGGTGATTGTATATACCGTTGTGAGCCTCCTGGCTTCCATTGTCTCTTTAAATGACGTTCGGTGGGTTTACCTTGCATCATCTCGTGCATCCGTCGCTGTTTCATTCTCATCTTTTCTACCAGTTTCAGAATGGACACGTGCTCAAGATGCGTGTATCTCGTCTTGGACTAATCAATGGGAACTGTACGGCATAGGCACCAGAACGTTTCTACACTCACTTCGAGAAAGAGCAAGTGGCCAGAATTTGCCGGATGCGGCACATTCAGCTCCAGACGCTACCACAAAGCGATCCGGATTCTCGGCCATATTCTCATCCAGCCCGCAAAACAAGTCGTCGATCACCTTGCTTCTTGTGTACGCGCGACCGAAACCGCTGTCAACCCCAGCACGTTCTGATACATTCCTGCCAAAGATAGGCCGCTTGAAGCTTTTGGACCCTTGCGTACTCTCTGAATCGTACAGAGCGTGTCCCGTTGGTCTATATCGTGTTGGGAGCGTCGACATGGGTCTGACGCCCTCATTCGACGTTTGGATATGCTTCATAGAGTCGGCGATGCGCGAATCCCGATGATCCCCGGCCTTGGGAAACTCCAGTGGCTTCATCTGCATCCCGTTCAGGCCGGCGACTCCGTCTTCTTGATCTCGAAGGACGGCAACTGCCACGGTATCAATCAAACGGGGATCCATGCTCACGACGAAATCCTTCTCTCCATTGCCTTGAGCGTTTGAAAACAGGTCCTGTTGATCGGTTCATACAAAATAAGTGAGAAACTTGAACGAACGCCACAACTGCTCTTCACAACTTGCTCGAGTGCTTCATACTTGCTCGCAGAGGCCAGCTCTATCGCCTTTTCATTGACTCAGCAGGATGCCATGAACACGGTCGCTATACGAGGTACTGTTTTTCCTAGTGATTCAGGCGAACGTCGGTGGACGGTGGCAAGAAAACTCGCCTTTTCTATGCATGGATCTTCGCTCCCTAACGCATATTTTCTGTATCTTCTGCATCGCGAGGAGGCCCCTGTACTGAAGCGTGGCTTTCCGCCCTATCCCGTAACGGACAAAGGAGCGATAGAGCAGCACACTGGTAGCAAAACTGAACGATTTTATTGTTTAGAAACGAGTTGTCGAAGAGCCATGTCACAAATGCGAACGACTTTTCTAATCGACCATGAGCGTAAAAACTCGAGTCGACGCCCTTCGTGGTATGGCAAAGGCGTTCTATCTTCGTGTTGCATCCGCAGTGGCGCAGTGGGCGCTGTTGCGGACGCTCGCCGCAGGCAAGGTGCATGATAGGACGCGGAGCATAACTAGATGCTCCGAGGGCACGTATGGGCGGTGGAATCTGAAGCTAGTTGCAAGTGAGCATGCCTCACAGCGCTTTGCCATCAAAAGCGCAGTCGACGGTCCCTGGTCTGCGTAGAGGTGTTATCAAAAAATGATCATGAAATGGTGAATGGCAACCTAAAACAAGCTCCGACTCGAATAAACCAGGGAACATAAACTAGCAAAAAGCGCAGCTCAGCGTCAATCTCAGTCGCTTGCTCTCTTATCGTTTTTTAGTGATGGAACGCGACGATGTCTAAGCGCTAGACGGAAGAATATGGGAAGGGCATGCCACGAGGAGTTCTTCGAGGAACGACAAGGCCTCGATCAATCCTGTTCTTTTGGCGACTTGGAGGCGACCACACGATCGCATCGCAGCTCGTGCAGATGTCGTCGGAATCCTCGATTGCCTCGTCTCTTCGAGCAGCGTGCTGCCGCTCTTTGAGTACCCATGTCCATGTCTACCATTTCTTCTGGATAAAGTCCCATCGAGTGAAACGGAAGCTGTTCCTTCTGTAATAAGCGTTCCTGTCTCATGACGAGATCGACAGAGTACTGTTCAACGCGCGACGGTATTTCATACAATCGTGCTTGATTCGTCGACAACCCGCGGCTCTTCATCGACGTTTGCATCAACGGAACGGAAACTTCACATCCTGTGCCTTCTTTGATCGTATTTCTTAGTGAACGCATGCGGCGAATTATATTGACCACAAGACAGCCATGTCGACGGTCTTTGATAGGTTCTGACTCGGGCATACGCGGTTCAGCATAAGAACTTCATGAATGGTAATGGAACCATGCGTTGTACGTAGAATAACCGACTTGAACAGAGGTGATCGTTTCTCCCAAGCAAACTCGAACAGCATCAAATCCTTCCGTGACCTCTCTCCAATCTATCGGAGACATTCCTTCTCTTGAATGTCGGTAGGAGAACTGAACAAGAAGTAAAACGAGTGTGCTGGCACAAGTGCTCCGGAATTCGCTGCTGGAAACACAACGACGGTACAAGTGCACCTGTGCTCTGCAGAGCGCCACAGTAGGACGTCTCGCACAGATGCTGTATGAACAACGCTTCGTGCACGACAACCTCTTTTAAACAAGTTTATGATGACGTCACCCGATATCGTCTCCCACTAGACATCATCGTCTTGCGCTGGTATTGTATCTGTCGGGATATTGCTCGTCTACATCAGTGACGACGATCTTGACGTTCGAGAACTGCCTCTGACAAGACCAAATCATCTGTTCGCCCTATCCAGTGGCGCCCACCGCGCACAGCGTCGACGATTCTCTCGTACGCTTCTCACAAAGCGGCACTTTGCACTGTGCGAGAATAGATTCGCTCCTGCTTCCGTTGCCTGAAGCAGCTCCAATACGAACTCGCCGACGCTCTTGAAACAGCCAGGCTCTATGGAGTTTGAGCACGCTACAAAGAGTGCGCTAGACTCATGGTCCGTCAACGAACGCTGTGGACCATAGTGGCTTCAGGCACAGTGACCGGCTTGCTTGCTCACCAGACTGTTTCCTTTGAACGCTCAGCGGACTTGTACGGAACGCCTGCTACCAGGCAGGCTGCGCCTTGGGCTCGCACTGCTCTCGAAACCCTGCCGCTACGTCTTCTCTCCCGTGCGCTAGGTGCCGTGAGTCGCGTCTACTTACCAAAGGCAACTCGACGAACCTTGCTCTCCACGTACTGTGCGTGTTTACCTGCCTGTCAGCTAGATGACATACGTGATCCCTTGGAGACGTTTCCAACACTGGCCGCTTTCCAGCAGCGACAGCTGAAGCCATCAGCGAGACCTATCGACTCGAAAGCGAGCCTCGTAGCGCCCTGCGATGGTCGCTTGCTCTCCTGTGGCCAGGTAGAGAGCGGGGCTCTGCTTCAACCCATCAAGGGCATTCGTCTATCTATGAGAGCCTTGCTGGACTCCACGGATGAACGGGATCCTTTGGTACGAGGACCCATCATGGTAGAGGTTGCCACTACCGAAACCCTAGGTTTGTCACGAACTCGCGGCAGCACTGAGCTCAACAGCAAAACAATGAGCATGAAGAGTAACCATACCGCAATCCAACCGGATACCGAGGCCAAGGCGCTCTATTATGCAGTTTTCCATTTGCCCGCTGGTGGCTATCATCGCTTCCATTCACCTGCACGGTGGGATATTGAGCTGCGGCGGCACGTCGTTGGCCAGCTTTTACCAGGAACACCGCGCATCCTGCGAAGACTAGGGTCGTTGTTCACCGTGAACGAGCGCGTCTGCCTTGTTGGCGAATGGACTGATGGCTTTTTCGGCATGGTTGCTGTTGCGGCTTTTGGAAACGGCGATATCTATCTGCACTTTGACGAGGACTTGGTGACGAATTGCCACGAGTATCCGCTGAACTACCGGCGCGATATGACGTATCGTTGGCCAGTCCGCTTGCAACCAGGTGACGAAATGGGCGGCTTTCGACAAGGATCTTGTATCGTGTTGCTCTTCGAGGCTGCGGCAATGGTTCGAGACGATTCCACGTCTGGGCATACAGGCAGAGATGTTGGTTTTCTGGTGCAACCCGGTGCCTTGGTTCGTACGGGTGAGGCATTGTTTCGGGCGCCGTAACAAGAAACCAGTCAGGAGCTGAACTGGAACATCGATGCGTTCATGTTTTTTTTTTCGTGAGCGATCCGCAGTTTCTCAGCGATGACTCGTTATTGTTCGTGTTTATGCGACTTGTCTAGTCTTTAAATGTGCGCTGTTCCGAGCGGAAAGCACAAAGGTATTTCGTTGCTAATTTGCGAAGCGCTGGGCAGCTGCTTCTACTGGTGCAGCTAGAGTCCATGAACGACACTGATTAGCGGTGGCGGCTTCGCTCGGATGACGCACTCGTAAAGGCGATACGTCCGTGCTCATTGGGCATTTGAATGCCCGTGCCATTTCCAAAGGATCTTGCCGCCGAATGCCACCAGTATTGAACCAAGAGCCGCATCGACAGCATTCTTCTCAACACGCCCAGTACGTTCCTGTAAATGGGAAATGGCTCCCGTTGCCTATAGTTCATCACTGGGATCGTTCTGCGCTATGGAAATCCAGCCCTTGACGTAGACGAGCTAGTTGAACGCGATTGTGATACGCTGCATATCGAGATGTGCATCTCACCAGGTTCGTGCAGTGCTCCGCATAAAAACTTTACCCGCGGCTTTTCTTCTGCGTTCGTTTCTTGCGTTGACTCTCCTGGAGACCAGGAGCAAGCACACGGACATTTCCCAACATTTGCTGCACGAGCACAGTCTCATCCACCGCCTGAATAAGTTCAAGCTCTCTCGCAGTTGCAGCTGCTCCTTGGGCCACCTCCGAAGCGTCTGCCCCGGCATTCGCAGCATTTGTGGTACGCGCACCTGAGCGTTCTTGGCTCTGGACGACCCCAAGCACTTGCTTGAGCGCTTTGCCTTTCTTCAAGGTTCCCGGAACCAACTTGACCTTGTATTTGTACTTGGCAAGCGTCTGATACGGGGCACAGACAGGTAACGCGTACTCTAACACGTCGTCCGGGTGCGGGCACCCGGTAAACAGGTCCAGCTCACTGAGATTCGCGAGCTCCGCTTCGCTCAAGTGTTCCGCCAATGCGGCAGACGCACTTTGCAAAATCTTGGACACTTCCACCTGGTCTATTTTTTGCCACTGAAAGTGCGTCTCTTCCCGTGCAGCGCGATGCGTCTCTAGGGGCAACTCGGAAGCCGCACTGCCAGTCGAAGCGTGCCCCTGTGCATGTGTTGCGGGCGCTGCCGACGTACCGTTCCGTTGAGCACTTGTCTGTCCCTGAGCAGAGGCGATGGTACCCTGGTCAACGCCCGCAGCTTGTTTCACGCTGCTCGATGCAGGCGCTTCTTCAGCGTTCACATTTCGCTGTACAGTCGTGTTGGTACCCTGGTCAACGCCCGCGGCTTGTTTCACGCTGCTCGATGCAGGCGCCTCAGTGGCCGCTCCCTCACGATCACGTGCTTCCATAATACGCATTCGGGTAGTGCCGAGTAACCTGAGCGCTGCCTCACGCTCTTCCTCAGTTTGATCGGAATACTTGAGCCGAAGCTTTCGAAGTTTGGACTTTTTGCCGCGAACAGGTTTCGCTCGGGATGCCTCGGCACCAGAGGCTGCAGCGGAGCGCGCCTCTGTAGCCTGCACGGAGCGCTGCAGCGATATCTCACCTGGTGCTTTGGCAGCAGCGTCACTGCGGATACCGGTAGTAAGCGTCTCAGCGACACCCACTTGCTTTGGAGCGTGCGTAGAGTGAACGCTCTGGTTGCTAGGATCCGTTTCCGACGATGACGACGGTAGTTGGAGCGTGGTGCGAGCATGCGAGCCCGGTATCGTCCCTGGGCTGTTTCCATTACGCGTATCCGTTCTCGTTGTAGTATCACTAGCGATCGGAAGCGTAACGTTGTCATGGGTATCTTGCGGCCGATCAGGAGATACATCTGGAAGACCTGAGCCCGCATCAACACATGCTCCGTTGGCCTCTGAGTGGCTCCTGACACCAATTGCGGCCTTGGTGGCCTGCATACCGCCATCATGACCAAGAGGACTTCGCGCTTCGGTGGTAATGGTATCTGCAGCGGAATGTTGACCAGCTCGACTTGCTCCGTTCACGTTTGTGATGTGCGCATCTTCACCTAGAGTCGCATTCAGTGTGTCCGACTCGATCTCGAGGATTCGCTCGCCAGCACCCTCGACTTGCTGTTGTTGTTTTTGAGGCGCTCCAGCAGCTTGCGCCTCTTGCAGCGAGTCTGGGCCGCTGCGTACAGGGCGCTCCCCAATATGACGCCACACAGACTCCGGAGCCAGTCGAAAGAGGAACCCAAACCCCATGACCAACGGGCCAGATCCAGACGTCGTCACCGGTACGTAGTTCCGGGATCCGCGAATCACAAAACTACCCTGCTGCAGATACATACCGCTGGGAGCAGTGCGGCTAACTTGTTCCGGATATACCCAATAGGCATTGACAGCGACTTTGGCGTCCCATGCGGAACTACAGGCGGCCGCAAAGATAGCTGCTTCTTGGATCGATAGCGGGGGCGCCGGACGATTCTTTTTGCCTTTGATAATGACACTTGCTGCCCCGTGAACGTCCGCATGCATGTAGAGGTCACCGGTGTTCTCCTCAAGGTATCGACGCACGAGCTGTTCATTCTGTTGACTGTCTTTCCCGGCAATCACGAGATAGTTCTCTGAAGTGATGAAATAGCGAAATTTCTCGAACCATAGCGGTTTCCGTATTGCTTTCAACGTATTCAGGGGTGTTGCTTTCTTTCGCTTGTTTTTCGAGGCAGTGCCGGCGAGCACTTCCAGCGCTTTCTTCTCGGCAGCCCGAAGCGCTTGAGCGCTCGCTTCCATCGTTTTGGTGCCCTTCTCCGCTGCTTTCTTTCGCTGTTCATAATAACGTCGAGCATTAGCAAAGGCACTTAGGCTCAGGTCCACTTGGACGAGCTCCACTCTGGAGGAGCACACGGACGTACTGTCGCCCGACTCGTCCTCGCTTGCGCTCTCTACAGAGCTCGCTGAGTCCTCGTTCGAGAGGTCTCGCGTCTCGGCAGGACGCCGCTGCCGTGATGAGCTCCCCGTCTCCGCATCGGTGTTGTCCACGCTGCCGCTATCATCTGCAAGCATCAGCGTCATCTGGTTCTCTTGCAGCTGCAGCGAATGAATGAGCTGCGCGACGGGGTTCCCTCGACGACGCTCTAGTACCAGCATTTGGTCCAATTCCTTCCAGTCGATACCAGACGCTAGTGCTGCTCTTATGACCTGCAGCGCGTTGTCGACATCCACCAAATTCGTCTCAATGAGTGCAGCCTTTCGCAGACAGCGCTCTTCCTGCTGTTTTAGCGTAAGCACTCGCGTTTCGAGCTCACGGCGCATGCGCTCCAGTGTTCCCTGTGCCTGCCGTTGTCGATTCTCAATTTCCTGTCGATACCGTAGTTCTTCCATTCGAGCAAAATATTCATCTACCGCTTCGTCGAAGGACGGAAACATTCGTGGCTCCAGATGCTGGTGCTGACGTAGTAAACGAGGCGTGAACTCGCAATAGCGATCTGAAACATCCTCGGAGTCAGCACCAGAGGCCTGGGACGCTCCCTCTGCTACTGGACGCAGCAATATATATCCCTCTCGAGGCGACTCTGATAGAAATGCTGCCGCCTCACAGAGCACGCGATAGAGTCGTTGCTCGTATTCTGGCAGCGGATCAGGCGATGGTGCACCTACCTCGAGCAGCACGTGTTCAATGAGTTCAGGACCCCAGCCTAGCGCTCGCCCGAGATTGCGTTGGAGGTCGCGAAGCTGGTCTCCGCCGCTTCGCTGACGCTTTTGGTAACACTCTTGAAAAATCTCGTGTAGACGATCGTACGTCAAAGGTGCAAACTGTCGTGCTAGACTGATGTCGTAGCGCGCACCAACGACAGCGTCTTGTTGTTGCATGCGCCGGGATCCGGGTCCCGTTGCCGGAGGATCCCGCTGATCTGCGGAATCTGCAAGCGGCCTTGGTTCCGCTCGGAAGACGCGGAGCACAGCCAGAATCTGATAGTCTCCGTCAGTGAGGATAATGTTGCCGCCCGAGTGCAGCTCAACGATGAGGTGGTTCTCGAGCGCAGCCCGCGAAGGCTGCCCGTTCGCGCTGGCCTTGTAGGCAGAGGCGGATTGGGACCCACCCACGAACCGAAAGTCTACGACGCGATCGATACCGAGTTGGGTAACTTCAGCTAGGCGCCGTGTTCGCAGATGCTTTCGCAGCTTGAGCGTGAAACCAGATGGAAGTTCTGCGTTTGCACCCGTTCCAGACTGTGCTCGCTGCTCGTGCTCTGCAAGTGCTCGGTGTCGCTGGAGTACGAGCTGCAGTTCCCGGTCCCGTTCATCCAAGTCCATGTGGGCGAGGTCCGTAGCGATGGAGTTGTCCAGAGTCTCATCTGTACCAATTTTTTGGCGGCTCACGAGCGACGCTGCTGCCGTACCAGCAGCAGCGGCTTGACGCGTGAACCTCGTGGTGTGCAGGCGAACACCAGACTCGATCAACAGGTACTCCCTGCGCCAGCTGCTATCACCAGTTGCCCATGCTTCTTCAGTCTCAGTCGCTGGTATCCGACCTGAAGCGTTTAACGGCGGCACTGATAACTTTAACAGGTACGTCTTGCGGCCTAGGTTGTAAACATTCAGCACCCGAGAGCCGGAACCAAGTCGCTCCTGAAGGACGGAAACTTCAGCTCGCAAGTCCAGCAGAGAAAACTTGGTTTTCCGCTTAGTTGTTGGTGCCATGGCACTCTGCTGAACAGTGGGGCGTTCTGGAGAACCAACCTACGACTACAGGCATCCCAAGCACTGAACTCTAGACTTTTTCGAGTTCGATGCCGGGCCTGCTGCATACGGCGCCCGCCGCGCCCTCAGACGTTTCAGCGCAACGCAACTCCACGAGTCTGGGGAGCAGCAGCCTAGGGGACTGCGGCGGCCTTTGGCGAGGACAAGGAAACGGAATGAGAGCAAGTTTTGGCATGATGTATGACATACAGGAACGTCTATCGCAAATATTGTTGCGACGTAGGGTGCGGTTCAGTTTGCTGCCTGAAACTCTCGAGAGAAACGTAGTGGTCCGTTCGTTTTCTCACAGTTTTCTTGCGGACGGCGTCGCTGCAACGCGTTCGACCTTGCAGAAGCGATGAGCTTGCCAGGGAGAAGTGAGTTTGGGTTGGATCATGCCGAAGCGCAGCAGATGCTATGCGATGGATCTGCGAGTGCTCACAGCGTTCGCTTGCTGGGGAGCTTGTTGTTTTTTCGGCAGAGCGGAACCCGTGCACGCCAGCTTGCCGTTTGACCGGTTACTCGTGCAGATGCTGCTCCTTGATCAATGAAAAAACGCCTCGAATGTTCGTGGCGGAGAGAGCCGTGGCTGCTTGAGTAGAGCGGGACGCTTGCTCGTAGGATTCTTCAGAATATGAGAAGAGGCTTCCGTGGCCAGCTTTTCGAGACTCTCACGGGTATTCATGGTTTCAGCTCATTGATCACAGAGCTTTTCGTTGAAATAGAGCATCATGCGGTGCACCGTGGTGATCTATGAGGTTCACGTTCACGAAACGCTTTCCCGTTGCAGGTATCGACGGGAGCTTTAGAAGAATTCCCCTTCCGAAAGATTAGAATTACTGCATAACGCAATTGCTTCTCTAGTCACGACACCGTAGAGTATGGAAATGCACGCTCTTTTTCTGCCCCTTGATTTTTCCCTGAGCTATTTTTAGATGTACAGACTCAGCATTCGAAGTGGAACAATAAGAGTTTATGGATTCATAATGCTCTTGGATTCTCATTCTTCTTTTCGGTGTTACGCTTTCATGTCTTTACCGCTAAAATTCGCTACGTCACCGGAATCAGGATGATTCGCGACGCCCTCGAACAAGGGTTCGTAAAATAACCGATATCGTTACCCAGATCTATCCTACATGCATCCACATATCTCCTTCCCTCAGGTGCAGCATGCTCAAATCAAGCAATCTCCTAGCTTTTTGATCCTTCTGTTTCAGGAAATCTACCGAGCACAGCAACGCGCGCCACCATGTTGACAGGGAAAACGACTCCGAGTCGGCCTTTGACGACTCGTCCACAAGCACATGCCGAAAGCCCGCTGCACTGCTCTCGTTCAATAATATGTTCCGTTCCAATGACGAATCCTGCCTTTTTCGAGTCCAGCGAAGAACCACGATTTCACAGCGGCAGAATATTTTCGACTGAATACGGCCCTGAGTGCTCACATCTCTACTGTTTGCATGGAGAAAGGTCTTGAACACGGAACTGAGTCATCACAGAGATCGCTACGAGTTCAGAATGCGTCACCGTTTTGCGTGAGTGTAGCGTCGACGGTTCAAAATGTCACGAACTGTTCTCCAGCCTGGGTTTTCCTTCCGATCGTTATGTCATCGTGGACAATATATTGCTTTCTAGGAGCCCATTATCGAATGGAACAGCGTGCGCTGGTGCATTCAGCAGAAAGCGTTCTCGCTGCGGGTGGACATCATCCATCAGGAGCCCGTGATTGGCGTTCAAGGCAGTGGGCACCAAAACGGAGAAGTTTGCCAGGAGCAGGATACTGTACTCGTCAAAAAGATGCACTGCGCGATGGCGAAAACATCCACTCGCGACAGTGTGGCTCATGGAAGAAGAATGGTGGACGTCGTCGAACATCTGACCACAGTTAAGCGTCACCGCTGCGAAGGGCGCACCATGCCTGTATAGAAAGAAGACAAGAGCAGCAAACGAAGCGGGATCGCACTCTGCGCTGTACCTGGAAGGGGTAGACTATAACGGGAAGCAACGAAATCAAAACTCTAGCGATGCCCTCAACATTCTTCGACTGCTGAAAACAGCGCTCGACGCACAGGAGAAACCGACATATTAAAGTCCGGAAATGAGACAGAGGCACAGGAAGCAGACGCTAAAAGGTCCGCGAAGGCAGGTGTTGATGACAGTGGCAAGTGGCCCAAACTACTGGACGGGACACCCGAGTTCGCAGATTGGACGCTATCCATGTTATTCAGACGGCGGTGGAGTGCTCTCTAAACGCGTTCAAGCGAAATTCTTGTTTTCCTTATGAGGCCTTGCTTCGTTCCAAAGCAGCGCCTAATACTGTTTTGAAGAGGTTTGAACAAATTCTCCCGTTTCCCAAACGACTTCTTCTCCGCGGCACCTGCAAACTAAAGCCTGCCAACAGAGATCACCGTATGGAAGCCTCAAGCAACGTGAACGAGATTTTCCTCTGAAATACGAACCGATTTGAAACACACACTCACATTTCTCGATGCAGCAGCTCATATCCGCTCTTCCAAGACGCCAACTCACAGCAACGGCATCCAGTGGAGATGCGGAGTACCAGGCAGCGCTGCAACAACACATTCGCTGCACGTCAGTTGCATTCGGTCAAGGTCGTTGTTGTGCATATTGTCTAGGGCAAGCGCCTCCGCTGTATGCGGTCTGACTCTTTTGGTTGCAGGTGTTACCGCTTTGATAGGCGGAATCATCGAGATGGTCTCGAAGCGCTTGGCCAATGTCTTCGCCACTGCACGTTCCTGGCTGTTGACGTAGAGTTTTCAGGAACTGGCGAGGATCCCGCGGTCCACTCTGCGGACCTCAGTGTACGCTATGAAGCCCTTCGCCGCTTAGCGGGGACGAGCGCAATTTTCTCAGTCGGGATCGTTTGCTTCACCGCCAAGTGCGAGGAGCTGCACAGAGCGATTTGCGGCCTCAGTGAGGTAACCGCGGACCGGGAAGCGCTTCAGGTGCAAGTGCCAGCAGTCTGTGCCTATCAGGCCCACGTCTTGGAGTTTTACTTTCACTGTCAGGATGCTTTTACGATATCCGGTGATACTGCAGCTTTTTTGGTACGGCATGGTATGGACTTTAACAGAGTGTTCGCACACGGGATTCCGTACCGGCGCGTCGCTGCTGCTGAAGACGCGCTCCATGAGGCAGCTCGTGCAGTGCCAGCTCCTGGAGGCACAACCGAGGATGCAGCGTCTCAGTCGGGTTTCGGTCATATCAGCGTTGCCCGCGAACGCGGCTTGGGTGCCGAGCGCACACCAGAGCCCAAGCGTCTTCGTCGCCGGACCCAGAGGCATCGTGGATGCAACTCGACAGCGCAGCCCGCGGCCGAGCCGCTGCATGTACTGAGCGTCCTCCTGGGCAGCGGTAAACCCGTCATTTTCCACAACGGACTCTATGATCTGTTGCTTATGTTTGCGGCGTTCGAAGCGCCGCTACCGCCGAGCGTCGAAGAATTCAGGACGCAGCTAGCAACGCGGTGTCCCGGCTACTTTTTCGATACGAGAGTGCTGGGAGAGTTCGTGCCCGCACGTCTACGTGATTGTCCCGCATATCTGGAGTACGTCTTTCGCAAATATGAGCGTCGATGGTTTCGGACCCAACGAGGTGTCCGGATAGAATTTCCGGAGCTCGCAGCGCCCGGTTACGTCTCCAAGAAAGCGACAATTTATGGGTCGCGAGCCGCAGCTTCTCCCGCTGCGATCCCTCGAGTCTGCAAGCGGTATGCGCGTTCAGGACATTGCCGCTTGGATGGAGACTGTCGTTTCTCTCACGACATCGATCAAATCATTGACGCAGATGAAGCTTCAAAAACTGAAACAGGTGACGGCTTCGATGAAGCAGTTGCAGTAGAGGCATGCCAACCCAACGGCGGGCACGCTGTGCGAGAGATGGAGAGTGCATGTACCCTGGACACGAGTCCCGCAGCCATCTGCGAGACCCTGAAGTCGCAGCATATATCGCTGGACTTGAGTGAATCTTTGGGGATACCGGTTTCAGAACGGCCAACGGAGCAGCCTTCATCGGTGGATGCGTTTGTCACGAGTTTCTCTCCGGATGAATCGGAACACCTCGAGGACAGGTCTGCTGGACAGAAACCTCCTGAAACTTACCCCAAACGGTCGAATGATCCAGTCTCTGGCTGTCGAGCAGCAGCAACAGCAGCGTGTCAATCATCCTTGGGTAACAGTATGTTTGTCGCTGGCGATGATAACGCAGAGGCAGCGCGCTTCGCGTCGATGCCTCCGTTGCATGCGGACGCTGCTTCGGGCGATGCCCAGAGTGCTACGTTGGACAGGGCAGCCCATTCGGCAGGATATGACGCTTTCTGCACCGGTTACGTCTTTGCGAGCATGTTGGCGTTGCCCAGTGTGCAACTTGCGCGAGTTTCTTCCTTTGCGAACAGGATTTATCTCACAGGCAGTGCACCCCAGACGCTCTGTCTAACACCCGGGAGCTCACCGGTCGCTTCACAGCTGGAACCAGTAATAAACAGTGGCGCGGGAGACTCTTGAGTTGGCGACTCTGATAAGTGATCGATGCACGTTGTGGATGGGTTCCAATGCCAAGCGCGGATTCTGTTGCAGGGCTGCTGCAGACGAAGAAAGAATCCGGGGCGCCCGTGTAGCTTGGGAGCAGCGACTGGCGGCAGCGGTCGCAGAACCGGTATTGACAGCTGCAGCACTAGATATGTAGTACCCTCAGGAGGGCCACGTTCATACAGCGTGTGCGCTGACGTTGCAACGCCAGCGTCGTTTCGACTGCCCATGCCTCAATGACGTGAACGCGCTCTCTCCTACTGCATGTAGCGCGGGCGAGGCGTGGCTGTGACTGCATCCATCTCAAAGCAAACACGGGGAACGTTCGAAGCCCATGAGCGCTTTCCTGGTCTCGTTTTCCGAGAATGCCACGCCATTCCGAGCTGTTGCTGGGCTCGGGACAGACTTTCGGGCGGCGCAGGTTCCATCGTCGTACGGCGCCACGCGTCTCATTCCGGGACACGCATGAAACTCCATGCGTCTCCTGAAACGAGTATCAATTCCTTGATAGACACTCGACGAAAACGTTATTTCATAGATATATTCTGTTCATGGAAACACCTCAATCGACCGCGTGACGACCAAGAGCTCGCTGGGAAACCGCAAAACTCGCACGATTCGCAACGCTCGTCGCCGCACGTCGACCTGGCTACAGCGCAGAGGGTTTCTGTGTTGCACTTGCTGCACCGACCTTAACATCGCCAGACGCCTCGGTGTGATGCACGTGCTCCGCGTGCACTCGAGCGTAGGCTCGGGAAAGGCTCTGCCAGACCTTTTCTGCAAACTCACCGCGGTTGAGTACCCTGCGAAGTTTTCGGTCAAACACACGGGAGAGTTCGCCTCGGTAAAGTTCGGCACGAATCTGTGCCAGCAGCTCACTTCGTCTCGCGTCTTCGATGCGACCAAGTGCAGTGAGGAACGCTCGCTGCAGTTCGTCCTCGTGCCGCTCGACAGCGCCCTGAGCGACCGCCTCCGCCTGCACTCTTAAAGTATCCAGTTCGCCGCTCGTGCGTAGCTTTTCGAGAATTTGACTCCTAAGATCATCAAAACTTCCATCGAGAAGCAGCTCACGCAGCACTCGCTCCGTTTCCGACTCGGAAAAAGAGGCACCGGGCGCACTTGCGTATTCGGAACGACTGGGAGTGCCTGGTGCTTCACCCATGATTCCGCTTTTGCTGCGAGCCGCTCTGCTCAGCGGTGCTGAAGCGGGAGCGTACGCAGCGCTCGAAGCTACCGATGACTTTCGACTTGGCGGTGCAGTCCAGTGCGGCCTAAGCAGCGTCTTCTGAACGCAAGTCGCGCGTCGAACAAGCCTAGTTTGCAGTGGACCATCTTCATAGGGCGCACACTCCCGCGCTGAGTTGGGCGTTGCGCCCTGCCTCTGAGAGCACCGTTGTGTGCGGGTCTGGTGCTAGTGCATCTGCCTGCATTGCTCAGCCTGACGACTCATGAGTTGACCAGTTAGATTTATAGTTTCGTTCGCAAGTACGTTCCTACACGGGAGCTATTAGACATCGCTGCAAGAATATGCTCGTTGCCTAGTCGCCGATACTCTCCTCATTTTGACGCTCTGGGAAACCGAGGACAACCGAGTCCGGCTCAGCAACAGGTGGCAACTCACTGCGCTGCACTTCGGCACTTCTCCGAAGCGGAACGAAGCCTGCAGCGGAACCGATGGATGAGCCAGAAGAGGCCATTGAGCCTTCTCGCTGTATTTCAGCACCAAAAGAGGGTAGTCGCGTTCGGTCACCGTTCGATCCGATCTCATCGGTACCAGCAAGCGAAGCTGTTGCGTCCGGCCTGGGGCGACCGTGCACTGAATCGCTGCCCTCGTCTGCTGAACTTCCGCCACTATTCTGGTCGGCGGAGCAGGTCCCGTTCAGTCCACGACGAGTGAGAGGCGTCAGCCCCGGCGGCACATACGGATGAAACTCGCCAACCTGGTCAACACTCTCCCGCCCGGCTTTCGCCAGGGTCGCATCCGCGCTGTCGTAAAACTTTCGTTCGTGCAAGTGGTTCGCACGCAGCCTTCGTTGAAGAATGTCTCGCCGGTTCGGAAGGTTCCCGTATTTGTGGAGAAGTTTCTCTTCCTGCCGGTGGCTTTGATCGCTTGTCGCGCCGTTCATGGGAGGGTTCGTACGTGAAACGCCCGCCTGCCCTCCGAGTGCACCGCCCTGGTTCATAGCGCCTGGCACGCGACGCGCAACTCGTGTCTCTTGTTTGCTCCCACAGATAAGTTAAATAATACCCAAACTTAACCAGAAAGTAACCAATAGTCAGTTGAGTAAGCGCTCCAGCAGCTCAAGCCGCTTCGTTGTTTAACAGAATCCAAAACGTCTGGAGAGGCCTCTCCGATAATCCTCAATCTCTGCGGGGAGATGGATAGGGTCTCGTGTGCCCGTCGTGCGCCAACGGCGGCGAAAATATCTACGCTGCGCATAAGGCAATTCCCTTACTTAACGAAGGGAAATCAACTGTTGCAATCTGGCGCGAACCGCTGGTGTCCGCAAAGCGCCGACACCGCAGCGCGGTGTATGTCCATGGCATCTGCATCATGCACTGGCTTGAAACTACCTATATATGTACAAGATAGCACATTTATGGAGCTCCTGTGCAGAGCGTTACCATAGCGTGCAGGATTCCAACCTGGAGCCACACGCAGGGCATTGGAAGGCGAACCCTCGAGCCGACGCCCTCTGTATGGTGCGGCAACGCCGTTCTGTCTAAGTGCAGCGACCGCACCGGCGCTATAGGCGCCATTGCTGTCGCTTTCGGGAGGCACAAGGCACACATGATAGGACATATGAAACGACCAGAATATCAGAGAAGAAGTATAGCTAATGTAACTTAGAAGTAGGGCGTTTGATGTATACTGCACCGTGCACTGAAAAAAAAACATAAAGAACCAAGAAAAAAAATGCGCGTAATCTGAGAACGCTGGCCGAAGGAAACGTTTTGTCAACGGAGAAAATTGGAAGGCGAACACGTACGTGCCCCGTTGCCGGCTAGTGGCCCACAACTGACACCCGCAGCACTGTGGCGAGACGGCCTTGTCTCTGTAAGACATATGCAGTCGACGCGCTGTCCGGAGCGTCGCGCTGCCGAGGTACGGTATCCGCTGCAAGCGGGCATAGAAGGTTTTGTCTGGCAAAGATCAGAACCCTTGCAAATGGCCTCAGGGGCCTTGATACCCGAACCGAGGAAACAATTATGGAATATGGTACCTGCGCTTGCTTGGTTCCTATCGAATAGTACAACCACTGCATCTGCGACGCTGGTCTGCTGGAACACGGGTGCGTCCAAGATACTTGCGTACATGAAAAAAGGATTTGCGAAAAAAGGCCCCGGGATATTCGATTCAAGCAGCCTTTCCACGTTAAACCTCTGTGGACTTCAATCGGAGCACTGACCCGCTCAATCTGTTCCTGCGTTTCGAATAACAGAAATTTTGCAGATGTGCAGCCACGACAGTCGAGGTGGAGCACTAACAGCTAAAGGATGCCGACTTGGTTTTAGGACTTGCTTTCGTCTATTCGGAAAGGCCTCTTTGCCCTTTTGCCGACTGGATTCGTAACGACCACGGAATCAAGATGTTGCGCGACACCTCTAAACAAGGGATCGCAAAATTATCGGATACCATTGCCCAATGATATGCGTACAAGCCTCCACACTCCTCCGTTCCTTATGTGCAGCATGCTGAAATCACTCATTCGTCATGTTTTCGGTATTTGGGTGTCAAGGCAGTTCGTAAGCGCATCAATGTGCGCGGCTGGATTTACGGGATACAATACCAGACGTCGTCCCTTGAAGACATCTTCATAGGCGCATGCCGAAAGTTCTCTAAACATTTCACCTCAAATAATCGATTCCAGTCGAAAGCCAAATTCTCCTCTTGTTTTTGCCATCGGCGGTGTACATTTCGACACCAGCATGATACCTCTCACGGGGTTATTTTCGAAGAGGCTACCGTCCCAACCGTTCATACGGAAAAAGGTCCCGGACTCGGGATTTAGCTAGCGCCGCGATCGCTTTCCGTGGAGAGTGCGTCTCTGCTTTCTACGATGAGAGGGTAGACGGATCGAAATTTCTCGACTTGTTCTCGAGCTTGGGTTTACCAACCGGTGCTTGATTCACCGTGGGCAACATCGTCATCCACAAATCCTTCGGCAAATGGAGCCGATTGCGCTTGCGCCTCGGTGATACAGCGTACTCGCCGATGGCATCGCTCAGTGCGAGCCCGTGATCATATGACGCGGAATGCAGTAAGTAATTGGGGTAGGATATGGCGCGTAGTGTTCTGGAACCGAGAACGCGATGTATTCCACGATAAAGCAGGCCCTAACGCGCCACATGCCGACGCTCAGAAAAAGTGTAGTGCAGGTACGCGAACAGCTCACCATGGTCAAAGGCCACCGCTGACAGGGGTGCACTCACGATGTAAACAAAGAAAAAGAACATCTCAAGCGGAGCTCCGATCGGAACTAGAGTCTGTGCGGCAAGTGCAATGAAAACAGCTGAAAGCTGCGATATTAGGGCTCTGACACTGCCATCAGCATCCTTCAACTGTTGATAACGGAGCTGTGAAGAAAAGAATTAACAGAAGTATTGAAAGCTAAAGACCAGGGAAAAGAAAAGCAAGCGGTTTGAGAACAAAGCTCACAACGACCGAAGTTGATGGCATTGGCAAGAGACCCGAAACTTTGTTTATACATCAGAATTCGAGGACCGGTTCTATTGCATTCGGGCAGCAGGTATACCTTCAGATAAGCTCAGCAGAGCAGGTGCTGTCCGGCTACTCTCTTCCGCTCTGACCCTGCACAGTGATAATAGCAAAGACTGAACGCCTGACGCAGGTTTACGGGAAAGCGCTGGGCGCTAAGCTTGGACACGACGACAGTGCTCTTGTCGACGGCAGTTTCTTGCAAATGCATCAATGTGTTTTTCACGCAATGGCTTTGGACGCTATGTACCTGGTTCGTTGCCTACTGCAGATCACTGAAGCGTTGGCTCTCTAATGAGCAAAACAAACTCGAGAGCTCAGCCTCTGTAGACGCTGGGCAAGCGATTCGTTGCCGGCTCGAGATCGCGTCAGCGCTTGGCGTCAGGAGCAAAACACGCACCAGACGTCACCTTGCCTAGGCGCTGTGCATGCAATTCGTTTCCTGCTGGATATGGCGTACGCGCTCGCTGCCTTGAACAACTGAGCACCAGTCTTTAACCGACATAGGCGCAAATGTTCGTAAATACCCAACCGACGCCGGCAGCCTCAACGCCAAGCGTATTCCGAATCGCAATGTATAGAATCGCTCCAAGTGCCGTTACGAAACAGATCGTGAGCGCAAAAACAAAAAGCGCCCGGATTTGATAGCGTTCCACGAGAAAATATACCATCCAGACTCCAGTGTAACTGCCTAGAAGAGCGAACAGGCCGAAGAAGAGTCCATAGGAAATATTGAGGCGGCCCTGGGCCAGATACACAAAGGCGCCGGAGGCACTGCCCAAGAGGTTCGAGAGCGACATACTCGACTGGACGGTAGCCGGATCTGCTCGTCCGACAAGGTTCAGAAACGGAATCAGCAGCGAGCTTCCTCCAATGCCGACCCAAGAACCGAAAACTCCGGCAATGAAGGCCCATACGGGATATCCGAAGATCAGCGCCCTGGTCCACCGGATATCACCGAGACCGTTTTTCGAGTACCACGGATATCCCAGTCGATCGCGCAATCTATTCAAAGACAAATTACGCCAGATGGTGAAGCATCCCATAGCAAAAAGCACCGATTCCTGAATAGCAAAAAGGATCCAGTAGACCGCTCCACAAAGAGGCGCACCCACTGGCGAATGCTTCTCGGCACTTCCGGATAATATTTGGATGATGAAAAGAACCAACCAACATGCCAACAGGAAGAGCATGTATCGCCACTGGAACCAGGGTCGCTCGGCTGCGAGCAATTCCTCCCGCGATTGCGCACACAGAAGTGGATCCAGGTAGCATAAGAACCGCGACCGGCCAGGTCGGAGCGGATGCACGTTGTTAGACGGCGAGGACGCAGCTGTCTCGCTGCCTGTCGCATGGACATCACTGCTGTCGACTGCGTTGCTTGCGTTAGCAGCAGAGCAGCACCCGTTACCCCTAGACTCATGATTCAAGTGCGGATCCGAAGAATCTGGCCGCTCGGCCGATGCACGGTCTGCAGACGGCTTCGTGGCATCCGTGGCGTCGCGCCCGCAGTCGTCGACTTCGTTAGATTGTACGGGAATCGCGGTTTCCGCAACAGATGGCGAGGACACACGCGAGCTCAATGTATCATCGGCGGCGTTTCCTGCAGCTTCCGCCTTCCACGTCTGCTCATCGGCGGCGTTCTTGTGGCGCTCCTGAAGGCGTTCGCGCAGTAACCGCAGACCAAAGAGAGCACTTTGCACTGACAGCACTGAGAGCAACAATGCAAGTACAAACGCTGTGAAGTAGCTGGGAAAAGCTTGATTCATGAACGTGCCTGGGGTGGTTCCCATTAGAAAAAACGGCACGGTGCAGGCAACGAGGTTCCAGTCAATACGAGGGGTATCGCGAGCTGCGTGCCGGCGCGGCACATTCACCATTGCGTTCGCAATAGATGCCCCGAAAATGAGCGGCTGTGCATTCGCACTCGCGTTTTTCAGCGTAAAACCGGCAAATAGGGAAAGCAATGGCACCAACAGGATGCCACCGCCGATACCACCAGCGTTCGAGAGACCCGTAGCCAGGAACACCAAGACAATGAGCACACCGTCTGACCATAGGAACGGATGGAACAAGTCCTTCACCGCACATATCCCCGTATTCGTGTTACAGACTTGTCGCTCTGTGCAACCGCTCGTTGGCGTGCACGGCACGCACTGACCCAAAGTGATGTTACACGCACGACCGATTTGAGAACAGTAGTCACAGAGGGTGGCGGCCGTGGTGCTAGTCCCGGCCAGCGCCAGGAGGCACAGCATACCCCCTATAACCGGAAGGTACACCTTTTGTTGCCGCGAGAAACGAGAGCGCATCATGCAATATTTTCTGGGAGCGTATTCGACGCAAACAAGTATGGAACACCGTGTGAAGTTATCTTACACGAAAAAGCACAAGGCGATGCTCGCCTGTGTGACGAGCGGGGCCTCGAGCTCGTCGTGGCTTCAACAGTTCCTCTCAGTTCTGCACAACTTCGCAGAGTCAGGTAGTAGAGCAGTAAACCCACAGAACCCGATCGGACTGTGCAAGTCGGTCGAGGTCAAGCCGTACCAGCCGACAGAAAAATAGTTGTCCGGGGTGAACAGAATGCGGTGCTGCTTCACACGCCAACGCAATGGCTTGGCTCGCGCCTCGAACTTGGGTTGCAAAGCGATTGCGTCCGCCCGGAAGGGGCAGTTTTGGACGTTTTGTTGAAGAAGCGATTATCGGGGGTATTGGTGCCGCGGCTGAACTGTCTCCACCGATTCGTCTAGCGGAGTACCATGGAACATTTTCTACTCGGTTCACCATGATGTACACGTCGACGTTTGGGCGTCTTTGGACGCTTATCAACTCCAGCCTTTATGGTGACGATTGTCGGACTGCTTCCTTTTCCTCTCTGTGATCTCCAGATTCGACTAAGCGGGGCACTCGTAGCCCTCAGGCCGCTTGTCAGCCGTTGAAAGATGTTGATGGCGCCGTCCGAGTACAGACGAGATCAATTACGGCTGTTGCCGACGCAACTCAGTTACAGGCGGAAAATGGTATCAATGCTTCACTTTCCATGTTTTTCGTATAAAGATAGCGTCGTTGCGCTTTTTGCAGTGATTACAGGATTTTGTGGTCACTTGTTCGTATATGTCCATGACACCTCTTTCTCCGAGCACCGCACTGTGATGCATCAATGCTTCCTTTACCGCTCGGCACATGCTCTTCGCGGGTCCAGATGGATCTATTCGGTATCTCTTCGGCTTTTACGCCTAGTGCCGCACCCCAGGATCATGGGCCTCTTCTGGGACATCGCATCTGCGAGTACCTTGTCCAGTGCCTCCGCGAGCGCACTCTGTTCCATTCAATAACTCAGTATCTGCTTCCATTCACTGCGCTGATGGCGTTCTAGATTCAATGGAAAGAGAAGAGACGGGATACCATTGGAGCGTATCCCTGGACAGGTATCATGCTGCCGTCGAATGCCGCCTCGTCGTCGACCACAATGGGTTTAGGGTTTATCTTTCGAGTGGTGTCGAGTACTTAACGTGAGATGATTAGTGAACTTGTGGAGTGAGCTTGCGAAGCAGCCATCGAGGGACCACGTCAAGCTATGCTCGTCGTCAGTCCAGCGACGCCCATTGCTGCGCTCACACGTCGCCTTAAAATACAGAGTTCGAAAAGTTGATGAATACATGGTTCGGGCAAGCTACTCATGAGGTACAGAGAAGATCAGATTCTTGCAGTTATGAATTGGATTATGGAATCGGGTATTTTCGTAGCGCTGCTCGAGAGCTTCGCTCATTATCTGGGTCCTGGGCTTGTTACGAGCTTCAGCAGCAAAGCGTCGATGAAGTCACTCCGAGGAGACGGCCGGGCATCATATAACTACCTATAAGTGGGAAAGTCCATATCGCTGTGCTTCGAATACCAAGTATGTACACGTAAAAAAAGTAAGAAAAAGATCTCAAGGCAGGCACACATCCAACATTCCAATGTTCTACATAAATCCAGTACGGGCGTAGTGTCCGCGGGGGCCTCACAACGAGGTCCATGCACCCTGATATGCAAACCGAGGAGCTGCAAGAAATACGCTGGTGTGCATGTGGAAACAATACGGTCCACATCATGAAATTCGAACGAGCGAGATGAACTCCTAGCCTATATATCCACACAGTGATATTTTGGTCGGTATCTCGATATCCAACCCCACAACGTGACGTATTGCCCTGGTATTCACAGGGGAAAATTGTGGGCGATACTATAATCTCCAAACGGAAACGTCAAGTCCGCATTCCGCAGGAGGATAACGTACACGCTCCTCGCGGAGTTTCAGTAGATCCATCAAGGCGGCTGCTTGGCGAGGAAACGTGGCCGTCACGAAACGCCGACAAACCGTTTCAGCGCCAACTTGCTGCTCGGCTTCGTTCCGTATGAACTTGGCGTCTGTGTCGCAATATCCATAGTCTTCCATCGACTAGTCGCTTGATCTGGTTCTGGTTGCTGAGGCTTCTCCATTTTTCAGGCTGGAGGTTGGTGCAAGCAGCTCATAGCGCTACAACTGCGACGTTTCACAGCGTTCAGCTGTCGCTCGTTGCAAAAGCGGAGGCTCTTCCGCCTCCGTACCCATGGAGGACGACTACGGAAGCATCGAGTCCGCGAAACCCCAACAAGACGCTAGTTCAGCGCAAGCTGCGATCGAGGCGTCGGGTTCAACACGTGCCCTGATACTCGCCGCGGCCTGTCTGTTGACGTTCGGCTCGTACTTCTGCTACGACACACCTAGTGCGCTTGTGATTACGCTGCGAGAAAAGCTCCAGTTAACCGGATTCCAGTATAACGTTCTCTTCTCAATTTACTCGTGGCCTAACGTCGTTCTCGTTTTTATCGGTGGACTGGTAATCGACACGTACGGCAGTCGCCGGGCCTCGCTTGCTTTGGCAACGCTGGTCTTGGTCGGTCAGGTGGTCATGCTGATCGGCGTTCTGCAACATCGCTACTGGCTCCTGCTGAGTGGGCGTTTCATCTTCGGCATGGGTGGCGAGTCCCTCGGCGTTTGCCAGTCAATTATCGTGAGTCGTTGGTTTGCTGGTCATGAACTCGCTACTGCTTTCGGACTGAGCTTGACTGTTTCACGTATTGGCAGTATCCTCTCATTCATGTTATTGCCGGTTGTGGACCAGGTTGCCGGCATTGTGTCGGCATTCGCAGTGGGTGTCATTATTTGTGCGCTCTCGATATGTGCTGCTCTGGTCTATGCTTCGATTGAGCTCTCTGTAGAGCACAAGCGTGCCGAGGGAGCCGCAGCACTCCAGCCGACGAAAACGCGGACACGGGCTCCTGCTGGGGAACGCTCGCCCCGGAGCAGACGCTCGAGTTTGCTCCAAGTTGCCAGATGCCTTGATCTTTCATTCTGGCTGTGCGCTGGGATCAGCATGGTGTCCTATGCGTTGGTATTCTCGTTTATCGCAATCGGAAGCGACTTGCTGCATCAGGCGTTCGGCACTTCACGCGAGCGAGGCAGCCTCTTGGTGTCGCTCGTATACGATTTTTCCATGGTGCTGGCGCCACTTCTCGGGCGTCTATTCGACGCAGTTGGTTTGCGTGGAATCTTCGTTCTTGTGTCGTGCACGCTGAATCTGCTATCCTTTGCCCTTCTAGAGCACACCCGCACGTCTGCATGGCAACCGGTGCCGCGCCCGGTCTACGGCATGATTTGCATGGGGGTGGCTTTCAGCGGTCTTTCCAGTTCTGTTTGGCCTTCTATGACGGTTATTTCGCCGGTCTGGGCCCTGGGAGCGGCGCTCGGTATTGCGCAGGCCCTGCAGAACCTGGGAACAAGTCTCATGAGCATCTACGTGGGTCACGTGGTAGATGCGTTCGGCTACGAAGCGGTGCTTAGTCGATTTGTACTTATCGCGTGCATCGCAGTGCTGCTCGCTTTATGGTGGAATATCGACGATTGGCGATATCGGGACGGGCGCGTGAACCGCTCCGCTGCTGCGGCAGAAGCAGCGGCAGCAGCCGCGATGGAGCTACCGGTCGCTGCTGGGACACCGCAAGGCGCTGCTGTCGCTTATGTCCCGCTGTATGTACCCGTCTACGTGATGGTATCGCCAGAGGCGATCCAGTCTGTCCGACGAGCCTGCTACCAAAAGCTCGGAGAGAGCGAAGTCGGTATCAGACGACGCGATCTTTATGCGCAGCTCGGCATTGCTCATCCTGCGGTCGTGCGCAAAGCTGCGGAAACCGGAGCGCAGTTGCCGTCGCCAGACGCGTACCATGCACGAGTTTTTCGACCGGAGCGACCTACGGAGGCGGCAGGGTCAGCGTCGAGTTCACAGAGCACCAATTGACGCTGGTCTGAATGAAGGAACCCGAGCACGCAAGCACGTATGAACCTAGAGACTTGCGCAAAGGCATGTAGTTGAGAATGTAGGCACGCTTGCATATAGAACTCTGCACATTCGCAAAAACGCGAGATATTCAAATCCAGGTGAGCTGCCTCGTGGCATCTTGCAACGGGGAGACGAAGTCGGTTCGTCGATTCGGTCTGGAAGCATCTTTGGAGTTTTCAGAGTGTTAGAGGGCGCGTCCTACTGCACTTGCGAATCGATCCCTGTCAGGTGATGCCGTCTGTGGAATACTCTGCGCAGCCCTGAGGCAGAGACCGAGCGAGAACCCAACTGGGCCCGTCGAATATGCGTGTGTATACGCTGTACTTGCGAATAATGGAACACTGTTCTCCTGCACCAGTTGCCCTAGACAGTCGTTCGTGGTGTGTGTGTATACTGCGCTCCAGGCGTGCTGGATTCCTGAACCGTACCAGACCAGTGTTTTACGCCGACTGGGAATCCGACTCCTTCACTCCCAGCTGGTGAGCTTTTTCGAAAGTCTTCCGCATTTCAGCGCAATGCCCGCACTGCGTAGGTAAAGGGAAGCTCTAAGGCTGCCTCGACACGCAGCTGGTAGCTGCTCTGAGAGCATGAGACGTTTATGTTGCGTTGAGCATGTTGCTTGGGCGCATGGTTGCCGGTGGAATCAGTCCATGGCGAGCCTGTGACCCTGTCTTGCCTCGTGATGTGAGGTTCAATGTACTTCGCGTTGACCAAGTCGAGCATCTGGCTCTGTTTCACGCTCTTGTTCTCTGTTGGTGTCAGTGTGCATCTGTGCTTTGGATACATGTGTATGGTCCCCGATGTATCGATGGGAATCGCGGTGAATCGGCAACTGCGCTTGTTGTACACTCTCATCGAAGAAGCAAACGTGCAGCATTTGTACGCTACAGCATGTCCAGCGCCATAGGCTTCCGCCGAACGACTCGAATTGCGTTCATTTCCCTTTCCAACTCATAGAACAAGTTGGTGAGTGCACGCCTCCCTCCTTCGTGCAATCGAAACCGTTGGTGACCCCAGCGTGATCTCTTTTTCTCTTGAAAACGATTGCCCGCATGAGCCATTTGGAGTATGGATGTCCCTCTCAGCATGAAATGAACAAATCGTCCCTGCTCTGCTCGATAGTGTGCTCAGAGAATCGCGACGGATCCTGACGCAGTCATTCGAGTTCCCGTTTTCGGTCCGGGCCTGCGTCGTGACCAACTCTTGATGAGACTGAGCCCCGCGGAAATTTTGGACGGCTTCACGTGCTCTGCGTTCAGCTCATTTGCTCCATCGTCTTGATGAAGAGGTCCAATGACGGCTATCTTTTCCTTTCAACCGGGTATCGACGTCCGCCAAGAAGTCTTTCTCCTCATCTACATCGAGAGGTTGAAACTGGGTCTCGTTATTCGAACTAGGCCTGGCATTCGCGAACAGCACGCCGAGTGATATTTTGTTGGTCTTCATTGTCCTTGCGCATTTCTTTCGATTTCCTCCTCGTAAATGAAAACTATTGAACGATCTCCACCAAAAGCCTTCGCGGTGTTGTTCGAATGCATGTTGTTCGCTCCTCGAAACCAGCCGTAACTCAAACCGAAGGCCACGCAATACAGTAAAGAAGTCTCTGTTGTGGTATATTGGGCCCTCATTTTCCACGTAGGAATAATATTGAATAGACGCTTGAGGAGGTCAGGGCGCTCGTATACGGACACGTAGTCTGTTTTGCTCTGCAAGGCGCTGTTCTCAGAAACGTAGTAGCGCGAGATGCAGGAAGGCCAAGCATCAAGCTTCAGCCGCACTTTGAATACAGCCTGTCGTCGATCCGAGGTCAACAGCAACATCATGAGCTTCAACGCTCTGAAGCGACGTTCCTTCTCATTCTGACAGCTCTTCCGCCCTCTCCACCATGTCCAGCTGATCAGCTAGCGCCAAATCCTCATTTGTCACCATCGAGACCCCCGGAATGCTTTGCATTCGTCCCATTTTCTGAGCATGTGAGGCAAGGGAAGGATGGCCCGCAGACTGCGCGTCATCAAACGCTTGGCATTGATTCGCATTCGCTTTACGTTCTTGAGGCTGGTTGGATACGTTTTTCGTATCTGCGCTGGAAATGTTCCGACCGCCAAAGATACATTTTGCGTTATCTGATATGTTCAGGAAAGCGTGGATTCGCGTACAAATCCTTTCCCCTACGACCCGGACTCATTGCAACTGCTTTTCGGAGCATCGGTGGTGTTTTCACACGAAGGCCTGACTGAAAAATTCCGTATCGATTCGTATACGTGAGAGTAGTGCGCGTGGAACGCCTTCTAGCAGTTGCTCGACGACATGTGTCCAAACGAGGCAGGACAAGCGAGCATGTATCGAGCACTAAGCTATACGATCCCGAATGATGCCCTGAATCTTGATTCTCTATGGAAGATGCTCATCGCGGAAGCGTTTGAAAATGCACTTTTTTACAATTGCTCCCTACCGATCCCGCTGCTGAGACACTTTCCCCCTCCTGTCCCATCTTGTACTCTATTCAGCAAAATCCTTCTCTTCTTTGCCCGGTGCTTTCATTTGCTTCTCCTTTACTCGGCGATGTGGCATTGATGTGGTCGCTGGGCTCCATCCCCGATTTGGTTGCCGGATTCAGATCCCCAAGATCGATGGATAGACCGGAACCTGCCCTTTCTCTGAATGTATCTACTTTTCTTTGGCGATCATTTCGTCAATCTCTGCATCCTATGCATGTACTCGGACCGAGACATGCCTTCTCGCTCCCTACCAGGTACGGATCGAAGAGCAACACGGCGTTTTAAGCATGCTGACGGTAGCAGGTACCGATTTGTCGAAGAACAATGTATGGATGCAAACGACTCGTCTATGGATTTGTGAACGTGCAGATGGCGCTTGACAACGGAGAAGAGGCCCTCGACTTTGATAAACCGCTGAGAGAAGGCGAGCACGAGCAGCTGCTACACGCCCCGCAAAGCCGCGTAATTGTCGACCGTTTTTGAGTGATGATATATAGCGCTGAACAAGAACAGAATAGAAGAATGCGGGAAAGAAGCATTTACGATGAAAATTTCCATGAAGCATGCGGTGTGCAACGCTCCTATCTGGTTAACGATCAACAGGCGACCACATGATTGATTCGCTGCTAATACCGAAGCTGTCGTCATACTCACCTGTCTCTCGTTTTTAAACAGCAGCCTGCCGCTCCTTGAGTACCCGTATTCATGTAGAGAGCGTCTCCCGAATCAGGTGTCGTTCAGTGGAAAGCACACCAGACCCCGCTGTGCCAGGCGTTCGCGTTTTCGTTCGAAATCGATGGTGTATCGTTCAGTGCGGAACGGTCTCGACTGGAAGCGTGTTTCTTTCTGTCCACGCATATCCCGTCATCACCGTTCGTATCAACTAACAGTCAACTTCACGTCCTGCAGCTTCTTCGGTATTATTTCTTATAGAACGTATGGAATCGAATGGATTAGCAAAAGGAGATTCGTGTGGATAGCGTCTACCAAGCTCTGTTTTGGGTGCGAGACTTTCAGGATAACGGTGATCATCAATGTGACTCATCCACCTCTTGACAGCAATATAACGGACAGGTAGAGGTCGTGGGGTCTCCCCTCCAAGCTAGCTGTGACCGCAGCAAGGCGTTCCGCGACCCTCTTCCCGTCTGCAGCGTACATACATTTTGCCAGGTACCTGCGAAAAAACAAACAGTAACGTTGTGGTGGTAGAGACACTGCAGATCTCACTGTACGAGCTTTCAAAGTATGGCATCGTAGATTCTTGTAGAGCATCCGTTTCGGTCGCGCAAAACGACTTGCTCCAGGTAAACGCGTTCTACGGACAGGCCCAATCATAATGAACGGGTCTCTAGGACACGTTGATGACGCGGCTTTCGGATGACGCTTCATCGTCCCAAAAAGCATCCATTCGTGTTTCCGGTTGACCCGCGCCACGGTGCCGTTCAGTCAACGTGTCGTATATTGGATACACCACAAACAGCTCCGAGGTCATTCTCATCGCGGCGTGAAGCTGCAAGTCCTCGGTCAGCAACGACTCGCCAATGCCACATTCTGATACCGCTAGACCGCAGCCGATTCCTGGCCCTGAACCATCTGGGTAGTCAGGGCTGCAAGCCAAGCCTACCACTGGAGTGGCATACCTTCGACCGCTTCCGCCCGTTCGGGAGCTCGCGTTATGGAAAGCGACGGCGAGCGCGCTGAGGTTGATGCAAGCGCAATCGGTGAGATTCACGGATCCTGCATTGTGAGCGCTCGCAGTTTTGAATAGGCTTGCGAGTCAAACACTTTGTGTGGCGAGTGGGTGCCAAGCAGTTGGGGCGTCAGCGCGTGGGCGCAGCTTATGCCACGGGTGCGTGGTTCCTTTGTGTTCCGCTTTTTGAGACGAAATCCTAGTCATCCGCGTTTCTTTCTGGCTCTTCATCGCTAGGCGCTGCAGATGATGAAGATTCAGACGAGCTCTCCGTAGACCGGAACTGATTCCGATACATTTCAGCGAGCTGTGCACTGGTCGTAGCATCCTCCGGCCGCTTATCGCTCCGGATTCGTAGCAGACGAGGAAAGCGAACCGAGATGCCCTTGTCTGGGGCAATGTACCCACAGGCTGCCACGTAAGCGGGCGAGATGCTCAAATCAGCGCACTGAACCTCCCAAACCTGGCGGGGATCCAACCAAATGTCCGGTTTCACGGACTCGCTGCAGGCCACATACGGCCGTGGGCTATCCAGCACGTACTGCGCATACTCCGAGTGGAGCTGGGCCATCTGCTCTTCCGAAAAGCCCGTGCCGACTCGTGTTACTGCCTCGAACTGTTCCGTCTCTGGATTATAGCAGGCGAGCAAAAACGAGCCGAACCAGCCGGTTCGCTTGCCGCGACCGTAATACGCACCAATCGGAACCAGATCCAGTGTATCGCCGATTGTCCGGAGGTAGTCCTTCTTGAGCTTGAGCCAGTGCTGTGTTCTATTCGCCGGTTCATAAGTCGAAAGAGGACCTTCAAGCGCTTTCACCATGAGGCCCTCACACGAATCACGCACAGCCTCCTCCATGAACTTTTGAATACCGTCCAGGTCGCTTACATCGCGTCGCGTCGCAAAGCGAAAACCACCCGGCACCTCTTGAAAGGCATCCCGCAGGATCGCTCGCCGTTCTGCCAATGGCTTGCGAGTCAGGGGCTCTCCTCTCCAGTATAGGATATCGAACGCCACGATGAGAACGTTCGTTTTGAGGTCGTCCAGCGAGACGTGTTTGCGCGCGCGCTGCTGAATGTACTGGAAAGGTAGAATGCGTTGGGCGTCTCGATCAAAGGCTACCACCTCCGAATCCAGAATAAAAGAAGGCTGATCGGATGACGAGCCAACCGCCTGTAGTATCTGCTCCATGACGTCCGGATATTTGCGCGTATGATCTTCAGCATTCCGTGAGTATATGCGGATGGATCCATCTGCGAGGCCGTGGATCTGGGCTCGCTCGCCATCATACTTGTATTCGCAGGTAAAGCGCATCCCTTCGAACCGAGTGAGGACTTCCGCTATAGACCTACTGGGTTTGGCAAGCATGGGCATCACTGGGAGGCCTGGTGTCAAATGACATCGCTCGAGAAGCCGCTCATCGATATCTTGCAACTCGAGCAATGCCTCAGTAATCATATTCCATGACGGGCATTCATTGGATGATGTTCGCAGTAGGTGCGCAGCCCGTTCGACGCGTGCCGCATCCGGGTGCGTACCACGACTCGCTGCCGCATTCTGTACAAATGCGGCCGCAAGTGCCAGAATAACGGTTTTCTCCGCAAGCCGAATACGCAATCTTCCTTGTAGTGCCCTGGCAATAAACTTCGCTTCATTATTCTTTGCAGCGACGAGGAGCTTCTGAATACGGCGACGTTTTTCTTCCTGCATTGCCTTACCGGAAGCGCGTGCAATGGCCAGCAACTCATTGTAGACATTGCGAATCGTCAGGCGAGGCACGGCGAACATGGTGCGCTGCGTCGTTCGCGAATGGACGGCGACATCTCCCAGGTCGCCTGTCCGGTGATAGTCTTCTCTGAGTTTGCTGAGACTCCGCCCTGTGGCATCGGCAAGCGCTTGCAACAACAGAGCGTCTCCAACGCCGATTTCAAGACCTTCATGCGCTGGTGCTAGCCGGTTAATGACTAGGTAAATGGTCGGCAATAGATCCACCGGCGTTCGATTCAGTACATGGAACAGAACACAGGCAAGTTGGCGGGTCAGGTCGATGCGTCCGCTTGTTCCCGCCATTGTTTCAAACGCATTCGCAAGAAAACTATATGGGACGGGTTGGCCGGGCTCCCAACAGGGCTCAAACAGCTTCAGGTAATCGTCTGCCGCCAGGGCACCGTATAGTCCTGTCTGTCGATCCTCGTCATCCGAGTCGCCGTTCGCCTTGGTGCTGAGCGTGCGTTTGGCGCGCTCTCCTTTGCGGGCTCGTTTCTTGGGCGGCTTCGCTTCGCTTGAACCAAGCTGAGCGGTCTGGAGCGTTGATGCGAGCCGGTGGTTGCTGTCCGCGTCCGCCGGCGAGACATCGCTCTTGACCTCCGCTACCTGTTCCGAGGCTGTTGGTCGCAATCGTCCGGTTCCGAACAACTCGGAGCCACCAGCGTCTCCCTCTTCCCGATCCAACGATGAAGATGTACCCGAAGGTTTCCTAGGCGTTCTTGGAGATAAACCGTCGCTCGAAGCGTCCGTGGTTGGCGCTCCGTAGACTGGAGTTTCTTCAACACTGTCGAGCGTGCCAGTTCCAGGCTGATTTGCGTCCAACTCATTCTCGGATGTGCGTGTAAGCGCTGCGTTTTGAAACTTATCGGGGCCAGGGAACTTTGAGGCTTCTGAAGCCATTGCCGATGACGAACTGTCATCACTGCTCGTGTCCGCAACACATACAACGCGACGGGACTGCTTTCGGTGCAGAGGGGGCATCTCCTTCACTAAGCTCACTTCCGCACTCTCGAAGATTGTTAACAGCCTCCCGGGTCCCTCGAAACTTCCCAACGGGATGTAGCCGAAGAAATCACTCACTCGGCGTCGTTCTCTGCGGCTGCTTATGCCGTGCCCGGCGTTGCAAGTTGCAGGTGCGCAGCGCGCCAACCGCGCCGACACCAATGCTGGTTGAGAGGCGGCCTGCAGCGAAGGCACCACCGCCGCCCCGCTGAGGTCAGTTCCTGTTCGGGCGTTCCAGGCGGACAGGTTGTGTGTCCGCACGCTCCAACGGCATCGGCTCGGGGTAGTTGGACAGGAGACTTCACGCCGCGAAGCAGCAGCTGCAGTTCGACGAGCTGTGGGCCCGCAGTGCTTTTGCGGCGGACGGGGCCTGGGTAGCGCGAACGACAGCTCGTACCCGTTCGAAGGTCGCTTGAATGTGGCAGATAATTCTTTTTTTGCGACAGTGCAGATAACCTTCATGGAACGAAGATGCTCTTGACGCCAGAGTACGTGAGCTAGCTGCCAATTGCAGGTCATAAAAGCAACTGGCTCAATAGCAAGACTTGGACAGCAGAGAGTTTGTCAGGCGCACGCACGCACGCACGCACGCACGCACGCACGCACGCACGCACGCACGCACGCACGCACGCACGCACGCACGCACGCACGCACGCACGCACGCATTTTTTCTGATGACACAACACGGTTCCATTGACCATAGATCCCAGATTGCTTGATAGATGGGTATCTTGGTAATCGAAAATGCGTCCATTGTCCTGCACTCTACCTCCAAGTTCCATTACTTTTCCTTCGTTTCAGATGCACTGGTCGTTTTGTATGTTCTAGCGTGCGCCGAGTGTCTGCTTCAGACGCCAACTGCACTGCCGACTTGGTGGCCGCACGAGCACAATACAGCATTGTGACACCTTTGCTGTGGTCGTCTGACAGATCACATGCCACATGCATTGGCGACGCATGGGATACAAATGCCCTGCATGGATCACTTGCAGAACTGAGTGCACACATCGCTCCAGGGATGCGGAATCCATGCGACCAGGCATGCCCTGGATCCCGGCATCGGACATGGAGAGGTTCACTGGCGGCAGCGACAGCAACGAATGCGCGGGAAGCGCGTGTATGCGTGCGTGCACGTACGCATAGATGCATGCGTTTCTATTTTGAATTGTTGTACGGGCAATGGAGACGCTGTGCGCTCATGCTTTCAAAGCGTGTACAACGACCGATTATTGAACTCTAGAGACGACGGCATTCGAGTTGGATATAATCCAATGCGGGCCCGATTCCCTGGCTCTAACCCATGTTCAGCGGCGGTACTGCAGTTCTTTCGGAGAAAACAGTTAGAACGCGCCGAGCAGACGCCGTATTCAGGATGTGCTTCTAATATAGAGAGCAGGCGGCAGTACGGTCGGAGGTCTGGACGATTGGCCAGCGGAAACCGCGTTTCCGCGTCACCGCTGACTGCGCACGGAACTGGAGTACCTGCGAATGCGGCATGGGAAGCGCTGCAACGAAGAAACATGGGGCACAGGTTGCGGTTTACACGGACCCGTGCGTACACGTATGACGCGCGTCGCTAGGCGTTCTGCTGGCTACGACACGTCTCCGCAGGACTCCTCGGTATCCCATGTTTCATCGTCTGGTACACTGTCGGTAGAGGCGTCGGCCGCTGACCCCTGATCAGACTCGGGATGAGTGCAGGGCGCTTCGTCCAGCGCCACATCATCCGTCGTGGTGTCTCTCCACTGCGCCAGCGCAGCGTTCGTTATCGCGCGGAGCTCGGGCCATGCGATCGGCACGATCGGTGCAGCCAGGCCCGCCAGCGCTTCGCGAGCGGCAACGGACCGTAGTGCGTGATACCGGGCTCGCAGCAGAAGGTATAGGCGAAGCTGCAGGACAAACCCACAGCAAATAGCGGTTTCCGTTGGCTGCGGGCTCGCGTCACCCGGAGACGTGTCACTTGGTGTTGCGGAACCGAGAACAGCCTCTACAGCGACTTCGAGCTCATCAAGACTGTGTTCCAGGGCTTCTAGAAGCAGGTGCAGTTCGTGGTGCAGGTTTCTTTGTGACTGCAGTGTATGGTCAATAGCGGAGATAGTTGCGAGAAACAAGGCAGCCGCACAGCGCACGCTTAGCGGATATCTTTCGTCGGTCGCTGGTGCAGTGATCGCCTGCACGATGCTCTGAAGGACTCGCCGACGAAAGCAGGTACCCTTCAGCGCTGAGAACAGGAAGCCGCAAACATGCTCGTTGCCCTCGTATCCCAGGTTCAAGCGGAGAAACGCGTCCGTCAGGGACACCTGCGTCTTCGCAGTCGCTACGTGAACGTGACTTCCGGAGGCTGCGTGCACGGTGCCAACTGCTGCGCTCGCACCAACGCTCTCCCTAGTCCAGTGCTCGTCATAGCACGATCGCCAGGCCGTTAGTAGGCCATCGCCGAGGCCCGCTGCTACCTGCTGTGGCGCATCCCTGAGGAGATGCAGCAAAGCCCCCTTCGCAACGGCGCTGGGATGATCTGCGCCCATCAAACAGCGCTTAGGAGTGGTCGCTATGGCTTCATTCCGAACCCACAATGTCCAAAAGATGTAGCACAACGGACTGAGTAGACGCTCTGGAGTTAGAATGCCTTCGATGAGTGCAACTTGGCACAGGCGAGCAGCAGAAACCAGTGCCGAATTCGATTTGCCAAGCAACGACGTTTGCAGCACCTCCGCGAGACTCGGCAAGATGGACTGAATCGTCCCAAACATGACGTTGCATTCCTTTTCTGATTCGTCTATGGCGGCGATGGAACAGTTCTCCCACGATGATGTGGTCGCATTTTGCGAGTTGTCGCGGTCGGGTTCAGCTTGAACGCGTATCCGGCCGCCTACGATGGGTCGCATGACGTTGCTGGAGCTGCTCGGGAGCGTCGCTGTTGCTGTGGACGCAGCGCCAACGGCGCGTTCGCTTTCGACAAACTCGACGAGATGTCTCAGAAGCCGTTCCTGTATGCCGAGGAGCAGTGACAAGCATTGTGAACCTGATGTGGTCTCGCTTGTGATACAGCCAGACTGCAACAGCTTTTGCCATAGAGGTAATTGTTTCAGGGCGAAATGCCCATCGCAGCGCGAAAGCTGCAGCAGACATTCAAATGCACCGCTGAGTACCGTTAGCCTAGGCGTCGTCATCTCGGCCGCTGGGCACATCAGTGCAGCCGGGAGCGTTGCGCAGCATGTCAGCAACCGATCGTGCAGATTGTTCAAGGGAATGGCCACATCAGGAGGTGCCTTCGGCGCGTAACGAATGAGTCTGCCAAGTCGCTGCAAAGCAAGACCTACCACTGCCGCTGAAGGTGCGCTTGAGGTTTCGACACCAGACTCTCCATCCGCAACGTTCTGATGGAGCTCGACGAACGTCCACAACCACCGGACACGCTGCCAGTACGCGGCACTGCGTTGTGCTCCTGTGGCAAGATGTTCGTTGTGATCGTGCAACAAGCGTAGAAGACGGTTGGCCTCATCAGCGAGTCCATCGTTCGCTGACTGCAGTTGAAGAATAAGGCGCACGACAGCGCTCTCCAGAGTCGACCAGAGCTGCACCTGCGCCCGCGCCTGGCCTAGCACGCGAGTACAGTTCATCAGCGCACGCAGGATCCATAGGAAAACTTGTTCTGTAGCTGAGGGCAGAGCGATTGGACATTCGGCAGCGAGAAGGCGAATCTCGTCGATGAGCAGCGGCAGATGAGGACGCAGCAGGTTGGCATCAAGCTGCGCCAAGATGGCGAGCAAGCCGTAAGCCTGGTCGCGCATCGCGAGGCCTACCAAGGCCGTCGCCTCCGCGCGAAAGAGGCACACGATTTTGTCACCAACTAGCAGGAGACGCTCCATGAGTACCGGTATCGGTAACGAACTGGATACCGACAGCGCTTGCGGCAGAGCGTTCAGCATTTGTTTCAGCCGCTGGAAGGACAAGTCCATAGAAGCCGACGTCGCAGACGCATGCGACACAGAGCTCACCAGCCAGGAGTGTTGCTCATCCAGGTAACGCACGCGGAGACGGCGCCGACGCAGGGCCTGTCCAACAACCGTCCGCTCTCGGTCAGATGCTGCGTCAGAATCTGAGAGGTTCAGGTCGAAGCAGTCATCGGATGTGTCGGGGCAAGTCGGTGCGCGCTCGCGATACACAAGCTGGCGTTGAAAAATATGTTTGAGCAGAACGCGCTGAGCGAGACGCTGGACGCTCGGTGACGGATCATCCAGCCGTGCGAGTATATGCGCTGCCATCGGCGACCACGCGTGGTTGTCGAGCTGCTCATGATCCTGAAAAATTGCATCCAGCAAAACCAGAGCTTTCTGGCGAACAGCGACCGAGATATCGCGCAAGCGTCCGAGAAGCGTTTCGGATACAGCGCTGGGTCTGCGCGCACGACGCATCCACGATACATAGCATGTGAGAGCGGCTTCACGGACTTTGGGTGAAACATCCAGACAACAGGTAGACGCAAACTTGATCATGTCGTCAACGGAACTAGAGGCGGTTTCCAACGCAGTTTCATTGGATGCTGTAAAGGGTGTGCACGCACTGGTGGTGGTTCGAAATGCATGTGCAGTTAAAATGCACAACGGATTTGACGCTGTAACCATCGTTGTACTCTGAAGTTCAGGAGTATTTTCCTGTCTACCTCGCACCGAGTCCAGCGTCTGTACGTGACTTGGAGCACACTCGTTTGCAGCCGGCTGCAATATACCTCTCACCTCGCTAAAGAGTCGCATAGCGCGAGCGCGAAGCGTTGCGCGGCCTGAGCGCATCACTTGAGATAGGCGCAAACACGCGACGCTTTCGAGCAAATCGTGAATCCGCTTCAATGCAGGCTTGACGAGGCAGAGAAGGGAAGCACTCGAGAGCATTGACTCAGAGTACTGAATCCGGAACATTCCATTGTGGTATGATGGCGATTCTAGGACAGTTGTAGTATGAACTAGTGTTTCATGGTCCGTTTGCATTGGCAGCAGGCATCCCCACAGCGCCAGCCACAATGGATGCTGAGTCGCGAGCGCTTGCACTAGATGCGAGAAACTTTCTCGGGGAGCTGCATCTGAGTCATGCGGCAATTCCGTATCACAAAAGTCGTCGAGAAAATTTGCAAGGAGAAGGCAACGCTCTGCGAGAAGCAGATGGTCTTCAGCTTGCAGCGCTTGCTGGGTGCTCGCTATCATTTGCGTATGACGTATAAGGAACTGCAGAAAGATCAGCGGTGCGGGTGTTGTTGCTTCCAGCTTTCTCATGCTATTGCGCAGATAGCTGAGAATGGTCGGAAAGCAGTCGTTGACTCCAACAAAAACTGTAGCTTTGCCGCCTGATAGAAGCGCGTCGATGAGCGTCCTTACGGTGTCGAAAAACCGTGCCGAGGTGTCGAGGAGGTCTCTCGGGCTGGGTTTGGTGGTGTTGGTGGTGGTGGTGGCGGCGGCGCGCTTCTTGAGCGCGGTCGGGCTACAGCGAGCGCTCACTCGATCGACGGACGCATCCGAACATGTCGAGTCTCCGACCAGCAACGGGGCGAACTCGATGCGGCCTACAACATCGATAAATTCCAGGACGAGTTCCAGCGGGGGCCAACGCTCCGCACTTGTCTCGACTGTTACTGGCGAAACAACGCTGTTGCGAGTTTTCTCTTCACTGAGGTATCCGCAGCGGCTTCGCCGCAACAGCGTTTGCACTTCCTCGAGGACCAGATGACGGCATTGAGCATACGCCGCATATGTCTGGCACAATAGGCGAGTCGTCGAGGACCACAGGCTCCCGGATCGTTGGATGAGCTCGCGCGTATCTGCCGGGCTGAGGGATTCTGAGCTCCGGAGCACCTCGTCCAGAAGAGTGTCGGCGACATGAAGTGCAAACAGCGAGAGAGATATCGACTGGAAACGTTGACTTTCCGCGATCTCGGGGCAAGACTGCACAAAATTTGTCAGTCGAACAACAAGCTGCACGCACTTGTTCCACTGACGCAATCCCGCCTGTCGGTGCGTTTGGTCGATCCCGTCTCGCTGTGTTCCTTGGTGTTCATCACTTTCGGAATCGACCAGCTGACCGAAAGTTTTTGCTACGGCATGTAGGCCTTCGCGGAGTGTCTGCATCGCCAGAACAAGGTGCTCTTCATGAAGCGCCTCCCGCAGCGAGCTCGACGAATTAACCACGACCAAAAAGACCCATTCGCTAACAGCTGCGCGTGCGCTCCAGCTGCTTGGCGAATTGTCGGCCAACAAGTGCGCACACCAATCGAGGCCTCGTTGCAAAAGCGACCGGAGAGCCGGCGCTTCATCAACTGCATTAGCTGGAAGGGCGCTAGCGATCCCAAGTGCAGCACAGACGCGGTGGACGGCTGCATTCGCCGCCCTCGGTGGTAACTCGCCATAGTGATCCAACGCCTCTAAGGCAGAGGTCAGTAGCGTGCTGGTTTCATGCAAAACGCGTTGTTGGTCTGGATCGAACAGTGGCGGTCCAGCTGGGAGCTCCGGTTTGTTGTACGTGGATGATGGTGCTGGCGCCGACTCGAGAGCATTCAATCCGCTCCCGGTTGTAGCTGTCGCCGTCTCGCATGTCGATGACCAAACCGACTGTGCTTTCGGCAAATCTAGATTTCTGTTTGCTTTGGTGTGTTCTAAACGCTGACGCTTTCGAGAGCTGCCCATATGCGTACCCGCTGGCGGAGCGCGTAGCACCTGCTGCGAGCCTGCAGAAGGTACCCTTGGGGCACTGAAGAGCGCCGGGTTTTGAGCCTTCAATCGTTCCAGCACGGAACGCAGCAATTGTTCGTAGCCGTTGCCGACGCTTTGGCAAGCTTCGGTCCGCGGCGTATGTGCCTCGCTTGGCGGCAACGGCACCGTAGAGAAAGCGTGTGGCGTCCAACTTGTCGCAAACTTCTCGGAAACGCGCTCAGCCACTGCAGCCATGACTCGAACGTGGTGGTCGTCAACAAGGATATCGTTTAGGGTTCGCAAAGCGTTCTCCCGATCGATTCGTAAAGCCTCATGGTCCAAAAACCCGGTTCCAATGCCCCTAGCGATGAAAGAAAGCGTAGCTGCACCCTGCACGGAGCGCTCCTGTGGAACAACGTCCCAGGTTGCTACCAGTCGAGCAAGTTCCAGCACGGGACCCGCTGTGGAACACCTCGATTCACAGCAAATCAGAAGCGCCTTCCAGTCCATAGCGTAGATTGGACGATTCAGAAGAACGTTCCCGAAAACAGCGTCCCTGGCACTGCAGAGAGCGCGCGTACCCAGGGTTCATGGCACCTTGCAGGCAGCGTGTTGCCGGTGAAGCGTTTGGCGCGAAAATCGCCGCGTCGATTGCGCATTGCGGCACGACGCCGTGCGGCGCTCGCGCTGCGGATCGTCGGGCGAGGGCGGACTGCGCGCGCGTGCATGGCAGGCGTCCCCAGGTAAGGTACTCCTTCTGGGGTGACACCTGCAGCCAGTTGCGAGAGACAGCGACGCGGCAGCGCTCATTGCCGAGTGCTTATCGGGATGGTTCTGTGTCGGAGACGATAGCAAGCAAAGAGCGGGTGCTATGGATGCTGTGAAAGGCGGTATGCTGTCCGTGTTGGCTTCGAGCGGACGTCCACAAGGGTATGAAAAAGCCGTTCTGCTTCCATGCTGCGTTCAGAGCAGTCCTATAGGTTTCGTGGCGGGTGCTCGCTGCCGGCTCGGCACACGGAGAATCGCATCCATGATCCTTGATTCCTAGAAGGAATTCTGAGTTGTTGTGATGTTTGGTGGAACTTGAATCTCCAATGCGGCAGGATGATTATCTACCTGGAAGCGGGTTATAATCTTGCAGGCGGGGATTCCACGGCTCGTGTACATCATCCTGTGCGACAAATATACGTTGCGATACCGAGCGTCGCTCGCAGCAAAGCAGTATCGGCCGTGGCGTACTTCGGCGCAACCGGCAGTCGCCCGCGGTTCTGGCGCCAGCAGGCGATCATCAGCGCAACACCAGTTGGGATCGCGCAATGTCCAGTTTGTGCAGCGATATACATAAAAAGGGAGGCAATGGCGGGTGGCGCGCCATGTCCAGTTTATATCATAATGTTCCTGGAAGCCGTTGGCCCCCGAGCAGGGCCGCCACCTACGCGATGCGGATGGGAGGCCAATGGCAACCCACAGCACGCTGCTTTAGCTTACGTTCGTGCAACGAGACTTGAGCAAGATCGAGCATTTTTGAGGCGGGTTCTCCGTACTTTCCCATTCGAGTGCGGGGAACGCAACACATCTGCACTGGCCTAAGTTTTCGGACAAGTTGCACTGAGAAGAGCGCATCACGTGGGTACCCTAGACTATGGATCAAACCGCAACCCCGTTGCCTGCAGATACAGCTGCTTCGAAGCAGGGCCAAAACAGAGCGCTTTGGGGCGGCCGTTTTGCAACCGAAACAAATGAGCTTGTCGCCAGGATCTCAGAGTCGGTCTCTTATGATCACCGTCTTTACAAGCATGACATAGCGCAGTCGAAGGCCCACGTGCGCATGCTCGCCAAGCAGGGTCTCGTTACAGCCGAGGATGCCGCGCAGTGCACTTCTGGACTTGACCAACTTTGTTCGCAAATTGAAAATGGAACTTTCGGCGCGTTCGATATCAAACTCGAAGACATCCACATGAACCTAGAGAGTAGACTCACCAGGCTGGTCGGGGAGCCCGGTTCGAAGCTGCACACAGCGCGCTCTCGCAACGATCAGGTGGCTACCGATCTGCGGCTTTATCTACGTGATGAGATCCAACTGCTAATCTCTCTCGTCCGGTCACTCCAGCGGGTTCTTGTGACGCTTGCGGAAGAATATGCGCAAGTCATTATGCCGGGTTTTACGCATCTGCAGCACGCACAGCCGGTCGTACTGGGCCACTACTTCCTCGCCTACTGCGAAATGTTCGATCGTGATGCAGGTCGTCTAGAGGATACGCTCAATCGCCTCGATTTTTGTCCGCTGGGGAGCGGTGCGATCGCAACGACGACACTCCCCATCGATCGCTTCTTCGTGGCAGAGCAACTGGGATTTCGCCACGGCCCGTGCCGTAACAGCATGGACGCGGTGTCGGACCGGGACTTTGCACTCGAGCTACTCGCTGCAATCAGTATCTCGATGATGCATTTGTCGAGAATGAGTGAGGACCTGATTTTCTGGATGAGCCAGGAGGCTGGTTGGATCGAGCTTGGTGATGCTTTCTGCACGGGCAGCTCGCTGATGCCGCAGAAGAAGAACCCCGATGTTTGCGAACTGACCCGTGGAAAGACCGGACGCGTCTACGGCAATCTGCTTGCCTTGCTCGCCATGATGAAGGGTTTGCCACTCTGTTACAACCGCGACATGCAAGAAGATAAGGAGCGAATTTTTGATTCTCTCGATACGTACAAGGCTTTGCTCCAGATTTTCCGTGAGATGATCCTCACTTTGAAGCCGAACCAGGAGCGAATGTTTGCAGCGGCCAGCGATCCGTCGCTGATGGCCACCGACCTGGCTGAGTGGCTTGTTCGGAACGGCGTGCCATTCCGCGAAGCGCATCATCGTGTGGGTGCGCTCGTTGGCGAATGCACTCGCTCAGGCCGTCGTCTGAATGAGCTTACGCTGACGGAGATGCAGCGTGTCGTACCGGAAGCGACCGCAGACTGCCTGGAACTCTTCGATCCGTTGCGCAGTGTGCAAGCGCGTAATATTTTTGGCGGTACTGCGCCTGAGCAGGTCCGCTCACAGGTCGCTTTCTGGAAGAGACAGCCGTGGTTTTAAGCGGAAAGTACTGGCTATGCATATGGACATTCTTGTCGACCAGGTGGGGCTCGAGTGGGCACTAGCTGCGGGGCAGTCTCGCACTGCAGTTTAGCGCGCATGTCGGTTCAGAAGGGAACGTCTTTCGAGGAAGCCAGCGATCGTTTCGTGTGAAACTCTCGATGATAAGCACTACGATTCTCATGTGACGAGGCTGCTTGCGAATGCAGCCGCGTGTGCCTTCCCGAGACCAGTAGCACACAACGCTGACAGTGACATCAGAGGCAGGCGCACGTTTGCAGGTACTGCCCAAGATGCGACTACTCAGCTTTCCAAGGTCGAGGATAGCGGGTGTGATTCCGTGACGTCCAAAATAATTGCCTGCTTGGGAGAGTTTTGTTTGAGGCTGAAACGGTCATCATCGCAGCTGTGAGCACGCCACTGTCCGAGCGCCTCGAGCACCAGTGACATTCGCAGCAGCCAACATTGCTTCCTACGGAGCGTTATATGCAGATGCCCGGGGGATGGAACTGCAGTCCATCTGTGAAGCGCAAGGCATGGCCAATCTGCATGGACTTTGTGACTATCCGCCTGCGTTTACATGGATACGTTTAGATGTACCTGCCACGAGACGCACGTCTTCGCGTGCCAGCATCGTTGCGCTTGCTTCTGTTCTATGATCAGGGTGGATTTTGTGTCGAGAAAAAGTGCCAAGCGCTGCGAATCGAGCGTATCTATTCAGATACTGAGGAAGCACTCGGGGTCTTTCGTTTGTTTGGAGTCTGGACATTGCCGAACGGAATGCCATGAGCCTCGGATTTGACCGGGCGCGTAGCAACGTACAGGTCGTCAGGGCACTGCTCATTGCATGAAGCATTAGAGCCCTTAAGTAAAGTACCAAGAACATACGTACGACCTGGCAACGGATTCATGACTACGACGCGAATGGTGCAAAAGCTGTTGTCGGCGCACGGGGCCAACTGAAGGGCAGGGAACCAGCCGAAATATTTCAAAAAGCAGACGGATTCGGCATCTACCCGTAGCCAAAGCTGGAGGAAACGTGCTCTTTAGCTGAGGTGAAGCACCCTGCGATAGAGCGCAAGGCGTGCCTGGCTTCTTTGGCCAGACCCGGATCGTATTCACGAGGCGACTATGTCGTGGTCAGGGCGCCCCGGATCGACACGCTATGAACCCGTTGCATTGGGGAAACTTGTCCCGCCGTATCGAAACATGTTTCCGAGACTGATAGAGCATAGCCACTCGGGACCTGAGGAACGCGGCATGGTACCCACAGCGCCGAATTCATAGTTTGCCAGTGTGATCTCCGCCGAAATGTTCCCGTTGAGCAGGGCGTTTCCGCAAGCTATGCCAGCCTCCTCTGCGGTGACATTCTCAGGAAGGCGCTGAGCGAGCACCACCTCTGCAAGGAACAGTGCACCGGGCGGAAAGGGCTTTGCTGGTTTGCCCAAGTTTTGCGTAATGAAGAGATGGGTTGTATCCAGATAAGAGAGCCAGAAAGAAACACTCTCGTAGACCGCTTGACTCCAAATAATGGGCTCTCTGCGCTGAGCAGCGCGCACTTGGTTTATCCGGTCGAGACCGCTGCGCCCAGCGAGATGCAGCGCACTGGCATTCGCCTTGGTAATCGCTCCGGGCGGCTTATCCTCAACACCGGTACTCGATGCATTCGCTGCGGTGATGACTTGGTTGAGCAGCGACTCGGGGACGAGTTTGGGAATGGATTGGTCGCTACAAAGGTGTCCAATGCTGCCACGGACAAAGAACGCCCCCGAGCAACAACAGGTCGTTCCGGTGCCGTAGATGAACTTGATTGCGCAGGTCGTGACTGCATTCGGGCAGAGCTCCGCGCAAAGTGCTGCTTGTTGGGCGGTGCTTAGCACGCTCGGCGAGAGCGCGGAATAAGGAATACCCGTCGTTGGAGCCGGCGTTCCAGCTTCAAGCCGCATTGCTTGCAGCGGCGCTGCCGCAGTCGCCGCTAGCGCTCTCGAGTCTTGCACCAGCTCTGGTTGATTCACTGCTCTCTGTGGTATAAATTCTTCTTCTGCGTGTCCCAGAACAAGCATGCTTTGGGCCGCGAACCACAGCACGAACACACTGAAAAATAGGAGCACCCAGCGGTGAAGGCGGTTTCTCGCAGGAACTCGGCAGCGCGCCATCGAATAACATGGTGCACGTGAGCCTCGTTCGCGCTGCAGCATGTAAGAACTCATGAACCTCACTTTGCCTTGATAAGCTACTTCTGTGATTAGTGCTGTTTAGACTACAATCTTGGCGAAACCTGTTCGCTTTCCAAAGCTCCACTCGCAAAAAACCACCATGCACACCATATATCACGGCTCACCGGAAACAAACCGTTACCGCTCTCGGACAACGCGATGCCAAGCGCGCACAGCGCAGCGATGAAACGGTTTCCAAGAAAAGAGCCCTGCGTTCAGTTGAGCTCGGTTCGGTTCGGTTCGGTTCGGTTCGGTGCAGCTCACCCGCGCCGCATCCTCTCCGCAACGCAACGTACTGGCGATGCGCACCACCAGACCCGAGTAACGTTTCTCCTTCGGGACCGATCCCACCAGTTTCCGTTTCATCCAGTGGCCGCGCAGATGCTTCCAGCGCGCTTCTCGATGCCGGATCGCGCACCCAGCTACGAGCCGTATACCAGCAATCGTGATTCGACCTTCTCAATAGCGACATTCATGTATAGTACGGACATAAACAAACGCACCGATCGTGATTCGACCTTCTCAACAGCGACATTCATGTATAATACGGACATCAACAAACGCGCACGGCAAAATCGCGGAACGCGCTGGTGATGCGCGTTTGCGATCCTGCGACGCACGATGCCATCGCTGCCGCTGCCCGCTGGCAAAACGGACATCCGTTACGCGGATCGCGCGGTGCTGCCGCGCGCCGTGGCGCTGCGGGGCCCGCAGGCCGGTGCCATCCTCGAAGCTGCCACCGTTGCTCGTGCCAGGAACGCGCGTGCCTTCCATCTCTCCATATGAAAGGTGGTCTACCAGCGAAACGTCTCACCCAAGTCCTGGCATTGTTGCTGCCGGGAGCGCGTGTCTCTGTGCATACACTAACGTCTGAACAAGCAGAACATTTGCGACTGTTCTCTACGATATGGAGAGCCTTCCCCGCAGCGTTGTTCGTTTGCTATCGCCTCGGCGTGCCGTGTGCAGTGTTCTAGCTATGATGATGCTTCTGAGCCTCGTAACGGCATTTTCCATCGAAGATGTGCTCCACATACAGGAGCTATTCTCCATCCGTCGCCAGATGCAGCTGAAGGAGCAGCAGCTTGAGCTCCGTTTCGCTGAAATGGCTGCGTATCTAGTGGAGCTGGCGGAAGCTGCACAACGTGAAGCCGAAGCCGTGCTACCCCTGTCCTCGCTCTCGATGCGTCAGACAGCTGTGGATCAAACCGCCATCTGCGCGGCAGCGTGCGGTGACTCGAGCACCCAATGCCATGCTACGTATCTCTCAGAGAATATTGTCGGTGGCCCTGGTGTTTATTATTGCTGCACGGGAGACTTTCTAGTGGCTGGTGCAGTCGGTTGCATCTGCGACGACGGTCTCGACTGCAAACGCGTGTCCCAGGAGGCAGTCGCGAGCCCGTCAGTAACAAGCGTGACGACGCCAATCGCAACACCAACACCTTCGCCGACGCCAACGGCAGTTTCGATACAGTCGAGCGCTCCGGTGGTAACCGCTGCTCCTGCGACACCTGTTGTTATCGTTGTGGTGGAGACGCCGGTACCGCCGCCGCCGTTCGTTACACCAACGGCAGCACCAGCGCCGACGCCTACTGCTGTGTCCTCGGCGGTGCCGCCCGAGACCGCAGCGCCCCCGACATCAAGCCCGTCCAGCGCAGAGCCGTCACCGAGCTCGTCGATCCAAGCACTTGGCCTGCGAGCCCTCGAGTACACAAACCAGTTCAGGGCTGAGAACGGACTCGGACCTCTCGGCTACAACCAGGGCCTCTACGTCGAGGCGCTGGCCTGGTCCCAGTACATGGCTCGCACAGGCGTCTTCCGTGACCAGGACCTGAGCCATCCGATCGTACCTGTACCTGCAGGTATTGTGTTCAGCGGTGAAAACGTCGCGTTTTTCACGGAAGCGGAGCATGTGGCACACGAGTGTATCAACTTATTTATCAGTTCGCCACCGCATCGAGCGAACATGTTGGGAGACTACGAGCTCTGCTCGGTAGCTTTTGCCCAGAATAGCGCCGGTGCCTGGTACTGTACCCAGTGTTTCGGCAATATCTTCCGAACCGCCTGAACGATGGAAGCGATGATCAGCATCAGCTCTCTTGCCGAACATTCGAGTGCTGCTCATTAGCATCAAAATCATAGCCGATGTGGTAGTGGTACGCGTGATCCCGGTGTTGCCGCTGCGGCACACGAGTGTTCCAGGGCAAACAGCGCCAACAACTTTCGTACCTTGGGTACCGCATCGCGTCGATATGCGCTGTAGAGCGTTGCCTCGAATCTCACAGGCTCAGAAACGCGTGTTTACAGCCAGATCACACCGAAAGCGAAGTGTCGGTCTTGACAGATGGCTGAGGTATGCGTATGTGTGCAGCTGCTCGTTCGATAAAGTGGTTCCAGTATCACCGTTTCAAATATATTTCATCCAATTTCACTGCCCGTTTGACGCATTATGGAGCATTCCTGCGGTCCTCGGGCATCGATGCAATCAACTCGACACGAGCTCGGAGTAGGCGCACCTCCGCACCGGTGACGCACTGCCTCGAAGACGAAAAGAGACCCCGTCGCCAGCAGCGACTGCAACGCACCGGACTCCGACCTGCAGAAGCGGCTTCACAGTGACACAGCGAATCGTGCTCATTCCGTCCTGCAACGCAACTGCCCTGTGCAGTGAACGGTTGTGGTGGTTGTGCATTGATAGAACGAGAAGCTTTACCGGGTACTCTGCACTGCGCAAGCCACCGCGTCAACTTGTTCGACTTGAACGCGAATAGGTTTTTCCCGAGGCAGCACAGCGGCGGGGTCTCGTTTAAGGACCCAAGCCTGACGCTGGTCGCTCCGAAGAATGGTACATGTTTTTACCACTACGATCTTGTTTCAGCGCTTTGTGCGGTAACCTAAAGAACGTTTCAGAGGTTTTGCGAGCGCAGGCGCCGCCCAGTACTGGACGCGTTCTTCACCAGCGCCCTCTAAGCAGAGGCGAATCGGGAGGCACTTTACAGCAAGTTATAGACGCGAATGGACTTGGTGATGTCTGTTGGCGACATCTGCAGTGCTGGAGGAGCAGATCAAGCGTGGGAGCATTGGACAAAGTTCTGCGTGGGAACAGCGCTGGCAGCTCGCTTCCTCCAGCTAGAGGCGCAGCTGAAGCAGCACTCAAACTGCCTGCACGATTCGAAAGCTACGCATCGTCCCTAGTGCGACATACCAGAGTGTCGAGTCACTTCGCTGATGCGAAAATCCTTCAACACGGGTACGGTACCAGCTTTGGGACTGCGGTGGGCCGAGGCGCCTTCCAGCGCAGCGCATCCCGCACCCTGCGGTCGTTGCAGCAGCGCCTCGGGCGTCCACACGAGAAACCTCGTCGCCAGCGGGAGTCTCTTTTTACAGACGACTCGAAATGTTTGCGAATCGTATCCAGTCGAGCGCAAGGCTCTGTAGAGGTACGTGGCCCCCGGATACCGAGCCTGCGGCAAGTGCAGCTTCAGAGACGTGCCCAGTGCCAGTGGCGCTCACCCAGCCGCAGTACGGCTCTGTGCGCTCGATACATACGCCATCTAGGCATATCGGCAACGAAAGCTGGTCCAGTGGAACACATAGTAGATGCTGCGAAAACCCCCGCGACCAATACATGGTTGCGTCCACCCATCGTGACGGTTATGGGGCACGTCAACCACGGCAAGACAACGCTACTCGATGCGCTACGCGAGACGCAACTCGCTGGAGAGGAAGCCGGTGGAATCACCCAAAATATTCGCGCATTTCGAGTATTCTGGGAGCGCATCCTTGGACAGAGTGCTGACGTACCCTCGGTGCCTTGGATAACCTTTCTGGATACGCCAGGTCATGAGGCGTTCACCGAGATGCGAGCACGCGGGGCCTCTGTGACGGATATTGTCGTGCTGGTGATTGCTGCTGACGACGGCGTGATGCCGCAGACGCTGGAGGCTATTCACCACGCTCGTGCAGCTGCAGTACCGATCATCGTCGCGTTGAACAAGTGCGACAAGATCAAGGGCCGAGGCATGGCGATCTACAAGGCACTCGAGGAGCAGGCTGGTCTCTGTGTTGAAGCGCTTGGCGGTGATGTGCAGTGCGTAGAGATTTCAGCTCTGAAGCGACTACATCTCGATCGACTCGTGGAGGCGATTCTCCTGCAAGCTGCTGTTTTAGAGGCAGAACGGACGACAAGCATACAAGGTGCCGCGGAGGGCGTGTGCCTCGAGGCGCGCATGGATCGAGGCTATGGTCTCGTGCTAGACTGTCTATTCCGACACGGGAAATTGTGTTCCGGAGATATCCTGGCAACACCTGCCGCCTGGGGACGCGTACGGCTTCTCTTGGACGAGCACGGGCGAAAAATCCAAGAGGCATGGCCGACACAGCCGGTGACCGTCATCGGGGTGCGTCGCAACGAAGACGACTCAGAGATCCCCGTCGAGCCCGGCAGTATTGTTCGAACTGTTGATAGTGAAGAGGCTGCCAAAGCTTTCGTACGATCTGAGCGATCCACTGCGGCGCTGGAGACCCCAGCGAGCACCGCTGCACGCGGTAGCGAAGCCACGCGCTCGGGAACCGCACATACAACGGGTCTCGAGCTGATCATTCGTGGTACCTATCGAGGTACCGTAGAGGCGGTAGCGCAAGCGGTGCAGCGCATGAGCACCCCGAATTTCCCCATTCACATCATGCTTGCTTCAACTGGAGCGGTATGCAAGGCCGATATTCTCCTGGCGTCGTCTTCTCTGGATCGTCCGGCGCAAATCATTGCCTTCCAGACCAAGGTACCGAGGGCAATCGCGGAATTGGCGGCTAGGCATCATGTACCTGTCAAGTGCTTCACGGTGATCTACGAGATCCTCGACGACATCCAGCAGCAACAGCGACGGGCCCAGAGCGACGAGCCCCAGGCTCCGGTTGCCACTGGCAGAGCTCGAGTGCAGCAGGTCTTCACATACAACGCCGGCAAGCGGGTCGCTGACGCACTTATTATCGGCGGTTGCCGCGTGATCGATGGCGTTATCTACAGGCGTCATCCAGTGCGGATTCTTCGACAAGGACAATGTGTTCATGAGGCGCGTATCAGCTCTCTCAAGCATTATCGCGAAGATGTTGCCCAGGTGCGGAAAGGCCAGGAGTGCGGTATCGCCGTGGAGGGATTTGCATTCGCGGTGGACGATGAAATCATCGGGATAGCCGACAGCGGCTAAAAGTCCGGGCCTATGCCGGCAGCTTCGCATCCCAGATAATGATGGCGACTGCGCTCGAGATGATGATCCCGTATCGAACCGCTTGTGATCATGGAACTGGCGACTGATCGCTGAGGGTGGTATGGAGGATGGCACGGGAGCCTCGCTGCTGCCGCCATGCCTTGGGATGCTGCTTGGAAACGCAGTCACGGATCATGGTGGACGGTTTTCATGGACACCAGGGCATTTTGTTCGGTTGAATTCGATGCATGCCCACAGCGCAGCATCTACCGCTGTGGAGCCTGGAGCATCGCCTCTCAACATACACTCATACACACACACACACACAGTGAGAGTGGGAAAGACGGAAAGAGCGCGTACAGCAGTCGTCGTTTCATTGGCGAGAGCACGAGTCCTGCGGTCGAGCCCCGGTCCGCATAGACGCCAGCGAGCAATCACCGGACGATCGCACTTGTTGGTTGTGCTGCGAACGGCTACAAATCAGCATGATGGCATCGGGTCTCCGAGAACGCTCTTTCCTTTCGACATGTGCTTTTGCGAAGCGGCCGCGCACACTCGCTGCGTCCCCAAAGCGACCTGGCTCCCAGTTTCGAGTCGTTTTTCGGATGTAACAGGTGACACAAACCCGCTGCATGAAGAGCGTGTCCGGAAAAAAAGCGCTGCACCCACGCACGATCGAGTACCGACGCTCGCTGCCACATGAATCCGACAGTCGACGCTCATTCGAGACAAAGGAAACATGCAGATCCTGGTTCCTTGCTCGGTATGTTCCATCTGGAAAAACATTCTTGTTCAAGGGAGCCAAAATCCGCACGCGCTGGTTACTTTGGCAGCAGTTCTGAATCATGACGCTTTCTGCATGCAATCGGCAAAACTGCTCTATAGCAACGCCATACATTCGTTGAACTATGGTCTATCGAGACGCGATTCCACCAGAATAGGCATGCTAACAGGATGAACACATCAGGAACTCTTCGACGCGGCGGATATGTCCAGGGACGCGGTGCCTGTTCCGCTCGCAGGCCGCTGTGCGTAGCGTCGTAGGCGCGTGCCTCTGTATGCTGTGGAGGGTGCGCTGCTGTGCATCGACAGGCACGAGAATCCGTGTTACATTCACCGGCGAATATCACAGCCTGTCTACGCCGAATGCCCATAGCAAGCGCGAATCCGCTGGATCCTCCTTAGGTCTATCGTCCGTACACCACGCGAGAGACGCATCGCTGGACCGGAGCGCGTGCCACTGGAGTTGGCGCTCGGGGCGGCTCCACTGGTGCCACGCTCGCGTGTTCATGGGCCAGCGACGTCATCGGTTACGTCTGCCCAGTGTTGAGTACCCGCGATCATAAAACAAAAGACGGCAGTCGCGATGCTTTAGAGAGAGAGAGAGGCGCTCTGCTCGTTTCAGCAACTCAAAAGCAATACGGCATTGCGTTGCACCGGATGCAACCTGGAAACGCCCCCGAAAATGCATATTCCGTTGCTGCTCATCTTGGTCCGAAGGAGGCATAGACTGAAAGTCCAACAGTTGGCTTTCGCGACGTGCAAATCATCAGAACTGCTCAGCCGGATTGAACTGCTGTCATGATTGTGTTGTTTATAGGATCCGGAGCGCTGAGCTGTCAAGCGGCCCGGCAGCGACTCCATCGGTGGCGCTTCGCGAAAGCGTCCGTGAGGACTGCGTCCAACGCTGGTCGAAAAAATTGCGTTTCGAAATCCTGTCCGATGTACTCTTCGAACGGCACTGTTTTCACTCGAGTGCCGGTGAAACAAATCCGAGACGAAGGCCCGATCCAGCGTCCCTGGGTGGTCCAGTTCGCTTGGCCACCAAACTGTACAGCGTCCCAGAGACGACCCGAGGGCCACCACCGGGCGCTGCGATCCAAGCTGCAGGCATCGAGCTTCTCCAGATTATGATGGAGGACGAGAGGCTTCCCGTTGGGGTCATGCTGGACCATGGTGGTACCGTGGAAGAGGCCCTCGGAGGACCAGTGCCCAGCTGCCGCGGGTGGTACCTCTATACGATCAAACGGAGCATCCAGTGCCATCCAAGCGAATCGGAATGTATCCTTATCACCGTGCAAGTACTGGTAGGTGTAATCGGATCGCACGTTGAGCATCACAGAAAGCATCAAAGGTATCCAGGATTCATGAACATCGCTCTTATCAACGAGCAGGACACTGCTCTCCTGTTCTCGTCGTTCGCGCCATGTTCGCGGCACTACTCGGAAAATGGAAAACGCTGGATGATCGACGGGCATGATCCAGTAGTCCGGCCAGAACACGGCTGTCGGTATTCGACTCGACCTCGTTTCCGACACCGCTTCAGGAGCAAACAGCGAGAAGAGATAGGTAGGGTCGCGTAGCGGGTGGGCATCCGCATCCAGGTACAGCACATGAGCGAATCTGCTGAACGCGATCGCAAGCGGTTTGATAGCGAAGAGCGACTCCCAACCACCGAGGTCCCGTTGGCGAGGCACCACGGTGTCGAGATCACGAAAATATATGGGTGCCTCATTGGCGGTACCTTTGGTATCAGGGACTCGATTCATGCGTCGGAGCGCCGCCTCGAGGCCGCTGTCGAACGGCGACTCGCCACGGGCGCTCGAGTACCAGAACTCGACAGGCAGGCGACAGCCGAGCAGTCGCAGCAACCGCAAGGTGACAAGTGCTGGAATCGCATAGCGCTGCGGCCTTCCGATCGCCATCACAATACCTGTGCCTTCAAACTGGCCTGTTGGTGCAACAGAATCCACCTCGAGACTCTCTTCAAGCAACTCCACAAACCAGGACCACTCTTGGCGGAGGGTGTAGCGGCCTATAGGCTCGCGCGGCGACCGACCTAGAACATTGCCCAAGCGAACAGAGGAGGCCCACCAGTTTCCATACTCGTGGAACCAACGGTCTCGACTGCTTCCGCGCCTAGTTCGAGCGACAGCTAGGTTGGTGGCACGAGCGATCGCGTTCCAGGCACGATGCTCCCAACGCAGTGGTGCAGCTGTCTCCGACAGTGGACCCGCGATCCCAGCTGTTTGTTGCCAGTGCTTATGACAGCATATTTCATGGATGATGATATAAACAAGTACCAGAAGGGTCACAAGGTTGCGAAGCTTGTTTCTTTCCGAAACGAGCATATCCGTAGTTTTCTCCCGAGGAGACTGCGCGGAGCGTACCCAGTGCGCCAAACTGCCAAAACGCCGCGGCTGGTTGCCCGCAGTTGTCTCATGGCGAGATGGCTCGGCGTTGATGCAACCATATGTCAGACTAAAATGCAACGGGTGCTCCAGGACGAAAACAAAAAAGGATTCTTGGGACAGTTCCTGATGTAATCAGTACTGACCATTGTGGGCTTTTCATGCGACTGCTCTCGATCGCTCCCTCTTATCTCCGACCCTGAAATGGATCGGTCTTCTTTCTCCCGCCAGATATGTTTCAGGACGTCGAGGGGTGTTCATGGCAGCGTCCTAGGCCGCATGGCGTTGCTCCTGGCTGCTGTACAAACGTTTCACGCACAGGAAAACGTAACGATCTATGCTTCGCATGCCATTCGCATCTTCTTCGTATACAGTCTCAGTGTGTGACCTTCTTCGTCATGAAATTGGAGGCTATTCACGCATTCTAAGTATATTGGCCAGTATTCCGCTTCCAACGCGCTGTACTGGAGCAGGGTAACACCTCCTTCATCGCACGATGCGTACCGTAGACCGGTACAGAAGGCTTCCGCGAATGCACGCCTCCGGGTCCACACCAGGTACCTTGCCTCACGAGCATGTGCTCCTTATTTGCGATTCCCGCAGCGACGACGATGTCCGCTGCATAGACAACCGCTCGACGTCATCGTCGATGAGGGATCTATGGACCGCGCTCTTGTCCATGATGAGACAAGCAGCGGAACCAAAAAGCAGGCATGTACGCTGGCCGGGAAACTCGGGTGCGTCACTGCACCTGTCGTACTGAGCGGTGACGCACGCTCCACTGGAAGCGATCACTGCGATGCTTGACGTCCGAGTCCGAGATCCGTCTGCGTACAGACGGAAGCGACAGGGAGCCTCTAGATGCATATCCTGCGACAGGTATCATGTTGCACTCGAACGTTGTCTCATGTCTGGCTACAACGAGCAGCGTACTCGAATGTGGAACGGAATCGATCAATGGGCGTGACGAGTTCACAGCGGTTCCCGTATGAGCTTGTGGAGGAATCGTTGGAGGTCGACCTTGAGGATTCTCGCTTGACCATGCAGCGGTGCGGTTGCGCAGCACCGACGATCTGCCGTCAAACAGCATGATCGAAACGGTGAACAGTGCGTGGATTGAGCATGGAAAGCGGAGAGCAGGCACACGAGCGAAGACTCTCTCGTATGGACATGTTATTGATAGGGGCTATGGAGGGAGCTCATTTTGTAAAACGCCGCGATCCATCTGGATTCCAGCGACATAAGAAAGTCCGTCTGCCGAGGATCGCAGTCGTCATCCCGGGAAACCAACCGAGAATCCTGCAACTGCACACGAAATTCCGTAAGCTCTGATTACAAATTCTGAATAGCACAACGATACATCGAATGATACTTTGGAAGAGAACGCTCAAGGCATGAACAAAGCGTGTAGCTCAGTATCACATGTTCATCTGACACTGTCCTCAGCGCTAGCGTTCAGTACGTCGATAGCGCTGCCGCCGCTCACGCGCTCGTCTCCAGGCCTGGGCCGCTTGGCGCGCCTGCACGCTCTCTTCTTCCAATCGAAGAGCACGTGCTTCCCAGTACCGTTCAAAATACAGTGCACGTCGTTGGTAACAGTGAGCTTGCCAGTCGTCCCATAGAGACCGCCATCGCTCGACTATATCATGCGCGCAAGCGTTCAAGTACCTGATGCTTGGTTGTGATGTTCGGGCGGGTCTCGGCTCCCGCACGAAGATCACAAGGCCCGTGAGGCTTCCTTCCAGATGACATTCCCGGACCTGATGCCACCGCGGAACACGAGCTTGCAGCAGACGCCAGCGGGCTTGTGCGGCTGCTGACCAAACTTCAACGGTTTGCGGAATGCATTTCAGCAAATGCTGGACAACGCCATGAACACATACCAGGTTGGAAAGGCGGCTTTGCAGTGACACGGAGCTGGTTGCGTAAAGGACCTTTGCTTTCTGGAGAAGAAGGCGGCCTACATTCAGCGAGAAGGAAAGTCGCTTGGTCAGTGGGTCCGGAGCGTCGACTGCACCGTCGACGTGCACCGGAAACCAAGTTAGGTGGGCGCGGGAACGTGTTTTTCGTCGTATCGGTTGCTTTTGCGGGCTCGGAAAAACGTCCCCAAGCCACTGTAACCCATCATTATCATCCGTACAGCAACTTATGGAACCAAACACCGGCCAAGACGTTTCCGCGAGAGCATCCCAGGGTGGTGCGCTCGGCGTAACGTCTCTCGGTGACGCCGCAGTTCCGCCAATACCGAGTGACGTGCCTTCACGAGGAAGCAAGTCTGCATCTGAATCTATGGAAAAAGGAAGCGTAAAATAGGGGTCAGATGCATTCTCAACTACACGCTGCTGGATGAGGTTTGCGAGGGTATTCGACATGGTGCCGAGTTTGAAGAAGAAACGGGTACAAAGTTTGCAGCGCCAAGCATAGCGCCTGGAAAAATGCCTCGCATTGCCGCCGCCGCCGCTGCCGAGCGCTTCAGCCCGCGCGCTGTCTCATGCAGCGGTATCGAAGCGGCATCATCAGCATCATCGAAAATATCGAATTCATTATCGTGCAGGGAACATAATTCCCGTGCTTGTGCAGAATACGGTTGTGATTTGGGGATGTACGCTGGACAACGCCAGTTAAAGGATATTGTTTTACGCAACAGAGCAATTCCGTGACGAGGAAAATCCCCGATTTCGTGCTCGATAGTGGCGATCCGCATGTCTTGTCCTACTTCCAAGTTCACGGACGTATCCGCTTCCTCCAGGATACGTGCCGTACGGTACGTTTCAGAACTACCTGTACGTTCCATGAGACATACTTTATCCTGGCGATAGTCGTCACGTCGAACGTTGAACTGTGCCTCGAGTCTGCTGCGAACGTGCTCCATAACCTTGATCGTGCCAGCGTTGATGCAGCACCGGGTAACAGCGACTTTGCCATATACCATGCCACGGACGGTGTCGACAATTACAGCCGGGTACCGCATCGCTTTGCATCGAGTTCCTGTGGTGAACTGGGAATCGTTGTGTGACGATTGCTGTCGAGTCGCGAATGCGGGCATCGCCTCGCTGCAGCGCTGCAAGGCGAACGCGAATTTGCCGATACCTGGGGTGCGCTCGACGGTCGCACTGGTTGCTCGCAACGTTTCTAAACCATAAACGGATACAGAGGAGGGTATTGAAGCAGCGTACTTGAGCGATTCCAGTGAAGAACGCTGCGCTGAGTGCAGTGCTACGTAGAAGCGTCTTTACAAGCGGTGTAGTTGACGGTCTTTGTTCTAGCATCGTTCGCATACTGGCGGGCGTCTGGCGCTACGCACCCTCCGTGCAGCTCAAAGGACCTCACCGGAGCAAGGCGCTATCAGCAGTCGGTGGCGCACTGCGTCTGCCTGTGAATGTCCTTTGCGTGTTTCGTGCCTTTATGGGACTTGTGGGACTTGTGGGGCTCCAAGGGACACCGGCTACGAAAGGACGACGTGTTCGGTCTCTGTTTGGTAGGTATCGGAATCATCAGTGTGATAGGTGTGACGGCTCCCGTTCCAGCATCAGTGCCGCGCTCTGCAGCGTTCGCTTTGCCCGCTAACGCAGTTACTTTGGAAAACCGAGAGAGACCGGCGTCGGCTTCAGTCATTCATGGCTATCCACGCATAGTGGACGGCGACACCCTGGCGTTTGGTACAACGCGAGTGCGGCTCTTCGGTATGGATGCTTTTGAACAGCGCCAGCGCTGCCGACGGCCTATCCACAACACGGCTCCAGACGCTGCCCCGCTGAAGTTCGATACCTACCGCTGTGGCCTGCAGGCGACGGAGCATCTTCGTGCGCTCATTGGCGCCCGCCCCGTCACCTGTGTCCCACGAGGACGCGATCCTTTCCAGCGCATTGTCGCTATCTGTTCAGTCGAAGAGGCGAGCGGCGAGACCCTGGACCTCGGTCGTGCGATGGTGCGAGACGGTTGGGCTGTAGCGTTCCGAAAATTTAGTACCATGTACGTCCCGGACGAAGAGGAGGCTCGCAGAGAGCATCACGGGGTCTGGGCTGCTTCTCAAGAAACGAATGACGAGACGCTGTTATTTGAGTGGCCATGGCAATGGCGTTACGAGGAACGTCGTGACACGCAGCGGCGTCACTAGTGAATTTTCAAAAATCAATTGTATGCTGCTTCATCCCGACGTAAACTTGTACGCAGACCGGACTTGTCGCCAATTGCGATGCTGCTGCGCAAAACGAGGCGCTTTTCGTACGCTACGGACACACACGCACACACGCTCACCTAGCAGGTGCCAGACGCTGTGCAGTGAGTCGCCTCGGCGTCTTGGACAAGCGCCAAGGATGCTGTGTATTCAAGTGGGACCAGCGTGATCCGAACGACGTGCAAGCACACATGCACAAGAACGATAGGATGGTAGCAGGGTAGCTGCGGGCCATTGCCAGAGCATCAGTGTCCCGCGAGACATGAATGGTATAGCCTCGGGCGCTCGCCAAAGCTTGCGTTAACCGAGGTTCCAGGTGCAGTGCTAGGGTGTTGAGCGAACCAGATTGATCAGCAAGCGGGTGTAGAGCATTGTTCTTGACACCATTCACTGTTGTAATTCATATGGACAGGGATCAGGACTGCTGCGAATAGTACACGCCAGACGGTAGCAATCGACGGCTGTCAAAGACTCGAATGCAGCATCGGCGGCGGCGGCGGCGGCGACAGACCTCCAGGTGACACTGCGATGTCGTTCAAGTATCGGGGTGTCCCAGACAGGGACGCGCCTCTGCTTTGGCTCATTTACGAACGAGTTACTCCACAACGGCACACGGGGCGATAGCCACGTCGACCGTCAACAGAGAACACAGGCCGCTTCGGGGAGGCAAGGCACCTCTATGTCGTTCGTAGAGATGCCTTGTGAATACGGCGGCAGCGGATTCGACGGGAAACGCGCCCCGTGCATCGCATGGGCGCCATTCTGATAAAGCGACTTGAATTGCATCTATCTATCTATCTATCCATCATCTTCATGAATCGGATTCGTATGCATCCATCCGTTCATGTGTGAGTGCTAGCGTGGAGTGTCTGTTCGGATCAGGCAACACGCTGGATGCGAAGCGGATCGGGAATACTGCACCCGGCGTCCAGAAAGCGCGAGGTGAATCGATGGAAAGCCCATATCGTTGATGCTCACTTGCCGATACAGAAGCGCGAAAAGATATGCTCAAGAGTATCCTCGGCATCGAAGCGCCGATCGCCCTCTCCTGATATCTCCGCCAAGTGCTGTAGACTCGAACGAAGATGCTCTACCGCAAGCTCTGGCACGATGAGATGCTGCAAAGCACCGTCAAGCAGATCATGGACAACTCTTAGGAGTGCATGCTGACGTTGCGTCTGAATGAGACAGCGACGTTGATCTGTATCCTTTGCACATTCGAATCTTGCGCGTAACCGCTCGCCAAGCCAGTTCAGAAAAGCATCGACCCCTTCGCCTGTTCGGGAGGATACGAAAAACAGATCAGACTCTCGGTAACAGCGTGAAAAGCGATTCCTCAACGCCTCGCGCTGTTGATGATCAGGGACTAGGTCTGCTTTGTGGAGCACCACAGCACTGGGCAACCATGCCGCAGTTGGGTCATGCTCCAATGAACATTCTTCCTCTGTGCTTGCGTCTACCACGAGCACTCGCAGCGGCGTCTGTTCAATGACTTTTCGGGCTCGACGAATGCCCTCGGCTTCAATCGCACTGGCGGTTTGCGGCGTCTCACGCAGCCCCGCTGTGTCCATGATGGTTGCGGCAAGCCCGTCGATGTATGCTCTCTGCTCAACGACATCTCGAGTTGTTCCTGGAGTCTCGTGCACAATAGAGGCCTCCCGTTGCCCTATCAAGTTAAATAGACTGCTCTTGCCCGCATTCACTCGCCCGTACAGCACGATGCGTGGCGTCAGGCTCAGTTCCGGTCGTTGACCTTCGGGACTCGCGAGACGAATCTGCATGCGCATCTCTGCCTGCACAGCCCGTATACGCTGCGCTGCTTGCTCCAGTTGTGCGTCTATTTCGTGTGCGAGGTGCTCCTCTCCGAATTCAAGCACCGCCTCCATGATCGCCATCGCTGCGTGCAGGTGCGCTCGCCAAGAATGATGCTGGCTGCGAAGCGCTCCTTGCAAGTTATTCACCGCCAGGGCAAGCCCATCGAGAGAATCCGCCTGGATGATATGAGCTAGCGCCTCCACCTGAGATCGGTCCATTTTGCCATTCGTAAGCGCTCTTTTGGTGAAAGCGCCCGCTGTAGCAGGGACGAGGCCTGGGTATCCCGCCAGTGCAACAAGCGCTGCACGAATGACCGCTGGTGCTCCGTGCACCTGCAACTCCGCCATATCCTCTCCGGTGTATGATGCTGGTGCCGGAAACCAGACGACCATACCGCGGTCGAAAGCGTAGTTGCGCTGCGGATCATAGAGCGTCCGCGGAACGAGCTGCCGTGGTTGCGGAAGTTTTTGCGCAGGCACATGGAGCACCGCCTGCAGTACTTGTCGGGTCTCGGGGCCGCTGATCCGGAATACTGCTATAGCGCCTGTTCCTGGTGCAGTCGCCAGGGCGTAAATGGTTGGCCGCGTGCCCGCGGCCCCAGCGGCTTTCTGTGCAGCGCTACAGAGGTATCGCGTGACGACGCTTGCACAGTAGCTCAGTGACCCGAGTGACACCGTTTCTACCCGGTTTGCGTGCTGCGTCACCTTTTGGTAGGGACGCAGTTGCTTACTTCGAAGAGATCTGGCGAGACTTTGGACGGAAGCAGCCAGAGATCGGGTGCGCTGCATCAGATCGCTACAGAGCTTGCTCGTTAGCGAAGTGTATCGTCCCCGAGATCAGTCTGCGACGGAGACCAGGTAAACCCTTGAACTAGGAATACTCGCTCTTGTTGCTCAGTCCACGTGAACGTTTCTTCCTGTAGACTTGAATCAGCAGCAGAACTGACATAATCACGTTGGTTTCATCATAGCGAACGAGTATTCCACAAAAGAGCGACAAAAAGCCTTTTGCACGTAACCGTCATCGAGCGCAGCGGCCGACACCCCCCGTAAGATGACAGTCTTTCACGTCTATGGTATCCACCTCTGGCATAGAGTCATCAAATGCTTTTTCGTGGTTTATAATAGATGCGTTCCAGGTTCATTTATTTGATGAAATAAAAGTATGAGGGAATGGGATGGACGCGGAAGTCGAGTATCCTGGAAAGCCGGTGCCGCCTGCTGTCGCAAAAGGATACGAAAAATCCTGTTCTCGCCGACGTTCCAGCACGTAGAGCAAGTCATGAAGAAGAAGAAGGGGAAGTGGACGAGAGGAGGTGCTTGCTCGACTGGACGATGATGAGACTGTAGTGGTGCGGAGGGTACAAGTTCTGGGAATCTTTGCAATAGAGCGTACAACCAGAAAAATGCATGCAAGAATTTCGTGAACCGAGGCTCCAGCGCTGCTATCAATATCAGACGATTTGCTGCGCAAAGCACGAGACCCGAGGTACCGAGACGACCAAACACTCTGGGAACGACGCTAAGCCTGGATGCGAGCACAAGGGGAAACTGAAAAAGATAGCACACAATATCCCTCGGCAAAAAGGCTAGGAGGCGTCTGCGAGTCGATGCTAATATACCCAATGGTTGCCAAACATTTATCGTTTCGCTGGTCATCGATGGAAAGGCACATCGGACTTCACGCTTTGTTCATGCCCTGAGCGTTCTCTTCCAAAGTATCATTCGATGTATCGTTGTGCTATTCAGAATTTGTAATCAGAGCTTACGGAATTTCGTGTGCAGTTGCAGGATTCTCGGTTGGTTTCCCGGGATGACGACTGCGATCCTCGGCAGACGGACTTTCTTATGTCGCTGGAATCCAGATGGATCGCGGCGTTTTACAACATGAGCTCCCTCCATAGCCCCTATCAATAACATGTCCATACGAGAGCGTCTTCGCTCGTGTGCCTGCTCTCCGCTTTCCATGCTCAATCCACGCACTGTTCACCGTTTCGATCATGCTGTTTGACGGCAGATCGTCGGTGCTGCGCAACCGCACCGCTGCATGGTCAAGCGAGAATCCTCAAGGTCGACCTCCAACGATTCCTCCACAAGCTCATACGGGAACCGCTGTGAACTCGTCACGCCCATTGATCGATTCCGTTCCACATTCGAGTACGCTGCTCGTTGTAGCCAGACATGAGACGGCGTTCGAGTGCAACATGATACCTGTCGCAGGATATGCATCTAGAGGCTCCCTGTCGCTTCCGTCTGTACGCAGAAGGATCTCGGACGCGGACGTCAAGCATCGCAGTGATCGCTTCCAGTGGAGCGTGCGTCACCGCTCAGTACGACAGGTGCAGTGACGCACCCGAGTTTCCCGGCCAGCGTACATGCCTGCTTTTTGGTTCCGCTCCTTGTCTCATCATGGACAAGAGCGCGGTCCATAGATCCCTCACCGACGATGACGTCGAGCGGTTGTCTATGCAGCGGACATCGTCGTCGCTGCGGGAATCGCAAATAAGGAGCACATGCTCGTGAGGCAAGGTACCTGGTGTGGACCCGGAGGCGTGCATTCGCGGAAGCCTTCTGTACCGGTCAACGGTACGCATCGTGCGATGAAGGAGGTGTTACCCTGCTCCAGTACAGCGCGATGGAAGCGGAATACTGGCCAAAATACTTAGAATGCGTGAATAGCCTCCAATTTCATGACGAAGAAGGTCACACACTGAGACTGTATACGAAGAAGATGCGAATGGCATGCGAAGCATAGATCGTTACGTTTTCCTGCGCGTGAAACGTTTGTTCAGCAGCCAGGAGCAACGCCATGCGGCCTAGGACGCTGCCATGAACACCCCTCGACGTCCTGAAACATATCTGGCGGGAGAAAGAAGACCGATCCATTTCAGGCTCGGAGATAAGAGGGAGCGATCGAGAGCAGTCGCATGAAAAGCCCACAATGCTCAGTACTGATTACATCAGGAACTGTCCCAAGAATCCTTTTTTGTTTTCGTCCTGGAGCACCCTTTGCATTTCTTTCTAGAATATGCGTAACGACGACGACGACTGGAATACGAGGTCGCACCCGCACGAATATCGGCATGTAACCTTCCGATCGCGTCTAACGAAGATCAGGTGAATCCCCGCACGCAATCAGCAGCAACAGCACCAGCGTCTTCGTATCCAGTGGCGTGTTCGGCGAGCTTGTTCAACGGCGTGCGAGGAAGCAGCCCCACAGCGTCCAGGTTCGTGCGCTCCCGGGCACGCAGCGCCCCATATTCGTACCGAACGCAGGCACCGCCGGTCAAAACTGCAGCACATCGGGACACCGATAGAGCCGCATCCTGCAGACTGGCATAATGCACCCACAAAGAAAGCAGCGGGTCTCGTGAAACCCCCATCAAGCGTTACCTGAAAGCCAGATTCTTGAAATGATTCCCATCACGTGGTGCTGCGGAAAGGTTTTACGCCCCGGCGGCGCTACTCACGCAGCCCTAGTGCACAGAAACTCCCGCCCGAGAAGCTTGTCCGCCGCCACCGAAACACCATATGCAGCAGTCGCTCGTGTGCGGGTATGGGATTGAGGACTCGGCAGCTGCTGAAGGCTGATTCGCTTCAGCGGCCGAATGAAGCATCGCTCGACTGCAACGTCTGTGCTTTGAACGTGACTTGCTTGCTGCGCACTCGATACGTGAAACACCAAAATGTTCTACGACCGTGTCGGGTAAATGAATAGCCACCCGCAGACGCCTCCCAGTGCTTTTCTCCTTGAGCACCTCGAGTCTGAGACACTGCTCCACAGAATTCGATCGCGTCAGCACCGCAGGTCACGTCCTCGGTACCGCACATCTCCTGATATTGATGGGGACGTTCAAGTCTCGGTTCACGAACTCCATGTATGATCTGCAGCTGGTGGATCTTGCCGATGCGAGCATTCATCGAAATCGTGCCCTCCGTACCACCGCGGTCTCGTTGCCATTCCGTCGGACAAACACCTCTTCTCGCTTACTCCTTCCTGTTCTTCTTCTTCTCCTTCGCTCGATGGTCCGTGAGAAGAGGATTTCTTTTGGGTATCGTTTGATAGGCGACGATCGTGGTCGTCCGGGATCTTCGACCTCCATGTGCATACCTTTCCATGGGACTTTTTATTCTTCAAAATGAACGCATTTCAAACGCATCTGCTGTAAACCGCGAAGAGGCATTTGATGACACCCATCTGGAGGTGCATTGCAATTGAGATAAACGACGATCATGCGTCTTTGGCGTCCTCGCTGACCTTTTCGCGAAATTGTCGCAGAGCACGCCTCGGAGACGCGTTCGCCTCGACTCGGCGATAAGCGACTGCGCTCTCGGTTGACAGCTTGAACTTTGGTTGTGCAAGGGAAGCGCCAGCAACTGGGACAACATCGACGTTTTTGAAGCTCGCACGATGCTCGTCGTTCGCGGAAGAACGATCGTTTCCGGTTGGTGCAGGCTCGGGTTGCATGGTGCGCGCTGAGCTTTCGACTTGTTCGCTGCCTGCATTGGTCCGGTTCCGGAAGCGATGCTTCTGTTGACGTTGTCGCGGGTGCAGCTTTCGTTGCGAGTGTCGACGAGAAGCCGAATGCTCGTGTTTCGTTTCTTGGCCCGTAGCGGCGGTTGCTTTCGCATTGGCGGCTCCTTGCTCTTTCGACGACAACGACGCTGATGCTGACGCTGATGATGATAATGGTGGCGTCGTCGTTGATACCCTCGCGTCAGATGAGCCTGCCTCACGAGTCCGCTGGTCTTTGGCAGGCGTTTTCGGATCCTCAGCGGGATCAGCTGGCGTGACAAGCGCCTTGGGAGCGCCCTCCGCCGCTGGAGACGTTCGAGTTGGCGCTTCAGGCACCGCTTCTTGCTTCTGCTGCTCCCGCTGCACTGGCGATGGTGTGCGTGTTCCACTGACCTCGAACGGCAACATCTTGACTGCGGTGTCCAAGGCTGTAGCCGTCTTCGGCTCCGTTGTCGCTGCAGAAGCAGCACCCGTAACGGAAGCGGTACTCCGCGAACGCCCTTCGCGCATGCTTCGTGGACGCGGTCGGCTTGTCCATCGTTCGCGACGTTTCCCATCGGCACCAGCGTTGCGGTCGCAATACTTGCCGCGCTTCGTCGTCGCTGGTGCCAGGGCGTCTTCGCCGTTCCGATCGGCCGTTCCGGTACCCGCTGTTGGTTCTAGTGCGTTTGCTGCCGACTTGTTCGCGGTTGCGGGCCGAGATGGCTTCACAGCCTTGAGTCTATTCACGCCTGTGGTTACCTTTCGCGTTTGCACACCGGCTCTTGCATCGGATGCAGCAGCCCCGCTCTGCTGTTCTGAAAGAGCTGGCGCAGGTTCCGAACGTTGCGCGCTCTCATCGTCCGCAGCTTTCAGATTCTCCCCCGGCGACGATTGCGTTGCAGTAGTAGTAGTAGGAGCAGCAGTACCACGCCTGGATTCGCAGCGCACATCCTGCACAGAGCGCACATTGCTGCTGTTGCTACTCGTTCGCAGCCCAGGAGACCGCCGCCTCGTTTGCAGCTCCGTGCTGGCGCTCGTGTTTGAATCTGCGGTCCGCTGTTGCTGTCCAGAACGTGCCATCGGAGTCGTTGCTTCCTGCTCCAGACGTGATGCTGATGCTGATGCTGATGCTGCTGAAGCTTCCGAGTGCGAGGGCGCTTCGCGATCCTCGGACACGAAGCGCTGTGGCTTGGCAAGCGTTCCATCGGTGCCAGAAGCGCCCACACCCATCCCAGTCCGGTGACGCCCCCTGTTGGCCCGAAATACTTCCGTGCTGGCCGCAATCGTCGGGCGCTGCCGCGTTCGTCCAGGCGCACTGCTGGTTCCAGCGTGTCGCCCTGCGGTGACGCCCTTGCCGCCACGATGCTGGCGCCGCTCGCCGAGCGCCGACGAAATCGCCGCCGCTGCGAGATCCTCATCGTCGTCCTCTGGGGGCGCACGCTGCCTCACTGTCCTTGTGGGTACAGCCGCCTCGCCACCAGAACTGAGATGGTGCATGTCGATCGTATCGCCGGCAGACGCTGTGCCCCAGTCAGCAGGCTGCATATAAGCTGGTAAAGGATATAGATCCGACCGCGTCGCCTCGCCGTACGGAGCTGAAAAGAACGTCGGGCTCATCTGTGGTACTGGGAATGCAGATGTGCCAAAGCCACCGTACGATATAAACGGCACGAATTCGGGCGCATCCGTGCGTAAATCGGAATGGAAGGGGATCTCTTTCGTTAGGGTCTTGTCGGCATCGGCACTGAGCGATAGCTGTGAAACCGCAGTGGTTGCTACAGCTACATCAGATGATACTCTCAGATGGTGCTGCGCAGGATCCGCCGCGGTTGCGTCCGGTTCAGATAACGTGCGCTCACTCAGCGTTCCGCGTTGCGTTCCCGGACTTGAACGGCTCGTATCCCGCTTGGGGGCCTCCAATTCTCGCTCGTCTTGGAGCGCGCCGGGGCGCCGTGCTGACACCAGCGACGCTTTCGATTCCACTGGGACTCTCTGGGATGAAACGCTCGATCCGTAAAGCTCCGCCAAGCCGTATGCGGTCGAAGCAGGGCTTGCAACCACCGGCCCTGCAGCAGCAAATGCTCGCGAGATATCCTCGAACGACGGTTTCGGGTAGCTCGGCAGCTGCCACTTGTCCAGTTCGTCGGCGGACTTTGGTGCAACACCGGTCGCACTTGCCGCTGGTGTCAGAGCGGGACTTGACGCTGCCCAGGGCGATCTCACCGTCGGTTCTTCCTCGTCCGCCATGGTATCGGGCATGGTGAACCACGTCGGTGGCGGGCTCGAAGGCAGCGAAGCGTCCTCCAGCGATAGAGGCTGCACGTGCTCCGACAGGGCTGCTTCTGAAGGAGCCCCTTCGCGATCGTTCCGCTTGCCAGGCTTCGAGGCAGGGCCTGCACGCCCCCATGGGGCGCTCGTTCGAGACCGGCTCCCGCGCACCGATGATTCGATCTTTGGACCCTCTGGCTCAGTCGCCGTCTTGTCTCGGCTCGTCGACCCTGAAGCAGAAGCTGAGTCACTGCGTTCTCTTGGTTCATCACTCTTGCTGAGTTGCCCGCGAGGTGCGCCCTGGCGGCGTTGCCGTCTGCTCTGATCCAAATTCGTACTGGATGCGCCAGATGCCGTGGCTCTGCTACGATCCAGCGAGGACCGATCACATGCGGGGACAGCAGAAGCGGTGCCTCTCACACCTGCTGAGGCAGTGGCACGTCCGCGTGTGTGCTGCTCTTCTTGGGACCAGGTTTCCGTGAGCGGCGCGCGTCGTACTCTTTGCTGTGTATTGCGCGCTGCCGAGCGTGATCCCGCTTCGGTAGCATGCTCCGTTCGGGTTATTCGCGTATCACCCGCAGACGCATCATCTCGTCGCACCTGCTCGAGCGGATATGGTTTCTCCGACGCTGATGCGGAGGAGGCAGGCCCTCCACTCTGGGCGGAAGCGATTGCTCGGTCAATTCGAGCGGCTGGCAGCTTTCGATCTTTGCCAAGGTCAGCGGCTTTGACTGAATCTGTTCTAGCAGCTTGATGCTCTGGAGTGGTCCGCTCCTTCACAGTCGCCTTTTCTGCCTTCTTCGCTGCAATTCGTTCCTCGAGCTGGCGAAGTTTGAGTGCTGCCCTTTCCTTGCGTTCCCTCTCCATACGCTCTTCTTCTTCTCTACGTTGCCGAGCACGTTCGGCGGCTTTCTGTTTCGCAAGCTCGCGCTGCTCTTCAAGGAGGTGCAATTCTCTCGAGATTTCCTCCAAATCGACTTGCATCTTTTCTTTGGACAGACTCGGTTGAATATTTGGACGCCTTGTACCCACTGCGATCGGTTGCGACTGCTGCTGCTGGTGCTGCTGTTGGTACTCGTCCGACTCAACGAACGCAGCACCCTGACGTCCGTCCGCGTTCTCCACATTCGCTGTTGTTGCTGTTCCCGTCGCAACCTCAGATGCAATGTCATTTTTCGATGCCTCATTGTCGTCCGATGGCACCGCCTTTCCTTCGTCATTGTCCGAATCAGTCCAGTCGAATCCACCGATCGCACGTGTTGAAATGGTTGCACTATCGGTCGTGGGGGACTGCGCTTCTCTCAGAGAGTCCTTCTGTGCCGGACGCGTCAGCGGTTTCATTCCAGGTACAGCGAGACGTTGGTCCAATGGGACACTAAAGTTCATTTCCTCATCTGGATCCTCACTCCAGTCCGTGAGCTGTAGGGGCGATGGAATCGCCTTTGGAACGTGCCCCGATTCGGTGTGATTTCGTGACACAGTACCCAGCGGATGCTGCCCTCGCCGTGCTGAATCCTGTGCAGCAGCGACAGGTCGCAGCTGCGCAGCACTCTCATCAGGTTTCCGCTGTTGCATTGCAGACGGCTTCGATTGCGTAGGGTTCTCCCGCACAAGCGCAGGGAAATCACTAGTCGGTGTGGCAGATCGCGCCGACGCGCCTTGCGTAGCTCTCGAGAATATCCTTCCGGTAGCATTTCTTGCCGGGTCCGGGACAGAGCGTTGTCTGCTCCATGCGGCCTGTTGAGCGCTGCGAACAACAGGCCCCGTGGAAGGGATCGCTGTGCGGTCACCAGTGTCATTCCGAGATGCTTTGAGCATAGCGGCTGCAGCTACAGCCGTGGTCGCTTTGGGGGTGTCAGCGCTCTCCGAGCGAACATCGGGTTTGGCATTCTGTTCAGCGGATGACGATGGCTGCTGGACAACAACACGACCGCCGCGTCCCAGGGTGTGCATTCGTGCCGCCGTGGTCGTGCCAGCGCCTACGACGCCACGAGCGTTGGGAACCCCGGGACCGCGAGCCGGCCAACTCTGGCGTTCCCCGAGCGCCCCTACTCGAGAGGCGGTGCCCGAGTGTTCTTCCGGACGGCCAGCTCCCGCGGGTGCCGTTGACGGAGTCTCAGTGCTGGTCCCCGTGGTCAGCGCGCCTAAACCGCGAGAGGCTGCTGCTGTTTCGAGCGCTTCGAAAGGCGCAGGCGGTTTCTCGACACGGATAGCTTCCTCAAACACAGACGCCGAACTATTATTACCTGGGCATCCGTTTCCGTCATCTCCACTAACGACCTCCGCAGGGGAACGGCCCTCTGTGTGTGCGCGTTGCGTTGAGGTTTCCGGAGTCATCCCTGGTGATGCAGAACCCAGCCTGCACACGCAACACCGTGAAACGAGAGGTTTGCGGGGCACTATCGTCCTATAATAAACCCAGAAACAAAAACGAGTCCCCCTCTGTGTAGTCTTTCCGAGATAGATAAAGTACTGCGGTTCGCGAGCAACTCCCTTTATACCAAAAACTGCGCATCGTCCCGATCCGTCCAACACGGTCCGAGCACGTGACCAGGGACTTGCAGCAGAACTAGTACACCCAAAACGATACGAACAACTGGGAGGACTTGTTCACGGATACAACCTGGCCCGCTGTGCAGAAACACGAGTTTAAGCTGGATAACAATGAGAAGAGCCCTAAAAAACAATGCTTTAGGAGTGTGTGTGTGTGGATGTGTGAGCACGCACGCACGCACGCACGCACGCATGCGGCGGATGCGTGCTTCTGTGCATGCGTGCGTGCGTTTGTGTGCGTGCGTTCCTGCGCGGCAATGTACGCCAGATGCGCCGACGCTGCGCACCAGGTCGATACTGCCCAGGCAACGCAGCACGTAACTTGGAAACTGCATGCAGCAGCGTCGACACATTTGAAGCGCACTCCGTCGTATAGAATCCCCAGCACCAGCTGCTCCGAAGCGATGAATAGTGTGACGTCGAAAGACTTTGATACCAAGCATTAGATTTCGTAACATGACGTGCGGTGGCGCTCAACTGGGACCAGCTTCTGCGTTCTCTGCAGCACTTGAAGGCATTACATCTGAGTAGCCGCGAAACATGGACAGGTTGCGGTTCGGCGGGAATCCCGCGGGATGATTAAGTGAGCGTTCATGCCCCAGGAGAACTAGACGAAAACTCAAGATGCATTCAACTACGACGGTGAAACAAGACCTGGCGGTCTCGTCTTTTACGAAGATACTGGACCCGTGTGGAGCAGCGCACGTACGCAGACGACAAAAACGGCCCCCAAGTCGAGAACCAGAGTTTTCAGGCGGATACGGGTAGAGCGCGAGAATCCCTTTCGTGAGTTGTGTACGGTCCAGGGCCTGTGCAAGTGGCGGATCGCTCGCCGGATGAAACTGACATCATCAACGACGATGCAACATGCGTTTCGCCCACCGAGAAAGTGTACGCCACGTAGAGCGCAGTCCTCAGAACTTGGCAGAACGATGGGTCTAGCGTCAATACCGGAATCTCGTGTCATAAAGACATGTGACTCTCGAAATCCATGTCCATTTCGCAGACAAATCATTCAGCTGGATCTGCGTCGCCCCTTGAGAATGCCACTGTGCTCCACATGTTTTGCGAAAGTGGGCGCTACGTGAGCGTGATTCATAGTATAACAAGGTACAGAGCTGAGCATAACCAGCTCCCGGAAATACGCATAAAAACCCACAATATCATGAGAATCATGTGCGCGGTCTTGCACGTATCCACTTGCGCACGTCAGCGTGGAACTCGAGGCGCGTTCACACATCTATCTAATGACCTAGCTCTATAGACCGAACATCGCCTGCGTATCCAATACCATGCGATGAGCTTGTCAATCTATACAGGCCTAAAGCCTTTTCTTTGCGTCCTGTACGTTATCCTTTGAATTTTTTAAGCTACTTTGGAAGAAATTGTTCTGTACGCTCTGGGGAGTACCCTTACAGCGAGATTCGCTCGTGTCAGATATCTCGCTGCGGTACGACATAATCGGTAAGAGACGTCCGTGCGTCCTTGTTCGCGCCAGCCATCTCCCCGTATTTGCCATCGACCGGCGCCAGTGCACCGAGCACATGCTTGAATCCAAGACGGCGCGGCGACAGCGCAGAGCACACCTCGGACAGATCCTCCTCCTAGCTATCGGACTGCTCCGACGAGGCCACTAGGGCGGCCTTATCCTCCGCCGCCGGGGACACCACAGCACGAGCTGCACGTGCATTCGACGTTTGCGTCCCCATGGTTTCCCAGACTGAAAAAGCTTGTGCTATCATGCCACGAACATCGCTGATATTCGCTGGAATGATCAATGTATTTCCTTCCTTGGCGAGCTTACTCCAGGCTTGCACGTATTGTTCGGCAATGCGCAGTGCTACTGCATCCCGTCCACCTTTCTGTTGCATCTCGGCTGCTACGATACGTATGGCCTGGGCGGTTGCACGTGCTCTAGCGAGTATTGCCTCTGCTTCACCGTGCGCGCGATTGATCTGTTCCAGTTGCAACGCCTCTGAATTCAAAATTTTGGATCGTTTTTGGCCCTCTGCGACATTAATTTCGGATTCCTTTTCCCCCTCAGAGTCCAAGATTTGAGCGCGCTTCCGACGCTCTGCCTCCGCTTGCAACTCCATAGCTTTGCGAACGTTCGCTGGCGGATTGATGTCCCGTATTTCGTACCGCAGACACTGCATACCCCAGGCGGCAGCAGCCTCGTTGATACTGTCCACAATGCGTGCATTGAGCATTTCGCGTTCCTCAAAGGTCTTGTCGAGGGAGAGCTTACCGAGCTCGGAGCGCATGGTTGTTTGCGCTAGTAGCGTTAAAGCCATATAGGGATCCTCGACCCCGTAGGAAGCTTTCGCCGGATCAACGACACGAACATAGAGGACGCCATCGATTGCGATGGTAACGTTGTCTCGAGTGATCGCCGTCTGCGAGTTGATCGATACCGCCTCTTCTTTCAGAGAATGCACGTAAGCAATTTTGTCCACAAACGGGATGAGAAAGTGTAGACCTGGATCGAGCACTCGACTAAAGCGGCCGAACCGCTGAACAATATAAGCGTACTGCTGGGGCACAATAACGAAGCCAAAGTGCGAAGGCACGCGACGTCGCGCCAGCGTCGATAGTGACGCAGACGCAGAAGCAGCAGCGGGACCGAGTCGCGCGTTCCAGATGCTTCGTCTGCCCCAGACGGGCAAAGCACTGCGCTGGACGCACGCGTCGCAGCCGCTCCGCGCGTGAGGCAAAACTCGCTCTGGCCAGAATGTGACCCAGCAGCGCCGGATAACACTGGCTTGAGACCGTGGAACTCGCATCGCCGGTCAGCGCACCCTCAAGTTTGAATAAGCTGCGCGAGCTGCTCAGGTTCGGGAGACGTTGCGTCAGACAACGACGAAACGTCGGTTTCGACAGGCGCAGCGTGCGAAGCGTCTGCGCAACATTGGCGAAGTGTCGCAGCCCAATGCGTCATCTAGGGGTATCGTGTCATGTCATTTTGTGTATGTGAACCTGCTGTCTCTGGTTTACTATATCGATGTCAGACTAAAATGCAAAGGGTGCTCCAGGACGAAAACAAAAAAAGGATTCTTGGGACAGTTCCTGATGTAATCAGTACTGACCATTGTGGGCTTTTCATGCGACTGCTCTCGATCGCTCCCTCTTATCTCCGAGCCTGAAATGGATCGGTCTTCTTTCTCCCGCCAGATATGTTTCAGGACGTCGAGGGGTGTTCATGGCAGCGTCCTAGGCCGCATGGCGTTGCTCCTGGCTGCTGTACAAACGTTTCACGCACAGGAAAACGTAACGATCTATGCTTCGCATGCCATTCGCATCTTCTTCGTATACAGTCTCAGTGTGTGACCTTCTTCGTCATGAAATTGGAGGCTATTCACGCATTCTAAGTATATTGGCCAGTATTCCGCTTCCATCGCGCTGTACTGGAGCAGGGTAACACCTTCTTCATCGCACGATGCGTACCGTTGACCGGTACAGAAGGCTTCCGCGAATGCACGCCTCCGGGTCCACACCAGGTACCTTGCCTCACGAGCATGTGCTCCCTATATGCGATTCCCGCAGCGACGACGATGTCCGCTGCATAGACAACCGCTCGACGTCATCGTCGGTGAAGGATCTATGGACCGCGCTCTTGTCCATGATGAGACAAGCAGCGGAACCAAAAAGCAGGCATGTACGCTGGCCGGGAAACTCGGGTGCGTCACTGCACCTGTCGTACTGAGCGGTGACGCACGCTCCACTGGAAGCGATCACTGCGATGCTTGACGTCCGAGTCCGAGATCCGTCTGCGTACAGACGGAAGCGACAGGGAGCCTCTAGATACATATCCTGCGACAGGTATCATGTTGCACTCGAACGTTGTCTCATGTCTGGCTACAACGAGCAGCGTACTCGAATGTGGAACGGAATCGATCAATGGGCGTGACGAGTTCACAGCGGTTCCCGTATGAGCTTGTGGAGGAATCGTTGGAGGTCGACCTTGAGGATTCTCGCTTGACCATGCAGCGGTGCGGTTGCGCAGCACCGACGATCTGCCGTCAAACAGCATGATCGAAACGGTGAACAGTGCGTGGATTGAGCATGGAAAGCGGAGAGCAGGCACACGAGCGAAGACTCTCTCGTATGGACATGTTATTGATAAGGGTTATGGAGGGAGCTCATGTTGTAAAACGCCGCGATCCATCTGGATTCCAGCGACATAAGAAAGTCCGTCTGCCGAGGATCGCAGTCGTCATCCCGGGAAACCAACCGAGAATCCTGCAACTGCACACGAAATTCCGTAAGCTCTCATTACAAATTCTGAATAGCACAACGATACATCGAATGATACTTTGGAAGAGAACGCTCAGGGCATGAACAAAGCGTGCAGTCCGATGTGCCTTTCCAATAGATCACGGATATAGGACAGAAGGATGGCCCCATGCGGCAGTCGGTCACAGAACGCACATGCTTGGATGCTTCAGCTCTCTCCTTCCCTTTCAATGAAATGGAGCGGACGAATCAAACCAGAAATCTTTCGAGATGCACTGCTGGTTGTTGGAGTATGGGCCACGTCGCTGCCTGTCTGCATCTCGGGATTTTCCACATCAGGAAGAACTTGCAGCGCTTTTATTCTGATTTCTAGTCGACCTGCTAATTCAATGCTGAAGAGTTTTTCCTCACATTCCGGGCATGCAGTCTCGAAAAACTCCTTCTACGTGTCTTTAAGATTCTGAATGTTCAAAGAGCAGCGCACAGCGTCGCAACTGCTCTTCGAATCGGACGGGCATCTGCACAGACTCGGGATGTTGCCGCCCGTTGTGAAGCTCCAGACACGTCAACGAGTGCACGGGGGAACGTTTATAACCTCCACATTTCGTGACGGCACTCGTGCATCCACAGCATCCGGGTTCGATTTACAGACTCTCTACAACAAATAGGTTGTCACGTTGGGCACAGGTCATTGTATTAGGAAATTTTGCTGATCAGTACCGCAAGCGGGCACGGTCCTGGTTGTTGAAACGTACAAAAAGGTCAGAGCAATAAAAGCAATCATTGTTTAGGGACACCATGCTTCACACTGAGACCACAAAGTAGACTAACAAGCGCTTTTGGGCGCATTTAGGCGCTGCTACTGCTCGTTGATGCATTCGGGAACAGCCGACTTTCGAATCAACCATGCATTCGACGCCGTCTCTACCGAAGTTTAACATGCTCAGCACGATGTTCGATGCACCATGGTAGTTTGACCGTGTCTTACGATACGAAGAATTCACACACCGTTTCGCTGTGTTCATCGCGTGGCAGGCGGCCTTGTTCAAGGACTCCAATGCGCACAGTAAGCAGCGTGACCTCTGTATGCGCTCGGCGCCCTCTCTGGTGGGGTTAGTGTCGCAGCGTAACCACGGGAGCGCTCGAGCACCATTCTAGTCATACATAAAGCATAAGCACCCACTACAAGGAATCCGATTGGCGCCCAGATGCCATGGTCACGCGAGAATGGCGTGTTGCGCAATGCAGTCACCAATGGTCTTCACCGGCGAGAGGGCTCTTGTATCAATGACGGTGGATTAGGTGTGCTGATCCCATTGCAATAAGTTCGAAAATTCCTGGTAGTCAATATAGCCGTCTCCATCGGCATCCGCTTCGCGAATCATTTCATCGATCTCTTCGTCTGTGAGTCGCTCACCCAGCTTCAGCATGACCGCCCGTAACTCATCAGCGCTGATTTTGCCGTCATTGTTCTTATCGAAAACCGCAAATGCCTCCCGCACTTCCTGCTCGGTATCGATGTCTTTCATCTTGCTTGCCATCAGCGCAAGGAATTCATCAAAATCGATAGTGCCTGATCCGTCTTGATCAACCTCGGCGATCATCTCGCGTAAGTGGGCTTCCGTAGGGTTCTGGCCTAACGAGCGCATGATCGTTCCTAACTCCTTCGTGGTGATTTTGCCGTCACCATCCTTGTCAAAAAGTTTGAATGCCTCCTCAAACCTACAGCCGTTTCGTGATCGATGGGAAGGTTAGTCATTGCTCTGTTTCTAGCCGTCGCGCTTGCATCCCAAACACAGGTCGTGCTCCGAACGAACTGCTGCCGCTTGCCTCAGGTGCCTGCTGCGCAACCAAGCGAACACCAACAACGGGGCGCTAGCTTTCTACCCAGTTCTGGGTCCAAGTTGTGCAGTGGAGCGTAGCGGAGAGCACGCAGCTCGAATCCAAGCTACCTCGTAAAAGCGGCCGCGAGTCGCAGGCCCCGGTGTCTTCTGGGCTGGGGCCCACACGTCGTTCATTTGCTGCGATCAAGATAAAGGCCCCTGAAGCCAAGTGCATGGAGACAAGAACAACCTCGATGTAAATCTAGTCTCAAGTCCAAGCGACGAGAGTGTAGTGCGGCCTGGAGCGGTACCTATGGCAGCGGTTTCCATTCAACTTACTCTGCGATCTGCTCGGGGCTGAGATCACTAGAAGCACTCATCGCTCCACGTAAAACGAAGCACTGCGCAAGTGATCCCCGAAAACCTTTCCAGTAAAAAGTTTAAAACAGTATTACAACCTTCACAAGCCTCTCTGAGACGTAAGCTATCACAAGCTGCCCGGTCGCCGATAGTGCAGCAAATATGTATCATAACCATGGAGAGTAAATGGACGTCCATGCGATGACGCCTTTCAGCCTTTTTGGACCGGCCGCCTACTTCTAGTTTCAACTTTTTCAAATATAATTCCACCTTGAGAGGTTCTCCCACAAAATTCTCTCTTGTTAGAGCTGCAGGTCTCTTCTCCATCACCGCACATCTCCTTATATTGATAGCAGCGTTCAAGTCTCTGTTCAAGAACTCCACACGTTTCTTGCCATTGGTTGTAATCACCAATGCAAGTAGTCCTCGAACACATGCCATCCGTGCCATTTCCTGCCCCGTCAGCACTCCGTACTTGAGCAGATCCTCAGGGCCCGCTGGCACTTTTCCCGCTCGACCCTCTGAAGTGTACACCCCAGCTCATGGTGCACGTATGACGTTCGGTACTCACATATCGGTATCCTGACAAAACGCCGTGCACACTCCTTGTACGTTCTTGACGTTGGAGCTGGCGTAGTCCCTTTTTGGGCCATCCAGCATCATGCTCGCTGTGATACTACGAGCCTCTGACCCTTGTGCTTGTTAAAGGCGCTCAACTCATTGAAAAAGTTGGCAAATGTACGCTGCTTCCCATAGTACAGATTCACACGCAGACGAGCCCACTGGGGCTTTGTATACTCTTTTTACAGCGCTCTCCAGTGAGGAACGCTAACTTTCATGAATACCCGAAAAGCTCCAAAGCTCGCTCCACGGCTAGTCACCTGGCTGATCGCCTCAAATGCGCTTTCACTCCTGCATTCCATGTCTCAAATTGTTTCCTCACATTCATTTTTCCGATTCTCGATAATATCTCGCTGTTGAGAACCTCAAAAGTCGCATGTCTTTCTGACGCAAGTTGCCACCAGCGCCATCTTCCTCATACTTGGGAGCAGTCGTGGTAACGATTTGCGTGTTCCCGGGACCAGCGCCAATGACAAAGTCGTTCTTCTGTACCTTCTGCGTCGCAGTATCCGTCTCTTTGTTTTCTTCAAGCTCCACCAAGTGCGATATCGAAGACAGATCAGGACGATCCGCCTCCTTGAAGCACCGATAGTGTACACACATGGCTGCTCCATCGATTTCGATTACTCCAGTGAGTACCTCTTTCTTGCTCATTTTGAGACGTCTGAAATCGAAAATACTCTTCCAGTACGTCTCCTGGTTTCCACCCGTGAATTCCTTGTTGCTAACATCGAGCTCGAAACGTTCTTTCTTCATGATGCCGTGAAGGACTCTGGAGTCGATAGTCACAGAGTGTGACTTGACGGTGCACAACGGAACGACGTTGAAGCGCTTCCCCAGAAGCGCAGCCTTCCGTTTCTCCAACTCATTTTTTCGCCGAACTCAGCTCCATCTCTGTCTGGCGTACTCGTTCTCAGTTCAGGTATCCGAAGTAGCTTAGGATGAGATGATACCATCCTTTTTCATACCTGATACCTTTTCTGCTGGATTCGCCAGCCCCAGAACCGCACGGTACTTTTGAATAGTCGCACGAGAAACAGATGCTTCATTCCTTCTCCTGCGTGATGTCTTTCTTGTCGACTACTTCGATCTTCCGTTCATTCCGGAGATCGTGTACTATGTCGTTGATGATGGCCCGGATCCCACTGCAAGAGAGGCCCGGGTACAGCGCAATGATGCAGCGTATCATGAAACTTACGAGTTTCACGATCATATAGTTCCTCGGGTGCGTGAGGTTCCTCATTGCATCATCCGTGTAAGTATCTGAGTCGTCCCTGTCTCGAATGCCGCTGAAGCGGTATTGGGCGTAATTTTGCTGGAGAGCATGTACTCCCTCATTTTTCGTCGAAGATTTCCCTGTTCCAAGCATCAGGTGACGAATGAAGATCCTGCTGAAAAATCCCTTCGGAACCGCGACTGTGTTGATGTCCGTGAGTCATTGTAAAACTCGACCAAATGCCTCATTTCTAAACAAGCGTTACATACATTTCTTGGAGTAAGACACGAAAACGTTTCTCATGGCCTCCTACAAGTCTCGCTGGTAGTGGTCCTTGATAGCGCCTAGAAGCAAGGCTCCCACCACCGTCTAGTCATACAGTCTTCTTTCGAATTGCTTTTGACGCTTCGCATCCTACTTCTGCATCTTGGTCTTCTCCTGTTCCCCTTTGCTAGGTACAGCTTTCCGTTTTCCGGCAGCAGGCGACACCGGGCCTCTGGGATCCTCGACTTGCATATCCATTTCTATGAGCGACACTCAGGCTGGGAAAAGAATCCACTGCAGTCAGAACAGTTGATGTCGTCGTTCTGTTCGAGTTCCACCGCACATTCAACGGGCACCTTCTCTGCGAATACCCGTCTACGCTCCGACCGTGTCATCCGAAGGAGCCATCATCGACTGAATAAACAAATCGACGTCCCTGTGCTCTATACCGACAGCGACGTTCGAGGAACGCTGTCGCTGCAATTTCGGTAGATGATAGCTATGAATGAGATTGGACATTTTTACGACTTTATCCGGGTGATTTCAGGACCACGCGAACAAGCTGTTGAGAAACAGAGACACCCATGGTAGCTGCTTTCGTCGCTTTTGGTCTCCATGCGGTGATCAATGGTCCGTTTTCTACCATTGACCGCAAGCACGCTCTGAGAATGTTAGTTTTCGACGCGGAGCACATCTGATTCTTTCTTTTCGCGTTCCTCACGCATCTGAATACTGTGTTAAGGCTCACCCGGAGGAGAAATAGAGTCGCCCCTGCACTGTACAGTAAGGAATATATGTCCTTCAGGCAATTCGTCCACGATCTATAGAGTACATTGCATCCGGATTTCGATCTCCTGTGATACAACGCAGCGGGTATGGAACGGAATTCAGCTGAAGGACGACGTTTCGCGACTCGCGCGCAACGCTGGACAAATCGCGTCATCGAATTCCGTTTTTCTTTCCCTAGACGATACCGCCTGCTTCTACACACAGATCCACATCAACTCTTTCGGGACTGTTTTCTTTTGGTGCTCAGGTAGCGACTGCGGGTGTTTTGGAAAGACAGCGCACTTAGGCAGGGCCTTCTCGGTGGCGCTGGAAGACCCCGTTGTTGCTGCTTTGAGACGCCGCGTCCTCGACTTTGTTGCGTTTTCTTTCTAGTCTGTTGGCTCAACCGAAACCGTCTTTTACTAGTTTCTTATCACTGCGCTCTTCGTAGATAACGCGGCTTTGGTGGGGTTTTGGAGATCATAGTCAGTCTAGGCTTGAGTAGCGAGACACGCCTCGCTTCTGGAAAAGTTTGGGATGCTTTTTGTACGCAACTGGTCGTTGATCCGACAGCTGTATATCTGGGGGCTCGACTTGACATCAAGGGTTATCTATGGCGAGCGTGCAGCCGGTTGGCGTTGGCAGCAGCATCAGCAGGAGCTAGAAACTGATCCTAGCCGATGCGTCTCCGAATTCGCTTCAGACAGGGGCCCTGCTGCTGCTGCCGCTGAGAGTGGTACAGCTTCTAACTACCAGAACGCTGGCCAATCAGACACAAGTTCGGTATCTTTGCACCGTGAAAGCGGCCCACAGGGTGACCTCCAGCGGAGACTCTCGCGGCTGCACTCCGAGCTCGAGCTCGGCGGACTAGGCGAGTGGGAATCCTACGACGCTATCCGAGGTCTGTTCGATGTAATCGGCGACGAGGCCTGCCTCACCGATCGGACTGAGGAGTACACAAACACGCGCATACGCACCCACGCTGCCGGTGCTCGACAACAACGTGCTGTTCTGCCGCTTATTGCCGTGGTGCCGCCGCTCGCCGAGGCCGTCGGTGCCATGGCTGGTGACTCGCTGACAAAGTGCTTCGAGTCCAGTGCACCCAGAGTATGGAACCTCATGACACGTACACGTTCAACTCCAGTTCCTATCATTCTTTGGCCGATCTGGTTGTTTAGTATCTTCATTCGCTATGGGATCCTATTTCCTCTGCGACTGGGCATCCTCATCGTTGGCGTGTCCATTTTTTCAACTGGATTCACGCTCGTGCACTTGCTGTTGCGAAGGCGGACGCGGTTCAAGGTCTACCTCCAGAAGCAGCTGATTCGCTTCCTCGCTTCGACGCTGGTCGCCTCATGGAGCGGGCTCGTACGTTACCATGGTGAGCGTCCTCGTCGCCGACCTAACCAGATCTACGTCGCAAATCACACGTCTCTGATTGATTTGGCGATCATGATCAAGGATTATCCGTTCTCTACAATCGGACAACGTCATGGGGGACTCGCCGGTCGCATCCAAGATCTCATGAGCCTCGTACAGAATCACATTTGGTTCGATCGCGAGGAAGGCCATGATCGTCGTATTGTACAGCGCTTACTTCAAGAACACGTTCAAAATGGTGAGCATGAACCAGTGCTGGTCTTTCCTGAGGGCACCTGTGTCAACAACGAGTACTGCATCATGTTTAAGAAGGGTAGTTTCGAGCTTGGTGCACTTGTGTACCCAGTTGCGATCAAGTACAACAAAGCATACGCTGATGTATTCTGGAACAGCGCCAGGCAGGTGTTCCTTACGCATCTCTTCGCGCTCATGACGTCCTGGGCAGTTGTCTGCGATGTATATTATCTGGAGCCGCAGCAGCGGCGTCCCGAAGAAACCCCAGCAGCTTTTGCTGCACGCGTCAAGCACCTAATCGCTCGACGCATTGGACTCATTGAGACCAACTGGGATGGCTTTTTGAAACGACACCAAGTGAGCCCCAAGTTTCGAGAGCACCGCCAAGAAATGCTGGCATTCCTTGTTCGCAAACAACTAGAACGCATTTCGACCCGGAAGCTACCGAGCATCGCAGAAGAGGTTCTATGCAAAGCGGACATAGAGGTGACACAGCGTCATCCGCTGGATTCGGTCCCCAGCTGGATCGATCGGTCAACGCATATACCGGGTGTACCGGCTTGTCAGGCGCTCCGTGGCCTGCAGCGGAGGCGTTCCGTGCAGAAACTTTGGCTTTCGCTGCCAGCGAGCGCTTCGGGGCGCGGCGAGAAGCACGCACAGCGTTCAACCATGTGGAGTGCGGTCCTAGAGCGCTGCCAAGGCCTCGTCGTCCGTCTCGTGGCACTCGGGTTATTGGTGCTGCTCGTTGGATGTATCAGCTTCGTTCTTAGCTGGCTGAACAAACGTGTAGATTATATTGCATATGTGCTGCGTTTTTGGTTGCATCTTTGGAGCCTTGTGGTTGAGACACTTGACATTGCACGCCACAGCGTCCAGTGGGAAATCACCGAGGCCCGAAAGGTACTCCGTAGTGTTGGGCAGGCGTGCCGGCGCATTTGGCGCTAGTTTTTCGCAAGCAACATCAGTGTAAAAGTGTTGCTCTACTTTCTTGCCAGGATGCTGGGATTTAGCGTCTGGTGAGAGAACACGGAAACGTCTTGCTTCGCTTGGATGATGCTGTTTTCACTTTGGCGCCCGGGGTATTGGGTTGTTTCGCGTGGCGTACGGAGCATGACACTTGGTCGTTCTACGCAGGGCATTCAATCATGAAATACAGGTATGTGCACGAACTTTTTGTTTTCTCTTGTTTTTCTTGCATGTATTCTGCAGTAAACATTTATCCCGGAAATTAGAGATTTGTCGTGGGGAGACGTTATGCTGCCAGCTGGTAGCTGGCGGAATAGCGGCCTTCCTTGTGCAAGTCGTTCATTCTATGCTTAGCGGGTGCATGAAACACCAGGCTATCGCAGCCCATATCCTGGACGTTGTGCACCGAAACTAGAACATGTAAAAGTCTAATTGTACGATTGTGTCCTGGTCCATCCCTTCCACTACATACGTTCTCTATGAAAAAAATCTAGTGAAATTGAAACAGGTTGTGCAAGTTCGTGCCGTTTATATGGATGGCGATGAAGAGACACGGACGCATTGCGGAAAAAGCACACTTCTGCGGGAGCGCCCTGGGCATTGAATAACACACTCCAGATTTCGAACGAAAACACGACTGCTCTTATCAAGTGGTACACGTGTTTCTCACTTTTGATGACATCTAATTTGGCACACATGCTAGAGATGTGTACAGGTGTTTAAACATGCTCGAGCTGCTCTTCGTAAAGAAGGAACATGCAAGCATTCCAGAAACGTCCGCCGATGCGACGATTCAATTTTGTGGACACGAATAAAATGAACAAACCGGCAGGATCGATCAATACATCATCCTCTATCGAAGCACGCTTCATGACCTTTTTCGTTCTCGTCTCCTCCTATCCTACTGCTAGATATTGTAGCTTTCCGTGACGCGTAAGAGGATGAGGAGTGCGCAGCTTAGAGTACCAATGCGGTGCTATTCGTGCCAGTGTATTCCCCCGTGACTCCATCCAGTCGAAGGTGTCTCCGCTGTTACCGTTACGCCATTTTCGTGCTCGACGCGCAGGCAAAGAGCGGTTCACATCTTTGACACTGTTCTACGCCAAGGCTTTCTCTGCCTTCGACAGCCTTATCCTGGTATGTTCCTCGTCAGTTCGTGTGCGGGAGCATGCGAAAGGGGGCGTATCGGTCTGTGTGCGCGTGCGCGGGTAGCGGAAGTTGATGAAAATGCACTGGAATCGTTGCAGGTACAAACATACGTAGAAAAGGCAAGGTTCATTGCCACCGTTGGTCTCGTGCATCTGAATCACAAGGCAAACATACGGAAAAAAAGGTACGACGACCAAATCCATACCATCCGGCCGAGCAAAGGGAAAGAAGAGGGTGTTCGTTTCGACGAGCGAGCACGAAGCATTGGCACAAGTTCGCGAAGCGCGTGGGTGAATTTCGTTTTAGTTTTCTTGTTTACATGGACCATAGGGGCGGATGGAATATCGTTCTACATATTCATTGTAAAATCTAGGTCTGAATTGAGCACGAAGACTCATTTTCAAAAGGGTTGAATCCAGATCAAGAGAACGACTTGTTATGAGCGTGGATCCCGGGACTATGAATACCACGACCGTCGCCAACGCGATAACGCATGAGGACCGATCCATCAACCTGAATGTACAGCAGATGAAGCAGCGCTCTTGTTCCAAAGCGTTGTATCATCTGGAGTCGGTCATTCTGGTTGCCAGGAGGCATACCGCCTGGCGGTATGACGACTTCAAGGCCGATTTAGAAACTCTGGGCAGCTTATCAAGCAGAGATAAGTGCGTTGTGTACTTCATCCCGGATGTACTTGAGTGTTCAAATAGCTCATGCAGGTGATCTCGGGCAGGAGAGCGTACGACGGTGTCTGTGTCGTCACTAGTTACAGTTGTACAGAGGCGAGAACCGATTATTCTCCGTTTCCTGTAATGATTTTGAAATGGAAATGAGGTATGAATCATGTCTTTTTTAAAGTAATCTATGGAACTGGACGTTTTGTAACGTGCTAGCAAAACCTCCTCCGCTATCGACGAGAGCATACAACGAATGCGGGAATCGGCATCGCTCGAGTGCCGTCAATGGCTTCAAGACGACATACACGCAGCAAGAGCACGGGTGCATGTTGAAACTGGTAGAACAGGGAAGCGTGAGATAGCGATGGATGCGAGGTATGGTGTCCAGTAATGTGAGCTAACGTCAAATGGCGGTGAAAACGATAGTGAGAGGCTTGCTACGTAGTGATTCATCTAGTAACCAAGCACACAAGCACTTTCTGCACCTGTACTTGAATGCCTCAATCAATATCTGGAAGTATCTCTTGCGTCCGGAGCGTCCAGAAGTTTTGTGTCGAGCGAACTTTCCATGCAATGGTTTCGTACGCAGCACAGGCATTGCCCTGAAAATCTGAAGCTTTGCGAGAGAAACGTTCGTGGCCAGGATAGAGGGTATTGGCTTCATGAATGAGCGCAGGAGCTGATGTGGCACTGTCCGGAAATTCAGAAAGGCTCGAATGTTGTCTATTTATCAACACTCCTGGAACGGGTTTCCTGGGCAATACCTGATCGACAACGGTGTTCCGTTATTCGATATTATTCCGTGTGTATAAAGCATCTGGGATGCGTTGCCCTTCTCGTTCGGTGCGCTGAAACTGACGCTTTTCTTTCAGCAAATCGCTCAGGTTGCGAATCGAAGCACGACCTGGATAGAATGCCCAGATCGATAGATTCGATAACAAGCAGCCAGATTGGTTCGCACTCATTGTGCTCTTCCGAATGGTCGATCAAGCACGACTCGAAGCTTGATCCCGCAGTGTCGAGAAACAACAATGCTGCTTGCGTTCAGGCGGACCCGGGTTGCCAATTGCCACAACGAAATCGGCTCGAGTTCAAGAGCAGGACGTTTCAGCATTGTGCAGCAGGGTTGTATCCAGGGCGTTGCAGGTTTGTGCGTCTCTTTCGTGCGCAAGGACATGAATGTCACCAACCGTGCTTCGCTGCAGGAGCGATTTTGCGCCTTTGCATCTTCCAAGGACCCCAGGAGACGCACACGCGCCTACCCGACTGCTTGGAACCCGTCTTAGCTCATCCGGGATAATGCAGAGCATACGGCATTCGTTTGAACAAAAGCGAGATGCGAGCGATCCCTAACATTTTTGAAGAAACGAGAAAGCAAGCCATCGCGATCCATCAGCTTGAAAATGGAGCATCGCTCATCGAGCAGGATGATCTCCAGGTCGCTGCACTTGATCTACTTGTGGCGGTGGATTCACGAGCATTGCGGTTGGCACATGTATGCTGGGGAAACCTGCTCGCCAATACACTCGGAGCGTCTCGGGCAATGAGCGAGCGATGGTGAACACCAGGTCCCTGTGAGCGGATGTTGACTGCAGGAGACTAGGCGGACCCAGATAAAACTGCTATTACAGCGTCACGCACTGGACGTAACCATGCATCCGAAGAATTACGGTATCGTTCTCGTCTCTAATCCCGACGAAAATCCAGGTCTGGGTTTGGGTAAGGTGGGCGTGCCTGACGAGCGACACTGTTGTCTAGCCTGATTAGCAATAGCAATTGCACCTTCGTGGAGTTCTGGTCAGACTCATTTATTTTGCAACATAAAAAACCGGATCCTGTTAACCAGCATCAACACCACGCCGGAGCGCGCATTTCCAGAGCAAAATTATCGACAGATGCATAGATTCTACATTGCACGAAAAAGCACCAGAGACGCAGATGTCGCATTCTCAAAAACGAGCATGTGCTTAAGGAAAGCAGGGTGTCGGTATCAGGAACAAGTTATCGGGTCCTGTCGAGTGCTCGAGAATACCGCCACGAAATAGACGACCTTGTTGCTGAAGTGCCCTCGGCGATCGTGCTGGCACCACGAGAGGAGACCTGCCTACAAGCGTCGATCATACAAGACCAGAGTGTGCCACGGATTGCTCCGCTCAACAGCAACATTGATGCAGCGAGGCTGTCCGTCCCAGAAAAAGGCTCCAGTCCAAAAGACGAGATGCACGCAAAGCATCACTAACGCACACCAAGGTCCTCTGTGGTCCTTGAGCACTGCGCAAACCTCGCGATGAGCTGAAGCATACCAGTCCTGTGAATGCAAAAGATCTAGCTACGCTTTGGCGCGAACCAGGACCGGCTGCACCATTATGAACCACCCGACTGGTGCTCTTGTCCCTGCGGATGGACGGTGTCTCGAGCACAAGCGGATGCTACCAAAGGCGTCTGGTCACCATGAGCCAAGCGCTGATGAATCCTGCGCACGAGTCGCTGCAGCTCTTCGGAAAGTATCGCCACGAGTGCGTTCGTGGTCACACCTGATGGTAGGCCGTCTGCTACCCACTGGCCAAGCGCCAGTTCTAGAGAGCCGTTATGTTCGGGCCAGGACAGCCCAGACTGAGGCTCAATTGTCTCCAATATCATCCCGTAGGTAAGGAGAACGTGTTCACAGTACGCGGGATTAGGAAGCCCCTCCAGGTGGATAGAGGCACCACCAGCAACAGTTGCCGTGTAGAGGTGCTGCCAAAAGAGCATCAACAGCGCTCGACGATGAGCATCCTGCGACATACAAGCGCAAAAATCCGGTACCAGACTCGCTGGTAATATAATCGGGAGTAGCGCCTGTGTATTTGGTTCGTCCAGGGCTTCGCGTAGCTGCTCACCAAGAGTGCCATCCAGGTACTCGATCAGGGATATTCGTTGGTGATCCCCACTCACCAGACACCGCAGGTACTGGGAAAACAAATGCAACGACTCGAGGTCTCTTAGATCATTCAGCGCTGTAGCGGCTCGCTGTTCGCAATGCCAAGCGTTCAGCTCCCAGCGCCAGAGACGCTTTCGCAAGTTGCTCCGTTGCACCGCTTCGTCCTGTGGTGCATGTTCCCGCTCGTCTACGAGCCAAAGGACGTAGGCAGCGTCACAGGCCCTGGATAGCGCGCAGGGGTCCGCGGCAACCGATCCCAGTGCATGACGCTCAAGTCGCTGCTCAATTTCCAGCAGACTCTGCAACGCACTGTTCACAATGGAACCGCGGGATGACGACAGCCCGTTCACAGCAGTCGGTTCAAGCTGCAAACCGGTCCCAGCTTCGGCGAAGAGACGGGAAAGTGTGTCGAGCAAGCGGCTCCGCAGCGTTTCATTCGATGCTGTTCGAGGCCAGATGCAGAGCGCCCGCATATAGACCCACAGGAGGCGCTGCCGAACAAGACGCGTATCGAGGTACAGGGCAGGGCTCAGGTCCGGTACTGGGCCGGCTGCGTCCGATCCCAAGGCAGCATACTGCGGTCTGTTCGTGGCAGCAAAGTGGCTGCCAAAGAATATCGGGGGTCCAGCGCTCTCCAGCGGTTGCAAGCCATCCACCAGAACGAGGAGGGCACTACGCAGGCTTTGGCAACGAGCGCTGCGCTGCTCAGCTGAAGCGTGTCGATGCGGTGCATATGAATCAACTGGAGTGTCAGGAGTATCCTTGCTCGGAATGGGCACACATCCGCAGAGCAGCATATTCAAGAGCGTGCCGCGGAAAAGCGATAAAGCCTGAGGCTCCATCGCATAACCTACTTGTCGCTGGTGCTGCTGCTGTTCCGGTTGCTCTTTCAAGGACTGGGCTGCGGCGAGGCCTCGGTCCAGCGCCTGCAGTATGGCAAGCAGCGAGTCAACGAGTCGCTTGGCGACGCTTATGGCACACTGCATCTCCATGACGGTCGAAAGTCGCTGTCGAAACACGTCCTGAAACCGCCGGGCGAGAACATACAGCGGCATCCACGGTGCCAGTTCCTCAAGCGCTGTCAACCAGAGCTGAAATGCCTCGCAAGAGGTTTGCTGCGTCGAGGACAGCACCGCTGAGCCTGCCACGGGCTCTAGCGGGGTCCAGCATGGTAGAGGCTGCAGCGTCGGCGTGAGCACATTCACAAAGAGCGTCTCTGCCACGGACCAAGTCATCTCCGGTGGTTTGCTCGCGCATCCTTGCGCCGCAGCGAAGCTTCCGCGCACTACGACCGCTGTTAAGCGCTCGAGATCCGGCAACATACCGTCCATTTGACTGGGCAGGTCTCGCTGCCCAGATACCGATGAGCTCGATTCCGCTCGACGAAAAGCCTCGAGATACCTCCGCAGTGAATTCAACACGAGAGCCGGCTCCTGCTGCTCGTCGATCACAAGTTCAGCTGAGCAACGCTTGAGGAACTTGTCCAAGAGCAATTTGCCAGCAAGTCGCTCGACAGAATTGAAGACGCGTGGCAGCTCGAAGCACATCTTATACCACAATGTCCATGACTCTGGGCTTGATGCAATGCGTTGCGGTCCCCGGAGTAAAACCTCGAGCGTTTCCAGCCAAGGCGCCCCTGATCTGGAGGCAAACCGATGCAGCGCCGTCATGGAGGCATCTAGGCCCCGACGTTGTGCAACCTCAAACAGCAACTGGGCGACACGTTGAGCAACAGATCCGGGAAGCGAGCGCGCCGGCTTCCCGCAAGGAGCGCAGCCTATCCGACGTTCACCGCTGCTGCTGCTGCTGATGCTGATGCCCACACAGTCGCCATCGTCCTCATGGCTACGACTGTGCTGGTTGCGAGTACCTGTTTCCCCGAACGAGGTCAGGCGTGTACCGATATCCAGAGCTGAGTGGCTGTCAGCACAAAGCACTTGCTGGTGACGCGTCTCAAGTTGCTCCCAGAGCGTCATCAAGCAGTGGATGTCGGCCTCCAGAAGCGATGCGATAGTCGGCGTGCTCTCTGACAAGCGCGGTTCCATAAGCGTCTCGTTTGGTGCCTTTGGAGTCGCTTCCAGGTCAACCATTCTGCAGCGAATATGCTCCAGAGACTGTTGCAGAAATCGGACATCCTGGATGACTTGCTTACCCCGTTCCAGACGGAGGGCTTGCGTATCACCAGAAGAATCCAGGAACTGATGTACGGTTTGCCGCAGATCTTGTACAGTGCCCCGCAAGATTGCAGCGATAATGGACAAAAACAGCTTTCTGGAAAACGGACCAGCCGGATCGCAGCTTGGTTTCTGTTGCAGCGCTGCCTGGTACGGCACGAGCGCCGTCAATCCCACCCGGTTACCCGAACGTTCCCAGCTTGTTACGAGTTCGCACAGGAAGCTGTTGATGAGCGGGTATACTTTGGGATGCATTGCACCTGAGACCAACACGTGATCCCTATCCTGCAGACACTCTAAAAGCGCAACCAATGCCGCAACACGCGCATACATAGATCGCTCTACGGAAACGATGCTCAGTTTCTGCGTCGACATTTGCTGAATCGATGGATCCGAAACCAGCGTCGGATCCAGCGACTGTGCTGTTTTCCTCGAGCGACTTTTGAGCGGATCGCTTCCCAGTCGTTTGGATGGATCCGTTATCGCCTGCAGAGAAGAGACGCCCTCGTGAATGCTTTTTGCGGATCGATTATGAGATGAGCGCGCGCTACATGCACGATGCTGCTCTGCACCGAATCGAGAAGCCCTAAATGCTGGAGCAACATTCTCACGCCTTGCCGGGAACTTGTTGCTCTTCATCGGCGTCGCTGTACTCGTAACAAGGCGCCAGATGAGTGCCCCAATGATCGGGTGCAACCTTTCTCGAGTCGTACTGGACGCTCGCCCTGGACTCGACGCAGCGCTGATGGCTGACCAAGCATCCGCGGAACATGTTCCCGTTCCAGTCGCACGCCCAGAGAGCCATGAGCGCTCAGCTCGAGGGCAGCTGGGCTCGCTCACTGACCCGCCAGAGTGCACTGCTGGTCTATCATCGGCCACGTATTCGTGAGAGATAGGCTCCCAGGTTAGATATATATTGTGGCGCTGCTGATCGGGCTCAGGTTGGAGCGCATCGCGGTGATGCGTCCCAGGGCTAGTGCGGCGACGAGCAGTGTCTGGAAGGCAGTCAAGATAGGTTGTCTCCTGAATCGAGCATGCGAGTTGATCATGTCCGGACGTGGTGAATGTCCGTCCCGTCACTGCGAGATCTGAAGAATCCGGTGCAATGGTCTGATCGCCTGCCGCCTCATCTTCATGAGACGCCCCAGCGTACTTCATTCTTTTGGAACGACCCACGGGAGCTGTTCCATGGGACGCATACAGCGTCACGGAATCATCCTGGGTCTGGTGAAACAGACGCTGGGGGAGAGCCTCGTGCTCCTCGCCTGCGAGCGTTGCCTTGTCAGTGACGCTTTCAACTTGAACCAGGGCTCGTTCCACATGTCGTATCATGCTCTGCCAGAATGTTGCATACGAGGCCGCGCATTCTGAGAGCGGCCATGGCGTTGAAGGCTCTCGATGCGGGCACATGAGAGGGCCCCGGATATCCGGCGAGCGACGTTTCTCATTCTTTTCAGGGCGCACTGAGAGCGCCACCTGACCAGTTGCAAAGCAGTCCAGAATGCTAACCACAGCACCTATCCAGCAATAGCAGCAGGAGCAGCAATCCATTGCGCTGCTCGCATCGGGGTGCGTAGGACAACCGCAGTCTCGTGGCTGTGTTGCCTCGAGGGAGAGCACCAAAGGCATCAAGTGGTCGTCGCAGAGAGTCTGCATAGCAAACTGGCGAAGCCCCACGTGCCACTTCAGTGCCGGCAAGACTTTAGGAATACCTGTACCGGACAACCACAGCAACCAACCGTAGCAGCCTGGTGGCGTACCGTCGCTGCTTTCGTTGGAGGCCGAAGCGCTCGCTGCTTGACGTCCTCCACGTACATCATAGAGCTGCTTGATGCCTTCGACCACACATCGAAAACGTTCTAGGAAGAGAGTCTGCACGATACTCAACGGAGTTTCATTGGGCATTCAGTACATAAAACTCGTGACGCTCGTTCCTAGCCAACAGAGGTCGCAGCGGAAGCCAGTTGCAAAAGACAGTACGAGACTGTGGACGCTGTATGGCGTACTCGCGCGCGCTCACTCTCAAGCGAAGAACGGTTTCGATGCTCATAGGGTCTTCAGTGGGTGCCATGCGGAGAACTCGGGCTCTGGTGCCAGCGAAGGTGGAAACGAAAACTGTAGGATTATCTGGAAACACATGGTCGCAGGTAGAAGACTCTTCAATTCTTTGAAGATTTCGGGTTGAAGCCTGGGATGCAGTGCCACCGAATTGATTCTTGTAGCGTAGCTGTTACAGAAAGCCCAAGCAGGGACGTTGTGCTCCCGTGCAACTTGGTTTGGGAAACACGGCAGAGACGCATATGCGTATTCGTAGAGAGACAACCCGCTGTTGGTGAAGAAGAGACTATCGAGAAGGACAACGACACGAGTCAGAGCTGTGATGCGATCGTGTGCTCGCCCACGAAGTGCTGGACGAATAGGATCGCTTGACACCTCAGCCTACCTGGAAGCACTTCGTGGCAGCCCCTTCCCATACGTTTGAGTCCTGATTGTAGCCGGCACTGACTTTTTTGTGTAGAAAATGGTCGAGTATGACGCAGATGAGACTGGCGGAAAGCTGTTCTTCTTGCCGGTCTGTTCTCCCTAGTTCAGCCTCGTCGAAGGCGTCCTCAGCACTGTGAATCTCGATATTTTCGCTCAAGTATCATTAGACGAGTTGTTCACATGCGTGACACTGGTGTTCCGGAAATCGTACTCTGTCGTCGACAACCCTGAACTACTCTGCTGATGCTCTGCGCATGTGCGGGAGAGAGCGGAAAAGCGCGTCCCGGTGCCGGAGCGTGCTCGCGACAGAGAAGATAATCAAAGGGGACGCAACGAATAGTTGATGTGTACGTATACAGACAATGTGAGCTTCCGTTGTGCTTTCCACGCAATGCGTATGAATCCGTCGGGGAAACAAAATGGGTATGGTGTTAAGCGAACCCACTCATGCCACCCCGCGAGCTAAAGGAGAAGAAACGGAAACCATCGGTCGAAGAAGAGAAAAATTCCCCCGAAAAGCGAACTAGGAAGAACAGGGAGCGAAGACACACGGAGCGGAAAGATCGGTCTGAACCGCAGTGAAGACCTTCATTAATGAAACAGGTCAACGGGGTGAATGTTTCAAAGAGCAAAACGCAGGACGTCGTTGGGGATCGTAAACCACATGATGCCAGGAAGGCTCCCCTAGCTCTTCTCGTCTTGGAAAATCTCGTAAGCAAGTGTTCACACGGGTACCAGATGCAGGGCAGCCGGCTGAGCATATTCCTCAGAGATTTTTGGATCCAAGCCTAGTACAACAACACAACTGATGCGCGGGATAGCAGACGCGAGGCCGTCTGATTATAGGGCCAGCGTGTTACCTGCAAGATTCCCAACATACCTCGGCAGGTCGCCGTACCACATTTGCGACCCCAAAAATCTATTGCACAGGTGACAGAAGCTATCAGATGAACCTCAGAAACCTCAACCATGTGTGGGTCAACGTCGAGCGCATTCTATGGGCGTTGCATCCGTTGTGGCCTATCCGGACGGGCGCAGAAAATTTGGGACGGATGGAAGGCATTCATGGGCTGTCGATCGGGACAAATAACGAGGTGTCGGCGGAAGAGATTGATTTGGTAACGAGTTCGGACGATATCCGCAAATGAGAGCGAGACTCGCTTTATATCATCCAGACATATCGAGTTGCTCTCGGACACGAGCCGACGGACAACGTATCCATCGCATGCCCGAAACACAGTGAATGTCTCCCTGTCTGCCTTGCGTCTTGCGCTTCTATGTGTTCCTAAAGTATACATGCCAGAGACAAGCAAAAGCGCAGCCCGAATCCGAACGCTCCACCCCTCTCAAGCGTCAATAGAACGTTGTCCCTATATGTCCGAATAGGGCCCATTATAATACCGCAGGCACTTGTGTCGTGCGCGACCGTCACTGTGAGCTACGGCTAGTCTCTGAGAGCAAGTATGAGACATTCAAGCTACCTCACGACGATACTTGGTGGAGATCGTGCAAGGTGCTTGCGTCACGCGGTGGAGTAAATACGAAATCTCATGGACGATAAAGACTGGTAGAACCTCAAGATGTATGCACTCTGTGAGACCTCGGAGAGTGCCCAGCAACCAGGCACAATTTCAACCGATCAACAAGACGAGGAAAATCGAGCGCATTGCATAGCACTCAGTATAGGCATTGCGCTGAAATGATCCAGACATGCGATTCACATGAGTTGCTAGAGCAGAGCCGCCACAGGCTTCGCGCCTCAAGCAGGACACTAGTAAAGAACGGTTCAGCAATCTAGAACAGCTCGAGCGTCGCGCACCTACTCCGGAAAGGGTTTCTTATGCGATAAGCAGTCGGTCATGGTGCTCCAAGATTCTACACAACGGTATATACGTGCAACAAGCATATACTTTAGCTGTCGCTGGGGGAGCGTGGCCGTACCTGAATGCTTTGCGGAGACTCTCCACAGGGTTGGTATATACATATGTGTTCTATCTTGTCACAAATAGTGTGCTTCCCGCCCTCATCGCCGGGTGATCGCAGGATCGCGCGCCGAGTCCAAGCATTGATCCTTGAATTTTATGTATAAAGCAGACAGGGTTCGCGCACATGCCCTCAGCGGCGTCCGTGCTTGTGCATCTTTAACGCTTACAGTAACTTTCGCTTTGTAGCGGACTGCGGTGCGCAGTTCTGGGACGCAGAGCGGTCAAGATCGCTTGCTCTCCCGCAGGATGGAAGACGGGGCACAGGGGAAGAGTAGCATGGTTGGGTTGGGGGAACAGCAGAACGCCGCGCCGCAAACCGCACAGGCTGTGCGCGCGCAAGGCACCCCGTCCACGGAGTCGGAGGACGCCTCATCATCGTTTTCGGAATCTTCTGCGCTAGCTTCCGTCCCCAACGCACTGAATCCACCGGTGAGGCCAGGGCTTCACGAAACGGTAGCGAGCGAAACAGAAGCTGTCTCTAAAGAGTTGAAAGAGGGCCTGGTAGACCCTGCGCAAGTACAAGGCAGCGAGCGCACTGACGTGAATGGCAAGCCCACTGGCCAAAGCCACGCAGCGGAAAACCACGGCAACCAGAGCGACATAACCAACCAGTTGCAGGCCGCAGACCCCAACATCGGGACGGCAAAGACGAGGACGCCGAGCGTGGCGCCCGTGCTTCCGGACGGCTCCACACCCGAGGAGCACAGCGGGATTTCGTTGCGCCCCCGTCCCAAGCGCGCTGCAGCACCGTCGTTACCGAACAAGCCGGTGTCGACCTCTAAGAAGGACGCAGGGGAGCAGAGCACGCTATCCGCGGACTTTGTCCCGGCTGACCGGGAAGAACGAGCGAAACTGCACGACGAACTTCTCCAACGTATGGAAGCGCTCCAAGAGGAGCGACGGCGGATTATCGATATCCACAGCCGCCAAATTATGGCAGCTGTGCTGGCTCGGCACCAAGCCGGCGCAGTATACATGCCTACTGATTCTGATACCAACCGCTCGAAAGGCAAAACGTCCTCATTCGACACAGCGGTTCAGCAGAATGAAGGTGCGCATTCTCAAGTGCACTCGACCGATGCTGCCTCAGAGGGGCCGCGTCCCAGTACAGGAGGCCAAGGAGTCGTTGGTGGAACCCTGGGCTCTCCGACAATATCCTCATCGGGACGATTGCGCACCCCGAGTCAGCGGTTTTCGCAACAACCAGGCGAGCGGCTCGATGGTACGACGATTTTGCGACGGTTCCCTCAAATGCGATTCTGTGCTCGGGTCCTCAAAGAAATTATGAAAATGAAAGAGGCGCGTGCTTTTCTGCTTCCAGTTGATAAGCTCTGGAATCCGGATGCCATCCCGGACTATTTCGAGATCATTAAGCAGCCCATGGATTTGGGGACAGTTCGCCAAAAGTTAGAGAGCGGCGAGTACGGCACCGATCCGGAGGCTTTTCGACGGGACGTCCGTCTCGTTTGGTCGAATGCTATGACTTACAACCCCCCAGACTCGGAGTATTATAACATCGCCAAAATGCTGAACGAAGCATTCGAACGCAAAATGCAGTTTTTGCCACCGCCCGGAGAAATACAGTCAACGCACAGTACGAGTCACCATGCCGTCTCACAAGCTGCAGCCAGGAAACGACAGCGCGGCTTGGCAGCGGCTTTTCGGCAAGGCAGCCATGCGGCAAAGGCGCGACGAGGAGGAGTTGATAGCGCACTCGCACGCAACACAGAACGCAGACGGCGTTCGACCGGCCGAAATGCTTCCCAAAGACCGTACACTGGCGAGGCCCCAGGATATGGATCCTACGTTAGCGGAGCCAACGAGCGGGGCCCTCATGAAGGCACGCCCGTGCGTCGATCTAGGAAGCGAATGGATCCATTCGAGCGAGTTCGAGAGCTCGAGCAGCGACTGGCCGCCTTGCAGAAAGAGAAACGCGAAGCCGAAGCGTTGCTATCAACGGCGTCGACAAGCGGACGCGGTGTCGCCGCATCTCCTCCGGTTTCCGCGGGCGGCTTACCGAGCCGCGATGCTATTGCGAGTCTCGCCAAAGTGCCAGTCACTCAACAGGAAATGGCGCAGTTGGCTGAAGACATAGGACGCCTCGATGGCCAGCAGCTGCGTCGTCTTGTCGAGCTATTCGGTTCTCGACCCGGTCTCTTGACGCGCGCGAGCTCCGGCGAGTATGAAATGAATATTCAACAGGCCAGCAATGAGACTTTGCGTGAGTTGCAGGCGTTCTGTAATGAATGCTTGCGCCCTGTCGGTCGAGACCTGGATCCGCTGCGAACGATGAGCCCTACGGCAGCGGGTGCACGCGTCGCGTCGATCAACCGAATGCTGCTCAAGTTGAATCACGAACTGGAGCGCGCCCGGAAAGCTGCAGCAAACGCGCAACGGCAACGGGACGTGGAGCACCTTGGTGCAGCGTCCTCTCCGTATTTCGCCGCTGGTAGTACCGAGGGGCGTACGCTCTACAACGGCGCTGGAGTACCGGCTTCGGGGCACCCGTCCACGATGCCGTATGCCCAGAGTGGTGGACTCGAAGCGCCATACCCTGCAGCAACAGCAACAACCGCTCTGGACGGAGGTAGTTCGATGAGTATCCATGACCATGCAAACGCCATGATGCCCGCCACTCCCCAGTATGAAATGAACGGGAGCGATGAAAGTTCTACGGAGCAGTCGCTCACCAGCGATGGGGACGAATACTAGTGTGCTGACGCGCACTGCGAGCCCGACCTTAGAGGCCGCTTTTGAACCCCCTCTGATCCCGTAAACGCATTGCCTTCGCTCTATTCGAGCATGTTATACATGCATTTGGGTTCCAGGAGCCTGCTGGAAGCGCTCGCGTCGAACGAGACCCTTGAATGTTCGTATGGGAACGAAGCGAGCCTTCTCATGTGAGCTCCTTGGCCTGCGTAACGCGACCTCACCATCAAACATTGAGTCGGATTTTGAGCTCGCTAGGCAGACTCTCGGACCCCTGGTGCAGCTTCCAGCCACTCGGAACGCGGTCGTCCAGACTCCCACCCAACGTTCCGAACTGGTTTGAGGATCTCCTGGACGCCCTTCAGGAGCATATCGTCTAGAGGCTTTGCCAAGGCCTGCATGTTCTTCCTCAGTGTTATCGTGCCATCGATGCCCACGAGGGTGCTCGCCACGTCGTCCTGAGCGAATCGCTGGACCGCGAACTGCAACGCAACCTCTGCCAGGTCTGTGGATATACCCGCATTCACTTGCTGACTTGCTAACCACGCTGCAGCAGTTCGGCAACACGCTTTGAGTTCAGGTGGTGCCGGATGCCATGCAGGTGGACCGTCCGGCGTCAATAACCCCATACTAAGCGGAGATGCATTCAGGACACCAATGTTCTGCTCTCGGAGGTACGCGAGCACGCCGCTATCGCGTAACGACGTATCACAGAGGCATCCATGGCAGTAACTTAGCACGACATCAAGCTCCACGGTACTGGCCTCGATAATGTCGCGATAGATAGCTAAAGGATAACCCGTTACGCCGAGTGCGCCGATAACCCCCTCTTGTTTCAGCTGGCACAGGGCCGGGAGCGCTTCCTCCACGATTAAACGTCTGGACGGTGCGAACTCTACATCGTGACACTGAACCAGGTCCAAGCGCCGAACACCAAGGCGTTCCATGGATTCCTCCACGCTGCGCCGAACACGTTCCTTGGAAAAGTCGAAGTTGTTCGGGCCGTACCTGCCTACCTTTGTCGCGAGAACGTAGTCGTCTCGTTCACCGAGTTGTGCGAGCGCTTTTCCGAGGACACGTTCCGACCGAGTACTTCCATAGTACGGAGAAGTGTCGAAAAAGTTAATGCCAAAGTCGTGCAGAGCCTGGTACACGGCAGCGCAGGCGTCTGTTTCGTCGATGTCCTCACGGAAAACGCCACCGAGCGGCGATGCTCCGAAGCCTACAACAGAAACTCGTAAGCCAGTCTGACCCAGTTCTCGCTTTTGTACGCGGAGCTTTGCTTGCCCCGGTTGCTCTGTTGATTGTAACTTTTCAGTGGAACTGGTCATCGCCACTGGACGGCAACAGAGGCAGAGGTTTTCTGGCGGCGAAGAACGTCATCGATAAAACGAATGATCATCCTACGATGGTGGGTAGTAAATGAATACCGACGTACAGACACCCCCGCGTCATTTTGGACTGGCCGTTTGCTATCTGTTTGGGCTTCTCCTTGTTAGCTTCGAGCATGAGAAGCTGCTCCATAGATTTGTATCTCGTCAGCTCTACGGGCCTCGTCTTCAGCACCGCATATCGTCTGATATTGAAAGCAGCTACAAGTCTCGGTTCACGAACTTGATGCATTCATTGCAGCTGGTGGAACGCTCCGATGAAAGGAATCCTCGAACTCGGGCCCTCTGGGGCATTTGCGACTGTGTCAGCTCTCTGTGCTTTTCTATCCCCGAAGCGTTCGGCGGCCTTCTCTCCATGTCGACTTTCTGAGGTGCACACTCTAACTCGTTCCTTGGATTTTTTTATTTGGAAATAAACGTTCTCTGTTATGGCCTTAGGTGAGGACGTTCCCTGAGGTAGATGAACGTGCGGAAGAAACACGAAATGCGCCCTAGTGTGGCATTGTGTGCTGAACGCTTCAGCGAATCGAAGAGTGCAGCTATCATGAAATGCAACGATCGAAAAGACTCCTTTGATAGGAATGAAGCACGGCATGTACGGGGGCATGATACGCAGCTCTGCCCCGATACCATCGGTGAACGCTCGAACGCAACGAGAATTCTCAAATGCACGGTGTCCTGTGAGAGGACGTCGCCGAGCGTCGGGGAAAAGTCTTCAATGATGCGACAAAGGGGTTGATGCTGGTGTATGAGCCTTCTCTACTAGCGAAACTGAGGCGGCCAAATGAGCTCACTACAGCTAGAACAGAGAATGCCGTCGTTCTCGTCGAGCTCGATTGTACGTAGAACGGGCTTCCTACTCCGCGAATACCCATACAAGCTCCAACTGTCTCGTTCGAAGAAGGTCTCGTCGACTGAAAAATAAACCGAATCTTCTCTTCTTCAGAACGATCGTGACGTTCCAAGAATACTGCAGTAGTACCGATTTCGGTTAGGGATGGCTGTGCAAGAACTAGAACCCTTTTTTGCAACTGTACCCCAGTGTTTTCAGGACCACGCGAACGTACTGTTGAGAAACAGAGACGCCTTTAGTGGCTACGATCGTCGCTTTTGTTTTCCGCACGGTGATCAACGAGTCGTTTATATACCAGAGACCGCAAGCAAGCTATGAGAATATCGGTTTTGACATGAGAAGCATGTACTTGTTTCTATAGGTGTTCCTCAATCATAAGAATATTGAGGTATGACTGACCTGAATAAGGAATGCAGTCATTCCGGTACTGTTCCGTAAAGGATATATGCGATAGACGACGCATATTGGACCGCTAAGATACATTGCATCCCGATACCGATCTCCTGCTGTATACTGCAGCGGGGGTTGACGCGAAACTAAGTTGAAAGACGATACATGTCGCAGATGGAAGTAAAAAACGCATGAGAATGACATATACAATGACTACTGCATGTGCCCAGGTGGGGAACCCATTGACTAAAATATCTGTTTAGATGGATTATGCACTGGCGATAACAAGAACGCTGCCGAAGGATACGATGAACCAGGTGTACATCGCCGGATGAGACTTCGCAGATACGACGCGTTGATGAGATGCAACTTACCTGCTTATTCAAAGGCGCTGTTTCAGCTGAGGCTGTCTCTGCGAGCACACAGACTTGTACTGCCTAACACTCACATTCACGCTGCTTATGTTCATATTCTGCCGTTGAAACGTTAAAAGCTCGTGTTTCTCTAGTTGCAGAGGTCGCGCTCCTGGTTGCTCGTTGCATTCGTCGAGGCTGGCAACGGCGCTCAGGCGGAGTGAGCTTCACGCTGGAAGCCGTTCCCGCGTCGTCGTCGTCGTCGTCATCTGCTTACGAGCAATGCCCCGTGTGCGAGTTCCCCGCCTGTGGCATCGAAAGCCGTACCACTTGACGTTGGTGCGGCGCTTCAGCCCGACAAACACCCCACTTGGCACGAGCGCGGCATCCACGCTGCCAGGTGAGCGACGCCTGCAGTGGCTGCCAGCTCTCGGTGAACCGCTCTACTGGTATCAGTGCGGCCCGACTGTATACGATGACGCTCACTTAGGACACGCTCGAACCTATGTTACCTTCGATATGGTGCGTCGTGTCATCCGGGAATGGTACCAGTGTTTGCCAATAACTGCAATGAGTGTGACGGATGTCGATGATAAGATCATCGAGCGGGCTCGCCAGCAACGACTACCGAACGAGTCCATTGGACAAACGTGTTCAAGAATTGCCGCTATTTTTGAAAAGCGTTTCTTCGAAGATCTCGACTTGCTTGGAGTACTGCGGCCGCTTCATATTCTGCGGGTTAGCGAGCATATACCGGTGATCTGCGCCTTTACAAGGCGGCTACTCGATACGGAATACGCCTATGTAACCACATCAGGAGACGTTTGCTTTGATACTAGTCGTGTCCAGTCTCGGTACGGCGTTCTTGATGCCAGTCGGGCGCTTGACGCGAGTCATGCCGGTACCGCCACTGAAACCGCCGCAAACACACCAGCGGCCGACAACGTCCCTGGCAAACGCCATCCTGCTGACTTTGCGCTCTGGAAGGCCGTCTCAGCAACGGACGAGGAGCCTGGTTGGCCTTTTTACGTACCAGATGGTGCCAATGATGATCAGAAACGCATTGGTTACGGCAGACCAGGTTGGCACATTGAGTGCAGCGCAATGTGTGCCCATGTGTTCGGTACACATCTCGACCTGCATAGCGGCGGTATGGACTTGCGATTTCCTCATCATGAGAATGAATTGCATCTGAGCGAGTGTTATCACCGGGTACGCCCCTGGTGCCGAAAATGGATGCACACAGGCACGCTCCTGATTCGAGGAGAGAAAATGGCCAAATCACGTGGCAACTCCAGGCGCATTAGGGATTATTTGGGATGGAGCGAACAAGGCCCGAATGACTTGATGCGCATACGCAGAGAAGCGGACGTATTTCGAATGTTCTGTGCAATGCATCGACACAGCACTCCGGTTGAGTTCGGTGACACGCAGCGACTGCAGGCGGCACGTATCTGGGATCGACTGACTGGCTGGTTGGCTCGAATAGCCAATGACGCGCGTTCGCAGTCTCGCAAAGAGTCATCTAGAGCTCTCAGTGTCGCTGGTCAAGAGTCCATTGCAACTGCGGACGCATCCATAGAGGGAGACATTCCGAGCACGCACTGGCAGCCGTCGTTCGCTGTAGCTTCTGGTGAACATGTTGCCGATGTTGACGCAGTGCCGGATGTCTTTAGCTCGAGTCATACACAAGCTGCGATTCCGAGGAATCCAACCGGACGCAAAGTCCCAGCACAACTCGCGGAATGGTCTCAGAGATGTCACCGGGCACTCGCAGAAGCCTTTGCGGATGACCTCGACTTTCCGCGAGCTGTGCGGGCTCTTGTAGAATTCACCAACCAATTGTATCGTTTCGAAAGCGGACGTCGCCTTGATCGCATGGACGCTGTAGAGCACAACGCAGTGCTTGTCGCTAGCGAGTACCTCGCGAGTATCTTGCGTCTCCTGGGCTTTCAGAGCATTCCGGGAGTTTCAAGTGCAAACGCGCAGGCATCTGCATCACGCGTGCCGACAGCGTTTATCGCGGCACTGGTTGACTTTCGTATGCGTATTCGCAACCTCGCAAAGCAGCTACGGCAGGATACAGCACAGCCAACGCAGAAGGCCACCGAGGCACTCTACGGTTTGAGTGATATGTTGCGCGATGATATTTTGTTTCGACTAGGTGCGATTCACATCGAGGATCGCAAAGACAATGCGAGCCGCTGGTGGATCGATCCTGTTCGAGCCGACGATAACGATCGTTGATGAGCATGCGCACTGGTATGAACTTGTATATACAAACTGCCGCAATCTAGCGTGTACCAGTATCTTCAACAACGATTACACGGTTTCGCGAGCAAGAAGCGGCTGGTGCTATGATGGAACCGGCTGCATATCCCAAGGAAAACGCTTTGCTATCATCTGACTTGGAATTTCTCACGAGCGTCTGAATTGGACAGGTTCAGAGGCTCCATCTTCATCTTGATTGTCATACATATATCTGCGTGAGCGCGAGGTCCTGCTCTCGCGGCAACTGAGGACGGCTTGTTGGGGTCAGCTACGGGGGAGCGGCAGCTCATTCGAACCACGTTTGGGAAATGTTCTGAGCGAACGCGGCAGCGCTCGTAATGATCGTTTCATTGGACTTTGGAGCTTTCCCTGGTAGCATGTGCTTCCCTGCTACATTCAGTCGTATAGAATCGTGGAGCACCATGGCCGACTGCTTATCGCATAAGAAACCCTTTCCGGAGTAGGTACGCGACGCTCGAGCTGTTCTAGATTGCTGAACCGTTCTTTACTAGTGTCCTGCTTGAGGCGCGAAGCCTGTGGCGGCTCTGCTCTAGCAACTCATTTGAATCGCATGTCTGGAGCATTTCAGCGCAATGCCTACACTGAGTGCTATGCAATGCGCTCGATTTTCCTCGTCTTGTTGATCGGTTGAAAATGTGCCTGGTTGCTGGGCACTCTCCGAGGTCTCACAGAGTGCATACATCTTGAGGTTCTACCAGTCTTTATCGTCCATGAGATTTCGTATTTACTCCACCGCGTGACCCAGGCACCTTGCACGATCTCCGCCAAGTATCGTCGTGAGGTAGCTTGAACGTCTCATACTTGCTCTCAGAGACTAGCTCAATCTTCGCGTCTTTACTTATGTGGCGGGATCGAAGATTTACGGCCGCTAGGCTCTCTCTACGTTTGTTTTCCCAGCGACTCTGACGCATACGAATGCACGATGGCACTGAAACTCGATTTTTCCACATACGTATCTACGATTCGTCAAGTACATTACCATCACCTAATCTATCGCCAAGAGGCCAATGAACCCCAGCACGCCTCTCCGTTGCCTTCCGCCCACGTCCAGTCAAGCAACAAAGCAATTTACGGGCGGTGAATGTAGAGGAAAACCTGCCGAAGAACACGTTGTCAAAGAGCGGTGTTACGGACGCGAAAGACCTCGTTATGGGTCAGTGCGTATGGAAATCGTGTTAGACAACAGTAAAGCCGCCTTCAACTGCACTGAAACTGAGAGCATACGCTGGCACAGAGCTTCTCAGCGTCAATCTCAGTCGCTTGCTCTCTTATCGTTTTTTAGTGATGGAACGCGACGATGTCTAAGCGCTAGACGGAAGAATATGGGAAGGGCATGCCACGAGGGGTTCTTCGAGGAACGACAAGGCCTCGATCAATCCTGTTCTTTTGGCGACTTGGAGGCGACCACACGATCGCATCGCAGCTCGTGCAGATGTCGTCGGAATCCTCGATTGCCTCGTCTCTTCGAGCAGCGTGCTGCCGCTCTTTGAGTACCCATGTCCATGTCTACCATTTCTTCTGGATAAAGTCCCATCGAGTGAAACGGAAGCTGTTCCTTCTGTAATAAGCGTTCCTGTCTCATGACGAAATCGACAGAGTACTGTTCAACGCGCGACGGTATTTCATACAATCGTGCTTGATTCGTCGACAACCCGCGGCTCTTCATCGACGTTTGCATCAACGGAACGGAAACTTCACATCCTGTGCCTTCTTTGATCGTATTTCTTAGTGAACTTGTGATATGCGATGGATTGATAAGGGCAGCTTGATGTAGATTGTGTCGTACAAGCGCTGTTCAGGGCGCATCACTTTCAGGATTAGGGCATTACGAAGCGTGGTTCAGCCCCATGGTCACCCTAGCATACCGGACTTGTTCCAATCATGCCGCTTTCCATGCGCTCGCCATAACAGCGTTAAGTATTCTCGCAACTTTTTCTCCAATCTATAGAGATACATTCCTGTAATCGAATACCAGCGAGCAAAAAAAACAAACAAGAAGCGGACGCTGATCCAAGAGTTCCCGAAATGACTGTTCCAATCAAAACGCTGCGCTTCATGAGGCAGCTCACGTTGCGCCAACGCAAGAAAGTCCAGCTGGATAGCAGTAACCGTCGAGTTTGGGGTTAACGGGAGCGACTTCTGTAGCGATCGAACTGCATCGACGTGCTTGCGGTAGCGTTTAGGCTTCGTTCGAGTCCAGGGCTGGCCAGTGGGCTTCCCGTTGTTTCACAGCGCTCATGCTGGTTCATTTTCAACTTTAAGAACTTGGTTAGCGCTTCGCAAGCGTCCGTCGACCGCGGAACAGTTCCGGAACTCCATTGGTAGCGTTTTTTAGTTCTGTGTGCGAGGGACCTCAGCCTCGAGGAGCGTACGCTTCAACGTGTGTACCCGTCACGAGCGCTGCTGACAGACACCGAGACCCGATAGAGGGTTCATGAGTTCAGCGTTTCGTGGTGGCGAAACTGATGAGGTCGGCAGTATCCTGGTTCATGGTGGCGCACGACACGGACGTTCTGACGCTCTGGAGGCCGTAGCTTCCGACGAATGTGTGCCAGCTATCGAGACGCTTACAGCAACCACACCCGGCTTACCGCTAGCGATTCCGCGTCGAAGGTTGCGCAAACGTCACCGCATCCAAGAGACACAAACCCCTGAACCAATCCCTGCACTCACTCGCGTACGCACGCGAGCACCAAAGCGACATCAGGCACCGAGCGACGCTGGGTTCTATGTCCAGGCGCGACCACTGCGCTTCAAGGTGTCGCGAAGGTACCTTTTGCATCTTGCGAAACACGCCGGTCCCGAGCGTATCTGGAACATTCTGGTTGCGGGTCACTACCATCATGGAAAAACAAGCCTCATCGACTTGTTGGTAAGTCACCAGCTGCATCCGGCTGCAGCAACCCGTTACATGATAGGCCCGCGGCGACACCAGCAACAACCGCGCTGGACGGATACGCGTCGGGACGAACTCTCCCGAGGAATGTCGCTTCAGCTTGCTTTCATGCCGCTCTGGGTACCAGACGAGCACGGTGTATCTCAACTGGTGACGCTGATGGATGCTCCCGGACATGCAGACTTCTTCGATCAGGTTGTGGTGGGTGCAACGCTCGCAGATGCAGTGCTTCTGGTGGTCGACAGTGCCGAAGGCGTCCTGCTAGGTACAGAGCGAGTCGTCGCCTTGGCGCTGGAGATGTCGCTTCCGCTGATCCTGGTGTTGACGCAGCTCGACCGCTTGATACTTGAGTTGCGGTATCCGCCTGATGCCGTGTACCTTAAGTTGAAAGGCATCATCGATGCGCTCAACAGCCTTATTGAACGTTTGCAGCCTCAGAAGGTCCCGTACTTTGACCCAAGGCCACCACATGCCAATGTCCTATTCACGTCTGCAAAGCTGAACATAGCGTTCAGCCTCATGGACATTGTCGAGAAGTGGTATGGTTCGGCTTTGGAGGTGCAGCGTGAACGTTCGTGGACCGGTGGCGTTCAGGGCGCGCTCCGGAAGCGCCGAGCGAGGAAACGAACACTCGCTGCCTCGCTCTGGGGCGACCGGGTCTACGACAAGCCCACCGGCTTGTTTCTACGCAAAGCCGCTGTCGCCTGGACGCTGGGCACGGCAAAGCGATCATTTGTTGAGTTTGTTCTGGAGCCTCTCTACAAGACGATTGCACTATGTGCGACCCATGAGTCTGGGAGCGGATCGCTGGAGCAGCTGCTGGTCAATGTGCAAGCTCTGGGAACTCCGCGTGCTTTCGAGCCTCAAGCAGCATCGAGTCAGCGAGAGGCGCCTACGGATCTGGAGATGCTCCAGCAGGCGGCAGACTCAGGCCCATGGGCTCTTCTCCGTGTTGTCTTCGACATGGTACTGGGCTCGCCAACAGCGTTGTTTGGAACGCTGACCCGTCGTCGTCGCCACTCGAAATGGTTCCCGGAGCACTGCGCTGAGACGGAGACCACTGTGCTGGTAGCGACACACTGGCGTTCGCTGGACGGCACCGATACCGTTGCTGTGGGCCGTGTTTGCGGTGCACGACCGCTACGCGCTGATCAGCTGTTTGCAGTTCAACCGGGCGCTGACCGATGCAAGCCGTCGTCGGTAACAACAACAACAACAACAACAATGATCACGCAATTGCAGGTGGCTTTCGGACGCGTCTGGTACGACGTTGAGCAAGTCGCCGCCGGCGGTTTAGTGCTTCTGCCCAGGGTTTATCCGCCATCACGCGGAACCTACTGCTTTGGCCTCCGTTGTTCCGATGGACCGTACTCCAAGACGCTGGACGCGTGCGTTTATCGCTTGCACAGAGCGCTGGGCTATCACGCAATGCCTATCTACGGTATAGCGCTTGCACCGTGTTTGCCGGAGGTGCACAGAACTGCAGAGAGCTTGACGGCAGATTTGGTTGCGCAGTACAGCACCAGCACAGCGAGCGCTGAGCAGCTTCGCCAAGCTTTGGCAATTATTGTTCGAACACATCCCGCCACAGGATTTGATGGTAACGGTAGCGTTCATGGTGATGCAGCACACGGTTTTCGAACAGCTTCAACTGCTGGTGTTGTTTACGGCCCAGGGGAACTCTATCTGGATGTTATACTTCATGAGCTTCGTCGATATTTGGTGCAACGGCATTTGAGTCTGGTATGGCGTTGCCTGCGTACAAATCCGGTACCCTTTGTGGATGCGTTACGGGAAACGATCCAAGCCGGTGCAGCAAAAGTGCAAGTAGGCTTGCGAGGCCGTGATGGACGCACGCGGAGCGACCAGACTGCGTTGTGGTCGTCGCCAAAGTCATTCTTGGTTTCGGAAGACGAATTCTTCTCTCCCGAGCCCAACGAATGGAGCGACAACGAGGACGCGGCATTTCATCAGCCGCGAGTCGTGCTTTACGTGGAACCGGTGCACGCTTCGCGCCGGGCTCCAGCTCAGCAGGCAGGAGAGCCGAACGCGGGGCCTCACCCGGTAGTTGTGCATGCCCTGCATCCACTGCCGAATAGCGTTCGTTTTGAGCGACGGAGTCTACCTGCTGAGGCCGCTGTGCAGCCAGAAGCGCTCGAAGTGGAATTTGCAGCCGATCTGGATGGGACAACAGCGCCGTCTGGGCTGCCGGTGACACTCCAGGCCCTCTGGGAAGGTCTTCGGTTGGCGAGTCGGCGGGGTCCGCTTCTTCAAGGTCCTGTCGTTGGGGTTCGTTACCACGTGCGTGCTCTCGAGTGCATTTGCGGGAGCTCTGCCTGGGAAGCACCACCTCCATGTTGGTCCGCTTGGCATCGGATGCGAACTCGCCTGGTGCTCCTAGCTCGACAGGCAGCGCATAGGGCGCTTCTTGATGCCAAGATGCAGATTCTAGAGCCTTGCTTCCGTTTGCAAGCCGTGGTGCGCGCCGAAAAAGCCGAGCTCATTTGCCGTCGCTTGCGCAAGGCTTCTGAACTTGTCGAAATCCGGCAGCAGTGGCCCATTCCAGGCACCTGTTTCGTGATCGTTGACAGTGATGTTCCGGCGCGGGTGCTTGTTCCCGGCCTCGAAGTGATGTTGCGATTTCAGAGCCACGGGCAGGCAAGTGTGCAAGCAACTGTCGATCCAGCTGTCATGCCGACGTGCAGTGCCCGCTGGATTCCAGTTCCAGGTGATGCGGACAGTGTGGAATGCCCACCTCTAGAGGCAGTTGTTGCCTCGGACGACAGCACCGTAACCGAAAACACCCTTGCACCCTGGCTGGTGCGCATCGTACGAATGCGACGGGGACTCGGGACCGACCTCTGAGAGCCCTTGCTCCGGGAATAATCAAGGATTAGAATCGGGTTCGTTTGGAGGGTTTCGGATGTAGTGCGCGCTTCCAGGTCAGGTTGTTAGAGTTAGACAACAGCATGCCGCAGCAGCATGCGCCCTTTCAAGCAATACGCTTCCAGTGGCTCGCATCTCTCCTGTTTGCATAGAACAGGTTCGTGGGCTGGGAGTCCACTTGTTCGCCGGTCTGGATGCTCTTTCCAGAGCTTGTATCATCGCGGACAACATCTTGGTCAACAAGTCATTTATCAAATGGAACATCTTGCACTTGCACGTGCAGCACACAGCGTAGTCGTCGAGCGGCAACCGCATGAAGATGCCCGTGGGCGTAGGATACGGCACCGGGCGCCGAAGCGGATCCATGCATGAAATGGAGCCTTCTGCACCCGTCACCCATATGCACCGAGCGTTGAAGCGGGCGTTCACGTGCCACAGGATGGCGCTTGGTGGAGCGGATGTCGTAAAAGCTGGCAACACCTCTGCACCGTCAACGAGCACCGCTGCCCAGGGCGCACGGAGCCAGTGAACGAAGAAAATTGAGATGGCTAGCAAAGCGTATATCGCATTCTTCGTCTTCGCATCGAATGCGTCGATCGCAGCCGGGTGCTGAGAAATAGGACGCAAACGCTATCGTCAATACCTACGAACGGCTGACAAGGGTACCGGTACGGAAGAAGAGACCGGCGTAATGAAAGCCTGAGGAATGCGCGAGGAAACAGAATCCGTCGTAGAACAAAAAAGAGCGGCAAAAGGTTGGTATTGTTGATAACAATGCGAGGACACTCTTGCCCGAAAGTGCACGCCCGTGTGTGGAAACCTGTTCCATTTTACGCTGGCATGAGTGTAACGTGCACGCCCGAGTTAACAAAGTGGACCTGTTCTATTTGACGCTCACATGAGTCTAGACTACAAGATCGCAAATAACGCAGGGCGCCCTCTTGCTCTCTTGCGCTCTCTCGATGTATCCGTGCCATCCGCGTCTCTATAGCGACTGCTCCGCGAGTGCTACATTCCCTTCCCACGGCGTTTGAACCAGTTTAACACGCCGTACTTCCACCAGTCACCACCGAGTTCGGCAACTTTGCCTTGTCCGTAACAATGAATGCAGGTTCGCCTCCCTTTGCCGTGGCAAGCGGGGCACTCAATCACCTCACCGTTTGGTTTGTAAAAGTGTGAACCGTTGCAAATGTAGCAGATGCTCAAGCCCGTGCCCTTGCAGTCCGGACAGGTGATGACGTCGGAGGCCCCGCGAGTCTGTACACTAGGAGGACGCAAGTCCAAGTGCGGCCTACTACCGGTACCCTTGCGTCCGAACGGTGCAACAAAAATGTTTGCCCAGCTTGCACTCGAGCGAAGGGAGCGGCGACGCTCGCCACGGGTGCGCCCGCCCTCCCCGGGAGCGACGGCTTCCGAGCCGGTGCCACGACCAGAGGCTGCAACAGGTGTGGCCTCCTCGTCCGCGGAATCAGGTGGTCCGAGCGGCTCATCGGAAACCACGAGCTCGAACTCCTCATTCGGCTGGACGAGGTCCTGTGCTGCGCACTGTAGGCGTCGTACGGTGCAGCACTGCCTCAGGTGCTCCCTTCTTGGAGAAAAACAGCGAACACCAATTGAGCCAGGAAGTCCAGAGACAAACATGACCGTGACCGCAAACGAAGCAGTACCCAATGCGTCGACGAAGCAGTGTGCGCTTTTAGGGACGCGGTGTTGCAAAACGGAGCGATACAGATGTTCAGAGTTGATGAATAGGCAAAAGACCCGTCGAGAATTGGTGTGCGTCGGCGCAGGAGCCGCTCCCGGATGCAGGCACGCTCGCCGCACAGCTGGGGAGCGCTCCATTCCAATGATGTCCATCAATGTCCGGATTGCAAATGGACACCTGCCGCGAGCGGAGTACACACCTCGCAGAAGCAAACGTGCCTACCATATTTCATACCTTTCTATACTAAACGGACAATATATGAGAAATATCGCCCGAGCGCGTGTTGATCGGATGGTGCGCGCGATCCGCGATTCCAGCGCGCAATCGTCACGGAGGCGGCATATAGAGCCTTCGCGTTGCCGGAGCCGTGCGCACTGCATCCTGCAGGCGCCCTGGCGGCATTATCATCTCCGCCCCCAGATGCACACGGGCGATGCTACAGCCGACGATGCACCGACTGCATCATCGACGGGAAGCGTATCTGGCGCGTGGATGCTTATGAAGCTGTTTCGGCGGTGAGCAGCGTTCAGGGCCAGACTTACAGGCGGTTGCTAGAACGCGCCGCACCAGGTGCATGTTGACGGGTGCGCAGCCGCAGCCGCTAATCGCGAACCGTACTCCAGTCGTGCGTCGTCAGAGACCGGGACGTGGTGTCAGCGCTCGCAAACGCTCTCGTGATGCGGTTACGTTCTTTGAAATCGCAAACGGCTCGCCTACGGCCGACAAGGTCTCGTCGCATGAGTGTCCAGTCGAGCTAGTTACAGACGTTTGCGGGAATAGTGCAGCGTCTGAGGTACCTCATGAGTACGTGGTACGCATCCAAGGCCTTCGTGCGCTGGAGCAACAGCAACAGAAGCTGTGGATGCTTGTGCAAGCGCTAGAAAATAGTCTGGTAAAACTTCACTGTCGTGTTCGCGACGTAGAGGGGTCTCTGGCACAGATATGCTCCAGCCTATCGCCGAACAGTGCTTCTGAGACGGCGACAGGCACGAGCAAGGCGACGGACCAGAGCGACAGCGGCAGCGCGACCACGCTCAGCGCTGAGCCCACACAGCAGTCCGTTGCGCTGCAGACATCTGAGGAGCATGCGTCGACAGTGCCCGAGTCTCCTTCAGGTTGCTCTCCGAGACGGTTCGGAGAAGTAACCCAGCAGCAAAGAGCAAATGACTCAGCAGGAGCTGGCGCGATGTGCAACACTCCGCCCGCGCAACGCATTTACGACACACACCATGGTACCAGACGCTTTCGCTTGGTGTGGAGTCGAAAGAACTGGCAATGTTCGTGGATCCGGTTTTGGGGACCAGTGACGATCCACACGTTCGCAAGCAGCAACGAAAGTGCCATTTGCAGTCAGCTTCTGTTTCCGGAGGCGCTAAAAGCCCCGCAATTCCTTTGCGTTTGCGGTTTTTACCGTGAAAGCAATCGCTTCTGGATACGGACCACAGATGGAATCGAAGGCTTCTGGGCCAATGTGGAGCCGTCCCCAAACGGCGGTTTCCAAGACCCGCTTGGAAAGCTGATGCTGGCGGAGCGCGCTGAAACCGGTCATTGGCTGCATACGCGAGTCCTGCAAATGGATGACGACTGCCAAGTCGTGTTCTACGCAACTATTCGACGGGTCTGGGGACATCCGATCGATACCGTACAACTGGAATACGATGATGGGCGTTGCAGTCCGCCGCTTGCCATCTCAGCGATTCGATTCCAATGCGTAGCGGCGGAGCGCTTGCCCAAGCGCGAAACACTTCAACGGGCGGCATTCGAGGAGGAGCCATATCCATGGAATCAGTCGCGAGCTGGAGTACTGGATCGGACGCAAGCGCTCGTTGTGCAGCCGACACCAACCAAAACTCAACGGCCTTGGGCGGAGGACACTCGGATACCGCGCGACTAGTTGAAGCCTCCTGTTATGTGTGCCGAGTGCATTAAGTGCAGCCGCTGCCTCAGCGCGCATCCCCAAGATATCCTCGGTATGCGTACGCGGTTTTGGATTCGTATCGTGCCTGAGCAACGAAACGCTGTCCATGTGTTGCGCGTACGCTTGGAACCCAATCGATGTCCATGCGTCAGTTCTGGACGCGGATACGTTTTGCTTCCACACCAAAACCTCGATATAGTCGAATAGGTTTCTGCGCCAAAAGAGACGTTTTGTAGATTGGTATGCAGGAAATCAGGGGTATCAGGTGATCTGGAGCGCTGGCAAAGATAACGGGAGCGACGGCGCTCTCTTCGTTACAGGCACCTAGCTACAGCGCCAGCGCGTGGGCATGCTCTACTCAGTAATACCGAATCGCGGGAGATCATGAACATTCATCAATTGCCTTGGAGAAATGTTCCCGGAGTAAGTATACCACGCTTCAGCATTTCTCGATCGCTGGACCATGGCCCACCAATGCCTTACTCAATACGGAAAGCCAGTGTCCTCTCTTCTGAACACTGGTTTATTCCATTTCTAGTCGCCGGCATTTCAGCACAATGTCTATAGAAACGACGAAACGATTCCGTGTCTGAAAAGCTCGCTGGACACTAGAACGCCGGACGCTCCAGCAGCGCGACGCTTTTCTAGACGTTGAGGGATGTGTTCAAGTCCAGGGGCAGAAAGTGCTTGCGCGCACGGTCGCTGGTAGAATCACGCCATAGCAAGCTGCTTACATTCGATAACCTCGCCAGCTGACGTTCGGCTTGCTCAACGTGCACCAGCTCGTGTATCCGTCTCTTTCTCATGCTGTTCTCGCCCATCAGTTTCAGCGTGCAGCCGTGCTCGTGATGCGTTGACGTCGTCGTGATGCCTCGACGGGACACGTAGGGCATCGAGTCCTGCATTCGCTCTACGCTCTCGTCGAAGGATCAGGAGTGCAGCATGTCAAGGGCGAGAAGCCGCCGCCAGACGAAGCAAATCGTCGGTAATTTTGTTTTCCAATTGATTGAACAAGTTCGCGAAAGCACGCTTCATGCCTCCGTAGAACGGAAACCGCTGGCGACCTCAAGGCGGTCTGGTGTACTTGTGCTAGGGATGGTCTGCATGAACCGTATGCACGCTCACGTACTCTTGCAATGAAGCGCACAAAGCATCGTCCGATGCTCGACACGGGTCTGACCCCGCCCAGATGAATGCCAAGTCTTTACTCTAGTTGTTGGTATGCACCACGGCGTCTGTGATGCCCGAATCTCGATCAGTTTGAACTCAGAACAAGTCGAGGAGCTTGATCTGTTTGTCTGCCGGGTCTTTGGAACCGCACTCTTGATATAGAGGTACCACGACGGCCATGATGCTCTTCAACCAGGGATCCACGCGTATCACCACGTCTTTCCCTGCACTTACCGCTGAAAATTGAGTCTTGTTGTTTTAGTCAGGCCTTGGTTTTACGAACTGTATTCAGACTGAGATTTCTCTGGTATTCATCGTCCGTGTACAATTCATTCCGATACTTTTCAGTATACGAGCGTCCATAAACGCGCTTCGCTACCGCATTTGACGAATTCGGTCGAGCACAGCATTGTTATACCCAGAGACAGGCCGTACCCCATCGAGGAAGCTCCACAGTGCAGTAGGTAATCGCCTACGGCGGTATAATGGGCCTTAATCTCCCGAAATATGGGCCACATCGCATAGTCATTTGAGGAGGATACGACGCTCGGATCGAGAGAGGAAGTCTGTATCGCGTCGAGGAGCCTTGTTCAGGAAAACGTATTTGCGCGAGATCCACGAAACGTGGGTATCACGTTTCCACTGTCCTTTGGATGCAATGTGCGGCGGTCCGAGGTCGAGAGCAACCCTATGAGCACAGACGATACGAACCAGAACTCAGTACTACCGCGAGCTCTTTAGACATCACCAGGCCGTCGCTTGCCTCCATCGATAAGCTGGGGATCCCTGCAGACAGTCGCCCTCTCTGTCGCGATACGATAATGAGGGTCCACCGCGTACAATGCTTAGAGAGTGCGCATTGGGAAGCGTTCCGGATTCACCTGCATACGCTTTGCATCCTTGAACCTGGTCTGATGGCACTTCGCATATGCATTCTAGGTTTTTCGATCTTCGACGTCGCGTGGTGACGTGTCAAGTTATTCTGGGAAGCACCTGCGCCAATCCCTGGTCCTACCCCCCTACTGCATCGCATCTTCACTTCCTGCATCAAGTGTGCTGTCGCACGTCGGGCCGATCCAAAAATTCCATAGGAATATTCACAGCGTGCAGCCTTCCGTCCGTAACGCTCACGAACGTTTCCTTACCGAGGTGCTTCAGGGCGATAGAAGCTAGGCGAGAACTCCTCGCGTACGACGCTATACGGTCCCTGGTGGCGTCCCGCACCATTCGTTTACGCGAATGCGAACGACTCGTCTATTGGACCGTGCGCGTTGACCTTGCGTTCGACAACCGACGAGACGCCTTCGACTCAATTGAACCAAAGAGCATAGGCTGGTGCTATCAGCAGCTCAACGCCAATCACAGCTGCGTATGCCTTGACCGGGTTTTTTCTCGCGATGGACGGCGACGTTGTCCAACAGCAGGACAGAGGTATGTGCGAGGCAGAAGCCGCGAAGAATGCTTCAACGAAGGATGATGTCTTGAAGGATCCTATCTAGTTGGCGATTCAGAGGTGCCTATGCGATGGAATGGCTGCGACGGATGATATTCTCGGCATTTTCGCGTGTCTTTCCTTTACAAACAGCGGTTTTCCCTTTTTTTGAGTACCCATATCCAGGTCTACCATTGCATCTGAAGGAAGTTTGACTGAGCAAGACGAGCACCCGTCGCTGCTGTTGGAAGCATTCGCGTTTCATACGTCATCGATAGCGGGGTAGTCAATGCATCACAATCCTCAACAGAGGCGGACGTATTGTGCCTCCGTGTCTCCAAACCGCGGTTCGTAGCATGAGTGTAGAAACTTCAGACCCTGTGGCATGCTCCATAATCTTTCTACGAGAACATGTGATGTGGAATGGGGTTTCGAGGATACAGTCGTGTCGCTAACATGTAAAAAGTTCTGATGCCGGTGCATGATGCTCAGAACACGGGACTACGGAAAGGGTGGTCCATCCACTCGCTGACCTCAGAATGACAGAATCATGGAAGTATTGCCGTTTTTTCGCAAGCTTCAAGTGGCAGAATAAAACTCTTTCCGGAAACCTTCTTCACTCTGGGAAAGTGGCGTCCCATTCTTCGATTCCTGCGAGAAAAATAGAAACAGAGAAAAGGTTCGCTGGTGCAAGTACTCTCAAACTCGCTGCTCGAATTGAAAACGCTGTGTCCTGGAAAACGTGGCGATGCAGGCAAGCTGCAGTTCTCTGAAAGCATACACAAACGAAAGAAACCTGTGCAGGTAAATAGTCTCTTAGTCGACCGTCTTCTGAAATCGTGTTCCCTTGATGCACCCGCGAGTCCAGCCATTTCGACTAGCGCGGAGGTCTTTTCGCTGGAACCAGGTCTCTCCGCAACACAGAACGCTCTCAGTAAAGTTTCGCGAGTGCCTAGCGCGTCTCATACCGAACTCAACGACCTGACCATCTTTCCCAGAACACCATAGCGTCGGCATCAGCAGTGAGTTTCGCTAAAGTCTTCTCCTCTGAGCGTCAGAGAGCACTGCACTACACTACTCGGTAAAGAACGGTGCGGTGCGGTGCGGTACGGCACGGCATTGGATACTCGCTTTCGCTGCACTGTCAACCGCTGGTAGCCAGAGGCGCTGCAGGTACAGCTCTGCTCATGGTCTGGGCGCTCAGGTACCCCAGATCTGTCGTCCAAGCTCGTTGACAAGAAAAAACGCGAGGGCTCTTCACGAAAGTTCGGGCTCGTCGTTTAACGGACTAAACAGTTGACAGAGACGTGCCTTGGACGTCGCCCGCGACTCCTCGAGTCAGCTGGGGACCAGGCTCCTCCAAGTTGGCAGTGTCAGCGCTCGTATTCGAGCAGGTTTCCGACGAGGTAGCTAGCTGTTTAGGTCAGTGAACGGCGTAGCGTCCACCAGAGCCCGATTCGAAAGCAGCACAACGGTGCTCGAGTCGAGGACCATAGCGTGACACGCAAGCCTGCGCGCACACTACGCTGTCTCTGGAGGACAAAGGCCCGGGCAGCTACAGCAGCTCCGCCGCTCTACCCAAGGTCGCGTGCTTCATCAAAAGCGCCCGCTGGTACAAGGCAGCGCTCTCGATAAGACGTCTACCTGCGGACGCTTCGACTCGTACAACACGCGTATCCGCCGCGTACAGCGCGTTGATGGTGTGGCTCGGTGTTGCCGGTTGCGTCCACGGACGACTGGACTTTCTCTACGAGCAGTTTATCGAAGAAACGCACACACGGGGCATCCAATGTAAGCTCCTTTTATGCTGCGGAGACTTTCAAAGCATCCGCGATGAGGAGGACCTCAAAAGCATGTCATGTCCGCGTCAGTATCGGGAACTTGGGGACTTTCCCAAATACTACTCCGGCGAGAAGACCGCGCCCTGCCTTACCATATTCATTGGCGGGAATCACGAGGCCTCGCGTTATCTGCAGGAGATCCCGCTCGGAGGCTGGGTTGCACCGCGAATCTTCTACCTCGGTCGAGCGGGGATCCTGCGCAATGCCCGTCATGACTATCGAATTGGCGGTATCAGCGGCATTTACTACCCGAAAGATTATTTTCGACCGCGTGATGAAGGCGTCCTTCTCCATGGTTCACAGATTCACACTGTGTATCACACGCGCAAGACCGAATGGCGTCTGCTTTTGCATGCACTCCACTGGAACGCGTTCTATGGTGGTTCGTTTTCTCCGGAGACCGACATCGCTTCTCGGGACCGGTGCCATGTCTTCCTATCTCATGATTGGCCGCGTGGTGTCATGGCGTACGGTGACTGCTCCACGCTGTGGACGCGCAAGCAGTGGATGCAACGGGCACACCAGCGCGGTATAGACGGGTCGCCGGCCCTCGCGGAACTCATGGAGAGCAGCGCCGCTCCCCGGTACTGGTTTGCGGCGCACCATCACTGCCGGTTTGCGGCATCAACACCACAGGGTACCTCCTTTACTGCTTTGGATCAGACGCTTCCCGGGTGTCCGTTCCTCACGTTCGTTGAGTTACCGGGCGCCGAATCCGCTGATCCGGTGTCAGATATGGAATATGATCTGCGGTGGCTTCGTTGCGTACAGCGCCATTATCGAGGCGAGCGGGAACCGAGCGGCTCGATCAGTCTGGCAGCTTTGCAGCGCGTATTTGAAAGCACTCGACAGAAGCGAGCGTCCGAGACACCAGCACCGGGATACGGAAATGAAACGGCGCCGAATCCGCAGACATCGTTTCTCCTGGGTGAGCTCGGTATCAGTTGGGAGCGGCTCTACAACGTGGATGGGGTTCAGGCGAATCCGCAATAGACAGGCGGCAGCGCATGAGCGCCGATGCCCCCGGTAACTCGGCATCTGTAGCGAGGCAGAGTCGGTGAAATCGCGTTTCGGGCAGCGAGTGCCTTTTTTCTCCGCTGCATCCATAGTATTATCTGGAAGCCGCCAGCAGCGGTATGTATCCGTTTCAGTAGATTTCTTCTCGAAGGGTATGCTGTGAGTAAATGAATCGTTCTGCTTTTTGCAGCGTGCAGCTGGAAAGGATTTGCAACGCGCTGCAAACCGGTGATTGACAAGTGGCATGGGTGCACACGCTGCGCAGACCTTGGTTGACAGCGTGCACCAGTGCATCCCAGGGTACCGTACGAACAGAAATCAGCGGCTGAGGCGGCGCGACGGCAGGCGTGGAGACTTGCACAGCATCCCGGTACTGGCTGCCTCGAATACTTGCTTGGTATGGAGTCAAGAAAATCATTGCCCCGTGGACCCGCGAACGGTTTGGATGTAGCGAGCGTTCAGCAACGGTATCGCATACCTGTTGACCGAATGAGGCGCGCTCGTGCAGCGTGATACACACATGCGAGACTTGCGTGGAATGAACTCACACACAGCCAACACGGGCGAACAAACAAAAGCTTGCGAAGCGTCGCCGTGTCATCAACTGCAGCCTTTGCGAGCGATTTCCGCGATCGCTTCCTTGTCCTACTTGCTATCGCCGGCTTTACGTACGCTGGTCTCGCCAGTCCGCTTGTCAGCGGTCGAACGCTATTGATCCCAGCGTGCAAGCTCCAATGTGGAAGATTCGGGCCGTTGTCGATGCATTTCATGGACCGATGGAAATAGAGATCTACACTTCGCTTCTCATGTCCATCTTCTTTGGATGCAGCTGCGGTGCGCTTTTCGGAGCGGCGACACTTGACGGCGTTCAGGGGTTTGCATAGGTCCACAGCACCTCATTCGCCTCCGAGAGTCACCCTGTGGTGCGTGAAGGCTTTCTGTGTCCGTCCCTACACGCTATTGACGGGTATGGAAGGCTCCCGTCGATACCCTCTTCCGTTTTCGCACCCGCTGTCGTATGCTACGATCACGTGCTTCTCACTGGCGATGCCCCCGGCAAGTACGCTGTTCCATTCGGTGGAGGTATTGTGGTACGTGATATGGTCCATGGGGAATTAAGCATCCGAATTAGAATCCAGGCTGGAAAACAAGTTGAGAAATCTCGATCGGTTCATGCTCCTTCCGAGCAATGCGATGACGCACTCTCCGCTGGAGGCGTTTCGTCGATATGCCAACTTAAATGGACTTGCGGCATGAGCACGTGAGGACGCCCTCAAGCGACGACGACGTCGTCGAGTTTTGCGTTCCTCGTGAGTCTAGCGGCGCGAATGGTTGCGCCCACAATTGAACTTGAGGCAGACAGATCGGAAACCTGAAGCATACATGCTCCATCCTGCCACAAATAGGGATGTTAGAAGAATGGAGTCTAGCATGTATGGTTGGAATAATGACATCGTTTATTTTACAAACCCTTGTTCGAAAATGTCGCGAATCATCGCCATTCCGGTGACGTAACAAATTCCAGTTGCAAGGCGTCCAAGGATCCACACCAAAATACACGACCGAAAATCCTAAAGCTACATATGTGCGCGTAAGCCTTTTTGCCTGCAGTTCAAATGTTGAGGCTGTATATGTAAAAGAGTTCGATCGGCAGCAACAGCGCAACCAGTTCATTGTTCCATTTTTACTCTGAGTCGCATGTGTAGCGCGTGTTCCGCGGAAGCGTGTCTCGCTCGATGGCATGGTGCGTTGCGCGCCCCGCTGCAACGACCCGCTTGTTTATACGTAAAACTAAAGCAGCGAATTCCTGGGCGCTGTTGTTGACGACGACGACGACGCCAGGTTTCGAAGACGTCTCTGTGTTTCTCTTCAGGTGACGAATCAGAAACATCAGGGGTGTCGATGCGCACGAACCTCTGTTCAGGTGAAAACGATCTGTGCTATGCGCGGAAACCGCCTGCGAATTCGACTCGAAATCTCCACTTTCACGGACTGAATCGCCGCTCCAGTGCCCATGAGGCGCAGGTTCACCACTGGTGCAGGTCCGTCTATGTTCGTCATGGACACCAGTTCGATAGAGCCACCCGCGATTTTCAAGAACGGGCGCACTTGGTCAAGGACTTGTTCCACACCCTCGGAAGACGGCTGCTCACCCGCGTCCTCCACAGCAACAACCGACTCTATCTCGGGTATTCGCTCTCGAAGCCGTTTTTCGATGCCCATCTTCATCGTCATCGTGGACGACGGGCACGACCCGCAGGCACCTTCCAGCTTGAGACGCACCGTCGCTCCGTCAATCTCCACTATAGACACATTCCCTCCATCTGCCATTAAATACGGCCGTAACTCATCGAGAACGACTTCCACGGACGCCTCACTGAGTGTCAACGGCTCCGAGGTTGCACTCATCTGGACGAGCGCCACACCATCGTGGCGAGCGGTTTGTAGCGCCGGTCGCCTCACCGTAGGACAACTCCGTAAACAACGCGCCCGTCGTGCAGGACTTGACTTGGACGCTGCCCCAAAGAAGCGACTTGCGACGACACGAGTACCCACGAAAGCCATTTTAACTGAACGTGAACAATACCGCGTGTACAACCAACGTTCAATAGGTGAAGCGAGCGCGCGGTTATCGCAGCCCTGGACTTGGCGAGGTTGTCACACCATCGTCGCGATCGTGACAGGCCTCGCCACTGGCCGTCGGGCAGCCATTCAGCGCATCATGCTGCGCGCGCGCCTCCTGCCGCTGCTGCAACGCATGGCCATGCTCTGTGTTGCTGGGGCGCCTCCTGCCGGCGATGGCGCGCAGCGATCTCGGTGATCATCGCACTGGCGGGAAGCCGTGCGCGCACCTATATGGATGCACAGACACACACCTGAGCGCAATGCCTTGAAAGCGATGCTTTCGTGTCGAGTTCCGAGTGCACGAAGCAAGCGTAAATGTGACGCTTGAGTGGCACCTGCTGCGCTGGCAGTCTTAGCCCGGATCCTAGAAGCATACATAATGATGTTGCGTTCGGTCCGCGGCCCCGACACGCTCGATCGCGAGAAGGAACCCCACGCCTATTCAAACAGGTGTGCATTCGCATCGTCACGGTTTAACGCTGAAACAGTCGCAACTGGGCTTCCATGACCCTGAGGCCGAGGAGGCGATCCAATTCTGAGCCTTTCCACAGGCGCGGTGGTCTCTGTTCACCGCCGTGACGCGAGCTGTATTTCCAGCAGGCATTGCACTGCGCCCTTTGCAATCTTCTGCCTGGGCTACCCGCGATTTGAGCCAAAAGCGTCGGAGAGTTGAGCCAGCCTTCCCCGATTTCGATGAGACCAAGCTCGTCGTCTTCCATCCGATGCCAGCTCGGCGCGTCATTGACTCCACAGTTGAGGCAGAACCGTGTTTCCTGCCGTTTCCGCCAAATAGATGCGATCTTAAAGGCGTCGAGTTCTGACGGTACACGCAGGCGTACAAGGAATCGGGTACGGGTTGCATCCGCTCGCACCGGCTGTTCGGTGAGCAGTCGCGGAAGGCGTAGATGTTCAGGAACTATTGATGCTCGAAGCGCGCTCTCCAATGAGACCCAGCCTGAGTGCGGCACAACCCGCTGTTGCCCCCGTGAGCGATCGAGCGCACGTTCTGAAGGTGACGACGACGTTGTCACCGGCGAGCCCGTCGCCATCGAAGGCGGTTTCCATTCAATATGATCTGGGGGCGGAATCGGCGTCGGTACTCTCGTCATAGGTGGTGACAACTCCGCACTGGTGGAAACCGGCGATATCTGATTAGATCTGATTGATTGTCGGGCATCTGGCTGAGTCCACTCGAAAACGTCTCCTCCATCGTGAACGGCAACGGCGGGCCGGAGCGGTCCGGCCTTCCACGACTGTTGCATGGGGAACGATGGTCGGGTGGCAGGCAGCCCGGCACCATCCCTGCTGAGTGGAGCCGTCGCACTGCGGAACGTGTCACCCGTATGGATACCAGTCGCTACATGTGACCCCTGATGCCCGTTCCGATATCGTTCGCTGGGTGTGACGATGGATTTGCCTTCAGCAAACACGCTTCTCGAGGCCTGTGGTTCCGTCGAGTGCGACGCGAGTCCTCGGCCCGGGGGCGCGTCGTGCGCGGAAAAACCGCCCGGCATCGAAGCTGTTGGTATTCTATCATCATCTATGACATGTACTCGAAGGGGGTTTCCAGCCATGATCATCACTGGCTGTTCTCTGTTGGTGCCTGAACCCTTGCTCTCAATCGAAATTCGCGTCCCCAGAGCACTCGAATACAGATTTCTGTTGTCCATGAAGTAAGCAAGCGTATTTCCCTCCGAGTTTCTTGAAGGAGCAGCGTGGACTTTGTCGTGGCTTCTCAAGCTCGTCGCGTCTGTCGAGGCGTTAGTCTCAGTCTGGCAAAGCCCGGACCCGCGCCGTTCTCCCAGAGTCGCGACAAAAGCGTCGCACGATATGTTTTTACGGGAAGGACAACGGTTTTGCGGGCCTCGAGGCTGGACCAAGGCACCGAGGGTAGCGCCAGAGTTCGTAGAACCCACCCCAAGCAAAACAAGACCGACGGCTCGTCGTTTCTTGCAGGACGGTTGGACAGAGAAATCTAAATAACTTCTTGAAAGATCGTAGAGAGCTATGCAGCCCCACGCGTTCCGGTTTCCCGTAAATACTTCAGTAACGGGACACGAAGCAAGTTGAACGACAAATCGGATGCGGGCCAGTGGACAGATCGCAATCCAAAGGCATGTCATCGCGGGTGCATTCGCCCAGCCTCTCGACGGCGAGGGCGCATTGGAAACGATGCAGCGCAACGTGACGTGCCGTATGCACGCGTCGCCACAAACCCCGATCCAACGTGCGCCACGTACTGGCTGCAGGGCCCGGCGACATCAACCCCACGGGGATGCCACTCGATACAGTCATCACGGGGACGTGACACACATGTGTCGCGCGCGATGGCCATCGTACTGATGGTGTGTCACGCGCCGCTGCAATCAGGTGGAATGCGAGCTTGCACGATCTCCTATGCACCGCGTGGCACCGTCCACCGGCCCGTGCGGCGGGATCGATCTGGTGCCCGCGCTGCCGGCGATGATGCGCGGTGCGTGTGCTGCCATCGGCACAGCGTGGCGCTCGGCTGCGATGCGCATATCGGGTACGTGCTCGGGAGTCGCAGAGGCTGTCAATTTCGCGACTTGTCAACGTTAAGGCCACGAATACTTTTTCATTGAAGCATATTTGATAACAGTGCGACGCAGTCTGCCTCGGTGGCAGTTGCTCCACTCGGGTTTATTGAGGTGGTCGGTGCTGCGCTCGCTGCAAACGTGCGCTGGTGCTCGCGAGTCGGGCTGTGAGGGCTCGTAAACGTACGCGCACCAGGCTGATGTGGACACTACGGATCGATAGGGAACTGTTTGAGGATGGTACTCCTTGGAAGCGACGGTTTGGTCTGGGACGTTCGAACTGGACTGTAACGGCCAGCGGTAAGGCTTCTGTTGTAGGCAGATTTGAAACCTGTTGACTGGAGGTGGCGGAACGGCGTCACAACTGGGTATCGCGGAGAATCGCGTATCTTTCATGAACGATAGCAATTGGGTATCCGAGGATTCCACTGAGAACCAATGATTCGCTCCATAAGACTTTTGGGTCTTTCAGAAGAATTCGGAGTGACGCCCACGCACCGATGGCGTCACTGCATGCTTCGCAGTGCAAGCGCACGAACTCCCCAACACTGGGATTTCAGTACATGAGACTCGACGGAGAAGAAATTATCAGAGAAACAATACAGGATTTCATGTTGAAAGCATGCACGGGAACCTATCCGATGCTTCTCAAGAAATGAAAAACGGATATTCATGGGACCGAACGCGCCTCTGTGCGAGAAAAGAGGTTGCTCGAGTTTGCAGCAATGGATCGTGCATCGTATTCTATCCATGCAAAGTGTCGCTCGGCATGCGATCCGGTCTCCAGGGACGTTGGACGAAAAACCCTTACAAGGTGTCGAAGATGTAGCCATTCGGTGCAGTTGCGGTTTCAATGGACGCTATTGCATCCAATTGCAGAGCGCACCGAAGGCTTCTCGTATGCATCCATCGGGATACATGGGGCGTGCCGCACGAGGTCGTCGGCCCCGGTGCCCGCTGCGCCTTCAGACTTTAGGCATACGTCACGCGATACCCACTAGAGCGTGAACGTGCGCTCGTGTCCTGCACGCTGGTCATGGAGCGCACGCCGACTAGCACGCTTATGTTTAGCTCCTGCGCACCTGGTACCCGAAACTGCCATCGTCGCAATGCAGGCATCCGCGCTAACATTGCTCGTCTCTAGAGCATGTTGAATCAACATGGAACACTGAACCGCTTCCATTCTTCCTCGACTTCGATGTATTTTCCGAACCATTTTCATAGGTGTATAGATTCGACGTTGCGTGTGCGGGATTCATGGATTCCGGTTTCATGATTCGTTTTGGGATTCTCGGGTGTCTCTTGATCAGCGTGGCTCTTTCGACGCATCGGCGCTGGAACTCGCAACGGTATCGGAATCAAAGGCGTACGCGACGCGCTCAAACAACGGTTCGTACAACAAGTGAGATCATTACGCGACTCAGAGGTACGAGCCTCGACGCTTCTGCTTTCCGTTGGCGAGGTGTCCGCACATCGCGCACGGTTCATGTGTTCGATTTTTCGGATGCAAGAGTGGACTGGGGCGCAGCTATTCGCGCTGCTGGACTGCTGAGGTAACGTACGCGATGTCGCGCGTTGACGATTTGTTCCCGAGCGTGTGCGGAAGCCACACTGAACTCTTCACGTCCGATGCTCGATTCCGCTCGAACGACGTATGCTCCAGGCGTTGCAGTCGTCGACGAGGGTTCGTAATTCGACAGTACACTCGTAGCTCTCACGTGATTAGCTCGCAGAGGCTCCCGTCGCTTGTATTCGCATGGACAAGAGTGCTGGGCTCTGTCTTCAGTCATCGCAGAGATTCCTTCGAGTGAAAACTGCATCACCGGTTTGTGCAAGAATGAGTTAGGCGAAGCGAAATCTCTCCAAGTGTTCTCCGTCGTAGATTTCGCTCCAGCTGCACGTTTCCCCGTGGAGCACGAGGCGTTCCATATATCCTCTGTGGAATGGAGCGGTGTGCTTATCGGGGTTAGACCAGTCGGAAGCAACCCTCACTGGTCGTGCACCGCACCGGACACGGATTTGGAGCAGCGTATCGCAGGATGCCTCCTGCAACCGCCAATGGCTGGTACCGAGCGATGATTCAAACGGTCATCCAAGGAAGAGCGACCGCCAGACGAGGAGCTGCTGTGGACACTCGCTGGCACACCTGTCTGCATTCGTGCATGAACGTTGCGAAGTGCGTCTGGAGGCTGCATAGAAAGACAGTGAAAATTGCAAGCGAAGCTCGGATCGCAACTTGCGCCTCTGCATGAATAGCGTCGACAAAGGCGGGAAGCGGCGCAATCGGGACACGAACGCTGCCATCAGTATTCATCTGCTTGCGAAGATGGAGATGAAGGCAGAACAGATATCCGCATATTTTATGCTGGAGGTTTAGCGTACGGACAGGTTATCCGTCGCAGAGAAATCCCACAAAAGGCCTATATTGATAGCGTTAGAGTGCAGCCCAATCTATATACAACGTAAACCTCATTAATCTGAAAACAACCCGCTCCACTCCATCCCCTCATGATTGCCGTTAAACGATGTTCCGCTGACCTGCGGGTTGTCGGCTCCCGACAACAACGTCTCTCCACTCCATCCCCTCATGATTGCCGTTAAACGATGTTCCGCTGACCTGCGGGTTGTCGGCTCCCGACAACAACGTCTCTCCACTCCATTCCCTCATGATTGCCGCTAAGCGATGTTCCGCTGACCTGCGGGTTGTCGGCTCCCGACAACAACCCGCTCCACTCCATCCCCTCATGATTGCCGTTAAACGATGTTCCGCTGACCTGCGGGTTGTCGGCTCCCGACAACAACGTCTCTCCACTCCATTCCCTCATGATTGCCGCTAAGCGATGTTCCGCTGACCTGCGGGTTGTCGGCTCCCGACAACAACCCGCTCCACTCCATCCCCTCATGATTGCCGTTAAACGATGTTCCGCTGACCTGCGGGTTGTCGGCTCCCGACAACAACGTCTTGCCGGCCGGCGAGCAGTACGCTAACGCATCGCATGCTTCGATGGGCGCCTGTCCGACGCTGCACTGGACACCGACGCATTATCCGTTCGTCACAAAGGTGCCCTGTGCGACAGCGTTCCGCTGGGCAGCTACTAAGGTGAATCGGAAACGCTTGCATGGCATCGAAAATAGTTGCACAGCTTATTATATATGGTGGACAGTTTCTTCTCAGAGGCTTGGCCGAAGCATACCGACAAGCGCTTGCAAACGCACAGTCCACGGGTGCGGCACAGTCTGCTGCAGCGAACGCAGTACGACGTGGGCGCATGACCGTCGAGGAGGCGTACCGAATAGTAGGTGCCACACCAGGAACCTCACCAGAGCACATAGCGGAGCGACTGAGGCGACTTTATACCTTGAACGATCCAAAGAACGGTGGATCTCTATACTTACAGGCCAAAGTGTACACTGCGCAACGTACGTTAGAGGAAGCGTTAAAGCGAAGCTTTGAATTACCGCTCGAGGACAAAGGTGATAGCGCCAAGCACCACACAGCAAGTCAACAAGGGAGTGAGCGCTAGCGAGTAACCGCTGTTGGCGTCTCGAACAAGTCCGCGAACACCGAAGCCAGTTCGGCTACGCCTGCGCACTGGTCTTCAGGTGAAGTGGCCACGTACGAGAGCATGACAAGTCGCTGGAGTAGGGTGTTGGCTTTGGTATACCATCTGCAATGGGCCCAAGTTTCGTCGTCGATACTCAGGAATCCTTGATTTCCAGTATCTGTTGCTGTAGGTGTCGTTGTTGAGGTGGAGGCATCTCCGCTGAACACTCCGCGAAACTGCAACGCGCGTGTGACCACAGCGCTGGGGAGTCCGGCTTGGGCAGCAACTTCGGCCCCGTAACGAGAAGACGCTGGCGCACCCTCTACAAGCTTGTAATCATGATAGAGCGTGCCATTCTCCACTCGTGACTGTAGGTGCATCACATGGACGTTAGGAAGGTACGTTTGCGTCCGCGCAAGCTCGCTGAAGTGTGTGGCAAAGATGATATGTGCGGTCGTATCAGAAAGGTACTCGAGCATCGCCCAGGCGATGGATTTGCCATCAAGCGAGCCGGTCGAGCGTCCGACTTCATCGAATAAGACAAGTTTGTGAATGCGGCGCTCCTGGTCTAACGGATTTAATGCGCTGGAGAGCGCCTCTCCGTCAATGTAGTGAAGCGCGCTTGTGATTTCCCGCATCTCCATGGCAAACGAGGAGAGATTATGTTCCAGAGCGTCATCAGAGCGACTCCGCACCAGAAGCACGCTGTAGACAGGCATGGAGGCGAAAGCAGCTGGTACGAAGCACCCCATCTGGGCGAGCACCACAATGAGCGCTGTCTGTCTCATGTACACGGACTTGCCCGACGCGTTTGCACCGAAGAGAAGCATCACGTTATGAGCGTCATCTATATAGACATCGTTCGGTCTTGGTGGATCGCGCCGCTGTGCCTCGTACAGATGGGACAGGAGCAAATGGCGTCCATCCTTCATGGCCATGACATTGGTGTCGGGGAATTGTGGTCGCACCCACGGACACGAACTGCGGTCGCGCGCTCGTCGAATACATGTCGCCAGCGCGAGGGTGACGTCCAGTGCAGCCACGCAATCACAAAACTCGTGGATCGCGTGCGCTGAAGCGGTGCTCGTTGCCATTTCCGCCAGCTTGGAAAGTTCTTTGCTGCTCAAATGCCAGATTTCTGCCAGCGTCTCCTGGTACTGCATGTTCAAACGAATCAGCGCATCGGTTGTGAACAGGAGTTTTTTTCCTGAACGTACCGGATACCGTAAGAGAACGCCGCCGATCTCCGTGCGAGTAAGCGATTGCTGCACAGCGTCTCGCAAAGGCAAAACAAAGTGGTATCCGCGCAGCGTGCTGTACGCGACATGCAGACGAGGGCATCGCAACTGACCCTTGGTGGCCTCAGCGAGGTGATGTACGCTCGATACGGTGTCGGACAGCGCACGACGCGCAGCGTCGAGCAATGGATTGGCGCCAGCGCGCAGGGCAAAAGCAATATGCAAGCGATTTCGCTCGGTTGAACCGAGCTCGAGCTCTACTTCTGTCGTAGAGGCGAGACAGCGCCCCAGCTCATGGTGCAAATCGGTCAGTGCAGTGAGACGGGCAACGTTCCGGCACCATTCCAGAAGTACTGGTAAGGTCCTTGTACCGGTCTGGGTCGAGCGCTCTTCCAGGAACACATCGAGCGCTTCGCGTATGCGAAAGAGGCTGTCGAGTGCCCGTCTCAGTTGCCAGACGCTACGCACAAAGCGGAAGTCGACGACATGGTCGATGGATTGCGCCCCATGAACGCGCGCATCCCGAATATGGGACTGCGCCTGCATGCCCAACGATTCCCGTGCTCGCGGATAGATATGGAAAATCTGCGCGATCGTTCTTTCGACCGAGGGCGTCTGTCGAAGCGCCTCTTTAAGCTCGTAGTAAATCGCATCATTGCTGAGCATGAAATCTAGGGCATCCAGGCGCTCCTCGATGACGGTCCGATTCGCGGGTGGTTCGAGGATCGCGCGTCGCAGGGCGCGCGCGCCCTCGGCGGTCTGCGTGAAACGCAGCGTACGCTGTAGAGATATGTCTGCGTCGGTGCCGCTTTCCGAGTCGCCGCGCTCCACCAGTTCCAAGCAATGCACGGTGCATGAGTCCATGAAAAGCGCGTCCTCACAATTCGTGAACACGAATTGAACGGCCCTTGGTCGAAAACTCAACTCTCCGCGGTGCTCGAGATACTGCAACACTGCGGCACATGCTGCCGTTGCGAGGTCACGCTCGGGCTGTGACGCGCTTAGACGTATCGCGGCTGCGTCCACGGCGAATCGTTCCATAAGTTCCAGACCGATTTGCTCGTTGAATAATCGTCGAGGGATCGGCACAGCGCGACGAGAGTCCGCATGCACTGTACCGCTGCCGTCGCCCGATATGCTGGTAGTCGCGACCCCTTGATCACGCTGGAGTATCGGCGCCAGAATGGAAAGCGCTATTCCATCAGGCACCACCAGTTCTGACGGGTCCAGCACCTCCAGGCCCACAGCCAGGCGGTCGTATGCGTAGTTGTCGGTGAACTGACGCAGCTCGACCCGACAGGCATCGACGAAGCATGCAGCCACACCGACACGCCTTCCCTTGTCCTGGATGAGCACTCCAGCAAGCACAAGCGATCGGGTCGTGTTGGTTGACGTCAACCGAGTCGAGCGTGAAGCGAACGTACCGCTCCTCTTCGAAAGCGTGCGCAACGAGCGAGAACTACCTGTGACCAGACGGGACATGCGGCGGGGCGCAGAGGATCGTACGTTCGTCTGCTTCGTAAAGACTACTGTTCAGTCTCTGTGCGTAGTCTGCTATATCTGTAGCGTGCAAGCAGCGTACCCTGCGCCGATGTCATCAGGGCCGCTACACGACGCTGCGTCATTCCAGAGAGAGACAACGCATCGAGACGCTCGGGTTGATGCGTGCACTTGCGTGCGTGTCATTCTTTCCCGCGAGGCGCATGCGTGCACGCATGCGACGACGGGTAAACAGGTGCGTCGGCACGCATGCATTACCAGATCGGACGCAGCGTCCAGCAATGATGCGCATTTCTCGCGATGATGCCCCGAGAAACGCATCGTCCGAGCGCCCAGTCCCCGGAGGGTGTCAGCTGGAGGCGCAATACGCGGGGATGCATTGTATCGATCAAGCATCTGTTTTTGAGGCGAAGACTAGACCCAAACGCATGGGATGTATGTGCGTATCGCGAGGATGTAAACCCTCTCCCGCGCTTATCGCTGGCATGTTCGCACCAGGGGGCATTTGGTTAGAAGCTGCGTTCCTGGAAGATTACCAGAGCATCGATGCCGCCGGCAAACCAGGCATACATGCGTACCTACATAACGCCGATAGCGTGGATATCCCTACGCCCACGTGCAGACGCCTCTCAGTCGTTTTGGACCGGCCACCTACTGCTGGTTTCAACTTGTCTTTATGTGATTCGACCTTGAGGGGCTGCCCTACAAGGTTGGCTTGCGTCAGCGCCGCGGGTCTCTTGTCCAGCACGGTACGTCTCCTGATATTGATGGCGGCGCTCAAGTCCCGGTTTACGAACTCCATCTGTTTCTTCGCGTTCATTGTACTCACCAATGCAAGGAGTCCTCGAACTTGCGCCCTTCTTTCCATTTGCTGTTCCTCCAGCGCTCCATACTGTTCTATATCCTCCGGGATCCGCTGGGAGATTTCCATCTCGACCCTTTGAAGTGTGCACATTAGCTCGTGGTGCACATACGATATTCGGAACTCATGTATCGGTATCGTGAAAAAACTGCGAGCGAACTTCCTGTACGCTCTTGTCGATGGGGCTTATATGTCCCCTTTTCGGACGCCCAGCGCCCTGCACGGTATGCTAGTACGAGCCGCTGACTCTAGTGGTCCTCGAGGGCGCTCAACTCAGTGAACAATTCGGCGAATGCGCGCTGTTTCCCAGAGTGCAGGTTCGTACACTGACGAGCCCACCTGGGCTTTGTATACTCTTTTCAAAGCTACTCGTCACGAGCAACGCGAGCTTCCATGAACTCCAGGACGGATCGAAAGCTCGCTCCACGGCAAGTCACTTTGCTGATCGCTTCCAGGTGCGCCTTCATTCCTGAATTTCATTTCTTATTTTGTTTCCTCGCTTTCATTATTCCCGATTCCCGATAGTATCTCGCTATCGAGAACTTTAAAAGATGCATGTTTTTCTGACGCAAGATGCCGTCAATGCCATCTTCCGCACTCTTGGGTACTGCGATTGTGACGATATTCGTGTTGCCGGGGTCAGCGCCAACGACAAAGTCGTTCTCCTGCACCTCCTGCGTCACAGGATCCCCGTGGTTGTTTTCTTCACGCTTCGCCGAGGGCGATATCAAAGACACAATAGGACGATCCGTCCTCAGGCGCGGATACTGAGCACATATGGATACTCCATCGGTTCTGATCATCCCAGTAAATACTTTTTGCTTGCTCATTTCGAGACGTTTGAACTCGAAGATATTCTTCCTGTACGTGTCCCGGTTTTACGCCGATGATCTCTGTCTTCCTGACATTGAACTCCGGACAGATCTCGCTCATGATGCCATGAAGGACGCTGGAGTTGATTGCCACAAAATGTGACTTGCTGTTGCATATCGTAACGAAATCGAAGCGCTTCCCCAGAAGCGCAGCCTTTCGTTTCTACGACTCTGCATTTTTCCGCATACCCAGCTCCATCTCCGCCTTGCGTTCGAGTTCTCGGTTCAGGTAGACGAAATACCGTAGAATGAGTGGATAACATCCTCTTTTTCATCTCTGATAACTTTTCTTCCGGATTGAGCAGCCCGAAGACCGCACGGTGCTCTTGAATGGCCGCGCGGATCACAGAAGCTTCATTCCTACTCCTACGTGATGCCTTCTTGTCAACGAATTCGATCTCCTGTTGATTCCTACAATCATTCGTGGCGCGATTGATGATGCTCCATATCCCTTTGCGAGAATGGCCCGGACACAGCGCAAAGAAGGAGCATAACTTGAAACGTTCCAAGATCATGATCATATTGTTCTCCAGACTCGTGAGGTACGTCATCGCACTGTATTCGTAAATATCCGCGTCACCATTGCATCGAGTATCGTTGAAGCGGTATTCGGCGTGATATTCGTGGAGGTCATTTACTCGCTCATTTCTCCTCGACGTTTCCCCTATGCTAAGCGTCAGGTGGCGAATAAGGGTCGTGTCGAACGATTCTTCGGGAACCTCAACTGTGTTGATGTCCGTCACGTCGCGATACATCTCCCTCATGAAATGCATAATTCCTGGAGAAGCCTTAAAAACACTGGTGGAGTAGGTTGCGACACGGTTTCCGATGCCCTCTTGCAACTTTTTTTGTACGGATCCTTGGTATGTTTAAGAAGACCGGCTTTCACCACCATCTCGTCGTACTGTCGTCTTTCTTGCGGCCTTTGGCGTCGTGCCTCTGCCTTCTGCTTCTTCGTCTTGTCTTATGTCTCTACGTTGGGCTCTGTTTTTCGTTTTTTTTCCGCCAGCCGGTGACAATGCGCCTCCGGGATCCTCCGCTTCAATTCCCATTTCCTTCCTTTTTTGTTTTGAAAACGATCTCATTTCATACGCGTCCGATGCAAACCGTGGAAAATCACTTGAACATACTTGCTTGAGGGTTGAAACACAATTGAATCGAAAGAATATAATCAGCTATGACTTGAACCCCCGTACAACTTGGAAGCTAGAGCTACACACGAACGGTCAGGATCTCGTTCCTCTTTTAGCAGCGAGATGCACGTCGTGTTCCATACCTGCCAGATATGGAGATGCGCGTATCGAGCGCGCTACATAGAACAAAGAGCAGAGACCCACCATTACCAAGCAATGATATAAAAATTTCTTTTCTTCGCTACGATCAACGTTAAAAGGGGAAAAGTTTCCGTAATAGAGTAAGGTCCAGCGTGCCGGACGAGTCTCCCAGACTAATGCTTCATGCTTCCCCCAGTGGCAGGCATTGTAGTGATATCTGAGCAACGCATCCGCAATGCTGTTTATTCTGGGACTCGGAGCAGTTAGGCTGCGTCCGGGCGCAGCCCATGCTGCAGTTATCTCCCAGCAAATCGCTTCGCGCACCCGCAGATAGCACGCCTGTATGTGCAGCTTCCTGGCTCCCAGACTTGTCATGTACTCCGACCCCGTGTCGATTAAACCACGCCTCGAGCCGACGCCCGCAGTGGTATGGCAACGCCGTTCTGTCTCCGTGCTGCATCCGCACCAACGGTATAGCTGCCATCGCTGCTGCTCAAAGCAGACACTCTTGGAACAATACAACCTACAAAACCACGAATACATCGGAAAAAGGAAATACAAGTAATGGAAATTGAATGTAGGGTGCATCGTGGTCGACGAGTTCCCGAAAACAATTATCCACCCCGCAATCAGGGATCCATGGTCCAACTAAACGTTTTGTCATCGAAAGAAAACGGCGCGGCGTTTGTCAATCGCCGGGCATACACTGAAAGATCGCGCCTCGATGGTGCTGCTGGCGGCAGCTGGCAACAGCGCGCGCGTTACTCCCGCCTCGCCAGAGATCAGCAGTGCTGAAATCCGCGGCATCTGCCAGAATAAGCACCTTCCGACTGGACACAGCGCGAGACGTGGTGGAGTGGGCGTGGTGCTGTTGAGCGTTCCGGGTGCGCTCTTTTCGCTATGCTTCACGTCAGCGTGATATGGTCGTGGACGCCGTTCCCGCCGATGACTTTTTTCTCTGTGGTGGTTGCTGCGGTCATGGTTGCGGTGGGCTGGGGCCTTCTCGCAACGGCGCTACGGCCGCGGCCGCTGTCCAGAGCAGCGATTCGCTTCAAAACAGCGGCACGAGCCGCACGCGGTTCTGGAAAGTTTTTCTACGATCCCAAGGCGGGAAAAGAGAAAAAATCGTCTTTTCCGACGATCTTCGAACCTGCCTCAGTGTACCTGAGCGTGATTATACCAGCGTATAACGAGGAAGCGCGTCTGGAGCACACGCTGCAGGAGGCCCTGCAGTACCTGGAGAGGCGGTCCACGGACACCACTGGCTACAGCCCTGATCCCTTCACCTATGAGCTGATCATCGTCGATGATGGTAGCAGGGACGCGACGGTTCGCCTCGCACACCGGTTCACTGATCGATACGGAAGCGATAAAGTGCGTGTCCTTGTCCTTCCACAGAACTCGGGCAAGGGCGCTGCAGTGAAAGAGGGCATGCTGGTTGCGCGTGGGAAACTGCTCTTGATGGCGGATGCGGACGGTGCAACGCGTTTCAGGGATTTCGAATACCTGGAACGGAAGATGCACGACATTGCCGACTGGGATCACGAGCTCGGCGCGGTCGTCGTCGGTAGTCGATATGTGTCGCCACTGGGCGCAAGCAACGCATCCTCCAGTGAACGTGCGGAGTCGAGCGCTGGTGGTGGATCGGTGCCCCAGATCCATGCGTTGCGCGACTGGCGTCGGAAACTGCTCGGCAAGGGCTTTAACTTGCTCGTCAAGTACTTGGGCGGGGTTCACGATATTCGTGACACGCAATGTGGGTTTAAATTGTTTGCGAGAGAGTCAGCGCGAACGCTTTTTCTGACACAGCACCTGAAACGATGGGCATTCGATGTTGAGCTGCTGTATCTCGCGCAACGCCTGCGGATACCGATCGCTGAAGTTGGGGTCAACTGGACCGAAATTCCCGGGAGCAAAGTGCGTGTGGTGCGGGCGATCGTCAATATGGCGCTAGATATTTTGCGGATGAGAGTACGGTATTTTCTAGGCGTATGGCGGATCGAGTATGCCTAGATAACGAGCTATGGTGTTCGATTATTTCGAAACCGGGAGCACGAAAAAAACAGCCTGTTATCTGATGTTTCACAGAAAATTGAACGAAGAAGAGGTCTACGACGGGCAAGCTCACATCAGACCTGCTACCATACGCAGGTAGTTGGCCGGAGTCGACTCGAAGCTACGACGGATGGCCCGCGAACGCGAGGCGCACCCGGATCCTGGCGACGCTTCTGGACCTCGCCCCGATGCCTCGCAAGGGCGCCACGCTTCATATGCGGTGAGAAGGCGCGCGTGTGCGGTAGCTTTCCGGGCGATACCGGGAACTGCTGGCACGCTTTGCAGGTTGCAAACGCGTGTGCAAGGTGCGCTCATGTAGACACCAGCGGGACGATGGCGCTACGATGCAACGTTCACTTGAACGCACGCTTCGAATGTATGGACGTGTGCTTCGTTCATCGCGAGTGGGCTGCTTTCGGCAGACCCCTTCGTGCACGTTCTGCCGCAGAGCACGAGCCGAGATTGCCGTCCCTGACGACAGATCCAAGCACATAACCGACCGGAATCCGATTTGGGAGAACGAAATCTCGGTGATGGACATAAGTTTACAGGGCAGGTGCGTCGGATGCCTCCGCACGGCTTCCAGTACCTAGCATTCCATCTCAGGTATGTGCTGTAAAGGGTATATGTATCGGAATGCAGAGCAATTGGTTCGAGTGATCGATCCGCTGGGCCATTTCGAGTGCATCGTGAAGGACATAGGTGCATGCACGCGAACCTCCTATTTCGAAACAACCGCGCGAAAATAACTCGCAGTTGAAGCGAGACAAACTCTGGTCAGGATGAATCTCGGAATACCGCTGTAAACGTTCAACTTTTCCAGGATCAATGACGCCAGAGAGACCCATTCGCGCTTGCCGCTCGCGTAGTGTAACCCAGAGCACAGCCTCTATGTTCCTGCTCTTTCGTTCCGGGTAGCGCATTCACTCAACATATATCTCGACATCGTCGATGAGCAGGTGCGCTTCGCCGATCACCATCGGTGCCAGCCCGAGCGTCCGGTGCGGCATGTCCACCGACAACGCGTTTATTGAGAGAGATCTACACTTCGAAGCGTGCCTTCCAGATCCTCGACTTGTTCATCCTCTGTCATTGTTGGACGCAATTCACGTCGCGGTGATTCTGGCCCGGTCGATCGCATCTTCTCGAGAGGCGGTCGAGCGTCAGCTCCCGCAGGCGCTTCCCGAGCAGCACATCGCATGGAAAGACTCCGAGTGCCTACCTCTTTCAGCTGTTTCTGCTCGGATACCCGAGTTTCACCAGATGCGTCCAGTAGATGCGCTAGCTGTTTGTCGAGCTCATCGTCATTGTCTCTGTCAAGGCCTTCGAGCTGCGCTTCATCCAATACAGCCTGCGTAAAGTCAGCGTTGGTTTCCAAAACCTCCGCCAAATCGTCCAGCGTTCCCGAGAGCGTATCCACCGAAGTGTCCCGCTCTTGGATGGATTTCACGTGACGCACGCCATGGCCCAACGCGCGACTGACGTTCGCGTTATCCTGTGCCTGCTCCATGGCCCAGATCGTTCGTTCCAATTGCTCTATTGCGGCTTGTAGTTGTCGTATGCGATGCTCTGCGAGGAGCTTACGTCGCACATGAGGCGCCGCTCGCTCACGTGCATGCGCCAGCGAGCGGGTAACGATTACGTGCCCAGCGGCACCGTCGCCTATAGCGTTCGCTGTCAGTCGACCGCGGAACCCCGCCAAAATATCTCGCGCCTGGGCCTCGCTCTCTACAGCAACTCGTTTCCAGGCATTAGAGCGCTTGGCTAGCTTCGAACGCACTGCATCAAGGGCCAAAATGCTGCGATCTGTCTCGGAGATCGACCTTGCACGATACTGGAACCCGATAACCGGTGGATCGGTGGCGTACCGCACTGCACAGAGTCGCCCCGATCCCTGAACCGATAGCGCGATGAGCACGGCCAGAGCATCCTCTACGAATCTGCCGCAGAACCGGTCGCAAAACTCATCCAGAATATAGAGTCCTCGCGGATTTCGTTCTCGATCCTCTTCGAGGCGGGCACAAACGTCTTTGCATCGAGACGCCAATGCGTCTACCATGACGATGCGATATGTTTCCGATAACATTTGCTCGGGCTCGATGGATGCCGTGGGAAACGCTTGAACAAGAGCATCCTGTTTCCTGGTTCGCAGTCGACGCCATAAACGGGGTACTCCGCTGAAACGCCCAGCGGCAGGCTGACGGGCATTGAGCGCGTTCGCTGGCGCCTCTCCGAGCTGCACGGGTGGCTCAAAGAGTGGACCCCCCGCAAGCGCAGTGCGCAGTACGTCCTCAGGCCACGTTCTCGGCATAAAAAAGCACTTGCCCTTGGAAACCAGTGCTGAAAGAATCTGTGGTGCACACGCAGGCGCGGGTCGTCTGGAGTTCCCTCCTGCGTCGCTGCTCCGAGACGCGACTCGTCGAAAGAGCGCTGATGCACTTGCAACGAGCTCGCATTCTGGAACTAGACTCGCCTCTACGAGCGCCTGACACCATATAGATACCAAGTCATCGTAGAGCTGGGGGTCAACCTCTGGTTCCGGTGGAAGCAAGGTACTCCAGGCAAACGCCGGTACGTTCATCGTGCGGGCAACGTTCGTGTCTCGCTCATAAACGACCCCTTTACACTGAGCGATGCGTTTCAACAGCACACAACTGGGCAACGGTGGCGGTACAGACTTGCTCGTAGAACGTTTGCCGTATATCTGAAAAACAGGACCTTTTGTACGCTACCAGCTCATAAGAAAGTACAGATCTTTTGTCCACAAACGCAAGTACAGCAACCTGAATAAAAGCGCCCATCCGGCGATCGCAGCAGCCATGGTGCAGGCCTCTGCTTGCCGCAGCCTGTCGATAACAGTGAGTAGCAGTTCAGGGCAGGGTGCTCGCAATGAAAGAGACTGCGTCTCAGCACAAAGTACATGATTCGGAAACTCCAATGCTGGTAAGTGCCAGCATGCGCCATGTTCATATGACGTGGCTGGTTTCGCGTGACGCGCCGAGTCTTGCGCGTTACGTACCGGGAACTCGGCTGCGGTGCGGCGTGTGGAGCGCGGTCTGCAGAGACGCTCCCGTACCCGAAAGCGCTGCTCAGGTGACGCGTCGGTGACCGCACCACACGGTGCAGCGCGTTAATCATGGGTCCAGCGAAAGCTCGCACTCGCTTCCAGTGTCTGGCAAAGAGACAAGAATCTCTCCATGCCAGCCTGATAGCTCCGTGATGCCTCCGCGGCTTTCCCGTCGAAGGTGCAAACACAGAAACAAGAGCATGTACCAACGGTAGTCATGAATGTGAAAGACAACGGTATCCACTGGAGTTTGCGCATTTGCTAAACCAGCACCTGATGACATCGAACGCGCAGCATCATTCGCTTGGGCTTCATCGGTCTCTGCGACTCATATGTAGCGTTTTAATTCCACACGGAAGCGACCTCGTGAGGTAATGGCAATGGAGATGACTTGTAGGCGACCACGCCCTCGTGCGGTGATCGTGTCACCTTCAGCGACATTCCGGGACGCAGACTTGACAGGGACCCAGTTCACGTGCACATCCCCGTTTTTGATCATTTCTACCATCTTCGTGCGGCTCATTCCAAAGCCCGCACTTCCAACTGCATCCAGACGCAGCGAGGCCTCCACACTCGTAAGCGTCTTGGTTCGCGGTGGTTGCACCTCTAGCTCCGCAAGGCTTCCCAGTTGCCGAGTACGAACCGTTACAGACCGCACCATCTTGACGGAGCTCCGGATGGTTTCGGCATCATTCTTGAGGACTACCACCTGGGCACCTCGATCGCCAAGAATGATGATGTCACCGAAGCGCTCTCGGCGAAGTCCAGAGCATCCTATCAGGGCACCGAGAAAGTCGCTGTGGCTCGCTCGATCGAAAATGAAGTTTCCGGCGAGTTCAAGAGCCAGTAGCTGACTTTCGCAGTGCGTAGTTGCTACTTGCTGTTCTTGTTCAGGTGTTGGCGCGAAATCCTTGGGATAAAAAGCTGCAATTTGCCGCTCTGCTGCTGCATAGCCGCCAGACGAGGTCACACCTACAAATGCGAGACTTTCCAACGCTTGTTTCATACCATGGAGCTCGTTTGGACGCAAAAAGAAGTCAGTGGCGACAACCTGATAGTTCTTCGTGGCCTTTATCGCCAAGTCTACGAGCCGCACCGCGACCTCCTCGGCAACTTGAACGGTTTGCAACGTCTTGAGAACCTTGTCGCGGGGCAGCAGTTCCGTCGCTGCTAGAACTTGTCTTCGGCGTCTCGTGTCGTGGCATGCGTATCGTAGTCGCACACGTGGAAAGGGTGCGCTACGAGAAGCGAGCCCCCAACGCGGCACAGGTCGAACGACGGCGCCTGTTCGCCCTGGGAGGTTTACGAACGCCACGACGCCACCAGGTGAGCGGTACACGAAACCGGCCATGAACGTGAGCGTTACACTCACAGAAAAATCGATGCACTTGATCCAAGCGGAGCGCTGCGAAAATAGAACGTGCCACTTGTGCGGTGAAGGCAAGCCTCTCTCCCGAAGGAGAAGAAGCAACTGCGGGATGAAGCACGGTCGTCGGCCGCGGCGAGGCGATGAGCCCTAGCGATTGTCCAAGACCTCAGATCCAGTTCAGGTCTTGTATACAAGTGTTGAATCAACATGGAACACTGAACCGCTTCCATTCTTCCTCGACTTCGATGTATTTTCCGAACCATTTTCATAGGTGTATAGATTCGACGTTGCGTGTGCGGGATTCATGGATTCCGGTTTCATGATTCGTTTTGGGATTCTCGGGTGTCTCTTGATCAGCGTGGCTCTTTCGACGCATCGGCGCTGGAACTCGCAACGGTATCGGAATCAAAGGCGTACGAGACGCACTCAAACAACGGTTCGTACAACAAGTGAGATCATTACGTGACTCAGAGGTACGAGCCTCGACGCTTCTGCTTTCCGTTGGCGAGGTGTCCGCACATCGCGCACGGTTCATGTGTTCGATTTTTCGGATGCAAGAGTGGACTGGGGCGCAGCTATTCGCGCTGCTGGACTGCTGAGGTAACGTACGCGATGTCGCGCGTTGACGATTTGTTCCCGAGCGTGTGCGGAAGCCACACTGAACTCTTCACGTCCGATGCTCGATTCCGCTCGAACGACGTATGCTCCAGGCTTTGCAGCCGTCGACGAGGGTTCGTAATTCGACAGTACACTCGTAGCTCTCACGTCATTAGCTCGCAGAGGCTCCCGTCGCTTGTATTCGCATGGACAAGAGTGCTGGGCTCTGTCTTCAGTCATCGCAGAGATTCCTTCGAGTGAAAACTGCATCACCGGTTTGTACAAGAATGAGTGAGGCGAAGCGAAATCTCTCCAAGTGTTCTCCGTCGTAGATTTCGCTCCAGCTGCACGTTTCCCCGTGGAGCACGAGGCGTTCCATATATCCTCTGTGGAATGGAGCGGTGTGCTTATCGGGGTTAGACCAGTCGGAAGCAACCCTCACTGGTCGTGCACCGCACCGGACACGGATTTGGAGCAGCGTATCGCAGGATGCCTCCTGCAACCGCCAATGGCTGGTACCGAGCGATGATTCAAACGGTCATCCAAGGAAGACCGACCGCCAGACGAGGAGCTGCTGTGGACACTCGCTGGCACATCTGTCTGCATTCGTGTATGAACGCTGCGAAGTGCGTCTGGAGGCTGCACAGAAAGACAGTGAAAATTGCAAGCGAAGCTCGGATCGCAACTTGCGCCTCTGCATGAATAGCGTCGACAAAGGCGGGAAGCGGCGCAATCGGGACACGAACGCTGCCATCAGTATTCATCTGCTTGCGAAGATGGAGATGAAGGCAGAACAGATATTCGCATATTTTATGCTGGAGGTTTAGCGTACGGACAGGTTATCCGTCGCAGAGAAATCCCACAAAAGGCCTATATTCATCACGATCGGAAGAGACCGTTACTTTACGTTCTTCGCCCGAGTCAGCAAAGCTGCCCGTTCCATTCTTGTCTGACATGCCTATAATGAAGAATCGATGAAGCAGACCAGATGCCCATGGATGCGCGAGCGTTTCCATTGATCAGCGAAGAGACTCTATTTCGTCAATCGCTTACTCCTGTAAAATCCAGGAATATCAACAGATACCTCTGGATGCGCCAGCGCTGCCGATGACCCGGCGGGGAGTCGCATGCGAAGTTCGCTCTGCCGTGCGCTGCATGGGGCTGCTCTCCCGTCGCACCGCGGCAGCAGCACACAACGACTTGTCATGCTATATGAAGCGATCCATGGCTATCCCAGAGACACGCCCATGAAACAACGTCGCGTCACCTGAACGTTCGCGCCTTCGAACATCGTGCGGATGCCAGAGCATGCCGTTCCGTTAGAGTCTACGACTATGGAGCGCGTGCGCCCAAGACAACGACCAGCGCAGTCAGTCTCGTAAATTATCGGCGGATGTATTCAGAATAGACGTGCACGAATGTCGCTTGTGGTAGAGCAAATTTGCTTGCACAGTGCCGTGCTATGCAGTGAACATAGCCACGCATTTACGGGGCAGCGGGCTTCTCTGCTATGCATACTTGGGCGTCCGCGAGAACGTTCAAGCGAGCCACCTCTTGACGGACTCGGGCATCAAAACCCGCTCTGTTACGCACGAATAACTTGTACGGCTCCTCAGCGGCGGGGTCTGCAGGGTTCGGCTCCTTGAGCAACTCGTAAATCCCCAGCAGAATCGCTTTCACGGAAATCGAAGGTCTCCAGCCCTTTTGCTCGTTCAGGATCGACAAACAAACTGTACCAGAGGGGAACACGTTCGGGTGGAAAAGCGGTGGAATGAACTTGCACAAGGGCGGCTTTCCTGGATATTCCGGTGGAAAGAACATATCGAGTCGGAAGAGTCCGCCTTCGTAAGGCGTCCCAGCAGGCCCCGGGATCGTGCACGACCAGTGGAGCAGGTTCAGTTGGCCGTTCTCCGTGACGACAGGTTTCGCCGAGAAACCAAATGGTCGATCTTTGCGCCAGTTCTTCCGCTCCTGCTGTAGACGTGTCAAAGCCAGCGAGGACATTTCAGCGGAAACAGCGGCTACTCGCGTGGCTATAGCGCGCTGTTATCCGGAGTCGCAACTCGAACGGACAGACGCTTCGACCTGACACGAGTCAAGATACAGCGAACGTTTCCCTATGTATGATTACACTGAAAGTGGAGCCTCGAATTGATTAGAGAGCACGATTCCACTTTCAGTACCGCTTTCTGCTGTATAAGCGTGCGAAACAGTGGCGTTGGTAGAGCAGCCTCAACATGCATAAGCAAAGCCATCGCACTGCAGCGCGTTCCTCGAGCGCGCGCACGGGTCGCACAGCGCTGGCGCACCCGCGATCGTAAAGAACGCTGGCTTTTCTTCGTGCGTTTACCAGTAGCGGACGCGATCAGCCAAAGTATACGCTGCTTATAGGTAACCGAGGAAAAATAGAGATGTTCATGGCGAACATTATAACCCTGTCGTCCAAATTCCTTGGAGCACGCTTCATATCGCAAGCAGTACATGCTCCGACTCACTAATCAGGATCCAGCGAGGCTTGCATTGAGCCGTAGCCGTGCATGAGACAGCGTCAACGAGCAGGTCGAGATGTGCCTGTCGCGTACGCGTGGTGCAACAATAATTGCCTCCCCGGGAATAATGGTGACGCGAAACCGTTCTAGGCAGAGCAGCATATCTTGGAATATTTGCGCCAGTAGTCCCATTTTGGTATTGTTTGTTTTTCTCGCTTGTATTCCATCAAAGGAATACCTTCTTTAGATTCGCGTACCATGGCGGAAATACTTGATGTTGTCCTCAATGCAATGGAAATCATAGCGTAATCTGTCGGTCAGTCTGTCGACGGTCAGTATTTTCATGAATCACTGATTCGTAGTCTTTTCCCGGAACCTAGTGCACCCTGAACAAAATTCATCATCGTCTATCTCCACGACTGTCTCCTGGGTAATCCATTCCACTCCATACGTTTCCTATGAAGTACTATCAAAGACGTGACGGGATGTGAAGTTTCCGTGCCTTTGATTCGAACGACGATGAAGAGCATTGGATGGTCAAAGAAAACCGTGTGCTTCATTGACAGATAGATGTTCGCTGACCAACGACCAATGGATTCCATACTGCCATGCGAACGCTCATTACACGAGAGCTAGGTGTTTGTCGCACTGGATGAGATTTTGTTGAGGAGAAATGCTAGACCTGCATATGGATACTCAACGATGGGCGAATTTTTATTCGGAGAGAAGAGATCAGCGAGTATTCCGAAAGACACCACCACTCGCGGCAATTGAATCTTGGAGCTGGCTCGAAATCGCCAAATCGACACGGTCGTTCAACAGCTCATGCCTCATCGCTGCAGTCACGGTGACTTCTCCTTATCTCATTCTTCTGGCCTGCTCTTAGACAGAGCTGCTTTCTGCAACGCAAAGGCTCAGGAACAAGTCTACGCAACTGAGGTTGGCGTTGAGCTGTTCCTCGTGTCAGCCTATGCTCACTGGTTTCATCCAGTAGAACGCATCTTCTCTGTAGTCGAACTCGATTTTAACGTTCGCGGATGCATGGAGAAGTTGTTCGAATCCCGGTCACAGAAGCTGTTTTTCAAACTGTTCTCAGACGAGTCGTTGTATACCTTCGCCACCCTTTTCTCGCTTTGACGCATCTCGTCGAGCACCCGTTTATAGGAGTCACCGACGCAGGGCTACCATTTGTCCACTTTCCATTGAAACGATTCAATCCAATCTGTAAGCGGCAATACAACAAATGTCCGATGCCGAAGATGCACTTCGGCCTAATCGTTGGATCGGAGGTGTGCACAGACGCCTCTTAGAATCCGGGGACGAGTCTCCGCGGCACGTCAGTGATTCGGGTATCTACAGCTACGATGCCCAGAAAAATTTCAAACCAGCCCCAACGAGCGAGACCGTGTGGGCAAATGGCGAGTGCTTCTTGGCGCGCTTTCTGTGGGCGTTCTTGCCTCAGCTAGTTGTCCCAGAAACGCGAGTACTTATGCACACGATGCGATGCCCCAGAGAGCGCATGAGACCGCGCTGGCGCCGCCAATAGTTCTGTTCATACAGAGGCGGGAAGCTTGGACTCTACAGCTTGTTCAAGGAGTTGCAAAAAAGGAAATGACGAATCGTTCGCTGCGATGGGTGGTAGCCAACGGCGGGTGCGCGTGCTGCTGTGTTGCGCACAAGCTGCAAGCGTTCTCCAGCGACAGCGTCCCACGAAAGACGTAAATAAACACTGTGAAATGCCCATGGAAGAGTTCAATTTTACATGTACGAATCACGAGCACGGATGCGCGCTGAAACACATAGAGAACAATTGCGTGAAACAGATTCTGATGTATGCGATGGTGTACGACAAGCTGACCGAACGTCGACTGGCGACGCCACCGGGGGCGAGCGGCCTGCTGTCGTGTGATTGCGTCCACGATATTGCGCGCATGCACGTTCCGCACTGAAACGCGAACGTCTCAATTGACATCTGGTAGATTCTCGTGGCCCCGAGCGTTCAGCGGCTACGAATCGAGTCAGCTTTCCAGAGCATCGTCTAATTCTCAGCGTGAGCGTTGTGCCGAAGTACCAAAGACTTGCAATGAAAGGGAATCAGTGACCGCGACACACACGGCATTGCATTCCCGGACAGAACCGCGAGCCGATGCCCTCTCTGTGTGGTACGGCAACGCCGTTCTGTCTCCGTGCAGCGACCGCACCGGCGCTACAGGCGCCATTGCTGTCGCTTTCGGCAGGCAGTAGGCACACACGATAGAACGTATGGAATGACCAGAATATCCCAGAAGAAGCATAGGTTATGTAACTTGGAAGTAGGGAGTTTGATGGATACTTTGCCGCGCACTGAAAAACCCCAAAAAGAAAGGAAAACGCGCATAATCGGAGAACGCTGGCCGATGTAAACGTTTTGTCAATTTAAAAAAATTGCCGCAGAGAACAAGGCACAGTTACAGAAAGTTTAGCAATTACGCAAAGATGAAACGCTGTGTCTGTGTAGTGTCAACGATTTTCACGGGAACTGGTAAATGATACGAATTTTCCATGACTTTCTATGACTGCACAGAAACGGGTCATCGGACGCTTGCCGTTCCTAGACGGGGACGCCCCTCTCCGTATCGACTGCCGCAGCGCCCCGTCTGAGCCACTATCATCAAGGGAACAAGACATCACTGAGACACCGTTCTTCATCTTCACAGCAGCATTCCTGAGAGGAACGCTCAGTTAGGCGGGAAAGTCAACATGCGTCACGCGCCGGCACGCAGCACGTCAACGCATCAGCACGCATCGGCAATGGTGCGGCGTATGGGACGCGTCGCGTAATGCGATCTCCACCAGAAGCAGAGAAAACGCACACATGCTTTGCAGGTGCCATGCTGCTGACAGATGCTGTATCTGGAAAACGCAATTCCCACCAGGTTTCACTGTCGCTGCTCAAGCATCGAAGGATCGCGTATCAGTGCGTCTCCCGAAAACACTCGGGAGCGTTTCCCTCACCGTCTCTCCCCGTGTCCGACGCGCACCCTGCTTGTGGATTTCACCGCTCATCAAGCGGCTCTGCTGCAACGAGAAATACCTAGCCCTTTTCTGCGGTACGGGATCGCTCATCCCATCGGGGTTCGAGAGAACAACGTGACCTTCGCGGACGCCAGGGCAGGTTAACCTCATCGCCTCCACACGCTGCCTCTGAGGGAGTCAGTCTCATGCTTGCGAATCGCCCCTAGATGACGTGAGTCGGCACGGCGCGCCAGCGTCACCCCGCCTCGATGCGTTGACGCACCGACCGTTTCGGCGGCGGCGGCGGCGGCGGCGGTGGCGGCGGCGGTGGCGGCGCGTACTCGAATCCTCATCTACATCATGGTACGAGTCAGACTGCTCAGAGACAACTGTTTCGCGCAAGTTGTGCGTTAGAGTGTCTCATCTGGGAGGTGAAGGTTTCCGCCAGGCTATACGCTCTGCAACAAGTCTCCGTCAAAAGCGTCGTCTGGAACTTGTCTGGGGTCAAGGAGACAGGTTCGCTGTTGTAACGGGGGTTCCAGTTTTTGTCACCAACTTGGTCGTACTTTGTAGGCTCGGAGACGCTATCGACGGAAACCGACAATGACCAGAGTTTTGGACTTGGTTCGCCCTTTTCTTCCGTATTTACCGGAAGTACAAACACCAGCGCGACGGGTGCCTATCAAGGAGCGGCTCATATGGAGTCTCGTGGCACTCGCCGTTTACCTGATCGCCTGCCAGATACCTCTGTACGGCTTTTTGAACACTGGGGGCTCTGATCCGTTTTACTTGATGCGTTTGGTATTGGGTGCGAGTTCGAGAGGCACCATTATGGAGCTCGGTTTTTCGCCGATCGTGACTTCGGGCATGATCATACAACTGCTAGCGGGCGCGCGTATCATCGAGGTAGACTACTCGAACAAGCTCGATCGTATGCTCTTTGAAGCTGCTCAGAAGCTGGTTGGAATATGTTTCGCACTCTTTGAAGCGATCGTCTATGTATACTCGGGAATGTATGGTCCGGTATCTTCGCTGGGCCACGTGCGGGCAGCGCTTCTCATTGGGCAGCTCTTCTGCGCTAGCGTTGTCGTGATGCTTTTGGACGAACTCTTGCAGAAAGGGTATGGGCTGGGCTCGGGAATTAGTCTCTTCATCGCAACGAATATAGCGGAGACGATTGTGTGGTCTGCGTTCTCGCCGATGACGATCAACATCGGTCGTGGTTTGGAGTTCGAGGGCGCTATCATCGCCCTCTTTCATTTGCTGCTGACGCGCACGGACAAGACCCGCGCACTCTACGAGGCGTTCTATCGCCAGGAGCTACCGAACCTCAGCAACCTACTGGCGACGGTGGTGGTGTTCATGGTTGTTATCTACCTGCAGGGACTGCGGATCGATTTACCTATCAAGTCGGTGAAAGTTCGCGGACACGTCTCGTCGTACCCCATCCAGCTTTTCTACACAAGCAATACGCCAATCATTTTGCAGTCGACGCTGGTAACGAACCTGTACTTCTTCTCGCAAATTCTTTGGAAGCGATACCCTAACATGTTCATTGTGCAGGTATTTGGGAAATGGGCACAGTATCGCGATACCGGCCAGTTTGTGCCAATTGGTGGCCTCGCGTACTACATCAGCAAGCCGCGCAACCTGGGAGATATGCTGGTGGATCCGGTTCGTGCGCTATGCTACGTTGTTTTCATGCTGGTCTCGTGTGCGATCATGTCGTATCTCTATATCGAGGTATCGGGCAAGAGCGCTCGCGACGTTGCAAAGCAGCTGCGCGATCAAGAGTTGACCATCAAAGGGCACCGTGACACCTCGCTCGTGAAGGAACTGAACCGCTATATTCCAGTTGCGGCTGCGTTTGGCGGTGTTCTAGTTGGCTTACTCACAGTGGTGGCGGACCTAACCGGTGCCATCGGCAGCGGTACCGGTATCCTTTTGGCCGTCACTATTATCTACGAGTACTCGGCTGCTTTGGCTAAGGAGACCCAGAACGGCTCCAGTCCGCTAGCATTTTTCGAATAAATACGAGCACCAAAGGCGCCTTTGCGCGCACAAATAAGCTTTGCCTTGCGAGGTAGCCCGAATGAGCTGTAGCGAGGCAGCGCTGGCGTTCGTTGCTTCACCGTCTACACGCAGCGAGTGATGGGCGTTTCTCACGCGAACGCCAGCCGTTCCGCAAGCTCGCAACTCGGACTTTCAGCTTGACTGCTTCGTTGCTGTAGAAAGGATCAGACGATCGGATACCATTCCAAGTCGAGGTACTGAAAGTCACTAGCGCGTCGGTGCGTGGTGCTTCTTACGAAACGAACATAACGTCGTGACGACGGGCATCCGGCCTCGCCGACTCCGGTGGCCGTCGGCCGCGGAACGCCGAGCTTTCGAGGTCTCCCCGTATGGTTCCTCCGGACAAGTGGCTGCTTCCTACAATTCGCGCTGTGCTCGTCCTGCGAAGCAGGCTCGGTGCGAATGTGGCGTGAACTAGATGCGCTGAACGTGCTGGTAGTGGAGCACCTACTTGGACCTGTCGCTGCAGCGGTCGTTCGATGTCTGAGTTGTCGCTCGTCGGCGAGCTTGCGAGAGCTCGAGCGCTCTCTCCGAAAGCAGCTACGTACGAGTGCACGCTGCTCAAACGCACACTTACTTAGCCACTCAAAGCTTCGAACATCTTTGCGTGTGGCTTTGGTGAAGCTCCTCGAGCGCGGCGTTGTGCAGTACTCATACAGCCGACTGGATCAGGCACCCGCCTCGTGCCAGTACACGCTTTCGAGGCGTGGAGCGCTATGGCTCTACGGCTTTCCGTTTCTCCAGCGCTACATCACCGAGCTTCATTGTAGGCACTGGCGGAAGGACCAGGACTTGGTGCTGCATTCAAATGACGCAGGAGAGACGATCCTCCCGAGTCCACGCGCCGATCATCATGAAACGCAACTAGAAACCAGCACAATAGTGAGCTTGTGCAACTATCTGACACCGTTTAGAAAAGTGCCCATGGACTGGCTGCTCACCGCTACGCCAGATAGCGACAACCAATCGAAGCTTATCAGGAGCACGCTTCAGCGGCTGGTCGGAATCGGTCTCCTGGAGCAGTGCACAGCCAGACGCGTGCTCGCCGAGCTTCTCAGTCTAGAGCTCGATGATGAGCATCCCGAAGCTCGCGAGCACTCCAAACCGGGAGACACGATGGATCAGGAAGCGTGCACGCTGAGCGAAATAGACTCGACAAGACAGGTACCTGCACCTGCGTTGTTGGCGAATCGCTCTGCTGCAAACGATGAAAAGCCATCACCGCAAAGCGCCGATCATGAGCCCCAAACGAGGTTGCGAGCACGACGGCGCTTACGATTACGGAAACTGGATACAGGTGCTGATGACGAAGCGGTGGATCAGCCATACGCCGCAACGCCACAGCCATCGGTGAGCAATAGGGAGATGCAAGCCGCACCAGCACCCGCTCCAGAGACAGCGGACTCCAGTCAGAAGGGCGAAAGCACGATGCTTGCCCTGGGGACGTACCTGCGCGTGAATGAACGTTTCATACGGGACGCGATCCGCGATATCCATATGGCGGCCTGGGCCGCAGAGCAGCTTCACAGCTGCGACGACAGTCATGCTGGTGACGCGGCAACGTCGATGCCGCATCGGCTCATGGTACAGCGTACAGCAGTGCTGTTGAATGCAATGCTTTATCTGCGGCGAGTTGTACAGCATGGTTCACTTGTGCACGTATTGCCAGCCCGATGCTCGGATCCGTCGCTGACAAGTCTGGCTGGTGCGCAGAAGGGCTTCTCTCTCGATCAGATCCTCTATGTGATCCGATATCGCTATCGTTTTCCCAGTGATCAATGCATGGAAACAGTGAGCGCGCTCGATGCTGAACGCATACTGGAAGAGCTCGCCGACGATCGCGTCGGCTTTCTGACGATTCACGAACGGCACGGTACAAAGCTGTACGCACCTGCGTACGCATACATCCTCGACCAGTATCGCACACACGTGCTGGAAGGCATGCTCTTGGCCATGGGCGATCTGTACTTGCATCGCGTATGGCGGATGGTCTTGGAGTACGGGCCTCTATCCACCAGGTCATGCGAGGAGCACGCGCTTCTACCGGCACGCGCAGTTCGAGCTTATCTTTTTTATCTTTTTCAGGACGGCTGGATTTCCCTCGGAGACCACCTAACCAGTGCTGTAACCGCGGTACCAATCTCTCTGCCACGAGAACCGTTTCCCGGCTCTTGGCGTAACGGAGCTCAGTCGTCTGCTGCAGATCATGAGCCGGACTTGGAGCTCAGGCAGAAAACGGAGCGTGCGATCGGACCTGGATTCGCTTCTTCACGTTCAGGTATCGACGTAACGCCGAGCGCGTTAGATTCTGGATCCCCAGACCCAACGTCGACACTGTGTTTGTCTCCAGATGGTGCATACGCACCTGACCTCGAGGACAGCTACCGAAACTCCATGACACAGAGCGACACGCCAACCGGTGCATCTTGGCTGGATCTCGAAGGCGGCTGGCACGTCGACCTTGATGCGATCCAGCGCAACGTCGTTCGTGTGTGTCTGCTCGCCATGCAGAATGTGTTTCAGCAGATCCAAGTGCGACACACACGCTTGGCGGAGCATAACGCAGTTTTGCGGGCCACGAACAAGTCCGGCATTGATCCCCGGGTGTACGACGAGCACGTGCGCGGAGCACGGCATGTCGGCCGCCAACTCCGGCATCTTCGCGAGACGTACTACCGGTTGGCCGAGGCGCTCATGACATTCTGGGACGAATTTTAGGTAAAGCGTTGGGTAAGTTCATATTTCCTGCCTCAAGGTATCGTTCTTGCCAAGACGAACGCGCCGCCACTCGCATCCCGAGTGAACCCGTCCCGGCAATCGCCTCCGTCGAGCATCGAATGTCGACTGACGGAGATGTCATGGTGAACATTCAATGGCCGTGAACGGCAAAACTACTCGAGATGCCAATACGCAGTCCGTCAGTAAATACGAGCGATGGTCTTCCTCCGTGGACGCGAGGCTTTGATGAACGCGCTCGTCGGTGCACGCGACGGCATGCTCGGGCGCATACGGCCTGCTCCTTGAACGCATCCTCACTACATGGATCATGTCTGGACAGTCGGTTTGCAGCAAGACGTTCGCACAGCGAATTCATTGCCTCCACAAGCCTCCGTCTTGGAAACGAGGCTTGTGGTGCGTTCGGAAGCCTGTCGACACCAAGCGAAACGCTGAACTGGCAAGTACCGGAACGAGCGTCGTGCAATGCTGCGCTCGTATCCGCACAGTTCAGCGCTTAAAAGATGTCCGTTAATCTTGCCGAGCTGCGAACCTGTCTGGGAAGAATCCGTCGAGTATGCGTTTCCCAGCCAAACAGGTACCTCGGCGAACGCGAGCTGCTAAAGTGAACCCGCTTGCCGAACGCGCATCACGCACGCCGGTGATCGTTTTGCGGGTGTGCGGAGTGCAAGGCGCTTTTGCGAAAACATTTCCTAAAATCAATACGTGACGTAAGCTCAAGTGCGTTCAGAGCTCAGCCAGTTCCGCAGTGCGGCACGCACTAGTGCCCAAGACGACGCGTCCATTAGCTGGTTTGCCCGGGGCAAGCACGCAGACAGCTCACGCACCCGCAAGGTATCCTGCAGGTATACCATTGCAGGTCCTGCGTCAGCTGCTTGCACATACCCCGCTGACGTTTATCCCCAGGCACGTTGATCACGAGCACGCACAACCAAACGCAGGTAACGACCACCCGGGGGCAAGCAACCGCTCCAGCACTTGTCCTTGTGATAGCGTCACCCGGAGACGTACCCCTTCGGACGCACGCAAACTCCCAAAGACAAACACATTCTAGGAGTCTGGTCCCTTTTTCGATGCGAATCGCCTGCACTCGCCATTTTAGGTACGCATCCTCCTCCTACTAACAAGCACACATACTGGAAACCATATTCTTCAGCGGATGGATAGGCATCCAGAGCAGTCGCGTGCCACGACGTCCCGGCCGCAGGTACACGAAGCCAGTACTCCACAAACCGGATACTCGGTTGCATTTTCGCGGAAGCGACAGAAACGAGTGCGACGACGTTCCATTCATTTGACCACCGTTTCCGCGACACCAGGTGTTGGTGGTTTATTCTAGTCTGACTCGTCCTCGGGAACGAACGGATAAGTGAAGCGCCCTCGTGGCTGTGATTTTTCCATGACCCCGGACGAGTCGGGCCCGGCTTCGCTCGAACGAGTGTTCGCAGAAAAGAGCTTCTTGAGAGCTTTTCCAGTGGCGCCAGATGAATTGGGCGCGGTTGATTCCAATGGCTTATCAAACTTGGAGAATGGTCTCGTAGGGCCCGAGGGAGACGAAGGCGGTGCACCTTCGCCGCGGGTTTCGTTGGCGAAACGCGTGAGCACCCAGCAGAACGTTGCCTCCCGCGCAGAGGTGCACAACCCGTATAACACCGGTTTCCTGGGAAGCAAGTTCGCGTTCCTCCTGAACGACGTTTTTCATATGGCTCTCTTCGGCATCGGAGGAACGCTCGCCCGCACCGGACTCGACCTCGTGTTCGGGCCCTCGGTCGGGGCAGTGACCTCTGAATACAGCGCGGTTTTCAAAGTGCTACCACCGAATGCGCTGGGCTCGTTTCTCATAGGCTTTTTGATTGGTAGCGATGATGCTTTCCAACCGCACATGCCGTACATACATACTGGACTGGCGACAGGTCTCTGCGGTTCCCTAACAACGTTTTCGAGCTGGAATCAGCAGCTAGTTGCGATGTTTGCACGCGGCAAGAGCCCATCGAATCAGTGGCTCCGCGCGCTATTCGCTCTGGTCATTGGGCTGGAGATCCCGATCTTCTCGTTCACGCTCGGTTTGCACACTGAACGATCCATTCGATTTTTCCTCATATCGCATGTCTACGCCCGTCGAGACGAGGAGCTTGCCCAACTCTACCTCCGATATCGGGAGCTGCGCTCGCGGGCAAGGCAACCGCGACGCTCGCTGTCGGCTGTGGATGAGGTCGCTCGCGCAGCAGCGGCGCTCACCGGTGGCCACGATCGTTGGGGCCGTCGTCGCCCCAAGATCCCCATCGGATCCCATGAGGATATTGCATACCACCGCCGACGTTTCTATGCTTTTGTGATATGCGGTGTCCTGAGTGCAATCCTGCTGACCTTAGCAGCTGTCGGTGTTGGCTTGGATCCCGACCAGACCCGCAAATCTTACTGGATGGCGTGCATTTTTGCACCGTTCGGCGTGATCCTACGATGGCAACTCTCGGTGCATCTCAATGGGCGACATCCGTGGCTCCCGCTCGGGACGCTTGCCGCAAATGTGCTGGCTTGTTGCTTTGATGCGGTTGCAGATGGTGTACTCTTGCGGGTGAGCTCTTTTTGGGTCGTCGTCATGATGAAAGCGTTCGTCCTCGGGTTCAATGGCTGCCTGAGTACAGTATCGACTTTTGTAGGCGAGCTCTACCGCGAGCGAAACATTGAGTACGCTTACGCATACGCAGGTATCAGTGTGACGATCTGTCTGACGCTGGGGCTCGCGATTTACGGTCCCCAGTACTGGACACGCTGACCGTGTCTTGTCTGGGATTGTTGTTGACGAACTGGCGGTTCAAGGAAAGACGCGCTGCCAGGCGAGTCGCCAACCCCGTGCAGTTCATGTGAGATTGCCCGCACGAGCGCTGTGCCAGCATCGCGAGTGCTCGTGGCAAGTGCAGTGGCGTGCCGAGGCGCTGTGGGTCCGGTGTCGATGCCCGGTGCACGCTATGCACCGGCGCAAACCTGCCGTGCGAGAAGCCCGACGCAACGCATTCCTTTATACAGTTGTGTCGGATTGTGATCGGTATCCGCGTTACAGATGCGAATCTGTGAAGAGTTAGCGCTCTGATTCTGTTACGCAGGTGTGTTGTCCGTGGCATACCGCAGCCGCTGCTAGGGTGCCACGGCTCTCGGGGCGAGACCGACGCCAGGCAACACCGTAGCCATGACCAGGGGTTGGTCTCGGCACCGAGGCAACCAAACACCCTTTACATGCATTGCTGTGCCGCTGACGCCGGATCCTGTACGGTAATTGCTTGCAGGAAGCATGTGTACAGGCGCCTGGGTACCTTTGATACAGGCAGCCCCGAACCGGACCATGTGAATAGGCAGGCATGCGTATTCGAACAGCTGTTTATTCCATCCAGTAAAAGCGCTAAATCCCACCACCCCGCTTGCGAATAGCTCATGCAGTACGCAAACTGGGGAACTGAGCGCGTGTGTTTCGTGCCTGTCAGCGTACCAGCACCACTTTTCGTGATGCGTGCGCGACGCGTTCCCGAGTCATCCAGCAAAACGCGCCGTTCTCCTGTTCCTCCGAGGTCTACAAAGCAGCGTCCTGCGGTGTTCAATGCCTTTCCACCAATCAGTGAGCAAGACAGATCGTCGATCGCTTCAGCTTGCACGAGCACGGCCGTGTAGCAGGTCCGCCTCGTAGGGCGACCTCGCTTCGACGCTGGCACGGTGACGTGTGCATCGCACGCACACGGCGCCTCCGTGCAGGTGGCGCATCAGGGCTCCGCAGTGGCTGTATCCTTTCGACCCAAAAAATACATAAATGTTCATTTTATACCTATGCGTGGGTTATCCCGCACTGCGGCGCCAGCGCGGCTGCCGCTCAGCAGGCGATGCGTCTCGAAGGCAGTCGTCGAGGCTCGCCGCATCCCCACCAGGCGACCTCTCGCCGCACCGCGTGCCGCTGATCCTCCGGTGCAACGCACGCCGTCGATCGGTGTGAGGCGGCAGCGGCAGCGGCGGTGGCGGTACCCAGTAGCACACGCCATCACCGCTGGAACGACTTAAGTTCAACGTTTTGGCGTACTTGCTGCAAAAGACGTTGCGCGATAGCCATGAATCAGAAAGTGAAGCGCCCTGTGGTTTTGATTTGTATTGATGGTTGGGGAATCAACCAGAGTGATTATGGAAACGCGATCCTCGCTGCTGATACGCCAGTCATGGACGAGTTCTACAGCAAACGACGGAACTTTGCCGAGTTGGATGCGTCTGGACTGGCGGTGGGCCTCCCCGAGGGCGTCATGGGGAACAGTGAAGTGGGCCACCTCACGATCGGCTCAGGTCGTCCCCAGTACCAGGATCTGGTTCGCATCGATTTGGCTGTGAAAGAAGGGAGTCTGGCGAAAAACGAGACCCTGCTCGAGGCGATCGACCGAGCGAAAACAGTGTCGAATGGGCGGATGCATCTCCTGGGACTCGTATCGGATGGCGGCGTGCACTCGCATGAACGACATTTGCACAAGCTGCTTGAGATTCTCAAGGATGCAAATGTGCCGGAAGTCTACGTTCACGCGTTCACGGACGGGCGCGATACGGATCCGCATAGCGGCAAGGGCTTTATCGAGAAGCTTCTGAAGCATATGCGGCAACTCGGAGAACATATGCAACTCGCTACCTGTACTGGTCGGTACTATGCCATGGATCGTGATAAGCGCTGGGACCGGATCGACCTGGCCTTGCGCGGGCTCGTGAATGGCGATGGCGAGGAAACCGCTGACGTCTTGGACACGATCCAGAAACGCTACGACGGTGGCGAGACCGATGAATTCCTGAAACCCATCATTGTATGCAAAAAAGGGTGTATTACATCCAAGGATACGCTTCTTTTCTTCGACTTTCGGTCGGATCGTATGCGCGAGATCGTTCAGACCCTGGGACAGCCTGCGCCCTACGAAACCAAGGTTCAGGTCCCCAAAGACCTGGGCATCTTCTGCATGTCTCAGTACGATATTCGGTTTCCGTTTCCAGTGCTGTTTCCGCCAGTTGAGATGAAGAATGTTCTGGCCGAGTGGATTGGAAATCATGATCTTTTTCAGTTTCATACGGCGGAAACCGAAAAATACGCCCACGTGACATTCTTTTTCAACGGAGGCGTCGAGAAAGCATACAAAGGCGAGGACCGGAAGCTGATTCCCTCTCCAAAGGTACCGACCTACGATCTGGAACCGAAAATGTCAATGTACCAAGTCGGTGAGGCGCTGATAGAGGCAATGAAGTCTGGCAAGTATGCTTTCATCATGTGCAATCTCGCTGCGCCTGACATGGTCGGTCATACCGGTGTCTACGAGGCCACTGTTGAAGCATGTACCCATTGTGACAAGGTTATTGGTCAGATATGGAAAAGCTGTCAAGAGCTCGGCTACGTACTCTGCGTGACAGCGGACCACGGTAACGCGGAATGCATGCTCACCGAGGACGGTCGGCCTATTACCTCGCATACGACGAATTTTGTTCCGTTCATCCTCGCGGATCCAGATGGCAAGCTGCATTTCAAAGAAGAGAGCTCGAAAGGTACCCTTGCCGACGTGGCACCGACGATCCTCTCAGTCATGGGGCTCCCGATTCCCAAGGAGATGAAAGGGCGCGTTCTCTGAGCAGCAGCAAAATGCACGAGAACTGGTGTTACCCGGATGCATGCCGTTTGTTCTTCGTTTGCCTGGTGCATTGAGCAGCCGCTCCGCGAGCATGCACGCCGTTGCTGACAGGGACAGGCGCCGCTGCACGACCCGTCGACGGGAATCCGCAGGGCAATGTAGTTGCTGGCTCTGCAGCACCTGCGTCCCGTGCCGTTGCGGCAGGCACAGCAGCGGTATGGCTGCCTTCCAGGCGCCGTACCTCGCATGTAGTGTGTAAAACGAAACAGGTCCCTCAGGAGCAGTTTAAACGACGTTCCTAGAGCGCGCGCTGCGCAACATTGCCGATGATTCCCTACTGCATCAAGCCGTATTTGCGCAGCGATGGGATGGCTTGTGTCGAATCGTCTTGCAGAGACGGCAGGACGCACATCCCCATAACAGGTTGTAACCGGAGCAAACTCGTTTGTTTGAGACCCTGCTCGCCGGCACCAACGCCCTTTCCATGCCTCGTTCCGTGGTGCAGCAGTTCCATTCGGGGCGCAGACGAACTCCAGTCCGCATGTGTTCGAAATACGGTGTGCGTGGACGATACCGCCTGTGCATTGCCCCACAAATCGCTTTTGGAGATTCACACACTGCAAGAGGTACCTACCAGCCTGCACCGATCACTTGCTTTCCCCATGCGTCCCTCCTGAGGCAAAGTACCCAGCAGAGTGGAGAATACGCATCTGTTCGGCAAATGAAGCGCGTGAGGAGCGCATCGCCGTGCATGAACATTGACCACATAGCAGGGCAACGACTCGTGCACATCACCGATGCCACCTGGTTAGAAAGGAAACAAGCGCGGGCCTTTGGATGCGCGTTCCGCACGGATATATGCAAACGCTCTCGCTAGTCATGAGTAGGCCGAGCACCCGCCTCGTGCATGCGACATGTAGTCCAAGAGGCGCCGTTCCACGACCTTTCCGCGTGCTGCTGCTGCTGCTGCCAGTGCATACTGTTGAGCGCGCCTCAACGATGCAGCTCCGTGCCCAAGCATGCCTCACTGAGGAATCGTAACCCTACAGTTCCTTTCGATTCGATGCCGATATCTGCAGCCGGGCACTTGTCGCTGGCGAGGCAGCCGGCGTCAACGCGTCATTCTGTGACGGCTGCTGCTGCTGCTGCTGCAGGGCATCGTGTGCTATCCCCGCGATAGATAGGAGCCAGTTCTCGTGTCCACTTTGATTTTCTCGCCAACCTCGATAAACAACGGCACCTGGACGACGACGCCGGTCTCCAGTTTCGCTGGCTTGGATCCGCCTTGAGCCGTATTTCCGCGCACGCCTGGATCCGTCTCAACAACTTCCAAGGTCAGCGTCGCTGGAACCTCGACTTCAATGGGCTTCCCGTTCCATTTCGTGACTGAGACGTCTTGCCCCACGCGCAGATACTTGGCCGTATCACCGACCACTTCGTTGGGCACGTGCTCCTCCTCGAAAGTCGCCATGTTCATGAACACGTATTCATTTTCGGCTGAATACGTATACTGGGCCTCAAACTTTTCTACTTGTGCTTCTGGAACTGTTTCACCAGCTCGAAACGTTCGTTCCATCGTATTTCCGGTGAGCAGATTCTTCAGTTTGGTGCGCACAAAAGCAGCCCCTTTGCCCGGCTTGACGTGCAAGTGCTCGATCACTTTAAACGGTGAACCATCCACTTCTATCGTCAAGCCTACGCGAAAGTCATTCGAGTTGACGTCCATTCGAGGACTCCACCATCGCTCTGCGACTGGCCTCCTGGGGACGCCTCGCCAGAACGCCACCCTGCAGCCGTCACCGAGGCCTTGTGCTGTGCGCGTTCGCTGTGCCCGTCGCCAGCAAGCAGTGCTCAGCTGTGCCTGCAAGTGCCGAGCACGCTGTACATCAGTCCGACGCGCGGTGGAGCTGTTACCTAGAAAGGAATACAAGAAGCACGGCACGTGACGCATCATATGAGGTCGCAGGGTCAGTCAGGACGTCGCCGTAGGAGGCGCTTCGTAACGATGCACACCTGCGACGGCGACTGCATCGACGTTGCGCCCGCCAGCGCGTCAACGCTGGTGCCTCGAATCCGGGATCACGGTAAACTGTTGATGTTTCGTTGATCGAAGAACGTTTTTCTCTATTGATGCATGGAATGGGGCCTGTCGGGTTCGCAATGGGTATCGGCATCAGGGAAGGAGGTCGTGGCACTTTTCCGAATGTGACGACGTTCCATGAGCTTTGGATCCGTACGCTCGATGGGATCAGCGCTCAGATGCATGAGGCAGCACCGGGGGCGCTGCGCCTATCGATAGCGATGGTGAAGTTGCTGGTGTCTCGTGAGCAGCTGACGCAATGCGGGTGCCCGTCCGTACACTAGATGATGAACGGTGAATGAAACGGGATGCTGATGGAGCCTTGAAACCAACTGGATCGGGGACCGAACCCCGAGCGTGAAGCATTCGCGCTGCGTGAATCCCCGTACAGCGTACAAGCTCCTCGTTCAGCATCGCTTTTCGGACCGCGACTTATGGTTGGAGATCGGACTCAGTGACGTTCTGGGTGCTAGATGTATTGTCAGCTTAAAATGGAACACTGAAGTGCTCGCAAGCTTCTTCTTTGCTTATTTGAAGTGTGTTCAGATCGAGCGTTCTTACCTTTCTGCATCTTTCCGTTTCAACGTAACTCGTGAATGGAGCATTTCGTGCCGCTAGGTAGACGAGTCACATTTCTTGACGTCGGCTTGTGATGACTTGTTCGCAAGCCCAAGCGGAAAGTTCACTGACTTTGTAACTTCAAGTAATCGACTCTGTGCGGAAGAAAAATCCGCCTCTCCTGGTGGCCTTTGATGACAAGGCATTCGACATCAGCAGCATGTTACTGTTTTCGGGAATGCTCCCATAGGTTCCCGTCACTCCTGTTTCACGCAAAAGGGTCTTGGACCCAGTCTGTATTCATCGGAGCGGTCGCTTGCATTGGAGACTTTGTCAATGCCTCTGACGAAGGGAATGTAGACGTGTCGACATTGGCTGGACTTGTTCTTCAGCCCGGATTTTCCTTCCGCTACTCAGTTCATCACGAGCAAGATTGCGTCGCGGAAATCCTCAATCGAAATCGAGAAGATTGTGCTTGCACTTGCAGCGGACAGAGTATTCGACCAGGGCCTTGCCCGCTGCAAGCTCGTGATCGTAGGGTACGGCACAGGGCGCGGAAACGGAGGAGCGCATCAAGACCAGCGCTCTGTAGCCGTCAAGGACATGCATCGATCTATGAAGCATGCGCTCATGCGTTGCAGTGCAGCCATGGGAAAAGGATATATAATGGACTCATGGGGACACCTGACCGCAATCGAGTGTCGCTGCTGCGAAGGCCGTTCATCGACGCTGCGTACAAACCAGATGAACATGCAAGCGAAGCGTAGATCGCAACGGTGTGCATCCACTGAATCGACTCTAGCCGGAATCAGCGAAATCCGGACTTGAGTGCTGCCATCAACATTCTTCGGCTGTTGGTAACGGAACTGAAGAGGGCGGACGGACTGGCGGATGGAAAACCGCAGTTAACAGAGAGAAAATGGGAGCAGTTAAGGGAAAGCTCTAAGGAGCTGGTGTTGATGACAATGCGGCGAGGCCCAGAAACGAGCTGCATACGCCATCATTAGAGGACCTGTTGGATTTAAGAATGACCCGGGTGTAACGCGACACCGTGACTCTGGAGTTGCATTGGTACCCCGACTCGTGACACGATAAAACGCCTAGAATGAACCTGCATTGGATACAGCGTGGGAGCGTCCCCCTCCGAATTAAGGAGCAATAGATGCAAAAGCTATGCGGGCACGTCTTTTCGAGTCTGGAACATATACCCACAGAGACTGCATAGACAAGATGCCGTATACGATGGTTTGCCACAGCGCAAAGAACGTTCTCTCGACTACGAGCGCCCGTAAGATACAGCGTTTGCCGTATGCAACATAGCAGGCCCGGGGCTCTAGACTCATAACAGTGAATTCTGGAATACTTTTTCCGGCGCGAACGTTTTCATCACCAGTACTCCATTGAAGGATTGTGTCCGGGAGATTGAAGAAACTTCGCGAAAAGACGTAAAAACACCTCCAGTACCTGATGAAACAACTAGCTTCATAATCCAAGTCAGTCATTCTGCGGTCAGCAGGTGGATGGAGCACCCTCCTCGGAGATTTTATGGTGAACGTCATGCAACAAAAGAGAACCTCGCCAAGTTTAGCTGGACAAATGTTTCTTCGGCATTCCATTCCCATTCTAGACGTTCTCTACGAAATGGAATGAAAAAAGCCACAAAAGTTTTATTTTCCGTACTGTTGATACGAACGGTGATGAAGGGCATTGGATGGATGAAGAAAAACACCGGCATCAATGGTTGACGGACGCTCGCTGAACCTCTCCAAACGGGTTTCGTGCTTTTATCTGAACGCTAATTACACGATGAACACGGGTTTGTCACATTCGACGAACCATGATTCAGGGGAAGTGACAGGCCTGCCTATGGGCATTCAAAGAGGGACAAAACACTGATCGTAAAACGCGATACGCGAGCATGCTGTGAACGTCAGCTCTAGCAGCGATGGCTCTAGCAGCGATGCTGTCACGTTGTCGCCAACAACTCGCCAAGCGGACGGCGTCTTTCAACAGCTCATCGATCGTTGACGCATTCTCCTGTCCTGGTTTATTATAAATTCACTCAAAAGCCGCGAAAATGTAAACGGCTTCCAGCGACGTTGAGCTGCTCTTCGTTCGAGCCTATCCGCCACAGTTCCATCCATTCCAAGGCGTCTTTTGTATTGGCAAACGCCATTTTCACGCTCACAGATTTCTAGGCGAGTCGCTCGCATCCATGAAACAGTTGCTCGTCGAGTCGTTCTCTACTTTCATCAGCTCTGCACCGCACTACTGCGTCTCGGGTCGAGAGCGCTGAGAAATGCGCTTTGGTCCGTCGGCACGCACGCGACTTTGAAGTGACGAACAGCTGCGTTATAGGAATCGGGGATCCGTACAGACAGTGAGCGCGTTTCAGCCTCACCTTCCATGGAGTGTGTCTGCATCCACAGCAAAACCTGATATAGAGTGCCGCGAACATTTGAATGCTGCCCAGGCAAGTAAACGAAGAGGAGAGGCAACCACCTGATGAATCAGTAAAGGATCCTCCCGGCAGGTGGACCAGGTCCTGTAGGATGGAAGCATTGCCGAGGCTGAGAAATCCTTCTGAATCCGTCAACGGGCTGTCCCTGCCAGTATACATCAACTGGGGGAATCTTCCAAAACGTGAGACGCAGGTCGCCATTGGGGATCGCGTCGCTTGTTACTCGAGGAAGGCTCGCTGAGCTTCGATTGTGTTGACGCACTTCGTCAACCAACGCTTTGTACGAGCTATGTACGCAAGGCTGCCCGCTGTCCATGTTCCTTCCGTATTCCTCGATCATACCTTCGCGTGACACCTAACGCGAGAGCAAAGGAAGCACTAAAGCCTGATCATCGGAAACGAGGTTTCAACATTCGCCTCCTCGAATACCCTGACGCATCGCCGCACTCCATCCGGGATCGAAGGAAATCTGCGGTCCATATGCAATTAAGAATGAAACCAGTCTCAATGACCAAACGCATGTGTCTGTCCTTGTGGAGCGTTTTATGAGGCGCACGCCAAGAGCGTTATACCCTCAAAACACTGGACCCGAGACACGGTGACTGGTGGAAGGATTTCCTGCGGTTTCGATAGAGGCAAACGACGAGCTGGTGACGGAAGCGATCGAATCTGGTTCGAGTTCGGAGGAGATGCTGCTGCGAGGTCAGGAGTCGCTGCAGACCGCCCAGCCTCATCGTGTCGCTTAGAGCGCCACGACCACCCAAGTCGTATCCAAAGGATTCTTTGAGTGTGATTCCCGGCTTTCTTGAATCTCGTGTAGCTAGATTTTCATAAGCAGAGCCCTTCAGAGCAATGCACGTGCCTTACGGGCATTTTTGTGCTCACGAATTCGCAAGCCTCGATAGGACGCGGCTCGTATATGTCGGACCATGACCCATTCTTTCATGGCAGACACTCGTATAGTGTACTGAGGGCGTTATCAATGTGCTGCGGCTCGTCTCTGCGACTACGCATCCTGCATTCGAACCGCTTCGCGAAGAGCACTAACGAGGCTCGCTCGAGGGTTTCTCGTTTGCAGCATGGAAATGGAGAGATGTTCACAGTGGCGGTAGAGGCAGAGAGTATATCAGTTGGCATGCGCTTCGTGAGATCTAGGCCTCAGTCGAGCGACGACACTCGATTCCAGCCGTTCAGAGTAGATGCAGAGAAACACTTCGGGGCTGGCGCGGATCCCGGGTGGAAAGGCGCCATGGACGTCACCATACGACTCTATCCAGCGGACGGAGCGAAAAGCCTGAACGAAAAGCAGGTGAAGCGGCTCAACGTTGCAGGGTTGGTCATCACCGGACGTCAGTCTTGATGGACACCCGGAGGTATACCAAGAAGACGAGTGACTGCTTCTTTGTCCGTTTCGACATGCTGACCATTGTATTGAACTGATCGGGATGCTGTGAACGCTTCGTTCGACGAGTACACCAGTGCCCCAAACGGCTCATTCGGACGATTTTTGGAAGGAGCGAAAGACATCAGCTGTGGTCGCCAACAGTTTCGGCTCTATAGAGGCGCGATGCGTGCACTTGGCAATCAATTCAATCATTGTAGACAGACAAATCACAGAAAAGTCGCTTCCTTTGGTGATAGCCCATGGCGCCGGGCGCGCTGTACTACTGATCCTTCGACGTTGGCATCGAGTGACTGCAGGAATCGATTCAGTGGATACACAACGATGAGTCGAGGACAACACGCACGCACCATGAGCACCGGTTCACGCTGAAACATGTAGAAAAGATGAGGATGAAACACAGATGGATGCACGATTTTATGTGCCGCACGGGTTACCGAAGGACAGATTCTTGGGTAGTCGAAGGCGAGCGACTTGCCATGGTTTGATTCCACCAGCGACCGTGCGCGCCAGCACCATCTGCTCCGACCCCTGAATGCCGCGATCAACATTTGGGAACGGTTGGTGCTTTTGGAGCGGTGAGCGGCTTTGTGTCAAGCGAAGTGTCGATCGAGTCTTTTAGGACTCAGCGGCGGCATCGTCGTGAAACGCTGATGATTTTCGATGAAAACATATCAGTGGCCATGAGAGATAGGCTTGGATTCTCGCGTGGGGTACGCCACTGGTATGGGACGGTTCAGCGAGTCAGCAAGGCCGGGGCGCCGCATCTACACACCTGGGACCGGTTCCGTGGCAGTGGATGAACGAGTATGGTGCTCCAAAAAGTCGAAATTCTCGAGCGTAACGACTCGGAATTTCCAGTGTGACGGGTGCACGTGTACCGCTTGTTGGAGCAGAGCACATGGAGTTCGTAGGCCGCGCTGGCGGCCTTCATGGATGCCGCCACCGCGAATGTGCACTTGCGTCAACGAGGCCTGTGCGCTCTGTCGCGCGAACGCCCCAACTATAAATGACGCCAGGTTTGCACGCCAAGAAGCAAATAGATGGGGATTTGCAACAGCGCGATGAAGAGCAGCACATAGTTGCGTCGAGCTTGCTGAGTGTCCCATGATGTCGGATCGTATGCCGCCATCGTTGACATATCCCCGCTTGGATTCTCCGAACGGAGCAGTCTTCTGAATGAGCGAAGTAAGAATAGACCCATCATCAGGGAGACATAGAGCAACACTGCTAATGACACATAAGTTCGACCATGCGTGAGCCGTGAAGCCAAAAGCGTAGACGCGGTCGCAAAGGCGAGCCCCGCGAACTTGTACCCCGAATATGCGATCAGATCGAACCATGGCACCGACGGACCCTGCGCTAGGAAGAGCGCCACACGGATGAGCAACACCTCCAAAACGATGACAATTAGGCCCATCGATGCCCATTCGCCCATAGCTTGAGGCGTAAACTTGCCCTCCGCTCCACGCAGCAAGCCGACAAGCAGCACATAGGTTACGAACGACATCGCTGGAATGTATAGATCGGGTGCATTCGGGTCCTCGCTCGGTGGAAGCAAGCGCTGCGTCGTATGCTGGATAGCTGCATCCGGGTCCATCGGGTTCACAAACGGATCGATCGGTTTTCGTTTTCGAGACCAGGACCGGTGGTAGAAAGGGAAAAACAGAATCAACAGCTTTCGCATGACGTATCCCACATCGACCTGAAAATAAACTTTTGGGATTCCGTAAAACGCCCAACTCTGTGGACAGATGCCGGCATCCGGAGACACGCTGGCTCCCTGGGTTGCCTGCGGCGATGTGCCGCTCATGTTCATCCATGCCACGCGAGCAAACTGACTCACCATGGAAGTCAGGGCTTGACCACTGCCAAACATTTGGTTCCAATACTGCTGTCCGTAAATGTTCTTCCCGTGTTGCTGGTAAGCAGCGCTATCCGAACGCAGTCTTACGTTACTGAAGCCAATATCACGGGCCGCCGCCGATGACACCGGCTCGAAGAACGCGCCGGGGGCACCAACTGCCTCACTTTGCAGAGGTTGCCAAGCGCCCCCAGCATTGAAGGTGTTCTCGAGGCTCCCAGCCTGCAAGTTCCAGGTTTCCCGCGGCACGCGCAAGTCGCCAGCGGGTCGTGCTTCCTGGTACACCGTGGTGTCGTGGTGCGGGCCCTGCGGTGGGGCCGGTGGCGGCACCTGCGCTGCGGGGTTCGTCGCCACCGTCGGTACCCGTAGTCGATTCGCAGACTGACGCGTAGGGTCTGGCGCAAATGGCACACCGTGGGTCTGCATGCCGCAAGTCCTCGCTCGATGAAACGAACCGCACACCGAAGTGTACGCACTTCGGATCAGAACGCTGGTATCGAACGGTAGCGCAGCAACAGTAAACGCAGTAACAGCAACAGCAGTCGTAGTAGCAGAGAGGAAAAAAAGTGGCGCTGGTGCGCACAGATGCCGGTGCTGCAACGACGACTTGTGCGCGCGTCGGCGCCGTAGCTCCTGATAGCGCGACGCACCTAGCGGGTTTACGGAGGCAGGATCTATGTACCTCAGTTGGGCGTAAACAACAGCAACGTTCAGGCCGCTTCCTAGGGTCATCAACACCAGGCTTTTCCTTTTTCCGACTGCTTTCCTTTTTTCCTTCCAATTTATATAAGGTTTTCATTATATGCGTCTCTTCGTTCGCTCCAGCTTTACTTGTAGGCAGTCGAAAGAGGTCGATGGCAGTGCTAGATCCGCGCTTTCGCCAATTGCTTGCGTTGTCGACACAATGAATAGACAAGCGGAGGTTGTGACTTACAGTTCGCTTGAGGCGCGCATCTGCTTTGCATACACTCTCGGTACCTCCCTGGAACCGGTGCGACTCGACTGCGGTCTGGTGCTTCTATCTGGCTGGGGGAATCCGCTCCGAGGGCAGCCCTGGGGCGTATGTGCAGGTTTGCTTCAGTGCTGGGTACAGGTCCTTGACGGGTACTGCAGGTGCTTCTCGATGGCTTCCTCGGTTTCCGCGATGCATGTGGCATCTAGGACGACGATCTTATTCTGGGCGGTGCCCTCGGCGAGTGCCTTGTCTGCCGCATCGCAAGCGCGCGCTGTTCCATTTTTTATAGAGCAATTTCTTTAGCGCAATGTTGTTGATGACGAAACAAGTACCAGAAGGAAAACCCAGACTGGAGTTCAAGTCGAGAAACTTCGATCTGTCTGTACTTTCTTCGCGCAATGGCGTGAAGCACGCTCCACCAGGGGCAATCGCTGCAATGACTCCAGTCCGAGTCCAAAAACCCCTTCTCCACGCAAACAGAATGGATGCACGCCTCCGACGGCGCATCTCATGAGGTAAATCAAGCAGATACTGCATGCATGCTCGTCAATGGCCACAGAGAAAAGCGGATGTGTTCTTCAACCGGAATCATCGTTATTTAGTGAAAAAGCTCAGCGCGCTTTCAGCATGAACTTGTGAAGATATCTTCAATGGACAGCCTCGAGTATTTTTCCTCTTAAACCTAGCTACGAGCTTTGTTGTACGAAATATTTGCCTTGAGGCAGGAAGATCTTACGCATGAAGACTACATGAGTTGAGCATGCTTCAAGTAGCGAAAGGGAAGCGCGAGAGCTTGCAGCCATGAACTGGATAACGATCTCAGTTATTGTACGATGCCGTGTTCGAGGGCTTTGCGAATCGTCTTGCCTTCCTCGGCATCACGAATGCCATCGCCGATGTATCGAAGCATCCGCATCGACAAGACGCCCGAGAATGCTTGAATGGAGTATGAACCTGTAAGCCCCTAGTGCGAAATTTTGTACTTCGAGGCTGTGCACCTCAAAAATGTCCAAGAAATCGAACTGCTAAAGCACATCGAGCAGTTCAGTGCTCCATTTTGGTCTGCGGTGTGCTTGGGCGCTCGAGCTGCGGTAGCTGCGCGTTGCGGACGGCGAAGCACGCCGCCAAGTGCGACGCTCATTGCTCGATTCCCCGCATGGCAAATGAAATGGAAGCGATATCGTCGCAGCGCCGAGTGTCAACATAGCAGCCATCTCGTGACAAACTGCGTCGTTGTGAATTGACGCTGCTGGGTGCGCGTGATGCCAAGCCCTTTTCCATGGCCTGCCTGAACTGTCCATAGCGCACGCCAGAAGCGCATCCCATACCCGAACGCGTTGTGGAGGTTTCTTCCCTGTTTACAGGAATCCAGCTGTGCACCACGCTGCCTCGATGATCTGGAACGTTTGATCTGAAGCGATGTAGCATCCACTGCAACTATTCGCCGCTTCCTACGATACGACTCGCTGTATTCAGGGCGCTGTGTCGGGGGAGACGGTGCGGCTCGACGCAGCGGCGCGTCTCACGTAGCATTCGTGCGGCTTGCAGTACCTGAAAACGCGCACTCGAATACAGTGTCAATGGCGGTCTGCAGGCGCCTGCTTGATGACGGAACACCCGAAACTCGTTTCATTCGCACGCCAAACCAGACCTCTGTGAAAAGTGTCGCACTGGCATTGTCCGAAAATACCCCGTATCTGAAGCATCTTTTCTACTTACCCATGCGCTGCTGGCTTGCGTCAGAGGCGCCAATCTGAAATTGTTGGCCAAGAGATGCGCCAAAGCAGTTCGCATCCCACACGAGCGTCCGATACCGCGCTGATATCGCGAGCACGCCGACATCCTCTGAAGCCCTTGCGCAGCAAAATTCGTGATCGCGAAACGATTGCATGCTCTGAACATTTACGAGGACAATTCTTCATGATCGAACCGGAAGTATGCCGCGTTCCATGGTGTTCCAGGCAAGCAAGCCGGCAAGCAACCATACAGCTACTGCTGATCGTCTATGCTGCATCTAGCTTGATTACCGATTCTGGAAGTCAGTACTATTCAGGAATCATACCACCACCCAATGATATCGCAAGCAGGCAAACAATCAAATACACACACTGCTGATCGCCTACGCTGCATCGATCCTGGTCGAGGACTCGTGTAGCAGGCAGCTGTGGCAGTTGCTCTGAGGTCCAGTGCCGATCGGTGCGATTCGGCGCCAAGATCACACGTAGCGTTCTGGCTCGGGGACGCCGGGCGCAGCGCTGCACGCGAAAAACTTTCTTACCAAGAGCCGCGCGAGGCTTGTCGCTTCATCCACAGCTGTCCTCAGCAACGGTATTGGTTCAGGTATTCCGGTGTTTCAGGGGGGCTAGCGCGTCGCACCTTTGGTGAGCGCAGAGCCGACGAGTGCGTGGCGCTCACTAGTGCGAACGACGCTGAGCGGGGACGCGAAGTGCCTCGAAGCCGCTGGTGTTTCGACTCTCACCGAGGGACCGTGCAGCCCGTCTCGACACGCCGTGGATAGACCGAACACGACCTCTTTGAGGCGTAGAGCAGTTTGGAGGAGCGAAATCTGAGCTTCCATCAAGTCAGCTTGTTGGGGCCTGGCCTCGGATCGAAACAGTTTCCACGCGCTTTCGCGAGAGAAAGAGAGCGTCTTCGGGACCCAGTTGGCTAGATTTGGGGCAGCACTGCACAATAGTAACGAGTTGCTTCATGCGGAACAATACGCCAACCGCTATAGAGCCGAAAGCAACGCCACGCACGCGACGGCGTCTTTCCTTCTCTGTGGAGAGCCCAGAGCGCGGTGACGCGCCCAGAAGTGAACCTAAGCTTGCGCATCATTATTCAACTCGGCACAGTGAGAAGATCCGCAGGTGTCGACCTCCAGTTGACGATGATGGTTGCACAACGGGCAATGTCCAACTTGTTGGCACCCCGTCAGGGCGGGCAACGCGCTTACCGGCAAATCATACCCCAAGGCGCGTGCATTTCGAGGCCACTGATCGAGACGCGCCTTCTCAGCGGATTTCAGATGCACTGCGCTTCGTATGGAGTTTGAATCTGGTTAGTTATTCTCTGGCATGGGCGGTGTCGCGAATTCACGAACGCTGGTCAAGCATACACGGGCGACTTGCGTCTGGCGGCCGCGGGCGCCGCTGGGAAACGACCAGCCTTGCAGCACGACCCCGTCGTCGTCGTCGTTCCTTCAAGCTAGCTATGTTCGTGCTTATCGGTTTGCTCTGTGTTCTGACAGGGTGTCTCAAGCCCGGCGCACCAGCGTATCGAAAAGCCTTCTCCGCATTGCTTTCGATCCCTGATCGGGGAAGAGTATTCTCCGGGAACCTGATGCCGCGAAAATTGGTGAGCGTCTTTTATAGCGGCTTTCAACGGAGCGGCCAACTCATTGCACGATTAGGTAGTGTGCCTGTGTGGTTGCGTCAATTCTCTCACCATGCAAAAGCGTCTATGAAAGGGGAAACAATACAAACTACGAGGCCACGCGCGATATCGAACTTTGGATCTGGACTCGACTGGGCTAGGCATTTATCCGTGTTCCAGAGATCCACGTGGAGAGCTCTGTGGAGCGCTTCGATCGCCTCGTATCATGTTTTGCCTGGAATGCACTGGTATTCCGAGTGGCTACGTCATCGCGCTCCTGCTCGCGCTGATTCCCACTGGAATGAGCTCGTCCATCGAATTGATCGGATTGAAGCGCTCCTCTCCGAACAACTGACTCGAATGGAGAATACGTCCTCGTCCCCATGGCGCGGGGATGATTCTCAATCACAGCCGGATGTGGAGACATTGCTTGGATATTTGCGTGACAACAAGGCAGGCGCGCTTGTGGATCTCGATAATCTCCAACATGTACATGTACAACAGGCATCCGCAATCTCGACAGAGCTACGGGAGCTTCGCGAGTCATTAGCAACAGTTCGCACGGACGCTATGCAACTGGTACGCAACTTGGAAACTCGATTTGAGCGCCTCGAAGGCATGCTGCGTCGACAGCGTGCGCACATGCACAACTCGCAGTGGATGTCGACAGCAGCATCGGATTATGCGCTCGCCTCGGCTGGAGCACGAATCATTCGCGCCCAGCCTTCCTGGACAAGGACATTTGTCAGCTACTGGAGCAACCGCGTGCGCTGCGTCTTGAGGGCTGCTTTCGGATCGCGAGCTGCACGCAACTGCCATCGCCCGTTGCCTTTTGCGCCAGCCATTATGCTGCAGTCGCAGGGTCTTCATGCGCCGCTTTCACGCGGTCGGTGTTGGCACGTTCCCCGTGGCTCTGCCTCAGTGATAGTCCAGCTGTCGGAGCCGATCTGTCCGGCAACAATCATGCTGCTCTTTTCAACGAGTCGTGCGTCTGCGCACGCATCCTTCCAAAACGAAACTCCATCCGTGCAGGTCCGCTACGAAGCGCTTTTGTCGTTTCGTTCGCCAGCGATGTTCACGCTCCAGGGTACATCGACACCAAATGACTGTTTCGGCAACAGTGAGACAAGATTCTGCCGAGTGTCGCTCCGAGTCGATCCACAAGTTTGTGTGGAGCCGCTCTCGATCGTTCGCGTGCACTTTGCGCAGATCGGTAACGAGCGCAAATATGCGGAGCATTTGGACAAGCCGAGTACAAAACGACGCCCCCTGCACGCATATCCTGCGGTCGATTTATGTATCTACAAACTTGCTGTCTTAGACTTTGCCCAGGAAAACCCCATATGACGCGAAACCCCGGATGAGCATGCCTCTCACACCGAACACGGACTCGCTGCCTCGCCCATGCACCGTGACGCACCGGCGCTTGACGCTCGACAGTACGTAAAAAACGACCAGTGCATCCGAAAGGAAGTATCAGTAATGGAACTTGGAGGTAGAGTGCCGCATCATGATGGACGCTTTCCCGAAAGTCAGTATCCATCCGGCAATCTGGGATCTATGGTCCATGTTCGTGGTTTCGTCATCGAAAAACAAAATCACAGCGACGTTTGTCGATCGCTAACGCTGGCGTCCGCGTGTCCGCATCCAGGGCGTGCAGCGCCGCACACACCAGGCACAAGCGTATCCTTGTTTATGTCAGTCGGTTTGGCGTACTAGAAAGCGCATTGCTGTACGCTGCTCTAGAGACATTTGAGCTTTCAGGACTCTCAGAGGAAAGGGTTGCGTGGTTTTTCAAGGTGTTCACAGAGGTACACTAGTGTGCTACTCGTGCTCTGGAACTGAGCTGGGCGTTGGCAACCAGAACGCCCGGCATTCACTGAGACGCTGGCGAACAGCGCTTCCCACAGCAGTCCAAGTTGGAACGTCATACGTCTCAAACATGTTCGTAGCGCTACCAGCTGTTGTGTCGGCACGCGTGGTGCAACCGCTTGTGACGCCCACCAGCGTGAAACGGCGTGTGGGACGGCGCACGCAGAGGCCGCCGCTTCGCAGACTTCCGTCTCCGGTGATGAAGGTTCGCAAAAAGTCCGTGGACGAGGAGGAAGAAGCAATTCGCAAACCATCATCGCTAGAGCCTGAACAGACGTTCTATGATGGACCGCCTTCCTGGACGGAGTTGCTTCTGCCGGGGCTTTCGATTCTCACGGTTATCGGCGTGATACCTTTCGCGGCAGCGCTAGCGCGACAGTACTGGGTTCGTTACCGTATTTCGAACCGCAGCATATACGTTCGGGCAGGATTCATGGGTCGTGATGAAACCGAAGTAGTTTATCGTGATATTGAGGAAGTACGATACGTTCGAAGGTTCGGCGGTATCTCCGCAGACTACGTGATTCTGCTCAAGGGCGGAGCGAGGCTGGAGCTTCGAGCAGTTCCTGACTTTGATAAGACGTATACGTTTATCATGCAAAGAGTAAGCGAGGAAGCGCGCAAAAGAAGCAATTATACCAAAGAGAAGCCATCTGACTGATCCCTAGGAAGAATGCTGCTGGTAACAGCGGGCGAAAAATGATCACTTTATAAAACGAATACCACAGGGTGACGTTGTTGTTGTCGCGACGGCGCGCAGCGCTGACTGCACATGTTGCAACGGAACGCCACGCGTCCACGTTCTACTGGAGCATGCAGCCCCAGATCCCAAACGTTCTGAAGTGCAACATTGCCTCGCAGGTGGTGCAACCGGAGCCACGGCGACACCAGGGCTAGTTTGGTCCGATTGGGCGCGACTTTCGTCCAGTCTTCGCGCATGCTCCGCAGCACAGCACCAAAAGATGCGTCTAGAATGACGGGATTACAGGTAATGCTCGAAACATTAGAGCGTCTTTACCGGGCGACGGCGGTTTCCCGACAGCCGCGAGCGCTCATGAGCGCGACAACATCGCCCTGTCAACTCAGGTATCAGAAACAACTTTTTGGATTCAGCGGCTCAACGGAGACACACTCGCACCGGATCGTGCAGTGGCTGCACGCCATGTGGTGCCCCGTACGTGTCATATCGCAATGAAACACGGCCATGTAGCCAGCTTCAACGAGACCGGAACCAATGCGTCTAGCGACAGACGACTCACGCCCGTGAACCCGCCGTGCAGACAATGAATGTTGTACGAGGCCAAGTCAGGCGCATTCGTCATGATCTTGTATCGAGAATGCGAAACTGGGTAGGCCGCTTGTGACTGGGCATGCTTTTGTGCTCCGCATGCATACGCAGCGCCTCCGCAATGATTCCAAGTTCACGTTCGTTCAGTGGCGCCCAGGAACCCTCTTTATCTAGCTCTGGCCCCAGTTCAATACCGCAAAAGGCAAATCGATGCAGCCGTCGTACTTGGTACCCAAGTGAAATGAGCATTCGCCGAATCTGACGGTTACGGCCCTCATGAATATCGATTTCGATCTCGTTGAGTTGCGGGCGCCGTCGCACTGCACACGGTAAGGTTGGCAAGCGAATCGTTTTCACTTTCTTGTCGTGCCGGTATTCGGTTTCGACCACAAAGCCTTGCTGAATGGCCTCGATATCCTCGTCAGCTATCGGTTTGTCCAGCGTGACCAGATAGCTTTTCACAAAACCACTGTTCCTTCCTAGAAGCGCGTTCCCGACGCGTCCATCATTCGTCAGTAGCAACACGCCCGTTGAGTCTTTATCTAGACGTCCGACGTTGAACAAACGAAGATGGTGCTGGTCCGCCCAGGCACCGAGCCCCGACGCCTCTAGCACGTTGCCGGGTACGGCTGGGGCGGTAGTACACTCGACACCAACCGGTTTCCAGTACTTGAAATATACAAAGCACGAATCAATAGCAGCCAAGTCAGTTTCTGCAATGAACGCGCTCTGCGACAGGGAAACCAGCTCTCCGTCGACAGCGATCACGTCGTCCACGGAGACGCGCGCTCCGAGCGTTGCCGGGTTTCCGTTAATCGTGACCCGGCCAGAACGCACCAGCTCATCCGCTTGTCGTCGAGAGAAGCGCTCTCGAAGCGCCTTGTTGACCCGTACTCGTAGACTGGACGAAAGCGCTGTGCAAATAACTCGTCCGAGCGTCGCTGGTGTGCTCTCCGCGGCACTTCGACGCGTTCCACGGCAACCAAGCGCGAGGCGAGGACGCGACCACCAGGCGACCGGTGACCACTGGCACAGAAGAGCGCTGCGCTTCCAAACCACACTCCGTAGTGCCGCCGGCCTGCCAGGCACTCGCACGAAGACACACATATCCGTGCAGTCCAAGGTACAAGCGCACTCTTTCAAGGGCGCGCGCTGCTCAGCAGCACCAGCGGCAGCAACAAGAACAATCGGTGTTCGGCTCCAGCGCTGCGACACCGCTCTTTCACACACACACACGGGGTTCCGGGCCAGTTGTCCCCGATAACGCTCCGAGCTGTTGAAGGAACCAGAGCAGTGAAACAGAATAACCGATAATGGCATCTAGCCGCATGCAATGCTTGGTACGTAGCGCGGCGGCACACTTTCCGGCGACGCGGATATACCTGAGACTTACCGCAACGTATCCGAACCCGCCTCGTTATGCCCTCCAGAACCAACTGATAGCGCGCTACCGGAGCCTTGTACTTTCGAAGGCGGGTGCAGGGCCCGTTGACCACAGTCAGTCCCCCGAAGCTGTGATCCAACGCCCTGATGGAGCATAGCGAAAACAGCACGTCTCAACTTTATCGGGAACATGATAAAGTCATGAACGTGAAGGGCAAACGCAGTTTCCGAAACATCTGCATCGGGGACGGCTTTTCGCCCTTTGTACGGCAGAGAGTCCTGTCTCTGAATCGCCATTATCATTCAGTGAGATCTTTGCACCAGAACCGAACTCGTTCGATCGATCGATCCAGTGCCTGCACCCGTAGCCACCAGCGGTACGGTGCAGTGCGCTCTGGCGTACGATTTCGTGTATAAGCCGGGGATCACCGCCCGCGATACGCGATGGATAACGCCATTAGGGCGTGTATCCGTCATTCCGCAACAGCAACACATGATGCAGTATGGTTCATTTTGTGTTCAACAAAAAGTTCCCATAGATCATGGATCTTTGATCCCATGATACACATTCGCATTTCGGATACCGTCCATCACGCATACCTCCACTCGGATGCACTGGCAGCGTGATGCATGCGCTGCGCGGCAAGTGACGCTGCCCGACCCCGGCGATCGATGCGTCGACGGCGGCAGCGTCGCGCAATCGGCCAGCACCCGCGTCGACACGTCACGTGACTTGCGTACGGTGAGATCCTGCGACTTCAAGCCAGAAGTGGAACTGCCCACCTGGACACGTGTCTCTGCCGCGAAGCGTGTCGCGGGTACGAGCCCCGATCTTGTGCTGGAGATACGCCTCCAAGCTCGCGAAAACGTTCGCGGCACCAGGCTTACCGGCGTTGACCGGTGTGTGGCATGAGTTCGGCGGCGGCATCGCAGATCTGCCAGCGTCCACGTCGACTGTAGAGCATTTCTTCCAACGCAAGAGCTATTCACGAAGGAGTGGAGAGAGCGTCTGGCTCGTATCTGCTTGCTGAGGTTCAGCGACGGTCCGATTAAAAGCAGAGCACTCTGTGCGAACGGTGAGTCGTGTTTAACGCTATGCTCGGTCTTGTTTAGTGAGGAACGCAGTACCGCCGTTTCCGAAGATCTGACCACTGGAACAGGAACCGCCGTGACTTCTCTCGTGAAGACAGTTCGTCAGGGAGTCAAGCAGACCTCAGACGCATAGCTTGAGAGCGGCGGACGCTTACTCGGTGGATTTTTTGATTGAGAGCGTTCTTACGAGGTAGTGGTTACAGCGCAAAGTGATCGTGTTCGATTTCATGTTCGTTGCTCTGGCGGGCGGACCGGCGCGCTCACCACTACGACACGTCGAGCCTGTCATGGAGCAAGTACCTGCTTACCCAGTAGCCAAAACACCGAGCGAGTCGCTCTCTCCAAGCTATGAGTCTTCGTATTCTGTAGAAGGTCCATCAGCGGGGAGAGGAGCGAGTCCTGAGCCTCCGGGTACCGGTGGTGGCTACCTTCCCCGCGACTGGGAATACCAGCAGCGCAACAAGGAGACGACCGCTTTGAGCTTTAGTGAACAAGCACCAGATGCGGATCATGAGAGCGTGGCGTCTCAAAACAGGACACAACGCGAGGCGGTGCAAACGCATGGGCGGAGTGAGACGTCACGAAGCGATACGGGGAATTGGTATCTCACCGAGGACGCCATGGAGTATTCGGACACTGAAGATGCTGCAGACTACCGCAGCGGAGGCTACCATCCGATCCAGATCGGAGACGCACTGAAAAACGGACGGTATATTGTGCTTCGCAAACTTGGCTGGGGCCATTTCTCCACCGTCTGGCTATGCTGGGATGAGGAGCGATCTGGGCTGGTTGCGCTCAAGATCCAAAAATCAGCCCGACACTACACCGACGCGGCACGGGATGAGATCGCTCTGTTGGCAACCATTAGAGAGAAGGCGCCCTTGCGCGGAACACCTGTTGTCACTTTCCTGGATCACTTTGAGTTGATCGGGCCGAATGGGCGACATATATGTTTGGTGTTCGAGGTTCTGGGACGCAGTCTTCTCTCGCTTATTCGGTATCACGGCTATCGTGGGGTGCCGCTCCCCATCGCCAAACGCGTTATCGTGCATTTACTTGAAGCGCTCGATTTTTGCCATCGTGATTGCGGGATTATCCACACCGACGTCAAACCAGAGAACTGCTTATTTGTGCCTCCACGTGAAGCAACGGTAGAGCTAGCCGGACAAGCAATTTCGGAGGCTTTGTCTATGTTCGAACAACGATATGGACCTATACTGCATTCGTTTGAGGGCCAGCGATCCTCGAACGCGCAAGTGGATCTCTCGGATGTGGCATCCAATTCCAAGCCAAAGCTCGTGCTGGATACACCAAACGCGAAGCGCCCACAGTCCGAGCCCGATGCACTGTGCGCACCAACGTTTGCTGAACCGGAGCGAGCTTGCAAACCGAAAAGCGAGGGCATGCCTCCGTTTCGAGCGTGTGCTGCAGTCGCGGACCGGCTTCAGACTCAGATATCTGATCAAGTGCAGTCCGGTCTTACGGAGGAACTGATCACGTGCAACGAGGACTCGGATCCTGCTCGTATACGCAAGACCTATAATGCTCTCCGTGCAGCGCTGAACACTGTGGACGCTGAAGTCGCGTCTCAGCGGGACTTGCAAAGTCAATCGACTGAGCTGATCCACGCCAGAACCCAATTCTCGGGTGAAGGGCCTACGCTCACATCGGCAAGTCTCTCATCGATATCTGAACAGTCACAGGCTTCATCTTCAAACGCGTCTATGAAGTTCACCAAGGATGCGCACGGGGGCGTCGTGTCGCGCTTGGCCTACCTGAAAGAGAAAGATCCCATGCGGATGCAGCAGGCGGACGATGCGGCAACAGCTTGCAGCGTTGATTCGGGATATGGGGCACTTTCCACGATGACAACAACGGCAGCGGCGGATCGAATGAAACCAAGTGCAGCACAACAGTTGGCGACCGTGAAGCACCCAGGGGGAGCTCGCACCGAGAACGGCGTCGCGGCGCTCAGCGGGTGTACGTTCAACGTAGAGCCGACACGCCCGCTGGCATGGCACGGCTGGGAGACCAACAGCCGGGTTAAACTGGTCGATTTCGGGAACGCGTGCTGGACTGACAAGCATTTCACGGAGGATATCCAGACCCGCCAATACCGTTCTCCAGAGGTCATTCTGGGTGCAGGCTTCGATGCATCAGCGGATATCTGGTCATGCGCTTGTGTGCTCTTCGAGCTTTTGACGGGAGATTTTCTTTTCGATCCGCACTCTGGCCGAAGCTTTTCCCGAGACGACGACCATTTGGCACTCATGATGGAGCTGCTGGGTCCGTTTCCCAGGTCGCTGCTGGATCGAGGCAAGTATTCTGGTGAGTATTTCACAAAAGACGGGGCGCTGCGGAAAATTAAGAGCTTACACTTTTGGAGCCTCTCGGACTTGCTTCGAGAAAAGTACAAGTTTTCGCGACACGAGGCGGAGGAAATTGCAATGTTCCTGGAGCCGATGCTAAGGCTCGAGCCAATGCAGCGCGCAACTGCGGCCCAGTGTCTGCAGCACCCGTGGCTCTCTGACGTTTACGCAGGCGCAGCTCGGCAGGGAATGTGCGCAGCATTGGCGGTAACGGCGACGACGCACACGAGCAGCATATCTCCTGAAACGCAGAACAAGTCCGCAGATGGAAACGACAGTGCTGCTGCCGCTGCAATCACTGAACAACGTGTTACGCAACTCGCTGTCAACGTGTCTTCAGCATTGGACCTGGGCCCGTCTTCCGCTGCGTCGAGCTCTCGCGGAAGCATCACCTCGCCAGAAGCTGCAGAGCGGCGCACGCCGGAATCCCTTCGCCAGCGACTTGCTGTGCGGCAACATTCGAACTACGCACCATCACAGACCATATTTGATAAGCGGTGTTCGTCACTTGGCCGACAGTCTGCGGGATGTCTCTGACGGCGTTCTGTCTAGAACGCACTCGTGCATTCGCGATACCTAGAGCACAAAACCGGCAGACTCGATCTCCTGATTTGCGGTCTCCAAGTTCAAGAATTCGCGCAGGTATTCAATCATACGCGGTGGCCATCGGGAGTAGATGCGCAGGTTTTCGAGTTCCGACATCTCCTCCCGTAATTCGTTGTTCGAAATACGGGCCCATTGATCCTCGGCACTGAGAAAGTCATGTTTTGCGCCCCAGAGCACCGCTGCAAGCGCTGCATGCGCTTCGGCATATGTTGGATACTTGCGTACCACCTGACGCAGGATCTGAATACTGTCGTCAGAACGTCCCAGCTGTGCCATAACCAGGGCCATTTTTTCGCGTGGAGCAGCCAGACCAGTTTCCGCGTCTGCAGCCGCCTGGTAGTCTGCAAGCGCTTCAGCGTACGCTCCGCGCGAGACCTGCACGTTTCCCCTGTTTATCAAGGCCGTCGCGCTTGCTGGAACGCTCTGTAAAACTTTTGTATACTCTTCGAGCGCTGGTTCCCATTCACCACGGGCTTCATAGACGAGACCGAGGTTCTCGTGAAGGACCGGCTCAGCGGGTGAGCGTTCGACGGCCTGCTGGAGGTCTGCGAGCGCTGCGTCCAGGCGATGCAACGACAAGCGAACGAGACCTCGGTTCGAGAGCGCGGCTCCGTTGTCCGGGTCCAAGGCCAACACTGCACTCCATGCCTTGTCCGCTTCTTCCCAGGAAGCTTGTTCGGTGAGGCGTAGCGCTTGCGTAAACTTTGCTTCGAGCTCACGTTCGATAGCCTGGCTCCGTTCGGTCGAGTCCGTTTGTTCCACAGGTTCGTGAGCGGGAACTGCGTACACCCGGCTGTCGTTGGTGAAACATAGCCCCACGAGTAGCACAGAGACAAGCGCACGTCGAAGCGCCGGATGCGTCGCAGTCACCGCCAGAGCGTTCCTGGCGGGTTGCTTCAGCACCGGGCACTGCACGAGGCGTTGCCAGGGTTGCGCGAGAGCCGCTCGTGTCGACCCAGTTAAGCACCTGCGGCAACGTCGTCTTGTTCCAGTGTTCTTCCACTGTTGACCAGGAACAACCAATCCTGTCCACATACCGCCAGGAGGTAGGTGATCTAGCACCAGCTTCCTCACTGTGCCTGTTGACGCAAACCGAGTCCAGCGGTAGCAAAACCCGAGAGGTCTAGCAACAACTCGGCTTCGAAGCAGTGGCTTCGAGCTCGTGCGCTTCCACAGCGCCCTGATCTAACGATCGCGCGCTCCGCAATAGCTTTATAGGCGTTCGTGGACGCAAGGTGTGCAGCAGAAACGGCAGAAGCCTCTGGTGACGTTGTTGCTTCTTCTGAAGGTAATGGTTTTGGTGACGCTTGTAGTAGTGCACTGAAGCTATCGAGAACATGTTCGGTGCAGTTGCACTGCGCTCCGCTTGTCGGCTGTGGTTGCGGTCGACGCAGTGCACGGGACCATGGGCTGAGGCGTCTCGATACCGTTCCGCAAACGCCGAACGCTGCCACAAGTTGCAGAACGTATCTCTTTACCAGCTGGGTAAACGCTGTACAAGCACTTGGAATAACGGTGATCAGCACCCATCGGTGTGCTTCACAGGCGACGTGTTATCATTGCAGGCCGGCCTGAACACGCGCTTCACCGCCGATCGTGCCAGCTCGGCGCTGCACTCGAGGTTTGGGTCTGTTCGCGGTGCGAGCAGCCTTACACCTCCACGGTCTGCTTCTAGAGGTCTCGCTCAGGGACAGGCTGGAGTTCAAAACGGTGCCGTCGCTATCGTTCTGCTCAGCGGTGGTCTGGACTCAGCAACGACGCTGGCGATTGCACGCTCGCAAGGGTTCATCTGCAAGGCCCTGAGTTTCGATTACGGGCAACGGCACCGCTGCGAACTCGAAGCGGCACGGCGCGTAGCGCGAGCGCAGCAAGTCACTGGACAGCACTGGATCCGCCTTGACCTCGGAAGTATTGGCGGATCAGCATTGACAGCTCCCGATATACCCGTTCCCAAAGCAGCGAACGTCGACGATGTCTGGGAACATACCCCAGAAACAATCCCGCTGACCTATGTGCCAGCGAGGAATACGATATTTCTCGCGTATGCGCTCGCCCTCGCCGAGGTTCAGGGCTCTTACGATATTTTCATCGGCGCAAACGCTGTGGATTACTCAGGGTACCCCGACTGTCGGCCGGAATTCTTTCACGCTTTTGAGCGGGTTGCCGAGCTGGGCACCCGCGCTGGTGTGGCGCCTTCCGATGCAAGGCGCTTTCGAATCCATGCACCACTGTTGCAGATGCCGAAGACCGAGATCATTCGCACAGGCCTGGCGCTCGGTGTGGACTACTCCATCACGCACAGCTGTTACGATCCGTTAGATGAGTCGGGGAAACCGTGCCGACGCTGCGACGCCTGTCGTATCAGGCATACTGCATTTCGAGAGCTGGGGCTCGAGGATCCACAACTGAGCCGATTCGGGGCTGGTTCCGCTGCGGCACCACGCACCGCAAAGAGCGAATAAGTAGCGAGAGATACTTTGCTGGAGTCTCGGCGACGGATACTATTCAAGGTAACAATGCCATGCGTAGGTGCGGGCCTCTTTCTGAGCTTCGACGCTGGTGGCTCGCCGAGTCCGCTTGAGGCTACCTCGGAGTGCACGTTACGCCCTGCTGCGGCAAAGGGGGTTGCTAGCCCGACGAAGGTTGCATTCGCACAGTTCAGCGGATGCCATGCCGTCATTCCCGGGTCAAGCGTGCTGCAGCGTCTGCTGAAACACAATGATGTCGTTGGTAGCCTGCTTGCGTATTCACTGGACTAGGCACGCGGGCAAACATCGGATAAGGCATCCTCGGACTGCCATTCGAGGTTAAGAGAGTGAGAGAGATGCTTGTCGACCGTGGCCAAAGTGCATACCTTTGCCTTTAGTAACGGCACTCGTGTGTTCTGAAACCACAGTTGATGCATGTTGTTTACGAGGATGAGCTGGGTTGCTTCGGAAATGACGCAGCAGAGGCAGCTTCGCTCGCTAGAGATCAGCCCCGAGCTTCTCGTTATCTCAGCACGGGCCGCGAAACACTACCAGCGCTGAGGTCACTTCTTGGTACAGCGATCTAGCCTGTACGGCATCCAAGAGTGATGAATGAGATCTCAAACGCTTCGTCGCGAATCAGCAAGATTTCAAGACGCGCTCACAGGTCTTTCCATATACGCAGATGTTACGAGAACGTTCTGGAGTAATTGAGAACCACAGTGCGATTTTTGAAGCAACTGCGTGTTGCGGTCAATACAACGCAACCCGCTCTGCTGCCTGAGACTCGCGGACATCTGGAAACCTCCGCGCTTCAGTTCTCGCAAGAGGTTCGCACTGCAGCGGCGCGCCCGTGCGGCGGGTGCGATACCCCTCCATTCAGCAGTGTCGCCGCACGCACGTGCATCCGTTGTGTCATGCCGACAAGCCTGCCTACGCAGCTTGTCAGTGTCCATATGTGCGACGCGTCTCGGGTCCGTCCCAGCTTACCCGCATCTCGTGCAGACATCTCTGAAGACTTCTCCAAGCTGCCTTGCCTCGGTACAGCGATGACAATGGGCACGCCACTGGTCGGGGCGTCAAACCGATCGATCCGCTATTCCTGAACGGATCTACTGGACTATAACGAGTTTCAGGAGAGTGGAGGCGTCCGCCGCACAGCTAAACGCTTTTCACTGCTTCCTACTGGCATAGACACGTTCCGGCTCGTGCGCTTCAACGCACCGTTCGAGCCTATACCCAAAACCTCTTCTTTTGTGTGAAGGATCGTCGAGTCTAGCCGGGGCTCCCCAGTACGTAATCGCTCTCGTCACCGAGGTAAGCGTCAACCACAACACACCATTCCCACCTCCCAAGAGTGCAGTGCTAGCGGTCTGTGCGCCTGCCGGACTTCCCTTCGTGGATCGTCGCTGATGCGTACGATCCAGCGGATGCCGTGCCCTGCACCACACCGCTGCCACGTGGACATCTGCACGCACACCGTCGATGCGACGTCGCGCACAGAGATCGAGCCCGTCATCGCGATGATCTGTTTACGACGTTGCAGCGTGCGTGCGTGCTGCACGCATCTCGTGCACGTCGCATGCATCATCATGTTCACCATTTTCCATATCATTGTAACTTTGCAAGTTGAGGCAGTTTTTGTAGGGTGCCGGTGCAGGACTAAAAGTGTCTGTTGATAGTAGAGTAGCGGCGGAGGCTCTTGTGCTGACTCTGGTGGGGTTCGAAACGCACAGGGCGCAGCCGCTGCAGCAGGGCAGTCGCCGACCGGACGCTCCATGTACGCAGCAAGTTGCCGGCTGTGTCTTTGCGGGGTTCACGAAGGCACGCAGCGTCTATTCCGCGCCTGTGGTTGTCGAGGGACGCTTGCACACGTCCACGCCGAGTGTCTCGCTTTATGGTTGCGCAAGCAGGGCTACGCGACGGGTGTTTGGCCGAATCCCTGGGTTCTCGCCGCAGCCCAGCGGGTTCTGGAGAGTGCGACTCGGAATCGTGACTGTGACGCAACGAGAAGAATGCCACTGTGGGAAGAGCATGCTGACGATAGTGGCCGAGTCCAGAAGCACTGCACGTTGTGGACAGCAGAGCAGGACCAGGGCAGCTGCAGCGGTTTCAGTGCGGGCATTCCGCGGACTCTGTGGAGCTCGGTTTCGCACACCACTCAGGAGAGTCGGAATCACATGCACCGATTGAACCTGATGCTTTATGCGTTTATAGCGGAATGGTTGGTTGTTTTGTGTAGTCCACGTGTGTTACTGGTGAGCAGTTGTCCGAGTTTCGTCCGGAGCTATTGGTGCGCGCAGAGGCTCCGATGCGAACTCTGCGGAAACATGTATTCTACCGAGTGTATGGAGGCGGTTATATGGATATGGTTGGGTATGGAAACCCAGGATAATGCTTGCTTTGATTTTCGATGGACCGATCCATGGGCGAACACTGCAGTGGAGGAAGGGTCCCAGACACCGCACGATCCACGTATGTCCACGGTTATAGACCGAGTTGAAGGAGAAAAATGGTTGCTTTTGGATTGCGCATATCCGGACTTTGCTGACGCCGAGCCTCGGCACGTCTTGGTCGCGGTAGCGAATGCTGCGATGCGAATGCATGAGCAGCTCATGCGACGGGTCGTGCAACGAACCGAAAGGACGCTGCTTTCAAGCAATATCGTTCGGAATCATGCAGATCAGGCAGCGCGCACGCGTGATGAACGCTCTGCGACCCGACTCGGACTGATAGACACGGTCGTTGACGTGCACGCCACGCGACACCGAATCGGGTTCACAGATCCTGTTGATGAGCAGGCTCAGTTTCACGCTTTGTCTTGGGCGGTGCACATTGCACTACGCGCGCTGGTGATCACCGCGTCAGTTGCCGTGTGCTTTTTGCTATCTTTCATATGTGGTCTGGTGACCGAATTCGCGTTTGATACCGTTGCAGACGTGTTCCTACACCGATATTTTCACATCCCAGAGCGTTGTCGCACCGCTGTGAATCCAGCTCGTTCCGTGCTAGTTGGCTTTTACGCTCTCGTTATCAGCGTGATCGTTTCGAAATTTCTCGTTGTGATCCTCAGCGTGATGAGGAATGCGCTCCAGAGAGTTCGCGAACATGTGCGAGAACGCATTCTAAGCGCGCTTGGTTTTTCTTCCATGCTCAAGTAGTGAACAGTGTCCACGGTTGAGGGGATACATACCAGAGACTATGAGCACGTGTTAGAACGCATTCGAAGCGCGCTTGGTTTTTCTTTCAGTCACATTTGCAGTACAGCGATTCGTACACACCGAACATTGGCCCTTTGCATCTAAACCGCATGTCAGAAAAATATAGGGCAGGTCACAGAACACGGGCATACAAGCTAAAGTTTGGGTCTGTTTCCATTGCCATCAAAAACAGCGTTTGGAGGCTCTGGCTGCGACTTTTTTGCTCTCCCTTTCCCTCATCTTCGGCCTTGAGTACACCAGTGTCTCCGTCCAGCTCCATTGTCAGTAGCAGAAGGATGTCGGTGGCAGCGTACAAGACCTGTTTACACAGCTTCCGGCTGCAGTCGAAGCACTTCATACGCAGGCGAAAGTTGCGATCTACGATTCACTTAACATTTTCACCTTGTTTATGGACGGCCTCAGAACGTCCTTCCCAGGGATGACATTTGGCATAGGCCAGGTGTTCCCGTATGCATTCAACACAACTCATCAATCGAGGGCCGTCTTGAGGTGCATGAAGGATTGCTTCATTGCTTTGTAGACGCTCTTGACGAGTACAGAAGGCTCCGGTGGATGCCTCTTCCGTTTCTGCGCCTGGCCGCGTACACTACGATCACGGACTTTTTCTAGTCGATCGCCGTGGCAAGCGCTCTGTCCGCTGCACACGCAAGCGCACGCTGTTCCATTCGATAGCGTGTGTGTGGAACGAGATTTCGTCCATAATGAATCACTACCAGATGGAAACTCCAGGCTGGGGAATAAGTCGAGGCAATGCAGACCCGTCTACGCGCTCTTCGTGCAATTGCTGACACTATCTCCGCTCGATGCGATCGCTGCGACTACTCGATTCCGAGTCCAAGGCCCATTTTCATGCAAACAGAAGCGACGGGAGTCTGTGAGCGCATGCCCCCAGGAGAGGAATCAGGCTGCCGTCGAATGCCGCATTATCCATGACCATAAAGAGAGACGAATTTTCCTTTAGAACGAAATTGATGATCTGAAATTAGAAATTCAATACACGTTCGGCACGGGCGTGAGAATAGGTCCTCAATAAATGACGTCAAGTAGTCTTCGTTGAGTGCCCAACGGCGCCACTTGCTATGCCCACGAATCGGTTTAAAACAGAAAGTTAGTGAAGTTGAAGAGTGGGTGATTGGAGCGTGCCTCAAGTAAGGCAAGGAAAAGAACGGAGCGTTATCCGTATGAACTGAATGATCAAGTCGCTTGTTTGACGATCCCTGTTTCGACAGCCTCGCGAATGATCTTGAATCCGGTGACGTATCGAATTTCAAGGGCACAGCTCCGAAGGTGCCACTCCGAAAATACAACCGGGAATGCTGCAACTATGTATGAGACAGCCAGACCATGTTACTCTCCTTCGACTGCACAGAGAGTTCGCATCTAGAAACGGTTCGAAAAAAAGCACAAAGGCATGAGCATAGCGCGCAATCCAGTGTTTGATTTTAATCGGGAAGTGGAGTAGTTGTCGCTTCTCTTGGTTCCACCATGCCATAATCACTGCGCCGGGAAACACAGACCTCTTCCAAGTTCCGTCTCTATAGACGGAAACGAAATCACCGCTCCAGGAGTTTGGTTTCCACATGAGAAGGCCGCATGGGTTGCTACTCTTCGACGTGCAGGGCTCTAGATCCAAGCCCGCGAACGAGTCCGAGTAGCTCGTATTCCATCACCGTTGCTGTCCGAGCGCATGCTTCCTGCGAGGCAACGAGTGCTCCTTGAAGTGTTCAGCACCGCTCGGCTAGCGTCTAGTTTGGGCAGCACAGGACGTGCTAGCAAGCCAGGTTTCGCACGGGTACGGAGCTGTTGAGCAGGCGCTGCTCGGACGCATCGACCAGGGATCCAGGGCGCTGTGCCTCGTAGTCTGGTACACCGAAAATACAGCACATGGCTGTAAGTTGCAGTCTGTGCTGTAGAGGGCACGAAGAGGCTCCCTATCTGTCTTCAGCGAACCATCAGTCGACATGGAGCGTCCATGCAGCTTGGTCGCATTCATCCATTCCCGCAGCGAGGTGCTTCTTTTATAATTAGAACAGAGATTTACAGAATGCCTGTAAAACGAAAATACCTGCTTCCATCAGGGACCGTCGTGCATTGAAGAATACACTAACGATTCTATATTGAAACGCGAATGCTCAGTACAGGAGCGACAGGGGCTCGTCTGACTCGATTAGATCTCATTCGGGAGCAATCGTTGGCCTGCCTGTTGCCACGCATATAATAGCGAAATGCTGTTCATGAAGAAGAGACAAGCGACCAATCTGTTGAGTGTAGCCCTAAAGGCGATTCCATGGAGAGATTGTCTATAACTGGTCAAATGAACAGGACTGCAGAACACAGCGCCCTTCGTCTACGCACTTCTCGTGTATGCTTCTTCGCACAGTCTTCTGTTTTGCTCTTAGACAAAGTCGCCTTCCATTCGGCAAAAGCGGGCAAGGCATACGCGGACAAGAGTGGCGTCGAAGTGCTCTTCGTACGTGCCTATTCTTCCTGGTTGAACCCAGTCGAAGGCGAATTGTCTGTTGCCAAACGCATGGCGTACGTGCTCGGATCTAAGGACGAGTTCTTCGCACCAGTGATATCATTCTTCGCCGACCGTTAACCGACAAGTCATCCGCTACCCTCACCAGCCCTGCACTGGTCTATTGCGTCTCTGCTCGTCACCAGGAGGGAATGTAAAGACGCGCTTCGTTCCGTGGGCGTGCTTGCGACGAACAAGTTGATGATGAGGCATTTTGGGGAATCACGGGTACGTGCATGAAGAGCGAAAGCCCCGGGCCCACGACCAACCCATTCCGCCCAATTCTTGATAAAAAATGGTAATAGAAAATAGTTCATTCTTCGATCCCGCCCCGTTAAGTGATAGAAAGGGCGAGGAAGGAGCCGGTCCCTGCGAGCAACTGGGAAGTATTCGAGCACCCACGCGAAGTGCACAGGAGAAGCATATTCAGGGATTCTCGTTTACTGAGAGGAAATGAAAAAGAGTTTACGAGGACGACGAAGATTTAAAGAATATCGGCACACATGCACTCCGCGTAACCTTGGCCCAGGTCGGACAACGAGATTCGTCTCCGAACGTTCAAAGCAGATGCAAGGAAAGATATTGCCTAGATCCCGGGTATACGGCATGATCTACGGCACCATGCCGCTAAATCAAGAAGACGGCTTCAAAAACCTGAATGGGACGCAGATGGAGCTGTTCAGATTTGCCAGGGCCGACTATCATTGGAAGTAATGCATGAAGGGCGCCAGGGAGCATACCGAGGAACGCAGAGACGGTGTGAGAGCCCATCTCAACGCTCGACTCATCGCAGCGAGCTGAGGAGTAGGATACTCTGGACGCTTCATTCAGAGCGCAAAACCAGCGTCAAAATGCCTCATGGGGACGAGCTTTCGTCGGAATATCTGAGATCACGCTGAGCGCCTGACGATTTTGGTTGTACTCGAGCAAGAAGCGGGCGTTCGCGAACTTGTTCAAAAAGCTGAAGAAAGAATTGACGGGTAAGTCGCGTCGTTCAGTGATAGTGCATGTCGCTGGACGTCAAGAAGCGCGTATACTCTGGGCTCCTTATTCCTTCGACGAGATAGTATGAGAGAGTAGCAATCGATTCTGCACGATTCCCCCGGAAGCGTTCATGACAATGTACATGCGTCAAGAGATCGAGTGCGCGCTGAAACTGCTGGACAGTGACAGCGTGAGAAAAAAGACGGATGCATAAGATAGTGTCCGAGAAGCTGACCGAAAGTCAGATGGTGCGGCAATCGATGCCGAAAGCCTTGCTCCATTGTGTGACTCCACGAACAACCATGCTCGCACGGAGTTTCTCCATCGAGAGCTGACACCTCGGTCAACACTCGAATCTGGATCGTGGTTCCGCAGCGTCCAGTGGATTTATCTATAGCAAAATTTTGAGGTAATTGTTTCGTGCTCAACGTGGGTTTTTTACTGAAAGGCTGTCGACTTGCGATGAAAAATATCTGTCGCCAGCAAAGAAGAGATTGAGCTCTCACCAGGAGCAAAGCACGGGTATGGTACGGTTCAGCGATCCAGCAAGGCTACAGCACCGCATATATACACTAGCAGCACGCGCCCTTGGTCACTGGTGAACGATTATCGAGCTGCACTTTTCTATGAAATAGAATATACGACGCGGTTGTTGCGTGCTCCGTGCGAGACCGCTCCGAGCCGTACTCAGACGCTTCCATCGAGACGCATTTCGATGAACACTTCGTGATACTGCTTAAAGGCTTGACGTATTTTGAAACAAGGCTAGGAATGAAAGGGTTATCTCATGTCGTCGAGCAACGCTCGCCTCTGGATATGAGTGGTATCACCGCGACAACGGAGGTCGGCCGTGCCGCTGCAGCTTGATCAGCTTTTTTCCCGAAAGCTCGGTTCTCGACACCTTTTCTGGTGTTTGATTCGTATATGTGATATGATTCAGTGCCAATGAAATTCTGAGATTGCATCTCGAGCTCGCCGATCCTTTCTCAATAGTTGGATCTGAAGCTCGCTTTAGACGCGAGGCGTCCACCATCGGTAGGAGATCGAGTGCTCGATCCCGTTGGAAAGAGGAAAATTCGGAAAGTCTTCTGATTCATACCGCGATGAATGGGTCTCTGATGCTTTCAGGCGCGCTGTGGAACCCATGGAGTATTCCTTGGCGAAGGTGGCACTGTACATCACGTCAACATGAAGAGCGCGTACGGATATACGTCGCCGTGGCGCTCACGACGGAAGCATAGCCGAACCTGCAGATTTCCATGCCTGCAGCTCCCGCTGTTCATTATTAGGTGGGCAAATAGAGTTGCACGCGTTCATGGAGCAAAATCAAGGACATAGTTGTATAGACATCTAGTTCCCCGGAGCGACTACGATTAAATCAAAGCATTGCTCACGGAGTGGTGTCTGAGGCATTGGAAAATGTGGATCGATATTCGTATCGGATGCAGGCACGGTGCCAAGAACGCATGTCGCGAAACATATAGCGCATCGAAAGATGCAGTCCGAGTGCAGACATTCGATTTCGAAACATCCTGGCGATATTCCGTATGGAATTGCAAGTAAACAGGGATGCATGGGGAATTCACTGAGGCCAATTGCGTTGCCGCCGTTGAAGCTTCTACAAAAGTTGCGTTTCACTCATATCTTTTACTAGGTCATCCAGAGCGTTAGAGAGTTTTCCTGTATCGTTGCCGTCAGAAACAATGGGCTCCGCGGCCTCGAAACCGCCGCTTATCCTCAATTCTCAACACCATCTGCGGTGCGACCCTCGAGCCCGCTGAACATTCCACGTCATTGAGCTGGAGTCACAAGAATCTGGATCCTACCACCGATGCTGAGGTTTGCCAAATTCTTCCAAGAGATGAAACGCACTGTTGTGGCGAGTATGGACGAATACAGTGGCCCGACAGATGCCGTGAAGACGAAGCAGTGTACGGATAACAAACCACGCCAGCTCCATGGATTTATTCACGTGCCTCCTTTTGATACCTGGATTACATAGCCGTGTAGTGCGCAAACAGACCGCTCTCGATCTCGCTGCATAGGCAGCTTGAATCACCATTGATGACCTCGTCTCCAAGCGACGGATAACGAGCACCTCGCTCGCATGCTTCCGGGTCTTGCGCCTGGACCAGAGTCTGACAGAGGGGCATGCTCGGCAGCACGAAAGCATATCCTGCGGACTCGAAACTTACAGCCTGAACCATTTCGACTGCTTCAAATCGGACTCAACTTCGCTCGCCAAGTCGGGCCGTTTCGCCATGAGCTCATCAACCGTAAGGCGTGGTAGATTCTTTTGGAGTCCGTCGAGCTCTTTAAGCATATCGTCAAGAGCTTTTAAACGAGCCTCTGCATCTTTCGCTAGCTCTTGTGCTTGCTTTATCAGCGGCTCAAAACTGGAGTCAATCTGTCGCAAGAGCTCCTGGCGCTCCTTCTCGAGTTCCGGCGGTTGCAGGGACTCGAACGCTTTGCGCATCGAAGTAACGAGACCTTTTGAGAGGAGTCTGCCCTCCCACTGGGCCCAGTCAAGATTTTCAGCGTTGCTTGGCACAGTGAACTGGGCGTGAAGTTCATTGATTGCCTGACGAAGCCGGTTGATTTCAGCCAAAGTCTCCGGGTCAGCGTTCTCTGCGAGGGATTTCAAGTCCAACGGCGCCACTTCACCAGCTCCTCCCTTTTCAAGCTCCGTGCTGAAAGCTCGTCGGCCATATCTGGAGACTTGCCCCGAATCGATCGACCTGGGATATAGTGATGCGGTTAGCAGAGACTTTAGGCGCTGCATGGGACCCTCTTAACGATGCCAACGAGTCCGACTGGAAACGCCTGAAATGCGAATGGCCGCTGCTGCCGCGGTCGTTGCTCGGAAGATGGAATGGCTCTGCGGCGCATAGACGCACGTCTGCAGAATGCCGATAGGAGCGGATGTGGCGTGTAGGCCGTGTGCTTACCCGCGGGCAATATGGAACTCAGGTTGCTGTCCCTTTTTTTAAAGTTGCAAATTGAGGCGTGTCTTACTGACTAAGTAGGAATTAATGCGATGGGGCGCCCGACTAGCTGCCGAACGATATGCGGGAACGCGTTGTGCCAGCGCAGGTGCACTCGGTGCTGCGCAGTACGTGCGGAAACTGTCTGCGGAGAAACTTTTCAGAACATGCTGGACGAGTGCTGTCGAAATGGGAACTGAATCTTGCATGTGCACGGGCGCTGCTGATTATGCCCTTCATCAACCACGACACACAGCGGAACGATAACTTCGACTGGGGAACAGGCAAAAGGGAACCTGGACTGTAACGCGTTAACTGGAAAGAGCGCGCCTGCTATGTGAATCCACGAACGATGCGATGTTAAAAAGATGAAGGAGGTTTTGTGATCAAATCGTTGCGCTGCGCGGATCGTCCATAAAGAAAACATGCAGCTGCTCATGGAAGTATGCTTGTTCCAGGGAGGCACGATGTGTAGCAACTCGCTTCAAGTGCGTGCTTCGTGTCGAAAGCCGAAAAATGTGCATATGGCGTCTTTGCACGTTTCTGCTTGCTCACGCAGGCAGTGGAAAATGCGCTGGTTCCCATGAGACGCATCTGATAGGGTGCTAACCACAACTCGCGGTCCATATGATCCAGGGTCTTGCACTTGAAACGCTGACAACGCAACGAGTTCCCCGACACCGCTGCTACGTGCTCCATATCCGCAAACTAAAGAATATCGTAGTATGCGGCTCGCCACACAGCGCATACGATGCTCCATGCACAGCAGGACGTTACGTTGCAGTTCCAAAGCAGAGATCCTATGCACGCTTTGGCTCCTAAACAGTTAGATATAGGTTTCTAGAGATCTGCAAAATTGAACTACGACATGCGCACCCATCTCCATACCTTTATGGTTGTTGGTAGAAGCATCAAAGAAAACGCCCTCGAACATGGGTTTGTAGATAGCCAGGGCAGTGGACGTTGGTTATGCAGCGCTTCGTGCGCGCACAAGGACTGCATTCGTTTCTATCTCTCTGCCTCGTCTTCGATGGGCTGCTAGAATGGAATTCCAGTTATGCATACATGTTTAACGCGATTAGATGCTCCCGTTTACCACCAGTCCGTAGCGGATAATAGCTCACGAACTAAATCTGTCTAGCGACCTCGACTAAGGGCCCTCTCCACGTCATTGAGCTGTTGCTCCAAGCGCTTTTTCCTTTTCTCCGGCACAGGATACGTACTGCCATAGCTTGCAAAATGACCCGCCAGCGTATTTATCGCAGTATACAGCGTTGAGAAAGACACGGCCCCTGCAACGTTTGGGTTCCTCCTGTAAAGCGCGACAAAATCGTTCATTTGCTTCCGAGTTGCGTCTACTTTCTCTTTCATTCCAGGAGTCCCCCGCTCCAACCTAGTTACTGTTCGCATCGACTGCACAACCTGCGTTGCGTCTTCGTGGTAGTCGCCGTGCAGCTCGTAGCCCGGCGCTGCGTGACGTAGTACTTCTGCGTTTGCAGGTTGCGCGCCCCAGTCGGTGCGCGAAGCAGAGAAAGCAGCGGTGAGGCTCCCGAGAAACACCGCAAGACTATTTCGCAGAAAAACACGACGGTCCACACGAAGCTCGCTATGGAGCACGAACTTTCGAGATTGCAGCCGGTGCTTGCGCGGCGCGTTCACTCTGGCAGCACGCCCCGACTGAGCGCTAACCGGGAGTTGCACGAAAGCTGTGACACGCGTTTTGATCATGTTCGTAGAGTGTACGCTCCCCCAACGATTACGTTGCCCAGTTATTCTACAACGGCACTGTTGAGAATATGGTCGAAACTCTCAGCGCAAAAGCGGTTTCCGCCTGGGATTGCAAAAAAGACCAGAATGGCACAGCGGTGCGACGCGATGCATCGGTGCGCGAGGTACAGCGCGCGCGGCTGGGCCGAGGACTCTCCGCGACATGAAGCGTAGACGTGTCAGCACTTGTCGACGGAATATGCCCAATCGGAGCTGGAGAACACAACGAAACATTTTTCCAGATCTTATGCCTGTTAAAGAACAAAATACTGCAAGGATAAATGGATGCGGTGCTTTCGTGCCTGAAGTTTGCAGTCACGGTCACTTTCGCATATTGCGGTTGTCGGATACGTGCGTGGAGCACCACCGGCGCGCCTTCGCTTGGTGGGTTTTCGGGGCGCGAAAGGCTCCACATACAAGTCTAGCGAATTTCGAATTCAGGATGCATGGTTGCGGGAGACGAATCACGCAGCTCGCCATTACCATGCGTGCGGCACAGACCTTTCCGAAACACTTTACAAAAAAACGCTGTGGAAAGCGGGCAAGCTGCACAAGCTGAAGGCACCTCTTTCGCTTTTAAGAGCCGAATGAGCGGATAGAAGTGCACCTGCTAGCTCAGGGATCCCACGGCAATCGCCCTTTGAAAATATTCCGTCCACAGTATCGAATGAGGCGGGCGATTTCCGGACAGCCGGACGGGTACGGAATCACCACATGAAAGGGATTTCGTTTCCTTCGCTTTTCCAGCAACTCCTCGTGCAGGCATCCGTATGGATCTGTAGCGAAGGCCGCAAGCGCCCTATCGGCGGGCATCGAATCCGGCACTGGCCCGCCAAAATGTAATGCTTCTTCTGTACTAATGAAGCGAAACTGAGCCGCTGGGTAGCGTATTGCTGTTCGGTGCTGCGTCTCTATGCGTTTGCGCTTCAGCTCGAGCGAGATCATCGTGATGTTGCGAGGGTAGTTTCCAGTGAGCTGGCGAAAGCGGCATATTGAAAAAAGGAGGTTCTCGAACGAGTCTCGAGCAAAGTCTTCGGTGAGTACCCTGCCGGAAACGCCTTCCGCGTGGCCACACCACGCTTGAGCACTGGCCAGACGCCAGTAGCTCTCAGCTTCACTCAGCGGCCCAGCTTCCAACCTTGTCTTTCCCCCCGAAAACAACAGCAAAGCCTGTGGATCCGCCTGTGCTATTTCAATACCTCTGCGTAGATGCTGAAGGAACACGAGACCTTGACCTTTCTGGTAGTCTTCAAGGTACCACTGATGGTCATCACTGGCAGAAGCAAAGTTGGACCCAGTGTACACGGCGTTGCCCGCAACAATGATGAGGTGTTTCAGCTGTGAAAGAGGTGAGGACGCAGCCGCCTCACTGCCTCGGGCATGCGCTGACGGATTCTCGAGCCTAGCCGCCAGCAAGTCGCGAACAAGCCCAAATGTTGCGAGCACCCCCAGCATAACAGCCGCGCAGAGCACGCAGAGCGTCACCCAACGTCTGTGGCGCTGCGCCCGAACAGGCTCCAGAACCTGCAGCCACCAGCACCCGGTCGCATGCTTATTCCTTCTCGTGACGAACGTAGGCAGCTCCTGCATATTGCGTGAGACATGCAATCGTTATCTGGGTTGCTACCACCACTGTTCCAGGGATGTAGAGCGCTACCCAGGCGCCTCCACAAGCTACGCGCATCGAACGCCTCAATGCATCTGCATCGATTGCAAGCATCGCGTTGGAGTGTCATCGTCATCTTCGGCGGCGGGGCAGTGTTCAGTGCGTGCATTGCCGCGCAGGCGCTCAGAGTGCCGCTTTTCGAGGTGCCTTTTGCGGGCGTTTCCATGGAGAACGCAACTAGCGTCTTCCGTCGTGTTTTCATCGCACGACATGGCGAGCGCATAGACCATGTGGATCGCACGTGGGGTGAGCGAGCGACATATCCGCAAGACCCACCGCTTACGGACCGAGGTCGCCGTCAAGCACGCGAGCTGGGTGTTTTCCTCCGGTCTGCGGGCAACATTCGTACGATTCTGAGCTCGCCGTTTGCGCGAACGCTGGAGACAGCACATGTTGTTGCGGAAGAGCTCGAGCTGCCTTTGTACGTTGAGCACGGGGCGAGTGAGTGGTTGCACGCCGAGTGGTTCGGGGAACGTGCCCCAGAGCTCACGCCCTTAGCTGAGTGGAAAGCCCAGCTGCCGCGGCTTGACCTGGAGTCGCATCGGTCTCTCGTCGTGGCTGAGTTTCCAGAGGATATTCACCAGATAACGCAGCGTTGCAGAAAAGCCATCCAGTTGATCACGGAAAGGTACAAAGAGGGTGACATCCTTGTTGTCGGTCACGGCATTTCTGTTGAGCTCATGACCAAGGGCCTATGCGGCAAGCACACCAAGGTGAACTGGGTAGGATATTGCGCCGTGTGTGAATGTGTCTTGGATGCTCGTATTGCGGATACGGGCGCTTCGAGAGACGCTGATGAGGAACGAACTTCCGATGTCTGGCGCCTGGCTCGTAATGCGGACGCGTCATTCTTGAGCGAACCTGAGGATCCGCAGCACATACATTATATTTGAAGCACACGTGATCAGGATTTTTCACTGCGCGAATATTCACGCTAACTATGGATTCTCAGAATGGCAGCCATTTAATGCATCAAGTGGATGAATTGCTCTATTTAAAAGGGACGGCAGGCATCGCGTGCAGCGCTCATGAGATCAGTTTTGATCGCTACTGGGAGCATGAAGATGCAGTGCGAGCGCTTTCTACGAAAGATATTAATACTTTATGCATATTTCGAGTAATGGGAGAGCTTAGCATGTCGAGTGCGTCGACCTCGGCGACGCGAATGCGTTTATGGATACGGTCTCAGAACCGATCCAAAATGCCCCAGAAGCTTCTAGATACTGTTTGAAGCTCAGTGGGGTACTGAGAGGTTCTAGACTTTTGATTTTCTCATCCAGCTAGCTGTCCCTCATAGAACCTATTACTCGATTTAAATGCATCGCAGTGGAATACGAACACAATGGCTGTGTCTGTGTGGAGATTGTGCTGCAGGTGCGCTGCCTGTGATTTAAACGGCATCGATCTGAAGCATGTAATCAGAGTCTGTCGGATGCGAGATCGCGGTCGACTTTGAGGACGGAGACACGGCGTCGGCTATTTTATGGCGCTTGAGCGCTGCTTCATTCTTGAACCATACGTTGCCTAGCGTGGAGCTGATACGATGGTCGTCGAGTATGCAGCCGCAATCAAGAATCCCGACGAACCGCAGCGCAATCTTGCCGTTGTGGCAACGGCAGAACCTGCATGCAGTGCTCTATCTATTCAAAATTGACTGACAGAAATACGAGTTCGCGTTCGTTATGATTGTACGAAGCAGTGTACAGAACCCTCGACTAAATCATCAGCGCCCCTGAATATTGTGATTCAGACGAACACGGATGACTGGCTAAAGAACAGTCATCATAGCTAAGCAGCTGCGAGCGCCGTGTGAAATTTCAGCGCGTCAACGACTCTATATCCCACCGCCAAACGGTGCTGTCATCACAAACTGCCAGGATCATCTTCCCGTCGGGGCTGAACGCGACATGTCGCACTGCAGCAGTGGCTTGCGGATGCGTCAGGCAAGCGATAGGTTTGCCGCCTGGATCATCCACCTGGAATACATAAATAGTACCCATTCTTGAGCCTACGGCAAGCAAAGTTTGCATGGGGTCCACCGCAAATCGAATATACCAGAGATCACCGCCTCGATATCGGTACTCAATAAGAACGCGGTGCTCGCTCGATGATGGAAGCAAACCGCGATCATCCATACCAGGAGCCCAGAGCACAATCTTGCTATGTACCGACTTGGATAGAATCAAATCCCCGACATAGGCGACGCAGTCTACATAGTTCCCGTGAACAAAGCGGAACACCTGGTCTGGAAACTGAACAAACTCGACATAGCGGCGGGTGCGCGAACCTGCGGCTTGTCGCACCGCATCATCGCCGAGAGTCATCGGAGGAGGTACGCCCCGTGCAGGGGCATCCAGCGTAACGCCATCAACCAATGGCGCGGTCGTATATGGGATACGTTCCAAGTCTGCAGCTGCACTCGTTTCCGGGCTCCGATTGAAATGGCGCAAGGCACTCGGGCGCCGTGGGCTCGGTATCTTCTTTGGCGTTGTGGCTGGAGAACTGGTGCGCTCAGTCTCGTAGGGGCTCGCATTTTCCCTTGACGGGCATGCCAGATTTCTGGGCACATCGAGCGTTTGGGGCGCTGCTTGTGCAACACCAACAGCATTCCTTCTTCTACGATGACGCTTCGATGGATGAGGAGGTGCCACAGGAGTCTCAACTTCCCCTGGTATTCCACGGAAGAGCACTTTTTGTGGCGTCGGATCTGTGACTTTTTGGGGCGCACTGCTCGGAAATTTCGGCAGTGCAGCGGAATGCCTGGCGCCCTCTCCAGCGCGCTCCGCAACGCAAGCTCTTCTTCTCTGCATTTCGAATGACTGCAACACTTTCGCGTCAATATTCCATACCCGCACTGTGCCGTCCATTCCACAAGAGACAAACTTTTCGCCACTGCGATGCCAGTCGCAAAAAAGAACTTCTCCACGATGCCCTTGTAGTCCGCAAAAAATTGCAAAGCAATTTCCGGTCCCCAAGTCCCAAAGGCGCAGCGATTCATCCTTGCTCGCCGACAGCAGCCACGAAGGCCGTTTCGGACAGGACCGGAGGCAGTGCACCGCCCCGCTGTGACCCAGCAACGTGTGACACAGAGAATCGTTGGATAAATGTACGACCCGAATGATACCGCTTTCATACCCCAAACACAGGAGAACGTCGCTGGTCGCTTCCTCGAATGCCCACGTACAACAGAAACACTCGTCAGTATCAGCTCTTGGAAGAGAACTTGCATATGAAACGAGCAACTGAAGATCTTGAACAGCGGGTTCACCCGTGGGTGCAGCGTATACTCGTGCGCCTGGCCCTCCACAGGTTGCTAACAAAAATCTTTGCTCGTTATGTCCGCCGACACCTGCCGTATGCCGAGCTTGCCACTGGGCGCTCACTTGTGCGGAACTTCGATCCGTCGCGGACTTTTCCACGCAAGGCGCGAACTCAGCGAAATAGTTGTGTTTACCGTGACTCTCTGCAACAGCAAACTGGAGGACCCAGCTCGCAACGCAGCCTGTCGTGTCTGCTCTGCTGCGGTTACTCATCTTTCTGGAACCGCGCCCAGCGCTGAGCGTGACGAGAATACAGGCCAGCTATGACCGCGCTCGAGACATTCCCGCATCGGTCTATCGCAACGCAGACAGAACGAAGAAAAAGGACTCGTGCGCCGTTCCAGCACGAAGCAGCGTTGACGAAGCCACGGAGCGCTACGAAGCCCGTTCGAGAGGCTAATTTTAAGATCACCTGGGCCGGTGCTCGACTGCAGCGAAACGCCGCATCGCCTGGACTCGATTTTTTCCCGTAGCGCTTGTAGATCCGCGGAAAAGCTTGTTCAAACCATTGAACTTGAATAACAGATTATCTTCCTGCAGATTTGCACCTGCATCTGATGTTACATGGTCAACCTCTCATACATCTGGTCCTGGAGTGACTTATTTTGGAAAGAAAGACACGAAGTGGCAAGCATTTGAGATCGCAAAGTCTCATGCACACCGAATACGGGTTTCCGTTCCGGAAGACGTCTTCCAGACTTGGTCATTCGGCATGATCCCTTATTACTGCAGTCTCGCTTGGACTTTGGATGACGCACCTTTGTCATTTTTCAGGTTGAGCGTCGCTTGGGAGCAATTCCCAAAGGGAGGTTCTTCGTTGCACCGGAGGCAGGAAGAGAAAAGGGTATGTTTGGTGCGGGGCACGCGGCGAATGCGTCGTAACGGGCAAACAAACGAGCTCCGTGCGCGTTTCTCGGGTTGCCGCCAGCAACTACCTCGGTTTAGGTAACCTGTAGAGATTCATCGATCTCGCACCATAGAATATTTTGCTTGTGCTATTCGTGTAGCGTTTTCTAATTCACCATTGTGCTGTTGTTGCTTTTCTACAGAGCGTGCGTGCCGATCAGACGGTTCTGTAGACGAGCGGGCAGTCCTTCCTGTTAAGTAATGCTCAAGTCCAGCCACGAGAATTCGTGATAATATCCTAATGGCATGCGCTCGTGGGTCGCTTGACGAGCTGCACATTGCACGCGCGAACTGGTTTCTTAGTTTTGGCACCTTTGCTGTGTGATGCGCTTTCCATTCCGCCTGCAAATGGCTGCAAATACGCTTTGAGGCGAACGCTTCACTAGTCCAGTGCATGCTGTACGTGCTGCGATCGTCTGTGTATGCGTCGTGTCCAGTGAAGCAGCACCACTGCCGTCATAGTTCTCTTCTCGAAGGCCAATACCTCTTTCTCCGGACTCTAAAATCTAAACCAAATCTGATCATCGGCACTTTTAGTTGAGCGCCGTGGATTTGATTCGTAACGAACTATGTTCGTATCTGAGAAGGCGTTGCTGGAAAGGCTGCTGACCTGCCATAATACGGTATACACACGTTGCGCAGCGCTCGGACGGTTCGTCCGATCGGAGCAGAGACTTCTATAGAAGAACGGATTTACCCGGTTTCATTGCTGTCGCTTAAGTTTGCGCAAGGCTCGCTCTCGTATACGCCGATGCAAACGTTCAACATATGCAACCTGTGCGGGCAGGCTGCGGGTGGCTTTTAAGCCCAAGGCTATGAGCTCATGTGCCCAGTGCGGATTCGAGCGCAGCTCCAATCCAAGACGATCCAAAGCGAGCCGTGCGAACGCGTCCGCGGAGGGCACCATCCAGTTGGCGCGTCGTATCTTGCTCATCTCGCTGGTAATCCAAAATGGTGTCAGGGACAGAACCGCAATCTTGTGCCGACGGACTTCACCAGACAACGCAACGGCGAATGCATCGATGTACGCCTTTGTGCCGCCGTACACGGAGAGCAACGGACAGGGAACTACAGCACCTCCGGCCGAAGACAAAAATATGAGGCATCCCTTCTTCCGTTCAATCATTTTCGGTAGTAGTCTTCGTGTGATTTTGTTCATAGCGCAAATGTTCACGCGCACGATCCGCTCGATGGCTGCCTCGTCCATATCGATAAACTCCGTAGGAAACTCTAGGTTGACACCAGCGTTATTGATAAGGACAGATATCTCCAAATCACAAATACCTTCAAAGAGTTCGTTCCATTCCGCTTCTGAAGCCTGGGCCAGGTCGAAAGCCACCACGCGAACAGCAACGCCGTGCTGTTCGCAGTCCGCTGCAACAGCCGCTAGCTTCTCTGCTGAGCGTGCCAACAGAACAAGATTGAGACCACGACGCGCACACTCTCTAGCAAAACCTGCACCTACTCCGTAGGACGCTCCTGTGATGAAGGCCCAATCCCCACGAAACTTGTCGGCAAGGCGCGAGGGCCTTCGAAGCAGGTGGCGGTAAAGGAAGCGCAGTAGTTGCGCACCAGCCAAAAGCACTACAATAACGCCCACCAGCGCAAAAAGGTAGAGAGGCAGTTCCTTGTACTCCGTGCCGATCGAAGGCTGGGCCGCAAATCTAGTAAGGTAGCCGAGTTTCATTGAGGATTGATGTCTCGTGATGACACGAAAGGCATACCTCAACGTCCAACCGTGGAGAGAATCGCTCCATGTCGAAGGCGCGATGCCGGGGGCGCGCTGGCACGGGTGACGCCGCCCGCATGCGTCATTTTTCGTGCGGTTATTTCCTTCATGGTATCCGTCATCTATGTGCTTCTGCGGAAGTTTTCATCTTATTTTGCTTCTCTTCATGATGTACGATCAGCGAAAGATATGAGAAAATTGTCATTCCGTTACGATAAGAATCTAGTCGCAATGAGGTCCGCCTTCATCGGTAGACTGCTTCTCCAACACCACCGAGAAACCCCACGTGTAATGCGGTAGGGAATGCACTGGCGTTCTTGCTATCAAGCAGTCATGATATCGTGTATAATCCGGATTAGGTGAAACATTCCTTTAAGCAACACCAAGAACAAGTTAAAGGTCGGCGTTTCTGCATCTCTGGAGGCGGTCACTCTGGCGAACTCTGATCCCTAGCGCTCCACCGACTTGCTACTTCCAAAACTAGACAGAAATGGAACGGACCAGCCAGCTAGGGCTAGCTCTGCAAAGCTCGCATCTCTTCCCTCAGTCATGAAAGCCATCCCATGGGAGCTTTTGCTGCGGCTGATCGCTTTTCCTCTCTCTTAGCTCCGGGCTGGAACACGCCGGTCGCTACTTTCTTTCCAGCACTGTTGTAGGCTGTCGAGGGATGCTAATCGCGGCGTTGGGGTCGCAGTTTCACAGGTTCCGGCAGTTGCCTGCGTATTCGATGTGCAGGCGGAGGTTGCGATTTACGGATCGCTTGCCGTTTTCTTCGTTTCCTAGAATTCAGTGCTGGTGCGCGCTTCAAAGCGGTTAACCTGATTGTGTTCAGATATTCCCGTATGTGTTCACGAGCTCGCATTCCCTGGGAGCCGACCTGCAGCATGCGAGCGCTTGCTGCATCCCTCCGTAGCTGTCGTTGACGGGTACAGAAGGCTCTACGCGATGCCTTGCTCCGTTTTCGCGCCCAGTGCTGTGCCCCGTGATCATGCACTTGCTCTTCTGGACGACTTCTTGTGCGCGTGCGCTGCCCGCTGCACTCGCAAGCGCACGCTATTCCATTCGGTACCTCAACAACCGATTCCTTGTGCGCTCTTGCTTTCCTGCGTTCCCTTCCCACAAACTGTGCAGATGAGCGTGACGGGCCATCAGGTCCGATTGTGCCACCTGCTTGTGATAATGCCGCCAAGGCTACTGGGACTCTCTCCTGTCTCACTCGTTTGCGCGTCGGACGAGTGCCTCACTCGCTCACCGTCCGCTTAGGCGAACATATGAGGTACTCGAGTCCAAGCTACGACTTTGAGCGGGAATCGGCGTGTTCGAGACTCGCGGCTCCAGTGCGTCGTCGGTGACCACAGGCAAGTCGGGCATCCCTTCGGATCTCGCAATCATCGTGAAGGTTCAGGAACCCGATCTCTTTGGGTCCAAGTTGAGGCCGATCGCATTGGGGAGCAAGTTCGCGCCGCCGCGCATCCCAGTTGTTCGTTGTTCATCCGCACATTTTCCCCTCTAACCAGGGTGCATCGGCGCCCTGACGATTCTTCAATCGTATAGAGCGTTCGCGCTTGACGGCGATGGACACGCTCGCGCTATCGGAAGCGAACGACGACTCTACTTCTCCTGTTGGAAGCGCGAAGCTCCGGTTCCTCCGGTCTCCCTTCGCCTCCGCGCCCTCCTGCGCGCTCCGTCGCTTCTCGCTCGTCAAGCGGTTCATGAGTTTCCTCGAATCTTCGGGTGCGGGCGCATAGTTCGCTGTCTGGGCTTGCACCTAGCGATCAGCCTCTCTTCCTCTTCCTCGACACACTTGTTCTCCATCGGACGCATCTGCGTAACCCTCGCGCGGCGTCACGATCCACGACAAAGCGAAAAAGTGTGCTTGCTGGCAGTGGCACGAGCCACGGAGACGTGCGTTCGTAAAAGCCGCGTACTCCTCCCCTGACGGAGGCTCTGGACCGGCACGCTGGGTGCAGACGCGCCATCGCATTCGTGGGTGCGTTAGTCGCGTGCGACAGGTCCATCTTCGAGACAACGTCCTCGTCGCGAAGGGCCAGATGACGGACATTCATCATGGTCTCGCAATCCTTCGAGCCGACTGGCTGCAACGAAGCGTCGGTCATGAAGAGCTCCTTCATACCGCCCATGCCGGTCGCCGAGTCGTCGCACTTTCGCCTCCACCCCATAGAATCTTTCACGTGCCGGTGGAGGTGTATGCTCACCCTTCTCAGCGTCACTGTGCGTATCATTCCCCGTACCCATTCGTATTATCTGGGGCGCTTTGAGTCACCAAGCGAGAGAGGCCCTCGACGCTCCCAATGCTGTCCAGCTTGGGAGCCGACGTCCGTGCGTCGCCGATGAAGGCTAGTTGCGGGTCAAGTCTGCCTGGTGCGCACTCGGGGACAACTAGGACGAAAAGCTTATCGGTGTCAGCTGCGCTTCTACAAAGTGCTGGACGTTTCCAAAGACCTCGGCACACTCGAAGCACGCGGACTTGAGTTTGAGGCAAGCGTGTCGCCGGAGCTTGCTGCAAAGAACCACCAGGTACATGTCGCGTGCCACGTGTTCCGGTGGGAGCACGCACGTTCCAAGCTGGCACTGAACGACCGCCGTTTCCGGCAGTAACGATGAGCGCCGCTCCTCGTCCGTGAACACACCCAAGCGAAGCGTTCCGTTCAGGAAACCGCCCCGTCCGAGACTGGCGAGCTCGTCTGGAAGCGGTACGCATCTCTTTTCGTTACGCTCTTGGACGATTTTCGTCTAACTACACAGTCGTTTCTCTGAGACCTCTCGTGTGCGGCGGTTGTGTGCCTCCGTCGATAAGCATGCCGTATAACTAAAGTATTTATACCTTGTTTTTCTCTTCGTACGACTTCGGAATTCCACGAACCGCAATCGTCAGCGAGTTTCCCTATACAAACTCCAACAGGTCCATTGGTCTGAACGGCAGTTCCTAGAGCACCGGGCATCAGTTCGTGTCGAGAGCGAGCCGCGTTATCCCGAAGCGTGCATCGGCCTCTCTGAGGCTGCGTTTGACGGCCCCGCAACCGTTCTCCATCGGTTTGAAACACAGAGCATAAGCTGGTGTGTGCGTGTGCAGGATGACCAATGCCCGCTCTTTGCTGTTTGCCGAATAGAAGGGAATTCGTGGAACGCGTTGCTGTCTATGATGAAACACGCAGTGGCTGGAGTGGAACTCCAGATTCGCGACGCAGCGTAGAAACGTCGATCCGTCGGCGCTCCTGCCGTGCCGCTAAGCGATGACGCACTTGCCACCGGAATCCATCGCTGCGATGACTGCAGTCCGCGTCCAGCACCCTTTCCCATGCGAACAGAAGAGACGCGAGCCTCTGGGAGCGGATCCCACGGGCGGGAATGTGGTTGTGGTGGTGGTGCTGCTGCTCCTGCTGCTGCTGCTGATTTCGGGTCCCTTCTCTTCGATGGCCACGGAGCGGGCTGGAATTGTCTTTCGGGCGGGATCGATTGCTTAACGTGACGAGCTCATTGAGCTTTCGGCGGGAGCGTGTGGAGAAGTCACCAAGGGATGGCGCCGCGCTCCTTTTCTCGTCGGGTCAGCAGCGCGAATCGTTGCGCCTACGAGTTGCGTCGCGACTGAAATGACGAAAACTCGAAGAATACGTGATTCGAGCGTGATAGACGTAAGGAAAGGAGGAGCGTGGGGGTCGCTCACACGAACAGGACGGTGATATCGAATATTTTTTTGAAATCTTTTTTTAGGACGCCGCATTTCGTCTTGATTCCAGAGACGTAACGAACTGCAGTTGTGAAGCATTGAACGAGCCATTGCGAAACGACAACCTAGAGTCGGAGAACGGACCGTGAATCCGAAATTCCTTATTATTGGACTTTGAACGTCTAGGATGTGTATCTATAAATTTTCAGGAGGAAATGGAGAGATAGAAACATGTCGAACAGCTTAGTGCTCCATCATAACTAGTTTCTTTAGAGACTGCACCAATGCTCTTTATACTGAGTAGAAATTGCACTTTAGATTCGGATATCTAGAGTCCTGTGGTGCTCTGGCAGGCGATCTTGCGCTGTCAATATTCAGCGCCTCGTTAACACGCATACGACATGTCGCCAAATAGCTGTCTTTTAAGGCAATAGGGCGAGGCGTTCACATACATTCTCTGAGAAATTTCTCAATATATGAAATTAATGATTTGGATGCCAGGTCCTTGTTGAGCAAAAGAATGCGTAAACCTACATTTATTTGAGGCCTTCACCTCGCCACACCGATTTGAGAGACGCAAGCCTAAGCGTACGAGGTTTAAAATTTTCCACGACAGAAGTCTTCAGTGTATACGCCAAATAACGTACATGCAGAAGTTCAAAATATCTATATACCAAAGCAGGTCGGAACCGATGCCCTATAGATTTCGAATATCCGTATGCGGTCGCTATGACGCCTGCCCTCTTGCCCGATCGACAATTCGCACACGCTGGACGCATCTGCGACGTGCAATAGAACTGGCTACTTCGCACTTGCGAGCTCGCATCTTCTCTTGTACACCCTATTCAGGATCAGAGGCTTACTCTGGCGCCGACGCTCGAGGGTAGCACCCCGCTACAATGATCCATGTTTTACGCCTCAAGTCGTTATTGCAACGTGACAAGACTAATGGTACTCTATCCAAAGCGTGTCGGAACTGTTTTAATTCGCATAACTGCCCGGGAAAGCTGAGCTTGCGCGACTAGCGTTCCAGCATGTTTAAGGATACGAGCGTCGCAATCGTATGGTGCGCAGCGGTTCGATTTGGCGCGAACGTAATCAATCGTTCGCGAAATTGAAGTTGGCGGGAAAATCGCTGTCCGCAGATGCGCGAATCCGTGCATCATCCCCGTGCATAGCACTCAAAAAAGAATTTCGTCCGGAAATATTCAAAATAATATTGTTGTTCTTCAACAACCTCAAGGGGGCTATACAGGATGATTCATAACGCGCTCCGTACACATTCCTTGGCGGTTTTGTTGCTCCTTCTGTTCACGAACGCAGTGCGAGTGGACTCTGTACTAGCAGCGAGGCCAGCGGAAAGGCGTTGGTATACGAGCGGTGGAAACAGTGTTTATGTGTGCCCCTCGTCTTCTTCGCTGCATAACTGCACCCTGCAGAACGTATGCACGAAAGTGATTGTCAACGGAAGCTGTTCTCTCACAGGCACGGCATGTACGCTACGCTCCTCTGCTGAGATTGGCAGTGGTCACGGCAGCCAGACGCTCGGCCGTGAAGCTACCAAAGAAAATCAGGGTTTGGCGGGATTCGACTCGAAAGATTTCAAGGTGCTGCGTTGGAGGCAAAATCAATATAGCGGATGTGGTGACTGCTTGTCTTTCGGCGAGCAAACCTGTGTAGAGTATCGCACGGCAAATGTGTGCACAGCATGCAGGACGAATTACGAGCTTGTGGAAGTTTGCGATACTGTGGTTCAACGGACATTGGATGGTTCCGATCCGGTATCAAAGCGCTGGGGGCAGTCGTATCAACAGCAAAATGGAAACTGTCAGTATGAATGTCTGTTCAGCGGAAAGCAATGCAGGAACGTAATCATCGGCACTTTCCTTCCGACTCCGACTGTGCAGCCTACACTGCTACCATCTGCCTCTCCGTCAGCAACAGTGTCAAGAAGCGTTTCGCCATCGGCGACTGTGAGCGCGACTATCTCCATAAGCACTTCTGTCTCACCGAGCACAAGCCCATCGATTTCGGTAGCTTCGCCGTCGGTGTCCGTGAGCGCGACGGCCTCCGTAAGCTCCTCCGTCTCACCGAGCACAAGCCCATCGATTTCGGTAGCGTCGCCGTCGGTGTCCGTGAGCGCGACGACCTCTATAAGCTCCTCTGTCTCACCGAGCACAAGTTCATCGATTTCGGTAGCTTCGCCGTCGGTGTCCGTGAGCGCGACGACCTCTATAAGCTCCTCCGTCTCACCGAGCACAAGCCCATCGATTTCGGTAGCCTCGCCGTCGGCGCCCTTGAGCGCGGTGAGCTCCATCGTCACTCTCATATAGTGGATGTTTGCATGTCTATCTTACGCTTTTCGCAATGAACTCATGTCCTTGCTGCCATGTAAAGCAGCAAACGACCTGAATGGATGCAGTCTTCGGTTTGAAACTTGCAGCGAAATGAGGATACTTTCGAAGACTCGAAGGCGCATCTCTTGGTAACCCTTATGTAGTGCTATATATTTCAAATGGATAAATCTGAGAAACACTTACGTTCCGCATTATGATTTGTCATGCCTTTTGCCTAGACTACTGCTAATGCAAGTTTCAGCTAGTTCACCAGTTTTTGGACGTAACCTAACAAGCGAGTGCTAGCTGCACCGAGGTCCTCCGTCGCATTTCGGGGCTGGTCCATTACATGTCACCTACGCAAGACTCATCCAGCAACGAACTCGCCTCGGGATGCATCTGTTCCGCCACATACGTCCTAGGAGATTCACGGTTTCTTCTCGATTTCAATTTACCCGTCGGTGCACGTGTAACTACATACGTAATTTTTCTTTTCATATTTCCGTGGAATCGGCTTCTATTTTTTTAAATTAACAAGATGTTGACATAGGCCAGCGTTCTCCGACTCTGCGCTTTTTTCTTTTCTTACTTTTTTGTGTTTTATTCAGTGCGCGATGAGGTATCCGCCAAATGCCCTGCCTCCAAGTTACATTACCTTTACTTCTTCTCGGATATTCTGGTCGTTTCATACGTCCTATGTTGTGCCGAGCCTGCCGAAAGCGACAGCAATGGCGCCTATAGCGCGGGTGCGGTCGCTGCACGGAGACAGAACGGCGTTGCCGTAGCACACAGAGGGCGTCGGCTCGAGGAATTGGCTTCCATGAAACTAGACAACGTTTCCCTCTCGTGACGCAGATTTCGTGAATCAATATAAAGTACCACGTAACAGCAGCTTTTCTCTATTCCGTGAAAGGCGTTCTCTTGATATCCCGGTTGTGCGATGCCACCGGTGCTACCCCATTGCGAATCCTTTATTCACTATTCGGCAATCCATTTTCTGAGAAGCCTCTTGCACGTGATCGCACGTCGATTGATTCTATCACGATACAAATACATACAGCTTTTGCGGGTGTACACGAGCCTCGGTCAGAGCACAGAACCGTGAATTACGTGACGGCTCGCGATTCCGTTAAAATTTTTATCATTTCTAGCATTATTACCAAAAACTGGTGATAGAATATCGATTCCTTTGATAGAAACAGCTCCGTTCAGTCCTATACTATGATTGACGGTGTCCTAGCGAAGGGAAAATTTGGGCGCACTGTCTGAGAAATCACTCACAGCTTTTCGTTCTAAACAAGTGTCGAGGGGCGCTACCAGCACATCGGCAGGCAAAAGTACAGCAGGTCGCAAGTGATGCATTCGGCCTGCAACCTCGCTTGCTGTCCAAAGGCTGGGGCCTACGTTTCAGAGCAAGCTAACGACGCTGCAAAGATCAAGATCCGTAAATTCCGCGTTGGTCGACGAGACGGGGGCTTTTGTTTCCACCAGCTGGCGATGAGAGCCCTCCAGAATCCCCGACTTCTGTGTCCATACCGTACCTTTGCAATGTTTTCTATTTTTGAACCGATCGCACTTCGAACGCGTCTGCTACAAATCGCGAAAACGCATCAGAATCTCTGCACCTGGAGATGGAATGCAGTTAAGGGGCAAGGTTTGATAGAAGTGCAAATATCTGTGCGCCGGTCCAAGTTTGCGTCAAATACGCACCCGATTCGGAGGCCTGCTCAACGGTATTTCGCGGTCAAGCGTGCGTGCGGTAAAAACGATAAGCTACGTGTCATCGAGGCGGAGCACGCGCGATTCGCGTCGCCGGCGCTCGCGTGCGATGCATTCTGTGCGATGCATTCTGTGCGATGCATTCTGTGCGATGAACGACGCGCATGAGATCATTTTCATGGAACGAAAGCCATCCATTTGACGTAGATCGGCATTACGTACGGTGCAGACTCATCGTTGCACCCCTGTGCATGTCGCGGATACCTCATTCGTTGTCGCGCGATGTCGTGCGTTGCGAGAATTACCGCACTTTATGCGGTAACGAGCTGATGCAGGTCTCTACTTCACCACCGGGGCGCTCACTACCACATATCTTTTTTTTTGTTTTCAGTCCTAATAGACTTGGGCCGTGGACAACGGTAACACAGAGTTTTTGACCTCAGGATTTTAGTTCATAACGAAAACATATTGCTGAACTTGGAAGGGTACATCATTCTCTGAGAATAGAAGCTCGTTAGCCATGAGAAGCTTTGTTTCAGTTGGGATCTTTTGGCTGCTCATTCTTTTGTACCTAAACAGCGCTGTGCTTACCAATGGTATCCAACGAGAAACTTGGAGCGAAGTTTCGCCGGCACGAAACTCGCTCCAACGCAACCTGGACTACTGCCAGCCTTTGATCACGATCGAAGACTGCCGTCTGGAGCAAGTCTGCATTGAAGAGGCAGTAGTGAAAGTCTGTGAGAAGAAAGTCTGGATTTGTCCAGCGAGCTCGAACTTCGAGAACGCCTCGCCCAAGGAAAAGTATGGGCTTTCAAAGAATGCAAGGACAGAAGGATACACAAATGTGAGGAAAGGGAACGTGCCAGTTCATGCTCCAAATGACTGTTACCAGAAATGCATCTATAAGAACCAAACAGTGTGCGAGATGTATGCACTGAAGAATATCTGTCGAGTGTGCGTTGAAAGCTTCACAGCAGAGGAAAAGTGCTCGTTGGTGTTTGGACCACAGAAGGACGTATCAGGGAAGGTTCCAGTTTCGGATAGGTGGATACCTAGCACACCACAGAAGACTACTCTGGGAAAAGTTCAGGGAACTGTTGCGTCGAAGAGCCCCGCTCAGCCAGCTTGTACAATCATCTGCAAAGAAGTGAAACGTGTATGTCATCAGGAGGTATTTTCCATTCAAACACCAACGCAAACACCAACGATCATAATAGTCAAGCCAACGATACCTCCAACGCCGACTACTACGCAGATACCGACACCAATGCCACCGATTACAATAATACCAACGCCGACACCAACATTAACGCCGACGACTAAGCCGCCGACGCCAACGACTAAGCCGCCAACACCGACGACTAAGCCGCCTACACCGACTACGAAGCCGCCGACGCCAACTACTAAGCCGCCTACACCGACTACGAAGCCGCCTACACCGACTACTAAGCCGCCTACGCCGACTACTAAGCCGCCTACGCCGACTACTAAGCCGCCTACGCCGACTACTAAGCCGCCTACACCGACTACTAAGCCGCCTACGCCGACTACTAAGCCGCCGACACCGACGACTAGGCACGACAACGCCGACTACGAAGCCGCCGACACCGACTACGAAGCCGCCAACGCCGACTACGAAGCCGCCAACACCGACTACGGAGCCGCCAACGCCAATGACTAAGCCGCCTACACCGACTACGGAGCCGCCGACACCACCACCACATCGGCACACACCACAGCCTCAGCCGAATCTGCTGGACGGGTCTAGCGGATCTGGTACTGGAGGTGGCCTCGGTGGGCAAAACTCTGGCGCACAAATAGGCAGCGGTGGCGGCAACGGCCCCAGAAATGGGCAACAAATGATGAATGAGAACGGGGCTACAGCGCCACAGGCTCCAACACCAACGCAACCGAAGCCGCCAACACCACCACCACATCAGCACACACCACAGCCTCAGCCAAATCTGCTGGACGGGTCTAGCGGATCTGGTACTGGAGGTGGCCTCGGTGGGCAAAACTCTGGCGCACAAATAGGCAGCGGTGGCGGCAACGGCCCCAGAAATGGGCAACAAATGATGAATGAGAACGGGGCTACAGCGCCACAGGCTCCAACACCAACGCAACCGAAGCCGCCAACACCACCACCACATCAGCACACACCACAGCCTCAGCCAAATCTGCTGGACGGGTCTAGCGGATCTGGTACTGGAGGTGGCCTCGGTGGGCAAAACTCTGGCGCACAAATAGGCAGCGGTGGCGGCAACGGCCCCAGAAATGGGCAACAAATGATGAATGAGAACGGGGCTACAGCGCCACAGGCTCCAACACCAACGCAACCGAAGCCGCCAACACCACCACCACATCAGCACACACCACAGCCTCAGCCAAATCTGCTGGACGGGTCTAGCGGATCTGGTACTGGAGGTGGCCTCGGTGGGCAAAACTCTGGCGCACAAATAGGCAGCGGTGGCGGCAACGGCCCCAGAAATGGGCAACAAATGATGAATGGGGATGGGCCTACAGCACCACAGGCTCCCATATTGGCGCCACCGAAGCAGCCTACACCACCACCACCACCGCAAACGCAAGCACCACCGACCCGTCCGAACGCACCGGATATGTCTAGCGGATCCGGTACTGGAGGTGGCCTCGGTGGGCAAAACTCTGGCGGATCAATAGGCAGCGGTGGCGGCAACGGCCCCAGAAATGGGCAACAAATGATGAATGGGGATGGGCCTACAGCACCACAGGCTCCCATATTGGCGCCACCGAAGCAGCCTACACCACCACCACCACCGCAAACGCAAGCACCACCGACCCGTCCGAACGCACCGGATATGTCTAGCGGATCTGGTACTGGAGGTGGCCTCGGTGGGCAAAACTCTGGCGGCCCAATGGGCAGCGGCGGCGGCAATTCCGTAACAGGTATGAATCCAGTGACAAGGAAAGACTCGTAGTCCGCCTTGAAAGATGATCGGCCCCCAGCCAGCAACCACCATGAAGTTTGGGTGAACTAGTCTAAGGATAAGAAAATCTTACCGAGGTACCGAGGAAACAAAGCAAAGCGCCTCGAGCAGCTTTTTCAGCATTGAAAGCGCTGTTTTTGTTCAAGCGAAGTTCAGTTTCCCGTGTGAAAGCATATTTCTAAAGATAGACGCCAAGAGGCCCGAGATGCCTGGCGCAAACGATTAAGGACAGAAATTGCCGAAACAACTCAACCAAACCAGTGCAACACACCACTGCTGTACGTTCTGTGTCGCACGTTACCTCGGGCCGTACCACGCACTCGTCGCGAGCGTTTCGTGACCCACGTTCGCGATAAACGTGGGTCGACCAAAATACCTGAAATTCTTGCCAGTTTTTCATGTTCAGAGCAACGCATCGCCCAAGCAAGGAACTCCAAAAATAGAAAAACAACTTTAAAACGGAAGTTTTACGCAACAACAAGCGTGCAAATGTTATGTTACACGCATGCGCCGAGATGCGTGCAAAGAGCGCGATGCGTGCTAGACACGTCACCGAGCGCAGCAGGCAATCGGTGCGCAGGCGCGGCTCTCCGTGCGCTGCACTGCGCATTCCAACGTTCGCGTCATCTGGAAATAAAGCACTAAGCGGTTCGACATGTTTCTATCTTTCAATTTCCTCCTGAAAATTTATAGATACACATCCTAGACGTTCAAAGTCCAATAATAAGGAATTTCGGATTCACGGTCCGTTCTCCGACTCTAGGTTGTCTTTTCGCAATGGCTCGTTCAATGCTTCACAACTGCAGCTCGTTACGGCTCTGGAATCAAGACGAAATGCGGCGTCCTAAAAAAAGATTTCAAAAAAATATTCGATATCACCGTCCTGTTCATGTGAGTGACCGCCACGCTCCTCCTTTCCTTACGTCTATCACGCTCGAATCACGTATTCTTCGAGTTTTCGTCATTTCAGTCGCGACGCAACTCGTAGGCGCAACGATTCGCGCTGCCGACCCGACGAGAAAAGGAGCGCGGCGCCATCCCTTGGTGACTTCTCCACACGCTCCCGCCGAAAGCTCAATGAGCTCGTCACGTTAAGCAATCGATCCCGCCCGAAAGACAATTCCAGCCCGCTCCGTGGCCATCGAAGAGAAGGGACCCGAAATCAGCAGCAGCAGCAGGAGCAGCAGCACCACCACCACAACCACATTCCCGCCCGTGGGATCCGCTCCCAGAGGCTCGCGTCTCTTCTGTTCGCATGGGAAAGGGTGCTGGACGCGGACTGCAGTCATCGCAGCGATGGATTCCGGTGGCAAGTGCGTCATCGCTTAGCGGCACGGCAGGAGCGCCGACGGATCGACGTTTCTACGCTGCGTCGCGAATCTGGAGTTCCACTCCAGCCACTGCGTGTTTCATCATAGACAGCAACGCGTTCCACGAATTCCCTTCTATTCGGCAAACAGCAAAGAGCGGGCATTGGTCATCCTGCACACGCACACACCAGCTTATGCTCTGTGTTTCAAACCGATGGAGAACGGTTGCGGGGCCGTCAAACGCAGCCTCAGAGAGGCCGATGCACGCTTCGGGATAACGCGGCTCGCTCTCGACACGAACTGATGCCCAGTGCTCGAGGAACTGCCGTTCAGACCAATGGACCTGTTGGAGTTTGTATAGGGAAACTCGCTGACGATTGCGGTTCGTGGAATTCCGAAGTAGTACGAAGAGAAAAACAAGGTATAAATACTTTAGTTATACGGCATGCTTATCGACGGAGGCACACAACCGCCGCACACGAGAGGTCTCAGAGAAACGACTGTGTAGTTGGACGAAAATCGTCCAAGAGCGTAACGAAAAGAGATGCGTACCGCTTCCAGACGAGCTCGCCAGTCTCGGACGGGGCGGTTTCCTGAACGGAACGCTTCGCTTGGGTGTGTTCACGGACGAGGAGCGGCGCTCATCGTTACTGCCGGAAACGGCGGTCGTTCAGTGCCAGCTTGGAACGTGCGTGCTCCCACCGGAACACGTGGCACGCGACATGTACCTGGTGGTTCTTTGCAGCAAGCTCCGGCGACACGCTTGCCTCAAACTCAAGTCCGCGTGCTTCGAGTGTGCCGAGGTCTTTGGAAACGTCCAGCACTTTGTAGAAGCGCAGCTGACACCGATAAGCTTTTCGTCCTAGTTGTCCCCGAGTGCGCACCAGGCAGACTTGACCCGCAACTAGCCTTCATCGGCGACGCACGGACGTCGGCTCCCAAGCTGGACAGCATTGGGAGCGTCGAGGGCCTCTCTCGCTTGGTGACTCAAAGCGCCCCAGATAATACGAATGGGTACGGGGAATGATACGCACAGTGACGCTGAGAAGGGTGAGCATACACCTCCACCGGCACGTGAAAGATTCTATGGGGTGGAGGCGAAAGTGCGACGACTCGGCGACCGGCATGGGCGGTATGAAGGAGCTCTTCATGACCGACGCTTCATTGCAGCCAGTCGGCTCGAAGGATTGGGAGACCATGATGAATGTCCGTCATCTGGCCCTTCGCGACGAGGACGTTGTCTCGAAGATGGACCTGTCGCATGCGACTAACGCACCCACGAATGCGATGGCGCGTCTGCACCCAGCGTGCCGGTCCAGAGCCTCCGTCAGGGGAGGAGTACGCGGCTTTTACGAACGCACGTCTCCGTGGCTCGTGGCACTGCCAGCAAGCACACTTTTTCGCTTTGTCGTGGATCGTGACGCCGCGCGAGGGTTACGCAGATGCGTCCGATGGAGAACAAGTGTGTCGAGGAAGAGGAAGAGAGGCTGATCGCTAGGTGCAAGCCCAGACAGCGAACTATGCGCCCGCACCCGAAGATTCGAAGAAACTCATGAACCGCTTGACGAGCGAGAAGCGACGGAGCGCGCAGGAGGGCGCGGAGGCGAAGGGAGACCGGAGGAACCGGAGCTTCGCGCTTCCAACAGGAGAAGTAGAGTCGTCGTTCGCTTCCGATAGCGCGAGTGTGTCCATCGCCGTCAAGCGCGAACGCTCTATACGACTGAAGAATCGTCAGGGTGCAGATGCACCCTGGTTAGAGGGGGAAATGTGTGGATGAACAACGAACAACTGGGATGCGCGGCGGCGCGAACTTGCTCCCCAATGCGATCGGCCTCAACTTGGACCCAAAGAGACCGGGTCCCTGAACCTTCACGATGATTGCGAGATCCGAAGGGATGCCCGACTTGCCTGTGGTCACCGACGACGCACTGGAGCCGCGAGTCTCGAACACGCCGATTCCCGCTCAAAGTCGTAGCTTGGACTCGAGTACCTCATATGTTCGCCTAAGCGGACGGTGAGCGAGTGAGGCACTCGTCCGACGCGCAAACGAGTGAGACAGGAGAGAGTCCCAGTAGCCTTGGCGGCATTATCACAAGCATGTGGCACAATCGGACCTGATGGCCCGTCACGCTCATCTGCACAGTTTGTGGGAAGGGAACGCAGGAAAGCAAGAGCGCACAAGGAATCGGTTGTTGAGGTACCGAATGGAATAGCGTGCGCTTGCGAGTGCAGCGGGCAGCGCACTCGCACAAGAAGTCGTCCAGAAGAGCAAGTGCATGATCACGGGGCACAGCACTGGGCGCGAAAACGGAGCAAGGCATCGCGTAGAGCCTTCTGTACCCGTCAACGACAGCTACGGAGGGATGCAGCAAGCGCTCGCATGCTGCAGGTCGGCTCCCAGGGAATGCGAGCTCGTGAACACATACGGGAATATCTGAACACAACCAGGTTAACCGCTACGAGGCGCGCACCAGTACTGAATTCTAGGAAACGAAGAAAACGGCAAGCGATCCGTCAATCGCAACCTCCGCCTGTACATCGAATACGCAGGCAACTGCCGGAACCTGTGAAACTGCGACCCCAACGCCGCGATTAGCATCCCTCGACAGCCTACAACAGTGCTGGAAAGAAAGTAGAGACCGGCGTATTCCAGCCCGGAGCTAAGAGAGAGGAAAAGCGATCAGCCGCAGCAAAAGCTGCCATGGGATGGCTTTCGTGACATTGACTTGACGCTTAAACTTCAGTTTGTACACCCCAGTTACTCGAGTGCATCCGTTTCCTTCCATACAGACATGGATCTAGTCGATCGGCAGCAGTGGCAGCAGAACGATTTTCCCGCACTGTAGAACTTTAAGTCTATTGCACCGTAACCGATTTCGCCAAATTGCGTGGTTGATCCACATTTAAACCTCGCGCAACTGCGAGATGATAGGCAATCAACTGCATTGGAACGATGTTCACGACACCTTGGAGGCAGTCTGCAGTGTGCGGAACTTCAAGCGTGGTACCAACACCTAAGCCCTGAAAGAAATGGCCGTCGCCCTCGCTGCATACAACAATCATGCGCTGTGGGTTTCCACGCGCCAGAAGCTGGTGCACCGCGTTACAGATCGCCTCATAGCCGTTATCGCGAGTCGCAAAGACTATCATTGGCATTTCCTGATCGATTAGAGCCAGGGGTCCATGCTTCAGTTCGCCTGCGTGAATACCCTCGGTGTGAATATAACTGACCTCTTTGATTTTGAGTGCTGCCTCAAGACACGTAGCGTACTGGTACCCACGACCGCACACTAGAATGGATACCGCGTCCCGCAAGACCCCTACAGCCAACATTCTCAACTTATCATTCAGCATCAGCACCCGTTCAATTGCGGTTGGCAACGCGGCAAGTCCGTCAATAATCTCTCTTCGCCGAGTTTGCTTGCTCAAACGATCAGCGCTCAGCAAAAGCGCGATCATAATAATAGCGACGATCTGCGAAGTATACGATTTCGTGGATGCGACTCCAATCTCGCAACCCGCATTCAGGTGGACACCGCAATCCGTTATGCGGGCGATAGCAGACCCGACGACGTTGACAACACCGACTGTTAGTGCATGTCGTCGTTTGGCGTACCGGAGTGCCTCAAGGGTGTCTGCCGTCTCCCCGGATTGGCTTACGAAAACGCAAACGTCGGAGCGAAAGAGCGGACAAGCGCGATCCAAAAAATCGCTGGACAGCTCCACGGAGACGGGAAGTTCGGTCAGCTGTTCGACAAGTTGCCGACATGCAAGTGCCGCATGGTAGCTGGTTCCACAACCCACAAATATCAAGCGGTTACTGCGAACAAGGTCATCGAGGCGTTCGCGTAAGCCACCGAGCAGTACAGTTCCCGTCGCGGGTTGCACGCGGCCGCGCATTGTTCCTCGGATGCTCTCAGGCTGTTCAAAGATCTCTTTCAGCATAAAATGCTCGAAGCGACCACGTTCAATCTGTTCCAACTCTATATCAAGTGTACAAAGCGCACGTGTTTGCGTCAACAGCGACTGCGATTCCGCATCTAGAAAAGAAAAGATATCCACCGATCCGTCTGCGCTGGCATGGACGACATCGTTATCTTCAAGCACAACCACTTCACGGGTATGTTCCACAAGTGCGCTCACATCTGATGCAAAAAAGAGCTCTACACCCCCCGCTCTTTCGCCCATTCCTGAGTCCGGTGCCGATGTACTAGTATTGAAGCTGAATCCGTGCGGCAGTTCACAGTCGAGATTCACTTGTGCGACTTTGAAATCGATCGAGTGGCGACGCGGGGTCCGGCGACGGAAGCACCTACCTCCAGTACTCTTGGCGACGCTGCCTGAAGATGCCGGTTCTAGTCCGTCACGTTGTCGGGCAGCGGCCACAGCAGAGGATTCAAAGCGTCCATTCGCGGTCGCCGTTTCTGCTGCGGACATCGCCGCTCGCGTCGTTCCTTCGCTCTCCACTGCACCTGGTGTCGATGCTGGCGATCTTGAAGCATCAGTTTTTGCCGGCTCGCTGTGCTGGACGAGGTGTACCTGTTCGCCGTCATGGTACGCGATCCCGAGCACGAGTGGAGAACCACGCTTGCACGCAACCAGCTCGCCAGGAAAGAACTGTGATCGAATCGCTAACGCATACGCTCCTTCCAGTTCGTGCATCATGAGCATCACGAGCCTTGGGAAAGAGACTGTATCGCACACAGCTTTCATCTCTAGATAGAGGTGTTTCAGAAGCACTGCAACGACTTCGGTGTCAGTTTCCGAGACAAACTGGTAGCCGCGTTTCCCGAGAACCTGCTTCAGCGCAGCATAGTTGGTGATTATTCCATTATGCACCACGAGAAACTCGTTTTCAGGTCCCGAAGCCTGTGGATGACTATTCTCGACGCTGGGGGCGCCGTGCGTTGCCCAACGCGTATGCGCCAGACCCACGTGCTGCCTGACCTTGAAGTTCGGACTCGAGCGCAACGCCGTTGCTACTTGTTCCGCCAGACAGCCCACGCTGCCAGGTCCTTTGATCACCAAAGGCTTACGCTCGCCAGTTGAAGGATTTACAATATCGTCCAACGCGATCCCAGCCGAGTCGTAGCCACGGTACTCTAAGCGCCGTAACCCGTTCACCAGCACTGCAGCGATGTCGTCTCGGGAGCGCTCCACTCCGTAGACCACATAGGCAAATATGCCACACATTTGCGTCAAACTCGAGCGTATATGCTGGTGCTCGGAGTTCTCGACTGTGGGCAGGTACCTGTTCAACGCTGGCACGACACCACTGGGGCCTTGCGGCACCGTTCCAAACTATTTCCAAAAGTAGATAGACCTTAAGAATGAATCCGTTTTGCAGTCGAACGGGTGTGCGGCCGCGCCAAAGCCTGCATCGAATGCACCGGGCGGAATAGGAAAACAACAAAACAAACCAGTCACAAACTATTTATCAAAGAACAACTATCTTAAAGCCCCACACATTACGTCCGCCTAAGAGGTCTAGTTTTACCGGAGGAGCTCTGAAAGTGGGTTAAACCGAGGTGTTTGGGCGACTGGGAAGGAAGCCCACGCCAGGGACCTTGACCGCAACGAACGGAGGGTAGAAGGCAGCAGCAGCAGAGAATGTTGAAGGGAATTCTGAGTAGTTATCCGCTGCTCTAGAATCGACGCTGCAAGTTCGGGCGCAAATCCTGTACCCATCCTCGAGATCGGGCTCAGTTTTACCTCCTACCTTGGGTACCTACCTCAACTCTGGAAACAATCTCGGCGGATACTTCGGAAGACAGCTGGCGGTATGTTCGCGGTAGAAGCTGGAACAAGCGACTTGCCCGCCGATGTGTTTGGGGAGCGGATACGAAGCCGCTGAAAGGGTAATTCGTAGACTGTTCCCAGTAATTGAGGGGAGCTTCACGCGTCCGGCAAGATAAAGGTCGCATTCGAATCGACCTTGACTATTGTACTTCTGATTCTACGCTTGTGCTGCGGCAGACACTCAGTGAACGAGTGGAATGCAGGAGGCAATTGTGGCATGTACGCTCACACACCCCATGGAGCGTGCGTCTAAATCGACGACGTACCTCTGGAGTACCGCAGCGCTATTCCTATTCACTTATGCGCTACGACTCGATAGGTTTCGCATCATGGAATATTTGCGGGATAGCCTCGGTATTGAACTACGAGATAACGAATTATCAGTACATTAACGAAGAAGAGACACGAATAGAGGACTCTGCAATAGCGAAAGAGACCCAACGGGATACGGAGAAGGAGGCACAGAAACCTCATGATCCACCTAGATGCAAAATAACCAGAGAATTTAGCTCAGGAAAGAGCCCGAAGAAGACGAGGAAGACCGACAAGAAAAAACAGAAGAAGAGAAAGAAGACCCCCCCCCAAACGAGCCCATCATGAGTGATCCCCTGAAAGAGTGCCCCAGCTGGAACTCAAGAAAGCCGTCGCCAAACCCAGGCACCTACTCACAGCGCTGAAGATCCGAAAAGCCGTGCATGCAAATCTTTAGACCAATTGGCACGCGAGTTTGTAGATGGGAATAAGAAGACTGCCAGAGAACTGGGACTGCTTGCACCAGAACACAACAGTTGCAAACCTCAGTACCTGAAACGACGTACCAAAACTCGGATTGATGAATGCCATCGACTCAATAAGAACGTCAACCGCACCGCCATACGCACCAACGCCGGAGACAAGGAAGCGAAGGCAGCGCTACTGGCGCTACAGGCGCAACATGAAGAAGCTATCAAAAAAAAGAAGAAACTTTCCAGAGAAGACAAACGAGAGGATCGAAGCCGCAAAATCGCCGCCCTGGCGAAATCTATGCTAGAGAGCACCAGCGAAGATGAAACCCCAGGCTACATTCGATCGAGACTCGACCCACCGAAAAAGTGCTTGGGGCTCACACCAATCGTTTATGAGGAAGCGCTGAGGACGGAGAGTGCCTCAGTGAATGAGGCCTGGACGGACCACGGGCCAGAGCTGCATGAAGACGCAACTGGGCACTGCCAAAACCGAATCTATCGGCACCAATATGCTGCAGAACTACGGCGCCTCGAACCGGTACCGGAATGGAACGACCCAATCTTCTGGCCTGAATCTGTTCGGACCCTGCTATGCTCAAGCAACCGCAAAACACCTGGCATCGGCGGCATCGCGGCGGAGTGGATGAAACTGGCGACCCCAAAAGACGGGACAACAGGGACACTATCGATACCAGATGAACCTGACACAATCTTATGCAAACGCCTTCTGGAGCTCATTCAACGCATGTTTGAAGAAGCGTGCATCCCAGATGTACGGAGGACTGCCGAGGTCGTACCGATCCTCAAAAAGGACTCCCACACAGACATGAACATCTACCGGACTATGCGCCTCATCCCGTCAATCATGAAGCTACTTTGCGCCATTCCCACGAACCGGATCCAGAGAGGCCTCCAGGAACGCAAGTTCTTCGCCCCAGAACAGGCTGGATTCCGGAGCCACGAGGAGTGCATGAGCCATACCCTGACCCTAACTGAAGTGGTGCAACGTTGCTCGATTAGCGGCCAACAACCAGCTTACGTATGCTTCACCGACTTTCAAAAGGCCTTGGACACGGTCCCGCACGAGGCTCCATTTCTGAAGATGGAACGAGCCGGAGTCTCCGGAAAGTGCTTAGCGTTCTTCCGTGCGCTCTATGCAGACTCATGGATGCGCATCCGACTGGGCGACTGCTCAAGAACCCCTTCCATAAGAATCCACCGTGGACTGCGACAGGGCGACCCCGCATCCCCGCTCCTTTTCAACATCTTCATCAACGATCTGCTGAACAACTGCAGACAATTCGCGGCTGAGGCGCCGTGGATAGACTGTGGAGATGTCCGGTGAGGAGCCCTCACATAGAAACCGCCTCGCAGGCCGTCTAGTTGCGGACGATGTCGTGCTGTTGGCACCCGCCCCGGAAACGCTTGCGGGTAGCATGGAACAAGTCAGCGCCTGGACCGATCGCTGAGAGATGAGCATAGGAGCATCGAAGTGCGGCGTCATGGTCATCCATGGAGACTCGCAGAGCATTCGCAATCGCTCGTGGCGGTTGCAGAATCAGGAAATTCCAATCGTGGAAAAAGATCGCTACCCGGGGGTCTGTCTCACGCCGACGCTCGACGAAAAGGCACACATCGACGAGATGATCGCCAAGATGCATAGACGTATAGCGATCGCAGGCCCATTCTTATCCGACCCCTCTATCTGCATAGCAATCCGTACCAGCGCACTAAGGATGTGTATCATCCAGCCTGCGACCTGGGGTGCTGAATGGTGCGGCATGAAGCACCCAAATGCCTCACGTCTGCAGACAGCCGCCAACAGGGCAATGCGACTCGTTGTTGTTGTTGGATGCTCAGTGCAGAGCAGAGCGACCAACCCGCTGACACTCGGACTTGAACTCCAAATACTCTCGATATAAGCGATAGCAGCAGGCTGCCGGGCATGTATACGGGCCAAAGGGCCCACTATGCGCACCTGGTTCAGTCGGAGTTTCATGAAGACCCCAACCCACCGCAAGAACACTTGGATGAAATCGACGCAGATTTCGGTGAAGCGCCTCTCAGGCGAAAACACGCTACCCAATCGTTCCCCAGAAATATAGAATTCTCCCGTCACCTGAAGCGAAAGGTCCAAACACCAATATGGGAACGTAGACACGGTACCAGTCGCGCGAGTAACGCCGGCTTGACTCTATACCGGAACTACAACCTAGCATACACATGCAAGCACTGGTGGGAGACGCTGGAGTTCCCGGGACTTGCTCGAGGTACCCAGTGGCTGGCCAAAATGCGCGTTGGTGGCTTCTGGCTACCAGCACCGGCTCTAAGCCGCATAGGAACACTGGAATCGCACTGGGAGTCACACTGTCCCTGCTGTGGAAACGAGAACCCCGAGACGCTGACATAGTTAGGCTTACAGTGCCCGCGCTGGAAACACGAGCGCAGCGAGCTCCTTGGAGGACAGCAGCAGCTGGGCATCACCTTGATAGCCAAAGGCCGGACACACACTTTGAGTGTAGCACTGGCAACTGATGGCCCGCTAACGGAGCCTCAGCGCTCATTAGTGGCGAACAAACTCACATGCTACCTTCTAGAAAGAAGGGTCCAGCGAATCGGATGCGCACACGGGCTCAGTGCGCTTTCTGCGTCTACCCACTGTGGTGGGTGTCAAGCAGAAACCCGCATTGCCAACCGACAACAACGCACTCCATGCATGATCACGAAGGAGAGAGGCGGCTCCCAGGATATATCCTAACAGCCAAGTTTCTCCAGCGTGTCGTGCAGCGAAGACAAGCCTGCATCCGCAGACTGTCCGAGCACAGACAGACAATGAGACCCGATTCTACGCCGGGTGAACCACGCCTCGAGCTGACGCCCTCTGTGGTACGGCAACGCCGTTCTGTCTCTATGAATTATCTGCTCCAGCGGTTCAGGCCCAGAGGCGGATACGGAACTGCAGGTACTAGGCACACACGATAGGACGTATGAAACGACCAGAATATCCGAGGAAAATTCTGGGTAGCGTAACTTGGAGGTAGGGGGTTGATGGATATCTCACCTCGCACTGAAAAAAACAAAAAAGTAAGAAAAGAACTAGCGCACAATCGGAGAACGATAGGCTAAGTAAACGTTTTGTCAATGAAAAAAATCAATGTCAGGAGATGTGCGGTGCTGGAGACGAGACCTCCAGCATGGACAAGACAGAACTTTGTTGGACAACCTCTCAAAGTCGAACTATATGAGAAAAAGTTTGAAGCAGTAGTAGTTGGCCGGTCCAAAAGGCGAGGGGGCGTCTGCACGTCAATCGGAGACTTCTTGTCTAGGGCGCTGTCGTCGCCACTACGGTACACGGTCGGCGTCGTTCGAGTTTAGAACGGCGTTTGGCCGCGCGTTCTGGAACTGCGCGGACCAATAAGCTGCAGTCCTTGTCGTCAGTGCCTCTGTCCACAAGCTTAGACAGCGGGCTACTGCCGCGCGACTGCGGCTGCTCCAGGAGCGCACCACCGGGCATGCACTCGAGAGGCGAGGAAGAGTACGGCGCTCTGGGTGTGGAAAAGAATCCAAAAAAGACACTGTTTTTCAAACGATTCAACTCAGTGGCGAAACATGCTCGGCAATTTTCGTACTCATTCACTGCTGGAGCAGTCTCTGGAATGGTGAACACGTTGGTGCTCAGTCCGTTGGACGTGGTACGTACGCGCATGCAAGTGGGAAGTTTTGGGAACACCGCACACGCGCTGCGTACGGGTAGCGGTCTGGAGCTCCGTCATTTTCGGGATGTTTTTCGTGCCACGTTTCGTACGGAGGGTATCGGTGGTTTCTACCGCGGCTTAACTGCATCGCTTATGGCGTTCATGCCGAACTGGGCGATTTACTTCTCGCTGTACGAGCAACTTCGGGGAACGCTTCTGGAGCAGTGGTCGAAGAATCCGCCAAAACGGTCTCGACTCGGGGCGAACCTGTTTCCCAGCAGAGGTCTGTCAAAGGACATGCTGGCCTCGATGATGGCTAGTATGGGCGCTGGTGCTGCGACGGCTCTGCTTTGCTCACCGCTTTGGGTTGTGAAAACGCGCATGCAAGCTGAGGTTGTCCTACCGGGATCAGTTCCCCGATATCGGAACCCGCTTGAATGCCTGCGCCGAATTGCTCGCGAGGAGGGCCTCGCCGCGCTCTATCGCGGCCTGACCCCGAGTCTCCTAGGTCTGATTCATGTCGCTGTCCAGTTCCCGCTATACGAAGCACTCAAGCGCAGCTGGGTTGTAAGCCGACCGCGCTCCAAAGAACCTGGGGCCAGCACATCTGCGCTAACGGAGGCGCGCCCACCAGTATGGCGAATCATGGTCGCCTCGTCGGTCAGCAAAATTGTCGCCAGCGCTGTAGCGTATCCCCATGAGGTCATTCGAAGCCGCTTGCAAATGATATCCATATTGTCAGTAGAGAGCGGTATACCACCACCAGAACCGTTCCTTAATCGAACCGCGAAAGGTATCGGTACCGAGCCTGTGCGAATGCTACGGCTTGTGCGCTACATGCTTAAGGAAGAGGGTATCAGCGCGTTTTATCGGGGTATCGGGGCAACGCTTTTCCGCACCTTGCCGGCAACTGTTCTGACCTTTGTCACTTACGAACTGTGCAAAACTTTCCTGGAGGAGCGCGCACAAGAATCGTCGTTGGTGTAGGTTTCGGACCATGCGTCCGAACGGGTGCCTGACGCGCAGCGGGATCCCCTGCTGTATCCCCATGGGGCGCCATTCGTCGAATCCTCTATCCTGGACATAACTGTACATAAAAGTATGGACTAGGACAATGCATGGATCCACCCGCGCAGCCGCTGCCGATCGCATCTCGGGCGGAGGCGGCGCTCGCCAGCAGTGCGGCCTCGCTAGGCCCTTCGCGCACGTTCGGGACAGATGCCCGCAACGCGCTGTACAGGCCGCGTCACCCGCGGATCTTTGTTCTCTGGCGAGTCATTCCAGGGCGGGTGTGCCTCGACGCAGCAGCGTTGCTAGTGCACCATCCGACACGTTTGAGGTCGATTGAATGTCGTCCATTGAGGAAATATATCGCTCTATACCCCCGGTAACACGAACGTATGTGACGTTGGCTGTGTTGACGACGCTGGGGTGCGCGCTGGAAGTTGTATCACCGCTGAAACTGTACTTGTCGTGGACGCGAATTCCTGTTCAGCCGTGGCGGTTGCTCACGAATTTTACGTTTTTCGGACCGTCGATATCATTGGACTTTATATTTCACGTATTTTTTCTTGCTCGGTATAGTCGTTTGCTGGAAGAGACGACGTTTCGCGGTCGCTCTGCAGACTACGCCTGGTTCCTCCTGGTCTGTGGGACCTTACTAACCTTGACAGCACCCTTCGTGAATGTATTGTTTATGGGTCCGTCCCTAACGTTCGCCATGGTTTACCTGTGGTCAAGACGGAACGAGAGTGTTTCTTTGAGTTTCCTGGGGTTGGTGAACTTTTCAGCACCGTTTCTTCCGTGGTTGCTGTTGCTGTTCACGGTTCTTTTCGGGGCGTCAGCGACCGTCGATCTGCTTGGTATTGCCGTGGGCCATGTATACTATTTCCTGTCTGATGTATACCCATCTCTGACGGGATGCCGCCTTCTTGAGACACCGCGCTGGTTCGCGGCATTCTTCGGCCCGGCTGACTTAACAGTGCCGTTTGCAGATGCTGCGGCCCCCTTACGAACGTGAACGAGAGCCCCCCGCAGCTGTCTCGCCTATGCGTTCGTGTCACGATAAAGCGACCAGCGATAGGCGGATACTAGCCTAGAATCTGTGGAGCGTGGCATTGCGGACGGGTACCGCGGTGCCGCCCCCGACGTCCTCTAAGGACGCGGTCGCTTGATCGAATCAGCGGGCTTGTTCGGGGCTGCTCATTTAGCCGTGTTACGACATGTCGCGTCATACCGAAAAATTCGCACATACATGAACCTCGAACGCTTCTTTTTGGGCAGAGAGCTGCGAATCCGCTTGAACTCCCATAAATCTATGTATATCATCCCACAGAGTGTGTAACGCGGGCAGCGACAACCATTAGTCGCTGCATATTGGATATCTGCGCCCGCGCAAGTTCGCCTCAGTAGGGGCGCTATCGATGCCTGGCATTTGCGGACGCACATGCACTGGACCCGCGCGTAAGCGTCAGGCAAAGACGTTCTGTCTCCGTGCAGCGTACCATGGAATGTACGAAATCACCATTATCTCCGAGGGAAGGACGGGTGGACTCTCGGTCTTCGTAACCGCTCTGTCAATCAGAAAAGCATAGGTCACGCACGCCCGGCACCATCAGATAACACGTATCGATAGGCCACACAGAAACGCCACCGCTTTCGAGACCTCAAGAGACAAAAGCACGCAGTCCAACTTTTGTATCAAAAGGATTTCCCTTTACTATACACTCTTCGCTCATATAGCTTGCAGCTAGGTATCCGAACTAGTCCTCGGCACCGCCGAATGATACTTCCCGTAAATAGACGCTCTTCGGGAGTCCACCGCTCCAGTAGGCACCGGGAACAGTTCCCTATACAACCATTTCACTATCCCCGCCCACATCCGCTATTTGACGCTGTTTCTCTTGAACTACCCAAGCAACAATCTCTTTTCGGGTACCTCCAAGCCAAGGATAACATATCAGCGCCTCAGCGTTTTCGCGCCTGTCTCAACAGATTCCATGAAAACTTCTGGTTTGCGTCGGGCGCTAGACAGAGAAAGCGAGCGCCGCTCGCGCCAATTTCGAGATCGCGCCTCGACCAGCGACCGGCCAGCTTCACTGGAAAACAACAGTGCGTCAACCAGCGACGCTCAACGACTCCCTAACAAACCTAGGAGACAAGCTACACACCGGAAACACTCACAACTTGAATAACAGTTTTCCTCCTTTCATTGAGCGTTCTATCTTTGTTGCTTTCGTAGTTATCGTGTTGAGCTCGAATTGGACTCTGTGCGTACTGGACACGTTCGAATGCCATGAGTGCGCCCGAGTCTGCGAGAACGTGTGCAGCGTCTGCGGAGGCGCTCTTTGCGCTCTTTGACCTGCAGGTATCCGAAGCGGCGACGCCGTATCCGTTCCTCTATGCGGTTCGTGAGCAGCAAGAACGACACCAGGAGCGAAGTCAGCTGCACGTGTCGTCACCAGGGCGGGGCGCGGCTCCAGCGCAGACAAACGAGCACCAGACCGACAGCGTGGTCTTCGAGTTTCAAAAGGCGCCCTCACAAGAGGACTTTATACGAGGCTCGCTCTATGGGCAGCGGTTCCGCTTGACTCGTATTGTTGAAACGTGTCAAAGAGCTGGGCTCAGTCTTTCCTTGAAGGAACCTCATGCCTGGACCATGCGAGTGCTCAAGGATTTCATTTGCTTGCAGCTAGACCTCAAATCCTTGCTTTCGGACGACTTTGCGCTTGAGCTTTTGATCGGTGGGCGTTTGGTTCCGCTTTCCTTGCCCTTACTTGCAGTTATTCGCTCTATAGAAGCCGCCACCAGCACTATCGTGGTCATTTATCGGTTGGCAGGTCTTGATGGCGAGGCAACTGAGCCGCACTTTACGGTCGAAACTGCAAAGCCACCGGCCGAAGACGCTTCTGGCACGGCAGCAAGATCAAATCCATCCCGCGTGGTCCGACGGCTCCTTTTCAAAAGCTTTGTTCGGGGCGGTGGGCTGGAACACGTCGTGCGACTCATACCGCTCGCACCGTCTGCGGCTATTCACCAGCTGGTAGCCCTTTTTGATATGGAAGCGTCGGATGATAGCCATCGCAGCAGCACACATCAGGTATCGGTCAAGGAGTCGGAGCTGGCAAGATGTTGGTCGGCATGTCTAGATACGGCCCGACGGCAGCGTCTTACAAACGAGGCGTTCCTCGCTGCTGCGCAGCTAGCGGCACGAGGCTCCCCGGAACTTGCCGCAATAGCCAACCAATTGCTGGACCTGCTGGCGAAACAGCTGACACCGTTGGAGGCACGACAGCAGGACACCAGCTGCTCGCCCTGTGCGTCCGCGATATGTGAACAGGCGAGTCTGTGGTTGCGACGCTCGACGCCTCGGCAACAGCAACAGCAACAGAAGCAACCGCCCGCGCGAGATCATCGCAGCTGCACGGGATTAACTGGGGCGTTTTCGGGTGCGCAGGACGCCCCCACTGCCGAGAAAGAACGCCTGTGGCTTCGTTTGCTGGCGCGTTTCGGGGACGTCCCGACGGTGCTTACCGCATTGCGTCTTCCACTTACGTCGGCTGTATCAATAGCATCCGAGCACTGGCCGAAGACGGCCGTACGACAATGCGGCATCATGCTGAGCTTCCTCCCGCGTGGCGATCTGTGGAACGCCCTCGATACTTGCGGCTTTATCGCGTGGTGCCAACAGACCCTGCAGGATCTCATGTCAGCCGTGCGTACTGACGTGAAGACCGGCTCCTCAAATGGCACCGAGCAGGTGCCGCATCAGAGGCTGCCACCAGCGTCCACACAACCGACTGGATCACAGACAGCAACAAGGGCGCTGCAATCCGGAAGCACAGAGATTCGTATCGAGGACCTATGTCGCTTTCTCCAGCTGGCGGTGACGAGTGCACCAGCTGAGCTCCAAAAGCGCCTAGGGCATTTCCCGAACTCTGTCCAAGTAGCGAGCAGCCTCATCCAGCTTGCTAGACAGCCAAGTAGCATCGGGAACGCTGCGGAGGACCTTATCGAGGCCATCAACCGGGTCGGCGGTCCCGGATCACAGCACCTTCATGATGCTGCAGCGCTTTTGCAGAGCACTCGGCGCCAGGCGGCGCTCCTTGCTCGTCAGCGAGCAACGCAAGCGATACAGCGTCAAATAGATGCACTCTGTCAACGCCCGGAGGCGGCAGCATGTCGCAACGAAAGCAGTGCGGCAGCCGAAACCTGTGTCTTCTGTCGAGAAACGAATACGCTCGATACATCTGACGCGCTTGGTGCCTATGTGGTGCTCCAGGCACTAGACCTCTCTCGGAACTGGAGGATGCTTCGGCGCCAAAGCGCTGTTCATGGTCACATATCGAGCGCTAATGCAGTCGAGGCAGCAGTGCACATCGAGCCGTTGTGGGTATTCTCGATGAGCACGGCGGGATTGTCGGTAGCGCACGAGTCCTGTCATCGCCGAGCATTGCAAAACGATGCGCGCGCTCTCGCAGCATACCTAGCGTTGGTACAGTCATGTGCTTGCGGCCCAGTCGACAGCAAGACGGCGAAGACGATTGTTCTGTTCCCGCTCTGCGTTCAGGGGCAGCGTACCAACGCGCAAGATATGCTTCAGAATCTGGTAAGCAGCGTCGAGAAGATGTATCCTACGGCACCGTTTTACCCGGATGCTCAGCGTGGAGCTGTCCTCAGATCCCCGCTGCGAATACGTGCGTTGCTGCTCGCTAGTTTAGCACTGTTCCTCTACCAGATGGGACCGGAATCAGTCGCAGATGCGACTAGTACTGTGGGCAGCGCGCCACATCCAGCAGCGAAAACGGCATCACAGGGGCAGCAACGGTGGCGTCCACCAGCCGAGAAAGCGCTTTCCCTTTTACCCCACTGGGTTGCAGCGATTTTGGAGTTATCCAGTACGCTGACATCGTCCAATGCAGCAGCACAGAACGCTGCTCGAGGCGAAACGACGCTAAGCGCGATCGAGCTCCTAGAAGCGGACCTTCTTTGTGCCGAGGTCGAGCCGCAGAGCAACGCGCCATTCAGTTGGTCTGCTTCACTGCAGAAGTTTTTCTGTGAACTGGGACAGCTGGTGTTCGAATCCAAATCGAATTCGTTGCGAGTCGGTGAGCGACTAGCGCCCGCATGGGCACACGTCGCTCCGCCTGACAGAGCGTCTGTCTTCGAGGCGTGCACGCCCGAGGAGCCGTCACCCCTAGCGGCTCCAGGCTGGACGCATACGCTTTCGGACGACAAGTCAGTGAACAAGCCGCTTTGGCCTCTATGGATTGGTTTGGCGTGTTGCCTCGTCTACTTGACGCGTGCTTCATGGCAACAAGTCAGGCCGCATGTGGAGGCAGCGGCACAGCACTGGGCAAGCGAAAAGCCGCGCTTAGCGGTTGCTCTGGCGCTAACAGACGCCTGGATTCATGACTGGCGAGCAGAGCGTCATGATGATGGCGTGTTTCTGGAGTGGTTACGCCAACACGTCTCTGCGGAACGAGTTGCGCAACTGCATGCGACACTCGATCACAGTGTTGGTCACCTGGCGCTGTAAAGCGCTGGACACTTGCGTCGAGGAACTTCCGTGGCGATTCGGATACCGGATAGGTTTCTCTTGTATATCTTGTACGAATGAATCATGGAACGTGATGATCGTCGATGAAATCTGCCCGAGAAAATCATTTTCGATGGACACATACTGGGTTCTAGTCTCGCTGGCCATCTGAAACGTACCGCACCAGTGCCTCGCTCCGTGCGAGTTCGCAATCTTCTCTGTCTTGGCCACTGGTTTTGTTGCATCGTGCGTCTTCAGCGCTTCAGTACAATGCTTACACCGAGTACCAAAAAATGCTCTCTAAATCACGCTAAACATAAACTTGGTGGACGCTCCAGAGGCACAACGCTGTCCCGCCTACTGATCAAGGCGCTCACGATTCGGCGAAGAAAGCGCTTGCTTGTATTGTCGCCGGTAGCATCGCACCATAGGAAGTGTCTCAAAGTCGGCTGCTTCTTCGAATGACGGTCGATCAAGCTACAGCGCACCCTCTCATCCGGCGGTCTCTGTTTCACACGCTTCTTCTCCTTTACCAGTTTCAGCGTGCACCCGCGCTCATGGTGCATATCCATCCTTCTGGACGTATCGATAAGCACTCTAGGGATCCGATTCCTGCACTCGTTGCACGGACTCGTCGAAGTTGCAGGAGTGCCGCAGTTGCGTACTAGAAAACGCCCAGCGCCACGGACTACCACCATACGACGCGTACTATCGGCCGTATCGCTTTCCACCTCGTCGAACAGCTTTGCGAGTGCTCGCTCGTTGCCATCAAATAACCGAAACCTTCGACATCCATAGCACCATCTCGTGTACCACTGCCAACGTTCATCCGCATAAGCCTCGTAGACGATCAGGTGCGCTCTGACTGAACCGCACAAAGCATTCCGCACTGCACGATATGGTGTTCCGAGCACAGGACACCTCGTGACACGCTCACTGGACTTGTTGACATGTCTCCTGCCGTGCATGATACCCGCATCTCGATGTTATGGATTCTTGGAAACGTTCACGAGCTTCGAATGCTTTCCATTCGGATCATTGGCTCCCTCCTCCTGAGTTTGAGACACGGCACCGGCGATGTCGGTTTTCAACACGGGATGCACGCCCACGGCAGCGTCTTTCGCTTTTTCATGTGCTTTGAAAGGTTAAATGCGAGTCCCTGTGTTTGACTCAGGCCTAGTTTTCACAAAGTGCGTACAAATATAGATGCCGTCGTTCTCCATCATCCCTATAAACAACAAAACTTGAACGGGAACTTCCGATGTTCCTCGTAAAGCTGCTCATAAATATCATACTTGCTCGCAGAGCCAGGCTTCTTCTTCTCCGTCTCCTTTACTGGACGCAGTTGCCTGGATGGAATCGCTATCATCCTTATGCAATTTCCTTGAGATTCAGACGCAATTAAAGATCCGTAGCACTGAAACTGGCCTTTTTCATCGATGTATACCACATTCCCCAGGTAAATCGTCTTGGACACCTCCGTCGCGACTAGGCGCGCGGACCGAGGCATGTACTTCCACTCCCCCCAGCGGTTGATCACTGAAGCGATCGACCAGCACGAAGATGTTGAACCCCGAGAATGACGTGTCGAAGAACAGAGTCACGGATGCGAACGGCTTGTCGACTGATCCCGGAGCCGAAACAAAAGCGACGTTCTACCACAGAGGAGACGCATTGAACTCTGTGCATTCGGGCGCTGAAGCAGGCACTGTGAGCAACACTCCGCCAACCGCAGCTGCGTATGCCTGCACCGTATGGAGTGATGGAGCACGACCTTGTCAATGACTTGGACAGAGGCATGCGGATTAGGGACGCCACGAAATGTCCTCCGATGAAGAATCAGGTATTGGATGACCCTGGCTGCACCACGATTCGTAGGCGAACACATGGCAGCATCGCTGCCGAGGCTGATGTTGTCAGCATGCCCGCTAGTTTCTTTTCTACGAACAGCGGTGTCCACTCTTTGGGTACGCATGTTTTGGTCTATTACTTCTTCCGAATACAGTTGCATCGAGTGCCGCGAAATTATTATCTATTATACGAAGCGTTCGCGTTTCTCTACTCCATGGAGAGAGAGAGCTCTGCATAGCACGACGCTCTCCAGATATCATTGAGTTTTTGTCATTGTCCAGCAGTGTCGTGCTATCATCGTTCTTATCAACAAGACGGAATCCTCGTATTCTGTGCAGTCTTCGGTGGCACTTGATCGATACCTTCGAAAGAATCGACGAGCAGATAACCACGTAGACCAAGTCTGATTAGCTCTGTCTTGGGTACACAACATGCAGAACGTCGACGACAAGAGGGGTTCTTCAGCCACCTGCTCACCATAGAATGACTGACTCGTGCGCGCAAACCCGTTTTTACACAAGCCAGCAATGACGGCTTCAAGGCTTTTTCGCAAGCGTTCGCCAGTCGACAAGAGGCATTCGCTTTGTTGATCACCATCGAGAGTAAAACACAAACGAAAATTCTTGAGCGCCGCGCTGATACAGGTCGTTCTGAATGCACTACGCTGCATCCAAAGGCATCTTTTCGGATGGATTCGAGTACCCTGGAAATGATCGACATTCCCCCAAGTCCAGATGCATTGGATCCATGCATTCGCTGAATCGGTATTTCTTGAGATGCCCGCTCGCCAAGTCCATACTTGTGCAAAGAACGAGCACATGCTCTCTGTGCATAAACATATTGACTTTTATTTCCTCTGTACAAACGTTTCATCCATCGTTCACAAAAGGTAGTAAACGAACAATGCTCCCAATTCCGCTTGGTATGCAGCTCGCACCAGCCGCTCATAAGATTGCACCACACGAATGCATCCGATATGAATCGCAGGAAAGGTGAGATTTCATGTTTGGTCGCTTTCCGCTCCGAATCGTGCTGAACCTCGTCTGCAGTGTGCTGTTCCAGTCACCGGAATCCGATCGTGCCCATCCTCAACGACCAAAATCGTTTCCATTTCGTGTTTCCGGAGTCTGCGCCACTGCTTCGCATGCATCCAGCCTCAGGTGTCCATTGCGTCCGACCTCAACGATCGTAAGCATTTCCCTCGTTCCTTTCGAGCACTGTCGCTCCGGTATGCAAACACGAAACCGTCCCAGCTGACATTGTCAACCGCTCTAGACGCTGCGTCATCCACCGAGCTTGCCAATGGGCCAGGAGCGGCTCCCGTTCCGCTTGGCGTTGTATCAGCAGCGCTAACTGCGCCGCTAGCGACATCCTCGTGTCGGCAACTACATAGAGCGCTTCAAACGCACAGAGCAAACAGTCCAGTGCAGCTCGTGTCCACTGTAAACGCCCTCGCAGCACCACAGCCTCCTGGATGCGCTCCAAGCATGCATGAATGACTGCTTCCGCGAGCGACGGAACCCAAGCGTTTCGCCTACATCCACAAGCTATGGCCGTTTTCGAGTCTGCACCAGAGGGTACACCGCCAGCTGCGAAAGCAATCACGGTACAGAGCAACTCCAGGCCGCCAGTGGAGTCCCAAAAGTCCACCCAGGCTCGCTCGTGGTGCCATAGCCAACTCCATAGCGCCCAGTACGCGTCGAGCATGTCAACACAACCGTGTCGGAGCGCTTGCCAACAACCAAACAGCAGGATTCTATGGTGAAAGAGCCAACGCCAGTACCCTGGTCGCTGTGCGAGGACGCGAAGCGCCCAAGTGCGTACTCCTGGGGCATACGGATGAAAAAGTGCACGCCAGATACACGCCTCGCTGCAGGATTGCTCGGGACAGGGCCTCCGCCACGGACTTTGGCCCCGACACCAGCGCCTTTGGAAAAGACGTACACACCACCTTTGGCTATATACTGCGGCTAGATAGTCGGCGGTGCTGTTGAACAGCGTAGCAGGAATAACAATACGCTGCTGCATGCCGCCCAGCATCGTCGTAGCGCTGGTCGCTTCTGCGCCCTGCAGCAAGCGATCTGCACCAAACGCTCCCGAGCATGCAAACGACTGCGTCAGGAGGTGCAGATACGCTTGTCCGAGATCACATTGGAACTCGCAGCGCGAACGAGCATCCTCACCATGCTCATTTCGAGGTCCAGATTCGGAAGCGACGAGTGCCTCCTCCAAGATGCGCAACCAAGCGTCGCGAGCCGGCTGCGGCAATGAGCCCAGCGTCACTGGCAGCTGTTGCGTTGCTCTCTCGCCATCGATGAAACCGCCACTACTGAACAGCACCAACAAGGCACGGTGCAGAGGCTCGAACACTTGGCTCCACTGGTCAGTCGATGCGGATTCAGCACGCCCAACTGCTTCAGCGAACATCGTCCAAAGGCGAGGAAGCCGCCGTTGCGCACATCGCGCACACGCAACCGGTAAAAGCGCCTCAGTGGGGGCGTGTAGGCACCACGCGACGAGCGCTGTTCGACGTTCTCGAGCACCGATCCATGCAGCAGCAGCAGCAGCAGCAGCAGCTTTCGGTTCATGCGTTTCCGCGCTGACTGCCGGTGCGCTAGCATTTCCCCCTGGTGCAGTTTCCGTTCCGCCTCCGCTTCCGGTGTTGCTGATGCTGCTGCTGCTTGTACCGGTTGTGTGCCGGAAGCGCCAATGCATGAGCGCTTCCAACAACGTCCCTTCCTGATCAACGTCGCTCGTCTCGACTTGAATATCACAACGCATGAGACGCGAGTTGCCACATTCACGACACAGCAAGGCATCAAGTCGCCCGTAATCAATGAAGCGACACGCTCGACACTGATAGACGTTCTCTCGACAAGCTGGACAGACGCCGCCCCGTTCACTCACCAGGCGAGCACATCGCGGACAAATTTGCGTTTCGGGTACACAACAACGGCCAGTCTGACGCGTCAAGCCGAGTGCAAGTCCAGTTGCGAGGGCGTTATCAGCACCCAACAGCGGTTCCGGCCATTCATCCAGAAAGCAGAGCACACCAAGCAGCGCCCCATCCTGGCGGTAGACTAGTTCACAGAGGCATCGCCAGTTCGCTGGAGCACGCGTTGCACTTGCTCCAGGAACTTCGGCAGCATCCAGCGCGGTACCTAGAGAGCGCACCAATACACGAAACCCGAGTATCGTGGCCAAGCTTCGACGAGTGTGACGCAAGCGCACACCCAAACAGTGCAGTCGTTTCGGGCTCGTCCATGTCGCCTGAATACGATCGTCATCAAAGCGTACGCAAGTCGCCAGAGTCGATAGAGGTTGGCGCTTGACGAACGTTCCAGCGACTGCTGCTGCCGACGAAGCACCGCCCAGGCAAGTGCTTCCGCTAAGCTGTGCAGTCTGCAACGATGCACTGCTCCTAGCGCCATGCACTCCGGCCGCCTGGAGCGTCAGGCCCGCACCTTGCGCCTCGTGGAAACAGTCCACACACACCGGCGATGCCAGTAACCAAGAAAGCGGCCAAGAGACTTGCTCCTGGTTGTTGGATGGTGTTGCGCCTGCCTCGCGCCCACAGCTGCGTTCAGTGACCGCGGTCGTGGACCCCGGGAATGTCGCCTGCATCAGGAAGCGTTCGAGTCCAACCAGTTCCGCTGTGATATGCAAGTGTGCAGCAAGGAGCGTGACCCAGTCTGCGAGTGTAGGTAGCGCTTTGCAGAGCGCTCGGGGTCGATAGAGCGCCACGTACTTTCGCAAAAGCACCAGCAACATCGATGCCTCGGAAGCGTCGCATACACCAGCGCATGCTGGTGACTGCTGCCCTGTTGCTGCCCAGGCCCCAGGGTCTGGAGCATCCATCAAGTCGCACAGCAATCGTTCCAGAACAATCACCAAAGCGTCTTGGGCCCAGTGCCGGAGTTCTGGCTCCACCAGGAGGAGGCGCAAAAGTTGCCAGGCCCAAGTCAAACGCAGGGAAAGCGATATCTGTTGCCAGTGCGCTAGCTCGCTCCCCAATGTGAGCAGCGATTGCAACAAAAGACCCGCTGAATAGCGATCATCGTGCTTCAATGCAGTGACTAGTGTCGGTAAAAGCGTGGCTAGTCCCAGGTCCGTGCACAACTCACGTTCCCGTACAGCGCTTATCCAGAGCACAGCCTGTTGTACCCGCTGCTGCCGTTGCCACCGGTTCCAGTACGTGGACGTTTTTCGTTGTGTTTGGCCAGCAGGGTCGCAGCAGGCGTCGCATAGCGCAGATGCTCCATTGTCCACTGTGGATAACGCTGCTAGAGTCTGGCGAACGGCGACGAGCTGGAACGCCGCGGATACGACATCTCGCGAGGGTATGAGCACCTCCACGAGGTCTGTTAAGGCAGCTGGAGGCTGTTCCAGGTATCCGAAACACAAACCAGCACCGTACCAGTCCCAGAGCGCTAACTCTACCGACTCGATGAGCGTTCGCGTGGCAGCAACGTTCCAGCCCGGCTCATTGCCCGAGTTGCTGGCTTCCACAAGGCTATCGGGGCTGCAAGCTGAGGCAACACCGGCCTCGCAGGGCCTCATTCTAGCCGTTGCTGGATCGGTAGCAGTAAACGTAGAGGCAGGAGATACGGTAGTCGCATCATCATCACCATCATCAACAACAGTAGAAGTACGCATACGAGCAGTAGTGGTGTCACGACTGCAAGTACTAGAAGTAGCAGCAGCAGCAGCAGCAGCAGCAATGCAGGTCGTCGTAGCGTCAGCCGAACCAGAAAGATCATTCCCATTACCAACCGTAAACCAGAGACAACTCGCAGCAAGTACCAGAAAAAAGTACGCTCGCAACCAGGCAGTACAGTCTGACCAATGATCAGGTACCCATTGCTGTTGAAAACACCTGATCCATACAGAGAGCGCTATATCGTGGTGTGTCTCTCGGCGTTGTGAACATTCGCGCTGCCGTCCAGCCGCAAGTGCCTCGAATGTTGCTCCAGGTCCAGTTGCAGTTTCGAACAATGACATCGAGTCCATCATGTGCGGTGCTACGGTGTTTGATACTATCCAGAAAACTTCCAAAGTCGACCAGGAATCCATAGCTCGCGTCGACGATTCTACAACAGCCTCTTCATCGCTGAGTAAGGCAGCGAAATGCTCGGCAGTGCGCAGCGCTTCGTCCATGTGAGAAGCGGACGTAACGACGTTGTTGATGAGGCGCAACAACGACCACCAGTGATTCTGGTCAGAGACACATAGGAGGCTCGCTCGCAAGATGAGGCGTAGCCGTTCAGGAGGCAGCCGTCGCCAGGGCAGGGCACAGCGCCCGTGTAAAGCACTCGGGGCCGCTTGCATCCGCGCTCGACACTCCGTCTGCTCAGAGGAGTGCAGTGCACAGTGATGAGAGCAGGCCCTAAGCCAAGTGTCCAAGTAGTCGAACGCAGAAGGATGCGTTGCATCGACGCCGATCAACTTGTCGACATCCGTGAGCCAGACTTGCAAGAATCTCGTAAGCACATTCGGTGCTGCTTCCGTAATAAATGGTTCAAATAACCACGAGAAAACTGCGGAGAAATCGAGTTCCGACGAGGAACCTTCGTTCGCATGCCGACTTGGACGCTGTTGCCAGCACCGGCTCGACGAGCACCAGGCGTCTCCGAGTCGTTTCGCCGCCACGAGGAAACCTGTCCAGAGGTTCCGTTCTGTAAACGTTGGTCGATCCCGTTGCGATGATTCATCTTCTTCATTTGGCGCGGACGCAGAACCAGCACCCTCGGTGTCAAAGGCGCTCAGCCAAGCTGCCGCAGTCTCTGCGTACACACGGGCCAAGTCTATCGATAAGACAAGCGTCTCCTGTGAAGAGCAGACGCTGGCCGCATCTATCGATAAAGGATGCCCTTGATCCGAACGAGTTGTCGAATGTGCTGCGGTGGTGGCAGTGGTGGTGGTGGTGGTGGTAGTCCATGAAGCGCACGCTTCGTAGAGCCATTCTAGTCCCTGGATAGCCCAGAGGAGTGCCTCTCGTCCCTGGTGTTGATCGCTGCACGTGTCGAGACTGTCAACCGTCCAGCATACCAAGTCCCTCGTCCAAGCTGCTGGTACTTGATCCTGATCCGCTGACCAGCAGCCGAAGCATTTCCGGGCTTGTTGCTGTAGGAGAAGCGTGTTCTCCGTATCATCTAGACGTAGAAAGCGTCTGGCTTGATGCGTCTCCGCATGCAAGAGTTGCTCGAGCGCAGCGTGTTCATCGCCAGTCTCCTGAAGCGACTGCGCAAACATCAGACGCTTTTGCCAACAATACTTCCTAGTGCTGAGAAGTTTCCATAACGCACGCCACGTTCCGAACCAGTGGCGATCAAGGTAGCCGCTTGGATGCTTCATTTGTGGCGAGTTGGCGTCCTCTGCTGCATCGCTAGCACCAGGAAAGCTCTTCAGGCGATGTTGCAGTGAACCATCGACTAGTTGGAGCCCGGTCGTCGCATTATCCCCCGTGATCGCCAAGATAGCGGCAAGCATCCAGCATGCTCGCCAGACAATTCGTCCAGCGGCAGTGTCCTCGATGTTATCCGCGGAAGCGATATCTTGGACTGCTGCCGAATGTGCAGCTTCCGTTGAGCGAAGCTTATCGCGTTCACACAAAGCGATGTGCTGTGCTGGCAGTAGAGGCGTTCCCGAAGATACTGCGGCGGAAGAGGATGCCACCTCTGCGCTAGAAGCGTTGATTTCCATTCGTGAGCGTTCAGAACGCTGCTCCACGGTGGTGGCTATTCCGTCGTCTGCTGCTGGCAATGCATTTCCGACCGGTATTCCCGATGATACAGCAGTACCGGACACGGACAATGCTGGAGCCAGTCTATCCTGAGCGTGTAAGGCCTTTCCAATTTCATCCTTATCTGCTAACCGCGGACAGGTTGACGACAATGCCGTTCCTGGCCTAGTCGTAGCCTGCGACTGGAGCGCGGAAACCTCTCCCTTCCTAGCTTCCGCACGAGGCCGTGTGTTCCCAGCGGAATCGAGCTGTCTCAGGAGTTTTCGCCTCCATTCGAGGAAGCCCAGCAGGTTAGGCCAGCGGCTGTCGCAAAGTCGCACTCCGTACACCTCTATGGTGCCGAGCACCAACCAAGCGGACGCCTCTGCAGCGTCCATTGCTGGTGCCCGTATCGTCAGTACAACTTGTCGATTGCAGGGATTGCGCCGCAGGACCACAGGATCATCCCAGCAGTATTCCATCCAGCGCCAAGTGCCCTGCTCAGGAGGCACCGGATTCACCCAGGGATCAGGAAGCAACTCCAGTGACAAGCGCGAAGTCCAGGGTGCAGACGTTCCCCGCTCTGGAACGGTTGCTGGTTCATGGTCGCCCTGGACGAGGAGCTCGACCAGCTGCGGCTCCAGCTGCGTTGGTGTCGCAACACCCTGCACACCGGAACGGTTAGGTTGCAACCACGCCATTCGTATACCCAGAAGAGCCCAGCTAGCATCATTATCACCGACATTGGACACATGAAACACCAGTTGATGATGTTGGCCTTGCTCTTGGCCGAGAAGCGCATCCGCCGCCAGAGGCAGCGGAGTATCCTCACATCGCTGGGGCATCTGCAGCAGGCCTGCGGTGCGCTTCTCCCTAGCCGCACCAGAGCTGGACGTCGAGTGCACTCGGTACGCTAGCACCGTGAGTCGCGTCCCAGGGGCGTCATCTTCGCGACGGAAAGGTCTCTGCTCCGCCGAGGACCGGTACGTGAATGCTCGTATCGGTGCGCTGAGCAGCTCCATCGAGTCGCTGGGCCACTGCTCCAACCATGACTGTGTCTCGGTCATCGAACGCAGGCCAAGTTGCCACATATCACCGGTCCAGGCGAGCATCCCGGAAGGTACCCGGTCGAGGAGCTCAAAAAAGCCCACCAGACCGCCGTTGCTGTTCCGCTGATCAGCAAGGAGCAGCGCTGAAGGCACCGAGTTGCCTTGCGGTCGCCCTAGCCATGGCGATACCGACCGCGAACAGGTCATCTGATATGCAACGCTCGTCGCACAGTGTATCCACGGGTAACGCACTTGCAAAACAGGATTTCCGCGAACGCCTCGATGATCTTCAACAGGAGTTTCAGGAAGAGAAGCAACATCAGGAGGTGTAGCTTCATCCTCATCGTCAGCAGCAGCAACGCCGTCCTCTGGGCTAGCTGGTAGCCACACGGCCTCCGCTGTCGAATGATTCCAGTACAGATGCGCAAAGCGAGCAGCTGCTGTGCTCAAGTCTCGCTCGTGAGGCTGTGACAGACGCACGTCGCCTGAACAGGAGTACCTGACGCCCTCTGGATGTTTCTGTTGCTTCCAAGAATCTACTGCAGACACAGGCTGCCGATCAGGTCGCTCTGAACCTTCCAGAGCGTTCCAGGATATCTGCACGTCGCATGAGAGACGCGTCTGCGTACCCAGAACGGTGCCGTCCTCAAGAAGCATGATCACATCGATGAGAAACGCTGACGCTGATTCGCACGCTGTGGCTTCGAGTTGCGCCCAGCCTGTAGCCTGGATTAGTCGCTGCTGCCTGCAACGCTCGGGAATAGGTCGATCCATTCGACGAGCTCTTTCTGGTAGCAAAGCATCCTGAGTACCGGCATCGAGACTGCAGAGTATCGCCAGCTGTTCTCGCGAGTCTGCTTGTGTCGCCATGGAGGTGTTCTGCGCTGCTGTTTCCGCGCCTGAGTTCGCTCCAGCTTGTCGAACTCGCACATCCGACACAGACGAATATGGTGCGCCTTGTCGAGTCGCCATCCAGCAGCGCTTTTCTCTCTGCCACCAAAGCAGATAAAGCGTTCGTGCGGATCGCAACAGCATCAGTGAGCACGACGACGAGGTGCAGCAACACCCATGCGGGCATCGGACGGGAACTCGTTGGACATCCTCGAGAGCTTCGCGCTCAGCGACAATCGCCTTTCCCTCGAAAAGGCATCCAGAATTCACAGATGTCAGTTCGAGTTGCGGCATGAACGGCAGGAGGCGCTCACTGGAAAGCGAGCGATGCCCATTTCGAATAGAACGCGAGCCGATGTCCGGCTCTGGTGCAGCATCGAGACCAGGTTCACGACACCAGGTTAGCTTCCATCGACTCCAGTGACCGTTCGACCAGTAGAGCATGAGTTCCTGCTGTGCTGCCTCATAGAAGAGGCCCAAGACGCGTGCTGGTGTCGATGTTGATGTTGCGCTCGGTGAAGACGGTTTCTCCTCAGGAGCGTTTGCCAGTGTATGCATGCAAGGTGTTGTATCGAACAGCGGGAGTTCCAGCGAGGCCACCTGCCGCAGGCCGGATGTCTCAATATCGACGGAAGAGGCGGCACGCGCTTCAGCAACATACTCGTAAACCACGAGGTGTTGATTTGATAGTACAAGGAACAACAGAAGACGACCAGGAGGTGACCGGTTCCGGTCTGAAGCGTCGAAGAACACTCGACCGTACGTCCAGGCAGTCACTGGGCCCGCCAGAGTCGCTTCTGTGACCTCACTGTGCCAGATATCCCGAGCTGTAGTTGCGCTGCTCGCGACAAAACCTTCCGCTACTCCATCTCGTGCGTTGCTAAACATGAGACGGAAACGTTTCCGCTCCCGCATGTGCCACGGGTCATGTTCTGGTGCAGCGTCAGGTAACCAGCGAAGAATTTGGGATTCACTACCTGTCGTCTGTTCTAGAAGTAAACGAGCATTCTCCGCTGCTGCCTCTGTACATGGAGCCGGCCGCAGCGTGCACGGCTGTCTTGCAGCGAGCGCTTCATCCATATCGGCAAACGAGAGCCAGAGAAACGGCTCCTCGTCATTGGACACGGTGCCAGAGGGCGCTTCAGAGACAGTCAGGCACGTTTCCGTGCCGTCTGGACCCGCTGGCCTCGACGTCGTATCCGCTGCTGATGCTGCAGCTTCCCCGTGTGCCTCACGAATCCATCGGCAGAACCAACACCAACAGGCGTACTCGATAGATAGCACCTCAAGGCTTGAGCGCGAGCGTCCCAGACAAAGCAACCAGTCTATAGCATAGGCATCCAGCCAGGATGCCTCTTGGATGGGCTCCCCTGTTTCGAGGCATTGGCGCTCTAGAAGCAGATACAACCTGCCTGGATGCTGTGATGATGTGGTATCTGTGCTGGTTGCTCGGCGAGCACCGAATTGTGACGCTTCAGCCGGCGCTGCGAACGTCATCGTGCCAGTGGACGAGCGTTCAGGCTGCTCGAGCGACAGCGTCGCAGGCGTGGTCTTCGGTACAGTTGCCACTTCCGCAGCGCCATACGCTGTACCGCCCTCCGCACTCGCTGCTCCTGGGCCAGGCACTGGTCGGAGCAGCAGACGCAAACAGCGTTTTGCGTGAACCTGGTGATACTCACGCCACCGTTGCAGCACCCGTTGAGCCCGATGTGCTCGAATCGTCGATCGTCTCGCTGGTGCTTGCATCCTGCTGCGGGTGTTAGACGGATACTCGGCTAGCTGGTCGCTTACAACGGCATCAGCAGAAACGCCAACAGCGTTCACAAGTGTGGCAGTGTTCGCAGAAGGACCAGCAGGAGCAGGTCGTGAGCCTGATGCACCAACAAGCGCTTCCGCAGAATGAACAACAGTTGTTCCATCACCAGCCGCAGCCGCATCAGTGGTACCCCATGACGCTGTGAACGACTGCCCAGACGTTGGGAGCGTCACCGATCGAACTTTATCGGGTTCCACCACCGGATGTGCCGCAGCTGCAACAGGACGACTTGGTGACTCGCTAGCGCAGCTTTGGGCGTGCAAAGACCCATCGACATCCGCGACTGTCGAGCCAACGCAGTACAGCCGTAGCGTTGACGTTTCTCGATTGAGCGCAAGGAGACGCTGCAGACTTCCCCGTCGCGGGCAGCTGGGTGCAAATCCCAGTTCACCTGCGCAGAAGCCCAGAGGGCGTCGTATCCAGCGCCGAGCATCCAGTGCTGTTGGACGAGTGGATCTCACTGTGCCTGTACAAGCACAACCAGCAAGTGGAGCTCTCTCGAGCGGTTCCGAACTCGGGTGCACTGGCACCGATGCTGAACTCCTGCGAATATCCGCTTCATCGGATAGAAATGCAACGTGATGCTCGGAAGCCGCTAACGTCACGAGAAAGAGTCCATCGACGAAGGCGAGTACCGGCTCATGGTGCCAATGCAGCTCGCGTGGGTTCCTGGCCTCCTGCTTTCCGCAGGGAAGCAGTTGCCAAAACACCCCCATGCCCAGCGTCGACTGTCCCTGGTTCGTGTCCACGTGGCGCACACGCGTGAGGACTTGGACGGCTTCCGGTTTCCAGGTCGCTCGCTGAATGTAAGTGCCGGCTCCGCGTACTTGGCATGTGTCCTGTTGAATTTCCCGTACATCTCGAGCGTTGCAGGTCGCAGTGCGGGGCGACTCATCTCCAGCAGCAGCTGCTCTGTGCAGCGCTGGAAGGAACGCTTTCCGCGGAGCTTGCTCTGTGCCGGGCATTTGCACAACGCTCTGCGACTGAGCATTTGTCTCTAGGGGTATTTCCCCTGGTGTCGGTGATTGTAGAAAACGAAACAAAACGCTGTCGCGAAGCCACTCGAATGTTGATTGTAAATGTTCTGTAATCGCCTTCGCAAGAAGGACGCCTGCCGGAGCAGTTTCTCCGCTACCCGAAGCGTCGCGGACAGGGCAGCGGTCGCTCGATCCATGAAGCTGGGCAATTTCCATGAAAACGTGGTAGAAGCAGGCCTTGGTGGAGTCGAGCTCCACCAACGGGCTCACGGAGGGCGGCCTCATCCACAGCAAGTGTTCGTCACGGAGTTCGGGCGCCTTGGCGGGACGTCGTTCAGCACCTCTGGGCGTCTCCGTTGATGTATGCAGGGCTTCGCTAGAGCTCGTCGTCGAAGATGTCTCTTCGCTCCTGACCAGCGTACATAAGAGACACTTTGTCCGGGGTGTCGTAGCAGCAGCATTGGCGCCACAGTCACAGAAAAAGCCGCTGAAACGAACATACGAAACCTCGTGTCCGGCATGGCATATGAGTGCACAGCTCGTGCAGACGCCCTCATCCTCCCGAAAGGCACAAGTGCTACAGCGATACCAATGCTGGTCACGAAACGAGCGTCCAGTCAGAAGGAAAGTACATTGATGAGGAGTCCAGGATGAGGCTTGCAGGGCGCTGCAGCCTCTGCAATTCCAGTGCTGGTCCCGGATAGTAGCGCAAGGCTGAGTAAAACTACAGTGAAGAGGATTCCAGACTGAGCATTGAGCAGAGGCAGAGTCTCTGATTTGTAGCAGACTGGATGGGGATGTGTCGAGCGTCCATGCTGTTGCCGCAGCATGATTGGAAAGGTCAGCGATCCACCAGGTAGCAGTGCAGAGTGCATCCAACCAGTAGCTCTGTAAGAAGGAAGCGGTCGTTCTCAAAGCTGCAGACGAGGCCTTTTGTCGTTCCAAGGCTTCATAGACGGCACGGCCTTGCTGCCAGAGCTCACAGAGAAACGGCCCCCGCCAGTGTTCACGCTCTCCGAGGATACTCAGGCAAACGAAGAGGCCAAGCACAGTCAGCCCTATTCGGACTAGGGCTATCAGCGAATCCACCTCGTCAGCAGTTGACAGGGTAGTATCAGCCGATAAGCGACTCGCAGCAGCGAGGCGATTGCACCAATGTTGCTGACGCTGGCGAAGAGCCTGCTGGGCAGCTGTAACCAAGGAAGGCGAAGGAAACTGAGCCCCAGGTTCCTTCAGGAGCTCAGCAGCACCCACACAGAAGAACCAAAGTCGCTGTCTCGCCCGATCAATCTCGGTTCGCTGCTGCTCAGCTCCGGCTGCGGTAACGTCTCTGGACTGTGCTTCGACCTTTAACGCAAACTCGAGCGAGTTCTTGACGAAGACCGCACGTTCCTCAGCGGACGCTAGCAAAGGAGTGCTCCCAACCGCATCCGCATATGCTGCTCTGAAACAAGCCGCGACTTGGTCCATGTTTGGCACTTTATGAACAAGAAGAAGAAGAAGAAGCCCGGCATCGAGGGGAACATTGCTTCGGAGATTGCGTCGTCCTGAGTACGAAATCCCAGCAGAGCCATTCAGCATAGACGAAAAGCGGGCGTTCGTTCTGGCCGACACCAGCGAAGCGCCAGCTATTCGAAGTAATGATCTGTATACGAGTCACTTCACCAGCGCTTTGTTGACGGTGAGGGTACACCTAGTTGCTGTGTAGGTAGAATCTGCAGGTCTGAGCTTGGTGGCAGCGTTTGAAGCTATGGAGTCGCTCAAAGAGCGCTTTGTTGACGGTGAGGGCACACCTAGTTGCTGTGTAGGTAGAATCTGCAGGTCTGAGCTTGGTGGCAGCGTTTGAAGCTATGGAGTCGCTCAAAGAGCGCTTTTTTGACGGTATTCGTGGAACTTGTCTCTTACAGGGTAGAAACTGCAGATCCTTTCCTACTTCCAGCGCTTTAGGGTACAGCATAGCTCCTGTCAAAAAGTTCAGGATCCAGTATACTATAGGGGCGACCCTAATCTATTGCGTATCTACGTCTGCATCGATAGGGCAGTGAAGCTCACCGCGATAAATGCCCTGGACAGCGTGCTTCTTGATCGCCTGTGCAGCTGAAATACTGTGTATCGAACAAGCAAAATACTTTAAAAGAGAGCTGTGGATGCAGTCAGCACGTTTCTACGAACTGATACCTATATGCTGTAATCCACAGAAGCTCTACAACAAGCATCCGCATGTGATGCATGGACCTCATTCGCAGGGCGCGCGCTCTTGCAAAACCCCGTGGCATTCGCTCGTCCACCAAGTTTCTCGACTCAGTCCAGAGCATGATCCAGCTCGCTATCCGTGTCGCTCGAACTGGAAAATCCTTCACTGGGCAAACCTCCAGGCGTTGCTCTTCTGTTGGTAAGCGTGCTGCGTCGCTCCCCAAAACGTTGATGAAGCAGCGCTTGCCGCTCTGTGAGCAGCTCTCGATTATATGCGCTAGCTGCTAGCACGGCGCTAGCATACGCACTGCCATACTTGTCTCGAAGTTGTGTTTCCGTGCGGGCCAGGATCACCAGGTTATCCGAGTCGTGATGGAACAGCGCATCCATCCGAGCCCAGTTTCGTTTCTCGATCAGCTCCAGGGGATGTTGCGTCTCCACTTTCCAAGCAGAGTCCAGAACCCGCAAGCAAGGATCCGTATTCTCACTGAATGGCCAGAAACGATCGCCCGGTTCGGGGAATTCTCCAACGAGTTCAAGCTGCTTCGCTTGCCACTGTACGAGCTGTGCGAGCACCTCCTCTTCTTCGGAGCTCGCATCTGCGCCCTCGAGATCATCGAGTTCAAAACCGTAGCCCTGGCGGCGGACACGCTCGCGCGCCTCCTCCGAGAACGCTCCGTCGACTGCATTCGAGCCTAGCCAGCCGGTCGTTGTAGCGGAACGGCTTGGTCGAGAACGCCACAAGCCCACTCCAGCGTAGGCAGCATTGCCCGCAGCTGTCGTCAGCAGCGCTCCAGGTTGCGCTGCAGTGGCTACCGTGCTAGCCCCGTTGCCTCCCGCAAGCAGCACCTGATACGATGCAGTGCCCTCTGGTTGAAAACTGAGACTCCTGGCGGATCCTCGTGAGTAATTAAACGGTGTCTCCAGTGGCTGTGCGCTATCGATGTACGCTCGATAAGGTAGGATGGGAACGGGGACCGGTTTCAGACCGCGAATGATCTCGCGACAGAGTGTGAACCACAGCCTCGCCGTCGGTAACTCGGGAAAGTAGCAAAGTCCATGAGCGATGAGATCACAGGATCGTGTTCGTTTGAAGGGTCCATTCAGTACCCATCTCATCATCAAGACATTATCACGGAAGGCGTGCTGTGTGTTAAACGGGTCTGCAAAGCGCATTCGCCCAATCGGCTCCTCAGGTACTGCCCAGCGGAGATGAATCGAGAGGCGATGCTCTGGGCGCGGTTTGGTGATCACTTTGATCGTGTGCGGGTGGCCCGCTCCGCAGATGGTACGGACGTCTGAATACCAGCCCCAAACGTCGGTTCGGGTGTAGAAGTAGAGCACGCTGTCTCGTTCACAAAGGTGGAGGTTCGGTCGGGCTTCGATCCAGGGCAAGTCTTGAAGCAGCTGCGGAATCGCTTCTCGCAGCTCGTAATCTTGCGGCACTTTGGTGGTGTAGGGTTCCGCCTCACGAATGAAGCGCTGCAAGGCTTCACCGGACATCGGTTCAAAGAGCTTCTGACGCTCTTTGACGGTCTCGGCTGTAACGTCAGCAAGAATTTGTGAGAAAATTCTCGATGCTCGTTGATCACGTGCGCGACGCTTCCAGCGCTTTTGTCGTCGTTCGAGTTCCCATTTCCATTCAGCTTCCTCGCGCTCAAGTCCTTCTCCTCGGAGCGAAGCTTCCGAGTCTCGATCGCTACTCTGGTCACTCCGATGGGCCGCGCTTGTCTCTGAATGGTTGCGGCTGTTGCTGCTCGTTTCGGGAACGTTCGCAGAGTCCTCCGTCTGCGCCGACGACACCCGAGCGCCTGTTGATCTAGGGTGTCTCCCAAGCGTTTCCACCATGGTCAATTGGCGGTCATTCGACTGCATTTGTCGCTGCGTGTTGTACCGCGACGTGGACCTGCTTTCCGCCAAATTCGAGCTCTGGTAACCATGCGGCGGCGCAGTCGCTTTTTGAACCTCCCAACCACGACCAGCATCAGCATCCTGGTGAACACCCCCGAGATGTTGCCGATGGTAGTTCCGAGTCTGTCCACGCTCGCCAGGCGACGATACTGTGATGTCGATGCCACCTGCCGGTACACCAGTGCGGAAAGCGGTCCGCCGGCGACGAGACTCCGGCGCAGACTCGACCAACGAGCGAGGCGGTCGACCTCGCTTGCGCTTCGTTTCGCCCAGTCCATACAGCGCCGCATTCCGTTGTGTTCTGGATGTACCTCGGGAAGCGGAACTGGTGTCGTCTGCGGCATCCGCGGCATACTGCGGTGCCCCACTCTGAAAAGGTCGCTGTCCAGAAGGCGGCGCGATGCGCTCAGTGTGTCGCCAGCTACCGCGCGGGCTGAACTCAAAGGTCCCATCTGCACCGCGTGTTGGAGTCTGCAGCTCCGAAGCGCCCTGAGCAGCGCTCGCACCGCGTCGGTGCTTCTGCGACGACTCGGGAGACGCAAATCCGCCCCCCAACTCCTCTGCCGCAGCTGCACGCGCTTCCCGTTTGGCTTCCTCGTAAGCCTGGTATGTAGGACCTTCAGCGTGTTTTGGACACCATAGTTCTAGGTCAGGAAGGATGAGATCCACGTCGCACGCCGGATCGTACGCACACACCAGGTGGTAGCTCGCGGAACACCGAGGCTCCCAGCAACCGATGGAAGCCCCTTTTTCACCACAGTGTCGGCACTTGATGCGACTCGCCCGCGCGACCGCCTTATCCACGTTCACCAGTTGACCCCGTTCACCAGCACAAACTTCTGGACACCAAATGATGCAGTTTCGGTGTGCAGTAGCCCGGTGCGCAGCCCGACGCGTCCCTACAGCGGGACCCTGGAGAGGACCCACCACTTCTGCTGGAATCGTGCCCGCCTCTTGCCTTGATTGCGGGCACAGAGGACATACTATCTTTGACTCTAGTTGCTTTGAGCTCATAGAGTCGCGCCAAGCTAACGAGAAGGCTCGCGGTGGGGCAACGTCGCAAGTGCTCCGCACCCTGCGCCGTCGAAGCGCCAAGTGCGCCTATGCTGCAGCGCAGCAGCAGGCAGCGAAGGCCTTCAGACCTGTGGCTTGCGTCCGAGTTTGTTGAACGCTAACGCTGTCGAAAAGTAAAGGTTGGTTCCGTTTCTGAAGCGTACAGAGGTCCATAGACGGGCGAGCTACTAGATCAGTACGAATCCGTGCGTTTTCATCTGGTGAAAACGCACACGCTGGGCAGCGTAGCGGAGCAAGCTCCTGGGTGGTAGTCGTGCAGGTACTCGGGGCTCGGTGGCACGCTGCCTGCCTATGCAAGGAGCTGGAAGCGATCTCGACAGGCACCAGTGCGCTGGAGTAGGGTAGCACGATCAGGTAGTGCGTTTCTGGTGCGTCGACAGGGCTAACAGGCGGCCAACGGGCACTGTTTCCAAGTACTAGAGGGCAGAGCGTCTAAAGTGCGTCGACAGCACGTACACGCGGTAAAGGAGCGAAACTTCCAGGTACAAGAGAAACGCGCTGAAGTGTACGGGCACTCGTGGCGAACAGGCCAGGAGCAGAGCGTGCTTTAGAGTTTGCCTCTGGACCTACCTGGCTTGTGCGTTTTCAGAGCACATCGGCTACCAGTTAGATCAGCTCTGAAGCGTCTCGTTTGTAACGAAGCACTAGAAATAATTGTGAGCGGCTTGAGTGTGCGGAGCCAATGGGAAACAGCGGGCGTCTGGAGAGCGCCATGCAGAACATGAACCTGGGGTCTCCAATGCCCGAAGCTCCTCCAGAACCTACTCATAACCACACCGAGTTCATGCCGAGGAGGGCGCTCTCTTCCAGCATCCCGGAGCACGCTGATATAGAATCGAGTCGCGGGCTGGAAGCGGACCCGCAGTCACCACCACTTGCGCGGCCTCAGCGGTTCTATGGAGACGGCGGACTCGTTCCACGTTCATGCTTTCTTGACCTGCTTCGCGGTAGACTCCGTCCGAAAAGAGTGGCTCGAATGGAGCAGGTGCTGCTCCAACGATGTGAGCGGGTGACGCTGCTCCTGGAGAACCTCGCGGATCCGCACAATGGCGCAGCTATCCTGCGCACATGCGAGTGCTTTGGTATTCAATTCGTTCATGTTCTGGAATCCATTGAGAGCTTCCGCTGTCATAGTCACACGGTACCCGATGACTGCGGGTCAACGAGAGGCGTGAGCCGCTCATGTGACCAATGGTTGCGTATTCGTCGATTCCATCAGCTCAACGAATGCCTGGCAAGCTTGCGAGCGAATGGTTACAGCCTCATCGGCACGACGTTAGACACCACACGCTCAGTACCGATCGACAACGTCGATTTTACGTCCTTGAAGCGGATCTGTATTGTCTTGGGCAACGAGGAGCGCGGCCTGAGCAGTGCAATGCAGCGCCATTGTGAGCAACTCATTCACCTGCCTATGGTGGGTTTTTCCCAATCGCTCAATGTTAGCGTTGCAGCTGCTTGTATGCTCTATCACCTGCGGATGAAAGGATGCATCCAACCGGACTTGTCACCAGAGCAGCTGCAAGATCTCTATACTCGATGGCTTGTTCGGGCGAATCGTAATCTCCGGCCCGTTCTCGAGCGAAACGGTATCAAATATGACGAGATCTAGTTTCTTTGAGACAGAGCAGATGCGTTTACTTGGTTATCGAATTGCTGGTTTCTGGATGTTCGACACGGTTCTGACGCAGAGCTGTGTGTTTCTCTGACTCGCAGTAATGGACCCGATTGTTTTGGCCACTACCTGGTATTTCGAACGAATTCCGGTTCTGCTTTTCTGATCGAGGTTCGCAGCTGCGGACCTCAGTGCTGTGGACACTGTCTCATGTTCTCAGCGCCACGCTGTACGTCGCCTGCTCAGAGCAACAGAAAGGTACCCACGGAGGGAATCGCCCTCTGCTCTCCACAGATTCAGCGTCTTTAGGTGACTCGTCAAGCCAGGGGATCATTCGGTTAAGTTCACGTCTAGCTGCAAGGTGAGTCCTAAAGAAACGACTGCTCCCAGTGCAGGTCCTGGCTCGGATACGACGAAAACTTGCCTGTGCCTGGGCTGGAGTATGCACAACACTCTGGAGTCCGTCTATCTGCAACATAGAAGAGATCAGACGCACTCGATCGTGCATATACGCAGCCACCGGGTTGTTGTCATCGTGATCGAACGGTAGAAACATAGCAGAGGTACCAGCCTGGGCGATGGGAAGAAGATATGCAGCTCCGTGTACCATATTCCCAATGATAGAATAAATACATCGTTCCGACGCAGTCAATTCATGTTGGTGTGCGAAAAATGTCACTTGCTTTGATTGCTCACGGATTCGACCAGGATTTCCGTATGTTTTTCAGGATGAATTTGTGACTTTTGCCAAGCACCTGGCTCTACTGTTGGAGACGCGCACAGGTTTCCAGGTCCGGTCAGCCTTGCGGCTGCTTGTGCGCCGACAGGTGGCACTGAACGCGTACTTCAGTGGGATGCCCCCTGCCCAGCAGAGACCGTGTGCGTATCAGTAAAGAACCTGTGTTCGGTAGCCTTTGTGCAAAGCTACCGACAGCGCATTGGGCACCGTGGTCATTCCCTGGGACCTGCACGAGCGTCGCACCTGTGCCGTTTCCGGAGTTCAGACGTCTTGACCCCAGGATACGAGTATCGTAAGAGAGACGTTCTCGTTTGCATAAGGCGGCGTTATGGTCTATCGCTCAAGCGCAGCTTACTGTGTAACCTCATCGTTTGACTGGATGCTTTCGTATATGAAGGAGCCTGCAACCTGGGTCAGGGTAAGAGACGAGTCATCCACGGATAACTCGCTTTCGTCTCGTCAAGAGAGCTCTGGAGCTTTCAGATACTCTGGAGCTTCTCAAAAGAATGGTTAGCCATACCAGTCTCCTGTCTCTGTGGTGCTTGCATAGCGTTCGCTCCGTTAGGCGGCAACGTGCACTCGGTATCGGAATAGCGATATGCTGGTGCTGCGTCTTTTGTCGGAATAGAGTCTCTTCGCATATGGATGTCCATGAAGCTCATTGGTTCACGCTATACGTTCCGCTTTCCAGACGATAGACACGGGCTCATCTCTTTGATTCGTGGACATTTGCAGACACCAGTTTGTTATTTCTACATAGGCGAGGCACTCGAATCCACACTGCTGAGCGAGGATCGCTTCGATGCCGACTCTAAGCATGCTGGCAAGCGTGTCCAGCAAAACGTTATTGCCTTGGAACGTTTGAGAGGATTCGGTCTGAGAGCTCTCCATCTACAGTTGCGTGAACAACCAGAGGTCTAAAAAGAGACCACATCGACTTGCTCACGATGATAAATGCATGAGTCTTTAAGGAGTGTAACGATCCCACAGTTGCTCTAGAAACCGGTGCGTGTTACTGGATGACAGTCTGTCTGAGAAACGAGCACCTTCAAGCTCTGTTGGCGAGCACCCACCTTTTCCCGCTGTTTTCAAGCCGTTCTCCTCGACAGAGGGTCCCGGCACTTGCGCTTGCGTCAGCAGAAGCAAACGGATATCCTCAATGAACATTAGAAGGTTCTGGACTCCAAGGTTTAGCTCGTACACTGTGGTCCAGAGCTCTCCCTCATCAGACAGGTTCGTGATGCAAGTCGCCTGCCGTTGCGTGTCCGGCTCCAATGAAACTGCCTGATCAGCAGGCTCTATCACGAGCGCTGCCTTTTGTACCAGGGTGCTGTAGGCCTTTCCGATCTGGTCACAAAGCTCTTTCAGCTGTTTTAGTAATCGTTGTCGCAGCTCTGCCCCAGGCGGGAGCGAACGTCTCCGCTCCGCGAAACGCTGGCCTGTTACTGTTCCTGAACTGCTCGTGTTTGCCTCCATCGACTCCAATAAAAGGCTCTTCTTCTAGAAGAAAAGCCCGGGTGGTCACGTACTTGGCGATATGTTCAACACTAACACAGTCTTGAAAAAGCTTGTTGGACGCATCCACACGTTATCCACTCAAGTTGCCGCAACTGGTTAGAATAACAGAAATCGAGTAATTTGACCCGCAACGATAACGCTACAGCGTTTTCCACTAGAAAATAAGAACCCGAAACAAGGCGTTCTTCATGTCGACATGGGTATACGATGCAGGACCGTGAATCAGATGACATTGATGGACATGGGAAGCTCCTCTAAGGCCGCCAGCGGCGTGACCTTCGATACTTTCAGGAGCCTTGTCTATGCTCGAGGCCGTCGAGCGGGGCATACCAAGAAAAACGCGCTCCTTTAGCATCGGTGCTCTCGAGCGTCTCGAGTCGACGCCAGGTTTCCTAACCAGGACGCTTTAGGAAGCAGAGGTTCTGGAAACGCGCCCATGAATTATGAGACAGAACCAATAACGATACAGCCGTTGCTGGAACGATAGGTACAGATGCTTCCGCTGAATAGCACTTGCACCTCCATCCTGAGCATGTAGAGAGAAACGTCCGCAACGAGAATCCAGATCGTCAACAGTCTCAAGTGACCAGTAGAGCGCTTTTCATGCGTTCAAGAGTCAAGTTCTTGGTGTTTGGCCTCGATCATGCCCCGCTCAACGCTAAGACCTGAGGTTTGGCCCTCCCAAAACGGACTTGCCGTGCGAAAGCATACCATTTGAATAGGAGTGGTCCCTTCAGGTTCATCCGGCCTCGTCTGGGACAAGTGGTCGTCACAGCTTTTCCGTCGCCGCTGTCGCGAATCGATGCCTTGTCTCTTTCGGAAGAACAGACACCAGCGATTCAGAAACTTGTTTGTTCGTCTTTGGACAGAAGCAAAAATAGCTTTCTCGGGGGCGCACTCTTATCCCAAATGTTTTCGTCGGGTATAGATGTGCATAAGGCAACGAGAGTCACAACCGAAAACTAGATTTTTCGAATACGTAAATGCAGCCGAGGTATCAACGCTAACAGCACAACTGCGATGATCAAATACCCGACAAAAATGAGCGGTTTGAGCCATAGCGCATAGAACGCATGAACACGATACGTGATTTCGAGGTACGAATCCGTTTGCGGACTCAGATCAGTCACCAGATTGCGTCGTCTGACGTGCACCACCGTACGCGGAACGAAATCGAGATAGCCGTATCCTTTCCAGTGTTCAATGGATAGCGTATACAACTGCTGATCATCTGGTATCTGAATATCCAGTACCACGGCGGCATTGGGCAAAACAACCCACAAATCCAAATCATCGATGACAAGGCCATGCAGCGGGGGTGTTAGCGCCTGGTGTAATCGAAACGTACCACCTCCGAGATGCTTCCAAATATCGCCGGCACGAACAGGAACCTCGAATCCGAACTCGATATTAGTCCTCCATGATGGAGCTAACGGGAAGCGAGGCCGTAGCCCCAAAACCTGGTGTGTATTCCGTTTCGCACCTAGCGCAGCAACAGTCCTCTTTCCCTCTGGCGTCTGCCATCGCTTGTATTGTTCAAATGGTGCCAACAGACGCGACAGCGAATGAAATCCTGAGGTCGAAATGTTACCAGTAATGTCGCGATAAAAAAAGTTGCGAGCGTTCGCGGGAACAACGGCAAAAAACTCTTGAATCGTGCGTGTAGCAAAGGGGTTCTGCTGAAGGGCCACGAGCAAGTCGAGCCTGGACCAGGTGCCTTCTTTGGCTGCGGGGTAATCATTCAGGAGAGTCATCGTCTCTGTGACCTGGATATGACCACGATGCGATACAGCCAGAACCCGTTTCGCCTTAAGCGCACGAAAAGTTCCCGCCAACGCCATAGCGGAGAGTGCAATATCGCTTGGCTCGAGACCCGACGGGGCATCGAATGCCAAATCCACGTGTGCTGCCTCTAGCATGGAATGATCTGCATCTGTAAACGGGCCATATCTTACTTCAAAATCGAATTCCGAATCCTGAGAGGCTGCCTTCTCGATGTCACCCGGTGCGATACGGATGGATGCCGGCTCAAGGCCCTCTGGCGAGCCAACGAGTCGGGCACGAAAGCCACTTGGTGAAGCTACTTTCTGTATCTGCAATCGTTGTTCCTGAACAGGATACAGAGACTTGACGAGCATCGATTCCAAGCGGAAACGGTATCGTTGCACGAGCGCATCACGCGGCTTCGATTTGGTTTGATTGAAGCTTTCGTCTAGTGCTCGCACGTGCGCCAGAGGACAAACGCCTCGCACGAGCAAATATGAGAGTTCGAGTTTCAAGGGTTTATTCCGCGAGCTTTCGCCAGCGAATATGTTCAGCGCTTGCGCTTCGTTGCAGGCAGCATCATCCGGACAACGCAGCACCATAAAATGTCCAGGATATCCTGAACTGGTGTTAAAAGCGCGGATCTTTAACGTGCCTGAGTGGCGGACACCCTTGCCGTCCGAGCTTTTCCCAGACCCGCCTCGCTCCCGCACAGCTGTGAAGGATACCAGGCGATCGGTCTCGTAGTCGGTAAGGTTCAAACAAACTCTTTTGACGCCATCGGAAACGCCAGCGACCGCAGACTCAGCTTGAAGCTGCAGATCAAGCGTCCAGTGCACCTCCACTAGATTGTCCGCGCGCAGACGGTAGGTCTTAGCTGAGCGGCGTATCCCGATGAGACCCACTGAGCAGGCGTTTCCCATAGCTTCCCCAGCTGCCATCGTCTGGAGTGTACGTGCAAAGAAGCATAAGAAAACGCTTAATAACACGCCATACCATAAAGTCTTCATGAGACCTAATCCACAGCCCAGTGCGATCCGCTATACTAGCAGTGCGGCACTGGGTACAGCCTGGAGCTGGAAGAAACAGTTTCGCATGCGCGCGGCGCGGGGGCCACTTTCCGTCATGCGTCCTTATAATCCATATTTATCCCAAACGTATCATACTTGTTTCGTTTACGACGTGGTGCATGCATTCCAGCCAGGTTCATAGAACACGAAACCCTAAACCGCTTGTTCTCTTCCTGCCTTTGGATCTTTTTTCCGAACATGTTTAAATCTGTACAGTTTGAACAGTCGAAGAGCAGCAACCAAAGATTGAAAATGCATACGAAATCTTAAGATGCTCGGGCGTCTTTTCGGATTGACTAGTTCGACGGTTCGCCGCTGGAATTCGTTACGACACCGGAATCCAGATGATTCGTGAAGCAACTGAACAAGGATTTTTAAAATTAGCGATAACCTGATCAAATCCGTGCGTGCACCTTTCCACTCTTCTCCTTTCCTCATGTATAGTAGGCTCAAATCACGCATTTTCCAAGCTTTCAATCTTGCTGTTTCGAGGCAACTCGCTAGCACAGCAGTTCGCATCGCTTCCTAGACAAGGAAAACAGCCCGAGGTCGTCCCTCGATCAATTGCTCACAAAATCGGGCCGAAAGTTCAACGAGATATTATCTCGCTTAATCTATTCCGCTCGAAAAACAAGTGCTCCTCTCTCGGTGACCACCGACGATACTGCACTCGACACCAGCATGAAACCTGTCACGAGCCATGCTTTTGGAGGCTCTTGCTTCTTCTTTTCATATGGACAAGGGTCTTGGACTCGGACTTTAGTCATCAAAGCGATCGGTTCCGGTCAAGAGTGCTTCACCATGTCGCAACAAAAAACAGGCAACGGATCAAAACGCTCGACGAGCATTCTACAACCTGGATTTTGCATCCGCTACTTTTTTCCTCAAGGATAACATTGCGTTTCACAAAACCTCTGTCGAACGGTGCAGCGTTGGCTTGCGTGAGCAACAAACAGGGTTCTCACCGAAGGGTCGCCAAATAGAGGGGCATGATCGTCGGGTACGATACCAGGCGCGGAAAAGTTAGAGCGCATCGGGGGTATCCCTCTATACCCGACAAGGGCGTGTGCCGTGCGATGAAGCGAGCGTTTACGTGCCATAAGTCGGGGCTTCGAGGAAGAGACTCAGTGCGTATATCGAAACACCTGACCATAATCGAGTGTAGCTGCTGCGACGGGTGCAACGATGCTGGATACAAAGACGATGAAAACGGAAAGTGAAACGGATATCGAATCTACCGGATGTGCAATAAATGCGTCGCCAACACCGGGAAGAGGTGGAATCGGTACTTGAACGCTGTCGTCATAATCATTCAACTGCTGCCAATGGAGCTGTAGAGAAAAGAGATATCAACCTATTTAAAGCCAGAGACAAACTAGAGGAAACGTAGGGAGTAACAGAAAAATCCCCGCAAAGTCTGGTGATAATGGTATTGGGGATATATCAAAACGATGCCATGTGGGCCGGATTCGGCAGCATCGATCTCTTCCATTCTATTCTGATACAGGTATAAAGCGTCTTGTGTACCGCGAACATGGATTCGAGTTCAGCCTGTTGCTCTGCACCCAAAATCCCTCTTTCTCTCTGTCGTTGGGAATGACTTTGGTTTCCCTGCTGTATTCGCGGACATGCGATTTGGCACAGACGCCTCTGATATATTTCAAAGCCGAACTCTTGACTTTGTCGGATTGTGTCGGAGCTGCGCCTGCCACAATACCAAAGGTGCCATCGTTTTTGTTCCAGGGCCACTGCAGGCGTACGAGGGCCCCTTGAAGAGGAACACCTTCTTCATCCCAGAAGCTCTGGTTTCTGGCGCTGCATGGTCTGTGTCAGCCGACGACTGCGTCGAATGCGATGCAACCATTCATTTCGTTCGCTGCAACACGATGCTTCGTGTCCCGCGTTGCCGATTCGCGTGTTTAACTCCTGCTTCGGGTTGAGCGACGACGGATTTCTCGTAGAAGGCATCCGAGCTTCCAAGAAATGAACATTTTCTCGTGCCTGGAGACTGCAGGGGCCGCACGCATAGGCGCTTGCACAGCGTAGCTCGTTCCAGTGCGTGGGCGATCCCTCCGGAACGCTGACGCTTTCAGGAGAGCATCACACAGGCCCCAGGACAGTAGCAGTAAAACAAAGACGCTCGTGGAGTGCCGCTCCGAATGAGACAGCAGTGTCCAGGTCGGTAAGTAAAAAGTGCTCGATCGAAACGAATGCGTCCTCGACATCACCAGAAAACTACAGAATGCATCTTTACGATCCGTATCGGTCCATCCCCATGCGATCTCAAGGTCTCCATCTCCTGCGTTTCCATCTATAGAGTACACTGCCCACTTTCGACCGCACTGCACTTGACTGGCCACAACGGGGATTGGCAAAAGCGCAAATGAATAATGCGCAGAAAGCCAGAGACTAGAGCACACCTCTCTATCGCTGCTGGCTCTTCTCTTCGATGCTTTTCGTCACAAGTTCTAGTCACGGCACTGCGGCCGAGAGACATCCTTTCCATTTCATAGAAGTAATGTATTCATTGACTAGCTCCATCGCCTGAAAGTCTACCCCGATTCCAATGCCTCTAATTCGTTCTCTCCATACGAAAGGCCGATCTTGGCCTCGTACCCCTCTGCCTCCATCCGGGCTCAACCCAGTGCTCCTGATGTAATTCAATATACGCTTGACGACATCTCCGTAACCGAGACTGGTGACGTAGTAGGCACCGCAATGATCGTCGTCGAGACGACTGTCGGAATGACGGTCGTTGGCACGATCGTTGGAATGACGGTCGTCGGGATGACCGTAGGAATGACGGTCGTCGGGATGACGGTAGGGATTACCGTTGGCACTGGCGTCACACTTGGTGGTGGTGGTGGTGGCGGCAATTTCGTCAACGGTACCTTCGGTGTCGAGATCACCTGCTTCACGTACTGGCATTGCACCTGACCCGCCTGGCATTCAACCGGGCACTGGGTCACCTGCACCTGCTGATACCACCGATACATCTGCTGGTACTGCTGCTGGTACTGCTGCTGGTACTGCTGCTGGTACTGCTGCTGGTACTGCTGCTGACATTTCTGAACTTCCTCGTACTGTTGCGTGCAAACCTTGCAAACCTCGTATTGCTCGTAGGCAGCACAGACCTGCACGTTCGCGTACTGACACACCTGGGTGCAAATCGGCGTTGGCGTAGCCGTTGCTTGAACCTGCTCGTACTGGTACCAGCGATACATGGGCTGTTTCTTCATGGGCATGACGGTCTTCTTCACCGGAATCACCGTCTTCTGCACCTGCTGCACTTGTTGCACCTGCTGCACCTGCTGCACCTGCTGGCATACGGTCTGCTTTTTCTCGCAAACCTGTTGTGTCGTGTACTGAACGCACGCCTGCTTCGGCACACAAGTTGCTGTGTACGTCACAGGTGTGCACTGCACCTGTGGAGTCACCGTCACTTGCTGTTGATACCAGCGACCCTCCGTGTCCAGGGCTTCAGCGGCCACACTCGAGGCAAGGCCCACGAGCAGCGCCAGACTGAGCACTACGAAGATAAAGTTGCGCACTTGAAGTTTGTACTGCATTATATTTTACCCTTTTGAAGAAATCTTGCGTAGTACAACCTGAAACGCTACGCTCTCTGCGACGTCTTCTTTTCGAACAGAGACAACGACAATCAACGATCACGTGAATGGATTTCGCAAGTTCGCGTCACCACATAATGCCACGTAGCCGACGGTGTCTGTCCACAACCGCCACGCCGCAGAAGAATCCAGTCGAGGTGTCTCGAGCTCTGTTTTCCTTAGAGATTTCACTGGCCAGGAACGCACCATCACAACGGACACGTGTCCCCACCAAAAATGGATTTCGCCGTTGGAGCCCGCGAAACTTGTGGTAGAAATGAACGCATTTTGGGAGAAAATCGAAGGCGATGCGTGGCGTCGTGATCCCCAGCGCGTCGCATCGCATCGCTGGACGCGCGCGTCCGTTGGCAGCTCGAATCCGGAGCGCAATGCCCCTTGCGGCTTCTTCGTTGCCCTCGCCGGTGATCTGCACGCGCTGCGGGTGCTCGTCGATCACGAGGCAACCGGAGGCGTGTCTCGAGTCGACGCTGCTGCGCTGTTGCTGGGCGGGTATCGCGTGGATGGCGCTTTCGGCGACGCAGCGGGGGGTTCAAATGGCGCTGAGCAATGGCGCATTCGCTGGGTTCATGCGTTCTACGCAACGTGACGAGTGATCGGGGTCTTCTGCGAGCTGCATGCGCCCCCGAAAGGCATGGAGGTGTCTTCACGCTTCCTTGGTTGCGGACGGCAATCGCACTGCATGCAGGGAATTCGGCTCGAATGATCGATTGATGGTGCAGTCGAGAAAACGGGGCGATGCGAGCAGCACGGGCGTGCATGGATCGGCAGACAAATGATAGAGACAAAGCTATATATTTTGAGAATGACGCACAGAAACACGAGCATTTGGATTGCGTATGCTCGTTCCCCATGCGTCGACGGGAGACTGGTACGCGCTGCCGCCAGCGTGCGATAGCGAGCAACGTCGCCGGCATCGATTAGAAGCTGGTTCGCGTCTCGGAAGCTGCAATCTGTAGTTGCCGGTTCGCAGTCGCCTATACGTGATTCAGGAGAAGGGTTGCAAATAAGCTTGCGACAGCCGGAGCTGCACGGCATGCCCTGTTCTGTCGCTGCAGCGAAAGATAACCTGTAAGCTTCGATATTAACGAAATATCCGCATACAAAGCATTGCTGCCAGGAATGCGTTTGCTTGCGGCGCATGGGTGAATGTTCGTGAAGCGAATCGGTAAGTGCAGATGCCAGGATACGCCAGAGGTTTGGGGATTCCTCATGAGGCTTGCGCACAAGGTTCGCCAGCGCGACCGGGCCGTCCATTCGCTGGCACTTTGGAATTTGAGCTGGCGGATGCGTTGATTGTATGCTTTGATCACTTTCGATGTAGGTGATGCGAGGCGGAATCCTTGCTTCCTGCCCAAGCAAATGCTAATGTGCTGCACACAGCCTGACGTTTCCGAGGCGCTTCCAACGCCCCGGCTGTTCATGCCTAGGTCGAATTGAGACGCACTCGAAAGCGTTTTATCGGAATTCCTCAGAGAACGGCTCCACGTCCATACGCTGCAGCAATCGACAACTCAGAACGATGCCAAATCGAGAGCGTTCAGGAGATCTGGAATCGTCCCAAAGCTCGATAAAAGTTCCCTGAAACCGAGTGTTACATCCTGCGACATATCAGCGACTTGCTGCATCCAGACCAGAGGAGATCCGCCTGTTTATAGTGTTTCCACTCAACATTGTTCAACCTTCGCTGCATTTAATGGAATGCTTTTCGTGGTGTGTTGCAGGAGATCGGAAACACTACGCAATGTATATTGTTGATTGACGACGAACTTTCTGTAGGAAAGATTCTTTACTGAATAGTGGAACGAGGACTGCATTCCGCATTCAGGTCAGACGTACCACAGCACTCAGATGGTTGGGGAAACTGAAAGAAAGAAGTATAGGCGTCACGCGCCAGAAACTGGTACTGTGAAAGACTGCTTTCGGCCAATGATAGAAAACGAGCCGTTGATCACGTAATGGAAAGCAAAAGCGACGGTAACAGCCACCACGGGCGTCTCTGTTTCTGAACGGCTTGTTCGTGTCGTCCCGAAAACACTGGGATATAGTCGCAAAAAGAGTCGTAGTTCACGCGCGACCATCTTGCACCGAAATCGCAAGGATAGCGTTGCTGGAACGTCGCGATGAGCATGAAGCGGAGCCATATCGGTTTGTTTCAGTCGATGAGACTTGCTTCGGATGAAGCGGTTGAAGCGTATATGGGTATTTGCGGAGACGGAGCCCGTGCAATGTTCGGTAGAACTCGAGGAGAACGAGGACATCATCATCTGTTCGAGCTAGAATGGATTCATTTGACGGCCTGAGTTTCGCTCGTACGGGACGCTCATACAACAGCAACCCTTTCGTCGAATGATCGAAGATCCGTCCCTGACGTCTGGAGATGGCCTTCTGTTCGACAAGCTGGCATCGTTCTATTCCCCTTGCATTTGAGCTTTTGCCGAGACTACCGGGGTAGGACTGCTTTTCATTCCTCAATAGGCTCCGTAGTTCAACCGAATCGAATGATTGTTTTCAATCTTGAAACGTAATGATTGCTTCACTGGGGGAATTTTTTTGTTTGACAGAAAGTTTCATCGATCGGGGATTCCAAATTGCGGGATAGGTAAAGGTGATTGGAAGAGCTTCCATCATGCTGCATCCTACCTTTCATTTCGATTACCCGTACTTTCTCTCGGATATACTGCTCGTTTCGTACGTTCTATCGTGCGCCGAGCCTGCCGCGAGCGACCGTCGTATCGCATATACCGCTGGAGCAGATGCAGCTCGGAGACAGAACGGCTTTGGTATACCACTGCGGGCGTCGGCTCGAGGCGTACTTTACTCGGCGCGGAATCGGGGCTCATCGTCGTTCTGGGAGCCTGCAAGTTGTGCTGATGGACTTACTGCCCGGAACAGCGCGGACCAATATACTAGGAGTCCACTGCGACCAGGGAGACGCCCAGAAGCATTCTACTCACTTCTAATCTCAGATTGTATTGCGTTTCGCACAAGCTGCTTAGGTCTCACTGTAGCACCCAGCACTGCAGAGTCGCAGGAAGCGCAAATCGGGCAGACTCGTCTGGCTTGCGCGACCTTCCGCCTAGAAGGTAAAGTCGCGAAAATACGGAAATCTTTTCCCCTTTGAACGCTTTCCGTAATGGGGCATATAAATTGTCATGTAGTCGCTGGCAAGTGCTTCGTTTCTGTTCTTTTTCCGTCCACACCGGATGTTGATATCCATCGCACAAATCGTAGATCCCCAGTTCATGTATACTTTCGATCAAAAAAATCGGGGATCTCTGGTTCATGTACATGTTATGTCGATGAAAACAAATCGCCCTTCAGGTGGATTTATGGTATTCGAGCCTCTAGAATATTGAGAGCGCCGTTGCGCTCGTGCTACACTCTATGCAAGCGTGTTTTCGTCAAGTCTGAGTGGAACGTGGCGCTTCCGAGGTATTCGTACCATACTGATACTTTTTCGCTTGATTGAGAGCAAAATATGGGGTTTGCGTCCGACGCTGCTCGAAAACCGCGCATGTTCTCCTTTCTGGGGCCGCGTGTTGAAGATTGGCTCGTTTTCGAAGAGTTCATTGCTGCCAGACTACACCAGGAGCGTGGGTGGACGTGCTGTGAAACAGACAACGCGGCGTACCCAGTGGATGGCAGCGCTGTAGGCGGGCACGATACCCCGTGCGAGACCCGAACTCCACATAGTGAAAGTACGTCTCGCAGAACGGACGAGAAAGGCGACACGGAAGGCGGGTCAGAAGCTAAAACAGAGTCGCTCCTTAAATCTCTTGAAGAAGAGAAGAACAAGCTACTGGATGAAAAAAGACGAATGTACAAAGAGCTTAAGCAACTGATCATTCAGGAGCAGCGCTCACAAGTGAGTTCAACGAAAACCACGTAGATCATTTCGGCGTGACCGTGCTTGGTCGTGCTCTTTATATACGCGTTTCGCCCAAGGAAGCTACTTTTGCGCCCTGAGGGCCTCTCTCGAGTTAGCGGGTTCCGTCGCTTTCGTGGTCTCTTAAGATAGTCCTCGAAATCCAAAGGTGCGCAGTCCATCTGATGAAGCTGTGCATGATACACAGTTGTGCATGAAACGAACCGCCCGAGTATTCCGATTTAACATGTTACTATTGACTGGATATTGTATTCTATTTTCATAAACGCACGCCCTGAACGATGATGCAACCGCGATACCCGTGTCAGATTCGCATGGAACGCTGAACGGTTCGCTGTGTTAGTGCCTTTGGGTTTTTTCTGAAGTTTTCGACATGTACAGCCTCGGTATTCCAGGTGCCCTAATAAGGGCAAACGAATTCATGTGTGGTTTTAGGATCTTTGTTCGATTTTTCGGAGCGGCTCCTTATACTCCTTGCCGTTGGAATTCGTTCCGTAATAGGTATCAAGATGCCTCGCGACGTTGTCTAACAAGGGCTCGTGATGTGACCAATACCATTATCCAATTCGTACATACAAGCCCTCACACCGCTCCTTTGCGTACGAGTAGCAATGATTCCATCAGGAATTCTTCTAGTTTTCGATCTTTCTGTTTCAAAGCAACTTGCGGGAGCAGCAATGGTTGCCGCTAAATTAATGAAGAAACGAACTCGACTTGCTTCTATGACGACTTCTGCGCAAGTTCATGCATAGAGTTCACTGAAATTTTCACGTCCAATAATTGATTCGGTTCGAAGGATAAATCGCCTTCACTTTGTGGCGATTGACGGAACAGCACTCGACCGCAGCGTGACCCCGCTCCCGGAATATGTTCCCAAGAGGCTCTAGTCTCTTCTGCCTGCATGGTAAAGGGTCTCGGGCTCCGAATTCAGTTACCGGAGCGATCGCTTACGACGGAGCGTATGTCATTAGTTCGCATCAAAGGATCGCAGACGGACCAAAACGTCTCGACTTGCTCTCAAGCCGGGATTTTCCTTCCGGTAATTGTTTCAAAATTGAGGCGGTCGCTCAGAAAAAGGTAGTAATCTTCGAGCACGGCACTTGATACAGAAAAGGAGCACGGCAGCGAGAGGAGACTTCTGGATCAGTCAGAGCATTTACCGAGCGATGGAGCGAGCTTCTTCGTGCCACAAGGCGGCTCTCGGGGAAGGTGGTACACTGGACATCAGGGAACACCTTGCCAAGTCCACGTGTCACCGCATTTATAGGGCGCACTGAGTCTTTATCTAACGAAGATGAAAATGGCAAACGAAGCGCAGATCGCAACTTCCGCTCATACATGAAATCCGTGCAGAACACCCGGCAGCTGCGAAACTAGAGCATTACCAGTGACTGCAACAATCTGCAGGTGCTGACAGCGGAGCTGGAGCGCGAAAGGAGGCCGGCGTATTTGATGTCTGAGACCGTGGAAAGTTAGAGGAAGCAGTCGCAGAAAAATTCCCCTGACCTATTTGTGTCCATGTCAAGGGTAAAAGCTCCAAACTTTACCGTGTACGCCCTTGGTGCGGGGCCTGTTCCGTTGTATTCTAAGTTGGGTGAAGCGAAACCATGTAGGTGAACAACCAGCCAAATCGTCTACATCGAGGCTGTTGCGAGCGAAGCAACGCAAGGCTGATAGTCTGGGGAACCTGTCACGACATGCATTTTATGACGCACATCGACTTTTGCAAATATTCTCTGGTATATCGAATGATGGAACACCGTTATGATTCACTAAGAGCACCGAAAATCTATCAATGTGTATGTATGAGGAGCCCTAGTCTCGCTGGCCATCTGAACCGTACCGCACCAGTGCCTCGCTCCGTGCGAGTACGCAATCTTCTCTGTCTTGGCCACAGATTTTGTTGCATCGTGCGTCTTCAGCGCGTCAGTACAATGCTTACACCGAGTACCAAAAAATGCTCTCTCAATCACGCTAAACATAAACTTGGTGGACGCTCCAGAGGCAAAACGCTGTCCCGCCTACTGATCAAGGCGTTCACGATTCGACGAAGAAAGCGCTTGCTTGTATTGTCGCCGGTAGCATCGCACCATAGGAAGTGTCTCAAAGTCGGCTGCTTCTTCGAATGACGGTCGATCAAGCTACAGCGCACCCTCTCATCCGGCGGTCTCTGTTTCACACGCTTCTTCTCCTTTACCAGTTTCAGCGTGCACCCGCGCTCATGGTGCATATCCATCCTTCCGGACGTATCGATAAGCACTCTAGGGATCCGATTCCTGCACTCGTTGCACGGACTCGTCGAAGTTGCAGGAGTGCCGCAGTTGCGTACTAGTAAACGCCCAGCGCCACGGACTACCACCATACGACGCGTACTATCGGCCGTGTCGCTTTCCAACTCGTCGAACAGCTTTGCGAGTGCTCGCTCGTTGCCATCAAATAACCGAAACCTTCGACATCCATAGCACCATCTCGTGTACCACTGCCAACGTTCATCCGCATAAGCCTCGTAGACGATCAGGTGCGCTCTGACTGAACCGCACAAAGCATTCCGCACTGCACGATATGGTGTTCCGAGCACAGGACACCTCGTGACACGCTCACTGGACTTGTTGACATGTCTCCTGCCGTGCATGATACCCGCATCTCGATGTTATGGATTCTTGGAAACGTTCACGAGCTTCGAATGCTTTCCATTCGGATCATTGGCTCCCTCCTCCTGAGTTTGAGACACGGCACCGGCGATGTCGGTTTTCAACACTGGATGCACGCCCACGGCAGCGTCTTTCGCTTTTTCATGTGCTTTGAAAGGTTAAATGCGAGTCCCTGTGTTTGACTCAGGCCTAGTTTTCACAAAGCGCGTACAAATATAGATGCCGTCGTTCTCCATCATCCCTATTATGTGCCTCCTATTTTCCCTGTGTAAACGAGAAACCGTGAATGGATATCGTCAGTGCTATTCGCAAACCTGTTCGAATGCTTCATGGTTTCTTGCAGAGAAAAGCTGCAGCTTACTCTAGAGGCTTTACAGCGCAGTAGCGTATAGAAGTGTCTACTTTGATATTGTGATCTCTGATGCGACATGTGCAGACCATAAGGAAAAGCGGCTTGAGAAGCTGAGGGCGCTCGCTTACCGTCGATACAATCTGGTCTGCTCCGGAGCGCGCTGCTCGAAAACACGAAGAGGCGCATGATGCTAGGAAATTCGGCATCAAGTTCCGAACATCCTTTGGATGCAACCGTTGTCGGTACTTACCCAAGAGCAGTACGATGAGTTTGGTCGATCTGAAGCGACTCCTGCTCTCCGTGCCGCATATCTTTCATGCTCGTTGCGAACTCGAACGCTTCCGAAACCACCAGCTACTCATTTGCATCTGTCGATGCCGCATGAAACGTTTCCATTCTGCGCTGCTTTTCTGGGCCAGCATAATGCGGCTATCACTAGTGCAACGTCCACAGGCTGCAACCCATGAAGAGCTCTAAATTTACCAACACATGATTTCTGGATTGCTCTGATGCTTTCTACCACGGGCGCTGGTGATGAGGCGACCACCTGCATGTCGCGGAGACGCGTCAAGCTATTCTCGGAAGCATGTGTGCATATCATGGATCCTGCGATAAGACGGTTTTGCATCAACTGTTCAGAGCATCAGTTGGCGCACGATGGTTCAACAGGAGAATTCGAGAGGAATTCGGACAGCTGGCAGGCCTGAGTCCAGACCTCCGAAAAACAGTTTTTCAACGAGACGCCGCAACCTGAGAGAGGTTATGCGAGCCCGCTTCGTGTACAAAGCCTCACGATCCCGAATGGCGCCCCGCATCACTCGTTTTGGAAGATCCTCACCATGAACGTCGTTTATTACGACGGCTTCAGGACGGATCCGTAGATATCTTTCCGATCCGACAGTCTTTTCTTGTTGTCCTTCTTGGTTGCACCTTTGGGAGCAGCTCATTCTCTTCTTTGTCCGATGATTTCTTCACCTTCTCCTGTGCTATACGGGGTGACATTTCCGTGGTTGCCATGATCTAAATCTGTTTTTCCTTCGGGATTTAGACGAATTGGATGGACTTGGGGCCGAAGCTCGCCTGTTCTACGTATGTATTATCTCTTCCTCGAGCACTTTTTCGTCACCTTCCCCGTAGCGAGCACGTCAGTGGACAGGAACGCGCTTTTCCGCTCCATCTCATGCACGAAGAGAGAAGCAACAAAGCACTTGAGAGCTGCTGCAGAGAGAGCATTACCCGTCGAAGAGCGGTTTCAGACCTACGAACGACACGCATGTTGTTCTATGAGCCTAAAAATGATGTGAGACAGCGAAGGAGTTGCTTCCGATTGGATTGAAATGAAAAGTGTAGTCTGGTACGAACAGCAGCTCATCGCAAATCTCAGTTGCGTACTTGTTGACAGCTTTCTACTTATGCACAGCGACGTTGTCGTAGGCTAGGGCAGAATAACGTGGGACATGGAAGCTACGAGGTGCTTTGACGAAGGATGAGGTGTTGGACGATCCCGTCCGGTTGGCGATATGCAGGCGACCACACAACAGCATCGCCGCTATGGCTAGTGTCGTTGTCATTCTGCTTCTTTCTGTTGTAGAAACAGCAGTTTGCCAATCGTTTTGGACACATATTCAGGACTACATTGTTTCCAGACTGCACGCTTATCGAATGAGAAGAATATCCGTCCCCGCAGAAATTAGCGTTCGCGTTTCAATACGGAATCTAGTGTGTGTTGTTCAACGCATGACGCTTTCCCCGAGAAGCGCGCCTTTCTCTTCGTCCATACATGTCTCTTCATATCGATTCGTGCCATGGATACAGAATCTTTCCATCCTCTCACTTCTTTGCTAGAATTTCGGAGAGAACGTACGGATTGGAATGCATTACCGGGACGACAATCTTGCGCTTGAAAAGTGTGATAACTTCTGGTTTGATTACACGATGCTCTGGATAAGGACTACAAGAAGCGCGGTTCACGTATTTTCTGACGGTAGCATCACTGTCTTGTACAAGTAAGGTCGTTTTCACAAGTTACCATTGACAACAAAGTCTTTTGGCATCCTCTTTTCATGTCGCAGGATACATTCATTTTATTGAACATGTACGAGAAAAGTAAACAAGAACGAAAATTGTGCCAGTACATCTATTCTAGAATTCACTGCACTGTGTAGAACGTATGTGCTCCGCCTCCATCTCAACAGCACGTATCAGGAGCACAGCACCAGCAGTCTGTTCGCGTCGGTGCTCGGCACCTCTGCGTAGCAAGCGTTCGGCGAACCTGTGGAGCTGGAAAACCCAGGACGTGCACGCGTTCGCAGTCGCACGGTTCGCGGTACCACGAGAAAACCACGCCCGCCCTGGTGCGCTTTCGTGGGCCCTTGGCATAGCCAGCCGTGCGTGTGGTCTGAGTGTATCGCTTTTGATTCATGGATGTGTTTTCAGGAAATTCGAAAAGCTCCAATGACGCCGCATAGCCTGTCAGGCACTCGATCTTAAAGTAAGACGTAAGATGTAAAGAAACAGAGCAAGGCTTAAGCGGAACGAAAAGCTTTTGTCGAGTACGCAAACTCCACATATATTCTTGAGGATAGCGAGGTATTACGAGAGACAAGCTTCACGCGAGAAAACTCCAGAAGCTTGTACAGCTACACAGAGTGGTTCCTTCTGCCCCCACAACGCTAAAAGGGCATCTAGCTTGCTGCGAGGACAGCATCAGTCAGACGAGCTGGCAGCTCGCCTGCTCGCAGGGCATTACATATCTCGTGGGCAGCGAGCTTTCCACTGAGCACTGCGCCTTCCATGCTTGCGAAATACATTTGTTGGGTGTAGTCTCCCGCCAGGAAGAAATTTTTGATTGATGTTTTCTGTGCCGGCCGATACGGTTGGAGTCCTTTTGTGGTCTTGTACACCGATCGTGGCGTTTTCACCACGTGGTACTTGCGCAGGCGTGCCGGTTGCTCAGCGTGCGGGCCAAAATGACGCGGAAAGAGAATCTCGAGCTCTGCCATCGTTGCTTGCACAATAGCTTCATCGGAACGACCAATCCAATCTTTCGCTGGCGCGAATACGAGTTCCAGCATGGACCGGTCTGGGTCCGCGTACCCTCGACAGGTATTGCTCATGTCGGCGTAGACACTTAGAAGCGGCGAACGGGAGAAAAGCAAATGGTCAACGTCGGTGAGCTTCCGATCAAACCACAGGTGAATATTGATAACGGGAACACCTTCGAGATGTTCAAGACGAGCGAACTCGGGGAACGTATGTTTCCATACCTCTGGAACGAGCAATTTCAGAATGTCTACGGGTACAGCAGATACATAGGCATCGGCTTCAATCACCTCTCCAGATTTGAGTTTCAAACCTCGAACGAGGCAACTTTTCTCGTCGTAGATAATTTCGCTTACTCGTTGGTTGCATTTAACGACTCCACCTGCAGCTTCTATGGCCTGTACCAACGGTTCACAGAGCCGCTCAGGTGGCGCACCGTCCAGGAACGCCATCTTGCTACCCTTTGCCTCCTGAAGGAAACGGTTCAAAGCAACGAGTACAACTGAAGCGCTGATTTCGTCGGGATTGATGAAATTCAACGCTTTGCTCATTGCAATAAAGATCTCATCATTCACACGTTCGGGTATACCTTGCTGGCGAAGCCACTCCGTCCAGGTGAGTTTGTCGCATCCATCGACATACGCTTGTCCCTTCAGCATTGCTGGTACAAGGCCCCTCGCAAACAGCACTTTCTCCCGCCAGGTTAGCATTTCACGGTTCGAAAGTATCGCCCAGATCCCGTTCAGGGGCGCCGGAAGTGCTTCGGGAAAGTCGAAACGCGAGTACTCACCAGGTCTCTCCCGCATGTTGAAAATCATGGAGTGCTCTTTCCATTGGAGACGGTCTTCAATACGGAGCTCACGAAACAACTGGAGCATATTTGGGTACGCGCCAAAGAAGATATGCAGACCGGTTTCGTACCAGTCACCGTCGGCGTCCTTCCATGCGGCTACCTTGCCACCAAGCACATTCCGCGACTCGAGCACGATAGGTCGAACGCCTGCCTCGGCCAGGTACTTCGCACAAGAGAGACCTGCAAGCCCACCGCCAGCGATAACGATCTCTTTGCCTGGTATGCCAACTGGCTGAGGCGCCTGTAGCGGTGGAACAGGCCGTCCTAGGAGCCCTCGCAGACAGAGGCGGCGAGGCCGCACGCTCCCGCATCTATAAGCGTGCAGGCGAGTAGAACCTACTCGTCCAGGACACCATGCCCCCAAGTGCTTGTTGAAAACTCCACATGGAAGAATGAAGGCGCTGTCTTGTTCACTGGCAAGTCCTCGACTCGTGCTGTAGCGAAGCGGCCTCGACTCGAAGCTGTTCACCCTGACGCCGGACTCGAGCCGTTGTTCGAATGCGGCCGCAACACTCATTTGATACGAAAAGCGAAAGTGTAAATCTATTGAAATCCTACGATTGTGGAGCTTGTGCAGGTTTCGAGTGTATGCAAAGACTCCAATATACGTTTCTAAGCGTTGCGTGACTCAGAGAAGAGTTATTTTGTTGGAATCGATGGCGATCATTGCAAACGTGAAGACTGTATAAGCTAGACATTTGGAATAATTCAGAATAAAAAGGACGGAGAGGAAATTTTACCGAGACGCCCTTGGTATTGCAAGCAGCTTTCGAGATGACGCCGCTCTGTCTCCGTGCAGCGACCGCACACGATAGGACGTATGAAACTACCAGAATATCCGAGAAGAAGTATCGGTAATGTAACTTGGAGGGGAGTTTGATGGATACTTCACCGTGCACTGAAAAAAACCCAAAAAGAAAAGAAAAAGCGCATAATCGGAGAACGTTGACCAAAGTAAACGTTTTGTGAATGAAAAAAATTGCAAGCAGCTGTCCCGGAACACTCCATGCGTTTCGGACGTATCGGCTCTCGCATAGGCTCTTTGATCGCTTCCTCTGCAGCGCACGCAAATCGACCTCTACAACGGCGAAGCCTGTGGACCCAGCGCCGTCCCGGTCAACGCTATTCCGAGACCAAACCTTGTTCGCAGCGTATCGGCGGGTACTACGCGTATCGCACCGCCGCGACAGCAGTCAAGCCCAGATGCTATGTATCACGGGAAGCGGCCGCAGCTGTGGCTCTTATTTCTTTTGGCGGAGCATAAAGCGCGCCTCGAATCCTAAATTTCTCTCATCGCCAGCACACGGACACGCACCTGGCATCCCAGCGTCTTCGACGCGTATCAGCAATCCGCCGCGCATTGCATCCGAGATCCGCGTACAGCCATGGAGACGCGTCTGTATTCGCCGCGCCTCAAGCGACGATGATGCGCAGCCACAGGTGCAGGCGCAGGCGGCCGCCGCAGTCACCGCCGAGGTCGTCGGCGGCGCCCCAGCTGCGTCATCACGCCTCACTGGACGCGCTGACGATACACTGAGCAATAATTTGTCTTTTGGAACGTCTGCACGTAGCCGAGTGTCTGCAAGCTCAATCAAACGGAATCCACTTGTAGACCAGTGCCATGTTCATTTTCGCTGCACCAAGCATAACTAATGTCGCAGCGAGGGGAGACTGTCGGAGGCCTGCACGCTTCAGTGTACCGCAACTCGTAGCGAGCCGTACGGCGTCGTTCACCCCGTCGATGCGGCGCTGGCTCCCAAGGCCCGCCGTTCGCTGTGGCGCGCGCAGTACTCGCATGGCTGTCGCAACAGAAGAAGAAGTTGCTGGTCGTGTTGTCCCCCTGGAGACTGTGCGCAACATTGGTATCGCAGCGCACATTGACGCTGGGAAGACGACGACGACGGAGCGAATTCTGTTGTACACGGGAATAACGCACAAAATTGGTGAGGTTCACGAAGGAACCGCGGTGATGGACTATATGGAGCAGGAGAGGGAACGCGGTATCACCATAACTTCTGCAGCAACGACCTGCTTCTGGCGCAATCACCAAATTAACATAATTGACACACCAGGGCACGTGGACTTTACTATTGAAGTGGAGCGCTCTATGCGCGTGCTTGACGGTGCTATCGCTGTGTTTGATGCGGTGTCCGGCGTCGAACCCCAGTCGGAAACTGTTTGGCGGCAGGCTGATCGCTATCGAGTACCGCGTATTTGCTTCATCAACAAGATGGATCGCGTGGGTGCCGACTTCTTCCGGTGCGTGGACGAGATTCGCAAGCAGCTAAATGCGGTACCCGCGGTGATTCAGTTGCCGATCGGTTCAGAGTCGAACTTTGAGGGTGTCATAGACCTTGTGAACATGGAGGAAGTCGTGTGGCTGGGCGATGAATTCGGATCCAAGTACGAACGCCGACCAATCCGGGATTCTCTTAAAGCGCAAGCTCAAGAATGGCGCGAGAAGTTGATTGAAGCCGTTGCGGAGTCCGATGAAAAAGCGTTGGAGAAGTATCTCGAAGGGCAGGAATTCGGTGTAGACGAGTTGCGCGCACTTATTCGCAACGGCACCTGCAAAATCCAGTTTGTGCCTGTATTGTGCGGATCCGCATTCAAGAACAAGGGAGTGCAGACCTTGCTTGACGCTGTTGTCGAGTATCTGCCGTCACCGCTTGATGTAGAGCACGTGCGAGGTGTCTCCGTTGACGGTGAGAAGGAGATATATCGAGCAACTAGTGATCGCGAGCCATTCTCGGCTTTAGCCTTCAAGGTCCTAACTGATCCCTTTGTGGGAACGCTGACCTTTTGCCGGGTGTACTCGGGTGTCATTCGCAAGGGCGATACAGTACTGAATCCAACCAAGAACATTAAGGAAAGAATCGGGCGGCTGCTCCAAATGCACGCCGATGAGCGCAAGGACATTGAAACTGCGCGATCAGGAGACATCGTGGCCATTGCAGGGCTGAAAGACACCACTACTGGTGACACGCTTTGCGATGTCGACAACCCGGTTGTTTTGGAGCGCATGGTCTTCCCAGAACCAGTCATTTCTGTTGCCGTAGAGGCATCCAGCAAGGCCGATAACGAGAAGATGGGCGTCGCGCTCGCGAAGCTCGCCTCCGAGGACCCGTCCTTCCGCTTCAAGCGAGACGAGGAGACCGGACAAACCATTATTTCGGGCATGGGTGAACTCCACTTGGAAATCATTGTGGACCGCATGAAACGGGAATTCAAGGTAGACTGCAAGGTAGGTGCCCCGCAGGTCGCCTATCGTGAGTGTATCACAACCAGAGGCGAGATCGACTACACGCACAAGAAGCAGTCTGGCGGGAGCGGTCAGTTTGCTCGCGTGAAGATTATTTTCGAACCTCTCTCACCGGAGGAGGCAGCCAGCGGTGAAGACTTCGTTTTCGTTTCTGAGATCAAGGGCGGCTCGGTGCCGAAAGAGTATTTCGTCGGCATAACCAAGGCACTTGAATCCGAAATGTCGTCAGGCGTGCTCATTGGTGCTCCACTTTTGGGACTGAAAGCTCGACTGATCGATGGCGCGTACCACGAGGTTGATTCTTCGGTTCTCGCGTTCGAAATTGCCACCCGCGCTGCGTTTCGAGAGGGGATTCCCCGTTGCAAACCGCGCATCATGGAGCCCATCATGCGCCTAGAGGTGACAACCCCCGAAGAGTACCTGAGCAATGTCGTGGGCGATATCAACTCGCGACGAGGTTTGATCAATGAAATCGGGGATCGTGGAGCCCTGAAAGTCGTCAAGGCGCTCGTGCCACTATCAGAAATGTTTCAGTACGTTTCGGCCCTGCGCAGTATGAGCAAAGGTCGAGCGAATTACACCATGTTCTTCGAGAAATACGAACCAGTACCGCCAAATATTGAGAAAGAGCTACTGGAGAAATTCGGTGGCTCGCGCTCATCAAAGAAGTAATCACCTAAACAGCGGCGGAAAGCTTTTTCCTTAGAGTTCGGTACCTGTTTGTGCCGGTGGGATGCATAGCCAGTCGTGCGTTGCCTACATTCGTGCACCGGTTGCGCCTCCTGCGTGCTGATTCTTGCTCCATCGAGCAGACTCGCCCATCCATGTCGCACGCAAGACAAGACGTAGTCCATGGAGGCGTCTGCAAAATCAGAGGATACCCGCGAACGAGGCCGCACGCAGAGGGCGCCACCAGTGAAGTGATCAGCTAATCGCGACGAAACCAACACCTTTGGACAGCTGCTCCAGCTCGGCATCCATGGGGCGTTAGATAAGTCAGAAGACAGGCCTGGATGGCCAGATGCATGCGCGCGCTCTCATCACCGAGTCGAGAACGCTTAACGGAACCCTGTAGCAAGGACGTGTTGGTGTCTCTCGTGGCGATGTTTTTTGGAATTTCGTAGTCATGTTCGTGCGTCCATCATCGCTAGCGTTCCTCATGAGCGCGACCTGGATCATTTCGATGAAACGTTTCCCGGAGAGGTGCACTTTCAAACTTATGTTTACAAGGTGCCGCGAAGCGCATTTACGTCTATTGTTCGACGTCCGTCGTCGCTCTTGCTGCCAGCTTTTGTACAGTCTGTATGCAGGCCGTATAGCATACGCGTTCGCAGACACGGCGTTGTGCAAAGGTGACTTTTGGACCGGAAATCCACAGATTCGGCGATTTCGTTACAGGTCCGCGTCGGACATGACGCTCGCCGAGCATCCCTGGCCCTCACCGGTGCTGCGGATAGACACGATAAGCGCGCGATTTCCCGTGATTCGGGATGAATGCCTCTCACAAGGTTCCTGGAATACATGAACGCCACGCCGAGTCTCTCATCTGTGGGGTATGTACACTACCGTCTCGGAACAAGAATGCAAATATCAATCTGATGATAGAGAGTCTCAGGTATCGGTGCAAACGCTTCCGCACTATTTTCAGCATCCGGTCGGAACGTCGGGCGTGCGCGGATCGGCACTTGAATACGGCTGGCGGGAATCGCGTTTGCGACGCGTTGTCCAAGATCCGAGATCGCCATCTACAGCAGCGCAGCGCGAACAACGCGGAGTGCGCATGCGTGCCGTCGCATAGCGCGGGGTATCTCTCGGATGCACATCGGCACGCAGAGGAGCGCGACGTGTCCGTTCATGCGTGCGTGCTTGCGAGCGTGTCCGTTCATGCGTGCGCGTTGAGACACGCTGAGCAACGTACGGACGTTGTCGTTTCGTGTTCTTTCAGCGTTGCTTCTCTTTACGACTTATTCCCATCTCCTGCGGAATACAAACGTCTGCTGAAAAAACGCCTTGTCAGCGTCATTCATGACGTCGTTACTCTGGGATAGTTTCCATTCGTTTCTCCAGCAAACGCGTTTTGAAAACATCGAGTCGCACGATGACGCGGGAACCAGCGACTTGGAGACTGCCGTTGACGAAGCCTCTCCCGCTGAGCGTGCATTTTTGCTGAAGCGTCTCTGTGAGGTTTGCGTTGAAAGGCCTCTGGCGGGATCCCGTCTGCACCTTTTCGTGACAGTTTTGAGGCGTCTCCTTTGGACAGCGTTGCTCGAAATGGGTTACTGCGAGTTTCCAGATCGCAAGGAGTCAATAAAGGCACCCGTCTCGCGTGGGCTCCATTCCAAGCGCGCGCCCAAACGTAGACGAGTTAATATTGGGGCTGCTCTGGACTCCGAGGCAGTAAGCGTTCACGGAAACGCTGCAGCTTTCGAAGAGCCCGAGAGCGACGAGATTCAGCCCTCAGCGGGTGAGCTCGTCGAGCCGACGCCGGCAAATCGCGGCGAACCCAAGGACGAGCTCCACTGGGACTCCTGGCCTCCCCCCGAGCATGTCGTTACAGCTTGGCTTGTTCAGGCCACAGAGTCGAGCTTCCAGGAATGCTGGCCGCTGCCGATTGACGAATGGCTCGTCGTCGTTCGCGAGTCACCGGCTTCGAAGCAGCTCAAAGCTGCCACCGCCGAACGAGCCCTTCTAAGGATGCGAGAAACACGCCGTCTACCACCGCCACTGATTGCGGCATGGCTGCCGCTGCTCATGCTCTCCGGAACACGTCGCGTTCTGCTTGAAGAGGCGCTTTCTAGCCTTCTGGCTCGCGACCGACTCGACATTCCACAATCTGTGCTCGAGCTAGCCTTTCGGCGAGATACAGCTTACGCCAAAGCACTTTTGCGTATCGCGCGTGGAATACAATATCCGCATCCCATCTGGCATCGAGAGGCCGGGGCTGTGCTTTTTCTACTCGTCGCGAGCATGCCATCGTTCCATGCAACCTGTACACATTTGTTATTGCGAAAGATTACGGAATACCTGGAGGATTTGATCCGAACCGAGCGAACAATCTTTGCTTTCCCCAACATGGAACGCCCGCGTTCACCGACACAAGCCTGCATGATCATAGCGTGCAGCAAACCGGAACTTTTGGAAACCATTTTGGACCTCATGAGCGCCTGCTTGGATGCGAACGTTGTATGGCCAGACTCAGACTTGGCGCTGTTTCCCAGCGACGCCTTGAAAAAAGCCCCGCTTCGGACAGATGTAGCCGCCCGGATTTTGGAGAGAATAGCCGTAGCGCCTTCGCGGCGGCTTCCGCTCATGTCCTGGCAACGTTTGCTTCTCGGTGCGACGGCGACACAACCACAGGCTTTTCTTTCGGAGCGCAGCCGTCAATTGCTCAAGGAATACGTCGTCCGTCCGGAGACAGTGCCATTCTTGCGCAAGCTCATGCGATACCTCCCGGATCTGGCCGAAACCGCCATCTACCAGTGCCGCAAACTGCTGTTCCAAGCATCAAGCGTGGGCCAGATTCCTGTTGCGCGTGCACTAGCTTCCATGGTAGCTTTTCTGGGAACGCAAGAACAACCCAGGCAACCGAATTTCTGCTCTGGATCGCACAAACGTTCGGAATTGGTGTCCCTCGGTCAACTGCTCCCCGATTTCATGCTCCTTTCGTTGCGAATTCTGCAACAGGGCTCAGCGCAAATGCGGCGCGTCTGGTACGAAACCATCATAGAGGAAGTAGAAGGAAACGGCTTGGCGCCGGCCGTCGTTGGCATCTTGCGAACCCATTTTTATCGAACATTTTTCACCGCAACATGGAAGCCCTCTGCGCCAGAGATCGAGTCTCCCTTGAGGCCAGGCTCGCACTGGATCGACGACGATGCGGCGAGTTTGCTTTGCCTACTCGCGCTTGGACACGATATGGAAGGCTTCGACGATTTTGTTGCCCGACTGAGCTACATGGACCTTAGCCACCTCGATATACCGGCAGATGTTGGGGACCAGCCTCTCGACGAGACCGATCGCGGCGTCCTAACTCGGCTGCTGCAGACCATTGAAACCGCCATCGTCATGTGGCCGATCCTTCACGTCGCCGAGATCCCGGACTTATCGCCGGACTCGACACCGGGCACTGTCGCGCAGCGCCGCCACCGAGCAGCCTCAACATCGGCAGGCGCAGACGATGCAGCCGCTGCAGGTGAAGTGATTGGAGCCTCACCAACTGGGAGTCACGAGTCGCAAAATCATTCACCTGGAGTGCCCGTAAGTCCAAGCCCCAATCTTGATCATCTCGGAGCGTTCCAGGTCGCTCATCCTGGTGGCGCTGCCATCCGTAATGACGACCTCGATTTAGGCGTCACCGAGCTGGCGTCTCGGCGAGAGCGGCCAACGCCCGCTGGGCGGTGTCAGCAACCTTACCGACACGCAGACATCCATGGAGAGAACGAGTCGGCACCAGCAATCGCGTCTGTTCCGAAGAGCGCCGGCGTACAGCGCCTCACCGAATGCACGGACTGGTCCCGCTTCCGAACGGTGATAGCACCCCTGCTGCGTTTGCATCAGCGAGCCATGGAGCGTCTCGGTGATCCGTATGCCATATGGCAGCGTGGTGGCTGCCACGCGTCGACAAGCATGAATGCGAAACACGACAAGACGGAAGCACAACACAAGACAACCTCGACGTCCTCGAAGGAAAAACGGAAGCAAACTTCCGATAATGATTCGGGCGTCGGACGCTCGTTGGGCGTCTCGTCTACGAACACTACCATACCTGCCACAGCATTGGAAAAGTTTCTCGCTTTACTCACGGAGACGCTGAGGACTGGCAGAGCTTTTCAAGAAATATTCAAGCTCCTTGAAATCGCTCTACGGAGACTGCTGCTCGTGTCGTCGTTCCCCGCAACCATGACGACGCAAGGGCGCCTGGTACCCACGCTTCTTCAAGTGGTCGCTCTGCCGCTCTCCGGTACCGAGGCCGATACTGCGTACCTGCTCGCCATCCTTCTTTTAGGCAAAATACGACGCAGCTCAGCCGAGCATCTCCCGTTCCTCGCGGAGAAGCGGCAAGGATTCGTCTCTGCGCCGACCCGAGGAAGCGGCATTCTCCTCGCAGAGCAACGTCAGCATGCAGTTGCTGCGCTGCTTCGGAGCCTACGCTCCCACTCCTGGTCGCTTTGTGTGGCGAGCGCTGCCCTGCTGGGAGCCCTGGGGCCGCAAGCACAAGCCGCGCCTGTTCCAGAATCCGGGCAAACGCGCTGGGATACTGCGCTTTGGCGCCGCATTCGCGAATGCCTTGACAGCTCGCGAAAAGTACCGCTTCATCCAGCGATTCGGCAATGCTTACCCGCTGGTGGCAGCGATATCCGGCTCTTGTTTCACGCCTCACTTGCGGACTCGCTGGTACCGACATCATGGTACCCGGAGCAGCACCTGTGCTCGATCGCTATGGACATCCTGCAAACCTGGGCGTCCTCCACCGTTCTGGACTGGAACGTACTTCGACTGTTTACTCTTCAGCTGCAGTCATGGCTGCAGGAATGGAACTGGCTTGTGGAGCGCGGCTATCAGTACAGCGAGTCGACGGCAAACGCTACCCAAGTTTCGCAGCACATCCTTCGCATCTGGGCGGACTGGGCGTGCGCCCTCAGCTTAGTGACCACGACCGCCTGCGGAGACGGGACCACTAACCTGGCCCGCGTCAGTGCTCCCGAGCTCATAGAATCGGAGCGAACACTTGTACCCGTTGTCGCGGTCGCTCCGTGGACCTTCATCCGAACCTGTGCACGGACGCAGACGCTCGGGTTTCAGTCGCTGATGCGGGTGGCGCGGGCCGTGCACCAGAAACGTATCGCGCTTTGTCGCCCCGCATGGAAGCGAATGACTTTTGTAGCTAGTCAAGGGCTCGCCACCGCTGCCTACGATCTGCTGACTGCCGCAACCGAGCCCACTGCGGAGGAGTCTGCGGCCAAAATTCGTGACGAAAGCCAGCTCTTTCCGCAGCTTATATACGCACTGGAGAGCGCCGAAAAGGCCCTTTTTGCAACAAGTCAGACGTATCGGGATCCAGGCCTGGTTCGACGCCTTCGACGTCCGGTAGCGCGAGACTTTAAGCTTGCCGCATTTCAGACCTAAATAATCAGAGAAATCAAGAGCATTCTACGACCATGGGGTGTCTATGTAGAACAAGGCGCAGATGCCTTGCGACCGTTTCTGACTGTCCACCCACTACTCGTTTCAACTTCTTCCCGTACACTTCGAGCCTGCGAAGTTGCCCCGCAAACTTAGATCATCACATCTCCTCGGGTTTCGTCTTCAGCACCGCTCATTGTCTGACATGCATAGCTGCGTTAAAGTCTCGGTTCATGAACTTCATGCGGTGATTGTCGCTGGTGGAATGCATCAGTGCAAGGAGTGCTCGAACTCGTGCCCTGTGTGCGATTACAGCCGCTTCTCCTTCTTCGCTCAATCGTCGGCGAAGCGAGGATTCTATCCGGTTCTTCGTCAGACTGCCCGCGACACCGGACTTCAAAGTTCATACGGTTCCCTTGGATATTTTATTCTTCAATATAAACGCAACTGTTTATGCCTTTCGGTTGTAAACCGCGAAAAAGTATTTCATGACACGTGCTTCGGACTTGAACACCATTAAGGTGAAAGACTTGAGGTCAACCGTCCAGGCGCAAACCTGCAGCAGCGTGTGTACATCCATCGCGCGCTACCATACCAGTGTGCTATGTCATGTCCTCACAGTGCAAACGCAGCAGTTATGCAGTGTCAACTGCGTCGGTATACGCTTCAAGGCTAGTCACTGTTCACGAGCACTGCTGCTACTGCCGCGACCTATTTGCTGGCAGAGGTGCTCCTCCTGTACGTCGACGCGGTACCGTTCTGGTACCAGGGTTCGGCTGCGACCTGGCCAGCAGGTTCGCAGCCAACTGAACCCTCTTGTAGCTGCACATCGGCTCTGGGGCCGGACCAGATTACAATCGAAGTTGTCCCGGAATAATTGGACCTAGAAGCATGCCTACTCACCGTATCATTCGGCATAGAAAGCACCATGAACCGAGGCACCTTGATGGATGAAGCCTGAGCAGCTCGTCATCAAGATGCCAACTTTTTCTACGCATCTAGTCCAAATCATCCATCCATCGATCTATAGATCTGCCCGTATAGAAAGCGCGGTACGACCAGAGCGTTTATGGAAGCCGTGATCGTTAGACCAGCGTACTGGTCGATCGGTACGTTCCTGAGCTCCAGCACGTTATGGTTCGCGATCCTGTAACCATTGATTATACGGCTCGATCGATGGAGCCTGCCTCATACGCATAGCTCCGATATCGCTACCGAGGAACACACACACACACACAGACCGTCACTGCACCTCTGCATTCGCCATATGGAGGTGCTCACCAGCGGCGTCGATCTGGAAAGAACAAGCGTCTGTCAGCACATGCGTATTCTCGAGACGAACCGTCTCTGCAAAGCTGCTGAATTCACGAATCTTAGACGCATTCGCGGTGATCAGGCCTTTGTAAAGCCTGTGCGAAGCTAGGCCAAACTCGGCATCTACATGCATTTCTCGTGATCGTATCTGCACTTCCAGGGGCAGGCCTTGCGGATGCCTGAGCGTGGTATGCAGCGATCGATAGCCGTTCGCCTTGGGCTGGTCACAATAATTCTTAAATCGTCCCGGCAACTCCGGCCATACCTTGATGACGTGCTTGTAAACCTTCATACATACTTCATGTTGGTCAGTGGATTCATCGATGCCGTCGATGACGATGCGTAAAGCCACAATGTCGAGAATATCCTCACGCCGCTTCCCGCTACGAAGCATCTTTTTGAACGTAGAGAAGAGGTTTTTTGCGCGGCCGGTTATTTCGTAGCGATATCGCCGCAGCTCCGGATCATTCTGCAACGATGCCAGGAGCGTGGCGCACGCTTCTTGAATAAGCTGGTCTGCTTGCTCCCAGATATGCGCGTGCCACGACTCGCACGCCCGATACGATAACGGGAACAAAATCCGGAAACTGAGATCTTCCAGAGGCCACATGACAGCGCCCAGGCCCAGCGCGTACGCCAGCGGAACGTGGACCTGTAGCACGAGCAGTGCTAGCGCCTGCTGGTCATACGCCGGTGATTCGGACTCGACCTTCTGTTGCAAGTCTTGCAGCACTTGCGTCAAGCGTGCCAGTACCGCGCGTGCATCGCGCAAAGCTATCAAAATGTACTCGCGAAGACGTCGTGCGTTCTGCTCATCAAGATCGCCGATATCCACTAAGGCAGATTGTTCGATGGCACGTAGTGCATCAAGGTCTTCGACAATCGCCCGAACAGCGCCATCCAAGGGCGGGTAACGCAGCAGGGTTCGCGGAAGCGCATCCACGAGCGCTGCACAGATCGTATCAGCGTCGACTCCGAGACGCGCAAGAAAAGCCGCATTGCGAACACTGATCATGGACTCTTCACCGGGTAACTCAGCACATAGTCGAAGTGCTTGGAAGATGCGCTCCAGCGAATCCTTCGACTCAATGTGCGTGCACGCTCGCTGCAGCACGGGCCAGAGCACGTCGACGACAGCGTAAGAGCTCGCGTTCGACTCTCTGGACGTGTGTTGAATAGCCGGTACTGCTGGTGCCGGTAACCGCGCACAGACACAGTGTCTCGCGGTCTTCGCCGAACCCAACGCTTCATACACCCGCGGTCGCAAAGGTTCACGTCCCCGGTTCGGGAGCGCACACCTCGACCCCGACTTGGAACGCAAGCTAATGTGACCGACCGGTGCAGCAAACGCCCAGCCTACGTCATACAAGCGCATCTGCGCTACGTTTCTACAAGCGTATCCGAGACCAAGCTGTCGATTCTTGTTATATCCGAGTATTACGCAAACCAGAGAATCCAGTCACCCTTCACAGCATTGCGAGCACAGAGACCGTCTATAGAAAATATAGCTCATCGACGCATGTGATCGCGAGCGTCGCGCCCGCAGCCGCTCCGTTCACAAAGGGCGTCTTGTCCAGAAAATTCCTGTTCATCGCATCACCCCCAGGAGCGTCACGCACGCTCGGCCTCCGCGTGCGTGGCGCCCGAAGATTCCATCGTACGCGCATGGTATCCGATGCGCTCCAAAGCCTTCCAAATCTATCCTATATTGTACATTGAAGATCAGCAGCATGCAGCCCTCGTGCCGATTGCCTACGCACCGCGCGGCATTGACGACGACGCTGTGCGCCCGGAACAGCGAATGCGAAACGGACTCGGGTGCATCATGCGTTTTCGCGCCAAAACTTGCCAGGATGCCTCGCTGGCGCCTCTCGCTCTTCGGGCTGGATCGCTGCTTGTAGCGCCTCGCCCCGGAACTGGACGTCTTCTAATATGCGAAAGCGCTAACGCGCTTAAGGAACTAAACATCGCAACCCTTTCACAGCCTATGTGTGAACCGAACCTAATCGACGAATACATCTCGGACGATACGGGCGATAGATATCGAAGCTTTAGCCGAGATATTCCCAGAACAACGCAAGCGATGAAAGTCACGTCTGCGCAGCAAGCGAAACGTCACCGACTCGCACCAGCGTTCGTTACCTATTCTCGAGACGGTATCGAGCGCACAGTGCCACAGCCTGAAACGGATGCAACCTCCAGTTGCTCGTGGTCTATTGTGGTGCGCGATTCTCGGACAGAAACTGTCCTTCTGACGCGTGCAAAGTGCAGCGTCGCGAGCGGCAGCTCGAAAACAGCGCTCTCGTCGCCGATCGAAAAGTCAGAGCAGACACGCGTCTCGAGAGACAACCAGTTCGAGCGTGGGCGTTTCGCAGAGCTCCAGAGTGAATGGATGACTCGCGAGCTGCTCAGTAGCGGTGCATCGGAATGCAGCACAAGTGCTGGTAACGGCGACGCTGACGCCAAGTCGAGCACATCTGCAGCCGTTCAAGCGATCTTATGCGCCTTGACCTGCACGATTGAGAAACAGCCGCCTCCATGGAGCGCTGAAATTGCGCGTGCTGTGCTTCCGCTTTACGTTCACCCTAACTTGCAAGTGCGCACTTGGGTTCTGGCAGTCATTAGCCACTGTGAAGCGGCCGACGAACTGCAGCGCTGGCTCGCGGACCAGCTCGCTGCAGACAACGGTCCACTTCTCGACGCAATGCGTGCGGCGTTTCATCCCAAGTTCGAGTCAGAACGAGAGCGTCTCGTAGCTATAGAGTTCTGGGCGAACCTTGTTCGACTCCTGGGTCGACGCGGCTTGGGTACGCCTGGTATTGCACGCAGGCTGCTGAACTTGTACGAAAGAGCACTAGCGGACGCGAGGCCGTCAGTCCATGCCGCCGTCCTGAGAGCATGGCACGCCTTGATCGGGGTTGTGCTCGATCAGCGCCTGCCCAAGCATGAACAAGAACGATCCTGGATACGCGTCCTCCTGCAGCCAATCCGGATGACGCTGCGGCACGTCCCGCGAACGGAACTTATACTCACCGAGGGACATACTCCATCTGAGCGGAAGCAAGTGCGTCAGGCTTTGATAGACATGTTAGCCTTTTTCTGCTATCGCTACCTGCGATATACGGATATTTCGATTCGTTCAGCGACAGCGCGCATCTTCGAGGCCTTGGCAGACTTCGACGACGACGACGATGACGACGTCGGCATTGACGTGGACAATCCCGATCAGCGCAATATTGTGTTTAGTAGTGTGCTCGAGCATCTGTTCGCGACTGAGCAGGTGCGCGAGGCGCTTCTGTTGGCTGCTTTGCATCGGGATTGGAGCCAAACGCGGCTAGCGGCTAGCGAGTTCGCACATGCTACGAGGACAGCGTGTCAGCCTGACCAAGCGGACTCGTTAGTAGATGAGCTTTTCGACGCCCATGCCATGGTTGTTCCAAGTATCGCGACGCGTCAGCGAGCGGATCGTCAACTCATCGCTCGGGAATGGTTGAGCGTTGGGGCTCGCGACCTCACTTACAGGCGCTTTGGCGAACTACTTGTTCTCGCATTGCACCAAGCTGGCGATGAGCGGCCACTAGATCCCAGCCGCTCTCTGCTGGTGCAGCGCAGCTTTACCACCCTCTTCGGCGCTTTGAACGAATGCTCACGGCAGTGCGAAAAGTCCATTGGCACGCTGCTCGATCAACTCACCGAGACGTTCACGCGCTACCCGATCGACTGGACCCTGCTTGCGTCACCCTGTCTTAGCGTTGTGGTACCAGGTCATGGCGATAAGCGCCAGAGTCCGGCGCTCTTGCTTCTGTGGCTGGTTGCTCAACGCCGCGGCTCGTGGCCTCCCTGGCTGGATGCTCTCGCACTTGCGCTGCCGGACTTTTGGAGTTGCTTTGAGGTGCTCACACCAGTTGAGCACACCGCGCTGTTGCAACACCTTGCCCAACTGGCAGCTCGTCGCGTTACGATGAGCAACGCCACCAACGAATCCGAACAGCAGCAGCAGCAGCAGCGGTCGATAGCGGTGCACCACCAGCAACTCGATACCTGCTTTGCTCTGGTGTTTCAGGACCCAGCCTCGTCACTGCAGCTCCCTCCAGCGATGTATCAGAACGTTCCCGGCACCTTACTTGCCCATAGGTTGCAGCAGTATCGGCACTGGGTACCCGTGCCCCGCGCGATAGCGCTCCTGCCTTGGTACGCAGTGGCGGCCTCCGAGCACGCGCCCGAGCTCATCCACTACTTGTATCGTCTGGACCCCGAAAACGTCCACAAGTGCCTCCGTGCAGTGGCACCTCCATTGGCGGCTCGTCTGCGTCGACTACAAGCTCGTGAACCAGTATCGATTCTGAAAACCTCACCCGCGACACCGAGTCCTGCGGTCTGCAGTCGACGGCGTTTCCCGAGTAACGACGCCTGGACCCTGACTGACAGCCCTCATGACCAAGACGATACCGTTCGTGACCTCTCAGCGAAGAAAACTTCCCGTCACGTCCGCTTTGAAGATGAACCCGGACTCGAGCGTTTACCATCGTCACCGTTATCCTCACCGGTACGACGGGAATCGGCACCGTGTTCATCACCGCTTGTCGGGTACACACTGTAATGTCAAATACTAGATCATCATCAGTGTTTAAAAATAACGCAGAAGACTCGTTCTTGGTGTGTATGGACGGCTATCCAGCATCTCTGGATCCCTCAGCCGCACCCTGCAAGTGCACCGCTTCAGGCGAGCAAGCCGTGGCCTCTCTCTCTGTCTCTCTGCTGGACACTGAGCGATTCCCCATCACAAATCCGCAGCGATTCAGCATATCACGCCCGTACACGGCACTAAAGTACTCACTGAACGATTCGTTCGATGCATAACCGTTGCACTATTTGGAAGCAAACGACCCATTTGCGAATGTTGATCGAGGTGTTCTGATATCGGTGCAGAAACTGCCTGCATGTATGGACGGTGGCGAGAATCACACGATATCACGCCGATTCCTGTCGTTTTCCTCGTTATCCAGCGTTCGTTCACCTTACTCTACACCATCCCGTGCATTCAGCTCTATTTCACACGTTCATTCACTACCTACTTCAACGTGCACTTGTACTCATTCTGCGTCCATGTCGTCCTGAACACATCTACGCTCGTAAAGCAGCGTCGATACCAGCACTCTATGTGTGCCGAGGTCGAGGGCGCACGAGTGCAGCATTTGCGCACCACGGCGTGTCCAGCGTCATAGGATACCACCGGCAGACGACGCGATGTATCAGTCATTTCTTTTTGCGGCTCATTGAACAAGCTGGAGAGTCCCCAGCGCACGCTCATGGAAGCCTGCACAAAGTCGTCCGCTTGGTCCATATGGACGTTCATAGATACGCTCAGTGAACGAGGCTCAGAACAAACCAGCTCATCACTGGAGACGATCCCGCACGACTCGTTTGTGCATTCGTAAGCGCAAAACTGGCGTTCGATATCCAAAAGCACACCTCCGACGGCACTGAACCAGGGAAAAAGTACTCTGAAACGAAGATTTGCTCAAGACTCATATCAGCTGCATGCACTTGACCACATTTGCGTTGCATAAAGCGACGTTGGCTTCGATCAAGACAAAAGAATATGAAGAAGAAGAAGAAGCAACGAAACGTGCCCCAGCGAAGCATGAGGTATGTCGAACGACCCAATCCCAACGGTGCGTCGTCGACGTTCACGCAACTGAATCCCCGCTGGGTCTCAAGTTGTCATTCTCCCCGCTTGAACGCTTTATATGGACTTGCGGCGGTATCGCGTACAAGCGTAGTTGCTTGGTTCTCTATCCATCCTTGTGTCTTCGTCATTGCTGGTACCAGCACGACGGACACGTCATAGCATGTGCCGTCCATGGTCCTATTTTTTAGATCACTTGTCGAGAGTAATCGATTGACAGCGTCGCATACAGAGCGTTTGGTAAGGTCTGTTTTGCGTCCATGACGTTCGGCATTCGAAATACGCGTCATGAACTTCATCCGCCTGCTGACCCTACAATGCCTGAACTTGAAAAGAAAAGTTATTTTCTACAAGCGACCAGTGACGCCACAAAACCCGTCCGCGACGTTTCTCCATCATCCAGGATACCATCCTTTTATGGAATACCTGCGACAGAAACAAACGAAGACAAAAATTGCGTACGGGAACCGCTATGCCAGGGTTCACCGCTCTGATCATATGATAAACGACTCGCGTCGCGTTCTCGACGAGTACATCCATTCCGCATCACCAGAGGGAATGAGCGAGCGCCAATTCGCTTGCTATTCCAGGTACCACAGCTGGAGCGCTGCACCCTATGCTCTCATGATTCGAAGCATATGCTCGTACGGGTCATCGCCCATGGCCTTGATGCGGAGTGTGCAGGAAGCCGTTGGAAACGTGCAATTCCTGCTGCTGCTGCTGCTGCTGCTGCTGCTGTGGATACCAAGTGAGCCTTCAGAACATATTTCTTTGTATCGAGTTGGCGAATGCAACAGCAACGAGATCAGCGTCAACAGGAGACACGCTTTGTTCGGGTTCGCTGCATACATCCAGCCTGTATCCCAACGACAGCACCATGCTCGTTACTCGAAAGGAAACGCGCACTCCGCCGCGTCGAATGAGACCGGTGAGCGTCGAACGCTGTACAAAGCGTGGTACCGGTGGATAGCGGGAAACAGAAATAGGGCAGCGGCTACTTTAGCGTTAGCGGTTGGCTCGCTTCTCACACGGTTTCCCGACCCGATCACGCACGTCCAAGTACAGGCGCAGTGACAGGTACACGAAGCGTTCGGTGAACTTTTTGCTGCTTCTGGTGCTGCTGTTGCTGTCGCTGGGAGCAGCTCGTAGAGGTTTCCTAGACGCCGTCAGGCAGCGCAGTACGCCCCGGCGACAAGGTTAGCGCTTATACGCTCGTTCGCCGGTATCGGGAAGGAGCAGCGCTCAACGTTGCCCGCGCTGTACGTTGACGCTCGACGACAGCGTCATCCGAGCGCTTGGGAGTGCGCTCTTGTCGCACCGCCATGAGCAACCAGGCGTAGCTGCGTGCTCGCTCACAGATGCGTTTCCAGTGAGCGGAACAGACCGGCTCAATGAACCTTTCCTGAATCAAGCTGCAGAGGGATACGCTCTCAGAGGAGCTTCGTGACGGGCAGCCAGCCAAAGCCCCAACAACAGGCTCAATCCAGGCGGTGACACCATCCGATGGGGGCAGTTCATTGCAGCTCCTGCTTTCGAGGTAGCGCACTAGATCAGTCTGATTCATGGGAGCGAGCCGGGCTGGCGGCCCCTGGTGCCCCAACAGCTGCCACAACGTAGAGCCAACCGCAGCCAGGTCCACATCAAACGCCCACGGCTGCTGTGGTTGCTCCATCGCCAAGCAGCGAAAAGCCCTGGGCACCCAGCCACCGCGACACTTGGCTTCAGCGGCAAGCGCTTCTGCTTCCGGGCCTCGCTGTAAGAGCGTGAGCACTCGCAGATCCAAAGCGTGTTGCCAGTCAGAGAGTAGAATACGCGGCGCGAGAGCGCTATCGCCAGGAACCAGCCATAAACTTTCGGGTCGGATATGCCAGTGCATAATCAACTGACGGTGCACGAAAAGGAGCAACTGGAGCAGCTCAGAGGCAACAAATGCGACAAAAGCTGGATCAAGGCCTCCGTGGCGATAGTTGTAGTTGTAGTCGTAAAAGCTGTTGTTGTTGTTGTTGTTGTTGTTGTCGAGAGGTCCAGTCATCGCGACGTCATGTGGATGGGGTCGCTCCACGTATCCTGGGGTTCGTACGAGGTCGAGGAGATCGCCCAGCGTGCCCCAGGGCGGTACTTGCCCCAGAATGGTGTAGGCGCTCTGCGTATCCGGTGCTTCATAAAGCGTCTCTACCCGTGGCAAACGAGTGAGGATCGGGTCCTCGCAGCATCCGTCTGACGCTGCAGAGGCCTCGTGGAGCCGCTGTAACACCACACATTCCCAGCGCGCTGCGCCTATGGGCTGTTCCTTGAGCACAAGTAGCATACGGTTGGTTGCTTTTGCCCTGCGCATTGGCTGAAACAGCAGCGAGGCCTTGCTGCTGCTGCTGCTGCTGCTGCTGCTGCGCGGACCACACTCGAAGAACACACGTTCCAGTGCGGTACGCGCTGCAGACCTCGTGGACTTTTCAGAACAAGCCGGCAGCGAGATGCGGCGTCTTCGACGTTTGGTGTCTTCTTCATTGGTGCCAAGGATACGCTCGACTAGATAATAGACAGCGGGCGACGACTTGCCAGCGGAGCTGCTCTGCATGTGTCCTTGAGTGCAGTCGTTTGAGACGCTCAAGACGCTCCGAACGTACCAGCATTCGCTGCGGCTTTGGGGTTTCGTTATCCGCACATTACACGAAGTATGCTCTTCCAGTTCGAGCGTATTCGCGAGCACGAACTGGTCGCAAGGCTTCGTTCGCTGTAAATGTTCAGAGAGCCACGCTTCTTCCTGCTCCCTGAACGTCAAAGCGAAAGGACGCAAGACGAGGGTATCGCTGTGCTGCTCGTGAAGGGCGTCTACGCTAGGTGACTCTGTGTTGCTGGTCCAGTTCCCAGAAGCGGCCTTGGGCGTACCCCATATAGTACCGTTTGCTTGCCGCTGCCTAGCGGTGCTCTGGGCAGAGCAGGCGGACCCTGTCGACGAGCGAGCGGCGAGCGGGGACAATCCCGGGGAGGCAGCACAGCTTGCAGTCCCTTCTTGGACAGCAGCTGCATGCTGGCACGGCGAGCTCAGCGACGACGACAACGTCGAGGACGCTTCCTCATGCCCTTCGGGAATAGGGCTCAGGGGTGCCGAACAGAGCAGCTGGTCGGTACCGGCAAGAGCCCACAGCGGGTGCCTGAGCGGTACTTCATGTGTTTGAGCAGCGCTTCTCAAGGTATCCGTCGAATATGCCGCCTGTGCAGCATCCGCTTCCGAGTCGCTGCGTGCGGACGCAGCAGCGCTAGACGCTGTCTCATCCTCACAGAGGGATGCAGAGGCCGCACGCTCTCTGCTTGACGGCGTCGTGTTGGCGGTGTTGTCTTCGTTGACGGTATCGCTGGTACCAGTACCAGTAGCAGTAGCAGTACCATTGACCGCAGCATCGGCTTGCAGGGATTCAGCGGACATGTTATCCAGTGCTCCAGTGGCGTCGGCGTTGGACGACTCCACTTGAGCGCGTGCAGGAGGTTGGGGCACTGCTTGGCTTCCAGAAGGCATGCTGCCAATCCCGTCGAGAAGGGCGACGGTCATGTCTTTCGCAAGAAACGGTATACAGTCACTGGATGGCGACCCAGGCGAGCGCTCCTGGCTCTGCGTACCCTTCCCGTGGCTCGCACATGTTGCGTTGCACGTCTCCTTGGATGTCGCCGCAGTCCCCAGAGGTGAATCTGTCGTCAGATCCAGGTACCAAGCATCGCTCTGTACATGGGCATTACAAAGATCAGCGGGGTTCATGAGAGATGCATTCGAAGACGTACTCTCTTCCATTTCGCACAAAAAGGCCTCTCGTTCGGGCGTGCGGAGCACAGGCTGGAACAACTGGTGCATCGCGCTGCACGATAATGATGACGATGTTGATGGTAACGGTGGTGTTGGTGGTTGTAAAGCTGCCATATGCTGCTCTGGCGAGCGAGAGTCCGGCAAGGGCATACTCTCAGCAGCAGGGCTTGCGGGCGCGGTCGTGCTTGTCAGCAGGGCACCTGGACTGCCCGTACGGCTGCGGGCGACTTGTTCTCGGTTTTGGGCATCGAGCTGCTGGTGCGTCGAGGCAGGCGAACGCTGCAACACGTCTGGTGAATGTGACGCGCCTTGCGCAGCGGTTTCCGTGGCGGGGTCCTCCAAACGCGCCGCTTGTGGCGACTGGCCATGTCCTGGAGGCAGCACAGAGCGGTGTGGCGCGGTATCCGCGTCCAGCAAACATTGCCCTATAACCAAGGCTTCCTTCGGACGCATCGACGAGGGCGACTTTGGTGCAGCCTCAAACGATCGGTTATCTGGTATCGAAAGCTCCTGTCGACAAGACGCATTGTCATTATCCAGAGCATCTGATGTCGGGAAGCATTGGGGTCGCTCTTCGCTGCTCTTGGCGCCCCGCATGGTCTCTGCGTGAAGCGAACAGGCTGCTGATTCCGCCACTTCACGTCGCATACCAGGCGAAGGGCGTGTAGCCAGGGAGCACTGGAACTGCATCGCAGGTACGAGCGCTTGCTCAACTGCAGCAACTGCTTCTGCGGTGCTCTCGAGGACGCTGCGCTTCGGGTCTGCCGTCTCCCAGGCGCGCTCATTGTCGACAGTAAAGTCTTCTTCAACGTCGATAAAATCAGCATCTGTTGGTGAAGGCAGACACCTTTCCACCAACACACCACCAGTAGCAAGAGAGCTTCTCGGGTAAACGGGACGCTGCGATCTTGACTCTGTTTTCCGGGCACTATCGAGGCAGTTTTCCTTGTCGGAGTCGCTCGCATCTGCATCGAAGCTTGAGTCTAGCATTCGACTTTGGGCACCCGAACTGCCGTGGACACGCGCTTCAGCTTCTCGTGTGGGAGCCGACGTGGCAAGACAGGGTGTATTTTCATCGGCCTCCACAATAAGCGGCGAGCGCAAACTGTCGTTGACTTGTTGCCAAGCTCCGGCTGTCGGGGTCGCTTTTGCAGGATCACTCTTTGTCATTTCGCGGAGCACGCGGGTCTCCTCGAACTCAAAATGCAAGGGTTCGTTGAACATCGATTCGATATCAGCCATTGCTTGTCGCGTGTGCAGCGTAGGTGAGCATACTTGGAGTTGTTCGGAATTGAGGCGCTGGCCAGAACTTGCTGATGAAGACGGTGGTGACGGTGACGGCGAGAATGGCGGTGACAACGACATTGCACGAGTCTCTCCGGTACGCTGGGCACCTGGTTGGCTGGAAATCGGCGTGTTTCGTAGCGCAACAGAGCATTCAGGCTCTTGTACCGAATCGCTTCGAGCGACAACGTGCCTGCTCGTGGCAAGATTCTCAGTCCGCAAAGGCGTATGGAGCTGTGCGCCGGAGCGGCTACTTCCGGAGACGAACGGGCTCTCTGTGTGCTCAGCGCGCTCCGACGCGTGTTTCATCCCGGTGCTGCTTCTTCCCGAGGATGAGCGACGCTCAGCAGATCTAGTTGGATCTGTAGACGGTGCCGCCACGTCGAAGGTGTGCGGCAGGGAACGAGCATCTGATGCGGTATGTAGCTGTTGCTGCTCCTCCTGCTCCTCCTGCTCCTCCTCGTCTTCATCGACATAAACTGTGAATGCAAGTGTGCGTCGCTGATCATGAGGCACGAGCGCTGCATTCATCGCACGTTGGTGCTGAAAGCGAGCCTCATTGTCTTGAATGAGATGCACACCGTTCCATGGCTGGATGCGCCCCTGGTTCTCTCGTTTTCCAGCAGCGACGGAAGGAAAGCGCAGCCCATCGGTGGGCATGCCGCTCTCACCGGGTCGCTCTGGCAGCTGCGCTGACGCAGCACTCGTCGACTGCTCTGTGAGCTGGGAGCTGTCAGCATGAACGACAAAGGACCGCCCTGGTCGTTCGCTCATCGAGGCTGCGTTCACGTGGGATCCTCGAGGCTCCCACGCCCCAGTCTGTGAGTCGTGTCGACGGAGGCCTTGCGTCTCGTTCCAGGCGGAGGTGTTCGCATGCGCTTCCGCACTTGCGCTTCGACGACTGTATGGCTGACCGCCCCGGGTAGAAGCATCTGGCTCACGAAGCGATGAAAGCGCGCTGCGTGGAATATCCGTACTCTGCGCAGTATTTCCACCCAATCCTGTTGGCTGCTGCCCGCCTCTTAAGGTATGTCGAACTGGAACGGTTCCCCCTGCGTCAGAATCACCATGCCGCAGGGGTCCCGCATGTTGTTGTGCTCGTCGCTGACGCTCTAGGCGCCTCATCATTCGCGCTTGAAACTCCTCATGGCGTCGATGTAAACGGTCCAAAGGGGCGGCTCCGCGTTCAATCCCTTCTGCATAGCAGCGGTCCGCCATAGCGAACTGATGTTTCGCTTCCAGGACCGAAGCGAAAGCCTCGTAAAAAAGAGCCAAACACTGCCCAATGTTTTGTGCTCGCATGTAGAGAAAAATCTCGGTTGGATCCGGACACAAATCGGCGTACTGCACCCAGAGACGAACGTATCGTGAATCGTTTCGGTATTGCTCGATATACTGCTCAAGATAAGGGTCGCTGGTGGCTGGACCAAATTTTCTTAAAGCTGTTTCCATCACAGTAGCGAGCTGTGATCGAGGACCCTCGCTCGGAAAAGCCTCCTGCCGCCATCTGATGTACGCGATCCAGATTGCTAGCGGGTCAGCAGGTGATTCTTCCACGGCTCTCGACGTTCGCTGCTCCCACCATTCGATCGTCGTTTCTAAATCGCTTCCAGCCGAGCTAGTGCAGCGCTGCGTTCCTGGCGAACGCGCATGAGCAACGCCTCCTTTTTCCACAGTCGCGGTTAGTGGTGCACGTTGCTCTCTATCAGTTGTATTGCTGCCTTCGTTCAAGCCTCCCGAGATAGCCTTTGCTTGCCTTTTCACTTTTGCTGATAAGGAATCTTCTACTTTCGAGCGTGTACTCGGGAAATCACGTCCGAGATGAACGTGAACGCCGTCCAGATCGTGGCCGGGTACCCGAGCATCGAGACCCTCTGGCGCTCGCTGCTCCGAAGCGGCAGCGCCTAGTGCGGCTTCAAGCCTCCGCAAGGACCTACCTGGCTTTATGGGCTGTACGTTCTCCTTGGACGTCTCCCAAACAGGCTGCATCGAGAGAGAGAGAAAGAGAGCGCAGGAGAAGACACCGCTACGCCTGTTTCGTTGCAACCAGCGTTCCTGGAAGCAGCACGGCAATTCAAAAATAATGAATACGGCTAAAATGGCGCCTTGGGCGATTCGCCACGAGCGAACAGTAAATCAGCATAGAGATAGATAAAACTGTATTAATGGGACGTAGCGTGGGTGCGCGCTGCTGGACCCTGCCTACGATGCACCGGGTGCAGTCTTGAACTCATCTCGACTGCCGACAGCCAGCTAAGGCGACCCCTGCATCACTAGAGACGCTTCCGTGACGCAGAAGCTGCAGACCCGCGACACACACGGGCGTCGCTGTAAGATGGATCGACTCAGTTTCTGGATAACGAACGTAGGCTACGTGTGTTGCGACTTTATTGGGTGCACTGGGGCAGTTGCGGTACGGAGTGAGGGCGCCTTCTCGATACCGTCTGTACCCTGTGCGTGCGGCGGGCGTCTGTGGACGTCGCACTCGTTCAGGGGCGTTTCACCACACCATGACAAACTCGAGCTCAAAGCATCACCGTTCAGGACGGCCTCGTGCGGATGTTATCTCCAAGCATGCTCGATAGTTCCGGAGGCAGCGCTCTGGCCTCGCCCACTGCGGTGTCGACGACACCAGAGCATTCTCCTCGGACTCTATAGGATGCTCAGCGCAGCAAAGCGGTTATGTGGGAATGGATATATTGACTCTATTTATATCATATGGTTTAGTTTCAATCTGTAATCTTTGTGACGCCGCCGTCTTGACGCGCCTCGGCGCGGCTCCGACAACTCGGTGCCGTCTTGTTCGAGCTGACTCGTATTCACCAATGAGGCTTCGGACGTGGTTAGTTGACGGAATTAGAAGAAACGCTGCGGCATGTTGTGCGATCTGCCGAGCGGGGCTTTTTTTTGGGTGAAGGACCTCTGTGTCGTTTAAACGATCCTTTTCCCAAAGGAAAGTCTACGCGGATCCGCAACCAGCCCGTGGCAGTCGCCTTGTCCGTGGACGTATTCACCACGAGAACATTGGCTACCGACGCCAGCACACACTCAATAAGCTAATGTTGCTTTTTTCGCGCCCAACAGAACGTAAGTAAACTGGAATTGCTCCGGACGCAACGGATCAACTCGGGGAAGACTCTGCTAAGCGTTCCTCGTTATCAGAGCGCTACGTACGGTTTACGGGAGGGTCCTGGATTAGCCCCTAAACCAGGCTCGGTGCGAACAGGTGCGCCCTGATTCGATGCCAGCCGTTTGGCTCTGGGTGAAAGTCCCCGGACAGTAGGTCAGAGAGTGTCGGTGGTAAGCAAAGCTGGGCGTTTCAGGTCGCGCACACTTCTGCTCGCGGGACTGCAACCACAGAACCCCAATAAGAGCGGGAGTGCTGCGCGACAGTGAACGTCGCTTGTCGATGGTGCAGCGCTGGAACCTGCTGCCGCGTTGGGGTGCTTGCGCCCCATGTTTGGCAGCGGCAGCCTGCACTGAATCAGCAATGGAACGAGCGAGAGCGACCGTCCTTCATGGACGGCGACTCGTGAACACAATGGGGCTTACTCTGGCAGTGTGCTCCCTATGTTGGCCATTCGAGACGGAACCGGTTATGTCGCTACCAGCAACTGTCTCAGTGTCGTGAGACGCGCCCCGGTCGATGGGCGTATTCTTCGAGCAGCGGCCAGCTGTAGTGCCTGGACCTGCCAGTCGCTTGCAACTGGTCGCCAGCGTACGCTCATCAAAACGGTGGCGTCCCCGCGACCTGCTTCAGTTCCTTGGACCAGATTACTAACCTTTTTTTAGCACTGATTTGACCAGATTCAGGATCGCAGTTTCCACGCCTAGTCGTGGAGGCAGCAGAATTTCCCGTCCAGCTTGACGCCGCGCATAGCGATGAGGCATGTTATCCACGCAAATCGAACTCGTGACTGAAGCGAAGATGCTGTAGGAAGCAGAGGCTGTAGCACGAGCTGCCAAGACCGTGCCTGTTGTGGCAACAGCCAGTGTGGACATTCATACACCTTTGGAAGAGAACTCCGTCGTCTGTGTTTCTCTCGTGGAACAGGCGATCACGGATTTCAAGCTCACAGGCAAAACAGCCCCCAAGATATCCTGTTTAGAGCGTCCGCGAATGCGCACGTATTCCATAGCCGCTATGCACTAGCAACAAATTGTGAAAGCTATTCAAGCCTAGAAGGCTATGGTCACAGGAAACACCCGGATTCGAATCGCAACGCGAGTCCCCGGACCCACGAGCAAAGCACCCGCACTGAGATCCATCACATACCATTGTGAAGATTCTCTGGATGACTCGAGTTGTGCCTCTGCATCCCTGCTGACACCTCGGCAGTCTGCATGCAAAGCAGTCTTCGACTCCGCGAAGCAATCGTCATTGGCTGTACTTCAGAGCGCATGGACTTGCGCTACGCACAGGCGCTCATCTGCAGCTTGGAGCACTCTATACGTCGTGCCTCAAGGAACGAGCTCCGAGTGCGGGTTCAGTCGAGTTGGCGAGCGGGTTTCATCGATACCAACGCGCAATTCCCGCGACAAGTTTCCAGTAAGAGGCGGGCCGCCATACAAATCACCTAAATACGCCTTGTACGCTGGCATAAACTTATCGACAAACGCGTAGACCTGCTCATCGGTCATGGCTGGTCGCCCTGCAGCCCGCATCTGCTGTTCAGCCTCGAGGCGCCACTGGTACACAATCCGTAAGGATTCACTTAATTTCGGACCATCCAATGCAATGACAATAAATGCATCCAAGAGCGGGTAGAGCCGACTAAAGTCTTCCGCGAGGAATCGATCGACTTGCATCAAATGACGCAAGGTAATCGGGTCCATTGTAGCAGGTCGCTCGTGTAGCGCCAGCGGTCGGAATCCGAGGCACCAGCCCTCCAGGAAGACGACATCAACAGGCCGGCTCACAAGGGGCCACTGCTCTGGCGGAGCACGATCGCCCAGTCCTTGAAAGGCGGACTTGTCGTAACGCGGCACCGCAACCTCTGCATGTTCCCCTGGATACGGTGCAGCTACCACCTCGTTCAAAACCTGCAGCGCAAGCGAGATATCGTGCGTCCCCGGGTTGCCTCTTGAGCCCAGCAGCGGATTCTCGGGAAACGCTCTGGCTAGTGCCTCCTGCTCGCGACGAGTTAGATAAAAATCATCGATGCTGAGAGATACACACCGACGTTGCTCGAGATCGAATAATTTCTGGAGTGCAGCTGTCAGTGTGGTCTTTCCGCCTCCTTGAGGGCATTGCAGTCCGATAATGACGCCGTGCTGCTTCCGTCTCTCGTCTCGTTGCAGTCGGTTGACAACATGTAGGGACCAGGCAAAAACAGGTAAATAGAAACGAAAAATGCGATTTTGATCGCGCTCAAGGGTCCCGTCCAAGCCGAGTTCTTTAAATAGGTACGAGCCCCATGCCTGCCAGCGCGAGAGCGAGCGACTTGGCGCATACTGCGGGGGAATCGCCGCCGCCAGCGGACCCTGCTCGATGTAGCTTTGCAGCCAAGTTCCAGAGCCGCTCCAATCTTTGGCCTTCTCAGTCACGTGATGTGTGAATTCATGGGAACTGGTGGCTGCAGTGTCTCGCGGTGGCTCTAAGCTCGCGTGCAAGCGCGCTCGCAACGCCTTTCGACCGAGGGGTCTGAGCGGGCACCTCGCGAAAGCGCTTCTCCGAGGCGATATGGAAGCAGCATTCAACGTGCATCGGCGAAAAGGCGAAGGCGACGCCGTCCAAGCGAGCATACTAGGTGAGCTTGGAACCACCTCTGTGGCACAAGGCTCGGCAAACGCGCGTCTACAGAAACGCTCGTCAACGCCACGCCCTCCTGAGAAGACGAATTCACCAGTGTTCCTTGGATGACGGTTCCCTTGAACCTTCCTCGCCTTAGTATTCATCGAGTTAGCGCAGTTATGAATATAAGATTCCAAGCGATGGTGGAAACCCGTGGAAATCCGGGCACTCGAGGGTCTAGCAAACCCGCCCAGCGCTTCGCAACGCAGCCAAGCGATAATGATCATGGAGCGATACGGGCGCTGCACTGCTGCTCGGCTACTGTACCGAACACGTCCCATGGCGAACTTGTAGCCTAGATCCACCTAGATTTGCATAAGATTCTGTGTAGGACTGTGATTAAAACCGTGCAAAGTGGTTTCTTATCAGCGTATCAAACGCCGTCACCGGGTCTTAGAATGTTGAAAGGGTTCTGGAACGCCGCAACATAGCCCAGGTGCCTCTGCACAGAGAGCAGCGACGTGTTGCAGACCGCTTAGCCGTCTGCGGCCTACGATCCGCCCAGTGGCGTTGGTCGTTTTGGAGCAAGTCGAGGTGCTCTCTTAGGGTCTTGATCATACACCAGCTTCGAGTAGAGGACGGATTCCGGCTACGACTCGCAGAGTGCTGGCCGCCGGAATTCTTTTGCCCTGGGCTGCGGGTACGCCCGGTGCTTGATCCCTTGTTCTTCTTAAGCGACATTAGCTTCCAACGCGATCAGCAAGTATTCATTTTCGAATCGAGAAACTTTGAATCCTGAAACCTCGTTCCTTGGAAGTGAACCGGCGCCATCTGTGGCTCAGGTGAGTAGAAACGAGGATCGGTCACTCGATGAGCAACACATGAACAAGCAGGACAAGTTTCTCATGCAACCTGCAGATGTGTGCGTGAGCGCTTGGGAGCTTCTGTGATGGAACTGGCCGTTTTCTTTCTGCCGCTGAAACCGCGGCGGTAATCTGTAGCGGTTAGCGCCGACAGCGCGATATTCGCTTGGCTAGGGCGCCGCTGCACTGTGTTTCCCCTTGCGAAACAGCGGGATTCGACGGACGCATACCCCGTTCATACCAAGGATCGTACGGACGACGCCGAGGCCCTGACGCACGGGGGCCGTTCGCTAGCGATCCCTTCACTGACGCTTGGAGGTTGCGTCTTCGGCCAGCATACAGTGCATCTTGCCCTGAACCGCGTTCAGCGCGAGGTTATCGCCCCGAAAGCGGGCCCTGTTTGGATCGCATCCATCAACTCGTCGAGGCAATACGTCTTATGCAGTGGTGCGCGCAACTTTATAGACCTGTATGTGGAGCAGCTGCGGGCACCGCGTTGATTACTGGGAGAGACTGCAGACACCTGAAGGTATGGTCCCGCTCGATGTGGACCTTGTTGACGCGGCCCGACGTTGACATCTTGGAGTGCTTCCTTCTGTGATCCGGACTAGTCGAGGGTGGCAACGCTTGTTCGGGTTGCGGTACGATGCGTGAAATGATCCTTCTATTTGTCGACCGTGCTTGATCCTCGGCGTGCCGAGCAGCGAGTAAACCTTTCAACGGGTTCTTCGCATGCATCCAAGTACACCTGTAGGCTGCCAGTTGCTCGCAGTTCTACCCAGGCGAAGCCCAGACAGCAGCCGCTAGGGGCAGAATCCATCGCACTCGTTGGATTCATTGCGCCTCTGGAGCTCGATACTAAGCATCCAGGTACACGAGGATTTCCTCATCCACGCTGTGCAGCAGTGCTCAGCTTTCTGAATCACTGCCGGCTCGCTACTAGAGATGGTGCTGCTCTCTCTGTTTCTAGCAACGCCAACGCTGCTCGTTTCGCTGCCAACTGAATGCAGTGGAAGCGCCGCTCGTGGAGCAAAACCCCGCCAAACCAGCGACAGACGCAGATAAAGATATTATGCTGGTTCATACTCCGCAACAGCTCCAAAACGACCCGGCCGGCTCGCTGCTCACCATCGTCGCAGTAGTCTTCGTGAATGTGCTGGTCGTCGCCCATGATCCGAAATGCCCAGCTCAGGTGCGTTGCTTGTCGGCCTTTGCGGTGCTGTCGCAGCGATTGTAGACACAGCACTGCAGCGGAGCTCGACATGATCCGAGCGGCGTGGCCCTGAAATGTCGACTTGCGTTCCGTGATTGGTTCCGACGACACAAGTCGTACGACCTCGCTCGGGCCCGGAGATGTAACGTCCTGCTCACAGGCGGTTGCACGCTGCGAATCAGGTATGGAAGCGGTTATTCCAGTGACCAACTCGGACGCTGGGACGTTGCTTGATGTCCTTTTCTGCCTGTTTTCAGGCTTGTTCCGCTCCGGCGACTCCGACTGTGGCCTGTCAAGTGGTGCGCTTTCCGTATACCCCGGATCCGAAACGACGCCCTGGGTGCTGGTGTCCCAGTGCTGAGTACACTGCAACTGCTCATCGTGAAGCACGCTTTGACGCGATTCATAGAGCACAGAGGCTATCGAACAGATGACCCCAGCTTGCTGTTCAAGTGCATCTGCTCTACGACTACCATGAAGGTCAAGGTCTGCGCACACGGATCGCAACATCGACTCCAGTTTGGGTGCTGGGAGCCAGTCTGCTGTTAGACGCAAGTCAGAACAGGAGAGAGAAACCTTTTCAGGATATCCATCTGGCACGTGACAAGTAAGCGTTAACCCAAAAGGACTCGAGCTGCTCGGCAAGTGCACCCGCAACGTCCTCGTTTCTGCGGAGAACTCCACCGACTCGCTTCCGTAGACCAGCTCCAGAGCGCTTAGCTCGTCAGCGAATGTGCCAGCGTTCATCTAGCGCCACACTCCAAACTCCTACCCAGCGACGACTCCAGAAAACCCAGTTCAACGCCCTCTACTGGTGCCTCGGAGCTGTCCATCGCCTGAGCGTCCCCAAAAGACGCTATACCCGTGTTATGCCAACGCAACTGTGTCTCCTTGCGGTACTCGAGGCAGAGCGGATTGTGTCGAGGTGTCGCATCGATAACGCGATCCAGCGGAATGCCGAGCCCATTCCAGCCTACTCCATACCATTCCGTTCCGAGGCTTCCGCTCCCGAGTGCGCAGGGTACGCGACTAGCCCTGTGCACGACGTCTGGTGGAACGGTGTGCACTAGGAACCTGGGTGCAGCGCTGGGAGCCTTGGTCTATGCGCTCTTTCGTCACAGGCAAGAGCAGGTTGTTATTGCAGCGGCTGCTGCTGCTGTCAAGCAGTCCAGTCGTGGGGGGTTGTACGGCGAGAGCTTCACGTCAGTGCCGGTGCTTCTCCGCCGCTCCCGGTGACTACAGCAACTTGCAGGTAGAGGTTCGGGGTAACGTTGGCCTTGTGGCGATTCATCGACCAGCGGCTTTGAACGCGCTCAATGATGAGACGACGGCAGAGCTGTTGGACGCACTTCAACGGTACGATCGTGACTCAACCATAGGCGCTATTGTGTTAACGGGAACTGACCGGGCCTTCGCTGCCGGAGCGGATATCAAGGAGATGGCGAATAGGAGCTTTTCTCAAGCGCGCCGACGTGACGCGGGTTCCTTCATGGACTTGTTCTTCGCGCTGCGCTCACCGACCATTGCGGCGGTGCGCGGGTATGCGTTGGGCGGGGGCTGCGAACTTGCACTCGCTTGCGATATCGTGTATGCTGCGGAGGATGCTCAGTTCGGTCTTCCCGAAGTGCAGATCGGCACAATCCCTGGCTGGGGCGGCACGCAACGACTTGTGCGAGCTATAGGAAAGGCCAGAGCGATGGAGATGATTCTCTCAGGGAGACGTATATCATCGCGCGAGGCGGAAGCCTGGGGGCTCGTTGCCGCTGTGCACCCCGAGGACAAGCTCCTGACGGCGGCCTTGGATACCGCCACAAAAATTGCCTCGTTGTCGCAGCCGATCGTACAAATGGCGAAAGCTGCGGTCAATGCCGCTTATGAAATGCCACTGAGGAGCGGAGTCCTGTATGAGCGCGCACTCTTCCAGTCGACGTTTGCAACCCAGGACCAGAAGGAGGGCATGACGGCCTTCTTGGACAAGCGCGAGCCGAAATGGACCAACGCATGATGGGAGCAGGCATCGCCACCAGGCAAGGAATCCGTCGGGCGCAGAGACCGATGCTGCCTTTGGTTCACGGACAGTACCGCTTTTGTTCTGCAGTCGTGACGTCGTTGATATGTGTGTGCGTTCCCGAGTTGCACAGATGAGCGCTGGATGTACATGTGTCCGGCCGCTGCGCGTATGAATGTTTGGGAAAACCACGCCTCGCAACCCTGGCACTCATGTAAGCGTTTCGGGGGATCCGTTGCGTACGTTTGCATGGTTGCTGTTATCTCCATGATACTGGGTTGCTGGTGTTGCTACGTACGTTGCTGTAGACGGCGGATTCCGTTCCATTTACACTCGTAGCAGTGCAAGAATAGCGTATCCCGCTTATCTGGTGACTACGTGACACTGGGTAGCTTTTGTGTTGCTACGCACGTTGCTGTAGACGGCGGATTCCGTTCCATTTACGGTCGTAGCAGTGCAAGAATAGCGTATCCCGCTTATCTTCTAACTACGTGATAATGGGTAGCTTGTGTTGCTACGCACGTTGCTGTAGACGGCGGATTCCGTTCCATTTACAGTCTTATCAGAGCAAGAGTAAAATATCCTGCTTTTTAAATTCCAGTTTCGCGAGTCTGTGCGTCGAATCTGTTCCAATCGTTTCTATATACGGGTGCAGTCTCCTTGCCAGCGGATTCGCTGTAAAGCTGCTGCGAATGATTCCTCTCGCACACAAATGCGACAACGATCCCCTGAACGTGTCGCTTTCACCATCATCTTTGAAGTTCACTGTCGCAGCAACCTAGTCTTTGGCATCCAGAAGGTAGCGAACACACCAGCGGCTCACCGGTCTGCACTGCTTGAGCTAGTGAAGGTACGAGGCATCCACGTGACGTCAAAACGCAGCGCCTACTCGACATTCGAGCATTCGCTGCGACGCTAATCATCACACGAGCTACTGGAAGACACCTTCAGGACGCCGAGAGGTCGCATTAGGGTGTTTCTTCAACGTCACGGATTATTAGGAGGTCACAGCGGTGGCAAGTACGGCGCGCATTGTACCAAGACGAGATTCGCCATGAGGGTTTCTCCGAACAAGTCCATTGGTGATCGTAGAGGAAAACACTCTGGAATCAGTATGCTTATCTGATATGGAGCCATTCAAACGGGTGCTGAGAAGACGCTGCCTCACCGCCGACAGGTGCATGTCAGTAGAGTCGGAGAGGAAGACTGCGAAACGCGACACATGGCACCAGCGAAATACTTATGCAGACAGCAGCGGTCTACCAGAGCTAGAGGGAACGAGCCTTGACGCGACTGCTGTATCAACTAGAGCAGACCGCTTCAGTGGAACAGACGCAAGCGCTGACGAGTAGACGGACCCTTCGAGACCCCGGCACTCAAGGCTGCTGTACTGCACTTTTGATGTACACACAGGCGGGCAATCGCTAGAGTTCAGAAGGATACCACCCACAACGTGAACCTCTTGCGACACGTTCCCCGGATCCAAACAAGTTGTGCAACTAGAGTACCAGTGCCGCGCCCACTGTTTCACCCGTCCCCTAAAACCGTGTAACGCTGACAAGTCCAGGACTTGCTTGGCGTCGACACAAACCCGATAACATCTATGACATCGACGGTATCGCGAACACTCCACCCGGACATCAACTTCAGGATGTTCTCGTATGCACCCGCGAACGCGACCTCAACTAGTCGGACACGGTACAGTGAGCATCCCGTACAGACTGGGTGAGTCCAGCGGCGGAAACTTGTCACCGAGAAGTGCGCTGAGACCGAGAAGGTGCGCTCGATGCATCGTGTCGCTGGAGGTGTTTTCTGCAGCAGGCGCCGGTGCCTCTAGCATTCTACGCACCAAACAGTGAATTCGACGAAGCTCATACGCAACAGCGGAGACTGCACCTTGGCCCTTTGACGTCGTGCTCATATTCAGAAACGAGGTTCGGAGCGCAAGCACATAGTCCACTTGGGCGTCCCGCACCAGAGGGAATTTTTCTGGACTCGTTTCTACATTCTTCGGATCGAAAAACATGTTCGTCAATAACTCCAGATATGTATGCAGTGGAAGCGTAGACGCTGTCCCCCATAAAGCGTTCTCTTGCAACCAGACGAGTCGTTGTGGATGCAGGGCCAAACTGAGTACCTGACTTCGCGTCTGCTGCAGCAGCGTCAGAGCCGAAACCGGTCTCGTACCCAGACAGTGAGTAACCACACCGTCACACTTGCCAGCAGGCTCGACAAGGTCCAGAGCCCACGTTGGGTAGCCACCACCCAGGATCGCCTCGTGGTCCAGTGGCGACAGCAGGCGCCGCAAGAGTCCAAGTGCCCGCTGCATCGTCTCCGTATCGACGGGTTTGCGCGGCACCTGGACGGTGCGAGCTGCTCTGCCTGGGGCAATATCCGCGGGGTGACCCCGACGTAGCTCAATGCTCCCGAGAAACTTGGTTGCATAGAGCGCACTGCGACTCCCAAAGAAGAGCGCGTACCGGACAAGTTCAGAGTAATCGCTCCATGAAAGGTCGCGCTCATGCACAAGGGCGCGCAGACTCGACAGCGCTCGCCCAACAACCAGTCGAACGTTTTCATGATACGCGAGCGGATCGTCGGAGAGATCCCACTGCGAAACATAGACATCCACACCATTCGGACTGGGGTCATCTTCGTCGGTACCAAAATGGAGACCTGCCTCCACGGCCTGCTCGGCAAGCGGTGCGAGCTCCACACGGTGCTCCGTCAATGCTTCGTCGACTGCTTGGCGCAGTGACAGACTGCTGGAATGCAACTGCTCCAACAGCTGCGTGGGGCGCTCGCTCCCTCCATATCCATATCGAATAGCCAAGATATCGTATGCTCCAATAACGTGCTGAAAATAGCGCGTTTGCTTCTGACTATCGGCAAAAATCAAAATCGGAAGGTAATCCATCACCGATGAGCTGATCCCGTTGCGTTCAACGTACTCGGGATCGCTCAGATCCTGCCAGCGTACGTTCGCGCTCGCCCTAAAGTTATGCCGCAAGCCGAGTGCATGACCAACCTCATGCATCGTGGTATCGATGAGCGCATCGCAGATGAATCTCTCGGGTACATCGCCGACATCCGACACCAGTGCCATAACCTCGAGTATCGCAAACGCTGCTGTATCCAGGCGCGCAGCATCCACGAGCTGAACACGACGCAGCGCTGGCGACTCGCGCACGGTGGAGACGCTCGCCATGGGATAGGCTTCGCTACTCCGACGTTGTCCACTGAGACGACTGCTGTCGTTCGGTGCAGTCAAGCGCTGCTGCGCAGCGACCAGATTTGTGTATTGTCGCATCAGACTGCGAATCCATCCGTGCGTAAAGATAATATTCGAGTTGAGAATTTCCCCAGTACGTGGATCGATATTGCTCGGTCCTAGCGCGAAGACACTGTTAAGTGAAGGCGACCAGCTGATGGTGCTGAAACGAATATCACCGATATCGTAGTCCGAGGGCCAGTCGCTGTCCTCGGGGAGGACGGCTCGAATCGCTGGCTCTACCCTAGCCGCAGATTTATTCCAACCGGCCTGAGCAAAGGCGAGGTTCCAGTTCTCCACGCCACGTTTGAGACAAAGTCTCCAGCGACTCGGAACTGTCGGATCGATATAGAATACGGTGGGTAAGCGTCGACGATTGATGACATCGATGCGTTCGTGGATTCCCTCGTCGTGATCCAACAACAGAAACGACGTCGTAAAGTAGCCGATTCGCTCGTCTGCGAGTCTGAGTGGAAGCGAATCCGATGGGAGCCGCACCAGCTGGAAGGAGATCTCTGCTGCAGAGACACCCGAAGGGTTCCAGCCGCTGGCAGCCTCTTTCTGTGGAAACATAGCCTCCACTCGGATCTCGACATTACCTGGATACGCTTTCGCTGCAATGACCCGATAAGACCAGGGCGCTTTCGCGGGCGAGCTCGTCTGCGCGGTGAGCTTTGCGGGTGCATCTTCCGAGAGCACCGCGAATCCGTCACTGACCCAGGGAGTGACGTCCAGGATCAAGCGAAGGTTTTTCGTTTCGTCTGTTACATTTTCAAACGACGCTGTTTTGTTCACGGACAGCGCATCCTGGTACGTCACCGCCACGATCCGCAGGATCTTGCTCCATCCGGTCCATGTGCCTGCCGCATAGGACGCAGCCAGCTCAGAGTCGTTATGCTGAATGCGCACCCCGAGCTGGGGTCGATACAGATCAACTGCCCATGATGGACGTGGTTTCCCTAAACGCAAGGCAAACCAGTTCTCTTGTGCACGGTTAGAGGGAGCATGAAGCATGAATGCCTCAGCATCGCCGCGGGTAATCAGACTATCGATGACGAACGGCTGCTCGAGTTCGGAGATCGGTACTTCAAGCCATACTTTGTTCAGGGTACTGTTGGAGGCACCGCTTCCGATGTAGACGCCAAAGAAGCCTCGCTGTCCTGTGTAAGTGAGCGTTGCATTCCATACACGTCGCCAGCGCTTCTCGCTATAAAGAGGTACAGTTGCGGCAATACCCCAGTGCGATAGGCGCTTTCGAACGAGACTCTCCGTACCGTGCTCGGTTATGTATTGACGGAGGCTTGCAACGATGCCGATCATGACGATAACGGGGACCAGAACCAACAAAATGCAAACAAGTCGACGACGTGCTGCTTTCCACTGCACATGCTGTGCCTGCCGTGGTGTCGCTGAGGACACCTCAGCAAAGTATCCTAAGAAAGGGGCAGACGCTCGGTTCAGATTTCCACTCTGAGCCTGGGGTGAGCCCGATTGCCCGGTAAAGCGCACTGCTATCTCTTCATCATCGTTCAGCGAGTCACTCAGTTGGGCGTCCTGCGTTCTCGAGAGACCTTCAACGCGCAGGCTTTCGGGCTGTAGCAGTCGCCTGCGGAGCGCATCGTCCACTGGCTCAGGCATCGAAGCCGGTGACTTGTGTGCAACGCTCAAGCTCGCGAACAAGCAGACGAGCACTTCCGAACTGACGATTCGCTCAGCGTCCGCGAAGGCAGTGGCGAGGGTCAAACCGTGAGCGTCCCTGCGCGACGCTAGTACTTGCGTAACGACGAGGCTCAGAGTATCGCGCTTAATGCATGAAGGCAGTACGCTTTGCTTTTGCTTGCGTCGTTGCCCAGGACCAATGAGAAAAACTGTTGCACGTATGATGCACACGCTGAATGGTAGACAGAGCAGATATGTTCGTACAGCATGGCTACACACAGGAAGCTGTAGCGACACCAGCGGGGTGGCGGCAGCATGAACAGTCTCGCAGGGAGCGCGCTGCTGCGAGGAGTACGCTGTCCCCGTCTATGTTGCTGGCTTTCCTGGGGAATGATGCACAAGAGAAATTCGCGTAATGTTTAAAGATACCGAGCATTGGTCTCATTTAGAGAGCTGCCCCAGCAAACAGTCCTTCGCGTACCGCCGTATACGACACGACATGCAATATCTAGTTCATGACGATCGGTAGCAAGCGTATTCCAAAAGTTTATATTGAATGGCATCCTCGAACACTTTCCAAGTGCCGGGTTTATAGAGATTGTCGGCTCGGATTCAGCACAATGTGGGTATCCATGTTGATCGGAGTTCATCGTCGTGCCGAGGCGCTACGATGACGCTTTCGTTCACGGGATACGCGCTTGTTCCGGGCCCACAGTCATGGACATCTGTGGTGTACCGGTAGCAGGCTCAGTCAAACGTCCGCTCAGATGCTTTCCAAGTATCTCTCTCGTACTCCAAGAGGGTGTTCAGTCCGGCGTAACCTCGGTATCCGTGGCTCATCAAGAGTGAAACCAGTCAGTGCAGGTTCACGGTATCCGAGTTATTCGCGTGGTAGCCTTGTGAACCTCCTTGGAACAAGGAGAAAACGCAAATATTCCAGTGTAATCCAGTACAAGGCTCGTTCGCTCTGAGCAGCTTTCCGAGCGGAGCGAAGCAGGTTCACTAAAACAAACTGACTCGCTGTACGGATGTGAGGAGCGGCGCTTGCCACCTGGCCTGCCGCGCTCCCTGCTAAACGGTCTCCAGAACTAGAGGACGAGAGCACAGTTTACCTTTTCATCCCTAGCTCAATACAGTTCAAGCAACGGTATGTAACCCTGGCGCTTGCATTGCTAGTCAACCTGGCCCCAGGTGCTTGCGCTCCGAAAAACAGTTTCCAAAGCCGCTCATGCGCATTGCTTCCGAAGCCATAGACTTCTCAGTTTCAGCACAGGACAATCACTCGTGCGTTATTTTCTTGCTCCTTGTTGTCTAGCTGTTGCACCATCACGGACACGAGCCGAACACTGAGCATCACACGAGTCGAAGCGGTGAAACACGTTCAAGAGCTGGAGTGCGTATCGCTGTAAGCATGGCGCGACCATTGTTGTGCGCGCTGCACCAGTACGTAGCTACGACTGCTGTCGTGACTAGTGAACCAAAGAACCTCATGCCTGAGGAACCGAACAATACCCACACCAACGGGCAAGCCGCACAGAGCGCGAGACAAGGGGGAGAACAGGGAAAGCGGTCTCCTGCTGCGGTGGAAGGCGAGCAAAAGAGGGCGGATCGACTCGAGGACGATTTGGACTTTTTTGAAGAAGATGACGACTTTGATGAGTTTGAACTTCACAACTGGGAACCAGATCTAGCTGCTGTTGAAGAGGATGAACTCGAATGGCAAGATGACTGGGAAATGATCGATCAGGACGAGGACTTTGCTGCAAAGCTTGCAGCGGAGTTGGCGCAGAACGGCTTCACGCGTAGTGACCAGCCGGCTGCCATGGACGCTTGAGTCTGACTGCTTTGGCGACACTTGCTTGCTTCAGCAGCGTTCGTCAGTAGTTCGCGGTGTTGCTTGTTTTCGTTGTTGAACCTGCTTGGCGGACACTGCACGTTCTGTGCAGTGCAAACCGTCCAAGAAGCTGCAAACTGCGCTCCATCGCCTCTGGGATATTTGCCTTGCGCGTGCAGTCAACAGGTTTGAACCAAACTGCACCCTTTACACTCTACATCGAGTATTCTTCAACTCCTGCAGGCGACGCTGTAGAGTATGTCTCACAAGTTGCAGAGTTGTGTATGTTGCATTGCGTTCGAGCGTTTGCGTCGCCTTCTGGGGTCATGGGAGTGGTATTTGGTTCCGCTTTCCCGCTCTGGTCACGTGAGTGTGCAATTAGCGTTGCAAAACGGGCAACGAGTAGGATAAACAGCAGATAGATCATTCGATTGATCAACTGACAAATCATGACCGAAGCAGTCCGGCTTGCACAAAAGGAATGTGATTCTAGACACACTCCGCAGACGATCATGGTCCGCGATTGTTTTGGAGATTGCTTGGATGCCGGTTGCCGCGGTTTCTCTGTGCCGATAATCTAGTATGAACGAAAGAGCAGCGATGGAGCTTGCGGGTCCGCAACAGTACATGTTTTGTATTGGACGTAAAACCTTCTGGCCGTTGTGCAAAACGTTGCCGTTTTAGGTACCCGGGTCGCGAGTAACAGTCTCGTGATGGACGCGTATTCGCGCTGACGGGAGCACGATTCCATGGAGCGAAGGAAGCGGAAGAGGAGCAGGCTTTCCAGTGAACGCGCACTGGCTTGGAGCTCTGTCTCGATCACGTGCGAAAGGCGTTTCCGGTCTGGGGTAGACGCCGGTTTCCGAGTCATAATTCGAATACGACTGTGTTTCCTGAGCTCCTCATACAACGCAATCTGCGCTGTACCCAGTGCAGTGAATTCTCAAACACATGGAGCAACATGCAATGAATGTTTTGTTTGTTTCTCTCGAAGGTATTCGAAAACTGGAATCTATCCAGTAGGCTGGAGAACACTCGCTTACAGACGTTATGATATTATTGCTAGCTTACGGAACACGGCCTAATAGGTACCAGGCATTTTACAGTTAGTCAGTATGTGGATGAGCTTTCCTTCTCGCAGTCCTCATCCTGAATAGGGCGCGTCCATACCAGGACTAACGAAATTCCATCTACACCATCATCTGTTATTCAATCCATTCCACTCAATAGGTTCTCCAAGAAATACTGCCAACAACGCCACAGAATTTGAACTTTTCCGCACCGACGCTACGAACGCTTATGAAGAGATACTGATGGAAAAATAAGATAGCTCGCTTTTGTACGGAAGCGTCGCTCGCAAAAGAAAAACAAACGATCGATTTTGCACGAAAACGCGATCTCTTCTTACAATAGGGACGGATATTCGTCTCATTCGATGAAACTTGATTCGGGAGAAAGATTGGACCTGTACACGGGTACCCGAAGCTGGATAAAGTACCGGTTCTTTTGAACAGAAAATGGAACATTCCGACAATATCCATTTAAGATGCGACGCTGATGTGGGGTCGCCTACAAATCGTCAAACGGACAGGATCGTTCTACCCTCCATTCGGTGTCGAAGCACATTTCGTGGCTTGTTCTTCCCACACTCCTCTGTCATGCTCTTGGATAATGTCGCTCTCCATCACTCAAAAGCGGTTAACGAATAACCAAGTGAAATTTGCATAGAGCTGCTCTTCATCCCAGTCTATTCTCCCTGGATGAATCCTGTGGGAGGCTTCTTCGCTGTTGCGAAATGCCCTGTCGACGCTCACGTATCGATGGATGAGTCTTCGCATCTATGACAGCTTTCATCGACGAATCATCCTCTACTACCTCCACCATCCCTGAAGTGAGCTTTCGCTCTTCTGCTCTTGTGCTCGTGCGCAGGAGGGAACGGGAACCTTCAATTCGCGCAGTGGGCGGCCTCGGTACGGAAAAGCTGCCTAAAAGATACATGAGAAATAGTAAATAAATAAATAGAAGAGGCGAGATTCAGTGTCGCCGTCTACCCACTTCATCTGAATCCGAATGATAGGAAATAGATATAATGTATGGTTACCACGTCTACTGCATCACACAACGGACCGGAGAAGGTGAAGAAGAAGCTGGTCACCGCGAGCAACCCGGAGGCATTCGAAAAGCTTTGCGTAATGTATCCGTTGAGCTCGCTCAAGCTTTCTAATGTACAGGAAAGAAATAAAAATAAATTTTCAGGAACAATGGAGACCGACGGAATGTCAATCTGCATGTCTTATTTTGAAACCTTGGTCTGCATCGAGCGACGAGATGCATGTTCAATGCTCAAGTATGTGAAGAGCAAAACTTCGTGGTGAGCCTAGATCATGGGTTGGCGAACAATGCAGCTGTTTCTGCACATGGAAGCTGAGAGGATGGAGCCAAAAACCTGAACGGAAAGCAAGTGAAGCTCCCCAACTTTTCCGGGGCATGGTTATCGAACGCTAGACATCATGGACGCGACGAAGCATACCAACAAAAGGGAATGATGGCGCTCGGACCAATTTTGACACGCTCAGGAAAGTGCCCAGCAGAGCCGCATGCTTTGTTCTGAGCCTCGTTCACTGAGCGTATCTATGAACGTCCATATGGACCAAGCGGACGACTTTGTGCAGGCTTCCATGAGCGTGCGCTGGGGACTCTCCAGCTTGTTCAATGAGCCGCAAAAAGAAATGACTGATACATCGCGTCGTCTGCCGGTGGTATCCTATGACGCTGGACACGCCGTGGTGCGCAAATGCTGCACTCGTGCGCCCTCGACCTCGGCACACATAGAGTGCTGGTATCGACGCTGCTTTACGGGCGTAGATGTGTTCAGGACGACATGGACGCAGAATGAGTACAAGTGCACGTTGAAGTAGGTAGTGAATGAACGTGTGAAATAGAGCTGAATGCACGGGATGGTGTAGAGTAAGGTGAACGAACGCTGGATAACGAGGAAAACGACAGGAATCGGCGTGATATCGTGTGATTCTCGCCACCGTCCATACACGCAGGCAGTTTCTGCACCGATATCAGAACACCTCGATCAACATTCGGAAATGGGTCGTTTGATTCCAAATCGTGCAACGGTTATGCATCGAACGAATCGTTCAGTGAGTACTTTAGTGCCGTGTACGGGCGTGATATGCTGAATCGCTGCGGACTTGTGATGGGGAATCGCTCAGTGGCCAGCAGAGAGACAGAGAGAGAGGCCACGGCTTGCTCACCTGAAGCAGTGCACTTGCAGGGTGCGGCTGAGGGATCCAGAGATGCTGGATAGCCGTCCATACACACCAAGAACGAGTCTTCTGCGTTATTTTTAAACACTCCTGGTGTCCGATCATTCTCTAGCATTCACTGTACCGTCTGGTTTGAAATTGTAGGCGAACACTGTACCATGCTGCACAGACATACGTTCTCGTCGTCGGGGTATCCAGATCAAAGTAAAGACGATGCGTTCCAGCACCGAGTCGGTTTGGATCGTTTCGAAACCAGTTGATTGCGTCTCTTCTGTGGACGCAGTGGTGCGCAGGCCACATCGCTGGTGACGCTTGCTGTTGCATTGGCACGGTCGCGCGCTACCCATAACGTCATCTCTGGTTGATGCAAACAGTTTAAAGTGAATACTCTGTGCAAGTTGACTTGAAAACCGACCGTTGGGCGAGCAGCGGTGTCCTTCGAAAGACGACTCTAAGCGTTGATCCGAGAGGATGGTGGTGCACTGGACAGCGCAGTGCAGCTAACTAACTCGATAGATGGGGGAAACGCCAATCACCGCATCATTGTACACGAGTTCACAGAGAGAATGTTTACTGTGCATCAATGCATAAGCATGATAACCACCAGCGCAATATGTGGCGTCCTCAGCATCGAGATGCTTACCTCGCACACAGGCGAACATGCGCTGGAGGCGTTGGACTCTACTACCGCTTCGGTGACAGATCACAATATGCGATCGTGTTCACCATGAAAACGGCAGCATCCAGATCCTTGATAGGCAGACGAAGCGGCCCTGTCTCTCGGATAATGTCATTGTGCTGCAGATCCATGGCACTGGAGCGACAAAGTGTACCCAGGCAGTCTGCGGCGCTGAGATACTGCTGGTACGGGACCCCGATGCATTGACGTTCTCGAATGCGTGGTGCGCATTGTTGCCGTTGACCAATGACGCCTCCGTCGGGTACGCTGCGAGTGCGCTTCGACAAGATGCCACAGAAGCGACTTGCATCGGACGGAAGACCCTGAACGAGGGTACCGTCCATTCTCTGAACCCGAACGACCGGCGAGCGAGATCTCTTTCCCAGAGCGCCAAACGAATCGTTATCCGCTGCAGCGATGTTCATGCACGACATCCTTCTCCGTTATGCTTTTCATGTTGCCATAGATACATCGTCACCCGCTGCAGCGATGTTCATGCACGACATCCTTCTCCGTTATGCTTTTCATGTCGCCACGGCGGCAGGACGGTCCACGTCAGGTACAAATGCGATGCACCATGGATACATGTCGTGGTATCAGGCCTTCGTCCGGGTGACTGGCGGTGTGCATTGATCGGGGCACCTGCACCGAGCGAACACTCTCCCCGACAAGAACCGCTGCAAGTTGCGATCTGCATCGATGGGGCTAGCCACCTGTTTCCAGTGCAGCCTCCGATACCGACGAGGATCACGTGTTGCCATCCAGCGTTCGCAGATGACGACAGATGAAAAAGCGTCGATAGGCAAGCTCCCGAACGAGTCGCAGAAAATTATCAATATCGATTTGCCCCCGGCGCAGTGCATCTTCTAGAAGCTGCAGTGTATCTTGGATGGCGAGTTCCGATGCTCGCGCCTCAGTCACCATATTGGTGTGAGCGTCCGTTGATGCAAGGATTGTCTCGAGATCCGGGTCGCTTTCTAATTCCCGGTGAGCATCTATCCATTCCTCCTGCGCTTCGACTTCTTCTCGAACCGCCTGGAGCTCTTGGGATACACGTGCATGCTCCTGAATGATTGCCATATCTTCGGGGGGCGTTGTGCTTCTCATCGCTCCCTGGTCGTCGTGAAGTTGCGCCGCAGCTGCCACCTCCTGTTCTAAAGCTTGCTGTAGCTCCGCTATTCGCCTGAATTCGTCCCTGAAACGCCGTCGCGCTCGCTCGAGTATTCGCTGACGAAGGACGGTGCGGCCGGGATGCTGTGTTGCCCCCGTCGCTGCATCAGTCGCAGCAGTCGGAGCATGCCCAGGAGTCGCTGCCTCGCCAGTTCCCGCAGGACGACTCTGTTGCGTCGCATGCGTGTTGCGCGGATGAATGGAGTAAACCGGCGGACGCCTACTAAAGTTTGAACTCACTTCCGCAACAATAAAGTGCAAGCGACTTTCGCTCGCATTCCATGTCACTAGGCCAGGCAAGTACACCCGACCCGTACTACCAACGTGCGGATGCATGGGCACAATCTGCATGTGCCTCGTCGGAACTACATAGAGCACAGGTGGCTCTGCTGGATACGCCGCCGGCAACCAAAAGTCCATCGGAATATTATACTGGACACCACGATAGAATATGGGTACCGTCCCTCGCAAAACCACCAATCGCTGTTCCCGTCCGTCCTCAAAGCGACGCACAGCGATAGCCGGAAGCAGAGACGGACACTGACGCAGCGTTTCCTCAATGTCCTGAACTATCCGCGGCCAGTTCCGGCGTTCGTACATTGTCAAGTTGTTCACGTGATTCATTCGCAGCTCTCGTCCAGGTTGCCTTGTAGAGGTCGCTTCTCCTGGCATATTTTTCCGTTTACCTGGACACCCTTCCGGTGCAGACGAGTCCAAATGTAGCTACAAAATACACCCTTAATCGATCCCAGCAAGTCTAAGTGCCACCGTCCCTGGCGGGCACCTGTTTCGCCGACCACGGAGAGACGCACCTGTACCAGCGCTGCTTAGCGCAATGTGCGCAGCGTTCGTTCCATGGATGGCGCTGTGCGCGTGCCGCGGCATCGATCTGCACCGTCGAGTGGCGAGCGATCGGCGTGTCTGCGAGCGCTGGCGCGGGCGATGCGCCAGCCTGTGCGTGTCCCATGGATGGAGGTACTTCAACGCGCACTGAAAAACAAAAGTAAGAAAAGAAAAAGCGTATAACGGAGAACGCTGGCCTGAGTATACGTCTTGTCAATTAAAAAAATGTGCAAAAGAAAAAGCGCATAACGGAGAACGCTGTCCTGAGTATACGTCTTGTCAGTTAAAAAATGTGCAAAAGAAAAAGCGTATAACGGAGAACGCTGGCCTGAGTATACGTCTTGTCAGTTAAAAAAATGTGCGTGTCCCAGCACTAGTGCGTCTGTGCGTGTGTGCGTGTACGGCACGTGCTGCTGTTGCTCCAGCACGGAACGCATATGATCTCTTGTTTGGACATGAATCCAGGTACGGGAAGCTGTTCTGTATTGGTACTGCGTCCGCAGAAGCGCGGAAAGCGTCGTAGAGGGCGCGCACACCAGGTACTAGGCATAGGAGGGATCGTGTGTGTGTGAACGGACGCAAATCCCCGAGGGCGCGGATGACTGGAGGTGGATATGATGTGGAACGCGAAGGCATCTTGTGGCATGCTGGATTCGCTCCTGGAAGCGAGTAGCAATTGCTTCATCGAGAATCTCCTGGGATTCGTGTTCAAAGAACGGACCTAGGTGTCGAGCAGCGCCCCCGGCATCAACAATACACGAGAACGGTCGATCGCTTCCGCAATCGACGCATCGCCCGCCGCATCCTTGTCCATAAAGTCCAGAAATAAGACTATTCGGCGAGTGTTTGCACGAGTGCGCGATTGCTCACGCGTGTGCCGCCACCCATGAAAGCGAGGCGAGGCGAGGCGAGCCCGATGCCTCTCTGCACGTTACGGCGTATTCGACTCGCAAGCATGGCGTGGGCAGAAGTCGTGCCTTCTCTAGTTATCGTCACCGTTGCCGTGGCGTCCATGGGTTTGTTGCAAGGTGTTTTTCACCGGCTTGCGACCGGTGAGCGTCGACGAGTCGGTCAGGATCGCTGGGATCGACTCTTGTACGAGCGAGACCGGCGACTGGAAGCGGAGCGCGTTGGCAAGTGAGCTCGAGTGCCCCCGGGGTGCTTAAACTCCCCTCGGCGATATTTACGATACTGGATGAAACGGTGAGGCAGTTCTCCATCGCGAGCGCTGTACTGCGCTCATAGTGCTGCGGAACGCGGCTTCGTTGCTGCGGCCGGCACCTGGCCGCGTCCGGGTACTGTCAACGACGGGAGGTGTGCTCGGTGATCACGGACTAGGGCTTTCACGCTCTAGCTTTTGCAGGGGACTCAAAGTGAGGCCGTTCTCCAGGACCCAGGTCCGCAAACGCTGGTGCTCTCGTCGCAGCCTCGTCAAGCGTTCCCTGGCGACGGTGATGTCGGCTTCGGCCTCGTGAAGCTGCTTTTGGAGGCGTTCGACGAGGCGTTCGAGTTTCGCGTTTCGGAGCTGTGCAATACGAAGCGCCTGTGATTTTTGGGAAGCATAGAAGCGGTATTCGCGACAGGCTTGCTCGTACTTGCGTTGCCAGTACACGGCTGTTGGTGGTTGTTCATCATCATCATCATCCGATGACGCTGTGAGCTTGGAGTATTCGGTTTGCGTACTCGCCGTACGCATGGGCGTTGAGGGCGCGGTGGTGTCTGCGAGCCGCTCTTGTAAGGCGCTCCTTTCTTCGTCTAGTCGAGCGATTACTTCAAACTGCTGGTCTACGACAGCCTGCAGTTCACCAAGTTGCCGTAGGGTGATTTCTAGCCGTTGACGTAGTGTTGCTCGTGGCAATTCGCTAAAAGCTTCTTGACCACTCGTCTGAACATGTGTATGGTGCCGTTCCGAGTGGTCAGGTGCGGGTTGCGACCAACTTGCATGGTCCGAGGCTGCTAGCGATCGGCGCTCTATGGAGCTTTGCCGCGCAACCGGCGTGTGAAGCGGCGATACGCTGACTGGGGTCGAATCTACTGTTGACAGCGTCGGTGAGCGCCGCAGCTCATGCGCTTCGAGCAGCCCCTGCTCGTCCAGTGGACGTTCCCCAGAGAGCAATGCATTAGGTACATGCGAAGGCGTTTCTCGGAAACGCTCACGTGCCGTAGAATCAAGATCTCGTCGGGCTCCGATTCCAGTCTCCCGAAAGACGCCACCAGATGCGACGTGCTCTGCTCCGGTGCTACGGTGGTCGACGGCCAAACCGTCGTCCACATGCGCTGAACTTGATGCTGGCACATCAGGCGCTCTCGACTCTATAGCTCCAACGGGAAGCGTTTCGGGGGTGCAGCGGCGGCGCTCTGGAGGCGCGACCGAGCCCCGCACTGGATTTGCTCGCGGATGCTCCTTTGATGAACGATGTAAATCACCTTCGAGCTGGCGAATTCTTTCAACAAGTCTCGCGGCCTCCTGACGAAATGAATCGGGATCGCCGGCGGGCACACGTGGACCGCGGGACGTCTCTTCACTCCAAGTACTGCGCGTCTTGTCGAGCGCTGAAAGTCGCCGGGATATATGGACCACCTCGTGGACACGCTGCTCGACACCGGGATATTCGGGTTGCGCAGATCCCCATACACGGGAACTCGAGTGAAATGCATCGCTGCGCAGTTGCGTCGCTGCTGACCCATTCAAAGCGTCGTCTGCCGCCTCTGAACGCGTACCACGGGGAATGTTTCCATGCTGATAGACAGACTGAGAAACTGAGAGCGAGCCCTGGTCTGTAATCGGTGATCGGTTTGCTCTGATCCATTCTCGTGCATCGGCGGCCTTCTCATCAGTACGATCATACCGGTGCAAGAGAGTGTCCGTCTCTGGGCGAGACGCGGGCATTGGCAAAGATTCTGCGAAAGCTGTGGAAATGCGCTCGGACCTAGTGCCTTTCCCAAGTCGCTCGGTGGCGTCGTGCGTCCCTGGCTCCGCTCCGAAGCTTTGAACCACAACAGGGTCCAGTTCCTTGCCCGGTGCGGTGCTGTGTCCCGAACCCAGTGCCTGCACGAACCTGTCACGTTGCAAACCAGAGCTTTCATCCACAGCGAGGTCCATGTGGTAGCTCACCGACTCACGTCGCTGCGGCGTTTGCGCGACTTGCTGCTCGATGACCATTGATCGCGGCTGGAAAGACTCGTGCTTGCAGACTGAAAGCAGATCGCTCACGTCCATACTGGACATGGCGTTGCCTTCCGGGGAATCCGCAAAGCCAAGCGGTGATCCATTCAGTGCCGACAATGCTAGGTGTTTGAGGTCGCTCGTGATGCGCTGCACGCTGCTCGTTTCCCTGGCACCGTAGTCCATTGACAGAGGTGTACCCTGATTTGATAAACCTCTCCATTTCGTGCTACTTACATAGCCAATGCCTTGGCTGCTTCTGTCGTTGTCATCATGAGCCAGTGGGTCCTTCACAGGCGCCCCGTAACCAGAACCACGCAATACCTCGCGAGTAGCTCCACCAAGAGACGTATAGGTACGCGACTGCATGGCCTCTTTGGCGTCACGCGCTACTTCTCCCCCGTTTTTGGTTTCATCACTGCCGGGGCACGTCGACTGAGAACCGCTTGCGCTCCCGTGTGTCGCTGACCACGGCCAACGCGAAACGGGTGGTGGCTCTCTCTGGTGTATATCAAAAAATCCGCCTAAAACTCGACTTGAAGATTCTTCTTTCGATACATGTGTACTGTTGGCGCTCGTACCCGCTCGGTCAAACTCCGCTGTAGAGCCTACGGAAACGTGCTGCTTCGCGTTGGCCCCAAGAGCGCTGACACCTGTTTCACCGCCTCTCTCTGGGCTCGGGTTCTCCAGTAGCTTTCCAAGGGCACCGATGTCTTCACTGGACGTTTCTTGCATTTCTCATCTACGTCAAAAAAGTGAAACTCGTTTCCGTTACTCAAAAAGCGACAAGAAACTCGAGCTGCAGCGCAGCCTCCATCTCGGGACCCGCTCAGGTGCTGGAATCCGATTTTTAATTTGGCGAAACGCTTTCGCGCAGGCATGCGTTCCCAGAGACTAGGCGCTTGATACCAGCGCTCGGTGAAGCATCTATCGTTCCACGCCCGAGTCCCATACCGCGTACTTCTTCTCGTATGTACTAGTCGTTTCGTATGTTCTATCGAGCGTCAGAGATAGCGCACGTAGCGCCGGTGCGAATGTAGCACCGAGACAGAACGGCTTTGCTATATCACAAAGGGCGTCGGCTCGAGGCGATGTTCACGCAATGTAGAGTCCGGTGTCGTCGTCGCTTTGTGGGTAGCGAGTCAGCGTATGCCGACTTGCCCTTGACGCACGACGCGCTGGGGAATATTGGGAGTCAGGATGAATCCTGGGGGCCGCCCCTCTCCTTCGTGATGGTGTATGTCATGCGTTGTCGGTTCGCGACGCGGGCTTTTGCTCGGTATCCACCAGTGGGTAGATGGACGAAGCGCTGGACCCGTGCGCTCATCCGGTTCGCAGCATAGAAATCCAGCCTGTTCTGGGGCGAAGAACTTGCGCTCCTGGAGGTCCCTCTGGATCCGGTTCGTGAGGATAGCGCAAAGTAGCTTCATGATTGACGGGATGAGGCTAATAGGCCGGTAGTTGTTCATGTATGTTTGAGGATCCAGTTTCATGATGGTTACGACCTCGGCAGCGTTCCGTACCTCTGGGATGTACGCTTCTTCGAAGATGCGTTGGATGCACTCCAGAAAGTGTTTGCCTAAGACTGTGTCAGGTTCATCTGGTATCGATGGTGTCCCTGTTGTCCCGTCTTTTGGGATCACCAGTTTGATCCACTGCGCAGGGATACCGTCAATGCCAGGTGTTTTGTGGTTGCTTGAGCTTCGTACAATCTCACATATTTCGGGCCAAAAGATTGGGTCGTCCTTTCTCTCTAGCGAGTCAAGTTGTCTTAGTTTGGGTCTTGACAGTATCAAGAGAGGTCCGCACACAGCTCTGTGTAATGGTCCGTCCAGGCCCCATTCACTGAGGGACTTTCTATCTTCAGCTCTCCTTTATGGTAGATTGGTGTGATGGACACGCACTGATTTGGTGGATGAGGTCTTGTTCGGACGTAGCGCCAGGTCTCATCTTGGTTGGTGCTCTCTAGCACAGATTTGGCCAGATATGCGTCTCTGCGGCTTGTATCCGTTCGTTTGTCTTCCCTACAGGGATTCTTGCTTCTTTTGATAGCTTCTTCATGTTGCGCCGTTAGCGCCGGTAGGGCTGCACTTGCTTTCTTGTCTCCGGCTTTGGATCGCATGGCGGTGCGGGTGACGACGTTGTCGAATTGATGGCATTCATCAATCTGTGCTTTTTTACGTCGTTTCGGGTACTGCGGTTTGCTACTGTTGCGTTCTGGTGCAAGCAGTCCCAGTTCTCTACCAATCTTCTGATTCCCATCCACAAACACGCGTCCGAAATGGTCTAAAGACTTGGATGCACGGCTTGTCGGATCTACAGCGCTGTGAGTAGGTAACTGAGTTTGGTGACAGCTTTCTTGAGTTCCCGCTTGGGTGCTCCTTCGGGGGATCACTCGTGATGAGCTCGATTGCGAGTTCTTCTTTCTATTCTTCTGTTTTTTCTTGCTGGTCTTCTTCTTCGGGCTGTTTCATGAGCTACTTTCTCTGATTATTTTGCTTCTAGGTGAATCATGAGGCTTCTGTGCCTCCTTCTCCGTATCTGGTTGGGTCTCTTTCGCTAATGTAGCGTCCTCGACTTGTATCAGTTCTTCATTACTGTACTGGTAATTCGATATCTCGTCGTTCAACACCGCGGCTATCCCGCAAATATTCCATGATGCGAAACCTATCGAGTCGTAGCGCGTAAGGGAATAAGAATAGCGCTGCGGTACTCCAGAGATGCTTCGTCGACTCACGCGCACCATCCACTAGTATCAGCAGTAGAACAGTTGATATCGATTCGAAAGCGACGGTTACGCTGTTGGACGCGTGAAGCTACCCCCAACACCTGGGTATGTAATCCACGAACCACTCTTTCAACAGCTTCGTATCCGCTCCCTAAACATATAGGAGGGTAAGTCGCTTGTTCCAAATGCAACCGCGAACATCCTTCTAGATGTCGTGCGAAACTTCGACCGAGAATGTTTCCAAAGTTGAGGTGGAAACCGAAGTAGGAGGTAAAAACGAGCCCGAGTTCGAGGCCGGTTCCAGGATCCCTGCCACATCCCGCCGAGTTGTTTCGGAACGGGCGGATGACTGCTCAGAAATCCCGCATCATATTCTGTCACGGCCTGCGCACCTCTATTCATTTCGGTCAATGATACGATCGAGGGACCTCCTTGCCTCCGTCGCCCGAACATCCCGCGTTAGCCCGAAGCGACTCCGGTACCTTGCTCGTGGTCCGTTGAAGCACCCAGGATAACGTTGCTCTTCTCGCTTCTGTTGTGCAGCTGGTTGACACCCATTGAGCCCGCTCCAGTACATCGTTCTTGCATCTCAGGAAAATGCTCAGGAGGTATCGGAGAAAGGATTGATCAGCCACATGAGCGCCTCTCGCTTTGATACATCGATGTTGTTTGGGCGGTGTCTGCGCTCGAGATAGTGGAACATGTGCAGATCATCAAAAGCGTCTCAGTTCCAGCTTCAATACCCTCAGTATTCGTCCATCCAAGAGCGTCCGTCTAGGTGCATCGATGGTACAGCAAAAGCGTAACCCGCACTCCTGACAGGCTACGTGATTTTTGTGTACAGCAGCTGCAGCGAACGCTCACCGAAGGAAAAGGCAATCTTGTACTAGAAATTGCATCATTTTCGCATATGGTGATTTGAATCGCCCACGCGAATGCAGCCGATGCTTGCCCGTCTACGAGGCAATGTGCGGGAAGCTGTCGTTCCCGCCTCGCAGCGGGCACTTCAGACCGCTGCCTGCCTATGGAGCGCTTTATTCAGCGGCAACGGAAACGTTCCCGTGAACCCGAATCCATTGATCATACAAGCGGTACCGTTGATTATCAAGTCGGACGCAGTTTACAACGAGATCACCAGAAAGTCGCAGTAGGCGGCAGAAGACACAGCATCGAAGAGGCGGGCGCTGCATCTCGCCCAAGCGCTACACGGATTGAGTTCCCTCGAAAGTTTTCCACAGATCCACGATCGGATACGTCACGGACAGTGCAACTCCGTGAGACTGTTGAGAAAGCATCTGAGCGAAACGCCCGGGAAGATGCAGTGATCGCTTGCGGTGAACCTCGGAATCACTGCTATTCACGAACGGCGGAGATCGACGACTCCACATCGTGCAAACCAAAAGATCCTGAAACTCAAGCGACAAAGTATCCAGGCAAATTGTTTATGCAAGAATACGCCATCAACGATGGGCGTGAAGAACAGGGTCTCCTGAACAAGCAGCCGGACGTTGCAACTCAGGGAAGCTGCACGGGAGACCCGGAAGCGCTTCCACTGAAGACGCCGGCAGCCACTCGCGTGAGAAGTTTGCTGCCGATCGAGCAGGATCCTCAGGACGAAGTGGACGATGGTGCATCCGTTGAACAAGCAAGCCAGTGCATCGTCTGGAACAGCGCCTCCCGACGTGTTTGCCGCGTGTCTCCCGGCGTTGGTTCCCGCACGCTGACCCGTACAACTCTGGAGACCGAAAAGACACCACATGAGAATCTCAGACGGCGTGCGAGCTCCGAATGTCCCGAAGTCTCGGGACAAGGCCGTGGCACTAACGCTGACGGTACGCCGGTCTCGGCTGAGGGCTTCTCCCCGGACAGTCAGACGTTCGAGATTTGGCGTCGACTACGTTCTCGGCGTCGTTCTTCGGGTCTGGAAAACACACCAGTGGCAACAACAATATCGCCGAAAACGCCCTTTACGGAAGTGCGGCGCCGTCTTGTACAACGCGCATCTCGAGCGGTGACGGTGCTGCTCGAAGGCAATCAACCTGGAGTGAACGCTCCGACGGAAACCCGTTTGACTTGTATAGATACGCTGGATGCTGCGCATGCATATAATCTAGAAGTAGAGGATGAGGCGATGCTGGATCTTTTCCAGTTATATACTGAGCGCTCTACAGAGAGCACGGGGCAGCTACGCAGCAAGGTTGGTCCACGGGAAGCAGCAAGTCCGCGATTGACGGTCGTCTCGGTGGATCGTAGCTGTGCTGCTAATGGCAAACCGAGTCAGACGCTTTTGGTGCGACCCTGCGGGGCGGGCGATCACTTTGGCACGTCAGTTTCGGATCCCGAACCAAGAACGCATCCCTCAGCGTCCTTTATTGTCGTCCTGCAGGATTCATGGTCCGAACTGAATGTTCAACAAGGCGATACGATTCGGCTCGTGCGCTGTACCGCAGCTGGCGAGTACGCTCCATTTCAAGCACGCTGTTCGGGAGCGGCTGCTCAAAACGATGTTCCAGGGCATCCGTTCATCGTGAGCGCCGAGGAGAATCTTTGCATTCTCCACCCAGACGTTCTTGTGAGCGGAACGAGTGTAGCGAACGCCTTCTCGTGCCTCCGTAGGGTCGTCCTGGGCGAACGTAATCGTTACAGCATCCATCAGCCACGAACAACTCGCGCAGCGCTGCGGGGAACGTTGCTCCATCAGCTTTTTCAGCAGCTCCTCTGGTGCTGCATTCATTCCGCTGAGACGAAGCCAACAGTGTCCGAAGAAGACTTGTGTCAGTTAGTTCGTCGCTACTATGCGGAACTGTACGCACTCGGTGAGTCCGAAGACGAGCTGCTCTCCTATCTGCGCGAAAGCGTGCCCGATCTCGCGCTCCATGTACAGCACCTTTGCTGCGAGCAGCACGGGGTGCATCTCCAGGTCAGAGGACAATGCAACTTGAGCGGCGTCGACAGTATGCGCATTCAGAAGCTCTATGACATCGAAGAGAGCATCTGGAGTCCCATTTTCGGCCTCAAGGGCAGCATCGACGTCACCGTCGCTGCTGAGTTGCTGGATCGTGATCGCTCGGGTCAGACGCTGCCGATTACCTGCCTGGAATTGAAAACCGGACGCCAGGAGGGTTTCAGTGGAATCGCTCACAGAGCTCAACTCATTCTATATGCGCTATTGTTGAGTGAGCGTTACGGAACCTCTGTGCAGGCGACGATACTGCTGTACCTGCAAAACAACCAAACAGGATCCAACTGCGGAGCTGGCAGTCGACTCGCGCATCGGGAGCATGGCCAACTTACCATGTCTCTTCATTTGATACCCATGGTACGAGCGGAGCTTATAGGTATCCTCATGACGAGAAACAAACTCGCTCATTATTTGAGATTCCGAAGAGCTTCTGCGAGTGCTGCAGAGCAGGAGGACCCACTGGACGCGGTTGGACGCAGTTGGCTGCATCTGCCGCCTCCTCTGCAGCATCAAGAGAATCTCTGTTCGTTCTGTTATGTTCGCGATGCTTGCGCGCTCTACCACCGAGTGATCGATTCTGGAGAAGCACATTCGAGTGCGATTCCAGCAGTCTTCCGGGAAATGGCCGATGGACTCTCCAACCAGCATGTTGCCTACTATCGACACTGGCTCGCCATCACGCGGCTCGAAGAAGAGGCCGCCGTCGCCAACCGTGAGGAAGTGTGGCTCTTGTCGCCGACAGAACGATCGCAACTTGGACGCTGTGTTGGCGAGCTCGAGTTGGTCCAGGTCGAAAAAACCAACGGTCTAGGCACTGGGCGCTTTGTAGACTGTTATCGGCATCGTTTCCGTATCGTCGTGGAAAGCGCATCGGACAAGTGCGGCGGTTCGACTGCATCGCCCGCGTGGCGCCAGTGCCCCGAGTCTGACGACCTCCACCTCGAGGCGATGCAAGGCGCTCGATGGGATCTGCTCACCGGCGATTATGTGCTTGTCTCGTTGTACTGGAGGCGACCACCGCGTGCCCTGCCCGACGGCGGTGACGTTTCCGCGGCGCCCTCGGCGGACGTCTGGGACCCACTTCGCCAGGAGACCGCCATAGCTGGTGGTTTTGTAGCGCAAGTGCAACCATTAACTGGCGAAATCGAGATCGATCTCGAGCGAGACTGCTCTAAGTGGCTCCAGCGTCATCCCCTGGTCGAATGTATACCAGCAAGCACCGTTCGTTGGCGTGTAGATCGAGAGGAGTTGTCGGCGGGCTTCAGCACCATGTACGGAAACCTCGAGGCGCTCCTCTATCCCGAAGCGGAGCGACTCCGACGTCTCGTGATCGATCTTGAGGCACCGCGTTTTACATTGTCCCCTGGTGCGGAACATTCGCAGTGTCCGTCATCATCTGCTTTGTTGCACATGGAGCGCTTTGCCGCAGACTTGAATGAAGACCAAAAAAGAGCGATCGAGCGCGTTTTGCGGTCTCAGGATTACGTGCTCCTTCTGGGAATGCCCGGGACCGGTAAGACCGCCACGGTGGCATGCCTCGTTGCGCTGCTTGTCGATGCAGGGTGCAGCGTTCTGCTGGCAAGTCACACGCACTCTGCTGTAGACAATGTGCTCCGTCGACTTGTCGAGCACAATGTCCACAAGTTCGTGCGACTCGGGAATCGCACCCATGTCGATCCACAGCTCTGGCCATATATGCTATGCACAGAGCAGATGCCGGATACGTCCGCAGAGCCCGCGCCTAGTCCGCTGTTACCGTCTTTGGACGCTTTCAGCGCCCGGTTCGAAGAGGCAGCCATTGTCGCTACAACCTGCTTGGGTGCAAGTCATCCGGTCTTCTATCGCCGGCGCAAGTTCGATTACGTGATCGTGGACGAGGCTTCACAAATCGCACAGCCTGTCGTTCTGGGGCCGCTCCGTTTCGCTCAGAAAGCTTTTGTGCTCGTTGGTGATGACAAACAACTGCCGCCCTTGGCACGTGATCCGCTCGCGCAAGCCCAGGGTGCAGACGAGTCGCTCTTTACTCGTTTGTGTGCAGCGCATCCAGAAGCAGTGGTCGTACTCCATCGGCAGTACCGCATGGCTGCTGATATCATGCTCTTGAGCAATGCTCTCGTCTACAATGGTAGCTTGGTGTGTGGTGATCAAGCAACCGCCGAGCAACACCTGACCAATCGGCAACAGGGCTTGCGCTATGTCTCGCCGACGCCGGACTGGTTGGTGCACGTGCTGGATCCTCGAAAGCGGGTACTCTTCCTGAATACGGACGCCGCACAGGACCGGGCCCGCGAGTTTCGCTGCGGCCAGGAGAGCATTTGCAACTATTTCGAAGCCAGTATCATCGTTCGTATCGTAGAGGCGCTGGATGACATGGGCATCGAGCGGCAGCATATTGGCATTACGTCGCCGCTGCGCGCTCAGGTTAGTCTAATTCAGAATCAGTTTCACCAAGGTCAGCGAATCCGCAATGCCGGCACGCTGCCCGAGTGCCGCACCATAGATCAGTTCCAAGGGCGGGATAAGGATGTGCTCCTTGTTTCGCTTGTGCGCAGCAACTCGAATGCACGTATTGGTCAGGTGTTGCGCGACTGGCGACGTCTGAACGTTGCCATGACACGCGCTCGCTGCAAGCTCGTCTTCGTGGGTTCCGCTCAAACCATGCGAACCAGTCCGTTTGTAGCGCGTCTTATCACGCTTATTCAGGATGTACTGCATGGACTGGTGCCGGTGACCCGTCTCAACTGAATCCGCGACCATACCAACCGACACGTGTGCTGGACTCAGCTGCCACTGGCACCACCGCCAGCAGCAGTGCCGCCACCGCCAGTACCACTAGCAGTGGCAGTGGTGGTAGTGGTGGTGCTCACATTATCCGCAAAGTACTCTGTTCGTGCCAGTCGAATACCAAACTCCTGCAACGCCCACTTGAGGTCCTCTTTGGTGAGCACAACTTTGTCATCCTCTGTGGAGCTCGAGCCCTTGTGTTGCGACTCGCGGTGAATACGGCGCTGTGTCAGTGCCTCGTGTGCAACATCTGCTACGAACTTTTGCGCAGCCAGCGCTACCAGTCGAATGACGCGAGGATCGTCCGTTTGGAACCCGGCTTTGTTGAGAAAGTGTTGGACGAGCGGGTCCGGGATCGCTGTTTGATAGTCTTCCAGCGACGCTATAAAGTCACCCAGGTCATCATTGTCGATACACCTGCCAGCGTCTGTCATGAACCTGAACGGCAGGCTGGATGAACCCTTCAGCGTCAGGTTACAGGGATTCCACAGGCGAAAGCGCACGAAAGAATTTGGAGCGTCTGTCGTGGACGGCAGCAACACGCTGGTTTGATGAATCCTTGTTCGGACATTTAGGGATGATTTGCCCCTGCAGGTCCGAGCGGCTCCAAGGATCGGCAGCGATCAGGGTACTTTATATACACTTAGGGATCAATTTGTTCATACCTCCATGCAAGCAAAATGCGACATTTGGCACCCAGCGACGCATCCACCCGCATGCCGTGTGTTCACGCGTGCCGCGCGTGCGGTGCATGTCGAGGCCATGCGTTCCGGCCCGAGGCATCTGAGCGCATCCACAGCGCAGTTGGGGACACCTGCGTGCCTGTGTCACGGCGTTGGCATTGAGTGCTTGAGGATGCAAGGTTTTCGCGAGATGCACTGGCTTTGCATGCGCCTGACGCGCAGCGCAACTGGACAGGCACCGTTCATTTCAGGTGGTGGTCAGAGAGATACCGTACTAGATCGATATGGTTGACCGATGAAGCTGCACGGATGCAGGTGCGCAAGGACGCTGGAGCGGAGCGAGCGACACGGTTGCTGCTCCTGCGCATTCGCGACCCGGTGGTGCCCAGATCCCTCGCAACGCACACATGGCACGCGTGCGATGCTGGCAACGCACTCGCTGCTGTGTGCATCCGCAGCTCGACTCCACGACATCGACGCCGTCTATGTGCCTGAAGCTTCGGCATCACTCATGATTGGCTGCTTCTTGCGGTCATTGCTCGTACTCACAGCTACCGCATGCGCTTCTGCAAACGAATGCTGCGTCGCTTCCGATGCAATCCCGTCGATCTGCGGAGCCGGCACTGTGCGCCTCGCTGGCGCTGCAGCTCCGCACGCTCGGGATCGCAACAGCGTCCGCAGCTAGCGCATTCAATAGCGACGCCATGCCGAGCGTAACCGGCTAGCGAGGCTCAGCAGTCGCCAGCCGAGTGGATCCATCCGTCCATACATACATACATACATACATACATCTATCCGTTACGCACCTATTCCCAGAAGGGAAAACTTATCCGGAGTCAGCGATGCATCGAAGCTCATACGAAAAAGCAGGCGTCTTTCTCTGGTCACGAGCAGCACGCAAACCCCTTAGGATATCTCGCGATATCCATCCATCGCATGCTATGAAAACAACGTATCGCTTGCCGTGCTTCGTAAGCACCACAAGCTGCATACGCGCAACTGCCGTCGATGGTATCGATGCGCAGTGCGCTGCGCCTCTGGATGCCCATCGCCGTCGTGCGCTGCGACGCCGCGCTAGCCATCGAATGCTGGCAGCAACTGATCGCAATGCGCTGTATAGTTTCCATTCTCCAAAGTACATTGGTATACCGCTGGAAACCCTGACGTGCTCTGATTAAAATGCCTTCTTCTATTCAGTCTGTGCGTGCTCGAGAGATCTTTGACTCACGTGGCAATCCCACAATCGAAGTGGACGTCACTACAGAGCTCGGCCTTTTCCGAGCAGCTGTGCCGTCCGGGGCCTCCACTGGCAAACACGAGGCGCTCGAGCTTCGCGACGGTGACCCGTCTCGCTTCCTTGGGAAGGGCGTAACGAAAGCGATCGCTAATGTGAACGGAGAAATAGCAAAAGCGTTGAAGGGTATGGATCCCACGGAACAACGAGCTATCGACGAGCGCATGATCGCACTCGACGGGACACCGGGCGGCTTCAAACGCCGGCTTGGAGCGAACGCCATTCTGGGCGTCTCGATGGCAGTCAGTCGCGCGGGTGCTGCAGCGAAGCAGTTACCGCTGTATAAACATATTAATGAGCTGGCGGGGAAGCCGCCGATGCTACTACCTGTGCCCAGCTTTAACGTAATCAACGGCGGCGAGCACGCTGGCAACCGACTCGCGATGCAAGAGTTTATGATCATGCCCGTGGGGGCGCACTCCTTTGCAGAGGCCATGCGCATGGGCTCAGAAGTGTACCAGAACCTCAAATCCATCATCAAGAAGCACTATGGCATCGACTCGACGGCAGTGGGCGATGAGGGCGGTTTTGCGCCGCATATCCAGGACGCCCACGAGGCCTTCAAGTTGTTGGGCCAGGCAATCGAAGCGGCTGGGTACCAGCAACAGGTCCGCATCGCCATGGATGCTGCAGCTAGCCAGTTCTGGAACGAGGAGAAACAGAAATACGATCTGGACTTTAAGCATCCCGAAGGGGCGAGTTCCATGCTGGTAAGCAAGGACGAGCTCGTGCAGCTCTACAAGTCGTTCTGCGGAACGTACCCGCTGGTCTCCGTCGAGGATCCGTTCCATGAAGAGGACTTTGATGCATACGCAGCGCTAACGGAGCAAATCGGAGAGAAGATCCAAGTCGTTGGTGACGATCTCCTGGTTACGAATATCGACCGGATCAAGGTCGCGGCGGAGAAACGCGCCTGCAACGCCCTTCTGCTCAAAGTGAACCAAATTGGAACCGTCACCGAGGCCATGGATGCGAATCGCTTCTGCCGAGACCTGCGCTGGGGGGTCATGGTGAGTCACCGCAGCGGCGAGACCGAGGATAGTTTCATTGCGGACTTGACGGTTGGCCTCGGCACCGGCCAGATCAAGAGCGGTGCACCGTGTCGTTCTGAGCGCTTGGCGAAATACAACCAGCTTTTGCGTATCGAAGAGGAGCTCGGTTCGTCAGCGGTCTATGTGGGTGACAAGTTCCGCACTCCGTGGGAACGTTGAGGCGCACTTGTCGGGAGTCGGCGTGAATCCCCGGACCCTCATGAGCGAAACAGGCGGGATATGGCGTGCGCACCTGCTCTGTGCGTCTCAGGGGAACGCTTGTCGTCTGCGGTTACCGTTGCATAAGTAAAGTGTCTTGGAGCGTATTCTCATCCGAAAACGTTCAAGAAATGGACTCGACTCGCTTCAATGCATGCGTGAGCGATCCCTGAAATTCTTGTCGAGATACCTGGTTACTGGTGAGTCTTCGCAGGTTCGTTCGAGAGCAATCCAGATCGCCAATGTATCCGCTTTCCGCTTTAACGAGAATGTTAACCAGTCGTAGTCAGCGCTTTTTTAAGCAAAACGTACGAGTAGAGAAGGCGTCTGCATGTCGCTGGATCGAACCGTAACCCCTGACGACACCCCGTCCGCAGAAACACATGCGTCGAGTGACGCTCTCACCATCGATACCGATATATAGTAGCGGCGATAGCCATAGCGGATTTCACAGCTGCGCCTACTCCCGCATCCATGCATTCGTTCTCCCCAAACAGAGGCAATAGGTAAAACGCGCCCCGATATACGAAACGTATGGGGCGCGCTCTCGAGCACAACGCCACACAGGCGGTCCCTGGCAGCGGCGTCCTCTAATGGATCCGTTTTTGAACAAGGCGTTTGTTGTGCGGAATGTCGACCCTGATGGGACTTATTCCAGATCCGGCGCTGTGTCTACCGAGTGCCCCGCGTTGGTTACCCGGGGCCGTTGGTTTGGCGTCTCCGTCTGATAGGTTTCAGTGGAGCGGCGATCCGCGAGCATTCCGTTCGTGTTGGCGTCGTTCTCGTCCTCGAGGAAGAGTTCGCCGCTGACGCTATCGTACGCAAAGAGCTCGGCATAGCGACCCCATTCGATCGCGGTGTCGAGCTGACGACGAGACTCGGACGGCTCGAAGTATCGATCGAGTAAACTGTCGAGCACCAGGCTCTCTGGAATGCGACGATGCTTAGCTCGCTGCAACAATCGACAAATGGTTTGGATGAGACGTGCATCTGGAGCCACGAGCAGCGCTCCCCGAACTATTCGCTTTCGATCATCGACGCTGCCGGCAACAAAGGCATGCCCAGCCCCAGTGAGCGCCACGTCTCCTTCAGATACAGAGAGGAGACCCAGAATTTCCGCAGCCTCTACGATCGGATACAGGCCGTGCACATCGAGCTGCAGCGCCTGGCCTAAGCGATAGAGGTCCACGACGGGGCTGTTCTCTGAGGCGAGAAGCTGGAGAAGCCCCGCCACAGATCCCAACCGAACCGGTGGTAATGCCGGGAACTCGTTCAAGCGCTCGTCATTACTCCTCGCGGCCTTTTGCAGCAGCTGGCGCTTCGCAGCTGCCGACAACGGACGATCACTTGGCTGTCCGTCATTCGTTGTGCTTGGGCTTGCGGCGGCAGCGTTATCACCAGCTCGATTCTGGGTTTCCTGCTCGGTGCTGGCAATAGAGCCTCGTTGACTTTGCGCACGATCCGGTGGCGACACGAGCACGCGAGAATCCGATGCCGTTGCACCGCCTCTTCCTGAACGCTCTGTAACCGACGTGACTTGGTCCACAGCATCTACCGGAAGCGTAACCTCGTCGCTGATGATTTTATATACCCGATCGACGAGCTCCTGAAATGCATCCGACTTGCGATCCCGTGGATGGCGGAGACGTACCGGGATTTCAGCCCGTATACGGCCTGGACCCTTGCCCAAGACGACAATGCGATCCGCCAGGGATACAGCCTCTTCAATGCCATGCGTGACCATGAGGATACTCTGCGTCGGCATCGAGCCATGCGTCCAAAGGTTCAGGAGCTCAGAGCGCAGGTTCTCTGCAGTAAGCACGTCCAGTGCACTAAACGGTTCGTCCAGCAGCAACAGCGTCGGATGGGTTACCAGCGCTCGTGCGAATCCTACGCGTTGGCGTTGGCCACCTGATAATTCGCGCGGATACGCATTCTCGTAGCCATCGAGTCCAATCATATCGACGATCGCAGTCGCTTGTCGACGGCGTTCGGCTAGAGGGATTTCGGATCCCAGACCCAGCATCACGTTTTCCACCACCGTGAGCCACGGGAATAACGCAAAGTTTTGAAAGACAATGGCTGCATTGGGGTTTACGCCACGCAGCGGCTTCCCTGCAAAGTACACGGTACCGCGCGTCGGCTGCACCAAGCCAGCGAAGAGGCGCAATATGGTCGATTTTCCGGAACCCGACTGCCCCACAAGACATACAATTTCGTAGCGGTGCAGGGCTAGCGAGATATCTTCAATGACAGGAAAGTGCTCCCGAACGTGGTACGACACGTTGACGAGTTCCGCTACCGGCGTCGCTGAGTCAGGCGTCACTGCAGCTGACCTAGGAGCGTCGCCAGCCGCCATTCGGCTAAGTCGCAAGAACGGAAGCTCTAGTGGGGTCATTGTTTCCCGAGTAATAGCCGTTGAAGACCAGGAGCGTTTTGATTCGCGCCATTGTGCCGATAAGAGCGCGTTACGCCTCGGTTTCTGTACCGGTAACGAGGCCGCAGTGCCGTGCTCAGGTCGCTTCGCGAAGCTCGCACTGCCCGGAAACCGGGTCCTTGACGCTGTATGCGACCAGACTAGTGCGTGCCAATTAGTCGGTATAGTGAACATGCGTCACGAGTTCGGAACAGCGTTATGGATAAACGCAGAGACTACCTCGCACCGTTGGTTTCCACACGCTGCCAAACGAGGCGTGTCGGCGCTCGTTGAGATTGAAGGCACGAGCGGCGGCAGGCAGCATCGACGGCGGCGGCGGCGGCGGCGGCGGCGGTAGAGCACTGATGGCGCGCGCCGCTCTGCAACGGGTTCCGCCGAGGTGCCCGTTAGACGCAGCCCCAGTCTACATAGTATGGTATGGAACTGTATATATTGGTTGATTGCTGCCGCACAGTCGGAGAGTCTACCAACTCATTTCTGTTTCGTACTCGCAGCCTTGTACTGCAGAAGATCAATATCACGTTACAATGTATGCTATGGATCGGAGTCGAATTGTGTATAGAATCTATTCTTTGCTGAACAGCGCATGGAGTGCAGCATTCCTCCATCAGGTCAGTCATAACACAGTATGCAGACGGTTAAGGAACACTGAAAGCACGAAGAGGATGCGCTCTGCGCCCAGAGCTCGTATTGGAACAGTGTGGTAACGATAGATAGTAGCAAACGACCCGTTCACCACCGTATGGAAAGCAAAAGCAACGATCATAGTCGCCACAGGTGCCTCTTCTGCTCAACAGCTTGTTCGAATGGTCCCGAAAACGCTGGGCGATGGAGAGAGCGCAGCGGTACGCTTGAGCGGTAGAAAAGCGCGGAGAGCTGGCACAGCACCAGATAGCACAGTGGGCACAAAGTCTGGCAATTCTTGCAATGGTGCATTCAAGCTGCGGCAATAGATGTGTATGAAGTGCTTGAGCCGCGACTTCAACACCGCCATCCCTATCAGACGATATGTGGTACCGAAGACGTGACCCGCGGAACTGTCGCGATCGAATTCTCTGAGGTAACCTTCGATACTCGAAGTGAATAAAGAGAAGCAGAAACCGATAGTAGGCAGCGGGTCGTATAAGGCTCGGAAACGTATGGATCAAGGTGGCTAGATAGGTGCCATCGTATCCGCGTTGCGCATGCGACCCTGCATGGTCGCTTCGATCGTAACTGTATTAAACTGTACATATTTATAATTTAAGGACAAGGTCCACCGATTTGCCGATCGCATCCGCTGGCGCCGCTGCAACACCCCTTGCTCAGTGTAGGATCGGAACAAACGCTCGCGTCATCGTTGAAGAAGCGTCACGAGACCCGTCGAGCTGGTTCCTTAGACACCTAGTGCTGGCGATGGTAAGTGCTTGGTCTGGGGCGCTGTTTGGTTTAGCAGTGCAACTTATGTCAAACGCACTCCAAAAGCTGCCGTTGATGCGGCGACCCTGGGAGCACGTGCTCTTCGCAGCGGGCGGCGCGTTTGTGGGTCACAAACTGGGCGACCTGGAGGTGGAACTTACGCAACGCATTGAAGCGCATCGCGCTAATCAGAAGCGTCCCGGCTCGTAAGGTATCCGAATCAGTGCCCGTATGGCGGGAGAATCGCGCTCGGGCGGTACGGGCTATCGGTTGCCGCTGCTGGTACAGGCGCGAGCACAGCGCGGTCTAGGTTCAGGACGTGGTTGCACTGGTGTCCGGGGCAGCGTTCAGGAGTTCTCGCAGCTGAAGCAGAACATGTTGTGAGAGATAGATAGGGTGTCGCCGAGGGCTGCTGCACTCCAAGCGCAAGACAACGAGTTGAGCAGCGTCAGCATAGAGCTGCTTTTGTATCAGCAGCTTCAGCATAGACTCGAGGTGGTTCTCGCGCAGGGCCACGGCATCAACTAGCCAACGTGGTGCCGAAGCGATGCCCACTGTCACTTTCGTTTTGAAGGTGGACGGCGCCGGTTTGGACTCGCTCGCGTCATCGCTTTGTTTGCGACTGGGTATCCTCGCTTCCGCAGTTGACGTTGGTATCGCAGCAGGGTCCAGGTCCCTGTTCGGCAAGCGCTCTGTAGCTATTCCCTGGGAATTCGTTCTGCGCTCGGAGCTAGCGGTCTGCATGGGCTTGCCAGTGCACTGAATCCAGGCCTCCAGAGCAGGAGTGAAAACGTACCCAGTTCGCGCGGTCAAAGCAGCGTAATTGAGGGCCGCTTCGAGTTCCTTGTCGATCTGGACGAGCGCAGCATCAGCCGCTGCATGTTCATCATATAAAGGTTGCACACGCTCGACAGCAAGGCGAATAATACGAGCAGTCTCGCGACGAACATCAGCGAGCGCCATGCTTGGAGCCGCCGCATCAGAAGATGCAGCAGTAGCAGCAGTAGCTTCGTTCCACCATAAACACGTGAGCCTCAGAGCTGCCATGATACCGCTCTCACCATCGAAACGATGTGGACTAGCGACAAGCTGATACGCCACGGATCGAGCTGCCGCATCGCTGGTCTCGAATAGGAAACGCAAGTTTCCGCTGCTGTGCCCCGATGCATTCAGCTGACGTCGCAGTGCACGTTGATAGCGAACGAGCAACCAGGCCCGACGAATGTCAGCCTCTTGGACCATCACCCAGGACGGAGTGACGGGAACGGCTTTGTCCCCGGCCTGCTTGAGCAGGTAGAGCGCGAGCTGTAACGCGCACTGACGTTGCTCCAGGAGCCATGTGACGCGTTCAGACTCGCCAGCGGCTGAAGCGTCGACCAGCAACTGCGCTTGCTGTGCCGCTGGTACCGCGTCCAGTGCTTGACGAGTACGCTCGGCCCAGTCAACGGCGACGCACGCTGCCAGCCACCATTCGTTCCGAGTCATGTAAACAGCACACGTCGTCTCGTACAGTGAACCCGCACGCTCCAGATCACAGGCGGTCGCGAGGCGCCAAAGCGCCTCAGCAGAGCGCAGAAAGCACAGAGGTGGTAGGGATTGAGCCAGCAACCACGGCATTCCTTTCATTTCGATGGCTTTTTGTAGCAGGAGATAGAGCGCATCACGGGTCTGAGGCGCACTCGATTCCCGGAGATCCTTCACGAGCACCGAGAGCGCCTCGTCGAGCGCGTTCGTATCCAGTGCCCGCATGAATAGAAAGAATCCCAACTGAGTCTGGGTGATTTCTCGCTCGGTTCGTTCACGTACAGAAACGAGGCCCGGTTGAGGCTCGCCTCCTGCTTGCACATGGCGCTCTGCCCTTAGGGTCGCAAGGGCGACTCGCGCCATTTGACAGGCTGCCTCATGCGCCTGTTGATCCTCGAGAAACTCCACCATGCGTTCTGCGTAATCCAGTGCACCGCTCATACTTCCAACGAGTTGTGGTAAGAGTTCCAGATCAAGTGGCCGCTGCTTCTGCTGGAGCTCCGTCCACGCCTCAACAAAAGGCGACACTGGATCCGTTTGCCGCTCCTCACGCCAGCGCTGCAGTGCGATGAGGCCTGCCACATGAGCACGAACCGCAGGCATCTCATTCTCATAGAAAGAATCGATCAGGAGCAGCGCCCAGTGCAACGGCGCCTTCTCTACCAGAAGACGTACCATCGAAGGACTCGGCCGTATCAGCAGCGGTACCAGCGTCAACCAGGTGGCAGAGCCGGCAGACGCGCTTGCGTTGGCGTTAACAGAGTCTGTGCTGAGCGCGTGCTGCATTTTCAGCCAAACGAGCCACTCGCCGTTCCCGAGCATTCGTTCCACGAAATGGTGTCCGTACTGGTCGCTTAGCTCGGCGCTGGTGCTGATGCGCAGTGCCAAGTCCCACAGCCGTTCCTGGTGATTCCAGAAATTTAGCTGCTGCTGCTGCTGCTGCTGCCCTAGCGCGGCAAGATTCGCGCCAATGCCAGCAAAAGTCCGCCGCACGTAGGCAATTTGCGGCAGACTTGTAGCCTGCACGACTGCTAGCAGGCCAGGTGGCGGTTGGAGGCGCTGTAGAGCATCCGCGGTCAGCAGACATGGACCAGTCACGATATCCCACAGGTGATGCAGCAGCGCTGCCGAGTCGTCCTGTTGCAGCAAGGCCGGTGGCGATGCAAGTGGCTCCAGCGCTGGCGTTGATCCACCAATCGAGGCATCGCAGCGTGAAGCATTGAAGCGCTCGACAAGCAGCCTACTCAAGAAAGTCATCCAGGGCAGCGCATCGCCCTGATTGGTGCTGAACGAATGATCGCGACTCCGGAAAAACAGGCACTCCGACGCATCACAGAGGCGGAGTACGGCGGCACCCCAGGGATGCACGACAAGGCTGAATGCATCCAAAAGAGGCATCGGTTGCAGCTGTAGAACGGACGCGTCGTTTTCGAGGTAAAACATGCGAACGCGACGAAGGAAGCGATCCATCGTCGCGGGATCCTGTGTTGCGAGCTCGACCAGGCGCTCCCGCAGATACCGAACGAGGCACGGCGACGCCGATAACGTCCACGGTGACATGCTTTGATCCAGTGCGTACTCCGACGTCACGGCAGAGGTATTTGCAGCATCTTGCTCGCTGCGGAGCGAACGCTGCAGTACCCGGTAGACAGTGCCCCAGGGGAAACGATGCGGCGCTAGAATACGCTCTACCGGGTCGCGTCCCGGTGTCCGATCCAGGGCGCCTTGCAGATGGAGGTCCGCATCTATCTCATCCTCGGCAGCGATACTGTAGACCGGCTTCAGTGAGAATGACCACCAGGGCTCTCCCGAGGCTTCCCGGGTACTTGCCGATGAGATAGCATCAGCGGATACCGGTATCAAGGTGATACTGCCGTTTGCCCAGCCCAGACAGAGTGCCTGCTGCGATTGCCAGAAGCAGCACGTCGTCAGCTCTTCCGCAGGCGCCTCCGCATCAGCCAAGAGCTGTGTGGTGAGTTCCAGACCGGTGGGCGTGCTGTTTTCCTCAGCAGCGCGCCGCAAGACGACATGAATGAGTTGCAAACGCAACAGGCCGCTTGCGTCCAAAACAGAGACGACGGCTAAAAATGAGGCCATTACTCCGTTTGGCGCAGCTATCTCCACAGAATGCGTATGCGGCACCAAGCCGAAACTCCCCGATGACGCCAGCGAGGCACGCCAGGGCACCGACTCAACAAAGACCTGCGGGTTGCCCAGGTCCCACAGTCGAAAAATGCCCTCCATGTCGAGCATCAACACGTGGCCACGCATCGCACAAGTTGCAACGATCGGAACTTGTCCAAAAGCGCGACCTGCAGACCTGCTGCTGGCAAGCCAAGGCGTCCGCCTCTCCACTCCCAGCGGAGATACGCGGGTTGGTGTGGAGGCTCCCGCCGTGGCCCCCAGGCGCCCCGGCGTTTTCAGTGATTGCAGTATCCTCTTTGCTGGACCGAAATTACGGAAACTCTTCGGGGATGCGAGCGTCGTCAGCGTGTATGAAACGTTTGTCACATCCATTCCCGTAGGCTGCATGATTTCGATACGGAATAGATGCCCACTTCGTGCGAACGCAATAAAAGCGTGCGGCGCATCCTCCAAGGCTTGGATTGCGTAAACTTCGGTCGGCAAGTGCAGCGTCTGAACTGTGTTCGAGGGAAATGGGGCGTAGGTCTCCATGGAAAAGTAACGCATATCCGCCGTCTCGGTATCGAGGTGGCTTTCCTGAACAGATTCCCGACGCATGCTTCCAGGTGTTCGCATCACTCGTTCGGACGAAAGCGCTGTGCCTACACCCAACCCGTTTCTGTACTCGTAAGCAACAACTTCTGTCTGGGCTGACTTGAGCGCGCTCAGTCGAACGCAGACAAGTCGAGTACCCGCAACGAGGAGGTAGCACCAGCTCGGGTCCGCACCAAAGACCACGGCGGAGATGGATTCGTCCAGTAGACGCCACCGCTCTCCGTGTAAGACTTGAGCAAGCGTCGCTTGCAAAGTCGACAGGTTTCCCAGAGCCCCTGGATCTGGAAACTTTTGCATAGAACCGTAGAAACGTTTCCGGGCGATCTCGAGCCAAAGCGAGGCACCAGCCCGATCCCGCTCCTTGTGACGCAAAAGCCTCCAGATGAGCACCTCGATGTACTCGTCATTGAAACCTGCCTCTGAGTCTCGTACGGGAGCGCCAAACACCGCGCCCGCGTCCACAACCCGCCCGCTGCTAGCTTCGAGCGCTGTTTGCGTTGCGCCCTGGGAGGCAGTCGGCCCACCAGGGCTAGCGATGGACTCGGGTTCCGCGGTCCTCCCTGTAGCCAAACTACGCGTTGTCCAGGTCGCAACCTCATCCCAGGAGAAAAGTGCGCTCTCTCGATACAACTCGGTCTCCATGCTCCGCAGACGTACCACAGGCGTTTACCGGCACCAGCGTCTGCGGAGAAGCGAGCGCAACGTGGTTGTCACCAAAGCCACGCCCTTGCCCTCGTGCCGCCACGCTGGATCGAACCTCGGGTGCATTCAGGGCAAGCGCTGCTCTACGAGTCGAGCTTGTCATGACTTTTGGGATTACTGGAATCGCAGCATCGATAACCCGCATTGCTTATGCATCCGGTGACGTCCAATGAGCATGATGGGTAGCGTTCCAGAGAAACAACAACCAGGCGCTACGTTCCCGTACGTATCTCCAAACGCGCTGTAACGTGCCGCTTCTAGCAGCTTCAAGCTCCGAGCAGAGCACAGGCACGCTGCAGGAGAACCGCCTGTGCAGCGGCTTCACGCTGTTCGGACACCGCTGGTGGAGAATGCTTCCTGAGACTCGTTACCGGAATGCGGCACCGATGATGGTGTGTTCTGGTTTGCACACCGCTTGAGGTCGAAGGGTGCCGGCAGCCGGCATGGACGCTGCGACCTTTCGAATGACATTGCGTATCTCATGTACGATATTCATGTGATACGGAACGAGTACGGTTCTCTGAAAGGACGGAATTCAACAAGATTCCCATGAGTCGAGCACTGGACAGCACGCTGCAGACGGATTTTTTTCGGGAATTATGGAGCCAGCCTCGATACGCCTGTTGGACGAACGAGACGCCTTGCGTTCCGTGTGTCAGTCCGTGGACGTCTGGGCCATGATGAGGCATCAGCGAATAATGATCTGCGTATGAACATGCTTTTTATATGACGGTTCCTGTGAAACGCAGCGCTCTGGCGTGCTTCCTGGATCACCTTCACCGGAAACGCAGACCGACACATGATCTGCGTATGAACATGCTTTTTATATGACGGTTCCTGTGAAACGCAGCGCTCTGGCGTGCTTCCTGGATCACCTTCACCGGAAACGCAGACCGACACATGATCTGCGTATGAACATGCTTTTTATATGACGGTTCCTGTGAAACGCAGCGCTCGGGCGTGCTTCCTGGATCACCTTCACCGGAAACGCATACCGACACATGATCTGCGTATGAACATGCTTTTTATATGACGGTTCCTGTGAAACGCAGCGCTCTGGCGTGCTTCCTGGATCACCTTCACGCCAACAGCATGAGTGGACAGCGCCAGCAGTACCCCGTGCATGACCCACACGATACCACGGTGACGATTCCCGTCACTAGACCTATGGTGCAAGCTGTGCGCTCAAACCTGTTATACGCTGACCAATGCCGTACGCATGGTCGGCACGATGTTGTGCAGCAGACACGCAACCGACTAGCATTGAACGCGCTTATGTTAGCTGGTTTGTCTCTGCTGTCAGTCCTGTCCATGGGTACGCATGTCAATGCAGCAGCGCAAGCTCCGGATACTCTAGAACAATCGTCTCGTTGGGGCGCGAGCAGCGACTCATGGACTTGATTCTCAAGTTTGTTTCACATGCGCTGCGGTGTATAGCTGGGGATCGGAATCACGGTGCAACGTATCCTATCGATGTCGAAGAATTGCCTATATGATATATGTTCTTTACTGAACAGTGAAAGCAGGACGGGATTCCTCTTTCTCGTCACACATAACACAGTACGCTGATGGTTGAGGAAGCCTGAAACAAACATGTATATGCGCTTTGGGACAAAAACCTGTATTATCAAAGAGCGGTTGCGGTTAATCGTAGAACACGACCCGTTGATCGTCTTACAGGAGGAGGAAACAGGATCATAGAAGTTGCCACCACAGGCATCTCTGATTCCCGAGAGCTTGTTCGCATGGTCCAGAACACACTGGGATACAATTGCAACAGACTCCTAGTTCACGCACGGTGATCTTTCACCAAACTCGTAACGACAGCGTTCCTGGAACATCAGTAACGATACACAGCAGCGGGACGTTGGTTTGCTTTTTTCAGTTGATGAGGCTTGCTTCGGACGAAATCATCAAAGCATATATGATTGTTGGCGGAGCATGGAACCCGTTCCACGTACGATCGAACTCGAAAAGAACGTGGATAGCACTTGTTCTCGGGGGAGCTGATGCAGTCGGCCGCCTCAGTGTCGCTCGTGGAGGAGGCGCATACAACAGCACCCTCTTTGTCCAATCATTGAAGACTTTTCCACGGACGTCTGACGACGTCTGTCTACTCCACAATGTGGTATTCCACCATTCCCCTTGCGTTCGACCTTTTACCGGTTCTCTTGTGGTGGTTCCAGTTCACTTTCTGCCTGACAGCCGCGTCCATTGTTGCCGGAGCGATCTGTGAGCGGGTTCGCGTGTTCGCCTACATCGGGTTCGTTGCACTCATGATGGGTTTTGTCTACCCAGTGATCTCTCATGCCATCTGGAACGCCAACGGATGGCTGAATCTGTTCTACAACAAAGTCACAAATCCAACGACCGGTCATATCATCGGCAGCTTTGGCTTCTACGGTACCGCGGGCTCCATTGACTTTGCTGGCAGCGGCGTGGTGCATATCACTGGCGGTGCTGGAGCACTCGTCAGTGCAGTGATCATCGGACCTCGAATTGGGCGTTTCGATGAAAACGGGAAGGTCCGTCCCATTCCCGGTCATAACATCTCGTTGATTGTGCTCGGTGGTCTCCTGCTGTGGTTCGGATGGTTCGGTTTCAATCCGGGTTCGCAGCTGGGTGTGTTATCATACGCGGATGGTGGTAAGGTTGGTAGCGCAGTGCGCGGTGGCTTCAATAAGAACGGTGTACCGACAGTGTACTCGAATGCAGGTCAGGTAGCGCTCGCTGCTGTGAACACACTCGTTTTATCTGCATCTGCTGGGATCACGACGCTGATTATCGCGCGATTCGTGGACAAGTACTTTGACTGCGCCTCCATGGTGAATGGCTCTATCAGCGACACAGTGGCGGTTACATCTCCCTGTTCGACCATTCCGACGTACTCGGCGCTGTGTTGCGGGGTTATTGCGGGATGGATTTGGGTTTTCGGCGATAAGCTCATCCAGCGGCTGCGTATCGATGACCCGCTCGGCGCCGTTACCGTCCACGCGTTCGGAGGCACACGGTGCGTCCTCATTCCCGGCTTTTTCGCAAAGCCTGATACCGTCGCCATGGTTTATGGCTCGTACGATGGTTCAGGGGGGTGTATTCTATGGCTATGGAAAGCAGCTCGCTGCTCAGCTGACGGAGATTCTCTACGTTTGGCCGTTTGTGGGAATGAATATCGGCGGCTACTTCTTGATCCTCAGGTTTCTCGGCCTGCTACGCGTCCCGCCGGAGGTGGGAATTCTTGGGAATGATACCTCGCGTCATGGTGGCCCTGCTTATCCAGAGGACGACGTTGGCCTTGAGGAGGATCTTGCAATGCTGCGAAGCTACCAAACCTCACAGAAGGTGGTTCAGAAAGCGTCCAGCTCTGGCTCTCCTGCTGAAGAGCGCATTGCCGTCTAGAGATTGGAGCAGGTCTCCATCCCTATCGTCCACGTCATCATTTGTCTGCCTAGCGGTGATTACGGTACATTCGACGGTGCTCATGATCACCATGCGACGCCTACAAGTTTATTCGTAGAAGAGCCCTTTTCGTTTTGCTGAAGATGCCCAGTAACTGAACGGAGCGCTCGTGCCTTTCCCGCACTACACTGCACAGAGATTCGCTTCTGTCGCATGCTGGAAAAGACGACGCCCAAAAGTGGTCAACAGCAGGTTTAGCTCGATGAACGGAACGAACCGTTTCATAGTCAAGAGTCAAGCACGCTGGGCCAGTGCTCGACGCGCTCCCACAGTGGTGGTTGCCTTTTCAAAGCCCGCACAGTTTGATTTTAAAGCCTGCTTCACGCGACAAGGAGCAGGGCGCCTGGCACCCAGATTACATCCAGGTCGTTGCGTTCCCCAAGTGCGTCGTTCCGCGCCAGCTAGCCTGCTTGCACCAACTTGCGGAGAGCGAAACTGCCACGAAAGACGTCACCGCTTCGGGTGAACGGTGCCTCGAGCCGACTTTCGGACGGGTACGGCAGTGCCATTGTGTCTCCGTACGCCGTTCATCGTGGTGCGTTTGGTGGCAAGGCGAGCGCCCACCGAAAAGTCCAGTATCCCGCGGGTCGCCTTCTCGACCCAGCAGCACTGAACCCCGAAAGCAGTCCTAGCCTTCTATTCGTGGATTGTGTTCGTTTTTTGATAGACAAGTTCAGATTTTCTTTCGTAGTCGATAGGAATCGCTCTTCCAGGGTACAAACTAGGATACTAGATCATACGTCATAAAAGGCAACTATCGACTAGCAGGGCGTTGCCACGCCTCGTTCATCCTCAGCGCATTCCTGACGTACTAGTTCTTGCCATTCTTCACAACTGACTTGTGCGTTGGTGCATATCAGCGCTGGAGACTTGCACAGCCTAAACTTCAAGCTTGTTTACCCTTTCAATTCACCTCAGGGAGTTTTCTCCTGGAAGACTGCGGTTCCGTAACGTTCACCTGGTTGACTCGACCGTTTCAGAGCGTTGGTACTGTCGTTGGTGCACAGGGTTGAAGCCTACGCAGCATGGCTAGTTCGTGGCACCCGGCTGCGGCCCCGTCACAAGTCTGCGCTCCAGATGACGTCTCTGCGGCCAGAGTTGAAGGTCGCTCAGCGAGCGGAGGCAGTGCTGTGCCAGATGGCGCGGGTGCCTGGCTCGGGCAACTCGGTGCCGCGGCTGGGACCCGCGAGCGTGCCTGGGGGCCAGCACCAACGAACCAGGGTCCTGTGTTCGTGGGTCCGAGACCTGGCGAAGCGGCTCTAGAACTGCCGCTTCCGCCTGAGCTCGCTGCGGAGCTTGCCGCGCGGGGCGTGCCTTTGCAGGGTGCAGGCGCACTAGCGCCACCGCCTGCACTTGTAGCGGAGTTTGGGAGACTTCAGGTACACGGCGCTGGACCAGTGCCCGCACACGGCCAGGCTGCACAGACGCATCTACCGAATTCGTTTCATTCCATGCAAGCTGCCTGGAACACATCCCAGTTTGGTGCTGCACCGAAGCACCACGGTGGGATGTCGGCAGCGCCACCGCTTGACCGTGCTTGGGCGAGCACTGCTTCGGGTAGAGCGCAGCAGCACCTGGAGCCAGGCATGCGTCCTATGGCCTGGAGCGGTCCATACAGGTCAGCGTACGCTCCGCGCTACACATCATTTTACGGCCCGCAGAATTTTGCCTCGAACTGGAGTAATGTGAGCCGGGCTCCAGAAACGCAGACTGAACAGGTGCACCAAACCGACCAGCAACGCGACGAGCTGGAACAGAGTGCGACTTCTGCAAGTTTAGGACAAGCAGAGCAGCGCGATGTACAAGCCACAGCGCATACGCAGGTCTCGACAGATGCACCTGCTGCGAGCGTTGACGCTGAGACGCCTTCGAGTCTGTCTTTCGAGGAACTGCTCCGTCAAGCACGCGTCGATCTAGACGACACATTCGACGACGACTATTTACATGCGTACGGGAGAGCGATGAACGATACAGCTTATCGTTTTCAGTACACCGCCGAGGAGAATCGCTACCTCACAGACGAGGGACGCGAATCGCAGACCGCTGACAACAGGGCTGCAGCACTGGCAGCGCTTGCGGAAGGCGAGCGCTTGTACGCAGAAGGTCGACTTGCCGAGGCGATTATGGCCTTCGAGGCGGCCGTCAAACTCGACCGAGAACTTTCACGCGCATGGTATTTTCTGGGCGTCGCCCATGCGGAGTCTGACCAGGATCCACAGGCCATCGCCAGCTTGAAACGAGCCCTGGAATGTGAACACAATGAAGCACAGGGCGACGATATGATCGCAGATACGCTTTTATGTCTCGGGGTTTCGTATACCAATGAGCTGAATCCATCCCAAGCGTTAAGATATCTGCAGCAATGGTTGGATCTGCATCCTAGTGCGCAGGTGCAACCTGCCTCTGCCCGGGCTGCACCGGTTTCCTCTGCGTCACCTGCGGACGAAACGTATCCCACGCCCACCAGTCAAGTCGACGAGTTGTATGCACGACAACGGGCGCTGCTGGAGAGAGTCCAGGATCTTCTCAGTCGTCATAACGATGCTCAGCGCGATGCCGACCTCTACTCGGTGCTCGGTGTGGTGCACTCGTTGATGCGCGATTACGACGCAGCGGTTTTAGCTTTCCGCCGTTCTGTGGAGCTCCGCCCCGATGACTACCGCCTATGGAACCGTCTGGGGGCGACGCTAGCCAACCATTTTCGGAGTATGGAGGCGCTCAGAGCCTACCGCAGCGCCATTGATCGGCGACCGAACTTTGTACGAGCCTGGGTCAATGTGGGTACCTCGTATGCGAACCAGGGCTCGTACCCGCAGGCCATTCGATATTATATTCAGGCGCTGCAGCGCAATCCTAGAGCATTGCACATTTGGTCATATTTGCGAACCGCTGCAATCGCAATGAATCGACTTGACATCCTCGCCATGGCCGAGGATATGAATCAGGATAACTTGGAGGCGATCGCCGCCGCCCTCGAGCAGTCGTCATGAGCGTTTACGGTGTCACGGTTGGAGCTAGGGCAGTCGAGAGCGCCCATTTCCAATACGGGGTGGTGAATCACGCGCTCCAGTGCCCGATGGTACAACATGTGTCTGCGTACGCCGCAGCTTGGTCGAGTGGTGGCGTCATGAGCCCGTCGCCGCAAGTCTCTGAGATCAACCTGCATCCTGAGCGTGTTGTAAACGTGGCGAGTTTGTGTGTATGTGTGCGCTCGATGTGAGCTAGCCCGATACAAGATAGTGCGAGCACCCGATAGCGACAGGTTATCGCGTTGGATACGCAAGCTTATGCCTGCGCTTCACGACGAGGTGGCGTTCGAGTACCGGACAGGTGCAGGTGCACGTGAAGGTGTCCCGCTTCTGTTCAGAACGCAATGGCCATCATTCCTGGTTTTTTTCGGTGCATCTTTTCGTCTTAAGACAGTTTTAGTGAAACTGTTCGTATATTCAAAACTGTTCGCCAAGCAAGAGAACTACAGAACGAAAAGCGAGTCCATTGCCCTGTGGTGCTAAAGCGTTTCGCTGATTACCGTATTCAAACACCTGAACCACGCTCATACATTCACACGCTCACCGTCGTGCATCTACAGCTCTTGCTCACGCGAAAGACGAGACGCCTCCTCCCAAGCAACACGAACGCGGCAAACGTACCGCTTTTCGAGGGTTTCACGACGACGAGAGGCGGCACGTCGCAAGGCGGTGTCGTGCGCAGCGCCCTGGCCTCGACATTTCCGGGAACGCGTCTCGAGCTTTGCACGCTGTGACGTGTTCCTAAAAAAGTGGGTGTTCTGTGTACATGGTAGCGAGACTGCGTGGGCATCGTGTGTGCCTTTGAATTGAGCAGGACAGCACACAGCGTTCATGGCGTCGTCTGAGGCGAATCACGCCGGTGTTTCGGGCAACCAAGGAACTGCACCAGAGACTAGCCAAGGTGCAACGAGCACGCCTCGACAAGCGACCACAATGCTGCCAGGCTACGGAGGTGGCTACGGTGGTGGCTACGGAGGTGGCTACGGTGGTGCTGGTTATACCGGGGGCTACTACGGAGGCTACGGTATGGGTGGCGGTTATCTGGGGAACTTTTACGGCCCGGGGACGTACTACGGAGGTCTCGGTTCTGGGCTCTATGGCGGGTACGCAGCACTAGCGAGCCGTTTCACCAATGGTGTCGTGAATGACGGGCACTCGACAACATCTCAGGCGCTGGGGGTGCTCCAGTCCGTCATGGCTCCCGGTCAGTCGGCAATGGCGACCCTGCAGAACGTTATGCACGCAATCGCACGAGTAACCGGTATTCTGGAGGAGAATATGCGCACCATCCATATTCTCTTTGACAGCGTGTTTGGACTCGTTTATAATCTAACATTTTTAAGAGAGGAGTTGCGGGGTGCTCTGCAACACTTTCGACCCAAGTCCTGGTTCACAGAGTGGCTGCAGCGAATCCTGGGCCTCTGGCGTCTCTTGTTACTGCTTGCTCTGACACCATTCTCGCTCCGATTGCCGCCTGTTGCGGCCGTTCTGCGCTTTCTCGGACTGGTACCGAGGGAGCAACAGCCTATAGAGAATGATTCAGACACGGATTCGTTCTCCGATACGGATAGCGAGGAATCGCACCATGTGGGTGCGTCAAATCCGCGGACGACTTTGTCATGGTCGGCGAGAACGGCTGCAGCTGCGGCGAATGAACGACAGTCGCTATGATTGCAGAGCGCAATCACGCTTCCATTGACAACGTGCAGGTGAACCTGCTGATACCAGCAATGGAAACGAGAATACCCCGAGCAGCGCGGAAAGTCAGCGTAGAGATCGGGTGCTTCGTACGTTCGATGTTGCAGCGCGCTGCACTGCCGGCAACGTCAACACGACGTGCAGCGTTTGACGTGCTTGGGACGCAACACGGAAGCCTGTCAACGGGAAGCAAATGTGCGGCTTTGTTTTTGGATAACCGTGTTGCTGAATCTCGCCAAGACGAGGTAGAGCAATGCGACACCGGCTTCATGGTGCGCTACGCTTCATGGGTACGCAGCGTTTGCCAGAAATGGAGGCAACGTACGACCTCAGGCAGTTTTCGGTGAGGCGCTCTGCCTCTAGGATTGCCGAACCTCGTATTAGCGTCGCTGAGTTGCGTGCCGTATCGGAAATGACCCCGTGGCGTTTCGTGTGGTGTTGCGCAGTTGCCTCGGGCGCATGATCATGCAGACTTTCATCAAAACTGGGCGTTTGTCCACACTGCGAGCGACTCTGAACGGATGTCCGGCACATCGTCCCAGGCGAGGCGCCTATCGCACCAGAATTGTATACTTCAGCACCGACGGAGTGTCTCTGGTCCGTGAACACGCTCCCAGATGGACTCGAATCAATGATGCGATGATGCGAATGTCGATCATGGACGCTTTTTTCGGGTGTAACGACGCTGCTTCATGCACGGAGCTTTGTAGCTTGGCCAGGAATCGGGTATACACAGCGCGTCGTGAAGCATCGCGTTCGACAAGTACATGCTTTCCACTATGTGCACACATACATTCCATATGAACCTTGAATACATGCTTGGATCACCGAGCGTATCGTGTCATTGCCGATGCTGCATGTCCATTAGGGAGCCCAATGTACTTGAGGCAGTGTCGAATGTTTCCAGGAAACGATTCTCGTATGGATGAATGCCGCCCATACAAAGCGGACGCTCACGGGTTCACTGCAGCCACCCGAGGACTGTCCTTGACTCGGCGCTAGCAGCATCGACGGAGCATTACGCCTACACCAAATGATTCCCGCTGATACCTCGAATACACTGAGGACGTCAGGGCGCTTGCCGTAGCACCTGACGATGCCCGTATGCCCTCGACGCGTTTCCGCGAACAGCTTCCGTTGTGCCGCCACCAACAGCATTCCGTAAAGGCAACCGGTGCATTGGGAGCGCTCCCTTTTTCGAACCGAGATGTCGTTGGTCTTGTCGTTGTTCCGGGGGGTACTGGTACGAGCCTCCAGGAACCGGACGCATTCACCATTCCTGTAGAGCGCGTTCTAGTCTAGTCGCTCACGCGCAAGCGCGATGCACTTTTGAGTAGCCATATTCTCTTCGTCGACACCAGGTCTGCGCGAGTTACGACGTCACACTGCTACTGCTGCTACTGCTGCTACTGCTGCTACTGCTGCTACTGCTGCTGCTACTGGTAGCCGGTACTCCCTGCTGTCGAGCAATGCCTTTCTGTGTGGGCGTACGCGACTCCGTTATGATTGCGCACTCCTTTCGAGGTGAAGCTTTCGGGTGCGCCCAGAACCTACACGGTGCAACGTATACAGTGGAGGCGGAGTTCTTCGCCGATGCACTCCAGCCAGACACGAACTGGGTCATCGATATCGGGGCAGCGTCCAAGGCGCTAGCCACTGCTCTTGAACCGTATCAGTGCCGCAACTTGGACGACCTCGAGGAGTTTCGTGGACAGAACACGACCACTGAGTTTATGGCGCGGCACATCCATAGCCGTTTGCGGACGCTCCTCTCGTTCCAGGGCAGACTCCGAGTGACCCTGCACGAGTCGTTCAAAGCGTGGGCCTCCTTCGAGGCCTAGCACGTTCGAGGTAGCGCGGGTTGTGCACGTTCTACGGAATAGGTACAAGTCTGGTGATGCCCTGTTCCAGCAGAGACCAAGTCCGTGCTGTGCGTGTTTAGAGACGGCTGGCGTGCGTACGACAAGTCCACCTGGAGCCTTGTACCCACATACAACCGATTCATTTCCAGTGAATATCCGTGTTCGTAAGTGCCTCGCCCGCCGGGCGACCAGCGCTGCTGCCGCTGTTCAACGGGCATGCTGCCAGGTGCCAATGGACGCATATGCAACGCCCTATGCAGGAAAGCACAAGAGCTCCAGGCGTATGCGCTCACAGAGCTCGTTCAGAAGCGTCAGGTCTCGCTGGCGATCTTGGCTGCTTACGAAGGCACCGGTTATGCGCTGATCGCTGGACTCTTGTCTGGCAAGCGACGTGATCGTATGGAGCCGATCCAAGCACAACGTTGCCTGCTCCAGCGGGATCAGTGGCAACAGCGCCAACATGATCCCACCGAATGCACCCTGCACGAGTCCGATACAGCGAGTGTACCAGCGGAGCGAACGCTTCGAATGTGTGTGCGGTGATCCCTCATCAAGTGCTTGGTGTAGCGCTATGAGGCGTTGCGTCCGTGACGAATATTGCCGTTGGATTCGTTCGAGAATCACAAGGCACAGAGGATCCGCATACGCGATGCTCTCCTCGAACGATGACACAGGCGAGCTCGTTTCCATGAGCGGGTCATCGTCGGGGAACGCGCTTTCCGCACGATTCAAGGATGTCGCGTGATCAGCACGCAATGCTCCCGGTGCGACAACCTCCGTACATGAAGCCGCATATTCGTTGCATAAAAGGGCTCGCCAGTAGGCTACGAGGCGCTGACGACGCTGCTCGTCGCTTTGTTTCATTTCATCGACCGCAGCAGTGACATCTGACGTCGTCGTTGTCGTCGCCATGGAATCCATATCGAGAAGCGCGCTCCAGACGTGTCTGCCTGCGGAGCGGAGCACGTGTTCCAGTGATGCTCCCGCGCCCTCTAATCGTAGGAGCGATTCCGCCAGTGAAACCGGTCGGAAAAAGGGCAAGCGCGCCTCGATAAACAGCGGAGCTGCCTCTGGAATGATCAGGCGTCGCCCGCAAATACGTTCAAGCCAGGCTCCGATGCGTCGTTGCTGAACGAGCCACGGTTGCCAGCGCATCCGATACGCAAGCGCTGAACGCTGCACAAGCCAGGGCCAAACGGTTGCCCCGAAGCAAGCCCACGATTGTTTCATGACCTCGAGAAGGTCATCCGCAGGATCCGTAGGTGCAGCGGCCGTAGCGGCACCAGTTGCTCCTTCAACGCCCTGGGAAACGCAGCTCCATAGAGGCGCCATCCAGAAGCGTCTGAGCATTTGCTCAAGAAGCGCGTCTTCGTCTGGTTGCAAGACGATTTGGTAAGGTCGGAGGTCAAAATCCAGCAGTCTCCAGAAGGATTCCGAGGGCGTCTCGGAGCTGTTCGATGACGGGGCCAGGAGCCATACGCACAGCAGGCGGGCGAGGCGTGCAGCACCGCCTGACTCGCTGGTGTTCCCAGAGGCACCGCACATCGCGTAGAGAGCTTCGTAGGAGAGGCCCGAGCGAAGCGTTGCGCCACAAGTAGCCATGAGCTGGGCGCTGACCAGCGCCAGGGGCGCGTTTTGCTCCATATCCAGAACCAGGTTCATGACGAGTCGGATAGGACTCAGCGTCGGCAGACTGTCAGCGTACTCGCGCAGAGAGGTCAGCTCCCGCTGCAGGTACGCCTGCGAGTCACGGGAGCGACCCAGACGCAGGCGTCGGGCGTGGTACGCGGCTCGAGAACGATGCGCCCATGCCCCGTGGATCAACATGCGGGCAAGGCCGTAGAATGCGTCAGACGCTTCCAGGACGGGGAGCAGCGGCACCTGCTCCGTCAGCGCCGGGTCTACGGCAAACTGGATGTAACGAGCGAGCCGCTCGATGGAGCGTGGTGTCCACTGATCATTCGGCATCAGGTGAGGCAGGGATTCCAGTAGCTCCGCCTCGCCCGACAGGTCTGCGTCATTGCTGGGCAGGGCGCCTGCCGTGTGGCGCGGTGCCTGCTGGTGCTCCCACCACTGCGCTGCATACCAGACTCGATAACCGAGGCGGGTGAGCGCTAGGGCAGCTCTCGGGTCCGACTCGCAATCGTGCAACAGCCAGAGAAGCACCCGAAGGAGTCGATGGGCGCGCCGGGTTGGCTGCCACGGATACTCTCTGAGGATGCTCGTCAGCAAGCCGAACCAGGCATTCGCTAACAACGCTGGCCATCTATTGCTCTTATATGCGGAAAGTGGCATTTGTTGAAGCAGAAATCGAAGCGTTTTCGCCGGATCCATCAGTTGAGCCTGAACCAGATGATCGAGCGCTTCAAGTGCATAGGCTATAGCGTCGTGTCCCGCGTTTGTCTCGCGCATGCGGAGCACCACTGCCTGGATCAAAGCGAGCAACTGCATGCCGCGAGCAGGCACAGACGAGCAGAGATCTCTCACGCTTTTCATGTAAAGCGATAATACTGAGGTTGCATATTGGTGGTCTCTGTTGAGAGCCCTTGATAGCCCCTGTTCGAGAAGACGCTGCGCTCGAGGCAGACGAAGCGCGAGTCGCCCGAGAATCGTGACCCATAGCCGCTCCCAGGCTAGTCGGTGCTGCTCACGCGCTTCGCGCAGCGCTTCACCGAATACCAGCTGAATACAGGGCAGAAACGTTTTCAGGAATACCTCATTGTTCTGCACGAAGCTCTGCATGCAGTCAATGAAGAGACAAATGTTCAGACCGGTGACGAGTTCTCCGGTACGCAACGTTACAAGTAACGCCGCTATCACAACATAAAGAACCTCGATGGGGTACTGCGTTTTGCCATGCGACAGGCGATTCCTGTGCGCCAGCTTCAGAATAACCGCACCCTGCACCTGTGGCTGGTGTACAGCGAACAAGTAGCTGACAAACAACGGCAGTGGAATGCGTTCGGATTCTTGGCTCCACAGCCATTCGGCGAGCTTCTCCAGATTTGACTCAAGTGCAAGCACATGCCCAATCGTCTGGCAGAGGGCACGCGTTCGCGGAAAAAGACTTTGGGTTCGCTCTAGAAGTGCTTCGAGTGCATCCGATAGATCCGCGACATGCGACAAGTGCTCGCTGTTTGTCGAAGAACCCAGTATACGGACCGTCCAGAAGAGTCGCACATCGACTCGCTTCCAATCGTAGAGATCGTTCAGTTGCTCTTTGCTGGGTCCCATCGAAGAAAACCAGACGGACCCATAGCGCTCAAGTGCATGCCAGTCGTGCAGCAGAAGGAGCACTGCCGCAGAGTCCCGATGCTCCCGAAAAGCATCCCTCCTCGATAGCATCGACCGAGTCTGGCCCACACCGGCGATAACGCTGGGATCAGGCACTGATGCTGTCCCAGACAGGAAGGCCTCCATGCGAACCAGATACCACAACAGCATAGAAACGTCGGGTTGAGGAAATCTTTCCAAAATCAGACTGAACTCTTCAGATGGAAATTGATCTCCTCGATACTGAAGCAGGAGGTACAGCGCTGCCTGTGCAAGGTTGCTGGGCAGTGCATAGCGGAGGAAGATTCTCCGCGCTCGCGAAGCCGTACTCGGGGTCATAACCGCTTGCAAGTACGCTACGGCGATGTTGGTAGTTTGCCTGACAAGTTCATATTCAGGCATCGCTGGCAGCGCTACCGCGGAGCGTTCCAGATACGCGCGATCTGCAAGTGCAGCGACAGCACAAGCCAGTTCCTCTCGGTCGCTGTGAGCGGCTGCGAGCAACAAGACGCGAGCACTCGTTTCATCGAGCGCCACTAGTCGCCAAGCAAAGCGCGCTACGAAACACTCGGCTCCATTTCGCACTTGAGGCAGACAGCTGCGCAAAGCACGTGCTATGGAAGTGCAGGTTTGCTCAGACGCGCGCGCCCACTCCGAAAGCAGCGTTTCAAGGACGACGTCGATCTCCCGCAGGCTACCCTGCGTCAACAGCCGCTGCACTTGTTCTGGTATTGGTTCATTCGAGTGAACACGTACCGCGGTTGCGCCCGAGACAGCGCGTTGCTGGCCATATCTCTGGCTTCCCGACACCTCCTGGAACCAAGACCGAGCTAAGCGCTGCGCTTCTGCGACCCGAGTGTGCAACGAAACGAGACGAGTCGGGTCGCGTTCGGGGAGCATGGGCGACGAATCTACACGGGTACCAGCGCGTTGAACTCGAAAGGATCAGGATCAGGGCGTCCAGCGCGCTGCACCATGGATGTCGCATGCAGTAGACCCCACCAGGTATGCAGAAGGTCTGCAGGAGGTCCTTAGTAGCTCCTTCGTCGACGCTGGACAAGTAATGAAATGGAGAGCGGTTGTGAGGACTCGAGCGTCCTTAGGCGCTCCCATACGCTTGTCCTTTATATATATTTATATTCCTAAAGATATAATACAGTATAGCATCGTGCAACAGCCCTCTGGGCGCTGCTCGCCGCGGCCGCCACTTGCCACCAGGTACTTGCTACTTCTTCAGGAGCTGTGTCAACGCAACGGAGGCGACCTGGTGTCGTCGAGGACTCGTTTCGACGCCTGCACAACTTCAATCATGACGGAAGTCGCAGAGTCTGTTCCAGAAGCGCCTAGTGTGCCCGCACTACCGGTAGTGGTTCCCGAGGAGGAAGTCACGGACGTGAACACCGCACTGCGGATCGTGCTGCGAAAAGCGCTTGCTCACGGTGGTCTGTCTCGCGGTCTGCGCGAGTCTGTGCGTGCGTTGGATAGCCGCAAAGCACGTTTATGTGTTTTGGCAATGAGCTGCGACGAGCCTGCGATGGTAAAGCTCGTGCAAGCACTCTGTGCTGAACACGGGATCAACCTCATCTGTGTTCCCGATGGAAAGGAACTCGGCGAGTGGGCCGGCCTCTGCAAGCTGGACGCTGACGGAACGCCGCGGAAAGTCGTGTCGTGTTCCTGTGTCGTTGTGAAGGACTTTGGTGAGCCGAGCAAAGGACTTACCTTTTTGGAAAACTACCTGAAAGAGCAGTCATGATTTTAAAGCTGACGATGCATGTACCGCATAGCGCATTGACCAGTTTCCAGTTTCCAGTCTCCATGCATGCAGGCTTCGCTGTCGCGCAAAGCCGCTTGTCTGTTTGGATTGCACGAGTCCAACACCGTATACAGCGAAAGCGAGCACACGAACAGCAGTGAAGGGTGCGCGATGCTCGCTCTGCTAGCTGGCTGGCTGGCTGACTGGCTGGCTGACTCTGGTTGGTCTGTATTCCAAGCAAACCGTTGGCCGCATCCGAGGGCCTTGTAGCTCGACCGATTCTCAGCAGATACAGTTTACAAGGCATAAGATTATGTCTTCGAAGCGTGAACTCATGGTGAACCGTTGGTTGCGAGCCGGCGAGCAGCCGCCGGCACCTCGTAGCCCAAAAGGTATTTCAGAACGCTGGCTCCTCAGAGGCTTTTCGGCAGCACTACCGAGGTCTGCGCTGAAACAGGCCGAATTTCGACGTAGAGCGCTGGCGGTCTTGATCGTCGGCGCTTGCGGCTCGCATGTGATCCCCAAGGGACAGGGTGTTCAACTGCTCCTCGGGTGCGTCGCCAAGGACGACTTCCGCGGGTTCCCCACCGAGCCCAGTAGGACCCAGTTCCGTGGTATATGCGGAAACGTCCTCTTGTTCATTATACAGAGAATTATCCTCGGAAGCCAGTGAGAGATTCGATTGGCTCGAATCTCGCGAGGGCATTTCCGGATCATGCTCGCCGGTCGACGCAGATGAGGACGTTGTTTCGTTCAGAGCCATAGAGCTGAGGTGCTGAAACGCTCTTCCACCGTGCACCGTGACGTCGCGCATGAGGTCGGGTCGCGACAAGACAATCACAATGACGGTGACGTTATCGCCGGAGCCGGCAGCAAGCGCGGCGTGCACCAGCGTTGTCGCCGCTGCTTGCGGATCACCGCCGTAGCGACGTAGCGCCGCTCGTGTGATTCGAACAGCTTCCTCGTTCGTGAGGCGACACCACACCCCATCACATGCTACGATAAGGAACTCGTCTTGAGGATGAAGCTCACGGATTGTGATATCCGGGTCGGGAATCAGAAGATTTCCAGTAATATCCAAATGTGGGAAGAGTCGGCGAGCGTGCGCCTTGAGATCCAGATCACCGAGCGCCCTCGTCAGTGATATGTACCCGTTGACACCGCGGGAATTGATAAAGCCGCCGGCGGCCTTGATGCGGCGTACCTCCTGGGGCACCATGGGACTGTGGTCCACGCTGAGCGGTACCGCGACACCGCCTGCAGCGCAGAGCACGGTTCGCGAGTCGCCAACATTGCAGCAGTATATTTTCCCGTCTTTCAGTACTGCAAGTGCAACGGTTGTACCCGCGTACGTCCGCTTCCGCACGGATTCCGCGAGAATTTCCTGGTCAATAAGATGACAAGTCTCAGTGAGGGCTCGTTCCGTGTCCGTTATAAAAGCATCATGTGCCAGTAATCGCTCGAGAAAATGATCGTGACAATAGTTGCTTGCAAGTTTTCCACCGTGGCCATCGAAAACGCCGAATATGCCGATCGCATCCGCCCCGTCGCCAATGACTAGCGTGCAACACCGATCTTCCATGGTTGGTCGCCGGCCCTGCTCCTCGACGACACCATGGGCGTAAACCTGCGAGAAAGGGAGCAGTCGCCTCCGCGAAGCCGCAGAATCGGCAACTGAATCTCGCCCTCTCAGGCGACTCGAAAGACTGCGTCCCGACTCACTGCGCCGCAGTGGCTGGAACAGACGCGAAGCCGCACGCCGCAGCGAAGAACCCAAGGACGTGCCTTCAGCGCTCGCACGACTTTTGTTTGTTTTGGGTATTGGAACACCCGACATTTCGCGAGTCTCAACTCTTGCCCTGGCAGCGAGCGGCTCCTTGATGGCTTTGAACTGCTCCGCAGAGAGCCTTTCAGCAGAGTCTACGGAGACAGTGGAGAAGCTCGACGTGGACAAGCGTTGCAACGCGTCGTTCGACACGTCCAAACGTTCTCCACTCGCGCTCGGCATGTGTGCGTGAAGCTCCCGGAGGCCGCGCAGCAACAAAAAACTCGGCTCGCTAAGAATAGCGCTCAGAGTTTCGGCCTTGTGACCGTAGAGCGGATACGAGCTCGTTTGTGCTACGGTGCTGCAGAACCTGCGTTGGTACGACGTCGATGAGGGTGCGCTGCAGATGCGTCTATTTGCACGATAGACGGCGGCGGTACACAGCAGATGGTCGTGGCTCAACGGACTCGCCGCCGTCGTTGGTATCATCTCATCGCTGGAGCGCGTCCATTTCCGTTGAATCGCATGACGTCATGATTTGGATGCTATCCTTTCATGTACATACCGGACATTGAGATGATCGCGTGGACGCGCACGCTACCCGCTGCCGTGCGCTCGGCGATCTCGCGCGACGCTGTTGTGGAGCTGTTCGGGTGGCAGCACGCACTGTAGCGCAATCGTGCGGGCAGCAAACGATTGCCCACGTATCCATACATCGAAAGCGCGGTGCTTTTTCGTTGCACGTGGTGAGGTCTTTCAGAGCCGTTCAGGCAAAAATGTCGACACTGGGGGATTTTGCGGCTCTAACTATATGGAATAGGGTATCGAGTCAGTGAGAACGGCGGGACGAACGAAATGCAGCTCTCTGAGAAACCTGAGCACTCAAGCTTAGATAAAAGTGCAGTACACTGGTGACAAGAGACTGAACGCGCGCGACGCCGCCAGCAAGACTAGCAACCTCGGTACCCATATGCTGCGATTGCACTTGTCTCATACTCAGAGTCACAGCAGAGAAAGAACCGCGGAGTGTTTGCCAAAGTCACAGAGCACCTTATCGTGGTCTGCAACGGAACTCTGTCCGCTGTTTGATCCTAAATTGGGCTGCTGTGATACGCTGTTCCGGTGGTTTTCCAGAGTCTTGCGAACGGTACGTTGTCACGGTTGCTGAGAGCGCTCTTTCTCGTGAGCATTTGCGTGGCGTTGCAGTTACGTGTGGCTACATCGCGCAAAAATCGAACGGAATATGCATTCCGCCTCGTCAGGGTACAGCGTATGGCATTCGTGATGCATACAGCAAAGGAGGCTGTTCCGGAGACCAGACCGATGCTTAGATACGGCGGCCGCATCTGTGTCGTCAAGAGCGCGCTTCCGTGGCCTAGATCAGAAAGCAAATGAATCCCCATTTGTTTCGATATGTGAGCTTGCTCAGCGCTCCTTGGCATTGCCCGACTGGAGGATGTCTCTGCGAGGAGCGTTATGAAAACGATCAAACTGCAACGGAAGCTTTTCTGAACACCAGTGTGCACGACGAACAACAAAGCAGTGTTAGAACTGAGTTCACCGGCACGCGCACGCACACGCGGACATCGTCGACGTTCGCATTGTCCGGTGCCGCGTAGCTGCGAGTCCCGGGATTCACGCATGGACGTAAAATCAGGAACAGTGCCGTTTGTACCAGAAATAGTATTCATGCGCCCCATATCCCGTTTTTAGAAGCCATCGGTGCCGTAGATCGCCTCCGCGTTCTGCACTGTAAGCAGCAGAAATCGAGCTGATTTTTCAGTCGTTACGAAAGTGCGTCTTGATTCTCTGGAAGACTGATCTCCTCCGAAATCTAATCCTTCGTCGACACTACGCTTGACCGGAGCGTTGGCAGCACAGCGAGCGCCTGTATCCGTACACGTGCGCGTACGCACGGATGCCGGCGAGGAGCTGCCGCCTGGCGCGCGCGCCGTTCGATCACCTCGACACCTTTTATCCAGGATTCTCCACGAGCATTGTCGTGCATCTGCGTCTAGAAAGTTTAAGCACTCAAAACTGAATTTCTTTGTGGTAGGCAACGGCGCTGTTCGCGAAAACCCCGCAGCCACCGGGACTGGGGTGTGTCACGAAAGGCTCCAGATAGAGCAGTTTCTGCTGCAGCCCGCGCGTCGCTCTGCTCGCGTTGAATCGCTTGTGCAACCTATAGTGCAGATGAAAGAATGCCTGCCTGGAGGGACCCGAACGCAGGCAGACTGCAGCATGGGCCATCTTGCTGCCTGTGCAGAAATCACCGGAATCAAATCCCCGATCCTCTACAGGGCCAGGTGGCGGACACAGACTCGGATATGCCAGGCATACCATTCAAAGCCCAAAACTAGTTGATTTGAGACACTTATGTATTATCCGAATTCGCGTCCTGCGGATGCACACCCCGGTATCGCGATCACGGCAATCTCCGCCTCGCTCCAGAAGGATACGTTGTCGAGCGCGACACACACACACCCTCGATAACGTTCAGCGGTATTAGGGGCATTGTGGCTGTGACTTGGGGCTGCTTCCTTAGAAACAAGGACTCAAAAGAAACCGTCTTGTTTTGAGAAACTCTAATCTCGACAACATGGAAAAACATTTACCGATCTCGACGGACGATGCGCGCAACAGCGTCAGGGTGACTGGCGGAGCTGTGCGTGAAGCAGCCGCCACCGGTGTCGTTCAAGCGTTCGCTGGGGTTCGGCAGATGCCTCGAAATCCCGCGAGAAGCGACGCTCTGCAAGAGATGGATAGCGAGAAATCGGCAACGTTTCGTCTGTGTCGTTCGCCTGCGGAAGCGCCGGGTACCCCAGGTGTACCGCTGCAGCTTACTTTCTGTCGACAGCGTATGCGCGCCCTCCTGGACGCTCACGACATTGCGTTTCGGGACCGCATATATGCAATGTTTGAACAACATGCGGACTTGTTCACACCTCGCTACGGTCTAACGGTTCCCGAGGAGCGCGAACTGGTTATGGCGCGTTGGGCAGTTATTCGCGAAGCCCAGCTCCTGAAGGGAACACTGAACTACTCGCCGGAAGCGAGAGGCCGATACGACGCAGTAATGGAGTCGTGCGGCTACGTTGATCATTCCCTGGAAGTGAAAATGGGCGTTCACTACGGTCTGTTTGGTAGTAGCGTGGCGCTGCTCGGTGACGAGCAGCAATGCCGGCGCTGGCTGCAAGACATCGAGGACGCGCGCATGCTGGGCTGCTTTGCGTTAACGGAGCTTGGGCATGGGTCCAATGTTCGTGGCATTGAGACCCTGGCAACCTACGACCCAGGTCGCGGGGAATTTATCATCCATACACCGACGGAGACGGCACAAAAATATTGGATTGGTGGTGCAGCGGAAACTGCGCGCTGGGCAGTGGTGTTTGCCAAACTCCTCACACCGGACGGCGTCCATCGTGGTATCCACCCTTTTCTGGTGCGCCTGCGCACCGACGCCGGCGAGGTCTGCCACGGGATTACCATTGCCGACGTCGGCGTGAAGCAAGGCCTCAACGGGGTCGACAATGGCCGCATCTGGTTTGACAACGTGCGCATTCCACGCGAGCAAATGCTTGCCAGATACTCCCAGGTGCTACCCGATGGATCGTACCGCTCTTCCTTCAAGACTGGTGACGAGCAGTTCGCTGCGCAGCTCGCGGCTCTCACTGGTGGACGCGTCAGTATCAGTGTTGGTGCTGTGAATCGCATGAAAACTGGGCTGTGCATAGCGATACGGTACGCGCTCTCCCGGCGAGCGTTTGCGCCCTCTGGCGATGACGAAGAGGCCGATGCCACCGCAAATGAGACACATGATGGTAAGACCGCACCCGAGGAGATGCTACTCATGGATTACCAGTCGCACCAGATGCGCTTGCTGCCCATGTTGGCGACGACCTACGTGCTGGCGCTGGCAACGAACCGCCTTAAGTATCGATGGCATCATCGGTTAGAGGATCCAAATCCCAAAGAGATTCACCTGTGGAGCTCTGGACTCAAAGCGTTTGCGACCTGGACAATGTCGGACGTCCTGCAGGAATGTCGCGAGTCGTGCGGTGGTATGGGCTATCTAGCAGAGAATCGCATTGGCGTCTTGAAATGTGATTTTGACGTCTATCTTACGTACGAGGGCACGAATATTGTGCTTGTTCAGCAGGTAGCGCGAGCACAGCTCGCGGCGTACGCAGCAGGGAAGCTGCCGCCACCGCCCGCAGTCCCAGCGATTACCTCGGATCGCGAGCTGGCGGAGCCCGCGTTCATCACAGCATCGCTGGCGAGGCTGCATGATGCGCTTGTGCGTCGACTCGCAGAGCGGCTCACGTACGCTACGAAACAGAATTCAATGAAACCATTCTTTGCTTGGAACAAGATGTGCCTGGATTTGGCGATCGATGTAGGAAAGGTTTACACATGCCTGCTTGCCTATCGTATCGCCTGTGATGAGGTCCGTCAGATCGATGATCCAGCTCTCAAGCAGATTCTCGGATACTGTTGTGCGCTTTACGGTCTGCACATGCTGGATAAGTACGGAGCGCTGTTGACGCGCATGAATGTTTATGCGGATGCACCGAACACACTGGAACGCATTCACCAGCAGGTGGAGTACCTGAGCAGCCTCTTGCGACCAAACGCCCTCGCGCTAGTGGATGCATTTTCGATACCCCCGATGCTACTTGCCCCGATCGCCTTTGACTGGATAACTCGAAACGCCCGCGCCCACATTCACAAATACGGGGAGCGGCAACGCGTCTCATCGCACTCGGTTGTGAGTGCTTTACAGGCGCCTCCGCGAGTTCCGGATCGAAACAGCACACAGCAGCACGTTCCTGGCTTTCCGGTCTGTAATCAGGCCACGCTGAACAGAGACACTGAGATTACGAGCCAGACCAAGGCGGGTTGGCGATTCCCGCGTCTCTGAGTCGACCGTGCGGCTCTCCTCGCACGCTGGAAAGATGAGCCGCGTGTCTCGATCGAAGGACGTTCCTAGAGCTTCATTTACTTGATCAGATAAATGAGTGATTGCAGACGTGCACGAAACCGAATCCTGGACGCTGTTGTGGTATCCGTCGCGCATCCGTACTGAGGTTGCATCGCAGCAGCGCAAAGCGCACACCTCCGTTACCGAAAACAGGAGGCGACAAAACCTCCCGTCAATGTTCTTCAAGGCATGACAATGGTATCCAATATCCGTGACCTGGTTAGGTTCATTGAGGTTGCTCCAGTGAAAAAATGTCGGTCTTCATATGGCGAGCGTAGAGACGCGTCCGGTGTTCCTACAGGCGTTTGCCGCAGAATCGGCGTGCAGAAGGTCGCCCGATTCCACCATCCATTGTTCATTGGAGAATACATAGACCAGAGCATATGGAACTTGGACGCTTTCATGGAAGCGTCGCGGTGCATTCCTTGTGGACGGACAGCGTTGAAGCGGCCGTAGGCTCCAGATCAGAGACAGAGATCGATTGCGCACCATAGAGAGCCAACAGGATCTAACCACTGAAGAGCGACTAGTTTACTGCTTGGCTCCCTGTCCATGGCAAACAGTATTAGGTGGAAAGGTTTCCGTTTCTTTCACAGTTTACCGTCTATGCGGAACGACCCGCGCATCGACCTATGCTGTGGGGCAAGTGCTCCGCGCACCGCCCTTCTCAATGGCTCGTGCCGTTGCGAGATATGCGCAAATCGCCCTCGAGGCAGATGTTGCCCGGGCGATCAGTGCATCGCCTGCGCCGAGGCACCGCCTTGGACGCTGTGGTCTCCCAGCGTGTCTTGTCGCGCCACCATCGGCATCAGGTCCGTCTGAGCGGCCTGCTAGCTCCCAGACCGATCATGAGACCTGTGCCCGTACCAAGTGAACAACGCAGCGAGCCGACGCCCACAAAGGCACTGCACCGCCGTCCCGCCTCATCAGAGCAACGCTTCATCCAGAAGCCGCTGAACCTAGCTTCTCTGACAAAAAGTCGCTAAAGTTTATGGTACGCGAACGCGTATCCACAGAGACCAAGAACGCATTCGTTTCCTCTTGTAACACGCACACGCACATGCACTCGGAATCAGCTTCAATGCATCCAACTTTCACTGCAGCAAAACGCCCCGGCAGGCGACAGCTCTCTCCGCAATCATCGCAGCCGGTGGGGCTCAGAAGCAGGCGATGGGTATCGGCATCGCCGCCGGTTTTTTTCCATTGACAAAACGTTTACTTAGGCCAGCGTTCTCCGATGATGCGCATTGTTCTTTTCTTCCTTTTTTTTGTGCATCGCCGCCGATGCGATGCGCCTGGGATCCGATCCGCCGCCACCGTCGCCGTCGCCGCGACCGCCGGCGGTGCGCCCTGTGCTCCTCCGGGTCGAGGTCGCTGCGCTGGGCACGATTTGCTTCGTGGGTGCGCATCAGGCAGAGCATTGGCTGCTGGTATCGTAGCGGCGAGAGTCTCCAGTTTGAAATAAGCGCTGGACTCCATCTGGTGCCTCAGAAAATGACCACAGACTACAACCGGGCATATACGAAAACATTGGCGTTCGTTGGAGGCTTCACGCCGTTCCGGATTTGTGCGTCGCTTCGGGGCCTAGCCGGACGGAGCAGCAGGGGGCCGGTTTGTTCAAAAACATCTGCGCTGCCTGTGACGTCGGTACTTGCGCGCAGTGCAACTTCCTGGGCTCCGCGGAGATGGGGTTTCCCGCGGCGACCCGAGTACCAGTGGCGTGGCGTCCAGGCACGCACGGGTAAGCTGGCCGTCGCGGCTGTACGCATGGCGGCTGCAGCCGAGGATGCCGCTTCAGGTGGTGTGCCAAAACCAGTGAGCGAGCTGGGTATCGCCCGGCGGTTGAAAATCGGGTCTTATTTTCTCCTATGGTACCTGTTCAACATCGTTTACAATATCAGCAACAAGACTGTACTGAACGCGATGGGCGGCGGTGGCTGGATTGTCGCCTGGTTGCAACTCGCGCTAGGTATTCCGTACATCTTGCTGGTGTGGACGCTGGGAATACGCAAAGCACCTACTATTTCTCTGAACGATGTGCAGAAGCTATTGCCGGTGGCGGCGGCGCATACGCTGGGTCACCTGTGCACGGTGCTGTCGTTTGGTGCCGTCGCGATAAGTTTCACGCATGTGGTCAAAGCGCTTGAACCTTTCGTGAATGTGGTGGGTTCCGCCATCTTTCTGCGGAGCGTATTCCCGCTGCCGGTCTATGCGTCACTGATCCCTGTCGTTGCTGGCGTCATTATGGCGTCCGTCTCAGAGGCCACCTTTAACTGGATGGGATTCCTGACTGCAATGGGCTCGAATTTTGCGTTCACAGCGCGGAATATTTTCAGCAAGATCAACATGACGACACCAAAGGGGCAGAATATGACGCCCATGAACCTGTACGCTGTTCTAACAATCTTATCGACTTTTCTTCTGCTGCCATTCGCTCTCATCGCTGAATGGCGGGTGTTTCCCGCGGCCTGGCGAGCGGCCGTCGCCGCAATGACCTTACCGAAGCTTCTGGTATGGGTAGGCGTTAGCGGCCTCTTTTTCTACCTGTACAATGAAATCGCTTTCATGGCTTTGGATTCGGTCCACCCAATTACTCATGCTGTTGGGAATACGGTGAAACGAGTGGTCATCATCATTGCTAGCGTGATCGTTTTCAAGAATCCCATTGACTGGCGCGGATGGCTCGGCAGTGCGATTGCAATCGGGGGTGTCCTGCTCTATTCTCTCGTGAAAAATTACTACGAGACGCGGGGTTCAAAACAGCAGAGGTGAGGGAGAAACCAGTCGTTGGCTCCGCCTCGGACAAGTACAGCGTTCTTGATCGCGGAACCATAATAGCATTGGAGACCGTTGTCGGGGCTGCTTCGGCGATGCATTCCGATTCTGGGTACGCTGTTCTCTTGCGATCTCGAGCTTGTGAAAGGGCCACGGGCCGCGGAACGTACGGGGTGTGCTTGCTCGTCAAAGACGTCGAACGAATTGCTGGCCCTGTTTTCACTGGTACCTTGGAGATGCACGCTCGGGGCACTGCGGCAGGCCCTTCATTTGCACTGCAGCCATGGCGAGACGTCGACGACAACAAAGGTCCACGGGCGCTCCCCTCGGCCGTCCCAAAGTTATAGCAGGAACCGTATTGGCGAACCGTTCACCGATTCATGCAACGGTATGCAGAATGCGCTCTAAACAGCGATGACTCCGCCCCATGATATGCTTCGACGTAAAAGCTTGCGGCATTATCCCTTGCCGCAGGGTTTCAGAAGGCATCTCAGCATCTACCGTCGAATTGGATACGTGCATGAGCGTCCTGCGTATCCACAGCACCAACTGAATGTATTGACCTTGCGTATTAGTGAGCGATGGGGTCTTGCGCCGAAGCCATGGGCATACTTCGGTTGCCGCCACAACCTCGAAGGACGCAAGCGTATATACGGGCGCGGCGATCAGCAAGGAACCCACGGGATGTGGGTTGCATATGTCGTGTAGACGTGCACGCACGCACGCACGCACGCACACACGCACGCGCGCACGCACGCACGCACGCACACACGCACGCACGCACACACGCACACACACACACGTATGCACGCACGCACGCACACCCGCATGCAGCATCCGTCCTAGACGCAGAGGATCGAGGCATCTGCGGTAAACAGGCGGTCCAGGCATATGGGTACGGTTGCGTGAGACTGACGTTGACGACTTAAAGGTCGCTTAGAGCCGATTATGTATGAGATAGACTTGTTTGGATCTTCTAAAGCGCCGAGAATAGCGATTGCACTCAGTGGCATAATATCAGCCAATGGTAGCGTTGCTGCTTTTATTGCCAATGCTGGTGTACCGTTTGCATTGCACTGGAGATGTTTGTGAATGGCGCGAAGCGTGTCAATTGATGACGTTCCTATGCACGGCAGTCGCCGCTGTGCTCCCTGGGTCGCTTGCAAATCAAACAGCCTTCGTGGGCCGTCTCTGGCGAACGTGAATACTCGGGAGTCATCATCGCAGGCGAAGCATCTATGCACCACGGGAACGTTATCCCCAGAGCAGTAAATGCTGGATTACGTGGAACAGCACGTCCTTTTCGCTGTTATTTGTCTTTTTCTCGCAGGTGCTCAGCGACGGGATGCATTCTTGAGAATGGCGAAAAGTCGTGGAAAACGTGATGCCGTCACTGCTAGCTTGCGCGTAAAGTCCTTCTCCGTACAAGTCGGTCATTCTGCGATCAGCAGATGGATCCCAGGTCCTACTTTTCCTTCATATCCTCGACGTCGTACAGCTGAAACAGAGCTCTTGAAACGCTATCTACATCACTGTCTTCTCGTCATAGCATTCGATTGCATGTGTTTGCCGATGAAAACCCACCAAAGAAGCCACAGGGTATGAAGTATCGTAGCGTGTATACGAACGGTGATGACCAGATGCGGATATGGAAAAAGGGCGATTCTGTGGGATACCGCCGTGCTTTGGACAACACCCTGTTGATATTGGACTGAGGCGCGTACGGCTTTTTCAGGAAGCAAGCGTACCCCTCTAACTCGATGAGCGTTTATTCGGGAGAAACGCTAGACCTGTATATACATATACCGTAGCTCAAAAAGGACGAGGCCGCTACTTGTAAAGAGCAGGCAAGCGACCATGGCGAGCGTAGCAGGCCTTGTGGCGGTTCAGTGGTGTGATCGCCTACAGGTCGCTGACCGAACAGCATCTTTCAACATCTCATTCTTGATCCAAGCATTTCATGACTTCTTTATCGCACATCATTTCATCCTGGTTTTAGACAACTTCGCTTTACGTTACTCATGTGCGATCAAGTAGTATGCTGCTCAGTCTAGCGCTCAGCTGCTCGTTGTACCAGCGTATTCTGCTCAGTGCAATCCAGTCGGTCGCGTCTTGCCTGGGGTCAAACGCCAGGTTTACGCCCCCGGATCCATGGACGAGTCGTTTGCACTCGTTCCGTTTTTCGTTAGCAAATCGGTGTCGATCTTTACCAGCCTTAGTCTGCTCTCTTGCTGTTCGAATTGTATAATAGAGGGAGTGGAGATTCGCGCTATGTTGCATGGGCGCATTCGCCACGGAGGAGGTCTTGAAGAGGTATTTGAGCTAATGTAAACACATAGAAAAAGACGAGCTTCAGCGTCAGCCTTCACCCATTGCTTACGAGACTCGAGGAAAAACGGATTTTGAGTATAATGGCGGCATCCATGCCATCCCGTCAGGGAAATGAGAAGCAAAGAGTGAGCAGGTCTCTGCGAGCATGATTGGAGCGTTCAAAAAACTTGTCGAGGAGTATTGGCGGCGCCCGGTCAAGATTTCTCGTTTCCAAGGAGGAAAACGAGGGAATGATTCACGTGCGATTTAGGTCGAAGGAGTATCATTCTGTATGCTCTCTGTGATACCTAGGCCTGAGTCTCGGAACCAGACGAATTTTCAGGCGTTTTCGGTAGATGTGCAGAAAGCGTTGATGGTGATCGGGCATCCCGCATTGGAGGGCGCCATAGCCGTCGCCTTCGCTCTGTCTCAAGAGGGCGGGACCAAAGACTCGAATGAAGAGCATCCGAGGCTGCTCAGGTTTTCCAAGGCAGAGGATGATTGGAAGACGGCTCAATGAACGTCAGGTAGCATATCAGAAAATTAACTAGCGGAGTTAAGACGTATCTGGTGGCTCTAGGGCCCGTACCGAGCAGCGGATGACGCGTTCGACGCTTCATTTAGAGAGAATACGAGCGTCCAAGTGGCTCAAGCGCACGTTCGCTTTCAAAAGAAATTGAGATAGCGCTGGGGTTTCGAAAGTTTCCCGTTCTCCGGAGGGACGTGTCATGCATTGGCCAACTTCTTTGTTGAGTGCGAAAAGGAGAAGAACGATAATGGGCATTGTTTGTGGGTAGCCTACGGAGCTGAATCTGCTCTAGCGCTTCGAGTCTGCTCTCACGCTCCTTCCACCAGAGCGTGCAGCGAGGGCAGGAACCGATGCTGAAAGATCCCTATCGATGTGTCGGGGTGACGTAAACGCATCCAAAGCAGATATGCATGCGCAAACTAGTAGAGAATCACGGAGTGAACCAGAGACCGATCCACGAGATGGTGTACGGCAAGCTGACCGATCGTCAGATGGCCAGGGAATCGAAAGCGAGAGGCCTGCTGCTGTGCGACTCCACCAGCTGCAATGTACGCAAGCACGTTCTGCAGCGAAACGTACACGCTTACATCAAACTTCTGAAAAAGTCTCGTGCCTTCGGAGTGTGCCCAGATGCTTTGTGTCTGGCGATCTTTCGATTGAATCGCTTAGCACTCAGCGTAGGTATTATGTGGAAACGCTGCGGACTTGCAATGAAAGAAATCAGTGTCCAGAAGGCAGCACATCGGATGATCACATGCAGAAAGGCAGTCGTATTTTACGGATTAGTCATGTCGAACGGCTGGAGCGTCGTATGTATATTCCGGGAACATGCTTCCTTGGCAATTTGTAGACGATAATGGTGTTCTAGGAAGCGATACTACTCATTACACCATACCCTCCCGAGCATATGACTCTAAATATCCAACCCTGGGCTGCAGTGCTGGCGTAAAAATGTAGTGTAACTGGCGCCGCTCGCTTTGGCTTACGCTGCAAGCGATGCTCACGGGCGGGAACCTTATAAAACACACTGATTCAGCAGTGACCGAAGCAGTCGGTGAAGGCGCACTTCCGTGCTTGACAGGATACCTCGACCCAGGCGAGCAGCGCGAATGCACCAGTTAACGCAGCTTGCACATGATAACTGATTGGTGTAAACGATGGCGCAGCAGAAAAGCTTATGGCTCCGTTATGGTTGCGATCGCAGCAGTGCGAGTCAAGTGAGAGCTACAGATGTCAGTCAGCGGCTGCAAGTTCGAAAGCTCTCGGGAATGTGACGGAAACAGTCGCCCGATTGTCCTGCCCAAGGAGCTCGTTTCCACAGGCTCGGCGATAACGACCAGTGACCTCATCGGAACATTCTTCCAGGTGACTTCATCTACACGGCAATATCACTGGAGAATACCGGTTGTTTTATTCCCATGAGAGCGTTCGCGTTGCATGCGAGAAACGCTGGTTGCATGCATCCAATTCTTTCCGCCGGATACGCTCCTATTCCAGCGAATTCAAGCCCGTGCCTATCGATTTCGCTCGTTGAACGCTATCACTGCACAGACAACTCCAATCTGGATGTTACATCATTCCCTACTTGGTGGCTGCAACTCCAGGTCGCTGCCTCCGTTCTGCTGCGGCTCGCTCGGGAACGTACATTGATTGCCGTTCATCGTCCATGCCCGGCCTCGGCTGTCCATAGACTGGGCGACGCTGCGGGGTTTGCTCGTCACGCCTGCGCCAGCGTGCCACGGTGGCCCACACGCGAACCAGGAGACAGGCGTGCGCGATATGCAGCACGACGCTAGCCCAGCACTTTGGCGGGTATCGGTTGAACACGAGTTCGATGAGCAAGACCGGCACCAGGCGCCAGCCTATAGCCATCAAGTCGACTCGCGGTCGAAACAGCTCTACTGCCATCATCCAGTCGGCGAGAGCGATAAAGGGCGACGACCACCAGACCCATGCAAGGAACTGGTAATGCAGCGATCGAGCAAAAGCCATGCCGATCAAATTGCTTGACCACAGCAGTAGCGCTGTGCGAAACGCGTTCACCCGAGATTCAGCATTCTCTGATGGACGACATCGCAACCACAGCGGTACACCAGCGCGAACACCGAAGAGAGCCAATGCTAGCACATGAAGCGTCAATAACAGGGCCGCCCAACACGGATGAACGAATACATGTTCTGGCAGGCAGGCAAAATTTACACTCCAGCGCTGGTCGAACACGCGTCCAAACTCGAATGCCTTGCGGAGATAACTCCAGGGATGTTGGCGTAAGAAACGCCACCCAATTACCAGCTGCCATGAGCCGCAGACCCCAACTAGGTAGATAAGTGTTTGAAGGAAACCGTGTGCTTCCCAGAGCAGCACAAGCACTGCAGGGGCATAGAGAAGGGCGTTCATTTTCACACTCACGGCCATAGAGTAGAGAAGGCAGGCGATCACATCCATGAGCCATTGGTGGCGTATGTGTTGGCCGCTGTGCGAGCGCGAACGCGCAATGACGAAGAACAGCACACTAGCCTGCATGAGAACGCTCTCTACACCATCATTAAACAGACGAAGCACGAAAATCGAGGCCACTCGGCGGGAGCTCAGCGCGACAAGAAGCGCAGCGATCAGGCCGATGCTTGTTGGCGCCAGGAAGCGAGCACTCCGCTGAGGTTTCGCGACTGACGGGCGGTCTCTCTCCATGTCCAAGTCCAGCGTAGCTATCTGGTACACTGCGCAAGTCAGGGCTACTCCGAGTGCGTGCAGCGCAGCAAACGCGACCTGCGCTCGAGTGCGCAAAGTTCCTCCATTGGTCCAGCGGTAAAGCAGGTAATAGATCCAGAGAAAGCCAGCTGGGTATACAAGTGGTCCCGTGCGACCATGAATTCGTGCATAGTCCCGTTCGTTGTTTTCAAATGCTTGTTTCACTTGTTCCATGTATGCGATCCAGTCGATCTCGGTGTACGGCCTGCGAACGACAACCAGCACCAGCAGAACAAAGTCGACGACGCCGATGCCGATAGCCACCGACACGACTAGACGTGACACAGCCCGTTTCATTGCCGGCCACGTGTGATCTACTCGGGTCCGAACAAATCGTACGAAACTGGTTGTTCACCGGACTAGACGTGGTTTTGCCCAGCTGCGAGGTATCACGACCATGATCCATCAGTGCGACGCCTGGTGCTCGAGGCGGTCCATGAAGATCGCGCTCTCTTCGCATGGAACGATAAATGTTTTACGACGATGCAGGGTAAATAGATGCCCCCTCGCGGATGCCTCCCAGCCTATTTTACCGGCTGCTTGTTCTCAGTTTCAGTGTTTGGCTGTACGCTTCGAGCCTGGGAGGCTGCCCCATCAAGTTCGTTCGCGTCAGCTCCTCGGGTCTCGTCTTCAGCACCGCACATCATCTGATATTGATAACAGCGTTGAAGTCTCTGGTCATGAACTCCTTGCGTTTGTTGACACTGGTTGAACTCACCAATGCAAGGATTGCTAGAGCCCGTGCTCTCAGTGCCACTATAGGCTCGACATCGCCCGGTACGGCAGACACTTTTTCTCGTCGACCTCTCCTCTTCTCCCTCCTCTCATTCGCTCCATAGTCGGCGAGCAGGGGATTTTTTGAATTTCCGACACCCGGTGATGACAGCTCTCCGGGATCCTTGCCTTTCATGTCCTTAAATTTCCGTTGGATTTTTTCCTTGAACATGAACGCACTTTTTCATGCCCGTAGGTGACGACCTACCGGGAGCGAACAAGACTTGCGGAAGAAGGACGACATGCGCCCCAGTGTCACCGTGCTGAGCCACGCAGCGATTCGCCAAGTGGAGCGATCATTACGTTTTACGATAGAAAACACTTGTTCGAGGCGGTTGAATCACGGAGCGTAGAGAGGAATGTAAAACAGCTCTACCCCCTGGTAGAATTGGCAAAAGCTCGAACGCAAGGGGAATGGTGAAACGCCACATTGTGCAATAGAAGGACGTCGCCAGACGTAAAGGAAAAAGTCTTCAATGACTCGAAAAAGTGGGCTCTGTTGTATGAGCCTTCTTTGCGAGCAAAACTGAGGCAGCCAGATGAATCCTCTGCAGCTAGAATAGATGATGTTGTCGTTCTCTTCGAGTTCAATCATCCATACAATGGGCTCTCTCTCTGCCAATACTTATATCAGCTCTGTACGGTTCGTCCAACGCAAGCCTCATCGACTGAAGAAACAAATCGACGCTCCTCTGCTTTATACGGATCGCGACGTCCAGGAACACTAGAGTTCCGATTTCAGTGGAAGATGACTGTGCGTGAACTAGGACTCTTTTCACGTAACTGTGCCCCAGTGTTTCCAGGGCCACACGAACAAGCTGTTGAGCGATGTAGAGGCCCATGGTGGCCATCACCGTCAGTTTCTCGTTCCGCAAGGTGATCGATGGGTCTTTTTCTACCGTTGATCGCAAACACGCTTTGAGAATATCTGTTTTTGGCGCCGTGCGCATGTGCTTGTTTCTTTCAGTGTTCCTCAACCATTAGATTACTATGGTATGACTGACCTGGATGAGGAACGCAGTCATCGTTACACGGCTCAGTAAGGAATACACCTTACAGGCAGTTCGTCTGCGATCTATACGGTACACTGCATCGGGATTTCAATCTCCGGCTCTACACTGCGAAAAAGTATTCGATTACGCGCATCAGGGACGAAACCAACTTGCGTTGCACCAGTGGCGGCACTCATGATCAGGGGTGACCTATGAGCGGCTACCATTGGCTTGTCGCACTTCCTCCCATCGGATATCTGTTTCGGGGGCATCCAGGTACCAACCCGTCAAATACCATCGATTCAGCACACCGATGTAAAGGTAGACGTAGTCGGCAAAATCACGGACTCGAACAACACTGAACAAACCAAAATCAAAGTACTCCCAGTCCTGAAAGCGAAGGAGGTAGGGCGCCAGACGAGTTCGAAAGGCGTCAAATCCCTGTTTCTGAGCAGCAATAACCGGTGCCTTCCGACGACTCCATTCGAGGAAGCTCGTTTCTGTCGGATTCGAAGCGTACGCAATCATGGCGATCAGCGAGGCGGTCAACAGTGCCTGTGGATGCGTCCAAACATACATCACTGCACCGGCAATAAGCGTCTGCACTAGAATCAGAGCTAGTGCCTTCGCACCAGCTGAAGCGACAGTCGTTAACCAGCCGAGTCCTATGTGATGAGGTCCCTCCCGAGACGCAACCCGACGTCCGGCTCGTTCCACCACTCGAGCGGTGATAGGTGGTGCTCGGTACGGCCCGTCGGATCGGGTTCCGTTAGCGGTGCTCGCTTCTGTAATAGTCGGGAGTGACGAAGTAGCCAACTTGCGTTCACCGTTAGTTGATGTGTCGTTTCTAGCACCGGTTCTGGAATCATCCGTTGCATCGCCAGTCCAAGCAGTTGCTCCATAGAGCCCGGCAGCTGCTGCTGATGCAGCAGCATATTGAGCTAAGTAAGCCGGGGACAACATTGTCCGGCGAGCGTCCACCAACGCGTCCAGAAGTGGCAGGCTCGACTGCCAGTCGATCCGCTCCCGCAGACGAGCACGCAAGCTCGTCATCAAGCGTGACGTACAACTCGCTAGGGCCTGTCGTCCTGAAGTGTTCCCTCTGTGAGCACCCGTGACCGTCTCTCGCTCAGGCAGAGCAAAGAGCGAGACCGCTCCAGCAGGATAGCAAGAGCAGGGCAAGCGTCTCGACCGCTGGAGTGCGCCTCGTAGGTGGAGCAGCGTTCGCCGCAGACCCTGCATGAGGCAGTGCTCCGTCAACCTTGACAATTTCTTCGCTCTCGGTGAGTATGGAGACGGGTATGCAATGGCAGACAAAACCCGCTCTACAAGCAGTGCAGTATATAAAAAGTCACGGCCATGTGAACCGGAGCTGTTGAAGAAGCAAACAGTTGGATACTGCAATATCGCTATTGTGATGGTTTTCCGCACGCGTTGCCAGAGCGCAAAGGCCGGGTTCATGCTTGACCCGAGGGGGACCTGTTCGCGCAATTCATACAGAGCTGGGGTTTTCTTTTGACGAAATCGATAAAAGATCATGTATTCCAGACTTGGGCAGGGGTTGGGTCGCTCTGGGTTCTCAGAATGACGGCTTTGGCTGTCGCTGCCTGATTTCATGGGACAAGAGCGCCCTGGATGGCGACTCGGGCCGCATCATGTGCAGCGGAAGACTGGACCAAATTCGTGAGTCTTCAAGGAATGCAAACGTTCAAAAATGTCAACGCTTTATATTTGGACAACGAAATGCGCGTCGTTGTTGTCCATTTAGAGAGAACGTCGCAGCTCAACTGCGCGAATACAGTGACACGTCGATCTTGGTCGTACGTATGCGCACTTTTCCTGTGTTCTTCAGAGATGCTGGCTGCTCATAGCTCGGAAGCATTTCAATATCTCTATTGGACGTGTACATGCGTATATTTCCAGTCCTGTGGAGAGTCCTTTGCTCCAGGAAGGCTCAAGAGGGAGAGCGCATTTAGGCGCTCATCGCACACCGTTTGAAGCTGGTAGGTGAGCACTATTGAACGCTTTTTCCTACAGAATGCTACTCAAATGCAGTTATACTCAGAGCAGTGAAATCTCGTACATCATTACAGCAACGCTCTCTTTGTCGTTGTCTGTTTTTCGGCAAGTATCCAACAAAAGGAGTATATCCTCTAGATTGGAAAATGGTCGCGTAGAGCTGTCTGTGACGCCAATGCTAGCTTGTCGAGAAACGACAGTACTCGTCGCGTCATTCATTCTATAGTCAGCGGGTGGTTGAGCAATCCGTGCGCTTGTTCCTGTTGTGAACGTCGAGCACCCAAACCAGAAAAGGTCAAACGCTATGTACCCATGGTACCCTCGTCAATCCCTTCCACTCTGTGCGTGCGCAAAGAAATGCCATCATACAAGCAACAGGACGTGATATTCCATACCATTGATATGAACGATTATGAAGCGACACAGACGGGAAAAGAAATATGTACGCTTCTGTGCGAGAAGTCTGTTCGCTGTTCAACACACTCTCGATTTCACACTTGAACGCGACCGCGAATTGCAAAAGGGACGGGTTTCATCTGATTCTATCAGCGTTCATTTGGTTGGTATGGGAGACCTGTGCATGTACACAACTCGTGTTGTAGCCTAAAAATCCCAAGTAGAATACGAACGCTCAATATCTCATCCGTCGTAGAAGCACGTCGTGGCTTTCACTTCCCGTATTCGTCTCTTCTGCTCCGCGACAACGTCGCCTTCTGTATTTAAAATGCTGTCAAGGAGTGCGCTGCGGAGATTGATGTTGAGCGGCTCTTCGTGTCGGTCTACGCTCCCTAGTTTAATCCGGTCAATGTCATGTACGCTGTCATCAAAAACCATTTACGTTCAGAGGTCAGAGCACAAGTCGATCACAAGCTTGGCACCGAAAGATGCAGGATGCCATGATTGGTTACGTAGCTTCTTTAGTCTTGACACTTCTTGCCTAGCAGTTGCTCATAAGCGTTACGGTACCTGAGTTGCGAGCGGTCCTCAGTTCTGTGCAGTGTTTCGATGAAACCCTCGTGATGCAGCACAGCTGACGCTCGCGACTCAAGACGGCTCAAGGTCTGAAAATCGGATACGGGATGAGCACACAAACACTTCCCAGACTAACGTCACGCTTCGTCGCACCGCGTCCTCTATGACAACATCGATGAAACCGGTGCCAAAACGTACGAAACTAGGTTCGAACACGAAAACAGTATGCAAGCCAGTCTGGAGCGCCTGGTGAAGCGCACCCTGTGACCTTTGTGCATTCGCTTACTGGCCCAGGAAACTGGGCGCTGGTGAAAGGTTTTCTTGGGTCTGTTCATGAAGACAGATGGCGAGCTGGTGGAGCCACCAGCGGTCGAGATGGAGCGGGTTCAGAAGAGCTGTCGCAACGAGAGCGACACACGTTTTATACCACCCAAGCGCATCGTGTTGCTCTCGGTCTCGGACTGGTAACCGTCGTGCGCGAAGGATACTTGAGACGTGACGCCTGCCCTACTAGCGTCTTGCGCTGCGACGTATTCCAGAGCAGAGCGCTGCAGAGCAGCACAGAGCCTAGTGGTGCAGCGCGGTAGAGGCGCCCTCCCCGAACCCGAGCGACCTTGTCTCCCGAAGCGTCTACTCCATGTCATCTCTGTACGTCGGGTACAGACCCATGATGTCGGCATAGATCCTTGCGCCGCCTACTTGATATCCTCCTGAGTAAGCTGCAGCTGATCTCTGCGAGCAACTGTGCTTCTTGCGAACAGCTTCGCGTAGGGCATCGGCGGAGCTCGTTCCAGGTTTCTCCTTTGCAAGCAGCACTTGAGAAGCGGTTTCCAGCGACCATGGAGACCGATGGAATACCAGCGAGCGTGCACTTTGTGAAACCTATGCCTCAGTCGCACAGCGACCCTCGTTTTCATCTGTTCATGGCAAGTGAGGAGCCAGACTCTGTGGTGAGCGTTGTTCCCGGTTTGCAGAATATATCATGACCGCCGCCATACCGCTCAATCGAGAGGACTTGTCCGAAGATATGAACTGAAAGTGGATACACCTGCGCAACTTCCCCAGGACTCTATGTGATTGCGGTTCAGATCCGATGGGTGCCGAGAGACAAACCGCCAGCAAGCTGACTGACGGCAGCGTGAGCCGTCTCGACACCCCGTGCACCGCGTCCGGGAGAGACGGACGCTTCCCGTGCCTCATTCAGTGTGCTCTTGAGCGTTCACTCTGCTGATGCGAAAGGTCTCCGGCAAGCGTCCAAGAGACCGCGATGCGGTTGCGCAGAGGCAAGAATCGCGCATTCACCAACTTCCGGAATGAAATGGAAAAGGCTGGGCCTGACAAGTCGCGTCGCTCGGTGGTAGCGTAGGGCGCTGGACACGCTGTAGCGTGCGACGGGTACCGCCCTGTGCCTTCGACGAAAGCTTGCAACAACTCAACAACTCCAGAATCGATTCCTGCACGATTCCCATCGATGGATTCGAGACCACAAAAGGGTGCATCACGGGCGCGAGTACGAGCCGGAACCTGCCGAGAAAACGAGCGTGAAGCAGAGCGAGTCTGGTGCACGAGATGGCGAACACGAAGCTGAGCAAATGTCATCAGGGGAGGCGATCGAAAATGAGCGGCCTGCTATGGTACGATTCCACCGGCAAGCATGCACGCGAGCTCTCTCTGTCTCTGTCTCTCTCTATCTCTCTCTGGATCTCGACTTGAACACCCTGATGGATATCCGAGAATGTCGCGTGCTTTCGGGGCGCCCAGCGCCTTGGTGCCGAGCGATCTTTCGATTGAACTGTGGAGGAATCGGTCTAGGCAATGTGGTGAAATGCCGAAACGCTCCGATGGAATAGAATCCGTCATGAAGTGACAGCGCTTTGGATTCTCATTCGAAGCACGGCACCGGGATGGAGCTATTGAGCAATCCAGCACAACTGGAGCGCTCTACATATGAACATCAAGAACGATTCTCGTAGGCCATTGGTACTCGATCATGATGTTCCATCATTCGATATGAATGAGTTTAGGCCAGCGAATCAACACCATAAAACACGTTCCCCGCTCTGCTATTGTCACACGTCACTACCGGGGTCTCGTGATACCGATATCGTCTCTGTGCCTTGGAGCGCTGCCCTGGCAACGTGTAGCGTGGGCCACACGTGCCGCATGCTCTGCGACGCCAGGGGTCCCTACCAGCGGCTGCATCATATCGACCTATCCCAAATTTCTTCAATACTTGCACCCATTCCCTGGCAGAGTCGCGTCCGAAGCGTCCCTGAGGCTTTGAGATACTCTCGCGGCCTTTTGCGGATTCTCCAAACGAACGTCCACGTTCCACCGCACCAGGGCGTAAACGGGACCGCGAAGATGCGCAACTCGTAACTGGCGTTCTTGGCCCTCGACTCGTTCGGAACCTTAACCGGCAACTTGACTCCTCGTGTGCAGCATCAAATACTTTGAGCTGTTCGGTACGCTCAAGCTACTGTCTTTACAGGGCTGAGGGCGCTTCTGGGGACGTTGCAGCCTCGCGGGGGTTTCCCGGTGCCTCACGGACCCGCAGGGATTCGGCCCTCGTTCTGCGCAAAGCTGAAGCTCGCGCTACCGGTCGTTAGGCTGACCGGACGCTCCAGCATGGATGCAATTCGTAAGCTTTTCGAGGAGCAAGCGGCGAAGAACCGGGAAAATATGGCTCGGAGCTACGGCATCCCTGCGTCGCGCTTCTGCGGCTGTTGTACCGAGTGTGGTGCAGAGCCGCTCCTATCGCCCTTCTATGAGCGACGTTTGCGACTGGATTCTGAGCGTACTGCGTGGCGCCAGTGGCAACGCGAGCTGGTCCGAAAGCAGTCAGAAGGCCAAGACGGGGTTCGATCGACCAGACTAGACTCTGAAACCTCGCAGACGCTGCCGAAGGAGCGCGCACCTGGTACCCATGGCTCACACTCATCGCTTGAAACACACGCACGAAGAACAGCCGCTGATCAGAGTCCGGCTTGTGCAGGTGATGATTGTCGTTGTCTCGAAAGCGCCCTGGAGTCGAAGCTGGAACCCCAGGTTGGCTCTTCGGAACAGTGCGGTTCACAGGGAACGTGTGCTCCAGCAAATGCCGTGCTGGCAACGCCAGCGAGGTCGCCCGAAGTCACGACATCGGATGAAGACGCATCCAGAGAATCGGCGGAGCGGGAAACTTTTGAGTCTTTCGCATCTCGAGCAGGCAGCCTGAGCGCATCGTGGAATTCGGCAGAAGCGAGCCGCTCAGTCGCGAGTCCGACACTCTCTGAATACGCTTCGATGACAAGTCCTCGATATGAACATGAGACCAGCGGAGACGATGATTTCCTTGACGAACATGCATTGCACGGGGATGCTCCAGAGCATGTCGTCGGCGATGGCGGTACATCAACGTCTCACGAGGAGGAGCATGCGTTCACGGGTACGGGAATGCTGGCCCATATGTCTGACACAGAACCTGTGAAGCAATGTATGGATGCTTCGGAGCTCAAAAAGCGCTCGAAGACTGCTGAACATCGCGTATGTGAATATGAGCACGCGAGCAACGTTGCAGGATCGCTAGCGATGCTTCACGCAGACGAAGACGTTGTGCCATCCGCAGCACAAGCCGATACGGATTTTTCAGCGAATGCAACAACGATTTCTGTGCCTGAAACCCTGAGGACGCCAGCTCTAGCAACGGAGACGCAATCTTATGGAAATGCTGATCCCATGCGGCCTTCACCGGCGAGCCTGGTGGGATCACGGCAGAACAGCTCAGCAGCGCTGCACGAGAATGCAGCAGCAGAGCGTCGGATCGCAACATCGCAAGGTGAAGTCGCGAAGAGGCCCACGGTGTCGATGTCAGAACCATTGGGTCATGCACTAGCAAACGAGGAAGCAGTGAGGATGGCCCTAGAAACCACCGGAATCGCGGATGCGGAACCCGTATCAGGCCCGCTGCTGGAAAGCGCAGGCTCAGGTCTCGACGAGAATACGAATGGACAACGCTCTATGAATGAGCATGTTGCGCTCAACGCCACAACGTCTCCGCAGACGCTTGCGACGCTATTCATAGCGACGGACAGCGCAGAGAAGCGTAACAGGCATCAGCAGCGTCCATCAGTCGAAAGTGACACGCTTTCCGCGAACCAGGACAGGGTTCTTGACGAATCAACGAGCAACACTGCTCATCACGGAGAGGCGCGAGCTTCGGCTTTGACCGCGAGCACGGCGCTCGCCGTCTCGGAGTCTCGCCATGTGCGAGCTTCAACCGTCTGTACAGCCGCAACTCGATGGGAGAGAGCGATTGCTGCCCTGGAACAGCTGGAACAGCACGGTCGACAGGAGCTGGAACATCTCCAGACGCAGATTCGTCTATGGAGAATGCGAATACGGGCACATGTGAGTGATCGGCGGTTTCGACTATGGAATGAACTCGACTGGCTTCGTTCGAGTTGCGTCTACCTGGGCTGGCAGCAGTCGTTTTGCGATGCTGTAGACAAGAACGCGGGAACGACAGAAGCCTTGGATGTTCCGAGCTGCACCGCGAATGCGGATGCCATGTGTACGACCTGCAATGTCTATGAAACACGCTTCCGACAGCTTCAGCGAGATCTGGCGCTCCTTCGAGTCCATCTACATATCCACGAGGCTACGTTGCAGCGTTTGCGCACCGGCACCTACTTATCCAGTCCCTATGTGGCCATGCTGGAGGAGCGTAACGCTCTGCGACTGACCCAGCGGCATTTGCAGAGCAGTCTACCAGCGTCGCATGCATCGTCTCGCGCCGGAGACTCGTAAAACAACCTCACACCCTTGATCAGGAGCATGGATTTGTATGTGAAAGAGCAAGTTCTCCGCTGCGGAACACCTGATTCGATCCCGGATCAAGGAACGCGATCCGCCTGGTACCAGACCCGTCATCTGGTACTGCAAGCTTCAGAGGAAGCACCGGTTTCGTTGGGTACCGAACCTCGGCATTCTGCCGAAGCCAGATCCGAGACTCTTTGCAGCTTCGTCGTCGTCGCAGAGGTCTCGTCTTGGATGTCTTCCGAACGGGGCGAGACCGGTCCCGTGGATGCTCTCATGGGATGATCGCCCACCAGACGCCAGATTTATACTCCCAGTTGTGCCTGCTTCTCGTGATACCGCTTCTGCCAATGTTTACGCTGTGCGCTGGTGGAGCGCGTTATGCATCACTGGAGGTGTCGCTGAGCACGATGCCTTCTAAATCTTCTTCTACAGAAGATGCGTCTTCAATAGAGGATTCGTTTGCGCTTTCAGTTCCCGAGGACGATGACGACGACTCAGATCCGCTTGAATGCTGCTCAGATGGCAGGTTCCAGAGGCCGCTCACCTCCTCTTGAGCAAGCAAGAGGTACTCGCGTAGTTTGAGAGCACCACGCCCGTAGTACTCCATCAGTCGATCAAGTTCGGGGACCACGTATTCGTTCTGCCATGCTGCATCCTCACATTCATCTAGGATACGATCGTAGCGAGCACGCGTCGCTTCACTGTTCGCAAAAGGGAACCGGTCGTAGGCCCAGTCGATCCAGCCTCTCGCGTAGCCGTAATTGCCCAGCTGCATGTTTTTCTCAATACTCACATTGACCGCAGCCTGACGATGCCTGGGTAGCAACGGCAGGTACGCCAAAAGGTTGCTTAAATGCGCCTGAGCCCGCTCGTCTTCGGGAGACATGCGAACGTTGGCTCCCTGGCGGGAGCGCGTACGCTGCTCGGTCGCTATTCGGTCGAGTGAAGTGATTCTCTCGAGGATGTGGAGAGCGAGCTTGTACCAGCAACCGAGAAGGTAAAGACGTTTGTGGTCTGGTGAAGGGTCGGGTCCTTCGCTCTCAGGCGGCAATGATGACTCGGAACCCGTACGCTGCTGTGCACTCGAGTCCGCTATTGCGAGTGCCCCGTTGGCAGCGTTCCCGTCAACTGCACCTGTTTGGTACGCAGTAGTTGTCATTGTTTGTAGAGGCATCCGCTCCAGCTGCTGCTCTTGAAGACTTTCGCGATCACCAAGAATCGACACCGCCCCAGCTGTGGCTGCATTATCGAGAGCGCTGCTCTCGTCTCTTGTCAGTGAAATCCTTTCTGTTTGAGATTCAAGCGCAAGAACGATTACGGTATCACCTTCCCGTGGAGTCGTTTCGGTGATCGATCCCTCATCAGACGCTGCCTGAACGCCGTCCGGTGTCGAACGGGAACGCCGACACCCCAAGGCTGTGTCCACGGTCGCTGAAGCAGCAGTCGGGGCCTCGTTCAGACCCGATCGCATCGGCACTGCGGACAATGTGGCGTTTTCCGAATACACGTTGTCGACAGCGTCTCCAAGTGCCGCGTCGATCACATTCTTGACCAGCTCGTGTGCAACCCGATGTTCGCCAGCCGATAGCAGCGAATCCTGCGACTCTTCTCCGAGTCCGGAGACCTGGGGGTGCACCGCCTCCTCCGTGGTTTCCAAACGAGCCCGTGGTTTCGGGGCTTCAGCTTGCCTGCCGCTCTGGTCGTCGCTGCCAAATTCCTGCTCCGATGCCGAACCTGCTTTCACACCAGTTTCCGTTCCACTCTGCTCCCAGGTGTTTGAATCCGGTTCCGAGTGCGGTTTCTCCGTTGCAGTACCGGTCGTTCGTGCGTGGGATTCGCTTGAAGCCGCACCCGCGACATCCGGTAATGCTTGTGCTGTTGTCTGGCGCTCCGGCGCTGACCCTGCGTCGGTCTGTTCATCGGGCAGCACTTCGATAATCGCCGTAGAGGTAAGTTGCATCGATTCCGATGCCGTCAGAGCTTCCCTCTTTGGAGCGCTTTCCGGCGCATCGTCGACTTCCTCGATGAGAGGCTGCGTTTGGCCCCCTCGGGGTATCGTGGCAAAGTGAATGGCCTGCTCAGCGTCCTGCCGTGGCGCGTCCATGCGTTCAGCTGTGGAGGCACCTGCAGCGCTGGTGAGGACGTCTTCCCGCGGTGCCGAATGCCCCGCTGCCGTCTCAAACTGAGAACGTTGCTGCGCAGAGGTGTTGGCTGCTTCGGTTTCGGTCTTCGCTGAATCGGGCGCTGGCGCTCTCGGAACGCGGTTTGTTCGAAGCACGCGTTGCCGCACCATACCAGCCATGATGTTATCCTGGAGAATCGCCAGAGCGTCCTTAAAATGACCACGTTCCAACAGGTAAAAGACGTTCTGGAAATAGGCGTAAGCACGCTCAGAGAACGATTCATCGTATGCGCGTTGCAGGAGGCGCTCACCATCGAAATAGGGTGCTCGCTCGAACAATTCCGCTGCTAACCCGGGATTCTGATCGAGGAATTCATCATCTACAAGCCACAAGTTCACTCGTTTGATTGCGGCTGCTGCTTCTGCTGTTGCTCGTTCCTCTGCGGCTTTGGCATCCAGCATGGCGAGCCAATCATCAATGGTAGCCTCCACCGGTGGTACATCGAGCGCTTTTGCGTATGCGAAGTCCTCCATCCACTCGTTCTCCGGGACATGGGATGTACCGAAGAGGGTTTCAGCGATTGCTTGTCGCGTTTTTTGCATGAACGTTGCATCCGTATAAGCAGTGCGTGTGAAGATAATGGTCTGCAACGGATCCGTTTGCTCCTTGGGTGACGATGTTGCTGCTGGTGAGGCTTCCTTGGCATGCTTGCTTCCTTTGTCTCGTTTGTGCCTTTTCCCTCGGGAATGCTTCTTCTTCTGTGTTGCCTCCGAAGGTTTTGATGCCACTGCCGGTGTCTGGGAAGAGTTTAGTGCCTCGGTGGCCTTCGCGCTTTCTATAGCTATCAGTTCCGCCGCACTTAGGATGCCGGTTGCCAATGCTCGCTCTCGTAACTGTTCCTTTCGTTCCCAGAGACTTCGCCACGCATTCATGGCTTTTCCATCGTATTCTCGACAAAGCGGAGCGTTTTGGACCCATTTTTCGACGTCCGCCATATCTACACCCTGCATACAGTACTGCAGGAGCAAGTTCAAACGACAGCGTTGTCCGAGCTCGCTCGCCGTCAGCTCCTCATCTGACTCCGATAGATCAGAGGCGTCTGTTCCCGTCAAAACGTCGGACTGGAATAGTCGATCGTATCGACGAACGAGCGCTGACACCCGGTGGAGCAGGTCGTACGCGGCTAACGTGTCCGAGAGGCCGTCCGCTCGCTCCCACAGCACACAGACACGAAGCGCTGAAACCACTGGTTTGCCAGTTTCCGCATCGACACCGGTCAAACCGAGGTTTTCAGACACGGCAAGCTCGAAAGGGTCAAGCCAGTAAGTTGGGTAGCTCCCCGCGAGTCGGCGGTTGGAGAGTTGGTAGTAGCCTCCACTTGACCAGGCGCTGATGTTGGCTCCCACGGCACCCAAGTGCTCCAGGCCGTACTCAGCAAAGCCTTGTTCTGCCATGAGTGTTTCCAACCTACTCGTTGCAGGCTCGTGTACGTTACGCGGGTCGAAGTAGTTTGCAACGCGCCAGGCTAAGTGCTTGCTTTCAGATGGAGCGAGCCACGTCTGCTCCCAGCGGGCTACGGTATAACCATCTCGCTTTCGCTGAACATAAACTGCGGCAATATTCATGAAGAAGGAGTGAATCAGGACAAGAGCCCCTGGAATGGTGTCTTCTTAAACGCGCTGTGGAACGTTGCCCGCGAGTCTGCTCCGCGAACGTTTCGGCCAACCGGGAGACGTTGACATCGCGATCGCCCTGTTGCGGAAAAGTGCAGGATTCCACGTCATGAACGTTGTCTCTTCTCTGGTTGCATAGAGGGATTTTTCAGACTGGAAGAGGCTATGTTGTTTCCTGTCGCAGTGCAGTGGTGCTCCTCTATTGACAATGGTGTACGTGTAGAGGATTTGTGAGCGAATACGTTGGTTCGGGTTATACTCAGAACGGTGCATTGTAGAATCCTTGGATGAAAACGGTGTTCTTGTTTATACTTGCTTTTGGTAACTGGAAGTCAACAAAAGATTTGCACCTTATAGACTGGATAAGGTTGGCGGAAGGACGTTACGTTGTCACAGCAAGTTGGCCAAGAAGCGGCTTTATGAACACGAGTCAGTTTTTGTAGGACTAGCAGGTGGTGGATGACCCGCCCCGGTTTGAGCCCCTATCCTGATTGAAGTGAACACTACACATAAGTTATCAAACGCTATCCAAACGCCAGCTTCTCGTCGATTCATTCCTTACTATACATTCTCTAAAAAATACAATCAGAAAACCAGCAGGATGAGAATATTCAGGACCGATATGATGAATCGTGCAGAAATGAATCGGTTGAACGGAAAAAAGCTGGCCGCCATCCGGGTAGGATGCGCGTTGAACAACTCATGATCAATGTCGTCCTGAGATGCGAACGCTTACCGCATGCGGCACAAGTGTTCATATCGCTCAATGAGACGTCCTTTGGGAGAAATATTCGATCCGTGCTGGCGTACAAGTGGGGTACACCCCAGCGGGTACGACAGAAACACGCGAGCATTCCGACAGCATCAGCTCGAGAGGCGCTTCGATCATTTGGTCGCCTAAAAATTTTCAAACGACAATGATCCATTGGTATCCCATACTTCTTTGTCGAAGCAATTTTCGTGGCTTGTCCAGCGAAAATTCTTTTGTTCTGCTCGTAGACGAGGTCGCTTTCCTTCACTGAAATGCGCTGGGAAAGCACGGGTCTGGGCATGGTGTTGCGCTATTCTTCGTGCCTGCGTATGCTCTGCTGCCAAACGCCGTATTGACACCCTCTAATCCATAGACGAGTCGTTTGCATCCGTAAAATCGCTCGTTGGCAAATCGCTCTCTATCTTCTCCGGACCTGTTCTGGTCTAGGGCTGTTGTGATTATTTGCAGATGGGGGGCGGAAATGCGCGCTTGGCTCCGTGGCTGTGCTCGCGACGGAGAAAATGACGCAAAGGTATCTGAGGAATTGTAGATACATTAAAGAAAAAAAGCGAGCTCCATTACCATCCTCGATCCAGTGCGCATGACACTCGAGGAAGAACGATTTTGAAGTATGAAGAACACACCAACGCCATCCCGCTGAGTAAAGGCGAAGGCTACGAAGCATAAGGAGAACGAAATACCAGACGAAGAAGATAAACATCATCTAGGATAGAGGGTGAAGAAGGTCAGCGAGAAAAAACTGTCGGAGGGGGAGCATCAGCGGGATGCTCTTGTCAGGGCGTTCCTCCTTAAACACATCAATGGGAAGAATCTTGCAAAGCTTGTGTGGCTGGACGTCATTCAGCACTTTTCTACAAAATATAGCCTTTTCTTGTTTCTTTATTCTTGACACTTCTTGCCTAGCAGTTGCACATAAGCGTTACGGTACCTGAGTTGCGAGCGGTCCTCAGTTCTGTGCAGTGTTTCGATGAAACCCTCGTGATGCAGCACAGCTGACGCTCGCGACTCAAGACGGCTCAAGGTCTGAAAATCGGATACGGGATTAGCACACAAACACTTCCCAGACTAACGTCACGCTTCGTCGCACCGCGTCCTCTATGACAACATCGATGAAACCGGTGCCAAAACGTACGAAACTAGGTTCGAACACGAAAACAGTATGCAAGCCAGTCTGGAGCGCCTGGTGAAGCGCACCCTGTGACCTTTGTGCATTCGCTTACTGGCCCAGGAAACTGGGCGCTGGTGAAAGGTTTTCTTGGGTCTGTTCATGAAGACAGATGGCGAGCTGGTGGAGCCACCAGCGGTCGAGATGGAGCGGGTTCAGAAGAGCTGTCGCAACGAGAGCGACACACGTTTTATACCACCCAAGCGCATCGTGTTGCTCTCGGTCTCGGACTGGTAACCGTCGTGCGCGAAGGATACTTGAGACGTGACGCCTGCCCTACTAGCGTCTTGCGCTGCGACGTATTCCAGAGCAGAGCGCTGCAGAGCAGCACAGAGCCTAGTGGTGCAGCGCGGTAGAGGCGCCCTCCCCGAACCCGAGCGACCTTGTCTCCCGAAGCGTCTACTCCATGTCATCTCTGTACGTCGGGTACAGACCCATGATGTCGGCATAGATCCTTGCGCCGCCTACTTGATATCCTCCTGAGTAAGCTGCAGCTGATCTCTGCGAGCAACTGTGCTTCTTGCGAACAGCTTCGCGTAGGGCATCGGCGGAGCTCGTTCCAGGTTTCTCCTTTGCAAGCAGCACTTGAGAAGCGGTTTCCAGCGACCATGGAGACCGATGGAATACCAGCGAGCGTGCACTTTGTGAAACCTATGCCTCAGTCGCACAGCGACCCTCGTTTTCATCTGTTCATGGCAAGTGAGGAGCCAGACTCTGTGGTGAGCGTTGTTCCCGGTTTGCAGAATATATCATGACCGCCGCCATACCGCTCAATCGAGAGGACTTGTCCGAAGATATGAACTGAAAGTGGATACACCTGCGCAACTTCCCCAGGACTCTATGTGATTGCGGTTCAGATCCGATGGGTGCCGAGAGACAAACCGCCAGCAAGCTGACTGACGGCAGCGTGAGCCGTCTCGACACCCCGTGCACCGCGTCCGGGAGAGACGGACGCTTCCCGTGCCTCATTCAGTGTGCTCTTGAGCGTTCACTCTGCTGATGCGAAAGGTCTCCGGCAAGCGTCCAAGAGACCGCGATGCGGTTGCGCAGAGGCAAGAATCGCGCATTCACCAACTTCCGGAATGAAATGGAAAAGGCTGGGCCTGACAAGTCGCGTCGCTCGGTGGTAGCGTAGGGCGCTGGACACGCTGTAGCGTGCGACGGGTACCGCCCTGTGCCTTCGACGAAAGCTTGCAACAACTCAACAACTCCAGAATCGATTCCTGCACGATTCCCATCGATGGATTCGAGACCACAAAAGGGTGCATCACGGGCGCGAGTACGAGCCGGAACCTGCCGAGAAAACGAGCGTGAAGCAGAGCGAGTCTGGTGCACGAGATGGCGAACACGAAGCTGAGCAAATGTCATCAGGGGAGGCGATCGAAAATGAGCGGCCTGCTATGGTACGATTCCACCGGCAAGCATGCACGCGAGCTCTCTCTGTCTCTGTCTCTCTCTATCTCTCTCTGGATCTCGACTTGAACACCCTGATGGATATCCGAGAATGTCGCGTGCTTTCGGGGCGCCCAGCGCCTTGGTGCCGAGCGATCTTTCGATTGAACTGTGGAGGAATCGGTCTAGGCAATGTGGTGAAATGCCGAAACGCTCCGATGGAATAGAATCCGTCATGAAGTGACAGCGCTTTGGATTCTCATTCGAAGCACGGCACCGGGATGGAGCTATTGAGCAATCCAGCACAACTGGAGCGCTCTACATATGAACATCAAGAACGATTCTCCTGGGCCATTGGTACTCGATAATCATCTTCTATTCTTTGGGTACCGCGAAGTACATCCCAAAGGCAACCTGCAGACCTGGACGATGTTACCCGGACACCAGTCGAGAAACAGATAAGAGCGGCACATTGCCCAGCTTTTCCCGCTTGCGTACGCGCGTGCACAAACGAGGCCTCGTGCAGCGCCCAGCGGCTTGGCGCTTTCAAGGACGTTCATGCCAAGTGTCAATCACTGTAAGGGCCCAAAAGCAACACGAGCTTCTTGACAGGTGTAAAGATTCCGTGTCTGCAGGCTAATCCAAATACTGTTTACAACGTTAAAAGCTGAAGCCTCAACGAGAGCGCATTTGTAGAGCAGCCGGTCACTATTACCCTGGCCTAGATGCAGCTTTTTATCTCTCGCGAGGCTCAACGCGAATAGATGCGATGAACCTCGCAACATGAGCGTTGACTCGAGCCACCGTACTTGGAACTCTCCTGCCTCGTATATCGTTGACTGCCCTGAACCAAAAATCAGAGCATGCGTCGGGGGCGCTTGTTCTCCTCCAGCGCGCGATTTCGTCAACAAGCAGAGTGCTCGCTACTGCTGAAACCCTGGGCACCGCGAGCCCCGCGCGCTAGCGTTTCATTTGCGACTATATCGCTACGCTGCGCGCACACTGTGCACGACTGCTCTTCGTACAAGTGCGAACCCGCCCTGCCCAGAATGATGTGCTATGAAGCCGGGGTCATCGCAAGGGACACCCGTCTTACAGGCGACTTACTCTTGTTTCTGGTGGTCAGCGTCAGAGTCTTCGGTAGAGGACGCCGCTGCATCCTTGGAAGAAACGGTCGCGTGCGGACTCCTAGATGTTGTCTGGATTCCAAGTCGCTTCGATGAGACGAGCCCTTTCCAGAGAACTGCGTAGGCCATGATCCAGAAAATCATCATGGTTGAAAATAAAGCTGCATAGTAGGGATACGCGCGTACCAGCATCCGCGGATATTCGTTGTGCCAGTAAGGACGGATCGGCACCACCTGAGACAAGAGCAGTGGAGTGTAGCCGTCGCGAAAGTGCTCAATACGGAATTTGAAGAGGCCGTGCTTCGACGGTGTGTCAAACTCGGTGGCGTAGCAGCCCTGATCCTTCGTTGCTCGTAGGCTCGTGCGCACATACGGGTCCAACATGACCCACTCCAGTTGAGGTTCATTACCTCCGAGCCAGGGTCGCCAGCGCTGTTGCGACTGTCGACCGTCCCACTCTTCCACGCAAAGCTCAAAGCGGAGTCGATCTCCGACGCGATACGGAGTAGAGCGCGGCCGTTCGTTTCCCTGCGGCACATGCCGGTGCTCTGCTCGGGTAATCCGCAAAATCCCCCGTTCCCCAAGGGCCCATGTAAAAAGATCCTCGAAATATGCTCGGTTTCCATGCTCACCAGACATCAAGCGATCCTGGAGCGCTTCTGTCGATGCGATGTATAGAACACGTCCGCCGTAGCGGCCGTGGAGCGCAGCAACCAGAACGGCCTCCGTGCCAATGGTGAAGGGCGCTGCATCCTCATCCGTTTCGACTACTTGGCCGTCTTCATAGGAGTAGCTTGTGGCTGGTGCGCACAGTACCGGGCGGAGCAAATCCTGCTTAGGAGCGACCAGGGACCCGGTCGCGTTGGCAAACAGTAGCGGACGCTGGGGCATTTCCTTCTCCCAGTATGGAAGGGTCGCCCCCAGGTCCAAGGATGGACAAGGTTTCGGATCAACCAGAAATATCCTCGAGCCTTCGGTGTCCTGCCCGGCTCCGCTTCGATGCGCTGCCCGCACGTGATCCAGTAGCACTGTTCCTGCCTCGTCGAGCTCGAGACCGATGCCTTCCGCCAACGACCTGAAGAGTGCGCCAGCGTTTGGTGATGCGGCCATAATCAGAGTCCGATTAGCGTCCACGAAATCGAGCAAAGCATTTGCGGTACCGTCCCTACCAAATCCTTTAATGGACGGTGCCAGAAGCAGCACCGCGTCATAGAGATAGTGCGTTCCTGCTTCGTTCCAGAGTGTCAGAGAACGGTCTTTTGGTGTGCGCACGGTCACTGTATAGCCCCTATCTCTAAGTACACCAAAAAGAATGGAATACGACGAGGTCTCTCCGTCGACCAGAGCCAGCAGTTGACGTCCAACCGGGGGCGTGCTTCGGCTGCTGATGTGACGGGAAAGTGTGCCGCCACCGGCAAGCGGCTTTCCGCCGCAGAGCTTTGGTTCAACCGACTGCACACTCACCGCGAAGATCAGCCAGTAGACAACGAGAGTCAAGATCTGAACGATCGCGAGCTGCGATATCCGGTTTCGCCCCATAGATTGTGGTCACTTGCAACCGCAATAGCAAGTCTGGTGTCGACACTGGCTGTTGTGCACTGACGACGGCAGCCGTCGCGTGCACGCGCCAGAGAATCCTCCTTGTGTGCATAGCGGACGTTACTGGTAACCGGTTGGCTGGATGGTGCGTATCCTCGTTGACCAGTTGACTGGTTGCGAAGATCAGGGCAAAGAATGAGCTGTGCCAAGGTTCCGTGTGGTTTACCTAGCCTAAAGACACCGTTGGTCAGTGCGTGACGTTTCTAGGCTGATGGACTAGCGCCCACTAGCGTAGCTCGTTGACGCTTCGCCAAACGAAGCAGACACCAGGCTAGTCTATTGTCTATGAATCGTCACGGCTCATTGATCCTAAATATCACTTCTTGTCAAGATTCTGGATGTATGCATCAGCCAATGGGTCTCTTGGGCCCATGTCTTGGAAAGGAACGCGCGATACCCGCTTGTCAGCTTTGAGCGCTCTGCTGAGCTGCGAAAGACCGTGATATTGAACGTCGCATGTAGCTCGGCTGGGTTCCCTGACAGAACGTCAGACATCCGGGATGTGTGAACGCAAAATTGCTCATGAACATCTACCGAATACCGTGCAATCTACTTGCGGTTAGCGTGTTTAGACTGAACGCCCAGCTCAGACTGGAGCAAGCTTGGCCAGTAGAAGTGAATGAAGGCTATAGTCGGCGATGTTCATGGACCCGGAACCGAGCAATTATCGACGGATTCTGGGCTTTGGCTGAAAAGGGTGGCAGTGCGCCAAAACTTGACTTTTCACAGCAGAGCGCGTAAGTCGCAAGCACCAGCCTGAACACTCCAATGACAACAAATTCTGGTGTGCTTGCCGAGTCCCTGTTTATCCTGAACCGCTATGTATGCTCGTAGAGCTATTCGGACTCCTGCGCAAAGATAAGAAAGTTCGAACTGTGTACCAGCTGCTTCTCGATCCGGTCGGTGGTTTTCGGGAGCCACCCGGTTATGGCAATGTCGTTGCCGCAAGTTCGCCAGCGTTGCATAGCACCGCTCGCCAAGTGCAGCATGTCCTGGCATGATGCTATGGTTTTGTGAGCGCCACAGAGGTCTCGCGAGTGCCATTGCTCTCTCGCGAACGAACGGAGCGATTTGGCGTCCGTTGCATCGCTATTGCATCTGTCGAACTCGGGGCACGCGGTGCATGCGCTCCCGAAGAAAGGCCTGCGTAGCAGTTCGGTGACGTGATAGGCGAATCAGTCGCTGTGCATGCGGCAAGTCTTCACAGCATCGACGAAATACTACGTTATGAAGCGACTGCATGGAGCGCGCAGTAGCTGTGATCGATCTGTGGCCACAGATGATGCGACCAGGTTTACCGGGTACGTCCTCCAAGGTGGCGGCATGCGACGATTCACCGGTGCAGTCCACCCACCGGCACAAATGATACGATACTCTGACAATAGCAAGCGAATTGATGCCTGGGCAAGGTTACGGGAGGCATCATGCTAGGAGGCTGATTTTCCTTATTTTTGGGGATGTTGGATCGTTTACTCGAATCAGGGATCCGCCATACTGCGCGATGGCGATCGGCATCTGGGGAGCCACCCGTCATCCCGCAAGAGGCTTTCACGTTGCATGGGCCACGATGATGCTGGCTCGCCTCTGAGGATAATGGTTCCTTCGTCAGATCCCCAGGGCGCAGAGCCTGCCGTACGCGTCCGCATTAAAGCCTGAGGTGCCGTCATGGACGCAGCACCGAGACAGGTCAGCCTTGCCGTGCCCTTGTGCGCGTAAACTCGAGGCGACTGGCTTCCCTGCTCACAAATAGGGCACTTGTCGCTGGACATATGATCCGTGCACGGAATAATCGAGAGCGCCCGGAACAGTTTCCTTCCCGCCTGCTCGGGTCGACGCAGTGTCCGCATCATGACTGAATCGAACTGCGCACTGCACCTTGCTGGATGGCAGATGCATTACCATTGGCGAGGTGGACGAGAAACGCATAAAGCGTGCGCGCTTGCCCTTCACGATATGCCCTCACTCGTTTCCATTTCGTAAGCCGCGTGTGTTTCACATCGCCTCGGCATGCTGGCGACAGCATCAAGCGCTTTGATGAGTTGCTCCCCGCCCATCTATTGCACAGAGAGGCATGCGCGGCCTGTTTCACCGTCGTGAGTCGTCAGCCGAGCGGCCCACAAGCAGTGTTGTCCACGACTGGGCTCGAAATCTGGCGCTGCACCTGCTCGCAAGTAACCGGCTTTCCGACTACCTCAAGTATGCTCTGCGGCTTGCTGTGCACCAGCCAGTTTTCGAACCAGAATCTCGCGAATGGTCTGCATTTGTTGCTGGTTTTGATCAATCTTCAGTGTTAGCTGTCGCATGCTTCCCCGGACGTGCTTCAGACGTCTGTCGAAAAATTCGGCTGCGTCCGCGAGTTTCCGTTCAACGTGGTACCCGGTGCCAATGTCGATGAGACAGCGTTCAGGATTGATGACTCGTCCAAGTACGTACAAAGACCGGCTCAGTGGAACGAGTAAACGCTGATTTTGGTTCACTTCCACAGAGGTTTCTGGTTTAGCGCTCGCGGTTGACGAAATGGCGTCCGTAGCACGGCTTTGAGCGCCAGGCAAGTCTACCCGCGTGGTCTCTTCTGCAAAAGCTTCAATCGACTGCTTACATAGTGTCCAACGCTGGTTTGCAAAGTTGAGTTGTTGCAACGCGTCGGCGAGTTGCTCGACCTCCTGTTGCAGAGAGGCGATGAGCTGCTCCAGCGCTTGGGGTGGCAACGATTCGACAGGTATAGCGCCCGAAGGCCTCGTCTGTTCGCTTCCGATCGAACCGCTTTGATCTGAGAGGCTTGCCATGGTTATTTCGACCTCCTCGTAAAACAGATGCGAACTGCTCCTGAATCCTCTGCCCGGCGCTGCCCCGTATACTGCGCCGCACGACAAGTTTACGGGATCGCAGCAGTGGCGACACCCGACAAGTATCGATGGCTCTTGCAGCAAGCATGTCCGTATTGAACGCAAAAATTACAGAAAGATCTAGTTTCAACTTTGCAAGGGTTGATGGCGACCGCATCAATCCTGTCCATATTGATCCAAAACATACAGAAAAATTCAGTTTGAACGCTATTGCATATTGGCGTGTCCAGCGTGCCGGCACCGTGGTGCATGTCCATGCGGTGGTGTGGGCGTTTCGTGGTGCCGCCTCCACGACGCAACGTCTCTTGTAGGACGCACAAAACGACGGTGGTACACTAGTTGGCATCAGCGGGCTAGTGCGTTTGCGGGTCGACGTGATTGGGCATGGCTCTGGTTGGCTACCAGCACCTTGTCACAGGACAGCTGCTGGGGCCGCTGAAACGCTCAACACGCTGTCTGACGCACCGTAAGTTCGAGCGACCCCTCCACAGTCGTTTCTTGGCTGTGAGCGTTGCGCGGAGCGCGTACGTGGCCGGGCCCTTTTTTCCAAACACTACCCCGCGCATTCGTTCGTTCACGAGGCAGCACGCTACGCTGCAAATGTCGCGCCCTGCGGACGCCTTTTCCGTGGCGCCCATGATGGACGTAACCGACAACCATTTTCGCACGCTTTGTCGACTACTGAGCAAGCATGCACTTCTTTACACTGAAATGGTCGTTGACTCTACCCTTGTATATAATGCTAGTAATGCTGATCACTGGCTCGCTTTCCATCCCGCGCAACAGCCGATTGTACTCCAGCTCGGGGGAAGCGATCCACAAAAGATGCGTGCTGCCGCCGAAATCGCTGCCCCCTACGGCTATAGCGCCATTAACATCAACTGCGGGTGTCCGTCTGATAGGGTAGCGGGGCGTGGTTGCTTTGGGGCGGCACTCATGAAAGATGCGCCCGGGGTCGCTGCACTCTGCCGAGCGATCGCGGAAGTAGTACCAGCCTCAACACCAATAACCGTGAAGTGCCGCCTTGGTGTCGACGATCTTGATACGTATTCGTTCGCTCGCGACTTTGTGCAAGTTGTGTCTGAAAATGCACCCGTGCGACATTTCATTATCCACGCACGAAAGGCGTACCTGAAGGGCCTCAGTCCAGCAGAAAACCGCACGGTACCACCGCTGCGGTACGATCGAGTTTTGGCACTTGCGCGCGATTTCCCTCATCTGCATTTCAGTATAAATGGTGGCATACGTACCATGCCCCAGGTGCGTCATTTTCTTGACACCGAACATCTATATGGTGTTATGGTTGGGCGAGCAGTCATGAATCACCCGTGGGAAGCGCTTGCGGGCGTGGATGCGGTCATTTTCGGCGACGACTCATGTGCGCAGCGAACACGCCGAGACGTACTGCAAGCTTACGGAGCCTACGTGGATAAGCAACTGCATGCGGCCTCTATTTATGGACAGGAAACGGATGAGCGGGAATCCTGCAGCCGCGGATCGCAGTGGACGCCAAGCCTCCATGTTCTTCTCAAACCGATTCTGAACCTTTTCTGGGGTGTTCCGCGGAGCAAGGAATGGCGGAAACGAGTTCAGCAAGCAACTGACGAACAGACTCGAATCCGTCGCAACAGCTCCGTCAAAAGCAACTTTTCCTGGGAGACTTTTTTACCACAAGTTGCAGAAAGCACCCTGGACCCCTGGTACGTCAATACCACCTGGATGGCAATGCAGTCGGAGTCGGAAACCGCTGCTCCAGAGGACTGCAACAACAACAGTGCTCATATCGATAGTCCAGCGTCGACAGCGATAACAAGCATTGCATACTGAGTCGCAGCACGCTGCAAAGCGCGCTGCTTGCCGGTGCCGCTGCGACTGGCAGCCAATCTGTCTGCCTCTATCGCAGTGTGATGTACTGCAGCCGGGTGCCATGGGCCATCCCAGGAGCATCTAGCCGTGCATTCGAGCAGTTTGCAGGTAACCGGTGGTGCTCAGTAGAAGGCGAATGCTCTGAAAACTCTCGGAGCGGTGCGAAAACTTGGCCCTACAAAGATGAAGCACTGCATCGCCCGGAAACTCGCGAGCAATGTCGTTTTTCTGAAAGGACGTGCGTCGGCGCTCTTGTGATTTCTGCAAACTGCATCACCCAGAGAGCACGTCAAGCTATGCAGAACCAATTTACATGCGCAGGTATGCACTCGAGACTCTAGCGCGACCGGCATCCGAAGCGAACGAGCACGAAAGCTGTGTCGAACTAGACAACCGAACATCAAATAAAGGAGCATCATTATCGTTCGCTTGTTGGCAAAGAACATCGTCTTCAGAGCATACCCAAGCCGCTCTCGCATTGCGGGATTTCCCAACCGCACCATACCAGTGCCTTGCTCCAGTCTGGAATCCAACTCCCTCTCTGCTGACCACTGAGTTTTCCATCGAGCGTCATCAGCGTTTCAGCAGCGCACCGATACTGAGTACTGAACGACTGCGTCGAAAGCTCGCTCGACTCAAACCAAGACTCGCTTTCGAGTGTTGATCGAGCGGCTCAAGTCGCAGTATGGAAAGAGCCTGGGCGCCTAGGTGCTGGCACATTCGCACCAAACGAGGTCACCGACCTTACACGCTGTCGCCATCTGACGTTCGTTTGGCGTCCCGTACACCACCTGGTGCATTGGTCTCTGTTTCAGGCTCTACGAGGTCACCGAACTTTGACGCTGTCGCCATCTGACGTTCGTTCGGCGTCCCGTACACCATCCCGTGCATTGATCTCTGTTTCATGCTCTTTTTCTTCTCGAACTAGATTAGGCTGAACCCCAGTTCGTGATACTTGTATGTTGTCGTGCATTCGTCGACGGGATCTGTACGGAATCGATTCTTGTGCCTGTCGCACGCTCGCATCGAAGGAGCACGAGTGCAGCCCGTGTGCTCCAAAAGCACACCCCGTACCAGAGGTTTCAGGCATACCGCGCGCCTCGTCGATGATTCCCTTTTCCGACGCACCGAACTAGGCGGTGTGGATGTACGCTCCTTGGCTCCGCACAATCGATGCCATTGGCGACAGCAGCACGGTGTCATGTACCTGTGTCGAAAAGCGTCCGCGTGCTGCATTCGGACGCTCGTATAGGCGCTCTGAGTGCACTGCACGAAGCATCCGCCGCTGCTCGATAGGATGCTTTGATTGCCGAGATAGCCCCTGAGGTAGTCACTGCACCTGCTGGTACGCCTCCTGGTGTGTGTGGTGCACGACGCCCGCTGGTACCGAGTCGTGGAGCAAGCTGAGCAGCGACACCTGCTCGCGGTGCTGATCGCTGGCTCTGCCCTACTGGGCTGGAGGCACGGCGGCGGTCGTGACGCACTCGAACTCGGGATCCACGCCCGCCCTGAATACTTGCTCTTCATCTATCTCTATGGGCGTAAATCGAGTCCTGGTTCGAGACGCAGGCCTGTGTCTCACAAAGCGCATCCAAAGTGATATTCGGTCAGTGTCCGTGGTCGCTGTAAACGTCTTTGGGCTCCGAGCGCGTAGGCGAAAGAGCTTGGACGAGCTCGGCCGATGCCCGCTGCGGAGCAGTACGAATGTGTCCTGGTTGCTGCGTACAGAGACCGGGCATCGCGCACCAGGAAGGCCACACGCGAGAAAGAGTGTCTCAGCGGGTACCCTCATGGGTCCTGGTCTCGTAACCATGGACCATATCCACTAGACTGTTGAGGGAGCGGGGGGCGCTCACGTTCCCGGAGGCAGTCTGGTATGCGCTGCCCAGCGCTATTCACGGAAACGGAGTAGCGCGAGATGCCGGGAAGCCAGGCATCACGGTTCAGCGACCATTCGGACGCGACGTCCATCAAGGAGGCGAGAGTCTCTCGGGGACGGTGCTACGCTCTGGCTCACGGCGTCCGGCTTGTCTCGGTGCCGGGGACGCGAGCGAGTCGTGTTTTCGAAACGTGTCCGTGGGCGTAGAAACGGTTGTTGGCGACGCAGAGACAGGCCGCATGCGGCTGGATGAGGCCGCGGAAAACAAACTGCTACAAAGAGCAGCTGAACACGAATCCCAGATGCCTACGCCGGTGCTTCTCCCGTGCTATGCTAGGCGGCGCTGTCCAAGGACAGGGCATCAGCAAGCGCGATGGAGAAGCCTCGAAATGTTTCAACGCAGGATGAGGTGAGGAACGACGCCGTCTGTGTGGCGGTTTGCAGGCGACCGCTCGCCAGCATCGGCTCCTGGGCTGCTGCTGCTGCTGCCGCTGTTGTTGTTGGTGCTGTTCTTTTTGTCGTACGCGCATGTCGCTTCCTTGCGAATAGCGGATTGCCACGTTTTGGTTGCCTGCATACAGGCCAAGCAGTGCTCCCGTCGTGGACTGGAATCGAGCGAGGTGAACTCCTGTCGCTTCTGGGATATGTATGCTCCTTGAGGGACGCCATTGACGGCGTCATGTGCGCAGCGCGACGGTCTCGCACAGAAACCTGCCTTCTGCGCTGACCCTCAATGTCTCGTTGTCGTCGTGCGATGCAACGGTACGCGAACCTCAGATGCTGGCGCCTGTTGCGCGGCATTCCTTCGAGAAGGCATAAGCTGGAATGGCTTGGCGAGTAGGCAGTTGCGTAGAGATTGTTGAACGTGTTTTGGTGCGGGCGCACGATGTTCAGGATACCGATAACGATACAGGCGGTGTATTGTCGTAGTGACCATAGAATGACTGCTTTGTAGAAATAATGCGGCGTATCGCGAGCTATCTTTGCCAGCATCAGAGCTGTGCGCGACAGTGCTCCAGTCGTTCGCGGTGCGTGCCGGGCATTGAGTGCCTGTGCGAACACGAACGGAAACAAATAGGATATAGTTGTATAATTATATCCAGATGCACAACTCCTTGCAAGGAAGCGTCCGCGACATTACTAGACATCGCTGTATAAATATGCATATTCCTCATCGACTGCTGTGCTGCTGCCAGTATGGCGCCTGAGCAGCTACCCGAAAACTATTGCAATTCAAGCCACCGTACGGTGTCAAGTACTGGTGCACGTCAAGCAGCAACGTGCGCCCTTGTAACTCTTGGATGGAGAACAAGCGCTCAAGGACCGGTGGTGCGCCAGCTACTGTGCAACCGTCCGAGAAGGCAGCACAGTCGCGACCTCAGGTGCTGCAGCGAACTGGTCGAAGCACGAGCTCCGGCCCGCTCGCTGCAGAAGTCTCGAGCGCGATGAGCGCCATTCCCGCACTCGTATCGCAAAAGTTTCAGCGCGGAGCGCGTGAGGGGGCGGGCCCTACGAAACCCTTCAAATCAGAGGAACAGTCCAGTGAAGCAGTACGCACTTTAGCCGAACACGTGCGCCAACTGCGCCAGAAGAAGCAGGAGGAAGGCAGCGTGCGAACCACTGAAAGCTCGGCGGACAACGGCTTGCGCAGACCTCATAAGAACGCACCAGCTGTTATGGATGCAGGAGGTAAGCTCTCTACGCGAAACGCGCGCCAAGTTGTAAGCCAGCGGGTTGCGAAACCGGTTGATCCTCGGTTTGACCCGCTCTGCGGCCGATTCGATGAGAACGTCTTCGAGCAGCGATACAGTTTTCTCCGAGACCTTCGTCGAAAAGCTTTGGATGAAGCAAAAATTAAGCTAGCCGCTCTAGAGAAGCGGTTGAAAATTGCCCATGAATCCGAACGCGATACGCTGCGCTCGCTGCACAAGGAGTTGCGCTCCGAAGTCGACCGACGTCAGAATCAAGTTCGACGAGACGAAGTTACCGAGAGCTTCCAAGCGCTACTTAGACGCCACAAACGAGAAGAGACTGAGCAGCTTGCTGCCGGTAGGAAGACGCGTCCCTTCTTTTGGAAACGCAGCATGATTCGAGACCAGTTGCAGAAGGAGCGCGACGCGTCAATGAAAAAGCATCGAGGTTGGAAACGGCATCTCGAGCGACGAGAACGCGAAGCTGCCGCTAAGGACCGTAAGCTTCTTCGCGATTCGGTGTAGGCGTCTGTAAGTGACAGCTTAGAGAACCTGGCATTCATAGGTAGCATCTACGCTGTATAAGTGGGCGTTGGACCCTTGCAGGATCACCTATTAGTGCCGAAATCATCAAGACGGAGCGGATGACAGCATTTGTGTGGCCTCGTCGAGAGATGTCTGAAAGCAGCAAGCACCGCTGCTGGCGCATCAGGGGGTAGATCCGTGCTAATCGCATTTTCTCAGTGACTCTTGTCGACCTGTATGGAAGCATAGCAGAAAGCAGAGACGGGAAGACGCCCAACTTCCGTCATGGAGGCTGGAGCGCGGCACGCTTGCCGACTTGGCGCAGAATGTCACGTCAGGAGAAGTCAATCGCGTGGTGCCTCTCTGAGATCTGCCACGTAGGTGAGCACGAGCGAGCATTTGCGGCGCTAGCGCTTACTCCGTTGAAACTTCACGAAATGAAGTTGCTCAAGCATCGGTCATGGATGAATGGAGAGCGCAGCGGAGGGAGCCGCAGATGCCAATCCCGTATGAAGTGGACAAAACGCGATAGCTAGGATGCACACCGACGCTGGCCGCTCGATGCCATTCGCTCAACTGTTAATCCCCGATCAGAGCTTTCATGAACGCTTTAGGAAATTGTCACGGACATTGTGCAGGGATTTCCGGCACAGAAGCGACTTTACCCAAGCGACAGCCGGCAAGCTGTTAGCGTTGTCAGGAACGCGCAAAAGCATGCCACGAGCGCGAAATGCACCATCGTTGCGGACACCAGTGGATAGAGCGCCTTAGCAGCAAGCATGTAGACACGTTGCCCGGCGTTCTGTGGCTTTCGCGAATCTACATGTGCCCCGTTGATGCTGTAGCTTGGATTTCATCGCACGGAGGACATAACTGAGCGTTGAGCGACTCTTCCTGTGTCGATGCGATCGTTAGATTCACACTGCGAAGCGCCCTCCATTTTTCAGAGGCGCCATTTCGATAGTTTGCATGTACAGCCACGACGAGGCCTCTCTCGAGCAGGGCACGAACAGCTGGAGACGGCTCGCGATGCCGGTATCCAAACAACACACATCCGTTCGGGAACACCTCATACGGGAGATACATGATGCGTGGGCGCACATACTCTATTCCTGCGATAGACGTCATGTTCTCATACGGTGAACGTAACTGTACCATATGGTTATGAGTCCATTTCTTCAGAACCTTGTTGAAAATGAATTGATCGTGTACAGACTTTCGTTCAGGTTGTAGTTGACGTGCGCGCTCTGTCTTAATGGACTCGTGAACAACCTCTGCAATCAGTTGTCGTATCGCCTGAAATCGTAATCTGCCGCTGCGGGTTCGCTGATCAACGGCAAAGAGCATGAAACCTGTGTTGTACTCATAGGGGCACTGCACCTGCTGCGCCCCGTACAGCTCGGTGTTGCATCCATCGCACTGCATGTAGAGGTCAGCGTCGCCGTATCTAAGTATGGCTCTAACTGGCTCGTGCAGAAACACTACATCGACATCGCAGACGAGCAGATAGAATCGAGATGGAAGGTGCGTCGTCCGCGCAAACATTGCATGCACTGCCGAGAATTTTTGTCTTTCAATTTCATAAAAGAGACTGTTTGACGCTTTCATAGCTTGATAGGAAGCGACTGCCCTAGCAAGAGGGGCACGGGCTGCTCGTATCCGGAGCCATGGAGTGTCCAGGCTCCGCTGCCGTAACCAGTCGAGGACTTTACCGTCGGTGGCTCTTGCCCGGACGGTCACCGGAAGCCGCACGGTGCCCGCGAGGAACTGCGACTGAAGCACGCAACGGTAGTGACAAACCCAGTTCAGAAAGAAAGGTACGCTGCCGTGGTTGATGACAACGAGTGCAAAGGTCACAGCATCGTCGGCGACCTGGCGTCGCGCCGTGTCCCCAGTTGTTGTTGTTGTTGTGCTGACCAGGGGCTCTGAGAGCGCAGCTGCTCCAGCACCTGCGCGACCGTCATTCGCGTCGGGAACACGCAGCCCGGTGCTAGGCGAGCGCACCAGGTACGAAGTCACCCAGAGGCAACAGAGAAGCAAGCCAGCAATAGCAGCGCCCCTGGATAGATAGCGAGCGAGGCGGCGGAGCAGTGACTCCACACGTTTTCCTCCACGCATATGTTGAAAGAGCATTCCATGCGCATCATCTAATGCGGAAGTTGGAACGGTAGTGATGCAGGTTCATGGATAAAGCGCTCATTTCCACGCCTGTTCAGCTCGTCCAGCTGTCCGGGCAAGCATGACATGTGGACAAGCTCGTGGAGTATCGATTCCGCTACATACATGTCAGGCAGGCTATACCTGCCGAGCTGCAACAGGCTTTGGGAGCGTACACCATGCATTGCTGTAGATATGCGCATTCGTTTTAGCGTACATCAGAGCGTCTAGGTTCTCTGTGCGACGAGCGATCGGACGGAGGCTGTCGAAAAGGTATTGCCTTTGACTGGTGCCGTTGCTGTGTATGCGAGCATCGGTTCGTCACATCGCAACCGTATCGCGCCTAGGCGTGGCATCACGCCGGTATCCCATCCCCGAAACGCTTGCTTCGAACCGCAATCTTCATAATGGGAGAGTTTAGCCCAAGTTCACTGGCAACGCGATCGCCCGCGGTTGACATGACAGCATCCTCATTTTTCTTGTGAATGTGAGTCCACATGACGTAACTTGCTGCCCATGGTCAGGTGCTGGGCGGACTGGATGCGCTGGTGGTGCGAGTCTGTCTCGCGAATCATGGTGTACTGATGCGAACGAACATCGAATAACGGAGCATCATTATCGCTCGCTTGTTGGCAAAGAACATCGTCTTCAGAGCATACCCAAGCCGCTCTCGCATTGCGGGATTTCCCAACCGCACCATACCAGTGCCTTGCTCCAGTCTGGAATCCAACTCCCTCTCTGCTGACCACTGAGTTTTCCATCGAGCGTCATCAGCGTTTCAGCAGCGCACCGATACTGAGTACTGAACGACTGCGTCGAAAGCTCGCTCGACTCAAACCAAGACTCGCTTCCGCGTGTTGATCGAGCGGCTCAAGTCGTAGTATGGAAAGAGCCTGGGCGCCTAGGTGCTGGCACATTCGCACCAAACGAGGTCACCGAACTTTGACGCTGTCGCCATCTGACGTTCGTTCGGCGTCCCGTACACCACCTGGTGCATTGGTCTCTGTTTCAGGCTCTACGAGGTCACCGAACTTTGACGCTGTCGCCATCTGACGTTCGTTCGGCGTCCCGTACACCATCCCGTGCATTGATCTCTGTTTCATGCTCTTTTTCTTCTCGAACTGGATTAGGCTGAACCCCAGTTCGTGATACTTGTATGTTGTCGTGCATTCGTCGACGGGATCTGTACGGAATCGATTCTTGTGCCTGTCGCACGCTCGCATCGAAGGAGCACGAGTGCAGCCCGTGTGCTCCAAAAGCACACCCCGTACCAGAGGTTTCAGGCATACCGCGCGCCTCGTCGATGATTCCCGTTTCCGACGCACCGAACTAGGCGGTGTGGATGTACGCTCCTTGGCTCCGCACAATCGATGCCATTGGCGACAGCAGCACGGTGTCATGTACCTGTGTCGAAAAGCGTCCGCGTGCTGCATTCGGACGCTCGTATAGGCGCTCTGAGTGCACTGCACGAAGCATCCGCCGCTGCTCGATAGGATGCTTTGATTGCCGAGATAGCCCCTGAGGTAGTCACTGCACCTGCTGGTACGCCTCCTGGTGTGTGTGTGGTGCACGACGCCCGCTGGTACCGAGTCGTGGAGCAGGCTGAGCAGCGACACCTGCTCGCGGTGCTGATCGCCGGTTCTGCCCCGCTGGGCTGGAGGCACGGCGGCAGTCGTGACGCACTCGAACTCGGGATCCACGCCCGCCCTGAATACTTGCTCTTCATCTATCTCTATGGGCGTAAATCGAGTCCTGTTTCGAGACGCAGGCCTGGGTCTCACAGAGCACATCCAAAGTGATATTCGGTCAGTGTCCGTGGTCGCTGTAAACGTCTTTGGGCTCCGAGCGCGTAGGCGAAAGAGCTTGGACGAGCTCGGCCGATGCCCGCTGCGGAGCAGTACGAATGTGTCCTGGTTGCTGCGTAGATAGACCGGGCATCGCGCACCAGGAAGGCCACACGCGACAAAGAGTGTCTCAGCGGGTACCCTCATGGGTCCTGGTCTCGTAACCATGGACCATATCCACTAGACTGTTGAGGGAGCGGGGGGCGCTCACGTTCCCGGAGGCAGTCTGGTATGCGCTGCCCAGCGCTATTTACGGAAACGGAGTAGCGCGAGATGCCGGGAAGCCAGGCATCACGGTTCAGCGACCATTCGGACGCGACGTCCATCAAGGAGGCGAGAGTCTCTCGGGGACGGTGCTACGCTATCGCTCACGGCGTCCGGCTTGTCTCGGTGCCGGGGACGCGAGCGAGTCGTGTTTTCGAAACGTGTCCGTGGGCGTAGAAACGGTTGTTGGCGACGCAGAGACAGGCCGCATGCCGCTGGATGAGGCCGCGGAAAACAAACTGCTACAAAGAGCAGCTGAACACGAATCCCAGATGCGTACGCCGGTGCTTCTCCCGTGCTGTGCTAGGCGGCGCTGTCCAAGGACAGGGCATCAGCAAGCGCGATGGAGAAGCCTCGAAATGTTTCAACGCAGGATGAGGTGAGGAACGACGCCGTCTGTGTGGCGGTTTGTAGGCGACCGCTCGCCAGCATCGGCTCCTGGGCTGCTGCTGCTGCTGCCGCTGTTGTTGTTGGTGCTGTTCTTTTTGTCGTACGCGCATGTCGCTTCCTTGCGAACAGCGGATTGCCACGTTTTGGTTGCCTGCATACAGGCCAAGCAGTGCTCCCGTCGTGGACTGGAATCGAGCGAGGTGAACTCCTGTCGCTTCTGGGATATGTATGCTCCTTGAGGGACGCCATTGACGGCGTCATGTGCGCAGCGCGACGGTCTCGCACAGAAACCTGCCTTCTGCGCTGACCCTCAATGTCTCGTTGTCGTCGTGCGATGCAACGGTACGCGAACCTCAGATGCTGGCGCCTGTTGCGCGGCATTCCTTCGAGAAGGCATAAGCTGGAATGGCTTGGCGAGTAGGCAGTTGCGTAGAGATTGTTGAACGTGTTTTGGTGCGGGCGCACGATGTTCAGGATACCGATAACGATACAGGCGGTGTATTGTCGTAGTGTCCACAGAATGACTGCTTTGTAGAAATAATGCGGCGTATCGCGAGCTATCTTTGCCAGCATCAGAGCTGTGCGCGACAGTGCTCCAGTCGCTCGCGGTGCGTGCCGGGCACTGAGTGCCTGTGCGAACACGAACGGAAACAAATAGGATATAGTTGTATAATTATAGCCCAACGGATGTTTCTGTACATAACTGCACTTTAAGGACATCGATCTCGGTACCCCGACGCCGCGAAGCGACCACGCGCTGTCCGTAGCAGCCCTGCGCATACGCCGGCGACCTGATAACGCACCTGCGCCTTCGTCGCGAAAGCGTCTCCATTCTAAATTTACCCATTCCAAGCGTTTACTCTCCGGTGCGTACCCTTATCGCACGACAGCGAGCGCTGGTTTTCAAAGCAACCCGTGCCGAGAGCATACCCTCTGCGAGCAACTGCATGCCTAGTACCGGACTCATTCAGGCAGCATTCGTTGGCCTTGTCCAGCTCCCAGTTCAAGTTCGCGCTCGGGGCTTTGACGTTCCTGGGAAGCAGCGGCGTTGCTTCCCCTGCAACCAGCGAGTGCTCAGATTCAGAACTGTGCATCGGCAGCGGGGCATAATTCGAGAACTACGGGCGTGTGCACACAGGGTGGAGAGGTCGCGAGCCACAACGTCGCTGATGCCGCCCCAGGAAGTTGACGCTGCGTTGGCGTCGACGCTGCGTGCTAGCGGCGTTTCGGCGTCGCCAGAGTACCTGCGCAATTCTGCGTTCCATATTCCTGACTATGAGACTTACTGCGAAATGTACACGCGTTCCTTACGTGACCCTACTGGGTTTTGGTTAGAAATGGCGAGGAATAACTTCTATTGGCGGGACCCTAATGCAATCACACCAGACAGCGTCTACCGCTATAACTTTGACGTGCGCCAAGGACCCATTCAAGTCGAATGGTTTTTCCGAGCAGAGACTAATATCTGCTACAACGCGCTTGACCGCCATGTTGAACAAGGGCTAGGCAATAGGGTTGCGCTCTACTGTGAGGCAAACGATATGGACGACATGGATACACATCGTGCGATAACCTATGCCGAGCTGCTAGATATGGTGAAACGGATCGCTCGAGTGCTGCGTCGACAGGGTGTGCGGCGCGGGGATACCGTTACGATCTACATGCCAATGGTGCCCGAGCTACCAGCCGCGATGTTGGCATGTGCGCGTATTGGAGCCGTTCACAATGTAGTGTTTGGGGGCTTCTCCGCTGAGGCGCTTGCAGGGCGGCTTCTCGATGCCAGATCGGCGGTGATCCTCTCTTGTGATGGCATCAGACGTGGCCCGAAACGAATCGAACTGAAAGCGACGGTCGATGAAGCGATCGAAATATGCCAAACGAGGGATCCCAGTTTCCACGTTTCTTGCCAGTTGGTGCTGCGGCGTTTGGGTGAATCGATGCTACCAAACTTGACGATGCAGGCCGGACGCGATGTTGACCTTCGCGTTGCCATGGAAGAGGCTGTCTCTGGACCTGATGATGCCATTGAGTGGATGAAAGCCGAAGATCCGCTCTTTCTTCTGTACACCTCGGGCAGCACTGGGACACCCAAGGGTGTCCTGCATACCACGGGCGGCTACATGGTTAATGCCGCGCTCACATTCAAGTACTCGTTCAATTACCAGCCCGGTGATGTGTACTTTTGCACCGCTGATTGCGGGTGGATCACGGGCCACAGTTACGTAGTGTACGGACCCATGCTCAATGCTGCGACCCAGGTGCTTTTCGAGGGTGTCCCGACATGGCCGGATCCCGGGCGACTCTGGGCCATTGTCGACAAATATCAGGTGACGCACTTGTACACGGCGCCAACTGCGATACGTTCCCTGAAAAAGGCCGGCGACGAGTACGTCAAAAGATACAAACGGACGTCCCTCAAGATCCTGGCCACCGTTGGGGAACCCATTAACCCGCAGGTCTGGGAGTGGTACCATCAGGTGGTCGGCGACAGTCGTTGCAATGTTGTCGACACCTACTGGCAGACAGAGACTGGCGCACACGTTGTGATCTCGCCTCCAGTTCGTGGCTTTCAACAAAAACCTGGATCAGCAGGTGTACCGTTTTTCGGTATTCGATTGGCGGTGCTTGATGACCGGGGCAAGGAGATCCCCTTTGTACCCGGCCAAGAAAGTGAGGGATATCTCTGCATCCGTGATCCGTGGCCCTCGTGCCTGCGCACGATATTCGGAGCCCAAGCGCGCTTCGAGAACGGCTACTTCAAACCGTTCCCCGGCTATTACATGACTGGCGATGGCTGCCGCCGCGACGGTGATGGATATATCTGGATCACTGGACGAGTCGACGATGTCATTAATGTGAGCGGACATCGAATCGGCACCGCAGAGGTGGAAAGCGCACTGGTACGGCATCCCGCAGTTGCTGAGGCAGCAGTTGTTGGTATGCCGCACGAGATCAAGGGCGAATGTATTGCGTGCTTCGTTATCTTGGCTGATGGCTATACACCGAGCGATACACTGCGCAACGAACTTGTGCAGACGTGTCGCAAAGAGATTGGCGCCTTTGCCGCACCAGAGCGCATCATCTGGACGCCAGCACTGCCCAAAACTCGCAGTGGAAAGATCATGAGGCGAATTCTGCGAAAAATCTCCGAACAGGGTCGGGACTTGGACCGCAGTGTTCTCGGCGACCTGAGCACCCTTGCGGACCCGAGTGCTGTCGACGCCGTCATCCAGAGTTTCCTATCATGAGCGTTCCTGGTCCAGCGCTGCGCTGTTTGAAGTTGTTCGAGGAATAGGACATTCTTAGCGTCCAGGTGCGATAAAGGCAAGCTCAGCGTTTCATGCGCTGTGATGAAGGCGTCAAAAAGTATCAGCTGGGGCAGGGTTGAAGCGCCTCCGGCCTTGCACTGCCGCACATGCGGCTTTCGATCTGTGCGTTGGTGCTTGCAGGTTAGACCTCAGTGAACCGCATCGTTGTCGGTTCCTCGTTACTTGGGCGCATAAACTGCCACCAAGTGACAGACACAGCGAGTATCGATTCTTGTATTTTCGAGATGCGGCTGGAGTTTAACGAAAGTCAGTGCATCTCTCTGGGCGCAACGCCTGCCCAACGCACTGCGGAGACGACGCAGTTTCGGGTCGCAAGACGTGGAGCGTAGCATTTTTTCCATTTTAAAGTTTGCACGGTACGGGAGATGTGTTCCAGCGCCTCAGCGAAGGAACAAGTCCGGCCTTTGGAATGCGAGAGGCTGTTTAAGGGAGCCGCTGAAGCGAGTCCGGTCCCATTCAGGCTTGCCTAGAGCAAAGTCGGGACGCAGTATGTCGCATCCGTTGGACTTCAAACCTGACCGGTAGGTACTTCAAGTGCGGGTCGAATACTACGAATGCATGGCGCGATAACCTTCGTCAAGAAATGAGAAATCGGGAAATGCTCTTTGATGTGTATGCAGAACACGCTAGTTTAAAACTCAAGGCCTCGTAGCGTCTTTCAAGTCAAAAGTGTTTCATCCCCGATTTGGTGTGTCGCAGGAGATCGAAAACAAAAAATGCGATGTATCGGTTTAGATCCTAGTCGAATTGCCTGTATGATACATATATATTCTTTACTGAGCAGTGCAGCGCAGGACTGCATTCATCTTTCATGTCAGGCATACCATTGTATTCTGACGATACAGGGACACTGAAAGAAGGAAGGATATGCTCTCTGGGACAAACTCTGATATTCTTGAAGGTGCTTGCGGTCAATGGTAGAAAACGACCCGTTGATCATCGTAAGAAAAGCGAAAGCGATGATCATAGCCAGCAGTGGCATTTCTGATTCTCAAGATCTTGTTCGTGCAGCCCTGAAAGCACTCGGATACAGTCGCATAAAAAGAGTCCTGGTTCACACCCGGTCATGGTCCATCGAAATCGCAACTCTAGTGTTCCTGGAACGTTGCGATCTGCATGAAGCACAGGAACGTCGGTTGTTTTTTTTCAGTCGATCATACTTTCCTCGGATGAGACGGTCGAAGCGTATACGGGTATTCGCAGAGACGGAGTTCTTTGTACGTACAACGAACTCGAAGAGAGCACCGACATCATCATCTGTTCGAACTTTGGTAGATGCATTTGTCGGCCTCAGTTTCTCTCGTAGAGAGGGCGTATACATTAGCTCCCAACTCGTCGAATCATGGAAGATTGTTCTCTGACTTCTTGCGACGTGCATCTATTGGACACCGTGGCCTTTCAACATTCTCTTTCGAGCTTTTGCTGATTCTATCGGGGACAGAGCTGCTTTTCATTCCTCCTTAGGCTCCGAGGTCCATATCTATAGAAGGAGCGTTTTCTATCATGACACATATCATAATAGCTCCGATGGGCGAATCGCAAAAGCTTCCACCACGGTAGCACCGAAGCATCTTTCGTCTATCCTGCGTAAATCCTTGTCTTTCCGAGAAGTTCCTCACCTATGGGTGTGTACAAGTGCGGCCGCTTTCAAAGATTAAAAAATCTCTGGGACGAGCGGGCATATGCACTTCAGACGGCCGGCATAGAGACACGCCAGTGGATCGCTTGTGCGATAGAAAATGACAGAGAGCTGACTGAGCACCAAATGGCAATGAGGGCACGAGTTCCAGCTTTCTTTGCAATGGCGCGTTCTAACAGAGGCTATAAACGCGAGATGTTCGTGAACCGGGATTTTAACGCTGTACTCAATATCAGGCTATGTGCGGTGCTGAAAACGATACCCCAAGAGCTGACGCGATGTGACTTGGTTGGGCAGCCTCTCAGGCTCATCGGATACAACGAGAAGCTGAAACTGATCGAAGGCGGCCAGTCAAAAAAGGCTGCGAGGCCTCTGCGCGTAAATACATACATATTCACCCTCCATGGCCATCAAACATGTATCGTTGTCCTCATCTATAACGTCTGGGTGGTTATGCAGGTCCAATTTCTTTCACGGGCGTCAGATCCCCACTCCAGCCATAGGTGCAGTATCCCGCGATCCACCCGAGCACCTCTTCATGCGGCGTGCCGGCGCCCCGGATCATCGCCGGCGAACGCTCAGTACAAGCGCCCTTCGTGCTTGCGCTTCGCACCAGAAGCTGTTGAAGTGCACCAGAAGCTGTTGAAGTGCACCAGAAGCTGTTGCAGTGCACCAGAAGCTGTTGCAGTGCACCAGAAGCTGTTGCAGTGCACCAGAAGCTGTAGCGCTGGGTGGTGAGCCATGGAACCTGCTCGTGGAGGCGAGGAAAGATCGCTCACCTCCTTCGTACATTCGATAGGTTTAAGAAAGAGAATGCGATGGATCCAATCAGCAGGGAACTGGTTGCGAGTGCTTCGTACTGGCTATCCAGCAGTTGCCGGGTCCATTGCGGAGGCACGGGCAACGCGTCCGTACCGAATGCGAGGCTGGCTCGGTGACGGCACCAGTTTCCGACCCAGTGCGTTTCGTTGTCGACATTCTGATAGCCGTTGCGCTACTCCAACAAACATGATGCTGACGCGAGTGTCTGGCACGCCGCCACCGGTCGACCTTCGGTACGTACGAGATCACTTGGCGCAGGTCCAGGAGAATATCCAGCGGCGCGGAGTCGACGTCAACGCCACCCTTGTAGTGCAGCTGTATGAGCGTTTCTGCGCGCTTACGGCGGAGGTGGATCTAGTCCGAAAACAGCGCAACGAGGTGGCAGCCCGCATGAAGAATATGCAGAAGCTCTCGCCTGAGGAGCGCTCCGAGTGTATCGCACTTGGTAAGCAGTTGAAAGAGCGAGTGACTGCGCTTGAGGCTGAACTTGCCGAGACCGAGCAACAACTCTATGCAGAAGCAGTACGGATACCCAACCGGACCCATCCTGATGCTCCTGTAGGCGGCGAGGATCAAGCCCGACTCTTGAGAATGGCGGGCAAGCCTCGTGATTTTACAGACTTTTCGCCGAAAGACCATGTGGAGTTGGCGCAGCGACTTGATATAGTGGATTTCGAGGCCGCCGCCAAAGTAGCTGGGGCGCGCTTCTATTTTCTTCGCAATGCAGGGGCAATGCTCGAGCTGGCGTTGGTGAACTGGGCAATGCAGCACCTTACCGGTAAGCACGGTTTCATACCTCTGATCGCACCCGACCTTGTGCGCGAGGAAACGGTTTGGGGTTGCGGATTCCAGCCCCGCGGCGAAGCGTCTCAAGTATATTCGGTGGCAGATACCTCGTTATGCCTGGCGGGCACAGCGGAAATACCGCTTGGGGGATATTATGCGAACGAGATACTCGACGAGACGCAGCTTCCGATCAAGATGGCAGCCGTCAGTCACTGTTTCCGTCGTGAAGCCGGTGCTGCCGGCACCGAGACGCGCGGTCTGTATCGAGTCCATCAATTCACCAAAGTGGAAATGTTCGTGCTTTCAAGACCAGAGGAAAGCGATCGAGTTCATCAGGAGCTTCGATCTATCGAGGAGGAGCTTTTCGATGCACTTGGTCTCCATTATCGGGTGCTCGACATGCCGACTCGGGAACTGGGAAACCCGGCCTATCGCAAATTTGATATTGAGGCCTGGATGCCGGGTCGCAACGCCTTTGGCGAAATCAGCAGTGCAAGCAACTGCACCGACTACCAGGCCCGGCGTCTGAATATCCGATACAGAGAGCAGGTTTCGGAAAAACTGCGCTTCGTGCATACACTCAACGCGACTGCCTGCGCAGTGCCTCGGATGATTGTGTCTATTCTGGAAAACTTTCAGGAAAAAGACGGTTCGGTTACGATTCCGCAAGTGCTTCGACCGTTTCTCGCTGGATTGGAGCGCATTCAAGTGCCGCCCGAACGGCACACTCCATCCCGCATCACAGAACCGGCTGGAGCCCAGCCAACACGTTGATCAGCGGATGCGTTCCGCATGCCGGGCACGGAACGAGTTCTGCGTCGCCGAGCGTTCCGTATCGTTTCCTTCGAACTGACTGAGGTGGCTTTCTTGTCGATGGTGTTTTTGCGCTGAGAATCACAGCGCGCACAAGCACGTAACGGATGGAGGTCGCTCTGCAGGTATCTTGGAGCCGGCTGCGACTACCGCAAGGATGAAGCACTCGAACAGTTTGTTCGCTCACATAAACGCAGTGAGAAGACACTTCATGTCATGGTGACCTCACGGCAAACGACACTATCGCAAACCATGGTTGATACGGCGTGTATGATTCATCAATGACTTCATCCGCAGATCCTGCGCTTCTCAGGAGCGTTTTCACGTCTACTGGCCCAGAGCGGTCGCGCTCATTGGTTGCGCCATGAGAACAGAGGCTGTGAGCTCTACGGTGACGGCATCGAGTCCGACAGATGACAGGTGTTGCGTTAGCCTTGACTGCGTCCATATCCCTGCACCGAAGCGTCCAAGAACGGAACCCCGTGAAATGCATTGGAGTCTGTTGTCGCCCGTTGAGCAATGCCTGCTTGGATGGCTGTTCTTGAGCTTTCGGCTGCGTACTGAGCGTTGCCTCACATACGATGACATGGAACATGCACGCTTGAAGTGAACCTTGAGGATGCGTGCTGAGCCTCCTTGAACCTGAATGCACTGCAACAAACCGTAGGAAGCGATCATCGCGATACTTGCTACAGCATTCCGGACATGACGCGAACTGCTACGTCTTGTTCGGTAGGGAGCAGCGTCACGGATCTCTGGCAGGGATGATTCTCCTCCGAGGCCTTGCTCCGAGCGCACGATTTCGGTGTCGCTCCTGGATCGCAGACGAGTGCAGGTTTCGTACAAACATCGCCGCTGTTGTGGTGGAAAAGCGTTCCTGTAGCTAGGTGCGCTGCAAGTGTGTCGGATTAGAGTGGAACGCTCAATTACCCGATATGTTCCTGCTTTTCGATAGTCTCCGAACTTGTATAGCTGTGCGGCATGGGTATGCGAAGCACAGCAACAAGAGCTTACGAATGTATATGCGGATTTCAGGAATCTCCGAAGTCTCTAGGGAGTGGCTCGTTCGACACTGTACCGCTGGACTTTGCTGCGTCATCGTCATCAAGATGATTCGCGACGCCTTCGAACACGGGTTGGTCATTGCACCGATACTATTATCCACTGCATACGCACGAGTCTGGAATCTTCTCGTTCCCTTACAGGTAGCATGCTCAAACCTCGCATGCTTCATTTTTCGGTCTTTCGGTCGCAAGTTGTGGGCGAAGCGACGCAGACCGCTGGACTGACGAGGAAAAATGCCCAACGTCGTCTCTTGAGGACTTGCTCGCGAACCCATTAGGAAAGTTCCCAGAACTTCTACCATTCAATGATGGATTCCGTTCGAAAGACGTTTCCACCACCGATCGCTCCGGCTATCAGCGAAACGGCATTCGACGGCAGCATGATATATTTCTCATACGATATGCTGCTCGACGCTCACGTCTCTGCTCTTTACACGGAATAGAGTCCTGGACTCGGATGGCAGGCATCGCAGCGATCGCCGACGCTGCCTGGCAACGTGTCACGGTATGCTGGGAAGCTTAGGTGTGCACATTTCGTATCTTACGATCAGGTTGTCTTGCATCCTCTGTTCCATGCATCTGCTGTATCATCGCATGAACGTTTTCTCAAATAATTCCGGAGAAATGCGGCTAAGTAGTAGCCTTGCGCCCAGAACTCCTATGTATACTTGCTTTACGTGGTGCGTTAGAGCTAGAAAAGCCAGACGAGCTTTGTACGAGTGAGCAGCCTGGCGATTCTTCATGGTGTCACGTGCCTCAATTTTTCGTAGATTCTCCTGGCAGATGTGTGATAGAACGAATTTCGTGGCAACTGCTTGCGGCAAATCCTTCCGCCCCAACAGGCTTTTCTTCATGTACGTTGCCGTCCCTTTTCGAAAGCATATTGCACTTCGTTGTCTGTTGGAATCTTTCCATTCTCGTTTTCTTGGTAGCGTGGCATAAGTTTGGTCGCTACACGCTACAGACAATTTTTTCTTGAGATTCAGAAGCATGGGGTGGACGGTGGCTCGGAAGCTCGCATTCTCGATGAATGTATCTACTGCTCATCAGGGACCTTGTATTCAACTGCTCCGTCCCGAGCACGCCCATAGACCGAAGCGAGCGTCTTTGATCTGTCCAGCGCACTAGCAGAGAAGCACGACCGCAGTTCGGAGCTGGTTACGGTAGGCAGCGAGACGTCAGTGGAGGATATGGCACAGAAATTTGGTGCCGTGGGGATGGAAACGACTCTATTCTTGAACTTACAGGGTAAAAAATGGTTTTTGACGACCAAATATACAACTTCGACGCGATTGAACGAGCGAAAATAGACTGTCACGACGAGTAGCACAACGTCAATAATCTCAGTCGCGTACGACTTGACTTGTGTTCCATGATGGACAGCGGCGTTTCCTACGAGCAGTATTCAGGAAAGCACGAAAAAGAAACCAAGGTATGCTGCGGTGACGGATGAAATGTTGAACGATCCTGTGCGTTTGCCGGTAAGTAGGCGATTAATCGACAGCATCGCCGCTAGCGCTGATGTTGTGGTCATCCTCGCATGTTTCTTCTGTAAGAACAGCGGTTTGCCCCTTTGGGCACATATATACAGGGCGAGCATGTTGACCGAATCAAGTCTCATACAATGAGACGAACTTTTGCCCCAACTATCATACGCTTTCGTGCTTCACTTCGATTCGGTAGTGTGTTGCGCAATGCGCGACAGTCTGCCATACAAGCATGCTTGTTCAGTTGTCCATCCGCGTCTCTTCATCACTGTTCGTAAGAGTGGCACGCGCCCAACACATCCTTTAGCTTATTCGGCAGTATTTCTTAGAGGACATGTGGCATGGAAGTGATCAGCGAGGAGCCAGTCGTAGGTGCAGACAGCATTTGTCATGTTGTGTTTCGGGAGCGCGACGTTCAGAATACCGACCTCGAGAATGACAGTCCATCTAACTGTGGACTGTAGAAAACCTGAAGTGGTCAAGTAGACCGTTGTTCGCGGGCTAGCGCTTCAAGCATAAATCCATTCTGCAACCTTTCTCCTATCTACACGATATACTCCAGTCGTCCAATACCTGTGAGAAAAAATGAATGCAAGCAATGGTACAGTTCGTCCCGAGATTGCTGTTCAGATCACCGCAGGTCTGCGTTCCGCAAAAGGAAATGATGCCACCGAAGCCGGCCCGCAGGGAAGAATCATGCAACCTCATGCGAAACGCAACAAATATAGTCGGGCTCGGAGCATTCACGACATGCATTAGCGTTTCTTTCAGAGGCCGGTGGCATGTAACGAAACAAGTTCGTACCGACCGGCCAGACGCCGCACGACAGAGGCGCTGCTTTCAACCAGACGCTTCTACGATTCGGTGAATTCCATTTCCACGAAAATCGCATCATGATCGGACAATTGTCGAAACGGCGCTGTATCCCAGGAATCCAGGATAAACGGCTCGACTCGGGCCGCCAGCACGCGACAGCTCACTCTCGGCCCTGGGTCACACAGAATATAATCAAGTCGTTTCGGCTGTTTCCGCGCTTTTGCTGGTATCAGAAGAGGCTCTCGAGGTGTTCCCTCTGCGGTAACCGCATCTACAGTCACAGGATGGCGATGATCATTGGCCTCTTTTACCAGGTCGCGAAATCGAAAAACACGTACCGGTTTCGCTGACGCATCGGCATCGCCATTCAGGATGGACATCATCTCGGTGTACTCCGACGAGTCTCGATCCGCTAGATCACCATCCATGCCGTTCAGGTTCAAATCACCGCAGATGATCGCGGGTAATATGCCTTCTCCGGCCTCCTCCTGAACGAACCTTGCGAGTTGTTGGAGTTGTTTCCGCCGAATCACACGGATGCCTGGATATGATGCGTTTCCTGCTTGTGCGTGCGTCGCGAATAGTGCTACTTTTCCGGGATGCACTGCCCCGGTACTAGGTTCATGAAACGGCATTCGAAGATGGACACAAAGCACGCCCTTTGCTACCAGACAATCGATATAATGCCAGTGGGCCGAGCGATACGTCGTGAACGCGACTCGTTCCACTGGCAGCCGGCTGAGGACAGTCACGCCTCCGTCCAGTATTCGCGGAGGCCAGTGCCAGCCTCGTGGTGGATACGGCAGGGCTGCGCTGTACCGGTAGCCGCCGAGACGACACGCCGCCCAGACGAACGCTCGCTGTCGAGGCGAACCAAAGCGGAAGAGCTCCTGCAGCGCAACGACATCCACGTCGAGGCGAACAAGCTGCGCAAGCAAGCGGGCGAGACGCTCATCCTTGAAATCGTTACCTCGAGCCGATATGCCGGGGGGTCGCACGAAAACGTTGTAGCTGAGGAGCCGCAGGCTCTGGCGGCGCAGGTGCGTTGCTCCCAGCTTGCCCTCGGCGTTGGCTCGAATCAAGTATGCACGAGCAGCGTCCTCATAGTACCGCTGTAACCGCCAAAACCAGATCCAGTAGAGCAAAGAGCACGCGACGATAGCGAAACCCAGCAGAGCCAGAGCGAAGGCAACACCTTTGCTACTTTCGTCGAACGCCTTCAAAGGCAGCGTGTCCCGCACCACACTGTAAAGGTGGACCATCACGTATACGCTCGTATCCAGCAACGTTGCGCCTCTTCCGAGTGCGTAGACGTTCAAACGCTGTCTCTAGTAGACCAGTAGAGTGCTTATGTTTTATCGCAGAAAGCGAAGAGCCTGCGCCTCTACCAGCGCCTTTTATAATATGCGTTCTTGAAGGCGCTCTGCAATTCGGTACCAGACCACATGTGCAGGCCCCTGCACTCGGATGGAGACGGTTGCGGATCAAGTGCACTGCACGCGAGTACGAAGCCTGTATGCAACGCCTACGGGACGCTCCAGATCGAATGACTGGCCAAGTGCCTATCGATCGACAGTGCATCCGCAACAGGTGGATTCATCGAGCCGACGCCCACCAGGGTACGGCAAAGTCACTCTCTATCCGTACAACGATCATATTGACGCAACGGGCGTCGTTTCGGGCGCTCACGACAGGCTCTGCAGCCTGTGAATCGCATGAACGGACCATTATCTCCGAAGGGAAGTCTGGGCTGGGCCTCGTGGAACTCGGAGAATCCGATGCGGCATGATGGATGCTCGCCAGGATAGCGAGTTCCGTCGCGCTTCCGAGGCTCCCTGGACCGTCTGAACAACGCTACATCCCAAGAAACCGAATGGATTTGCGATGTGCTTATCGGTGCGACTCGAGATTTCATGCAACTGTCCTTTACACCGTGGCAAATACAGGTCCTATAGAGAGAGAGACTCAATTTGCATCTGCAAAGTCGTCATCCAGCTCATGCAGTTGGCCCACGACGAAGCCGCTCATACGTCGTGTGTTTCTAGCTCATGCTTTCGGCTTCGTGTGTCGCATCATGAAATCAACTGCAAGTTGAAGGGCTTCCTGAGCCTCCTTCACAACCTGCGGATCATTCCGGTCTCCACGGTTCACCCAGCCGTGCTGCATGCTCGGGAAAGTCTTCACCCCGCAGCTAGCTCCGAAAGGCTTCGCTCGAAGCTTCTTGATCGCGTCCCCTTCCTCCTTCATATAATCTGGCTCGCCTGCAGAGGGAAGCAGAAGCTGCGGGCAAGTTGCCCGATCGATCAATTGCAGCGGATCCCGCTGAAAGACGCCCTCAATCTGGACACTGGGATGGAACGAGACACCGCAGGCAAACGGCCCACCGGGAAGCTTCGTATCGCCTGCCAGGTGGAATAACATGAACGCGCCCCAGCAAAACCCTGCGAGCGCGATCTGGTCGTTGCTCTTGAACCCAAGCTTATCGTGGAGATAAGGCAAGATAACCTCGACCACATCCTTACGCAAAGCCGGCTCGTAGTCGAACTGCTTCGCCCAGCCAGGGAGCTCGTCGAATAGCTTGCTCATATCGCTGACTTGCAGCGGTTTCCCCCGAAATACGTCCGGGAAGACCACAGTGAAACCCTTGTCCGCAATTGCATCACAAATTTCCTTTGAATGTCCACTTTCAATCCCGAATACATCGTTCAGTGCGATAACCGCTCGCGGCCCGTTGCCAACGACGTACGCCTTCAGGCCTTTCCCGATATCCTCTAGCTTACCCTTTGGTTTGTAGTCGACCTTGAGCGCGGGCCAGCTATCAGGCGGACAGCAAGTATCCTGTGGTGACATGTTTATTTTTTTCGCACTAGATTTATCGCAAACACGAACAAACCCAGACGCCTGGAAGGTGAATAAACAGTCGAAACGTTTTGCTATGGTGCTCTCCGGTCAGGTACCGGGCATCCTCGAATCGAAAGCACGCGATGCATCGCGACTGTCGAGACGCTGCCGCGATTGCGCACCGATCGAAAGTCGAACGACGCCAGCGGTGTCCAGTAGTGGCAGCAACCGCGCCCTGGACAAGAAGTCTCCAATTGACGTGCAGAGGCCTCCCCGTCGTTTTGGACCGGCCACCTACTACTGGTTTCAACTTCTTCTCATATAGTTCCACTTTGAGAGGGTGTCCCACAAAACTCTCTCGTGTCTACTCTGGAGGTCTTTTCTCCAGCACCGCACATTTCCTGATATTGATAGCGGCATGTAAGTCACGATGCACAAACTCCATACGTTTCGTGCCGTTGGGAGTTGTACTCACCAGTGCGAGTAGTCCACGAACTTTCGCCCTCCTTTACATTTGCTCCTCCGTCAGCGCACCGTACTTTGGTATTTCCTCAGTGCTCCTCTGGCACTTTTCCATTTCGACCCTCTGAAGTGTACAATCCAGCTCGTGGTGTGTATGGGACGTTCGGAACTCATCTACAGGTAATGTAACAAAACGCCGTGCACACTCCTTGTACACCCTCGTCTTTGGAGCTGGAGTAGTCCCTTTTTGGGTCTTCCAGCGCCCTGCTCCGTATGCTACTACGGGCCTCTGACTTTCATCCTCCTTGAGGGCACTCAACTCATTGAAAAAATTCGCGAACGCCCGCTGCTTCCCACCGTATAGATTCATTCGCAAACGAGCCCACCGGGGCTTGGTATACTCCTCCCATAGCGCATCCCAATGCGCAATGCGAACTTCCATGAATTTCCGAAAAGCTTCAAAGTCCGCTCCTCGGCTCGTCACCTCGCTCAAAGCTTCCAGGTGATCCTTCATTCCTGAATTCCATGCAGCAATTCTCTTCCTCGCATTCATTATACCGGATTCTCGATAGTATCTCGCTCTCGAGAACCTCAAAAGACGCATGTCTTTCTGACGCAAGTTGCCGTCAGTACCATCTTCTGCACGCTTCGGTGCTGCAATGGTTATGATATTCGTATTCCCAGGGTCCGCGCAAACAACAAAGTCGTTGTCCTGCACCTCCTGCGTCACAGGATCCGCCTGTTCCTTTTCTTCATCCTTCGTGATGGGCGCAGCCGAGGGCGGAACTGGACGATCTTTCTTCAACCGCCGATCGTGTACACACATGGCTACTCCATCGGTTTCGATCATCCTAGTGAACAACTTTTGCCTGCTGACTTTGATACGTTTGAAATCGAAGATACTCATCTAGTACGTCTCCCGATTTTCGCCGGTGAAGTCCTCCCTGCTAACATTGAACACCGGACTGATGTCCCTCATTATGCCATGAAGGACTGTGGAGTCGATAATCACGAAATGTGACTGGATATTGCATAACGGAACGACGCTGAGGCACTTACTCATTAGGAAAGCCTTCCGTCTCTCCCACTCTTCATTTGTCTCTACATTCAGCTTCATTTCCGCCTTGCGTTCGAGCTCTCGATCCAGAAACACGAAATAGCGCAGGACGAGGCGATAGTATTTTTCCTTATCTTTTTTCAACTCTGATATCTTGTCTGTTGGATTTGCCAACCCCAGTACCGCACGGTGCTCTTGTATAACCGCGCGGATGACGGAATCCTCATTCGTGCTCCTGCGTGACGCCTTCTTGTCGACGAATTCGACCTCATCTTCATACTATCGATCGTTCTTGATGCCATTGATAATCGCCCATTTTCCGTTGCGAGAGAGGCCCGGGTAGAGTGCAACTACGGCGCGTATCATAAAACGTTCGAGGTTCTCTGTCAAATGGTTCTTCAGGTTCGTAATGTACTTCATTACCCCGTATGTGTAAATATTTCCGTCACCGCTGTATCGATTACTCTCGAAGCAGAATTCCGCGAAGTTTTCGTGGTGGGCATGCACTAGCTCATTTTTCCTTCCGCGCTTCCTCTGTGCCATGCATCACGTGACGAATAAAGGCCTTGTCGAAGAACTCGCCTGGAATCTCGACCGTTTCCATGTCCGTCACGTCGCGATACATCTCCCTCGCCAAATGCATCAGTCCTGACGACGCCTTGACAATACTCTTGGAGTACGAGTCGACACGTATTTCGATAACGTCTCGCAACTTTTCCCTGTACGGATCCTTGATATGTCCAAGAAGAAAGGTTTTCACCACCATCTCGTCGTAAAGTCGTCTTTCTTGTCGCCTTCGACGTTGGGTCCCCGTTTCGGTTCTTCTTCTCTTTCTTTTCTTCTGGACTCGGTACTGTTTTTTGTTTTTTTCTGGCAGCCGGCGACCCTGGGCCTCCAGGATCGTCGACTTGCGTTTTCATAACTTTCCTTTTTTAGTTTTTTTGGAAAACAACGCTCTGTGAACGCTTCTGTTATATACTGCAAAAAAACACTTGACTAGACTTGTATGAAGTTTGAAACAAAAACGAACTGAAAAACTGTACTTGGCTATGAAGTTAACGAAAATACAACTTTTACATTAGATCTACATACTAGAGATCAGGATCGCGTTCCCCTTCAACGGCGACATACGCGTAGCGTCTCATGCCTGCCGGATCTCCGAGGTGCGCTCACCGAGCGTGATGCAAACTAGTAACAAATTATTTATTAAAGAACAACTATCTTAAAAGCCCCATACAGTATGCGCGCCTAAGAAGTCCGGTTTTTGCGGAGAAACTCTGAAAGTGGGTTAACGCGGGGTGCTCGGGCGACGAGGAAGGAAGCCCTCTCCAGGGACCTTGACCGCATCGAACGGATGGCGGCGGCAATAGCAGCAGAGAATGATGACGAGAGTTCTGGGTAGTCATCCGCCACTCCCGAAACAACGCTGCAGGTTCGGGCGCAAATCCTGGATCCATCCTCGAACTCGGGCTCAGTTTTACCTCCTACCTTGGGTAGCTACCTCAACTTTGGAAACAATTTCGGCGGCTACTTTTGAAGACGGCTGGCAGCATGTTCGCTGTCGAAAGTGGAGTAAGCGACTTGCCCGCCTGTGTATTTGGGGAGCGGATACGAAGCCGCTGAAAGGGTGGTTCATAGAGTATCCCCTGTGGTTGCGGGTAGCTTCACACGTCCGGCAAGATAAAGGTCGCATTTGAATCGACCTTGACTAATGTACATCTGATTCTACGCTAGCGCTGCAGCAGACACTCAGTGAACGACTGGAATGCAGGAGGCGCTGGTGGCATGTGCGTTCACACACCCCGTGGAGGGTGCATCTAAATCGACAACGTATCTCTGGAGTACCGCAGCGCTATTCTTATTCCCTTACGCGCTACGACTCGATAGGTTTCGCATCATGGAATATTTGTGGGATAGCCTCGATACTAGACGACGAGATATCGAATTACCAGTACAGTAATGAAAAACTGATACAAGTCGAGGAATCTATATTAGCGAAAAAGGCCCAACGGGATACAGAAGAAAAGACACAATGGCATCATGATCCACATGCCAGAAGAGTAACCAGAGAAAGTAGCTCAGGAAAGAGCCCGAAGAAGAAGAAGAAAAAATAACAGAAGAATAGAAAGAAGAACTCCCAAACGAGCCCATCACAAGTCATCCCCCGAAAGGGCACCCCCAGCGGGAACTCAAGAAAGCTGCCACCAAACCCAGTCACCTACTCACAGCGCTGTAGATCCGAAAAGCCGTGCATACAAATCTTTAAACCCATTGGGAAGCAATTTTGTAGATGGGAATCAGAAGATTGCCGGAGAGCTGGGACTGCTTGCACCAGAACACAACAGTTGCAAACCTCAGTACCTGAAACGACGTACCAAAACTCGAATTGATGAATGCCACCGACTTAACAAGATCGTCAACCGCACCGCCATACGCGCAAACGCCGGAGACATGGAAGCGAAGGCAGCGCTACCGGCGCCACAGGCGCAACATGAAGAAGCTATCAAAAGAAAGAAGAAACTTTCCAGAGAAGACAAACGAGAGGATCGAAACCGCAGAATCGCCTCCCTGGCGAAATCTATGCTAGAGAGCACCAACGAAGATGAGACATGGCGCTATATTCGATCGAGACTTGACCCACCAAAAAAGTGCCTGGGACTCACACCAATCGTTTATGAGGAAGCGCTGAGGACGGAGCGTGCCTCAGTGAATGAGGCCTGGACGGACCACGGGCCAGAGCTGCATGAAGACGCAACTGGGCACTGCCAAAACCGAATCTATCGGCACCAATATGCTGCGGAACTACGGCGCCTCGAACCGGTACCGGAATGGAACGACCCAATCTTCTGGCCTGAATCTGTTCGGACCCTGCTATGCTCAAGCAACCGCAAAACACCTGGCATCGACGGTATCCCTGCGGAGTGGATGAGACTGGCGACCCCAAAAGACGGGACAACAGGGACAATATCGATACCAGATGAACCTGACACAATCTTAAGCAAACGCCTTCTGGAGCTCATCCAACGCATGTTCGAAGAGGCGTACATCCCGGATGTACCGAGGACTGTCGAGGTCGTACCGATCCTAAAAAAGGACTCCCAAACCCACAGACACAGACGTGAGCAACTACCGGACTATGCGCCTCATCCCGTCAATCATGAAGCTACTTTGCGCCAGCCTCACGAACTGGATCCAGAGGGGCCTCGAGGAACGCAAGTTCTTCGCCCCAGAACAGGATGGATTCCGGAGCCGCGAGGAGTGCATGAGCCATGCCCTGACCCTAACTGAAGTGGTGCAACGTCGCTCCATTAGCGGCCAACAACCAACTTACGTATGCTTCATCGACTTTCAAAAGGCCTTTGATACGGTCCCGCACGAGGCTCCATTTCTCAAGATGGAACGCGGCGGAGTCTCCGAAAAGTGCTTGGCGTTCTTCCGTGCGCTCTATGCAGACTCATGGATGCGCATCCGACTGGGCGACGGCTCAAGAACCCCTTCGATAAGAATGCGCCGTGGACTGCGACAGGGCGACCGCGCATCCTCGCTCCTTTTCAACATCTTCATCAACGATCTGCTGAACAACTGCAGACAATACGGGCTTGAGGTGCCGCGGATAAACTGTGGAGATGCCCGATGAGGAGCCCTCACATAGAAACCGCCTCGCAGGCCGTCTAGTTGCGGACGATGTCGTGCTGTTGGCACCCGCCCCGGAAACGCTTGCGGCTAGCATGGAACAAGTCAGCGCCTGGGCCGATTGCTGGGAGATGAGCATTGCAGCATCGAAGTGCGGCGTCGCGGTCATCCATGGAGACTCGCAGAGCATTCGCAATCGCTCGTCGCGGTTGCAGAATCAGGAAGTTCCGATCGTGGAAAAATATCGCTACCTGGAGGGTCTGTCGCACGCCGACGCTCGACGAAAAGGCACACATCGACGAGATGATCGCCAAGATGCACAGACGTACAGCGATCGCACGCCCAGTCCTATCCGACCCCTCTATCCGCTTAGCAATCCGTACCAGCGCACCAAGGATGTGTATCATCCAGCCTGCGACCTGTGGTGCTGAATGGTGCGGCATGAAGCACACAAACGCCTCACGTCTGCAGACAGCCGCCAACAGGGCAATGCGACTCGTTGTTGTTGGATGCTCAATGCAAAGCAGAGCGACCAACCTGCCTGGCACTCGGACTTGAACTCGAAATACCCTCGATAGAGGCGATAGCAGCAGGCTGCCAGGCACGTGTGTGGGCCAAAAGGGCCCACCATGCGCACCTCTTTGAGTCGGAGTTTCATGCAGACCCCAACGCGCCGCAAGAACACTTGGATGAAATCGACGCAGATTTGGCTGAAGCGCCTCTTAGGAGACAACACGCTCCAGTCGTTCCCCAGGAATGTACAAGGCTCCCGCCGCCTCAAGCGAACCGTCCAAACAACAATATGGGAACGTAGACACGGAACCAGTCGGGCCCGTAACGCCAGCTTGACTCTATATCGGAACTACAACCTAGCATACACACGCAAGTACTGGTGGGAGGCGCTGGAGTTCCCGGGACTTGCTCGAGGTACCCAGTGGCTCGCGAAAATCCGCGTTGGTGGCTTCTGGCGACCATCACCGGCTCTAAGCCGTATAGGAACACTGGAATCGCACTGGGAATCACACTGTCCCTGCTGTGGAGACGAGACCCCCGAGACGCTGACATATTTAGGCTTACAGTGCCCGCGCTGGAAACAGCCGCGCAGCGAGCTCCTTGAAGGACAGCAGCAGCTTGGCATCACCGTGATAGTCCAAGGCCGGACACTCACTCTGAGTGTAGCACTGGCAACTGGTGGTCCGCTAACCGAGCCTCAGCGCTCATTAGTGGCGAACAAACTCACATGCTACCTTCTAGGCGTAAGGTCCAACGAATCGGATGCGCACACGGGCTCAGTGCGCTCTCTGCGCCTACCCACTATGGTGGGTGTCAAGCACAAACCCGCATTGCCGACCGACAACAACGCATTCCATGCAAGATCACGAAGGAGAGAGGCGGCTCCCAGGATTTATCCTAACAACCAAGTTTCTCCAGCGTGTCGGGCAGCGAAGGCAAGCCTGCATCCGCAGACTGTCCGAGCACAGACAGACAATGAGACCCGATTCTACGCCGGGTGAAGCACACCTCGAGCCGACGTCCTCTGTGTGGCACTGCAACGCCGTTCTAGCTCGATGAACTATCTGCTCTAGCATGTACGGTGCAAAGGCGAATACGGAACTGCAGGTACTAGGCACACTCGATAGGACGTATGAAACGACCAGAATATCCTGGAATCAGTAAAGGGTATGTAACTTGGAGGGAGGGGGTTTTATAGATGCCTTATCGCGCACTGAAAAAATAACACAAAAAAGTAAGAAAAGAACAATGCGCTCAATCGGAGAACGCTGGCCTAAGTAAACATCTCGTAATGAAAAACAATCGGCGTATCGCGCTGGCGGCGGCGTCAGGCGCGCGACGCTTCCGCAGCCGCCGTACAGCGCGATACGCCGAGCGCACAATCCCGTCAGCGCCGTCGTCGGATCGTGCATGGATCATGCATCTGAACGCTGGAGACGGAGTTCTCCGTCCGTTCACCGTTGTCGACTTGGAGTGTAGCCACCGTGTGCTTTTGTCAGGCATTGTATCAGGCTAGTGCTTATGGCTGAGACTCTGGCTTGGTCGATTTTTCCTGTTTCCAACTCGTCAGTTCGGGCTGCTGTGGCACCTGAGAGTACTGGAGCAACGACTTGGCTGCGCAGGCACCGCCGCCACTGCTGGCATCGAAGTAAGAATTCGCACCGCCTGCCGGCCGCTTTATCACACGTTCGTGGGCAGTACCGGTCGCCGCGCTCGCGTGGTAAGCGTGACGATGACGGTTCCGGTAACGACTCGGACGGAGGTTTTTTGGGTAGAGGCGGCGATGCGTTCGCGAGTGGGCGCAGCGCGGGCCCCGGTGGAGACGGGATTTTCGGCTCACCCGTGGTGCTCGAAGAAGGCAACCGGCTCATGCGTGACCACGCAGAGCTACTGCGGCTTGGACAGAAATATAAGCTTTTTGACCGGGAAGGGAAGCTGGCGTATATCGCGCAGATGGAGTCCGTCTTCGATCGCTGGAAAGTATTTCTGAAACGTTTTGAACTCAGTACTGACTTTCAGGCACAGCTTTACCTGAAGCAGTTGGATGCATGGCTTGCGCAGTTTGGTATGCGAAGAGAGGATCTCCTTCGGAACCTGGAAATTTCGCTAGACATGATGCGACAAGACGCAGAGCGGGAGCTTTGAGGAAGGTTGTACACGGCTTAAATGCTGCGGGTTGCTGATAGGCTGCTCGCTTCCGACGCTGCGACACGAGCTGGGGAAGGCGTCTTGCACGACGATGACGACGACGACGACGATGATGATGAATGTGGCAGCGGCGACTGCGGCCGAGCAAGCAACGCACAGCTACGCGCGACTTGTACCAAGGAAACATGCATTTCGACGAGGACCTCGAGACTTCGTCGGAGGCGTTTGGCGTTATCGACGGTACTGAAAACCTCCTGTTCAAGCTCCTCAACCAACCTCCTGCGAGTTTCCGTGTAGATTGCACTGGGGCCCTTTTTCATTTCACACGCGAGTTGTTCGGTGAATTTTGTGGCGCGTTCAGGAACGTGCAGTAAGTGTTTTGTGCACAAGGGCTTTTCTTCTGGAACGGATCTTTTCGATCTTTGGCGCGCTTGTTGCTGCGTCTATACCGCTTCAACCTGTTTGAAGGAGCGCTATCCTATCGAGCACGTGACGAGAAGAAAGCGTCTTGTGCCGGCAGGCTCTCCCGTATCGAGCAGTTCACCAGCTCGATCAAACCAAAGTCTGTCTCTGTCTGTGTCAAGCACCCGAAAGCAGTTGCGCGTGTCCGATGAGACGCTGTCGTTGCTCTGTGCGTACAGACCTTGTCGCGCCGCAATGGCGAGCACAAACCTGAAACAAAGTGGAGGCGGCGGCGGCTACAGCACCTTGTCGCAAGATCCTGGATTTGAAATCCAGTTGCTGGGCATCACCGCGTCCAGCGTATGCGGAATCGATACGCTGCCGGTGCGCGATCCATTTGGACTCGACGGCGGGTGCGCGCGCGGCTGACGCCCATCCATCGAAGGGTGAAATGTCTCAATTCTCAGTTGGCCTCCGGGGCACTGCTCCGTGGCGATCGTCATATCCCAGCGCGCGACGTGGCAATTTCATCGCATGGCATCGCATGGCATCGCATGGCATCGCATGGCGCTTACAGGTCAGGTGTCGCTTTCGCGGACGTGGAGCCTCTGGGCGACACCGTTGGATGGCCCGCGCTCGCAGTTTGTGACTGTCACTAGTGTCGGGTCGAGAAAACCAGTCGTAGCTTATCCTTGGCAGCAGTTTTCTCGTCTCAGTTGGAGCATATCGCCTTGTCGACCTAGTGGCGTTCATGTTCACGAGTCATTGTGCGGGCCTTGGACACATCTACGATACGCGCCCTAGGCGTTAATCGACTCGAGTCTAGCGATGGACGTCGGATACGCGGGTGCACCTGCAGGCCACGCAGTTTGGCCCTGAGCGATGCCGCCAATCATTTGACTTGTTGGGGTGGTCAGGACAAGTTTGGGTCAGTACTGCGCTAGAGGATGTTCTTGGTTTTCATGAAAAATGCACAGACCGCACGCAATGGTGCTTCGTTCCGTCGCGGCAGTTCGAGTAACTGTATCTTTTACCTCTCGCTACTTGCAATGAGGCTTTGCTTGCACCAGTTGATTCTTAAAAACAATAGACTTATCAAGGGTTATGATGCACTGAGCCGTACCTCATCGCTCGCATGCCTGCGCTTTCAGCATCAAGCGGACGGACCCAGCGCTCGAACGACCGGAGGAACAGCTTTGTCTCCAGCAGACTCAGCTTCGTCGTGATTACGGGTATTGCTGTCATCATCATCTCAGGCTGCGGTGACAGCAGCTGCGCTAGTTCTCCTGCGTGCGCGCTGGAAAGAGGCGCAGCGCGAAGCCTCCCGCCCAATCGACGCATTCGACAGAAATCGCCGCAGGTACCTTCGCGATTTCATGCTCGATAACGCCGGGCCCTTGTGCCGAGCCCAGGGAAAAGCTCCCGTAGGGTCAAGAAAAAAGTCTCTTGGCATGCCCATCTCTCTGGGGGCATCACGCTGCAAGTCAACTCGCAGACGTTCATGGTAAACGTGGAAAACCTGGTGCTGAAAATCCGGGAACCACTGCAACACGACCGGCTCGGGATACCTGCCTGCATGCTTACATATCACTTTTACAAGCTATGTGTGCATTAGTGGCAGTAAACAGGCCCAACTGGAAATCTTTCGCCAGTATCCAAAATCTAGAACAACGCATTAACTCCGGTGCCTGAGCGGGGTGTCGTCGGAGTACCAGCAAGAAACGTGACCTCAAAGATGCAGGGTTTTCAGCGCGCCGCGGCGCACGCGTTCAAGGGTGTGCTTTGCGCTACGTGGTAGCCGTTCACGACGAAAACGGTAAATCCTTTTTTGAATTCTTAGACTGTTCCGGATCATGGTGTTACTTTTCGTTGCACCGCTTTCTACAAGTCGAACTGGAGCGTCTCCGGGTGGTCAGCATGCGCTCTGGTCGGAGAGACGACCCAAGCGAGGTTCGAGCGCTCTCCGAGCACGTGAGGAGGCAGCGGAAACCTCTGCCTCCGCTGCTGCGCCCTGTAAGCTCTGCGGTGGCAGCGGACGTCTTCAGGGTGGGCTCGCAGCCGTGCGCGGCTTTCACTGGTGGCCAATCAAAGCCTATCGGCCGTGTCCTGCTTGTGAAGCTGGTAGACTTCGTTACCGCCGCCGTGGCCAGTCCCTCCAGGACTTTGTAGGAAACGGGAGAGGCACAACCGAAACTGAGCCGCCTGCCTCGTGACTATTGTTGATGTCTTGGTTTGCAACGATACAGAAGGACGGCGCTGCAACGAAAGCAGGGTTCAGGTTCAGCGAGAACAGAGAGTACAGCCGGGCCCAGTGAAAGTTGACGTCGTTCCGAAGCAGGCGCTTACCTGGCCTCTTCCAGGGCGTCCTCTATTGCGTCGTCGAAAGAATCATGACGTTGCTCATTGAGCTCGTCGAGAATCTCCGCATCCAGGTAATGATCGTTCGTGCTAGAACCAGCGACACCCGGGATCCCGAACGCATTGCAGTTGCGGGATGACGACACGAAGGCTTCGTTGGGCCCGTGCGAGCGTCGAATCGAGGTACAATTGTGCTGGCGGCCCTGCGGACGCTCGCTCACATGCAAGTGCCGCTCCGGAGTTTCCACATAGGGCACCGATATCGTTCTAGACGAACGACAGGACTGCTCGCCTCGAGCACGGTTTGCAGTTTGCACAAAGGGTCGTAATTCTTGAGGACGAGCTGACTTGGCGAGGACCTTCTGAGTACTCTGCCACTCGCCGCAGACCTTACAACGAAAACGCCCATCACGGCGCGATGCTTGAATTTGAATCTGCTCGCACGTACTGCACTGGACTGCGAGAAAGGTTGACGAGCTTGGCATGAGGCACCAATAAATCGTGATGTTGAAAGCAGCCCTGCAATACAAGGGAACAGATACTTTGCCAACAGCTTGCTGGTGTCGTCCCAGTCAACGACTAGTACTGCAGCAGCAGCTGCTGCTGCTGCTACCGCTGCCAAAACCGAAGGCTATCAACTCAAGAACCCGCCTGACTTGTCACCGGAAACGCCTGGCGCGCAAGCCGCAACCTGTGGGTACACGTTTAGAGCCACGTTCTCTGGAAAGCAGTTGCACAGCGGGACCGTCAAACCAATATTCCGGCGTTACCGCAACTCAGGTTCAGGATCGAGGCTGCGGCTCCATTCAACGCCTCCTATAAAACCGAACTGCCTATCGTGCAGCGCGGATACCCCGAACCCGAACGCTGGGAAATGCAGTCGCAAGAAAACGCAGGCGCTCATACGAACGTTGATCGCTCGACGCCGCGGCTGGCAGTTGAAAATCCGATGCGCGGCCGCCTCGCGCATCTACAAAGCGGGAAACGCCTGTCGAGTCGCGCGTGCACGCACGCAGCCGCATCGCTTTCGGATCCATGGCGCCTGCGCGGCACCGGGTGTGCCGTGACCTACACCTGCGTCCCAAGAACATGGATCATACCAGAGCTCGAACTATTTCTGCCTTGGTAGTTTTCCGAAGTTGTTTTTGATATACAGCCTTGACATTTGACGTGAATCAATAAGGGCTTACGTATTCATAGCTGGTCACGGGAGTCTGGGTGGCCACTTCGGAGTGGTTCGTTCCTCTCGTTGAAGCTGGAAAGCGATAGGTCATCGGAAGCAAGTTGACTAACGACGCCATCGAACAATGGTTCTTAAAATAACAGATTTCAGAATCCAATGCATAGGTATGCGCCTGCAATTTTCTCGATGCCTCAGGCACAGCATGCTCGAAAAACGCATTCGACGATTTTTCGATCTTTCTGCTCCAAAGCAACTCGTAGGCACCGCTATTCGCGCAGGTGCATTGGCGAGACAAACCACACGACGTTATCTTTCGACGAATTGTTTAGAAGCTCATGCCGAAACTGCACTGAACAGCTCACGCAAAATAATCGATCCCGTTTGAAACGCAGATCCTTTTATTTTTGTGGGCGCCAAAGAAACAGAATTCGACACCAGCAAGATACGTCTTCCGGGTTCTGCTCCCAAAAACTCCAGTCTCTTCTGCATCCATAAAAAACGGTCTTGGAGTCGGACTTGAGCCACCTCGGCTACTGGTTCCCATCGAGAATGCGTAACAGTCTAGCACGGAAGCAGCGTCGACGGATCCGAATCTCTCGACTTGATCTCCAGCCTGGGCACTCCTTCCGGTACATGTTTCATCGTGAAAAATTATCGAATTCCACATATTCCCCATCAAATTGAACGCCGTGCGCTTGTGTGTGCTGCGGACAGGCTACTCGCCGAAGCGATCAACCGGACCAAGACCCTCGTTGTAGAGTTTGGCAACGGAAGCGGACACGGAGAATACGGCATCGAGGGGAACCCCCTTTACCCCGAAACCGCATGAACGGTGCGATGAAGCAAGCGTTCACTTGTCTCAGGGCGGCGCCAGACGGAAGATGCATGGTCGGCACACGAGAATACCTGACTAGATTCAGGTGCCATCGCTGTGAAGGGCTCGCCAATGCTGTCCGGAAAGAAATTGAAATTGGAGCGAGGCTTAGACCGCGACTTCTGCCAGTGCACGACATGCGTCGTCAAAGGCCGGAAACTGCGAAATCGGGACTTTTATACTCTTATCAAGATCCTTCTACCGCTGACCACGGGACCTGAGGGGAAAGAGATTCTGGTGTATTTCAAGCGGTAAATAAGCGAGAGGAACAGGAAGCAATCGTAGAAAAGGCGCGTGAGGACTGTCGTTCGTGACTCTGGGAAGTCACCATCATTTTAGAGTATTCGCCCGGGTTCGCCAGGTAAACCCGTTCAATTCCATGCTGATACGAAAGGATTTCGACGGAGCGCCTTGGCAACGCATGGCCAATGCTGGGCAGTAATACACAGAAAAGTGATTTCTGGACTACATGTATCACCGAGCCATTCTCGATTTTCCTTCGTTTCTCTAGCAGGCGTTCAACAAACCCAACGTAGACGAGAGCTTCGATAAAGGTCACAGAAAAACTTTATGATACCACAGCTGCCTTGCGGAAATCGTCTTACTTGTCCAAAACGGATATGCGACGGTCAGCTGGCAAGTGATTTACGCTTCTCGTACGCCGAATCGTGAACGCCGCGCAACCAAATCCGAATGTACTCGACGCAGCCGAAAAATTTTTCTTCTTGTCAATCCATTCCACTCCACGCCTTGTCTACAAAATATTACCAAATATGCGACAGGATCTGAAGATTGCGTACCGTTGATACGACCGTTAATGAAGAGAAACGGAGGAACAAACAAAAAGCACGCTTCTAACAGAGAAAATCCCGCACTGAACAACACACTGTCGATTTCGCACTGAAGTGCACATCCTTCTTGCAGGACGACAGCGCATTCGTCCTACTCGATGATACATGCTCCGGATGAAACGGTCGGAGCGCATATGGGCACTCGCGGAGCTGGGCGCCCGTTGTGTGTATGAGCGAACTCGAAAAGGACGACGACATCGTCCTCTGTTCGAGCTGCACTGGATTCAAGTAACGGACTCAGTTTCGCTCGTAGAGAGCGCTCGTACAGCAGCACAAACCACTTTGACGAATCATTGAGAACTTTTCACGTGAAATCTGGAGACATCCTTCAACTGGACTATGTGGCACTCGACCAGTCCGATTGCGCTCGTGCGTTTGCTCATTCTCTAGGGATAGAGCTGCTTTTCATTCCTACATGCCCACCGTGATTCAACCGTATCGAAAGAGTGTTTTCTATCGTAAAACATACTGATCGTTCAACTGAGCGAATCGCTGAAGCTTTGAGCACTCTTTGACAGACCAGGGCACATTGCATCTCTCTTCAGAGGGTCCTTCTTGCTCCGCGAAGCTCCGCACCTGAGGGAATCAACAAATGCGTTCATTTTGAAGAAATAAAAAATCCAGTGGACGCCTATGGGCATCGAAGTTGAGGGTCCTGGAGGCCCGGTATCTCGGATTTCGACAAAAAATTCTCTCGTCGCCGACCATCCAGCGATAAATCGCGAGTGACGAAGAGGATGCAATCGAACAGTGGCTATCGTCTGGGAAAGGAATCTGCCCGACGAGCCGATAACGTGACTGCAGTCTCGCAAAGTGCACAGGCCGCAGCAATCATTGCATTGGTGAGTTCAACCAGCGTCAATAAAATCATGGAGTCTCTGAACCGAGACTTGAACGCCGCCATCGATATCAGACGATGTGCGATGCTGATGCCGAGACTCGCGGATCTGATGCGGTCCAGCCTTTTCGACCAGCTTCTCAGACTCAAATTGTACAAAAAGGAGCTGAAACGACAGCAATTGGCCTGTCAAAAGAGGCTGGGAGGCGTCTGTGCGCGGGTAAATAAGTACCTTACATGTTCGCGGATATTTTTGCGCTCCACTGTCATGCATATGCTGTTTATGAAATAACTGCCGCTCACTTCGTCACGCCCAATGAAAGAACGATACTTTTGACGCGCACGAGTTTGCGTTGCATCTCACGTCACGATTCCCATGTATTGGTTACAGACAGAACAAGATACGCTGCGCGGTACTTCATAGGCACCTCGCATGTCGCTGTGCCGCGAACGCATGCCGCATGACCTCTCATCACGCAATCATGCCCGTTGCGCTTATGCGAACTCTGGTCCGTGCAGAGATCACGTGTTTTTAAACGCACAACAGTTATGTTCGGATTTTGAAAAGCAACAAATTTATGATTCGTTGAATGCTGTGTACGAACGGTGTAGGGTAGTTAGGGATCATTCCCAATTCGTGTGAACAGCAGCATTCATGCCGCGTCATCACGTGGCAGTGCTAGCGCACCGCGACGGGATCGCCCCGACGCGGTCTCGGAAACATCGTACTTGCGCACCATCGCACCGCCAGTGAAATCACCAGCACCACCTAGACCTCTAGTTCCCAACACAATGCTTTCGATTCAGTTCGATTTGAAAAAGCCGGTAAACTCTGGTGACTAGAAACCAGGCCACCGCGCTCTGCGAACACCAGATCTCGCCGCGCATGCCTAGTTGTGTTTCGTGGTTCGTGAACATGGGGGATTTTTGACAAAGCGTGCTCCAGGTCGACTCGCGGGATGCGTCGCGAGCGCTTTTCCCTGATGAGCGATCCGCGTCTCGCAATCGCATACGATAAAGGCGTGCGCGGCTGCGATTCGAGTCTCCAGTATCGGGCACGACCAACGTAGACGAACGCACAATCCGTGTGCTCTCGCAGAAATTCTTGCAGGAATTTCCGAGGCGAAGCGAACATTCACGGTGTCGTGGTCACCAGCTTTGTTCTGGATGAAGCCGTTCGTGCACAACGCTTTGGCTCTGTAGAGGGTCGCGGCCGGCCAAGAGCCCTTGCCACGAAGCACAAGAGTCGGGTCCTGCTTCTCGAACAAAATCAAACACCCCTGAGTCCATAAAAGCGCACGATACTCCCTGCTCACACTATGCATCTTTCGACTTTTCCGATTCCTGTCGTCGCAACTCTGTTTCTGCGAGATCCATCAGCGCTTTTTTCCAAGGCAGGTCCCGCTCCAGCGATATCGAACGTCGCTCTCGAGTTGCCGGGTCGATGATCCACATGGGACGCTTGCCCGTGCCTTCACACCGGCGACATTGATGCCGGCCTTCTCCGTAACAAACAGTGCAGACTTCACGGTCTCGTTCGGGAAAATCTTCGGGCTCGGGCCCCACGACCACGTACCCTGCCCCGTAGCAATGCATGCAACGTATGTAGCCTTCTCCTAAACAAACCACGCAAGGATTGTCGGGCCGCATGTTTATATACCAGGACGGATGCACTACTGAGGCGTCAAACGGCCGGGTCGGTATCGACGGCACCGGCTCCCCGTACCCGTGCACACTGCCCGAGCTGTGACTAGAGCCATCGACCTTTGAGTTCGACTCCTCTGCTGTTCTCGAGTCTTCTGAGCCACCCTCAGCTCGCAGTGTCCCTGCACGTAGGCGCCGCCGAGTGCCGGCAAGGCGCGTCAGGAGCCCCGGTGGTCTGTGCTCGTCCACGCTCGTGACGTAACTGATGCAGAACGCCGACGTTTGCGAACAGGGCAACGTCAGGATGAACCCCAGCCTCGCTGAACTCGAGCATAACTTGCACTTGTGGGTATCCATAAACCCCAAAAGCACCTGTGGAACAAGACGGAAGCACGAGCTACAATAACCAGGAATTTATAGATCGATTACTCGCTACGCAATGAGGGGCCTTTCACCCACAGTGCATCGCTTTCGCAGGGACGATCGATCGCCGGCGCATCGCCCCGAGCCGCGCAGTCTCGCCTGCGCTGCTGCTGCTGCTGCTGCGGCTGCGGCAAATACGCATCCGTCGGCGGGGGAGGCGTGCTCATAGCTACCGCGGTCGCTAGCGCTGCTGCGAAGCGCAACTACAAGTAGCACGGGCAGCATTGGGTGTTTCTCTTGGGTTCATTGACCCTTTTTGTGAGGATTTTGTGCTGGCTGACGCATTTGTGTGTGTGTGTGTGGCGGCCTGCACATTAGAACTGGACGATTTTTGGCAGTTATAGCTCAGGAGAGGCTGGCTCTGGCGCCCTGCACACAACGCAACAGCGCGGTGCGAGAAGCGACGGGTGCTTGCCCTCCGCTAGCGGGCGAGCGTAGCCCCTGGGCGCGCACCGCAGCAGGTTCAAGTACACAGCGGGTGTTTCCGTCGGTTCTCTTACTGTTCGCTTGCGCGTAGCAGGAGTGTGCCTAGGAACTGGAAGATGAAGCTTCTCCGAACAACGTGCGGCTTTGCTTTCTTGGCGAAACCGCTGGGTGCGTCAGGAGTCGCGAGAGACGTGCGAAACTGCCCGCTTCGATATCAGCCGTGGGCGTTTGGGCGTTTATCGTTTTCGCGTTGCTGGTTGCACTTTCTGACGGGAAATTCGGGTGAGCGAAGTTTCCTCGCGCGGCGCTTCGAAGTCGCCACACATCCGGTCGGAGCGAGTCGCCCACAGCGAAAGCAACCACGCTCAGTGAAACTGCTCGCTTGTTCTGCGGCTTCTGAGACGCAAACCAGTCTCCGCACACATGTGTGCGGTGCGCTCCGCTCCGAGCACGTTGGATGCACCGTCACCGTCTGCGGCTGGGCGCATACCATACGAGACCGGGGTGGCGTCACTTTTCTGCTTTTGCGTGACCGACATGGCATCGTCCAGGTCACGATTGACGCTGCAAGCCCGGAAGCGCTTCGGACTCAGGTGAAAACGATCCGACGAGAGTCTGTGGTACGCGTTCGTGGAACGGTACGTGCTCGAGATCCCGCGAACGTCAACGCTTCGATGCCGACCGGCAGTGTCGAGATTGCAGCCCATGTCATCGAAGTCCTGAACAGGGCAGACCCTTTGCCCCTAGTTTTAGACATGGAACGCCCCGAGACAGGCAATACGACAACGGGCCGTCCGGGTTCTGGTCAGCTGGCGACCACGGGTGCCTCGGAGGAAACCCGACTGCGATATCGGTACCTGGATTTGCGCCGAGCGTCCCTGCAGTCTGCTCTGATCCGCCGTCACGAGGCCACCATGGCTGTGCGGCGTGTTCTCGATAGCCTCGGATTCGTCGAAATAGAGACACCGATACTGACGCGAGCTACTCCAGAGGGCGCGCGAGATTACCTCGTCCCTAGCCGCGTGCATCGTGGAAAATGGTATGCGTTGCCACAATCCCCGCAACTTTACAAACAGTTGCTCATGATTGGTGGTATGGATCGGTATTTTCAAGTTGCGCGCTGCTTTCGCGATGAAGACCTGCGGCAGGATCGTCAACCGGAGTTTACGCAAGTCGATTTGGAGATGAGTTTTGTGGGCGCAGCTGATGTGATGCATACTGTTGAGCGCGTTGCCGAAGCGCTTTTTTCTAATGTATTATCAGAGCAGGAGCTCAAGAACGATGAAGTGTTGGTTCGCAACACTGCACGACAAGGTTTGCGGTTCCCGGTGATGACGTATGATGACTGTATGGAGCGTTACGGAACCGATGCGCCAGATTTGCGTTTTGGTCTCGAGTTGCAGCCTATCTGGTCTGCGAATCAGGGAGAATCCAACACAGCGCAACACTGGCATTTCTTTGAGGCCCTCTGCGCTGTTGCGCCGTTTCGAGGCGCAGAAACCATTCGGGCTCTCGTGGTACCGGGAGCCGCGCCACACACCTCCAGAAAAGTCATCGACGATTATACTCAGTTTGTGAAACAACTGGGTTTATCTGGGTTACTCTGGGGCAAAATTGGATCATCGGACGGGCGGCCTACTATAAACAGCGGACCGCTCAACAAACTGGAGCCAACGGTTGCAGGGCAGCTTGTGGAGCAGCTGGGAGCGCGCCCTGACAGTCTCCTCCTGGTGGCGGCTGGCTCGCGACCCGTCGTTCTCGGCTCCTTGGGTCGACTTCGTGTCAAAATTGCCAAGGAAAGAGGATTCGTGGATGAAACAGATTATCGATTTTGCTGGGTAGTCGGCTTTCCGCTCTTCGCCTGGGACGATGAGTACAATCGACTGACTAGCGTGCATCATCCATTCACCTCGCCGCGGGAAGACCAGCGTGATCTGCTGTTGACGCTCGTTCAACGTATACGAGAAAAACCCGATTCATTGTCCAAAGACGCTACCCTGACGCAGGAACTTTTGAAGCTTCGAGCGGAGGCCTATGATCTGGTATGCAACGGGACGGAAATCGGAGGAGGCAGCATCCGCATTTATGATCCGGCGATTCAAAGCGCTGTTCTGAGCGTGTTAGCGATCAGCGATGAGGAGCAGCAGGCCAAGTTTGGGTTCTTGTTGCAGGCGCTCCGGTACGGAGCACCACCGCACGGTGGCTTCGCTTTCGGACTCGATCGATGTATTCTCATGACGTGCGCTCAGGCGAAGAGTTTGCGCGATGTGATTGCCTTTCCGAAAACAACGAGCGCCAGCGAATTGATGACCGCGGCACCGAGCGACGTCGACGAGAGACAGTTAGCGGACCTTGGCATATCACGGGTTGCGGCACATGAAGAACGAATCGACCAGATCGACGCGCCCAAGGTGCCGCAGGATTCGCAGGAGACGATGCCAGTCTAGCGTCAATGGAACCAGTGGCTGATTATCCCTCTACGAGCCTATAGGCCCGGTTTTATGTGAAACCACGCGTCAGAACGCTCAGTGCCTATGGAACAGCTGCTCAGCTACATCCAAGCGAACTCTTGGTGCCGTTCAGATCCCCGTTGCTGTCGAGGTTGCGCATGCGGAGCTTGCAGGCCGTTCCAGCTTGTCCTGCGGCGATACATTCCATCGTATGGTTGCATGGAGTGGTCAACAGGCGACCCTGGTCCCGCGAGCATGCATATTGGCGTCCAAGAAACTCGATTCATGTTCGAAATCGAATCCTCTCCGCTGGAATGCCGAGCAAGCGAATCCGAGCCCCGTCATTTGCGGATGAAGCGGGATAACGCCAGGTAGAGCACCGCTCAATGCGTTCCGCCCGCTGCAACGCCGGTCGATGCGTGCATGCGCGTACACGCATCGGACACGTATGCTCGATTGCAAGCGTGCGTGCGAAATGCGCGGGAAACCCGAGCACGCTTCTTGAGTTCAATGCCGGAGGATTTCGTTGTATAGGTGCCAGGAAGTAGAAGCTCATGATTCTTAACATGGGGCGGAGGTCGTCTCGCAGCTCCTCGAACGTTCGTATCCGATCACGCTTGGGAATGGTGTTTGCGCTGGTGTAAACAGAGTGTTTGGTTTCGATGTGTGGCGCCATGTCGCCGTCAATACCGTGATCAAATCTTTACAAAACTTGATCGACACGAGCGCAGGAACGCGAACTGATCGCCCAGGGCCATGATGAACACGGCATCGACAGGGGCATGTTCGAGTACAGAGTATGGTCAAGGCAGGAGACCTCGAATCTCTGTTGCCGTTCCAGACGACTGCCTCCGAAGGGCAAAGCGTGACCATCGCTCGTGCGAGCTGCAGTTGCTCGGTTGTTGTGCATGAAAAATGAGGTATAGGCGCAGCTGCAGTCGCGCCGATACCTTGGAGCAACGCACGTCAAGTCCATCGGATCTGCGAATACGGCGCCTTCTCACTTCTGAAACTGTAAAAGTTCTGTTCCGTACGAAACGCCAATCGAAACGGATGAAACACGGCGTCTCACATTGATAGGTCCCGTGCGTCGGATGCATCGATGCTGATGAACGGTTCCGCATCGTGTGGCCGACGTCCGTCGGTCCACCCATCCACTGCGCCCGCGAGATGCCACCGCCAGTTCGCATGCATGTCAGCGTCCAGCACAACACGATAACGCCCCGTGCATCTATGTATCTTTTCCAGTTCCCAAGAAACAGTCACGGTATTCCGTAAAGCTAAGTTTATCGGGAACCGGGCACGCCATTGAAGCCGAGGCCGCGGGCATGCTCATCCAAATCGCTGAGATCATTCGTTCAACACAACCAGTTTCCGCGGGGCATATTGCAAATCGAGCAGTATTCAAAGGTTTTGCATACGAAGAACCACGGATCGATCGGTGTGCTCGGTTGAGTGATCATTTCGTCAAGACGCAGCATTCGATAGCGTGGTCCAGGTTTCTGCGCTGTCGCACGCGTTCGTGTTACGGTTCCCGAGGGATCTCTTGGACAGATGGCCATTCGTGTGCGGGGCCGATGCCCGGCTCCCGCGAACAACACAAGAGACGTCGCGTCTTCGTACAGGCCAGTGAAGCGGTCGTTCTTTGCGGTACCGAGCCCTAACAGTCTCCGCCGCGTAAATCGCCGCCCCGACTGGAATGTGCCGCTTTCACTCTATATTGCACGTGAATGCCTCTGACACCACCGCAAGGCTGGAACGAACATGGAATATTGTTTGAAACGCAAGTCGCGAAACACGGAAATCTCATTCAGTAATCTTTGCAGTCTTGAAAGAAACTCTAAACTTTGCCACTAACGCTTCATCATAAAGGTTCATCCATTCGGTCCATACATTCTGAGCATATCAACTGTCGTATTGGACAATGCTACCATCATCAGCAGCAGAAGCAGCAGCAGCAGCAGCAGCAGCAGCTGGTTACCATCTCTCGCAGGAACTCGTCAAGTAAGACGCCTCTGCTCCGTAGCCCGATCACGCTGCCGCGTTTTCGAGCGCCTCTACGTAATCCTTTTTAAGTCGCATTCCGGTTGTATCAATACCCCGTTTCTCGGCCTCTGCCTTGAGATCCTTCAGCGTCAACGAATTCCAGTCGCTGTGCGCATAGTCAGAAGGCGCCTCACGACGCTCCGAGCCTCGCCCTTCGTTTCCATGCCGAGAGCGCTTGTACGAGCCGTTCACTTGAGCGCGCCCGTCATGGTCTTCGTCTGCACCGTAAGAGCTGCCTGGACTATCTCGCTGATAACCATCATCGCCGTCATCATCACTGTTACCATCGCCATGCGAAGCATCAGAACCTCCGTCGTGGTGTCCCGAGTCATATGCATCGCCCGCGAGACGTCGTTTTTGCCCTACAGACGAGCCCGCGTTGTCGTCATCGTAATCTCCGTAGCCTTCGTCATGCGAATGCTCACTGTAGTGCTCGTCTTCTTCAACGCCCTCGGAATGGAACGGTCGCTCCCTGCGATTCTCGTACGTCTGTTGCTCTTCATTTAGCTCATTGCCAAAGTCGTAACGATCGTCTTCGCGCCCTCTGCGGTTTCCAAAGCCTGCGCCACCCTCGGACACGTTTTGCGCTCTGTCAGAATCCCTGTCACGGCTGTACGGCTCTTGATAATGACCAGAGCCCCAATCGCGACGATCAGGCCTCGAGTTCTCACGGCGTCCTCTGCTGCCATACGCGTTTCCATCGGGCCCCGCAGCAGATGTTGTTGGGCAAAAGCGCGCAAGGTGGCCGCTCTCACCGCACTTGAAGCAGGAGCGCGTCTCCGCGCCGCGCCCAGTACTTGGATACCCGCGCGGGCCAGAGCTGCCAGGCCCGCGATCTCCCATGTTGCCGCGAACACCCCTCTCAGAGGGGCACTCACGCGACGTATGTCCAACGCCGCCACAGTTGTAGCAAACGCGAGCGCCACCGCTGCCGGCCCGACCGGGCCCGCCCTCTAGTGGACGCCTGCCTTCGGAGCCGTACCGAGCGGCTCCGCGGCCTGCACCGCCACCACCCAAACGCTCTTTCTCCTGACGTACAGGGCAGTCTCGCACGCGATGGTCCATAGATCCGCACTCGAAGCAGCCACCCGATGCGCCAGCGCCAGATGACGCCTCACCAGCGCGTTGCTCCGTCGAGGCATATCCCTTGCGAGAGCGTCTGCTCCATTCTACACGAAGCTGTAAACCGTTTAAATTTGAAAGCGGTCCACCGCTATTTATTTGGTTAAAAGCCTCCTCCGCGTCTTGCGGGCTTTCATAGTCGATGAACGCGTACGTCGGAAAGAGGTTGATCCGACAAACGCCGAACGAGCCAAACAGCTGGTTGAGGCTTTCTTCTGTACATCGCGGTTTAGGCCGCCACACAAAAGCGAGTTTGAGCTCATTGCACGTATCAGAACTCCCTCCTATACAGAGGAAGATTATCGAGCGAATCCGCTTCGATGAGGTGCCAGTGTCCCCGTAGGCGCGGGTATCCTACGGATGATTTAGCGTCGCAACGTGGTGCGCTGCAGCTGCGCCTGCGCTGGAATTGCGCCGCCGCCGCCGCCGCCGCCGCCGCCGCCGTCAGTGATCGTGAAGAATCTCCACACGCGCGCCAGCGATGGCATGCTCTAGATTGCCGCTGCGTTTGTGTGTGACGTGCTTTGCCTATCTGCCTGGGTCGTCATCGGGTACAGCGTAGGTTTGCGCTGGAGCTGCTGCGCGATGATTCCAGTCTCTTTTCTGTGCGCTATCGAACGTTACAAGTCAGTATAGATCGTAAAAGTTCTTCTCTGGAAACAAGGCGAACCGTGTAGGTCCCTGCAGAGGGCGTATCTGCCGACTCCGCTGACACAAATAAAGCTGAAAAAATGCGTGCAACTCACGCATGGCCGCTCAGGGGGCGCTCCAGTGACGTTGTGAGCGTCCGACCTCACAGCAAGGAGGAATGCATTGCTTTCATCTCGCAGGCGATGACGGTTATCCACGGATCCAGAGCGCTGTCAATGCTTTCAGTCTTCTGAGAGACGCAAATGGAACGCTCAGCTACTCGCTCAGTTCCTAGCAGTCGATCTTTCGGAATTTTTTTTTATAAATTTGGAGCCTCTACATGCCAACTGAAGCAATGAGTGCATAGGGATGCACGTGTCGGGTTCGGATGCTTGGTCGTCCGCTCGGAACGGTTCGTTCGACGCGCGCCCGATGGAATTCTGTACGTCATCCGCATCGAGGCGATTTTCGACGTCCTCGAACAAGATTTCATACGGTGACCAATACCAGTATCCGATTCACACGTACAAGCCTTCGCGTTACTCCTTTCCTCGCGTCTCGCGCGCTCAAATAACGCATTCTTCAAGTTACCCATGTTTGTAATTCACTGTAACTCGCGGGCGCAGCAATTCGAGCCCCTGGATTGGCGGGGCAAATAAAATTGACGTCGTCTCTTGACGAGATGTTCACAAACCCATGCCGCAACCACACTTAATTTGGCAAGTCAAACAATCAACGCCATTTGGAAGACAAATCGTTCCCTGTTTCAAGGCATCGACAAAGCAGCACCCGACAGCAGCATGATGCGCCTCGCAGGTATGCTTCCAGTGGCTTCTGTGTCATCCGTTTGTGTGCAGAAAGGTCTTGGACTCCGCCTTGTGTAATCGCAGCGTTCGCTTCCGTTGGAGAGTTCGTCATCGCTTTGCAAGCAAAGAGCGTAAAGGTGGATCGAATCTTCTCTACTTTTTCTGGAGCCTGGACTTTCTTTCCGGGTCCTTGTTTCGTCATGGACAAGATCGGTTTCCTCAAGCCCTTTATCGAGTGGAACAGCATGCACTTCCGCATGCTGCGGACAGAGTACTCGCCGAAGATATCGCCCAGAGAAAGCGCGTGATCACACACGAAACAGAGCCTGGTACGAAACGGTGCAAGGCATCCACACGAACCTTCTGTGCCAGTCAAGGGTATGTACCGAGGGATGAAGCAATGGTTTACGCGCTGCAAGGCGACCCTTGAGGAAGGAGGCTAGGGACATGGTGTATTGCATATATGAAAACACCGGACCACAGCCAAGCGTCAGCGCTGCACAGTGCGCGCCGAGTCCATGCTCAAAGCAGATGCAAAAGGCAAGCGAAGTGTAGATCGCAACTTCCGCATGTGCATCAGACGCGTAGGCAAGATCTGGAACCCTCGAAATCGGGACTTTAACGCTCCAATCAACATCATTAGACTGCTAGCAACGGTACTGGGGGGAAAGGAGAAACCGGCTTCCGCAGACAAAGCCGGCCTTGAGAGGGGGAACAGGAAGCGGTCGCAAAACGTTCCCACAAAGCACGTTGTTGATAACCCCGCAAAAGGAACAAAAACGTTAGCACGCACGCCTGGTTTAGTGGGCCTGTTCTAATTTATGGTGACGTGCTTGTGCGTAAATAAGTCAAAATCACGACAAATACCGTGGTATGGCGGACGACACATTGATACCTCTCACCTGGGCCGCTCCAGCATGACTCCCTTTCACTCTGTTTCCCGCCCAGGGCACCAGGGTGCCGCCAGCGCCCCATGTGCGACTCGTTTTTTCCATCGTGTCGGATCGTCGAGGCTATCCAGAGACCTCAACGTGTGCGACTGTGTCTGGCATCTAATGAGGGCGCCACGAATGGCGGAAATTCCGCGAGTCTCATTATCCATCTCCCCGACTTGCCTTTGGAGGTAGTGCATCGTTCCTATGAACGTTCGGGTGCCGAATTCGCCATCGGGTATCCAATCCAGCCCGCATGACACCTTTGCCTCCAGGGCCATGCGGTGAACAAACGCGGCGCGTAGCAGGCATCGATGCGCGCGCTTTCACAGTTCGTATGGGCCACGGTTGTACGTCGCAATCGCTACTAATCATTTTAACGTGCACGTTTTGCGGTGCACCCGTTTGCTGCAGATATGTCCGGTCCGAGCACACGAGAGAAGAATATTTCGTTAATAGGAGTCGGGCGTCTTGGTCTTTGTTTGGCACTTGTCGCGGAACGGGCCGGCTATCACGTCTTGGGGGTCGACGTCTTGCCGCAGTATGTGGAGGCACTCAACGAGCGTTCGCTCAAGTCGAACGAGCCCAAAGTTATGGAGTACTTAAAGGCAGCTAGAAACTTTCGAGCCACGACTGAGTTGGATGAAGCGATAGAGTTCAGCGATCATCTGTTGGTACTGGTTGCGACGCCCAGCACCGGCGGCGACCGGCACTACGACGTCACGCAGCTCTCGCGTGTTTTGATGCACATCAATACTCGCCGGCCGCGCAATAAAATCATCACCATATGTTGCACGGTGATGCCGGGATACATAGCAAATATTGGGCGTGCACTGTTAGGGGACTGCGAAAACGTCCAACTACAATACAATCCTGAGTTTATTCAACAAGGCAACATCATCGAAGGTCTCGAGCTGCCCGATACGGTTCTCATTGGTGAAAGCAGTACGTATGGCGGAGACCTGCTCGAGCGTCTTTGGCGATCCTTTGTGCGGAACCCAGACCAGATCACCGTGCACAGGATGTCACCGGAATCCGCGGAAATTGCGAAGCTCGCTCTGAACTGTTTCATCACCATGAAAATCAGCTTTGCGAATTTTATTGGCGACGTCGCGGATCGCACACCAAATGCAGACAAATACGCAATCTTGGCGAGCGTCGGCGCGGACTCACGTGTCGGGTCCAAGTGCCTGCTGCCTGGCTACGGCTTCGGTGGACCCTGTTTCCCGCGCGATAATCGAGCATTTGGCGGCTACGCTGCTTCTGTTGGTATTGATCCCATGATGAGTCGTGCAACAGATACCTACAATGAAAAGCATGCTACCTATATGGCTGAGGCGTTGTTAGCGAAGAACCTTCCAGAATATACGTTTGAAGGCGTCACCTACAAGCATCCATGCGCTGTCCCGATTATCGAGGAGAGCCAGAAACTCGCCGTCGCCGCACGCATTGCTCGCGCTGGACGTCGCGTGCGCATCCGCGATCAACGCGAGGTGATCGATGCGTGTCGGATGGAGTGGGGTTCCCTCTTCACGTACGAAATTGTATCTGATGGCAAGCATGTAGGATCGGAGGTGCCGAACGGTACCGCATCGGAGTTTGGTGGCGGCAAGCATCAATCGGAGGCATCCTTCACGCCGCCGCGGAGCGCAGGCACCGGTGACGTTTGTCACGAGGCCGCGCTCAACGCGCTGGACCCACGTCGCGGCACCCTCTTGGACTCTTTCGATCGTACCCGGTGAGGTCGCATCAACCGGGACGTCCAGACGCGCGACTGTTGATCTCAGGTGACACGGGGTTTTGCTCGGTCGTAGTCTATGAGATCTTCTCAGCCGCGACGTGCAGACGCATGAACGAGGGGATCGCGGAGGAGGCCGGTCGGCGTGCGTCTGGTCCGTCTTGTTTGCATGAACGAGATCACGGCGTCCTGGTGGTAAACTTGCTCAAATGGTTGATGCGTGCGCTCGATCTTCGATACGCCCGCATAGACAACGTGTACATCGCTCAGATGGCCGGTCTGCATGTATCGGATGCAGTTCATGTGCTGCCCATGCAATTTGCAGCCGAGGAATGTTTGCGGGAAATCCTCGCTTTTTTGAACGGTGATCCCTTTTTTATCGAATATACCTAGTGATATTGAATAACGGGAAACTGTTAACGATCGACATTTGCACAGAAAAACAGTTCTCTGTGTATGTATACTGCGTTCCAGCCTTGCCAGATTGCTGACCAGTACCATACCAGTGCTTTGCTCCAGGCAAGAATCAGATCGCTCTCTCAGGGTCACTGGTTTTCCATCAAAAACCTGTAATGTTTCATTTCACTGCCCGCACGAAGTGCTAAACGATTATCTCGAAAGTTTGCTAGAGAAAAAGCTGATGGACGCTCCTGAGGCACGAATTATTGCCGGGAATTCGATGACTGCGGTCAGGCCTCGATGCAAGGCGTGCACATGCGCGTCAGTGCTAGTGGAGTCACGTCACAGCAAGCCGCCTCCATTGGATTGCATCGCCATCTGGCGTACGGAGAGCGTCACGCACGCCGTCTCGTCCATCCGTCTCTGTTTCGCACTTGCTCCTGTACCAATTTCCATCGCAAGTTTCCGCTCGTGATCCGCGTACATCGTCCTAGAGGCATCCACGAGAATGGCACAGAATCGATTCCTGCACTCGTTCGACGACCTTCTCTATAAAAGCAGGAACCCGACCCGTGCACGCTACAGCACCTCTAGCGCCAAAGGCGACCAACAGATAACGCAATGAACCGATCATTTCCTCTTCCAGCTCTTTGAGCAAGTTTGCGAATATACACTTCTTGCCTTCGTACAACCAAGACGTTAAGTAACCCCAACAGAGTCTCACGTACTTCTACTAAAAGAACATGCGTGCGAGCCGTTTTTGGTATGGCGTACTCTCTGAAAGAAGCGCACGGAGGGTCTGCTTCAGCTCGATACGATGCCCGGAACGTCGAGATTGCTCTTGATTCCGTCGTTTCATGTATTGGTATGCATCCAGGTGTCTGTCAGGGTTGACGCAAGACCGTATCGATCCCTGGGGAACGAAAACAGCTTCGTTACCTTTTCTTTCAGGTATTCGGCATCCTCCGCTTGCTTAACAGTCATGGCGAGAGCCACGACCCCCCTGAGCATGGGATCCACGCTCTACATAAAGTCCTTCTCTTCGTCGACATTGCGCAGTTGAGGACGAGTCTCGTTGCTCGCATCTGGACTAGATTTACCGAATCTCACGAAGTACGCGCAGACTCGTATTCCGTCGGTCTCCATGGCCCTCGTCAAGTTCTTTCCATTTCGTCCGCGGAAGCGAGAAACTGTGCATGAGCTCAGCTAATGGTCTCCGCGATGTTGCACGAAAGCTTTGTGCTCGCTCGCAAAGACCAATCGAGCCTCAGTGGGGAGTACCTACACCATACACATGCCTCCTATGATCCAACGGGCCTCGGTTTGATACATGGGAACTATATATCGATAGACGCGTGACAAGGCTTGGGCGCTTGCGTTCGAGCAACGAGTCTGCTATGCTATGCCGGTCTCCGTCAAGGCACACAAAATGGCGCAAGGCGTAAAGAACGCAGCATGGCCTCCCAACAATCCCCTGGATACGACGTCCGTCGGTCCGAGGCCGAGCTCCAGACAATACGCATGGAATACCTCGGGAGACTCTTGCTGTCTTTGCGATGTCGCTTCCGCACGTGCTACCGCATCGATCACTGCCGCCACCAGCTTGTCATTTGCGTCCATCGAGACAGCCGGAAATCCCAGTCATCAGTTCTCCCTGATCACGCTCAGCAGGATACGCAAAGGACGCCCATGGGTACGTTCCATGAAGCACTCGGCATTGACCCACGTATGCTTTTGGTCAAAAATGTTGGTATGAGAGTTTCCGGGGCCTGCGCTTTCGATACCCCGATCGCCAACACGGCACGGCGACGCGTCGCAACCCCCTGGTGAGCGTTTGAAGCGAATATCTGATCCTCTGCTCGGCCCGTATTGTATCTTCCGTCCCGAGCACCCGTCATATTTTAGCAAAAATGCTTCGTCGAAAAATTCCAGACGAATTGAGACAGATAGCATCCCAGCGTCCGGAACTCTCCAACGAACTGTTGCATACTGATGCACGCTGGGGAGAGATAAGCCATATGCGCCTTCCATGAGAAAGACGCTACGCGATTCTTCATGGCGTCGTGCATCTTTGGGTGTCGTGGATTCAAACGACCCTTCGATGGATCCATGCGCTTCGATGTTTCCTTTCACTCGCGAGAAGACGCATTTGAGTCGACGGAACCAGGGGTAGTAGCCTGGCACCAAGAGCCGCTCAACGCCAATCGCTGCAGCGCGCTCCTTGCCCGCTTGAGAGTGACGGAAAGTGGCACGGTCTACGTGCAGGTCAGAAGAATGTGGAAATCAGAAGCCACGAAGTGCTTCTACGAAGCACGATGTATATTTACATTTAGTTCGTATTGCAAATCGTAGGCGAACGCACTACTGAATGGCCTGCAGGGCAATTGCAGTCGTTTTGGTCCCTTGTCTCTTCTTTAGGAACAGTAGTGTTTTTGTGTTCGAGTGCCAATATACAGGGATACAGTTTGATGGGAACGAAATTTGATCAAGAGACAAAAACACAAGTCTGTGTCGCAACAAGTTTTGGATATCAGTACGAGATTGGACGTGTTCTGTTGAACGAGTGACGATCTCTCGAAGAAACGTGCTTGTTTCTTTGTTCATCCGGGTCTATCGCCGTCATTATCAGCTGTTCGGAACCTCTTCGATGTATCGCTTCCTCACCAGTATTTCTCACAATATGTATGGATTGGAAAGGGTTTAAGTGAAGGAATCCGTGTACACAGAGGCGAACTAGTCCTGTTTTTGCGAAACGCGCGCAATGCGCAAAGAGAAAGGACGACTCACCCCACGAAAACGTATGCCACTCACGTCAACTCAGCACAACGCGAAGACTCAGACATTGGGGTCTTTTGTTCAGTGATATGTGTGCGGTCTCCTCTGCGTCATCCGGACGGTTTATTATCAACACCTGGAAGGCATTGAGCGATTGAACGAACCGCAGTGCGCAGACAACTGGAGCATGTGTGGCCTCAAGATGCACTGTCGGATTCTGATGTCGCTTCGTTGCGTCGCCAGACTACGGCGACTCCCATGCAGAAATGCATCTGGATTCAGGTGACTCACCCGCAGAGCGTGTACTAGATAAATACAGAAGGTTCGCAAATGATCCTAGGGTGAGGAGGTACCTGAAGCTACTGCAGTGAGGCTGCGTAGAACGGGACCCAGTGCGAATGACTTTCGGAAGGAGGAGCGACAGCGAGCTTGATTCCAGCAGCACTTTCGTGGGCTTTACCAAAACTTTCTTAATCTCCCGTAGATTCTACATACAAGCCGAACCATGCCTGGCATTCCAGAGCTGGGATATCAGCACATTGCGTTCCGTAATCGTTGGTGGCAACCTGGATCTCGCCGATTCGCGCAGGCGCATTTCATTGGAACAAGGTTAATATCCGTCGAAAGAACGACGTGACCAGCAAGCATCAGTGGCGCGCGAATCCGTATCTCGGGGCGAATGCGACGTACATATAAACGACTAGCCAGGACATTGACATCCGTGAGTTTCGGGGATTCCGCGTGCGCTCTCCACGCTGCCGTGCTCTAACCCAATTCAAAGCCAATCCAAAGTTCTCGTGAACACTGCCAAAGCAGTCCATTGGAGTAATCGTATCAAGTTCCGCGAGAGGTAAGGCATGTGCCGCGGGTAGCGCGTGTGTCAGTTAGCGCTTGTGGCGGTGCTTCGAAAGCTCAAGTATCCGCTTGCACGGACTAGACTGAAAGGGCACTCAAGACCGCTGTATGAACATAAAAAGCATCTGGAGTTCCTCTATAATCTATCCTCGACAACGATCAGGAATCAAGAACACGATCAGTGCCCTGGTGGCCAATCAGCCTGGCACATTTCTTACGAGGCTGCGTTCGGTGCCATCGAGCCGCCAATCCGCGGGCTTGCTGAAGCCCAACGATATCTGTCGGTATGTTTTAGCTGCGCCTACGTCGTCGAGAAACCGATGCACCTGCAGGGATTCGTCGCTTTCGAGCAGCAGCGTGCAAAACAAGTTTCTCTTCCCGTATCTCTTGCACTGCGAGCCGTGCTGCCTCACTCACTCGATCCAGAAGCAGCAGCACATGCTCCTGTTGAACGCCGGCGAGCGCTTCCAGCTGGCGACCGAGCAGCTTCTCAACCTTTTGAAACAATTCTACATCGTACTGAGAAACAAGGCTGATCGCTCGGCCGGTTCGCCCGGCGCGTGCGGTGCGCCCCACGCGATGAATATAGTCCTTGCCGTGTGGCGGGATATCGTAATTAATCACAAAGTCTACCAGCGGAATGTCTAGACCACGAGACGCAACATCAGTTGCGACAAGAATGTGCTTTTCGCCGGACTTGAACTGATTCAGAGCGCCCAAGCGGTTAGGCTGACTCATACCACCGTGGATGCAGACCGCACCGTATCCCAGATTCCGTAGCATCAGCGCCAGGCGCTGTGCACTGCTCTGCGTGTCCGTAAATACAATGCAACTATGCCTTGCGACAAGTTCTTCGAATAGGTACGTCAAATAACAATCTTTGTATTTTTCTGGTATAAAGAGATAATGTTGCACAAGCGTCTCAACCGTGGAGTACTTTGCCGATACCTCGATCCGCACGGTTTCCTTCGATCGCAAGGAAGCTCGCTGCAGCTTTGCTACCTGGGATGTCATCGTTGCTGAGAAAAGGTACGTCTTGCGCGCAAAAGTTTCGCCTTTGGAGGGGTCAGCATCGCTGCGGGGCACAGCGGCGAGGATCTGATCCAGTTCCTCTTCAAAGTCCATGTTCAAGAGTCGATCCGCCTCATCGAGCACCAAAATTCGAACATGTTTCAATGTGAAACCTTTCGTTGCAGTCAAGTGATCAACTACCCGACCCGGGGTACCGACAACCACATGAGGCCGCTTCGCCAACGTGACTGCTTGACCAACCATGTCCATGCCGCCTACCAGGGTCGCAACTCGGACCCCTATCTCGCTGCCGAGCGCGAGGAACTGTTCGCTAATTTGGAACGCCAACTCGCGCGTAGGTGAAAGGACAAGAGCGAAGTATGGACGGGGATCCTCGAGCAGAAACTGCAGGATAGGTATTGCGAACGCTGCCGTCTTTCCAGAGCCGGTTTGCGCGAGGCCAACAATATCCTTCCCGGCGAGCGCAGCTGGAATCGCTTCTCGCTGGATAGGCGTCGGCTCTCGATAGTTCAACAAACGGCAGGCATCGCATAGCACAGCACAGACACCTAAAGCTGCAAAACTAGACTCGCCGGTGGTCGGCGCTACCTGGTTCTCCACCGGCTTCGTTTCCTCTGGCATACGGAAAGCGAGCACGACCTCGCGTTGGCCCGGGTTCACCGTCCCGCGTTTGTCGTTCAAACGTTTCCCCGAGTAACCCCGGGGCTCCACACAAATTGAGGCCACCCTTCACGATTGTCTGCCGTGGCTGTTCGATACTATCAGCCGCTATGCTGTCGTAGGGACAACGGTCTCCAATCCTTGCTGCTCCTGACGTATGACCCGATCCTCAGCTAAGCAGCAATCGACAATAACGTCAAAATGGCACTCGCAGCGCTTCTCAAGAGCCTCACGAGGTTCAAGTAAACGCTGCACCGGGCGTTGCCCGTCGCACGCGTGGCACGGCGGGCACGCGTTCAGTGAGGCGAATTCGAAGGCGAGGTTGCTGGGGGTTAGCGCCTGCCGACGAAGCGCCGGTACCGCAAAAGAACGTACAGGGCTTGTCTTGAGCTCGCGTAAGTCCAGGGCGTGTCTAGGGAATCGGTGCTCTCTTCGTGGTCATCAGTTCTTTGTGCCGCCATTGAAAGGAGGCTCCTTTGTGGGGCATCGACTCGATATTATAAGACAGAACAGGGCAGCGCGTCTGTGTTCGCTGATCCGCGAGTTCGTAACGCTGTGCCTTCTTGCAACGGTGAAACGCTGAGAGGGCACGCAGCGGTCACTGGCGTCGAGGTTCAGACAGGGCTTTGGTGCAGGAGGTTTCGAGTCAATGACAGTGCCGCTTGGAGCGGCGAGACAGCGCTTTCTGTAACATGGATCGAGAGGTGCGGCCTTCGCTGCGTTTTGCGATGGTATGCGCATCAAATATGAATAGGTCAATGGAATCACATGCCTTGCTTCAAAAGCGAGGTTTTAATGTTTGGTCTTTCGGCACTGGTGCAAACGTGAAGCTTCCCGGAACAGCGCCGGACAAACCGATTGTGTACAACTTTCGTGTCCCATATCGTGAAATATATGAGGAACTCCGTGCGCAGAACGAGGAATACTTTCGAAATGCCTCCGTACTACCCATGCTTGAGCGGAATATGGCGGTCAAGCCGGCCCCCGAGCGTTGGCAGGACCGGGAAGCGTCGAGGCAGCACTTTGATGTGGTGGTGTCCTTCGAAGAGCGCGTCTTCGAAGCGATTCTCGAAGACTGCCAGCAGCGAGAGCCTGTAGACTTCGAGCTCATGCATGTCATCAATCTGGAGGTTCGGGACACGTACGCGGATGCTGCTGAGGGTGCAGTTCTCGCGCTGCATTTATGTGAGCTATTGGAGGCGGCGCTCCAGAGCCGGGCCGATAGCGGACGTTACTCGGAGCCGGTGCTCATGGATTCCGGTCATGACGCATCCGATCCGGTAGAGCGAGTGCTGTACGCGTTTGAGGATCGTACAGGGCGCAGGTTGCTTTATTCTCCCCAATATTCGTGAGCAGCTGCTTGTACTGCCCTGAAGATTACTCTGCGTGCGGTTGCAGGCGCAGAGTGCCCGGCGTGGAAGGCCTGCAGGCGATGCCCGCACGCTGCCGGTTGCAGGCAGTTGGATTAATCTGCCCCCGTGGACGGACACTAGAACAAGCATCTTAGGCACAAACGTCAACAGCGTCATGCTTTGAGAGATTTCCACGGGCGCCGCACGGCAGCCCAGGGCCATGAATTGCCCGCTGACTAGGGTGGCAGGGAGACCCCTCGGCTCGACAATGTAAGCAGTGCTGGGGCATGTCGTTCGCGTCAGCCTTATGCCTTGCGAGACGCCATTCAAAATATGACAAGGAAACAAGATTCGTGGATGAACGCAGGCTGCAAGCTGCGTAGATGCTGCGGTACCGTGAGCGTCAACGAAGCACTTTGAAGCTGTGCAATTCGACCGCACAAGCGGCACTGCAATGATGCAAATGACGGCAGTGGCGCTGCGAGCTGTACATGATTGGTAAACATCGATGATCAACTGATTCACCTGACAAGATGGCGTTCACGAGGATTCTTTCACAAAACAACATCGGTCCATGTCGATTCTTCCATCGATGATCTGGTGCTCTTCAGTGTCGGCAGTCGCCTAGGATCTATCAACCCGAAACCTCTGTGTGGCATCTCGATCATGACTTCACCTCGCAGCAATGTGGATGTTTTCGTTTCCGCGTTCTAGCGTGTGCGAGACATTTTTTCCCGTCGTTCGTATGCTCTGTGCGCTTCGAGAGCAAGTATCCATCCATTCGGGTCGACGCGCGCCGATGGCTCTGAGTGTGAGCTCTTCGAATCTAATCAACTGCTCTGGACGTGTTCTGCATGGTTCGCAGCACGCCCCAGCGAGCACTAGCGTCGGCAAGCGGCTGCGGAGCGAGCGTTCCGCATTGGCGATGTTGCGTATCTGGCTACTCATGCCAGCGCTGAGCGTGCTCACGAAGGGATGACGAAGTGCGCATATTTGCTGCCATACTTCGCCTCAAGGGTTTCTGCTCCGACGCCTAACGCTTTTGCCAGAGCAGCATATACACGACGTAATTCTGACCACTTGGGTGACGTTGCCAGCTCTAGCTCAGCTGATTTTATTGGCGCTTCACCGAGCTCGTGCTCGATCTTGCGCTCCCATCTTTCGAGCAAGTTAGGTGCAAGCGGCACAATGTGTGCCTCTACCAGAGCTGGACCTAGTTCCTGAAATGCTACAATAGCACCGTACTGTGTAGTAAGAGCTTTGTCTTCACCCACTAACGCAAGACGCAGCGTCTCTGCAATACGAGGCAACAGATTCTCGTAGGTACCACCGTACATTTTGTGAACATCTGCGAGAAGCGAGGCAGCATTCTCCCGTAAGGTCCAATGATCCTCGTCCGCAGTGCGACACAGATAACGACCCACAATACAAGTAATGATGGAGGGCATCAGCTGATGCAAATATGGTTCCAGTCCCACATAGCGATTCTCAAGGAGCGCCCGAGCCAGCTTCATGGAAACCTGCAGCTGTGGCAAATCGCGACAATGGTTCGAGACATGGTGGAATAGGAAGGCAACAAAATAGGGCACGAGTTGTTGCAAGCCAGGATCCCTCGCGATGGAGGCAAGGCAAGCATTCCGCAGCGTTTCATCTGTTTCCTGCGCGCTCCTAGTCAATGCTTCAATAGCCAGTTCGTAATACAGCTGCAGTTCACGCGACACAACGTGCCTTACTTTGGGTCGAAAAGATACCATCCCAGTGTCGGTGTCTGGGGTATCCGACGCGTTTCGACCTGGCTCATCGTGCACGGTGTCTCGAAGGATATAGGTCAAAGACTGTCGCGCCGTACTCGAAACATCTGCAGGGTTTTGTGGAATTCTAGGCTGTATGCCCTCAATTGCGAGCCAGTGAAGCGCTAGTGTGGTCTCGAGAGGTACACGCGGCAGTTCACCGTCAAGGATATCTCGCAAGTCTACTTCCTCGTCACCTACAAAGTAGACTGTGTTGCTTCCACCCAGGGAACTTTCTCCTGGCAGTGTCACACCAACGAAAGGTGCAGACTCGTTGGAGCTGAATCCATAGAGAGGCTCTAGGTTTCGCAGTCGCAGCGCCGCTGCTATGTCTGACGTTTTTAAACGCCTGCGCTTGGAGTGCCGCATAAACTTGCCTGCTTCTTGGATAATTTCACGTAGCCGATACTCAGCGTCTGTTGCGAGGTAGGCAGCCACATCCTCACGAAGTCGAGCAATGCCAACAGTTGCCGCGATGACGTGAACAGTGCTCGAACGGATGCCTTGTGCTCCCTGCGCTGCTGCCGAGAGCACCCCAGGTCCTGACCCGTTCATGGAGAAAAGCAAGACTTCACTTATGAAGCGTCTCGGGTTACCGCGTACGAATCGAAGGATCTCGAGTAAGGTAAGCTTTTGTCTCGCACAAGGAACTCTCCCGAGAGGTTTACTGGGTACGGCTTGTCGAGGCGGAGAGCGACCCTCCCTAACGTCTGCGCGTTGGAACGGCACCGTCCAGTCGGCGCGCGAAGCGCCATCAAATGCGGCGCAGTGCTTCGAGGCTGCTCCAAGCGTGGAACTGGAACGCGACAGCGCCCTGCAACGCGTTGTGCACCTTATCCTGGTGAATGGCTGGACGCGTATCTCTGAGTGCTATTGGCACCAGTAGAAAATTGTTCACTTTTTTCTCGCAATTTTGTTGGCATGTGGATCAGAGGCGCACGGGATTCTCTAGAGCGTGCGTGGGTACACGATGGTATTACCGCTGCTTATCGACAGCTGGTAGCTATCCCTGGGAGTCCGATAAGACGCACCTACAGTGCACCATGGGAACACGCATCAGTGGTAACGACACAAAGTCTTTGATTGGATTCCGAGCCCCCACATGCTTTCGCCCTGGACTACAACCGGATCGAGGCTCTGCACTATCGTGGAACTTTCAGCGGATGCTCGTCGATCATCGACACCTACGTCAGAATAAAATGGAACATTTACTCTAACACGAGCGTACAAGCTAAAGTTTGGATCTTTTTCCACAGTTAAGAACACCAGCATTTGTGGGCTTGTTCTTTGACAAATTTTTTTCGCTCTCTGAAAGCACCGGCCTGAAATTAGTCGGTCTCTCCTGTCCGTCCAGTTCCGTTGTCAGCAGTCACGGTATGTTGACGGCGGCGTTAGAGTCCTGATTTCGCTGCTGCCGGCTGTTATCTCCGCATTTCATGCACAGAGGGAGGCTAGGATCTACACTTCCCTTGCCAGGTTCATCGTCTTTATGTACAGCGTAGGTGTGTCCTTCGCGGCTGTGACACCTGGTTGTGGTCGTGTGTTACTACATGTCAATCATACCTCCGCCTACCAGAGCTGACTTGTGCCGCGTGAACGCCTACTGCGTTACTCAGTACATACCCTTGACGGGCACAGGACGCTATCACTGGTGCCATTCTCCGTTTCAACGCCCCGTACCGTTTCTCAAGACCACGGGGTCCCACTGGGCAATTTCTTCGACATGTACGCTGTCTGTGGCACGCGCAAGCGCGTGCTGTTCCATTCAAAATGGTATTTATGGGGTGCGATTTCGTCCACGATCGAACAAGCATCGGAAAGAGCCCTCGGGCTGGAGAGCAAACCGAGAAATTTCGATCGGTCTATACTATCATGTTGCAAAGCGATGACGCCCTCTCCACTGGAAGCGATCGCTGCGATGACTCAAGTCCGGGTCGAGAACGATTTTGTATGGAAACAAAAGAGACCGGAACCTCTAGGAGCACATCCCTTTCGGGACATCATGCAGCTGTAGAATCCCGTTTCTTTGATATCCACAAAGAGAGAACGCCTTGCGTTTCGAGCGGCATCGATTATCTCTCATGTGCTGTTCAGTGCAATTTTGGCGTGAGTTTGTAAAAAAGTCGTCAAAGACGATTGGTAGTTTTCCTCGTATATTCAGAGGATCGCATTGCTGCGCCCACGAGTTGCCTTTAACTAGAAAGATTGAAAATTTGAAGAACGTGTAATATGAGCATGCTCCAATTAAGGAACTGTGAAGATACGGCTTGTGCGTACAAACAGGATAACCAGATCGGTTATTTTACGAATCTTCGTTCGAGAGCGTCGCAAAGCATCGTGATTCCGGTGGCGGAACGAGTTCCAACGACAGCGAGTTGAATGAGCGACTCGAAACGACGCCGGATCATCGCAAACCTCCGTACAGAGCCGTGTGCTCTTGCGGCTGCACTTTGAATGTCGACGCAGTAACTCTGAAAACAATTCGGAAAGAATATCAGTAGACATGAACAAAAGCATGCAGCACAGTGCCCCGCTTTACTTTTCCACGGCTGCAGATCGAAGTCCTACAGCTCCCGAGGGCATAGCCCACAGGCCTGTGCTCTGCTTTTCATCGAAACCGTTGCCATCCTCCAACTACAGTAATAGTTGAAGCGAGCTTACCTATTTGCTTAATTGGTATTCATGCGCGGTACAGCCTGCGCAACCATGACGTACAGCAGTGCGCAGGTGCAGAGTGAGTCGTTAATTTTCTACAGGTAAGGAAGTCGAACTGTCGAGCTTCGTCAGTCAACGACCGGGAAAAATGGCGCGGTCGCATGCGTATGTCAAAGTCTTATAGACAAGGCTTCCACAGGAACCAAGCTACACGTCTCAAAGCACACAGTTTTACTCGTCTCCTCTGGGTGCAAACCTAGTGTTTCTCAGCGACGAGAAAATCTCGCACTCGAACGTGAGAGTCTTGGGCGCCTTTGCACTTGGGACACACAATCTCTTGTTTGATATATTTCCCAATTAGGGTCTCGAGTTACATCTAAACGTGTCCCGCACCTGTGGAGCATCTCGTGCACAGTGCCTACTTCTGCGTCTCCATCTGTCCCTCACGACCGATACCGCGTCACGTCAAGCAGCAGCGAACGCAGCGCGATCGACATGAGCGTGGAGCAGCAATGTGACCGTGACGCACCAGCCTGCCAGAATTGGAGTGCACGCGCGGAGATCGTTTTCCCTGACACGTGTCCATATGCGCAGCCGTAGAAATAGGTCGGGGCCTGCGCTTCGCACAGCCCTCCGTTCGATTCGCAGCCGCGCCCCTGCCATCCGCCATGAAATCGGCCTGGTCGACATGACAACCCGCACAGATGCAGGCGGCGCCTGAAAGAGACACACGATAAAGATCCATTTTCGGGCTCTGTTCGTTAGAGATTCGAGCTCCTGGTGCGCTTCGTGCGTCTTAAAAGACCGTTGAGGGTTGGTAGAAGCACGAGGTGCCCCGAGAAGGAAGGTTCGAAGGACGTAGCAGGTTTGAGACTTGCTGTGCTCTGAATCGCGGAGGCAGTCCCGCTTGAAGGGGCTGTAAGCGTCTTCTTTGACTTTTCTGTGTTTATCATTGGTTTAGTTGATATCTTTGCTTTTTAACGCTTCCACGTTTCGTGGGCCACCTGTTCAGTGAGTGACACAGCTCAGGGGATGGAAGCGGTGACGCCCAGCGACGCTCGAGGAACGTCTTCTGAACAGCCGAGTGCGAGCGGCATTGGAGCGGAACCCTTTCGCGCGGCTTTCTCAGAACACGATCTACGCGTGCACATAGCTGATCTCCTTGAGGATCATGAACAGAATGTACCCCCGAAAGGTACAGTTAGGCAAGCGAATGTCGGAAAGAGCACTAGGAGGCCTCCCTGGAGAGAGCTGTCGGTCTCCGTGACCAGCGGGACCCAAGCTCTGCTACACGAGACGGGGATCCCGTGCGCGCCGCTTTCGGCTCCAGCCTTTCCGGTCGCGAACTTGTGGTCGCCCTCCTTTGAAACGAGTCGACCTCTAAGTCGATGCGCGTCAGAGGACATCAGTTCGGTGTGCACCGCACCTGGCGCATCGACATTAGACTCGCCTTCACAAGATAGCATTCCCCACAGTGCGCCATCGACAAGTCGAACGACCGATGCGCTGGCCGTCTCGGGAGCGGAGCTGTTTGCTCTCGAGTGCGATGAATCCAGTGGAAATGTAATGTCAAGCATCTCCGAAAGCTCGCCACTGAGTCGCTTTCCGGCAACGCCACGGTCAGCTCCGACCGGAACGTGGCTCGGCAGGATCGATTCAGAAGCCGCACGTCTAATAACATTGGATCAGCGTTATCACTCGGGGACTTCCCTGCAGCCTCGCCGCAAACGAAGGTGCTCGAATTTGCCACCCGGTGCGCAGCGGGGCCAGTTTGGAAAGCACGTGTGTCCTTTTTCGGGCTGCGGGCGGCGTTTTACCCTGAGTGGGAATTTGCAGGTTCACATAAGAACAGTTCACGAGCGAGAAAAGCCATTCGGCTGCCCGTATCCGGGCTGTGGTAGAAGATTCTCTCAGAAAGGAAACGCAAACACGCACTACAGAGCCGTGCATCTGAGGGAAATACGCTTCCGTTGCCCGGTTTTGGATTGCGGCCGTCCTTTCGCACAAAAGGCTAATCTGCTATTCCACGCTCAAAGGATACACGGTTTGGCGGAGCTGGACCTTCTCATCATGAGCATGCACCCTTTTGCAGCCGACGCCGTGCGAACGAGCTCCGGTGCTGCCTCAACAGAAGCGTACACGCCGAAATCAGACATAGATGAAGGCACTCCGCGGGCGGCGTTCCCGAATCCTGCCGGGGGATAGTCTGCCAATGGCATCCGACTTTAAGCGATGCGCCATGCTCCATGAATCAGGGTCCGATCGCGTACATTTCTCCGTTCAGGCGATTCAGCAAGTAATATGCACCTTCCTCCGTCCTGACCCTAATCCACTTTGGCTCTTTTTGTGGAGTTGCGAACGTAATCTGCTTTCGCGGAGTATTTCCTGCCAGGTGCTGGGGTGTGCTGCCCGGCAGCGGGACAATATCGTCCGTGTCGGAAGCTGCATCGTCTCCGTGGGCACTCTCCCGTGCCGCTTGCTCTGTAGCGAATGATAGACGTTTCCGGGTGAGACTTTGGGAGCGTCCCTCTCCAGATGCTGCAGTGGATGCCAGAAGGATTCCGAATCTCGAAGCTGAAACCGAGCGACTGTATCTTGATATTCGGCGCTGCGGTTGATCCGGCGTGACCGGCTCTATCGCCTCGGAAAAGGAGCGATGCGTCCTGAATTTGCTTTCCAATTCGTCTCTTGACACGGGAATTGCTGCAAACGTTGAAACGGTGTCCATTGGGTGCACTTCTCCGTCATCGCTACCACGGCGCAATACTGATCGCGACTTGCGGCGGTGGGTCACCTCCGCGGAGCGCGGAGCAGATGAAGCAACATCTTGTTCCCGTTTGTTAGGCTTTGTCCCTCTGTACGCTCTGTAGCGGCGAGCAAGGTACCAAACGAGCATGGCAAGTAGGATTCCAGCAAGAATAACGGCAATGATTGCGAAAACGGATGCCGCATTCGGACTGCAGACGCGGTACTGAGGCACGACGACACTCTCAAAGTACGCCAAAGTTGGGCACGGTTTGCACGCCGTTGAACCGGTTCTGTTCGCTGAATACGTGTTTGCGGGGCATTTGACGCAAGAAGTTGCGGAGCTGTTGGCGCTCATATACCCGTTCGGACACGGCTCGCAGACAAAAGCACCCGAGGAATCTGAATACATCCCAGGCGAGCACACTTCATATTTCGTGGATCCGTCAGTGCTCACGTAGCCTCCCTTGGGAGCAGGCTCACACTTCGTATGCGCCTCGTATTGATTAAAAGTCCCTTTTGGGCAGGGCTTGCATGTGGACGCCCCTCGCCCAAGCCCAGCAGCGTCCGGGGCTGTATACGCAAATGTACCGGCCGGACAAACGGTGCAGTTCACAGAGCCGTTGGCAGGCGCGGAGTAGCCCGCACGGCACGCTGTGCACGATGTCGCGCCCAGATAAGTCACGAAGGTTCCTGTTTCACATGGTTCGCACTTGGATGCACCGCTCCGGTTTGAAAATGTTCCCGGTGGACAATACTGGAAGTACGCCGCTCCAGTACTGTTGACAAAACTCCCCGGTGGCGCTTCTGTGCATGAGCCGCTGGCATTGAACTGCGCGTAACTCCCTGTGTCGCAAGCGATACACTTTGTACTATTACCCTGGGAGTACCAACCTGCTGGGCATTCTATGCAGACTGCAGCACCTGTCACGTTAGAGAATGTTCCCGAAGGGCAGGCATCGCAGCGTGGAGCACCGGACGCGCCGGCCCGAGTACCAGCGGGACACGGTAAGCAGCCGCCGGCGCCAGTGCTGGGCTGATAATGCCCTGGAGCGCAGGAACTGCACGAGGTCGATCCTGTTTGGTTTGTATAGAAACCAGGTGGGCAAGCCTCGCAACTAGTCTGCCCTTGTCCAGCGGAAAAAGTTCCCAAAGGACACAGCTTACAGCTCGTGGAGCCACGCGTGTCTGAGAAGTAGCCTGCGCCGCACTGGTAGCACGTAGACGCTCCAGAGTGATTCGAAAAGCTCCCCGGCGGACAGTTCAAGCAAAAGACGGATCCATTGACTGGCGCATACTGCCCTGCCGGACATAAGGAGCACGCACGAGAGCCCTCTGAACTTGCAAAGACGCCCAGAGGACATGGTTTGCAAGCTGCAGCCCCGGGCGTGTCACTGAAGTAACCGGCTGGGCATTTTTGGCACATAGTGGACCCATTTGAAGCTGCGAACGAGCCAGCCGGACATAGTGAGCATGACTTGGATCCAATAGAGTTCCCGGAACTCCCCGGTGGACAGGGCTCACATGAACTTGAACCCTCACTCGCTGCATACGTTCCCGCGGGGCATATCTGACATGTAGCAGAGCTATAGTTGCCGGCGTAGGAGCCCGCTGCGCATGCTTGACACGAAGTCGATCCGTTACTCGCTGCGTAGGTTCCTGGGGCGCAGGCTTTGCACTCCGTGCTTCCAGCTAGTTCTGCATAAGATCCTGCCGGGCATATCTCGCACGCTGTAGAGTTGTAGTTGCCCGCGTAGGAGCCCGCTTTGCACGTCTGACACGAGGTCGACCCGTTACTCGCTGCGTAGGTTCCTGGGGCGCAGGCTTTGCACTCCGTGCTTCCAGCTAGTTCTGCATAAGATCCCGCCGGGCATATCTCGCACGCTGTAGAGTTGTAGTTGCCGGCGTAGGAGCCCGCTGCGCATGCTTGACACGAAGTCGATCCGTTACTCGCTGCGTAGGTTCCCGGGGCGCAGGCTTTGCACTCCGTGCTTCCAGCTAGTTCTGCATAAGATCCTGCCGGGCATATCTGACATGTAGCAGAGCTATAGTTGCCGGCGTAGGAGCCCGCTGCGCATGCTTGACACGAAGTCGATCCGTTACTCGCTGCGTAGGTTCCCGGGGCGCAGGCTTTGCACTCCGTGCTTCCAGCTAGTTCTGCATAAGATCCTGCCAGGCATATTTTGCAGGAGCTCGCTCCAAGTTCGTCCGTGAAATAGCCTGGGGCGCAGGTATTGCACTGGGAACTACCGCGCGACTGCTGATAGGTTCCTTTTGGACAGATTGAGCAGTTTCCGGCTGGGGATACAGCAAAGCTTCCCGCAGGGCATGTACCACAAAATCTGAAGCTTGTCGATGCATTTGCAAACGTTCCGTTGGGGCACGCCATGCAAACACTAGAACCATCTGTGGGTGCGATAGTGCCGGGACTACACTGTTTGCATGTCGTACGGTTACCAGCCCAGCCGGCGGGACATATGCATGACGCCGTGTCATATATGGATCCCAATGGGATCGGGCAGCTGAAGTGATTTCCGGTAAAGTTGGCGCTTGTTACTGTAGAGGGCAGAATGGGAACTTGTCCACTGAAATTGTTGCTCGAGAAGTCCACGGCGACTAGGTTCGGAGGCAACTCCGGTATGGTGCCACTGAAATTGTTGTGACCGAGAAGGAGCAATTGCAGCTCGCTGAATCCGAAGAGTTCCGGAAGAGTGCCTTCGAGGCTATTGTATGATAAGTCGAGTATCTGCAAGTTCTTCATGTAGACGATACTATCCGGAAGTGTTCCCGAGAAATTGTTGTTACTAAGGTCCAAGAAATATAAATTGCTGCAATTTCCAATAGAATCGGGTATTTGGCCAGACATTTCATTGCTCGCGAAACTTAAATCATGCAAGTATTTCAACTCTCCTATACAATCAGGAATTGTTCCGGAAAGATCATTTTCCCTCCCTTTGAGAGAAGAAAGGCTACGTAACATACAGATGCTATCAGGCACCTCACCATAGAATCCAGAATCCTCAAATTTTAACTCAACGAGATTCGTGAAATTCGATATCCAAGTTGGTATTACTGTACGAAGATCTGGGTTGTAACTCAGGTCCAGCGTACTTAGATAACCAAGCGATGCAAGTTCCTCCGGGATCCCTCCACAATATATATTTTCATGTTCAAGATGGAGCCCTGAAACTTGTCCAGCTGAAGTGCAGTCAACAAATATCCAATCATCTGAACTTCCACAAGGAGAAGAGTTTGAAGTCCAACAATTGCTCGAGCAAAAGCGATTCAGAGTCCAATTTGCCCCCCCACATTCTTCATAGAAAAGGAAAAGAGGTGACGTATTCCCTGATGCCCGAGCAACCTCAGGGACTACATTCATCTGCACAGCTGGCGAGGTTCCGAGGATTTCTTTTTGAAGAAAATGCAGTACAAGCCACAAGAGTGCTGCAAGCGACAGCTTGGAAACTATGCGAAACAGGCTAAAACAGATCATTGAATTCTGTTACGTGAAGGAGAACGAGAATGTATTTTACTGATTTTCGAGAAAAATGTTTTACACACTTGCACACTTGATGTACTTTTGCGACCCATTCCTCGCCCATCGGATCTTCGCGACCTTTGGATGAGTCAAATCGCAGCGAGACCGCGGTGTTTTTCTGCCCGATGAGGGCCGGACGTAAGTGTGTTTTCATAGTCCCAGTGAATACCTTCCGATTCTTAACTCCACCTAGCATTGCAACTGCTTATTTTCGAGTATGCTTTTCTTCTCCTATGAAGGTTATCTTTCGGCGGAGTCTATTCGTGCTACTATTTTTCCAAGTCCCACTGTGGCTAGTAGCACCGTTTTTTTCTGCCTCCGTCGGAGGCTCACTTACTGGTGTCGGAAGTATAGTTACTTGTCTGGATTCTGGGAGGCCAGGAAGCATTCCTTGCTCAAAAAAATGGGTGCTTACCCTAGCTGTAGAAAACGGAGCCACGGCAGCCTCGTCCTCCGTAAGTGCGACCCAGGCCGTGTACGGCAGCAGTTCAGCGAACGCAACGGTACGATCGGCGGATAATCCTAACACAGTGTACGCTTTCAAGTATCAGGTGCATATCACACTGACAAAGTCTAGGATACGGCTGGACTACCCTCTTTACTATCAAAGCGATTTTAACAACAAACCCTATGAAATCGTTTACAAGTACAACCAGAAGGGTCCGTTGAACTGGCTGGATAACCAGTGCGTCGCAACCTGGGGCAGCAGTGACCCAACATGCGGTTACGCTTACAATCCCAGCTGGTCAACGAAACCAGCAGACCGGATACTCTACTCCCAAGGCTTCTGCTGTGATTGCAATGCTGGGGATTTACTGGGGCTGTCGCCAAACAGAATTCGTGGCGGACTGGATTGCAGTCTGCTCAACTTTGATAACCCCACTGAGTCAGCACACTGTTTGCGATTTGATAGTTTGTGGTATTCTGCTTTCCAAATTGGCGAACCCGACGTCAATTTTGTAATTCTTGTGAACGTTACCAAATGCCCCCTCGCCAACAGTACTATCAAATCAATTTCTGGGCTCGTTGGAAATCAGGATCAAGCTATTCAAAACTGCTCGACCGAGATCATTTCACTCTCACCGAGTTCTCCTATTGGTTATGCCTCGAACGGGAAAATAAGCGCTCAAGCGATTGGTGACTTTGCTCCGTGGGAGGGAACTCCATCATACTCAGAGAAACTCTTCTTCGTTCCTTCAGTCTGCACCGACACCTCTGAGGCTTGGTGTGTGGATCGAATTTCCTATATTCCCACCGAGATAAACCGGTGGATGCTCATCGATAACGATCTAGTTACGATCACTGGAGACACTTGCGATAAGATTGGTGTTAGTTACAGTGCATTCACAAATGAGGGGCAGCGATGCGAGCGACCAACGCAATCATGTCTCCACGATCAACTTCAGGATTACTATGACTCGGATCTTGCTCTTGAGCAAACCGGAAAGGTTGGCAGTTATTTTGTCCAGTTTTTTGGTGATTTTGACGTCAGTGGATTGACACCACGGAATCCACTGTTACGGTTTTTCACAAACCGGACTCAAGCAACTGAGGTTGTGCTACAGTTCGCGGCTGAGGAGTTGTTTTACACTATTTATTTGGCACCCGCTCGATTTCTACGTCATCTATCGAAGATTAATCCGTTCACTTCACAATCGAAAGGAGGTTTAATTGATCTTTGGATAGTTTCTGAAGGAACTGGACAGAATGCGGCTCAGTTTACAGTCAGTGCATCCTGTGAACCTAACGTTGAACCTATTCAGGCTCAGATCGTGACGCTAGCGCCGGGTCAACTTGTTTCAATTTCATTGCCTATTATAGAAACCAAGGCGACCGGTGGAGCAGGTGTGTGCAACTGCACATTGCGGAACGCCCTGGGTCAAGTTCTGGACGTCCTCGTTCTCGAATTTAACGCTAGTAGTGTGCGGACTACGGATGGCGCGCAAGGGGGCAGCGCATCGACGACATCTGGAAACCTAACGCATACCGGAAGTTCACCGTACCCATCAGGCGGTTGCGGTAGTTGCGGCGGGCTCCTGGATATTGGGTGCATCTTCGCCAATGTGTGCATCCTGAACATTTTGTTTTTTATTGGCCTGTTGTTCCTCATTCTTTTGCTATTGTGCTGCTGCCGAACTTGCATTTGGAGATGCTGCTGCGGCTGCTGTGGCCTGCTGGGGAAGGGTTTCTCCCTCCCGCCGGGCCTCCGCGCGAGGACGCAGCGGCGTGGATACTTCACGAGCGTCACCGCTTTGCCGGGACAGACACTGCCTGCCCTACCCAAAGCGGCGCTAGTGCGTTCCGTGTCCCTGGAGGGCCCCAGTATGCTACAGACGGTCGCGTGCTCTAAAGCAAGATAGGCGACTGCGTTCCGTTCGAGCGCAGCGGCAACACAGAGACCTCTGGCGGACGCCCCGTGACAAGTCCAGCCTCCAGCACCTGACTCGCCGAGTATGTCTGCCGCTGCACCCAGCGTGCACGCTGTGGGCGCTATTTTCGCTGGTACCAAAAGTACTGCGCCATAGGCGCGACGACGCTGATGATCAGCAGAGTGGCGACGACGCCCACATATTTCTTTCGCTGACTCTCGGTCTCCTCTCTTGTCTTAAAAGAGGCCACCTTCTCAGATTTGCGAACGACCGGAGGGCCAGGGTCATCGCGACCCGAGAGAACGGCCTCCAGTCTGTTGGTAACGTCCAGAAGTGCAGCACCATACTTGCCCTGCAGTGTGTTGAACGGATAGGTCTCGTTCGCGATGCTCATCAAAACAGAGTTTGGGATGGCTCTCTGCACTTGATCACCTGCGTAATACCCTCCCTTGGCTGTCTTCGGATTCAAAACAAGAACAAGAAGATTGCCATCACCATTCTTTGACTCATAAACCTCCCGAGCGAGACTATTCAAGTCCGTTCCGAGTGGAATGTCACGTTTTATTAGGATGAAAACCCGGTAACCAGTATTCTGAACCAAAGCCTGCAGCGAGCTATTTACTCGCGAAACCACGCTTCCTGGAGAGGTTCCAGTGTCATCTTCGACAAATCCAGTTAGATCCGCGGCAAACGCTCCAGGAATTTGCAGAGATTCCAGGAACCTCTGAATACATGTTCCTTCGGAGGCAGCAGGCCTCGCCTCGCTCGTCGTCCCGCAAAAGCTCGACTCCATCGCCGCAGATGCTAACGATGTTCCACTGGAGCTCAAACCATTTCGAGCTTGGTCTTCGCAAACAAGTGCAAACAAGAGTGCACAAGCTATACTCGCCGCAGACTTTGCCACCTCCAGGCGGAGGCTGATCGCAGGTTTTTGAGGTGCCCGGCGCCCCGGCGCCTCGTGTTCCGCAAGCACGAGGCCATGCGTGCGACACCAGCGTTTCGGACGCACGCTCAAACCTATAGGCTGTCTTCTACGAACAAAGGGCCTCTTTTGAGAGCTATTTCGGAAACTGTTAACGATGAACATGAGCCTGTCCAGCGGAGCCTGAAAACAAAGAGGGCAGTGCTCGCTGAGCTCCGCGGCAGATCGCCTGGGAGGTTGAGGATCATGTGCTAGTAATTTTATCCATATATGAACTATGATGGCAGTCGTCATGTCGAGGGCGCTGTACCCGCAGCTGCACGTCACACGTCGGGAGATGCAGCGGCTGTGTAATCCATAGCTCCTGGCAATACTGTTCAAGTCTGCGTCAGGTATTCCGTGCGGTTCCTATGGTTGATTCTATAGAGACCTGTGCAGAAAAGCAAAATGACGCTTAAATCGTCAAAGACCAGCCACGCGTTGTTTGTTCTGAGCACTTGTGGCTCGCAATCCCGGCGGAGGCCACCGGTGTCGCCGATTCGCTCCCATAGCGCCAAGCTGCTACGAACGCCAAATAGGAGGAATTCGCGCCGAACGCGTCAACTGCCTACGACGATTGTATGTCGAATGGACGAGCGCACGGTTCGGAGGAACAGTGGGGCGGGTATCCTGTCCTCCGCGGTTCCTTTTGAGCTTTTAGTGCGAATGGCGCGGCTGTTTTGGCGACAGCTCTGGCACCTTATGATGTCACAACTCGCCCCTACTAGGAAGGGTACCGGATCATATGAACGCCCGCCGCCTTCGTATCTATCAAGTGGCTACAAGGACCAGATCTGGACGGGTTCATTCGAAGAAGACCAGTTCCTCCTGTTTTATGGAATCGAGTGTCCCTGGTGTCATCGATGTTTACTAGCCGCGGCATTCCACCGCCTGACAGATAACTCTAATGCTTCTCGCATTATAGTTCCGGTGCGTGTATATCCTTCCCCGGAAGGCAAGTGGGTGCTCAGGCCGGTAGGTTCGCGTTCTAACGCAGAAGACGCCAACGAGCGTCTGCCAGCCACGTATCGATCGGCCCGCGACTTGAAACAAATCTACCGTAATGCCGATCCCTCTTTTCGGGGGCGTGCTACTGCCCCGCTCTTGGTGGACGCCCGCTCTGGCCTCATCGTCTCGAACGAGTCAGCAGATATCGTCCGCTTCATGCGGCATATCGCGACCGAACGGCAGACTCCCAGCGGCATCGACCCTTTCCCTGCAGAATATCAGTCGCAAATTGAAGCTGACAAAACATGGATTCACGATAATCTGAACAACGGAGTCTACAAGGTCGGATTCGCGAGGACGCAGGCTGCTTACGAGGATGCCGAGCGGAGTGTATTCCAGACGCTCGCGGAGCTGGAACAGAGGCTCGCGGGCCAGCGGTACGTGAGCGGCACGCCATATCCTAGTGAAAGTGATATATTTCTATTTCCGACCCTGATTCGCTTCGATTCTGTATATCATACGCTCTTTCGCTGCTGTCAGCGAAAGATCACAGAGTTTCCAAACCTGCACGCTTGGATGCGTGATATGATCCAAACGTACGCAGCTGAGGTGTCTCACACCTTCGATGTCAAAGAAACTGCGAATAGCTATTTCAAATCCTTGTTTCCTTTGAATCCCAGTGGCATTGTGCCTAAATACGATCTAGGACGCTTGGATGTGCCGCATCAGCGGGAGCAGCTCGGCGCGAAACCGGACAGCTTACAGCGGCCGTAAATCGGCGTTTTGGGCGACGTGCCAAAGGTGCGCTGTGTACTGTTGCTGCGCGCTTTTGTTGTTTGAGGGGTACCATTCTTGTTCAGGTCTAAAGGAATATGAGTCACTCAAACCAGAGACTGGAACAGGCTCTTGCGGAAATGTGGCGGAGACACCTTCGGGAGTGCGAGACCGCCACTGATTTTAAGAACCACGCACTGCCGCTGGCTCGGATAAAAAAGATAATCAAGTCCGACGAGGACGTGCGAATGGTTAGCGCTGAGGCACCTATTATATTTGGCAAGGCCTGTGAACTCTTTGTTCAAGAGCTGACGTTGAGGGCCTGGGCTATCACTGAGGAGGCGAAGCGAAGGACGCTGCAACGCAGCGATGTGAGCGCTGCCATTCAAAAGACTGATATTTTTGACTTTCTGATTGACATTGTTCCGAAGGAAGATTTGTTGGTATCGCAACCAAACGTTCACGGTTCTCTCTCTGCGCCGCCCGTGCACGCGCTCTACGCCAACCGCATGGAACACGGTCACGGAACCGAAACGGGTATGTGAGCGAGACGCTGCGGATATGCCGTGTTCAACGGAAAACGCATGTCTCACATCACACGTGGTACGTCAGCGCGCACCAGTCTGACGGAGGACACCAAAGTTTCCAGGACGCTTCCTTGGGCTTTATGGCAATCTTTGCGCTGCATTCCCTTAGCATGCGTCCCCCAAGGATGAATACTTAGCTCTCTATCGGGCAGCGAATGTGTCGCCGGGGCGGTAAACACTCGATACTTTAGTCTCAGACTTGTATGAGACTCTCCAGTCCGCACAGAGGACGCATCGGCTGCCTGAAAGCTTCCCCAGCTGCCTCTCATAGGCGTCGGGTCGAATGCAGTACTGATCGCTCTGAAAGAATCGTTTTCCGTCACGAGAATGCGCAGCGAGCGTTAGTGCGCTCTGTTGGAGAGAACGAACCATTTGCGTTGGCAAAACTGCGCTCCAAATATTTTCCCCTGCGCATACCGTCATGGTATGATAAGCGATAATCGGGCATGAGGGCGACCAGACCCACAAGCCGCACGTCAGGCCTCAAGACACCAGGACACAGGGCAAGCAATTGGGATTTAGATGGACGCGCAAATGCCGCCGTCGGAGATTGCCCTTTTTACATGTTTACGAGCACTTCGCCGCTGTCAAACATTCACTTGAGGCGGTTCGCATCGGCAGGCACGCCACGAGAACGCAGTTCGTGCAACGTCTGTGCGCCGACTCTGGGACAGGCAGCGTCGCGGATGTTCGAATGGCGGAGCGGGAGGGGGGGCCTCAATGCGCTCCCCCTGTATTCGCCATTAATACATTCGCGCTCGGGCCACGAATGGCCAACATAAGCAGCAACAGAAAGCAAAAATTGCAGCTCCGATTCCCAAACAAACAAGGGCCAGCAGAATCGTGGGAAGACTGATACCGGATAGATTGAATCCGCCGCCTCCAGTGGAGTTTGCAGGGGAGGTCGCCCCGCCTCCATTCGAGCTCGAGTTCGTACTGGGATACTTCACATTGCAATAGACTCGATTCTTTGGGTTCTGGTTGGGCGCGGTACCGTACCCGTCCTTACAAAAGCAAACTTGCAATGACCGATTGCATGACTTGGTACCCTCTAGGTCACAGTTTAGGTTGCACGCACACTGCACCGGAGCATTCTCCGGTACGGTGTACCAGCCGCTGTTACATGTGCACGTACTGCCGCCCGCGCTATTGTTCACCGTACCCTGATAGCAGTCAGCTGCGGCGCTCGGGCGCTGATATATGGTTCCGTACGAACTCAAAGACACCAGTTCACTGCCGGTCTGCCACCTTGGGACCCAATAATAAAATACCTGGATGCAGAGTAGTGCCAGGAAGGCTGTTGCAGCGCGCATGCAGGACACGCAGCACCGTTCATGCGGTCAGCGTTGCGGGCAGCAGGCGCAGGGCCTCATGCGCGCCCCGCCGCCACGCGGACCCCTCGACTGTCCGGATCGCCCGAGCGACCGGTCGCTCAGGCGATCGGCGCGCCCCATGAACACGTGTCCGTGTACGCACCGATTAGCAGTCGGTGGCGCGCTGGGCGCAATCGCCCGCCGCGACGGCCGCAAGGGCCTGCATGTCATCTGCACTTCATGGGGTCTCGCTGGGGAGCACGGGCCGCTACCCGATTTCCTGCAGTTCTTCAACGCAATCGTGTCCCGTCCCCAGGTGCGTGTCATCAAATGCTTCGTCGCAGTCTGTAGCAGACATGTTCAACGTGCGTTCATTTGTAAACTTAACAAATCCGAGGGAACACTACAGACATGGAAGTTGGGGATCCCGGAGGGCCATCATCGTCGACTGCCGAAGAAAACGCTAAAAATCCCAACGAATTCAGCTCGGACCCGCTAAAAATCCACTTTCGCCGAGCATCGAGCGAAGAAGAAGAAGAGAGATACGCGAGAAAAGGATTCTTTGCCCGACAGGACGATATCGAGACTTTGGTGGCAAAGAAGGCACGCGCTCGAGGTACTCTTGCGCTGATGAGTTCCAGTAGAGGCAGTAAACCGCATCGAGTTCTTGAACGGCGACGTCAACGCCGCCAACAATATCATGAGATATGCTTTGCTGAAGAAGAGACCCGAGGGGCTGATAGGATACAACTTTGTGGGGTAGGCTCTCGGGGTAGAGGTGTGCAAGGAGAAGCCGAAGCTGATAGTAGGTGGCTTGTCGAAAGGCTGGGAGGCGTCTGCGCGTTTGTATCAGTTTACCCTCGTTTGCCGTCGCTCTTTGTGGACGGTAAAACCGTCCTGTCCCCGTGCTACGACAGCACCGGCGCTCTTGGCGCTACCGCGGACGCCCACAGCATGCACTAGGCGCACGATAGAACGTACGAAACGACCAGTATATCCGAGAAAAAATGGGTAATGGAACTTGGAATTAGGTGGAACGACGGATGCTTTACTGCGCGCTGATACCAAGCACACAATCGGGGAACGCTGGCTTGTGTAAAGATTTTTGTCAAATAAGAAACATTCTCATCGAAACGTTATAGATCGGGGTTCAGCTGTTAGCCGTCTGCTTGTTGTCTGCTGCTGCCGCTGCTGCTGCTGCTACAAGAAAGATGGATCTGATGCCGACCAAGCGGGAACCAAGTACGAGCGGAGTTGGTATGCCAGTGTCGTCAAGCGGCGGCGATCCGGGTCACTCTGACAACGAAAGTAACCTCTCGCGCGTACTGTTTGTCTACGGCAGTCTTCTTGGCCGCGAGGTAGAAGTGACGCTTCGTGATGGTAGTCGCTACAAGGGTACCTTGTACGCAGCAGTGCCCGAAGAGGGCGTCGTGCTCCGTTTTGCAGAGCGAGTACGTATGCACGGCCTTTCGTGGCACGAGCAGCTACCGAAACCGGCAGTGCCTCCGGTGCCGTTTATGGTATTCCGTCGCTCTGATCTGGTCAGGCTCTACGCAAAAGGAGTGCCGCTAGCCTCCGGCGATAATGCAGAGGCGGCTCCTCGACCGTCTGTTGAGACAGGCACGAGGTCGGGGTCGGTTGTCACGGACCGAGAGATCAGTCACGGTGCTGAACGAGAGAGTCCCTCTGAGCGAGAACTCGTTGCATGGGCGGACGATCAAGCAGCCCCGGACGCATCTGCAACTAAACGAAAAGCGGAGGGCGCTCACCGGAACGCACCGCATCGCGAGCTCGCCTTTGACGCTCTCGACCGGTATCAGCGAACAAAGTGGGACCAGTTTGTGGAGAACGAACGCAAGTTCGGAGTGAAAACCACGTACACAGAGGAGCATTATACCACGAAATTAGATCCGAACCGCTTTTCCGAAGCAGATATCGCCCGCGCCGCGAGACTGGCAGCTGAAATCGAATCGAAAGCAGCGGATAATCCCCATGTGGCCGAGGAACGTGGCCAGTTCATTCAATTGGCAGATGAAAGCGGCTGCGATGACGAGGAACTTCGATATGGGGCTGTTGTGCGCACCGCGGAGCATCCCGGAGAATCAAACGAGCCTCGCACCAGCGAAGAGATCGGGCCACGACCAACGGGGATACCTGCATCCGAGGACACAAGCAGCTCTGCAACGGATGCTCCAATGCGACCCGCAGCCTCAAAAGCTACCGCTGCTGGTATCTCGATAGCTGCGTCCACTGAATACTTATATGCGCTGCGACGAAACCGTTCATCAGCTTCATTGTCGCGAAACAGCTCGTCAGAATACTTGCTCGACCAATATGATGTCGAGCACAAACGAGTCCTCCAACGTCTGTCGAGTCGACAAAGGTTAGAGGATGCGCGGATGACTGGTGTGGTGGTTGCGCGGAGCGGCTCCACATCGCCCGCGATGGGGAACGGGAGCGATCGAGCGTCACCGGCCCTGGCAACAACCCCTACAGCGCCTAGCGCAGGCCCCATCCCCGCGAGTGTCACAGTCGGCCGCGAGGTCGTTGGTCTGAACCTGGAGCTAAGTGTTCCGCATGTGCCTGATGAAGTGATTCAGAAGCTGAATGAGTTCAAAGCGCAGCAGCAACAGCAACAGGGCTACGAAAGCGAGCGCAGCAGGGAGCGCGAAACGGAATATTTTCGCCGCTTTAGTGCCGATATTGAGCGAAAGACAAGTTCCGGTAACTTGCGTTCCATGATCCGTGCAGGCAGCAAATTGTCGTTGGCCGGCTCCGAGAGCAGTCTCGCCGTGGAAGCGACCAGTGACGAACGAGAGCGCAGCCTAATCCAGTCGCCGAAAGAACAAGCGAAGAGTGAGTTCAGTGGCGGCAGCGCCACTAGCGGTAAGGCAATGGATCCGAACGCGAAGGATTTCCACCTCAACGTGAATGCCGAAGAATTCGTGCCATCGCAAGCGCTGATTGAACCGGCTCCTCAGGAGCAGCAGCGCTTTCAGAACGTTTCGTCTGGAAATCCTCACCGAGGCCGAGGCGGCCGGTCACGCTACCGGGGCATGTCTATCGCGCAACGGGAGCAGGTTTTTCTGATCCAGGGCGGTGGCGGTTACTTTTATGGTCCGGGGATGGGCGCGGCACACCCAGCAGCGCAACCGTATCCGTCTGCGTACTTTTTGCCGTATGCGCCGCAGCCCCTCATGGGACCCGCTGGCTACTCAGCAATGCCCATGCAGCCGATTCCGGCCTATCCACCGCTGCCGCACTTGCTGATGCCTCCATACCCACAGCCGTTCACTTCTCCGACGGATTTCATGGGTGTACCGCCCGGCGTCGCGAGTGCTGAGCCCATCATGGGGTCCCGTCACACGCACAGCGTACGAGCGGAGCACGGCACCCACTATACAAGCCCAGCGGCAGGTGTAGCGCCTGATGCGAGCCCATTGAAGTCCCCAGGGCAAGAACAAGCACCCACCAGACCGTGATGGTCATACGAAAACGTCCACCATTGTGTGGGCAGCTCCACGGCCCCGATTGCGGCAATGATGTCTTCCAACTGCGTTATCTTGCTGAACATTCGCCTAACGCAGCGCGCTGATGATGCATCCGAATCAATGGATCCTGCTGAGCCGCCACGGTCCATCGCTACTTCGCTATCTCTGTGCACGAGGCGTTTGGGCATCTTGCCGCTAACGCGCTGACAGAGGATCAAGTTTCCTCCGCCGCTTCAATAAAAATGGATGACGCGGGCACTGCTTGCGTCGCTTGCCGAGCCCCTTGTCTCAGCCTTGCAGGTGTGAATACGGAATTGGGTTTCCTCCACTGCCCCAGTAAAAATGGATAAAGCATGCGATGTTAGCGTCGCAAGCAGGGCCCTTTATTTCGCCCCGACAGGTTCACCAGCAGGCTGGCGCTTGCCACCGAAACAGCTGCCCAGCGCGTGCGACAACCACCGAGATCGTGAGAACCTCTCTCGTTGCTTGGGCGCCCCGGACTCGTCATTTTCTTCGGGATGCGTCTCGGGTTGGCGGTTGCTAGCATGCCCGCTACGCTCGACACTGATGGAACGCTCAGATGCCACAGTGCGGCTGACGGAAGATCTCGGCGGCACATCTGGGGCGCTGCGAGCGATCCTGGCACGTTCTCCAACACCAGCCAAGAACGCCTCACTCGCCTTGGAGAGGCCCTGCTCTATATATCTGATGGAATCTGGTTGACTGAAAACTGCGCTGGGTGCACTGGTTGGCTTCAGGTAGGGAGCAACGAGACCGCGGACCAAGCGCATGCGCGAGTCTGCCTTAAAGATTGCCCCAGCGTAGAGTGGGCCAAGCAGGAAGCCTACCTGAAACGAGAAAGGCTCAATTTCGATGCATTCATTACGTGCTTGGTTCCATGCCTCACCGTCACATTGCACTGCGATATGTTTGGCGACAAGCGACGAGGCCGCGCGGACCAACGAAGAGCGACTCTCCTCAAGCTCAATGCGAATTTTCCTACCGTTCCGCAGACGCTGAGCCTCGCGACCCATTTTAATCCATACAAAATGAACAAGACTCTTCATGGTCATGATATCCAACCTGCCGTCGTCCACGCACGGCAGGACTGCGCTGCTGACAGAGTCGTGCGGGCCCACAGCGTCCTGACGTGCAGCCTGAGATGATTCCCTTTCGACAGGATCGGGGCTATGATGCGCTCCCTCCGTGCGTGCGTCGATTGTAGCCGCATGCTTATCTACCGCGCTCCCCCCGGGAGGATGTGCTTCCGACTGGGAAACCGTATGATCCCCTGAGGACCGACGATGAAAGCAGCGACAAAGTTGGAGTACCTGTTGCTGTTTCCGAGCTAGGGCCCGACGCTGACGGCGGGCCACTCCACCTGGATCCGCCCCAGCACCATAGGAAGGAATGTTTGCGAATAAAAGGGACTGCGCGGCGCGTGGAATCTTGATGCGTTGCCCATCAACATAGAGCGTGATGCGCTCCTTGTAAAGAGGTCGCGCCCGACTCAGCATCGTTCGTTCGATCCCAAAGAGAGCATGTGAAATGTAGTTAAGCGTCTGGCTCCGATATCGTCTCGGATTTGCTTCTCGTCGAGAGTTGAAAAGCAATTCCACATCCGCATCGCATCCGAGGGACAAATAGCTCAGCATCGTGAAACGTCTCGCATACGTAGACTCTTCCTCTTCATCGGACTCCGAATCCGAACCTTGACCTGGCGCACAAGCCCCAGATTCAGCGCTTGCGAAGCGAACACTGCGGTCTCTGTTCGCAGAAGCCTCACCGGAGGAGAAGTGGGCTAACAGCGAGCTGCTGCGCGAGCCTTGCTGCCTCCTCAGTCGCTTTCGCGTCACCTGCCAGGTATCCAGCGGAACCGGTACACTCTCTACTGCATACCTGACCACGCCCTCGAAAAAAGGCCCGCTTACACCCACGAGATTCGAGCCCCAGCCCAGCGTGCGCGCTAGATCGTTACCAGTACCGATGGGAATCGGGGCAAACGCCCATTTGCGAAGAACGTCCAGCTGACGATCGGAACTGGCTGAATCGCCTGAAGCGCTGAGTCGACTCACCACCTGTACATAACTATCGACAACGCGACTAATAGTTCCGTCGCCACCGCAAATAAGAATGCGGAGGTTTTCCTCTGCTCCAAAGTTCTCAACCAGCCACTCGGCAGCGCTTGGGACCTGCAGCACGTTCAGGCACTTTTCCGCTCCCAGAATCTTACGCAGCACCTCCAGAACTTTCGCTCCCCTCAGTCCACCAGACTTGGGGTTCACACACGCCACCGCAGTTGCAGCCATGCGACACCGCGAACACCTGCCGTCCACCAAGCTCCGCTGCTGCCACAGAAAGAATCCTTCTAGGAGCTGCTTTCGCGACGTTCGCGATTGCATACGAGTCGGATTTTTTTCCATTGGCAAAACGTTTCCATAGGCCAGCGTTCTCCGATTATGCGCATTTTTCTTTTCTTACTTTTTTGTGTTATTTTTTTCAGTGCGAGGTGAGGTATCCATCAACCCCCTACTCCCATGTTATATTACCTATACTTCATCTCGGATATTCTGGTCGTTTCGTACGTCCTATCGTGTGCCGAGCCTGCCGAAAGCGGCAGCAATAGCGCCTACAGCGCCGGTGCTGTCGCTGCACCGAGACAGAACGGCGTTACCGTACCACAAAAGGCGTCGGCTCGAGGATGAGTCGGATGCATCCGCCCGAAGCACCGACAGCAGGTGGCCTGCGAAGTCTGTGCTGAGCGCAACCGCAGGTGTTAGATCGTAAACTCCTTCGGAACGCAAAGCTTGCGTCTCGCATGCGTATGCTTTCGAAAACATGAAGACGAGGCCTGGCACACGGACGCTACAATGGACAAACAATAGATTTTTGCGAGTGGCTGGTCTCTCCTACGAACTCGGGTATCTCGCATTTTGCCTAGTTTGAGGTCCCAACGGCACGAAGATGGGCATCAGGGAACGGATACTGCATGGGGAAAAATATATTCACCGATAAGCAAATGAGTCTGTGCAACAGGTGTCCTGTATTTATACAAGAGGATGCTCCCGCAGTATAGACATATGCGTCTTGGTTCGGCTTGGAGCAATATTACGGGAACGGATGCGAGGCGAATCAAGTGAATGGGAGCTGATGTACTGTCTAAGGGGGCTGTTGCGCTGACTGCCGCCACTGCTCAGCGCCTGATACGCATCTGTGCACAAAATCGAACGGAGTCCAGTTGTTTGACTCTGCGGTAAACGCTAGTGTATGCTTCTGTTCCGGTTGTCATCAAAACATGCCTTTCTAGGCTATTTCGTCCACTGCTTTCTTTTCCTGACTAGCATCACCGGGTTCAAATTCACCGGTCTCTCCTTTGCCTCGAGATCTGTCGTCAGCAGTCACACGATGCTGATCGCAGCATCAGAGTTTTGATTCCGATGTCTCTGGCATTTTTCGACGCACCTCATGCAGAAGCAATCATTGCGGTTGATGCTTCAGTTATGATGCTCATCTTCGTTGTTCAAATCCTCCGCGGGCCCATCGCAGCGTCGGCACTTGCCTACAGTCCGATGGCGCTACGCGTCTGCCACATTTTCTGCTTCTGGGGCTGCTTCGCTGCGCATGAACCCTTGCTTATCGTTTTCGATTAACGCGCTTGACGGGTACTGAAGGCTACCCACGATACCCTGCATCCTCCTCCGCCTGCGCTTGCGCCCCTGGCGCCGTATCCTAGGATCACGGGCCTCTTCTGCATGACCCTATCGGCGAGTGCTCTGCCTGCCGCACCGCGAACCCACGTTGTTCCATTTTATTGATGGTTCTTGGAGCTCGAGGCTGTCGGTGATGAAACAAGTGCCAGACGAAAAGTCCAGGCTAGAGATCCCGTCGAGAAATTTCGATCCGAACAGGTTCCTTTCGTCCAAAATAGAGAAGCACCGGTCACGGGAGACGATCGCCGCGATGACTCAACGTTTACTCCGTGACCGCTCCCATGCAGGCGGAAGATAAGAAAGCCGCTGGGAGAGTATCTCCTGGGAGATGTCAAGCTGACGTGGAAAGCCATTTCGTCGATGACTACGAATAGAACATGCTTTGCGTTTCAAATGGAATCGAATCGTTGAAATGCGAAATTAAGGGAACTTCCGGCATGAGCCTGTGTAGCTGTCGTCATGCAATGACATCGTGTTTTTAGTCGTCAATCCAGCGCCTTGAAGTGGTGCACCCACGATTTCCCTCGATACCGAGAGATGGTAACATTGAAGGGTGGAGCGTTATCCGTATCAATCTCATAAGGATTTCGGGTTTTTTACGAACCAGTATTCGACGGCGTCGCGAATTATCTTGCTGAAAATGATGAAGAGAACCCAAATTGCATAGATTCGAAGAAGCCATTCAGAGAAAACGGCCGAGAATGCTGAAACTACTCGTCATCCCGTGAGCCCTTCTTGCTGCTCTTCGGATATCGATTCCGCACGTCAATGGTTCGGCAAACGATCTAAAGCCAGGGGCTGGACGAGCTGTCCGGTGTTGCATTTAATCTGGAACGGATGTAGATGCAACGCCGCACGTGGACATGGTAGATGCTCAGGTGCTTGCATATTTCTTCCGAAGGTCGAACTTGGAACAGTAAATGTCGCAGTGTTTGTAGCGGCACACCTTTTTGGTGCCTATTTTGGTTTTCTCAAAGTAATCGAATAAAACGATTTTGCCCTTTAGATTGGAAAATGGTAGCAGGACGACTTTATACTGTGAATGCTAGCCTGCAAAAAAACAGTCTGCTTGTAAGAAACGGGCATGCTGCGGTCAACAGGTGGATGCGCCTCCCTTCTCACACTCGCTGTCCGTCACGTGATCCGTACAAAGCTGAACTTATGAAACGCTGCCAGAGCGCCTGTCTCGTATTCACCTAAATACATGCCGTGCGATCTCCATGAAATACCGCAACAGACACAGAAGGATATGGGTTTCCCTTGCCTTGCCTACGAACGATGAAGAAGAGAGACGGATGAGCGAGGAAAAAGCACACGTGAATTCGAGAGCGTCGCGCACTGAACAACAAACTAGCAAGTTCGGACTGAAACGCGAACGCTTACAGGAGGAGGTACGGATGTGCATCTCATTCGATATGACATTAATGGGGAGAATGGGTAGGCCAATGTACTTTGGACTCAAAGAGGCGCGAATCGCTGTTCGTATTGAAGAAACAAGCGAGCGTGATGAAAACACCATCTCCACCGACGATGCGATTGTGTGGTCGTCTCTGAGTCAGCAAACGCATAGCATCGAGCAAGACCAGGTTTTTCGTATAAGCACTTTATCGCTTCCGCTTCCCACATCCATTAGGCTTATTCCTCGGCAGTGTCGCTTTCTATCGCTCAAGAGCGGTTAAGAAGTATGCATCTGAGTTTTGGCGTTTTTTCCTGGTTGTGTCTGCATATGGCTCGCGGTGCAATCCAGTCGAAGGCGTCTTCTCCGTAGTTGAATAACAATTTTACGATCACGGACCGATTGACAGGTCGTTCGCATCCATGTCACCGCTCATCAACAATCTGTTCACTGACAAGTCAAACCCTGTATTCACCAGTGCTGAGCTGCTCTGTTGCTCCTGTGATCGAGCACTTGCAGAAACTGAAAAGCGCGCTTTGGTCAGTGCATACGCTCGCGAAAGACAGGATGATGGACGCGAACTCGAGGAATAGTTCGCATATGTAATGAGGGCGAGCTTCGATGCCATCGTTCGCGCAGTCGGCCTGAGTCCCGAGCAACGGAGCGGATATGAAGCATGGGGACACTTGTATACCACTCTGCCAGGAAAAGGGGAAGGAAAGGAAACCGAAATACAAAAAAAAGAAAGATCCTCGAGAAAAATGCTCGACTCACGACCGACGAGAAATGATATCGGATCGGAAACATCGGTCCCAAACCATTTTCGAGGCCTTGCTACTAAAACACATTATCTCGCTGACGCTTCCGAAAAGTGACATGCAGGACGCCATTAGGGCCAATGTAGCATCTTGACCGAGGAAGTCTTCAGTAGGGTCCATCTCCTTGACGCGCCTCGTCAACCAACTATCCGCCCGAGTTCAAGAAGCGGGGCTGCCAGCTGTCCACGTTGCTCAGAAAGTTTTCTATCAAACCTGTGAGCAAAAACCAAATGACGCTCGACACAGAAATTGCAAATCAACCTGATCCTAGGATCAAGTTGGATTCCACACGCGCTACCCGGAATACCTTGGTACGACCTTGTGCCACCTCGGCAAGGGGAATTTGTACTGCGCAGGTCCAAAAAAGTACCTGGACAACCTCGAAACCCAAAAGCATACTTTGGCCAATACCATGAGCTCGATGAAGTGAGCGCTGTGGGCGTTATATGCTGACCGCACTAGCCCAGAAAAATGCGGATTGAAGGAAGTGATTCTTGGGGTTGTCATCGGGGGTGAACACCGAGCTGTCTACGGTTGCAGAGCTCGAAGTACTCGTGCGTCCTGATGAGATTTCACAACAAAGGCGAGAGTCGCTTCAGATCGTCCACAATCGTCGTATTGCTTTCAGCCGCGAACAGAAGCTGTCGTGCCTAAACAACGATAGACACTTGAGGGCTATCTTCCTGGGATCTTGCACTAGGACATGTTCCCGAACGGAGCGCTCCGGAGCAAAGTAGACTCGCCGAACACGAGCGTATATGCGAAGTGATCCTTATACACGACATCAAGTCCAAATATATCGCCGAAGATAATGCTGTGGTGTATAGCCTCTTCCGTGAGAAATTCGGCTGGTCTCTGGAAGAATCGATGATGCATTCGAACAATTTTGCAGAGAGCATTGGCGGAGTTCATTCAAGGCTTCTCTTGCACAGAGAGGAAAAGGAATCCAGTAGAACGGGACGATGGAGATCGAGAGTGTATCAATCGTCATGCACTTTTTGATACCTGTGCTCGTCCCGACTAACGATACTCGTTTCCCACCCGTCAACATAGATGAGGAGAAAAAAAACATGGTGGTGGGCATTATTCCTCATTTGGAGGGCATCACATCCATTCCCGTACGTATGCAATAAGCGGATGGTGCCAAAGACCTGAACAGAACGCAGATGAAGATGCAGAGCTTGTCGAGAGCTCTGGATCATCGAGTGTCCTTCATTAGGGACGCCACGAGGCACACCAATAAGAGGAATGACGGCCCCAGGACCTAGCTCGATGATCTAGGCATCGTATTGATCAGAGGAGAATGCTTTCCAGGCTTCATTCAGGGAGTACACGAGGGTCCAAATAGCTCAAGCCGATGATCTTCTGCAGGAGAACATGCATCTGTGCTGGGACGCCAACGGTTTCTGTTGCACTGAGGCAAGAGGCGTGCCTTTGCCAACTACAACAATTTTAGAAGAAAATGCTCGAAACGTCGCGTCGTGTGGCGGTAGCCGACGACGCTGGACGTGCTGCAACGCGAAAAGGCTGCGACCCAGCTCATTCGATGAGAGCAATATACATAGTGCAGAAATCGATTCTACACGATTCTCATCGATGCGTTCGGGTCGACACCCACACATCATGGCACCGGATGCACACTGCAACAGGCCGAGAAGAAGAGCTTGAAACCGAGCCGACTGCACGAGATGGTACGCTGCAATTTGGTCGAACGTCACATGGCGAGGCTACCGATGGCTGAAGCCTTGCACGTCTGTGATTCACTCTGCAACGGTGCGCGCGCAGACGCGCTGCACCGAGTCTTGAACGACTTGTGAAACAGTCCAAGATATCTGGTGCCTCTGCGGCGTCCAGTGGATTTGTGTCGAACGAACGCTCATGGTAATCGTTTAGCGCACAGCGTAGGCATTGGCTGAACGGCAGAAGACTTTCGATTGAGAAACCAGTCATCAGGAGCCAAACGATACGATGTTCGCCCGATGCAAATCACTGATGTGGAAAGAGATGGCAATCTCAAAGGGCTAGAGCGCCGTATATCGAGACTGTGATCGTTTTCCCATGGCAACTGCTTAACGATAGTGTTATTCGACTATTCGATGTTCCACATAATAATTGGGCCTGAGCGCTTACCCCAAGTTGTTCGCGCAGCCCCTGCTAAGGATTTCTTTCAGTCGCATGGTTGATGCGTTTTCTGTCCCGCTGAGAACGTTCCGATTGTATTTTGCGGGTAAATACGCGCTTGTACGACAGATTTTGTACCGAAACCGCTTTTTTGCTCGTTCGACGCGCTTCCGTCCCGTCAGTACTCCAGCACCATGAGCGACACGGCGGCGTGCTTGTAAGTTGGACGCCCTCAATGCTGAACTCTGCACCTGACAGCGACAGCTTGGCGAACCGTTGCACAGGCGGCTCTGGTAGTTTTGGGGCCCGCTCCTGGGAGCTCGCGCACGTCCGACCATTGCCAGACATGTCACCCTGACGAAGTGCGAAAGCCACCGACGAGCTTAACCGGGTCCGATGCTTCTCGATTTCTTCGTATTCGTCATCGCGGATGCCTTCGACAACACGCAAAAGAAGTGAACGATTCGTGCGTCGCCCGTCATCTTGCAAGATGAATGTGATCAGTTTTGCAGTCTCGTCGGCATTCGTTCCCATCTCTGCGGCGCTTTCGGAGTTCTCGGCTTGCTGCTGACTTCGCAAGAGTACTCTTTTGAAGATGGGCTGCGGTAGAAGCCTCGCCGCGCTCGCCGGGACCAGGGCTAACAGCGCTGCGTGCGGTGGTAGCGGTGGTGCAACGCTCAACGGCGGTTGCAGTTGCAGGAGCGGATCACCGTCGTTCTCCTTAAGCCATCGAACAATGTCTGATGCCGATGGTCCATAGGCCCTTGAATATGTGTGGTAAAAATCGGGACAGAATCCATCAATATACATCGCGAGCGCCCAAAGCAACGTTCGCAGCCATTCCTCTGTGTCGTACAGCTTCTCGTCGTCGTCCACCGATATGCCTTCCGGTATATCCACTTTCTCCAAAATATCCTCAGGATCCGTGACGTCCGCCGAAATTTCGCCGTGCGCAGCGTCAGGTTCGGTGCCATCTTCCAGATCACTCGGGTGAACGTTGCGTTCGACTGAATCTTTTGACTCGGATTCGCAGGATGACGAGGCCTCTACGGATGCATTCCCCGCTTGGGCGAGTCTCAGCGCTTCTTGCCCACGTATGCTCGCTTCTCGATACATTTCGATGAGCTCTTTCGTAAGATTCGGGACCAGCGGGTTGATGAGGCGCTTCATGAGCGCGTACAGGAATTCCCAGTCGAAACTGCGCTGCTCTCTGCATACGAGGTATTTTCCTCGCATGGGCCCTTTGTCCAATTTCAAAGCCTTGTACGCCTCCCAGATCGAATTAAATGAAGTGCCGCGCAGCTTTGGCAAGTAATCGTTTCCCTGCATCATGAGCATCACAACCAGATCTAGACGCAGAGACGGTGTTTCACCGGGGAAAAAACGATCAAGAACCCGAATCCACTGCCAGACGCTAATGACGATGGCGCTTATAGCCTGTCGTTTCTGAGCAGTCCCGTGCTCGGGCGCGTCCTGCATATTGGCTCGCGGAGTGATAACGAAGACGAAGAAATTCCGAACTTTCTGCGTTGCCAGTCCTAATACCACGAGATCAGCGTCGCTGCCAATGACGACAACGGAGTGCTGCGGGTCCACATAGCGGTGGATGTAGTCGATGATTTTTATTTCGCCCTCGCCGGGAACAGTCGGACCACTCACAACGAAACGCACGTTCTGGTACAAATGACGCTTCGATTGCAGTCGAGAACAAACGTAAAATTCTACAGCCTGCAAAGTCAGCTGCATAAGTTCTGTTCCAGGCGAAAGGCTGAGCACATCAACGCCGCAACGTCGTTTGCGTTTGCGCGTGCGGTGGAGTTTCCTCGACTCGAGGACGCGCCTTCGCTTTTGCGTAACGAGCTTCGCCAAGGGCGCCGGGCCATCAAACGCTATGAAGACCGACTTTTTCGGTACACAAAGCCGAAGAATGTTATCTAACCACCTGAATAAACGGATGAAAAACTGGTCGCGGTTTCTTGCGACGCGCGCTGCCAAGTGGATAAGCTGGTTCAGGTCGAAAAGCACGTGGTCAAAGTGCTCAGGCGCGCTCTCCCCAGTTACCGTAACGACTGTGCTGGGGAAATTCTCCAGATACCAGCGCTGGAATCCCGCTATTCCCATGTTTGGTGCAGTGTTTCAAGGACAACCGTGATCTTCGTACCATCTACAGCACACGTTCCCGTTCACGAAGTGACACGAAGTACGAAGCGGTATTTGGTAAGCGTGGTGCCGCTCCAGCCGCAACAGCATGCGCTTGCGCATGAACGCGCGCTCGTGTCATGTTCGAATACCACCGTGAACTGCTCGCTCTGTCCCTGTGTTGCAATATTTTTGAACGTTTTTTACATGGACAGCTTCGACATCCGAAGTAGGGCAATAAGGTCTTACAGATGAATATGTGTTTCTAAGGATTCTTCGTCATCTTTTCGGGGTGGCTTCATCGACTCTATGTGACGCTGGGATTCGATACGTTACTTGAAACAACGGAGTTCGCGACAGCCTCGACCAAGGGTTCTTTACATAGCCGATACAATGCAAGAAAATTTATACGAACAATCGTCCAGTCTTCGCCTTTCATACGCATAGCATGCTCAAATCACGATTGCTTCACGTGTTCGAAGTTGTGTTCTATGGCAACTCGTCAGGGTAGCAATGCGCGCCAGCGATGGATGCCTCAAGCATATCCCACGTTGTGCGTTGACGAGGTCGAGTGTTTTTCTGCGTCAATCCAACGGAGCGACTTGCTTTACCCATGAGTTGCCTTCATATAGAGAGGTCAAAATATTGAATAATGCGTGACTTGAGCATGCTACACGAAAGTAATGCAGAAGACTGGATGCTTTTCTGAATGAATTCGATAATGATATCGCTTATTTTTCGAACCCCTGTTTGATGGCGTCGCGAGTCATCCTGATTCCGGTGACGTAACGAATGCCAGCGTTCGAGAGTACATGGAGCCACTCCGAAAAGACGATCGAGATTCCGAAAGCTTCTTAAGAATGCGCATGCCCTTCCTGCTGCACTTGGAATGCCGAGGCTGAATATCTAAAAAAAGTTTGGAAAACAATCGAGAGGCAGGAAAAGAGCGAGCAATTCAGTGTTCCATTTTCATCTGATCTATGCGTATAACATTTCTGAATATTGATGCACTTGGATGCCGACAAGTGTCTGCCTGCACCAATCCAGTGCTACAAAAGGGAGTCAACCTGCGAACACGACGAAAATGTCGAGCTGCATCTCTGCCTGGGCCGGGTCTTGAGCGCCCCAGTAGATGTGCGCGGAGAATCGCGTTCGTTTCGGTTTGCAGTATGAGGCTTGTAGATGAACTGTTCTTTCCAAGGAATGCAAGGCGCCGATGCGCTGGAAGCTTATCGGGAGAGCCTTGCCTGCCGCTGCTGCGCACAGAGGCAATGCCCGTTCAGGGCGCTGACACTGAGCCTATGGTGCAAGCTATGCTTCTTGAGCACAGTTCATTCCGTGCTGCTTATAGTCTTCGAGCTCTTTCCCGCTATTGAGCGATCTGATTTGTAATGATCTGAAAAAATCTGCTCCAGCGTGCGGTCTTTTCAAGAAATAATGCAATCTACTGATGTCATCGACCATGTGTGAACTTCCTTCAGACGCCTTTCGCTTCTCACCGTGCTCTTTGCGTAACATAAACTTGAGATATGTTAACAAATTCCTTGACAGTGAATTAGAAATAGAACGTGAAGCGCTGGCCAAGTTCCGAGACTGGCGACGCACCACTCGTATCCGTAAAAGGAAATCCATGGCGATGGTTGATGCCATGTTGTTCTTTTCGGTGACGCGGATGCCGTCATCCAGGATGCAAAGCGCTCATTTTGGAGTTTAAAAGTGCGCAATAGCAGTTGAGGCACCCCGTTCATAACCCATCTATTATACGTAGAGTGCTCCTGCCAGTCCTACAGAAAGCAATGCAACACGCGGTAAACTTCCTGCAACTGCAGATGCAACTTCTCTCTCACACGTCGCCTGCGGTTACAGACAACGCTCGCGCATATGAAAGAATCCTTTTAGATACATCGGTCTCAGCCGTTGAAAACACCTGCGCTCAAGTCTTGCGAAGGCTCAGCGCTGGCCGTTCCGGCAGTTCAGGGATTCTTCGGCCACCAGCTCAGATCATGAGCGATCCGGCCGCTGATGAATCAAAACTTCCGCAACAGCTATGATGGCATTGTCTCGTCGCAAACCGATCCGAGGCAACGCATTCCAAGCCTCCTGGAGCGTACAACGTACGGTGCTGCCTTTGGAGCCCCAAGAAAGCATGTAAAGGGCTGCGAGGCTCCTTCTATGCGACCATTCAGATGCCTCGTTTAGTTTAGCCCCAGAATTCGCAAGAGCTACTGCAGCGCATACGAGAACGAACTCGGAAGCAAACGCCTCAGCGCTTTGCGCTTCGATCGCTTCTCTGCTTTCGCTCCGGTCACATCGAACGTCACCGTGCCTCTATCGGTTCGATCCAGCGAGAAACTTCGATCTCTGCACCTTGCCGGGTGTGAATCAACTACTACCCCGCAACATGACGTACTTTAGTGACAGCATCGCATCGACATAGACAGCAGTTCACAAGCGGCGAGACGTACAGAGCTCCTGAGGAAACGCGTCAAGTTTTGCATTAGCTTTGGTGCCGATTCCAAGGAAGCCTTTCAAGGAGTCGTCGAATCCAGGGCGCCATAGCGATCGCCAGAAAAAGTCGAAAAGGTTTCGTCGCTTGACTTGCGACCCAGCTCGCCGCCCAAGCCTTGGCGATTGCCCCAGGCTGCGATGCAAAGACAAAGACCAAACTGTATGTGAAAACCGAACCGTAAAAAATGGTGTTCAGAATCCCATACGCAAGGAGCCCAGCTGTACCATAGCTACGCAGCTGAGCCATGTTCCGCTTGGTGTAGACGCTCAAATCCTGCAGGATAGATTTTGGAGCACGCCCAAGCCAAGGTGATACGATGGCATGTTCCATGAGCAGGGCGCCAGTCACCGAGCCCAAAGCCGGTGCCAACCAGTAGATCACAAAATGACCTCGAGATGCCCGTTCAAGCCATTCTGGAGAAGCCGCTGTCATCCATGCCCGGAGCTGCGCGACTGCGAGCGGCCCCAAAGCGCGTGCGCCGTTCATGGAGCATCCCGTTATCGGGCCACCGACACCCACAAGGAATCCAACAAGCAATCCTATTAGAAGCGCAAATACAGCCTGCTGCATCCAACGAGCGTATTCGTTCTCTGCGTGTAGTTCGAAGGCTGCAAACCCCATTGTTGAAACTAGCGAGATCAGGCTAAATGTGAGGAAAAACTCCCAGCCCGCTCCCTGCCATAGAGACATGTTGGTCTGCAATGAGACCGTGCCCCCCGCCACACGATTATACATGTCTGGCGTCGCCAAGAGGCTAAAGATAACGGCACCCAGAGTGCCGCCAGCAAGTTGAGCGCCCGTATACGCAAGGCTCGGTACCAGTCTCAGGCGCTTTGTGACGTAGAGCGCGAGCACCACAAAAGGGTTCAAAAGCGCTCCTGACGTGGGAATGAAACTCAGTACTATACAGGAGATCATTGCACCCGCAAGAAACGGCACTGCAGCAGGACTCGAAAGGCCGATTAAGCCGGAAAAAGTCGTCAGCAGCGCGGTTCCGAGAAACTCCGCGAAGAGGCAGTGTCGCGGGGGCAGTGCACCGAAGCTGCTCCGCGCCTCCACCAGCTCGTTCGGAACCAGGCCGTCCCCAGCGTGAAAGCGTAGGCTCCCAGCGTCATCTACAGAGCGACCAAGACTGCGTCCTGCTCGAGGTTCAGGGTCGAGCGCCATGACAGTCAAACTTCGGCTGAAAAGCTCGCTCAGCTTCGGAAAGATCAACGGCCGTCCGAGGCTCTGCAAACTGGGTTGCGTTGCACCCTTGGGGTGGCGCCTCCAGTGCTTTCGGTCTCCTGCCTCGCAAATCGGTATCGGTGAATCCCTGTGCACGCAAACTCGAGCTTCCAAGGGTAACGCTCCTGAAACGAACAACAGCTGCTGCAACATACGAACCGAAGTGGTAGGAAACTAGTGCGGCTGCTGCGACTGCGACATCCCAAACGCATCGGCTGCATCTGCGAGGGCGACTTCAACGAGGAAAAAAGTGTTTGCAGTTGCTGCCAGCCGGAGCGGCATACTGGTTTGCTTGGTGAGAAACTATGCTCGACCTGCTTTCATGGAAACCGTCACAGTGAGATGGAAGAGGTTTCTGAGCACTTTTGGGGCCCGGCCTTGTTTGCTGTCTTGTTTGCTTGGCGGGTTGCTTTTCGGGTACCACTTGGCAGTGTTCTCAACGGTAACGACGTTCCGCTCGTTCCAAGACTGGTTCGGCTCGTGGCCTTCCGGGGAGCAAGTTCTGCTTGGGTCGTACTTTGTCGGAGCTTTCGTCGGATGCCTGTACCAGAGGGTCCTCCCGTTTCTTGCGCATGGGGCGGGAACTGCTGCTTGGCGCCGCTATTTATGGCTACGCTGGAGCTCGGTGTTCTTCTGTCTCGGGTCGGGGCTTCCTTTTCTCATAAAACGAGAACGGATGTTAACAGGTCGCTTCCAGATGGGTGCGTTTCTGGTGCTGCTCATCCACCGCTTGCTGATTGGCATCGGCGCCGGCATCGTGAACGTTCTCGGGCCAGCTCTGTGTCTAGAGGTTGCTCCGTCAACAAGCAGAGGCGCCTTTGTCTTTCTCTATCAGCTCGCGATAACAATCGGTATTCTTATGGCCAATCTCGTTAATCTTGCCACTGGTCACGAGGATGTACACCGTCAAGTGGATCCCGTTGCTGGTGGCGCCGGGATCGACATGCGCGGAAACTTTCTCCGACCTTTGCGCTATCCACTCGTGCCCGCTATCTTGATGTGTATCGGCCTGCTGCGCTATCAGTCCTCCATGGGCGTTTCTGCATACAGGGACGCTACGAGTGCCGATATGCTGGAGACCGGGAAACCGATGTCGCAGCGGAAAGAGCGGGAGCATAGTATGGTAGCGAGTGCACGCGCCTTGCGTCCAGATGCTGCCGAGGCGGGACACTCTTTCAACGTTATCTCGAGGCCTTCTTTGCAAAACGAGTCACTGAGCTTGAAAGATGTGGAGAGCTTTGCGATGTACGCAGTTTTGGCTCGGGGATCGTCCCCGACAGCTCGATCTCGAGCGAGCGTGTGGCTCCTTTTGCGCGATCCGCGGATACAGATATGCATGATACTTCAACTTCTCCAACAGTTGACTGGAATCAACGTTGTCCTCGTGTATGGTGTGCAAATTTTGGAACAAGTGCAATCCAGTGCGATGGGTTCTTCCAGGCGCCTTGCGAGATTATCTGGGCCTTTGTACGGTGCTGTGCTTTTATCCGTCATGAACGTGATTGCCACGCTGGTTGCAGTCGGTATCATCGATCGCACCTGTCGTCGGAAACTGTACCTTTTTTCAACACCAGTGCTTGCTGCCTGTCATCTTGCGCTTGCCCGGGCGACCCGAGCAGAAAACGGTTCATCCTCTGTCGCATTTACGGGCTTTCTAGCGCTCATGTTGTTTGTCGCTGTATTTGCTGTCTCTCACGGGCCGCTTGCTGTTCTTGTCGCGAATGAATTGTTTTCGCCGGAGGCTCGGGCGTCGGCGAACTCGATCGGAATGGTTGTGAACGCTGTCGCTACCACTGCGGTGAGTATCGGTTTCCCGCTCTTGCAGCGGGAACTGTTTGGCATTGCTGGAACATTTCTCTTCTTTGCTCTGATATTAATGGGCGGGGAATATTGGCTTTGGCGTTATCTACCTGAAACGAGACAACCAACTTCCGCTGACAGCAGCTAAGAAGATGCCGCATTTGGGAATCGAGTCACGAGTTCCGTGCACGGGTTTCAAGTGTTTGAAGACCATTGATCACGCTTGCACTGACCTCGCGAAGACCTCCGCAGCCGTCGCGCATGCGACATCGAGGGGTACGCTTAGCGCTAGTTGCCGCCTCCGCTGCTGATGCGTCAGATGCGTCTGCTGGTGCTCAGGCGGAAACGCCAGCGCGTTTCGGTGCTTGTGCTTTCGAACAAATGTCCACCGTATGGAACGCATCCCTCTAAATGGACCGACAAACATGATTTTATGTCAGCAGTATTGATTCATGGCTGTATCGTTAGTCTTCTGGTGGATGGCGCTCCATCCGAATGCACATATCATTGTTGCGGATGTAACGGCACTCAAATACTCAGGAACATCGAATAGTCGAATAACACTATCGTTAAGCAGTTGCCATGGGAAAACGATCACAGTCTCGATATACGGCGCTCTAGCCCTTTGAGATTGCCATCTCTTTCCACATCAGTGATTTGCATCGGGCGAACATCGTATCGTTTGGCTCCTGATGACTGGTTTCTCAATCGAAAGTCTTCTGCCGTTCAGCCAATGCCTACGCTGTGCGCTAAACGATTACCATGAGCGTTCGTTCGACACAAATCCACTGGACGCCGCAGAGGCACCAGATATCTTGGACTGTTTCACAAGTCGTTCAAGACTCGGTGCAGCACGTCTGCGCGCGCACCGTTGCAGAGTGAATCACAGACGTGCAAGGCTTCAGCCATCGGTAGCCTCGCCATGTGACGTTCGACCAAATTGCAGCGTACCATCTCGTGCAGTCGGCTCGGTTTCAAGCTCTTCTTCTCGGCCTGTTGCAGTGTGCATCCGGTGCCATGATGTGTGGGTTTCGCCCCGAACGCACCGATGAGAATCGTGTAGAATCGATTTCTGCACTATGTATATTGCTCTCATCGAAGTTCTACAGCTGCATCGGGTTCCTTCCAGAGACATTCAACGCGCAGCGTCTGTGCTTTACCTGCTGCCGGAGGGATGCATCGTACCCGATGCCGTCTAGATGCCGCCGCTCGCATCAGGTTGGAAATGCAGAAACGAATCACGATTCGCTACTCGAGGTGTAACGTAAATCCACGAATACTTTTAAACCCATTAGTTTCAGTGCAGCACACCGTATACATTATCTGCCCAAGACACAACACGAATGGGTACCGGGCGCACCGCTCGGGGCATTGGTCGGCTTACAGGTTGCGGATGCGCGAGATCTCTTGACATCAGCATCGCAGAAGTTTATGGAAGGTACGTTTTGCTCCGCCCTCAAATTAACCTTCCAGCCCAATGCAACATGAAGACACCCGCGATGCCTGTGATAGGCTGCATTCACGTGTACGCACGCAAAGCTTTGCATTCCCGTTCCTTTATTCTCAAATACGGGAGAATATCTACGAGCATTGCTGTGTGCAGTGGTGGTTTCCGTCCACATAACCCACCAGCGCTCCACTTGCAGAGCCTTTCGAGAACCCAAAAGCATCCCTCGAAACGCGGGTCGCAGTTCCCGTTGAGTGAGCTTCGATCTGTAGTGTTCCCCTGCGAAATGGACCCTCTGAGCAATCCATGAGCTAGTCGCTTAATGAACCATGTGCGAGTCGATGGATGACACTCTTTCTACTGCGTTTGTGCAGTAATCGCTGGCCTACCCAAGTGCGCTTGTTGACGCTTTCAGTGGATTTCCATCCGCAGCGCCCAGGTAGCGTCTATCCGGTTTTGCGGATGACTCTTATATGCGCGTGGTCACGAGTACCATCTTCCCCCGCCTATTGCAGAAGTTCAGAAATTGATTCAAAGAACCTCGCAGGATGCATGTCCTGCTTGATGGCCAATTCATGCCAGCACTGGGCTTTTCTCTGTCCGAGTGAAGCACTGGCCCTGAAGTGATTCCACGCCATACGATACGTGGAATCATCTGCCGTACGGTGTGTCCAGAGACGGCGTCCCTGACTATTGCGCAGAACGAGCACGGTTGCTGCAGCAGCTGCTATAGTTGCACGGGATCGAAGCAGCTTCAAGCACGGACGATCAATTGCAACAGACGGACTGAAGAGGGAAAGAGCAGGCAGTCTCAAAAAGGGTTCATGCGAGATGCCATAAGCTCACTCATCCTAAAGGCACCGCTCATGCTGGGAGCTGGGGCCAGATGACAGCAACGCCAATCGAGATAGCTTCTAGTATGACTACGACGACTACTGCTGCTGCTACACAAAGCGTGTTATCTTCCGCCTCGTTACGTTTCGTTTCGTGTTACGCATTACTTCGAGAGCTTTGCTCGCGAATAGAGGAACACACCCGCCAGCGCAATTAAAACTCCTAGAGTATTCTGCAAATTCAGTGGTCTACCGTAAAGGAAAAAATCCATGAGGAGCAAGATGGAGGTCTTTGCATGTCCAAGTACATTGTAGGTCAAGGCTGATGTGTTCCCGATCACCGCGAAGATTGATATATTCATAAGAAGAGCGATAAGCGATGACAGAAAGATGGCGCCCGCTCCTCCTGCAGTCATTGGATGCCGCCAGATGGATGATTCACGCCACCATCGGTACTCGTCAAAGACGGGCAAAAATGGCGCGAGAAAGACGGCCGAGAGAGGTGCGGTGTAAAACTGTAGTTGCATCGGATCGCAATGTAGCTCCGCCTGGAAGCGCCCCACCAACAGTTGGTAGAATGACGTTACGATGACGCCCCCCGAGGCATATACGGTACCAAGAACATTGAACCGATAATCACCAAAGGTATTGATGAGCACGCCGACAATCAGCAGAAAGATCGGAAGCCGCAACTGTGGAGGCAATGGTTTCCGATACAGTGACCAGTCGAGCACAATGACGCCAACCGTGTTCAAGTGCTTGAACAACTGATAGAATGCAACAGAGTTGTGCAGCAGAGATAGATTTGTGAAGACAACGAAACCCATGCCGAAGAATGCTAAGAGGCAGGTTTTGTGCAGATCCAGACGTATTGGCCGGAAAACGCGCACAACGGCCATCACAAAGAGACCCAGTCCAGTTGCCGAAAAGTGGAAAAACGTTAGAGTGGTGCCGTAGCGGAACCCGTAACCCTCAAAGACGAGTTTATTCGCGCTAACGATGCAGATCGTACATAAAGCGTTAAACAAACACAGGAGCGTCGTGCGCAGTGCTCTCCTGCGCGACGGCTTGTCCACGCTTTGCACCTCGGGCGCTTCCTCCGTCAGGGTTCCAACGCCTCGGTGCACATTCAGGGGAATACTTGCTTCATCGGACTCTGGAACTTTCTCGAGCATCGCCGAGCTCATAACCAGAGTGGCGAGTGCGGTATCCCCCGGGCTATATTTTTGCAACCTGCAGCCTGTGCGTCCGTAACGGCTTGGTCGGTGATGGAAGACGCTTAACGCGGGAATTGAGCGTCATGGATTTGCGGCCCTGCCGCAGTCTCCCCATCAGGTCGGGTTAGCTTCGCTCCTGTTGGTGAATGACCGGTGCTTCCCTTGAGATTTCGTCAAGAACTTCAATGCTGCTGAATATCGGAGCGTGACGCGGGATAAACTCTCTTCGCTTTGCAGTCAAAGAGATGTCGAAGCAATACCGTTCCTGCGGCGTCCGCAAAGCTCCCGCTTGTCGTCCGTGTGTTGTATGCTGACCCCATGCACCCGTCTTCCGCGGTCTAGGTGCATTGTTTGCTGCAAGACGACATTGGGCGTCCTGTCATCATGACGCATGCGCACGACTCTGATTATTCCGTAGAAGCGACCTGTACTTGTAACGAGCCTGATGCGTTCCATTTATCGCAACTTGCACAAGCCAGCGCTGCATTCTTTAAGAATTTTGGCGTCCTGACGACCGACACCGAGTTACATGTGTGCCATGGATGACTGATCCAGCCCGAAGTGACCGGCAGATGTAGCGAGCAACGATGCTTTCGGTTCTCCTTCAAAAATGAGAACTGAAACGCATCATGGTGGGACCGTGCTGCGCGGTATGGGACTCCACGCCACTAGATAGGTCCCTGGAAACCGAATCTGAGCGGTTGACGGCCTCCAGCGTTGTACTGTAGCATTGAAACGAGCATTGTGTGAAGCTGTCCCTGCGGCTTCAAACTGGGACCGACAAACCCCTGCCTTGGCTTATATTTTCCGTCAGAGCTGGTAATCATGATGCAGAGCTCGTCCAAGATCTCACTCCACTGAAGATCACGGGCGAAACATACGACTCGTGGTTGAGGGCGAAGGAAGAATCCGCTGCCACTGCAGCAAATCGCTCTTCTTCTTGGTGTGCGATCGTCGTGCCTAACTCGGCTCCCTCTGGATGCCAGCGTGCTCCCGATAACTGCAGCGACATTGTGCTATCGCCGCGAGCTGAGGTACTCAGTTGCAAAGCGAGGCAGCTCCTTCTAGGTGCGGCAACCGCACCTACGCCCCAAACGCTACTGTGGGCACTTCGGGTTGGCTCGGCACCCGGAGCAGGGGCTATGAACGAATTTTGCTCTCCGAAACGAAGTATGGGTGCTGGTGATGGTCGCATTTAATGGGACTTGTTCGTCAGGTTCGGCATGATGGACGTTCTCGGGATCCCGATAACCAGCGCATACGCCTGTGGGATCCATGGAAGATGCAAACGATTCCGCAGAAAAAGGACTCTGGCGAGCGCGCACACGCCCTGCACGATATGTTCAATTTCTCGACGCTATGCCAGCGGACGCGCCCTCGTATTATCAATCTTCGGATAGCTTGCTACGCTTCCGGTGCACTGCACCAGAGAAACTCGCTGTCTTTGTTTTGTTGCTGTACTCTGTGGACACAGAGTGACCATCTGATGCATGAGCCGTCAATACGGGAACGGGTCTCGAAAGACGTTCAACCTGACTCTGGCTCGCTCGTGAGCACATCGACAGCCACGAACGCGGGGCGCGCTGCCCCTTGGACGAGTGTTCCGAGCAGTGAGGGTGCGTGTGCCGCTCCCACTGGAACCGACGGTAGCTCGATTTTTACACAACGTAAGCAATCGCAGCTTGATGTGACCTATCTTTTGGCCGCACAGGCGAAACCCGGGCAGCCCCACGAAGTTGCCGGCGTCCCAGAGCCTGAGTTCGATGTTCTTACGCGGTTTCGCTCGGAGCTCGCGCGAGAGACGCCGGCAGCTCCGGCGGCTGTCCACGTGCTCACCGATCTGATACGATGTTCTCGCTCGGAAACCATTTATGGCCTTGAGCTAGAAGTCAGACGCGCCTGCGACAAGATGATCTCGTACGCTCGTTCGAGTGAACTCTCCGTGAGGGCTGCGTGCGAGCTTTTTGTGAAGTTCATAACAAGGACCTCCTTCGACTTCCCGGACTTTGCGGAGTGCAAGATGCGGCTAATTCAACGCGGCGAGCACTTTCGCGCAATGACGGACACGTGTCGGGAACGTATTGCTGTTTTCGGTGAGCCCTTCATTCTCCAGGGAAGCAATATCCTTACTCATGGTGGATCACGTGTGGTATTCAGCATTATCGAGCGCGCGGCTCGCATGAAACGAAAGCAGTTTCGTGTTGTGGTCGTAGAAGGCCGCGGTCGCCATGATGCTGCGCTTTCTTCGGGGATGACGGCCAAAACGTTGCGTTTCTGTTGCGACGTCATGCGTCTCGGTATTCAGGTCACCATCATTCCTGACAGTGCGGTTCCTGCTGCAATGGAAGTCATTGATATCGTGCTTTTGGGCGCTGAAGCGATCGCCGAGAGCGGCGCCGTCATCAATCAGGTCGGTAGCCTGGGCATCGCCCTCGCGGCAAAGACTTTCAATGTTCAGGTTTTCATCGCTGCAGAATCATACAAGTTCGTGCGCATTTACCCACTGACGCAACGCGACATTAGTAAGACTGATTCGGACCACGCGCCACGATCCTACAGACAAATGACGCGCCACGAGGAGATTCCCAAACAGTTGCAGTTCGAGTGCCCACCCAGTGACTTGACTCCGGGGTCGTACATACATCTTTTAATCACGGATCTTGGGGTGCTTACGCCTGCAGCCGTCTCCGAGGCGCTGATGAAAATGTATCATTAATGGTGCACACGCTCGTACCCAGTTATAGCGTACATCTCTGTGAGCGGAAAGCTTGCATGGAAAACCGCTTCTCCGGATTTTTTGGTGTTTTGAATACGGCAGTAACATTCAAGTCGTGGCGGATAGGATTTGCGATGTGCGTTTGTACGGTGGACATGGCCTGCGTGAAGTCCGCCCCCCCCCCCCCCGATGTGGTCTGGAGGACCGAGGAATCGTTGCAGTCCGCAATTCAGAGCGGTGTGTTGTCTCTGCATTTGCACGGCAACTTATGCCCGTGAGATACCATCGATACCTTCAGAACAAGTCTTTGCGCGGATAACGCACCATGGAAATGCATAGTGCCTGCGATATACAGAGGATCGTCGTCGTTTTGCGGCATAGGACTTCCCGCGCTATTCGATGCTCCATCGCAGACTCCCCGTATCCAAACGATGCAGCACCATGGCGTGGCATTCTCGGTGACTACACTTCTTTTAAAGACACAAATGGTGCTCATGCACAGTAAAAATTCCGAAAATCATGGTCGGTAATGGTTCTGCTCCGTCCTTGATGATAGGCGGAGCCTCCGGGTGGCGTCTCCCAATGCAACTCAAACAGATCCGATGGGGGCGGCCCAACCGGCTCTTCTCCCGATTCATTGACATGAACCAGCTGTATCCCTTCGGCGTCATATTTTCCACAATCCTCGGGAGCATCAAACTCACTGAGGTTATGAGCTGAACCGGTCACGTCCGCGGATGCTCCTTGCAAACTTGTGCCTGATCGCTCCACTCGTCGTTCACTGAGAGCCTCTGTACAGACTTTCTGACGCTTATGGCTACTCGTTGAGCATGGTGCTATCCTAAAACAGAGCAGCCTACAAGCTATGTCGCAGAGTTCCCGCTGATAGATTTCCACGTCCACGCTAGGCGTGGAAGTAGCCTCAGCGCCACGCAAGGCGGAGCGGGGTCTCTTTGACGGAGCTGGACCCAGGCGGCCGCAGTGTTCTCCGTCTCGCAGAGCCACTTCCTTCTTTATGCTCAGTTCGGTGCTCTGTGTGTGAACCTGTCTTTGTGTGGGCGCAACGACGCTCTGAACGCGTCCAAAGGCCCGCAGCGCGCACCGCTGCGCTCCACCGAAACTATCATAGGCAAGCGTATTCTCCGGAGCGGTGTTCTGAAAAGCCACACTCAGACTCTCTTCGCAAACTCGAAGCCAGGCCTCCTCCATGACCTGCTTGTCGTTCAGGCAGCAACCTTCCCGCAGGCGCGCTAGTACCGTATGGTAGGCTATACAGTGCTGCTCGCTTTCCAGAAGACTATCTTTTGTGAGTCAGGCGGGATGGGCGGAGGCTCGATCCTGACTGATGACCATGTAGTACAATATTGTTCAGCTGCATCTTCATCGGGAAACATTGCGTTCGGGCACTGTCGCCTTGCCGAAGAATAAGACATGATCGTAGAAGCTCACTAGCTAGTCAGTTAGCAAGTTCCAGATAGTTGACTTTCCATACCACCTAGAGTGTGAGCGAGTGCGTCCTATTTAAGGCCTTCAACTCGCAGCTGCCTCGGCTGGAACTGAACTCCTGGACAGAGCGTCTCTGGAGAGCAGTGAATAGCGGCAGCGCACTGGACCGCTTGAACACCGAGACGTCTCGCTTCGCTCTGCAACGTGAATTCATGAAGAATCGCGTACCTACGAAACTTGCGAATGTCCAGCAATCTTCGCTTGGGTTTGCCAATTCAGCGCTCTGGTCGAGAAAGATAGCGGCTTTGTACCTCAGAGGGGCTCACTGCGCTGCCTATCGAGTTCGGACCAGTGCACCACCGGGACGCTTTGGAAACTGCGGCAGGCTGCAGGTCGATACGCGGCACACCAAGACGCTGGGCTTTGGATTTCATGCAACCTGTACGCGCATCAGAAATGACTCGAAAATCTTGCCACGTCGGAACGCCGGATGCATTCGCATGACTGCGAGCAAGTCAGCACTCGCCGCGAGAATCGTGCTCTCCGGCCTGATCGGGCTCACGGCGGGTTTTCTCGGATCCCTGATTGGTGTCGGAGGCGGCATCATTATGACTCCACTGTTGACTAGCGTCGCCGGCCTCTCGCAGCACGAGGCTCATGGAACATCTCTAGTGGCCGTCTCTTTCAGCTCATGCGTTGGAGCGCTCGCCTACGCGCGGGGCCGTGCCGTACATCTGACAGCAGCACTCATTGTAGCTCTCGGTGCTGTGTTAACGGCGAGCGCTGGAGCAGCATACTCTAGTCGTGTGAAAAGCGCACTTCTTCGGAAATACTTTGGGGTATTCGTTCTTATCATCGGCGTACTGAATTTTTTGAGAAGTCTCGGGCTCATGTATGTTCAGAACACTGGCACATCTTCCTCGGCGGCATTGTCTCTGGGGGACAACTCTGGAGATTTGCCGCGTACAATGAGAATAGCCCTAACCATTGGTGCGGCAGGCTGCATCGCAGGTTTCTTTTCTGGTCTGATGGGGGTAGGCGGAGGCACCATCGTGATCCCATTTCTATCTTATATCGCAGGCTTTGGGCAGAGGGAAGCCCAGGGTACAGCTCTTGCAGCGATGGTTCTGCCCTCCTTTAGCGGTGCGGTTACACACTCCAGACTGGGTCATGTGAAGAACGAGCTCCTGTTCGGACTTCTTGGTGGCGTTTTGTTCGGTTCCTGGATCGGCAGCGGAGTCGCGCTCCGCCTCCCGTATACTCGATTACTGCAAGTTAGTGCGGTGCTTTTTGTTGCAATGGGTATTCGAAGTATTGTGACTGCACGCCGCGGATCACCTCGAATGTCAGAGCAGGCGGAATGAGGGCGGATCAAGGACGACCCTATGCGCATGCTTTGCGAACATATTTCTCGCCATTCAGGCAGTGCAGCTCATTATCCACTGAAACGGATTCTCGCTGCATGCAGGCCTCGTTCCAAGGCAGTAGGAGAATCTTAAATCGCGCTGGAACGTATCGATTACACATGCGGTGAGTATCACTAGAAAAAGGATCGGAATCGGAGCGGTAGTATCTCTCATACGGAGCGGTATCGTTGAGGAAAATGTATTTGAGAGCGAACGCCACCGTGCCTCTCCGGAAGGTAGAGCCGAATAGGATGTACACGAGTATCAGTCGTCGCGATATCTATTTCCGTCGACTTTATGCACTTCAAAGTCGTATTGAATCTACGTAAAACTTAGAGCTCTGGTTGATTACAAAGCTTTTGAACACATAGCTTGGGACCCTGTTGCACACCGGCGTCAAATACCGCAGCCTCCTCGTTTCCGCTGGGTGAACCATTCTTGTCTCAATTTTGGATGCAATTCGGCTCTTTTCTTGAAGCCATGACAGTCGGCGAGAAGCAGCTCTGCCGCTAGTCGTGATACAGAACGAGCAGCCTTCGATAACGCGCATGCTCGAACGGGCGCATCCGTCGCTCTCAGCTCAGATGACACACCCGTTCTTTTTTTTTATTTCAGATTAAGTTAAACACATAGCTGCTCGTTCTGCACTTGCGTACCCATTTCCCCCAAATTTCTTTTGATGTACAACCTCGACATTCGGAGTGCGGCAGTTGGGGAAGCGGTTTTACGGTTCCATACATAATTTTAGGATTCTCTGTGGTCCCTTCCGAGTCGTGCAATCGACTCTTTTTGGGCTGAGATTCGGTATGTCATCGGAATCAGCATGACTAGTGAACCTATCGAACAAGGAATCGTAAAATAACTGACACCACTATCCAATTCATGCGCACAAACCTCCAATCTTCTCCATTCCTTACGCGTAGCGTACTCGAAAAAAGCTTTCTTCAAATTTTCGATCTTTCTGTTTCAAAGCATGTCGGAGGCGCACCAATTGGCGCCGTAGGATTGACAGGGAAAACAAATCGATGGCGCGCTCTAACGAATTGTTCACAGGCTCACGCTGCAAGTCTTCTATACATCTCACGTCCAATACGCAATTCCATTCGATAGACGAGTGCTTCTTAGTTTATGACAATCGACGAGAGGACATTCATCAGCAGCATGATGCGCCTCACCGATTATGCTCGGAGTGGCCCCCGGCTCTTCCGCATAAATGGAAAAAAGTGTTGGACTCGAGTTATCGTAGCAACCTCTCCCGGCGTCGAGGCTGATTCGCGACTATGATATCTTTATGCCTATAGGTCCATCTTTCACATGTGGATCGGAAGCGAGCCTGGGCGCGCGTGCACTGACCTTTCTGGCGCCAATTGCGGTAGTCGCCCGAAGCGCACTTTTTCGGAACCAGACAAGGCTATGGAGGATGAACTGCTGGGAGCGGTACCGAGTGTGTGCCATACAGTCCACACGAAGCGCACTTGCGCCCCTGATCCGGAGGCGTTGACAACGGGGACCCTGAGCAGCAGTGGCGAAGTTTACGCGAAGGGTGTCGTCTGCAGTTCTGACGCCTCTGCCGCGCTCGACGGGGGCAGTTCAACAACGGAAGCAAGTACGACTTCGTCCACCATGCCGCTGGAGCGCCTTCTTTTGGAGGAGGAGCGTAAGGTTCGCGACTATCAACAGAGTTCACGGTCGCTGAGGCAGTCGGTACCGCCGGCTATGTTGCGACTTGCTATTAAGTACAGCGCCGAGGTGCTTCAGCATGTCGAGGAACTCAAGAGTTGCTCGCGGCGTGTCATAGAAGCCGAAGGCACGCCCATTTTGGCTTCGTTCCCGGTTGATCAGGAATCAATCAGCTCTATTCCCGGTGAGCTTGCGAGATTCGGCTCCGGATGTGTCGTCGCCGGTGCGAGCAGCCAGGAAACCGCTTTCTGGACACTAGCACAGGCATTTGCCGCAGAAGCTCGTTGCGCGGACGTGGGACATGTGAAAACTCTCATGGAGCAGTGTATGATATGTCTTCCGGGCGGTATCGTGCTCGAACGAAATATCAAGATGAAAAGAATGATTGGTGACGTACTGCATTCCGAGCTTTCGCATTTATCGCCAGGAGTGGAGCTTGCAGCAGAAGAGTGCAGATGTTTCGAGGTACTCTGTAGCGCGCTACAGAATCCCAGCCATCAGGTCTTCCTTTTCGATGTCCTGGATCCGGCACTGGTCTCGGAAACGCAATCGAACCCGAGAGAGACGAACTCGTCGCGTATGGTGGCATTTGGTTCGTGGAAGGAGGCCAAGGCTCTGTTCATCGATATTCAAAGACGAATAGATATCTGCTTGGATTTGATTATGCATGCACTTGACACGAAAGCATCATCACTGGTGCGAAAGTCATCCGTCGTTGATTCAATCATTTCACGCGCAGATCGTTTGAAAAAGCGTCTCGAACAGAGACGGGATCGTAATGAAAAATCAAGGAAGCGAAAACCGGAGTCTGAGCCGCTCTCGCCTCAGCTCCAACAGGACGTAGGCGTTGGTCCAGACCAGAGCAGTTGCAATGAAATGAAGGCTGACGAGGCGGAGTCCGAGAACGGCATCAAGGAGGTGTCTCCATGCTTGCGATCCGCGAAACGACGTGGTAAAAATCGTTCGCATCGCGCTGAATCACAAATCGGTAATGAAGATGGAAAACAATCAGCGAAGACTTTATTCCGGTTCATGCGCCGCAGATCTGAAATGGAAAACACTATGAGTATAGCGCCGATGAAAACAGTGACTTTTTGTGGCCCCCTGGCTCTTCAATTCGACTCTCCTCTGAGGGAAAAAGCGCCTTTGGATGCTCGCAACGTGCCTAGTACTGCCGAGGAGGATACAATCTGGGGCCCTGACTGCGCGCGCGCCCCTCGTCGACGACTGAGCTTAGCCATGGATGTTTTGGTGGCCGCCTCGCGTGCTAGGCAGCAGGACCGAACTGTAACCCCTGCACATCAACAGCCGGATATTGCTGTACTCGTGCGTGAGCTGCGCCTTGCGCGAAAAAGCTATTTTGTACAAGTTTTTTTGCAACGCTGGTCGCGTGGAGTCATCTGCAAGGAGGCGATAACCCGATTTTCGAACTCCGAGGACGTCGAGCTTGTCGAACGGGGAATTCAACATATAAGAGCGGATGGCGACGGTGGGGTGCTATCCAAAGCACTGCTGAATCAAGTATGGGTAGCACTGCATCGCAAACAAATCACTGCATACTCATGTATCTCCGGGCGGTTCGTAAGACCAGGATATCGTTACTTACATTTCTATGAGAATAGTCGGCCTCCGTATCATGGACCTTGGCCGCTGATGGAACAAGTGCATAAGATTCGCCCCCGTGCTCCCTTTGCGATTCTCGACGACGACCTGATCGACTATGATTGCGACAGCGACATGGAATGGGAAGATGACGACTCTGGAGAAGACTTGCTGTCAACCTCAGATGAAGAGTCTGCACATGGGAGCTCGAGCTGCTCTGGAAGTTCCCTGGAATGCGATACAGACACAGATTTCATTGCTGATGACGATGCGTCATCAGATTCTGAAAGTTGTCATTCGAGCGTATCCCGTCGAGGTTCAAGCAATGTCGTATCGCAGACAGAAATGGATTCCGGAAACCCCTCTTTCAGTCATCAAGAGTCTGATGCAAGAACAGCTGAACTCAGGAAACTGCGGAAACCTTTCGAACGGCGCAGCAGAGTCGTTCATCTTTCTGCGGATCCCGACAAGGTTCTCCAACGCTTCAAAGTGATTCTCAGCTCGGCGGCGCCCACGGATTTGAGCATCGAAGTGCCGGGCGCCTCGATGACACCGGCGCCCTCGTCACAGACTCCGACAAAAGTAACAAGCCCCAAGCACAGTGCTCATGAAAAACTTTCCGAGAAGAGACCATGTCCAAGAGAACATGAAACGCACAATACGAATATATGGGCAGCTTTCCAGAAAGTGATTTGCAGGCGAGTCCGGCCGTTCCATGACGCATCTTCGCATAGTCCCGCTCTGAAGCAACACGATGACGGCTCACTAATGGAAACTTGTGGACTGGATCAATCAGAATCTGAAAAAGCGGACCTTACGAAACGGGACTCTGGTAGCTGAGGCCTTCGCTGCTGTCCACCATTTCTCTGGCGACTAGACAGATACAGTTATGCTTTTGCTCGCCGTTGTTAAAAGCGAGAACGCTTTTGTATGGGCTAGGTGGAAGATCTCCACATGAGCATTGATTTCAAAACGAATGAGAAAATCATGCGTTCGTTACGATGGAAGACGAAGCTTCTTTGAAGCGGACTAGGTGTAGCGCGTCACGCGTCGTATGTTCTGAGATGAGGAAAACCGCGATACTCGGCTGACAGGAACTGGAGTGCTTCTGGAGACACGGCACCACGCATATTACGTCCTATGTTTCAAGACAAGGAAAGCAATGAGGATCCTTTACCCAAAATGGAACCAGCACGTCGCCACAACTTGTGTGGCTGGACGCATCACTACGTACTGTGCGTGGGCGCACATAGGCATTGGGTGCTATTTGCTTATATGAGAGCGCCGAGGCACGAAACGGCAAGAAAATATTGGTAATTCGCAAGGCAGCCCAACATGCTAGACGTATCGCGTTTTTGCGCTCGATATCCATGGCCAGGCCACTCTGCGTGGGACAAGTTTCCGCTCAGGTGAATATCGCTAAAACGATTCCAAGTTGCATGCGTGACAGCACCATACCATTGATGCTGTAGCAGTAGACCGCACTACCGCAAACGCGTCTCGACCAACGCGGAAGCAACAGCTAAACGGGCGCCGCTCGGGGCGCTCCAGACCAGAACAGAACGTTCTTTCGAAATGGATACCATTGAGACTCAGGGTCTCTCCAGGAGAGCACGGCGTGCGGTCCCGCATTCAGTCACTCGGCACTCGTATGCCCAAACAATGCCCTCTTTTACGAAGTCTGATCTCCTGGAAAAGCGGGTGTGGAGACGCACGCCAGTGACAAGTCCTCAATCCGTATCTACTTGAATCTGCAGCAGGCTTTCACGCTATGGTGGTAGCGACCGATAAACGAGCCCCTGTGCTTGACTAGAAACGCTTACGGCTGCCAGTTTGCAACAGCTGGCGATAGGAATCCCCTCCATAGCTCCCACACTCGACCTCAAATTTCATTCCGGCCGGTCGACAGCGCTCAATACACCATACTTGCCATTCGCTTTTGTCTCCTCAGTGTCCTTTAAAACAGGGCTATACACGCGGTGCACTGCATTCGATGTTCCGGGCAGAGGCCTACACATAGGGCAGATCGAAAATAGTTCACTTCTCCACTACAGGAAACGTTAAAAACGTGAAAGTGTTTCCGTATTCTCGATAGTTTATGCTCTTGGGGAAAGCTCCAGGCAGCCGGACGACTCTTCCGGGCCAGTGATACATACGTTTCCCAGTGCCTAGTGCTGTGAAGAGACCTGAGAAGCTCGTTCGAAACGCAGTTTATTCTCGGACTAGGAGTCGTAAAGCGTTTCCTGGGCGTTGCACTAGTCGTAGTAGACTCCTACCATACAGCTTCGCGCTGCTACAGACAGCAGGGCTATATGTACAGCTTGCAGGTTTCCAGAGTGCTTGTGTTCTCCGATCCTGTGTCGAGTGCAACACGCCTCTAGCCGATGCCCTCTCTGGCACAGCAAAGTCGCTCTGTCTCCATGATGCATCGGCACCAGCGAGATATAAGAGTTAAGCCGGGTGCGGCAAACCAGGTACTGGGTGCACGATAGAACGAACAAAAAGACCATTACATCCGAGAACAGGTCATGGATCTTGGTGTGGCAGCATGATGGACGCTTTCCCGAAAGCTAAAATCCATCCATCCGGCAATCTGGGATCGATGGTTTATAAAAGCGTTTCGGCATCGGCAAAAAAAAACCCGGCGGGCGTTCCGCAACGCCTGGACTAGTTGACATTTATGCCTACAAATGGAAACTCTTTGATCATCGGGACATTGCATCTCCAAGCGCCTCTGCTGCGCTTCGGTCGCCGAACTGCCGGGAGGTGGATCGATTCGTTTAGTCGCAGTAGGTTTGAGCTCAGACTCTTATCGTTAAGTCGCTCAACATGTTTATCTCTCTCGCCGGCGACCCGTGTTTCGTGCGAGGAAAAGCACTTAAAAGAGCCACCGGGCCAGTTTCTAGAGGGCGCGTCACTGCGCGCAAGAGCACCGGCTTTTTAGCGCTTGCGCTAAAGGCAGTCGATGGTCGCTCACCAGAACTCACGCCGAGTTCGGACGAACTGGCCACTCCTGCAAACAGGAACGGCATTTCGGAGGATGCTGCAGCAAAGCTGCATTCACTGAAGCAGGTTCTTGACCAGATTGAAAAGACTCACGGCCGGGGGTCTATCATGCGTCTGGGCGAAGTCGATCGGATGCGCGTGGAAACGACACCTTCTGGCTCGTTAACTCTCGATGTTGCGCTGGGAGGCGGCTACCCGAAAGGTCGTCTGGTCGAAATCTACGGACCTGAGTCTTCTGGGAAAACAACCCTGGCGCTGCACGCAATTGCGGAGGTTCAAAGAAGCGGCGGGGTCGCGGCTTTCGTCGACGCGGAGCATGCGCTGGATCCGCAGTACGCGGCCGCGCTTGGCTGCTGCACAGACGACTTGCTCGTTTCCCAACCGGACACCGGAGAGATGGCCTTGGAAATAGTCGATCAGCTGGTGCGATCCGCTGCAGTTGACCTGGTTGTTGTTGACTCAGTGGCTGCATTGGTGCCGAAGGCCGAGATAGAAGGCGACATGTACGATAACCAGATGGGCTTGCAAGCACGACTGATGTCCAAGGCTCTGCGGAAAATTGCAGGCTCGATGTCGAAATCGCAGTGCACAGTTATCTTCCTCAATCAGCTGCGGGTCAAAGTCGGCGTATTTTACGGCAGTCCGGAGGTCACCTCGGGAGGAAACGCACTCAAATACTACTCCACGGTTCGTATCGATATTCGGCGCAAGGAAACTCTGAAAGATAATTCTGGCATCATTTGCAAAGTGAAAGTCGCGAAGAACAAAGTTGCTCCGCCGTTTAGAGTGGCGTCCGTCAAAATTCTTTTCGGCAAGGGCATTGACAGGATAGGGAGCCTTCTTGAGGCGGCTGAGCATGTTGGAATTATTGTGCGGAAAGGCACATGGTATGCCCTTAATGGCGAGCAGTTTGCCCACGGTCGCAGTGCTGCAGAGCAGCGTCTCAGGGATAACACCGAGCTTGCGAATCAGTTGGAGGTTCTTGTTCGAGAAGGAATGTCCAAAATTCCACTGCCTCGTGAATTCGACGATGACGTCTTCGTTGCCGAGGATTTGGCTCCACCGGAGGAGTCCATGCTTGAGATATAAACAAGTGTCACCTTCGCCTATGTTCATTGCTCGTTTCTGAAACGATTCGACGTGCTCCTGAGGAAAATATCACGCTATCATCCTGGTTGATTTGCGACGAAGACTGCTCGGAACAGCGCAGTCGCCGAGAGATTCACTTTAGTTCACCGATTTGCGCTGAACTACTGTTTTCTGCACAGTAGTGGATTCTACACATCTGTGCGCGCACTCTCTTCTTGATTGTTTGTTTGTATCGAGGATATTCGAGAAAAAGAACGAGTCCTGTCGAATCGAGAAAGGGCGTGAATATTTTTATGCTGTCATCCCTAGGTTGCGAAATCGGCCTTTTTTTGTAACAGGCAATGACATAAGGTCAACAGGTGGATGATCGATCCCTCTCATTGTCCGTATCGTGAACGCCATATATTTAAAACAGATCTTATTAAAGTCTATCTATACGAGAGTCTGTCTTCCGCCAATCCATTCCAGTCCATATCTTCTCTGAGAAAGACTACCAAAAAAGCCAGAGGATTTGAAGCTTCCGTACTGTTGATACGAACGGTGATGAAGAGTTTTTGATTGCCGCAGAGAAAAAGCACGCGTGTGTGCGAGAGCATCGCGTGATGAACGACAAACTATCACTTTCGTATTGAAACTCCAACGCGTGCTACAAGAGCGACGGGGTTTCGTCTCTCTCGATGAGACGCCATTCTAGAAAGCTGGCCTACCCGTGTATGGATACTCGAAGGCCGGCAAACCGCTGTTCGTGTAGAAGATATACGTGAGGGTGAGAGTAGCATCCCCCAAGCGGCTCTTCATTTGCATGATCGCCTACATATCGCGAAACGGACAAGTTCGTTCATCACTTCACCCTGCTCGTGAGCACTTCATGGATTCACCTTTCGTGCGAGTGTGTGTGTGTGTGCGGGATCGGAGAAGCTCTCTCGGCTGCGCGGGCGTGCTCACGATGGAGACGGTGATGAAGAGGTATTTGGCGAGTGGTAGATAAACACTTATGAGAGGGACGCTTCAGTGCCACCAATTACACGGAGCGTATGAACCTCAAAGAGTACAACGGGTATGAATACTGGCCACCGCATCGATACCACGCCGCCAGGAAATGGAGAAGGCGGAACGCGCATCCGACGAAGAAGAGGAACATCCTTCCACAACAAGAACGGGTAGGTACACGGCCAAAAATCTTCGCGAGCGGACAGCAAACTCTGAAATCATTGTCGAGGCCACCCTACTGAAACACGTCAACGGAGAGTATTCCCCAATAAGCGAGATGCTGGACGGCATTCGGAAAGCGAAGCTTGTTTCGGGCAAGACTCATCTTGCGTGCCTTGGCTTGACGCAGCCCCTCAGACAACTACTCGCACGACTTTCGGTCGCGGGGCTCCCGTCTGTCCTGATTCCTCTGGAAATTCCGATCGAACCTATGCACGGCAAAGCAACTGATAATCGGGACCGGAGCTGGAATGCGGCCTGATTGCAGGAGCAGAGATTTGCTCACCCGCTTCGCAGAATACCTTGACGAGTAGCTGCACGACGTGGAAGATCGGGACATCTGCAGCGCTGGTACAGAAAAGCATCAAACGAACCGCGAAGCGAAAACGGAACCAGCTTGCCGGCCAACGTCGAGCGCTTCAAGAGACGCATCCCGGGGGCGATCTGGCAGCTGCTCGCTGGACCGCAAAAGTGACGATTGGTGGCAGGCTTTCTTGGGGTGTTGATGGAGGCCAACGGGGCGCCAATGTCGGAGGACATCGAGTTGGCTGCAAGTTCGTAGGAGACGTCATGAACAGAGCGATAGTGAGTCTAGATCGTCCGAGCTCACTGCGTAGCTCTCAGATTCGCACCCACGGACATTGCGTCCGAATAATGGTGGAAGCGCGATGCCTTCGTTCCGTGTACCTTACGCCAGCACCTGTCCCTGAACGAAGCGCGCCAGAGCAGCGCCGAATCCCGTCGCGAGTCCGAGCGCACCAGTTACCTTGAGCGTCTGTTCGATGCGGTACCCAACAGTCAGATCATGGCCACCATATCACCGCAAACCAGCTCGGTAGTGTATGGCGTTTTCAGTGAGCTGCTGCTGGTGTCTGCGCACAAATAGGAAGCACACAGGCAACTTTGTGAAGAGCGTCTGGCGAGCGCGTCCAAGAATTCTCATCCACACGGAGCAAATGGAGAGAAACTTAGAGGAACCATGGGGGCCGACAGAATATCAATCTGCATAGATTTTCCGATGGCTACGCCTGAGTCGGGCACGCGAGACTCATTGTCCCTCGTATAGAGTCGAACAGGAGGCGCACTTTGGGATGCGTGTGGATCCCGCGTTGAAGGGCCTCCTCGCGGTCGCCGCACCTGAGAATGAGAAGAAACGACCAAAAGAACCGAACGGAAAGCGGATCGGGCTGCTCAGCAGTTCGGGGGCTGGGCGTCATCGAGAGTTGGGCATGATGGACCGCAGGAGGCATATTGACGAGCGGCATGCGGCGTGAGGATCCTTCTAGACGCCCTGAGTACCGTATCGAACAGAGGGAGCACCCCTCGACGCCTCATGACGCGCGTACATTGGTATCTAGATCACTCATGCGGGCGAAGTACGGTACGAACACTCGAGACCGCGTTAGGACCGCCTGCGGGCCAGGCTGTACGGAGGCGGGACGCATGCGTTCGCCAGTCTATCTCATGAGTCGGAAAGCGACTGACAGATAAGTCGCATCCTACAGCAGCAGCCGATGGCGCTGAGCATGCGCGAACACTCCAATGCTGATGTCCTGCTCCTTCGACTGGAGCTTACAACTAGTGCGAGAACTGATTCTTCATCATGACCATCGATTTGCTCAGGACGATGCACACGCATCCTGAGCACAGGTGCACGCTGAAACAGGCAGAGAAAAAACGCGTGAGATGGAGGCGGATGCACGAGCTTGTGCAGGGTAAGCTTTCCGAGCATCAGATGTCGATGCAGTCGAGGTTTCGAGGCTCGTTACAGTGTGCTTTCACCACCAACCAAGCGTGCAAGCAGTTTCCGCGTCGAGACTTGAACGCCACGATAAACATCTGTAGATTCCTAGAAGTGCGAGCGCGTCCAGCAGATTTGTGTCGAGTGAATGTGTGATGTAGTTGTGTTGTACTCAATGAGCGCATTACATGGAAAGCGGAAGACTTTGGATAATATAGTTTGGTGACTAGGAGAGATTCATTGCATGCACGCCTGAAGCAACGCACTGGTGCGGTACGGATTACTCATCCAGAAATATTAGAGCGCCCTAGATAGACACAGGGAACGATTTTCATTTGCAGCTGATGAACGGTAATGGCGTTCTGTTCATCCATTTTTTCGATATATGTATATATACTTCCCGGAAAATTTCGAGGAACGTACTTCTGCAACGCACACACGCCCACAAAATGGGATTTCGAGCCTCCACCTCCAGTCTCGCATAGTGGACTCTGAACGACATTGGCTCCCGCTATTGGCTGAGGCGCCCATCAAGCCGAGAATGCGACCTGGAGTAGCTTCCATTCCGTACCAGAGGATCACATCTTCACCGACGCCATTCCCAGGTTGTCTTCATAGAATCGAAGTTAAGGCCAGTTCCAGTGACACGAGTTTCGCAAATGCCAATCACGTGAGCAACATTCCCGACTGTCCCGGCTCTGTGCAGCGAATGCAGCCTCGCAGCGACAGACATTTTTTCCCGACAACTCCATGCCACAGGCAGTGTCCTCGTTATGGAGTCGGGTGGTGGCCCTGCACGCAGCGCTTTTGATGCGCTTACGTATAGTACTGGCGGCGGAACGCGCTCTCTGGTCACGCTGGACGGTCGCTTCAAATGCTAATCCATGCAAACTTACACAGGATGATAGCCTCCCGTGCTGCCCTATTCGTACTGCACGCTGGATTATAGGGCCGCATATTAGGCCTTTATTCTATACGCAGTTTTTTAGCTTCTCATGGTGCCCTGCGCGTACTGAATGTAGGATGATGGCTTGGCATAGTACGCCATCTATGCCCTAGCGCTGGCAGGAGTCGCAGATCCCAGCGACGCGCTCTGTAACGACGCACGTCAATCGGTGCAGCCATAAATGCGACGGCACACACTTTTCAGCTTGCGCTCGGGTCTCTTTAGCAGCAATGTTCGTTCCTTCTTTAGGTTTCTCTCTTCGCGAAAACAGCGTAACCTCGACAGTATGTTGCAAACGAAACCAAATATCGGTGCAACCGTCTCAACTAAGGCTAGGGAAGTTCCTCGTGATGAACCGTCGAGAACGGACTTTCACAGCGATAAAGCCGGACGCTGTTCACAGGGGCCTGGTCGGCGAAATTATCAGCATTTTCGAACGAAAGGGTTATAAGCTTGTTGGTTTGAAGTTGGTACTCCCCGATAGGAAGCTTGCGGAGAATCACTACTCCGAACTGCGTGATAAGCCATTCTTTCCCGACCTTGTTGATTTCATTTCTTCTGGCCCTGTTGTGGCCATGTGCTGGGAAGGCAAAGATGTCGTTCGTACTGCTCGGAAACTCCTTGGAGCCACGAATCCGCTCGAAAGTGAACCAGGTACGATACGGGGAAGATATGGAATTGATATAGGTCGCAATGTTGTTCACAGCTCTGACGCCGTGACGACTGCTGAGCGCGAAATCCAACTTTGGTTCACTGAGCACGAGCTCGTGGACTGGGATCCTGCGGTTGCTCGTTGGGTTTATGAATAGGGCAAACCGCAACCTCGTGACGTATCTAGTTAGCTCATTATCTCTGTGGTGCATGTCGAGTGCTCAACCGTGCGAACCTGGAGAACAAAGTGACTGTCTGTGACATCGTCAAGAGTGCTTCATAAAACCCATTTCTGAATCTGCAAGCCTTATAAACGTTCTGCTGAGTTTTATTCCGCCCCCGCTGAGTGTGACAGAATATTATTTCGCAGTGTATATCAGGAAATCGAAATCACGATGCAATGCACTCTATATACCATACACGAATTGTTCGCAGGACATATGCTTTGCTCAACAGAGCGACGAGGACTGTTTTCCTTCTTAAATTCAGTGATATAACAATACGCAGGTGCTTGAGGAGCACAGAAAGAAACACGTATATGCAACCCGCGCCCAGTACCGATATTACTGAGAACTGCTTGCTGTCAAAGATAGAAAACGAGCTGTTGATCACCTTACGGGAGCTGAAAGAAACTATATTAGCCACCAAGAGCGTCTCTGTCTCTCAACAACTTGTTCATATTGTGCTGAAAACACTGGGATTCAGTCGCAAAACAGGAGTCCTAGTTCATCCACGGCCAGCGTCTACCGAAATCGCTACTACAACAAAGTTCCAGGAAAGGTTCTATCGATATGAAGCAGCGGCACGTTGGTTTTTTTTCAGTCTATGAGGAGTGTTTCGGACGAAAATTTCGGAGCATGTATGGGAATTCGCGGAGCGGTAGCCCGTTGAATGTTCGACTGAACTCTAAGAAAAGGGCGCCATCATCGGTTCTCGCTGCAGTGGATTCATTTGGTGGCATCAGTTTCACTCATAGAGAAGGCTCATCCAGCAGTACCAACCACATCTTCGAATAACTAAACACTTTCCGCTGCCGTCTGGCGACGTCCGTCTATCGGACAACGCTGCATTTCACGGTTCCTCTTGCGTTTGAGCATTTGCGGATTCTACTGGGGGAGAACTGCTTTTCATTCCTGCGTGGACTCGACGATTTGACCATATCGAAGAAGGGTCTTTTGTCGCAAAACTTAACAGTCGCTTTCCAGAGCGAATCGCTGAAGCGGTCAGTATACGGTGGCAGACTGGAACACATTTCGTCTTTCTTCTGCAATTCCGTCTCCCTCTGGAAACTCTCTCGTTTAAGGTCGTAAAGAACTGCTTTCATTTGAGGAAATAAAAAATCCAGGGGAAAGGTACTGGCATTGAAGTGAGGCATCCTAGAGCTCCGCCATTGCCGGCTGCCGGAAAATGTGAAAACATCCGCAGCTTGCCGACCAGTTAACGACGAAAAGCAAGTGAAAAAGAAGAATGCGAAAAAGAAGGGACATAGAAAAAAAGGTGTATGCCCGACGGGACGACGAAGAGGCTGCTGTGGGCCAGAGGGTGCGAGTTCTGGGAATCCTTGCATTGATGAGCTCAACCAGATGCAATAAACGCATGTAGTCCGTAAAACCGAGACTTCAACACCGCCGTCAACATCAGACGATGTGGATTGCTGAAGACGAGATCCAAGGATCAGACACTATCGAACTTTGTGGGGCAGCCTCTCAGGCTGGAGATGTACAAGCAGCAGCTGTAACAGATAGCATACGGCTGGTCAAAAAGGCTGCGTGGCGTCTGTGGGTAGGTATTAATTTACACTATGGTTGTGAGACAGTTTCGCTCCATTGAGCGTTTACATTATGGACGGCTCTTGAGTACAAATCCAGCCTGAGTTGTCGCCGGTAGCAGTGAGCTCGATGCTGAACTCCTAAACAACATGCCATGCAACCGATGTGGATCGCTTCCAGTGCACCCTGAAGCTCGGCACAAAGGCTTTTACTCTTATCCCTTTCAGGATCACGCTGCTTCTTGCTCGCACATTTTTGGAAAACTCTGGTGCCGTTAACCATATTGAGTAGTTTTAAGCGATCTCCAAATGCCTGTTGTGTGATCTCGATCGATGATCGACTGCTGCATGAATCCTCTCTCCTTCGATGGAGCTTCCGCGAAAACATAAAGTATCATCATTTCCCACTCTCGGCGGGAACTTTTCACCACATGAACCGCATCCACGATTCGTCGATGAATTCCCTGCGCGAGCGTAAAGCGGCTGCCTTTCCACTGAAGAACAACACCTTTTCACCAAGTTCGCTGTGCTAATCCATACAAGTGCAGGATAGCGCACCCAACTCCGCTACAGATTGTCCAGAGGTGGCCAATCGCGTCCACCGCGCTCACGACAGTATGCATGGTCTTGTCATTTTCGCAGCTCTTCATGCGGCACTTTACGCAAGCTCAGTAAGTTTAACGTTCGCATGTCCCAGACGCACAGAGGTTGAGAAACAACGGAACTGCTCTTCCGCATGTTAGCTCTTCGCGTACATAACTTCTGATTTTTCAAGTGGATCTTCTGCAGGCGTACATGCGCCCCAGGAAAACGGTGTTCACTGCGCAAATGTACCATCTACAGGAACCTGTATGCATCGTTTGAGCCCTCGCGCAGCAGCTCCTCTCGGATACGATCCGTTCCGACAAGGCTGGTTTCGTTACTCCAAAAATCGCCTCAAACAATCAGCATATACCGGACCCTCACTCGTTCTGTAAAGCTTCCAAAATCTTGGTGCATTTGGAGTGAAATATTGCAAGCGCTTCACCGAAAAGTACGTCCGCCCGATACTGCCCAACAGACTCGATAAAGAATACGAAGCGATCCGTCTGTTGGCACACACTAACGAAATCGTTTTCGTAAACCTTTCGCAGGTCCGTTTCCATCGGTTGCATAAACTTCGAGTAATTGTCTGGACGTTCTGAGTCCAAGAGCTGAGGTTTGTCTTCAAGAATGCGTACACATTCCCCGCAGAGAGTGCATCGTGATTCGTCCTCAACTTTGAGGGTACCCGCAGATTCCTCGATGTCAAAAACGTGTACTGCGCATGCGCCACGAATTGTTTCGGCAAGTTCGCCTTTCAATTCACCCTTAAGGTGTACTCGAGGGACCATTTTATAATATGCAGTAGCGACAGGTGACCACTTCGCGTGGTCATGCCCCAGACCTTTCACAGCCTCCATTCTTATGTCGAGCCGTTGCCCCCTGAGCATTTTGGTGAGCAGAATTCCTCGTTGTACCTGAACGGGCTCAACAGCTGCTGTGCTGTCTGCAGCTGAAGCAAGCCCATCGGTTGCTTCCGCTTGCTGCTGAGCGTCACTCGAAGAACGATGAGGCGAGGCGCCTTCTGTCGATGAAAGACACGACTCTCCAACTCTAGTTTGCAGCTGCTCCCAGATGATGTCATCGCTGTAGACTGGAATAGAGGGAACTGCATCGTCCCCCGCGAAAACTGCCCCGTCACTCAAGTTCCACTCTGGATGGGCCTTTCGATTCACTGGTGGTACTCGAAGGCGAAAGCAAATCGTATTTTGCGCGCTTGGTTCGTCTGACTCCCGTCGAAACTCGAAGCGCCGCGGGTCAGCGAGCACAGGAACAAGGCCTAATCTGTGGGCTAGGAACTCGTCGTTCATGACAGTAGAGTTTTCGTTAACTGTAACGTATTCTATAGCCATTGTCGGCACCTCCGCAAGTAGAACGCGCCGCAAGGCGTTTAAGAACGGAGCGTCCACTCCTGAAACTTCAAACGAGACTTCGTCGATCCTGTGCAAAGTTTTCCGAATGCGCACCCGTTCTTGCTCTTTGTTGGGATCGAACAGACTGCCATCGCGAGCAACCACCGGAGGTTCTCTCATGAAGCTCAAGCTCGGACGTTGCTGCTCGCTGAGCCTTGAACGCTACGCGTGAGCAGCAAGTCAGATTCACGTAAAACGCTGTACTGCGCTCTGCCCCTGCTTATTTATTCTTAATAATTCTCTTAGATGTGCGTTCTCCACATTCGAACTGCAGCAATAAGGGCTTACCGATGTATAAGTAATTTGAGGATTCCGGGATGTTACTTCGTAGTGACTTCTTTAAGCCTCTGCGGCTGGAATGCTCTACGTCTGTGGAATCAAGATATTTCGCGACGCCCTCGCACAAGGGTTCGTAAAATAACCGATACCATCATTCATTTCATATCAAAACGCATATAATCTTCTCCTTCACTTAAGCATATCATGCTCAAATCATGAGTTTTATTTTCGTTTTCGAGCTAGCTATTTCAAGGCAGCTCATACGCGCAGAGATTCCCGCAGCTAGATTCATGAGAAAAATAAGTCGGCTTGTCCTTTGAAAGTTTTTACACACGCACATGCCGAAGGTTCACTGAATTTCTCACGTTATGCCTCGCATATGATATGCTCTCAGAGGCATTCTTCCCTTCTGTTTACATAGAGAAAGGTCTCAAATTTGGAATATTGCGATACCAGAGATCGCTTCTCATGAACAGTGGTCACCGCTTCGCACCAAGCGAGCGTACACGGATCAAAAGTTCTCGGCTTGATCTCCAGCCTGGATTTACGTTTGAGCACTTGTTCGATCATGGTCAACATTATATACCGCAATTTGTCATTGAATGGGGCAGTGTGCACTTTTATGTAAGATGGACAAAATACTCGCTGAGGGAGTCGCCCAGAAGACGCCCTTGATCCAGGAGTACCGCACCGAGTGCGGAAACTGAGGATATCGTGAGGTACCCACTGTTGTAGCCAATGGCATTGTGATAAGCGATGATGCAAGCATTCACGCTCCGCAGGCCTTTGGATAAAAAATGGGGGGGGGGGGGGGTAGGTGTGAAGGACCCAGAGGAACACGATACCAGATTCAAGTGATACCGTTGCAAACGGCGCACAGAGGCTGTACATGAAGAAGATGATAATGCGAAGGAAAAGTTGGATCGCGACTTCCTCCTGTACATGGAATGCGTCGACAACAACCGAAAACAGCGTAATCCGAACTCGACAGCTCCAGTCCATGGACCATAACTGCAGACAACGGAGAACGAGTATCAAGAGAGACCAGCATTTTGAAGGCCGAGGATAAACAAAAGAAACTGAAATAAGCCGCAGAAATAGCCCGCCAAGGCCGTTGTTGATTATAATTGAAAGAGATCCAAAGTTTAGCGGTCTACGCCCACATTCTAGGCACTGCTCCATTTTATGCTGACACTGGTGTAGTGTGCACGCCCGAGTAAGCTAAGATGACTCGTTCCTTTTAATTCTATACAGTCTTAGACTCGTTCCTGCTCCATATTCCTACCGACGCATTCGATGCGCTAAAAGCCATGCCGTGAGCGGAAAGATGGATGCTGATCCAGATGCCGATAAGTATCACGCAAGCCGGTGTCCTGGATCCTGTAGACTTTTTTAAATTTCCTCACAAGAAAATAATTTTTAACCGCTCTTCGTGAGATATAATGTGTGCCTCCTTATGCGCCAATGTTAATCACGCAGTCGAGCAATCCTGGTTCATGTAAACGGCCCTAAACCCCAAAAAGCGTTATGCCGACTGTGCGCGCGGCCCGGAATGCTGGAAGATTGATTTCCGGAACTTGAATCGCTCGAATATGTTGGCGCTTTCTGTAGCCATCCAAGGAAACACGACTCTTCTCCGGGCTTCGCTACATGCCTTCTGCTCTAGGCCAGTTTTAATGCATGATTGTAGGCAGATCCTGGAAGTCTACGTTTGCCGAGTCTGTCCCAGACTTTCATCGCGATGTTGGATGCGCTGCCGCGGCGGTCGACGTCCAGTTACATGACGGGTTTGCCTCACCTGGACGTTCGTCGGCGCAAGGGGCAGTTCACAGCGACTCCCTATGCAACAACTGGAAACGTACATGTTACACACGGCCCAAACAGGTGCTTTTCACAAGAAAGTTGTCTTTACGACGGTTACCTGCGCTCCCGCCTGTGTGTTGACGAAAGCTATCCTCCACAGCTCCCTTTGAGCACTAAACTGTCTGTCTTGTCTGCATGAAACATGTAGCAGACAAACCTAGCTCGCGCGCTGAATGATGAAATCCGCAAAACCCAAGAGCAATGATGCCCGGTCGCCGTACTTGGCGAGTTCTCCCTTCGCCTCCTTGACCAAGTCTTCAGCATACTTTCGGCTTTCTTCAAGACCAAGTATGCGCGGAAACGTCGCCTTCTCGGCCGCAACATCTTTTCCGGCAGTCTTGCCAAGTGTCTCGGTCGTCGCGGTCACATCCAGGACATCATCCGCAACTTGAAAAGCAAGACCAATTTTGTTCGCAAAGCTTTCCATACAATCAATGTCATCTACTGAGGCACCTGCTAGAATCGCTCCCGCGGTGATGGAAAAGCGCAACAATGCGGCGGTTTTGTACAGATGGATCGTTTCCAGCATGCGTAGGCTGATCTCATCTGCTGGTTTTCCCTCCGCCTCAAGATCAAGCGCTTGTCCGGCTGCCAAGCCATGTAAGCCGACACAGTTTCCGAGGCGTCTAATGACCTCAAGCGTGCGACTCGGTGGTACAAGGGTTGCTGGAGTTTTCTCTGCGATCTGCGAGAACGCCTCGCTAAGTAACGCGTCCCCAGCAAGGATGGCTACTTCCTCACCGTAAACCTTGTGGTTTGTTGGACGTCCGCGCCGGAAATCATCATTATCCATCGCCGGGAGATCGTCATGAATGAGGCTCATTGTATGAACCATCTCCACTGCGACGGCCGTGGGCATCGCCTGTTCATCGACACCTCCAAACATTCTGCACGCAGCTAAGACGAGTGCCGGCCGTACACGTTTCCCTCCGGCGAGCAAAGAGTAACGCATCGCCTCCGCTAGGCGGGCATTCATAACGGAGGTTGCTTGCACGGCGTCATTAAGAGCGGCGTCTATGGAGGCCCTCTTAGCGAGAAGGAACTCAACTGCCTCGGTGGTTCGCGACTTTGGCGAGCCGTGTCGAACCTCTGCACTGGAGCCTGCAGTCGCCGTTCCAAGTAAAAGCAACGCTTGCCGGTGCCTGCTCGGCAAGTTCTTACCATGCAAACAGTTCCCCCTGCTTCTGGAGCGACCCCAAGCGTCCCTCGAAGCAAGTTCCTCACAAGTCTCCTGCTTTCTCAACTGAGCACGAAAGTGGCTTACGTTCACCGGGACAAACGCCCCCGCTGAACAGAAGGTGTGGCAGAAGAACGGCGGAGTCATTGCAACAAGTTAAGGTTCCCGGGCAGTTCAACTCCCTGTAGTGATAGCAGTTACGTTAACTTTATAAAACCGCACACCAACAACGCCGTTCGAAAGTCGAACGACGCCAGCGGTGCACAGCAGTGGCGAGAAACCCGCCCTAGACAAGACGTGTGCAACCGAGGTGCAGATGCCTCCCGTCCTTTTCGATCGGCCATCCACTACTGATTCCAACTTTGTTTCATATATATCCACTTTGAGAGGTTGTCTAATAAAGTCCCCTCTTGTCTACTCCGTAGGTTTTGGATCCATCACAGCACATTTCCATATATTGATAGCGGCGTTAGAGTCTCGATTCACAAACTCGAAACGATTCTTGCCATTAATGGTTGTACTTACTAATGCAAGCAATCCTCGAACTTTCGCTCTCCTTTCCATTAGCTCCTCCGTCAGCGGTCCGTACTTTTTTATATCTTCAGGACTCCTCTGGCACTTTTCCATCTCGACCCTCTGAAGTGTGCACCCCAGTTCATGGTGTGTGTACGATGTTCGGAACTCATCTATAGGTATCGTGACGAAACGCCTTGCGCACTCCTTGTACGATCTTGTCGTTGGAACTGGTGTACACCCTCTTTGGGTCTTCCATCGCACTGCTCCATACGCCACTACGAGCCTTTGGCTCTCGTCCTCCTTCAGGGCACTCAGCTGATTGAAAAAATTCGCGAACGCCCGCTGCTTACCACAATACAGATTCATTCGCAGACGAGCCCACCGGGGCTTGGTATACTTCTCCGGCAGCGCATCCCAATGGGCAACACGAACTTCCATGAATTTCAGAAAAGCTGTAAAGTCCGCTCCGCGGCTCGTCACCTCGCTCAAAGCTTCTACGTGATCCTTCATTCCTGCATTCCATGTCTCAATTTTCTTCGTTGCATTCATGATTCCCGATTCTCGATAGAATCTTGCTCTCGAGAACCTCAAAAAACGCATGTCTTTCTGAAGCAAGTTACCGTCAGTACCATCCTCCGCACGCCTGGGTACAGCGATGGTTATGATATTTGTGTTTCCGGGGTGAGCGCCAACCAAAAAGTCGTTATCCTGCACTTTCTGCATCGCAGGATCCGCCTCCTTCTTTTCTTCTTCCTTCGTCACGGGCGAAACCGGGGGCGGAAATGGATGATCTGTCCTCTAGCGCCGATAGTTTACACACATGGCTACTCCATCGGTTTCGATCATCCCAGTGAAGAACTTCTGCTTGCTCACGTTCAGACGTTTGAAACTGAAGATGTTCTTCCAGTGCGTCTCCCTGTTTTCACCGGTAAACTCCTCCCTGCTAACATTGAACTCGGGACTGATCTCCTTCATGATACCGTAGAGGAGTCCGGAGTCGATAGTCACAAATTATGACTTGATGTTGCACAGCGAAACGACGGTGAAGCGCTTAACGATTAGGGCAGCCTTCCGTCTCTCCGACTCTTCATTTTTCCCCTACTCAGCTTCATCTCTGCCTTGCGTTCGAGTTCTCGGTCCAAAAACGCGAAATACCGAAGGATGAGGCGATGGTATCTTTCTTCGTCTTTTATCAACTCTGATATCTTTTCTGCTGGATTCGCCGGCCCCAATACCGCACGATGCCCTTGAATAACCGCACGGATTGCAGGATCCTCATTCTTTCTCCTGCTTGATGTCTTCTTGTCGACAAATTCGATCTCGTCTTCGTTCTGACCATCGTTAGTGATGCCATTGATAATTGCCCATATTCCTTTGCGAGACAGGCCCGGGTACAGCGCAAAGGCGTCGCGTATCACGAAACGACTGAGGCTCACGATCATATGGTTCTTCAGGCCCATGAGGTACTTCATCGCTCTGTAGATGTAAATATCCGAGTAACCCTAGTGCGAGTACCGTCGAATCGGAGTTTGGCTTAGTTTTCCTGGAGGGCATGCACTAGTTCATTTCTCCTCGACGCTTCCCCGGTGCCAGCCATCAGGTGACGAATAAAGGGCTTGTCGAATAAGTCTCCCAGAACCTCGACTGTTTTGATGTCCGTCACGTCGCCATACATCTCGTTCACCAAATGCATCAGTCCTAGAGAAACCTTACGAACACTCCTGGGGTACAACTGGACACGAATTCTTATGGCATCTTGCAAATTTTCCTTGTGCGGATCCCTTACATGTTTAAGAAGACAGGCTTCCACCACCGTCTCATCGTACTGTCGTCTTTCTTGCGGCCCTTGGCGTCGGGCCTCCCCTTTTCCTTCTTTATCTTCTCCTCTTCTTCCGGGCTCGGCATCGTTTGTCGTTTATTTCCGCCAGCTGGCGATACTGGGTCTCCGGGATCCTCCAATTCCTTTTCAATAACTTTCCTTTTTTATCTTTTTGAAAACGTACGCACTTTGAGCGCTTCTGGTAGAATCTGCGAAAAATCACTTGAATGCACTAACTCGAGCTTTGAAACACGATTGAACTGGAAACTATAGTTTGCTACGACTTTAATGCAAATACAAGTTTTATGTTAGAACAACAAGTAAACGAATAGTCAGGATCGTGTTTCCCTTCAACGGCGAAAAGCTCGTTGTATCTCATGCCTTTCAGATATGGAGCAGCGCGTACCGAGCGCGCTACTTAGAACAAAGAACAGAGACTCTAGACTAACTAGCAGCGATATAATAATTTCTTTCCCTCCTCTAAGGTGAACGTTGAAAGGGGGAAGAGGTTTCAATATTGTTGAAAGTTTACCTTATAGACGGAAGGTCCCGCGAGTCGGAAGAGTCTACAAGACTCGTGCTTCATGCTCCCCAGTGCCCGTTGCTGTCAAGAGGTCTGAGCAGCTCGTCCGAAACCCACTTTATCCTGGGATTAGGAGCGGGTATGCTGCGTTTGGGCGTCACCCTGGTCGTAGTTCTCTCCTAACATATCGCTTCGCGCTGCCGCAGGCAGTAGTTCTGTCTGCAGAGCTTGCAGGCTCCCAGAATGATTATGAATCCGGATTCCACGTTGAATGAATCACGCCTCGAGTTGATACTCCCCGTGGTACGGCAACGCCGTTCTGCCTCCGTGCAGCGGCAGCACCGGTGCTGTATGCGCTATTGCTGGAGCTCATGGCAGGCACTCGGTACACGATAGAACGTATGAAAAGACCAGTATATCGGAGAAGAAGGATGGGTAACGTAACTTGGAATTATGGCACAGATCGATGGATACTTCACTGCGCACAGAAGAAAACAAAAAAAGAAAGAAAAGAAAAAGCGCACAACTGGCGAAAGCTGGCCCATGAAAACGTTTTGTCAATCAAAAAATTCCGCGGCTGTCTGCGAGCGACGACGTTCAGCACGCAGAGGAAGGCCATCTTAAAAGTTCGTGAGGGCGCGTTCAGACACGCAGAGAATCGACGCCCGTCATATCAGGAATACATAGAGCTCCTAGGGACACACTAGTGTGTTGAACTCCCGCATAGCGCCAAAATACGTGAGCGCAGTTGGATGCTGACGGCACACTATTTGTTGGCAAGTGCGCTCTTGGTAGTCTGCTTCCTTTGGGTTTCTTCGGGTACTACTGCTTCACTGCTTGGTCCGAGTGGCAGCCGTGGCCCGCCGAGCTTTCCTAATGGTGCTGCATTTTCAAACGCAACTGCTTATGTGAGCTTAGACGTACTTGGCCGTCTTCAACCTCTGAAGCTCGCTGATCTGAACGCGGATGAGTACATCGACGTTCTCGCCATAGAGCCAACCACCGGCAGGCTATACGTATCTTTCTGGAACCACAATCTATATCGTTTCGGGAGTCCTGTTTTATTGACAGAGAATGTGACACATGCCATTACAGCAGACTTCAACGGTGATGGCGTTAGCGATGTCATGGCTTTCACAAACGCAGGTACAGCGGCACTATTGCTCGGTAGTCACTCTAGCAACTTTTCATCCGGCGCGAGCATTGCTGTGAACGCAAATGTTTCCACTGCAATGCTGTTTTCCCGCTACGGAGACCTTCTTCCTGATGTGCTTGTTCCTGAGGGGAATGGGAGCTTCCTTGTGTTGACGAACAGACGCAAAGCCAAAGGGACCTTCCAATTATCGCAGTGGACTCCGGCTCTGTGTTCCATCGAGAAAAACATTACTGCTTTCGTTGACATGAATGGCGACTGTCTACCAGATCTTGTTCTTTTGTGCAGTGATGGCAACGGCAGCAGCCGGTTGCAGCCGAATCCGATGCCACCGCGCTCTCGTGAAGGACCGCCACAAGGGCCTCCCTCCGCCACAGGATCAGGCCCACAAATCGCAGTCTGGTACAGTCCGGGGACGGGGGATATTCTCTCGTCAACGACACCGAGCAAGGTTTGGACGCCATTTGGAGGTTCACTTCAGGTAGAGCAGCTGTTGTTCGCGGATTTTACGGGATCAGGCACGATCAGCATACTAGCTCTGACAAGCAATGGGGGGCTGTCGTTCGTGAGTAACAACCACGGTAATGGTGGCTATGGTCAACGTTGCAACTTCCATGGCTCTGCGAATCTTCTGAATTCTGTGGCTGTTGCTATATCAAGTTCGTCTGGTGCTTCGAATGTGCCTCTCCGTCCCAGCGCACAAATGGTGCTTGTAGATTACAACTACGATGCATTCCCAGATTTGTACGTGATGAACGGCAGCACTGGTGTGATTCTCAAGAATACTGCCCAGAAAAACAGTCTCGCTTTTCAGCTACAAACACAAGAATCCTTCAGTGCCTTGTACAACGTGTCTGAGCCGGTTGTTGCCGCAGCATACGACACAGATCAGGATGGTCGCCAGGATCTGTTGATTAGTGCATCAGATGGGATTGAACTCTGGTTGAATACGATCTCGCAGACACGAAACTTCCTTGAAACAGCAGTCCAAACGGCGGTATCCCCGTACGATAATCCGCGGCCTTTCACCGAATCCATCGGTTCGACATCGATCGTTGCATTCCAAGCGACCAACGGGTTGCAACTCTATGCATGCACGCAGTGTCCCCAGTCGGGTTCTCGGCAGTTCATTTCGGCATGCCAGTGTTTCACTGGTTTGAACACGATGCTGAATTATGTCCAGGAAATTGCGATCGGTGCCGGTAGTAGTCAGCGCTCGTGGACAAATCTGCTGCCGAACTCTTTTGCTATTATCTATCCCCAGGACCCTTCAAATCCGAATACGTGGCGCCTGGAGTTTTACACCCAGCGGAATCTTCGCAGCGTAATCGGTGTCATTATTGTGCTCGCTTCAGCGATGATCCTACTCGGGGGAATCATTCTTTTCCTGCTCTGGAGGGAATATTGTCAGGACAAACAAGCGCGGTTAGCCAGAGAGGCATATCAATCTTTTGGTCAGTATTCCTGAGAACTGCAGAGGAATCACCAAAGCAATAGTCTCTCTTTTTGCATGAGCGGGTACTCAGAACCCGTTTTGTGATTTCTAGTTATAATACTCATTGCCCGCGGAAATTTTGTGCTGGAACAGCGACTCGCTGCTGTGCACGATCCAGCTAGCAACCAACACACAATAAATTCGATGTGTAACGGAAGATGCCAACTCAAGAGCGCGCTACTTTAGGTGCCAAGGTCACCTTCCTTGCACGCGAGCGCTCTTTAGGTATACTGCTTGCTGCTGGACTCTGCGCATCGGTTTCCTTCCTTGAGCAGAAAAGCGATCGTTAGGCTCAACCCGCTCGTGACGGAGTTGTGCGTTTTCCGAAACTTCAGCTGCGATGCAACGTGAACAGAAGTCGCATCCTGGACAAGTGGCGTTTGCGATGTGCTATTTTGCGCGCAATGCGAGTCGGACCTTCATCCAGTCACGTGCAGCGACCACGAGGAAGATCAGCGCATAGCAGGCGTAGTACCAGCTCACTAGGCCGATTAGAATGAACCAATTCCTCCGTGAGCGAGGGTTCAGGAAAAAATATAACCATTCGCCTCGTGCCTGGTGATACATGAATGCGAACAAAAAGTACAGCGCTAGATATAGTGAGCCCATAACCAGAGCTGCTCTACGAGCTCTGATCGTGCCGATCAACACTTCCATCGAACCCATGATAACGTTAATCGGTCCATGTAGCAAATACGTCGAAAACCGTCGAGGCGCAGAAGGCTCCCCCCGCGGGCGTAATATGAGCCACCAGACGGCATCCAGAAAAATTGAATTTGCCAATGCCAGGAGAAACACGCTCTCGACGAAAGCTGGTAACTTGGAGCAAGGCGCTTCGGACCGGGTATGGGCGGGATATTGCTGCCACATCGAAACCGAGTCTTCCCGATTATGCATCGACACCGAATGCACTGTCTTCGAGCGCTCCATTTCCCGCGAAATTGACGTGTCCGCCGTACCAGAGCTACCTTCTTCCACATCGTCCAACACGAACTGTGGCGATACGTCCGCCTCGAGTTCTGGAAAATGATGCTCTGCATGAACGTCTCTTGATAAGGCTATCATGATGGGCTGCGACCTCGATCGTCGGCAGTTAAGCAGCGCTACCAAATGAAGCGTTGTCAATGAAACAGCGAGGAGAACTAAAGTCTGCGATGAGAAAGTTATTAAAGAAAGATCGTGCTGAAACACGCGGAGGTACGTTACTGCACCGAGCAAAACAAAGACCGATAAAACTCTGTACAGGAAGAGCAGCGAGTTCGCCATACACTTTGTGGTACTGCCTGGTTGCACCACGCTAGGTCTCTCACAGCGAGCACGCGTATCAAGGTTACAGCTCATGTGTCGTTGAAAACAGCCGTCTCGAGCATCAAAACATACAGGCCATGCAATGCAAAGTTTTGTAGATCTGAAAGCTCTCGTGTGAGCCTTCAAAAAGCACAACGCGGACCGCTACCTTCAGAAAGAACGTAGAATGGAGTCTCCACCAGCTCCAGTTGAGAACGACCGGAGTGTGACTTTGTGTGTATGAAGAAAGCCAAATTCTTCTATTGTATACTCCAAAGCTCTCCAAAACGTTTCTTGACACCTTGCAGATGCTGAACGCACTATCTCACAGGCACGTAAACCTGACTTGACACTCAGTTCAGAGAAATCTGACGGTGAGTCAAAGCGACAAAGTTGCGCCGAGCACTGGTTTGAGCAGCAGAATCTTGACGACCGCATTCCCAGACAGGTCCTGGAGTCGCACTGGGACGTCGAGACCGGAATATAGACTGTGGTTTCCGCAAAGAGTTTTCGTGACTGATGCGTCTCACTTTCAAAACTCTTGATAACAAAAACCTTTCCCTGGATGGAATCAGCCCGGATACGACGGTCGAAGAGCTGAAGCGTGAACTTGGAGGCAGGGAGGAGTTTCGCTGGGATCCCGCACGCACTCAGGAAGCTCGTCTGATTTTCGCTGGGCGAGTCCTTTCAGACCCAACACAAAAACTCGCGGACTGTGGCATGCAAGATGACGACTTCTTAGTGGTAATGCCGCCGAGAGTGGCAACCCAGCGCTCGCGGAAAACGGCTTCTGTTTCGAGCGCTGATGCACAGTTAAAGACGCCTCTCCAGGCCGGACTAGCCTCCGAGGCGACCGATTCGGCAACAATCGCCTCGGAGGCGAGCCGGGGCATTCCCGCAGATTCACCGCCAGCGTCCGTTTCTGCGAAGTCAAGTGGTGCCACACCTGCAGAAAGCGGTGCTCTCAGTCAAACTCCTCAAGTAGAAGGGACCACTACAAGTGGCATCGCCTCCTCAGGGCTTGCGGTTGGCGATGAGTATTCTCTTTACATGAATCGAATGCGTGATATGGGTTTCGATGACGGAAGCATCGAGAGAGCAATGCGAGCAGCGCACTACAACCCGGAGCGTGCCATAGAGTACCTTTGTAACGGTTTCCCGGCAAACACAGAGTCCCTGACAGAACCCTTGAACGATGAAGCGAGGAGACCCGAACACCAAACTTTACCTGCACAGGCTGGAATGGATCAGACAAGTCGTCCTGCTGAAGCTGTGCATCCTGAGTTGCAGCAGAGTCGGAGCGAGCTGGACATCATTCGCCGCTTGCCGCATTTCGCTCTGCTCCGACGGGCAATTCAGCAGGATCCCTCGCAGATCCAATCCCTTCTGGCAGAGCTACGGCGAATGAACCCCCGTCTCTTGGACATTATCCAAAGGAATCAAGCCGATTTTATCAATATGCTGAATGAACCTGTTACAGACGAGGAGGCAGGGCGCGAGATGCGTCAGCTAAGAGAACTCGTTGCCCAACAGGGTCGTGGAAACATGTATGCGGGTGCAGATGCACCATCAATGGAGCCAACGAATGCTATACGTATAGAGGTATCGCAGGAAGAGGCGGAGCAGTTGCGGCAGTTGGAGCAGATGATGGAACCGATGGGCGTTTCGCGAGATACTTGTCTCCAAGTTTGGCTTAGTTGTGATCGGAATACGGAATTGGCCGCAATGCATCTGATGGACAACTTGGAGGACTATACGGCGGAGTATGGGGCCGAGAGTGACACCGACGTTGGCGATCACGGAGAGTCATAAGTACATGTTACTGGAATTGAATGTCACTGCAGCACGAGCGCTCCCATAGTAGCCGAAACAGCCAATCTCCAAATCATAGTCAGGCAGTGCCTTTTTCAATTACTGCTACGACATAGAAATGCGCCACATTCGTGGCGGTTTTTGATGTATCCAGCATGTCTGCTAATTTCGAGACAGGTGGTGCTCGCCTTCAACAAAAGGTCGACTATGCTAAACAATAGCGCAGCGTAAACTTCGCTCACGCAACCGTGAAATTTAGCTCCTCCGATATTCCGAAATTTTTCCAACTCTTTTCCGTTGCACGAATGGGCGCTGCATGAGCGCAGCCCGAGGAGCACGACTTTCGCCGGAACCTCGTGCGATCCTCAAGATCTTCAATCTAAAATTTCATCACGTTTTCATATGGAACCTCGTCCACCGTTCTTGTACGTTCGTTGAGGGATTCTATAGAGATTAGTGCGCGACGTGTAGGTGCGAAAGCGTCCTAGTCTGAGCATCCCACCTAATACTTGTTTTTCGCTGAATGTGCAAGAGCTGGCTGCACGTTCGGAGCTGTGCCCTCTATGCTGCGCGAACTGCACCACGGAGCCCGGAAAACGGAAGACCTTCGGAGCTGGATCGTACGCGTGCTTGAAAAGGAAACTATTGGCTAATTACTGCTTTCTGGAGGAGCCGATGGCCACGCTTGGATCATCGGAAGCGTTGCGTACCGGCTCAGGCCGGTCCCGTCCACCGGAGCCCGGAGCCGAATGGGCGGAAGTTACGGAGGCGTTTTTCGCCGCGACCCAGTGTCTTGCTCCAGATGAAATGGTATTCACTGGCAAGAGCTTCCGCTGGGCAAGCTGTATCTCTGCAGTGGAGCTGACCTCTCCGAATCTAGACAGCGGCGCAAGCCTTCCCCTCGGGAAAACCTACCTAGACAGTGTTCAGGAAGGTATAGTACCAGACTCAATTGATGAGCTCTTCTGTACGGAGGTCTGGAAAGACACACCAGCACTGTCTCTCATAAAGACCTCACTGTCAACTGCAATCAACTGGGCTGATGGCCGGTGTTCGCTTCCGGAACTTATGCTGCCAAATCTCTACATCTTCAAAGCCCTTTTTCGAGAAGAACATCCTGGTACTGCTTTTACATCTTTTCTGAATGAGTGCTGCATTTTCTTTGTACGTCATATTCGGGCGCTAATCTTACATACAAATGTGCATTTCGAGGAAGATATATCTGTGAAGATGCAACTGCCTTTCAAGCTTGTACGGAAAATATCTGGAAACGTCCCAGTCTTCGATTCGGAATCTACATCAAAAGCGATTGGCCAAAACGTATGCCCTTTTTTGCGCGATCAGGCCGTCCGTGAAGTCGCTGAAGCGGCTGGCTCCGTAGGTCTGGACCCGCGCCTGCAGGCACAGCTTATCGGGCATATCGATATATGGTGGCACCTATGCATCTTGGCTTCCTCCACAGGGCAAACTCTGTCAGATCTGAACAGCCAGGCCCATATTCTGCAGCGTCTTTTATCAGATCTTTCCGTCGTTGCGTTTCACGAGGAGCAGGATGAGAGCACGCTGGGATTCGACGCTGCTGTGGTGCGACACCTGCTGCCGCCATCGCCGCCGATGCGGATGCCGCGGATGAAACACAAGGATGCACTCGCTTCCATTGATGATTTTGCTGCCTTTTGTATTCGTCTAGATCGAGCATCGAGGTTTCTCCGCGGGAAACTCGCACCACCGCCTTTTCCAAGTTTGGAGCGCTGCACCGTGGCTTGCTTCGACCTCGCATGCATCTGCGTCGAGCTACATGGACGCGAAAGATTGGCTGGAGTTTCAAGGGCTTGCCTCTGCAAAGAGATGATCAGCGTCGCAAGGAGTTTTGTTCATGCTTATGACCAGAAAACTGAAGGGCCACATCGAACGTTCGATGCCGAACGTAGCACAGCTATTGCTGACGCCAGTATTGAGGCCGAGCAGTTGCTGCCGATAATCGAGGTCCTAATTCATGTATTATGCATGAACAGTGGCAGACAAAGGCGTCGACTCTTAAGAGTTTTACGAAAGATAGGCCGAGATAACGGGACACGGCAGGCTGTGCTTGCTGCGCTGAATTCGGCAACGGGACGGGGCTTGCGCTGCAGAGCACTTTCCAAAGCTGTGGAGACGCTCCGCGGCATCGATATGGGACGCGCAGCTTTGGCGCTCTGGATTGTGTTGCGCATCATAGATTTGGGTTTCGACCTGGAATTGTACAGCGCAATTGAGTTGAGGTACCTGCAGGCGCTCGAGCTCCTTCTGCTACGCAGTATTGATTCCATCTTGTCTTTTTGGTATGATCCAAATGAGGAGCATGTTTCCCTGCACCTGCTGAGAGCGAGGCTAGTATTAAGTAGAAGAGAATATGTTCGCGATGTCGAGGTGCAGGACAGCGCACGCAATGTCAGCGAGAACTCTTGCCCTAGATGTTCCATTCAAGAAAACGTGGATGGTGCGACTCACAAATCTGCGTTAATCCACGGGGCATGCTCGGAGAACGAGCTGCCGCCGAAAGAGGAGCTATCAGAATCGGAACAAGCTGCGTTTGCCCTTCGATTCCGATCGCTTTTTGATTTCGTGCCAATCTCGCCCGGACATGTCAACTCAATGCTAAGAGGACGTTACACGCTGCTGCGGGAGGCTCGACATGATGCAGATCTGGCCGCACTAGAAAGTTTCAAAGCCGCTGTTCAAAGCCTGCTTACCGATGTCCTGAAACCGACGGGGAACGCGCCCGTCGGATCTGTCCACCACGTTCTGCACAGATTACGAGCCGTATATGGGAGCTGCGCATGCCTCTGCGAGGCATAGCACACGGATAGGTCCACATTCGGTCCATAATTACAATCAGAACTGCGAGTTCTGGAACGCATTTATCTGCACGTCCTTTTTGTTTTCGCTTGTTTCTCTCATGGGTACTCGACAAAAGGAATGTATCGTGGAGATCAGAGGAACGTCGTGAAAAGCGTTATATGCAATCACTGCTCGCTTGCGAAAAACGACTTGGCTTGGCTTGTACAACTCATTCACCATGCTGGTCAGCAGGTGGATGATTGATTTCTCTCATTGTCCGTATCGTGAACGCCATATATTAAAAACAGATCTTATTAAAGTCTATCTATACGAGAGTCTGTCTTCCGCCAATCCATTCCAGTCCATATCTTCTCTGAGAAAGACTACCAAAAAAGCCAGAGGATTTGAAGCTTCCGTACTGTTGATACGAACGGTGATGAAGAGTTTTTGATTGCCGCAGAGAAAAAGCACGCGTGTGTGTGAGAGCATCGCGTGATGAACGACAAACTATCACTTTCGTATTGAAACTCCAACGCGTGCTACAAGAGCGACGGGGTTTCGTCTCTCTCGATGAGACGCCATTCTAGAAAGCTGGCCTACCCGTGTATGGATACTCGAAGGCCGGCAAACCGCTGTTCGTGTAGAAGATATACGTGAGGGTGAGAGTAGCATCCCCCAAGCGGCTCTTCATTTGCATGATCGCCTACATATCGCGAAACGGACAAGTTCGTTCATCACTTCACCCTGCTCGTGAGGACTTCATGGATTCACCTTTCGTGCGAGTGTGTGTGTGTGTGCGGGATCGGAGAAGCTCTCTCGGCTGCGCGGGCGTGCTCACGATGGAGACGGTGATGAAGAGGTATTTGGCGAGTGGTAGATAAACACTTATGAGAGGGACGCTTCAGTGCCACCAATTACACGGAGCGTATGAACCTCAAAGAGTACAACGGGTATGAATACTGGCCACCGCATCGATACCACGCCGCCAGGAAATGGAGAAGGCGGAACGCGCATCCGACGAAGAAGAGGAACATCCTTCCACAACAAGAACGGGTAGGTACACGGCCAAAAATCTTCGCGAGCGGACAGCAAACTCTGAAATCATTGTCGAGGCCACCCTACTGAAACACGTCAACGGAGAGTATTCCCCAATAAGCGAGATGCTGGACGGCATTCGGAAAGCGAAGCTTGTTTCGGGCAAGACTCATCTTGCGTGCCTTGGCTTGACGCAGCCCCTCAGACAACTACTCGCACGACTTTCGGTCGCGGGGCTCCCGTCTGTCCTGATTCCTCTGGAAATTCCGATCGAACCTATGCACGGCAAAGCAACTGATAATCGGGACCGGAGCTGGAATGCGGCCTGATTGCAGGAGCAGAGATTTGCTCACCCGCTTCGCAGAATACCTTGACGAGTAGCTGCACGACGTGGAAGATCGGGACATCTGCAGCGCTGGTACAGAAAAGCATCAAACGAACCGCGAAGCAAAAACGGAACCAGCTTGCCGGCCAACGTCGAGCGCTTCAAGAGACGCATCCCGGGGGCGATCTGGCAGCCGCTCGCTGGACCGCAAAAGTGACGATTGGTGGCAGGCTTTCTTGGGGTGTTGATGGAGGCCAACGGGGCGCCAATGTCGGAGGACATCGAGTTGGCTGCAAGTTCGTAGGAGACGTCATGAACAGAGCGATAGTGAGTCTAGATCGTCCGAGCTCACTGCGTAGCTCTCAGATTCGCACCCACGGACATTGCGTCCGAATAATGGTGGAAGCGCGATGCCTTCGTTCCGTGTACCTTACGCCAGCACCTGTCCCTGAACGAAGCGCGCCAGAGCAGCGCCGAATCCCGTCGCGAGTCCGAGCGCACCAGTTACCTTGAGCGTCTGTTCGATGCGGTACCCAACAGTCAGATCATGGCCACCATATCACCGCAAACCAGCTCGGTAGTGTATGGCGTTTTCAGTGAGCTGCTGCTGGTGTCTGCGCACAAATAGGAAGCACACAGGCAACTTTGTGAAGAGCGTCTGGCGAGCGCGTCCAAGAATTCTCATCCACACGGAGCAAATGGAGAGAAACTTAGAGGAACCATGGGGGCCGACAGAATATCAATCTGCATAGATTTTCCGATGGCTACGCCTGAGTCGGGCACGCGAGACTCATTGTCCCTCGTATAGAGTGGAACAGGAGGCGCACTTTGGGATGCGTGTGGATCCCGCGTTGAAGGGCCTCCTCGCGGTCGCCGCACCTGAGAATGAGAAGAAACGACCAAAAGAACCGAGCGGAAAGCGGATCGGGCTGCTCAGCAGTTCGGGGGCTGGGCGTCATCGAGAGTTGGGCATGATGGACCGCAGGAGGCATATTGACGAGCGGCATGCGGCGTGAGGATCCTTCTAGACGCCCTGAGTACCGTATCGAACAGAGGGAGCACCCCTCGACGCCTCATGACGCGCGTACATTGGTATCTAGATCACTCATGCGGGCGAAGTACGGTACGAACACTCGAGACCGCGTTAGGACCGCCTGCGGGCCAGGCTGTACGGAGGCGGGACGCATGCGTTCGCCAGTCTATCTCATGAGTCGGAAAGCGACTGACAGATAAGTCGCATCCTACAGCAGCAGCCGATGGCGCTGAGCATGCGCGAACACTCCAATGCTGCTGTCCTGCTCCTTCGACTGGAGCTTACAACTAGTGCGAGAACTGATTCTTCATCATGACCATCGATTTGCTCAGGACGATGCACACGCATCCTGAGCACAGGTGCACGCTGAAACAGGCAGAGAAAAAACGCGTGAGATGGAGGCGGATGCATGAGCTTGTGCAGGGTAAGCTTTCCGAGCATCAGATGTCGATGCAGTCGTGGTTTCGAGGCTCGCTACAGTGTGCTTTCACCACCAACCAAGCGTGCAAGCAGTTTCCGCGTCGAGACTTGAACGCCACGATAAACATCTGTAGATTCCTAGAAGTGCGAGCGCGTCCAGCAGATTTGTGTCGAGTGAATGTGTGATGTAGTTGTGTTGTACTCAATGAGCGCATTACATGGAAAGCGGAAGACTTTGGATAATATAGTTTGGTGACTAGGAGAGATTCATTGCATGCACGCCTGAAGCAACGCACTGGTGCGGTACGGATTACTCATCCAGAAATATTAGAGCGCCCTAGATAGACACAGGGAACGATTTTCATTTGCAGCTGATGAACGGTAATGGCGTTAAAGTTTTCGCAATTTCTATGCATATCAAGAGGGGTTTCGTTACCTGTCTCCTGGTGATGATGCGTTTGTCTGTCGCCTCCAGGAACTTGCGCCGTCTGGAAGCGTCATTTGGGGAAGCGCGCGAGAGGGATATCTTCTAGATCGTGGACCGTTGCCAACGAGATCGCGAATTATTTCAGATTGTTCCCCTGCGGATATATTCAGTGCGATGCCCATTTCGAACAGATGCCGAAAGAATTCAGATCATCAACGCTCATGCATAGACCTGAGGATGCAGTCTATAGGATCGTTTTAGACATGGTGAGCAGCTCAGGAAATATGAGCCATTCTATCCCCTCCTTTTCACAGTACTCGCCTTAAGAGCCAGGCTTTTTCGTCGGGCATCCAGACAGACGCGAACCCAATGAGTTCGCTTTTAGTACTCATACATGCGTGAAACATGCGATCAAAAGCAGTCGTGGGCACTGGAATGGCAATAAGCATGTACCCACCACAAAACATTGAACTGCTTAACGCTAGAGTTTACAGAGATGCGCATTTTCGAAGGACATATATATGCAGTACCACTTCGATGCCTAGACACAGATGGTGAATGCCATGTAATCAGAATTGCTGGACATATTGGAAATACCCAAAAAAGCTCGCTGGTAAAAATGTAGCCGCCAATTTGAACCGGATCCCTGGTGTCCGACGTGCCCAAGTGCTCGGATTCGAAATTAGCGACAATAGCCGGTATCGGGGCACGTTGCCGAGGCTGCAACAACGCGTGGGCGTGCTGTGAACGTCATCAGGTTTCCAGTGTACAGCCCGACTCCGTCCCGACACTCGTGTCTGAAGGCAAGACTGTGCGCTAGGGACGCGTGCGAAACGCGTACTCCACGAGGCAATTAGCTCGTAGAGTACTTCTACCCGACGGCCTAACGCGCCGCAGGGATATGTAGCCTCAGCAGAAGCTTGACTCCACGCATACTCTTCAGCTACGGTCGACGGTCCAAATAGAAGCTCTCACGATTCTTCGCGCCGGTTTTGAGCATGTCGATCCGTTTGAAACGCCTCGGTCAGTGCTGAATCACGAGTCACACGCATTGGATCCATGTGCTAGTAAGAATTTGTTGATTGGTAGATTAATGCTGTCTCCCTGGGTAGAAAGACCAACATGATACCCAAAAAATGCGCACCAGCTCCACAACGTGCACGGATTACCTGGCTTTGAACGTACTCGAGCACCGCTGGGATGCAATTGTTGACATAAATCCCGTCCTGACAGGTTGAGCAGGCTCGCTCAGAAAACCTCCCCTATGAATGGATTTTTTGAGTCAAAAATTCGTTCGAAATCTGCCCCGAGCTGTTTCTTGAGCAGAAGAAGTAGCTGCTTCTCTTCTAAAGCGTCCGAATCTGCTGGTAGCTCGAGCTCAGAGCTAGTTATGGGAACTTCGTCTGCCACAGCGTTCGAATTTACAGGTTCATGAGCCTCTCTTTCCGGTGCTTGGAAGGCTTTCCCCGGGAGGGTGTCCTCGCTCGTTTCCAGCGCCAGCAGCGGCGTGCGGTTGGTCACTCCAAGCATTTTGCGAGCCGCTACGCAGCAGCCTGCTCCTTGTGATTTGTGCAGTTTGCTAGAGCCAATCGCGTACGCAGGATTAAAACGCTTCCCGAACAAACGTCCCCTTTGAGGAATCGCGACGATGAACATCTACAAACCAGAGACGTAGCCAGTTGCGGCTGTTGAAACCCCAAACGGGCCGTGAGTAAACGTCTATCCACGGGCTCAGTTTGCTGTAGGTTAAATGAGTAATGCGCCACAACCCGTAGGGGTTCAATATTACCCACGCACGGACGCGTTCCAGTGTTTTGCCCGGCCGAATGCTATCGGCTGGAGCTTCAACTTGTACACTTCTTCTCTGAGAGGCCGCCCCACAAAGTAAGTTCGCCTCAGCTCCGCGGGTCTCGTTTTCAATACCTCACACTGTCTGATATTGATGGCGGCTTTGGAGCCTAAGTTCACGAACTCAATGCTTGCAGTGCCGTTGCTGGAACGCGACAATGCAAATATTCCTATATCCCTTGCCCTCATTGCCATTTGCTGCCCTGTCAGCTCCCTGTGCTTTCCTATCTCCGAAGCGCCCTGCTGGCTTCTCCCCCTCTCGACCTTTTGAAATGAGCTCCGCAGCTCATTCCTTAGGTGCAATTTCTTGAAAATGAACGCACTTGTTCATGACCTCAGCTAAATCTCTTCCTGGAGCGAGAATCACTTGCGGAACAAGGACGAAGTATGCCCCGGCGCTACGGTGCTGAATGGTCTAGCGATTCGTCCAATGGAGCGATCATTACATTTCATGATAAAAAACATTTCTTCAATGAGGTTCTGCTACTGAGAGTAGGGAGGAATTAGAAGCATCTCTACCCCGACAGAATCAGCAAAACTCGAACACAAGGAAACCGGTGAAACGCTACGTTGGCCAACAGAAGGACGTCGCCTAGCGTCGAGGAAAAGTCTTCAATAATTTAAAAAAGTGGGAGGGATTTTATGCGCCTTCTCGGGGAGTTAAAACTAGAGCCACCAAATGTATCCACTGCGCCTAGAACAAATTATATCGTCGTTCTCTTTGAGATCGATTGTATATACAACGGGCTCCATGCTCTGTTAATACGCATGTTCGCTCCGACCGGTTCGTCCGATGGAATTCTCATCTATCGAAAAAAGCAACCGACCTCCCTGTGCTTCATACCGATCACGACGTTCTAGGAACGCTGTCATTGCGATTTCGGTGGGAGATGAAAATGCGTGAAACTGAACATTCTTGTGCGGCTGTATCCCAGTGCTTTCAGGACCACGTAAACAAGCTGTTCAGAAACAGAGACGGGTGTCGCGGCTTCTGGTGTCGCTTTTGCTCTCATTAAGGTGATCAACGGGTCGTTTCCTACCGTTGGCCACAAGCAATCTGTGAGAATATCGGTTTTTGGTGCGGATGGCATATACCTGTATTTTTCCTTCTTTCATTAATCATCTGTAATCTGAGTACTGCGGTGTGACTGAACTGATGGATGTACGCTGTCTTCCTTCCGCCGTTCAGTAAAAAATGTACCCTAGAAGCAATTCGTCTACAATCTATACGTTGCGCTGCATAGAGAGTTGCATCTCCTGGCATCCACTGCAGCGAGAGTGAAACAAACTTGAGTTGGAAAACTCTATTGGCCACATTAAAGAGAAACCTTGAAGAATCCGCGGATAGAGTCGTTTTTTCAAAGAATTTGGCGCTAAGTGAACAAAAAGCTCAAGACGGTAGGATCGTTACCCGAAAATTTAGAGATTGGAGGAGCGTACTCGGAAGTTATCTGCTACACCATAGAGCAAAGAGCTTTGCTTGAGCAGCAAAGGACAGGGTTCAGTAACCAGAGTAGCGCATGGAAAGAAAAATGCTCGGTGGGTTAGCCCTACACTCAGTAATGTCGAATAATTGAACGCAGTTATCGTTCAACAATCGCCTCGCAAAATCTTTCCTGATATACGTACACATTGCTCCGGCCTTGCTAATCTGATCAGCGCAACGAAGAATATTGGGTTGCTTCAGGCGTGCATGCAATGAATCTCTCCTAGTCACCAAACTATATTATCCAAAGTCTTCCGCTTTCCATGTAATGCGCTCATTGAGTACAACACAACTACATCACACATTCACTCGACACAAATCTGCTGGACGCGCTCGCACTTCTAGGAATCTACAGATGTTTATCGTGGCGTTCAAGTCTCGACGCGGAAACTGCTTGCACGCTTGGTTGGTGGTGAAAGCACACTGTAGCGAGCCTCGAAACCTCGACTGCATCGACATCTGATGCTCGGAAAGCTTACCCTGCACAAGCTCATGCATCCGCCTCCATCTCACGCGTTTTTTCTCTGCCTGTTTCAGCGTGCACCTGTGCTCAGGATGCGTGTGCATCGTCCTGAGCAAATCGATGGTCATGATGAAGAATCAGTTCTCGCACTAGTTGTAAGCTCCAGTCGAAGGAGCAGGACAGCAGCATTGGAGTGTTCGCGCATGCTCAGCGCCATCGGCTAACATGATACCAAGCGACATCGTGATCATTTACTTTCAAAATATCGAAGAAGTTGGCGTAAGCGCGCTTCTGGCCTTCGTAATGCTGACACCGCGGGCGAAGATAGCGCGGTGTTTCAAACGCCTGTGCAAGATCGTCCGCAGAAGCCATTTGCTCGCTCACTAACTTTCTGAATGAAACGGTCGAGGCAATCCGCTCTCCTCCATGAGTTGCTCAGATCGTCGAAATGGATCCTGAAGCCGTCATTTTTATTGCTGGTAGGTCTCTTGGTCTTCGCAGTGCTCAATTCACGATAATACCGAGTCCAGCAAAGTTGATCAGCTTCATCTGCGTTCCTGTACGGTCTTTGAGCCTGTCATCTTGATTTCCTGGGTATTGCAAGGGGCATGGCGGGGTTCAACTCTAGAATCACGTGCACCATAGAATCTCTCTGTTCATATAATTTGAATGCATGCTAATGTGTATCGTTTCGCGACTCATACCTGGTTCCCACAGAATATATGCAGATTTGTTTTTCATCGGAGGGATGGTGCCTGTGAACTTTTCTCAATTTGCTCCTAGTAAAAGAGAATTCATGAACGCGCTCGGCATATGCTCTTCACGAAGTCGCTTGCGTGCTTCATATTCGCGCAATAAGAACGTTTCCTTCATCGGCTTCTCTTCTTGTTGGCGGCATAGCCTGGATTTGGGCAATGTATTCCGTCTCCATATCCGTACTTGGGATTAAGATGCTTTGTGTGCAAATTTCGATTGAAACCCTCCTCTTTTTTCAAGGTATATATTTGAACTTCCTCAAGCACATATCCGTCGCAATCTCCGTCGCAAAGTATCTATGGACGGACACGCTTTCCGGTACCTGTCTCCCTTGAGTAGACAACTAGTACAGCAGTTCAAGGCGGCTAAATGTAGAGAGTGATTTGTCGACAAAAGTTGTCGCAGACGCGAACGACTCCTCTGCTTAACTGTGAGCGCAAATCTGCGTTCGGCAACAGAGAAGATGCCTTCAACTGCATCGAGCGGGGGAGCACATGCTGGCACAAGTAACAGCAGAACTCCATTCTCAGCTGCGTACACTTTGACCGCCGTTGATTGACGCGATCCAACATTGACAATGAGCTGGATATTCGAATTTGGAAAGTAGAAGTCACGAAGTGATCACGCGCAGGATAAAGTGGATCACGGACTTGGGCGCGTCGCAATGTGTAGGCGATCACGCAAATGGATAAGCGCTCGCGTTTCGGAACGAAGTGGATATTGCATAGAACAACGCGTGACGCTCTTCCATAGAAGCATACATTTTTCATTCTCCACCCCTGTCTGTTCATCACCGTTCGCAACAACGGTACGGAAAATCGCATCCTGTGACTTCTTTGCTTGTATTACCTAGGCAATGTCTGAAGATGAATAAACTAATTGGGGAGGGTGACATCCATGAAGACAGAGGCCGACTAGTTCCTTTCGAATTTATGAAGTTAAGCAAAGGGACTACGATCTAGATGGTTCATCTATCATCTGATCGCAGAGGAACTGACATGTAAAAGTAAAGTCGCTTCTCGCATGCGAGCATTGACAGCAGTAGATCTTTCTGCGACGGTTCTTCGATCCAAGGGATACTTAAAGTTGGTTGAATGCCTGTGATAATAACAAACAAATACGGGAGAAGAGCGCTGGCACAGGTGTTCCAGAATTACCTGCTCTGCGCATAGCTACAAGAAGGAAAAAAATCGGATCTATTTCAGACAATGCGCTCTGCAAAATGGATGCTTTAACAACAACGTTATGGAAGCACTTGCGCCATACCCTTGCCCGCTCGTAAGGGCAGATGTCCTGCACCCCATTGCTCTACGGGGAAACGGTCTCTGGATTAGGTGCGTGCTGTACAGAAAAACTTAACTGATCGCCAAGCAGAGAGAAGCTCTTTCCAAATATATTTACCGCTGTTCACTTGCTTCAGTAAAACTCCTGTTGATACAGTGCACGAACCAGAGACTGAAAAAAATTCAAGACAGAGTAATGTGACCGGCGACTGCACACGCCTTGTAGGAGCGCTGACGCTCTAAACCACTGTGCAACTTGATGCTCTTTTTTTGCTACGCTGCTTAAAGATTTAACTGAATGTTGCAGCCCGTAAACACGGCGAGATCTTTCTGAAGGCGATCCACAAGCATATGATCGTCTCTAGAGTTGCGCCACTTTCCTGTATCAAGATCATAATAGTACCTAGCTGGTCCGCTTAGAGGAGACGATAGCCATATTTGTCGATTCGGAGTCTGCGTATTCAAGACAAAAGTTCCGTTCGGAAACCTAAGTGTCAGAACGCCTTGAGAAAACTCAACGTCGACGTCCGTCCTACCCTGAAAGGTGTCATAGACTTGATCTCCAAGCTGCTGCAAAAGTTCCTCCGCTTCCCTGCTGAACTGGGCTATAGGCCAGTCCTCAGGACAGCGAGGACGAGGTGAGTATTCCGCTATTGGACCTACTCTTCGTGACGAACGCTGGACGCTGGCTCCAAAAACGACGCAATGCCACAGTCGAGCGGCTTTCAGTAGCATCCTAGCGGAGAACTGCAATGTGTTCGATCTCAAATTGAAATATTGCGCGGCGATTCCTCGCTCTTCTGCGGTAACAATTCCGTGATCAATTTTTAATTTCAATCATATCAGGATTCAATGGGACGCGTTCATTTATCTGACACGAGCGTGCACTGTAACGTTGAAGTCTACTCCCGTTGCCGGCAACAGAATTCTTCCGAGCACTCACTGCAGCTGCTTCCATTTTCTTTCGGTTATTTTTGGCTTTCGATACGGTAGACTCCTCAGTCCCTTCAGTTCCACTGTAGCGGTCGAAGGATGTTGATCTCAGTATGGCTTCCTCTCGTTCGCGGCTTTCCACGTTTGTGGACGTATTCCATTTAAAGACAACAGTTGCGATCTGCGCTTTGCTTGCCATTATTACCCTCTCATTGTAAAGCCCTGGTGCGCCCTGCGCCGCTGCGAGACTTGGGTTTTGGTCCGGTGCTCGCAGAAGCCCACAACAACACCTCCTCGGAGCGATGCTCTGTGGCGTGTGGCGCTTGCTGCACCGCCCGGTACATGCACTTGAAAGGTATATGAGGCTCGCGTCAATATTTTCTTCCTTTTCTATGCTCTGCGCCGTTCCCTACGATCACAGGCTTCTGCTTAGCGATCTTCGGCGAAGATGCTGTCCGCAATACGCGCCAGACCTTGAAATTTCTGAGCAAAAAGAATTTAAGAAATGCGATTTTGTACATGATGAAACAAGGACCCGGAGAAAAGTCCAGACTGGGGCTCACGTCGCAAGGTTTACGTCTCATCGTTCTCGTCGAGCAAACTGATGGCGCGTTCTTCACCGAAAGCGATCACCACGACGAAGAAAATTCAAGTCCGGTACACTTTTGCATGCAAATGGAAGCGATATGGAAGCGGCTGGGAGCGTAACTCGTGACAGGTATCATCCTGCAGTGGAATGCCGTTTCATAAATGGCCACAAATGGATCAGGATTTGTCTTTTTGGCGAAATCTATATTTGGAGTGACGAGTTCATTGAAATTTCGGCATCAGATTGTGAGCAAGCCGTCAACGCACGATGTCGAGTTTTTCCTCGTCAATCCAGTTGCGTGATGTACTGCGCTCTCAAGTTATCTTGAAACAGAAAAATTGAATGCTTGAAGAATGCGTCATTTGAGCATGCGTCAGGTACGAAAATTAGAAGACTGGAGGCTTCTATGAGTAAGTTAGATGGTGTATCTCTTATTATTCCAAATATTGTTCGAGGGCGTCGAGATTCTTCTTCGTTCCGCTGTCGTACTGGAATCCGGCTGCGAAGAGTCGGATGAGCCCCTCTGGAAAGACAGCCGAGAATCCGAAAAAACTCCAAATGTATTCTTATGCTTTTCTTGCTGTACTTCTAATGTCGACGCCGAAGGCCTCAGAAAAGTTAGGAAAAATCGATAGACAGGACAAAAGCGAGCAATTCAGAATTCCACTTAAATCTCACTTATGTGTAGTGGGCCTGGTTGGATTGCTGCTCGTTACACGAATATCACGTACGATATAAACAAAACGCGAATGTCGATCTCTCACTTTAGCTAAGAATGCTTCTTATAAGAGGACGCCAGTTCTGCAGTGCCTTCCTAATCAGCTTGAAACGAACCTTGTTCGTTGTTTTCAAAAAGACACCTAATCCGAACGCCAAGCGTTCCTGCCCTGAAAGTTGCCGGAAACTCAAAAAATTCTTCCAGGCTTCTTCGCGGAGCTTGAAGAATGCTGCAAAAAATTCTTGAATTTCGTTCAAATTCATATCAAGTAGAACCTCGCCACCGAATGTGTAGAAATCACGCTGAATTACGTTGGTTCTGGTCCAAAGTACTTCTTTCCAAGGATTAGTTTCCAAATTTCGAGCTTCCCGCAGAAAAATGGCACGTGCAAGCGGTCGAGCCAGATTCAAAGTTCTAGCCATCATGTAACCCGTTGCCGGGTGAACAAGACCTGCCGTTCCTCCAAATCCTAGTAGTGGCTGGTCCAAGTCCGGCAACGAACCGCCCATAGGAATCAAACAAAATTCTTCCTCGAGCGCACAATTGACAGTTATTCCGAGATCTTTGAGTCGCTTGTAGAGTCTATCGCGAAGCTCTTCGAAAGGGACGGCTGGTCTGGCAGTTAAAGAAGTCTCCTCTACGAATATTCTATCCGATGCCATGGGCATCGCGTATAAGAATGTGGGTACAGAATAGTACGAGGAATCCGGTCCCTTGGGCAATCTCTGAATCGATGATGGCTCACGATAGTCCATAAGAATCATTTCATCCAGCGGAAATGGATGCGATTCAACGAGTGCCTCTATTCCGTAGGCTGCCTGATAGCTTGGATGATGCGGTTCCGTAAATTTCACCAGGACGGTGCTATGCCCTGTTGTATCAACTATTCTTCGAGCTCGAATTTCGAGCTCCGAGAATTGTCCGTTTGCACTAGTGCATCGAAGTCTCAGGATGCCTTTCTCTAAGTCGGAACCTTTTACCTCGCCTTCTTGGAGAACGATGCCAGACCCGTTTCGAAGACACTTCGCAGTCAGCTTCTGCTTCAATTTTTGCCTGTCAATCCTGGCATATTCTCTTTTTTTGATGATTTTATGCGGCAGGTAGACAGCGACCTTCGGCCAAACAGCAGCGAAACAGTCTTTAATGTCTAGATGCTCAACCTCGTCTACCCATACGCCATAATTTGGAAGCCAACGTCGAGAAAAATCCTTTTCTACAACAACAATAGACACTACTTTCCCGACGGGTGACAACTCAGAACTGAGATTCAGCTCCGATAGTTCTGCGGCCAGTGCGAGGCCAGCGGGACCCGCACCTACAATGGCAATATCGAAATACAGTGACGAGGTATCTTTTGGAGGGTTTTCCTGTTGGGAAAGTCTTTGACCAGCCTCCAAACAAACAGCTACTTGCGGCTTTCGAAACCGGCGGTCCCTCTCCAAATATTTCACCGGGGCCGCATTTGCAGTTTTTGGGAGCTTCCAGCATACGCCACTCTTTTGGGGTGACTTCAAAACGCCTCGTCTCGAATACACAGTTTCTGGCAAGTTAGCCACAAACATCCGTAACCGTAACGCGGTGGAAGGTAGAACCGCGCAAGGTTTGCAGATGGGAGCGACGGGCGAGGCGATCGTATCACTGAATCGACGATATTAACCTTACAAAAGATGCCCTGTAGGGTACTGAGGACGAGCTTGCCATCTGTTCGTGAGCTCCTGAGGAGGGCTCCAAAGAGGCTTGAAGTAGAACATGTTACTACGCTGCTTTCCGTGGAGGATCCAAATGATGTTGCTGAAGTTATTCAAAGAGCAGATGCGCTGCGCCGAGAGCAAACTGGGGATGCGGTGAGCTTTGTAATAAACAGGAATATTAACTTCACGAACGCTTGTATAAAGCGTTGCGGATTTTGCGCTTTCAGCAGGACCCCAAGGGGCATGCATAAGTCTGAAACTTATTACTTGCCACTTGAAGAAATCGCGAGGAGAGCACGCGAGGCACGGGACTTGGGCGCGACCGAAGTTTGCGTCCAAGCTGGTCTGCCGCCCGGCGCAAGTGCGGACTTGTACACGCGAGTCGCTTCGTGCATTAAGGAAGCGGTTCCAAACATTCACTTGCATGCTTTCTCTCCAGAGGAGGTGCTTTACGGAGCTCAGCTTCGGGGCGTGACGACAAACGAATATTTGAAACTACTGCGTGATGCCGGTGTGGATTCGCTTCCAGGAACTGCTGCAGAAATTCTTGTACAAGAGATCCGTGATAAGATATCTCCCGGGCGGATAACTGTTTCCCAGTGGATTCGAATAGCAAAGGAAGCTCGCTTGAGCGCAGGTTTGCGCATGACTGCGACTGTTATGTTTGGGCACGTAGAGACTCCGGCACATATCGCGCGGCATTTGCTCACCATACGAGCTCTCCAACATGAGGTAGGAGTCTTTACAGAGTTTGTTCCGCTTGGGTTTGTTCACTGGGAGGCACCGATGTGTCGGGAACATGATCCGCGATACCTTGCAGAGTGCAGAGATGGACCATCACCTGCACAGCGCCTTTTGGTGCACGCTGTATCAAGGATCGTTCTGGGTGATTGCATACGCAATATTCAATGTTCATGGCCGAAAGAATCACCCGAAGGCACTATTCGGCTTCTCCAGGCTGGTTGCAACGATCTTGGGGGCACGCTGATGAATGAATCTATCTCGAGTGCGGCTGGTGCTAAACACGGACAAGTTATGACACCGCGTGAGATGCGTCGCATCGCCACTGCCGCTGGCCCCGAGCGATATCTTATTCAGCGGGATACGCTGTATAATATCTTACATCGCGAACCATCATGTGCGCTGGACGAGTATGCAGGCACCAAAGGGAATCTAAGGTTTGGTTCTTTCCACGAACTGTTGAAATCGAATCGTTTTCGATTCCACGACGCTCTTCGATCTGAGACTGCGAATGGAACGTCACGCAATCGATCCACTTGGGTCCGATCACGCGCTCCTGATGCTGTACAATAAGCACCGCGCCTACAGTCCTCTAGAACAACAATGAAATCGCATCCAATTAAGCTGCATTTTCGCAGCCACGACTGTGATTGAATGGGTGCGTCACCCTGTGGTTTGAAGAATCTATAACTTGGAGTAGATCTAAACCTGCATCTCCCACGTAAAATGTGAAGAAGTTGTCCTTTTCAGGATCTGCAAGTGGCATACACACGTGCTCTGTAACTGACGACTTTTCTACTTACTAGCACAGCTGAGCGCATGGAAGCGCATGGAATTTTGTACACTGCGCGGCGCACACCGCATTCACCAGCAGACTCGTACAGCTCGCGGGAACTTTCGCCTATATGGTAAACTTTCCAAAATAAGGAAACATTTGCCCTCCTTTTAACGTTTATCATAGAGGAGGAAGATACTGTTACAACGTTGATAGTGAACCGTGAGTCTCTGCCTTTCTTCCTATACGGTGCGCTCGATACGCGCATCTGGGGGAGAAGGCAGTCACGAGACGCGACATGCACGGTGTCGTTGAAGGGAAACTCGATCCTAACCAGTCTTTTTCTTGTTGTTCCAACACACAAGTTGCATTTGCATTGAAGTTGTAGCAAAGAATACTTTTTCATTTCAATTGTGTTTCAGCCCTCAAGCAAGTTCATTCAAGTGAATTTTCGCGGTGTGTGACGCAAGCTGTAAAAGAGCGTTCTTTTTCAAAAAATTAAAAAAAGAAAAGTTATGGAAGAGCAAGTCCACGATCCTAGAGGCTCAGTGTCGCTGGCTGCCAGAAGAAAACAAAAAACAGTACCAGGTCCAGAAGAAAAGGAAGAGAAGTAGAACCGAAATGGAGAGGCCCTACGTCGTAAGCGGCAAGAATGACAACTGTGCGACGAGATGGTGGTGAAAACCTTTCTTCTTGGACATATCAAGGATCCCTACAGGGACAAGTTGCGAGACGCTATCGAAAGACGTGTTGCGTCATACTCCAAGAGTATTGTCAAGGCGTCGTCAGGACTGATGCATTTGGCGAGTGAGGTGTATCGCGAAGTGACGCACATGGAAACGGTCGAGATTCCGGACGAGTTTTTCGATAAGACCTTTATTCGTCACCTGATGCTTGGCACAGAGGAAGCGCGAAGGGAAAATGAGCTGGTGCACGCCCTGCACGAAAACATGCCTTTTATAGCTTCGAGGGTACCCGATACAGGGGTGACTCGGATGTTTACGACTATGGGGCGATTAAGTACCTCACGAATCTGAAGAACCAACCGATCGTGAACCTCGAACTTTTCATGATACACGCCGTGCTAGCACTCTACTCGGGCATCTCTCGCAAAGGAAAATGGGCGATTATCAGTGGCATCAAGAACGATCGAAAGTATGAAGATGAGATCGAATTTGTCGACAAGAAAAAGTGACACAGGAGCACGAATGAAGCTTCTATAATCCGTGCGGCTAGACAAGAGCACCGTACAGTCTTGGGGCTGGCGAATCCAACAGAAAAGATATCAGAGTTGAAAAAAGATAAGGAAAGATACTATCGCCTCATTCTGCGCTATGTCGTGTTTCTGGACCGAGAGCTCGAACGCAAGGCGGAAATGAAGCTGAGTGTAGAGACAAATGAAGAGTGGGAGAGACGGGAGGCTGTCCTAATGGGGTAGCGCTTCAATGGCGTTCTGTTGTGCAACCTCAAGTCACATTTCGTGAGTATCGACTCCAGAATCCTTCATGGCATCATTAGGGAGATCAGTCCAGAGTTCAATGTTAGCAGGGAGGAGTTCTCCGGTGAAGCCCGTGAGACGTACTGGAAGAATATCTTCGCTTTCAAACGTCTCAAAGTCAGCAAACAAAAGGTATTCACTGGGTTGATCGAAACCGATGGAGTAGCCTTGAATGTACACTATCAGCGGTTGAAGAAAGATCGTCCAGTTCCGCCCTCGGCTGCGCCCGTGAAGAAACATGAAGAAAAGAAAAAAAAAAAGCGGATCCTGCGATGCAAAAGGTGCAGGATAACGACCTTGTCTTTGACGCGGTGAAGGATGAAGAAAAGAAGGAGGCGGATCCAGCGACACAGAAAGTGCAGCATAACTACTTTGTCGTTGGCGCGGACGCTGGGAACACAAATATCATCACCATCGCAGCACCGAAGTGTGCGGAAGATGGTACTGACGGTAGTTTACGTCGGGAAGACATGCGTCTACTGAGGTTCTCGATAGCGAGATACTATCGAGAATCGGGTATAATGAATGCGAGGAAGAAAATCGAGAGCTGGAATTCAGGAATGAAGGATCACCTAGAAGCTTTGAGCGAGGTGACGAGCCGAGGAGCGGACTTTGACGCTTTTCGGAAATTCATGGAAGTTCGCATTGCGCATTGGGATGCGCTGTGGGAGGAGTATACCGAGCGCCGGTGGGCTCGTTTGCGAATGAATCTATACAATGGGAAGCAGCGGGCGTTCGCGAATTTTTTCGATGAGTTGAGTGCTCTCAAAGAGGATGAAAGTCAGAGGCTCGTATTAGCATACGGAGCAGGGCGCTGGAAGACCCATAAAGGGACTACTCCAGCTCCAAAGACGAGAGTGAACAAGGAGCGTGCACGGCGTTTTGTTACAGTACCTGTAGATGAATTTCAAACAACGTATATACGCCACGAGCTGGGTTGTACACTTCAGAGGGTTGAGATGGGAAAGTGTCAGCGGAGCCCTGAGGAAATAGCAAAGAACGGTGCACTGACGGAAGAGCAAATGGAAAGGATGGAGAAAGTTCGTGGGCCACTTGCACTAGTAAGTACAGCCAATGATGGCAAGAAACGTATTTAGTTTGTGAACGAGACTTTAACGCCGCTATCAATATAAGGAAATGTGCGGTGATGGAAAGAAGGCCTCCAGAGTCGACAAGAGAGAATTTTATGGGACAACCTGTCAAAGTGGAACTATATGAGAAACAGTTGGAAGTAGTAGTGCGTGGCCGATCCAAAAAGACGGGGAGGCGTCTGCACGTCAATTGGAAACATCTTGTCTGGGGCAGGTAGATCGCCACAACTGAACACGGTTGGCGTCGTTCGACTTTCGAAAGGCGTTTGTTTCCAGGAGTGGCCGGTTCTTAAATTTCAGTCGTATACGCGCTCAGTTCTTTAATCGAAAACATTTGGAACCCCGAATCCTGGGTGAGAGCACGCTCTCTAGAGTTGGGCACCTATGTCTGCTTTCACCAGGGTGGTGCATCTTTATTTTCTGCGCCTTGTTGCTGCTCTCGCCGTCTTTGCTCTGCTGAAAGTAGTTTTTCGGTTTGGAGTGGATTGGCGCTTCCGGGGGAAGCCTCCATACCCCCTCGATCTGCCACGTCCCGGGCGAGCGCCGCTTCTGAACAAGCCAGAGCGTTGTTTTCTGTCAATATCCTCTGATGACTGGGGACGCTGGGCGGACGCTGTGCCAATCTTTCCGGACATTGCGTTCGCTTCTAGTCACGAGGAGCTTCAAACTGCGCCCGCTGGTTTTTGGTACCGACTGGCGACTTCCGAGACCCGTGAAGATCTCGAGAATCTAGGGAGTCTGCTTGAACGGTTAAATGCCGACGTTACATACGAAAAGAGAGTCGTGCTGACGCCTCACTGGATCGTTGGCGGGCCCGACTTTGAGGCGATGAGGAAGCTTTCGCGGCCGCTGGCGGTAGCGTGCCACGGCAGGGATAGCGGACGCCAGGACCGTTGCGGCTACATCGAGCTCCTGCTGCATGATTCAGCGGGCGGCCTGTCGAGGCCGCCATACAGCAGAGGCGATCTACGGGACCTCTACAGGAAGCTATATATGAACGAATTGTGGCATCCTGAGTACCACGGTCGTTCGCACTTTTCTGTGTCCCGTTGGCTAAGAGAGTTAAATATTGCAGGATCCAAAGCGGAGGCTTGTTTCAACCACTCTCTTGTATGCGGTTCTAGTGAGATAGCTCTTCGGTCTGAATTTGATTGGTTCGATGAGCATCAGCATCTTCTCGAGTGGATTCAGGGCGGTTTGCATTCGTTTCGGGCATTTTGGGGGTATCGGCCTCGGGTGCTTTCGTCACCACACAATACGTGGACACCGTGGCTGGCCGATGCCGCGCGGTACGCAGGTTTCATCGGCACCAGCCTCGGAGATGTTCAGAAGGTATATCGCATGGATGGTGGCCTTGTAATCACGAATCGGCCTCGGTTTGATGCATTTTACCCAGGGTTTGACTGCGAAAAGTCTGTGAACGAAATTATCAAGACTCTGAATTCGACAAAGTTTGCCAACATTATGTGGCATGCGCAGAACGCGATGAGATCTACGTATTCTCTGGAGGAATACGAAAAACATCTGTCGTGCTTTGAGCGTCTTATCGGAAAAGTCCGCGCTATGCTTCCGGGACTTGCGATCGTTACAGAATCGGAATTGCACCAGATTCGAGTTCGAGGCTGGTCGGCGGAAATATGGAACTCCTCGATTGTGTACAGAAATTACCAACGAACGCCTGTGGACGTGTATGCTGCGGATCCGACAGCGTTTGGGACGGTGGAATCATGGCATGGCAAGGATTTAGTAATGGAAGAACTGCAGGGGAAGGCCACAAAGACCGGTCCGAATTCTGCGCTACACACTGGGGACACAATAAGGCTGTACCCCGATTCGATCATACGAGTGCGCGTCAGCGAAAGTCGCGCCACAATCCCTAGCAGCTGACTGTATCTCTATTCTTAGGAATCCTTGCATTTATTTTTTTAATGGGTCCTCCAAAAATTTCAAAAAGTGCAGAGTGCACTTGGTGGAAATCAGGCCGACACTAGAGCGATTCCCTGATCTTCGACGGTGTCGAGCGCATATTGTAGCCACAGGGTCAAGAAACCATAGGATCCAGCTCTAGGGACAGTCACTGCCGAATCAGGGACGATTTCGAGCGCTTATCTTAACTACATGTTCAAGGCGCCGTGAAATGTACTTCTAGGAACATTCGTTGCGGGCACAGGCCGCGGACATATCCGAAACAAAGAAGCATTCTGCGGATGCAACTGACGTCGACGAACTCCATTCGCAATGAAATATCATCTTGATGCCGCACGTAAAGCGTTCGTGGCAACTGACCCCCGCCGTTCTACTGAACTTTGTGGGAGCCGACGCTTGCTTCTGCCCATTAGGAATTAGCCGTGAAGGACGCTCCACGACAACTCTTTGTACATCTGGGCCGCCTTTGCTGGCTCTTCACTCCCGTAGATACCGCGGCCAACGATAAGGAAGTCGACACCCTTGCGCTTCAGCAGATACTGTGGTGAATTGTACTGTTGGCCTAATTGATCGCCCTTTGAATCCAGTTGCACACCAGGCGCCATCACAAAGAGCTTCCCTGTCGGGTCCAGACGCTCCTGGGCAATGAAGCCGATACAGAACGGAAACGCTTCGCGGGCCATCCGCAGGCATGTAGCAGTGTATCTCTCGTCAATCAAGTTCCCTTTGCTGGACATTTGTGCGACTAACAGGAGGCCAATCATTCTGCCGGAAATTGCGCAAGCGTGGCGCAGGCCCTCAATCAGTCCAGGGCCCGGGATGGCGTGTGCATTGACAATGTCCGCCCAGGAAGAGATCCGATGTACGCCTGCGCTGAACTGTGCAACAACCGTGTTTCCTATGTCAGCGAATTTTCGATCCTCAAAAAGCATGAAACTGTGTTTGTCCGCGAGCTCTCGAAGGCGTCTTGATGTGTCCGTCGTCCAGTCCTGGATAATATCGGCGTGCAACTTCAGAACACAGATGTGGGGGCCTACTGCATCTGCAATTCCAAGAAGCTCCTTAGTCGATTGTACGTCTGCCGCAACGCATAATATGCTTCTCTTTTTTTCTGCGATTGAGTAAAGTTGATCTCGCACCGGGGAAGAACTTGATGCGGCGACTGGCAATGCGGATGGAACGTTTGTTTCGGGGCGCTTAACATCTGATGCTGCGCGGGCCGTGCGAATAAAATCTAGAATCATATCCACCTTCCCCGGCTCAAGCAAGTTCAAATTCCGCAGCGTCCCAACGAGGTCGCTGATGCGGAAAACAGATCGGAGCCCTATTCCCTGGCCGAGAAGCGCCTCACACCCGCCTTGCTCCCTATCAAGCAAGACGATCGCGTGATCCACTTTGAGACCCTCTGCGCGCAATGCGCCCACAACTTCCAGAATACTTGAACCACTTGTAACAACGTCCTCGATTATTAAGCAACGAGAGCCTTGTGTGAAAGCACCTTCAACAACTCGCCGTGTTCCATGGTCTTTGACCTCCTTTCGACACATAACCATAGGTAAGTCTCCCTGCACAGCCATTGCTGTCGCAAAAGGGAGCGCAGTGTATGGAACCCCGCAAATAACGTCGAAAGCGCCAGAAAAGTCCTGCAAGCACTCTAGGTACAGAGCCGCAATGCTTCTCAGAACTCGAGGATACGAGACAGCAACGCGCAGATCGACATAGAATGGAGACGCTATCCCAGACTTGAGTTTGAACGTGCCAAACTTGACCGCACCTATCTCAAAAAGATCCTTGGCAAGCTGCTCCATTCCCAGAAAGCGACGCCTTTTAGTACTGACAAAGAAGAGATCCTCTTCACAGCCAGTTCGGTGTTCTGCACCGTACGCAAGCCGTCTCTTGCCCTGCGTTGCGCGTGGCGACGAATGGCCTTCGTTACGATCGCAGCAGGGCGCGACATCACCGCATGAGGTTTTCGCAGGGCTTTGCGGTGTTTGCTCTCCTTCTACACAGTGGGTCAAGTTTCTTATGTCTCTTCTTTTTTTTGCGACGGAAGCGTCCGGTAAATCTCTCAATAAACGCGATAAGTGGAATCCAATTTTATTTATTGTAGAGGGCCTGAAAAGTAATTTTTCTTATGTACGATGTGAAGTATGAACACGGTATTTATGGTGAGGTTTCTCTTCGGATGACCTGAGCCATGAGCATGTTGCAGTCTTGCCGACTCGACGATCAGTATCGAGTTGTGCGTATTCCGCAGCCGTTGTGCGCATCGCGTGAGGTCAAACCCAAACTAGCACCTACCTCGCCCGGCATAGTGAATACTGTGCTTCTTTCAGTACGACTCATCCTGGAAAATATGGTTTTGCCCGCGCAATCATCCTCCCACTAGAAGATTAAATATAGTTTACCAAAAATCCATCCAGCAGAACCAGGAAAACACTCCGAACGTTCTCAATTGCGGCTCTACCATTAAGAAGTGCTACTTTGCAGATACACGGTACGCGGAATCGCTTTGCGTAGGCGTCAGATAGTCGTTCAACTCGATTTTGCTTTACTCCCGCTGCGTAAAATAGAATGCTTCTTCGCACTGTAGAGCAGGACATGCAAATCTCTACGCAGCGTACCATATAGATTGTACACAAATTGCTTGTAGAGAATATTTTTTGCTTAACAATGCAAGGAGGACTGCGTTCGCCCCTCAGTTCAGTCATACAACAGTACTCAGATCGTTGAGGAACAATGAAAGAAAGAAACAAGTACATGCGTTCCGCGACAAAACCGTTATTCTCCAAGACTGCTTCCAGTCAATGATGGAATACGATCCGTTGACCCTCATACGGGAAGAAAAAAGGCGTAATAGTAGCCACCGCAAGCGTCTCTGTGTCTGAGCGGGGAGCTCGCGTGGTCCTGCAGACATTGCGATGTAGTCGCAAAAACAGCGCCCTAGATCACGCACGGCCATCCTCCACCGAAATCGCAGCAATAGCTTTTCCGGAACGCCACTAGCCGTATGAAGCACAGGTACGTCGGTTTATTCTTTCAGTCGATGAGATGTCATTCGAATGAAACGATCGGAGCATGTGTGAGTATTCGCGGAGCATGGAGCCCGTTGTATATACAATCGATCTCGAGGCGAAAGAGAACATCACCATATGTTCTAGCTGCAGTAGATACTATTGGTGGCCTCGGTTCTGGCGTCTAAAGAAGGCTCAAACAGCAGCTTCGACCACTTCGTCGGATCATTGAAGACTTTTCCCCTGAAATCTGGAGACCTCCTCCTATTGGACACCGTGCATTTGAGAATTGCCCTTCCGTTCGAGCCTTTGCCAGGTCTCTCGCCGTAGAGCCGCCTTTCATTACTCCGTACGCTCCATGGTTCAACTTAACCGAAAGAGTGTTTTGTATCCTGAAATGTAATGATCGTTCCACCGGGCGAATCGCTGAAGCGTTAAGCACATGGTGTCCCAGTGGGCACATTATCTCTTTCTTCCACGAGCTCTTCTGCCTCCGGGAAAGTTGTCATCTAAAGGCAAGAAGAAATGCGTACATGTTCAAAAATAAAACATCTTAGGGATGTGCCGGGATGCACAATGCAGATAGTCGAGGTGGAGAAGAGCGAGCGGGGCGCATCCGCGATTGAAAAACATGAAGAACTGACACAGCAGCAAGTGGCACTGAGGGCACTAGTTCGAGAGCTGCTTGCATTGGTGAGTTCATCCAGAAGTAATAAATGCATGGAGTTCGCGTACCAAGACTTTAATGCTGCCATCAATATCAGCAGATGTGCGGTGCAGAAGGCGAGACCCGCTGCGCTGACGCGAGCGAACTTTATGGGGCAGCCTCTCCGGGTGGAAGTCCAGAAGGAGACTCTGAGGCCGACAGCACGTGGCTGGTCGATAAAGGCTGCGAGGCGTCTGCGCGTGAATATAAATCTACTCCGTGTTTGCGAAAGGGGCTTTCGATTCGCTGAGCCAACTTTGTTTTCTTATTTTCGTTGGATGGAGGGAAACCATTTCGTGTTTGGACCAGTTTGTTCCACAACTTGGTTATAGAAGTTGCGGGACACTTATTTTTCGGCATCACGGCAAAAGATCCTCTTTTCTTGAAGCCAAGTATACTTCTTCGAGATGAGCGCTGTACAGAACCTTTCGAAACTAAGCCGAGCAGAACTGGAGGCTTACGCTGCACGTTTGGAGCAACTGCTAGGACTGAAGCGGAGCAGCTCCCGTAATAAGAATTCTGCTCGCGAAATCAACTTCAAAGAGTACGGCGTTCGAAAAATAGCGTTGAAGCTTGCATACCAAGGTTGGTCGTTTCCTTCTGGTTTTGCTGCTCAGCCGGCTGACTTCAGCACGTCTTCGGCGGGGAAGCTTAGTGGAATCGCATTCAAATCTGTAGAGAGTGCTCTATTTTATGCGCTAGAGAAGGTAAATCTGGTACCCAATTTGCACTGGTTCGTTGGCAGTGACGGCACGTGCGCCACAGGGGTGTCCCCGAACAGGCCTCTCAGCCGAGAGAAGTTCGGTGAGACCTGGGCTGTAAAAGGTTGGCAGTACGCTCGTGGTGGGCGCACCGATAAGGGTGTCAGTGCAATTGGCCAAGTCGTATCGCTTTTGGTAAGGTGCCCTCCACCTGGCACGGGGACTAACTTTTATGACTATATACATTTACTGAATCGGGAGTTGCCTGCATCAGTGCGAGTGTACGCCTGGGCCCCCGTGGCGGATGATTTCTCGGCTCGTTTCAGTGCCTATTCACGAACATACAAATATTTCGTGCCGAATGTGTTTAGCGATGAAGGCATCTGTAGCATGGTTGCTGCAGCCAAAAAGATGGTCGGAAGACATGATTTTGCCAATTTCTGCAAGTTCGATGCGGAGACAACGAAAGGCAACACAGAACGGGTTATTCTGCAATGCACAGTCGAACTCGCAAAAGATGAGTTCTATCGCGCGCTTTTCCCTCGTGGCATTTTAGAGTTCACCATCGAAGGCCAGGCATTTCTTTACCATCAAGTTAGGTTCATGATTGCTCTTCTCTTGGAAATCGGTCGGGGCACAGAGAACATTTCTCTAGTGGACAGCCTTCTTGGGCTTGACGGTTCACCAAGAATAGATCCACGACCCCAGTATGTCCAAGCTCCAGAGCACCCGCTGGTGCTCTGGAATATTCATTACGGAGAGAATGAACCTCCATGGCGTTACGCTTTAGAGAGAGACTCTCCATGGGGAAAATGCTCAAGAAATTCAACCGTTGTAGGCATTTTGCGTCCAATTCTTCTCCAATGGTATGCAGATCTTACAAAAGTTATCTTCAATGGAGCACTGTTGCGTCGGACCACGCACGGATCTCCATTTTGCAAGGATGAGGGCTCCGAAGCTGCAAACGAGCCGTGCGCGGGCTTGGCACCACTGATGTTTACTCACATGGTGGACGCCGATGTGCACGTTCCAATCGAAAAACGAAGTAGCAGCGGACTGAACGCGGAGCAACGCATACAGAAAGTTCGGAGGCTCCTCGACCGTCAGTGATAGAGCGTCCTGGAAGGCCACCATGCTCCCTCTCCGAGTTCATCTGCGGCGACCATCGGTTTCCATGGAATATTGCGGAATCCGGTCACGAATCGGAATTTAACGATGGGTACTTGCTTCATAAATGGTTAAATTGTAGAAGGCGTCGATTCGACAGACTTCCGGCATGAGAATTTGACTTCAACGCGCCGTAAAGTCTTGAGAATTTCATGATCATATGCCGGCGGTTATCCAGGTATGAACCGTTTCACATTACAAGCACATGGAGACATGCATTCGCCGCCTTTCATCCATGTCATCGAAAGAGAGAGAAATAACATAATCCAAGCTGCGCGTACGGGGTCACTACAGTTTTTAGATTGCTGATTATTGCATGTATATTAACAGATCCTAATACGCTGAAAAAACGAACCTCGATAGCATTGATGCTTCTATCCAAATTCTGCCGCTGGAAGTCGCAAGTTCGACGAAGAGCCGCAGTCAAGTTCGGCGCCAGGCCGCACCGGGCATCTATACGCAAGTGTAAACAGACCGGATCAGATGGCGCTGGTGAAATTCGGCAGATGAGCTTATTTGGATGCTGTGTCAGGCCGCTTTCCGAACGAGATCGTTTCATTCGGTCGTCAGCGTCCGAGTTATACAATGATCGCGTCGCTTTTCAAACGGGCAAGTGCTGGGAATTGGAGCCCATGACGAAATCTAGGCGTATTTGGGCGTCTACCCGCTATGATGGCCTACTGCTGTAACAGGAACCGCGTTAATCGACGCCTTGTATTATACTATTGAAACCAAGTCTTGCTTTACTCCCGCTGCGTAAAATAGAATGCTTCTTCGCACTGTAGAGCAGGACATGCAAATCTCTACGCAGCGTACCATATAGATTGTACACAAATTGCTTGTAGAGAATATTTTTTGCTTAACAATGCAAGGAGGACTGCGTTCGCCCCTCAGTTCAGTCATACAACAGTACTCAGATCGTTGAGGAACAATGAAAGAAAGAAACAAGTACATGCGTTCCGCGACAAAACCGTTATTCTCCAAGACTGCTTCCAGTCAATGATGGAATACGATCCGTTGACCCTCATACGGGAAGAAAAAAGGCGTAATAGTAGCCACCGCAAGCGTCTCTGTGTCTGAGCGGGGAGCTCGCGTGGTCCTGCAGACATTGCGATGTAGTCGCAAAAACAGCGCCCTAGATCACGCACGGCCATCCTCCACCGAAATCGCAGCAATAGCTTTTCCGGAACGCCACTAGCCGTATGAAGCACAGGTACGTCGGTTTATTCTTTCAGTCGATGAGATGTCATTCGAATGAAACGATCGGAGCATGTGTGAGTATTCGCGGAGCATGGAGCCCGTTGTATATACAATCGATCTCGAGGCGAAAGAGAACATCACCATATGTTCTAGCTGCAGTAGATACTATTGGTGGCCTCGGTTCTGGCGTCTAAAGAAGGCTCAAACAGCAGCTTCGACCACTTCGTCGGATCATTGAAGACTTTTCCCCTGAAATCTGGAGACCTCCTCCTATTGGACACCGTGCATTTGAGAATTGCCCTTCCGTTCGAGCCTTTGCCAGGTCTCTCGCCGTAGAGCCGCCTTTCATTACTCCGTACGCTCCATGGTTCAACTTAACCGAAAGAGTGTTTTGTATCCTGAAATGTAATGATCGTTCCACCGGGCGAATCGCTGAAGCGTTAAGCACATGGTGTCCCAGTGGGCACATTATCTCTTTCACAAGTCCTTCTTGCTCTGTGAAGGTCCTCACCTGGCGGGCATAAACTGGTGTGGTGATTTGAAGAAATAGGAAATCCAAGGGAAAGTTATGAACATGGGAGTCGAAAATCCTGGAGCCCCGATGTCGCCTTCTGTCGGAAAAACGAAATAAATTTGCCTCTCGCAAACCATCGAGCGATGAAGAGCAAGTGAGCAAGAAGAAGACGAAAAAGAAAGTAGACAGAAGGAAAGTGATGTTTGCCAACGGGGCGATGGTGAGACTTTAGTGGCACAGAACGCGCGAGTTCGAGGAATCCTTGTTTTGGTGAGGTCCACCAGCAGCGCTGCATACGCGGAGTTCGTGAACCGGGACTCCCATGCTGCTATCAATAACAGGAGATTTGCGGTGCTGAAGACGAGCAAACTTTAAGGGGCAGCCTCTCAGGATCGAAATGCACAGGGCGAAACTGAGACTAGTAGCAGGCGACCGGTCAAAAAAGACTAGGAGGCGTCTATGGGAAGGTATTTGTTTATCCCACAAAGAACAGCAAACGTTTCGCTTCTCTGACAGTGCGCATTCAGTACAGCTCGGTAAAATCACCAGTTTTATAAAATCTCTCCGAAAGTGTTTGGTGCAGTGACTGGCTACCCTAGAGCTCCGTGAGATACTCGTCGAGGAAATTGTTCTCTGCAGGAATTCGGAGCTTTTTCAGAGCCTTGGATTCGATCTGCCGAATGCGCTCTCTGGTAACATTAAATTTGACTCCCACTTCCTCCAAAGTTCGCGGTCGGCCGTCTGCTAGGCCGAAGCGCATGCGAATAACCTCCCGTTCACGCGCAGTCAGACACCGCAGCACCTTTTCAATGCTATCCCGCAAGGTATCTCGCGAGACAGTATCCTCAGAGCGCTCCTCTGGGGATATCAGGGACTCGCCGAGGTTGTGTATGTCATCTGTACCGTGCATGGGTGTTTCGAGGCTCACAATATTCTGAGAACATTCCATGATTAAACGATACTTTGCAATATCTATTCCAACACTTTCGCAGATTTCGTCCTCGCGAGGTGGACGCCCCAGCTGTGTATGCAGGGCCTTGGTGTGCTTTCGAATCATGGAAATCGTGTCATGGACGTGAACAGGCAGTCTTATGGAACGTGAGGAATCCGATATTGCTCGTGTAATGGATTGCCGTATCCACCAAGTTGCGTACGTGGAGAACCGGAATCCTCGCCCAGCATCAAATTTTTCAACTCCTCGTATGAGTCCAATGGAGCCCTCTTGGATCAGATCCTGCAGAGCTACGCCACGGTTAGAATAGCGTTTTGCGATGGAGACCACCAGCCGCAGATTGGCGGTTACCATTCTTTCCTTCGCACTTCTTCCATCTCGGATATGCTTGCGGAGCGCCTCGACATCTTCGCCGTAGCCGCATCCTCGAGCCCACTCCAGCTCGGTCGGTGACTTGCCATGCTGCTCCCGAAACGACTTCTGAAATCGCTCCAAATCCATGAGGACACAAACCTGTCTGGAGAGTTCGACCTCCTCCCCAGGTTGAAGAAGTTGGTAGCGCCCGATTTCATACAGATACGAACGAATCGTATCATCCTTCCGCTCACCTGTGTTTGGCTCAGCTTCCGCAGATTCATCTTCCTCAACCAGAGCATCTAGCAACTTATCGCTATCCGCGTCGAGATCAGGTTCTTCATCGTCAAGGCCGGAAAATATACCATCAAAAGGGTCCACCGTGCCACTATTGCTATTAACACTAGCGACGGAAGCGTCACCCGTAGATACAGTATTCTTCATCCGGGGGCCCGCTCGCATTCGGACTTGCGCGCCGGTGAGGCGCTCCGTCTTGCGTGCCCTCGGTTGCCGACCTTTCGTTTTAGCGGCCGCCGCACGCTTCTCCGAGCGTGTCAAGGAGCTTTTGCCCTTCGCTGCAGGCGATGATCTCTTCACCATTTTGTTTTCTGCCTCAGCGACAGACTCAGGTGCATCTGACGACTGCTCAAACTGATACTGCCGCTCCAGACCTCGAACGTAGGCACGCAATGACCCGGGGAACGAGATCCGTGTTCGCTGGTTACGGCTATTCCTGTCGACAGAGCCAAATTCTGCAGAGAGGGATATGATATCAATGTCTGCCGCCGCGAGCAATTCGTCTGCGTACGCAGCAAGCCCTCGAGGGTCGACACGAGGGATCTTATTGCGCCGCTGGTTCCGCGATGCTACTGCGTGCTCGAGCCCTGCATGATCACCACGATCCTGATAGGCTTCATCCGGGCTTCGCAGAATGATGCCAGTAATTACACTATCTGATTCACATGAATCCTCAAGTTTTTCTGGATTATCACTCCTGCGGGCATTGGTTCGACGGGGACCCACGGCTATCATGCGAGTATCACCCCGATCAGTGTCGACACTGTTCACATTTTCTTGGGCCGACTTGCGTTGTGGGTGCGGATATAGACACCGGCTCCCATGTGTGAAGCACGAGCTCTCGCTTCCAAGAGCGTGTGCCTCAGATTTGGAGACGGCAACACGGTTGCCGCACCCAGGTTTTATCTCGCATCCGTTTTGAGCAAACACGCTCACATTGACTTGTCCCAGAACACCACCGGGCTTCTGGAAGGCAAGTCTTACGTTTGCCTTCGATATAGGATGCGCTCCGTGAGACATGCACAGCTGAGTATCCAGCACCGGAACTCGAGTACACACGTCGCGCGCTTGCGTGAAAACTCGTGTACCGTCGCTTCCGGTTCCTGTCCAACGCCCTGCTCGGCTGTTCGATATCGGGACTGGTACGTAGCCTTCCATAGTTCTCTATAACCACGTGTTTCACGAGAAAGGTACAGGGAGTCTCGCGGCGACTCCCCTGCTTCAGCGGATCTGTGCAAGTCCACACGACGCACGCTGTTGCAGTAAATTCTCACCCGCGCTGACTCCAAAATTTCGAGCCCAAAGTTCTGCCGTAGTGCCTGGTGCGTAAAGGACTTTCCTACCGTCCCGTTCAAGTTCTTTACAAGCTGTTTTGCGCGACCAAACTCTGCACTCCGACGACGTCTTGGGCTAACACAGCACCTGGCGTTGAATCAAGCAAGCGCTCGGCGATAAAAGCGCCGCCGTCGTCGCTACGACGTCTGGGAGCAGCCGCCGCACCGTGCACCGGCGATCAGATCATGCGGCACGTCAGAAACTGTATTTATCGCCCATTAGTATATAAATTGGGATGAAAATAGACAGAGCTTTGGCTTCTTGATCGATTGTGCATTCGCTCGAACTTCGACATCTGCGCAACGTCTGTGGCGCTCGTTTTGAGGAAACTACCATAAATCATGCAGGATACTGCAGCACGTTAGTCTGCATGCGCCATGATCAGGCAGGCCAGAACATTCGTGTATAGAAGAAGCTTCACTCTGTGATACGGGATGCATCCCAAAAGCAGGTAAATTCGTTGTAGGGGGAAAGGTTCTGCGACGCTCGTGCAGAGAGTCGCTGAGCCCACGGACACCAGCAATGTGAAGGTCACTTGGCCTGCAGGCAACTTATGCGCTTTTGATCAAGGAGCCAGGGCAGCCACATGCGGTATGCCATTCGAAAATTGAGCATAAAGCTTGCTATGGGCCACGCGCGAAGGATGCGAAACAATTCATCTTTTCTGGTGTTTGCGCTGCTGTACACGCCGTACACAAGATCTTCTGCGAGCAGGCGACATGTTGACGGTGCCCATCCTTGCAGGTGTTTTTCTAGCTTGAATTATGATAGGGCTTGGGTTCTACACGGCAGTGACCCCGACTGAAGCGTCCTCAGTACCTTGCATAGGACTCGCGTAAACATCGTTCTCTGTACCACGGCGAACATTTTGTGGATCGCTCTCTGTACTTCGGCCGACATATCATGGATTCATCAATCAGGGTTTGTCTTACTTAGGGTCTCTAGTGTATGATTTTACACAAACGGCGACGCTGCTGGTGCATTGGGAGTCGCATGGACCGTGCCTCGCCCAGCTCGATGTAAATGATAAAGTCTACGAAAAATCACGCTAAATTGAGAATATCCGACAGAGAGTCCGACGTGGAATAGACGCACACACTTCGAAATGACGCCTTGGTGAACCATACTCGAGGGAGTGCGAAGTGTGCCGCTCTAGTACACACAACTCGGCTAAAGGCAAATCTGTTATACTCAGCCGGGACGCCCAAATGCAAAGCAGTTTTGAGCATGTCGCTCTCAGATACCCCTTCCGATCGCATCTTCGAACGTTGCATCATCCTCTGAACTGTTTCGATTTCCGACAAGAGCCCACCGGTCGTGAAATATTCAAGAAACATACCTTGTCTCCGCCGCAGAACACAACAATGCACCCTGTTGCCCAGATACCTCAGCCGTTAACCCAACTGGAGGTTTGAAGTTCCCGTGGTGAGCGAGCGCTATGCTGTTCGCTGGTGGCTGATTTTGCCCTAGAATCCAGCGAGGATGCTCTCGGATTCTGTGAGATGCTCTGGAGAAAACCCTGTTCCGGCGCTCAAGCGTGTGCTACAGCTGCTTTCACCCTACCACACATTTTATAATTGGACTACGGCTGGCACGGATTCGACCAGCACATAAGCATGCTGTAGTTTGGCTGCCATCCCTGGAGCCTTTCTTCAGTGATTACCACACACAGCTGAATGGCAGCTACCTTTTCCGTAACAAACCCCTTGACCTTTCAACAACTGTGAAACTTAACACTTGATGAAGCACAAATTAGAAATACAAAATTCTAACATACCTTTTCAAGCCCGCGACGATGGAATATCAGCAGTGGGATGCATTCGCCCCAGTGAGGGTACTCCTTGAGCACGTGGAGGCGGAACCCTCGGTGGCGCCAGAGCTCCCGAGCGCTCGACGCTGTGATCCCCGACATCTACGGAGGCGGAATCGCAGTGCTGCCAAACGATTCGCAGAGATTTCCTCCGTCTTTTCGAGGGCCTGTAGGTAGCTCGTGGCAACGAACGACTCTCGACTTGGCGCCAGGTTTTCAAGGACACTGATCGTGTTTTCAAAGAGGCTTACGTTTGTCGGGCACCAGTGAGGAGTCTCGAAGAATACCAACCAGTGGCTTGAGGGCGGAATTCTCCTTCGTCGTCTTTGACTGTGGCCTCGACTTTCGAGGGAGCAAGTTAAGCAGCAGCGAATGGACCGGGGCTCTGTGTTTGACGCCGGGGGCACGCCTACCGAATGTCAGCGTACATATCCTCTGCACTACACTGCAGAACGTAAGAGCTCGTCGGTTGAGCCCCCGAGTCCCCGGTACGCTATCCCGGCTTTGACGTCTTCAAGCAGCGCGGGGCTGGAAACTTCCGAGGACAGCGGTTCTCACGCGCAGCCTTCTGTTCGGTCTGAGGGGGAAAGAGAAGCGCGCTCAGCAGCCTGTGCTTTGCAGAGACTGAGTTTCGTTAACGATAGCGGTGAAAACGTTTTGGAAAGGAACTCCTCTGGAGCTTCAAGTGTGACGAGCGCCCCGGACAACCTCACACCAGGTGCACCTAACTCTAACACTTCTAACTCCCGGGATGTCCGTCCGAGAAAGCCTTATGTCAAGTCAAAGGCTCGAGAAAAGTGGACAGAAGAGGAGCACCAAAGGTTCGTGGAGGCTCTTCACTTGTTCGAAAGAGACTGGAAGAAAATTCAGAAGCATGTGGGAACAAAAACAGTGCTGCAAATCAGATCGCACGCGCAGAAATACTTTCTGCGAATTCAGAAGCACACAACTGGGGAATATATTCCGCCGCCACGACCCAAAAGAAGGTCAGCATCTCCGTACCCGCGCAACTCTAAGTCGCCCACTCGAGAGGAGTCACCTGAGGACACCGCACAAAAGGCACAGCTTGTTGATGAAGACAGGGTACTGCCAGTGGGCAGCGCCGAGTTTAAGCGATCAAATAGTGACCCGTATCAATCAGCATCGTGCAGTTATGCGTCGCCGCTAACTTATCAGGAATGTCCCGTGTATTACTCTGAGGAACTACCACATTATGCGGGGCGGCTTCCTACAGAAGCGAAACGGGCAATGTCTGCGCCCCCGGCAAGTGTGGAAGAATATGAAAGAACGCGATTAATGATTGGAATGCAGCGGGCTGCCTATGCAACCGACGAAAGACGTCGGAAATATGCCGCCTGCACCCAGAGCGCGTACAACCTGCTGTTGTGTTCACAGTCTTGCGGGACCACTGGGAGCTATCACTCTACTCAGGGTGCCGGCTTCCCGACAGACTCGCTGCAATGTACTGACATCAAGGCGGATGTTCCCTGGGGCCAGGCGCGAGCATTAGCAGCTCCAGGCGCTTTTATGAGCATGAATGGTCCAGCCCATCCGTTCATGCTGCATCCAAACCGACCCCAGTACGGCTGGACCAACGTACCGTTTCCTCCTACCCATGTTCATCCATGGTACCCCATTTCTGTCTGTGGAGCAGGCCTGGGTGGGTCCGGATCCCTGCAAGACTTTTATTGTTATGGATTTGCCAGCACGCGTGCAGCTGCGGCGTGGAAGCCTTCGGGACTGGCTCAGAGTCAAGGCCTCGGGACTGCTTCATCATGTGAAAATATCCCCCATCGAGGGCATGCAGCAGACCAATGGAGATATGCGGGCAGCACGTATCAGGCTAAGCAGCCTCCGGGAGACGGTTCAGTATGAGATGTGCAGCATGGTCGGACCTCCAGCGACTGAAGGGACCCTCCAGTTCTTAGAGCTCGATCTGCGAAATGCTCAAGAATATAGCGTGCAACTGAACCATGAATGAAGCATGATTTGATGCGTAACTTACTGGATACACCTGTTCGTGGAGAGTATTTGCTTTAGCTATGTGCTCCTGATAGAGAATGCCTGTAGTTATGCGATTTCTTGGATATCACCACACCATTTCTAGTAGCCGAATAGGCAGGCCAGCAACTCTGAAGGGATTGCCCGAGCATGCCCTGTTGTTCTTGTACGTTAAGGGGGTAGAGCGATGCAATTACAAGCGAATCGGATTCTGGGCTCTGCACCTGGATTGTGCGGTTGGCACGCTGCAATGTGTGGTGCATGTCTTCGCTATTTTATCAGTATCTCACACCCAGTTCGACTCCGTAAAACTCATCAGTCGTACAGAGCAATCGCAGAGGCATCCTCCGTGCGCGTTCCCGCACGAATCATCGCAAGCACCCCGATACCATCGGCTATTTTCTTCTGTGCTGCAAGGATGTACGCTTCAACGCTGCGTATTCTTCCTCGCTCCCAGCGCTTCCAAAAGTCCGCCAGCCAACCCGCCAGGAGCAGGTCTAACGCAAGACGCACGCGGTCTGTATAATTACAGATCGCGTTCAATCGCCCGTGGCGCAACAAATGGATCAAAGCTGTTGCAAGGCGGAGACAGAGCTCTAAAAAGTAGAAACGATCTCGTTTCTGATTCATCGTGAGCTCTTCCGGTTTCGCAGAACTTGCAGTACAACCACCTAAACGAATTCCGGATGCGCCACACCCGGTGCGATCTTGAGGCCCTTGAGATAACCCAATTACCTCTTGGGACTCCACGTCTGTGCAAGCCTGAGCGCTGCCGATCGTCTGGGTAACATCCGACTGCAGCAATCTACGCGACACTCGCAGATGGGACGAAATGTACTGGAGGGTAAGAAGCATAGCTAGCATTGAATACGGCCCGAACAGGATCGAGGTATCGCAAACTGAGCAGCCGAGCTCCTTCAGCCATTGGAACTGGATCGGCTCGCCTGTGCAGATCTCTGTAACCCGATGTGGAAGTAGTGATCGACAAATAAACGCTATACATGCGTCGTGGAAAACATTGCCCGCGCGATACTTCACAAGGTCCATCGCCAGAATGCGGATTCGCTCTGTGTGTAAATGCGCATAGATTCGCTCGCAATCGAAGTCTGGCACCAGACCTAGGCTCGTGCTTCGCCGCTGCGCAGGAGACACGCAGGCTTCCATTCCTGCGAGAGTTTCTTCGGTCGTTTTCTCTGGGGAGGAGAGATCAAAGTCATTAGGCTTTTCGTTTCGAGAAACACTGGTGCGCGGGAATTCCTTTTCCATGGAGACCTTGCTTCGGGTTGGATCGTCGGATCGAACTGTACTTCTTCGGAAACACCAAAAGATACCGGTGGCTACGGTGGATGATGAGCGCTGCGTATGCCGCATCCCAAGACTTTCCAATACTGGGGCAGTCTCGGGCACTGATTTGACCTCCGGATCTTCGGGTTGATCGTCAGTGTCCTTATCCATATTCGATAGCTCATAGGCGCTATCTTCTCGTGGCTCCGGCGGGGCCACCCCAAACACTTGGGTAGTGGACGTTGTTTTCTGGACCGGAGGACCAGCCGGGTCGTATACATGAACGGCGCTCAGCATGGACTCACTCTGCGCGTACACAACGTCGTAGATATCCTGCGGAGTAAGTAGCGACGCTGGTTTCGAGAAAACTTGTTCAAGTCGTTTCTCTACCAGTTCAGCGCGCAACCACTCGCCCACGTATGCCACGGTGCCCTCTTTAAGAGGCGACGATGAGCCATCATTGATGACTCGAACGACAGATTCAAAACGAATGCACCTTGGGTTTCCGGAAGTGCTTGACAAGTACGTCGAGTCGGGTGACTTGTCTACCGGTCGCCTCTGTTTCAGTATGGGACGCTTCGGTAAGACTCTTGGAGGCACAGAGCAACCCTCCACGCAGTTCCCGCTTTGTGAGACATTCACATTCTGTTGGAAATCAGCCACTCGGGCACGCTGTTCTACTCTGCCACTCGAGTCAGACCGCTTTCGCTCGGTTGACGGGAAGTGCGGAAGCGCAAGGTCCATAACGGTGCTCGCCCCTGAAACCTCAGGAAAAAGTCAACATATCGCTTACGTATTTTTTCAAAGTACAACCACAATCCTTGGCTCTTATCAAACCAAATGGAGTTAGACGGGCTGCAAACTGTGTTGAAAGCCGTCAAGCATACACACGCTTGCATACGTGGTTGCTCGCTCCAGATAGCAAAATCGCACAATCGTCGATCAGTTCCCGAAATCGCATGCACGTGTTTACGCGAACACTGAGCCAGCGCCCTGTGAACGAATATCTGCATGGGCACGCGCGCGCAGCAGCAATGCGACGACGGTAGATTCCTTGACATTTCGGACGCGCACTGCAGTCTGACGCAGCGCTGCTCTCGCAGCGAAGAGGGTTCATGGCGGTTGACCCATGAGCCGGACCGGACTCTTCGGGACGCGTGATGCTCGCTGAAAAATAGGAGGGAGATCATCGTCGTCCCCAGATACTTGTATGTTCCACGGTCTTCAGAAGAGCTTTCACACAACGACTCGAGTTTTGATCAATGCGGTGGATATGCCGGGTGTCGAGCGTTTTTGGGGTCCATCGTCAGGGACGCTGGAAGTGTCGCAGCGACCACCAGGCGGGGACCAAATCACTGTATGGTGCACTTACCGGAGTTGGCTCTAGGGGCGCGTTCATGTTCTCCGCTAATCCGTACTGTGCAAGAGCACTCGGGCGTGGTTTCTCCGAGATGGCGTTGCATGATGTGCCCCCTGTTGCGAACGAATGCGTCATCGCTCATCACTCGTTGGTTGGTCAGTTGCGTGCAAACACGTCCGAACTGTACAGCGATGAACGCTTCGCATATGCGAGTCATCATTTCGGTCGGTATATGCGCCCACGGAGAACGGATTTCTCGCGGAATCTGTCAGCACATACGCTTCGCGCTGATGAGACAGCGCGGGGCCAACAACCAAACTGCATGAGAGGGATGGCGGCCATGAAACTCGCAAGCAGGACGGAGGGCATGACGCATGCCCAGTACGAGACGCGTGCAGATGATTCGGAACTCAAATGATTGATTTTCACGAAGCGCATACAGCTGACCAAGTGCATTATCCAAGATCCGACGTTGCCGCTGCTCATCCGATTCTCAAGATGATCTTAGTATGCGAAGCCTTACCCTCTTAAGTGCTAATTGCGTTAAACTGAAAGGTACGAAGCCGGCATCAGTGACTAGGCCGTGACACCGTTCGCTCGGTGTGCGGCGCCCATGGATTCTCCAGATCAATCGAGCCCTCATGACCTTGGACGACACTGTTTGGGCGGTTGACCGAACCTCCGGGCGTTCATGGTTAAGCGATAGTTAAAGCCCCGAGATCCAGGAGCATTGACACGTAAAGAGAAGGCTGCGTCGATCCAGGGACCCATATCGCTCGAGCTGACGCCCACAAGAGTCTGGCATAAACGTTCCCTCTGGGTGCAGCATCCGCACAGGCGCTCAAGGCGTCGCGGTGGGCGCTCACGGCGAGATCGGCATTCGGAGGCTCCTGTGAACTTACTAATATCCCCAATGCGAGATATGTGTAGCGGTGGTAGATTCGGCGGTGATGTATCGTGGAACCTGAAGGTCTGGCACGAAATGATGATGGACGCGCTCCCGGTAGCCGGTAACTATCGCGCACTCTCCGGGATCCAAACTAGCATGAACTATGCTGTACCCGAGAACAATGCAACAACATCATGCGACATCGCGGCACCCATATCAACACTCTGTGCATATGTACTCGTGGTATTCATGTTTGTGTCGACAGGGCTATGGTGGTCGCGCCTAAACATCGAGCAACGGCATCCTCGCTGACTGGTGTCTGAGACGCACGCGCGTAGCAGGATCGACAGATGGCGATGCGACGGCACTGGAGAGCCCTAGAGTGTCTAGCACGCAAGGGACAACAGACATGGAATCTAAGAGGCCACACGTCGATTTACAGGACTTCCTCAGCAGAAAGAGGCAGTTTGAACGAGAGCGCCGCGCTCATCGGCGCAAGCTTCTCGAAAGCCGCCGTGCGCGAGTGCGGCGCAGGGTCCAAGAGTTTCGGCGTATGCTAGTCCTGCTCGAAGGAAGAGCCGCATCTGGCGAACAGACGGAGCAAATCAACGCGCGTGCCCCTGATCAGTTCTCCGTACAAAAAAACGCTTCACCGGACAAAGACGGGGAACAATTTGCTGACCAGTCGAACCGCTCGTCGACAGAACGCGTTCCAAAGCGCTATGCGCAGGCGATCAGCAAAGGCCAAGAGGCTCGAACCAAGCGTCAGGCTGAGCTTTTCGAGCGTGAGCAGCAGCGGCAGAGGCTTTCAGAGGAACGTGAGCGGCGTGCGCAGCTCCGTGAGAACCAAAGAACAGCGCATCTTCGACGAACAAGAAAGGGACAGCCATACCTGAACTTGCAGATTGAGGCTTTGCTGGCGAAGCTCAAACGGGGCTGACGGTAACGCGAATTTATGCTCTGCTAGAGGCTGAACCCGACGAATGGTCGCCAAATTTTGCAAGAACTGCATGTCTTCCCTATGCTTTGTGGGAACCTCGACCAGCTCATGTCCAATGGCAACCGGAAATATTGCGCTCGAATTCATCACCCTTATCGAAACGAAACCAAAGTTCGCAAGCCATCTGTTACGACGTTTTGCTTGGAAGCACCCTCTGGACTGAAGTGGAACTCCTCTCTGCTTATAGCTTGTCCAAACACAGTAGCCGCTTTGCTGTTCCAAAAGAATTCAGTCCCAGCGTTGAAGGGCGCAATCTAGCTGAGGAGAAGTCATTGACCTAAAAGATTAGACTTGTTGCAGAGCACGGATAGAAGCGCACTTGTTTGATTTGGATAAGGAGCTGAGCGCTCGATGCTCATTCTTCAATTGTATGATGCATTTATCGGCAGTACAATGCTCACGTTTTGCCCTTGCCTGTGCGAGACGATAGCGCCTCTGCGCGTCGCTGGATGCCCCCCAGGCCCTCCTCTTTGGTTACAGGGACGCTTGCAAGTGTTCTACTGTTATACGCAAGACCTTTAGCAACGTCCACAGCTATAGTGACGTGAGGGCGTGCGTTCGCCCCTTGTATTTCGCCGCTGGCCGTGCGCAGGCGCGCCATACGAGCGACCAAACGATACGGTGTTCACTGGAACGCATGACATAGTAGCCGTATGCCACGCTGCCAGTCCGGATTGCTGAACAGGTCTATCAGACCTGATGTATCAGGGAAAATTCCGTCCAATTGGGCATCACGTTGTACCTTCACGAGCGCCGCCTGCCGCCTGCGGTCCATCACCGCCTAGGCACGGCGCACTTGGATGCTGTCGACGCTGAAATCATCGCGTACAAGCAGATCACTAACGATGACTGCAAGTTCATTTTTGCGGATCAGACCGCGCCGGGTCAGCTCCTCCAAAGACCGATGTACTGTTACCTCTGGATCCGGACAAAACTCGAGGCTGAAAGCAGTCACGCCCCAAAATAAAGTGAGCTTGCGGGCGGTGCTTTCGCTGGGCGTAAACGCGTAGATGGGGCAGCGCGACCTCGCTGATGAGACGAGGCTCGCTACACGCCCGCTTTTGGTGAACACAATAATGCATGCAGCGTCAACGCCGGTTGCAAGGCTCGCAGCAGCCTCTGTCATGCTGACCATTGGATCCGAGAGCAAGTCCCTTTCCAGCGTGGCGCCTGTGCTGCGCTCAACTGGTGAAAGCGCCGCACACAAGAGGCCTTCCTGCTCCTGATGAAACACGCTCTTTGCTACAGTATCCATGACCGTGAGCGCCTCGAGCGGATACGAGCCATTCGCAGTCTCACCGCTGAGCATCGTTGCGTCTGAGCCTTGTCGAATCGCTTCCGTAATGTCCGTAACCTCTGCACGCGTTGGTGTCGGGTATACAATCATGGATTCAAGCATGTGTGTGGCCACAATGGTTGGTTTGTGCATTGCCCGGTTAAGGTAGACAATTTCTTCCTGCACTATGGGCACTTCCTCGACGGGAATTTCAGCGCCCAAGTCACCACGAGCCACCATAGCTCCATCGGCAGCTTCGAGGATTTGTCGCAGCCGTGGGATCGCCTGCGCAGATTCGATCTTTGCCAAAACCAGAGGTGTTTGCCCGGGGGCGTGCTCCCTCAAGTATTCCTGAAGCTGAATGATATCGTCCTCATGCTTCACGAACGATAGAGCATAGAAATCAACGTTTCTCTCGACGCCAAAACGAATGTCATCCCAATCCTTTTCTGTTAATGCCGGCAAAGACGCCGACTTGCCGCGAACGTTGAGGTGCCGACGACTTGTTAGCACTCCTTCGTCGAGGCACTCTGAAATGACATCAAGTCCACGCTTTTCCACAATGACGAAAGAGCAGATGCCACCGTCGACGAGGAGGATGTCGCCCACGTTCACATCGTTGATAAAGTCATCATAGGATACATCCGTAATGTACGGAAAATCAGATGCGAGCTGTTCCGGTGGTATATCGCGCCGCACCGTCCAGATGAAGCGTTGGCCTCGAGCGACCTTGATCGGTGCCTTCAGGTCACCTGAACGCACTTCTGGTCCTTTCGTATCCAGTAGGATGCCAATATTGTATTTTCCCGACTTGTTCACAGCGCGAATTTTCTCGATGACGTTGTGATGCCATTCATGGCTGCCGTGCGACATATTGAGTCGGGCTATGTTCATGCCATGCTCCGCAAGTTGATAGATAGCCTCCAACGAGCAAGTTTTTGGCCCGATCGTGCAGACTATCTTTGACCAGCGTTGGGACGACAGCTGATTCCTACCCGCGACGGCTACAGAAACGGGTCGCTCCCGAGGCAACCTGTTCTGGCCGCCGCCGATCGCAGCGTCAACAACTGCTGCTGTCGTTGTCGTAGGTGCCGCGGATCCCGAGGGTCCCAGCGTCGTCTCCCCATTGTGCATTTCCCCCTGGCCTGCAGAGATCGGACGGCCACTGGCATCCGCCAGGGTACCGCTCAGGGCCCAGCGCTTCTTACTAGAGCGTCCGAGGCCACCCCTCGAGGACTGCAGCGTTTTCGAACGTCCTCCGCTAGAATGTGCCACTCGTCGCTCCAGCCACCGTGTCTTCCCTGACCATGGCTGGTCCCTCGAAGAAGCTCTCGGAAATTGAAGCAAAAATCCAAGCATAGCTGCCGACTATGAACAGAATAATACGTCGACTAGACGGCCTCGCTGCACCTAAACAGCGAAAGGGCGTTCCGACGCGTCGCCTCCGCAACGTGCGCCATCGGCACTCCTTTGAGGCTGGACACAACAGCACATATCTGGACAATACTACAAGGCTCGTTGCGCCCCCGCACGCCCACACCTGTGCAGAAGCGTTTCTTGTCAGCGCGCGCGCGGCCTGCCCAGCCGTACCCCGCGATGTCGATGCCTTGCTTGTGCATGAACTGATAGCTGGCGTGGCTCGGTCGCAGCTCACAATACGGACAGTCTGTCTCTAAGATAAGGCGATCTAAAGGAATGCTCTCACGGACAACTCGAAGATTCTCCTCTGTTTTCAGGGAGCATCCGTTGACGCCTAGGTGAAATCCGAGGTCTAACAACATTGCTGCTTCCTCTGCTGAACCATCAAATGAATGAACGAGACCGCCAGCTCTAATTTGGTGCCGGTTCTCCGTGAGAAGCTGCACTAGGTCGGCAGTAGACTCTCGATTGTGCAACAGAAGAGGGAGACCAGTCTCTCCGGCTAGTTGCAGTTGCAACTTGAAGCCTCTTTGCTGCACTGCCGGCGGGCAGAACTGTGTGCGCACGTAATCGAGTCCACACTCGCCGATGGCGACAACGGCGTCATCATCGAGGTTTTCGTCAGGGGCTTGCGTACCACCCGCTGCGCCAACGCCTTGCTCGATGAGTGCTCTCAGGGCATGTAGATGCTCGCGTGCGTGCGCCTCAGCATCCGCAGATGCAGTATCTTCTTTGGGGAAAAACTCACTGCATCTGGTGGGATGCACACCCACAGTGGCGAATAGTTTCGGCAAGGACGTTGCGCTCGATGCGGCAAGTTGTTTACGGTTTTCGCGAACTAGCAACAGCGCCTCTTTACTCTGGTCTAGAGAGCCCGCCGTGACTAGAACTTCGCGTACGTTTTCTTGTGCAGCTCGTTCGAGAACTCGATCAAGGTCTGGTTCGTGATATCTCTTGCCGTTATATACCCCTAAAAACGCCTCATCCGTGAGGTTCGCTGCCGCATCAAAGTACCTGTGCGCCATGGTCGTGGTAAGCTCTGCAGGCAGTGCTTCGCAGGCTTGGAACGACCTACCGCTTTGGAACCGCTGCACCAGTCGAATACCTGCTTTTCGGGTTGTGTGACTGAGACAACATCCGTGGCGACCTCGCTGACAGTGCGTCCAGCCAGCAGCGTTCCCTGAGCTGCAGTGAACTCGTTGCCAAGCCCCTAGGGACGAGGAAAGCCAGTAACGAAGCGCTTTGCGTAGACGGAACCCGTGTGGAAAACTTTTCAAACTTACGTATGCGAGTTGAACTGCTGATTTTTGCCTAGGAAGCCGCCAGCGCAGAATACCCTCGTCTTGCCGTTCTGGTTTCATCGCAGGACGGCCCAGTGAGCGATTAATTGCGGTATAACGCACGCCTGGAAACGTGTGTACTTTACGCGAATCGGCAGTATCGCTTTCCTGCGACACTTGACTGTAGAGCGTTTCGAGGCCGGCGGTGACCCACTTAATCTCCTATCCATTGCGACTTGATGAGGCTAGTCATTGGACCCTGGCTTATGTGCTTGTAAAGGACAACGGAAACCCCAAGAGTGTAACCGGAATGTGCCATGCGACGTGCTAGGCGACGCCGTTCGCAACACACTGCACCTCGTTGTGACCCGAGTGCTCGAGGCCCCACGCGGAGCGCAAACCGCAGACGCTTGGAGTGCCCTCAGGCCTAGCGCCCAGACCTCGACGAAATGTGCAACAGAACTGAGGGCTCCCGCGGAAGTGCGACCAGTGCGCCCGGGCGTTGGCGTCTTGCCCGAGTACGGCCTCCAGGAGTGGGCGCCCTCTAACGAGAACTTCGCTCATGGATGCGAAAACAGTTTATATGCGTGAATCCAACCAGAAAATATTGAAATGGGCAACTGACAGTGCCGTGAACACGCACACAAAGTTCAGCCCCCATGCAGTAGACACGCATATGACAGAGAGTTGTCGGTGTACGCAGTAAACCGTGATTGATTGCATGCTTGTGAACACATCAAGTGAAATGCATTGCAAATATTTCTCACGAATAGCGAACCTGAGCAAACTGTTCGTTTACGTCGTCGACTATGACGCGAACACATTCTAGCCAGCGCAGACTGCCAGATTCCTCACAATAAATGGCTATCCGTACAGGTATCGTGCGCTGTGGTGCTGCGACACTGAGAATGCACCCGATGGCCCTGGGCAGGCATCTGCAGCATGCTCCAAGATCGCTCGCAGTCGAAAACAGCATCGAGTCTTTCGGATGCCGGTCTCATGAGAGCTCAAAGATCCTAATTAGGCCCTGAGAATTCGCTGCAGCAAGTGTGTCTGTGTCCTTGCGCCAGGCAACGGCTGAGACAAAATGCGGGCCACCGAACGTGCCAGAATCTGGTTGCAAGAAGCGCGAGCCTGGTGCACCGGCGACATCCAGGGCGCCTCCAGATCGAGCGACGACCTCTGCTGAATGCTGGGCCGGCTCGGCAGCAAAGTCGCTCACAATTGCTGGCGATGTCAGGCTGCGATAATAGGTATAGACGTGGTTGTCTTCACTACCGCAGGCAATCCAGTCCGGCTTCACAGAAAGGCCCACAAAGTTGCGCTCATTACAATGGCCAGTGTAGATGCGCTCGCACTGGCAGCTTCGCAGGTCCCACAGCCGCAACGTCGAATCCGTGGATGCAGTCACGATTTCCCGGTTGCTGCAGAAGAATCGGATATAGGAGATTGCCTTTCGATGGCCCTTGAGGATGTGCAGCGGCTGTGCCATGCTGCGCAAGTCATAAACGTAAGCTTGGTGATCGGCTGATCCAACGGCAAGCAGGCACTCGTGCTGAAGAGGTGCAAACTTAATGCAGCACACATTCGCATTCATCCGAATCGTTCCTACAGAGTCTCGTTGCGTGGTCGACCATATCTTGACATTCCCGTCGTCGCTACCGGACGCCAGGATATGAGGCTTCATCGGACAGTAATCTACGGTCCAGGCTCGTTTCTCATGCTCTTCATACTCGGCGACGAGCTTGCAGCTTTCTGTGTCCCAGATGCAGACGACTCCATCATAGTCGCTCGACGCGATATGTTGCCGTGTCGACGGACTCCAGCTCAGACATGAGAGCTTTGCTCGTGCTGGCAGTTCGCAGATTGGATATTTCACCTGAGCATCGTGATCGACCACGGTGTGTAGATCAAAAATTTTGATTTTCCGCATGACTCCAGCAGCTGCGAGCAGTTCACCAAACATGTCAAAGTCCAGACACGACACGATATTGCTACCCCGAAAAGGCTCCCCATAACGCAAAAGCGTTAGGCAGCGCATTTGTGCATATTTCGTCGCCGTGCACAGTTCGTGCGCAAACTGTTCCAGGGGATCGGCATCCACTTCGGTGATGTCCGTCGGGAGGTGCCCTGAGCTCTGTGCAGTCACCGACGAAAGCGCCAGTGGCGACGGTCCCAAATCGTATGGTCGAGCTCTCGTGGCATGGCTTTGCTGGTTATCTCTATCCATGCCCGCTGGCTGAGGAGAAGATTCTTTCAAGTTTGGTGGTCTGAGCTCCAAGTACCGTTGCTGAAGCTGTTCGAACAATATCAGCATCCGCTGTACCCGCTTTTCGGCCGCCTCTGGGGCGCCGCGTTCTCCCGAATCCTTCATGGATTCAGCACGTCGCTGCTGTAGCTCGTTGGCCCTTTGTAGATCCGCTTCTAATTGCAGAAGCTCTGCCTCAATCTTTGCCAGCTCGCGGCGTTTCAGCTCAATGTTGTATTCGAGGAAGCTTTTCAAGATTGTATAATCAGTGCCCAGGCTCATTCGCTGGAGGCGGCGACGCTGCTCTAACAATGTCTCGACAATCTGGTCAATCTCTGAACCTGATAGTCGAGAGGCAATCCTCTTGAGCTTGTCCACAAAGTTGCTCTCTTGTCCTTTCTGCGTCTCTCTTTCCAGATCGCTCAGGATTTGCTCTATGATTGGATCCTGCTTCGATAGAATGGGCCTCTCCCTCGACGAAGCTCGATGCTGGTCATCCGACGCGGCGGGTGCGATCTCCTGTCGCTGTTCACGCGGAGCGTGCGTTGAGCCGGCTGCGAACAGCGCTTGTCGAGGCCTGCCAGCATGTCCTGACTGTTGCGACATGAGGGCAGCGAAAGCTGCAGCAGCTTCAGATTTGAATTCACCGTCAGATTCGGCAACACATTCCTCTTGCGTGTCCAATGTTCCGGTCCGCTGCGCCTTTCGCTGGGGTTTCTCCTCATCCGACACCAGCGTAGACGATCGGACATCATCGACTCGAGATGAAGTTTTCGATCTCGTAAGCAAGCTCGGTGATGCTGCCTGCGCTAGACGAACCGCCTTTTGAACACTGGAGTCAGGGGCGATTTGGTCGCGAGTCAAGAAACCGCCACATACTGGACAGGATTTGTGATTGCGAAAGTGTCGCATGATACAGCTGAAACAAAACGTATGACCGCAGCGGGTCGTCACAGCTGCGCGAAACAAATCAAAGCAGATTGGGCATTCCAAGGATTTCAAGGCGGGACCTAGCCTTTTCACCTGGTTGTGGTTGCATCGTTGAGCTGGTGAAAACTGTCGTGGCGCTGGCTGCGTCGTCCGGTGCTGCTCGTTTCCTGTAGAGGCAGTTGGTGTCGCCGGTTCTGTCTGTTCCACAAGGGCGACATTCTTTGCTCCAGGGTCTGCCGCGTTTACCAATGGGCTAGATGTCGAGGGCTGTTGCGGGTCAGCGGTGTTGCTGCGGTCGTTGGCGCTTGCGGTAGGCGCCGGGTCAGAACTCGTGGGAGCGTCCGCGAGAGAGCCCGCCCTCCCTACAGCTGGAGACCCGCCCTCCATGAGACGGTGCGCTGTAGCGCTTATCGCCGTCTCACTGGATTTTTCAGACGCAGCCGGGGTTTTTGGTAGCCCTTGAGAAGTTCGCCAGATTTCCTGCCGCCTGCCGAAAGCTTGCTCCGAGGCTCGCCTCGGTGAGCAGTGAATACCAGTTCCACCTTGCCGCTCAAAGCAGCTCAGAAGATTCTAGTTAAACTCCGGAGTTCCGGCGATCACAGTTTGCAGTACAGCAAGCTGGTTTCTTTGGTCGAGGTCCAGACTATGGCGGAACACACGCTCGTGAACACTGAACCAAGGAGACCGTTTAGTGACTGCGTTGTCTGAGGGTTGCTCCTGTCCAGGTCCAATATTTTCATTTAGTTCATATAGATACAAGAATGTACATGGTACGTGAGATGACCGTTTGCCCAAGAAGTTGGAAGAATAAGGAATATCGTGGAAGATCATGACGGTACGATATGAAACACTGCTTCGGCGCGCGGGATCGAAATTGGTTTCATTTGGCGAATCGTTGATTCAGGCCAGCATTCCCCGACTCTGCGCTTGGTACCAGCGCGCGGTGAGGCATCTATCATTCCATCTACCACCAAGTTCCATAAGCCATAATTCTTCTCGGATATTCTTGTCGCTCGTTCCGTTCAATCCAGTGCAGAGCTTGCCATGAGCGTCCGCAATAGCTCCCACAGCGCCAGTGCGGTCGTCACACGGAGACAAAACGGCTCTGCTGTACCACAGAGGGCTTTGGCTCGAGGAAGCGCCGAATCCGATGCAGCGGAGCGGCGTTTCTGGCTCGAACTAGCTCATGCTTCCTCGCTGACGGCTCTTATGTCTCGGCGAGGATTCCTTTCCGTTCGCTGAGCGCTTGCGTCCGCCCTAGATTTTTGTACGTAATGAGCGCATCATCATGCGGCGCAATATCGAGTGAGTGAACACTGTTACCGTTCATTCGTAACTCAGGAAAATCTTTCCCAGTGTATGCACATGGCGATCCAGCCAATCTGGACTGCTAATCCATACGAATTCTGTACCTTGCCCAAGCGATAATCGAATCTCAGCTTTCCTGAACGCTAATTTTCATCTTTCGAAAGTCCTCGGCGTTTCAGCGTCATGTCCGCACTGAGCAGTAAACGATTTACTCGAATCCTCGCTCGACATAAGGCCTCACGATGCCCTTGAAGCAGGATGCAGTTTCGGCTGTTGGCCGATGCGTTCATGTCGGGGTACAGAAAGAGCTCGCGCGCATAATTGCCATTGGAAGAACACAGTCGAGAACCCCTCATTTTCGATTACATCACGACACGATGCGCTGTCAGCGTACCGTACATCAGCGTATGCATCCGTCACTGTCTCACACTCTTCTTCGCTACCAGTTTCAAGGAGCATGCATGCTCATGATTCGTGAATGTCGTTCTGAATACATTGATGGGAATCGCGCAGACTTGGTTCCTCAACTCATTGTACACTCTCTTCGAAGAAGCACGAGTGCAGCCTCCGAGCGCCACAGCATTTCAAGCGCCATATGACACCATCAAACAACGACTCTTATCGGTAATGTCCTCTTTCAACTCACCGAACAATTTGGTGAACCCACTTTTCTTGCCTTTGTAGAACCGAAATCATTCCCGAGAGCGATGAGGCGAAGGAGGCTCCTTTCACGTGCACAAACGCTGTCCATATCCAGTGCACCAGCGACACCGCTTCTGTAGCGACATTCTGTGCAACGCCTTCAGAACGCTATTATCCCGTATGTTGAAGGCGTGGCGGACCCAAGAGCAATGCAGTTTCCAGGTCTGTGGCACTCAGAACAGCTTTACCATGGCCACGTGAACAGTGACTTGAATCAAATTTTTGTGCTTCAGGATCGAACCGCCTCACCAAATGCCCTGAATGCCCGAGCGCTCTCTATGACCAGAGAACGGACTTGCGCTCATCATGGGGCGTGATCACGTTCCAAGAGCGCCATGATAGTATCATAGACAGGTGTTCAATTTCCTTCAAGCGATCCATGGGGTCCCTTGCTGACCACAGTCGTTTGAGGCAATGCTGCTGGGCGTCCCGCGGCCGTGGTTGCCTAAACGATGCGGAGCGACGTCGTGGTCGCTTTGGGGCATCGGCTGGAGTGCTCGAGGCTTGGATTCAGACATTCTCGCATCCCGGAGGGCATTCACCAGGTTCAAGGTATTCCCGATGACGTCGCGCTCACCGTTATTGAGCACCAAGAAATGCATATTCTTCGCGCGTGCTCCTGGCAAGTCAGGCTACACCATGTGCTCACTGCTATAGTGATGTCTCTATGCAGAGCTGCGCCCCTGTTCACTCTACAACTTCACCTATAATCCGACTGGAGCGGAAACTGGTGATGGATCCATGGACACAATCGACAATGCAGAGCTGTTCCTCGATTCAGTTTACAATCTCACCAATGAGTCGATTGCCGCTCACCCCGGTGATGGATACCTCAACATAATCGCCAATGCAGGGTTGTCGATGCTTGTGCATTGGGCCGGGTCCTTCGACAGTGTGCTTTTCCGAGAATGGTATCCAAACACGGCGATTGCTCTCGGTCCGGGCGATCCAGGCAGGAGTGGCTTGCTTCCCGCTAATCTCCGAGTCTAGTCGTTGCCGCTCGTTCGCGTGAACGACCTCTTCAACCAGCACGCGCTGTTCGGTGCCGACCATCGCTCGTGCCCGTTCTGCACTGATCTTGAGTTGCGTCGAAATGATTTCGCCAAGTCGACGGAGTTTCACCTCCTTTGGAATGTCATCGGCGTACAGGCGAGCCGCAATCGTGCGCTCGCGTTCACTGTATGCGAACATGAATGCCTGATCGAAGCGCACTTGCTCCATAAGCGAAATCGTCTCCGCGTGCTCTGCTTCAGTCTCCCCACAGAATCCGCTGATAATATCAGTAGAGAGCGCAACATCTGCACCGACTGTATCTCGAATGCGCGCCACGAGTGCAAGATACTCCTCGCGTGTATAGCCGCGACGCATTCGGCGCAGCACTTCGGAGCTTCCGGACTGCATGGGAACATGGATCTGACGGCAAAGAGTTCCAGGTGCGTATCTTGTATAGAGTCTCAGCACCTCGTGAGGAAAATCCTTCGGATGTGGCGAAGTGTAACGTACACGCATCGAGTGGCGCTCAGCAATCTCACAAACACCTTCCAGGAGATCCGCAAATTTGGTGACCTTTGGATACGGATGGTCGCTCTGGTAGCAATAGCTATTCACGTTTTGCCCCAAGAGAACAACTTCTTTGAAGCCTTCGTTACCCAGACTTTCGATCTCGTTCCAGATGCTCGCAGGCTCTCGCGAGCGCTCCGGGCCACGCGTCTGCGGCACAACACAGAATGCGCAGTGGTTATTACACCCACGCATGATACTCACGTATGCTGTGATCAGTCCATGGTCCCGTAGAGGCGCTATATCTGCATACGTCTCCTCAAGTGAAAGCTGTACATGATAGGCAAAGCGCTGCAGATCCGTCGTACGCACGAGGCCCTGCAGCAGCAGAGGGAGGTCGCGGTAGCTGTCGGGTCCGACGACTAGGTCAACTAGGCGTTTCGAAGGCATCTCATCCAGCAACCGTGTCTTGAGACGCTCCGCCATGCAACCAAGAAGGCCAAGAATGCGTCGCGGCGCACGCTGGCCTCGACCGCGCTCTGCCGCTCGAAGCATTGAAAGTCTTTGAAGCACACGGACCTCGGGTTTGTCTCGAATCGCGCACGAGTTGATCAACACGACATCCGCCTCGTCCGGAGAAGCCGAAGGACCATTGAGTAGCTGAAACCAGTCCGGACGTGCAGCCAAAATAGACGCTACAATCTCTGAATCAGATGTATTCATCGCACAACCGTAAGTCTCGATGAAAACCTTGTACGGGGCGGGCGGGGTCTCTGCGAGATCTGCATCCAAAGCACGCAACGCCTCAACGACACTCGCTGATGCCCCTACGGTAGGTCGCTTCCGACGGGAATCTATCTGCCTTTCGAGCAACCTTGTCGGAGTGCCACTCTTCGAGAGCACTGATGACCCGGTGTGATCTCCGGAGGTACTCACCAAAAAGTCCGCAAGCGTGGGTCCGTCCGCAAGCAGCTTCCGCTTCTGGCTGGGAGGCCCTGCTGCTGCTGCAAACCAGCGAGCATGCTCCCGGAGGCAACACCAAAGGCCTGGTTTCCATATACCAAAAACATGTTGTGACTGCACAAAGCGCTGCATGAGGCACTGAAGCTCGCCTGCAGGTTAAACGCGTAGCCAGCACACGCCAAACGCACCACGAGGCACCTACACGCTACTGGAGCCCGCCTTGCGCGAGATCGAGGTCGACGCTCTCCGTTATCGCTGCTTCTGACGGTTCAATAAGAACACCAGCCCTGATTCTGTCACTCTTTCGCAAGAAGTACGTACGCAGAGCGTCATACAAGGCCGATACAATTTCCCGAACAACAAGCGCTGCACTGGTGGCTGTGTAACGCACACTCGCTCCGGGGCGAAGTGCTCGCGCAACTATTCGCAGCGCACTGACCGGAGTCGCTTGGCACTGACCAAGCCAGACGCTGATAAGACACAAATGGACGAGCGCGTCGTATCGTTAAAGAGTGGAGATGTGCACTACCGAATAGGTGGAGTAGGTTTTGGTTTCTATACGGCGGAGGAGGTGCTGCAACTCTCTGTGCAGCAGATCCAGTCTGCGGTTGCCTTTGACGACCTTGGACGGCCTGTACGCGGCGGCCTCTACGATCCACGCTTAGGCGTTTATGACAAGTTTGGCATCTGCGCGACGTGCCGTCTGGGGTTTTTCAGCTGCCCTGGTCACTGCGGTCATATCGAGTTGGCCGAGCCCGTCGTGAACCCGCTTCTTTTTTCCTTGCTTGTGCGACTTCTTCGCGGCGTATGTCTTGGCTGTGCGAACTTTCGTTTGCCACGGATTCGGGAGAAGCTTTGGCTTGAGTGTCTGCGACACCTGGAACGAGGCACCTGGCAAAACTTCGAATCGCTCGCCGATCTCCTGCAACTGGATAAGCAGAGCACTAGTCCGGACTTGGCAGGTTTCCTGGATCAGACCTCCGATGTCTCCAGCGAGAGCAGCGATGGTAGCCGCAGTTCCACAAAAAAGCCCAGGCTCGAATCAGCCCGCGGAGGTCACTCTGGTGTTCACACTGACCGCTTTGATGCTGCTACGGAGAAGCTAACCACTGTACAGCGAAGCAGTCGTCGCGTCCAACTCATGCAGCGCTTCATCGGTGACTGCACGAGCTCGAATGCAGCTTGCACACGCTGTGGATGCAAAGCGGTGCATATTCGCACCGACGGGTGTCGCATTTTTGCACGTCTGCCTCCGACGCGGAAACGATCAAAGGCTGCTGCGACGACGCTGGCAACTGCTCAGGCCAGCCCTGACACAGAAGCACAGTGTCAGACGCAGCTGCTTGAGGCACTCTGTTTGGTTGCTGGAAAGGAACAGCTTCTACTGCCGAGTATGGTGGTGCGTATTCTCTTAGCAGTAGAACAGAATTCTCCTGAACTTTGTGGGTACTTGTTTGGCCACCACCTCCTCGACACATTCTTGCTGCGGGTGCTTCTGGTTCCACCGTCTAGATTTCGTCTTCCTTCTACTCGAGATGATGATGTCAACAGCATACCCCGCGAGCATGCCCAAAATTTCCATTACACATATGTGCTTAAGGCAAATGAGTCGGTAGCGGATGCGCGGAAGGCGAGAAATCCCCTGGCCCTCGGCAAGGCGGTTGCTGAGCTCCAACAAGCAGTTCAGGAGCTGGTGGACTCAGAGCCAACCGCTTCGATGCGACGTGCTCCGGGCATACGGCAACAGCTGGAGCACAAGGAGGGGATTTTCAGGATGCATCTTATGGGGAAACGAGTGAACTACGCTGCGCGATCGGTAATTTCTCCCGATCCCTTTCTGGACGTGAATGAAGTTGGAGTACCACTCCAGTTTGCAATGAAACTTTCGTTTCCGGAACTAGTCGCTTCCTGGAACCTGACCCGACTTCAGCAGAATGTGTATCGCGGACCCCAGAGGTACCCAGGGGCAAATATCATCGAACGGGGAGACGGCACCCGAATCCAAATTCCTGCAGGTGATAGCAAGCGATCTGGGGTGCTCGCGGAGACACTTTTCGAAGCTGAAGAACTCCCTGATGGTTGCGTTGTTCCTACACGCGTTTTCCGGCATCTTCAGAACGGTGATCGAGTGTTGTTCAACCGCCAACCAACGCTGCATCGCGTTGGCCTCATGGCTCATCGCGTCCGCGTCCTGGGCCCGACGGAGAATACTCTCCGACTGCACTATGCGAACTGTGGTGCCTACAATGCAGACTTTGATGGTGATGAAATGAATATGCATGTGCCGCAGGATTGGATTGCTGCTGCTGAAGCAGAATACCTCTTGCGGATCGATTTCCACTATTTATCGCCAACTGCAGGAGCTCCAGTGCGCGGCCTCATTCAGGATCATGTGCTGGCAGCGGTGCTGCTCACACAGCGGGACCGTTTTTTTTCATGGGAGGAATATTCCGAGCTGATCTATGCGGCTACTGCTCGACTCTGGGAGAGAAAGCGCGGAACCGAGGGAACGGCGCCAGGGTCAGCCCTCGGGCCGTTCACTGTTTGCGCGGACGTTCCGCCGGCGATCCTGTACCCGCAACAGTACTGGACAGGGAAGCAGGTGCTAAGCACTGTTTTGGGGATCGTTGCACATTTGGCGGATCCTGAAAACCGCCATAGAAAGCTTAGAATGCAGAGCCGGGCCAAGGTGAGTTCCGCTTTTTGGGGCCAAAGCGCATCCGAGGAAAGTATCGTTATCATTCGAGATGGTGAACTGTTGCAAGGAGTCGTAGACAAAGCACAGATTGGGGCTGCTCCCTTTGGACTTGTCCATTGTGTGCATGCCCTCTATGGCCCGGAGGCGGCCTGTGACCTGCTTTCGTGCCTTGGCCGCCTCTTAACGATATTCCTCCGCCGCCACGGACATAGCACAGGCGTGGAAGATTTGCTCCTGCTGCCGTCAACAGAGCGAATTCGTTGGGAGATGCTCAAAGATACACAGATAACCGTTGGAAGCCGCGTCCTCAGACGAGTGCTTGGTCTCCCGGCAGACGGCACGGTCGACCTGGAACACGCACTCGCAGAGGCGCTTCGCACGGAACGCGGCCGGGAGCTCGAACTGCTCCTCGATATGGAAATGAAAAAGGAACTCGCATCCATCGCATCTAATGTTTCCGAGCATTGCATACCGGCCGGTTTGCGCAAACCTTTTCCGAATAACGGTTTTGCTTTGATGACAGCCAGTGGAGCAAAAGGCTCCCAGGTCAATGCGGCGCAGATATCGTGCCTGCTCGGTAGCACCGTACTCGATGGGCGGCGTGTTCCACGGTCTGTTGCTGGCTGGACGTTGCCTTGTTTCCGGCCGTATGAAAGCACCGCACTTGCTGGTGGATTTATCGCTTCGAGATTCCTGACGGGCTTGTCACCGCCGGAGTATTTCTTTCACTGCATGGCGGGGCGGGAAGGCCTCACCGATACCGCCGTGAAGACGGCGCGCTCCGGGTATCTGCAGCGATGTCTCGTGAAGGCGCTCGAGGGGGTCACAATCGCCTACGATGGAACTGTTCGAGAGTCTGATGGATCCATCATCCAGTTTTGCTACGGCGAAGACGGTCTTGATCCGTGTCAAGCACTCTGGCTCCAACACAGAGCGGAGTTCATGGCCATTTTACTTGCCGATGGGACGCGCAGTGCTGGCAAGTTTGCCTCGCAGTCGCCGTCGAATGCCACGAGAAAGTCGAATGCCGTTTCCGCCGCTGAGGTTTGCGCCACCCATTCCGCATCTAGTCCAAAGCTCCCGCCGGCGCTTCTCGAGATGTACGAGACCCTGGATGAGGCACACCGTTCCGCATTGCTCGAGTGGTACACGCGATCGACTGCCGCACCCGGCGACGCGGTAGGCGTGATTGCTGCCCAGTCGATCGGTGAGCCCAGTACCCAAATGACCCTGAATACCTTTCATTTCGCCGGGATCGGTGTTGAACACGTTACCGCCGGTGTGCCACGACTGCGTGAGCTTCTCATGTTCCCGGGTTCGGCTCCAGCGACGCCGTTTATGCAGATTCCATTCAAAGAGGGCGTCTCGAGGGAGCGCGCTGTCGCTACCTGCTATGCTCTGCGCTCTGTGCGTTTGCGCGATCTAATCCTTCGTTTGCAGCTGCGTTTGCAGGGAGCAAAGCGGAATGAGCGAGTTCATCTGACCCTGATCATGGTGCTCGCTGAGCCTGAGCTATGGACGCAGGTGCTGGGTATCTCTCCGAACAATGTCCAGGCCGCCACGAAGAAGACGTATGGTCCAGTGCTGAAGGCGCTGATTGCCCGACGCTTGCGAGAGCTTGATAGCCAGCAGACTTGGTCGTCTTCATCCGTCACTTTGAACGAGAAAGACCAGGACTCTGGTGAGCCCGAAGCTCCAGTGGAAACGGAAATGTTGGATGCTGGTTTGTCGGATACCAGTTCAGAGTCATCCGCGGATTCCGTACCTGCTGATAACGAGCTTGTAGCGCGCCGCAGCACCGATCAGGACGAGTCCTCAGAACTGTCTGTGGATTCTGAATCCGAAGGCTTGGAAAAGATAGCGTCGCGGGACCATAACGACGAAATCCGATCAAAGACGACGGTCGCACCAGGTGATACGCCATGTTTGCCTCAGGTGCCGGATGCTCCCGAAGACAACGATGCGGTAGTGGTGCGCTTTCCGTCTCCAAATCGGGTCGAGATGAGCCTTTGGTTGCCTTCCGCTGCTTGGTATACGCTCTTTTTGGATGAGCTTGCGCTTGCGGCGGCGGAGCGGGTGCCCGTCCGTGCGGTTGAGAACATACGGAACACTACACTGACGACCCGAGAGGATGGCGGCATAGCGCTGCGCACAGAGGGATCGAATATCCGGTTGGCGTGGACACTTTCTGATGATGAACTCGACCTGGACGGTCTGTTTTCGAATCACATCTCCGAGGTCTTGAGCGTATACGGCATAGAGGCTGCTCGTGCTCGTCTTGTACGAGAGCTTCAAACCGTCTTTGCCGCCTACGGCATCGCGGTGGATTATCGACATCTCTCGCTCATCGCGGACTATCAAACTGCTCTGGGTGCCTGTCGTCCGTTTTCGCGCACCGGTATGCGGATGCTGGACAGTGTTCCGAGCGCGCTTCAACGAATGTCCTTTGAGAGCGCCAGTCAGTTTCTTCGGGATGCTGCCCTGGCACGAGAGGAGGACCAACTCGAGTCGGCGTCGGCACGGCTCTGTCTCGGCCAAGTCGTCTCGCAGGGGACAGGAATGTTCTCAGTGCTAGCATCGGAACGCTGCGGTACAGTAGCAGTGCAGTGAGATGCACAGTGGCCAGCGAGCGGAGGAGGAGCGTTCGATTTTCCAGAATGCGTACCCTCGCTCTGCTGTCCAGAAGGCACTGGTGGAACGCTTTGGTGCGTGCGTGTTTGTATGTTGGTGAATGTGTGCGTCTCGCCACTTGTCGAACAAACACAAGCACGGTGGCATTCTATCGGTCGAGGGAGCTGTCCTGCAGACGTTGGTCATAGAAGGCGTCAGCAGCCAGTCCTGCAACCGCTTCAGATTAGAATGGAATGCTGGAATGCTTGCCCCGTTCCTGCCTTTGGATATTTTGTCGACCTTTTTAGATGGACAGGTTCAGCTCTCGAAGTGGCGCGATGAGGATTTGAGGATTCATCTGGGGTCTCATGAATCACGGTGTTTTTGAGGCGGCTTCTTGGATGCATTGCCGGTGGAATGCACTCTTTCATCGTCATTACGTTGACTTGGGACGCCCTCGAGTAAAGCTTCGTATCATGTTCGATATCACAATCCGATGCATAGGTACAAGTCAGGATTCTTCTTCTTTCATTATGGGTAGCATGCTCATTCCACGCATTCTTAAATTTTTCCACCTTTATGTTTAAAGGCCACTCTTTGGCGTAACAGTGCTCACCAGTGAATCGACGACGAAAAGTACGCTTCGTCATGCCTCGACGACTCGTTCACAAACTCATGCTGGAACTTGACTCAAAGTGTCACTTCAAATAATCATTTCCGTCCAGAAGACAATTCCTGATCTCTTCGTGGCAGTCGAAGAAGCGGAATTCTGCTGCTGCCTGCTAACCCTCACGGGATATGCTCCCAGGGGCACGCGTCTCCTATGATTGCAGGTAGAAAGATCTCGGACCAGGATTAGAGTCATCGCAACGATCGGTCCCAGGGAAGCGCGTGTCATGCTGCCCAGCAAGAAAAACGTAGATGGATCCAAAGTTCTTGGTATCTGCACAAGTCTCGATTCACCGCCCGGTACTTGTGTCATTCTAAATGGAATCGCGTTCCATAAAACCTGTATTGAATAGAACAATGTGCGCTCGCGCGTGCAGCCGAGTAGCAGAGCTCGCCGATGCGATCGCCCAGACCAAGCCCGAAATCCTAGGGCACGGCATGAAGCCAGGAAACGAAAGAGGGCATTGAGTTGAGTTGAGCTGAGTTGAGTTGAGCCTTCCGCATCAGTCTCGTGCGTGTACCGAGCGATGAAGCAAGCCTTCAAGCACCACAATGCATTCCTGTAAGGAGGAGGCGGCGCTGAGGATAGATGCGCAGGCCTGACCCATGCCGAGCGTCAGCGCTGCGAAGGGCGCACCGAGGCTGAACACACAACGAAGATGAAAATAGGAAGCGCAGCGTAGATCGCAACTTCCACGAGTGCACGAAATGCGTCGACTACTGGTGGAAGCAGAAAACTCAGGACTCGAAGACTACAAGCATCATCCCTCGACTGCTGATCGTGGAGCTAGGTTGACTGAAGAGACTGCCGTCTTTAAAGCCAGATGTAAGAGAGCTGAAATGGAGGCAGTCACTGAAAAAAACTCCACAAGTTGTGGTGCTGACCACACTGGGGAACGGCCCGACCTTAAAGTGTACGTCCGAGTTTGCTCAGTGCACCTGTTCCATTTGATTCCCATATGGGTAGAGAAAGCGATGCGACCTGGCAAGAAATCTTTCCGTTCATTGCGAACAACGGGTTACTCAGCCGCTATTCACGTATGCGGGGATCGCACAAACTGCGCCCTCGCGTCCCGCCAGCCCTACATTTAGGGTGCGGGTACCATGTGCGCTTATCAGCTTGAACTTGCACCGCTTCGGTGCGGGGATGCATTCAAAAACTGGCTGCAGTATCTGTGAGGACGTGAACAGCGCTCCATATGGCGTACGGAGGCACGTGCACCTGGTCCAATGCACCAACTGCGCTAGAGCTGCACGAGACACAGCCACTATTCTAGACCGACGGCTTTTGGCGTGATACTTAGAGCAGTGCATGCTGGAGTACGCCGACCAGTGCAGACTTTCTGCTCGCTGCTACTTTTCTCGAAGGCATTCGACAACGGGATTATATTGCGTAAATTGGAGACAGGTCGCGGAAGCACTTGATGCTGCCACGGCAAGCTAGCGTAATTAGGGTCTTGCTGGTGCATCTCAGTGACATGATGATCAGCAGATGGATGAACCACCCGTCTGGTGGTCCTTATGCTGAACGTCGCGCGCTGAAAACAGAACTTGTATAACTATATCTCCGTACAGCTATCTCCTAGTCAGGATAGCTCACTCCTTACCTTCTGTATAAAATTTCACCAAAGCAGCCGCATGGTGCGAAGTTTCCGCACGGTTCATACAATCGGTGATGAAGATACCGGGATTGGCAAACAAGACATGCACACTGGTGAACGAGTCCGTTGCGCAATCGACGACTCAGGGTCGATTTGGTACCCAACGCGAACGCTTGCATCGTGATCAACGAAAGTTCATTCCATTCGACGGGGCTTCATTTTGTTGGAAGAATTGATAGATATGTATATGGGTATTCAGTGTTTGAGCGACGAATCCCTATTCTCTAACAAGAGCGAAGCGAACATTCGGAAAAGATCTGCCCTTGCACCAATTCTATCGTACAGTCGCCTCAAAATCGCCACGCGGACACGGGATCATTCAACATCTCATCCTTTGCCCAGTCGCTTTGTGTCTGTTCTTTCCCACATCCTTTTGTCTTGCCCCTGGACAACGTGGCAGTCCATCAAGTGAAAGCAGTCCAGAAGCGTGCAGCTGACTTTGGTATAGAGCTGCACTCCCTGCCTACATGTTCCCGCTGGTTCGATTCAGTCGAAGGAGGCTTCGTCGTTGCCCAACGCTATGTTCGGGCACATTGATAAACAGATGAATCGGTCGCATCCGTAATACCGTTCTTCGACGAAGCCCTTCTCCACATTCACCAGTCTGAACGAATGTTTCGTTGCTTTGCTCGTGCGCGGGAGAGGGCCTGAAAGCGCTCCTCGGTTCCTGGGCGTACTCGTGATGGAGACAGTGAAGAAAATCTAGTTGAGGAATAGCAAGTACCTATACATAGAAACGGCAAACTTCAGCCCCAACGTCCGCCCAGAGCGTCTGCATCACGAGCAAAAACGGATGCCTTGAACAGCGTCCACACGCATGCCACTGCGCCAAGTAAACGCGAGGGCGACCTTGGAGAAAGCGAAAAAAAACGGACAAGGAAGAGAATGATTCTCTCGGAAAGAGGACCAGATTCGCAAGGACGGGAAACCGTCGCACCAGGAAGCTCAGTCTTAAATTATCGTCAAGTTTCTCACACTGAAACACACCAAGACAGAGAATCTTTCAAAAAATGAGATGCACGACGCCACTAGGGGATGAACAGCGTCTTACTCGAGAATGATCCGCTGAGCGCGTCTCTTCATGGCACACCTCGTCAAGCAACTGTTCGTAGGAGGCCCAGACGCAGATCGGCTAGCTGTCCATAGTCCTCTGCAGCTTTTTCAATCGAAGCATCATGCGACAACACAGCTGATGCTCGGGAGAGAAGATGCTCTAGCGCTCAGAGGCAGCGCCCCTGTTGCTCTGATAAGAGCATACTATTAGTGAGGGAATCGATGCACAATGATTCCATTTGACACGTTCAAGACGGCGTCCATGCATGAGTCACGAGCACGGGTGCATGCTGAAACTGGTAGAAAAAACGCACATGAAACAGAGCCGCTTGCACCAGATGGTGAACCCTAAACTGATCGAACATCGGATAGCGAAGTCATCAGAGTCCAGATGCCCGCTATGGTGCGTTTTCACCAGCAACCGAGCGCGCAAGCACATCCTGCCCGTGAGACCTGAACGCATCGATCAACAGCTGCCAATGCTGCTTGCCTCCAGAGCGTCCAGCGTCTCTGTGTTGGTCAATGTATCCAGGAAACCTTTTCGTATGTATTGTGAGCGTCATGCAGGAACGCAGAAAACTTGCGCTGAAGAAAAATCAGAGGCACGGAACTGAAGCATTCCATAAGCGCCCGGACCAGCGCTTTCGTAGCTTGCGGGACGGAAATCCCGTACGACTCGATCGGTGTCCATGATCATGGACTGGGAACGATTTCCCTGGACAACTGGTGATCAACCATGCAAGTACAGGATTCGACACGACTGCGTCTTGTTGGAAGCATGTTTAGCTGTCTCGCATAAAATCAGGGACGCCTTGCCCTATGCAGTGGATGCGGCTGCCGCTGCCGCCACCAGCACCACCAACACTATATCCCGTCTATGGCGTGCGCATCCCAGCCGATGGAATGGACCCAGCAGACTCACTCTCGGTGGTCGAAACGCTCTGGGCAAGTGTCTGATTCGCCATTGGACCGGCATACAGCGACGATACCGGTACCGATGCTGCGCATGGTACGGTTCGACCGGAGGCTCGCGGGTCGAATCGACACGCCTCAGCCGGTAGGTGCTGCACCAGCGGATGCTGCGGGTACGCCGAGCACGCACTCAGCGGTGTCGCTCCGGTGAGCAGCAACGGGGAAACGCTCAGGTGCGGATACGTTCGTGCCTGAATCGTGTGCAGTCGCGCGACGTATGCTGCCATGTTGGCCTGGGACCAGTAGCGTGCATTGTAGAATACCGCCTGACGGGCGGATGCTCGCTCTCGCTGCGCTTGCCAGTAATCTGGGGCGTGCTCCTCATGCGACGACACTGTGGCCTTGGAATCTGCCTTCGGCATAGCGGATAACGATGCGCCGCGCGTCCGTTGTGGAGACTTTTTCGCTGCCTCTGACTTTTGCGCGCTTCCGCGACGCATGGACTTGGCTGTCGAGGTAACAGCACTGGATTCGTCTGCAATCATTTCGTTCGTGGTGTTTGCGCGGGCATTCCGCTTATTAGGCGAGGCCTCGCGAGTGTTCGTTGATCGTGTTGCGCGCTCGGCTGGCTCCCTGTTTCCCCGGTTGGCAGAGGATCCCCGATTGCGCCCGCTTGACTTGGGCCGCTGTCGGGAAATGCGCTGGATCTTGTCATGCTCGCCCTGGAGCGTCGCACCGGACGCATCCTCTGACTTGGAGCGTCGCTGACGTGCCCGTTGGGTTGCAGTGGATCTCGAAAGAGCACTCGAAGGCTGTGCGGCACGCAGAGACACCGGTGTATGGCGTGCGCGCACCAGCGGGCTGGTCATGGATCCAGCCACATCCGCGCTGGAGGTGGTACTGCTTTCCTCTGTCACGGTTTCTTCTTCGCTTTCGAGGAATTCGCTCGAATTCGATTCAGATGAGCTTTCAAAGCAGAGACGTCGTTGCGCTGGAACGACAGCCGGCCATTTAGCACGCACGGACGACTTGGGCTCTGGTGTCACTACCGCGGCTGCGTGAGCACGTCGTCGCCGCTTCGTTGGCGACAGGCGGTCTGCAGACAACGGCGACAGATTCGGAGTCTGCGGAGATACCTCGGTTCTTGATATCATGGCGGTTTCTTTCGTTTGTTGTGATACAGACTTCCAATCGTGTCGAAACAAGAGTTGCTGGGCAGCTTCACATGCCCGATCGAATCGCCGTCGCTGTGCACCTGTTAAACGCCTTCGCGGTTGGGCTGGTGTTGATACCCGTGAGCTCGCGTCCGGCAAGTACGCAGGGCATGCCTCGTTTTCAACCGCTTTTGATGTGTGACCGAGATCGCCTTCAGGATCGAAGGCCTCGGAATTATGGTCTAGTGGTATCAACGCCGTGCATTTCGCTTTCTCTGGTGTTTGGCTTTCAGTCGTGGATTGAGCGGATTGATCGCGGCATCGACAGTCAGCATCATCAGGGTCCAGTGATACGGTGTCTCCGATTTCCACGCTCTTGTTCTTATGGCTGCTCTTCATCAGCTCCTCCTCCGCTCGCGATAAAATCGATAGTATGTGCGCTGGCAGCTGCGGGAAATCCAGTGTTTCCCAGTTTGAAGGTCTCGAGTTCGGTGACAGGGCACCGTCTTTGCAAAGATGACGCTGAAGAGGATTGTCCTCTGCGCCACTGCCCGGTTGCGTAAGTTTCTCGTTTTCCACACGAGCAACTTTCCGTGAAGAACAACACGGAGACAAGTAACGTTCATCGACGTCGTCGAGCGTGCTCGCCGTGCTATCCCAGCGCTTGTCTACGGGGTGCCACCAACCGGACGCCTGGAGCCAGCGGAGCACCTTCCGCCGCCCCTCGGCCGAACGCAGCGATTGCGTTGAGCGCGACCCCGCATCAGCGTCACTAGGTAGCCTCCCCATGACTACGAGGGATCGCGAAGAGTCCGCAGCCGGGTTTGGCTCGACTTTGGTCGCACTCATACGTGCTCCGTTCCTGCGGTTATGCCGCAGCACCGCTCAACGAACCCGTATCCCAGGTGCTGCTCGAGTGCTCCCAACTTCTGTTTATTCACAACAGAATCTTATGATATATAGTTCCCCGAGCAGCAAAGGTGCTACCTGTTTGATGGTAGGAGGACAATCGTTGTTGACCGAGGTGCAACAGCGGTTTAGAAAAGCGCTGGAGAGGCAGACGTAATGGCAGCAGCAATTGCGCTTGCGTACGCGTAACGGCTGCTGCTGCTGCTGCTGCTGCGGGTGCTGCTGCTGCTGCGGGTGCTGCTGCGGCTGTCGACGCAACGCCGTGTCCGTCGATCGACGGCGGCGCAACAGCGCTGTATTCATCGATGTGCGCTGCGGGCTGGGCGCGCACTTCTCTTAGCGACTGCGGCAGCAGCGCATCCAGTGATGGAACGAGCGCCTGCGGTACATTCTTGTCCGCCCAACGTGGAATGGGTCGACTCTGCTGACTCGGCTGTGCACACTAGAGTTTGGGTTTCTTCCGAGTGTCATCAGCGCCTGCCTTTGCGGGTATACTTGCCATGACTGCATGGTTGTTTTGTCGCATCTATCTGAATTTCCATGTGCCAGGCTCTCCTGTCTATGCAGCTCCGTTGTTCGTGGTCAGCGGATGTGGAAGGCGGTGTTCACGTCCCGATTCTGCTAGTAGAGCTGTTGTTGTTGACGTATCCGATGCACAGGCCGTATGGTGGTCTTTCCTATCTATGCAGCTCCGTTGTTCGTAGTCAGCGGATGTGGAAGGCGGTGTTCACGTCCCGATTCTGCTAGTAGAGCTGTTGTTGTTGACGTATCCGATGCACAGGCGATGCTTGCGGTCTAAGAATGGCATGCGATTTTCTTCGCACGTGCATTCGACGACAAGGCGACCTTTGCAGCGGTTGTTCTTGAATGAGATCAGTTGTTCCCATATATTCACCTGTTCTCCTCCTCCAAAATCGGTTTCATCCTGGGCGAATGCTTGCTTTATTGCTCGGGTCATGGCCTTGAGGAGTACAGAAGCCTGCGATTGATGTCCTTCGGCGTTTGCGCGCCCGGTGCCGTGCCCTTCGATCAGACGCTTCTTGGCGACCTGCTCGGCGAGTAGGCTGTTCTTTGCAAGCGCATGCGTAGGCGTCTCGATTCGATACAGAATTTGAGTAAGTCGACGTTTTCCGTCAGAAAAAAAACGTATCGGAAGCAGAATCCAGGCTACAGATCAAGTCGAGGAATTCCAATCACTCTTCGTCCGTTTTGTGTAACGCGGTGGCACACGTTCGACTTGAGACAATTGTGGTGATGACTCATGTCCGGGTCTAAGACCTTTTTCCATGCAAACAGAAAATACGGGAGCCCTTGCGCGTATATACGTAGCAAGGCACGATGCTGCTGTCGAATGCAGCCCCTCGGACGGCCAACAAGAGAGGAAGATATGTGCTTTGGAATGATTCAATTATTTGAGATGTCAAGCCTCGCAAAGTTTCAGAAAGAGCGTGTAAACAGGCCGTCAAGGAGAGCCATCGATTTTTTTCGTCGCCAGTTCAGCGGCGCCAAGTGCTGCGCCCGCGCTTCGCTTTGAGCCAGCAAGACCGAGAACTGGAAAGCATGCGTGATTTGAACATGCTCCACGTTAGGTTAGGAGAGGAGTGGAAGCTTCTGATTACGAAATGAATCATGATAGCTGTTGTTCTACATGCGCTTGTTCGATGACGTTGCAAGCCATCATGACTCTGGTGACGTACCGCATTCCACAGACAAAGCGCCGAAGGCACACTTGCGAAAACACGACTGAAAATGCAAAAACTGCATCTTCGTTGATAAGCCCTGTTCTCTGCATTTCAATTGTCGATGCTGCACATCACAGGCAAAGTTTGGAGAAAGACAGACAGGCCGGATCAGACCGATTCGTTCAGTGCGTTGCTCCCGTCCGATTAGAGTGGAGGAGCAGTCACCCGACGGATCGCCGGATCTTACCCCGCCGCCTGACTGGAAATTTGATCTGGGGTTATCGGAATTCAGAATGAACTCGGGAAAGGAGCGCGGGGCTCTGCTTTCTCAACGGTGATCGCAATTGACCACCCAACGGACACTAATGATATCAGTCGATCGTACACCAGAAAAGACCAGTAGGAGGTAATGGCACTGCTGATGACTGAACCGCATGTCAACACCCGATATGGAAACAGTCCCAGCTAGCGAGTTGCAGCACCGTTTGCGCTAGAGCCGAGCTTTTCGCGCAGCGCATGATCGACGCACAACACATCAGGCACTGAGGCAGTCGCAGCCGCCGATTTTTTTCGATGACAACACGTTTCCATGGACCTAGGATACGTTTTGCCAACGAAAGAGAAAACAACCCGCAGCGTGGCAGAGCCATTGTGGATGCAAGTTCGATTTGTCGCAAATCATGCCGACGCCGGCATGAGTCGCCGGGCGAGGCGCTGCGCACCACCGTACGACGCCTGCCCAGTCGAGTGAAGCATTGTTCTCCCGCGGACGCGTGCGCGAGGGAGACTCAACACGAGCAGCTTCTTCGCAGCGGTGCTGCATGGTGCTGTTTGAGTCGGCGTCAACCTCAGACTGCGAATCTGGAACGTCATCCGCCAGCGAGTCTCCGCTTATGGCGACTTCACTGCGCTACGACGCAGCGTTAGGATCAAGAACGGCGGCCGCGCTCACCAAGGAGCACTTTTCACTGGGACAAAACGCGCATGTTCACGCAGCTTCTGAAGCGCAGCTGAAAGGTGCAAGTAAGTGGAACTTGAGTTCCGAGGCGAACAGCGCTGCTGCTGGTGCTGCTGCTGGTTCGTCCGGGCGCAGTCTTCCAGCGGAGAGTAGCGCAGAGGCACCGGTGTCGCCTCGGAACGCAACAGAAGAGGTGCTCGAAAGTTTCGTGGACGCTGAAATGCATTCGGATTTGATAAAATCGGAAACGCACTTTCGTGGCGAGGAAGGGGAAGCGCGGAGCTTCCTTGTGTCGCGGAAGGAGCTTTTGAAGATTCGCGAATGGTTGCGCACCTGCGAGAAGTCAGAGCCGCTTCTCATGGCGAGCACCAATCGCTTCGTACTTTTTCCCATACGCTATCCGGAAACCTGGTCCTTTTACAAGCGCGCTGTCGCTTCGTTCTGGACAGTGGAGGAAGTCGATCTACAACAGGATTTGCGGGACTGGTCTAGGCTCACGTCGGGTGAGAAACATTTCATCACCTACGTTCTCGCGTTCTTCGCTGCATCAGACGGCATCGTGAATGAGAACTTGGCACTACGTTTTAGTACAGAGGTGCAACTGTCGGAAGCAAGGTCCTTTTACATGTTCCAAATGGCGATGGAAAACATTCACTCAGAGATGTACAGCCTGTTGATCGACACTTTCATCAAAGAAACGACTGAGAAGGATCGACTCTTCCGCGCAATTGATACGCTACCGTGCGTTCGACGAAAGGCTGAATGGGCGCTCCGATGGGTCGGGAGCGACGCCTCTTTCGCGGAACGCCTGATCGCTTTTGCCGCCGTTGAAGGCATATTTTTCAGTGGATCGTTCTGTGCAATCTTCTGGTTGAAGAAACGAGGCCTCATGCCAGGTTTAACGTTCAGCAATGAGCTCATCAGTAGGGACGAAGGCCTTCACTGCGACTTTGCGTGTCATGTGTTCCACATGTTGCGATACAAGCCGCCGGATGTTCTGATCCGCGCTATAATATGCGATGCTGTCGAGCAGGAACGGGCTTTTGTTCGGGAAGCACTTCCGGTGAATCTCATTGGGATGAACAGCACGCTGATGCAGCAATACATAGAGTTCTGCGCTGATCGATTATTAGTGGCGCTGCATGTAGATCCTGTGTATCGAGTAGAAAATCCGTTTGACTGGATGGAACTGATTTCCCTTAATGGGAAAACCAACTTCTTCGAACGTAGAGTCGGCGAATACCAAAAGGCGGGTGTGATGACTTTCCAGCCATCTGGTGTTGGAGAGAACGATTTTCGACTAGATCTAGACTTTTGAGGCAATGGATGCATGCCGCGATGAAAGTAGGCTCATTTTTTGCCGAGGTGCATCTCGCAACACCTCCGAGGCACGCGTCAGCAACGATCCCGGAATGTGTTTACCCGTGGTGCTTTGCCGATACCTCCACTGGTCAGCTCTTCGATAGGATTTTCTCGGCGCTTCGCTGCATCCGCATCGTTGATTTGCACTATGATTCCGGGGATCGTACCGTCCTTCGAATTCGCTAACACGGTAGACGACCCGTGGGACTCTGGGGATGCAGCCGGTCTACACATGCCGTCGCTGTTGCAAGAGACTAGTTCCGCTGCTCTGGTGACGCAAGCGAGAATCTAGTGGCGGACCTCTTCATACGACATGTGGCTACGCTCGTGAGTGAAGCTGCTGTGCTATGGCCTGTCGCAGACATGCTGAACGCTGCGGCTAGTCTGAACGCGTTACCGCTCTGGATCGATAGCAGGCCGGCACCGTTGGGAAGCGCACAAGATCGATGCGACTCAGGGACCGCGTTCCGGATGTACTAGAGTCCCCGGCACCGAAAGCTCGGCATTGCGAACGCGATGCCCGTAATGTACGCATGTATCCAGAGGTAGCTGATTCGACACAACGATCACGTGCCGTGAACAGGTGCACCCGATCTTTTTATCGTGCCAAATTGATGTGAGATGGATCTATTTGGACTGCAGAAAACCATCGGATCCTCAAAATATGGTATGTGGCGTTTGGCCAAACTTGAGACGAGTACGCGAGCATATGTTCTTCTGTGATGACGCTCTACACTCAGCGTTGCTCGTTCTTTGGGGATGACAACCATTGGCTGGCATTTGCTTGGGATCAGGACCGATTTTTTTACAAGGCGCGCGGTTCGGAAATGTGTCACCTGGCTGGGACCAGCTTACGCGCTCTGCACCAGCCGCAGATCATGATCGCTCTGTTGGAAACAGGCCTAGTGGACCGAGTTACAGACCCATCACTCGTGCGGAATCGGCGTCAGCAGAGAACGCGAAAGCCATCGCCACGGAATCCAGCGATGCATGATATTGGTACCTGTGGCACGAGGCGCAAAAACGCGAACAAAAAGAGATAGCGAAAGCTCTGTGTTGTCGTATGGAGTGAAGATGCCGACTCTGAGCGAGCGTAGGATCGTCAGTGGACAATGTAAGGCAAGAAATCTGCGTTTCGAGCCGGTTTGCGCACGGCACGGCAGGTTGATGGAGGCTGCGCGGTGACCTCAACGGCACGTATTGCTTCTAAACAAACACGATGCGCATATTTCCCTGGTGTTTTTTTCTCGAAGATCGCATCGCGGCGGCGATGCAACACCGACCTCATGTCCATGTCTCCCCGGTTTCCTCCAAGGATTGCATCTCGACGGAGGCGCTTGAATCAGGGAGTACAAACCGCTAGTGATGCAGCTCCTGGGCGACTGGCCATACTGACACTGCTGTTTACATCAGGCATGTGCTGGTCCATGATGGCTGGAAGCAATCAGCTCCAGAAGCGCGGATTCAATGACACAATCTAGAGCTGTCGTGTGCGATCGTTAGCATTCGCCTTTTCGGAATCGATGACCTCGCCCGCACTTGAGCTTGTGCGTACCCGAAACAAACGTAGCTGTCACATAACAACTGTTTTCGTAGACCCGATGACTTGATCTACAGGCGCCTGCCCCGGATGCACGGTACCCACACGTCCTGCTCGTGTGGCGGCCCGACCCGAGAGCCCCAGAGGCAGGCAACGTTCCCCGTAGCCACCACTATTAGAGGCGCGATAAACGAAATCCGCCTCTCATCCGGCACGGACGGCCATGCAACCACGAGTCAATGCCAGCGTAACCGAATGCAAATCCCGTAAGCGCTGCTTACCTGCGCTAGGCCGCAGAAACGACGTACCACGCAACGGCTCCATCTGCCAGCTACAGCGCGCGCGTTTCGGACATGCAACCCGCCGCCTCGAATCACGACTGGAGGATGCGTTGCACCGTCTCGCAGCAGCGGCGGCGGCGGCGGCGGCGTTGTACGCCCTCGTCGCCCGGCCCCCTATGGTCGACGATCAGGCCAAGTCCGGGGGTGATGCGGGTGGCGCCTCGTGGACGCCCGCGCCCTGCGAGAGATCGCGGCGCGCCAGGCCGCAGCGATCCGACGTGCCGGTGCGTTCGATGTGTCCGCCGCCGCGTTGCGCGCGCGATCCTTTGATGCGTGCGCGGCTGCAGCGCGCTGCGTGTCGCTGCACCGAGATGCAACAGCGTGTTCAGCAGTTCGCGTCCACCAGATTGCGTGCGGCACGTGCCGCCCCACCGTGCAATCGGAAACGTCATCGGAGGCTGGGACGGCAAACACGCGCCGTCGCCGCTCGTGCTCGCAACTGGTGGTCGACGCTGGTGCGCCACCGCCGCGTGGATGTCTATCGTGCGGGGAACGGCGCCGGTGAGCCCCGCGACGTCGCCTCCGACATCCCCGCGCAACGAAATCCCCGCGTTCACGGTAGAAGCACCGCATCTGTGCAGTGGAACGCTTGCAGAACGATGCAAAGGAGATATGTGGGTGTTGTGCGGCCGTTGCAAGCGAGGTAAAGTCGGTGGAGAGGAAAGTTTTTCTTGACTAGGGAGACGAGGGTAGGTTTTTTCGAAGTGTTGTCGAGCTCGTCGGCTGCGCCTCCTCTGTGCGGTGCGTACTATTTTTCGTGTCTGTGTTTGTCTCGGAGCTGTTTGAGGCTTGTGTTTCCGATCAAGTGAGAGACGGCCACAGCGGAATAGCGTTTCTAGGGTTTGCGTATACGCTAACGAGTACTGAGGCAGGCGAGAGCACCCCTCGGTTGCCGGGAGCCTCGTTTCTGTGGTATGACGTCACACGTTATGGGAGGCAAGCAAGCGAGTGTGCTAGTCTCGTGCCTGACAAAGCCGTTGGAGCCAGACGGGCGACCCGCTTGGCGCAGCTACAGTTCCGTGCCTCAGCCCAAGTCGTCTCCGTCAACAGGTGCTACCCATGTAGCGGCCACATGTGTCCATTGTCAGGCTGGACTTGGGGGCTTTCCGGGAAGGTGGCGTCCAATAGTCTCTGACTCCTCGGTGCCAGACATTGAAGTAGAGCCCTGCTCTCTGAGTCTCGGCGAGACACGTAGCAGTCTTCAGCTGTTGCTAGATGCATCGGCGTTGGCTATGAAAGAGCCGAAACTGATATACAGGACAGAGAACGGTCCGCAGCGCTCCGCGAAAGCTCGTCTCCTTGAAGCTGAAGGCGTAATGAATCAACCGAGTAACGAAGATGTTGTTCAGGAACACGGGCGTGAAACCAATGGCGGAATTTCAAAGCGGGATGCGCTTTCTACCTGGCCGGAGCAACTGCATACGGGCGAGCGCCAGAGTGCTGCGAATCTTTGGCGCGTTCCGAACGAAACGAATGAAGTCTGTCAGGCATCTGGTGCGGCGTCGGCGACGCAGAGAGCCGGCATCGCTGCTCCAGACTGCGTTTCTGAGACCGGCACTCGCGGATCGTTTGCAGCGTCGGGTTCATCTGCATGCGATGGCGATGCATTAAGTGACAGACCATTCCCCAGTTGTGCGAATCACGTGACGACGAAACAGGTCAGCACGTCTTGCGCTGATGAATCCCGAGGCGAATCGGGATCATCATCGAAAGCGTTGCTTGTGAATGACCGAGAGAGGTTAAGGGACTCTGCACGGCAAACGCATCGGATGCATGAGCAGAAACGTCGCCGCATGATCTCCTCACGCGTAGACGCGCTCATGTGTCTGGTGCCGGCAGTACGCGGGTATGCAACCAGGTTTGGTCGGAAACCAGACCGGGCCACGATCCTCGAGGGTGCTGCCGAATACATCCGTTCCCTGGAAGCCAATGTCGCAGCGCTGAAAACGCGCTTGCAAGAGTTGGAAGTTGCTAATTTCGTTGCAAAAAAATACGGCGTATCGTCGCCTGACATCACGCAGTACAAACCGGAGCATATCGTGCTTCGACATCATTGCAGGTAGTGTCCGGTTCCTCGGTGCGACCAGAGCGAACTGGACCAGACCGCGGCGCTTGCGCTCATGGCATGCACAACGCAGTGGTTGCAGACTCGTGCCGCCTCAGGCAGCCAGACCATGCACCAGGTACGTTTCGCAGCCAAAGCGTGTGCATGCGAATCCACAGCAGTTCTTGGCAAAGGGGTTTTTCTCAAAAAGGGTGCATGCCACATTGATCGACGACGAGTTGATGCCAGTTACAGTCTGTGACGAGTGGCGGGCGTTGCGTCTCTGTGGACGCTCTGGAAGCACACTGCAAGAACCTGAACGAGAGGCAGCGTTTCCGCGTGGCAGCATGCTCGCTGCGGCGCATAGCCGAGTAGTTTGTGCACCTTTATCAGGATCGGCCCTCTGCGAAGTGCTCCGATGATGAAGGTTATATCTTTCGGAAACCGCTAATCCACGCAACATCCGATACTTGTTTGTAGGCTTGTGCGCCAGTCGCGACGGCGCACCTTGGCCTTCGGCAAAAGTCCGCATACCGACCCAGGAAGCGTTCGCGGCAAAGCGAGCATCGAACATCGCGGGTGTCGGACCCGCGCTTTTCTGGAAGCTAACCGCGCACGACGCGAGGCACAGGTTGTGCGGAAGGCGCGTCACGATACACGCTTGTGGTCGCTCGAAGCGGATTTCTCATTTACGATGTGCGGTGTGTGCACTGCGCTGATGGCTCGACACCCTACCACCTGCACACCTGTCTCGGATGAAAATGGAACTCAGCATAGCTCGTGTTCATCCTGGCCTGCGCTTTTCCCCGAACTTTTTACTGAGGAACTGCTCGATGTTCTCAGAACAGCAATAGGGGCCGAAGGATATCTACGTAGTCCAAGGAGTTCTCGGTCGTGTTTGCGCAGTGGCTGCTTCGACGCTTTGCTGCTGAAATTTACCACGTTGTCTCGATCGAGATACCGCTGTACGCATTCGAACCAGGGCTCGTGAACTAACCGATAGTTCTTTCTGATTCAAACGTACGAGTCTGCATGCCTCAGCTTTCCGTACTCGTGATACGTTCAGGGCATGCATGCTTCATATTTCCGATTTTTTCGTTTCAAGGCAACGCTTGGGCGAAGCTAGTCGCACTGCATGATTGATGGCGGAAATATATATTTCGACAGCATCGCATGACGCCTTGTTCATACGCTCATGTCGAATGTTGGCTGAACATGTCACGTCTAATAAGCGATTCCGTTCGAAATACAAATCCTCCGCTCATTGTAAACATCGTTGAAACGGCATTCGACAGCAGCATGATACCACACAGGGGATACGCTCCCAGTGACTCACGTCTCATCTGTTCGCGTGGAAGCGAGTAATGGACTCTGATCGTCACTGGCATCGCTTCCAGTGGAGCGCCCGCCAGCGATCTGTACGGAGAATGTGCTAAGGAATCGATTTTCTCGATTTGTTAGCCACCCTGAATTTTCCTTCCGATACTCGTGTCATCCTGGAAAATAACCTGCTCCAAACCTCCTCCATGGAACGGATCAGCGTGCGCTTACGCATGCAGCAGAAAGGGAATTCGCTGCGGGCATTCCCCCTGGAGAAATTTTTGATCCTAGGGAACCGCACTGGGCGCGGAAACGGAAGCGCACATCGACGGCTACCTTCTGTGCTTGTCAAGAGCATGTACCGAGCGAAGAAGCAATCGTTCACGCGCTTCATTGCAGCGCTTCGAAAAGCAGATAGGATGCAAATGCCCGAGCACCGTTCCACGGTCAAATGTCACAGCTGGGCATGCCACACCGAAGCTGCATGCAAAGAACGTCCAAAATGGGAAACGAATCGTAGATTGCAACTACTCCCTGTGCGTGAAACGCGTGACCAACATCGGATTATCGCGAAATCTGAACTAGCACCATACCAGCATCATCCACTGAATGCCAGCAGCAGAGCCGGACGATAAAGAGTGACCAATGGATCTAGAGCCGGAAATTAGAGAGCGAAAAACGAAACAGGAGAAATGTATGCAACGGCGGTTGTTGATCACAGTGGAACGAGCGTCCCAAGATTTCGTGTGCAGGCTCGAGTTAGAGCGCTTGTTCCATTTTATGCTGACATGAATGCCGTATCGAGCGATCCAGCAGGAACCTGCGGGTAATGGCCGGTGACAAGCGCCGCTCTGGTGCCGCATGATGCACAGTTTCCCGGATATTGATAACCGCCATGCACTCGGGTATGCCCAGTTTGGTGGAAAGCTTTCGTCGTTCCAAGCGGACGCTGGAGGGATCTGCTCGTGTGTGAGCACGGCCAGCGAGACCTCGGCAGGTACCGCGGCACACCCGCAGCCTCCGCAGCAACGTTTGCATCGATAAATCGCTCTGCTTTTATCAACTGAGCTGCTGCTGCTGCTGCTGCTGCTGCGCTCGAGGCGTTCGAGAGAGCTGCACAAGGCACTGCACGGTGCCGTAGACGGTTATCTGCGGGTATGCGGATGCACTGCTTCAGCGATCTGGCTTTCAAAGTTCGGTGACAGTGCTGTGACCGCGCACTCTCAACTTCGAAACCACACCACCTCGTTGGCTTGTCAAGCGGATGCGCTTCTAGCGCAGCGTACGGCACCGAGCCAGGAGTCGCGCGCTTGATGTATAACGACGGTGGGTTCACGCAGCTTTTCGTGCTCGCGCTGGGAATCGGCTTGGTACTAAAACCGCAGGACCTCCCGAGGGCTGCGCACTTTGTTGGGCGTCTCTGCGGTAGAACAGTGGCGCTGGTGAGGGAGCTTCGACAGGGCGCCACGCAGCTCGCACGTCTTGTCGAGGAAGAGGAGGGCGGCGTCAGTGCAAAAGCTAGCAGGCAAGGCGCTTCGCCAGAGAAGCATGTGAACGCGTTTCAGCTACACAGAGAGCTGCAGGAGAGCGCGGCGGAGCTGCGTCAGCTCCGCATCTTGCTGCGGCGGGAGTGGAATGCGGCAACGCCCATGGCCCAGGTGCGGCTGCCGACGGCTATGGTGCAGAGCTATCGGCCGCGGAGGCGGTTGCCAGCAGCACAAAAGACCACCGAGTCCGGCACTGCGGAGGACGGTGGCGCGGATCTGGTTCTGCGGGCTCTGGAGGAACGAGCATTTGCTGATAAAGTTCAGCACGTGCTGGACGCTGCGACTGTGTCAAGCTCGGCAAGCTCAGAAACGAATAGGCACTAAGTTCCTGTATGTAGCGAACCATGTCAGCGGGATGCATACATAACCGATTGGTCATGACAGATCTCTATGCAAGTACGAGTCGGGTATGTGTCCAGCGCTTACGCGTTGCTCGCAGGTTCGGTAAAGAAATACTCTTTCGCGGTGCCGTCTGGAGTTGCCGTAGGCGAAGCGAGGCATCGATTCGAACGCTGAGAACGAACGAGACCGTGCATCTCGAGGAACTCAATGGCTATCATTTCGTCGTCATCGCCCGAGAGCTGGATCGCTCCAGAGGGCTTCAATGCGAGCATTGAAGTAACGAGTTCGATCGCCACCATTTCAACATGTCGTCGACGATGAACGGTCTTACTCGGCGAGGTCGATGAAGCGAATAGAAGTTGCAACATCATTGCAGCTCGCTGTTCTGCCTTTTCGCGTTCCAAATGTTGCGACACGAGCTCTTCAGGGCCGGGCTCGCTGAAACATCGTGGATGCAATCTGTTACGATCAGCGGATTCAGGGCAGTCGCTGTCGTCCTGGCGCGTGTTGCTCGTCGGTACGCAAGCCTGGCGCTCCAGTTCGGCAGCCGCGGAGCACGTCGCTCGTCGTCGATCGTTGGATTCGATCGTGTCAGCAGGGTCCAGCACGCTCGTCTGTGGGCTGGACACTGGGCGACGAGGTCGCGACTCGCTTGTTGAATTCGAAACTCCGTTGGAATCGATGTTGGCTCGCACTCTTGCCGCCGTAACAGGGGCGCAGCTGGCGAGGAGCTCCTGGAGCATCGCCTCCAGCTGACTCTGCTCGTTGGTGAGCATCTCGAGCTCAGCTTCCCTCTCGCTAATGGACGATCTCAGAAACTCCAGAGCGTGGATCAGCTCATCCTCATGCTCGGCAGTTGCGTATGCACCCTGCTGCGAACCCTTACGTAAAGATGATCTGGATGCGGGCAACACATCGTTCGGGAAAGCAGCGGACCTTTCACGCTCGCGGTATACGTCCTGGAGTATTCTCTTTCGACGATCTTGGATATCCGCTTCGACGGCGAGAGTGTGCCGAATGATCTCGGGCTCCGCAGGCATCGATCGCTGCGACAATGCCGCTTTACTGGACAGCGATGAGGCATGGAAAATCGGATGCAAGCCAGGCGTCGTGGCGTTTTCCTGCTCATCACCATTGTCTGGATCCGATGCATCTGTAAGGGCGTCGCTCTGGAACCGCATCAAGCCACGGCTTGGATGCATGGAGTCAGTTGGTCCACAGGCGCCGTCTTCGGTGTGCGCAGACAGTGGCGCCGTTTCGACTCGCCTTGCGAGCCACTCGCGGATGAGTCTGTGAAAGCGCCGCACCAGAAGCGCCCAGTTCTCGCATTCTGTTCGTCCACCGTTTTCGTTTCGCGACGAATGGTGCTCGTGCTGGGCAGGTCTTTCCGCACTCACAGCACCAACATCAAGGCATCGACAGTCTGGCTGGCTGACGCATATTCCAATCCGCGCTGCGAGGCGAGCACAGAACTCAGTTGCTCCTGTTCCGAGTGCGCTCTCTGGTTTCCGCGCGAAAAAGCAGCGTTTCTGGATCGCATCCAGTGCACTGCGAAGCTCCGCAACACAAATACGGGCGTAGGCTGCATCGGAGACGTTGCGCGCCGCGAGTGCGTCATCGGCTGCCTTTCTGGACAGCTTTTTGGACTCTTTTTCATCTATCGTTCGGTGCTTGTCGCCCGCTTTGGCTGAACTCGCACCAGCGTCGCCACCTGACCGACCTGTGTCCGAAGGCTGCAGCTCACGCGTTGCAGCACGCTGCGCCTCAGAGCAAGTGGGTAGCCCCGCTCCGCCTGCCCCGCGTGCTTGGATAAGTTCTGGTTGCCACGCATCATTCCTGAAGCGGTCGTTATATCGTACAGGTGCCTGATGCGTGTCCAGAGAGCATCGCCGAGACAGCGGAGAGCCGAATAGCGTCTTTGCTGCACTGCTAGGTAACCAGAAACCGAGCTCGCTCGCTCGACGATTTTGCAAAGCATGATAGCTGAAAGAGCCCTGTTTCCGGAGGTTCCGCTTCTCCACTCGTCGCTCGGCTGTACCACGGATGCCGCTCATTCCCGACAATCCGAAGCCGAGGTGGCGAACCGTCTGTCGGTGCCGTCGCCTGCGTTGTGCACCGCTGGAGCAGCGCGCGTAGCTTGCCGGATGACCCGCGCGGATTGCCAGCCGCTGATTCAAATCGCCACGCGCATCGCGCGTCAAATGCGCTGCGGGAGGTGCATCCATCCTTGGGCAGTATGTACCTATATGTCCTATATTGGGATGCACCAAGAGGCCCTTGATTTTTGTTTCTTGTTCGATAGAGCGTTTCCAGGGACTATGGGCCGAAGACTGCGGGATGAATATGGGTATTCGGGGAATCGTCCATTTTTCTTCATGCTGCTTTCGAATTCCATTACCGATACTTCTACACGGATGTACCTGTTATTGCTTGCGATCCACAGAGTAACGCAGAGGTCGTTCAGGGGCCTACTTTATTGGTGGAGTCAAGGCGTAGCGCTCAGCGTAAGGGCGACGGAGCAGGGCATCGCAGGCAGCATACCCAGCTGGCAAATCACTTGCGCACTTGCGGGTACCTGCTACAATTCAATGATCCGATCTATCAAAGAAACGCATGTGGCGGTCTGCGTTGCTGGTGTACACGCGCACTTGCGGGTACCTGCTACAATTCAATGATCCGATCTATCAAAGAAACGCATGTGGCGGTCTGCGTTGCTGGTGGTACACGCGCAATTGCGGATTTGTGGTGCGGTTCAATGATCGCAGATCAGACAGATATCACAGGTGGCGCTCTGAGTTGCTGCTGCTGCTGCTGCTACTACTCACTACGGGTGCGACGATGGCGCTATCGCGTTTCTGTACGTCACCTGAGGTGACGCGTCCAGCGTTGAAGCGAGCTCCTGCAAGTGGGCTCGGCACACGCGGGGCAGCGAATCCGAGTATGTCGCTATGTCGTTGAAGGTATTCGAGAATCGAGCGGGTGAAATGCTGAATCATCTGTGGGAGATGCAGGTTCCCAGGCCATGCCATGTGCCGTTTTCTGCATAGACAGAGGACTCTAGTAATGCTCATCCATGCAGCAACAATAGTGGACTGCCGGCTTCTCTAAGCTTGAAGCGAAGACACGGACAACGCGCTGTCAGCAATAGGTGAAGGGTATTTGCGCTGAATGAGCCTCGATTTGCCTAAGAAAAGTGCGTACGCTCCGGTCCGTTGCATGTTTTCGTATTACGATAGACGGTGCGGCCTGCTGGACGAAGTTCTGATGCCCAGATGGTCTCGGGCTAATTAAGCTAATTGCTGACGGGTGCACTCAAGCAGCTGACCGTCGTTGCGGTCGTTGCAGTCTAGTGTCGAGGTCTCAGCACCGGGGGTATATGAATCCCTCCGAACACGTCCACTGGGCTCCTCTAGATGGTTTTGCGTATTTGTAGGCAATTTTCCGTTTCGTACATTGGTACAACGGCACCCCGATTGAGCAAAACTCATACTAGCTCGTGCTCCGTCTCGCTGGAGATCATCGATGCAAACGCATGAATGGGAAACCGGCTCGACAGGGGCGCTATCAACGATCGTCCTTCCGCGGTGCCTGGATCGCTCATCTGTTCCCGCACCGCATGTTTTCTCACGCGCTACCTGCGTCGTCGTCCTTTTCACTGCGCAACTCTTCGGTCGGACACTGCCTCGCACCAGCCTGCGCGCATCCGGAGCCAGTTAAGCGTTCGAATCGAATTCCGAGTTCCAGATCTGGTATCAAGTTTGCGCGCAAACGCCTGACAAGTGGATGCGCTCAGCAGGTATTCGCGTCTGAATGCTCCGTAGAGCCGCTTTTCTGCGGTGTTCACCGTGACCCGGTGGTTTGGCCTGGCGGATCCATTCGAATGCGATAGCCAGCAGTGAGCGATATGCATGCTGCTGTACACATGCACGGCCAGACATTTTAGAGCGCTTCCGTACGAAACGAACACTTTAGGAATGGCGAGCATGCTACGAATGCCAACGTTGCCCGTTGTTGCATATATTTTAGGAAACAGATTCATTCAAGCTCGTTTCTGTGCGTAGAAAAGATTACATGTTTCTACATCAGCGTGCTGAGGAAGACACTGATCGCTTTGTGCATCGCAGCGGCTGATGACTGCCACGGAACGGCTCCGCAAGAGTTTGGATGCAACCTCCCAGCGAGCCCGAGTGAAGCCGAACCCCGTCGAGGCATTACAGCGTAGCGCGGCATTCGAGCAGACGGGATCTCTAATCAAAGGCGATTTTCGAACAGAGCATATATCGCACGGAGAGAATCCATGTGTTGACAGTTCGTGTGCTTCTGTCCGTTCCAAATGAAAGTTCCCGATTTTGCGCATCTAACGCTATTCGCTGTACTCAAAGTCACTGCTTTCGCCGAAGCCGAACCAGTACTGCTTAAGAACGTGGAACGCAGCCCAGCAGCTTGAGTATATCCAGGATGCATCGTTACCAGTCGCGTCTCAGCTCCGCAGTGCTTAGGAACGGGTCTCGGCGGGCAGGGCGCCAGCCATACGACCACTTTCACTGAGATACGTTCGAGCCTGCATGAACACCGCCGGGCACCGTCCAGCGGATACACGGAACGGGCACTGGCCCGACCCGGTCGTGATTCAACGGTTGCTACCCGAGGCAGCACTCCACGAGGATACAGGGCGGCGCTATCAGAGCACGTCGCATCACCTAGCCGTTATCCGCTGGAAGAGAATCGCACGTCACAACCGTGCACTGCTCTGGCCAACAGGAGAGCCCAACACGCACCCGATGCGTTTGAAATGGCGTGGTATCCCACCTTGTCTGAATAGGGAGACCCGTGTCCCCGCGCTATTATTCACCGGACTCAATCAGCTCCTGCCTCTTCTGCTTTATCAGGGAGACGCGCTCACGCAAGTAAGGGTTCCACACGTCTTCCTGTTGCGCAATATTCTCTGCCAAGTACGTTTTCTTCATCGATAGGTCAAGGGCTCGTTTGATGCGTTTCCAGCGCAGTTCCTGTTCGGCGGGCGGTAACTGCTCAAGCGCGGCGCTCACCTCAGGATCCGTCTCAAGAAGCAGGTCATCGTAGCGCAGGCCGAACTTGCGCAGCTCCTGCTCGACCTCGCGACGGTACCAACGAGCCAGCGCGGTTACAAGTGGTCGAGTACCAGGCACACTCAACACCAGGTCTGCGAGCCGACCCATTTCGTTCCAGTGCGCTTCGCTGCGAAAGCACTAGGGAAACTCGGACTGCGCAGATACCCGTGTGACGAAGCGCTGAGGAAACGCGCTGCCTCCGCCACGCGATGCCGCCTACTGCCAGACGGACGCATCGGATGGCATGCGCTCGGATGATTTTGGACTTGAATGATCTGAAATGAAACAAGTCAGTATATAGATGTATATAATTAGATGAGCTGATAAGAAACAGCACTGTTCAAACAACATGACAATGGATTGAATGAACTCAGGAGCGATACCAGAGAGCGGCGGTGCGGCTTATCGCAAGCGCTCGACGCATGCGACATGCCCGCGAGGCATACCGCAGTGCACCTCCATGCCTGCAGCTAATCATATCCAGCATCTGTTATATGTAGCGACATGCAGTGCTTTTGTGTGTTTGGGGGTTTCCGTGGCCTTCCTCGGGCCGAGTTTGCCTGCGCTGCACGAGCTCGTGTCGGAGCGAGGCGGCGTCACGAAAGACGGGTGGTTGTTCTCGCTGGGTGGCATCGCGTACTTCATCGGGGCCGGTTTAAACGGCACGCTTGATCGGAGTTTTGAAGCGATGCTTCTAGAAAGCTTGCTTTTAACCGTGTCCTTGGTTGTGTCAGGTGTGTCACAAGCGATGCTTCCGTTCTGTCGAAAGCGCTGGCAGCTTGGGGGTCTGCTCTTCATCACTCGTCTCGGCGCCGGGTCGCTGGATGTTAGCGGGAATAGTATCATCGCCGCATCGGGCAGCGTGGCAACGTCTTGGATGCAGTGTCTGCACGCGTGCTTCAGCGTGGGTGCTTATCTCGCACCGCTCATCTTGGCGTTTTGGCTCCGCACGTCCGCGTATGGGTTGTACCTCGGCTTTGCTACTTATGCCGTTTTCGTGGTGTTCTCCTTGGTGCTCTTGTTTATGTACACTGCGATGCTGCGTAGATATGCAGAGAGAAACATATCCAGCTGTCCAACAGGCAACCGGGCTGTCGACGACAAGACCCAACTAGGCCCGGTCGTCGCGAGCGAAGCCAAGGCCGTCATCAGCACCACCCGTCAACGCCTGGTTCGCATGGCGCGCATCACGCTCGTGGTCGTCGTATTCGCGAGTTACGCTGGCTACGAGGTTTCCCTCGGCGCATGGCTCGCTGTTTATGCCCACGAGGCAGACGGTGCAAGCAAGGAGCTCGCTCAGGCGGACATGGTGTCGGCGCTGTTCTGGGCGGCAATCATGTGCAGCCGGCTACTGGCGATCGTCGTGTCGGTCTGGTTCAGCGCCACGACCATTCTAACGTGCTGTGTGATCGAGTCGCTGATTGCTTGGCTGTGCACGCTGTGGCGGCTTCGCTCGCTTCGTGTCCTAGCTGCATGTCTTGGACTCGCAATGGGACCAGCCTATGCAGCGCAGATGAGCATTGCAGTTGAGATTTTTGGAGACCGCGAACGCTGCGCTTCCGAAGTTGCAACCTGGGGCACAATTGGATCGACGCTTGGTGAAGCGCTTCTCCCATGGATCGTGGGCATCTTCATGAGCCGCTTCGGACTCGTATGGTTTCACCGTACGATTATGTCATACGCCTTTTTGTGGTCAGCGTTCGCAGTGGCGCTCATTTGGCGACGGCAACGGCCACAGACGATGGACCCTAAATCAGGCGCTTCTGGGTAAGCTGGAGTTCAATCTCCGCTGGTAGCCCGAACTCTTTGAAAAGAGTTTCCGCCTTGGCGATGACTAGCTCTGCATCATTCCGCATGGCCATGCGGCTCGCATACGAAAAAAGCTCGTCAGCAGATAATCGGTACTGGAGGATGACGTCGCGGTGGAGCTCCAAAAGCGCCGCAGCAACATAGAGGTGGAACAGACCGCCACCAACAGAACCAGGCGCAGCCCACATGACATCCCAGAGATACAACACTTGTTCAAAGGGGAACTCGCGCTTAAAACGAACGAGAAGCCAGCGATAACAAAAATAGAAATTGTCTGCTTGCTGTTGTTTCAAATACTCGTACAGTCCACCATCAATGTGTTTCGTGATGATCGCCAAACGTGCGAGCTCCTCATTCATGCCCGATTGATCTTTGCGGAAATTGCGTTCGAGCACATCCATCAGCGCTGCAAAGCACCAGAACGCTAAGGCCTCATCCTTCGCGCCAAGCACATATACAATGGGAGCGGCGAGGTCGCTCATCCCCTGACAGTAGCCCAAATCAAAGTTAAAAAACGCATGCGTGAGCAAAATGTTGAAGAGCTGGGATAGGGCTACGCTGTCGTCGTTGCGGAAGAGATCAACGTTACGATCTGTGCGCACAACATCTTTTTCGATTTGGGCACGACGATCCCGGTATTTCGTGAAACGTCGCTCCTGCTTCTCGCTGATACTGCGCCACTGCTCGCGAAGTACCACGTACTCTTTCTCGAGACGAGACCTCTGCTCCTGCTCTTCCTCTGGTGATATTGTCCAGTCGAAAACACCCAAAAGATAAGGCCATGCATCGGCACGTGCATCCTCCTCGAGGCCGCCAGCGAAAATCGCACGTCGCATCGCAAGCGGATCGAGGCGACGTCCGCGCTGGAACGCCTCCCGAGACACACCCGCTGCCGCCCGCAGCGGTCGATACCGGGCAAAGTCCCGATCCAGGGTTCGCAGCGGGGGTATGATTTCCCCATTTTCATACTGAACGGTGACGGAGGCGAGCGGCTCATCCGAGGTCGCGTCCTCGCTGACCGCTGGGTATTCATTATCTTTCGAAGCGGCGTTAGGGTTGGCGTCGTCGGTGACCGTAGACGATGCCGTGCGCCGACCGCGTGTCCTTCGTTGACGGTACGCTGCGCTGAGCGAGCTGGTCGCTGTTCGTGCGAGGCGTGTGATCTGCGCGAATCGCTCCAGCAAATGAAACGTGAGCTCTTCTTCGGCAGCCAGTGTGGTACCGAATATGGAGTCTTCTCTGGAACTGCCGGAGACTGCGGAGGGGCTCGAGGCCTCCGAGGCATGCCGGTGCTGCTGCTCGCAAAGTCGTGGGTTCGCTGATGGCGCCTGCGGGATGACCACCGGGCCGCTCTGGATGTGTGAAGGCTGCTCCTGGACGAGCATCGCGATCGCAGCCGGTGATGCCGAAAACCGTCGATTGGTACGGGGCTGCACCCGAAACCCTTTGTTGGAAATCTGCACATTCGATGCTTTCCTCGAGCGTGGACAGTCATCGGCGATTGCAGCCCGTACATAGAATAGGTCCGGATCCGTGGAGTCCGGCTCGAGTTCAATATGCCTCCGAAGTGCGCTGAGAAAGTCGCGAAGTCCTCCCTCTTGGAAAGCTAGTTCGGGCAACATTTCGCCGCCTTTCTTGGTAAAGCATACTCTAGGGCTGCCAATTGCGGGTAGGTGCCGTCGCAGCGCGAGCAAGTCCCCGACGCATACACTGAACGCATGCGGGTCGCCTCTGTCGAGTGGCTGCGACGCTCCATGGCGGCGGCTGAACGTCGCCTTGTCCTCCGGGCTCACGCGAGCAGTGTCCGTTTGACAAAGCTCTCTATGCTTTGTGCTGGGTTCATAGGGTGCCCAAAACACCCAGACGGAGGCTGTAGAGGACTCGGCGTGACCACCAGTGTCCGCAGCTGGCGCCCCGGCGCCCTGCGAACGTTGTCGACGCTCAAGACCAAGTGCGCCGGGCCGTCGGTCGTTGGCAGTGAGCACAAGAAGAACATTCTCGCGCTTGTAAAGGTAAAGTGCGCAGTCCCAAAGCGAGCTTTCACTAACGCCCGTCCGAGGCGGAGCCGGCTCACAGACGTCCCTCGACACGGACATGAAAGCAGTACCAGTACGCCGTCTAAGTTTTGTGCGCGCTGCAGTTACGCCTTTGTCCGTTACAGTTCGCCCAGAGCGGCCACACCAGAACGAGTAGTCGCGTCAAGTATCGTTCTGATACAAGCCCATAAGCAGTGAGCCGGTTGTTCAACACGGTGCATTCGGCACTTCCGAACAGCACTACTGAAACACTGTCGCCTCAGCAAGTACGCAGGTAGGAAACGAACCAGGTCAGCATGGAGTCGGGTGACTTCAGCCTCGACCATCGACTGGAGCGCAGCCTGCGTACCGGCATGTCCACGAGCAATCAAGAAGCAGCAGGCAGCAGCGGTTGCTCAATGGCCGAAACATCCCAAAAAATCCTTCTATTTCCATTATGTCCCATAAATTCCATTCTGATCCATGTTAGGCAAGGCAAGGCACTGCGTTGCGTGAACCAGGGCGGTGGCCGGCGCGACGGCGCGCCGACGACGGCGAACCCGCCGTCCATATGTCTGGTGTGCGACGCGTCTGTCCAAGTGGACCCAAGTCTTGACGCTGTCGTATCTGTGGATACGTGTACACAAGTTACGTCGCCTTTCTGTGAACCATGGCGGAAGCGAACGGCACAAGTTCGGTTGCTGTTTCGAGAGATACCGGCTACAGTAATGATGCTGAGCATGTTGAAAACGTAGAGAGCGCAGGGGAAATCGACTCCAACGTGACAGAGGTCTACGAGTCCTTCGACGACATGGGGCTGCGCGATGAGCTTTTGCGAGGCATCTACGCGTATGGTTTTGAGAAGCCGTCGGCCATCCAGCAACGTGGCATTGTACCAATGGTGAAAGGGCGTGACATGCTCGCGCAGAGCCAGTCTGGCACCGGGAAGACTGGGTGCTTCGTCATCGGCATGCTCCAGAACGTGGATACCTCGGTGCGCAAAGTTCAGGGTCTGATTCTGGCACCGACGCGCGAACTTGCGCAACAGATCCAAAAAGTGGCGCTGGCTCTAGGCGACTATATGGGCGTTAAAGTTCACGCGTGCATCGGCGGTACAAGGGTTGTAGACGACCTGCGGACGCTGGAACAGGACACGCCGCACGTGATCGTCGGAACACCCGGGCGAGTGTACGATATGATCCAGAGAAGAGCGTTGGATACGACGACTATCAAGTGTTTTGTGATGGACGAAGCAGACGAGATGCTTTCTCGTGGTTTCAAGGAGCAAATCTACATGGTCTTCCAATACATGCCGGCAAACTGTCAGGTGGCGCTTTTCAGCGCCACGATTCCCGCCGAGATCGTCGAAATGGCCGAAAAATTTTTGCGGGATCCGGCACGTATCCTGGTTCGGAAAGATGAATTGACACTGCAGGGTATTAGACAGTTTTACATCATGGTAGAGAAGGAAGAATGGAAGCTAGAGACTCTGATTGATTTGTACGAAACCATTTCTGCTTCGCAGACCGTTATCTTCGTGAACAGCCGGCGTAAGGCTGAATGGCTCAGTGAACGTATGCGTGAACGCGACTTTACGGTCTCAGTTATCCATGCAGACATGAGCCAAGAGGAGCGAAATCTGATCATGCGCGAGTTTCGCTCAGGCTCGTCGCGCGTGTTGATCACGACGGATCTGCTCGCTCGCGGTATTGACGTGCAGCAGGTGAGTCTCGTGATCAACTACGATCTACCGTCAAACAGGGAGAACTATATTCATCGTGTGGGCCGTTCCGGGCGCTTCGGTCGCAAAGGTGTTGCGATCAACTTCCTTGCCAATGAGGATGTGCGGACGCTACGCGAGATAGAGGCCTATTACAACTGTGAAATCCAGGAAATGCCGGTCGACATCAGTGATATGTTGTAGAGGCGTCTATGTCGTCACTGGCGATCGCCATCCAAGAAGCTTCTCGCGAAAGACTCTGTAAACTGAGCAAACCTAGAGACCCTGCCGGTCAGTGCCGTATGGCGTACGCGACTCGCGTAGATGAAATCGTACCCATGCTCAGACATGGCAAGGAAAAGGTTTCCACGCGATGCCGGCTTCGTGGCGCAGTCGAGGGCATTCCTTCTGCGCTAGTTAGCAGCAGCTGGTATCGATATGTGTGCATGCGTGAACTCCTGCACCCGTTTCAGACTGGCACAGAACACTGAGCGACTCGCTCTCTTCCTGAACGTCGATCTTGTTTCCGAACTCTGTGTAGATGGACAGTCACGACATTCCTGGTGCAGGAATGAGCGCTTACCAATGGAGACGTCTTATGGGGATGCTCGGCCGCTTTGATGGAGCGCCTGCTTCGACGGTTTGCCGGTGGAGTTCGATACGTCACCAGAGTCGATATGATTCACGATGTCGCGGAACAAGGGTTCGTAAAATTACCGATATCACGTTCCATTTCATACGTATGAGCCTCCGCTCTTGACCTTTTCTTACGTGTACCATGCTCAGATCATTGATTTCTCGAGTTTTCTATTTCTCTTTTTCAAGGCAACACGAGGGTGCAGCCACTCGCGATTCTACATGATCGACGAAAAAACCTGGACGTTGTCACTTGACAACTTGTTTACAAGCTCACGCCGAGATTTCCCTGGAATTCCCACGTCTTAAACTTGTTAATGTTTAAAATACAAATCCGTTCGTTTTTATGGTTCTTCAGGAAGCAGCATCCCACAGCAGCATCATACGTGTCACGAGATACGTTTCCAGACGCTCTCCTGTCTCGTGTTTCCATGCGAAAACGTCTTGGATTCGGACGCTAGTCAACGCAGCGATCGCCCGCAGTGGAGAATGCGTCACCGCTTTGCATGGAGCGGCCAGAGGCGGATCGAAATGTCTCGAGTTGATGAACAGCCTGGAGTTTCCTTACGGTACTTGTTTCATCATGGACATTATTGTGTTCCACGAATCCTCCATGGAATGGGACAGCGTACCTGTCAATTAAATTGTCGCCCAGAATAGGTCCGTGATCGTGGTGTACGGCGCTCGGCAGGGAAATGGAGGAATGCATCAAGTGATGCCCTCTGTCCCTGTCAAAGGGCACGTGCCGCGCGATGAAACGAGCGTTCTCGTATCACAGGGCGGTGCTCAGCAGATGAGATGCGCGATAGACGTACTGGAACACCTGACCACAGTCGAGTGTCAGCGGTGTGCGGGGCGCAACCAGGCTGGATACAAAGATGGTGAGCATGGCAATCAAAGCATAGATCGCAACTTCCGTCCATCGATAAAACGCATTGGCAACAGCCTTAACCGGCGTAGTCTCGACTTTACGGCAGCGGTCAACATCCGTCGGCCGCTGACAACGCTGCCAGAGTGACAAGAGAGACCACTATGTTCAAAGTCGGGAATAAGAGAGAGGATTATGAAGCCGTCACAGAAAAAGCCGGCAACAACCTGACGATACTGTTAAGGAGTCCCCAAAGGTCAGTGTGTACGCTCGTCGCTGACGACCTGGTGTATGTTATTCTGGCACGGGTTTAAAAGGGGCGCGCTATGGCTGTTCCGCCGTGCAGTGCTCGGGGTGCATGTGAGACGCAATGCGCTGCAAGGACTTGTTACAATTTGACGTTAATGGATCCGAGTTTCTTCGCGTCTGGGGAAAGCGCTGCACGCCCGGTAGTGTTTCATACTCGCTTCTGATTTCATCTGCGTTTTCTACGGTGCTTAGAATCTGAAGCAGCTCAAATGCTGCTCACCCTTTGCGTCATGACGATGCTGGTACAGCACTCATTTGCAAATTCCCGTCTCGCATTTCACGACTTCGCTCGGAGTCGTTTTTTGTAGTTCCCGATGCATGCCGTGAGAAGGCACCCGCGCAAGCATCGCCAAACCACCACGCTGTCTCTGTGCGGCGTCCGCGGCGACAGCTGTCCATCCAGTGTCGCTCGGTCATGGAACCCGTCATACTTGTATTAGAGTGCGGAGGACAGACTAGGGCCTGCTGCATCGACAAAGCGTCTGTGATGGAACTGAGATCTCTTTCCTGGAATTCGGTAGGGTCAAGGCATCCAGAAAACTCTGCCTCGATCCAACGGTCCTTGGGGTTACGGTAATCTAAATCTCCGATCCGTGTCGTCGGATGCTGCCGTGTGTATCCGGAGTTCTAAAGTCCGCCTCGATCGAATCGGTCTACCCGAAACGAACTCGCATACGCGTACACGGAGGGTCCTTCACTGAGAGAGCGCTTCGTGGCTGCCGAGCGCACCTCAGCTCACCCCTACTCCCGCTGTCAGCGAGCGTCTGAATAGAAACCGAACTCGGAGAGTCGCCAGAAATCATACGGTTGCCGGGTTCCGGGAGCGGCACTCCGTTACCATGCAATGGCAAGCAACAGCGTTTCGTAGCGCGGTGGACGCCCTGCGTTGAACGCCGAGAGCGTCAACGCATACGACTCCTGGACGTGCGTCTCCACGACTGTTACTGTAATCGGTTGCAAGGTACGTCAACACATGTGGGCAGGCGGTTGCCATCGGGACACATTCGAAAGTGACGCTGTCCCAGATGCCAAGCTCTGTGCTTGCATCATCATCATCAGTAGTTCGAGGTTGGGTTTTTGGTAGGCCTGCCACCGCCGCTGCTGATGCCGTCAGCTTCAGCGCTGTTACGGCACGGCGGTCCAACGGGGCTACCTACCAGCTTATCGTTATGCAAAGCTGCCGACCCAGCGATCACGATGAGTAGGGGATGCAAAGCTTGGACGCGGATCCGGGAAAAATTTTGTCCACAAACTCTGCGCATATGTTCAGCTTTGAATTTTCCTGCAGGGGGTGCCGCGTTGGCCTTGGCGTTCGCTCCCTTCGTATGCAACTCGGATTGCCAAGTGCAGGAGGACTGTCCTCTACTTGAACATTCCCTGAATATTCTTCTGTAAGGTTTGCTCACGGACAGAAGACCGTTGTCTCAGTATGCGGATGCCGGCGCATGCTCAGATTAGGGTTGGTGCGGGATACCAGCACACAAATGGAGGCCATATAGTCAGTCATATCGGATCATGGAAAGCTATTATCGTTCACCAATGACCAAGGATACACAATCCTAGTGTGGACTCAGGGCGCTGCAGTTTTCCTGGATGCCTATTTCATACCGTACCAGTATTCCGCTCCAGGACGCAATCGAAATGCCGCACCTCCGGGTCGCTAGGATTCTTCTCACTGAAAGTCTGCAACGTTTCAATAAGAGGCGCATACAGTGTACGACACGATTTACCTGAATGATCGCGCGACACATAAAGCCACTGGACGCTCCGAAATCATGAGATCGTTCCCAGAGATCTGGAATGGGGGCTTTCCAACGCTCGATAGACACAGTACATGCATGTGTTCTTATTGAAGAAATGTAAGCACGAGATCGTTCCCAGAGATCTGGAATGGGGGTTTTCCAACGCTCGATAGACACAGTACATGCACGTAAGCGCTCTTATTGAAGAAATGTAAGCATAGCGAGCTTCTCAGCTTTGATTACTTCGTGATCTGCCGTTTGCGCGGCTGACAGTGCACCATCTCGCGCATGCAGCTCTGTTTCGCACCGTTCTTGTCTGTCGGTTTTTCAGCATGCACCCGCACTCGTGGCGCATGTACGTCGTGCTGAACGCACCGACAGGAAGCGTGCGGCATAGGCACCTGAGCTTATTGGACACTCCCGTCGAAGCATGAGCAGGTCCGCGTCCTTTGCGCGCTACTGAACATCCAGCGTCATAGGCTGCCGCCAGGAAACGATCGGACCTGCCGGGGATTTTCGCTTGGAATTCACCGATAATGCCGGTGAATGCGAGTTTCCCGCCTCTGTAGAAGCGACACCGTTTGCGACCTCAGCGTAGTACCAAGGACGCCCACCAAAGACCCTCCACACGATGCATTTGGTCGCTCATGGACGCTCGGAATAAATTATAGGAAGCATAACCCTCGGCTCCATACGGTGCCTGGAGCGTCGACTTGGGTCCTGATGCCGCCACCGCTCCCCTTGCTGTTCGTATGCATTCTAGCGCCCATCACGTCCGACTGCCGCTCATACCGAGCGATTGAAGAGGTTGAGCAGGTTCATCCGCTTTCCGTTCAGGTTGTGACCTCCGCCATCTTTCAATAGATAATCGGTGGCGGTGATGATTTCCCCCCAGCGGGGATCGACGCACGGCTCGTGACCTTTCCCTTCATGTGCCCGGATCCGTTGGATATGCGTTTCGTGGCTCGACGCAGGTTTCGGATTCACAAGCGTCACAAAGACCGTCGAGCTTGGTATCCCGTCGGTCGCCGTCGTCACTGGAAACGAGAAATCTTGAACGAGCGCCGCCAGTGCTCTTCGTGTGGCTGCTCGGACGCTTCAGGCTTACTCGCAGAGAGCAGCGGCACCGCACAGAGGAGGCCATCCAGTACACAAGTGTCTACTGACGCGCGATTCACCTTGATCTGGCATACCGAGACCACGTCGAATAGACGCGTGACGTGCACCGGACGGTCGGATCCCGAGAGGGGGGCTGCTCAGCTCTGGAAGCACCTGTCCAGAGAAACGTGGTAGCACAGGAGCCAAACGAGGCAGGCAGGCAGGCAGGCAGGCAGTGCGCTTCAGCCACTTTTCGGATACGATATCTGCAGGTGCGACGCCGAGCACTAAACGATATCGTCGGGCGATCTGGGGCGATTCTGGCTCTCGTTGCTGCTTTTCTTTTCGAAGTCGATACCAGTTGGAGCTCTTGCGTATCCAGCTCGTCATTTGCCTCCATCGATATCCAAGAATCCCGTCAACCTATCTCCCCTGTTCTGGACCACTGAGGTGAGGCTGCGACACGCAGAGGGCGCGCTGCATGGGGCGCTCGACATTGGCCGGCATGTAGTGTTTGAGGTTGGCCCCAGACATGCCGGCACCTGCGCTGCGGACGTTCTCATTACAGACGCCGGCCTACGAAGCGTCACGGCATGCTGGGTGGCGTGTTCTCAAACCCTGGATGCCACGACCAGGCCGTATTGCATCTTGTTTTCTGGCCATCTGTTGTCGCACGAACGTTTCATCGAAAGGTTATGAGAGGAATGTAGACAACTGGCGGCCGTGCGTCCAGCCCTCCGATGAGCAGATGCTTGACGAGGCGCGTCTGGGCGAGCGCAGCTGGGCGAGCCTTCGTTGAGTACGAAGCTGCGCGATCCTGAATGGCGTCTCGCATCTCACGGCTTGACAGATTCTCGCGGGTGGTGCATTTCTTGGGGAAGCGGTCGCATCGCTTTGAGACAGATCTTGTCGCTCCGACATCTGTTCCTCCCCGTCGCTCCTTACCCTATTCTCGGAAGGCTCTTTCTCTGGTTCGCCCGGTGGTCGCTTTTCTTTCTCTAGTTCCTGGCAGGCGCCCTGCATTCCATCTCTATCGAGCATATCTGTATGTCGTTCTCCCAGTGGAGACTCAGGCGCACTGGGTGGAAGGTTGCACTGAAACTCGCCCTTTCTATGTATGTATCGACTACTCCTCAAGCACCTCTCCATCGTCGTATCCGCCGAGAGCTCGCCCACGGACGGAAGCGCGCCTCTCAGCTCCCGTCCGGGCACGAGCAGCGCGGCGACGCATCAGCTCATGGCTTGCAAAGGTGGAGAATGGCTTGTCCAAGAATGGTGTCACAGATGCGGACGGCTCGTCGAATGAGTCGTGAGCATCCATCCATGGTTCGACAAACTGAGCAGGCTCCTTCAGCTGGACGGAACCAGGACGAATAGGCTCACGCAAACATCAGCTCAATGCCAAGCTCAGCTGCACAATCCGTGGCCGCTCTTGCGTGACAGAGAGCGACGTTGTCCAAGAGCGTATCAGAAGAATGTGGAAAGGAGAAGCCGAAAAGCGCTTCGACGCATCGTGAGGAGTTGAGTGATCACGGCTCTTTTGCTATTTGGTGTTGGCGACACCGAAGCCTCGCACCCAGGCCAGCTGGTGCCGTCCTGCTCGCTAATCTCCTTTGTAGGAATAGCGATTTGTCCCTCTTTGAGTAGGCATTCACAGGTGTACCATCCCTCCAGATTCGAGTCTCAGCGATTGAGACGAACACCTCACGCTCCGGTAACAAACGTCCACGCGTCCATACGAGATCAATAGAGTGTTGTTTATTGCACGACAGTCTTCACGACGAGCGTTTTTCTCCTGTGTCTATCAGCGTGTCTTCATCAGCATTCGTATGAACCACACGGAAGCCTCACATCCTATGGCTTCCTTCGCCGTGTTCCCAATAGAATGCATGGAATTCAATGGATTATCCAGGACACAGTCGTCTTGGTGGCGTTCGGTGACTTCTGTTTCGCGTGCACGATGCTCAGGACAGAGACGAGAACAGGAGCGCTTCATCCACGAGCTAGCCAGAGCATACCTGAACTCGTACAACGAAAACCAGCATGGCAAACTAGCTGTGATAGTATCAAGACTTTCCACAACGTTTCTCCAACCTCCATCATACAATCCCTCTGTTCAATAACCCTGAGAAAAACAAATAACAACAAAAAGGCCGTTCTGATGCAGGGTTTCTAGCGATCACTGCTCCGTCTACAGCACGTGCCGCGACACAGTCGAGCGCTGAAGCAATCTCCCGCGCTACGGGGCCACCGCGGCAGGGCGCCGCAGCGTTGCCGATTTCGACTGAGTCGCGGCGACGGGGCCACGTGGCGCCACCTGCTTCAATGAAGATCCACACGGGCGATCCAGATGTCGATGGTCGATCTCGAGCCGTCGCCTGGACGCCGCGGCGAAGGCGCGACGAGCTCCATCTTTTGAAGGATGGTTCGCGACGCGTGCGGCCATCGCCTGGTGATCACGACGGTTTTAATTTAAAGCTCGCTTCGAGTTGTGCATAAGCGGTTTTACAAGTGCTCCGCTCCCGACTGTCATAGCGTGCAAAGCGTAGAGTCTCTGGTTACGTTACTATAACGTGTTACGTTCTGAACATTCGTAATAAGCCGAATCATTATGGCGCTCGATATCGCTCGCGGCTTTCGCCTGTTTTGCTATTTCGTGGTTATCGCACTGTCTATCGCGTCGTTTGCGCTTATTGTGCACGACTTGAAGCCCATCATCAATGGTAAGCGGTACTGCTTCCCTCATTTCTATACAACAGGAACAGTTGGTACGTCAGTGAGTATCTGTAACTTTGGTATTGCGGACAACGTGATCATGTTCGTATTTGCGCTCTTCACGTTTATGTTCGTGCTTATCGGGAGTTTCGTATCTAGCCTTGAACCGCACATATTCATTTTCGAAGTAGCTGTGAACGGCTTCAATACTATCTGGGCAATGATCTGGGCCATTGTTGTGAGTGCGAGAATCGGAGGCAGTCGTTCGAAGAAGGAGAACGCAGTGCTCGGCTTCTCGTGGATTGATTTCGCGCTCCTCCTCTTTGCACTGATAGTCACTCTTGCGGTAGAGCGGGGACAGAAAGGAAGTTCGGATGATGTCGGTGAGGCAGACACTGAACGTGCGGAGGCGTAAACGTTCGAGTACATAGTGCGTCGCTGTTAAGGAGGCTTGCTGGTTTAGGTTCGGTTTCTGACGTTGGCTCGAACGGTTCTGGAAACTCCAAGGAAAGCTCTTTTGATTGGAAAAGTCATAAACTAGTTTCCCCATTCATTGTGTAGAGCCTCGACAAGATAGTGGCCTTGTCCACGCACGGTATTGTTTTCGCCGCGAGGATAGCGCACGCACGTGCGTTGCGAGATTGCGGCGCAGTGCCGCCGACGAGCGCCGGTGATCGCCGACGCGGCGATTTGCCATCACGAGCGAATGCGTCTGGAGCGCCTCCTGGCAATTTCCGGTGCCGTCACGGATCACCGCCGAACGCTCGTGATCGCAGCGACGCCCGCCGAAGCCTATTCCAATTTGTACCGCCAGCGTCGCCGCTGCGCGGGAAGCCTCGTCGTCCCCGAAAGCCGCCCCGATGCGCTTCACGTGCCGAGCGAAGCGGGCGGAAATCATACGATGCCCCGGCACCGGCAACGCACGCAGCGCGCAGCGAATGATAGGTAGGCGAGCGGCCACCGCCGACGCCGACGGGGCGTGCGTCCCGCGGAGACGTCGCCCGATGTGTGCACCATGGCATCTGTCGACGGGGGCAATCGTCCTAGTGTGTGTTGTACAATACATGACAAAGTGTACTGGCGTGAAGGCGGTGTTCTGTGCACGTCCTCGTACGAATCTTACTACGCATTCGCTTCGTGGCGAACGAGCGTGTATACTCGGGTGTATGTGGACGCAGCCGTGTGTTTGGCGCTACAGTACAACGAGTAGGCGAGCACGCGCAAGGCAATACTTGGGTTTCGTTGACCAGCGAGCGCCTCGCCTTCGGCAGCTTGCCCACCGGGGCTGTGGCTGCTTGGTAGCGCTTGCTTCGGCGGAGGAACCTCGGTCGCAGGACGAACGCGCTCGGGAACCGCCTCCGTTTTCCGAGCAGGAGGTTGAAGAACGCGTATATTTAGCGGATCTTCCGCTGCTGTCTGTTCAGGAACTTTCGAGGAAACCCGAGCGTTGGGAGCGCACTGGTGCTTACGCAGTATTCGATGAAGAACGCACGCTTCGGTATGTTGGTTACACAAAAAACGTCCTCGCGAAGCTGCAAGTGCATCGAAAGTTGCAACCGTCCCTCTGCCGCTATTTTAAAACGTATTTCCCGACTCGTGGCTCGCAAGAAGCTACACCAGACGTTTTGGAGTCGGTGCTGTGTGACTGGATCAGGGAAAACGGTCGCGTTCCAAGCGGAAACTACCAGCTGGACCGCTGGGAGTCCATGCCATCGCCCAGGTCCCTCTCCGATACGGAAAATGACTCTCCAGAGTATGCACCGATGGGCAGGGATGTGCCGAACGAACGAATAGGCGCACAACGTGCAGCACCTCGCGGTGACGAAGGCGGCGCTGCAGATAGAGAACGGCGCTTCGGACGTTATCGCACAGTCCGGCGGGCCGTTTTTGATGAAGAGGGCGAGGCAGACGCATTTGATGAATATGAACCCGCAAGCGTGGCCAACGGTGACGACTGGTGGCACCGTCTGGTGCGCGTGTTCATCGGGCAGAGCGTGCCGCTACCCACGGGCGTGCTTGCGGACGAGTCGCTGCGGGTTCGCGTTCGCGACAAGCACGGTGGTGTCCGTAGCGACCGTCCGCTTATTAGCGGCATTCCTGCAATGCCGAACGAGTACGACGGGCCGCGTGGTCGCCGACGCGGAGCGGAGGATCGGGAAACTGCACAGAATCGAGACCCGTACCTTGAACAGCTCCTTCGCTTTGAAGAGGAGGAAGCCTACCGGAAAGCAAGTCAGGGCACTCGATGGCGTGCTGGTAGCAGTAGCGGGAGGCGCAGTGCGTTCCGCTCCAAGGAGGCCCAGGCGTTCCCTGATGAGGAAGACATGGTTGACGACTGGAACGATGCACTCATGGATAACGGTATGCAGGACTGGATACCGTTTTTGGCGCTGGGCGGACTCGCCCTGTTTCTGTATCTGGTAAGCGCCCTATCGAGTACAGGTAATGCGTTGCCACCGGAATCTTTGGGATTTTAGGCCTCTGCGCAGTGCACCTGTAGCACGAACGTCGATGAGGCCAGGCGCCGCAGGATCAGGGATGTGTCTTCGTCTGATGAGGCAGCAGCAGAAAATAATCGGCAGTTCCTGTGCGATCGTGTAGAGCCGTGTAAGTGATGTGCCGGGAACCGACATCAACATGACCAATTTGCATCTTTCGCAAAAGGGGTGCAGGCCCACACGATCACCGCTGCCACGTCCGCGATCGCTGTGCCCTGGACGCGACTAGTGCAGCGGACACCGCTAACGCTTCGTTGAAGACTCGTCATATCGCATGTACATTCGTAAACATTCTCTTTCGCGTCACTGCTGTGGTTTTTGATGAAAGAAAAGCCTATCCCGAACGAACTTGCCGACTCCAGGTCCAGAAGGATGCCCAGCATAGCATGAGGCATTGAACGTCGCCCAGTGCGTTGCTATATATACTGGTTGCCGCCAAGAACAGCAAACCGAGATCAGCGGCAGTTTCGCCTCCGCGCAAGCTGTACCCGCCTTGTATGATGCCCTCTTCAGACGCAGTGCTCGAACCCGTGTTGCTCCGATTTCTGGATGTGGGGCCAAGCAGTATTTGTGTGGTGCATGGGCAACGAAAACTAAACCATGCCAGTCGTAGTTCACAAGGGCTTGCGAGCCACGATGAAGCCGCGGAAAATCTGGCGGACATACCGCTCGCAGAGACTTTCCCGTAACCGTCGGCATCTCTACGACGACTTTCAGGGCCGCCCTGGTATTGTTCATGCCTCAGTCTCGATACAACCGGTTTCAGAGCTGGTCTACTTGAGAGTACGCATCGTAGATTGCGTGCGAGTGTGCATCGACGCTAGAGAGTACGTCTCTAACCATGCTGGTTTGCGTGGCAGCTCACGCCCTAACGATTCTGAGCAGCTATTCCTTTTTGAATCTCGATTCGTGCCCCCTAACAAGTCCTCCGTGCTATGCAAAGTCCGCATCGAGATACCAAGCGCTTGGAATCCGTTCGGGTGGTCTGTTGCCTCAAAGCAATACGACCGGAGAAGACATCAACGCGCTGAGGCTATGCTATGACTACGTTCATTCAGATGCGGCAGTTTTCTGTTCAGTTTCCGTGATTCTGGGCGTGATAACTGCGAGCACATGCTCCCCGCGCACCAGCACCATGCCCAAGTAGCGTTTCGCTGATTCCCCGCGACGTTCTGTACAGTGGCTGAGTAATAAATTGCTATGAGCGTCGAACGCTAACAGCTTGCCCGCTAGGAGGCGCCCGTCGGTCGTTTGAACGTGAACCTGGGATCGCAGCACAGGCAGAAGATCCATGGGCTTGTGGGCGAATGAGGATCGTCTAGCCGAAACGCTCCCAGGGAACGCTGAAGTTTGGAGCCCAGGTCGCGTCGCCGTCAGCTAGGGGGCAGTTTTTCCTGAAGCGGCCCCAGAAGCAAGTAGCAGCGCGTCGTACTTCGGAGGACACTCGGTTTCCCAAGCGGAGTCTCAAAAGGTTGATTACACAGCCGCTGCGCCCGATTCCGGCGTATAGTGGCTTCTGTCGACAAACTGCGTTGTCTGTTCCGTTGGATGCTCGGCAGCTGGATCGCGTACGTTCAGCTGAGAGCCCGATGCACTTGTATGGCAATCAACACAAAGTATTCTCTGACAAGAAATATCAAACGTAACTCCAAAAAGTTTCCCTATAACGCATCGGTTTCTTCTGTTCGACTAGACCGAGTCGCTCCGAGCCTCGAATACAAACATTTCATGTATGAGTGGATTCGGCGCTCTCGACTCCAAAGAGATGCTTTGCGCCCTTGGTTCTTTCCCGCCTTTAGAGCGGCCCTTTACACGTACATCAGCGTTTCATGGAAAAGGTCGACGAACACAGGTATACAAGCTAAAGTGTGGGTCTCGTTTTGCTGAAATAAATACTACGCATATCAGTCATTTTTTGTCATTGCTTCCTTTCCCTATCTCTTGTATCTCTGCCCTCAGACACGTTGGTCTCTCCGGTCTCTCCAGATCCGTTGTCAGCAGTCGAATGATGTTGATGGCGGCGTTCAAGTCCCAATCACGCAGCTTCCAGAAGCTGTCGACACAGTTCATGCACGGGCGGAAATTGTGGTCTACGCTTCACTTGCCATGATCATCTTTTTCGCAACCTGTCTCGATACGCCTTTCGTAACGATGGAGCTTGGTTGCGGTCAGGTGTTCCCGAACGCCCAGCGCACCGGGCACTACGATGATCGCCCTGTGGCTCTTTTAGACATGCATCTCTGCTCGGGGTGTGCGGCTGACCGGTACAGACGGCTCCGCTCGATACCCTGCTCTGCTTCCGCGCCCAGTGCTGGACCCCACGATCACTGGCTTTTTCTAGGCAATTCGCTCGGAGAGTATGCCGTCAGCTGCATATGGAAGCGCATGCTGCTGCATTTGAAGGAGGATTTGTGGCATGCGATGTTTTTCCATGATGAAACAAATGCAGGAAGTAAACTTCAGGCAGGAGGACACGTTGGGATATTTCTAACCTCGTATGACCCCTTCGTGCAAAGCAGTGACGCGCGATTCACGAAAAATAATCGCCGTAATGACTCATGTCAGACTCTACAAAGCTTCTCTGAGGAAAGTGAAGAGACGGGATCCTCTGAGAGCGTAGCTAGTCGGAGGCACCATGCTGCGATCGAATCCCGTTTAGCGAATGGCAAAATAGAGAGGAGGATTTGTGTTCCGACTGGCATCGATTACTCTGCGTGAGACGTAACGTGAATTGTGGCATGAGCTTGTGAGCAAGTCTTCGAGTGACGACGCCGAGTCGCTTTCGTCAGCGATGCCCCTGCGTGTAATGCTGCGCCCACGAGTAGCCGTCGAACAGAAAAATCGAAAACTTGAGTAATGCGTGGTTTGACCATATTGCATGTGAGGTAAGAAGAATAGTAGGGACCTGTACGTACGAACTGGATAATGGCATCGGTCATGCTATGAAAACTTGTTCGAAGGCTTCGCGAAAGATAGACAGTCCGGTGTCGTGACGAATTCCCATGACGCAGCGTAGAAGATGCTTCTCCTAAATAACGACTGAGAATTCTAACTCTACGTATGAATTCCCATGCCGTCATCGTTGCACCTCGAATGCCGAGGCTGTGCCTCTGAAAAATGGCTGGAAAAATCGAATGGCAAGACAGCGTGGACACCCCAGTCTCGAATTTTAATCTGGCACTTGCTTCGAATGATAATCTCTGTGTGCGTGGGGAAACGTCATCGCATGCATCTCTCCTAGTATTCTGTGACAAAGTGTATCGAAGTCTGAGATTCTAGTGCCAGAGCGCCTGATTCGTATTTGATTGTCTTTCTCGCAGGTATACTATAAAAGGAATATATTTTGTACATTGGAGTAGAATCTCGTGCACACTTGGTGCTGTGACTGCTAGTTTGCGAAAAATCGTCATTCTCGTACATGTCGGATACTTTTTAATACGCAAGTGGATGAAGCGCTCCTGTTCTCGTCTCTGTCCTGAGCATCGTGCACCCGAAACAGAAGTCACCGAACGCCACCAAGACGACTGTGTCCTGGATAATCCATTGAATTCCATGCATTCTACTAGGAACACGGCGAAGGAAGCCATAGGATGTGAGGCTTCCGTGTGGTTCATACGAATGCTGATGAAGACACGCTGATAGACACAGGAGAAAAACGCTCGTCGTGAAGACTGTCGTGCAATAAACAACACTCTATTGATCTCGTATGGACGCGTGGACGTTTGTTACCGGAGCGTGAGGTGTTCGTCTCAATCGCTGAGACTCGAATCTGGAGGGATGGTACACCTGTGAATGCCTACTCAAAGAGGGACAAATCGCTATTCCTACAAAGGAGATTAGCGAGCAGGACGGCACCAGCTGGCCTGGGTGCGAGGCTTCGGTGTCGCCAACACCAAATAGCAAAAGAGCCGTGATCACTCAACTCCTCACGATGCGTCGAAGCGCTTTTCGGCTTCTCCTTTCCACATTCTTCTGATACGCTCTTGGACAAGGTCGCCCTCTGTCACGCAAGAGCGGCCACGGATTGTGCAGCTGAGCTTGGCATTGAGCTGATGTTTGCGTGAGCCTATTCGTCCTGGTTCCGTCCAGCTGAAGGAGCCTGCTCAGTTTGTCGAACCATGGATGGATGCTCACGACTCATTCGACGAGCCGTCCGCATCTGTGACACCGTTCTTGGAGAAGCCATTCTCCACCTTTGCAAGCCATGAGCTGATGCGTCGCCGCGCTGCTCGTGCCCGGACGGGAGCTGAGAGGCGCGCTTCCGTCCGTGGGCGAGCTCTCGGCGGATACGACGATGGAGAGGTGCTTGAGGAGTAGTCGATACATACATAGAAAGGGCGAGTTTCAGTGCAACCTTCCACCCAGTGCGCCTGAGTCTCCACTGGGAGAACGACATACAGATATGCTCGATAGAGATGGAATGCAGGGCGCCTGCCAGGAACTAGAGAAAGAAAAGCGACCACCGGGCGAACCAGAGAAAGAGCCTTCCGAGAATAGGGTAAGGAGCGACGGGGAGGAACAGATGTCGGAGCGACAAGATCTGTCTCAAAGCGATGCCACCGCTTCCCCAAGAAATGCACCACCCGCGAGAATCTGTCAAGCCGTGAGATGCGAGACGCCATTCAGGATCGCGCAGCTTCGTACTCAACGAAGGCTCGCCCAGCTGCGCTCGCCCAGACGCGCCTCGTCAAGCATCTGCTCATCGGAGGGCTGGACGCACGGCCGCCAGTTGTCTACATTCCTCTCATAACCTTTCGATGAAACGTTCGTGCGACAACAGATGGCCAGAAAACAAGATGCAATACGGCCTGGTCGTGGCATCCAGGGTTTGAGAACACGCCACCCAGCATGCCGTGACGCTTCGTAGGCCGGCGTCTGTAATGAGAACGTCCGCAGCGCAGGTGCCGGCATGTCTGGGGCCAACCTCAAAAACCACATGCCGGCCAATGTCGAGCGCCCCATGCAGCGCGCCCTCTGCATGTCGCAGCCTCACCTCAGTGGTCCAGAACAGGGGAGATAGGTTGACGGGATTCTTGGATATCGATGGAGGCAAATGACGAGCTGGATACGCAAGAGCTCCAACTGGTATCGACTTCGAAAAAAAATGCAGCAACGAGAGCCAGAATCGCCCCAGATCGCCCGACGATATCGTTTAGTGCTCGGCGTCGCACCTGCAGATATCGTATCCGAAAAGTGGCTGAAGCGCACTGCCTGCCTGCCTGCCTGCCTGCCTGCCTGCCTGCCTGCCTGCCTGCCTGCCTGCCTGCCTCGTTTGGCTCCTGTGCTACCACGTTTCTCTGGACAGGTGCTTCCAGAGCTGAGCAGCCCCCATCTCGGGATCCGACCGTCCGGTGCACGTCACGCGTCTATTCGACGTGGTCTCGGTATGCCAGATCAAGGTGAATCGCGCGTCAGTAGACACTTGTGTACTGGATGGCCTCCTCTGTGCGGTGCCGCTGCTCTCTGCGAGTAAGCCTGAAGCGTCCGAGCAGCCACACGAAGAGCACTGGCGGCGCTCGTTCAAGATTTCTCGTTTCCAGGGACGACGGCGACCGACGGGATACCAAGCTCGACGGTCTTTGTGACGCTTGTGAATCCGAAACCTGCGTCGAGCCACGAAACGCATATCCAACGGATCCGGGCACATGAAGGGAAAGGTCACGTGCCGTGCGTCGATCCCCGCTGGGGGGAAATCATCACCGCCACCGATTATCTATTGAAAGATGGCGGAGGTCACAACCTGAACGGAAAGCGGATGAACCTGTTCAACCTCTTCAATCGCTCGGTATGAGCGGCAGTCGGACGTGATGGGCGCTAGAAGGCATACGAACAGCAAGGGGAGCGGTGGCGGCATCAGGACCCAAGTCGACGCTCCAGGCACCGTATGGAGCCGAGGGTTATGCTTCCTATAATTTATTCCGAGCGTCCATGAGCGACCAAATGCATCGTGTGGAGGGTCTTTGGTGGGCGTCCTTGGTACTACGCTGAGGTCGCAAACGGTGTCGCTTCTACAGAGGCGGGAAACTCGCATTCACCGGCATTATCGGTGAATTCCAAGCGAAAATCCCCGGCAGGTCCAATCGTTTCCTGGCGGCAGCCTATGACGCTGGACGTTCAGAAGCGCGCAAAGGACGCGGACCTGCTCATGCTTCGACGGGAGTGTCCAATAAGCTCAGGTGCCTATGCCGCACGCTTCCTGTCGGTGCGTTCAGCACGACGTACATGCGCTACGAGTGCGGGTGCATGCTGAAAAACCGACAGACAAGAACGGTGCGAAACAGAGCTGCATGCGCGAGATGGTGCACTGTCAGCCGCGCAAACGGCAGATCACGAAGTAATCAAAGCTGAGAAGCTCGCTATGCTTACATTTCTTCAATAAGAGCGCTTACATGCATGTACTGTGTCTATCGAGCGTTGGAAAAACCCCATTCCAGATCTCTGGGAACGATCTCGTGCTTACATTTCTTCAATAAGAACACATGCATGTACTGTGTCTATCGAGCGTTGGAAAAACCCCCATTCCAGATCTCTGGGAACGATCTCGTGCTTACATTTCTTCAATAAGAACACATGCATGTACTGTGTCTATCGAGCGTTGGAAAACCCCCATTCGAGATCTCTGGGAACGATCTCGTGCTTACATTTCTTCAATAAGAACACATGCATGTACTGTGTCTATCGAGCGTTGGAAAGCTCCCATTCCAGATCTCTGGGAACGATCTCGTGCTTACATTTCTTCAATAAGAACACATGCATGTACTGTGTCTATCGAGCGTTGGAAAACCCCCATTCGAGATCTCTGGGAACGATCTCATGATTTCGGAGCGTCCAGTGGCTTTATGTGTCGCGCGATCATTCAGGTAAATCGTGTCGTACACTGTATGCGCCTCTTATTGAAACGTTGCAGACTTTCAGTGAGAAGAATCCTAGCGATCCGGAGGTGCGGCATTTCGATTGCGTCCTGGAGCGGGATACTGGTACGGTATGAAATAGGCATCCAGGAAAACTGCAGCGCCCTGAATCCACACTAGGATTGATTATCATCTGTCATTGGTGAACGATAATAGCTTTCCATGATCCGATATGACAGCGTCTAGGGAAACATCCTTGGATGCCTCGCTATCGACACCCTGTGGCGCACCAGCAGCGCGCCATCCAACGCGCCCTGCTGCAGATGCAGCCGTCTACGCCATGCGCCGCTGTCTGTCTGAGCGTGTGTGAATGCCACCGGCGCGTGTGAGCACCCCAGTACGCAAGCCGTGCGATGAGGCTCAAGTTTTTTGCACTCATTATCGTCATCAGCGCATATGTATTTCTGGATGCATCGCAGACATCGTTGAGATCATCGTCACTGGAAAACCCGCCTGGTTGGCCGGCTTTTAGACGTGCAGCGGGTGCCAGTCTTCCCAGCACGGAAAATCAGACGCTCGCTGGAGGCGAGCACGTACGAACGCAGGAGCTACCCGGGGGGAAACAAGCGAATGTGGTGCGTCCGCGCCCCCTGGCGTACGTTACTTTTCTATATGGTGACACGTACGTACTCCCGGCGCGTGTTATGTTCCATTCGCTGCGCGTTCACCAGCAGAGAGGTGTGCTCTTCGAGCCAGCTGGTGGCACGGCGGGCGAGCTTGACGAACGAACGCTGGAAGCGGCGAGCGCGGCGCGAGCTGGGCACGACCTGCAGCAACCACAAGCTATCCTCCTGTCCATGGTGACTGCTGACGTTTCCGCGAAAGCACGCGCTCAGCTTCACCGTGACGGAGTTTACACCTTGGAGGTTCGTCGAGTACGGAACCCGTACACGGGGGGCGAACACTACAATCATCGCTTTGATGATGTACTCGCAAAACTGCAAGTTTTCGCTCTTGAACAGTTCGAAAAAGTCGTATACGTTGACGCGGATACATTGGTGTTAGGTGATGTTCAAGACATGTTCGAGTGTGGCGACTTTTGCGCTGCATTTATCAATCCCTGTCATTTTAATTCGGGAGTTATGGTTATACGGCCATCACAGGCTCTTTTCCAGAGTATGCTCGAAAAACTGGCCGTTACAGAATCCTACGATGGAGGCGACCAGGGCTTCCTCAACGTCTACTTCTCGGAGCTGTTCTACGCGCCAGGTTTCGGGCCAGACGATGCGCATCGCGGGGGTCCCTTGCGTCGATTGCCCTTTGGATACCATTTGGACCATATTGTGTACTATCCACGGCTACAGTGGGAGGTTCCAGCTCGCTGTGGTGGTCTTCGTATCATGGAATTCATGGGTGTACCGCTCTTCAAACCGTGGCAATGGTGGACGTACCCAGTCATGGACCTTTCCTGGGCCTGGCACGCGATGCGATCTCAGCTGTCGGATCCGTATCCCCCGGACTACAGCCTTAACTGGAAGTGGGTTGCTTTGCGGTTTCTGGGTGTCTATCTGGGAATGTACGTGCTCTGGTGGTCGATGTCGAATCCACTGGGTTTCGCTCCACCAAACCGTCGCCGCCGAGCTCCGTTTCTCTGGCTGGGGAATTGGTTTGCACAAACTCGAGTTATGCGGTATTTTTTCGGGCTTGATGATCGTCTGTACCTCTACGTGATGGTGATCGTAGGCATGACCGGATGGTTGTGCACTACGTTGGCGGCAGCACTTTGCATCCCCATGTTGGCGACTCCGTACTTGGCGGTCGCGATCTATATTCACTTCAAAGTGCTTTTTACATTCTTCTGGATGATATGTTTCGGAACGATGTGTATGCGAAGGCATCGACTCTCGGATGGGAAGCACGCACGTGGTGGTGTGCTTTTCCGGTTGCTCTGTTACGCACTCGCAGATGCGAGTGCTCCGCCCATTGTTTTTGGCATTGCCTGGCACATTCCTTGGAGCTCCTTCTTCGCCAAGATATTCGGCCTTTTAGCCTGTCTCCCGTTCTATCTTATTGGCTTGAACGCAACATATGCGCATCTGGTGCTTCTCTGGGCCCGTCAAGGGGCACTCATAGCGGAGCGCGAACGGGCTCGCAGCCGCAGTCTCAACGCTGCCCCTGACGACTCTGAACTTGCCGCGTTCTTCTCCGAGTTGTCGCGCGAGAATCCAACGGCCGTACTACTGACCGATTCCCCCACGCATACGCCTCGTCTTCCTGTGACGAACACGCCTGGGTCAGCTGCAGCACCATCTACTCGGCACCAGTTGCGCAGTCCGTAGCTGCATCGAGGTGCTCTGTTCTGAGGCTCAGCGCATCGCATGTGGAATGCATACGAGCATGCCAGTACTTGCGGGCAAGTGCGCTCTAGGAACCGAGACACCGCGAGACAGGCATGTGCGCGCGTCATTCACTGCAGCACCCGACAGGCACCCATAGAAGAATAAATCGAAACAGGTTCACGAACAGGGGCATACTTTATAAAGGTTGGATCTGTTCCCATTGTCATCAACGCCGGGTTTGCAGACTTTTTCCTTGAATGATTCCTTTTTCTGTCTCTTGTACCTGGCTTTAAATACACCGGTCGCGCTTGTCTCGCCAGGTTCTTTATCAGCAGTCGGCTGATGTTGCTGGCAGTGTTCATCTGCCGTTTTCGCATCGAACGGCTTTTGCCATCTCTTTTCATGCACACGCGGAAGACGCGATCTACGCTCTGCTTGCCGTTTCCGTCTGCATTCTATATAGATTCGATGCGCACCTAGCTGCGGTGAAACTTGGTCATGCTCAAGAGTTCCTGTGTATGTCCGTTATATCTCCTCCATCCCGATCCGCTTTATTCCGCGCGTTGCCTCGCATCTTCGCTCGGTACAGGCCCTTGACGGATACAGAGGGCTCAACTCGATACCCTCCTCCATTTCCGGACCCGGTGCTATAGCTTACGAACACTGACTTGTCCTTGGCGGTCCCCTCCGCGAAAACTGCTTGTTCTGCAAATGCTAACGAACGCTGTCCCATTCGATCCAGGACTAGTTGAACCTGATATTGTTCATCAGGAATCAAGTACCTGAAGGAAAATCCAGGCTAGAGACCAAGTCGAGGAATTCCAATCCATCCACGCTCGTTTCGTATAAAGTGGTGAGACACTCTCCATTTGAGAAAATCGCCGCGATGACTGATGTCCGAGACTAACCCCTTTTTCCATGGATACAGAACGGACGGGAGCCCTTGGGGGCATATCCCGGAAGCGGTGTCACGCTGCTGTCGAATAATGTTTCGTCGATGGATATACAGAGAGGATGATTTCATCTTTCGAAAGGAATCGATAGCTTGACGTGATGGAGCCAGTGAACGCCCAGCATGAGCTCATGAACTAGTCGACAATGGACAACGTCGCGTATTTTTGCTCGTCAACGCAGCGGCTCGAATGGCTGCACCCATGAGCTAGCTTGAACCACAAAGATCCAAAATTTGAAGCATATTGAATTTGAGCATGCTACACGTAAGGAAAGGAGAAGAACGGGTACATGCACGGGCAGATTAATTCATGATATCTGCAGTGTAACACATCTCTCTTGCAAATCGTTGTGAAGCATCTTCATTCGGGTAACGTATCGAATTCCAGCGCCACAACCTCGAATGACCCCCTCCGAGAAAGACCTCTGAAAACCGCAAAACGAACCAATGATCCCGGAAGCGCTTACTGTTGAACTTCGAATGTCGAGGCTGGACATTTGAAAAAATTGCGAAAAAATAGACACCCAGGAACAGGGCCTGCACTCTAGTGTTACGTTTTAGTACAACGCGGATATAGTGAACCAGTAGACTAACTCAACGCTGTTGCAACTATTGTTCGAGAACGAATATTGAACCAGAGAATGGCGCGCGTGCTGTAAAAAGCGCGCATCTTGGACCCGACAGACTCGATTGTTCGATGTTCTGCTGCTGCACTGGAAATCGCATTCTCCGTATTCAGTGGAAGCAATCTCGCAATTCACTGGAAAATGTTCAAAGATACTCAGGTGACGTGCGCTTTCCCGTAACAGTGTTCTCTAAGCACGCATCTCTTCAACATAATCTCGCGAGACTTGCGGCGGGATCTGTGCTTCAAAACACACAGAGAGCGCAGTCTATCGTGCAACTTGACTGTATACAATGCAAGACGAAACTCTCCGCAAATGCGCAGCAATTAAATTGCGCCTACGAGATAGGTTCAGAACGCAACTCCTGAACGACGGTGAGTTCGCGATCCAAGGAGTCCGATTCTGAGGTTTTCGACCGCCGCTGGTCCAAGAAGTCACGAGCGAGTTTCGTGTAAACGGCAATAAAGGTACCGTGGTGCCATTCCCTCTTTGTATGGCGCTTGCAGCGGTGGCCTAATAGTCCAGCGCTACGGCGAGAGTCCAGGATAGGCACATCCCTCACAAGTTCAGCGCTTGAGTGGATCGAGGGTACACGCCAGCAGATGCTCAGTGCTTGTAGGCTTGCGCTTATTGAACCAACGTCATCCGACGATTTCTGAACAGATCTGACAAAAATAGATATTTTTGGAACAAATAGGTATCTTTAAGTTCTAACTGGTACTCTTGAAGCACGCGGCTTCGATTGCACGACGATCATGTGCGGCTATTCGTGCGGTTAGGCAAGTCTCAGTCAGTTGCGTCGTTTCCACGACACCAGTGAAGCTCTGGAAACTAGTTACGCATACCCTGGACGGTGTTTGGCCTTTCCTTTTCCAGTAACAGTGTAACAAACCTTAAGTTTGGGCCGAAGGGGCCGTTGCTTTTGTAGCCACTGCGCTGCATGGCCCCTACAGAGGACTTCCCTGGTTCCTTAAGTACTGAAGCGGAGGCGGATGTGTCGACGTCACCAAGGCTGGGAAACGGCTCTCTAGCGTCGCACACTATCGCGCAGCCCGGGAGAAGCTCTGACGACACTGAACTGGCAGTGTATACTATTCCTGTAGCCGCTACACCAGGTCCTGGCGGTGGCAGCTACGAGGGCCTCTTTGAAGACCCGCAGGGCGGGTACCGGCTCGACGCTGCGTCGCCGTCGCTCAGAGCACGCGCGCGCTTAAGTCGCACAGAAGGCGTTGCGTACGACTGGTACCCAGACCAGCCTGACCGGGAGTCTATAGGCTATGAAGCGACGTACCAGAGCGGACCTGCGGAAACCGTGCAATCCTCGGGAAGGCCCTACTCGCGGACCGTGGTTATTCCATGGTATCGGCGTTTTATGAGATGGCTTCTCCATAATCTCAATTACCGCTACATCTTTGTTGCCTACGTGGTGTTGATTCCAATTATCGCGGCAGGTGTTGGAGCAGCTATTCTCCATGGGCAAATCGCCTTCATCGACACGTACTACATGGTCGTCTCAGCCTTCACGGAAACGGGTCTCAATTCCGTGAATATGTCGGCCATGAATAATGGGTTTCTTGCACTGCTATTCATCATGATCATCATCGGGAGCCAAATTTTCACCGTTTTTCTGCCGCCACTCATCAAGCGGCGGCTCTACTGGCACTGGTATGGTGCGCTCATCCGCCGAGAGCGCCATCTTCGGTCGGAGCTGTCGCGCCACGCTGCACAAGGCGAGGACGATCTCGGTGCAGACGATGAAGAGAGCATCTATGGCTTGGATGAGAGCATTCATGATCGACCGGTAAGTATTTACGCCAGCCTCTCACAGCTGCATGTGCCGGAGCCGCCAAAGCCCGTACAGAAGGCGAACACGTATGGCGATCCCGAACGTTCGTTATCCTCAGGTCAGGTGAACGTGTATGGTGCAAAACATTCGGGCAATGGAGCCGCTTCGCCGGACATGGTCACAAACCGTTTTCGTGATGGCAGCAGGTTTCTCGCACGAGAGTCAACGATTCACTCCTTAGAGCGAGAAGCTCGCGCCAACTCAATCGGACGCTCGATGTCTCGAGAATTGGCAGGGAGAAGTGTTGTCTACCAGCGGCGAAGCATATGCCTAGAAGGGAACGAATTTGCGCGCAACGCGGTTTTGGAGTTTGAAGCCATGGGCAAACTCATTCTGTTGAACGCCATCTTCTACGTCGGCTTACTAGCGATTTTCTTACCGCTGGTCTTTGCAGCTGTGGTGACCCCGCCGGGTCCCTCTCCAGCGATTGCCCAGAGCGGCGCCACAACGGGTTGGTTTTCAGTGTTCACAAGTGTTTCAGCGCTGCATAACTGTGGTCTCACGCTGCTTAACGCGAGCTTAGCGCCACTTGCCAACCAGCCAGGAGCATTGTTCTTGTTGGGTGTGCTGATCATCATAGGCAACACTGGCCTACCCGTAGCGCTCTACCTGCTGGTCTTGCTCGGGCGTCGTCTGGCACGCGACAAGGCGCCCTGGGAGTACTTGCTGCTTCACGGTCGTAAGTTTTCCATTTTTCTCTTTAATGGCGCCCAAACATTTGTGCTCGGTATCATCCTCGTGATTCTGTTACTTGTTCAATTCATTGCATTTTTAGCGCTGAATCTGGATCGAACCGAGCTCCTAGCCTCCTACTCGGCAGGGAGTTTGGTTTATCTTGGAGCCTTCCAGAGCGTTTGCACCAGAAACGCTGGCTTTCAAGTCGTCAGCTTTCGCGCGATTTCGCCTGCGCTGCTCGTTCTGTATGCAGTTCTGATGTATTTGTCGCCGGTTCCGTATGTGTTGACGCTGCGCACCTCTATGCCTTCGACAGCCTCGCAGAGGAAGCGTGTCGAACCTGCTCAACTCAACGATGCGGCGTACGCTTCGCTGAGTTCCAAGTCTGCAGCAGCGAATGCGGCCGCTGGGGCCGCTCCCGTGCTCCGTGAACTGGGGAAAACCTTCGAGAATTTGCTTGTCTTCGACATTGCTTGGCTTTTCCTAGCGCTTTTTGTCGTCTGCATTGCAGAGAATTACTTGCTTCGCAACTCAATACGCGAGGTTCAAACGCTCGGCACAGTCACGGTTTTCGACATTCTTTTTGAAATCGCTAGCGCCTACGGCAACGTTGGCTACTCTATAGGGGTCAATAACGCAGACTATAGCTTGTCGGGGAAGTTTTCCGTATTTTCGAAACTCGTGATCATCGCGACCATGTACGGTGGGAGGATTCGATCGATTCCGCAGAGCAGCGACGAGGCAGCGCGGTTCCGCTTCGATCGAAATATGATGGATATCACGCAGTCGTCCTTATTGCGTCCGACGTTACATCTGCAGGCGCTGGAACGTCGTCGTTCGCGCTCCATTCAGACCGATCGCTCCGCGTTCAGGAGGTAGCCGCGGAGCCTTCTTGCGCTCGTGAGCGATGCTGGGATGCACGACATGTTGTGTACGTGTGCGCATTTGTCAACTGATGGGAATGCCTCTGCAGCGGTGGTGCACGGGCGACTCACCGGACGCCACGCGGACACGACAGTATGCCGCCTGCGTACCCGCGCTCGGCTCAAGAGGCATGATAAGTGCCCGAGATGACCCTTGCGGGCACATTTCAGCGTTTGGATGCGCTTTGGGGTTGTTTGGTTCGGAGCGGCCTCCAGTGGAGCTCGCTGTATCTTGTGTTGTGTACGGTGTTGGATTGACGATTCGGATGAGGTCTATCGGGGTGCGCGACTGCTGGCGTTCAGCGGAGCTTCAATGTCGACGCCTCTCCAGAGGCTGCTACATCCTTGTCAGATTCAAATGGATCACTGAACTGCTGGCTCTGTTCCCGCCTGGAGATTTTCCCGAGTATGCTTTTGGATGTATACGCTCGAGATTCGACGTGCAGCACGAAGGGCTCACGGATTCATCTGTTCATTCTACTGGTTTCGTTCGTCGTCTTGGAGTCGCTCGTTTGAGGTTGTCTCGCTGGAACTCGAAACGTCAACAGATTAAGGATGATCCATAGCGCCATCCATTCGGGGTTTGTCAAAGTACCGATGCCATCGTCCAGTGTATGGATATAAGATGCAAATGGTCACCGCTTCGCATGCTCGAATTACGCAGTCTTCAAGTTTTCTGTTTAAAGGCAACTAGCTGGCGCACAAATCCGCAACGCTGGATTGACGGTGAAGAGCAGACTCGACATCCTTCCTTGAAGATTTGTTCACAAGTTCATGCCGATATTCACTGAACTTGTCACGCCAAATCATCGATTCCGTTCGAGAGAGAAAATTTCTTCTGTTTGCGGCCGTCGAAGAAACGGCATTCGTCAGTAGCAGCTTAATGCCGGCCAAAGATATGCCCCCAGAGGCTCGCGTATTCTCTTTTTAAATGGAAAAGGTGGTTGACTCGGACTTGTGCTATCGCAGCGATTGCCTGCAAAAGAGAATGCGTCACCGCTTTGCGAGAAGGAGTCGTAGACAGATCGGTTTTTCTCGACTTGTTCTCCGGCCTGAATTTTCCCTCTGGAACTTGTTTCGTCATGGTCAAAATCGCGTTCCAAAACCCCCCTATCGAATGGAAGCGCATACGCTGGCACGTGCACCGGAGAGAGTCCTCGCTGAGCGGATCGACCAGGAGACGCCTCGGACGGAAGCGTACGGAACCAGGCTCGCAAACGCAAGAGGGCATTGAGGGAAATCCTCTGTAGCAGTCAAGGGCGTGTACCGAGCGCCGAAGCAGGCGTTCACGTGCCAAAGGGCGGCGCTCAGAGGAAGCGCAGGAGGTTTAACGGGCGTATAGAAGGTCCTGACCACACGCAAGTGTCACCACTGCGAATGGCGCACCGAGGCTGCATCCAAAGGAGATGAACGTGGCAAGTGAACCGGAGATCGCAGCTATTTGCTGAGCGCGAAATGCGCCAGCAACTGCTGGCAGCTGCGCACTTGGCACAATACCGCTGCCATCAACATCCTTCTACTGCTGACGACGGGGCTGAAGGTAAAGTCGAGACAGGCGTATTCAAAGCCGGAGTTAAGAGCGAGGATGAGGAAGTCGTTCGCGAAGAAGCAAGTACAGGCTGGCCTTGATGATACCCTGGAGGCACCGGAAATGAACCATGTATACCCGAGTGAGCCAAGTGGACCCGTTCCATGTCTGTCTGACATGGGGATATGGTCACCAGACTGAACACAGAGAACAGGTACGATATGACAGCGCGGTTGATCCTGCGATTCTGTCCGTCTGTGTGTGTGTGTGTGAATGTATGTTGAGACTCGCGCAGACGCCAGACGGAGACAGGATGGCTCCGTCACAGGATACCACTGGGGCGGAGCCCGCTCGACGATGAACACATCGGTCGTCGGGGAATCCGCGATTCCAGGACGCCGCATCTCGCGTGTTCGTCGTCGTCACACCCTCTATGAAGAACTAATTCCCGCCACAGCAGTTCCGCGCGCGTCGCAAGGCTGCCTGAGAAAGCAGCTAGGAAAGCCTCCCGCCGGCGGTTCTCAATTGCTTGTCAACTCTTTCGTGCCAAAGTGCGATGTAATTTTCCTTGGTTGATCGATTTCGTTAATCTTTCACCTATAAATCTGAAAAAACTTTCGAGAGGGTACTGCGACTCCGGGTGCAGCGAGCGCTCTCAAACGAACTGGGTAGCGCTCAAGGACCAAAACAGGCAGTGCTAGTTACCCGGTGCACCTTGGACCCACGCCTGACCAATCAGCCTGCACCTGATCCCTGCCACTGGCTTTCCAGATGCCGGCCCGCGGGTCCGTAGCGCTCATTCCTTCCGAGGACTTTTCGTTCCGTGCACGCGCTTCCCCGAAAAGCGGCTGTAGTGTATCTGCGCCAAGATCACGAATTGGCACAGTCGGCGCTGCTGCTGCTGCTGCTGCTGCTTCGTTTACAAAGGCACGCCTGCGGCCGCTTCATCGAGTACCTGCAGCGCTTTCCGGAAAGACTGCGCTTTTGAAGACTTTGGTGTCTCCTCGCAGAGTGTATGCAGGCGAAATGAAATTTCGACGAGACTAAGAGTTGTTGACAAGTCGAATAAAGCGGTGGCTGTAGATGTTGAAGCTATGGATGGAAAGGAACACGCTTCCGTTGGATCGAGTCTCGCTCTTTGGCGGGCTTTCCAGAGAACGCTGGGCCTCGAACCAAGCTCTTCCGAATTTTCAGGATCCCAGCTGGACGGTTCTGCAATGAACGCCGCGACGAGAGCGCCTTTTTCCCATGCTGAACCGAGAAACGGCACGCAAACCGACTCCAAGCTTGAGAGCGCGGTGGACGCCACCACGAGCAGGTCTGCTGGTGTCGACGCGAGTCGCTCGGAGCAACGTGCGTTTGCGACTCGCGAAGTACACGTTCTAGACACGGAATCTTCGCCTGTTTTGACAAGTTCGCCGCACCATGGCACCTCAACGCAGTTAAATCTACCAGCAGCGTCACCGTCCCCAGAACTAGAGCAAATCGCACGAGAGTCGTTGCGAAGCGACAAGAGCCTGGTGCAGGTACTGGGCACTTTGGCAGTAGTGCTCTCCGGTGCGACTCGGGCTCGCAGCTTCGAAACGATGAAGCAGCAGTGGATCCTACTGAGGCATGTAGCACAGACCGAAAGCGGTAGTGACCGAAATGATGACGCAGAGAGGGTGTCACCTGTCTCCGGCAGCTCGACGAGTGCGGAGGCGTCGCACGGGAAACCTGGCATACGCTTGGAATCTTTGACCGCCTGCCTGCACGCGCAGGCGACCTTGTCGCCGGCCCTTTGGCTCGTATCCATCAACTCCGGGGCGACAAGGATACTGACTGCGAAGAATGCGACAAATGTCCTGCCCCCAGCGTTAGTAGGAGAACCACGCAGGGACAGCGACGACAAGAATGCCTGTGAGGTCCACAGAAAATTCTGTGCGCTCGCGAGTGTACTGATTGCGGACCTGAGTGGCACTGCGCGAGCTCACAATGAACAGAAACTAGAGTATGCGGATGATGTAGAGAGCGCTCTTCAGACTGATCTGGAGCTACTGGAGTATCTGTGGGATCGCTGGACCACGGACGACGGGGCGACAGCGAAATACCCAGAAGAGTCCCAGCGCAGACGAGCCGACTCGTCGCCAATGGGGCATCTACTCACGAACCGGATTCAGCAAACTTGGTCCGATGCGGCTGCGCGAGCGCTACGCGGAGCAGATTTGGACAAGATGCTGGATCTGCTCGAAATGCTCGACTGGGCGTGGTTATGTTCTGTTGATATTGATGCAGCCTGTACCGTGGTACACTTAGCCCACTCGATCGGCATTTGCTCTACAGAACGCCGTAGGGAGGCGCGTCGGGATGCTCCCGGCGAGGTGGACGCACGCGCCATGGAATGCCTGGGACAGTGGCTTGTATCCGTACTAGAGCTGCACGCTGCGTTTGCCGGCGGGTTTGATGCACTTCTCACATGTTTGGGGCGCGCTTACGTTTCCCTCCTGTGGACGACCGTCAAGGGGACTGCTCTCGTCAATGGGCGCACCAAGAAATCCCTAACATCCGCTGACTGGACACTGCTCACCCGGCCTGTGGTGATACATGTGTTTGGCGCCTGCTGGAGAGCGCTCACAACTCGGGGAGCACGAATCCATTCGGTTTGTCTCTATACGCAGTGTTGCGAGGTGCTAGGCGCGCTCTGTATCCTCGTCTGCGCTTCGGGTACCGTGCAGCATGTGATTTGGCGGGAATTCGGGCGATGCGTGCACGCGGAATCCGTGTCCGTGCTGGTGCACGCATTAGCGACGGGTGCGTGTCTTTGCGTGTTGCGTGCGCCGAGCGCCGCGCATGCTGCCACTGCGCTTTTCTTGCAGCTTCTGGAGACGCCTTGGGTTTATCGCGTTTTAGAGAGTGCTAGCCGCCTATTAGCAGGTGAAATGTTTCCGGTACCAGCTAGTACTCTTCTGGCTTCTGGCGAGGCTGAGCGTCTACCAGCGTTGTCAAGTTTGCCGGAATCACTGTCGGGAGAATCATACCGCCAGCCTTTTTCCTTTGCCAGTGGTGGCACTGCTGCTCCAGCGACGGAGGCGTTGGGGCGGCAGCATGCCAATATCGAGGCTTCGTGCGGGACACGGCCGAGTGTTGTGGCGAATTCCCCGGAAACCGACGAGATGCTTATCGAAGCGGCTGCGCTCGGTGCAATGCATTGTTTACTGATGACGCTCGCGCAGGGGAGCATCTTTGAAAAGGCTGATGGATTTGCTTTCGCCAGCGCGCTCATCATACGAGTTAGCGAGAGTGCCGCTCAATGGGCAGAAAAATCTCCGTTCTTTACGATGGAGCTGGTCGCAGCGCTTCATCGTCTGGTACGCGTGAGCCACTGTGTTTCGCAGTTTGACGACGGAGCGCTTACGCTCCTGGTCGAAGTGGCCACCCGGGCTCTTCTGCAGAGATTCGGAGATGTTTCGAGTACTGGAATCTCCACCGGAGCCGGCAACGAGCTAATGCTGTGCGGCACCGGCTCGAGAGCGATCCCGACGAGTAGCGTTCGTGCCACAATCGCTCGTTTCGTTCCTTCCAATGATTCGACGGGCACACTTGCTCACAGAATTCAGAGCGACGACTACCGAGCCTCTGCGAACGCGAGTCTCGCAGCCGAAACCGGCGCGATGACCGTCAGAAGCCTGGATGCGGCGCCCGATGTACGCGCACAGTCGACGCCGGAGGCCGGATCCATCGCGGATATGGCCGCGTTTTGGGAGCAAGTCGCACATCGCTTTATTGAATCGGTGCTCGATTATGTTGAACGAACCTCGCCTCAGTCTTTTGGTGATGGCCCAGAGATTCTCTCGTTCCTGGAGAGGGTCGGCCCTCTTACCAGAGTACCAGAGCGTTTGCGAATGCTGGCGCTGCGCGAGCGTCTCGCGCAACCTTTCTTCGGCCTCGAGACATGGGTCGATCGACTTCAGTACGTGCTGACGGTGTACCTACGAGATGAGCCCAGGCAGGCGGTCCGACTGCGAGCAGTGCGGTTTTTCCGCGATACATTTACCGTCTGGAAGGGTCTCTATGCGGATCTGTTTGTGACGGAAGTGGTGCAACCGGTGTTGCTGGGCGCATGGAAGGAGCTGCGTCAGTCCGCACAGAGTCGCCCGTCAACGCCTAGCGAATATGGCTTGGATGCAGAACTCACAGAGGAGCTTGTTCATACAGTGGCGGTTGCGCTGAGTGCCCCAACGAGCTTAGCCGTGTTTGAGCGTTTCGCGCGGGAACTGCTTGATCTGGGCGACGAGGTCCTGACAACCTTGTTGGCTGCTCTCGAGACGTACCTGCGCGAGCACGAGGCGCCACGGGCCTCGGTGCTGTTCGCGCTTCTCACCGATCACTGTCTCGAATGGCGCACTGCGCACGCTGGGTCGCTTGGCGAGAACGACGCCCCAGGCGGGCACGCACAGAGCCGCCGACACCTGTTGGCATTTTGTGGCTTTATCTGCCGACTAAGCAAAGATCTGCCGCACTCACCGTTTCTGCAGTTAGACGGGAAAACGCTTCCGTGTCCGGTACGACTTGGCGATGTGCCGGATGCAAGAGCCGTCTCTGGTGATGGTGAACGCAGCGCCTACTCACTGCCGCCTGGCATAGCCGTGGATACGGCATCAAGCGGGGTCTGGTGTCGCACCGAGCGCACGCGGGGCGCGTCGGTATCAGCGCGAACGGGCGAGGCGCTGGAGCGCCACGCAGACGGAAGCGATGCACCAGCACCGGCAACAGGCGAATCATCCGCTCCCGCTGATCAACCCTCGGTGAAGCCTACGATTCCTGCGCATACGGACGTGTTCGGAGCTGGTGTACTCGTTCCTGTCGCAGCCTGGTACCATCACCTGCTCGGGAGGCTTCTGCATTCTACCATGGACGACGCAGCGTATGCAACGGCAGCACCGCCGGCAGTCGACGGTACTACAGAAGCTTTCCAACCCCCCGAACTGGAGAGCATTATGGCTTGTCTTGTGCATTTGGTCACGGACCCGGGTTTCGGGCCGATTGCGCTGGTGCCGGCGCTGCAGACCTACGACCTGCTGGGTCAGTGGCTCGAGCGCTCGCGGAAGCTCGCCACCGACAAATCTGGTAGCTATCTGAGCTTGGCGGCGCGCCATCTTGCGCTCGAGGTATTGGCTGCGATAACGTTACGAGAGCTGGCCCGCAGCGCACCAATGTCGTGGGCGCAGCACATAGAGCACCTTCTGGATATGGTGATCGCAGAGTTGTATTGGCTTGTGGCGGAAGCCGAGCGTCTGCCTCTGTATCCCCCCATGCTGGATTTCACACTGCGTCTTCTGGTACAGGGCTGGTGCATGGCCAAAGACCGCGAGCCGACGGTGGCTTTACAGTCGATCACTGCGGCGTATTTGGTCGCGCTGCAGGTCTTTGCGGGGCGTCTGGTCGCCGTGTCGGGCGAGCGGCCACGCACATGCGTAGAGCATGCTCGTCACCTGGCGGACTGCGTGAATGAGGCGGCAGCGATCCTGGAGAGCCTTCATGGCGTGGCGCTATGTTTTCGGGAGTTGGTTCCGAGCGCTCAGGCGACTGCACCAGAGACGGGCTCGTTTGTTTGCAGTGATGTGGCGATGCAGGCTGCGCTGTCTCCTCGCGTGCGTTACGCCGATGGCGTTCAGAGCGCTGGCGCTGACCCCGAGTCGGGCTCCGGCCCGGCGGATGTCGGCCTGCTGGCGGCGTTCGAGACGGCCTCCATCGGTGTGGACGGCGGTGTCGTTGCGGGTCTGGCGACGCGACGGAACGCAACCTATGCGCATATCGCCTTCAGCATCGTGATTACGTTGGTGCCTTTGTTTGCACCCACTGGCGCTAGTCTCCAAGGTGCGTCACCAGCAGTCGCTCAGAGCCAGGGCGCCCAGCTACGGCGCCTCGCGATGAGCGCATGGTGCAACTGGGCTTCGCTGGTTCACGATGTCACCGTATTGCGGCCGTATCTGGAGGCCCTGGAAGAGCGCTGCCGAAAACATGGTTGCACCCTGTTCGCCGCAGTTGCCGCTGAATTCACATACTGCTTCGGCGGCGTTCGTCTCGTTGACCGCGGACCGAGTACGCTTCTGGACAAGGCGCTACAACAGGCTCCTTTGGTAGCCAGCTGGGCGCTGGCGGGCACCGACGCACTTCCCGTCGTGATCAACGCCTATCGCAACGGATACGAATTGACCCTGGCGATACGAAGAGTGACCGGATCCAGCCGAATGCAATTGAGGCTGCACGAACCGCCCTGGACTTGGTATCCCGAGCGACGATACGCGACCGAGTCCTCGAGTGCCCGGGCCGCAACTTTTGCAGAAGCGCCTCGAAGGGTCCAGGTGGAGGGCACGGCAGCGGCGTCGACGGATCGGTCGTCCGTTCGATTACCGTTCGCAGCGGAACAGCCGGCTCCATCATCATCATCATCATTATCATCATCTGTTGTTGTTGGTGGCGGTGGTGTTGCTGTTGTTGACAACGCTATACCGACTGAGAAAAGCCCCAATGGTCCGGAGCTTGTCGACTCCGCCGTTGAGAAAAAACTCGATGCACATCTGCGGGGCGTCCTCGCCCAGTTCATGCACAGGCAGCCACTGGAAGCGTGGCGACGCCTTGTACTCGATCGACAGGTCTGGCAGGTGCTCGATCGCATGCCACCAGAGGATATTCATCGTATAGGTCTGATGTACGTGGGCACAGGTCAGCAGACAGAGTCCGAGATTCTTGCAAACGTCGCCGGCGATTCGCAGTACGACGATTTCTGTACGAATCTTGGCGTTTTCCTGAGACTCACGGACCACTGGATGTTTGGCTACACCGGCGGGCTCGATTACAGCGAGCGCCAAGCGGACGGTGCCTTTGCACTCTACTATCGCGACGCCGCTACACAGCTTATCTTCCACACCACTACCCTGATGCCCGCTGAGCTCGGAACGGAAGGAGCTCGACTCGCCACGGATCCTGGCAACTCAGTTCCGGAGCCAGCTGGGACACCAACAAATCCTGCTGTTCGCTTCGCGGCAGCGACCAGAGGATCCTCCTCGGAGCGCAAAAGCCTGATTCGGAAGAAGCGCCACGTCGGGAACGATCACGTCAAGATCTTTTGGTGTGCGCGACGAACCGAGGCTCGGATCGCTGCGACGCCCGATGTCTTGCCTGGTGCATTCAATTCGGTGCACTTTACGATCGCCCCGCTTTCCACTAGGGACGGAAACACCAACGAAGCCGCCGATGGTACCGAATCGTCACTCTTCCTTGCCGAAGCGCACTGGCACCGGAGCGGTATGCCTCGCAGCGGTCCGTGGCGCGTACCCGGACCGTGCATGGTGTGCGGAACGGGAGCAGCTGCGTTCCTGCTGCGACTTGCCGCTATTCATGCGGATACGCTCTGTGGATGCCGCGCTATCGCAGGTTATCGCAGCAGCATGGCGACGAGCTCCGTATCATCGGCACCTGCGCATGGGTCCACGATACCGCTGGCTTCAGCAGCAGGTCTTGCGATCGGCTCTGAGGAGGAGCCCTGGCTCCGTCGGCTCTCGTATATGCAGCACCAGATCGAGCGTCTGTCGGGCGAGTCGTTGCCTCCCGGGACTGGGTAGTTGGCTTGATCGTCAGTGCTTGTCGTCGTCGGGCGCTATCCTCAGTGAAAGTACCGAAACGTATTCGCGCGCACCTCGACGATGTGTCAAGGTGCGCGCGAATACGACCCTCTCATGGCGTTTATCGCTGGGCACTGGTCGCATTGCGCGTGACATATGGGATGTGCGCGGTGCGAACGGTGCCGTACATGGCACGTCTGCGCCTGCATGTTCGCCGCGTCGACGCCAGGCGAACAAGTAGCGCCTGTGCGAACAGCGGACAGGGCGATGAGGAGCGCATCACGGAACGCGTGCGTCCGAGACAACGAGCGGGAGCTGCTCGCTCCGCAATACCCACAATAAAGATATCACTGGTGGTCGCGCACTGGTCCATGATAAGCGTCAAGCGCACGTCAGTTGCAGATCAACAAGTTGCGAACGCTCGCTGCCAAATCGCCCACGAATGCACACAGCTTTGTGATGCCGTCGTTACGAGCAGCTACGAGCGCGCTTGCTCCCTCTAGATCATCATGACGGTCTAGAGCGGTTGTTGTCGTCGATCGCAGCGCTATCTAGGGAATGGACACGAGCCTGGGTGATGCGCTGGACACTGCTTCATCTATTATGCATTGATCAATCGATGCATGGTTCGTGCTGGGCAAGCTGTCGCTTTGCGACAAGGAGGAATCGATGCATTCATGAAGTGAATCTGCGTTGACACGAAGATGCTTGCGCTTGCCATGTGGCGGTGGTTTGGCGGCTGCGGCGGCCTCGACTACAGCGCTGCGGCGTTTATTCGACCTTGGCAACTCGTCCGACGTCGACTCGCTTCTCTAATGGGCATTCGTGACACCGTGCGCATTCTCGGGATGGGGAATCCCCTTCTTGACGTTTCCGCTTCGGTTCCTGACACCCTGCTCACCAAGTACGGACTGGAGCCGAATAACGCGATCCTGGCTGAACAACGACACCGGCCGCTCGTTCGCGAACTACGAGACGCCTATGCAGCCGACTATGTCGCAGGTGGTGCAACCCAGAACGCCATTCGGGTTGCGCAGTGGATGCTCCAGCGGCCTGGAAGCACGGCCTACTTCGGCGCGGTGGGCAACGACGATTTTGCGGAACGGATGCGACAAGCCGCTCGTCGAGACGGCGTGCACGTGCAGTACCGGGTGGACGAGCACGAGCCCACCGGCACGTGTGCAGTGCTGGTCACCAGTAACGGTCAGTGTCGATCATTGGTCGCTGATCTTGGCGCAGCCAACACCTACAAAATAGAGCACCTGCGGCACCCGGACCAATGGCAGCTCGTGGAAGCAGCAAAGCTATTCTATATCGCGGGATTCTTTCTCACGGTTTCGGTGGAGTCTGCGCTAGCCATCGGTGAACACGTTGCTCAAAACGCCGACAAAACGTTCTGCATGAACCTATCGGCACCGTTTCTACTACAGGTGCCAGAGTACTGGAATCACTTTTGTGCAGTGCAACCGTTTGTCGATGTGTATTTTGGGAACGAAACCGAGGCGTGTGCGCTCGCGAAACGCATGGGTCTCATCGACGATGCTGCCTGCGAGGCCCTGACTCGAGCGCAACTGTTTGAGGTTGCCACTGCACTGGCGACGAAAACTCCAAAACGGACGAGTCGACCTCGCACCGTCGTTTTTACCTGCGGTGCCGATCCCATTGTCCTTGTCATTGGTGATGGTGAACGGCTATGGAGCACCAGCGAATACGGCGTGATTCCCTGCCCCGACAACGACGTTGTCGATACCAATGGGGCGGGTGATGCGTTTGTGGGTGGCTTCCTGGCCATGATGGCACTCGGTCGACCGATTGTGGAGTGCGTTGCAGCAGGCAACTATGCGGCAAACGTTGTCATCCGCCAGCCGGGGTGTACGTTTCCGCCCAAACCCCATTTTCGGTATCGCGGTGTTCAAGTGCTGGTCTAGAAAAGAACGCGCAGTGTCGTCCAGGCCAGTCGCCCTTCAGCGGTCTGATGCGTGGCGTGACTTGATTGGAAACCTCTCCACGACAGGTTGATACGGATCGTCTACGAATGCCGTGAATCACGCAAAACGCACCCCACGAATGAATACATGAACGAATGAATGTGTATCGGAGTATGTGTTGTGCAGTGCAAGCTGCCGCCTAGGTCGTGTTCGAAAATGTGCAGTCTCGGTTCAGGATCCTTTATAAACGCTCGATGACTCCGAGTCGAGGACAATCCAGATGCTGACAAGCGCCTGCCGCTGCCACCGCAACAAGCAGCGCAACTCTGTTCGCCACGGCAGCAGACACCTGAACTGGACGCGGTGCGTACCAGTCGACAAACGGTGCTGCGAGGACAGCTCAGGAACGCCTGGGCACTTGCTTCCTCGATCGCTACAACCTGACGTTACGCTTCGAATGTGCTTACTCGGTCTTCTTCGTTGATGTGTGCAACGCTCGTTTGCGAGCACGAGTCGGAAGCACGCGAATCAGACCGTACACCAAGAACACGGTTGATAGCGATAGCATCGCGAGGTACCAGGGCGTCGTCACCTGGAACGGCATCCGGTGCGACAGGTACCCGAGCAGGTCGCTGGCGCTGGTGAGCAGCCGCCTGAAAATACGTCTCCCCAGCGGTACCGGTTTGGGTGTACCAGCGTGTTCCTCTACAAAGTGGCGTAGCGCGACCAGGTCCACGTCGTAACGCAGCTCATCGAGTGATTCATCCATAGCCCGTTTCTCTGGACCGCCCTTGCGCCAGAAGCGGAACGTCGGGTAGTGTTCGATCTTGATGCGTTGCTCGACCTCCGACGCATGCTTGTCGGCATCGAGACGGGCGATCACCACATCCTCGCGACGCGAAGCAAAGTATTCCGCGAGTTTCTCGTAGGAGGCCTTGAGGCGCTGACAGGCGCCACACCATGGAGCGTACAGCATGAGCAGCACCGCTTTGTCGGGTTGCTCCAGCAGAGCGTCCAGGGTTTCGGGTGTCAGCTCCTGGACGAATTTGCGTCCGCCTTTCGACTCGTCGTCAACAGTCTGTAGACGCTTGCCGCTTGCGTCTTCTTGGGCCTTGGATTCAAGATAGGAGAGCAGTTCGGCTGCGGAGCGACCTCCCTGGTAGTCTTCCACCAGATTGTCGCTGGCGTGGAAGAGCTTGATCGTCGGGAAACCCTGGATGGCGTATTCGTCGCGAATGCGGTCGTACTTGTCCGCATCGATCATTGCCATGACGACTCGGTCGGGATCCAGACCCCTGCGCCCAATAATCGCAGCCGCTTTTTCGTACTCGGGCTTGAGACGCTTGCAGTGGCCACACCAGCTGGCCACAAACGCCACCATCACAGTCTTGCCCTTATCGAGAGCGACTTTTGCAAAAGTCTTGTCGGTGAGCTCAACAACGCTGCTCGGTGGCGGCGGCAGCATCGCTCGCTCAAGGTAACGGGTGACTGTTGCGAGGTCGGTTGCATTCTCGGTGTACTCGAGCGGCTCTGCGGGTGCAGCGTTCGGCCCTGACGACATCTTATCATGTTTCGAATAAAATGCGGGCTTTTGGGGGGCCTGCTCTTGTGCGGCCGGGCCCAGCACAACGACGAGGTCGGGGAGCTTTTGCTCAGCAACTTTGAAGACCACCTCGTTCGGAATGATGCTGCCTTTTGGAACGACCCAGACGTGCTTGTCGCGAATGCCTGCAACTGCCTGAGCGACGACCGCCTCGCGAGCTCTGTACGGCTGTCCACGCGAGGCCGCCGCGAGTGCCTCGGCGCGGGCCTCGCTGAGCGTGCGAACTCGCTCGGCGAAGCGCTCGCGAGTCTCGTCATCGCCGCGGAACTTGTCATCGAGAATGTCGATCGTCACTGAGTCTGCTACTAGCGACTTCACTCGACGAGTGAGCTTTTCGACTTCTTGGCGCAGCTCCTCGGAGTGTTCTTCGAAAATGCGCATCAGGTTCCGCATTCGAGCGAACTCGCGCAAATGCGATGCCTGCATGGACTTTTTCAGGGGCGCCTCTTCCAGTGTGTGTTCGTATCTGCCGATCATTTGAACGATCTCTTTGAGGCCTTCCGATGTTGGATCCACAAACTTTTCGAACGTCTTCAGATAAAAGTTTCCTTGCACCGCTGAAAGCGTTCCATCTCCAGAGAGTTCGTAAACCTTATCCTCCAACTTTTGGTCGGTCTGTTTGATGAGGTCACTTACGCCACTGAAGTTTGCGCGGCGCGCCTCATCATAACTGGGGTACTTTGCTCGAAACGCAGCGTCGTTGAAGCACGCTGCTATGATGCTGTCTAGCTGCGGAATGCGGCCAGCTTGCGGGTGCAGTGCGCCCCCGACTGTGATCTCTGTACCGGCCTTCGCGTTAACGAGATCGATGAGCGCAGCAGCGGTCATCTTCGAGGCTGCTCCAGCGTCGCTCACGAGTGTGTCGATCTTGGTTCTCTTGTCGGGACCCTGTGGCAGGAACAGCACAGCAGGTGCTGATTTCAAAGGAGGCAATTTCTCCTTTTCCTGGATTTGATTGTAGGTCGCGGCATCGACTTCGGCAAACACGATTTCGTTCGGCGAATGACCAGCTACCACAAAAGACGTCCCCGCTTCCGCAAACGCTTTCATGAACGAGGACATCTGGGGAGCGCCTTGTTTCGTAACCGCCAGCACAACGTCGCGACTGCGATCGAATGCCACTGCCGTCAGCGACTTCTCATCCAGCTTGATGATCGGCGACTGTTTCGTCACTCGGGCATAGCGCGCTCGATACTCCGTGAGCAACGTGGGCGACTGCGGTATAGCGACGGATTCGACTTCGCTGGCGGTGCTGCCGCCGGCCTCCTGTGCCATTCGCTTCATCTCCATGGCCAGGAGACCCCAGTTGCGAGCGTACTTCCAGTCACGTGGCTTCTCCGCTCCCTTGTCATAGAGGAATATCGTGGGATAGCCTGTCACACCCAGAGACTCGCGAAGTTTCACATGCTTGTCGCCGTTGATGCTGGCGATGACCACGTTCGACAAGTCTGCGAAGATATTACCGAGGATATTCCAATCGTCTTCCATATCCTGGCAGTGGTGGCACCAGGGCGCATAAACTTTGACAGCGGCAATCGTGTCGTTGCCGCGATTCTCGATGTAGTTGCGAAAGCCGGTCGGAGACAGATCCGGTAGAAACAGTGCTCTTGTCGTCTGACCGCTGAGCACAACGCCGATCACCAGCCATAGACACAAACCGATAGCTGGCTGGCGCCAGTGTCCCCCGCGTGACATTTTCTTCTCTGATCTGTTCTAGAAAACAGAACGTTGCACAAACGACTTACCAGACCTATCCTATAGAAGCACTGATACAGAGAATAAGGTCAATAGACGCTGGTACTTGGATGTTACGGAGAGTTTTGCTTGTGTTCTGTTGCCAGTACTACGGTCGCGCACCGAGTAGGACGCACAACGCAAACAACATAAACTTGAAGTCAGCGCGCCCTGAGACGGCGGGATGCCATGTTTGGATGCGCGCGTTTATTTTGATTTGTCACGCGCTGGCGATGAAACGGCTGGCGAAGTGGCGTTGATGCGCTTTTGGGGCGCCACTTCACACCGATCGCGGGAGAAACTCACTAAAGGTATTCCCTTAATGTTTAGTAAATTCCTTCTTGCAAAGCAAGGGACGGAAGGCTGCTCGGCGTGACGATTGCCTGGCGCGTTCTACATCGGGCCGGACCTCTCTCAAAGAAAATTCCCTTATAGTTCAGTAAATTCCTTGTGATCGAGGAATGGACGGACGGCGGCCCCGGTGTCGATTGCCCGTAGCGTTCTAGTCCAGATTGTTCCTAGATAGACACGTTCTCTCGTGCTGTCCGCCGGGGATCGTGCTCGTGCGTCGCTGCAGCGACGTCTTGAGCATCGTCGACGAATTCGAATCGCGCTTAGCGAGGGACGGTGTCTCGAGCTCGCAAACGCAGCTCAGCAGTTCGAACTGGACTTTTTGTTGTGGTGCTGTCGCTCGTTCGTGGCGCTGGCTCCGTATCCTTGAACAGAACGGGTTCCGTCGTCTTCTGAAACCGAGTCTGCGTTTGTGAGGCCAGAAGCCGTCGCCCATATCGTTCGTTCGATAGCTTCTGCGCTTGAGGATTTCGACCACGACTCGCTGCCTCGCTCCCGGGATGGTCTCTTCAGGTAACGATTATGTGGACCTGGGGGTGTGCTCACCCCCGAAGCCTTTTCCGTCGAATCGCCTTCGCAATACGCCCGCAAGGCCTGGAAGCGCTCGAGTCCAAACAGTACGAGCTTCGACGCCCTCAGCAGAAGTGACGCAGCAGACTGCAAGGCCCTCGTTGATACCGTCTCGTAAGGCCTCGCGCGAGCTTCCCATTCAGTCCAACTTCGGTACCATCAACCGAGCTGGTCATGAGACGAAACATGTCCTTATCGTGAAAGTAGACGGCAGCTATGACGATGCGTGCACGTCGGAGCTGCGTGCACCTTACGCGCCTACTGGAGTCGATATGACGGATCTGACTTGGGGTGGCATGCAGCGCAGACGCCTCACCGTGGCAGAATAGCCCTTGCCTTGATCGCTTAACTTTGTGTTTCTAGAAGCTTAGGTTACGAAGCGTAGCCGAACACGCGGCTCCTGATGCATCAGTCGCTGAAATCCCCGCCCGGTTGTACATGCCCTCTCTAGATCACGCACCTGCTCTAGATGGATGCTGCACTCGCTCCATGAGATTTTTATCCCGCCCGATGGGCCCCTGGGAATGGCTCCATGAGCATCCACCTCTCCTGACTCGATGGAGACGCTGAATGAAGAACGCACATCCATTTGGAAATCTTCCGTTTTAGGCTGGACCCCCGATAGCACATCATTCAGCACAGCGCCAAAAGCAGCGTTCCGTAAACACCCGTTCCTGGGCACGCTACCTGCGTTCCGTTCACAGGCGAATTCCCGCTGCCGCAGCGACGCGCGCAGGGCATGCACCCGCCGAGGCGCAGGCACTGCGCACACACCCAGATCGCATCGCCGATGCGTCGTGCGTGCAACTTTTGTCCAGGGTGCTGTCCGCTGCCACGTCACGCATCGAGGCTAGCGAGACGGGAACGCAGCATCGGCATCCGGGGGTTCTCTGCGCGCGACGTAGCACCTTGTCTATCTAGTCAGCTGCCTAGGCAGGTATGGTAGCAGACACTGAGACGCGTCCTCCGTTTGACAGTGTAGGGCCCCGACCGCTGCCCAGCAGCCGAATACGTACAGAGGCACTGCCTAGATGGGCGTCTCCGTTCGACAAGTCAGCCTGTCAGAGTGACGTTGCGCGAGTTCACCGGCAGCTCAACGCAGAAGGCTGGGCACTGGGCTCGCTCCTGGGTACCAGGGAGATCCCGAAAGAGTCGGGTGTGCACCTGCCCAGCGATCGTAAGCGTTGGCTCAACGTCGTCACGCCGGGAACGAGCGCGCGCTCGGACGCTCACTCGGGAGACGCCGCCACCGACCCCAAGGTGCCAGTCGTTTTAGAGAGCGAGCATGCAGCGAACGTTGCCGTCCAAGGGGATGTCGACACTGTGACGAAACATCTCGCTGTGCTCGGGTCAGAACTGGTGGAAGATGTGCCGGACGGTACGGTTGTTCACGTAGACCAGCCAGCACCTTTGGACGAAGCGGGTGCATCGAAAGTGCCAGCCGAAGCATCTCCAATTCGTGACCAGATAACGACAGAACCGCGCTTGAGCGTTGTGGACGCAACCGCACCTGAACAAACCGAGTCGCCGCGCGCCGACGCATCCGCCAGCTCGCCAGACACCGAGTCCAGTGGACAGCATCCCTCACGAGAGGAGCCTTGCTTGGGATCCGCGTCATCCGCTCGGGCTACACAAATCCCTGAATCGGTGTTGGTTGATGAGGCGAAGCGTTCACAGGGAGGTACCTGTGAGCCGATGTTCCAGAATCATTCGAGATTCGTTGATCAGCCGCCAGCAGATGCATGGGAACGGTGTCAGGCACGTGATGCCCTCTGTCGCAGCGTTGCTGATGATCTGAAGCGCGAGCTCTCCTGCCCCTACTCACCAATCGGGGTGGATATGCAAGATCTAACCTGGGGATTTTTCACACGGATGAATAGGTTTCAACCTGCGCGCAGCTGACTTGTCAACATGCTCACATCATTGACTTTGCGTGTGTATTATGTAAACACTGAGGAGCAGTGGATTTGATTTTCTTCGGTTGCGAGCAGGCGATGCGCGCATGAGCGTGTATCGCGGGCGGTACGTCCATGTCCGACAGTTTCATTCAGGTACCGAGAGCGAGACACGCACGCAGTCTCGTGTGGCTTCAAGAGCAAACACACGTGCCGTAGCATGGCGACCAGGTGCCTGTGACGCTCTTATCCGCCTGTGTGGTTGAGGTACGACCCGTGTCGCTCCAGCAGCACGCACGTTCGACACGTGTGCATCGAGTGCTTTTCAGAACACCCCAGAAGGTACGGCAGGATACCGCGGCTGCTTCCTATGATCCATTAGCGCAGCCGTCCGAAACGTGTCCATCCAGCGCATTCCCGGGCAATCCAACACACACGTCAACATACCGCCGCTGCTTGGTGTCATCGATCACACCCACAAGAGCGCCGCTATCGGCCGGCGTACAGCGTTTACCCAAACCACGAAGCACGCTCACAAACGCAGGACACTCCGAGCCTACGACACCACGCCAGCTGATATCGCAGCCCCGGCTCGCAGTGCGAAAGAAGAAGGCCAGGCACGTATTCAGGCAGGTAGGAAGGCAGGTAGGAAGGTAAATATGTAGGTATTCAGGCAGGTAAGCGGGCAGGTAGGAAGGCAGGTAGGAAGGTAAACATGTAGGTATTCAGGCAGGCAGGCAGGCAGGCAGGCAGGCAGGCAGGCACACACTGGATTCGGAGGCGCATGCGCTTCCGTGCGGCTTGTCACACACGCGAGATCGATGTCAACGGAATTTCCCCGGTGCGCCTGCGCTGACCAGCGCGGCGCTACGGATGTGTGCTCAGTGCGCGCTTCTCGAAACGTGACTCATCCGTCGTGCTGCTTTCCAGCTGCTTTGTTTCTCGTCTGGTGTTACACTGAGCACCGCTGCTGTTGGAAACGGTTTCCACTTGGTTGCCGCTTGTCGTGAACGGGGTGCTCTCGCAGGCTGCAGAAAAGCTCGCCCTGTACAGAGCGTTCGAGCTGCGCGCGAGGTACAGGGGGTCTTTTCACACAGAGCGCGCCCGAAGCGCCGCTGTTGACACCGTGCACCTCTGACGGGCTATGGGTAGAGTTTACCAAAAGTATCTGAGTGGGTCGACTATCTACTCCTGTGCGACGTGTAACGCGCACCTCGCTCTCCACGAAGATATCATGTCAAAGCAGTTCCAGGGACGTCACGGTCGCGCGTACCTGTTCGCGAACGTTGTCAATGTGACAGCGGGTCCGAAAGAAAATCGAATGCTGATTACTGGACTACACGCTGTTGCGGATTTGCACTGCACCGTATGTAACACCGTGCTGGGGTGGAAGTATTTGGAGGCTTTTGAGCAGTCCCAAAAGTATAAGGAAAATAAGTTTGTTCTGGAGAAAAACATGATGACAAAGCTCGAGAGCGGGTGAACGCGTGAGTGATGCAGCGTGTGTGTACGACACCGTGCGCGATTCAGTTACACTGGATCAGACGCGACCGCACCGAGAGCTTCTAGTGTGTCGCTGTGGCACGGAGGCATATGATCACGCGACCGGGCCGGTGTCAGCGCTCGAGGCCGTGCACCTCGAAATGCCGCTAGGTTGCGTTCCTGAGGCACGTCTCCGTGGCAGTCGCAGCGTTAGGCAGCTGGGAAACGAGTCGGGTGCAGCGTGCCGGCCGCTCGTGATGTGTCTTGTGGTTGGTCTGGCTGTGCTGGCGCTGCCGCCAGCACAGGCAGCGTCTGCGTTCCTGTGGATACTTGTGCAGCGCAGCAGCCGCAGCGCGCGCGTTCAGTCAGTCGATACGTCGTTTGTTGTCTAGCGACAGGTCCCGTTAAAGCCGGCGTTTTTGTTTTAGGTTAGCACTACAGAGAGCGCAATGCATTGCGTGCCACGACCGCCTCGATTCCGTTTGACCCCCGAAGAGGAAAGTTTCGCTGATGCAATTCGAGTCACACCGTCATGGCATGGACGGTACGGTACGGCATGTGGACGCTGTACGACCCCCGAGACATCGATACGTTGCGCGAAGTGCCCTGCACGTGGAATCATGACGCCTACCCAGTACGATGCATCTCTGACAGCGGAAAGCGATAAAGCGCGCTCTCGCAGCGAGAGCTTTTGATGCGGTGTCATTTATACATGCTGTTCTGGTACGCAAAAGCTTGCCTATCAGCTGCTGTTATCAGCGTCTCATCGGGTAGCGCAGCGAGAGCGAACGCGCGGCGGGACCGGACATTGCGGTTCGCACTTGTTGCGGACGATGCGGACAAGTTAAGCTGCGCGGCAGACGTTGGAGGCTGCGTCAGCACTTGGTACAGATAGGCTCTAATTCGGTAAAGGGTAGAACGATTGCGGCGAGGCGCAGTACAAAGGCCGCGAAGACATTGATGAGATTTCATGGTAGAGCACTCGCTCCACGAACGACTTCCCGGGGCAGAGGGCGCGTCATTGACTCGCGTGCTCGAGCAGCGACTTGTGTATTCTTGGACAGCAGTGGACCTGCGCAGCTGAGGGCGAGCTCGCAAGTACAGACCTGAATCGAAACGTCTATCTCTCCAGAACAGCGGCAGCAACATCTCGTCGTACAATCCCGTGCTTATTTTCCTACCGGGCCTTCGGCTCTCAACGAATGACGACAAAGTTCAAATCGAGCGTCGAGCGATGGGCGCACGGTTCTCCAGTTAGCCGTGCCCAGCTCAACTCGAAAGGTATCAAGAGAGGTCCAAGCCCCAGGCCTCAGCAGCGCCGTTCGGACGCGTACATGCTTAGGTCGCGCGCTCGCTCACACGGGGTCAGGAGCGTTTCAGTGTTTCGCCAGAGGCCAGACGAGAAATCGTCCGTGGAGATGTGCTCATGGCTTGCACGTCAGCGCCCCGTAAAGGTGCTTTATGGTCATTTTGGTCGCAGATGGGCTAGACGCCTTTCATAGTTTTCTGGCTGCTCCTGGTACAGGCGTCGAAAGTACTCAATGGTATCCACGAGCACCTGACGCTCGTAGTTAGCGGTCACGATCGCTTTTCCAAGCCGTTCGAGTAGCACGAGACGCAGGACACCACGCTCTACCTTCTTATCCATGGCCATGTATGTGAGAAAAGTTTCAACGTTCATACTCGGTGGCGGACGCACCGGCAGCGCTGCCTCGGTCAGAATAGCCTCTATTCGGCGAACGACCTGTTCGTCGATAAAGCCCAGGCGCCGGCTCATTTCAGCTGCCATCACCATGCCGGCTGCCACAGCCTCCCCGTGCAACCAGGTTCCATATCCAGTTGCAGCCTCAATTGCGTGTCCGAACGTGTGCCCGAGGTTCAAAATCGCCCGATACCCGCTACTTTCGCGTTCATCTGCAGCGACAACGGCCGCCTTGCATTGGCAACTGCGCTCCATGGCGTACTGGATAGCCCCCGGGCTCAGCGAAACCATTTTCGACACATTGCGCTCGCACCAGTTGAAGAACTCCTCATCACATATCAGGCCGTACTTGATGATCTCCGCTATACCCGCTGAAATCTGTCGAGGGTCGAGTGTCTTCAGGGTGCTCGCGTCAACGATCACAGCGTGCGGCTGGTAGAAAGAGCCAATCATATTCTTTCCCAGCGGGTGATTGATTCCCGTTTTACCGCCAACGGCCGAGTCGACGACCGCGAGCAACGTGGTCGGCACCTGAATAAACGGTATACCGCGCAAGAAAACGGAAGCCGCAAACCCAGTGAGGTCCCCGATGACGCCACCACCGAGGGCAAACAGCGTCGACTTGCGATCGAGTCTTTTCTGCATACACACGTCGATAATTGCACGCAAACTATCCATTGTTTTGTATTCTTCTCCGTCAGGGAGGATGCACTCTTCAACTCTATCCACCTGGGGGCAGCGAGAAAGCCCCTCCCGCAGCCGGTGAAGGTACAGGGGCGCCACCGTCTCGTTCGTGACGATCAGGACAGAGTTCCCGCTTATGTGCGGCGCGAAGAGCTCAGAGTCGTGAAGACTTGGCTTGTTTCGGAAAATGATAGGGTACTTTCGCGAGGGCGCATCCACCCAGAGCACACGCTCATCTGTGGTCGTGACAGGGACCTCCGCCTTCACGGTGCTTCTCCGGCGTTCGGCGCCAGGCGTCGCCTCCCGTTTACGACGGTACCAACAGTGCGCCACGACCGCATCCGAACCCTGGGGGCGACAAATGGCAGCTGCCTCTCTACCTTTACACGTAAGCTTTGAAGTGCCCGCGACCAAATACATAACCGGAACGGCAAGCTCGTTCGATAGCACCCCGCACGAGCTAGAGGCAAGCGCTTCGAAGCAGCGGCTGGCCTGGGGCGATCGTGCGCCGAGGCGCCGTCGCGCACTGACCGGCGCTACGCACGATGGTGCGCTCTCTCCGCAGTCGCTGATCAAAGAAAAGGATTCGGATCAGACGTCGATGCTGTGGAGCATTCCATCGAGATGCACTGATCAAGACGGAACTTCTTTCACACAAATGATTTCGGATGTGATGAGAAGAGCGTTGCGTGATAGATGGATGTTTTTGTGAGCATGTTGTCGTCATCAAGCGATGATCCGCCGCATGGTGTTTCTGGACACGCAAAGGTCCAGGAGTTCGTATGTAGCAACGCGTTGGCATGGCGAAGCGTACGAAAAACATTTCAAGGCTTGTACGAAGCGCTCCAGCTGGTAGGTCAGGGAGCATTATAATTGCTCGAGGTCCGGCAGCTGGCTCGGGAGCCCCAGTTGTTATGTGCAGGCGTCTTGCGAACCTGATCCGCTCGAACTAGATCAAGTTATGTCAGGTGGTGCGTGTTTTGAGCACCCAAAAAACTGCCCATAATCGCAAATGAAACGACGTTTGCACGACGCAGAACATGCAGAAAGCGCATCGAGAGCATACCCGCATTCCAACTGATGACGCGCTTGCGCCAGCTCGTACGGCGCATGGCGGTCCCTAGAATTGCAGGGGTGCGTCGGGCAATACATCAAGCGAATGAGCAGGATGTATCGAACGCACCATGGCTTTTCAAGGCCCAAAATTCCTGGATAGCAATTTTCGAGTCCAGAGCTCAAGAAGGCACAGCGTCTCCTAGCATGACGCTTTTTGTACATAATTACCCAAAAGATGTATGGACCAGCCCAGAGCACCCCCGACCTGATCCATCATCCACACTCGGAAACGAATACCATACGCCGGCGCCGATGCTCCAGCATGACACGAAAGCATCGTTCTCGACGCCGGTGCCCGGATCTATGGACAAAACGGACGCCCGCACCGGGCACCTCGCAGCGTCCGAAAGCCAGGTCACGTGTAGTGGATCGCAGCAGGCGCGTACCGCGAAACAGCACATGTCCGTAAAATACCTTTTGTCGCTAAATGTAAAGACAGCATCACGCACCCCGCCTCTGGACTGCAATCTCGCCATCTCGCGTGCGGGCGTTGGTCGGCTCGCGATCGGTTGCCTTGTCGACGCTTGGCCTGTGGCGGCGGTGGCGGCTCGCGCTTATCTCGAGATCGCCTCAGGGCGCTTTCGATCGATCGCCGCTTGAGCTTAACCAGCAACTGCGTGATATTTTCGTTCGGAGCACACGCGTACGGAGCGTATCCGAGCAGAACGTAGTATATTTTTTCGTGTCTGGGTATCATGGGAACAAGAAAGATGACCGTGGACGAGCAGGCCTCGCCCAGAGGCACCAACGGGTTCGAGGGCAGCGACGGCGAGGCTGGCAGTGCGCACCCGCCGAGGTCACCGCTGGGGCGCCTCGTGGCCTCTTTCGCGAGCTATGTCGGCGCTGGGAGTCGCTCTGCCGTTGTCGACGCCTGGGATAGTGCGAATCGAGCCCGCCCGGTGATAACGTACGGTGATATCGTTCCAAGCGAACCGGAGGCGGATAGCCTCGATCAGGACGCGTGGTTTTCGGAGGCCACCGGCAGCAAGTCTGCGGAGCCAGAACGAGATACATACGTGCAAGGCAGCGATGTAGGCCGTGCATCGCGTTCGCTTGGGCAACGCAGGGGTACGACTGACCCGACGGTACCCGGGAGCCGGGGCACCGTTTCACAGACCCGTGGCGCCTCTGCGATGGGAAACACAGCCGTAAGAACCCTTGCTGCCGGGGGGCCTGCGTCTGAGGACGGCTGCCCTGCGCTTCACGGCACGTCTGGTGAGCGTCCTCGGCCGTCGGTTGACTCGGGGCACGCCATGATCGACCTTGAAGAGCTCGGGATCATCCCGTCAGGCAGTGTGCCGTATCAGGGGCTTCAGCGCCGGCTCTCGGGCTCTAATGATATCAACCGCAGATCCCGGACGTTTGCGCATGGCCCAGAACGTAACGAGGTCGACTCAGATGGCAGTATCGTGCTGAGTCAGAGTGCACCCGCTGCGCCCAGTGAGGGTTTACGGAATGCGCTCGCCGAGACGAACACGAGCCGTACATCAGGCGACCGCGATAGCGGTCAACGCGGCAGGACACAAGCGCCTGTCGTCTCGCCATCCCTCGTTTGGAGGAAACTCGAACAGTACCTCGGCCAGCGATCGCCGAGAAGCTCTCCGAGTCACGATCCTGGCACTGGATCAGAGTTATCGCACGCGTCTATTCGAGGCAACGTCGCGGAGGGTAGTCTATCGGAGCCGACAGCGGCGGCAGGTCACGTCTATTGTGCAGACTCCGGCCTTGAAGAGCATCAAACAGACCAGGACTTTGCCCGGTGGTCTACAGACGTCCAGCCAGACGCTGGAAGATCGCCTGATCGCCGAGCAGTTTTGCCGATTACCCCAGTGACACCGCCTATCGATATCGCGCTGAGCAAACACCCGCAAACATACGCGGAGGCTGTTGGCTCAGAGATTGCTGCCGAGCTCGCCGCCTCGCATGCTCGCCTCCATAGTGGTGCCCAAATACCTAGCAACCGAGCTCCGAAAACTGCACCAGAGGCTCCAAAAAGCATGAAAGAGACCGAGTCTGTGAGTCGACGCAGCCATATGCAGCGTGCTGCAAAAGCAACGGAACAGTATCGGGACCTGTGGTTGTACTCGACGGGCATATAGTTTGCGCCTTCCATACTCTGGATACCGGGGACAGCAACCCAACGTCGTGAATGGGCTCCGAAATTCCTGTCTTGTTTACATAAGCGCTGTGCGCTGGGATAACCATTGGATGCGAGCGAGGCGCTCAGGGTCTGGCGCCGCCACTGCACGAATATGCCGTGCCCGGCAACGAGGCCGCAGCTGGCGAGCGGTGATTCCCGCTCCAGGGAAGCGTAGCGCTCCTCGTTGGCGGTTTTGGCGCTCACAACCCGGTACGCGACAACCGCGATGCTACAGCAGTGCTGGATCTCGGTGACCGAGAGAGCGTACGGCACCTCTGTACAGACGCGACGCGATGCCCTGAAGCGCTGGTTCCGTAATCATCATGTGACGGAATGTGAGATGTGCACGTTGCTTACCGCAGTCAGATCTCTATGCCTCGTACGCATTCGGTGAACATATAGCTTTGGAAAGCGGCGGGCTCGTTCAGAGACGCACTGGGCAGCGACGCTCGTTCACCGCTGCCTGCAGTACGCCTTTCGACAATCCGACTGGGGTGTCGCTCCGAAGACAATCCGGCACTCAAGGCGGGCGACGCGCATCGCTGCTCTTTGAATGCATCGTGGTGTGGCGACGTGCGCGAATGTCGGGCGCTCCCGTCTAGGGCGTCGCTTCGGGCGGTGTGAGTTGTGCTGGCTCCCGAGCGAGGCGCTCCACAAGCCGCTCGATTCGTGCATGATGTTGCTCTAATAGTTCAACGAATGAATCGTCGTATATCTTGCGCGATTTCAGCTCCAGCGTGTCCCGTAACTGAACATATTTCCTGCATTGAACTTTTCGTAGTTCGACATGATCATCCGCTGAGAGATACAGATCCGCGTCCTGAACGGTAGGCCGGCGCCCGTACTTCAACTTAAACTGCTCAATCCATCTTCGCAGAGTCTTGCGTAGTGAGAGGATTTCGCGCACATCATTGACGCCCAGGAGCCGTATCCGCCCTAATAGGCTATAATCCAGCGGCTCCAGCTCGTGCTCGATTACGCTCGGAAAAACGAATTCCTCACTTAATCCGAGTTCGGGCTGAACGGCGTTCACGACACCAGGTCTGGGCTCTGCGGAGTCGTTATCCGTCCGCCCGGGATCAAGGGTTTTCCGAGTTTCCAGCGCATGGCTGCTGGCTGGATCCTGCGGAGGTACCACGGGCACCGGCTTTTGGCCCTGTTCGTTGCGCTGGTCCTCGTCTAGAAATACTCCTTCATTACTGGTGGCAGAGGCAGCGCCCGGATTCGGCATGGATGCTCCTGCATGCTGCGCGGTCTCGGTGGCGCACGAGGCGCACTCCGTCGCCATCTCATGGACAGCGGCTGCGGACGGTGTTACGGACATAATGGTGCTCGGCGCTGTGGCGTTAGACTCGTTTCCGAGAGTGCTCGAAGCGCTGTGGTACAGGTCGTGCGTCGCCAACGGCGCATTTGTCGACGATTCGCGGCTCCTGGATCGGTCGTCAGTCGTCGATTCCGTCGAGTTGAAAAAAGTGGGCCCTGTGCTACTCGCGTGCCCAGTGTCCGCTCCATTGGGCGCAGGGTTCTCATTGTGTTCACAAGTCGTGCGAGTCGCGGCGGACGCCTCTCGATAAAGAGTTTCGTTGCTGTCGTTCTGCATCGTATTCGGAAGTGTGCCGGAGTCCAGCGCTGGATCGGCTGTCTTGCTATCTTTCGAAGCGCTGCGCCTCGTTCGCGAAGATTTCCTTGTACTCGAACCCCGATTGTATTGCTTCTGCAGAGCATTCGCCTTGTTCAGAGTTTTTGTTGGCAGCAAGGTTGCACCTTCAGCGGCGCTCGACTCGGCCGTTGCGGGAATTCTCGGAAAGCTTATTGGTGGCGCCCCTGCAATGATTCCCCCCGAGTCGGGATCAGCTTTTGGCGCCACATCAGACACCAGGCTCCTCGATGGTGATAATACAGACTCGTCCGCATGGGTCATCTCTTTCGATACGGCCCGAGTCCATGAGGTTTCATTCGGTTCCCCTGGGACGGAATGATCGGGCGCCCCGTCCTTTCCGGAATCGACTTTGACCTGGTTCGGCCAAACCGAAATAGGTTTGCGAGCGTTCTCCTTCATGACTTCCACGGGGCTCCTTCTCGTACGTCTCCGAGTCTTCGGGACGCCAACCGACGGAGTCTGGGTCGTGGATTCACCGCTCCTCTCAATTTCTCTCTGCATACGCAGATATCGCATCCAGGTATCGATTACCTCTGTCGAGCGGTAGTCCTTGGAAACATCTTCACTGCCGCCCGGGGCGGCTAAAACCTTTCGACTTACACCAGGAATCATAAGCGTGTCGCCAAGTACTTCATCCGCCAGATTGCGCAACCGTTCCCGAAGCTTCAGATACATTTCAAACTTGTTGATAATCTCAAGGGAACCGGTGCGACGCACGTCAGCAAGCGATGGACGCCTACCGCCATGAAAGCGAGCAAACAGTTGGCTCCACGCTCGAAGTTCAGCTCTTAGGCGTGTAAAACGCTGCACGTCTAGTGCAACCGAGTCCAACGATGATGCCTCTACTTCATCTTCTGGGGACGCGCGTCCAGCCGGTTCCATACTTTCGATCCGATTTTCTTCTACGTCATCGCTTTGAGAAAGGACATTTTCCTGTGTTTCCGATGCGTCTTGCATCGCATGGCGGCCCGTGCTAGCAGACTCCGTATTCGGCACGATACCCGTTTCCAGTTCAGCGGACAAGAGCAGCTTCTGTAGGCGTCCAAATTCGTCGAGCTCGTGTGCCTCGGTGGAGGCGGCACCAGCTGGAGTGTCGCCTCCCTTTTTACCGGTCAAGACGTCATCGGGCCGGCGTCGCATGCCCTTGGCGATGCGTTGACGATGCTCTGAGCTCAGAGGACGACCTTCGTGCGCTGCGCCTATTTTCCGTCGATGCTCCTCTGACAACGCCTTTCCTTTATTCCATGGCGCCTTACCTCGTCGAGCAGCTCCTATTCGAGCCCGAACTTCCGGCGAATGCGCCACGCCTTTATTCCACGGCCGGCCAGAGCCTAGCGTGCCTGTGGCTGCACCTTCAGTGGAGGTACCAGGTGTGCCGCCAACAACTTCAGAGGCCGCAGAAACCGACGCGTCGCCGCCCTGCTGCTCTTCAAAGCCACGGGAACCAGTTCTTGCCGACATTCGCGGAATACTGCGTGTGACTGACGAACCATTCGATACGCGGATCGCGGGTGCATCCCATCTGGGCGTCAGTCTGTCAGGCGGCAACGGAAGCACCGGGAGCGTACCCGGTTGCCGTGGTCGAAACCTCCATCCCGGATGCCGTCTTCGGTAAAAGCCAGAGTAACTTCCCACCCGTTCCGCGCCGATGCTGAACCCCTGAAAGAGAGAGACGCATATGAACCCCATTCACCAGTACACAGCGCGTGTGTTGTAAATCACTATGGCCTGAGCTCACTCCCTATACACTGCACTGGAACACTGATTGACAATAGTGTCGCACCTATCGAGCAAGCACACGCTGTAGAGGATACGCGTATGGAACGCTCGGGTGACGCCGAAGAATACGTCACGCTCTTCGCGTACGCAGCAAGTTTGCTCTACGTGGTGCAGCCTGACGCTGCAGGCGCCCAAGGCCGCTCGGGATGCGCGTGCAGCAGGCATGGGCTGGTGGGGTATCTGAATGTTTTGGACATTACTACCAAATAATAACATATACATATAATGAGATAATGATGACACACCGCAGCAGGCGGTGTTTGATGAGGATCTGGTTTGTACTGTCATCAAAGAACAACCATGTATCCAATGAGACAATGGTGCAACTTCTGGGTTGCCAGCGGTTTATGTGGGGTCTGCGGATGCGCGACATATACACCAAAGACTAGATATTATCAGACAATATTTTCCATTTGCATCACAAGTACGAGATTCAGCCTTGCGCTCAGGCTTGGACATGTGTTCGACAAGCGCTGCACCTTTTTGTGACATGCTCTCGAAAGGGAAACCTTATTATACTCAGTGGAAGTTGGCCGGTATCTACCAGCGCGGTGTTTGCTTCGCTAGATTCCGATAACTATGCTGCATCCGGGAGACCACTGGTAAGCCTCATCAATCCTTGGTCGAAATCCGTAGGATGCACGCACCCACTCGGCGCTGCGCTCTGCGATGATTCATCGAGGCGCTCTCGTACACGAGGCACCTTAAAGCTGACACAAACCTCTTTAGCCACAAGCACACGCTCGTCTACACGAAGCTCCGGATTGCAGTGCAAGATCTGTGGAAATAGAGCGGGTCGTTGGAGTTTAAACGCATGTTCCTGGAAAACGCAGGCATGCGCGTATGCATCTTTCAACGGGCTCGAACAAATTCCAGCATGATCTCTTTGCGATAGCTCACTCTACCATCGAACGGAATCGGGCAGCATCGTCCGTTGCACCGGATGACATTCCCGGGCGTGATGAACGCGTGAACGATGACAGACTTCCTCTGATCCAGGCGATTCTGTTCTCCCCATGCGTATATCCACCTTGTTCTGTGGAGGCATATGACGCTCTTTTATTTTTTCTCGAGTGCGTCTCTCGTCACATTGCGAACGTGTAGGTTCTCGCCATGTATTTGCAACATCGACACCAGTTTCGGTGCGAGATTCTGTGGCTTCGCTTCCATTTCCCGAGCGGATGCAGGATGCCACTGAGAGATCACGGTGACCGTCGTTAAACGAGCTCGTAGAATTGCATGCTTTCTGCATCCGTTCAGTCTGGATGAGTCTTTAGATGTACAAGTGACTGCATCGACAGTAAGGGGCTGATCAACTGCGGCCGAAGCTTTGCGCGAATAGCGCCATTCGTAGAATCTCCAGCTGCACGAGCACGGGCATGAACATACATGACAACCGCACAGAACCCGGGACCACAAAGTACATGTTCCTTGGATTTTACCATCAGCAGTGTGCAGGCGCGAAAGAGCTGCCTTCGCTTGCGCGTGCGCCGCTTCGCGTGTTCAACATCACACATTTCGCCTCCTTGGTGGTGAGCGTTGCGGCGGTGGCTGCTAGCCCGCCAAGTGTCTTCGTGCAGATCTTGCATGCTACGTAGTGGGCTGCTCTCCTTCGAAGGCCTCGAGCTTTCTTCAGCACGAAAGCGTCGGTGCACATCTCAAAAGGGCGCACAAGTTCGATTTCAAGCACAAATTCAGCGCAGCGTCCGACCTGTACCGGAGAAGGGTACAAACTTTTTGGGACCATCGGTTGAGGTCGGTTGTGCCTTTGGTCTGCTCGGTGTACCTGTTGATGTTTCCACGGTTCTGGGTGAATCAGACGCAAACACTGGTCGACCACTGAGCGTCCGACCCCCCGAGAGCTTGCTCCAGTAGTCATCGTGCTGCGGCTGTGCATTCGCTGGCGCGTTCGGCACGCCATCGCGGCTGCCAGTGGTCATGCCTTCATCCCCGGAAGCGGCTTTTTCGTTCTTTCTGCGCCACAATGAGCGGGAAGTTGTTGCTGCAGCGGGTTCCCCAGCGGTGGCGGCGGTGGCGTCCCCAAACTCGATTCGACCAGCGCACTGCGATGTGCTGCTCATCCCGGCGTTTGTCCTTACCGCGGGCATCTCCGGGGGCATATCGCGCGGCGGTGCGAACTCGACGCTCACGTCGGTGTCCGTCACACATACAGCGCTTGCCGGTTCACAAGCAATGACCGTCAACCAAAACATTTTTCCGTTGTACTCAATCGCGATCTCGTCACCCTCCGTTAGTGCGGTATAGTGCCGAAGTCTCGTCTCCAGCACTGCCCGCGGGTTCGTCATCTGCGTGAACTCAGTTAGATGTGGCTGCAGCTTCACATAGCGAGCCTTTGGGAGACTCGCAGTCTCTAGCTGTACGACGTCGCCTTCCTGCAAGGCGAGGTTCTGCATCAACCAGTGAGGTAAGTAGCACTTGCCTTCCTCAGCGGTAAACTCGATCACCCCGACGTGCGTGACTCTTTCGGATCTTTGTGCTTGCACGCGAAAGATCATTGGATCTTCGGTATTCCATTGGATGAGTTCCGCAAGCAACGATTGTGGAAGCAGGATTTTATCGCCAAGCTCGTACTCTGGCCGAGCTGCGTTCGAGAACGCAAGCGAGAAGCTTTCGAGCTGCCTCCGCACGGGGCGTGCTGGTCGCAGAGGCCCCACAACATCGTCCGGTAACATATTGTCGTCCATGACAACTTATTGCTGTATAGAAGTCCTCGCTCTCGTGACGACCTTCGGGAAATACGCCGTTCAAAAGAAAAACGCTGCCGCCAGCGGTGTACAGTTGAAGCGTGAAACACGCTTTCGACAGTACGTTTTCAGCAGCTGTGCAGACGCATCCTAGTCTTGTTCGACAGGCACCCCTCTACTGATTCCAATTTGTTCTCATACAGTTCAACTTTGAGCGGTTGTCCATTGAAGTTCACTCTTGTCCACTCTGGAGGTCTTCTCTCCGTCACCGTACATTTCCTTATCTTGATTGCGGCGTTAAAGTCTCGGTTCACAAACCCCATACGTATCTCGCCATTGATTGTACGTACTAATGCAAGTAGCCCACGAACTTTCGCCATACTTTCCAGCTGCTCTTCTGTCAGCGGTCCGTATTTTTTATATCCTCAGGGCTCCGTTGGCACTTTTCCATCTCCACGCTCTGAAGTGTGCACCCCAGTTCATGGTGTGTATACGAGGCACGGAACTCGTCTATTGGTATCGTAACGAAACGTCTTACGCACTCCTTGAACGTTCTTGTCGTTGGAGGTGGCGTAGTCCCTTTCCTGGTCTTCCAGCGCCCTGCTCCGTACGCCACTGCGAGCCTTTGTGATTTGTCCTCCTTCTAGAAGCTCAACTCATTGAAAAAGTTGTCAAATGCACGCTGCTTCCCACAGTATGGATTCGGACGCAGAAGAGCTCGCATCGGCTTGGCGTATTCTTTCCACAACGCCTCCCAATGAGCAACGCGAACTTCCATGAACTCCCGAACAGCTACAAAGTCTGCTTCACGGCTCGTCACCTCCCTTCTAGCTTCAAGGCGCTCCCGCAATCCTGCATTCAATGTCTTAATTTTCTTCCTTGCATCCATTATACGCGATTCTCGGTAGAATCTCGCTCTCGAGAATCTCAACAGACGCGTGTCTTTCTGACGCAAGTTGCCGTCAGTACCATCTTCCGCACGCTTGGGTGCTGCGATGGTTACGATATTCGTGTTTCCAGGGTGCGCGCGAACGACAAAGTCGTTCCCATGCACTTTCTTCGTCGCAGGACCCATATCCTTCTCATCTTCATGCTTCGCTGAGGACGGAACTGGACGATCTGTCTTCAACCGCCGATAGTGTATACACATGGCTAATCCATCGGATTCGATCATCCCAGTGAATACCTTTTGTTTGTTGACTTCGAGACGTTTGAAATTGAAGCTATTCTTCCAGTCCGTCTCCCGGTTATCACAGGTGAACTCCTTCCTGTTTACATCGAACTCCGGAATGATCTCCGTCATGATGCCGTAAAGGACGCTGGAGTCGATAGTCACGAAATGTGACTTGATGTTGCACATTGGTATGACGTTGACGCACTTTCCCATTAGCAGAGCCTTCCGTCTCTCCCACTCTTCATTTTTTCTCCAACTCACCTTCATCTCTGCCTCGCGTTGGAGCCCTCGGTCCAGAGACAAAAAATATCGCAGGATGAGGCAATAGTATCTTTCCTTATCGTTTTTTAAATCTGATACCCTTTCTGTTGGATTCGGCAACCCCAAGATTGCGCGGTGCTATTATATCGCCGCACGCATTACAGCAGCTTCATTCGTACTCCTGCATGACGCCTTCTCCCTGACAAATTCAACCTCATCTTCACGCTTACGATCGTTCGTGATGCCATTGATAATCGCCCATACTCCTTTGCGAGAGATGCCCGGGCAGTGTGCAGACACGGTGCGTATCATGAAACGTTCGAGGTTCGCTGCCAAAGGATTCTTCAGGTTCGTGATATACTTCATCGCTCCGTACATGTAAATATCCCGGTCACGCTTGTATCGAGTACCCTCGAACCTGTAAAAGGGATGTTTTTCGTAAAGGCCATGCACTAGCACATTTTCCCTCCGCGTTTCCGCTGTGCCAAGCATCAGGTGTCGAATAAAGGTCTTATCGAAAGAATCGTCCGGAATCTCGACCGTTTCTAAGTGCGCCACGTTCTCGTACATCTCCCATGCCAAATGCATCAGTCTTGACGACGCCTTGAAAATACTCATGGAGTACGAATCGAAACGTTTTTCGATAGCGTCTCGCAAATTTTCCTTGTAGGGATGGTCGATATGTTTAAGAAGACAGGCTTTCACCAGCATCTCGTCGTACAGTCGTCTTTCTTGCCGCCTTCGACTTAGGGCCTCCCCTTTTGCTTCTTCTTCTTTTCCTGTTCTTCTGGACTCGGCTCTGTTTTTTGTTTTTATTTCTGGCAGCAGGCGACACTGGGCCTCCAGGATCGTCGACTTGCTTTTTCATAACTTTCTTTTCATTTTTTTCTGTGAAAAAGAACGCTCTTTGAACCCTTCTATTATATACTGCGAGAAATCAATTGAATATGTTTACTTGAGGGTTGAGACACAATCGAACTGGAAACTATGATTTGTTACGACTTCCACAGATATACAACTTGCCCGTTAGAACAACAAGATAACGTGTCGTCACGATCGCGTTTCTCTTCAATGGCGACACACGCGTCGTGTCTCCTAAGTGCCATACTTGGAGATGCACGTATCGAGCGCGCCATATAGGAAAAAGGACAGTGACTTACAATTTACAAGAAACGATATAAAATTTTTTCCCGCTCTACGATAAGCGTTTAAGGGGAAATAGATCGCCGTATTATCGGAAGCTTATGTTCGAGGCGGAAGGTCCCGCGAGCCGGTCGAGTCTACCGGGCTAGAGCTCGGTATGCCTCTAAAGTGGCCGCCGCTGCTGCTGCTGCTGCTGCTGCAAGACCTGCGTAGCTCGTTCGCAGCGCATTTCATCCTGAGACTATGCACAGGATGCTGCGTTGGGCCTCGCCCTGGTCGCAGTGGAATCCTAGTACAGCACTTCGCGCTGTCGCAGGTAGTAGGTCTGTCTGCGCATTTTGCATGTTCCCAGAATGACAAATAGCCCTGATTCCGGTTCAGGTGAATCATTCCTCGAGCGGACGCCCTTAGTGGTATGGCAAAGCCGTTCTGTCTCTGTGCAGCACCTGCTTCAGCGGTATAAGCGCTACAGCGGGTGCTCACAACAGGCTCGGCGCTCGATAGAACATACGAAACGACCAGTATATCAGAGAGGTAGTATGGGTAATGGGACTTGAGGACAGGTGCACTATGATCGAGATATCCCCGGAAGCCATCGTGCGTTCCGAATTCTGGGATGCATGGTCAATGCAAACGTTTTTTCATCAAAAAGAAAAAAACGCTCCGGAGGCGGACTCGTCATCGAGACGCGCATCGCTCTGGATCGAATCTCCGGAAGGCGCTTCTGGGCGATCGCGAAAGCCCTCAAGTGCATCTTTGTGTCCTCAACGGATAGCATGCTTTATTCAGGGCGCTCAGTCTCGGGCGTTCCCTCTGACTTAAAGCAATACCTTCGTGGATCAGACAGCTGTGTTATCAAAGAGCACTGTACCTAGTTTTGGCGAGGCCTATAGTGCTGGAGAACAAAACGATCACGGGTTTGTAGCGATCTCGGCACCAGTGCTGGAAACAACCCTGCACCGCAGCTCGGGCGATCTAAAACCTGTAGTCGGACTTTTTCGAAGATCTGTCTCGCAAGGAAGCAAATCGTGGAACTGCGCTCTTTGGAATGACGTCAGGGATCGACGAGGCAGCGGCTGAGCTTCAGGGAAGTCTCTTTGGGGAGGTCTCGCCTGCGATCGACACGCCGGGTGCGGCGCTTGCACGTTCGTACCCCGTCCGCATCACCGTGGTTGGAGCTGGCGACGTTGGCGTTGCTTGCGCGTATAATATTTTGACCCGAGATATTTGTAGTGAGCTGGTACTGGTGGACGTTCTTAAGGACAAACTCAAGGGTCAAGTTATGGACTTGCAGCATGGAGGTGCGTTCTATAGCACCCGCATCCGGGCTGCCGAGTCCTACGAGGATACAGCACATTCAGCAGTATGTATTATAACGGCAGGTGTGCGTCAGCGGCCCGGAGAAAGTCGTCTTGAGCTCATGGATCGCAATGCCGCATTGTTCAAAGGCATTATTCCGCCCCTGGTGCAGTATTCGCCGAACACAATCCTGTTGGTTGTGAGTAACCCCGTTGATCTATTGACACATCTAGCGTGGCAGATGAGTGGCTTGCCCCGCGAACGTGTGATTGGCTCAGGGACATATTTGGACTCTTCGCGTTTCCGCACACTTCTGGCGCAGCGGCTGGGCATCGATACCGCTTCCGTCCAGGCCATGGTACTGGGCGAGCACGGAGACTCCTCGTTCGTGTACCGGAGTGGTATTACGGTTGGTGGCGTGCCGTTGCGAACATGCTTCGAGCGCATGACCGACGCTGCGAGCGCGTCCACAGCATTCTATGATCTGGTGAAAGGTGTCCATCAGCAAGTTGTAGCCGCGGCTTACGAGGTCATTAAGCTGAAAGGCTACACCAACTGGGCCATTGGCAGCGCTGTTGGAAGCATCGTTACAACGATTGTGCATGATCGGCGCAAAGTGCTGCCAATAACGACGCATGCGGGCTCGTTGCGAGGCCTCGAGTCGGCGGATGTATTCTTGTCGTTGCCTTGTGTGCTAGGTCGGAATGGTGTCGTTGAAGTACTACAAATACTGCCGTTCATGGAAAGTGACGAGAAAGAAGACCTCCAATCCAGTATAGAGGCACTCCAGAGCACGCCGAAGAAAGCATCTTGAGCATGTTGCCTGCGCATGGTAACGCGTTGGATGCGGATCGTTTACAGGGACGTTAATCAAATGCCTCGTCGAAGTGCGGGCTCTGCACAAGCGTGCTCGGTCTGTACTCAAAATAAGCGGATGAACAAGGAGGACTGAGATATGCTGGATACCTATGCCAAACTGGTAGGTCTTGGCACCGTAGAAAAGGTGTGGAGGGGAGCGTCCGTAACCATCTCGGCGAGCTTGTTCCAAATGGACAGCATTGCTAAAGGACAAGGTGGCACCAGAATTGCAACTGCAGAGTAGCGTTCGCCTACTATCATCATT